AGAAAGGTTTGAGATGAATGTTTTAGGAAGGACCTATAGAGATGAATGAAAGAAGATAAGAAAATTTATTTATAAAATCTCGAGAATTTTTTTTTACTCTCTTCGGTGTGCTGATAATGCATTTAAATGTTTGTAGAAAAAGCATTTATTGCACAAATAGAAAATCTTCTAAACTTTCTCTCTTCTCGGTATTTTTGGTAATTTTCGGTGAACGCAAATTAATCTGTGTGCCCAAAAACAAGCATTGCCAGCGTTGCTTTTAAATAAATCGTAAATCTATGATACAAAAATATATAAAATTATAAATATAAGCCGCGTACGAAGAGCATATGTTTTTTTTTTCTTTGATAGAACTACTGGTGACCAACTACTTAAGGAATCGCATAAAACACGAAAAGGGTAGAGTGTTGACATATGCACGTTCTAAAAGGATGATTTGACGCGTGTAAAAACGATCATATTTTGAGCATGCTCGCGCAGCGATACATACATTTCTTTCGAAATTGACATAATAATTTATCATTAGCGCTTATCCATACTTGCTTGGCTGATTTTTGATTGTCACATGATGGTTCAAAATAAGTCTTGGAACCTCTGGCTTCGCAAAAATGTTAACCTTTTAGGCTGCCATTTTGTAGAGCAAAACCGTAGCCATGGCTTTTTATTTTCTCCTTCATATTTTGGAATCGTTCAGGTGCACAAAAATGACGTGATAAACAAATTTTGGAATTAGTTCAGATTTTCGAATAACCAGATTATTACCCAACTCATATTCTGATGGAGTATAAGGTGATCATCAGTGATTACTGAACTTTTCTTGGAAATCTGTGTAGCTGGACTCAGCAACCTGAAGAAGGAAACATGTGTCTAGAGTTAAAAGCTTTCACTACGCCGCGTTAATACGTTAATACAAGAAAATAATTTTTGATGAAACGCTACGCGGCTTTTTATTAAGACTTTTTAAATCCTGAGTCAGATTTTCTAATCGAGGAGAATATTCCATACTGCTTTTTCTGAGAAGCATTTTTCCAAATATTTTTGGAATAAATGCCTCAGTCGTCCGCAGTCAGCGTTATTTTGCTGCTTGAAGTGCCTGGCTGCGGCATTTTTCCGATAATTAAAAATGCTAAACGAGGCCACGTCATCATTTTATCCAAACAACGCACTAGACTTTCGCCGCATCGAGACTTGAAATGGCTTGTTGAATTTAGAGGTTAAGCCACTATCTTCATATATGCTAAAAACAGAAGTCTTATTTTATTAAACATATTAAATTGAAAAAGAAGGTTCTAGCTCTACCTATCTTCGGCAAACTTGAAACTTTTGCTCGGCAATTATCAAGTCAATTCCGGAATTGATAGAGAGCCTCTAAACGTGGACGTTCATTATCTAATTAAAAACGCTCTACAAAATTGTGGTGACTTGAAATTGACGTCAATTTTCAATTTTTATTTATCTCTTTCTTGGATTATGACTCTAAAATACTTGATATTTGCAAACAAACTGTATTGAGCTAAAATAACTTAAAAATTTGCAGTTACTGTTACACCTTTAAGGACCCCCCACCTCAGCTTTTATCGGAAAATCAAATTTCGGAATTTTAAAATTATGACGTCGGAAATGGATTCTACGGAACAAAAAACGATTTTGAGGCTACATTTTTGGGGGTCTATCTCGACTCCTTCACCCCCAAAATCGCATTTGAAAATTGGACTTTTCGCCGAAAATTGACGAATTTGCCCTAATTTGTCAATAATATTTATTTTTCTTGCTCAAAAACTCCTCTCACCAAGTTTTTGATGCAAGTTTTACCTGAGGAATCATTGAGAACCAAAAATATGGCATTTTTAAAAATTTTCATTTTTTAAAGGAAAAAGCTGACGGGGGTCCTTAAGTCTATCTGGCTATCACGGACCGAGAGTTCAGAGCACTTTCAAACATCACGTTTTTGGGCAGCAAAATTTACCTGAAGGAAGTTATCACTAAATTTGCGCACCTGCCTCAGACAGGATGCGATTCATCAGTTCTAGCTCTTCCGTTTTGAAGACTTTGCATTTTGAATCAAGGTTTTTCATCTTAATATAAAAAATAACAAGTATATTTTCTATCTGAAACGATAGTTGAAATACTTGGTAAGTTAAATCACAGGTCTTAGTCTTTATAATTGTCATTAAGGACTTTGGTAGAGCATATATTTTATCTTTATTTCTTATATAATTCAGAAAGAGCTTCAAACATGAAAAATTAACACTCTGAAAATCTCTTAATAGAATGATTAAAGAAAACGCTGTCGAGTTGTTTTTTAAATATCAGCTTAAAAACATCGAGCACCGAAATCGATGATTTTGAGGAATAGTAAATTCGTAAAAATAGAAGAATTTTAATGGATTCGACGCATTTAACTTTTCAAATCGTGAGCAAAATGAGCGCTTAAATAAAACTTTCTCGTTCATTGGAGATCAATCGATGACTTCTTGTTGATTCTTAATCTTAACAAATAAAAGTTTGCCTATCTTCGTTTTAAAATTTAATTATTATTAAAGATAGAAGAATTTTAATGGATTCGACGCATTTAACTTTTCAAATCGTGAGCAAAATGAGCGCTTAAATAAAACTTTCTCGTTCATTGAGGATCAATCGATGACTTCTTGTTGATTCTTAATCTTAACAAATAAAAGTTTGCCTATCTTCGTTTTAAAATTTAATTATTCCCAATCAAGTTTATGTTCGTCATTTTCATTTAAATTCAACGCCGTGTATTTGTATCGAAAATTTACATCTATACAATGTATTGAAATTCGGAATGCGGAGCTTTGTCCGCTGGTGGTAGTCGTGCGCTGTGCCAAGCGCAATCGCAAATGAGCAGCGCGCGTTTGGTGGTGGTGCTGAACACCATCAAAATCGTGGGCGTTACGAGCATTCTAACCAATCAGCGACGAATCAAAAAGGGGTCCTGCTGAACCAGGCGGTTATTCACTCGTGAGCCTGTTTTGAGAGTCAGAGCTGAAACAATGTGTCTAGGGCTCGTGTGGGGTTAAATCTTGCTCGGTTAGAAAAAGCACCAAGCAGACCCGCTCGACGAAAACGCGGCTCATTTATGAACCGCTTTGAGTCGATCTTTGTCCGCTAGTTCTTTACATTTCCGACAATTCCGCCGAACCTTTAAATAGCCACTTTGTACAGTTTTCTATTTTCCCGATCACTATTTTTTTATAAAACTTCAAAAAACGAGTTTATTTACCACAAGCAAAACACACACTTTCGCTTTTTTGTAAAATTTCTGCCGCTTTTATATTTTTGTACAGAAGCAAAAGAAGAAAAATCCACCAAGAACAACAACTCTCACCTAAGAGAATCAAAAACTCACTCTAAAACAAAAACTAGAGAACAACTTTCGTCTGAAGAGAAGAAGGTTGACGAAGACAGTTTGAATTTTTCGATCAGCGATTAATGTTGATCGACTTTCAGCAGTTTCAAATCATTTATGAGACATAATTGGTGAGTCGAAAGTTTTAGTTGCATTTCAAAAAAGCAAGATTTTTGCAAGATGTTATGTTATTTTTGCTTTCAGTTTTTATTTATTTTATTTAAGTTATCTTTTATTACTATTTCTTATTTCATACTATTAAATTCTTTCTTTTTATAAGAGACTTTCATTTGACCTCTAATATTATTTCTAGAAGTGAGTTAAATCATCAAAAATATTTTTTATTAGTTTATTTGAATTTTCTAATTGATTTTTGATGCTTGTGGGACGTGTGAAAATGGATTGATGTTCTGATTTTGACCTAACTGTGTAGGTTTAAACTATTGGCACAGTGGATGAAGTTGATTTCACCCGCGGCCAAGGTGTATCTCTTGTCAACCTTTTTGTTGGTTACTCTTAGCACTAGCTCGTGCTGGTTGAGAAGGGGCGGCGCCACCTTTCGGAAGCAGTCCGACCGGTTTATCGCTGGACGGGCCGCTGGCCCTGGCAACACCCAGCGTGAATGCCTCGGCGCAACGCACCACCATGCATCGCAACAGTATTATGAAGGCGAGCGGGGATGGTGGTGGCAAAAAAGGGCGCGCGAGCGCCACCACACCACCACCATGCCGGTCCATGTACTCTGCCGAGGCCGAGCTTCTTATTAGGTTGAGAGCCAGTAGCGGATAGCGCAAAAATTTTTCCACCGCGCGTTTTTTCGATCCGCGCTACCGCTACTAAAAACCCGATACGAGAGACACAGTAGCAAAATTTATATAGAGAGTATCCATTCACACACAATCGCCCTCAGAACAGAAGTTTGATTTTCGAAGAATCCCTCTTTGAAGAACAGAACCGAAGAACTGAGAGAAAAACCGGAACATTAATTAATTTTTCGTTTGGAGTTTTCAAGGGAGTTATGAGGGCATGTGATGTAGCATGCCTTTTGTAATGCCCCAGCGTCATACAAAAGACCTTCGGCGCAAAAGGAAATTCCTGATACAGTTATGGGTTCACATTTTTTCATATAACAGGAGAAAACGTCACGAACCAGTTTTTTTTATCTTTACTAGAATATCATTTTTTCGATCTCAAAAGATCTCTTTTAAACCGAGGGCGCTCGTGTGCTGCGCGTGACTCTTCATGATTATGCTTTTCGATTAAACGATAATAATTCTCTAATTTTATTCATTACTTTTTATTTATTTAAGATAAAATCTGAACCTTTGAAAGAAAAGTACCGTCAGTTATTGACGGTCCTCTCTGTACGAGTCAAACCGCGTAGGGTCCGTTATCAGGATTCTACCGCGGAAGACCTTAACAAAGAACGGCCAGGACAATGAGCGGCGACGGTTCAAAAATCGGAGCCATTCGATTAAACCAAAGGCCAATCAACGGTAATTTCACGTTTTTTATATTTTTGATGATTTAACTCATACGTTCTGTTATTTGTCGATATAACGTTACAATTGAGCAAAACAGGCATTTATGAAGTCAAGATTTTTCATTTCAAAATTCTAAAATTTTGCGTAGAATGAACCTGAATGTCTCGACCAACTTCTTCATTCTGGCGCTGGCAGTTCTTCAGGGATCCGTTCAAGGTAAATAAATAGTGATAATCAAGAGTCAGTCTGCTCACACGTCTATTTTAGCTCAAAGTGACAACCCCTGTGATGGAGTCACTTGCAGCAACAAGGGTTTCTGCGTTCCTAGCGAGCTATACAACAATGGCTACTGGTGCGAGTGCGATGAGGGATGGGTTGGCCAAAACTGTGGCCACCCACAGCCGTCAGTCGTCTGTGGCGATGCTGATATTTCGATCACCATTGACACAGGCATTGTCGAAGAGCTAAATCTCTCCACCGAAGCGGACTTTGTCTACTTCGGTAACTCGGACCCGCAAGGGACCTCTGAAGAACATTCGAAATGCAGCGCCAGGCTCGAGAATGGCAAATTTGAGCTCAAACTTGATGCGCCATTCTTGAGTTGCGGTACTCAAGTCATCTCGAAAGTAAGTACAGTATATTCAGTTAGCTGAAATCTCGATATCATTTTATAAGCAAGGAGCAGAACAAATAACATTGCGTTTTAGGAGAATGACGACTTCACGTTCAGTAATACTGTTGTTTGGAACTCTATGGTTAACAGTACCAACATCAACCGAGAACTTGTCCTCCTGGATTTCAAATGTATTTACCAAGACGAATACACCGTCGCTCCTGGCGATGCTATTCCAACGTTAAGGTACAAAAACTGAGAATCAACGTGACTTTATGATCCTCTATATGCTACTGTTAGAATGCAATTAAAATTTTTTCTAGTACACTCCAAGTCATCACCAACAAAGGTTCTTTCTCCGTTGCGATGTCTATCTACGAAGATAACACGTTTGCTCCGGATAAAGAATACATCAGCTCGCCTAGTATCGGAATCGGTACTTACGTTTACACCCAAGTCGAGCTGGAGAGTGTTGAAGATCCCAATCTCGTAGTAACGATGGACCAGTGTTATGCAACTCAAACGTCTGACCCTGCCGATCTTACTACCGCCAAGCATTTCCTCATCCGAGACAGGTACTTACTCGAAAAAGCTTAGCTACTGTAATTACTCAATAAAATTCATGTCTCAAAGATCTCGGACTAAATTTGCCTTTTAGATGTGCGGATAACGATCCAACAGTTGAGATCTACTCTAATGGTGAAAGCCACCAGTCAAGATTTAAATTCCAAATGTTTAAATGGAGATGGAGTGGTGACCCCCTTTTCTTGCATTGTGAAGTTGATATTTGCAACAAGTCAACTGAAGAGTGCACATCACGTGACCAAGCGGTAAGTTTGAAAACTAATTTCACTAGTAGCCAACTGAGTTGATAGCCAAGTTTTTGGTTTTTGTTTAGTTAAACCTTCTTTTTGATTTACAAAGGTAAAAATTTGATATTAATAAATATTTAAAGGGATGCAGTGGAGAAGGTTTGGAGAGAAACCGGAGAGATTTGGAGATTGAACCAACGATGGAATCCGATATGAAGGTCTCCAACCGAGTCCTGACTATGGGTCCCTTGATGGTCGCTGTCAACGATCTGCTCGTTGAGACTTCTTCGAGTCGACTTGCTGATGAAGGTAAATTGCGATTGCTTTTGATATCTTAGCTAGAATGCATAACACTGTGAAAAATTCTAAAATAATATTCAGTCGATGTCACGATGATGTATCTCGGGCTCTCCCTCGGTGTTGTCTTGGCCGTTCTAGGTGCAATTGTGGGCGCTATTATCAGAAAGAGACGACAACTGTCATCCAAGATGGCAGATGCAGAACGATCCAATCGGCTTACTCAATTACGTTTCGTTCGCGAAGCGTTCTAAGTTTTCTTATTGGAGCGTACTCGTAACTACTCTAAATTACAACAAGCAAATCATGAAGAATTTATTTATCCAATTTGGTTAACCTAATATTGTTGAACCGTATCTCAGCAGCTGGAAGGTATCAGTTGTGAGTTAAGCTTTCGCACGATCTACGGTAAAACCGGCGGTCAGCGTCAGAACGACTTTTAAACGCTATCTTGCTCAAACCAGCAACCGGTAAACCCAGACTTAGTAGCTGGAAATAAATCTCTTTTCTTATATTGCTAACCCATCGAACCCCCCCTGCGGTTGCATATATTGCTCGACAAAGGCTGTTCCCCTTGGTCTGGCAGTATCCTGCGCCGTTCTTTACAAAAACGAACAATTACTCCGAAACATTGTGTGTATGTGGAGATATCTCGCTTGAGTGATCAGGCGCTTTGCTCGCCTCTCGAAGCTGTTCGCGGGAAAATACCAAACCAAACTTATGAAGATAACTATCCCCAAAACTCAATATATTTTTGTGACATGGAATCTGTTGAGGTGAGTTGGCCCTGTCGCGGGTGACAGTGGGACTAACCCTCATATTTTAATGGTCTTTTGTTTTGTTACCAGTCCGTAGATGAGCTTAGTATGGCAGGCCAATCGACTATGCTCCCCTTTCTGGACAGGAACAGCTAAAGACGGCATCATTTAGGACCTCACGGAATAGTCAATATTCCACCGGATAGCGTGGCTCGGCAACACAAAGAGCTCGCTCTTTTTTGGAACTATCACTTGGTTGGTTATTATTATGGAAATTGAACGCCCAGCCACGCTATAAAACAAATTCAACAATTATTTATTTTCACACCCAAGGCGCTTATTTTCTGACAGACGATTTCAAGAGATCTTCTTTGCCAAAAGCGTAACCGAGCGAAGTTGCTTGCGCAAAAAGCATGTTACGGCGCTGCTTCAGTTGAAATACAGTTGTTCCCACGACTTGCCCCGTGTTTTCACGTCAGTGATTAACGCCGTGCAGCGTGTGCGCACTTTTGATGCTTTTGCTCCGCTTTTGCTCTTACCAATGCTCAATCAACCTAGCCCCGTTAACATAAAGGCGATGAGATTTGTACGAAGTCTTGTCGCAATTTATGAACTAGTTATTAACTTGCAGCCGATTTTAAGCAATGAGCGCGGATAAGGCCCCACATTTTTACAGAAGGGGTGCCAGGCAAACGTGATGCGCGTACTCTAAAAAGCGCCACTGGTGCACGCTTCTTTAGCGCCACCACCTGGCTCGATGTCTTGATAATAGCCTGGCGCCGGCCCTTACTTGCCCAATACGAACGCACTCCCCGGCATTGGATGAGTGAGCTGCTGGATTGAACTTTTATCCGAATCTGATCCAAAAATTCTCTCAACGAAACTCAAACCGGCTCAAACCTAGGTTCGATTCGGGTACAATTCAAAAAGCCACCGGTATTTACTTTTATTTCTAATCTTTAACTGTTGACCTTGCTTTTTACTTGTTTTTGTAATCCAGCGTTTTCGATTGATCACCTGATTTCCGAATCACGTGAACTCTTGTTGACGTACAAATACCAAGTCGCGAAAGTCACTGTATCATTGATAACATTTAATCGTAAAGTTTTATCCATCGGCCTTTTTCCCGCTCCGAATGGCAGGTGGCATATGCAAGTGACGAGCAAGTTGTTTGGCCGGAGCACGATTTTCAATTGTGTATCTGCCCCTACGGCTTGCGATCGTCATTTGTTTTGCCGTTAAATTACCGCTCACACTCGACACCCATGTTCACGTTCAATGCTGTAGCAGTAATCAGTTATATTCTGAACTCTACAGTCATGTAATACTGTAAAAACAATTTTTGTATTGTACAACAGACGTTCAACACACTCCAGTCCACTAAGTCTAATGACAAAATATTAATTTTTTTGAACTCTGATATTCATTTTGAGCCTTCAAATTCATTTTATTATTTAATCATATCGTAGACGATCAAGATATGAGCAGATCTATATTCGAAAACAACAACAACCCGCAAATACTATTCTGATTAAAAACCAAATTTTTTCGATTATTTCCCAAGATTCGTGTTAACCGGACCGCTCAGATTTGAGCTTTCTGCCGAGATGCTTCGTAACTTAGCATAGCTGATTGAATTGTTAGATCACTATTAAATTTATTTAATCATCTTAAGACACCATATTCAACTTTCTATTATGTGATCTTGATTCGGTAAAGGGCGATATACTAGTCTTAATTATCTACAGTTGAATAGTTTTTTAATCAATATCCTTGCTCAAATGATACTCTTTCAAATTTCAGATAACTAAATTTTCAAATTGACACGAAAAAAGCTCTTGAATAATGTCTGGATTCTCCAACTCGATTGAATGCGGTTGAAAATCATATTTTTTGGGTATTTACCGAGTTGCGCGTGCCTAAACAAAAAAATGAAACAAACAAACCAAAACCCGGCGGTAAGAACCTCCACCCGGTTGTATCAGTGACTTGCTCACATATTTGCCGGCCGGAAGCTGGGTAGTGAGACAGGCCAGCTTAGATTAGCTACACTTCTTCCCCTGGCGGATATGCGTCGCTTATATGCGTACTGGTAGATACTACTTATTTCCGCCTACTTTCGTGTCTTTTTGTCAAAAAATCACACACCCGGTACGAATAAGCATGAGCGATCTGGGAAGAGTGAAACCAGAGGCTCGGTTTTGTGATTACGGCTTGGCTCGATGCTCGTCGCGAGCGTTTGCGCACGTAGGAGACCACAAATTTCGTGAAAAATATCAAAAAAAAATGTCTCAACCTTCGCGAACGACTCTTTTTTACCCCGTAAAAAATATTGTGAATGCTTCTTCGGAAGCTGAACAACAAAAAAAAAGCGACGCGGCAGAAATATCTTTATCGACCCCAGAAAGCTGCCGAGCTCCGTCACGATTGCTCCGCCGACAAGACGGAAGCATCTGATGTTCTCAGTCTATCTCAAATTTCATAAGTTTCTCCAGCATCGCCCAAAAAAATCATTTAAATTTTTATCAAAATGAATGCTGGCGAACATGGAAGGCGAGTTTTTCTGTTGACTCAGGTTGGTTCAGTCCTCCCACTCCCTTTATAATAAAGACCCTTGAGTTTACGGTACAGCATCTTGGGTTCAATCCTACTAAAATCAATGTTAGAAAGTCGTTTATATATGGGGAAAGAGATCTGACTTTTTTTAATCTTCTTTCCGAATTTTGAGTATCATTTTTTCGCCTAAACACGGATAGTCAAATTTTTGTCTTATGAATATACAATCAGCTAAGCTTGACGATGCCAACCTATTCATGTTTGCGTTTTCGAACAAGAGCATGGAGAAGTCTTTGTCTTGGTTTTGCGAAGGATTGACCGAAAGGGCCTAACATTTCTCTCGTTCCCGAGTTAAGAAAAACTGAGTCTGACCTATGCACTTTCTATCAGTCAATTGCATTCTTGTTGATGATTGGTGGGAGTCATTGTTCTTGCTGACATGCGTATCTGGGAAATAATCTTCGGAGCTAGAACTTATAAACATTTTTGGATGCTTTGAGTGTTTAGCGATGATCACTGATTATACTTTAGGAAAACCCGAACATGCACATGATGTCAAAAATTTGTATTCTGAACAGTTTATCATTTAAACCCATTCTATAGAAAACATTGATATCGTATCATCTTGGAGGGGCCTTGTCTTATCAAGAGATTGTAGCGCTGAACAGGCCTCTCAACGCTGCTTTTTTCAGTAAAGACTCCGCCCAACTGCAATTAATAAACCGGTTAACCTTTTATCAAATACCTAATTAACCCATTCATTGTGGGTCCTCTTTAAATTCACTTAAATTTCTGAGACAATTCTGTAACTAGGACTGTAGGTTATAATAGATTTGCACGCACAGAAGGATTTCGCTTAAGATTAAATCTTAAAGGTAGATGTCAAAACAGTGACGTTCAAGATCCCACTCCCACCTTGGGTGTTTCTGTATCCACGGAAAAGGTTAAATTAGAATGATTTTTGTGCGCGTCAAGTATGTTTTAATCGACACAAGCCCAGTTCCAGAGCAATTCAATGGACACTGGCTCTGCTTTTCTTCATTTCTTATCTCCAAATCGAGCTAAAGACTTCAAGAAAGCATACCCAGCCATTTGAGACTTTTGATTCTTATACATGCGAAAATCACTATTTTCTCTTTCTTGAGTAACTGTGAGACCACGCGATTGTTAATCTTTTCCTATTTTAACTTATGCCAATTCTTCAACGAATTCACATATATGGCCCCGTTACGCACCTCTAAGTGGAGGTTTCCACTTTCTCTTTTTGGTGAGTTCACAAATGCCAATTCCCACTTTTCTCTGGACCACACCATGACAGCCTCCACGTACATGTTAAAATTGCTTCTTGCCATGTTTATAGGCTCTCGTCTGTGCCTCCATTTCTCCATTACATAACCAAACTTCCATTTTATGGTCTTTTGGTTTCTTTTTTTCTAAATTCTGAGACTTTCAAGATATCCTGGAAAAGACTGTGCACTGTGAGCGTGTTGGTCTATGCGAATAAAATAAGAAAAAACAAAAAATCGAAGATATTTTATTTTGGAATCATTTTTGAAATGGCAGTATCTTGTATTTAAAAAGGCTAGAATTATATTATTGTCTAGTGAGAAGCAAGTAGAAATCAGTAAACTTATCTTTCGAGGCTAGAACTAAACCAGGTGCGATCGCTCTGAGAAGATTTGCATTCCAACCTGAACACATTATTAACAAATCAAAATTAAAACATGATCAAGTCCTTTTAAAAGTAATCAAGGGCTGTTAACCTCTGAAAAACGCAATAATGCCTTCTTGCGCGTAGATAGTTCTAAACGCTGAAATTGAGGAAGAGTAATTTTCTCCAGTTCCGGATGTCATCATCATTCGCCGGCGCAGAGTGTCTGTTGGGTAGGCTGGTATTGAGGCAACTATACTGATCACATATCCGAGCAGAAAGCTTAAATAGTATAATTAGACTTAAGATAAGATTTTCGTAGCGCGATAATTCAAAATTTCTGTACCGGCTTGGCAACGCATCAAACGAAAAGAAGGCTGAACGGCTGCCAGCACTAGAATATGTTGGAGCGACTGCCAGAGGGCGCGGCTTTAACTCCACCATTTTAACACGCCGCAATTTTAGGCTTTATTACGGAAATTAAGATAAAAATTGATTAGCAAGACTTCTCAGAAGGTCTTTGATTATAACCTCATTTTACAGCTATTAAGTTTGTCTCTTTATATGGGTAACAGGCAAATTCATTATCTTTTAAATTTATTTCGAAAAAATGAGTACCTCTCACACCATATTGCGCTTACTACTGCTCACCGAAAAGAAAAAGAAACTGAGCTGAATCAACTCAACTGAGCGGATGTCCACTTGTTCAAATAAATCCTCTCGCCATCCCAACAATCCACACTTATGATAAAACAAGCGGCCTGTCAAAACGTGACCAGATTTAACTTCAAACCGGTTGACCTGACACTTTTTCGTGTGTCCGCCCTTTCCTATCTTGTTGAGTGCTCACGTGAGGTTGTTTTCAAAGAACTGTTGATTTTCATTGTTTGAATATTCAACAGTTTTAATAGTCAAAATTATTATACTATTAGACAGTAAGAGAATTTTTTGTTTGATATAGAAGTAACTAAAATGAACACTAAGAACTGCTTTTTTGGAGCCTAAAGAAGTGTTCTATACGATTCGTAAATTGCTTGACAAAATATAACTCTGTGGCTTTAAATCTGGACAGTTGCGTGGTGGCTAGAAATTATCAAATTTATGATAACGCATTCCCGCCTATTACAAGGACTTACAGAAGCCGAAAAGCCCTTTCGATTGCAGGGATTCATAGCGCTGACCATTTTAAGGATAAAATTATACATGCGCCACGAGAGCGAAAATTTAAAAGTACAAGTGGCCAACTTTAGAAGTGCTCATAGGCGAAAGTGATGGACGCATGCTAAGGATCGACTTAGCTGAGAAAACTTTTGGAGCTTGATTTAATATCACAGCCGCTCCATTATGAGCACTGCCGAATGCGAAATCGACTCATCATTTACCCAGAAAAGCGTCCAAGTCCAAATGATAGAAAATTTGTGCGATCCTAACGAGAGAATGATCTGTGAACAGTCAAAACCTGAATGTGGTTTTATAAGCGCCTAATGGTAAAAGAGAGTAGCTTCTGACCACGTGTGGTATTGGTTTTAAGAGCTCGCGAATTTAAAGGATTCTTTATGAACAAGATTTTCTCGCGATAAGAATACTCAGAAAAGCTGTATTTTCACGAGTTAAAAGTTGTGTCTTAAAACTCTGGGACTGAGCATATGGATTGTCATTCTGGTTCCAGATATTTAACGCATGAACGCACGAATTTTTTTTCCTGCTGAACGCATATTGCGCAGATTTCTGCGCAGCACCTTTAGAGCGCTCTAGCGACGATTTTGGTCAAGATTTGAAAAAACTAAAGCAACCAAAATAAAGCTCAGACGCTTGCGAACAAGCTTATAATAGTTTAAAATCCTAACCCTAACCCGAACCTCGCTAAAAATACTGATTTCTAAAGTTACTCGAAAATAGACCAGTTTTTTTCATTTTTTCTATTTCATTGATCTCTAGTACAAATGCACAAAAAAATGATCTTTATGATAAAATTTATATTTTATTCGATGCAGAAATGCGATAAAATGGCGTAAAAATATTTTTTATCGACGGAAAAATTAATGCAGAGCTTTTAAAATGGTAATAAAACGTTATTCGAAAAAATCGGAAATTTTCGTTCTGAAGCCAAATTTTTATCCTGAAGTCAAAATTTTTTTTCGATGCCAGATTCGGATTTTTCATCGAAAAAGAGCCCCTAAAGTGGGGATCCATTTAAAATTTTGATCAAGTAAAGTATGAGTTATCGAGCTTTAAACGTGCTCTGCGCAGAAATCTGCGCAATATGCGTTCAAGCGTTAAATACAGAAGCATCTGGAATTTACATGAAAATATTAAGTGCTTTTGCTGTGGAAATAAAACCCGTTGTATTCGCAAAAAATTCGTCGTTGCTTACCTTGGGACGAAACCAATTTTCGTTTGAGAATGACGTTCCAGAATTGGCTTGACAGTATCATAAACGCCAAAATAGATCGCCCTAATCGCGTCGGTTCGTCCAAATACGTACCCCGCGCTTTTAGTATATTTGGACACGTTATTTAACTCGATTAAGAGATGCGAGATTAATATCGCCTCCCCTATCACAAATCCCATTATCTTCAAGCTATATCGTTTCGTTAAAATCATAAGCGCATTATATTACCGATTTTCATTTGCCAGTAGAAAACAACGCGTCATTATCTCTCCGGATTCTAAAGGCTGTTGAATTCGTAATTTCAGAAGGAAGTGCGTTTAATCGAGTTTTGACCCGGACGAAAGATACACATTATTTTTAGATGTTTTTCCAGTATCCTCCGGAAGCCGTATGTTTGACTCGACATAGCGCTAGACCAAAGAATGAACTATTTTAGTCCCAAACAGCCATTCTTTCTCAAGAACAAGAACGGAGAAAAAGTGTTTTTAAGTTAAGCACTTTCCACTATTTGAAACAACGGTGTCGACAACGTTTTTACACAGTCTGAAAATGACCGCATGTGGTCGAGAATCCGAGGAATATTAAAGCGATTGCGATTCTTTTGACCACAACTTGGGCTAGCCGCGCACGATGGCGTGAAAAATCATTTTCTAGTAAGTACTCTCGTCCGGTTTTTGCGATAATTATTTTTCGCCGATTCAAGCGCTTAGGCGACGAGAGTCTTAACTACCTATGTATATTAACAGATACACCCTTTCCTTGCTAGGATTATGCAAAACTGATTCAATAAAAGGTCTTTGAAAGTTACGAAATAAAAAGCGAAAAAGAGTTTCAAATATGTTTTTAGTCAGTTGTAAAAATTGATATTCAATTTTCCGCGAAAATAACTGTCATCTGACTCAGCGTAAAAAAATATGATGTTATTATGGAAAACAAACTTTGCCAAAATGTCTTCTCCGTAAACGTATTAATAAAGGCCCTTGTCCGTGGGGCGGACGCGGCGGTACTAGAATTTGGCGAGGCGCTTCCTGTACATTGAGATACCATAAACACCTAACGCGAATCCACGATATAGTCCAACCACTCCATCTGATTTCACGATCTTCCGGAAGCAGTCCAAGGTTCCGCTAAACTTCCGATTCCCGGCGCTCTGAACGAGATCAGCGGCTAGGCGGTTCCGAGCAAAATCCAGCGGGTAGACAACTAAAACAAATTTTTTCATTTAGAAATTTTAGTAACCGCTTTGTTAAGGAATAATAAACAGGGGCCCGTCCCTAAAATTGTCGGCTTGATTTCAATATTTTTAGAGTAATATGGAGAAAAAAACCTATTTTTGGGATGGGTAACCAAATCGCCAATCTTGGGGCCCAAATTTGATTAAAAATCTTTAAGAAGATCTTTAGGATCTTTTGACAAGGTTATTCTTCGAAGGTAATTACTCAAGTTTGCTAAGTTTCTACATGTTTTCAATAAGAAGTACTCTGTCCATTTCCGCTCCCAATTTCATGGCTGCTTCACATTCCTTCGTCCCTTCTTTTGAAAGACGATAGGCGCCACGAATTTAGAAGGCTTTAAGTTTTATGAAAGCTTTATAGGCCGAGCTGAGAGGAGGGAAGTAAAAAATTACGAAGCCGCTTCAGACTTCCCACTTGAGGGGGATTTGCGATTTTTCGCTTATCGCGCGCCGGGATACGCTTATCGCGTGTAAACCAAGCAGATACTGTTATACATCGCGAATATGTCCGTCCGTGTTTATCTACTGAATTTTAAGCAACTGTAAAAAGTTTGGTCGAATTTTGAGATTTCGTGGGCTGGGCAGGCCACAACTACAACGTGTATTGGGAACATATGATGCGCAGATTTTAGAGGGAGGAGTCGGTTACCGCGGTCTATATTACAGGTACCTTGGTCAATTATGAAACCACTTGTGGCTCCTGAGACGGGTGTTTTCAAGAAGTTATATAAATGCTCATTTAGCCACTTATTGCTTTTTTCGTGATAAAATCTACTTTGTTTCCGAATACTTGAAAACCATTAAGTGAGAGAGGTTCAAGTTGGGCTAAGTTCGTTATTTGTTAATTATATGTCCGCAAATCACGGCGGAAATAGGTAAGCAATACCTAAAAGAGACATTCCACCCGCGACGCCACCAGCAATCAGGTTGGTGAATAACTTTTGTCTAAACGTAGCATCCGATGCTGACCCAGGCTTCATTTTCTCGTATAATTAGAAAATGGAGTTATCTTGGAAGCGCGTTCGATTTTGATGACAAAATCTACAAAGGGATTACCCCAACAAATTGGACCCTGCTCAGACCAAAAATAAATATTCCAACTGTCCAAAGAAGGGTTACTCGTAAGGTTGGCTTTTTTTCACGAATTGCGTAAGCACGTAAAGTTCCTTTGGTGTCATGAGTGTTTGTTGGGAGTCAGCGCTGAACACTGCTGAATTTTCCCAGTCGCAGAGAATCCCAATTCGTCCTACCCTTACAAGTACTCAAGGAGGCCCTCTTAATTTTATGATTTCTTTGAATCAAGTTTTGACATCTGGACAAGCATCATACAGCTTGGCCTGAGTTCATCTGGAGTTGACTTTCAACGCTGTCTAGGTATCCCCTTTGAATTACGATTATACTTTTTGGTAACGCGCAGAGGCACTAAAATTCAAATTAACCCTTCACACACGCAATTTGCATGTGAATCAACTGTACTGAATTGCGGGACAGCTCTCCCTGACCCGCACTTTACTTAGACACGTTGCAAAATATGTAACGGGAATGCGCTTTCCCTTGGCTATTAACATAGCTGAAGCCCGTTCCTACTGGGAAAAGGTCCTTTCCATAAGGGGTCCCGGTCAGCGTGTTATGAAATTGAGGTGCACCCAGATTGAACTTTGGGAACTTTTTTGCGCAGAGAACATGATACGATTTCGGGAAACATGAAAACGAACAGGTGTGTATTTATTGAATATTATTTTAGGACACGTTTTTGATAACTGTTTCGCAGAATATCAGGAGCTCAAAAACCTGGATTCCGGCTACTTCTGTACACCAAAACCACGTGTGTTTAAAATGGCTTTTATCTGTACAACTTAATTTTTTAAACAAAACAGCCCTTGAAAGTCGAAAAGAAAACTCTTGAATTTCGCATACAAGCGAAAAACTTCATTACTTTTTTTCAAAAAAAAAAGTGCGTGAGTCAACCAAAAACGTCATAAAGCAAAAAACTCAACGCAAAATACTCTCAGTTCCCAAGAACACGCAAACACGAGAAATTCTTGAGTTTGCTCCGTGAAATTCTGCAATTATAAGTTACTCGTTATTTTGTTATTTTTCTCATTTTACGCTCCCAAAAGTTTCTAAAGGTAGTTATGACTTCTTGATGGGATTTACAGGCGCACTGTGACGTTATCTGTACCAAAGAAATCTTCAAAAATTATCTGCTTTGGCGCGACAATTTTTTAAACATGAATTCTGTAAGATTCATGATGAGGTTCATACAGAAACTATCTAAGCAGGGACCCCTCATTCCTGTATGGTATCCTTGATCGTAAAATTCATCGCCTAAATTTTATGTCGGAAGTGATCAAAGAAGAAAGGAACGTCAGGCCATCCGGGGCACGGACGGGTGTAACGGGCATGCCACTTATGTCGGCTTTCGTTTCGCTTACCTGTGTAGGGATGTAACGCACGCAGTTCACCCAGTTGCCCCTCCAGAATGACAGGAAACCGTCGTTTTTAAAGACCCGCTTGGCGCAATCAAGAACTCCTCTGTAAGGCCTGAAAGAAATGTTTGAAAATATCATCCTTTTTTGTGGCAAGTAAAAAAGAAGAATCTTTAAATTTCTGACTCATTCATTTTTTTGAAAAAGAAATCGGAAGAACGGATGTTCCGTTTAGAAACGACCGTTCCTGTTCACATTTGTCATTCTTATCGTGGGTGATAACTCATTAGAGCTTCTCGTCCAGATTTTGCCAACAGTAGCTGATTACCGACCGCCATGTGGGTACATCCATTATTTTTCCGGATTATTTTTTTTGTTATGGCAGAGCATAAGACGGAAGGGTTGATGGTTGGTTCTGGGAAGATAGGTGGAGTTTTAGCAGATTATGGCTTTTGCCCTTCCTTGTTATTTTCAAGTTAGATCATTGTTCGTGGAAGCTCTGTAATCATGAGGTTGAACCTTTGCTCTCACGTGAGTGGTGGACCTTAAGAGTACGAGATACTGATAAGGGGGTGTAAATGGTTCTCGTTTGGGTGGTCGCCTGTGGTTTACGAAAATCGTTATCTGCGGAGGGTGAACAAACTTTAGGAATTGCTGAAGTAACGATGATTTTTTCGATGTTCCATTTCAAGCTCAATACAGTACGTCTTGCGCAAGTGCTGACGACTTGTTGAGTTGTATGTCAAAATAAGTTTAGGGCGTGCTGCGCGGATTGAAAATTGTAAAACAAATATTCGAAGCACCTGTCGAGGACGCCTTGCTTGATAAGTTCGTTTTGGTTCTGCATTAATATCTTTATCCGCTCTACAGGAGCCGCGGATGTTTTCGACACGCATGCCGCGAAGCCTTAAGGAGCAGGGTTCAGAAATAATCGCATCTTCTAACTTAGGATCATATCTTTTAGCCAAGAACACTCTTTACTCAAATGTTTTCCTTTCGAAAATCGACTTCAATTAACGCTAGCTCGCCGGTTTACTGGAAGACACATCCTGTCTTTCCTGCTCATGTTTTTGCCACTTATTTAATCAAAAGTGATTCGGAGCACCACTTGGTCAATTTTAAGGTCGCTATTAACCCTTTCTTCTATCCTTTTTGCAGCGCTGGGGGGATTAAAATAAATTAAAAATTGCAACTCGTCAGAAGACGTAAACATGGGTAAGACCCTTAAGTTCAAGTCGTTAGGTTTACCGACGAACTGATCCAGAACACTGTCTGTTTATTTCGACAACTTTTTATCCGAAAGAATTCCTTATCAGTGAAAATATTTGGACCGCACAAGTCCTCTAAGTATACGACATGGCTAAAACAATACAATTCGAGGTGCGTTTTACTCCCTGCAACGCACGTGAAGCAGTTTACACGATGCATGTTGCAAATGTCAAGTACGAAAAAACTAGCGCTACCTTAAGTCAATTATAATTGATGTTAACTCAGCGGAGCACGAATTAATAGAGAGCCACTTATTGACAATTTATTTCTTGTTGACTTTACAAGCTCTTTGACGCCGATAACAAAATTATTTTCTTTTAAAATCGTTGTTTACAAGTCTAAATTTGTTCAAAAATGATGAAATATGTCAAGCGTCGAATTCAAGAGAGCCCTACTAAGTCTTATCAGTTCATGGTTCAATATACCGAAAACACGCAGATAAGTAGCGACCCATTCCAATTAATACCCATGCAGTTTTTTTCGTGGACCGATTTTCATCGCAAAAACAATGTAAAAATAAGGATAGAAGTTCAAATTTAAAAAAGATAACAGACCCTAAAGTACCGGGCTTTGGTCAACGATAACGTTCGCCCTATCTAAATAAAACTACTCAGATAAGCACGGGTTTGCCAGACTTTGCCCTTGTGGCTAATATCAGGTCACTCTAGGAAAACGCATGTTTAGACGAGTTCCGAAATCAAGCTGACAAATTCGAATATCAAAAAATTATACGCCGTACTTTTTTTTCCAAATTCAACCTGTTGCCAAATTATTTAATTAATCCGCAAGTCACAGTCTTGATTATTTCCGAACCCTGACGGAGAGGCCAAAGTTCTCGGCGGGTGACAGGCGTTTCATTCTAATGAAGATTAATTTGAATTTCAGACGTCTTCCGCTTTTCACCAGGTCATGGTCAAGCCATTCAAATTTATTCGCAAACGTTCTCAAGAGACATTCTCTTGATGCACAGCCGAGTTTGGTCACGAAGGAATTGCATATTCAATCTTTTGGCAGTAAAAAGTAATATGGCAGGGGAACATTTTTCTTCGTGAAATTTTCTCGACTTCTGGTTTTTTGTTTGTTTTTGAACAAATAAGAGATTTTTCGATGGAATGCCAAAGTAAATTTAAAAAATGACCGGCATTCAATGACTAATTTCAAAATTTATTTCATACTGTCGGAAGTGTTTTGATTTGCGTCCAACCAACGTGACTAGGGTTTATCATTTTATAAATCATTATTCTTCTCTATCATTTGTTTCCTAAACTAACCTTTGGTCAGACTAACCAATCCACAATGTTTTTCAAGAAGCACGACATGGTGATAAAACGACTCAGTTTTTATGATCCTCGATGAAAAAAATCGTCAACCAATAAAAACAAAAAACCATGCCTAAAATTGTCTTCAGGGTCTGTGGCGTTTGAGATGATCGACATGGTCACGGTATGCCAGAGCATATGACAGATTTAGGTTGCTTTTAAAAGAGGTCCCAGAAACATCTCTTTTCTTCAGATTCCTGCGGTTTTCCATACATGCAAAACTCGCAATTTCTAGGGCCGTTACTGATCCCCTGTTGAATAATTCTTGGTGGGCTCATCTTCAAACTATTTGGCGTAATAAAAGCATTGGAATTTGAAAGAAATGCAATCAAACGCCGCTTCTATTTTGGCTAATCATGTGTTTCTTTATTCCATGAAAATGACGACCTGGGAGTCGATCCAGATTTTCGGTTTTATTTTGGATGCTCCTACCAAGAAAATCGCGTTTTCACGAAACCAAGCACCCGGACGACTCGAATCGTATAATCGGACTAGCCAGAAATCATATAATTATCGAGGAAACGAGCGCGTTCACAAGATATTCAGTAAATGTTTCTGCTTTAGTCACTGCTTTATATGAAACGAGAAGTTTTTAGAAAAAGAAAGTTTCGTTTCCGGGCCCGCTAATTCACGAGTTATTTACTTAACATCTCATCCCAGCAACCGCCTCTTTGTTACAACTGTACATTTTCATATAGTAAACAGGATAGTCTTGCACGTAATATCACTCGACTCCCGCGTGACCCTCGAAATTTACGAAACAACGATTCTTACTACGTTTTTCGTCTGAACCTTTTGTTGTGTCAGAGTCGAACTTATACTTTGGGATGTCACGACCTCGTGCCTTGGTGGAATGCCGACTTGGTAATCCTTCCTGTGGAGCATTTCGGCCCAGAAGGGGTGCTTCCGAAAAGGCTGAAGTTTGAAGTTTTGCATTTCCCAGAGCGAGATTCCAGCCGAATGAATGCAGCCGCCGCCTAGAAGGAACATTCTTCATTACGTCAAAAGAACAAGCCAGAGGGTCGTGGAGATTGTCTAATTCAACTACTTGTACTTACCAACAAGGAGCATTTCCCCAGAAGGATCTTTGCCATCTTCCCAATCAATTCCATACTGCCCTTTCCGAATATAGATAGCAACGGGATGCCCACGTGTTAAATTTACGATTGGCTTAAATTAGGGAAACGGAAACATCGTTGCGACTATCAGACTTGTTAAACCAGCAGATGCTCATCCTCTAACCCTTTCCTTGTCCATCCAGCAGAATATATGTTCGTCGATTTTTCTTATTGCAGCTTTATTTTGTTATTGAGAAGAACTAAACCATTAAATGGCAATTAAATTTCAATTTCATAATCTGTTTTGGCATAACAATTCCTGGTATAACGGGCGATCGATGATATAATCTGACAAAAACGGACAATACATCGTCCTCAGTTATCTTCAAAAGTCCATCGACTGGGAGAGATAAGTCCATTAGCGTGAAATTATTCGTGAACAGGGCTGGATGATTTGTCCCCGAACACGTTAACACGTCGCCGTTCGGAGATTTATCTGCACAAGTGGGATCAAAAGACGACGTAAAAATGATGATTCAAAAAAGATGATTTTTATGCAAGGCAGGGAAATTCATATTTTGCATAATACTGCATTAGCTCAAATTGCTATGTTAACTAAGTACAAACATGCATATAAAACAAACAGCAGCTTGTTAGACTTCTCCAGGGCGAGAAAAATCGGCGCAAGTAGCAATTTAGAAAATTACAACATGGACGCAAAATCAGTTACCCACTAATGCCTCGAGTAAGCAAATGCAGGTGCTTCTCGTTCTCTTGAAACGGTTTTAGATGAGCTCCCCTTACGAAAAGCATTACTGGCTTTGATCGTGGATTAGCCGGATTCGGGAAGAGACGGAAATCTAAAGTTATTCTTCTTCAATCACTCGAAAGAAAAAACTGAGGGTCGGATCATTGAAATTGAGATACTCCTGGTCTTTTTATATGATTTTTTGGACGAAATGAGGGGAACCAGGAGTTCTCAATTACTACTAACTATACTTTCTTAGTCAGCAATTTTGATATTTGTCCACATTTTTGTTCTAAATCAGCGCGTTTTTTCGATGTTCTTGCACGTTCAATGCAAGATGGTTTTCTAGTGGCATGCTTCGATTGGCATTTTCAGCTATTCAGAGGAACAAGAAACATCTCAGGGTGGATTTTCACAAGCGCGCAGGCGGCGAATTCTTACGCGCTGAACAAAGTTGTAATATAAATACCAACTTGCTGAGCACGATCTTCTGCCGTTCATTTAAGCTAACTAGATTCATAAATTGGATGTTTCCACTGCGGAAATTCTTTAAGACAGACGTGAAAATGCTCCAACAAACTCTGCTCAAGAAGCAAGAATCAGCGAGTTTGACTAAAAGTGTCCAAGAAAGACTATCAGAATCTCTTAGCAGTCCTTGTTCAGGGTACTGATAAGGACCTTAGTGTTGATATGAGCATTTAATCGGCTTTCCGTGCGGCCGGTTGTTCGACAAGGACTGAGATACCGTGTCGAACGTGAAGGAAGAGAATCCTGTACTAGTGAAGGCGTGTTCCAAGTCTTGCAAATCGTATTTTGACCGAAGATAAATTATGACGCGGAAAAAGCTGATTAGTTTAACTCGAGAGCTAAAATGGTGAATGAGCGTCTTCCAACGAGAGAAGGAAGTAGATAAACTCATCGTATGAGCGATTATCCAGTAGCCGTTCTAGAGACATTTTAGAATCCTTCCTGCGCGATGATTTGATTAATAGAACTTTCATTTTTTGAACCATTTAAAATGAAAAAAAAAATACATCGGATTCAAAAAAGATAGTCTAGGTTAGAAGTGCGTGCATAAAAATGTCAAGAATTTTTCACTGAAATTGTGAATTCCGGAATTTGAATATCAAGAGCTCACAAGGCTCGGCCATTCCATCTCTCTGATAATTTAAAACTTGGGAGAAATCAAGAGTACAGGGCACTTTTGCCCGCACGTTTTTACTGCAGATGATGATCCACGTCCCTCGGAATCACATTAGACGAATCCAATAAAATTCACGAAATTAGCAGGCGGGTGATATTTGAAACCGAATCTGATTTTTACACCTTTCTAATCCCCTTGCTCAAATGATCAATGAGATTTGCCTTCCCTACCGTTCTAGCGGTTTTTATCTTTTTCTAGCGGTTCCCCCGGAAAAATTTTAAAAACAACTGTTTGTTCTGAAACATGCTCTACAAAGTTGACTCATTCAAAGGTGTCTTAAAGCAAGAAGTTACGAAAGATGAGTCCTAAGTCCGACCGATCCCCGAGTCTTGCTAAATCGCTCGGATCAAATCTATCTACCAAATAAAAGTCTAAGAGGCTTGGATCGTCGTATTAGTGGCTTGAAGATTGTATAACTTGCTGCTCGCACTGCGTCTGGCTTTTGATCCCCGACTACGACCGCAATTGGCCTCTTCCGATGGTTTCTCTCCTTCGTTTGAAACTTGGTCCGTTGGCCCACCGCAACGCCATAAATCGGAAACGCGCGCTTCCCTGTGTGGAAGTTTAACAAGTCGCATCCCTGTGCTTTTATTTCAGTAGTAAAATATTATTTTAACTGAACGAGGGTTGACTAATTCAATGTTCACTTTAGTTTGTGGCATGAACTTTATTGGAACTAAGATCATTATTTTAGCCATGTTCAGCTACTCGTAAGAAATTTAAGAAAGAAACGAATAACAGTACCAAGAATAAGATATTTTAACTTTTTTTAATGTTTCTCTCAACGGTTCGAATTTAAATTACCTGCTTCAGCTTATTTTTGTTAATTGTTCCCAATAGATGAACAACTCGACGAATTATTTTCTACAACCTCTAACACTAATTAACTCAATGTTCCAAGCGCTTGTTAGACTATTCACTAGAAATTTTCCACTGTCGATGTCGAAGATCTTCTTGCTGAGTCACGTGATGAGATTATTTGTTAACAAAACAGCTTATCTATCGCTAGAAATAATGTTTTGGCTCCTGTGGCAAGGCGGAGAAACAACATCGAATATTATCACAATTATTCTAAATGTGAGGCTTATTTTAGAGGATATGATGTCGCTTTAGAAGGACAGGATTCTTGCGACATGTGTACGCCGGCAACATACGACCCGAGTTGGGTTTTGAAGGGTGTGCTCACAATAATCAAATGCTCTCGACGCAGTAAATTTGCTTCATAAATACGCTTAGGTTAAATTCGTCTTAGTGCTTAGGATCGTTGATAAAACACTTCATCATTCGAAAGAGTAGAGCACTGTTTCATTTGGAGCGAATAATCTTAAGCCTGAGCAGCTCGAAATTCAGAGCTTGAACTATTGAAGATGCTTCTCTTAATTATCGAGACATCTTTAAAAAATAAGAGCAACGTGAGGAAGTAAAGCGATACAGAATCTCGGATATGATGTTCGTTGAAAATGCCTTTGAAGCTCTTAAGATTAACCCTGCTCAGTCATCTTCGCGGGTCTAGACACGCGTGGCATGGAGATATCTTTTGTCAGCGCTTGACCTGAACATTTTATCTGTATAGAAATGGAAAGGAAGAAAACGTTGCCACTGTTTTTCCTTTGTGTTTTTATAAAAGAAATCTCATCACGTTCCTGAAAGGGTCGAAAAGATAATCAGACAAGAAATCTGACATGCGTCGCTTCCCAATAAAACACACTCCCATGCTTTCTTTCTTCATCGCCAAGTCTCCAAGTCCATGTTCGGTCGCAATCGCTTTCACCACGTTTTTATTCAACGAGCCTAGAGGAAACTCCACTATATTCTGGGTGTTCACTTTGGTCAAATCCGAATTACTGTCACTTGTTCAGACAAGTGGAGAAAAATCGCTTACAACATTTTGAAAATTCTTTGGGCGCTTTACAGGAAATTCAGAACTAATCACTCGTACCAGATTTGAGCAAAATAACCATCAAATATAACATTACCGTGAGTTTGCCCAACATTTTCGCCAAAATGAGTAAATTACTGTTGTAGAAAAAATAAAGAAATGACCACTGCGAAAAATGATCAACATGCGTGATCAGAGCATGATGACATTTCTGTGGGTACTTATCGCTCCCAATGACAGTCATTTAACTTGGTGAGCACCCTAATCATTCTCGATCTGTGGCGCGCTAAGCCGTGAGAGATAGAACGTTTGGTCTTTGAGTGAATCGATGGATGGTGGGTTCGCAAATAAGCCCCTTCGTAGAAGAAGAGCATCTAATGTGGAATGTCTCCTAATTGACACTGCTCCCTTCCGACGAATTTTCGCTTGACTCTTTCTGACTCAGAAAGTATTAAAACTATGCTAATGCACGAGCGTGATTATAGACGACGCTGACGAGCATTATTATGTCTAACCACTGCTAATTGGAATGACTTTAATTTAAAAACATTGCGAACCCACTTCTTGCTGTGGCAATCAGTTTCTGACCTCCCGGTTTCGCCTTCCTCAGACTCGCATAATGCCCCGTCGCTTATAGAGAGGACGCCACTTGATCAGTTTTTGCCTCCCTGTATAAAAAAGTGAACATTTTCGAATTCTTATTCGAGGGAATCGTAAGGACAAGGAATTTCTAGTACTTTGGGTGTTCGCTAGTTGGTAATTAGCGGGCTGAGTAAGATACTTATCGCAGTCATGAATGGACCGATTGCGGACATGTAAAAAAGGCACCCTCTGCAATCAATTCAAGAGACATCTGACTCAGAAAAAATTATGACGGATGAGTTTCTGCTCAATTTTTCGCAAAACGAGCTTTTTAATTCTCTTTTTATCGTGGGCATTAATATGATATAATTATATCCTTGTTTCGCCAGTATTTAACTTGTAAGTCCCTGGTCTTTCCGGAGATACTGCATAAATTCGAATTACGAGAATGAAAAGCAGCCATGATGATAGCAAAATATCCTTCCGTTGTAAAATGATATCAGAAGAGAAAGTTTGGTTGCTAAATTTGCACTTTGAATTCAACTTGACCAAAATTACATGCCCATCGACCGAGTAATTCCAGCTCCTTAACTTTAACGAGGCAAATTTTGAAATTTTGCGACCTAAAGCCATTTACTCATATAATTGCGGATATCCGTCACTAGAAGTTCATGTTTCAAAAACATAATTATTTTCGATTTCCGATCAGGAGTGGTATTTTACCACAAATAGTTCGTCCCGTCCCGAATCGATCAAAATTAATTTGATTCTTTGCTAAATGTGAGTTGGACATAATTGAAGAAAGAATGAGTTTTTGTTGTACCTGATTACAGTTGTCCACTTCTCTCAAAGCAATTTGAGCAAATTTAATTAATAAATTAATAAGTAAAACTCTTTTCACTGAGGATTCCTCAGAAAATTAAATAGCGAACCTTACGTTGAAATAATCATTATCCAATTAAACATTGTTATTTTCTAAATTATTTTTTTTTTCAAACGAAACCAAAAAATAATATTTAAAGATCTGTAACGTGTCTTTCCCTGTTTTTCATCAAAACAAAATCCGAATATTAAATTGTGTCCAAAATAAACTCTGTATTAAAATTTTTAAAAGGAAAATGATCCACTTACAAGAAACATCAATTTTGGCAATAAATTTAATTTCGCAGCGTACAAGTCGACGAAAAAAAAGTCCAACCCGTTCCTTTCTTCAGCATCGCATCAAATTTAATCCGCTCATTGCATAGCTTTGTTAGGAATGCAAATTCCTGCCCTTCTAAAAACCAGAAGATACATACACACAGGCAGCACCTGATCGCAACAGCGCTAATCCTACTTTGAATTCGTTTAAAAATTTCAAAAAGAAGGAGCTGCGCGACGCGCTACTTCTCGGAAATTTGCATATCGGGCCTTGGACGTCGAGTTATTTAATAGAACCTTTATGAATTCGATTTTTCGCACCCTCGTGGAACTTGTCTGTGTTAACGGTTTCGCGTAAATTAGTCACGTGACAATTTTACATGTTTTAGAGATGACTTTAAGTGGCATGCAAAGCCGCTAGTGAAAACCTGTCAAAGGAAATCAGCATAAACTTATGACTCAATAACTCTTTCCTGATCGATATTAAAGCTACTGGCATTCTGTGTGCTTTCCAAAAAGGGTTCAAAAACTTCTGTCCAATATTCTTTCACACAGTTGAGTTCAACAAGCTCGATTTTAAGATGATCAGCGACAGCTCTGGCTGATTCAAAGTCCGCATCTGCCTGGCAAACTCCAAGCTCATCCTTGCCATCCCAATTTCGGGAGTGAACTCCAACAACCTCATGTCCCCGTTGCTTCATTCTTGGATAAGAGACAGTCGCTAGCCCTTTAATAATAAAAATTGCTCAAGCGCAAATGGTAGCCAATTATTATCTATCGAAAAAGAAAGAATCTCAGTCCTAGCTTGAGCAAAATCGCTGCAACTGCGGAATCAACACCACCCGACAATGCAACAGCAACACGCAATTTTCTCAATGAAACGAAGCGCATCATTCTAATCCAAATTGGCGTGTCACTGTCTTTGTATTTTCAACCGCACAAGCGTATTTTTGCTTTATTAACAAAAACAAAGCTTTGCAGGAAATTCACTTTCAGGCTCTCTTCTTCTTTCGTTTTCCATCTGGCGTTTTTCCGCCTTTGCGCTTCACCGGAGCATCTCCATTTTCAGCCTTTTTCTCCACTCGTTCTCGTCCGATAGAAATGTTCGCTACTGATTTTCGCGTTGACAATTCTTGCGACCAGTCGTTGTCATTTCCCTGGAAATAATATTTAGAATTGTTTCGAATTAAATCTTTTCTATTCGAAAATTTCGAAATGGACAATTTGGAAATTTTGAAATAATAAAATAAGCGCGAGCGTCATCGTTATTTAAGCTTATATATTCTTCAATAAAACTTATCTCAAGTTTATATAATCATGTCATTAATTTTTAAAGAAAACAGCTTGCTGGAATCAACAAGGAGAACCCAGTTTTCAACTCTTACTTTAATTTTATACTGCTGCAGTGCCTTGACCAATTCTTGCTTCTCCTTGGCCTGCTCTTCCTTGATTTTCGCTGCTTCTTCGTCCAGCACCGCATCGATTGCTCCTTCGTCTCCTTCTTCGATTTCCAGGTTCACCTTGGACTGTGGCAGATTAAGTTCTGCCTCAGCCTTGATCTAAATTATCAAACACTGATTCTTTGTTATTACAATTTTTGGTAATACCGTCTCTAATCTTTTGACTTCTTCGTTTATTCTAATAATAGCGCGCTTGAAATGACCCAGGATTTGACTTGAAGGCATCGGTGGTAGTTGAGAGGTAAGGCTGATTTCCGACAGCTCATCCACCTTACGAAACAGTTTATGTAATGTATTCCATGCATAAATTATGCAGCGTAATGAAAGGTTAAAGATACTTATCCGCTAAATAAAGCAGCGAATCGATTGTTATTAAAATAATTACCGATTTGTATTGAAGCCCAAGCGCGACTAAAATCGCTTTCTGCTGCACAGAGAGTCCCTTGATTGTGATTTCTCCGGTAAAAATCATCTTGACAATCTGCGGCAGGATATCAACAATCAAATGATAATCGACAACTCCTTTTCCATACAGCTCCATTCGCTCCAGGTCGTACGCAGTGAAATAGGTTTTCAAAAGACGCAATGATTCCGCATCTTCGGAGCTGGATTTACGACTGGTTTCGAGGATCTGCAAAGCCACAGCTGGCGAAAATCGACGAAATTCATAGCCGAGCAGCGAGGCGAATCGCCGACTCGATTCGGTTTATTATATTTGAAAAAGAGCAGAGTTTTTGTCCATATCATAATTGCGATAAAAGCTTGTTTATCATAAAGCCGTTCCTGAAATCATCCTGGAATCCTCTCAGGTACGCTCCAGAGCCTCGGATTGATTTTAAAAACACAGTAGAATGCTCCCCAGTTGTATCGTTTGCGTTTTGACGCATGTAAACTGCCCTAAAAAGTTCATGAGTAAATAAAATTCATCGAGAATTTAAACAAGGACGCTTTTGATCGATATTTCTTATTCCGAGAAAAAGCCCTCGTCAAATATTTTTATGAGTTCTTTGGCTCTTTTTTAAAAAGAGATTCTTCGAAGTTCTTTTATTCATAATCACATTCGTCTTCCTTCTTTTAATGGCTGCCGAAAATCGAAGGTACTGTTCGAAGACAAAGTGTAACGAGGGCAAATTGATTATCGATAGCGTCATTTGACTGAGAGGGGTCAATATTTTTCTAGCACATTAATAAAACCTGGAGTAATAAGAGAAGAGGATTCTGAAGACATCATGCCCTCGATGACCTCAGATGGTGGTAACGACTGTGCCAAGATGGGTCATTCTAAGTCTGCAGCTTCCCTCGAGGGTCAAGCCAGCGGATAGTTGCGCCAGAATGACGTAACACACTCCTAATCCTATTTTTCACAAAAAGACCTCTCGTTAGACACTCACATTATTTCGCGAAAAACGAAGTCTGTTGAAAATCCCTTTTCGGGGAGGAAGGACAATCGATAAAGAAGAGCAAATTCGAGAAAAATTTTTATATCGAGATTCGTAATCGTGAAGCGCCATCGAATCGGAGAGGACAGAAGTTTATGTAATATTTTTGTAAGTAGATAAACTCATCGTATGAGCGATTATCCAGTAGCCGTTCTAGAGACATTTTAGAATCCTTCCTGCGCGATGATTTGATTAATAGAACTTTCATTTTTTGAACCATTTAAAATGAAAAAAAAAATACATCGGATTCAAAAAAGATAGTCTAGGTTAGAAGTGCGTGCATAAAAATGTCAAGAATTTTTCACTGAAATTGTGAATTCCGGAATTTGAATATCAAGAGCTCACAAGGCTCGGCCATTCCATCTCTCTGATAATTTAAAACTTGGGAGAAATCAAGAGTACAGGGCACTTTTGCCCGCACGTTTTTACTGCAGATGATGATCCACGTCCCTCGGAATCACATTAGACGAATCCAATAAAATTCACGAAATTAGCAGGCGGGTGATATTTGAAACCGAATCTGATTTTTACACCTTTCTAATCCCCTTGCTCAAATGATCAATGAGATTTGCCTTCCCTACCGTTCTAGCGGTTTTTATCTTTTTCTAGCGGTTCCCCCGGAAAAATTTTAAAAACAACTGTTTGTTCTGAAACATGCTCTACAAAGTTGACTCATTCAAAGGTGTCTTAAAGCAAGAAGTTACGAAAGATGAGTCCTAAGTCCGACCGATCCCCGAGTCTTGCTTAATCGCTCGGATCAAATCTATCTACCAAATAAAAGTCTAAGAGGCTTGGATCGTCGTATTAGTGGCTTGAAGATTGTATAACTTGCTGCTCGCACTGCGTCTGGCTTTTGATCCCCGACTACGACCGCAATTGGCCTCTTCCGATGGTTTCTCTCCTTCGTTTGAAACTTGGTCCGTTGGCCCACCGCAACGCCATAAATCGGAAACGCGCGCTTCCCTGTGTGGAAGTTTAACAAGTCGCATCCCTGTGCTTTTATTTCAGTAGTAAAATATTATTTTAACTGAACGAGGGTTGACTAATTCAATGTTCACTTTAGTTTGTGGCATGAACTTTATTGGAACTAAGATCATTATTTTAGCCATGTTCAGCTACTCGTAAGAAATTTAAGAAAGAAACGAATAACAGTACCAAGAATAAGATATTTTAACTTTTTTTAATGTTTCTCTCAACGGTTCGAATTTAAATTACCTGCTTCAGCTTATTTTTGTTAATTGTTCCCAATAGATGAACAACTCGACGAATTATTTTCTACAACCTCTAACACTAATTAACTCAATGTTCCAAGCGCTTGTTAGACTATTCACTAGAAATTTTCCACTGTCGATGTCGAAGATCTTCTTGCTGAGTCACGTGATGAGATTATTTGTTAACAAAACAGCTTATCTATCGCTAGAAATAATGTTTTGGCTCCTGTGGCAAGGCGGAGAAACAACATCGAATATTATCACAATTATTCTAAATGTGAGGCTTATTTTAGAGGATATGATGTCGCTTTAGAAGGACAGGATTCTTGCGACATGTGTACGCCGGCAACATACGACCCGAGTTGGGTTTTGAAGGGTGTGCTCACAATAATCAAATGCTCTCGACGCAGTAAATTTGCTTCATAAATACGCTTAGGTTAAATTCGTCTTAGTGCTTAGGATCGTTGATAAAACACTTCATCATTCGAAAGAGTAGAGCACTGTTTCATTTGGAGCGAATAATCTTAAGCCTGAGCAGCTCGAAATTCAGAGCTTGAACTATTGAAGATGCTTCTCTTAATTATCGAGACATCTTTAAAAAATAAGAGCAACGTGAGGAAGTAAAGCGATACAGAATCTCGGATATGATGTTCGTTGAAAATGCCTTTGAAGCTCTTAAGATTAACCCTGCTCAGTCATCTTCGCGGGTCTAGACACGCGTGGCATGGAGATATCTTTTGTCAGCGCTTGACCTGAACATTTTATCTGTATAGAAATGGAAAGGAAGAAAACGTTGCCACTGTTTTTCCTTTGTGTTTTTATAAAAGAAATCTCATCACGTTCCTGAAAGGGTCGAAAAGATAATCAGACAAGAAATCTGACATGCGTCGCTTCCCAATAAAACACACTCCCATGCTTTCTTTCTTCATCGCCAAGTCTCCAAGTCCATGTTCGGTCGCAATCGCTTTCACCACGTTTTTATTCAACGAGCCTAGAGGAAACTCCACTATATTCTGGGTGTTCACTTTGGTCAAATCCGAATTACTGTCACTTGTTCAGACAAGTGGAGAAAAATCGCTTACAACATTTTGAAAATTCTTTGGGCGCTTTACAGGAAATTCAGAACTAATCACTCGTACCAGATTTGAGCAAAATAACCATCAAATATAACATTACCGTGAGTTTGCCCAACATTTTCGCCAAAATGAGTAAATTACTGTTGTAGAAAAAATAAAGAAATGACCACTGCGAAAAATGATCAACATGCGTGATCAGAGCATGATGACATTTCTGTGGGTACTTATCGCTCCCAATGACAGTCATTTAACTTGGTGAGCACCCTAATCATTCTCGATCTGTGGCGCGCTAAGCCGTGAGAGATAGAACGTTTGGTCTTTGAGTGAATCGATGGATGGTGGGTTCGCAAATAAGCCCCTTCGTAGAAGAAGAGCATCTAATGTGGAATGTCTCCTAATTGACACTGCTCCCTTCCGACGAATTTTCGCTTGACTCTTTCTGACTCAGAAAGTATTAAAACTATGCTAATGCACGAGCGTGATTATAGACGACGCTGACGAGCATTATTATGTCTAACCACTGCTAATTGGAATGACTTTAATTTAAAAACATTGCGAACCCACTTCTTGCTGTGGCAATCAGTTTCTGACCTCCCGGTTTCGCCTTCCTCAGACTCGCATAATGCCCCGTCGCTTATAGAGAGGACGCCACTTGATCAGTTTTTGCCTCCCTGTATAAAAAAGTGAACATTTTCGAATTCTTATTCGAGGGAATCGTAAGGACAAGGAATTTCTAGTACTTTGGGTGTTCGCTAGTTGGTAATTAGCGGGCTGAGTAAGATACTTATCGCAGTCATGAATGGACCGATTGCGGACATGTAAAAAAGGCACCCTCTGCAATCAATTCAAGAGACATCTGACTCAGAAAAAAATTATGACGGATGAGTTTCTGCTCAATTTTTTCGCAAAACGAGCTTTTTTAATTCTCTCTTTTTTATCGTGGGCATTAATATGATATAATTATATCCTTGTTTCGCCAGTATTTAACTTGTAAGTCCCTGGTCTTTCCGGAGATACTGCATAAATTCGAATTACGAGAATGAAAAGCAGCCATGATGATAGCAAAATATCCTTCCGTTGTAAAATGATATCAGAAGAGAAAGTTTGGTTGCTAAATTTGCACTTTGAATTCAACTTGACCAAAATTACATGCCCATCGACCGAGTAATTCCAGCTCCTTAACTTTAACGAGGCAAATTTTGAAATTTTGCGACCTAAAGCCATTTACTCATATAATTGCGGATATCCGTCACTAGAAGTTCATGTTTCAAAAACATAATTATTTTCGATTTCCGATCAGGAGTGGTATTTTACCACAAATAGTTCGTCCCGTCCCGAATCGATCAAAATTAATTTGATTCTTTGCTAAATGTGAGTTGGACATAATTGAAGAAAGAATGAGTTTTTGTTGTACCTGATTACAGTTGTCCACTTCTCTCAAAGCAATTTGAGCAAATTTAATTAATAAATTAATAAGTAAAACTCTTTTCACTGAGGATTCCTCAGAAAATTAAATAGCGAACCTTACGTTGAAATAATCATTATCCAATTAAACATTGTTATTTTCTAAATTATTTTTTTTTTCAAACGAAACCAAAAAATAATATTTAAAGATCTGTAACGTGTCTTTCCCTGTTTTTCATCAAAACAAAATCCGAATATTAAATTGTGTCCAAAATAAACTCTGTATTAAAATTTTTAAAAGGAAAATGATCCACTTACAAGAAACATCAATTTTGGCAATAAATTTAATTTCGCAGCGTACAAGTCGACGAAAAAAAAGTCCAACCCGTTCCTTTCTTCAGCATCGCATCAAATTTAATCCGCTCATTGCATAGCTTTGTTAGGAATGCAAATTCCTGCCCTTCTAAAAACCAGAAGATACATACACACAGGCAGCACCTGATCGCAACAGCGCTAATCCTACTTTGAATTCGTTTAAAAATTTCAAAAAGAAGGAGCTGCGCGACGCGCTACTTCTCGGAAATTTGCATATCGGGCCTTGGACGTCGAGTTATTTAATAGAACCTTTATGAATTCGATTTTTCGCACCCTCGTGGAACTTGTCTGTGTTAACGGTTTCGCGTAAATTAGTCACGTGACAATTTTACATGTTTTAGAGATGACTTTAAGTGGCATGCAAAGCCGCTAGTGAAAACCTGTCAAAGGAAATCAGCATAAACTTATGACTCAATAACTCTTTCCTGATCGATATTAAAGCTACTGGCATTCTGTGTGCTTTCCAAAAAGGGTTCAAAAACTTCTGTCCAATATTCTTTCACACAGTTGAGTTCAACAAGCTCGATTTTAAGATGATCAGCGACAGCTCTGGCTGATTCAAAGTCCGCATCTGCCTGGCAAACTCCAAGCTCATCCTTGCCATCCCAATTTCGGGAGTGAACTCCAACAACCTCATGTCCCCGTTGCTTCATTCTTGGATAAGAGACAGTCGCTAGCCCTTTAATAATAAAAATTGCTCAAGCGCAAATGGTAGCCAATTATTATCTATCGAAAAAGAAAGAATCTCAGTCCTAGCTTGAGCAAAATCGCTGCAACTGCGGAATCAACACCACCCGACAATGCAACAGCAACACGCAATTTTCTCAATGAAACGAAGCGCATCATTCTAATCCAAATTGGCGTGTCACTGTCTTTGTATTTTCAACCGCACAAGCGTATTTTTGCTTTATTAACAAAAACAAAGCTTTGCAGGAAATTCACTTTCAGGCTCTCTTCTTCTTTCGTTTTCCATCTGGCGTTTTTCCGCCTTTGCGCTTCACCGGAGCATCTCCATTTTCAGCCTTTTTCTCCACTCGTTCTCGTCCGATAGAAATGTTCGCTACTGATTTTCGCGTTGACAATTCTTGCGACCAGTCGTTGTCATTTCCCTGGAAATAATATTTAGAATTGTTTCGAATTAAATCTTTTCTATTCGAAAATTTCGAAATGGACAATTTGGAAATTTTGAAATAATAAAATAAGCGCGAGCGTCATCGTTATTTAAGCTTATATATTCTTCAATAAAACTTATCTCAAGTTTATATAATCATGTCATTAATTTTTAAAGAAAACAGCTTGCTGGAATCAACAAGGAGAACCCAGTTTTCAACTCTTACTTTAATTTTATACTGCTGCAGTGCCTTGACCAATTCTTGCTTCTCCTTGGCCTGCTCTTCCTTGATTTTCGCTGCTTCTTCGTCCAGCACCGCATCGATTGCTCCTTCGTCTCCTTCTTCGATTTCCAGGTTCACCTTGGACTGTGGCAGATTAAGTTCTGCCTCAGCCTTGATCTAAATTATCAAACACTGATTCTTTGTTATTACAATTTTTGGTAATACCGTCTCTAATCTTTTGACTTCTTCGTTTATTCTAATAATAGCGCGCTTGAAATGACCCAGGATTTGACTTGAAGGCATCGGTGGTAGTTGAGAGGTAAGGCTGATTTCCGACAGCTCATCCACCTTACGAAACAGTTTATGTAATGTATTCCATGCATAAATTATGCAGCGTAATGAAAGGTTAAAGATACTTATCCGCTAAATAAAGCAGCGAATCGATTGTTATTAAAATAATTACCGATTTGTATTGAAGCCCAAGCGCGACTAAAATCGCTTTCTGCTGCACAGAGAGTCCCTTGATTGTGATTTCTCCGGTAAAAATCATCTTGACAATCTGCGGCAGGATATCAACAATCAAATGATAATCGACAACTCCTTTTCCATACAGCTCCATTCGCTCCAGGTCGTACGCAGTGAAATAGGTTTTCAAAAGACGCAATGATTCCGCATCTTCGGAGCTGGATTTACGACTGGTTTCGAGGATCTGCAAAGCCACAGCTGGCGAAAATCGACGAAATTCATAGCCGAGCAGCGAGGCGAATCGCCGACTCGATTCGGTTTATTATATTTGAAAAAGAGCAGAGTTTTTGTCCATATCATAATTGCGATAAAAGCTTGTTTATCATAAAGCCGTTCCTGAAATCATCCTGGAATCCTCTCAGGTACGCTCCAGAGCCTCGGATTGATTTTAAAAACACAGTAGAATGCTCCCCAGTTGTATCGTTTGCGTTTTGACGCATGTAAACTGCCCTAAAAAGTTCATGAGTAAATAAAATTCATCGAGAATTTAAACAAGGACGCTTTTGATCGATATTTCTTATTCCGAGAAAAAGCCCTCGTCAAATATTTTTATGAGTTCTTTGGCTCTTTTTTAAAAAGAGATTCTTCGAAGTTCTTTTATTCATAATCACATTCGTCTTCCTTCTTTTAATGGCTGCCGAAAATCGAAGGTACTGTTCGAAGACAAAGTGTAACGAGGGCAAATTGATTATCGATAGCGTCATTTGACTGAGAGGGGTCAATATTTTTCTAGCACATTAATAAAACCTGGAGTAATAAGAGAAGAGGATTCTGAAGACATCATGCCCTCGATGACCTCAGATGGTGGTAACGACTGTGCCAAGATGGGTCATTCTAAGTCTGCAGCTTCCCTCGAGGGTCAAGCCAGCGGATAGTTGCGCCAGAATGACGTAACACACTCCTAATCCTATTTTTCACAAAAAGACCTCTCGTTAGACACTCACATTATTTCGCTAAAAACGAAGTCTGTTAAAAATCGCTTTTCGGGGAGGAAGGACAATCGATAAAGAAGAGCAAATTCGAGAAAAATTTTTATATCGAGATTCGTAATCGTGAAGCGCCATCGAATCGGAGAGGACAGAAGTTTATGTAATATTTCATAAGAAATTGATATAAAAGAAACGCTTTCAAATCGACTGAATTCATTTGGAGAAATTAACGGAAAATGAGTGAAAAATCGATGAACCAATTCACAACCGTACTCCGCGACTGCCCAAAAGAAGCCGATTTAAAAGCCGCCCCAGAAAAGCTAGAAAATAACTGTATATTGAAAAAGTATGCAGAAAACCGGAAGGCTTCCCTTATCGGCCAGAAAGCGAGCAATACAGTTAAATTCTGTTCTGACCTCTATCCTCGCGGGGTTGACACTAGCGATTATGTCATCTTCGGTCAAAATGGTTCCGAAACTCCGAAAAAACGCAAGTCCGATTCTGACTCCAACTCTGAAGAAACCTCAAAAAAGACAAAAGTTGACACCACATCATTGATGAACAAACTTTGCGTCATTTGCTACTGTAGGCTCGCTGCATCACCTGGGAAAGATGGAGAAAATCCAGTCTTGATGACCAACTGTAGTCACATCTTTCATAAAAAGTGCTTAAATCAATGGATCACGCATCAAAAGATCTGCCCTTGCTGCCGAAAAGATATTTAGAAAAAAGAAAACTGTACATTTTACCCTGTCCTGAAAACTTGAAAATATATTCACATCATTCAAACCGATCGATATGATCACATCAGTCGAGGAAAACGCATCTTTGCGAGTGAATCTTATGTCAATGTTTCATAAACACCCGATATCAAGGAAGGATGTACGATAGCAATGATAGAATCAATATAATTAATTTTACCTGTAACCAGAACGCGTCCAGAATCTCAGCAAATCCGAAGTCAACCCAAAGCTAACTCCAAGCCAGTCAAGAGGTTCCGCTCGTCTCTGATCAAGGCCATACATGATTGCGAGCTCTTTCTTTGGCTGGATCTTCTCGTGTAGCAAGTCGACTCCTTCATCGATTTCCTCAACCCCTTCGGCTTCGATGTCGGGAAGATTGTCGGCGAGGGGGATCTTTCCGGCGTAGTATTCTTCCATTTGCCTGTAATCATATGATCAACTTTACATAATCTCCTTATGGGCGAATACGAATCGATATAATCTTATCGTGGTTCTGTATAAAGTTAAGAATCGAAATCATATTTTAAAATCAATACCAACTGAGGCAGAACGAATCCGAAAATACTTACCGCAAAGCTTCTTTGCCGTATCCCGCACGTTGGAAATCGGGATGTGTAGCTATTCTCACGACTCTCGCACCTGAATAATATTTACGCCGGGGTTCTCATAAGACTATCACCTGAAAGTTCACCAAAGTCCAACTGTCGAAACTGTTCAGAAATCGTCCATGGGATAAGGTCGCCGGACGCCTTTCGACCTTCGCGAAGTGAATGCCTGATGCTTTCTTTTGCGATTTTTCCTTCATGAGCAACTTGTAGAACAACGAGTGGGACTGGAAGGCTGGTCTGTTCCGTGCTGACTGGGGCACAAAGAACGAACAAATGGTGGGCTGGGGCGTCGGAGAGAAGCTGGAGGTCGTTCGGTTGGTTTTTGTAATGACTGAACATTGTTACAGTACACTTCAACGATCAATTCAGTACCTAGCGACATAAAGAGCCATCAAAGACGAAAGGAACTTCTCGGAGCTTTTGTTTCCTGAAAACAAAGCATCTCTGTTGACCCAGTACAAAGAGCAACTTGAAGGAGACGGAAGGGAAAAGGTTGCTCTAGGGATGTCACAATCCAGACAGAGAAGGCTGTTCAGCCAACATTCAACTGGGCAGTTAGGTGCGTAACGAATGGACTCGTCTAACGTCAGTTCGGATAGACTCCTTTGCCCAACTGCTGAACCGGATGTATCTGCTTGACGCCTAGACAGAGTCAAAATAAGAATATTGATAATATTATATTGTGCTCTCATACCGTAAGTTATCCAGTAACTTCAAGCTCAACGATCTTCCAGTTCCTTCATATCCATTGACAGTGGATGACATGAAAACAAGATACGGTCCTAGTAGATTCTTCACGAGAGGCAAGGGAATCGCTGCTGCCTCGTCGATGACAACTAATTCGGCTTGCGCAAGCATTTTATGGTCTGATGGGTCGATGTACTGTACTGTTTGGCGATGGTCACGCATCAAGTTTATTCTAACAATAGCTTTCTTCATGTCGTCTTGGGTCGATTGGATGATGTCGTAGTCCGAGTTTTGGTCGTATTTTAACGCATCCAATCCCTTGAGAACAAACTCAAAGAGAGTGCCCAAATTATCAGGCGACGGCGAAGTGACAAAGATATTCGCATATCCGTAAGCAAGAGCAGCAGCAATAGACAAACCGAGCGCAGCGGATTTACCACGACCTCGAGCGGCAGTGAGAGAAACGGTCGTACGGAATTTCTTCTCGGTAATGATATCGATAAACTTGAGAAGCGCATTGCCTTGGTCGTAGGTTTTGCAAAGATTGAGAATAGATCCGATGGGTTGAGTATCCGCAAGGTCTTCTTTGATTTCCTTCAGTCTGTTGTCTGCTTCATTTGGTGGGGCTTTGCCTGTTTCTTGGTTGCAAAATATTGGATAAGAAAACCTGCGAAACGACATCAGATAAATCATTTATCATGAACGTAGTGTATTTTATCCTTCGAGTACAGAAATAATGCTCAGAAAAGTCATTTACTTATTTACATTCTTTACAGAGCGCAACTTGATTCTTGATAAAATCCCTACACGGGCATATTCTTCTTGCTGATGGTTCTTTTCCAGCACAACTGAACAGCAGCTTATCACCTTGAAAAACGCATGTTTTATCGTCATCGTCGAAGAAAGGAGAAATTATGTCAGATTCTTTTCGATAACTCAGGCAGTTGTGAGTCTGGGTAAGGATCATTTCTGTAGAATTCGTGATTGGAAACCAGCTTCGTTCGCACACTCGATGATGACTCTCGCAGACTTCATTACAGCTTTCACCTGGCTGGCCAAATTTAACCTTAACAGACGATCTCGGAGGCCAAGACGTCTCGCGTTCGCAAAAGTCTTGATGCTCCACATACGCGTGTATTCTTTGAAGCATGCCTTCGTGAGTGAATTCAAAAGGAACAAGCGGATCGATGCTCTTGGCTTTAACTTGGGTAAGCGCAGCTTTGATGTCCTCAGCATCGAATTGATTGTAGAAGAAATTGTAGGGGCGATCTAGACGTTCCATGTACGGATTCTGCGAGCTCAGACGTCGACTAATGATATTGATTTCTCATGAAAACGAAAATTTCTACCTTGTCGGTTTCTGTTGCTGCTGGTATACATCTCGTTTTGGCCTAAATCTTGGCTGGATAAAGATTGCTCCATTAGCAACAGCTTCTAGTGCAGCAGGTCCTTCTGGAGGTGTTCCCAAACCCACATATGCTTTGGCAGACCTCAGAAGATCGAGAAAAGCACTCTGATTTACATATCCGTGATTTGTAATAAAATCTGGGACAGACGAAATGACGTCTTTGTTCTCTTCATCCTGTTTGCTCCACAAGGTCGCGTGAATTTCGAATTCTTGCTCACGTAACACTTTTAAAATCAGCTTAGCTTCCGGCGAGTGAAGGACACTTTCTCGTTTTCCATAAAGGAGAACTCTATTTGCAACGCGTTTTTCAGCGTCGATTTTGTCCGCAGATATTCTGTGAACAACGAAGCCAACGAATGAATTGTCCATAGTGTGAGGCCACTGTGTCATGAATTGCTTTGTATCAAGAGAAAATTGTCCATATCCTTTTGGCAAATCATGTTTTCTTACGTATCCAGGGTGATTGTAAGCTGGCTCTGTCCCGAAGTTATCAAGGACTCGCAGGTTGCACTTGAATTTGGCCAAAGAGCCGGTCATTTGAATCATTTGTTGGAGGCCATGGACATCGGTATAGATAAGGTCAGCATCAGCAGGCCTCGCAAGGTGACATTGATCGAGGGCAGTGGAAGACGTTGTCATATAATTTTCCAGTGTTTTCTTAGACCAGGAAAGAATAAGTTTGTGCCCTAGGACGTAGAGCGATGAGATCAAATCGGACCACTGCACGAGTTCTCCAAGAGGGCCCCCGGAAAGCGCGCCCTTGCCGAAGTTGAGCCCGATCTCTTCTTCGAGGAGTCCCAGATGCAATAATATGACTCTCTTCGATCTCGGTTTATGTTCAACAGTTCCGTCTTCCATGTGAACCTCGATCTCATCGTGAGGGAACATCTTGTCATAAGTTCTCTGCCATTTGACTTCATTCTCCTGAATTCTTCTGGCGATCCATTTGCAGACTTCGCCACAACGATCCAGCTGATTGTATAAACTTCCGAAATTCACGCCTTTGTGAGCTTGAGGAACATGTTTTTTAAAGTTATCGGAAATCTCTTTGGAGATATCAGTGCAGACGTCTTCGTGCTTGTAAAGATACTCGATGATTTGGCAGTCGGTGGAGTTTGGACGAAGACCATGTGATTTGAAACACGATGAAGTGCTGTGATTCTCGCGGACTTGAGAAAGGCGGCGGAAACACTCTCGTTGAAAGCTTTACAGGATTTCGATTTCGCGTATTGTCCTAGTAAATAAAATCTTTGACGGACAAAGTCAGTTCATAAAATGATACAATTATGAAAGCGAAATTTCTATGAAAATGTATGTTCTGAGAGACAGTTGTTTTTATAATAGCTGGTCTGCCGTCAGCTGCTTCGGATAAGAAAGAAAACCCTTTCCTGATAACTTTGATTCCTTCGCACTCCATATCGACCTTCATCGACCTTGCTTCCGTGGGCGGTTTATGCTCGAAGAGCTCATGATTCAGCCTCGAAAAGAGCCAAAGCGTCACTCCAAGCCAGCAAAAAGCGATGAAGAAAAAAGTCTTGAAGAGGGACGAGCAGAATCCCATTTTTTAAAAGTCTTTCTTTTCTCTATATGTTAGTACAGTTTTTCATCTTTTGAATAAAGAAAAATTGTAAAAATATTTGACAGCGGCAATATTATGTTGTTTAGCCTTAGGGCGGGCGCTTGAGCGCATAATGGGGTTGAGCGCGGCGCGGCTACGGGTTAAAGTTGAGCAGAAAATTTTGGCAACCAAGACCTATGGGCTGGACTTTCATGGCGTTGGAGATGGAGAGGAAGTTCCACTTGTCGTCAAGAAATATACAGTTGTTGTTCGACTTCAAAGACATGATAAATCGCTCGTTGAATCTTGGTTTGATGTGTTGGTGAGCTTCTGTTCTGTATCTCGCGTGTACGTCCATTGTGAGAGCATAGAGCTGTTTCATACTTGTCAAACTTTTTAGCAAGAAAACAATCATTCCGCCTCCTAAAAGATTGCTAACAAATTTTGAATCAAGGATGATTATTTAACCTTCAACAGTTTCGATAGTTCTAGCAAGCAAATTTGGCGTCATTGCTTCAAAATCTTGAAGGACGCACATTCCGAAAGTTTTACCCAACACCTTGTGAGTATCTTTGTAGTAGCACCAGCGAATGTCAGTGCCGCAGATGAAGAGTTCGAAGGGGTCATTTTCATTGATTTCTGTAATTCCATCCTTTAGCCGCTTCTCCAGCATCTTCTTTCGCTTCTTTCGGTGCGTCGAGAAGCCGAGCTCTTTTTTGTAACACCAGAGGACATTCGGCCTGGCTTTGACGGTCGCTTTCGAAAGAAAGTTGTGAAGGTGGACGACTTGATTCCTTCCCTGCTCGCCAACAAGACAGAGGACTGATCGCTGGCGAGTTTTGACGCAGTTTTCGATGAGTACTCGAAGACGATTGTCGAGCTTTATCCTCGTCTTTCCTCCATCCATTCTTAAATTTAAATATTTTCTAAAAGCAGTATTGATTCAATGAGATGGCAGTTCTTTATTGAATCCGTGTTGTTGCCTTTAGTGATGAAGAAATTAGTGATAAAGAAATGAAGAGATCAGGAGCTCTCTTTTCTACCGACTTCTTGATTTTCTTTCAATTTTGTGAGAGGCAACCCTGCCCAGTTGAGCTCAGGGCGGGTTTGAATGTGCAAGTGATACAGGCATTTCTTCGCAGCGTCATTTTCAGCATCATCTTGAGATCGTCCTCTGCCGATGACAGTGATAGGAGGCCGAGTAAAAGTCTTCAAAATGCACTGATACACAGAACGACTGTAAGGACGATTGATATTTGGCTGATTTTCTGAAAGATCGAAGGACTGTTTTTGCTTTTCTTCGTCCTCACTTAAATAATTTTATTCGTATAACCGGAACTTCTAGGGTTCCGCACGATCGGAGGACCCAAATTTCAAAAACCAAAATTAACTATAAGAAATTTTGAAGTTTTAAGTGGGATTGAGGTTTTCGACTATGGCGAAGAAAATGACGATACTTATATTCTGATAACTCTTAAAATTCGCCGATTTATCTCGGTTTTTCCGGTATATTTCTGTCGCACACGTTCAGTCGCCCTCCCATTTAAAAGAACACCAAAAAATAATAGTTTTTGTTTTTAAATGAAATTATAACTCAGCGAACTTTTTGTGTGCTGATCAATTAAAGTTTTCAAAACTATTATCATTTTTATTTCCCGCGCGCTGATTGGTCGAATTTCTGACTGTGTTGTTCAGATGGAAGAATCTTCAGTCTAGAAAAAGTCGCTTGCGCAGCTGACCAATCAGAGCGCATAAGCCTTTTAAACTTTATATTTTTAAATAGCTTTAAAATAACCAAAGAAATGGCATTGGGGGGAAACTAGGATCGGATATGGATTCTACTAGTCATTTTTAGTAGAATTTAAAAATTTTGGTAAATATAAAGTCTCTGTCCGAATCATGCGGAACCCTAGGAACTTCCTATCAGGAGGATGCATAATCAGATGATTTGCTCACCTTTCTGGCAGCTTGATTTCATTTTTGCGCTTTAATTTGGGCCACAAAATGACGTACGAGAACTCGACATCCTTTCTGTTCTGGATTTCCTTCAGCTTATCTATCGGTTTCGGCACATAATTCCTTAACAATCAAGTTATGAGAGTCCGTCAGACCGATCAATGACCCGCAAACATTGTGGCGCAAAGACAAAGTCCTATAGTTCCCGTGTGACGGCTGCGTCACAATGCTGATTCGGTAATGGGACAAGTTTAATCTTTCAACAATACCTTGATTCCGCTTCGTCTGTTTTCAAATCCTCGAATTCACCGTCTCTGATTTCTATGAAACGATTGCATCTGTTTCTGACGCCGTGGCAGAAGAGAATCTCGTCAAACTCCGGCTTTGAGTTCTTATTGTCAGTAACTTCAGCTTGTTTATTCTTTGAATCACGATTTTTACGCTCTTGGTCGATTGCGTCTAAAATCAGCTGGGCGCAATTCTTAGCGGCTTGACGTTTTTCTGGAGAATAAGCCATCAATACTTTTCCCTAAAGACGGCCCTTTTTAATCTTAAAAAATAACCCAAAATCATACCCTTAAACAGCCAAATTTAACTTTACTCGTATCTTTGAACTTGTAATAGTACCGATGAATTTGACAACCCTCTCTCGACGTCATTTCCGAGCCGATTTCATAGTGTTCTTTCTCAACAAGCTTCTTATCTTTAAGGAATTTATCCACTTCTCTTTTCGCATCCCCTCGATCCAAATCATATTTACTGCTTGGTAAGACTATGTCCATCAACGCGTCCTGTTCTCGCAGATGGATGAGAATTTTTTCGCCAAACTGATTTTTTAGCTTCTTCACATCTTTGCCTTTCCACTCTCCAAGAACATTTTCAGAACACTCTTCGAACATCTTCAGATCCTCGAACTCGGATCTGCACTCTTTATGCAGTTTGAATTTCAGTTTAGTCTGGCCATCGTTTTCAATCTTTTCTTGGAGCTCGTAGTGCCAGCCGTGTTTTTGGTCCTTATCCGTTCTTCGAATCAGTGGCGGTTCATTCTTTCTACACCAATCTTCCCATAGTTTGAAGGGTTCTTTTAGCCAGAAATCATTGCTGTTCATCTAAAAACTTACTGTAAGTGACCTCGATTCGAGTTGGAATGGTCGTATTAGCGTAAAACAAATCACATGATTCTCGATTCCGGCCACCTTCCACAATGTATACACGCAAGCGGATGCATTAAAATTACTGCTTTAGCAACTCGTGCATTTGCTGATAGATATCAGTAACGACGAGAGCAAATATGCAGGCTCTTATTCCTTTAAGTAAACAGACTATTGTACCGAGGGAAAGTGAATCGTTTATGTCAAATTGTTAACGTCACGACGTATCTTATTCTCTATCGCGCTAGATCGTTAATTTTTGGCACTATATAAGCAGCCTTCTGACAGCTCTGAGCATCAATCTTTAAAAAATACTCAAAGAAAAAAATGAAACTTTTTGCTTCAACTCTCGTCGCCTCAGCTCTAGGACATGGTCGCATGCTTGAACCTCCGGCACGAAGCAGCTACCTTCGGCTCTCAGGAGATCCCAACATCGACATGTCCAAAGTGACGCCAAATTATAACGATAACGAGCTTTTCTGTGGTGGATTTCAGCACCAGGTTTCGAATGGCTACAAATGCGGTGTGTGTGGAGATAGCTATCTTCAAGCTCGACCGAGAGAGAACGAATGGGGAGGGAAATATGGATCGTCAGGCCTAATCCCGCGAACTTACGAGTCCTCGGAAGAAATCCCCGTCACCATTCAGCTAACTGCTCATCACAAGGGCTTTTTCCAGTTCAAAATTTGCGAAATGACTCCTGAAATGTCCACCGAAGACGAAGATTGCTTCAACAGCCCCGAGTCGATCATGGAACTCGCTGACGGATCAACCATCTGGGATGTTAACAACGGAGCAACAGGAACTTTCAACGGAAAGCTAAGGCTGCCAGATGACTTGTCCTGTGAGCACTGCGTGATACAGTGGAGATATCATACTGGAAACTCCTGGGGGTGCGATGAAACTGGAAAATGTGGCCTTGGACTAGGAATGCAGGAGGAGTTTTACGGCTGTGCGGATGTTAAAATTAATCCTCGCACGGGTGGTCGTCCCACATCAACAGCTACATCTCCTAGTCCGTCTTCAACCGTTGAAAGTTCGACTAGCATGGTTTCCACTTCACCCCCAGAATCTACGACCGAACCGTTGACAACCACAACGTCTGGCACAAGATCAACTATAAAAACGACAACAAAGTCCACAACTGAAGATACAACAACTCCTAATACAGAAAATTGCGAGGCCGCGAACTACTGCTCTAGCCCTTCCATACCCGCCGGAATCCACAAACACTGCTCAGACTGCTCTAAATTCATCCAATGCGCCAACGGAATCACCTACATCAAGGACTGTCCTCCAGGACTACTGTTCAACGGAGAAACGAAAACTTGTGACTGGCCCTACAACGTCACCTGCTGATTCCCAATCCGATGAACTCAAACTTCAAAATAGTTTTCAAACCATTTTCTGTGAAAAAAGCCATCTGCAGCACTTCCAAGCATGTTCTATTGAAAAAAATTGCACAATAAAATAGGAGTTATGAAACTTTTTGCTTGTTTCTTCGTGTCAGTGTTCGGCCATGGCCGCATTCTCGAGCCACCAGGAAGATCGAGCTACAGACTTCTAAGTAAATATCACCAAAAATTATATCATAATTACTTTTTATCGCAGAGGATGATCCAAATATCGATCAATCTTTGATTGTACCAAACTGGAATGATAATCAATTGTTCTGTGGTGGCTACCAGACACAAATATCGAACGGGTACAAATGTGGCGTTTGCGGCGATGATTTTACTCAAGTAATACTGTAGATTTTTTATTTAAGATTTAAACTCAGATCGTAGCCACGCCCACGAGACAATGAGTGGAATGGACGCTACGGTAGCTCTGGAATCATCCCTCGGACTTACGATCAAGGAGACATAATTGATTTGCACCTTGATATTACTGCTCACCACCAGGGCTTTTTTGAATTCAAAATTTGCAAAATGGAGCCGTCTGATTTCACCGAAAACGCCGCCTGTTTCGATAGCGACGAGAGCATCATGACGTTAGCTGATGGAAACAATCAATGGGATGTTACTGGAGGTCAAACAGGGCAGTACTATGGAAAAGTACAGCTCCCGCAAGATCTCTCATGCGATCACTGCGTCATTCAGTGGAGATATCACGCTGGAAACACATGGGCTTGTGATGAAAATGGAAATTGCGGAACAGGTACCTATAACTTATCTTAGATAAGTTATCAATGAGCCTGAATAATCTTTACTGATCACTTTTTCATCGAGGTATCGGGCCACAAGAAGAGTTCTACGGCTGCTCCGACATCTCCATCCGCCCCAAATACACAACAACAACATCAACTACCACTACTACTCCTTTCTCTACAAAACCAACAACAACTCGCGAGACATCTACCCATTTCACGACCACAACCCCAAAAGAAACTACAAGCAGTCCCTCAAGTGAGCTGGATGATTTTTGCGAAGAAAAGCCAAACGGATTTTACTCGCACCCGGAATCTTGCTACATGTATATCGACTGTTACAACGGAAACGCTATGGCTAAAACTTGCCCATCTGGTTTAGCCTGGAACCCGGAGAAAAACTACTGCGATCGAGAGGAAAATGTGCAATCTTGTTAAAATTAAAATCGAGAACTACTTACTGCACAATTAAATTCTGTGATTCAACTCGAATGAACAAAGCGATCTTCTTTCTGAAAGTATTTATTTCTTTATTCTTCAATTAAATTATTATATTTGACGAGTAAATCGATGAGGTATTCGAAATCGCTTGAAAGGGCGATTTTTCCTCTTAGGAAAAAGACAACTCTTTCAGACGGCTCAACTTTTCAATCGAGACATTACGATTTTGCCAAATAAAAGTAAGATAAGTGGGCCATAAATTGCTACTCATCATAAATAAAATGTTCTATTGGCCAGATCAATTAAAAATGGCAGCAAAAGTGGTGTTGTAATCATACGTGGTGAAGAAGTGGGAAGTATTTTCGACAGGAGAAAAAAGAGTCTAGATATATAAATATATTTCCTATTCTTTTTCTGGTGGACGATCACCACTTCCATCGCTTGACGTCGCGAATAAATCCCTTCGAGTTCGATGCCTGCTCCATTGCATACGTGATTCCATAAGCAGCTGTGGCGAAAAATCCGACGCGACCCATGCCCGTCATGAAATTTAGCGATTTTGGCACGGTGCTTCCTTCTGCGCGGTAACGGTTCAATATTTTGCTCTCCAATAATTGATTCAGCTACAAATCCCGTCAGAAATAGGAATATTGGAGGATAAGCTTACCTGCCAAAATCTTGGGCCTTTATTATTATTATTTCTTAGCCATTCTTGCTCTTGCTTTAACAAACTCTGTCGCGTACGCTAAAGAACAGTCAATTATCTGATCGAATGAAGAATACAAACATTCATATCTTTATGCCAAAATGGAGAGAGACCAAAGATCGCTCCGCCGAATGCCGAGCCGAATTTCGGGTCTACTGGAATTTGCTTGTCCAAAAACGCCCAACCAAGGGATGTGACAAAAGCTTTAGAAAAAAATAATACTTTTTTCGCTGCTATAGAAATTTTTGACTAAAATTGGCTTTAAAAAATGGAAATTTGCATTATATTTTTTATGAAAATCCTATGTTTGCTATATTTTCATTTTAATTAAGGGTATACCCATCTTAAAATGCATTTCCATCATAAAAACACTCAGAAAAACATAATCGAAGGCAGTTTTTTATGAAAAACTTAAAATTGAAATCTGTAAATTTGCCTTTTATTCGACTTATAAATTTTTAAAGGGGCTGTCCTCCTTAAGTTCGTTGACCAGAAGCTCTCAAAAGAGGAACGGTCGTAGCTTAGGGCCTTAACTTTATGCTGTAAAAAAATTAAGGGTATACCTCAACTTAAATCCTAAAAAAAACTTTCACTAAGCAACTTTACCTTTAAGGGCCTGTATACCCTTAAATTTGTAATCGAGAGATTATCATAAGGGGAACGGTTGCAGCCGAGGGTTTGATCTAAAGGTAGCAAGTGAAAGTAAGGATCTACCTAAGATAGTTTCTGAGAAAAACTTTCACTAAACAGCCCCTTTTTCACGATTCTTGATGGGGGGGTCCTTATTTAATAAACAGATTTAAATTCAGTTACCGAAAGTGCCAGCTTTTGCGGACCAATCTCTGCAATTTGAAACGACGGCGGTAATACTTTCGGAACGTTTGATCGGATGTCTGAGGGATTTGAGTGTGAGGAAGCTTCTGTTGTGGAGGATTCTTGTTGCGCTGAGGACGCCGAAAGCGCCGCCTACTAGACCGCCAGATCCGACCATGTTGAAGATGTGTCCTGTTCGCTCTCGTGGCTTGTTGTCTTCCTAAAACGAAATGAGCGTGTTTGAAATCAACAAGGAGTACGTACACCCATGTACATCCAGTCGTCATCGTCCTGATCGAGCGCGGTTGACAAAAATTCGGGATTGATGGTTTTGTATGGATTGAACGATCCCTGCTTGCCTGTGGGGTTGATCTTTGTGAGTCCGCTCAGCGCGTCCATTTCATCGTCGGACAGTTCCGCTGTTGGCAGCTGACTCCTTTTCCCCAGCAAATCCATACTGAACGCGTTTGCTTGATTCTCCGCTTTATTTTCAAACTATTGTTTCACAGAAAGTGGGTGCGTAAGTCAGTAACTGAACTCAGAGAAATAAATAATTTAGAATTTTCGAAACATAATTTTAACAGTTTTCTGTTTATAAATAAGGCTTTATTTGTTCTGCTGAGCGGCGAAGAGGAACGACTTGGGCATGATGTTGGGGTGGATCCACTCGGTATTGTGAGCTTTAAAAGTGAGAATAGAAGAGAATAGGTAAGCGAGGGTTACCTCGAAGTGCCATTTGCATGTCTCGTCCGTATTGGTGGTTCTCAACGGTGTATTCAAAGCCCTGGAAGGCACCACATGGAGGCTTCTTAGTTCCAGAGTTAGACCAGTTCAGGGGCCACCACCAGAGACCACCGGAAAGAGCACCCTTGTGGCTAAACAACGATAAAAATCGATAATAAAAAAGTTTCGTCAATAAATACTCACGTTCCAGCTTCATCAGTGTACATCTTGGCCATGTAGCCAAGGTAGAAAGTACCGAGCCAGACGCCAACAGTAGGAATAGTTTCAACCCACATTTCTAAAGCCAAAATATTCTGAGCAAAAATCGTAGAACAAATAATTTTATTTTCGGACACAGAATGATATCCGTTGCGTTTTTTAATGATTGAAGTTGTAGCGTAAAATGTACGGGGAAACAAAAAAAAATGTAAGGCAAAATAAAATAAAAAAAAACAAAATAAAAATTGGTAAATCAAAAATAAAATCGATGAAGGGGATAAAATGCTTGGAAACAAAAATATCTATGAACACCCGCCTGGGGGCACTACAGTGTGTGTATGTGTATTGTGCGAGAATGAGAGAGAGAGAATATGGGCGAAAGCAAATTTAACCTTATAAAAATATTGTTTAGGAAAACTGATACTTTGAAACCTTTTATTCGAAATTTTGTTTTAAAATATAAATAGTAATAGTAAAATAGTAAAGTAGGATTGTTGTATGAATTGTTCTGATAATTATAACTAGACCTATTTGTCAAAAACAATTTCGACAAAAAATCAAGGAAACAGAAATTGTACTTTAAAAAGTCTATAAATAGTACCTATAGTTCGAATAAAGCAATAGTAAATGGCATTTTTATATGCTGGATAATTGAATCAGTCATGGGGACAAAATAGATAGGCCAAGTGTTGTAAGTTGGAGCACAGAAATATCATTTTTTTTTAAGTAAATTGTTTGGAAACGGCACAGAATCGAATAACAGCAAAACGCGCTGGTAAAGTCATAAAGAAATCGCAAGAAAAAAGAACAACTAATAGATTGGGAATAGTAACTTTTCTTTAGTAGGAAACACTGATTTCAAAAAAAAAACAAGAAACCAAATCATCGGTTGCCGCGAATGAACTGTTTGAGAAGCATGGATGAGCTTCCGTTGAACTCTGACTTGGGCAAAGTGGGCCATGAATTGCTCGTCGTCCATTGCGAGTTCATGAAGTGCGGCGGGCTAGTTGGATAAGCAGCATTCACTGTTTTCGCATCGCGAATGTTTCGCTGGTAGAACTCACGCGCCAGATCGCGACGTTGGTTTTCGCTTGTCTTTAGGAATGTCGTAGGATTTGCGCAGATAACATCAAACATACTAAACCATCAAAATAGGAACTTTGAAAAATCGAAGTGTGCTCACGATAAATTCTTGCCACCACATTGAACAGGTCCCATCAGATCAGCACCGCTATAAATGAGCATCTGCGTTATCCTCACTTTCCTCTTACTCGCTGCGATGTAAACGGGAGGCTTAATGACGGTTCACTTGATTGTTGGTCACAATTGTAACTCTAAGAATATAATATGATATTATTAATATCGTTTGTGCTTCATGAACCGTTCCAAATTATACTGTGGCGTAACACCATTCACATCTAGCCCGAAGACTTTTACGTATTTATTAACGAGTTCGACTTGATTCATTTCTACAGCTTTTTGAAGAGGTGTCATTACACCAGAGCAGATATCACTCGGAGTAAGGTCCTGCTTGATGATGTTACGTTCTCGCAAGACATTGTTGTAATATCGTAACGCGCGTTGGAGCCCTTCGAGGGTCTGAAAATGGATTGAGGATAAAGAAATACTGAATGAATTACCTCAAGTTCGTGTAAAAAATACTCGAGCGCGAATTGATAGTGAGGATAGAACTTGGAGATTGCCTCGTGCGATTCTGTGTGATGTTTCAGTGGATTTTGGCCTATGGGAACTTGCTGAGAGTACTGATCCGAGAAGGTGTAGAAGCTGGATGTGTGGAACTCGCGGAAGAGGTACTTGATGACGTCTTCATGGCCGAAGTCCAGGGCCAGACAGAGAAGGTCTTTGTTGACGACTTTGCCGTCCACGTCTCCCAAATAGATCGGAGTCACCAAGCCAGTCTTTAGTTGATTCAAAAATCATCAGATTTTGCTGTCTTACCTCGCTGAGGATGTGATCATCATCAAACTTCCATCCCTTCCTGACCATGACGTAGGCAAGTTGGTTCAGAACTTTGTCGCCAAGATGAGCAGGGAAGGAAGGACCGTCGTTTGTGATTGGTTTGAAGTTGTTGGCCCCGTTTTCTCGGAGATAGCGAGTGATGTTGTGCGAAATCGCATTTTGGAGGCTCTTCTTCAAGTGAATAAAGGGATTTGGCAGGAAGAAGCTTAGAATGTTGATGTCATGCCACTAAAAAGGGTAAATAGATGAATAGAATATATATGAGTACCGCTATTCTTCGTGTAAAAAGGTAGTGGAAAAGTTCATCAACTTCATCCACGAAAGGGCATTTTTCGCCCAAAAGGGGATCGTTCAAAGTCGGCAGCCATTGTTGGAGAAAGTCGTCGTCGATGGGCTCTTTGAACATTTGTACGGATCGCTTGAATGCAGCCAGCTGCTTTCGCAAATCCTCGAGTTGATTTTTGAAGACTTTTTTCAGTTCGTCGGGCTAAAAGGCGACTAAATTCAACGATCGCTCCATCAAGCGGAAATTACCTTTAGTAAATTATCGCTGACAATTTTCGTCATGTTGTTTCTCTTGTCGATTGAGTTTCTGTCTAATTGTTGCAGTCGGTCAACAACGCGCTGTCGAATCGAGCTACCGCCTCGCCACTGCTCAGTCAAGTTTAACGCGTCTGCCATTTCCGATATTGTATTCAATACGAGCCTTTTGTCCTCGAGCAACTAGCGAGAGAAGAATAAGGGGATGAAAGATTGATTAATTTGCATGCAGAGGAACTCATTATTCATTCAATAGAAAGAATAGGCTCGATGTATCACTCTTACTCCACCCATCAATTGGATAAACAATGAATCACTCTAGAATACATGCTGCGCGAAAGCGTCTAAACCTGGCGAACGACATCAAACTTGCACTCGGGCTGGAAGGCAAGTCTGACGCTTTTGATCATCGGTGTGGATTGAAAGTACTCGAACTTGGATTGCAACTTGTCGTATTTGACGTTTCGGAAGACCTCTTGCTGCCCGTCGGGTAGACGAACTTCCAGGTCGACCATTGAGCTGCCAAGTCTGGAAAGACTGTGAACGCGGAGAGGCGACTCGCGGTTCGACGGAGAGCTGCCATTCGGATAACCTAATGTGACGCCCGAGTCCGTAGAAAGTGCCTGAACGCAGCTTATAAAATAGTCGAAGTCCGGAAATCACCTCGAATTGAGTTGATAGACAGCTAGAGCTCCTCATAACATCTGCCAAACTCGGGGGTTTCCATTCATCCATCAAAATGAAGTCCGGTAGCGGCTGAAAACAATCTCATAAGAACAAATATAATCATGCATTTTTGTATTTATTGCACGGTACAATACTGAACTCTGATTTCTATTACTTTGATGGACATAACAAGATATTAGTTACAGTACGTTTATTGCACGGCCAGAAGAATGAATAAATGGCTTGAAGTAATTGGTGACATGAGTATTTTTGTTGAAAGATAAATGAAGAAAAAGGACGTAGATTGATAGAATCTTGATTTCGAGTACTAAAACGAAGATAGGTCGAAATTATTTAGTTCAGAATAGCAGTAATTGCAGCTTGAAGAGTAGTTGATGAATCGGAGGATTGAGTTTTAAGTGAGACATTCACCAGACCAGCGTTGATCTAAAAATATGAGTAAAATAATACTAGGAAGGTCGATTAACCTTGATCAACATCACGAATTTCTCCTGATTAGACGATAGCTGCCCGCAGATAGACGCACCATTCTGCGCTGACTGCACCAGGTAGCAACCACTAAATCGATACAGACACTCTTCCAGACTTGCCAGCTCAGTTTGGTACTGCTGCTCGACGGTGACCTCGAAGAATTTTTCGTGAATCAGATCCACGAGCTCGTCATCGCTGACTTTCCACTCGGTGAGATTGAAGAAAGGAGTGAAGATGTGTTCGAACTTGAGTTTCTTTTCTTTCGACGATTTAGATTTGGAAGAGATGGTGTAGCAAAGCTTGCCTTTGTAAACAATCTCATCGGTGCGTCTGAATGGGAAAGCAACTTCGCCCTGGCGCGGAAGATCTCGCTTTTCATCGAGGAATTCGAGCTCAGAAATGTCTCTCGATTTGTGCTTGTTTTGGACAACGAGCTCTAGGCTGTCCCGATCATTAAATTTGATTGAGACGGAAATGTCGACATTGTCAGCGACTGGCAAAAGGCCTGTAATCAGCGTTGGCTCGGAGACATGCGGAACTGCTTTAGGATTTTCTGGAACTGCGCTGCTTTCTTCGTCTGATGAGATGATTTCTTCGCTCTTGAGCTTCTTTGTTTTCTTCTTCTTTTTCGTCTTTTTCTTCTTCTGATCTACCTTTGGTGCTACTTCAACCTTTTTCTTGCTTTGAAGAAGATCAGAAACATCGATGTTGAAGCGTTTAGCATCATCGTCTTGGTCTGATTCCACGGGAGTGTCTTCTGCGCCTTCTGGCATTTCTTCGTCCATCATGATTTCCACCGCTGGAGTGTCTTCTTCAGGCTCTGAGACTTTCTCACTCGCTTTTTTCTTCGATTTCTTTGTTTTCTTTCCTTTCTTTGGCTTCTTGGTCTTTTTTGGCAAGTATTTATCGGATCCGCCGATGCCTCCAAACACAGTGTTGACATCTGATTCTGGGGAAAGAATTGTTTGATAGTCGGTCTCTGCTTCTGGCTTTTCGGACTTCGGGGATGCATCGTCGAGTTTTAAATAGTTAATATCGTTCAAGCGCATTTTTCCAAGCGGCAGTTTTTTCCCTGACGGCGAAGTTTTTCCGGAACCTATAATTGACCATTTTTTGCAGAAATTATCGCGAGAACTGACCATTATTTTCGGCATAGTAATCCTTGAATGCGTCATCAATGTCTTCCTCGGGTTCTACCTCCTCCTCAGGCTCCTCTTCCTCATCGTCACTTTGCTCGAAGATAAGTCCCTCTAAATCGAGTCCGTTTGGCAAGGGGACCTTTTTCTGCGCCTTTGGTCCAACTGGCTTTAGTTCCCCTAAGTTTTTGTAAAGTTTAACTTTCGTAGAAAATCTTTACCGTCGTGAAGTCCGTAGATTGTTTTTAAAAGAACATTATCCGATGCCAATTTCAATGTTTGAACAGCAAGGCTGGCACGTTCTTGAATCTCGATATTTGGGAAGGCCAGAAATTTGTCGAAAAGAGCGATGTGCTCCGAAATGTCGACATTTTCATCTGCTTCTGAAGATTAAGTTTCGATAAATGTTCTGTGTCGTTCGTTATGTACCTTTGAGACCATGGGACAAGATCTTGAGGGCGTTTTGGAACATGACCGAGGTGATATCAACGGATAAATGACCAAATTCCGCATTCATAATTGCCAAGAATAGATTTTTCGGATCGGTGACAAATTCCACGAACTCGCCGCAAATAACAGCAGCCGATCGAATGACATCAATGCATCCGTTCCTGCCGAAGATAGTCGAAATGGCGCCGAGGTTTTGAAGAATGTGGGACATTTGGGCGACGGAGTATTCGCGAAGAGTTCGCACACTGAATTGTTATTAACGCTTTGGGCGATTGTGGCGTTTTTAAACGCCACGTGAACTTTGGCGGACCAAATTTCCATGAATTTCCCAAAGGATTGATAAATTTTTACTTTTCTGAAAAATTCGGACATTTTTCTTCATAAAAGCCGCTTCAAAATTAAATTTTCACAACAACAACTTCTTCCAAAATCAAAAAGAAAAAGTTCGACTCGCCCAAAATAGGCTTACTCATGCGCTTTTCCCTTCAGAGAGGGAAAGGAGAGAGAGAGAGCGCGATGCGCTGAGTGGTCTCCGTTTGCCCAAGTCGCCGTTTGCCCAACTTGGGCAGACGGAGATCTTAGGCAAACGGCGATGTGAATTTTTTTTAATTGATTGATCATAAAATGATAGAAGTAAGGCGACAATTTCATTATCATCACTTAGTCTGCTGGTTGCGCTCTGATTTGCAGAAACTTTCAGGTGAAAACAAAGGTTGTCCTGTGATGTCTTTTGAACGGTTATTAACCGTGGATCCTTGACAAGACCACCACAATTTTCTTATATTGTTTTTCAATAGTTGTATCCGATTTTCGAATAAGTTCTTGAGCATAAACACATGAATAAGAGACGAAATGAAAAAACAGTATGTGAAAAAACGGCGACTTGGGCAAACGGAGACCACTCCGATGCGCTCCCTGTTTTTAGGTCTTACTTTGCTGATCATTTATGGATATTTAAGACTTATGAACAGGGGTGGATATTTTGAAATCAACCATTATGCCATTTTATTCTAGAGCAAATTTAGAACAATTTTAACGGAAGAGAATAGTTGCTGCACATAATAATATAAATAAAAATTTTATTCACTTCAGATATAGCTATATGACGAAAGACTATTTCCTTTACTTTAAACATTCCAATAAAAATATTTAAGACTGAAAATGTCAAGAATCTCCGCTGTTTCATCGCTCTACGTAACCAGCTATGGACAACGGGGTCAATGTTCGAACTGTTTTAGGTAAGATACTCAGAAAATTGGAATTTCCCTTGACTAATTGATCTAATTTAGAGCCTTTGAGTTCACAGCAATCGTGAAGGAGCGTCGTCTCTGTAAAAGCTGTGCAGAAAATTTTCATGGTCGCCAGAACAATTGGCATGAAATCAAGCAGCGAACCGATGCTACCTTCAAGTGTGCTGCCACTCCACAAAGACCATCAGAAGTTGAAGGCTGTGGTGCAGAGAATCTCACGTACCGCGAGTATATGACAGGAAGCTGCTGCGATAATGCGGCGCGACGACTTCAAGCTGATTTCGAAAATCTGATGTCCGAAGACGATCGATACCAGATTTTCAAAATCCTCGAAAAATACTACGACGATGACAAGGAAGATCTCGACGACTCGATTCATAACCTGAATGCCGCGAAAGAAGAGTCTCGAAAGGCTAAAGAAGAGAAAGACAAAGTTTGCCGAAAAATCAACAACAAGGAAAAAATAAAGGAGCGAATACTGGCCAGACTTGATGGAATTGAAAAGGAACTTGAAAATGACAAGAAAGATCTTGAAAGCAAGGAAAATCTCTTCAACGCGGCCAAAATGAATGAAGAGTTCAATGATAACCTCACGAAGGAGAAGCGGAATTCACTCAAACGGCTCGCGAAACCTCTCAATTTCCTTTCTGCAAAAGTCTTCAAGTTCGACCAAGGTAAACTCGATTATCAAAAAATATTTTCAATATAAAGGAAGATTAGATGACAATGACACTAAAGGAGAAGCGTCCAAAGCCGCTGATGTCAAAACAGAATATTTCGAAGCTTAGAATCGCTCTATTTTAAATTCTAACTTTTACTAGGGTTCCGCACGATTGGACCAAAATTTTTATTTTTAATAAAATTTGGAGATTCTACCAAAAATATGCCTGGGAATTCATTCCTGGCCTCTGTTTTTCCCGAAAATCCTCCCTTCAGCCCTTTTCAGGGCTTCAAAGTATATTTTGCCAAAGAGGCCTGCTGCACGCTGATTGGCTGGCGCTCTTCGCGGGAATATAAATCGAGTAATGCAACGAGCTGTCGCCCTGGAGTTGGCTGAGTGGTGAGCGCTTCTCTTCGCAAAGAGGAGATGGCGAGCTCGAAGCCAGCTCGAACGCACCCCCTTTTCCATGTTTGGCTTTCTAGCTTCAACATGGAAAACGCGGATGGGCCTCGAAAAAGAAAAATTCTTTTTTTGAGTTTCGAGCTCGTGCCCGTCCGCCAATCCTTTTTGAAGGACTGCGCTCACCACTCGGCCAACAACTATTTGCGGGATGGTTCAGTTTAGCGGATTTTGACTCGAAATTTCCGGAGTCAAATTTCCGGACATTCGGTGGAAAAATTAAAGAGCTATCATAGATCTTAATTTTGTCAGGAGGGAGTTTTCTTCCTCTTAGGTTTTTTTAACAAAATTTTACCTAAAAGTTTTGATCTCGGTCGGAGTTCGCCCTAAAACTGGCTGTATTCCAAGGAATGTTTCCTGTAAACATGCATATTTTATATTTATTAAAAGATCCCCCGATTTTCCGAAGTTTCAAAATCTCATTCAAAAGCTCGTCTTTAAATGAGCATATTTTGGTAAAATCAGCTTTCTATCTCAACATTTGCTTATGTATTAGAGGCCGTCAAATTGTATCTACTTTTATGTGGCCTTTTTAAATGCGAATCTTTTTAAATTGCGAGAAAGTTCAGACCCTAAACTCAATATTCTGGAAGAATCAGCATGATCGGGTAAGTGAATAAAAAATTCTAGTTGTAAAACTTTTTGAAACCATTATTGGCGTTTTTTCGGTTTTTAAATGCTCTCTAGCCCCATTCATTGGCCGAAAATTCTAACGCGGTAATTATATTCGTTGATAAAAATTGAAGCCAAAAATTTTCTCGACAAGATTTCTAGCGCTCGTAACTCGAAAACAACAAGTGATAGCAGCTTCTGTTAAATAACAAATGAAATTATGCGTTGAATTCGAACTAATGTCTTTGCGACAAAGTGATTTTCAAAATTTATTTTTATAATTCAAAATTTACTGTGGGACAATGACAGATTTTTTAAATTTTCGCGGTATGAGCGCCAGTTCGCGCTGATCTTCCTGTAGGCTTCTTCTTTTTCTCTCTTCGCGCTGAGTTTTCTGGCTTTTAAAAGCTGCCAACAGCTTTGATTTTGCTTCATGTGGCTTCAGGTCATCAAGCCATTCGTTCAGCTTGTTGAATTTGGCTCGCCCGTTTTCGTACATCTTTTCGCGGCACAGATTTTGGATTGACTTCTCGAATCCCTTGAGTGTGGCAAAGGACGATTCTTAATTTAAATTCAGATATGCTTTATTCAAAAAAGACTTACCGACTGCTCTGTTCGAACAACTTATTTTTCGATCGTCTGGCAAATCGAGATCCTTGAGAAGCCCGAAATCCTTCACGTACTTCTTCAAACTTCCACCGACAACAGCAACAGCAACAGTGTTCAGTCGCTTGATTCTTGTTGCGGAAACCTTTTGGAATCTTTCCTCAATCAATTCCACGGTTTTTTTAGACTCCTCGGATGAAGACATCAGAGCCGCCTTCTCCAAAAGACACGAATACGGCTCGTTTGAATCAACAATTGTCTTCATTCGCTGAATTACTGATTGGAACAAATCCTTCAACCCAAGGAAAGACAAGGCTTCGTTGTTCACTTTTGAGATCTTCTTGTGGAAATGATTAATGTTCGCGCAATAGTTCAGGAACAATGTTGCAGCGTCGAGCAAAACCCCATTATCTCGGCCGGAGCAAAGTTTGTGGATCTGGTGAAATTTGCTGTCCTCAAAGCTTCTTGCCATCATGTGTTTTGTCGCGTTCATAACCGTCGGGAAATGTCTCACAAGAGCGCCCGAGTTGCGACAGTCATTTCCAAAGCGCTTTCCTATTAATATAAATTAAGAAAAGTCATTTGAAGGAAAATTACCTAGATCGTGAGAGAAAATCTTTGTTCTGGTGCTTTCCATATCGTATTTGAGCAGCAGCTGTAGCGACCGGCGACCATCTTGTTGGACGTACCCAAATTTTTCTGGTTTTCCGAAGACACTCTTCACAAGTTCCAGTAAGGTGAACGCTTCTTCATTGACCTCTTTTAACGCACAACGGCTGTTCTTGTCACAATTTGCGACGCAGTGCATCGCACAAAAGAGTGATGGAGGTGCGTCCTTGTTGATTTCCCGCGTCAGTTTTTCTGCAACAACCGCGTTTGCGTTGATTTGAGCTGACTGCTGATCTGACATAAGGAGATCAATCTTCTCGCCGATTATTCGTCCCAAACCGGTTTTGTTGACGATCCCAATCATTTGGTCGGCGATTATCTGACTTGTACCTCCGATCGCAAGCTCGGTCCCGATGAGATGAAGCTTGCCAGACTCGTTTATGAGCCCGACTGAAATCGTTTTTGATGCATCCAACATGGCTGCTCCGTCACTCGCGAGGTGGAATCGTTTGCCCTTGAGAATGACGTCTTTGGTGTGCTCTTCGTTCAAATACTTTAATGAATCTCGAAGTCGCTCAAACCAGTCAGGAGATGGAACTCTTTTTTCTTCGCCAAGAAGCTCGGGATAATACTTCGCTGTCGTTTTGAAGAAGTTGTGGATGCTGCTTGCGGTTTCTCCTTTTATCAGCATCTCCAGCGATAAGTTGATAAATTTGGGGCTCCAGGTTTTGTTATCTCCACCTTTACCGTAATTTGGGAGCCATGCGCTACGTAGAAAAATATCGTTTATTCCTCCAACTGCAATTCGTTTTTTCTCATCATTTTCGTTCTCAATTTCTTCTGCTCCTACGACTTCTACCATTTCTATGGCTTTTCCAGCTTCTTCATCCTCATCTGATCCCGGCAGCCATTCTTCCTCTTGCTCACTTGAATCTTCAAGAAAAGCTTCATTCATCAAGCTTTCATTCGCCTCATTCTCTTCGTTGATTTCAGTCGCCTGCAAAACTTGCGACAGCCCAGTTGAACGCTTACCAAGTTCTTTTGCATCGAAATGAATGGAATCTTCCTTGCAAAAAAACTCATTGTCGTCACGAAACCAGCGTTCAAGATCTCGCCGAACCTGATTCTTCTTCTTCGCAAGTTTCATCCCCTTTATGCAGTTGTCAAAGACACACTCAGGTTTCGCCGTGATAATATCTACGAAATTTTAAGCAAAGATCGGCGTATAAAACTTATACCTTCAAGATAAGGAATAATCACTCGAGTAAATCCCGAAGAATTTCCGGAATTCTTTTCTGCAATCTTACGCCATTCTTCTGGATTCTCTAGAAGCGCGGAGATATTCTCTTGAGTAAGGCCCAAAAATCGAAATTTTTGCTCGTTGGCTGGACGATGAGTGGCGCACGGATGAATTTGACGAAACTACTCTTCGAAAAAGAAAACATATTCTTCCGACAAAAATACGAATAAAGATATCCGAATGATTCGAATTTACGAATGAGATTTCAATTTCCAAAGAGTAAGAGAAAAAAAGAGATCTAGAAAAGCGGAAGTCTTGAAATCTAGAAAAGATTTGATTCTCGAAAGAATGGAGAGTCTAGAAATTATTGAATACTTATTGTTTCGGAAACTTTCGTCTGAGAAACTTATGGCAGAATCTTTTGGTAGACTGATTCTAGAGGTAGATTGCTTATGCATGTCACGGCCCTTAAATTCAAAAATCATGGAAAAGGGCTGAGACGGCCCGAAGTGGAAAAACTGTGGAAAAAATTGCGATTATCACGCTCAGTACAATTTATATGCTTTTAACGACTTTTGAGGGCCAGAATTTCGGGTTAAAATGTTCGTAAAGGGGGAGTGTGATTCAACAAAATGATCCTCAGAATACCGGGAATCTAAACATGCCATAAAGAGACCTGTGATTAAGAGTTGAAAAAACAGGGGAAAATCCCTTAATTTCAAAAACCAAGGAGCGAGGGAAGGAGGGGAATCGGCCATTCGGGCCGTCAAGCTCAATTAAAATTCAAGGCGAGGCAAAGGAATTATAACGACGGGCGGTTGAAAAAATTTTGTACGGGCATGGGCGCCCGCCGAAGACGAAAAACTTTTTCGTTGATTTCAAATTATCCAGCCCTGCGAAAAAGGCAAAGGAATTGAAAGCTGCGCAAGTTTCAAAAGTTCAAAATCGAAAACTCCCAAAGTGTATGGAACCGAAACGGCGAAAAACGCACTGGGATTATCTTCTGGACGACGTGAAGTGGATAGCCACGGAATTAACTGGCAAAAGCAAAATGACGCGGCTTTTAGAAGTTATTCGCAAGTGGGGGAATTCTTTAGGCGCGCTTTCTGAGTATCGCAATATTCTAATGACCATGAAAAACGAGGAAAAGAAGCTCAATCTTCGGCCTCTAACGCCAGACACAGCGGATGATAGATGTTTCGATCAGACGAATCACAAATCAAAAATCGAGCTATTGGAAGAAGACGCTAAAACTCTCCTGCACATGATTTGCGATTTGGACAAGCTTTACCCGGACGTAAAAGTCAAAAGATCGGAACTTCCCAAAATTGCAGAAAAAGACCTTCGCGAAAAAGCAGCGAATCCAAGAACTTCAAATAATCAAAAACATCGAGCACAACTTTCGCTTTGACATTGAACTAGCCCAGTACCAGCAACCGCTGATTTTTTTCATTGAAATCGAGTCCTGAGAATGTCTTCCATATCAGCCAATCAGAGCGCACCTCCTCAATTTTCACAAAGTGATAAATAGCGGATAATTTTAAATGGACAGCACACAAAAACCTTGATTTTTTTTGCTCTTTTTTCAATAGATTTGTGATTTTTAGAATTGTTTTTATCTACTGTGTTAAAGAAAAGTTTGTGCTGCCACTAGAAGTATGAAAAACCGAGAGAAATCGGCGACTCTGATGATGAATCGGAATTTAACTATCATCATTTTTTTCGCCGTATTCGAAAACCTAAACTTTATAAAGAGTCTATTCTTAATACAATATGGATCTGGATTTTGAAAAATAAGGTCCTCCAATCGTGCGGAACCCTAACTTTTACTGCCATAGATACCAAATATAAAAAATTGGAAAGCGCTTACCGGACTGTAATTTCCAGCAATTGCGTGGCAATCTTCGGTCCATAAGACACCTTTGATTCAATCTTCGTCAGGTCCAGAAGCACATTCAAATACCACTCGAAATTCTTGATAAAAACGAATCCCTGCTGGCTGCACATGTCGATCATCTTCGAAACTAGCTCATCTCGGTAGATTGTATTTTCAGTCTTTCGTACGTGGTCGAGTAGTTTCGCTGTAATGTCCATTATCGTTGATTTCGTGACCATTTTACTAAATAAGCTTGGTACAGAAATAGTCAGAAAAGTCAAAAACCTGATGAGGTCTAAAGCTCGAAGCCGAATGCTTTCATCTTTGTCGTCAAGACACGCAAGAATTATGTCCTTGTGTTGGCTTACAATCTTCGGGTGCGATTCTGAAGGATAATATTCAATAAGGCTCTTTATTTTCTGCTTTTACCAAGAATCCGAGTCATTGAAAGAAGCCCAAGATACTTCAAATTCTGATCATTATCTTCAATAAGAATTCTAAGCTTATCCACGCAGAGTTGTATCAACGCTTCATTGTCATTTCCAGCAGGAGCGTATGTCTTCGCCTGGAAAAATAAATAACACTTATTTGACAGCGCGACTGTACCTGAATCAATGTATTGATGCATTCGTATAGCAAGCTCATTGCGCTGGTATTATTAATTAGCGTCTTCAAATTCTCTTCAATCTTCTTGCCCAGTCTTGGTTCGTGGGGAATCAAGCATCCGAATAATTTGATAATTTTAATGAGCACCCAATTATTCGAACTCTTGGTCATCAATCGCATTAAAATCGGGCTCAAGAGCAGGTAGTTCTTTGGATTCTTCCTTGCAAGCTCGCAAATGACATTTACAGCGGCAGATTGCACTCCTGGGTCCTTGTCTTCTAGCTTTTCTTTGAGACGAGGCATGGCAGCGCGCATCGCTTCTGGGTAGTGGTAGAACAGTTTGTAAGTTATTAATGTAGCGCGTTTTCGAACATGAGGTCGGGTAGATGACATCAGCGAAATGACATCATCGGTCAAGTCTCGGGCAAGATCAGGCGTCATGAAACAGGATAGACCGCCGAGAGCAGCGCTAGCTTCGAATTCGGAACCTTTGAGGATGTCCTTCTTGATCAAATTCGTTGAGAGCATGAGAACATCGGTCTCAGCGTTGAATGATTGAGAGGCAGCCCAGTAGCCCAAGCGCTTTTCGGTCAACTTTTTCGTGGTTTTCATTCGTCAAAAACACGTCCTAACTATCATCTAAGTAAATTCAGTAATGAACCAGTTCCTTAGTCGAGGACATAACTTCAATAATATTAAAACTCGCCCAGCCCATCTCATATCCTAGCATGTGAAGGAAGCAGAGCTTCGAAATCGCCACCGATTTCACATCTAATTTCGGGTTCTTCAGCTCCTCCCTAATTTCCTCGACTGCTTCCAAAATGTACTCGCGTTCGTGACCTTTTGCGTTTCGAACTCCTCGGACGAGGTCTTGGAGGGTCTTGTCGAAAATGCGGTCGATGCCGGTTTTCACCTTCGACCCAACTTTTTTCATTGCCACATCCATTCCGAGTCTGAACAGCTCAAACTTTTTTTCAATTAAAGATCAGTAAAATGAATAAGAAAAACCTGGTTTCTGTATTTGTATTCAACCAATTGATTTGACATTATTTTTTCTATTTCTCGAAAAGATGGAATAAGAATGAACGAGAGAATCGCGGGTTGAGTGGTATAATTGCCGGCGATTTGGGCCGAGAGGGGCAGTGAGGCGATTATTATTTCAGAAAATAATTGATTTGCAATTTTATATCAGACTCAAATTCATTTTACAAAAGGGGTTCCAGCTCTTTGAACGACGCATTCCGGTGGATTTGGATGTTTGTTTTGATCATTCGTCCGCCTTTCTTCTGAAACAATCTCTTTTTAGCAAAAATAAAAAAGGGGGTTGATACCTTGCCATTGCTGGTATCGACAGGATCGGCAGTAGTCATGCTGGAGTAGCCACTTGACTCGTTGTAACTGAACACCAAGTATCGATTTTGAAAAAGCAAGGCGATTAATAAATCGATCAGTTTAGGGAGTATTCACAAATATTCCAAAATATATTGTTCTCACTAAGTAAGAAACTGTATAAATATTGATCGATATATTGAATTTGGAAAAAGAAGACTTACGCATTTTTGGCAGGGGGATTATTTATGAGTGGAACTTCTGGGGAGGGCGATGGATTGTCAGGGAAGATACCAGTATCTTCGATTTCGTCGGTTGTATCTTCGGTTACTTCTTCTATTGAACACACCTCTCTAAATTAGCGGTAAGGGAAGAATTTCCTCAAAATCTAAAACTTTACCTTGGCGAGTCGCACTCTCTCGGTTCATCACTTTTATGTCTTTGGCATCCAGCAGCCACCAAAACGACAAAAACCGAGAGCGTTATAATGGCCACTAGAATCGGACTAATCGGATCCTTCTTGCTCTTTGCTGACACTTGACAGTTTCCAAGAGGAGCGCAGGAATCGTCGCACATGACGCATAACGAGTAGTATTCGCATTTTGCAAAAGCCAGCGAAGGGCAGAAGTTTTGGGCACAGAAGGGGATGGAAGAATTGCTGCTGTATGGTTGGATTTGGGCGGGCACAGTGGATGTGACAGTCAAATTGGGAGACATGACGATGAAATTGGAAGGAAAAGACGATAGGCTGAGAGAATCAGAAATATTGATGGCATCGTATTGGCTTTTAAAAAAGTCTTCTTTCTTTGAAGTTGACAGAACGTTTCCTAGCTCGTCGGTAAGAGCGCAAACGTCGGGAGAGCAGAGATGCAAGAGCTGCCATTTGAGCCACTTTTGGTCGAGGGTTTTGAAGGAATCCGGATCAGTGGCCATCCAGACTGACTCTTCGGCAAAAATGAGCTTCGGATAGGCGGTCGAGTTAGAGATACCAAGTTCAAGAGAGGTGGAGCAGTAGGAAATGTCGGGACATGAAGATGAAGTGTTTTTCGTCCCAAAAAACGGGGAGAAACATTCTGGTGATGAAAGGGGAACGCTAAAAAGGGATTAAATTGCATTCTCAATTTTAGAAAAGATACGGCCATCAAGCAAATTACCTTGTTTTGTTAAATTCTAGCTGCAGTTTTTCCTCAAAGTCTCTGATCCCGAAAGCACCGGCAAGTTGAGCATAAATCAGCTGGGTGATAAACATTCTCTTTTCATTTTTTCGAAAATTTCATTCCACTCGAGATTGGTTCAATCCTTGTCCTTTCGAAATGGTTCGTTTTGGTTCAAGAAAGCAAAAATTTTAATAGCGCAGAGAAGCCAATCAGCGCGCCGCGCTCATGGAATTCAATAAAGTTGGAAATATTCCAGTAGAGTTAGTACTAGAATCTAGTGAGCAATTATTTATTGAAAATACCATCATAAATAATGGTAATTTATGATTACTGAAAGATGATGTTTTAAATTTTTTCATACATCATTGATTCAACAATAATATGAGAAATAGCTTAATCCATTTGTCTCTATCTTAATTTCGTTGATTATCTCCGTTATTTCGCCGTCCAGCCGGATCTTTCCGTAGATCGTCCCGTCCGATAAGTTCCCAATAAAACTCAAGATTCAAGATCTTTCTCTTGCTGAAGTTTTTTCCTTCAGTCCAGCTCTTTTTGCTGAAAAATGCGACAAAAAAAAAACAAAAACGTCTTTTTTCGGCGGAATTTTTATTTAATCCTTGTTCTTTCTAGCACCACCACCAACTCGATGTACCGACATCAACACTTACAACCAGAACTTGACGGACAATGGCTTCCTGTTCGAGATTTTCGGAGAGAATTCTGCGGTAGAGAGAGACAACGAAGAGAAATTCACCAGATTGATCACGTTTTTAGCTCATCAACATCAAGGAGATCCGAAAGGGACGAGGTTTGGACTACGACTGGGACGACCCAATGTACGGTGGCGAGCTCTACATGACTCCCAACAAGGGTTTCGGAGCCAGCGACGACATCAAGGGCGATATCATTCGACTTGAGTGCAAACATGGCGCAGCTTCCGCTACTGGACAACTTTACACTGGCGCACAATGTGTTTGCGACGGAAACTCGACCTGTTCTATAACGTGAGTCCAGTCAGCCTTCTTAACTGCATATTTCATGGAAATTTTAGTCCTAACAACCCTGACTGGACCTGTGTCGATCAAGAAGTAGCACCTATTCCATTGTGGATGGGAGGAAAGTTCAACTTCGTCAAGGGAGTCGAAAGTGGATATGTTGTACTCAAAGCTCGTCTTGGCCAACTTATGGACATGGACAGTAATAATTCCCGTTTGAAATTAACATTAGGAGTATTTAAGGCTGGGACTACAACCGATTCGATACAACGAACCACGCTGACTGGAAGGACCCTAACTACTGGAAGGGTAACGACACCTACACACCACCATTCACTCTCTTTGTCTTCTGTCCCTTTGATGTTTCCCTCGGTGGTCCTTCCAACAAAGAGGGTGCAATGACCTTCCCCGATTTCTACCCTGGCGTAAGTTAATGTCGAGTTCTTCTCCTCTTTGATTCCAAATTTTAGGAAAGCTCAAACGACGGAATGTTGTGGTCATTCCTCAGTCGAGACGGAACTCGATACTTTAAGAACCCCAAGCTCATCACTGATGAAGTCACTGGCAACGTCACCATGAAGTTCCCATCTGTCTACTTCAAGGGATACATTGATCGATCTTCAGATGAGGCTCAGCAAGGTCCAATTATCTTCGATCCAAATATGCAGGTAAGATATTTTGAAGCTCAAACTGTTTCGTATAACTCTTTCAGGTTGAGGAAGATTACACTTGCGAAATCGGTGTGATCCCAGGACATCACCCCGACCACCTTGTCAAGCTTGCAGAGAACTACCCTGTCTTTTCCGACGATTTCCAGGCTATGGAAAAGTATCTCCGACAGCCACAAACCTGGGAAGATCAAAAATAAAGCGCAAGTTTATGAATGTACAAAACAAAACCACATACTTTCTGCACCAACATTTTAGCTCCCGCGTTGAGGACTAATTTATCTTTTATTCAAAAACACTATCGCTAGACTGAGAAATAAAGCCCTGCTTGATATGCTATTTGAAAATTTAGATGTGTTGCTTTTATTTGAAGATAAATGTATCAGTGCGACAGATCAATTCACAGGTTCAGAGTCTTTCCCAGTCGAGGGGTTCTGATTTGTCGATCTTCCTTTCCCTCATGCCAAATTCTAGTCGCCCGATCAAGTAATCATAATTTGGCTAAAAGGAAGAATATAATTACGCTGAAGAAGATTTCTTACCTTGGTGTAGTAATCAAGGGATTCCAAATACTCCCGAAACGGCTTCAGTTCTTTTGGGACTCTTTCTAACTCGAAAAATCGCTTGTGGTCGAACCTCATTTTCGCATGTTTGATTCTCTCCGCTTCCCGAAGCGATCTCCATGGAAGCTGTCCGTATGTGATTTCGATCATGAGGTAGAAAAAAGACCATAGATCGTCGTGTCGACCGAGCTCCTGTCCGTTATGAGCATTCAGAGAAGCATATCTTATTGGTATTGATTCAATAGGAAGGTGGAAACGAACCTAAGTGTGCCACGAAAAGGACATTTAGTATCCCTCGGCGGCCGAAGCATTCCTCTGTCATCAGCGAATTTTCTTGCGAGGCCAAAGTCGTAGATAAAAAGGCGTCTGCTGTGCCTGCCCATCCCGAGCGCGAAATTCGACGGCTTGACATCGCGATGCAGATAGCCGACATCGTGGAGGCTTCTAATCGCGCGAAGCATCTGTACTCCAAGACGAAGGGCAGTAGATGTTGAAAAGTATCCTTACTTGAGCATTAGTTACATTCATAAGAAGAAGACGTTACCTGAGTCAGTTGCTTTTCGTAATGCTGAAATGTTGTTGCCTTTAAGAGGGATTTATTTCCTTATTTTTCACAACAAAAATCAGAAGAATTCACCCATTCCTAGTAAACTCATAATTATATAATTGAATTTTGATTCTCTGCCGCAACCGAAAAATTTGCAGATATATTTCGATTTGCCCTTCATTTTTTGAAGAACTTCTGCTTCCATTTTCAAAACCTAACAGTTCCTCTTAAAAATACAAATAATATGAAGGTTTACCTGTTTGTCATACTGAGAAGATTCAACTTTGACCGCAGCACTTTCTCCTGATTTCATGTACTTTGCTTCGTAAATCTGGCCGAATCCTCCCATTCCAATCATTTTCACAATTATCCATTTTTCTTATTTTCAAGTAATTAATACAAATATGCATAATTTACCTTTGATAATATCTCCAGGCTTCAAAATGTCTTCAACATTTTTCTCTTTGTCGCCCATGAGGTCACAAAATTTGCGTTAAAATGCGAAAATATACCCGGATATAAATTTTCGATGCAACTTGTATCGATTATTGAAATTCATGTTTGTCTTGGGTGTTCCAGAGAATTTTCGTTCATTTTGCTGCAAAAAAATTTAAAATCTTCTAGAGCTCGAGTTGTTTCTCACCAAAACTAACAAAAGTAATATGGTCGTGGTCATGTGTTTTATGCATAAAAATCTCTAGAAACAGCATCTTCCCCAGCGTATATAAAGCGCGCTCATCCCTTCACAACCTCACATTCGACAAGATGGCACGAACCAAGCAAACCGCCCGAAAGTCTACTGGAGGCAAGGCTCCCCGCAAGCAGCTCGCCACCAAGGCTGCCCGGAAGTTGGCCCCCTCTGTTGGCTCCGTCAAGAAGCCTCACCGATTCCGACCTGGCACCGTCGCTCTCCGTGAGATCCGACGATACCAGAAGTCCACCGAGCTTCTGATCCGAAAGCTTCCCTTCCAGCGACTCGTCCGCGAGATCGCCCAGAACTGGATGCAGGATCTCCGATTCCAGTCCTCCGCCGTCATGGCGCTCCAGGAAGCCTCCGAAGCCTACCTCGTCGGTCTCTTCGAAGACTCCAACCTCTGCGCTATCCACGCCAAGCGAGTCACCATCATGCCCAAGGACATGCAGTTGGCTCGACGAATTCGAGGAGAACGAGCTTAGGTTCGCCTAAGCTTAGTTAGGTGATCAACGTCCTTTTAAGGACAAATCGGACAGAGCGACTAAAACCGGCCCTTTTAAGGGCCACAAATAATTCCGGCTTTTCTTCTTCATGTTAGATTAAGACGCATAAATCGGTATTACCGATTGTAAAAGAATTCAACCGCAAAGAGTCTTATCAAACCCTCATCAGATCATTTTATGGTCACTTGGTCGATATAAATTTCTTGGCACAGAGGTCAAACTAGGAAGAAAACAGATTTTCTAGAGAAACAGGTGACTATCATTTTATGCAAATAATTCTTTAATGCAGCCAAATTATCCACTTGAGTAAATCTGAGGGGTGCCTTCGTAACGAAATTTAAAACAATTCAACCAAAGATAACCCAGCAATGATGGGAAATTGTCATAACAACAGAATTCAGATGGCGTTTCTTGTTATAAAGAAGAGGAAAACTATTGAAGAGAAGAAAATTCTCAAAAAGAAGAGTCCCGAATTGTTAAACTCGATCTCGTCGGTATCTTTAAGAGTGACAGAGGATACTATCTCATTTTTGAAATAAAGAAGGACGATGTTCTTTCAACCGCAAAAGTTTCAATAAGAAATTTCAAGGAATACATAAAGACCCTGCTTTCAACCTGTTATCCTGGCTCCGCAGAAGAGTTGTCCTGCAAGATGATCAAGAAATATTTGAAGCATGTCACTCCGAAAGGATCAACAAACGAGATGTTTGAAAGCGTCCAAAAGATTTCTCAAATTTTGAAGAGAGACTCGGCGATAAAAGAGTTAATTTACAAAGGTCCGATGCTGAATCAATTTAGGAAAAAAGTAGCTGATGCAGAAAAGGCGGCAGAGGGCTGCATTCTCTTCAAAATAAGTACGTCCTATGAAAAAAATCGATGTCAAGACAGTTTTAGTTGACTCTTCATCGGCCACGAGCACAATTGACTCCCCACAAGAAGACGAATATACTGTTGCTCAAACTTTCATTGCAGAATCTCCATCCGAAGTGACAATAACGAAGGGAGAAACGGTAAAGTGCCTGTTTAAAAATGAGTCTGGCTGGTGGTTCCTCGAAAACCAGGCGGGCGATGCTGGATGGTCACCTGCTTCTTATGTAAGTTTTCGTCTGAAACTTGAAATAACAGGCTTTTAGTTGGCAATTAACGATGATATCGGTACAAGAAATCGACTTTCAAAAGACATCGGAAGTACTTTTATTATGACCGAGTCTCACATCGCTCCATTTTTCAATACAAAAGAGCTGACTGTTCCAAAAGGATCCCTGGTGAAAATCCTTCAGGTGTCTGAATTCGGCTGGTGGACAGTAACGTACTCTGGAACTATTGGAATCGTTCCAAGACAAAAAATGCGAAAATATATTTTCTGAAATCTTCGAAGAATAAAGCAAAAGTCCTAAGGGTTTTGGCTTGTACTTATTGATGAGTGATACTTCTTTTTTGTGCTGAGAAAGAATAGAAGAGTACATGAACAGTCATATATAGAGATTAATTACACAACGTAGTCAGACTTTAGATCGATTAGCAGGAGACCATTCGCACGAATTCTTCAAAGTCGATTTCTCCATCTCCATCAGCGTCGGCTTAATTTTTCTTTAATCAATTTCAAAGTTGGCGCCTGTCTGGCTTCCCGAAAAAAAACGAAACTATTTGGCCCTGATTCTAAAGATAGTCCATCAATAAAATTCGCAATCTAATCGAGTCAACGAATTAGAAATCCTCTAACCTTCTTTGATCATCGCCTGAATCTGGCTATCAGTCAGATGATCTCCTAATTTCTCCATAACTTGTTTGAGCTCTGACGATGAAATCTTCCCACTTCCGTCGGTATCGAACAGTTGAAATGTTTCCCGGAGAGTTTCTTCATGCGAGTTTTCTGTTTCCATCGCATCTTGCACTCTCATCATTTCAATAAACTGAAAAAATCAACAACCATTTGAACAAAATCTTTTACCTCATCAAAATCAATCGTTCCATCTCCATCAATGTCTGCCAATTTCATCAATTCCTGAAGTTCTTCCTCGGTTGCTGGCTGCCCGAGTGAGCTCAGAACGATTTTGAGTTCTTCGATTTCAATTGTTCCATTTCCATCTTTGTCGAATAGTTGAAATGCCTCTCTGAAATAATAAATCTGCTGAGAAATCCATGAACTTATCATTCTTTTTGCTAGAATCAGATGATTTAAAGAGCGCTAATCCCTCGTTAACACCCAGTTCTACACGAGAATTATAGCCTTTCTTCTGAGAGAACCCTTGTTACCTATATTCTAGCAATCTTTCATGTGTAAGAGGCTTGTCCATTATTCTCTTCTTCTTTTAATTTTGGATCTCTTCGTTGATTTCAGTAAGACTCTTTTTTCGTTTTCTTATTTAGCGATTTATGCGCGCGTTTGTATTCGTCAGGATCTTCTGGGGCGTCGCACTAATTGACGATTTACTAGTTTTCGAAAAAAAAAGAAAGAGAAAGGGTTCTTGTTTGCCAAGTAGGGAGAACTTGAACTTGGATTACGGATCCTTGTTCCCTAATCTTGATCGGGCCTGGATGATCCAGAGCTCAGGAGGATTTCTTTTGTCTACTTCTCTTTTCGGGGTGTTAAATTATTGGGGAAGAGTTTGAAATTACTGTACCAACTTAGTTTTTTTTCGGATATCTTTTCTCGATAAAATAAATTGACGTGTCCTTCTTGATCTGAAAGGGATGAAAAGTGAGGGAGTGTAAACCTCACTTTGCATGGTAATGACATTGTCTATGTCGACACCTGTCGATCGTAATTTATACCTCTGCGAAAATACTTTATCATCATACTTCCACTATAGCTGTAAATCACCTCCGTAGAATAACCTCAGTTTTACCTCGAATAGTTGTCAAGACTCTTATTTTTCAAAAGTTCACTCTCTCGACTTCAAAAGCAGGCTCTGCGAAGCCCTGGGTCTGGCAATCAGTTAATCAAGTGAAACATTTATGGAACAGCTTTATTTCTTCCGTGCAATTGACGCATGCGGCCTGCCTCTCGTTATAGCAGGGCAAATTAGAAATTTATACGAGTTTTTCTTTTCCAATTAAAGTACTCGACTTATTTTGAAAGACCAAAATCCACGTGATTAAGCTTTGCATTTTTAACAGCAATCCAGGCGGAGTTTAAACTTTTTTCCTTATGAAAATTACAGTAATTAAAAGATAAGGATTAACCCTAATAGCCAATGAGTAATAGAGCTTGGGTATTTAAAGGGTTCTCAAAAATATTTTTTGCAGAAAATTTATTATAAAATTTTTGAAAAAAGGCATACTCTCATAAAAACAAAAACCGATAAATTTATTTGAAAATGCTTGCTCGAAGGTCAACAAAATATTTGCCCTGAGCAAAAACGATCTCCGCTTGCGTTTTCTTTCATTTGATTGTCTCAAACGTCGTTACATTGTGTACCCAGAGAAGCTGCTAGAAAAGGTCGTTGTTTGATGGGGCGGAAATTGTGAGTCACTCGTAACTTTTTTGCGATTCACAATTCAGGAAATAACATAGTTATTTTAATCTTCTAGAGCCGTCGCAGCAACACTTTTCGCCGCGTTTTTGGTAAACAGATACTTTACCCCTTGGTTTTTCGAGATGGGTGCTAACAACTCAAGGTACAACGATTTTTTATTTTGATTTTGATTAAATTGGGTACAAGCTTGAAAGATGTCAAATTTGGCGATCTCGAGGCAAAAGACATTGATGGAGCTACAGTGAAAATGAGCGAGTTCCTTGGCAGTCCGACAATTGTTGTAAATGTTGCGTCGCAATGAGGCGTGACTGACCGAGAGTATACCCAACTTCAGGAACGGTTCTCAGCTCATGAATAAACAAGCTCTCATAACTCAGATGTGACCTAATTAAAGCAACTTAAAAATACTTTCGGCGACGACCTTAACATACTCGCTTTTCCCTGCAATCAATTTGGCAAGCAAGAGCCCGGAAGCGCCCAAGAAATCAAAGAATTTGTTAAAAAGTAAGTCCAAAAAACCTAGCCAAGTTGTCATTTTCTTAAGATATAATTTCACTGGCCGACTTTTCTCCAAAATTGACGTGAATGGAAACGATGCTCATCCAGTATTCCAGTGGCTAAAAGCACAAAAAGCAGGGGCCGGAACACTGACTGACAATGTCAAGTGGAACTTCACGAAGTTTCTGCTCGATAAGCAAGGCAATGTCGTCGGCAGATGGGGCACTGTCACCGCCGCTGGAGATTTGGAAAAAGAAATTAGAAAGCTTTTATAAGAAATCTCTGTTTGAAACATTTGAACGATACTTTAGCTTGCAGATAACCAGCTGAAGGGTTTATTTCAAGCGTGCTCGGGATTTGATTTTGAACGAATGAAGGCTTTCATGAAACCAAAGTCTTGGACAGAAAGATCTGACAAACTCAAAGTCTGTCCCGCAGCGCAAAAGTATTTTTCAATTGTTTTTAGAAATAAAGATTAAGAAAAAAAAAAAAGATTTTAACTTGATCTCCGTCGTTTTCTTCAAAAAAAGCATGCTGATATATTAAGAGCATAGTTAACTTGCATAAGTTGGTTTCGCAAATTTCACGGACGCCTCAATTGTTTACCGCTCTCAGCCGCAGCATTACTCTACTAGTTATCGAGCTCTTTTTGCTCGGCAAAAGCTTCATACTAGAATAGCTCCGAGTCCAAGTCGCACAAAATGAAACTTTTAAGCATTTTTCTTGTCGCCGCTGTTTTTGGACAGGAGAAAGCTGAGAAGCCAGAGAATTGGTGGAAACTACAGAAGATCAAGCAAAACCGTCTAGAGAGAATGCAAAGGAAGCAGATGACATCGACAAAGGTCATTACAACAACCGAGGCACCAACAACTACGACATCTACAACAACCACAACGGCATTCGTCAAGCCTAGAAAGACCAATAAAAAGAAGAGAAAGAACCGCAAAAATGGCAAAAACGTTGACTATTCAACCTACTTCGATTTGAACACAGAAAATCTTGCCCTTGACGATGTCACTAACCCAAAATCACCAAATGACAAAAATAAAAGCATTTTTTCGATGGGCCGAAGTCAAGGAAAAGGTCAAGATAATGGCATTCATCCGAATACGCGAAAGATAGCTGGAATGCTCAGGAACCGGTTGAAAAAAAACGACTCTAAAAATAGATACGGTTAATACTTTGAGTCATCGTTTCCAACTCTTACGATAAGACACCGAATGCTCGCAATGGGAATCCAAATTCGCTTCCTGGATTTACTTGGCTACGGGTGCTGGTGTTCATTCCTTATCAGACATGATTTACGGTATGCACGTTTCATAGTACGATATGCGCTTAATAAATATATCTATCGTTAGACCACGGAACAAGGAACCGTCGGATAAGATCGACGAAATCTGCCGCAAATGGTCAAAGTGCCACGAATGCTCCTCAATTGATAGCTACTATCAATGTTCTGCCCAAGGACACGATGTTTATCAAGTACAGGGAATAATTGCAACGGGAAAATTTACATGCGCCAGTAAGTAAAAATCCTTTTGATTGATATTTTTTCCCAAACCAAAGTCCGGAACAGGCGATTCCTACGGGCTCCTGATTGATATACTAAGTCAGAATAGTAAGCTTATAATTTTCAGGTAACGAGGACAGTTGCGCTCTACGTGCATGCGAATGCGATACGGAACTTGTTTACAAGGTAATCAATCATTCAAGGAAGTTTGCTCACTAATTTTTTTGTCTTCAGCTTTCCGATCTATTGGCGAACGACCCGAAGAACTTTAACATAATGAACAGCTACGAAAAGGGCTTTAGTCCCTATTTCCAGTGCATCGAAAAAAGAATGATGACCGATAGAAAGTCTGATAAATGCTGTGGACAGTTTCCCGACCGGTAAGTCAATGTCTTAGTTTAAGCGGTACGAATAGTTCAGATTTCCATTCTGGTCAAATATGAGCCAAAAAGCCTGCTGCGGGTCCAAAACTTACGATGTCAACCTGTTTGACTGCTGCCAAGGAGCCAAGCTTGTGCCAAAATCTATGACCTGCCCTAGACAATTGTAAATAACTCCCTGCTTGTTCTTTTTTAAAATACACATAACTTCGATATCACCAGACTTTATTTAAATCAGATTCTTCAGGAATAAGAATTTCAAAGCGTTGTATTTGTTCATGGTTAGTAAAGTAACGAATAACGGCACGTATCTGTTGCTCAGAGATTTTTACAAAGGAAGGGAAGGGTTGAGCTACAGTTAGGTGGAAAAGATCTTCAGAAGAAGATTGTTGAATCTGGGTTGGCCGGCGGCGTGAAACGGAGGCTGGCGAGGTTCAAAACCGATTGTGAGCTTTGCCAGCCCCGGATTCACGAAAGAGTCACGCAGATGAATCTCGGAGAGTTTCACCACGTTAGGGGGCGCGCAAGCCTCCGCAGACGAAAATTGCGAATTTTGTTAGTAACTGTTCAAGAAGATAATGTTCAAATGTACTTTTGTACTCAGTAATTGATACCGCGATTTGGTAGAAAGAAAATTGTCTCGTGGGGCACCAGTTATGACATCTGGAGTTCAAATCGAAATTAATCGGAAAAGAAGAGCCTAAGCACTTGTTCGTTGAAACTCAGAATGTTGGTTTTCATTTTTTTAGTTTTGGTTAAAAGGCTAAAATTTAAAGCGATAGAGAAAATAAAGTAAGAGAGAAAGATAGCTTTCCCGATAATGACGAGAAAGATCCTCGATTTACATCATTTGTCGGGCGAGAGCGAATCCTCGGCTTTGATCAGTGCCTGGTCCAACTGGCTCTCGGATTTGAGATACCTGTCGTTTCAAGACCTTAAAATGTTATTTCCTATTTTTGATAAGCTTTTGTACCTTTTCAGTAGCAAAACCAGGGCTAAGCTTTCCTGAGTTGTCATCTGAGATCTCTGAGAGATTGTCTCCATGTCCAGAATCTTGGCTAAACGAAGAGATAGGATTTCATTGTTAAATATCTAATTTACCAGGAGCCAGAAATGATAGATTTATCTAGGGTTCCGCACGATTGGAGGACCTTATTTTTCAAAATCCGAATCCTTATTATATCAAAAATAGACTTTGTATAAACTATGGGTTTTCGAATACGGCGAAAAAAATGATGACAATAATATTCCGATTCACCATCGGAGTCGCCGATTTCTCTCGGTTTTTCATACTTCTAGTGGCAGCACAAACTTTTCTTTAACACTGTAGATAGAATCAACCCTAAAAATCACAAATCTGCAAAAACAAATTTAAAAAAATTCAAGGTTTTAATGTGCTGTCCATTTGAAAATTATCCATTATTTATCATTATGTGAAAATTGAGGAGGCGCGCTCTGATTGGCTGATGAGGAAGACATTCTCAAGGGTCGATTTGAAGGAAGATTATTCTAAGCTTCCGCGATTTTGTCCTTGTTGGTGAATAAGCCCTTTCTCGATAAAATTTTAAATAGAAACCATAACAAAGTAAAAATCTTGGATAATTTGACTTTTAACAACAATGGGTGAGGGCGGGGTTGGGGACATAACTGAGATTGATCACCTCAGAGTCCAACGCCGATCTCAAGCCCCTTAAATTAAAAAATCAAGGAACGGGGCTGAAACGGCCCGAAGGGCCGTCAAGCCCCTTAAATTAAAAATCAAGGAACGGGGCTGAAACGGCCCGAAGGGCCGTCAAGCCCCTTAAATTAAAAATCAAGGAACGGGGCTGAAACGGCCCGAAGGGCCGTCAAGCCCTTAAATTAAAAATCAAGGAACGGGGCTGAAACGGCCCGAAGGGCCGTCAAGCCCCTTAAATTAAAAATCAAGGAACGGGGCTGAAACGGCCCGAAGGGCCGTCAAGCCCCTTAAATTAAAAATCAAGGAACGGGGCTGAAACGGCCCGAAGGGCCGTCAAGCCCCTTAAATTAAAAAATCAAGGAACGGGGCTGAAACGGCCCGAAGGGCCGTCAAGCCCCTTAAATTAAAAATCAAGGAACGGGGCTGAAACGGCCCGAAGGGCCGTCAAGCCCCTTAAATTAAAAATCAAGGAACGGGGCTGAAACGGCCCGAAGGGCCGTCAAGCCCTTAAATTAAAAATCAAGGAACGGGGCTGAAACGGCCCGAAGGGCCGTCAAGCCCCTTAAATTAAAATCAAGGAACGGGGCTGAAACGGCCCGAAGGGCCGTCAAGCCCTTAAATTAAAAATCAAGGAACGGGGCTGAAACGGCCCGAAGGGCCGTCAAGCCCCTTAAATTAAAAATCAAGGAACGGGGCTGAAACGGCCCGAAGGGCCGTCAAGCCCCTTAAATTAAAAATCAAGGAACGGGGCTGAAACGGCCCGAAGGGCCGTCAAGCCCCTTAAATTAAAAATCAAGGAACGGGGCTGAAACGGCCCGAAGGGCCGTCAAGCCCTTAAATTAAAAATCAAGGAACGGGGCTGAAACGGCCCGAAGGGCCGTCAAGCCCTTAAATTAAAAATCAAGGAACGGGGCTGAAACGGCCCGAAGGGCCGTCAAGCCCCTTAAATTAAAAATCAAGGAACGGGGCTGAAACGGCCCGAAGGGCCGTCAAGCCCCTTAAATTAAAAATCAAGGAACGGGGCTGAAACGGCCCGAAGGGCCGTCAAGCCCCTTAAATTAAAAATCAAGGAACGGGGCTGAAACGGCCCGAAGGGCCGTCAAGCCCTTAAATTAAAAATCAAGGAACGGGGCTGAAACGGCCCGAAGGGCCGTCAAGCCCCTTAAATTAAAAAATCAAGGAACGGGGCTGAAACGGCCCGAAGGGCCGTCAAGCCCCTTAAATTAAAAATCAAGGAACGGGGCTGAAACGGCCCGAAGGGCCGTCAAGCCCCTTAAATTAAAAATCAAGGAACGGGGCTGAAACGGCCCGAAGGGCCGTCAAGCCCCTTAAATTAAAAAATCAAGGAACGGGGCTGAAACGGCCCGAAGGGCCGTCAAGCCCCTTAAATTAAAATCAAGGAACGGGGCTGAAACGGCCCGAAGGGCCGTCAAGCCCCTTAAATTAAAAAATCAAGGAACGGGGCTGAAACGGCCCGAAGGGCCGTCAAGCCCCTTAAATTAAAAATCAAGGAACGGGGCTGAAACGGCCCGAAGGGCCGTCAAGCCCCTTAAATTAAAAATCAAGGAACGGGGCTGAAACGGCCCGAAGGGCCGTCAAGCCCCTTAAATTAAAAAATCAAGGAACGGGGCTGAAACGGCCCGAAGGGCCGTCAAGCCCCTTAAATTAAAAAATCAAGGAACGGGGCTGAAACGGCCCGAAGGGCCGTCAAGCCCCTTAAATTAAAAAATCAAGGAACGGGGCTGAAACGGCCCGAAGGGCCGTCAAGCCCCTTAAATTAAAAAATCAAGGAACGGGGCTGAAACGGCCCGAAGGGCCGTCAAGCCCCTTAAATTAAAAAATCAAGGAACGGGGCTGAAACGGCCCGAAGGGCCGTCAAGCCCTTAAATTAAAAATCAAGGAACGGGGCTGAAACGGCCCGAAGGGCCGTCAAGCCCTTAAATTAAAAATCAAGGAACGGGGCTGAAACGGCCCGAAGGGCCGTCAAGCCCTTAAATTAAAAATCAAGGAACGGGGCTGAAACGGCCCGAAGGGCCGTCAAGCCCCTTAAATTAAAAATCAAGGAACGGGGCTGAAACGGCCCGAAGGGCCGTCAAGCCCCTTAAATTAAAAAATCAAGGAACGGGGCTGAAACGGCCCGAAGGGCCGTCAAGCCCCTTAAATTAAAAATCAAGGAACGGGGCTGAAACGGCCCGAAGGGCCGTCAAGCCCCTTAAATTAAAAATCAAGGAACGGGGCTGAAACGGCCCGAAGGGCCGTCAAGCCCCTTAAATTAAAATCAAGGAACGGGGCTGAAACGGCCCGAAGGGCCGTCAAGCCCCTTAAATTAAAAAATCAAGGAACGGGGCTGAAACGGCCCGAAGGGCCGTCAAGCCCTTAAATTAAAAAATCAAGGAACGGGGCTGAAACGGCCCGAAGGGCCGTCAAGCCCTTAAATTAAAAAATCAAGGAACGGGGCTGAAACGGCCCGAAGGGCCGTCAAGCCCTTAAATTAAAAATCAAGGAACGGGGCTGAAACGGCCCGAAGGGCCGTCAAGCCCCTTAAATTAAAAATCAAGGAACGGGGCTGAAACGGCCCGAAGGGCCGTCAAGCCCCTTAAATTAAAAAATCAAGGAACGGGGCTGAAACGGCCCGAAGGGCCGTCAAGCCCCTTAAATTAAAATCAAGGAACGGGGCTGAAACGGCCCGAAGGGCCGTCAAGCCCCTTAAATTAAAAATCAAGGAACGGGGCTGAAACGGCCCGAAGGGCCGTCAAGCCCTTAAATTAAAAATCAAGGAACGGGGCTGAAACGGCCCGAAGGGCCGTCAAGCCCCTTAAATTAAAAATCAAGGAACGGGGCTGAAACGGCCCGAAGGGCCGTCAAGCCCCTTAAATTAAAAATCAAGGAACGGGGCTGAAACGGCCCGAAGGGCCGTCAAGCCCCTTAAATTAAAAATCAAGGAACGGGGCTGAAACGGCCCGAAGGGCCGTCAAGCCCCTTAAATTAAAAATCAAGGAACGGGGCTGAAACGGCCCGAAGGGCCGTCAAGCCCCTTAAATTAAAAAATCAATGAACGGGGCTGAAATGGCCATCCGTGTTTTCCAAGCTAGAAAGCTTTTGAAAAAAATGAGACACGGGTTGGATTCGAGCTCGCCATCTCGTCTGCGCGAAGAGAAGCGCTCACCACTCAGCCAACTCCAGGGTGACAGCGCAGTGCAGTACTCGATTCATATTCCCGCGAAGAGCGCCAGCCAATCAGCGCGCAGCAGGCCTCCTTGGCAAAATATACTTTGAAGCCCTTAAAAGGGCTGAAGGGGGATTTTCTGGAAAAACAGAGGCCAGGAATGAATTTCTAGGCATTATTTTGGTGGAATCTCCAAATTTTATTAAAATGAAAAATTTTGGTCCAATCGTGCGGAACCCTAGATTTATCGTCAGAAATAGAAGAACCATCGTCAGATCCAAGCTTGCCCTGAGCAGCAAGTCGATCTTGTCTGTAAAGAGTTCTTCGCATTCGCGGTCCCAAAAGGGCCAATCTCATTCCAGTTTCACTGAATAAAAACTTTAACCAGCCGTTGTTATCTTTTCCGGACTCACCAGAAATTCTCTTTGAGCTCTCTGACAGCCTTGAGGGCTGCTTCAGAGCTTTCAAAATCAACGACGGCGCAGAGGCTGTCTCCAATGTCCGGCACTTGGGTGGCGTAGTTGCGCAAGTCAGAAGGAACCTCCTTGCCTGGCCGGAGGAGTCGGACGAGGCCGATGTCTCCGTACTCGCGGAACATGGTGGTGATCTGGTCAACGCTGTCGAACTCTGGAGGCACTCGGATCGCAACAACAGAAGTGAGCAGTCTTGGCTTTCGGAGGGTTTCCGGAAGGATGTCTCGTCGTTTGACACGGTACCCTTGAAGTAAAGACGTTATATCACGTTTATGGTCACTTTTGTTTTTCCGAAATTTTGAGGTCTTTTTAGATTTCTATATTTTTATTATTCCAAAAATGAAAAATTTGGAAAAAAATATAAACACCAATTTTAACAGGCTTTTATGGTTATTTCTTAATCAATCATTACCTTCAGGTGAAACCTCCAGCTGCGGAGCTAATTTGAGAGCATGTCGAACAACTCGCCAGTCTCTTGTGAGCTTTTTGACCTTTTTGAAGCTTGTCATAAGCTTTTTTCTTGGTTCACAACTGAGCTTCTGTACTTAATTGATGTTGAATAAGAATAAATTTGCTAAAAAACTTCGAGAAATAAAAGTTAGGAACCATTCCTTGATGGAGATATAGCCCTCGGATTTGCATCGGATTTGTCGGAGGAGATATTTGTCTTTGGCAAGGTACTCGTCGGAAAGATAATACTCCACCTGATCGATGATAGCTTCTGATTCTTCCTGAGTTGGCGCGTCGTAGTCGCCCTCGTCCGAGTACTGGATCACACCGGAATCATTCGACGAGCCACCTAGTTTTCAAAACAGTTACAATCTGGGGATTAGAAGATAGGAGCATCAGCGACTGATGCTGAACCTGATTCTCCAGAGTTGCGACGCTGTCGTGGAGATTTTGAGTTGTCGTTGATGCGCATGCGCTCTGCTTGTTGAGCGATTTCCTCAATCTCAGCAAGTTGAATGCTGCCGCGTTGCTTGATTGGGACGTATTTGTTCTGAACAAGAAAGGTTATTTCATTTCCTTCGAACCATGTTCAATAGTGCTAGGCCTCATGATGAGCATTTTATCAAATCATTAAAATTCAGTTTTTTTCCTTACTCTCATTATTGGCGCGCTCTTATGGTGTTTACCTTTGAGGGAGATTTTCTTCCTCGTGAGTTTGATTTCTTGCCGCTGGAGTTGATAGAGTCACGTGAGTCGATGGAACTGTTGTGTGATTCAGTGCGAACGAGACCTTCGCCGTTGTGGCCCAGGAAAGCATCGGGATGGCCTCCTGCTGGGATAAAGACGGGAATTTGTTCGGCTGGCCAGGGCATGAAGGGGTGATGGGGGCTCGGATGGGCCGAGTATGCTGGCACGAAGCCTCCCACAGGAGCATATCTGAAAGGAAAGAAATGCTTATCTTGCGATAATTAATGAGAGAGTACATAAGTTGGCATCCAAAGTGGCGGCTATTTGCACGATTTGGCTCACTCTGAGCGTTTAGAAGTGCACTTGTACCACACCCGCCTTCGCCTCGGCGGGAGATGGAGCTCGGTGTGGTGCTCCGCGCGGGTGTCCGCGTGGGGGAGTCATTTTAAAAAGCTTAACACGACGTCACTCCACCACCGCCAGCACCACCATTTAGACGCTGGGACATGTTATCGGACGCGTTGAGCGACCGAGCGTTGCGTAACGGACTCTCATCTCACCCTACTCAACTGCTCAACCAAAAAAACATCTCAGATGGTGGCCTAATTTGAGGTCGAGGGGGAAAATTACAATTTTCGTGGGCTAGAACTAAATTCGCTCTACAGATGTTTTGTGGGTTTATGCAACACGCCGTGTACTACGCGGCTTTTTGGTGGAGCATTTCTAAACCTTGCTGAAGTATTTTTACAATCCTGTGTTTTTTTTCTTGAAATCAAGGAGGAAAATTCGGAAAATGGAGCTTTGAAAATAAGATTTGAATAAATCTGACTGTAGAATTTACCTTTGTTCAGCGTACTCTTGTGGGAAGTAGGCGCGATGAGCATATCGGCTGTCCAACATGTAGTATCCAGGAGGTCCTAAATCGAAATATTTAGCCTCACATCTCAAGTTTGAGATGCACATAAACTTTGACGAGGACTTCAAAACTCGAATCCGAATGATTAGATAACGAATAACTCGTTATCGGCCACGCGAAACCGTAACGTGTTCAAGTGGTAACTCTAACTGACCGTCGAAATTCGCGCGAGGAGCGTCACATTAATTTGATCATCGAAGGTTAAGAAATATTGATGATATTCAAAGATTTTCCAGGAAAAGGGGAAGAAATTTCCCGTAATTGGGGAAAAATTTTTCGATAAGAATATGCAAGGAATATGATTTGATTTTTGTTTGGGCGCTCAAGACGGAGATTAGGAGCAACGTTGTTAGAAAGACGCGGTTTGGCCTTTTCTGCGATCCGGTTGCGCATCTCTCCACGTTGCCCCAGTCCCGTTTATGCAACTCATTTTTCGCCTGATCTTGCATTTAGATGCGGGATCGGGGAGCGAGCTTGAAATGCGATATTTGGGATGAAGGTACAGTTGGCACTGCGTAATAAATCCACGAAAAGGTCACATTCATCAGCTTTGGGGAGCCCAAAATACCTCCAGCGGATGTATTTAACCATTTAGAAAGGGCCTTTTCTGAGCGAATTTCACGGGTGAAACTTTTTGTTTCAGAAACTTTTACAAGTTTTTTCTTAAAAAATATTTCTTCAAAGAAAAAATTGATAAAAATACTTCATTCAAATATTTCATTCTTTGAGCTTGAGTTGTCTACAAGGCCAAAAAGGAATTATCCTTGATTGCATTTAAAATACGAAAAGTATTCGTAATTTGTAAAACTTGCCTCCCTCCAAACACATTTCGCGCCTCTCACGTTTCGCGAGTTATGAAATCAGCTTATTTTTAAACGCGTCAAATAAAGAAATCATCCAAGAAAATGAAAGTTTATCCTTGTGCGGTTTCGCTGAGCTTTCGCTATTTTGGATCTTGCTTGTTTAGGCTCTTGCTCTAACGACTCTTTTGTTTGGGAAAACGAAAACGCAAAATATATTTAGAAGACAACACAATTCAGGCAAATTCAAAACTGAATATGTCACTTTCAAAACTGATTATTTTGATTGCAAAAAACTTGATTTCGGTCGGAAGAAATTTGATCTTGAAATTTCCTTATCAGCTAATGCCTCAACATTTTTTATGATAAAAAACGTGCAAAAACTTATCGCGAAACGTTTTTTCTTTATCACTGAACATGTGAGCAACTTAAATTGACTCAACCAAATGTTTTGGTTTGCTCAAACCTCGACATATATCCAGGTGGAATTGTTTTATTAATAATAATTATAATTGACGAGTTGGAACTTGGGCTAGAAGGATTACTTTAGTTTTATTAGTAAGTTTGTTTATTGCTAAAGAAAAAATAATTGGTGAAGTTGAAATTGATTAATGAACGAATAACTTAGTAATCAAGACTATCAAATGGAGTCTCATTTGTTGATTTGTTGATTATAATTTTCTCAGCAATCTAATTTTACCGTGGAAGTCTAATTTGATTATGATTATAAGAATGAGAATTCAACTCAGAAAATTACCAAATTAAAGGATTCGAAAGCTCGAAAATCAAAGCCTCGTAAACCCTCGAATAAAAACCCCCCTGTTCAAGAAGTTCTTACCTTTGTTCGGTGAGCCGTACATGTTGAGGGTAATTTGTGAGTCGAAGTATTCCTTCTCTCGAAATTAGTCCGAAGTTAATGGGTGTATTTTTTCTACAGTTGTTTTTTCTACTGCTGCTGCTGGCTAACCAGGCAGGAGATGTCCAAAAATATATTTTTTATAAAATTTTTTTGGTTTAAATTTTAAAAAATTGGTTTTGCTAGACTTATGATGACACCAAAGAGTATTGTGAGTTGTTCAACCCTTTTCAAGACGGTTCACTTTTGAATTTTTTATGGAAGGTTTTCTCTTGTTGAAAAAAATAATATAAAATTCGTATAGATTACGTAATAATTTAGAAGTGAACCGTTTCCTACTCTAAGTTCTCTCGCTATGAATGGTTGGTGTCGAGGAGGTTGCGTGAACAGCTCGATGGTGGTGGTGGTGGTGTCAGAGCGACGCGCTGATTGGCCCGAGCTGACGCGGCCCTGAGATCTACTGCACCAAAAATATCCGACAGCACCAGGTGGGCTACACGCGCTCTGTGTTCGAGCACCACCACCACCACGCCATGCATCGACTCCACCTCAAGATCAAAGATTCAACGACGTTTTGGTACAATCAAATTTAAATTTTCGCTGAAAAGACTTTTTATAAGCTCGTTGATTATAATTTACCATCGCTTATGAATAATTCATAATAATTCATAAAAATTTCTTCAAATCGTAATGGCCTTTCTAAGTTATCTGTTGGCCTAATTTTTGAAAATCTTTGCCTTGAAAACAAGGAAGACCAATCGATTAGCACCAGCTGAATTAACAAGTTCGTTTTTTCTTTTTCTTCCCGCTAAGATCGGAACTACCATGGCAACTTCAAACGTCAGCTAAAACTTTTTCTCCACTTCCATAATTATTTAATCGCCCTGCAAATACGAAAATCTGCAAAAATAGCCCCGCAAAATGGTTTGCTATCAGGAGATAGTGAGAAGCAAGATTGATTATTTACAAAAAAGAAGGCAGCGAGTAAACTTCCTCTTGCCAATACTTGAGGAGCGAGGAGTGTTGGTTCTTTGTATTCTATTTTTTTATAGATACGGGCTAAAGGGGAAGTTCTGTGCAGAATAGGGGCGGATTGGATGACAAGGCTTTTCTGCTCGAGCCTCGGACTGTTTTGTTTTGCCATCAGAAGAGAACATAAACGAACGCTGATTTAATTTGGCCCGGATTTATTCGCTAAAACGCTACTACTGACAATTTATGATACAATCAGAGAGAATGAGTTTGCACGAGCCAGTGCCACTGTCGAAATTCGCGTCACGCAGATCTTCTGGGCTTCGATCGACTTCGAGAATATCTTCAAGCACCGACTCACAGTCTGGCAGGACTCAGGAGGAGGTTTTAACAGGAGACGAAACAGGTGTCCGAGCTTATGATTCTTTTTTTTTTTGCTGAAGCAAACAGGTGCATACCGTCACATATTTACGAGACCCGAATGTAGCATTAGATGCTTGAAAACGTCAGGGCTGTGTTTAATCAGTCAGTGTCTCTTTCAATAGCGATAGATCATCGAGGAACCTCTTAAGATCAGACTTGAATGGCCTGTTTTGGTGCATCCAAAGTTGGAGAAGCACTCAAAAAAGAAAAGGTAATTGTATAACGCGCAATTATCAGCTTTATTCCGATTTGGCTGAGTCATATATAAAAAACATTATTATTTTTTTCGCCGAGTTTATTCGGGAATTTGGTCATTTGGTCTTGCAATTTTTTTCTCTGACTTGGCACTATCTTTTCTTCTGTTTTTATTGCTAATTCTGAACAAGACATTTGTCCACTGATAAAAGATAAATCGGCTTATCAAAGTAATCTTCAAACAAATTATTAGTATAACTGGTAGTGTGTGCTGATTTCGTGCAAACAGAAGTCACAATAGTTGCCCAGGCAATCCAAATCGCTCACTTTTCGACCTTCTCAGAAGTCATTAGAGAATTTACGCATCGAGCTGGATTTATCATTTTTAACTAAGAACAACATGGAAAACACCACCACTAAATTTCATGGGAGAAGAAGGTTTCCGCCTGACTATTATGCCGATCCAAGAAGGGGGCGAAAATTCTTTTAAAAGAAATCATAAACGAGTTTTTTTGGAACCAACCAATGAATAATTTAATTTTGATCTTCAGGATGCATTACCATGTTCCATGTCTAGACATTTCTATTGAGAATTCGGAGATTGATTTCTTAAATCCTCAAAATTCAAGACGATCATAAAAAAAACATAAAATGACCCCTCTGAAAAGTCAAACTAACCGGGCACCCTATCGACCCGCTTATTATTTGGAAAGGTTCAATCAATATTAAAATAAAATTAGGCCCTTGTATCTGATTAACCTTCTAAGCCCGGACTACGGGCCTCGTCAACCAATGTTCTCTCGAAGCCAGACCGCCAGTACCTCCACAAACAACAAGCGCAGAGGTTAAAACACAGTCTAATTAGAGTTTAATAGCTACTATCGTCCTGCATATTAAATTGTAAATCCCGCCGAACATTTGAACTTAGGGGTGTCGCGAGGAAATCGATGAGGACGAAGGAAAGGGGGTTAAATCTAATTTGGTTAATCTGGTTCAATAGATAAGCTTCTATAATCAGACAATCAGTCTAACAGGCTTTCCTTGGAGAAAACTTTCGAACTGTCGATTTTGAAAGCATATCTGACATTTGTTCCTAGAGTCGACGTTTTGCATCCACCAACAATTCAAAGAAGGACAGTAGCGCTAGAAACAGGCAATCAACATGCTCACAATCATAGCAGGTGCGTCAAATCAGAAATCGGAGATCAAGAAAAATTATAGAGTGGTCAATATGCAGCACAAAATGTACATGGATTATATCAACTCTCGAAAACCCGCATTCTACGGGTAAGACTCTCCGAAATTTCCCGGGAAAACGTGAATTATAGAAACGCAAAACACCGAGAAGACTACAAACGAAGTCTACGAGAAAGCCTGAAAGCCCAGATGCAGGAGTCGGCCGACAAACGGCGACACGAGTTCAACACTAGCCGAAGTGAGAGCATGAAAGCAATCAGTGATTTCCACAGTTCGAGGTAAGAGAGGCGTGTTTATAATTGATTTGACAAAAGCCCCAAAGCCGCGCTGAAATGGAGCTGAGTCGATCGATGCTGTCAAATTCACGACACTATATGGAGGAGAATAAAAAGGTAAACGCAAATGTCAGCTATATATTTACGGGTAAAGCGTCTCTTTTTTTTTTTTCTCAAGCGCATCACAAATACTGTCATCCTGGCGATACTGCTCTTTGCAACTCTAAAACATAAATGTTGTTAAAAAGTAAATTTTCAAAGCCAGTCTGGAGGCCCTTTAAATTGAACTTTGCATCTCATCCGGATGTCTATATTTTAACGACATCCCCTGCTGAATTAACAATCTTCTTCAAACAATTACTACTGCCATAGATTCCCACCTTACTTAGTAGCATTTGACTACTATTCGACAAAACCCAAGTAACCTTTCAAACGAAATCTTTTTAGATCGCAGAGGAGCGCCGACGGTACATTCGCGAGCAAAGACGTCTTGATCTTCAACGAGAGCGCGAGCTCCTTCTTAAAACGCCGATTAATTGGTCTTACACTCTTAAATAGAGCCTCTCTTGTTTACTGTTTGGAATTCATATAAATATATAAACTTGCGTTGTATATCATGGATTGATAAAAAAAAAGAATTAATAAACATGTGCATCGAGTCCCACAGTTTTCGACAAAACTGTTTAATGCATGAATGATGTCCCGTTATTATCGCAGTTCAAAGTGTAACTCATTAAAAATGAAGAAAAAGAAACGACAGAAAAAGATTCTGCTAAAAATATACCGGTACTTGATAATTAATTCATCCGCAAACTTGCCAACTAGCAAGGTTCAGTAGAGTTTGTCTTTTATTGACATTGACTCTTCTTCCTTCAAAAACTAATTATATCACACACAACATAATGAAGGTTGACTATTCCTTCCTTTTTATAGAAAGAAAAATGATTCAAAGGATTCACCGCAGTTCAGCTTTTATTCATCATCGTCGTGGTCAAAAATTATAGAAGCAACACGATCATTGCGTGCTTTGGGTGACATAAAAGCCCTTCAGAACAACATGTTCCTATTAAAATTAACAAAAAGCGCCTGAAAAAGTTTAAACCAAAGTTCCACCTTTATAAGGTTTTTCTCATCCAAAATTCATTCAACCACTTCATTCGGCCACTCGGATCTTGCAAAGTTCTATAATACGAATTGTTCAGTCCGACTAGACAGATAAAAAGAAGCAACTCTTTTCAATTATAAATCAGCCGTTCTCCTCCATGATCGCGATCGCAAACAACCGGTTTCTCCGTCCTAACAAGTCGTGCTGTAAATAATTCCAAGGCGATCCTCTGCGTTTCACATTCAGATGGTGTGTTTTCAGACTATTCCTCACGCTTCTTTCACGCAGCGCCCTCGTCCGGCTATCGAGCTCCGCGCGCATCTGCGTTCTCTTCTCGCTTCGCGCGTTTCTCTTTTTCTTTTTGGAAAGTGGATCTACTCTTAAAATCACATCTTCAGTTTTCAAAGAGAGAAAAAGAAGAAGAGAAGAAGAATAATCCCCGAAATTCTTCCCCGCGGAACCCCAACTCGAGCAAGATTTTCGACCAATTGAAAAACCTTGTCGGGCAAAAGGGAGAAAAAGTTCGAAAGAAGCCCTCTAGTCCCGACAAGTCAAAGAACTCGTCTAAAGGCTCGTCGAAGAATTCCTCGTCGCGTCGTCCGTCGAGCAAGTCCTCCAAATCTCCGCCATCGAACGGCGCAGACCCCCCTCCAAAGACCACCCCCAACGCTGCAGAAATGGAATTGAACGGAGCTAGAGTCAACGGGATTGATAAGAAAACACCAATCTACAAAACTCCGATCTCGAACTCGTACAAAATTTCCCACGTCCTCGGCACGTGAGTTTCTAGTAGACAATAGCGCATGTAGACAAACTCTTCTGACCACATGGCTCTATCCTATTCAATTTTTTTCAAAGATGGTCTTTTCAAAATTCTCACAATATAAACTGAGAACCAGTCCTCTTTTCTTCAGATTTGACCTTGAACAATGAAATTCTTTATAAGGTTATTTGAAATCAATGATTATAAATAAAAAAATCTAAAAAAAAGAAAACAGATAGAAAATATATATTGGAAGAATGAACCAGGATGCTGTTAATAAAAGTCGCCCTTGACAGTGATAAATCTGTCTTTCTGGAGAGGAAGAGAATCCCCCAATCATGCTCAAATCTATCCGTGCATATTTTATTGATTCAGTATCTATTCCCGCCAAACGCGCTTCAGGCAGCGTATTGAATAATGTATTTATAACTCTACTTAAATATTTATCTTAAAGACATACGGAGTACGCATAGCTTAGCAAGAATTGCGATACGAAAACCCGGCGCGTTTTGCAGCCCGTGAAGTCCAAACGGGTTTGAAAGAAACTGGCAAGAGGAAAATTGATTCGGTGAACTGCTCCCGGCCAATTTTAATCCATCAATTACTTCTACAAAGCCACAATTTATTCCTTACTCCTAGCTTTTTGTATGTCGATGATGATCGATTTTCGCGCCCAAGGCCGCGGAAAAGTAATTTCACTAGATGATTACTTGGATAGATGAATGTGCGTAAATACATGCACTTGGAGATTATTTGATTAAATGCGCGGTGAAATGAGTTTTTCCAAGTTTAATTGGCCGCGTTAATAATACCGGATTATGGCTGCGGTGGTTTTCTTCCTTGATTGCAAATTTTGATGCCCAATTTGGTCATTCCAAAATACCACTTGTCTGATCAAGGACTCAGTTTTGAGCAACGTTTTTTTCATCGAAATGTTTATAAAAATAATTGATAGTTGTCGTCTACCAACTTTATACTGAAAAGTCTATCCTAAAGGTCAATCGTCTCATCTTTATTTTCAGCGGCGCGTTTTCAGAAGTCAAGTTGGCTGAGCACAAGGAAACAAAGAAACTTGCGGCTATCAAGTGTATTCCGGAAAGGGTCGTTAAATTAAACATTTAATTTCGTATTTTGTTTAACATTGTAACTTGCTCCTCACGTCATAACTTGACGTCACAATTAGATAAAAGCGGAAATTTATTTTATTTAAGATATTCTCACACACGATCGATAATTTCTTTAAACAATTAATTTTTGCCAATAAGCTGAAATTCATAAATGACCCTCTGAAAAGCGCCGAGTACTGCGTGGAAAAGCGGACGCAATCAACAATGAGATCAATGTTCTGCGGAAGATCAAGCACCCAAACATCGTGGAGCTGCTGGAATTCTACGACAATCAGAGCCATATTTATCTAGTCATGGAATTGTGAGTTTAACGCGTTCCGAAATCGTTAATTAACAAAATCAAGAGTGACTGGCGGCGAATTGTTCGATCGCATTGTGGAGAAAGGATCTTACTCCGAGCGAGATGCGTCTGAACTTATTAAACAAGTCCTTGAGGTGAGCATTAACCTTTCAAAAATGAGCTTCATTAGAAATTCATTCCCACCAAAAGCTTCAACTGTACGTTTTTCGATATTCAAAAAATGATATTATCCTCGACTATCACTTGTTTTATTCAGGCCGTCCAGTACTTGCACTCACTTGGAATCGTTCACCGAGACCTCAAGCCAGAAAACCTTCTTTACATGAGCCCAGACGACGATGCTAGAATAATGCTGTCCGATTTTGGTTTGTCAAAAATGTTGTACAGGGATGGCTTCATTTATATTTAGAGTTATTTTGTTTCTGTTAAAATATTCTTAAATAATTGTTTGCCTTTTTGGCCTCAGAAAACCGCCGCATGCGGTAGATTGTATGTCTTTTGGCGATATAATCCACTCTCGCATCGATCACTGTAAATCCGTCTTTGGAGGGATTTCAAGCCCTTTATGTTAGAAAACACGATATAAGCAGGAAGTAGATGCTCGAAAAAAGACTTTGAAGCCTCGATTAGTGATACTGCAATGTTGCAAACAGCTTGTGGTACTCCAGGATATGTGGCGCCGGAGATTTTGCTTCAACAACCATATGGGAAAGCGGTTGATGTTTGGAGTATTGGCGTCATTGCGTATATTTTGTAAGTTAGGCTTAGGGTTAGCGCTAGAAATAACGCAAGTATATAATAGTCCTTGCTATCAGTTACTTTAGAATCTTAAGTTAAGATCTTATAATCGAATAATTTCATTAAGACTCTGCGGGTATCCTCCTTTCTACGACGAATCAGATGCAAATTTATTCGAGCAGATCAAAAAAGCCGAGTACGAATTCGACTCTCCTTACTGGGACGAGATTTCAGATTCAGCAAAGGATTTCATCAAACACCTCATGGAAAAGAGCCCGCTCAAAAGATTCACATGTAAAGACGCGCTGGATCATCCATGGTAAAAGAATGAAAGCGAAATCAAGGAAGAGAACGCTTTTTGTTTATAGGATTTCTGGCGGTATGGCTTCGACGAAGGATATCACCAGTGTGGTCACATCGAATATGCGAAAGCACCTGGCAAAACAGAAATGGAAGGTAGTTGAAAATATTCAGAAAAAATTCGTAGTCATTTTTGTCAAAATTGTTCTTTCGCAGTACCGGTAGATAAATGTATATTTTACAATATCGAGAGTCATAAGGTGTCCATAATTGATAGAGCGGATCAGTATTCTCTGTCAGTTACAGTAGCAGATAATGAAAAATGTATGATCCTTTTCTGATCGTCGCTTAATGGACAATTATTGACAATTCCGAGAAAGAAAACACTAATGATGAATTTCAGCAAGCGTTTCACGCGACCTCTGTCATCCGTCACATGCAGCGGCTGAAAGTCGATTCGTCCGGAGCGGGGACGTGTTCAGATTGCCCACCGGCAAGTGCTGCCACGACGAAGTGATAGGAACACGACGCATGCTTTTCTCAACCTTCTTGTGCCGTCGAATTTCAACAACTGTCACAATCATTACTGCGATTTGCAGCTTACCAACATCAACAAAAAACCATAGAGAGGAATTTTTCTGTTCACAAAAACAAAAACTACAAACACTGTACTAGATATGCTTTATTATATAAGAAGGAGAAACGTTTTCTTGAGACTTTATTGAAAGGCTTTTTTCTTTGAAGTTTCTGACGAAGATCTGGATCTGCTGGTGACAGGAGTCGCTGAGCCAGAATTTGAAGGGCTGATAGTGATTTTTTCTTTCATGTCTTTCGCGAATTTGGAGATTATTCCAAAAGGCCTAGATAGACTGCCCGGTGGTGGTTTTTTCTGATCATCGCTGCTATCTAAAGCATAAAATTTACAATCTCTCTCTTCCCTGTTCTGGAGATTCTCCAAATGCCAAAAATATCCCACAATCGTCCCGCCAAGTCACCCTTCTAAGGAAAATCTCCTGGCAAAATAAAGGTGGCAGGAGCAGTTTGCTTACCGGAAATACGCCGGATTCTATTCATAACTTTCTTGAACACGCTTTCATGCTGTACTGGCAAATCTGACGCTTTCAGCCTTACTGACATCTTCCTTCCGCCCGGCTTGGGTAGCGTTTCTTTGCCTTAAAAATTTCTAAAGAGAAAACTTCTAAGCGAAAGTTCTATAATGCGTTTCTTTGAAATAGTTACCAGTAAGCGCCGCCTTTGTAAAATGCTCTAGTTTCAGCGCAAGCTCATCTGGCCTAAACTATTACGTAGGCCGGATAAAAAGATAGAGTCGAATTTAATCGAAAATATAATATCAACAGCAATCTTTAATTACTGAATTCATACGTTTTACTGCACTTTCGCGAGGATTAAAAGAGCGTTTGGTCACACGAATGAGTATTTACTTTACACTAAAGGTTGTATTTTAATCCATTAATATGGGCATAATCCCGTCGAGCACGAGTTCCATCCAGCGTCTTTAATGGTTTACCTCTTTTTCAACTCTCAAATTAAAAAAAAAATAACTGTAAAAACCGGATTTCCTGGATTCCACCTCGGAATTCTTGTCACAATCGGCATTATTTTCTAAAATCTGTCTTTCATTTCCGCATTGCTGTTCAATATTGACTTTCAGGAAGCTCTTCGCACCTTTGAACAATTCCATTCGACAAATCTTTCCGTTTTTCTACAGAGGCTTTGAGCATCCTTATGAGTTTGCCTTTCAGTTACTTTCTTCCAGCAGCTCCCTTCAGCCGGAAAAAGGTCATTCCTGGATCAATAATTGTCTGCTCTTCGGCTTATCCTTTCATTCGCTCCTTGTCTAGGCCTACCCACACCTCTATAAGCTTTTTTGGAATAATCCAGTTATTGTTGTTTTAATGGCACAAGCAAAACCACATTCCATCACGCTCATTAATTGTTTAAAGACTTTCCATAATTTTTGCTTTGACATTTATTTCTATACAGAACTGGTTATGAAGCAGTCGAAATTTTTTTGGGCAAAATCGGAGCTACAGAATGAGCAGACTAATTTTCGAGATGGTATTTAAATCAGTAGTATTTAAAATATGAGAGCAGGGAGAATCAGGAGGAAATAAGAAAATAGAAAGGATGATGCTGAACTTTCAGAATTTATATCGGTCACTGTTACCTTGGGATCGTTAAGAACAACCCCAGTTATCTTTCCTTTCAAAGACTCAGGAAAATATTCGTTGAAATTGCTCTAAAATCACTTTTAAAATATCATCGCAAAGGCTCTTTTTACCTTGTAAATACTTTTCGTTTCCATTTCTATTTGGGTAATGTCATTATCAGTAAATTCATCGATGTTTCTGGCGTCTTCTTTTATGTATGTGACTTTCATATAAACCTTTATCATTGGTCCAGTTAAGACAAGGTCGATTTCAGTGGTGTCAATAAGGGATGCTCGTCCATTAGTTTGTCTATAAAAAGACATTTAATTAAAACGATGAAATTATAATCAAAAAAGTTGGGAATGACTTACTTAGCCTTTGCAGTGTAGTCCTCTAAGGTTATGTTTGTAGAAATCCATTCTGCACTGATATTGACGGCTGTTATTTGATTTACTTGTCCGAAGGCTCTATCGTGCTTCTTCACAAATTCGCGGTATTCTAGCGAGTCAGGATCTTCGAACTCGTCACTGAAGAGCTCAAATGTTTCGTACTCAATAAGTTGCTCGATGAGGATTTTTGATTGGGCCGGAGCTGAAGTTGTACTTGTTGTTGATGTTGATAAACTGTTGTTTGTTGTTAGTGCACTCGTTGTTGTTGTGGACATGTTAGTAGTAGTAGTAGAGTTAGTAGTTGTTGTAGTACCGATCGTTGTCGTAGTTGATGTTGTAGAAGCGGTTGTCGTTGTCGTTGTCGTCGTAGTCGTCGTAGTAGTTGTAGTTGTCGTTGATGTTGTAGTTTTCGTGGTGGTGGTTGTCGTGGTGGTTGTAGTTGTGGTTGTTGTAGTAGTAGTGGTGCTTGTTGTTGTCTCAGAATCACCACTTCCCTCTTCGACTTGCCTTCTCTCCCTTCCCGATAAAAACAGGTCTATCTGCGCATAGGAAACTCCTTAACACATCTCTTTAAATTGAATAAACTTAAATATGACTTGCCGAATAGAACTGCCAGAAGGATGCCAGTTTTCATTTTCACCAATTCCTCTTTGACTTTCTTTTAATTTCTCTTCTTATGATTTACCGAATGATACGTTCGACTTCCAATTGTTATTTTTGAAGGTATGAGCTCCTCTCGTGGGTGGTTCACAAAAAGATACGCGTATTTATCTCTGCTTCCCTCTGGCGACAATCCGTTTAATTTCCTCAAGGATCTTCTTTACCACGGTATGATTGAAAAAAAAACACACAGAAGTTTAATTGTTTATGCTTCACTTGTTTTCTTCTTTAAACTACCTTCCACTTCCCCGTTCTTGATTGCTATCTTAGAAAAAAAAATGAAGACTAACTTGTGCTGTGAAATCGTCAGATTGCCAGACGAAAACTTTTCACTAGATTGAATAGGTCTGCAAATATGACCATCTGATTTAGTCGCGAGAGGCCTTTTTGTCCGAGTTGCTTATGACGACAACTTTTAATCTGGTGAATAACTTTTCAAAGGACATTCTGAGGTGGAGTCACTCTTGGTTTTGATTTCGGTTTTTTTTTTGTTGTAACAGTCAAGAATTCTGAGTCCAATCGTTCACTGACTAATTGACATTAAATCATTTTAAAAAAAGTACATTTATTTTTATTAATTTACTGCATCAGTAAAAAATTCCAATTACAACCCCTTCATAGTTCCTAGGGGGGCCAATTCATAGTTCCGAATGCCAATCCCGTAGTTACGGAGCTTAGTAGCAGCTATTTCTTTCACTCTCCGATATTTATTCAAAAGTAAACGTATCAAAACTTGAACGAGAAAGAATCTGATCTTCTCATTTCATGAAACAATTCAGGAAACTGTACCTTGCTTGAGCTTTGCATTTAAGAGGATTTGTCTCGAAATTTGTAAAGTTGATCTTCGGCTTTCTAAAGCGGTTTTCATCTAGAGCTTTTAGGAGATCAACATGTCTGCTTGGGCGAAAAATTTCAAGTTTTATGAAACTCTAAAGTGCTGGCAACATAAATTTTACCATGACTCCGTGAAAACGTAGCTCAGCAGGTTTCGGCCGAGAACGTACGGTTGCATCCCACGGCCACTTCGCTGAAAAACGAAGGCTACCGATAATCCTGCCGTGTCAGGTTCGCCGCGGTTCGTATAAAAGCCCCTCTTTTCTCCCCGATCTGCTGATTTCCTTCTTTTTTTCTTGACCGAACTCGTGATTCGTTTATAGAAATGAGACTTTTTTCTCTTGCACTTCTTACTTTGTCAGAGGGACAGAAGATTCTCACCGCGGCCAGACAGGAGACTCCGAAGAAGACTTTGTATCCAACTGAACTGACAGCGAAATCAGGAATCTGTGGAAGAATACAGCTTCGACCGAACCAACCGTATGGGATTCAGCGACCGCATAAAAATAAAAATGGCGTCCCTGGTAAGAATTTTGACATTCTTATCTACTTCCTCGAAGCTGTTCTTTTCTATTATTAAAATTATTTATAAATTTCAGCGAGTACACGAAACTTTCTCAAACAAAACGGCTGTACTGATAAAGATATGAATTCCCTTGCCAAGGAAGCGAAAAAGGTCGGAGTTACCCTCATAAAGTGCCGATTCCCTCGACCACTGAATCATGAAGAACATCGGTAAGCTACTATAAAAGATAAAAATTTATTACTTTCTTCTCAAGAGACGTGATGTACTTGCGTTGCATGAAAAACAATCCCCTCGCGCGAAAATCAGCGAAGCACGATAAAATTCGCAAGAAAGCAATGAAGCTCAAGTGCCACGATGGCAAACTCAATCTGGACCGAATGGTGCGAAAATGCGAACGATGGTGGGACCAAGAATTCGAAAGCCTGGGCATTGAATCGTAAATTTATACGTCGTATTTATTTTTTCCCTTTTCTGCTTTGTAACTAACTCAATCTCTCAGAAACTGAATATACTTTTTATAACAAAAATTTGTCTGTTTGATATTTATTTTTAAGTATACTATACATATTATATGGTACAGTTTATATACTATTTTGAAGTTTCGTCCGCAAGTGTCACTTCATACGTAACTTGATTTCCATTGTCCCAGGCGTATAACCGTTGCTCTAGTGGATTGTACGCTAGATATGCGTTCCAACCGAACTTGTTGGAAAATGGAATCATGGGGCGTGAAGCACGGCCAGACTTGGTGTCGAAGGAGTAGTGAATATATGTCTAAGAATAATCGTAAAAATCGGATTTTCAAAAATAGCTGGAGATCAAAAAACGGACCTGTTTTTCATCGTATTTTTTCAAAACATAAAGAGTTCCGCAGAGCATGAAAGCATTCGCACTCCACTGTTTTTTCCATCCTGTGTTGAAAGTCTCTTTGATCTCGAGCGTTTCCTCGTTCAATTTTGACAGGACTAGGTAAATAATTAGACGGTCATAATTACAGGATGCCAACCTATATTCCAATTGTTGGCTTCAGTTGCATAAATCACCCAGAGTCCATTTTCGTCCACGGCGAAATCGATATCCGTACTGCCGCGCCACTGATATGCTGCTTGGTTCGCGAAGCCAGCTCTAAAAGCGCAAGATTAGCACTGATCGCCTTGTTGTATCACTTCAAGTGATTGACTTGGCTAACGGATTCTTACCCTGAAAGCTCCCGGGTTGTTAGAACCTTTCTGTTCGCCCAGTCGTAACGGTACATTGTTGTGGTGTTGTATTTGGTGAAGTACAATGAACCTGAATTCATCAATTCCAAACTTGAGTATAAATAGACTTTGGTACCTTTGTAAGCGACGTGCCCAGTACCCGCCCAGCGAAGCGGGATCAAAAAGGTGCCGGCAAAGTTATCCTAAATCAGCGTTCTTAACCCGTTAACTGGGCGCTCGGTATTAGGGGTTAACGAGCGCGAGGCCCTCTGAGGGCCTTGGACGTTTTGTCATTTTATGAAAACTAAGGCTAAGGAAACTACTTTCTACGAAATCGAGATGATTCAAAAGCGTCCGCTCTTTCATCTGAATATTGTTTTGTTGTTTTTCTAAATCATTGAAGGGTTGAAAATTGAGGTCAAAGTTATGTCATTTTTGGCGCTTAGTTTCGAAAAATGGGAAAAAAGGGAAAAGGCGGGCCAATTCAATTACTCTTTCCCTTTTTTCCGCTGACTGAAGTTTTTCTTTCGCCTCTCCTGATCAGAATTCCATGCTTTTTTTATTCAGAATCAAAACAAGGTATTGAGAATCGATTGAATTTTTCAGAAATCTAAAAATTTTCAAGCAAAACACAGCCTCGACCATTTTATAGCGCTCAGAAGGCCAAAAGGCCCTGAGAGGGCCTCGCGCCTGTTAACGGGTTAAAAGACATTCACCAAAGCCCCTCCAGATCTCTTTTTGATCCTGGATGAGCTGGCATCAAGTAGAAGGTGCTATCAAGCCTTTTGGAATATGACCGCTTGTCTGCGATTAGAAAACTACGAGGTATACTTCTCAATACGGACCTTTGTGAAGTCATCGGTCGAATTGAAGAATTTGACGTTTCTTTCTTTGAAATAGTGGTCCATAAAGAATACTGTCTTGTCGGTAGAGTTACCCATGTCATTGAACCAGGCACCAAAAGGCATTCCGGATGTTTTATGCAGACTTGGAGCCGAAATCTTAAGAGATTTTTTACTAACCTGGCACAGAATGGAGGGTAAAAAAATGTTAAACAGAGTAAATATAAGTACCTTTGAGATGTGTTTGTAACAGGCGTCCACGCCTCTTTGATGAGCTAACTCGGTCAAATTCTCGCCATTGCCAACGAAAAGATCTTCAAACAAAACATACGGACTATCCCTGAGCTTGAGCCGCGCCTTCTCCAGGACTTTGTTCTTCATCGCATATTGGGCAAAAGTGACCACTGCTGGGCGCGTGCCATCCTGAAGACTGGGCCCAGCCCATTGAGCCAGGTCAATGTCCATGTCTTCCAACACAAGTCCGAGTTTTTTCGTCACCAGCTCACGGAACATGTCTATCAATGCTCGGCCTTCTATTTCTGGCAATCCACGTATCCGTACGTTTTTACGGTGGAGGTACTCGTGGCTGTCGGTGATGATATTGTGATCCTCTGAGGCATATATAATTATTCTATTTTCAAGATATGAATCTACAACTAAAGTACTACACAAAAGCTTGGCTGAGATTGTCTACAATCATTGTTATTAATTTCCCATAAAAGCACTTTCAATCAGAAGCTCAATAAGACTATAAAAATGAGCACATTTTTAGCTATTGAAATGAATGTACCTTCGACATTGAGTGCGATTTTGTTGGCGACTTCAATGAGCTGATCATATTGCTTCACAAGTTGGTTTTGGTTGTTTTCTAGCTCCTTTGTTGGATTGATCATAATGGCACTTATTATCGCGATTATTTTTCGTTAAAATAACTTGATCGAAAACGAACTCTTAGTTGTCAAAACAGGAGACTCAGCGGATTTACTGTTCATTAGAGACCAAAGTACATTACAATCGATATTATTTATTAGAATTTTACGGGTCAAGTTGATGATACGATCAAATCTTTTTCAATCTACCGTCACGCAACTTTCTCCCCGCCTATGTTACAGCTGCTTGTTTGTGCATATAAAAACGGCAAGAAAAAATATCTATCATTCCATAAAATGATTCGAAACCTGTATTAGTTTCCCACTCCTCTTTGAGTAGAAAATAAATCTGTCAAATCCATTCCTTAGTTACTGCAGCAATCGTATGAATGACTCGTAAGTCATCCTTCTGTTCGTGAATAATAAACCCTAGAATTCCAAGTCCAATAACCAGCAAGCTAAAAATCACATTTTTCGCACGTTTTTTGAGCATTCACCCTCAATTTTTTCTCTATTTCCCGTTCTTTCAAAAAGAAACCTTGTCCAGTCATGAATCAATTTCTCGTGAAAGAAAGTGTAAAACGAAATTTTCTGGGCATTTTGTTAAAAGCGATTCAAGACGCGACAGAAGCAATGTCCGATTTCGCGAAAATTTTGTGGAAGTGGCAAATCGCAAGTTAACCCGTTAGCGAGCCGTTGCAAGTTTCGGCTTGTCCGGCCTGCGGTTGATTTTTGAACATTACCTGTAAGCAAGAGTGGAACCGCTCGCGTTCCGCATATTACCGCCCGCTCATAATCAATTCAAACTTCCCAAAATTGCGACGTGAATTTGATCCGGCCAAGTTAACTGTTCTCTCTTTAGGTTTCGTCTTGAGTGTTCAACTGTAGTGTAAAATTGTAAAAAAGGGTTTATTTTCCAGTGGTTATTGGGCGAATTTGCATCCCGGTAGAACGGCCGCAGGGCGAATTCTATAATATTATAGAGTACAGATCCGCGAAAATAATGAAAATGAGAGAATAAAATGAAGCGCTATCAAGTTCAAGTTCACCTGCTACGAGAAGCCAAATATTTTGTCAATTAACTGAGAAATAAACTGTTTGATTATTGCCGTTAGTCCATTACTTTTGCATTCTTGCATCTATCAATCAGGAATCAAATACAGTATGAAGAACTTGTCCAATTCTGACCATATCATTCCGATAGGAGATAGCAGCTTCAAGTTATCAATCAATTCTGAAACTCAAGTGGTCTCGCAATCGCAAATTGACATTTTCTGTTTATTCTGCAGAAACGCGGAAACACGGAAATCCAGTCATTATTTCAAAAGTTCACAGGCCAGGGATGCAAATAGACTTTGATCGTTCTAGCTTTCGTTTCTGGCTGAAATCGTCGAGGTAGGCTAAAATTAGATAATTGGTGTAGACATACGGTAGTTGTCTTGGTACCTTTATGCGCGGCAAAGTACTTTTCTCGCGAGGTTTCACGGATTGCTGCGCTTCTTATTCTGAGTCTATTTTTGATATAATTCTGCTCCGAAAACGTCACATCTGTTCTACCATCTCCTCTGAATTAAATTTTTACGCCTGAGCGAAGACCATCACTGAAGAACCTAGCAATGTAGAGGGCAACGGGCATGGGCGGAGGTTGAAGGAACTTTCTTGAGATCCTGAATTCTTTGAACTCGTTGTATCTTTTCTTTCGGTTGATGACGGTCGTCGAGCTTTTTTCTTTCTTCGCAGCTTCAAAAAGCTTCTGGAAATCGTCGGTCTTGTCCTCTGTGAATTCCATTTTTCGCATGTCAAACTTGCGAAGTTGAATGTGATCCTTGAAGGTATTCAAAGGAGCCTCTCCCCTGTACTTTTTGTGCTTCTGCACGTGCAAAGTCTGCTGAAGTTTGAAGTTGCTCTCCAACGAATTCAGCTGGACCTGTCTGTTGTGATTGTATTTATTCAAAAAATGATCTCTCCCACGTTCCAGTAGCTTCAATTCTTTTTCGAATTCTTCAACAATCATTTACTCTATTTTTCATTAGACAGTATTTACCTGTTTTGGCATTTCGGTTTTTTGAAATAGTCCCTTTCGAGGGTCGAAAAGCTGAAATTTTTATCAATATTTTAACGGAAACCTCATGCTATTAATCCGCCTTACATAAAAGTCTTTTGTAAAAAGAATATTCGATGATTTAACATATACGTTAGTAGAACTTATTCTCGTGAATAATTATTTTTTATCTCATAAAAGATTGAATTGACGCAATAAACATTGAGAAATGAAGCAATTTGTAAATTGATGGTTGAAAACGGCGACGCAGATTTTGACTAGTGATTACCTAGAGGGATTCTTTTTGCTGTTTTCGACATATCTCTTGCTAATACTTTGACGATCAGATATTACGGTAAGAAGGTGCTTAGGAACTCAATCTGGGAGCTATGCGCAAGAAACATGTTTGGGCACACACTGTGCACGGTAAATAGAGCATCTGCAGATAGCCCCGCTAAACGACGATACGGTAGTCGTCAACTTAGTCCCTAGCCAAACACACGCACTCCCTACTTTTTTCATAAGGCCTCGTAAATATCCAACTCATTGCCAGAAGAAGGTGTCAAGCATCTTGAAGTTCACTCAAATTTCAAGGAAAAATGCTCGCCTAAGATGCTACCCAAAAAACGGGTCAATTTAATCTTCATTATTTAAAAAATTGTTGATAATTATATCCAGCTTATTAGCTCAAATTATCAACGTGTAATTAGCAAAAATTCGTTCAAAGACGACCTTGTCCTTATTACTCATTTTCTTCTAACTAATTTAAAAACTTAGTTGAGCTAAAACTGGTCATAGAATTTTCCATAAGAACGGAATCATTTTGTCAGGAGTACTTAGCGCACCTTCAAAACGTCAGAAAATAAAAACTAACATAAAAGGCGAGAATCTTTGTAAACAAAAAATGCTGTTACTGTTTTGAAACTTTTAGGGGTACATCATTTTCCTACCGATAAAAAAAGAAAGTCTCTGACGATCACACTTCTCAGCCACGAAAAAGAATAGGTTTCGCGGTGACTTACAGATATTTAGGAGAACGAAGAATAACGAGTGCAAATATAACGAGAGATTTCTTCATATTCCCATCCGATTACTGTCAAGATATCTATTTGGAAGGCACAGACAATTCGGCCGTTCGATGACTCTATCAAGGATCGTATCAGTCTTGTGTTCACTTTGATCCTGTTCGGTCAATTTGGAAAATGCAAATTAGAGGAACATAATATCAGAAATACACGAAGATGCATCTCTGAGATATACCTGAGTTTTTGTAAGCATTTATTGGGGATCGTTCAGTTTCTTTCGCTATGAAACTTACAGTATGTACAGTAAAACGGTATGTTTCATTTCTATTCAGTAGCCAATTATTTTAGATAGTCTAGAGTCGGAGCAGGAAGTTATTACCAGATGTCGTCGTCGAATTTAATCGAGTTGACTGAGGTGTTGATCTGACCTCCGGAATAGCTTCCTCTTTTCTTCTTGTTTTTCTCGTGCTACAAAATACAATATTAGCTGAGAACTTTTATTTCAAAATTACCGTAAATTTCTTTCCCTTGACTGTCTTCAGCTGTTCGTGGGCCTTCTTTCCCCAACCAACAACGCCTCCTTGGACGTCCACAGCCATTCGGTCGTCAAGCTGTTTGCCGCCCTTGCAAGTGAAGAGTTCAATTTCTTCTGTTCGAACTCGTCTAAATGGAGAGCTCTGGCGCTTTCGCTTGGCATTTCGCGGCTTGGACGGAGTAACAGCCATTTGCTCCTCATCGGGAGACTCCTCTCTTCGTCGTTTTTGCCCGCTAGAGTAAATGAAAAAGAGTCACCTTTGGAATTATCATTTACCTTGCTGCTTTTTTAGGAGGCTCGACCTTGACTTTCACGGGTTCCTCATCGCTAGAGCTGTCAGACGAGCTTTCTTCCTTCTTCACCTTTTTCGCGGGAGTGGCTGGTTTCTTGGTGACCTTCGGTGGCTCTTCGTCTGACGAAGAATCTGATGAAGAAGCGGGTTTCTTGATTGCTTTCTTCGCTGGAGTAGCCTTCTTCACAACTTTCGGCGGCTCTTCATCGGATGAGGAGTCCGAGGAAGATTCTTTCTTCGTCACTTTCTTTGGCGTGGCAACTTTTTTCACCACTTTTGGGGGCTCTTCGTCGGACGAGGAATCATCAGAAGAAGATTCTTTTTTCGCCACCTTCTTCGCCGGAGTAACTGCTTTCTTCACAACCTTTGCAGGCTCTTCATCAGAAGACGATTCCGAAGAGCTCTCTTTCTTTGAAACTTTCTTGACATGAGTCGCTGGTTTTTTCGCAACCTTCGGCGGTTCTTCATCTGAAGAGGAGTCTGAAGAAGAGCTATCCTTCTTCGTAACCTTTTTAGCTGGAGTGGCCACTTTGTTTACAACCTTAGGTGGCTCGTCATCCGAAGACGAATCCGATGAGCTTTCCTTCTTTGGCACTTTCTTCGCCGGAGTCGCCGCTTTCTTTGCGACTTTAGGAGGCTCTTCGTCAGAAGATGATTCGGAAGAAGAACAAGCCTTCTTCACAACTTTCTTCACAGGCGTTGCAGCTTTCTTGACCACCTTTGGCGGTTCTTCGTCAGACGAGGAGCTGTCCGACGAAGAGCTGTCTTTCTTCACAATTTTTTTCGCTGGAGTCGATACTTTTTTAGCAACTTTCGGTGGTTCTTCATCAGATGACGAATCGGATGATGAGTCTTTCTTCGCAGCCTTCTTAGGCGTTGCCGGCTTTACCACAACTTTTTTCGCCGGTTCTTCGTCGGAGGAAGAATCATCGGAAGAAGAATCCTTCTTTACAACCTTCTTGGCTGGCGTTGCTGGCTTTTTAACAACTTTAGGAGGCTCCTCATCGGACGACGAGTCATCGGAAGACGATTCTTTCTTCGCTGCCTTCTTCACAGGTGTGACAGTCTTTTTCACCACCTTGGGTGGTTCTTCGTCTGATGAGTCGTCGGATGAGCTTTCGTTCGCCTTCGTGAATAACTTTTCCTGGACTCCACCAAACGACACTAAAGAAACGTTGATTCGGGTATTAAACCCTTCTTTTCTTACCATTTCCGGGTGTGGTCTTTCCAGGAGTCTTGATGTTCGATTTCTTCACTGATGGAGTGCTTTTGACGATCTAAATCGCCGTTAACGTCTTTTCAGCGATGAAAGACCTACCGGTGTTCCGAAATCTGGAGGAGGGACAGCTGCAAACTTGGCTTTAGCGGGAGTCTTAGCTGGAGCTTCATCTTCCGAGCTACTATCAGACGATGATGCAGGCGGTTTTCCGAGCGATTTTCTGACAACAGTCTTCTTCGCAACTACCTTCTTTGGAGCTTCGTCTTCGCTCGAGCTGTCGCTTGAGGAAGACTCCTTCTTTGCAGCAACTTTCTTAGTAACCTTGGCGGGAGCTTCGTCTTCGCTGGAATCGTCGCTCGAGGAATCAGCAGGCTTCGGCGGGGCAACCTTCTTGGGAGTTGCCTTCGGCGGCGCTTCATCTTCGCTAGAATCATCGCTCGAGCTGCTTGCCGGCTTCTGTGGGGCCTTTTTCTTTGGTGTAACTTTTGGTACTGGCTCCTCATCACTGAATATGAAATTAGAAACTGTTATATAGAAGAAATTGTACCTGGAAGACGAATCAGAAGAAGCAGGTTTCTTGACTGCGGTCTTCGCCTTTGCCTTCTGAAGCTTTGGTGCTTCCTCCTCGTCGGAGCTAGAGTCGGAACTCGAGCTGCTCGCAGGCTTGTTCTTCTTGAAAGGAGTCTTTTTTCGGTTTGCGATAGCAGCGGACTTCGGTTTCGGTAGGGCTTCCTCATCGCTGGAATCGTCTGAAGAGCTGTCTTTAGGGGCGCGCTTGATAATTGGCTTCGCAAGGGCGTTCAGGTTTTCGTTTGCGGGAAGCTCTGCTTCAGAAGAACTGAGACTTTCTTCGCATCCGGAATCCTTTTTCTCTTCCGCCTGTTCGCTGATAAGTCGTTCCAAAGAAATAGCATCCTTTGCATCTTTCTTTTTCAAACCGGTTTCTTTCTAAATAAATTTTGCGAAAATGAAAGACTTTTTTCAGAAAATACACGAAACTTACGCAAAAAGCCTTAGCCGCCTCCTTAAACTCCTCATCAAGCAGATATTTAAGCACAGCTTTGTCCGATCTTTTCGATTCTCTCATCGATTCCTCTTTTTTAGTTTTATCGGGCAGTGAAGGCAGAAAAAAAGGAAAATTCGCACTCGAGCCTGGAGAGAAGCGAGCCAATCAGAGCGCGCGCTGGTCTCTTGTTCGAAATGAATGAAATTCGGACGCTTTAGGCTCTTTTCCTTCAATGTGAAGTACAGCCGCGAATTTTCTTACATGGCTTTGAAATACCTTCGAATTGAAAAGAAACAATTAGCGTTGAGAATTTTCTGGCAGTTAGGGACCATATTTCGGTCTTTTGCGTAGTCAAATATCATTTATTAATTATATATTAATGAATAGAGTCAATATGTTCATAAATTAATAATTAGTAAATAGACTGCCAGAAAATTCTCTAAACTGGTCCTTTCTTTTCAATTCGAAGGTGTTTCAAAGCAATGTAAGAAATACGGTATTTCAAATACCGTAATCCTATGGCTCTTTCGTGATCACAGTTGACAGTTTTAAAATTCAGTAAAACCAAAAGCGAAGCCACCAGCTTTCGTGTCCTTCATTCAAGTTGAGGTGTGAACTTTTGCAATTTTCAAATTTTCGCAATTAAAAATTTTTGCAATTAAGACTAATGATAACTTATGTCAGGGTTTGGGGTGTTGATGAGTTTTCAATGTAAATTTTCTTTTTAACTTAATTTTGACTTATTGCCACATTAGCCGGCTCGAGTCATTAGCGGCATCGTCCACAAAGATGTTCATTTTCTCTGAACAATGAAATTTAACAAAGCTCATTACGAGCCTGTTAATCATGAACACTTAGAGAGTCTTGCTTCAGTTTCTTACAAGCCAGCTAGCTGAAAAGCAAAAAGCTCTAATCAGCAAAAATTTTAAAATGTCATCTGAAATTTCTGAATTTCTTTCGCGTTCCAAAGACCCTAAACAATCGTTCCATCAAAAGTTCATACTTGAATTTTCCGTGAAGAATGGTTGTCCATGAAATTTGCGTCGGACAATGGACTGATGTACCAGGCTGCCGTAACCTATAAGTGTACCCGGAACGAGCTAGCGAAGCCTCTGACGAACAACCAAGAACCAGCAAGTTTCATAACTGAAAATCATTACGATCTCTAGATGTGCTCGAGTTTCCCAGGAGAAAATTGCATGTTTTTTGCACCTGGGAAGCTCTAGCCCATCTAGAGAAGATTTTCCAATGCATGAGCTATTCGAAATAAGATTAAATAAAAAAATTCTCTAGTTCACACCGAGTTTCTCAGCAAAACAGAAAAGAACGGTAAAGGCAACTCCAATGATAGGAATTCGTTTTCTCAACCAACAGTCTCTCCCGAACAAATACAGCCCGAGTCTGAAATGCGAACCGAGATGCTAGTCAATGGAAAATATCGCGTCAATCATCAATCAAATCATCATCTCTTCCACATTCCAGCCCTTTTTAGGGCTGCATTTTCGCCGATTCGGACAATCAATCGTCTGCAAGTACAACAGAAAAAACAGTCGTTGATTCCCCATCACTGCGGACAAATCGACCCATACAAGAAGAAACCCATACAAAAGTTAAAGAGCGAAAAGGCTGAATTTATCTCCTCGGCTGTCACTTGCACGCCACCACCTCGCGCGGCTAATCCACCGGAACATGCATTGAAAAGGCCAGCGTCGTCTTTATTGAGCATCATTAAAACCTTTGAGCGAAATTTTAAGGATACACTTAAAATATATCGAAATTTTTAAAATGAATTGCTTGTTGCTGGTAGTCGTAAATATCTTGAGAAGCAGTGCGCAACTGATATATGCAGATAATGGTAAGTACCATCACAAGAAAATCTTATTGCCCTAAAAAGGGCAAATTGGAATTGATTAGCAAGCATTTGCTAATTTTGAATGTCTCGATTCATGTCGGACTAAATGTAGGAGCACTGATGCAACTTAGTAATACGCTGAGGTTCTAGCGTTGTTTATATATGAGCGCCCGAGAAGCGCCGTATTCCATCTAGAGAAAATTCAAATTATCAGCATGTTCTTGCAAAGACTGCTTTTTTGAACGAAGCGCTTCAAAGTGTTTATTTTTCAAACTTTGCATCTTCCTATTATTAATAAATTTTCAATATTCTTCAAAATCAGAAAGATTAATGACATATTTAAGGAGATTTTCTATAATTCCTTACTGTTACTCTTAGATAAAATAGTAGCAGAAAGCGAGAGGGCTTTGCGAAAATGCTTTGTCTACATGGAACAGGTGATGGACTGTAATCCGCCGTTGAGGAAGATAGGAAAGGTAGCGTCGATTCGTAATTATTTCACATCAAAAATGGTTTGAAGTATAAATGGAGGATGGAGAAGAACTTCAAAAACGCGCTCTTCCATCTTCAAAACGAAAATTGCCGCCTTCAAGAAGATTCTTCCTATGCTCCCCCAAAAAGGTATAATAGAGGCCAAAATATGTTTACAGATAGGTACTTTGCCAAATTGATCGAGCAAGCGCAGAAGAGAAAGATCGCCAAGACTTGGTTTCCAAAATCGTAAATTTCTTGGAATTAGAGATCCACTCTGTAAACCACCAAAGCCACAGCTATCTGTGAAATTAGGCGAAATTTGCGAAGGATTGTCAAGGAACGGATATAAGTGTCTTATAATGATGACAGCTTGTGTGGCAATTATGAGTGTAATTATTGTTCAATCTCCAAAAATTTGATTTTGGAAACGACGATAAATGAGTCACAAAAATGTTTTTTTTTTCATAGAAAAATATAGTTAAATATCCGCGAAAGGGACTTTTTCGCAAAAGAAATCTTCTCTGGCTGCCGACGATTCAATGCCTGGCAAGACCGAAACAACCACTTACTGAAGGACATCCTAAGAATGCGCAATCAATGTCTAAAACGCGCAAATCTACCTTACTAAATCATCACTTCCACCTCAATAACCTGTGAATAAAGACATTTGTAAGCATTAAAGTCGACTCTGAAAAATATAACGGCAAGATTATTCGCGCAGCCGCAGCGACAAATTGAAACAAGCAGGAAAAAATTGAATCGTTGTTTTTGGCATTGGAGGAGCGTTTTCACGCGTTTTTCGCGGAAGTGAAATCAATCTCATTTCAACTGGACGGATGCAGATTACAGTCTTAGAGCAGGTTTTCTTAGCAGTGAATAATGGTGTTTTTCTAGAGGTGAACGGGCTTCTCAGAGAGAAAATTGCAATTTTTTACCTGAGAAGCTCCTTTTGTCTAGAGAAATTATTGGTAAACATTACTTCCGTTAATTTTTTGACGGCGAAAATAAATTCTTTCTAGATAAAACTAGTGAGCTTCTCAGGAAAAGCTATATAAATCGCCATTTCTTTTGAAAGCCAAGATGTACTGAATGCAATCGGTAACCGACGATGACTTATTGTTAGGGTCCGTACACAAAAATTCTAACTTTTTTGTTACAAAAGCAAATCCTTTGAAAGTTTTAGTGGTTATTAATATGCCTTTGTGGATTGTAAAAACAGAATTAAATTGAAAATTCAAAAAGGGTTGATGAGATAAGCGCTTAAAAAGCCTGAAAAACACTGTTGTATTAAAATTTCAGAAAATTAAACAACATGAGAAGATTTATCGATGGCGATTTTAATTTTATTCTTCAATAAAAAAGTTTGAAAAGCTTCTACAACATCCTCAAATTAAAGGAAGAAGGTCAAAATCTGGCCTTCTTGCGCTGCGCAGCGCGCGCGATGCGTCACTTTCCTTATTTGGAAGTCGTAGGGTGGCCGCAGCGCAGAGACGCAAAAAGAAAAAAATTCAATTTTCATAAAAAATTATATTATAATAAAAATAAACTTTTTTCTTCTAAAATAAGTAATAACAGATAAATTTTATATTTTTATAAATAACAAAACATTTTTATTAAAAAAAATTCAAAATTTAATAAAAAGCTCATTAATAATTAATGAATAATAATATCAATAGAATAAATAAACAATCCTTCGAGCCCCATTCCTTGATTTTTAAATTAAGGGGGCTTGACGACCCTTCGGGCCGTCTCAGCCCCATTCCTTGATTTTTAAATTTAAGGGGCTTGACGGCCCTTCGGGCCGTCTCAGCCCCATTCCTTGATTTTTAAATTTAAGGGGCTTGACGGCCCTTCGGGCCGTCTCAGCCCCATTCCTTGATTTTTAAATTTAAGGGGCTTGACGGCCCTTCGGGCCGTCTAAGCCCCATTCCTTGATTTTTAAATTTAAGGGCTTGACGGCCCTTCGGGCCGTCTCAGCCCCATTCCTTGATTTTTAAATTTAAGGGCTTGACGGCCCTTCGGGCCGTCTCAGCCCCATTCCTTGATTTTTAAATTTAAGGGGCTTGACGGCCCTTCGGGCCGTCTCAGCCCCATTCCTTGATTTTTAAATTTAAGGGGCTTGACGGCCCTTCGGGCCGTCTCAGCCCCATTCCTTGATTTTTAAATTTAAGGGCTTGACGGCCCTTCGGGCCGTCTCAGCCCCATTCCTTGATTTTTAAATTTAAGGGGCTTGACGGCCCTTCGGGCCGTCTCAGCCCCATTCCTTGATTTTTAAATTTAAGGGGCTTGACGGCCCTTCGGGCCGTCTCAGCCCCATTCCTTGATTTTTAAATTTAAGGGCTTGACGGCCCTTCGGGCCGTCTCAGCCCCATTCCTTGATTTTTAAATTTAAGGGGCTTGACGGCCCTTCGGGCCGTCTCAGCCCCATTCCTTGATTTTTAAATTTAAGGGGCTTGACGGCCCTTCGGGCCGTCTCAGCGCCATTCCTTGATTTTTAAATTTAAGGGCTTGACGGCCCTTCGGGCCGTCTCAGCCCCATTCCTTGATTTTTAAATTTAAGGGGCTTGACGGCCCTTCGGGCCGTCTCAGCCCCATTCCTTGATTTTTAAATTTAAGGGGCTTGACGGCCCTTCGGGCCGTCTCAGCCCCATTCCTTGATTTTTAAATTTAAGGGGCTTGACGGCCCTTCGGGCCGTCTCAGCCCCATTCCTTGATTTTTAAATTTAAGGGGCTTGACGGCCCTTCGGGCCGTCTCAGCCCCATTCCTTGATTTTTAAATTTAAGGGCTTGACGGCCCTTCGGGCCGTCTCAGCCCCATTCCTTGATTTTTAAATTTAAGGGGCTTGACGGCCCTTCGGGCCGTCTCAGCCCCATTCCTTGATTTTTAAATTTAAGGGCTTGACGGCCCTTCGGGCCGTCTCAGCCCCATTCCTTGATTTTTAAATTTAAGGGGCTTGACGGCCCTTCGGGCCGTCTCAGCCCCATTCCTTGATTTTTAAATTTAAGGGGCTTGACGGCCCTTCGGGCCGTCTCAGCCCCATTCCTTGATTTTTAAATTTAAGGGGCTTGACGGCCCTTCGGGCCGTCTCAGCCCCATTCCTTGATTTTTAAATTTAAGGGCTTGACGGCCCTTCGGGCCGTCTCAGCCCCATTCCTTGATTTTTAAATTTAAGGGGCTTGACGGCCCTTCGGGCCGTCTCAGCCCCATTCCTTGATTTTTAAATTTAAGGGCTTGACGGCCCTTCGGGCCGTCTCAGCCCCATTCCTTGATTTTTAAATTTAAGGGCTTGACGGCCCTTCGGGCCGTCTCAGCCCCATTCCTTGATTTTTAAATTTAAGGGGCTTGACGGCCCTTCGGGCCGTCTCAGCCCCATTCCTTGATTTTTAAATTTAAGGGGCTTGACGGCCCTTCGGGCCGTCTCAGCCCCATTCCTTGATTTTTAAATTTAAGGGCTTGACGGCCCTTCGGGCCGTCTCAGCCCCATTCCTTGATTTTTAAATTTAAGGGGCTTGACGGCCCTTCGGGCCGTCTCAGCCCCATTCCTTGATTTTTAAATTTAAGGGCTTGACGGCCCTTCGGGCCGTCTCAGCCCCATTCCTTGATTTTTAAATTTAAGGGCTTGACGGCCCTTCGGGCCGTCTCAGCCCCATTCCTTGATTTTTAAATTTAAGGGGCTTGACGGCCCTTCGGGCCGTCTCAGCCCCATTCCTTGATTTTTAAATTTAAGGGGCTTGACGGCCCTTCGGGCCGTCTCAGCCCCATTCCTTGATTTTTAAATTTAAGGGGCTTGACGGCCCTTCGGGCCGTCTCAGCCCCATTCCTTGATTTTTAAATTTAAGGGGCTTGACGGCCCTTCGGGCCGTCTCAGCCCCATTCCTTGATTTTTAAATTTAAGGGGCTTGACGGCCCTTCGGGCCGTCTCAGCCCCATTCCTTGATTTTTAAATTTAAGGGCTTGACGGCCCTTCGGGCCGTCTCAGCCCCATTCCTTGATTTTTAAATTTAAGGGGCTTGACGGCCCTTCGGGCCGTCTCAGCCCCATTCCTTGATTTTTAAATTTAAGGGGCTTGACGGCCCTTCGGGCCGTCTCAGCCCCATTCCTTGATTTTTAAATTTAAGGGGCTTGACGGCCCTTCGGGCCGTCTCAGCCCCATTCCTTGATTTTTAAATTTAAGGGGCTTGACGGCCCTTCGGGCCGTCTCAGCCCCATTCCTTGATTTTTAAATTTAAGGGCTTGACGGCCCTTCGGGCCGTCTCAGCCCCATTCCTTGATTTTTAAATTTAAGGGGCTTGACGGCCCTTCGGGCCGTCTCAGCCCCATTCCTTGATTTTTAAATTTAAGGGCTTGACGGCCCTTCGGGCCGTCTCAGCCCCATTCCTTGATTTTTAAATTTAAGGGGCTTGACGGCCCTTCGGGCCGTCTCAGCCCCATTCCTTGATTTTTAAATTTAAGGGCTTGACGGCCCTTCGGGCCGTCTCAGCCCCATTCCTTGATTTTTAAATTTAAGGGCTTGACGGCCCTTCGGGCCGTCTCAGCCCCATTCCTTGATTTTTAAATTTAAGGGGCTTGACGGCCCTTCGGGCCGTCTCAGCCCCATTCCTTGATTTTTAAATTTAAGGGGCTTGACAAAGGCCGGGAACTCTGAGTTGATCAATCTCAGTTCTGTCCCCAACCCCACCCACACCCATCGCTTTTAAAACTCAAATTATCCTCGTTTTTATTTTAATTATGGTTTTTTTTAAGTTATGAAAATCGTCATTATTTTTAATTTCAATTATCAATTAAAATCTTGCTTGAGCATTTTTATCGATTATTTTGGTAGACTAACGCTTAGTTTTGCAAATTTGAAAAAATCTATTTTACCCTTTACGCTGGCGCTTTGCGTGCTCACCCCGTATCATGCGCTCCCCTGCGTGATCGCGCGCCACGCGCTGCATTCAAAATATCGGCAAAATTTGCAGTTTTTGTAAATTTCGGACAGAAGCATGAGGTTTTCAAACTTTTTAAAGGGAATTGGAATAAGCTTGTCCCGCCGGTCATCTCAGTATAATTTATTTTTTGAAATCGGAATACAACCTGGTGAACACAAAAATCACCATCTTTGACCCTTTATATTTTTCAACCCTTTCATTTTAGAGAGAGTCAAAAAGCAAAAATGCTTATTTGAACTACCTCAAAAACATATTAAAAAATAAAAACGATTGGATTAGTATTTCGGGTACTTAATTTTTGTGTACGGACCCTACTTATTGTTACGACAGAAAGTGAGAATGGCTCATGGTTTAAGGGCCATGGAAGAGGAGTGTGCGTATGGACGGATGTGGAAGGTCCTGTTGAGGAAGTAAGCGAGTCACGAAAAGCATATGACATTGAGCCCATCGACTTGACTCCGAACTCGAAAATCCACGCAAAAAATGTATCAAGAAGAAGGCATTTGATGCTATGATGAGGACTCATCATTGAAGAGCATTTATTATTAGCTCTTTTAGGGCTATAAATGGCTAAATGGGACGCTACTATCAGCACTTGGTGGTTGGTAGAATTGCTTGTCGTTTTTATTTTTACAAACATGTATTTTAAAAATTCATTCACGGTCGGTTAGACCTCCATCACGGTATCGGAGGCATAACTTGAAAAGGTATCGGAGGAGAAGCGATTTTCATTGTGTTTCTTATTATCGTCGTTCTGCTCGGTCAGCTGTGCACTTCCGCTTTCGTCGGTCGCTTCAAACAGATCGTCAAGGCCATCGTCGGCGAAATCGTCGAACTGGGCGATGTCCTTTTCGAAGGCTGTCGAAAATCGGTCGCAGTCTTGATCAGCGCTAGAAGATTTGAATTTATGATATGGTTAAAAATAACTAAGCAAACATCTAAAAAGCGATGACAGATTCACGGGCGGTTTATAGATGGTTATATTTATTGTTTTAAACTTATAGGTTATAGCTGTTTCCGAAGATGATTATGACCATAAATGAAACTTTTGATACTCTGACATGTGACAAGAGAAATAAATCTATAAGAGGAAGTCGCTACCAAGAGATCAATAAGCATTTCATTGCTCAAATTTATGTGTTACGGGGGTCCAAAATCGTGATCTTGCTTTACAGTTTTCTCAATGTAGGATTGTTATTATCTGACTTACTTCGATAAGAGCTTGCCAACAAAAACTTGAGGTGGTTTGTTTTCCTTCTGAAGAAACTTTTCACGCCTGGCAGCAACAGTGCCATTCTGTATCACCCTTCTGGTGACGCTGGCTGGCCCACGTGACCTCATTCGTTTAATGTAATCCAAGTAAGACTCGCTTTTCAAACGCATTGACGCTGCTTCCCGCGAGTTGATAGACTTGAGGCTTGATGACGATACAGAGTGAACCGAGGACAGTGACTGCTCGACCTTCTCCTCCTTGATGACGGGAGGAAGGGGTGATGCTTTTTCAACAGCTGACATTTCGGGTTTTTCCGTGGGTGCTTCGGGGGCACTTATTATTCTTAAAAATGTATCAACGAATAATTCTTTTCAGGGTTCATGGCTGTTATAAGTTATAACTCAACAATTGCCACACAGTCCGGATCTAAATCCACTAGATTTTACTCAGTTATCATCATCTAGTGAGGGCTCTTTTTCTATAAAAATATCACTATTTTATCAACTTTATGTGTGGGATGACTAAGTTCGTGGGGACTAGGTTCGTGGGACTAGGTTCGTGGGTGGCTGGCTGGAAAACGTGGTTCGTGGGACTAGGTTCGTGAGTTTTTGATTTTATATGTATATTTTTATTTATACTGATTAAGTGTTATTTATATGTATATATTTATTTATATATATTTATATATATGTATTGACGCGCTTTTAAGGTTGGGGTATTTAAATCTCCCATAAACTTATCTTTAGGCCCGGAGCACCATATATATTTAGAATCAGTAAGAAAAATCTAGAAACTTGACCATAACCGATTCTCAAAAATCACTTCCGGTAGCGATTCTAGAGCCGGAAGTTGATGAAATTTAGGTGTTAGGGTGAAGTGTGACCTATCAAATTGATGCTAAGACGATTTCCTATCATTTAAGAAGAGAATCAACACCAACGGAGATCAAACCAACCGGAAAAAACAGAAAAGAATTTCATCATTTTATGTCTTTTTAACATGATTTTACCGGTGGGTTTGACCACGTTTGAGACTGTTTCTTCTGATATATTTATTATAGGATGACTCAAAATCTTCTGAGCATTAATTTGATAGGTCACACTCTAGCATTACTACCAAATTTCATCAACTTCCGGCTCTAGAATCGCTACCGGAAGTGATTTTTGAGAATCGGTTATGGTCAAGTTTCTAGATTTTTCTTACTGATTCTAAATATATATGGTGTTCCGGGCCTAAAGATAAGTTTATGGGAGATTTAAATACCCCAACCTTAAAAAAAGCGCGTCATTGTAATTATATGATCATATAATATAATATTGTTATCTAAATATAGGTTCGGGGTTTTTGATTGGTTAGAATTTTTATTCTATAAGGAAAAATATGTGCGACTAGGTTCGTGGGACTAGGTTCGTGGGTTTTGAAATTTTTTATAAGGAAAAGGGAGGTGCGACTAGGTTCGTGGGACTAGGTTCGTGGGTTTTGAAATTTTTTATAAGGAAAAGGAGGGTGCGACTAGGTTCGTGGGACTAGGTTCGTGAAGACTAGGTTCGTGAAGACTAGGTTCGTGGGACTAGGTTCGTGAAGATTAGGTTCGTGAAGACTAGGTTCGTGAGACTAGGTTCGTGGGACTAGGTTCAGTTAAAGAGCCTAGCGGCTTATTTTGGGGGTTGGGGGTGGGAAAGTCATTTTTTACCATTCAACTTTACCCAATTTTACAACCCACGAACCTAGTCCCACGAACCTAGTCTCACGAACCTAGTCTTCACGAACCTAATCTTCACGAACCTAGTCCCACGAACCTAGTCTTCACGAACCTAGTCTTCACGAACCTAGTCCCACGAACCTAGTCGCACCCTCCTTTTCCTTATAAAAAAATTTCAAAACCCACGAACCTAGTCCCACGAACCTAGTCGCACCCTCCTTTTCCTTATAAAAAAATTTCAAAACCCACGAACCTAGTCGCACGAACCTAGTCGCACCCCCTTTTCCTTATAAAAAATTTCGAAACCCACGAACCTAGTCCCACGAACCTAGTCGCACCCTCCTTTTCCTTATAAAAAAAATTTCAAAACCCACGAACCTAGTCCCACGAACCTAGTCGCACTCAATTGTTCCTTATAAAAAAATTTATAATTTTTATAATACTTATGATACTTATAGAAAATATCATTTTCAAAACCCACGAACCTAGCACCCCTACGAACCTAGTCCCACGAACCTAGTCGCACCACATTGTTCCTTATAGAAAGGAAACCATACCCCATCTTGCATACTTTGGCATAACCACCTACGAACCTAGTCCCACGAACCTAGTCCCTACGAACTTAGTCATCAATCCCAACTTTGTGGGTTCTAAAAAAAATAATACTAACCTTTCCCGACTTTTCAAATTCTCTTTTGAGAAGCTTTGAGAGATTGACTCGAGCTAATAAAGGATGATTTTGTTTCTGTTGGGTTTTTGTGGCTCAGCAAGCGTGACGGTTCAGAATCCTTCTCCCCTTTGAAAGTAGGCATCCTCATGTCAGCCAGGTTGAAATCGATCGCTTCGTGGTTTTCCGCCTAGTTTAAATTGTGATGAAGCGATCCAATTTGATGATTTCAAGTGTTTTTGAGTTGGAGTATTTCCGGAAGGGTAATTCCCTTCCTTTCCGGAGCAATTTTGGATTACCTTAGTTGCTGTGTAGTCGATGGACTCTTTTCGCCGAGGCCTTATTTTTGAGTTTTCGACATTTGACATTATTAGTTACATCATAGGAGCCTTCTGAGAGCGCAAAAGTCACGAAGGATTAGGCGGAAATTATCCGATCGTAAACGTCAACCGCCATTTTCAGAAGATGTCAGACCAAAAGGAACCATTTTAATAGCTCTATAGGTTAAGCGCGATGCTACAGTTTATCAATTGGTCTCTCGGCAACATGGTGGGTTGGTAATTTATGTCGAGATATCATAAAGGAGGATTAGGGCTGCTATTTTTAAAAATTGAACTCTTCCTTGATTTCGATCGGGCGCGTGTTTTGATCTTCTCAAAAAGCTGCGGCAAGCTTGCTAGAATTTTCTCAATTAAAAACGATCGCTTTTTCAAAAGTACCTCTTCTTCCGAGTGGCATTTTCGATCGATCTTCTCGGCCTTGAAATTTTCTTCAAATTTGTTATTGTTAATCCGCCCTATTCTTCGATATCGTTCTCTATCCAGCTCGTCAAACAAAGTCGTGATTTCGAATTTTGATTCAAGAATTATTGTTTAAAAATGTTTAAATCGATAACGAACGAAGGCTATTATCTAACGTGTGTGCTCGCAAACAGAATACGAAAGAAAGGAAAACGATAAATACGTCCGGGTGATCATCAAAAGCAACTTGGCGCCATAACTTGGACTCGGCCGCCCCCAACGTTGAGAACCAATTTTTGAACAAGATTGCGCCCGGAAATCATTTTACTTTCAAGGACTCGTTTTAGGATGCCGTAAATTGGTTATTCTGAGACTGGACTCTTCCCAGACCGATTCATGCTCATATACCGGGGCGAAAACGTAAATTTTCAAAACCACAGGCTATAATTATTTCCAAAAGGATCTCACAAAGTAACTGACGTCAGAAGATAATTTTTAAGTGGGACTGAGAACTTTACCAATCATATTTTTATTAATATTAACATGCTTTTCATCATCAATTTTGATAAATCATCGATTCAGTTCGGTTTTGAATTCTGACACATTTTAACTTCGAGCACCATTTTCTAGAACACCTTCTATGTTTTGAAAAGATCTTTTTTGAAAATCAGTTCAGGATGGAAGCGCAAAGGAACGGTGCCGCATCCAGTCCTTTTCAACCTGTGCGCGAATCGATTGACTGGCTCGAGCAGGTCAAGGCCGAGCGAGCCAAAGCACTCGAGGTATATAATCACAGTTAATAAGTTTATGTAGGATTCTTTAGATCCGCCGCGCGGAAAGAAAGAAACCAGTATATGATCAATCGACGTATGCGACGAGAACATATGGCAGCGTTATTCCAGAACTGCGAGCAGAGATCGCCAAGATTGGAATGGATCCAAAGGAAGATCCAGAAAGGTTTACATTAAAAAACGCCCTCATTTAACGGTGCTTTAGTGAAAGTGCTCAAATTCAATTCCGCATTGACGAGGCTAATTTGAATAGTTACCGCGAGAAGCTCGATCAGAGGTGAGATTTAATGATCGAGGCTTCTTTTGATCTTCCCTTGTTCAGGTCACGCATCAGCCGCTACGAACTGCTGGCGGATAAGCGTAGGATCTTCCATCGTCAATTTGGGATACTCAGCAAGAAAGCAGCCATCAAGCAGATTACGGAGCGCGCTGATGTCGCAGAAAAGGTAAGTCTTATTACTAATAAGTTATTAGAACAGAGATGTTCAAGATTGACAATCTTAGATTGTCGACTAAAAGCAAATTTTAGGAAGCTGATGACCGAGAAAAGCGACTCGAGGCAGAAACTATAGCTTTTGATGAGCACTTGCACGACGCCAATGCTGCGGCGATCTCTGCAATGCAAGAAGCAGATGAAATGTCGCGCCAACATCGTCGCAAAAACGCCGAAATCAAGAAGATGACTGGGCAAATCGCTGAGATCCGAGCGGAAATCTGCCGCATGGAAGACAAATTCAGGGTCAAGGATGAGATTAAGCAGTTTGTCAATTTGGTACATCACAATACGTCCACGAGCGACAACAAGCCCATTCGCATGAATTCTGAGGATTGGAATGCCGCCTGGAACACGATTTACTCGACGCGAGATGGGAATCCCTTCAGTCCATCTACGGGTGTGGCTTTGATGCTGGAGCGAATCGATGAGCTGGAAACGCGCAATTTGTCCTTGATTGGGCACTTTCAGCACTCTGAGGAGGAATTCGACGAGATCAAAAAGGTCTTTGAAAAGACAGAGCAGCGTCTCGAGAAGCAGATTCAAGACTTACAGGTAAAACTGACCATTATTTGGATATTAATTTGCATTTCAGGAACACATGGAAATGATGGAATCAACGGCAGAACGATTCACCAATCGATCTGAAGAGCTTGAATTCTACTGCAACATGTTTGGCGGCGCCGCGGGCTTTGAAGACCAAGATGCTCAACTAGCGATCTTTGAAAAAGTGATTGCTGGAGTTTACGCTGATACAACAGGCCAGAAGTCGCTGGAGATCACGATTGATGCACTTTCCATGCTGACCTTTATCGAGACGCGGCTCGAGGACTTGATTGAGATTGAAGATAGACTTCCGCCTGCGAGAGTTAAAGCCGAACAAAACGAAAGGTAACTCTTCATGATCCTCAGCATTCTCATGACTCTTTCAGAGACAAGCAACGACGAATCCAAGCTCGAGAGCAAATGCAAAAAGAAAGTGAAGAAAAGCAGCGCGAGCGAGCTGAACGCGCCAAGAATCGCAACGCCACCGATATGCTCAAGCGAATCGGCCGAAAGTTGAACCAGCGATCTCGTCCTCCAAACAGGCGCCAAAATCTTACTGTAGAAGTACTTGAAGAAGATCCAGATGCAGAGTTCTTCAGATATGACTAAATTTGACTGTGATAAATAACTGCGGTAGCTCACGAAATAAACGTCCATTATTTTGTAAACAAATTTCGAATCAACCCACCAAAATGCAACTTTTCACTTCCAAAAGTTGCAATTTGAAGTCTCCGTTTCTTAATCATTCTAGCACCAAGACAATTAGTGGAGACAAAATAGAATGCTTAGATCTTGCCCCCGGCAGAAATTCAAGTTTTTTCTGAAGATCAGCTTCTAAACGTTAGTAGCTAACTGGTCCTCAAAAATCTAATTTTTAAAAGGTTAACCTGTTTCATCAATAAGTTTATGTAAGAACTACTGCCGCCGTCGTGAACAACAGTCATCGGACCGGATTGCACCGGCTGTAACCGCCCTCGCTTGTCATAGGTCTGAGCTCCACGGACCTCATGCAAGTAATTTTGCCAGCAGCCATTTGCCAGCGATTCACACATTATACGACTTCTAAATCAATATAGAGTAATATGAAGATTGTGAATAAAGAGACCATCGGCAGTTCGAGAAAAGTCCTACAAGCCTCTTATATTTCGTTTTTACTGCTTGTCGCTGGATATTGTATTTTGTCAAGTGCTTTGGAAAAGAGCGAATCTGTTCAAGATTATCGAGTCTCCCGAGATCTCAAACTTCTAGACGACCTCAGAAGTCTGAAGGATGAAATTCATAGATCACAAAACAAGCGAAAAAGTGAGGCTCAAGCAATTATTGAATTACAACTGCTTGACGATCTGAAATCACAAAGTAAAGAAGAAATTCTCCCAAAAAGTCCACCGAAAACACCGATTCCGAATCCATGTCTTCCCGAAAAGCGATCTATTTTACCAAAAGAGGTTCCACTTTTGGACAGAATCGGTGAATACGGGATTGATTCTTGCAAGAGAAGAGAATCGATTTACTTTTTGAAAACGTCGAAGACCGGGAGTACCACTTTTGCGAACATTTTACAGCGATTTGGTTTTGCTAGAGAAGGAACAAACTTTCTCTTCGGGGAACAGACGAATGGAGCTCTGGTGAGAATAGAGTGGGAGCTCGATAACTCACTTCGAACGATTTAGTTCTTTATAAATGGCTACATGCCGTTTAACGAAGACCAGTGTTATCTAGGCAGAGACTTGGTGGAACGTCCGAAATTTGATATTTCTTATGTCCACATGAGGTTCATTGACATTGAAAGTCACATGATTTATCAATCATTTGATGCATTTCGAAGCATTAAACACTAAGGTATATTATATTTTTGTATAATATATTAATTTTTGATTAAATTCTCTTCGTTTACTTTTTCAAAGTATCACAGTACTATTATAGATACAACAAAACAGCAGTAGATCACTTGATGAAGAAGGATGTCTTCAAAGTCAGCATTCTTCGTGATCCTTTAACCAACTTCATCTCCGGCTGGAAGTACTACAATGGTCTTATTGAAAGGATGAGAAAAGCAATCCGCAAGGATTTCTTCCCGCGAGACAATGGTATTGACGATCCAAGAGCAGATTTCATCGGAGAAATGAATCAGTTTCTAAAGATGCCTTGGGAGTACCTAAAGAACTTCCCTTATGCTCACTCTGCGTACTATTTCGCGGTTAATCCTCAGTTCCTCTTCTTTGGCTACCCTTCATATCTTCTCAACATGAGCTACCAAAAAGCCGCAGATCTCGTCGACCAGTGGTTGGAAGAAATCAGCGAAGAATTCGACCACATTTTGATTCTTGAAGATTTGGACAGATCACTTGCAATCTTGATGCTGAAACTGTGCTGGTCAATAGAAGACGTCATGCATCTGAAACTTAATAGTATGCGGCAGATGAAGAGAACACTCAGCGAAGCTTCAAAGCGAAATCTTCGCGAATTCAATTGGGCTGACCAGAGACTCTATGATTTTTTCAGGAGAAAACATGAAAGAGAAGGTACTTTGAGAGCTCAGATTTTTGATCATTATTGGTTTCAGTTCAGCAAATTGGCAAAGAGAAGATCGACGTTATTGTAGAGAAAATACGTGCAGCTACGAAAAGAATCACAGAAGAATGCTTGGATACAGACACAAATCAGCATTATGCGCCCGATTCAATAAGAGATCCTGTTTTAAAGCCAGAAAAACAATCGAATCAAACTTGCTACTTGATGACTGTTGATGCATCAGACTACCTGATAGTCGATCAAATTGAAAGGTGGAAAGAACAATATCCAGATTGGAGAGGAGACGATGGAGACTTCCCAAGTTGCAAAAAAAGTATGACTTTTTTATATGAATAAAACAGGCGGAAGAATAATAATTAAGAATTCAACGAAGAAATAAACTCCACCAAAGAATGGTATCAAGACTTTCTCACTTGGGAAACGAACGAATTCGACTTAAGAAATTCTGTTCCACTTTATTTGCAAAACCTTCAAGCCCAGAACTTTACATATGCATATGAAAACTAATAAATTTTACATTCGAAAACTTTATTAGAATTTGTTGGTTTGCTTATTTCGAAATGAGATTAATGAGAATATTAGTATCGACGGAAGAGATGGTAGATACAGAGGTAGTTTTCTCGCTAATTAATCTTTCTTTCTGCGCCTTTTTCAAAACGCGCTCGATAGAGGGCGCAATTTCTTAAGTGACAACGCCCGTCAGCCGCTCTTTGCTGTAAATCTCTTTTCCCCATGAAAGCTTGATAAAATATTTATGATAATAAAAATTAATCTGACTGGACTCCTAACCAGAGACCTGGAGATCTCTTTACTCTCAAGCTTTTTCATTTATCCGTGAAACGGCCAGGGTTTGAAAAATTTTTGGCTCAGCGACTGAGCACGGCGTGCTCAAATTTCCGCTGAGCCTGAGCACGATTGAGTATCGATTGGAGTGCTCATGCTCAGTGCTCTGAGCATGCTCATGCTCAGACTTTTCAAACCCTGGAAACGTCACCTGAAAATCATTCAAGAAAGGTAAGAACGGAAAATGTTTCCCTTCTTCTTTTAAAAAATCAGTTTGCTCATTTTAATCCCATCATAGTTACGCTAGAGTCTTTTAAGAAGATATTTGTTGAGCTAGAAGCATGTCAATCCGTGCTTAACATTCCAATAAAAGAAACAGATGTCTACTGGCACTGTAGTATCTCTACAGCTCAGTAAATAGCAAAAGCTATTTGTCCGAATTTCTTTTCTTTGCGGCATGATAGGCAGGTCGTATTAGCGCTGTTTGCTGGAAAGTATTGCTGAGTCAATAAAAAGCGGAAAAAGGGCGACGACCTCTTTCGTCTCCGTTCGCATGGCTTTTTCATTTGGTGGACTCGTGACGCGAAAACGATAAAATTGAATGTTCATTTACCTTGAAAATGGTAACATAGTTACTGGGCGGAAAAAAGACCTTCATGAATTGTTTGAATTCAGTAGAGTAGCGACAGTTGGCAGAAAACCAATTTTATGTCTATTTTACTTATCTAATGAGCGTTATCACTTGCTGGACAAACTTATGTAAACAGATGCAAATCTGAAACAGTAAACTGCTTTAACTCGAAACATTTGATAAAACAACTCCTGACTGAAAGTTTTATAACACGAATAAAATGATTTCAAAATTAAAAAGCTTTCTGTTGCCTTAAAGGTCGATCGCTGACCGATCTCTATCCATAACTACAGTGTAAATACAAAAACGTAGGAGCTGTTAGTGAAATTTAGTATTCCAGCCACCTTTCAGAAGAGACACCCATCTTCATGGGCACGAATAAAGTAGAGAAAAGGATTCCAATCAGAAAACAATTAATTTACAAACCCTAATGCACTTCAATTAAAAAAGTCTCATATTTGTGTGCATAAAAATAAACTAAACTTATTTCAAAAATTAAAGTTAAAAAATATCTGTCAATGTATTTTGAGCAACATTCGCGAAAACAAAAACTAATTATTGGTTACTGCGCGATAGCAAAAACCAAAGTCCTTCCAGAACAGAGATCTACGTATTCTAAGTCAACAGACAAACATCACCATCACCAGGCATAGCCGTCGATGACCTTTTCAAAATTTGTCCTAGGAACTTCGTAAGGATATTCAGCTTGGACTAGGGGGTTTACAACTGTCTCATATCATCATATCTTCTCACCTGCATCAATTATATGGATAGACAAGCATTTATAAAAAGTCGGGCCATTGAGCTTCTGGTCAGACTGTAGTCACTGTAAGACAAAATCTATAGCATCGAATAATCATCTGACAACAGAAAAGGTCAACGTCTTATTCAACTGTACGTCTTACTGTATCCGAATCACGAATTTGATCATGAAGTTTTTAACGAATGTTGAACTAGAACTGATTGGACAGCGCCTTGCATAAACTGAATTTTATCACCCTAAACTTTGGAAAAGTGAACGACCTTTTATACGTCAAGGAGTCTGGTTAGTAGAACGTTAATGATTACTTCTCAAAGCAAACAAAATATTTCGATGAAGCGGCACACAACCAAAGTCAAATTAGCGAGCAGCATTCCACTTGCTCACGAACATACAGAATAATAAACCAGAATTGATAATTTTTTTGAGAGCTGGAAAGGAAAAGAGTTTTCTGAATGGGACAAAAGTCCGCAGAGATCCAAGAGACGAGCTTTGGCATCGACAACGATGCCTTCGTCGGTGATCAAGATGCGATTGCCGTGGACGCCGATGGCAAGCCAAAGTCACAAGCAGTTTCGACAAAAGAGCTCTTTCGATTTTGTGGTAAAAGAGAGAAGAACCTCATCTTATTCGGTACAATTGGCGCGATTTTGCATGGAGCCGCGCTGCCGGTTATGATTATTTTTTACGGACAAATGACGGAGAATTTCGTACAGTGGAACATTTGTGATGAGTTAACAACTGTCCAAACTTGTTTTTATAACCAAACCGCTATTGATTTTGATGAAGAACGCAAAGACTTACCATATTCAAATGCAACGGATTATTGCTATAACAGAGAAAAAACTTTCGACAATAAACCTTTCGACGAAAATGATGAAGATGAGCTATCGAGAAGGGATGTCTACCGATCTGGTTGCCAGAAACAAGAATGGATTGATTGGGTAACGAAGTGCAACTACTGTGGGGCTGAACCTGATGAAGATGATCCAACAAGCAGCTATGTTAAAAAATATTTTTCATGCCAAAGAGTTTATCTTGGAAACGAAGATGTTCCTCCACCGTTTGATAAAGCATTTATGGACTCTCCACCTGAAGGAGAAACTCGAACAACAAACATTCCACCTCCACCTGATAATAAAACCGTATTTCCACTTACTTGCCCGACTTTGACAGGTTCAAATGTCGCAAAAGTTGGAAAGATAATGTTCGATAATAGTTCATTTTGTTCTCATTACGACGCATGGAATTCAGCAGAAAGCTTTTACGCTTGTGGCCCAAAACAGGTTGAAGACGCCGTTGCGATCGAGAGCGGAGCGAACTACGACGGCGTCGAATATTCAATTCTCAAGGAAGTTGCTCTAATTTGCGGAATCTTCGCCATCATCGCCTGCTGTACCGTTGCTGCTGGTTATGTGCAAGTTATGTGCTACACTCGTGTTGCTACATACCAAGTTCATCTTCTTCGACAAAAGTTCTTCAAAGCAATCATGCGAATGGAAATCGGATGGTTTGACAAAAATGCTGCTGGAACATTAAATGCTATGTTGGCTGATGACGTCACGAAAGTCTCTGATGGCATGGGTGATAAATTTGCCATTTTGCTTCAGAAAATTTCCTGCTTCATTTTTGGAATTGTATTTGCTCTACTTCAAGGGTGGCAGTTGGCCTTGGTAATTATGTGTGTATTACCTTTTATTGTCCTCGGAGCTGGTTTCCTCTCTCGCGCTGTTTCTCAAATGACTGAAAAAGAACTCAAAGCTTATGGAAAAGCTGGAGCCGTGGCTGAAGAGGTTCTCAACGCTATCAGAACAGTCAACTCCTTCCATGGACAGGACAAAGAAACAGAAAGATACGACAACAATCTCGGTGCAGCGCAGGATCAAGGAATTCGAAAAGGAATGGTCAATGGTATCTTCCTTGGTTATTCTTGGTGCATCATCTTCATTTCTTTTGCCATCGCATTCTCGACCGGTGCGCTCGTATTTGATTACTCTGCGGATAAGATCACTGCTGTCTTTTACTCGATTCTTATGGGTGCCCTTCAACTTTCTCAAGCAGCTCCTAACATTGAAGCAATTGGTGTCGCGAAAGGTGCGGCTGGCCCTATTTTCAAAATCATTGACAGAAGATCCAAAATTGATCCATTTTCTAAGGAAGGAAAGAAAATTCCAGCTGCGAATTTCAAGGGCACAATTGAGTTCAAAGGCGTAACTTTTGCCTATCCTACTAGACCCGATGATAACATTTGCAAAAATCTGAATATCAAATTCGAGACTGGAAAAACGACCGCTATTGTTGGTCCCTCTGGTATGGGTAAATCTACTGTGGTTCAGCTAATCGAACGATTTTACGATCCTCAACAAGGTGAAATCACTGTCGATGGTGTTAACCTCAAAGAACTCAATATTGGTTGGTGGAGAGACACTATTGGAGTCGTCGAACAAGAACCACCACTTTTCAACACAACTATTTACGAAAACATTAAATACGGTAAACCAGATGCTACTGAGGCCGAAATCTTTGAAGCTGCGAAAGCAGCCAATGCATATAACTTTATCATGGACTTGCCCCAGAATTTCCACACAAATGTTGGCGATCGTGGCAATCAACTCTCTGGCGGCCAAAAACAGCGTGTCGCAGTTGCTCGTGCACTTATTCGAAATCCAAAGATCTTGCTTTTTGATCAGGCTACTTCCGCACTTGATACAGAGTCTGAAGCTATTGTATTGAACGGTATCTCCAAATACAGAGCTGGAAGAACTACAATCATCATCGCTCATCGATTGTCGACCATCAAGGCCGCTGATGTCATCAACGGAATGGAGCATGGAACTGTTGTTGAAAGCGGTACGCACGACGAACTTATGAAAAAGACTGGTGTTTACTTTTCGCTTGTTACTCTGCAGTCCCAAGATAAGAAGAAAGATGCCGAAGTTGCCAAAAAGGGCATGGCAGAGAGCAACGAAAAGGCTAAAGTGGAAGAAATGTCTAGAAAAGACTCTGTCAGAAGATCAAAGAGAAATTCAAGAGCCAACTCCCGTGCGTCCCGGGCTTCAATGCCAATGGATCTTGGTTCCTCGGCTGTTGTCGCGAAAGATGCATTTTCAGAAGTTGATGAATTTGATGAAGATAACTTGCCTCCAACAAATAACATGCGAATTCTTAAGCTATCTGCTCCCGACTGGCCACAGCTACTTTGTGGTTCTATAGCTGCTACGATTAACGGTGCTGTCTTGCCTATTTGTGCTCTCGTCATTTCTTACATTCTTGGATTCCTTGGTGAACCAGATGTAAAAACAAAAACGGATGGTATCAAGAGTGCTTGTTTCTTCTTCCTTGGCTTGGCTGGTGTGAATCTTGTTTCTCAATTTTTGCAAGGGTACATGTTCGGCTACTCCGGCGAGCGTCTTACAAGGAAGATGCGAAAAGACGGCTTTCACGCAATCCTTCGACAAGATATCGCTTTCTTTGATGACCCAAGAAATAACACGTCCGCTCTTGCCACCAAGCTTCAATCTGATGCTGGTATGGTCCAAGCGGCTGCTGGTGGACAACTGGGTATTCTGTTCAGTTGTTTAGCGACCGTTGTGATTTCTCTTTTCATCGCCTTCGTGAACTACTGGCTTTTGGCAATTGTTGTTCTCGCCTTCTTCCCTCTTACAGCTTTCACAGGAATGATTCAGGGTAAAATCTGGTCAGGTCAGGCACTCACAGACGGTGACGCGCTCAATGAAGCTGGAAAGATGGTCTCAGAAGCTGTAGAAATGATCAGGTACCATAAACTTTAAGATAACATCTAACTAAACGTTAAATATAGAACCGTTGCTTCCTTCAACCGGGAACAGATGTTCGACGATCGCTACAACAAAGAAATTGAAGCTGTAAGAAATTCCATGTTTTTCTTGACTCATAATAGTTCTAGCCTCTTCATGCTGGTTTGAAACGATCTCACACTTATGGACTTATGTACGGTGTCTCGCAATCTGTCCTTTTCTTCGCTTTCTCGTGTACATTTGCTTTCGGTGCTTATCTCGTTGGTGGACATGAGCTTGGATACGAACAAGGTACGAAAAGATATGCTCGACGATGGTCTCAAATAATTTAGTTTTCCGAATCTTCTCCGCAATTATCTTCGGTGGTAACCAGCTTGGTCGAGCAGCTTCCTCCGCTCCTGACTTTGCTAAAGCGAAAGACTCCGCGGCAAGAATCTTCCGACTTCTCGATCGAATTCCAGCGTACGCTGACCCTTATGATACAAAAGGTAAATATTTGACCCCTCTTCATATTTAACGGATTCAATCAAGGTGAAACCTGGAACTTCAAGGGCGACATCCACTTCAAGAATCTTCAGTTTACTTACCCTACTCGAAAGGATATCCAAGTTCTCAACGTAAGTGTCTGTTGAATTTTTGTTAGGGAAAAATTTGCTTAGGGACTTGATGTTTCCATCAAAGCAGGTCAGACACTGGCGCTTGTCGGTCAATCCGGATGTGGTAAATCAACTTGTATGCAGCTCATTCAACGGTAAATTAAACGACAAAGAAATGATTTAGTAAAAGATCAGATACTACGATACGAATGGCGGCCAAGTGCTCGTTGATGGGCATGATACCACTAAAACGAACACCAAGTTTCTACGATCCAACATTGGTATTGTCGCTCAAGAACCAACTCTATTTGATGCAACTATCGGCGAGAATATTCGCTATGGCGCTCTTCACAGGAATTTGACGGACGAGGAAGTCATTCAAGCTTCGAAAACAGCTTCTCTTCATGATTTCGTCAAGGACTTGCCTATGGGATACGATACACCAACTGGTTTGTTTGTGTTGATGAAATCAAAAGCTAAGAATATTTCAGGTGGTGGAGGAGGAAATCAACTTTCTCGCGGTCAGAAACAAAGAATTGCCATCGCCCGAGCTATTATTCGACAGCCCAAGATTCTTCTTCTTGATGAAGCTACTTCTGCACTTGACACAGGTAAGTTATCGAAACTTGATAAGATTCTAAAAGCCAATCTTTAGAGGCCGAAAAAGTCGTCCAAGCCGCGCTGGATCGAGCTCGAGAAGGAAGAACTTGTATCGTCATTGCTCATAGATTGTCCACTATCCGCTCTGCTGACAAAATCGCTGTCGTCAATAAAGGTAAAGAAATTGAACCTCATCAAGAAATAACACTCACCTTTCTTCAGGTCAACTAGTTGAAGCTGGAACTCACGATGAGCTGATGGAACTCCAAGGCGCCTACTACAAACTCATCACCATGAATGTTACGCTGTCTTAAATTATTCTTTAAACATTGCTCAATTAGAGTAACCAATTTACCTCTCTTTCCCTTAGTGCACTTTTTCTAATTCTGCTTCTATTACAGTTTCAAACTCCATCTCATGTACATTATCACAATAAACATACAAAAGAATGCAGCAATGGAGATTCTCTTCCTTGATTTCAAAGTAGTGGCGCTCTTCAGGCCTATCCAGCTCTTCCAATCGCGTAGGTCCTCCGGCGCTCATTGGTCCGTGGAAAGCTTTTTCTTTTAGAATTTCACAGCTGCACTTTCTTTCTTTCTCTGTTAGTAACAGACTTTTTCGGAGATATTTTTTTAAGAGAAATTGCAACTTTCACGATATTTATTATTTTATGAATTAAATTGATATATAAATACTGACTGTCAATACTGAATTTCTAATCGAATCTGTGTTTAATTGCCAAAGTTCAATCTTTCTAAAGTTTAGAAGGAGCAATGGGATTTTTCGGAAGCAAAAAATTCTCGCCAAAGAAATCGACGATGCGTCGAGCACAATCCCTCAACAGCTTGAAAGACCCCATTCAGATGCAACGAGAATTCAATCCAGACCCAAACAACGTAATGATGCAACTAAACTTTCCATCGAATAATTGTCTTTCAGCAAAGCTTCAAGATCGGAGAAACGACTGTGAAAGTCAAGGCTGACGGATCCTTGACCACTTTGTATAACGAGGCAGATCATAACGTCAAAGAAGTAAGCATACTCATTTCTATACGTCTTTAAAGCTAAAATTTCTAGCAAAACGAGCTTCTTCAAAAGCAGGTTAACCGACTCGTTCTGGAGCGCGAACTTCTCCTTGGTAAGAAATTATCCGATTCTTCCTCTTTTATCATTTCTATTTCCAGATATGCTCGCAGAAGTCACCGCCGACTACAAAATGAGCCAGAAATACGGGCCCAAATAAGCAAAGAAAAACCTCGCGCTAAAAATTTCCTCAGAAAACGAATTTTCCTCCATTTCTACAACTTTTCCTGTTTATTTCCTGCAACCGAGAATTTTGATTTTCCATCTTTATTTTTCCTATTTTTGAATAAACTCTTCTTTTTTACGAAAATCATGGATTAATTATGAATTTATAGATGAATCGCTATGTTCGGGCGCAAAATGTTATCAGTATTGCCAAAAGAAGTGTTTTAACCACAACCAGGTTTGTTCAAAAACTCTCTTTTTGACATGGCGTCTCAATGAAATTCTAGGCTTAATGCCCATCCAAAGAAAGTCCTGCCTAAGAAGGCCTCCTCCATCATCCATCTTGATCTTCCACAAATCAAGACAGCCGAAATCACTCCTAAAAAGATGCGAATGGCGCTCAACTACATCCTCGAAAACCTCCTAGTCGACGGTCGGGTGACAGTTGTCCTCAAAGAAAGCCAAAAACCGCCAGGAATCCTCATCGACGAAAACTTCCTCAAAGAAAACTTAGAGCCCGACGTTTTTAAAAACTACTTCCGTAATAAAACATATCTGAAATCAATCGGCATCAGAAGAATTCGTCAGCGCGGGGACTCGTGGAAAAGAGATCAGCGCGGAAAACTCAACGATTTTTACTACCAAATTTTCATCCCTTACAAAGATGTGTCGGTGGAGAATAGAAGCAAGTTGGAAGAGTGTCTCAAAACGGCAGGATTGTTGGAAGATTCTGTCTGCGAACATTACGCGGATTCGGAAGGAAATCAATTCTCCAAAGAAGTGCTGAGATCCGCGCTAGAATCTAAAAGCCCTCTAGAGCTCATTTGCAAGGGCTACCCGATTAGAGGAGTAATGGATATGATGAAGTACATGCGTCTTACGGGAACAGGTAATCTATAAAAAAATATTTTCGTCTATTTACAACTATAGTCAAAAATATCACTCATTTTTCAGAATTTTCGCATAAATACATCGATGACCCTACTGAAGAGATCTACAGGCCACTTGCCGCGCTAGAATATGCAAAAGGCGAACTTCTCATGGATGAAATAGCTCCGGAAGAAAGCGAAAAACGAGCGATGCAAGATTTCATCGGCGACGCAATCTTCCACAAGAATAATTATGGGATCATTCATCAGTTTCTCGATTTCATGAAGATCGACATAAAAATTCGAATACACGCTGCTTACAGAAATCGAGGCCAGCTCTCTGAATTGTACAAAGAGAATCCTCACAAACGAGCCCGGCGATTTATGGCTCAATATTCGCATCTGGTCTTCCCGAATCATTCCTTGAGCCGATTCCTGAACCAGAAAGCGCTGCTCATGGCGGAACTTGCTGAAAGAAATCGAACAGATCCGCGTGGTTCTGATCCGCTTTTCTGGGAGTACGAGCGGGCCTCGCAGTCGATTGATTACAGAATGAAGAGGAAGCCTATCTTTGAAAAACTTGATTTGATTGTAAATCCGGCAGTGAATCAAGCGGCGATTAGGTCGTTCGATCAAATTCAAGAGGACACGTTGGGTATTTTGGACGAATACAGCGACATTATTGAACGAATTTGGGATGGAGACAGGGTCTCGAAAAATTGGATGTGGGGCGGTTGTTAGGGCGCCCCCTCTCGCTCTCAACATCGGCGCGCTCGTTGTTCACTTTCAAAAACAATTTGGGCTGGATGTTTGAAATATAGGCTCGCGCCAAAGGGAAAAATGTTCAAATTCAGTTAAACTTAGACTCCAGATGTAACTTTTTCCGCTGATTCCGAATATATAAAAATTATTTTGAGATTCGGGGCAATTAGCTATTTATAATTGACAGATCACAAAATACACGTTCAAGTAACTAGCACATTTTGGACGTAATAGTTGCCTATGAATTCGATATTTTTTGCAAACAGGTAGCTTACCACTTCCGAGAACTGTTTTGTTTGGATTACCCGGTGATTTTTGTTACAGTAGGTCAGAGTGTGCACCCACTGAGATTATGGGGCCTTTCAGGTGCCCCGGGGAGCGCGCAAAGCACTAGCGCACTGCCACTTACACAGTGTAGTTACACTCAATCATCTAAACACCGCGTCTACCTGATAAAATCCCTAACTAGGCAGCTGGGGTAATCTGAAATATTTTCTTCTGAGGTGGGTTTCAAAATTACCGGGGCAAAACTACTTTTGCTGTATTTCCGACCAGAGTCATTCAAACCCAGACATTCATATATGAGTCGACTTAGAATTTTATGCTCTTTGTCTGGAACATTGAAAAAAACTGGAACAAGAAAAAAAAAAATTAATCGAAAATCATCGGTCTTTTTGATCATTTTCCTCCTAGAAGACTCATATTTTCATCATCATTTTTCGGTTTTAAATGACGTCACGCGAGTCATGTGACTGAAAATTTGGTATTATAATTATCAGTGGTTTTAGGGCGTTTCAATTAACTATCATCCATCGAGATTCGATGACATTTTCGAAGCTGGATTTTTCCCGGCGGACGCCGGAAAAATCTTACAATAACCGGTTTCTTTCGCTCAAATAATTTTCTTAACATACCTGCGATATCTTCGACTACAAATTGACGAAATGCAGAAAGAAAACCGATAATTTGAAGGAAAAACCGATAAAAAATCCGACAATTTTTGAGTTATCGAAAAGTCCAATGCTCCAGCAAAAGAGCAGAAAATTCTGAGTCGATACATATATAGATGTTTGGGGTTTGTATGACTCTGATCGGAGCTAGAGGGAAAGTAGTTTTGCCCCGGTAATTTTGAAACCCACCTGAGTGTTTCTCGGATTTTTCATGAAAAATACCGATTTAAAACTAAGATTATAAAGATATCTAAAAATTATTTGGATAATTACATCTATTTCGATAAATCACATATGATATTTTAATCATTTACTTAGAATGGCGACGTGGGGTACTAATTTGTTTATTTCTATGAGGCGAGGACCGCCTTCTTGTTGGTGAACAACCGAGCGCCCGTTGTTAACAATCGGCTCCCGTTGCGCACAACTGTCCGCGGAGGGTGGCGCAACATCCAGCCCACCGTTGTTTTCTCGCGCAAACATCTAGGGCGCGGGGGTTGAAAGCGAGAGGGGGCGCCAAAACAACCGCCGCGCATCCAATTTTTCGAGACCCTGGATGGAGAGCTTTTCTTTATGAATTATGATATGAAGGAATCTGTTCCTCTCATACGGGTAAGTTCTTTTCGGGAAATTTCCTTTCTGATAAAAAAATTAAGGGCGTCTCAGATAAAATTGAAAACGGAACAATCGACCTTATCGTTAAAATGGTCAACGCCGTCATCTTTCAAACAAAACTCGATCCACTTTTCGCTGCTGACCAAGAAGCTACTCTCTTCCACAGCGCCAAGCAATTCATCCGTCCAAAATACAAAACACAATATCTTCTAAAATACTTCGATTACTACAGCATCGATGACGTCCTAGACGAAGCAGGGTTGATTTTTACTGGCTCGGAAGTGAGCAATTTCCCGGAGCACAAGTGCTTTGAAGCCGGAGATTCTGTCCAAGAACGAATCGGAAGAATCTTTGATTATGCATTGAATATCATCATGAATGACGCGAAGGAAAATCCAAATGAAAAGGGAGCGACTTATGTTCCAAGTGAAGACGTTTTCAGACAACTTAAAGTTCTCAAAGAAGTCGCACTTCCTGTAAAACGGCGACTTCATGGAGTAGACATGGCTGTTGAACAATATTTATTCTTCATATCTGAGTTGCTCGGAAAACATATCGAAGAAGAACCAGACGTCACTCTTTCAACCTTAGTCGACTACATAGAACAGTTTTTGGATATTATGCCAGACGCTGTTCATCGCTTTGCTTCAGAGAATTCTTTCTCTGGTGTCAATATGCTCAACAAGAAGCACTTTAATTCAAAGATTGGGAATATGTTTACGATCGCAAACTCGTATCCTCTTCAGTCCTTGCTCAGCAATTGGATCGGCGCAGGGGGAGAGGACGAACACAAAACTCGAATGGATCAAGTTCTAGCGCTAGAAAATCAGTACAAACTCAGCCAAATACCCTCTTCTCTTGGGAAGAACATCGAGAGCCATTACTCCGAAGAGCCAACAGTGAAGATATGGAATTTAATCAAAGGACTGCGAGTAGAAAGAGCCGAGGCGGAGCTCAAGACCTGGAAAAACTATGGACGAGTAGAACTAGACCTGGAGTTTTTAAGAAGAGTATTTGATCCTAGGAGAAAGAATTTGAAGGTTTTGCATCTGTTGCAGGATGTTGGCGGTCTGAGCGCAGCTGAAGTTGATTATATAGCAAAAGTGAGTGATTTTCGCGTATCATTCCTTCAAAATAAATTCTAGAGCGATGTCTTGCTAACGCGAGCTTCGAAGCTTGCTCGGCCAGAACTCCTCGAGTCATTTTCTTCGACCAAGTCTGAAGATTTTTATTCAAGGGACTTCAACAACCTGATGTTCCGATCAAGTCTACCTTCTTCAGGTATTTCATGTAATCAATCACTTAGGTTTTATGTTGATTCTAGCTTCAAACTCTCTTCCTGACGTTTTGCGAGAGCTAGAAGATGCCCGGGCGAACTCGAGTCTCAAGATGCGCCGCATAAATGGATACATCGCAACTTTGCCTCTTTCTGATTTCGCCTCAACGATCTCTATACTAAACCCTCGTGAAACTGTGGCTGTTCTCAAAAGTGTTCTTCGAGGAGTCAGAATTGGATGTACCGATAAGATTGCTCCCTACTGGATCGAAACGACTACTTCTCATTTAATGGATCAACTGGACAATTCTATGGCATTTGACTTTATCGAAAATATCTGGGAACATTTAGAAAATACAAACTACCAAATTCCGGTTCCATTGAGAAGACCATCAGGGGATTCATGGCCGGAAGAAATTGTTAAAGCTTGGTTCAAAGCACAGGCTGAAGATAGAATTCGAGTTTTGGACGAAAGAGATGTCTTTTTAAATCCATCGCCTGGCTCATCTTTATTGGCAAATACAGTCGTAGCGATGCTGGATCAACTTTATGAGGAAAACCCAACGCTTGAGGATTATAATTACAAAAATTATAAAAGAAAAGTGGAAGAAAAATGCTTCCCGTGTTCGAATGAAGATATTTCCTCGTGTATGAAAATATTAAATATGAAAGTTGAGCTAACGAAAACGAGGGATCGAGAAATTCAAGGAAGGAAGCAAATTGGTGGAATCAAGGAAGAAGCCATTGACGACGATAGCATGTGGAAAATGCTCGATGAGCTTTCAAATGAAAAACCAGAAGAGGAGACTGATTGGGATATTGAAGAAGATCTTGTGCCTGAATTGAAGAAGGAAGAACAAACTATCAGCATTTGGGATGAAATCGACAAGAAAAATAGAGAGATCGAAGAAGAGCTAGCTGAAAAGGATTCTTCTACTGACCTTTCTTGGGATGACATTGACAAACTCTTTGCAAACACTAAATAAATTCCCGAACTAACTTAACCAAATGAGAAGAATTTACATATTCCTCAGAGTAAATGTACAGGCATATGCATAGATGAATATCAAAATTAAATTTTCATCAGCTTTTCCTTAAATGCAGTGAAAATATGCAGTACGAAGACACTTGCTTGTCAGGACCATCTGTTGTGCGCCTCTCCTGATTTTTCCCCTGAGAATTTTTAATCTGCGTATATTTTTTGGGCCAAGGCCAACAACACAGTTTTGTACTTTCATCTTACTGCATTAACTCGATGAAAAGAAGATGGAGCTTTCAGGGAGCTTTGTTACTTTTCAGTGGAGCTTGACTCGGAAGACAAAAAAGGGGGATCAGTTGAAAGGAAGGATCTTTCCGGAAAGGCCCCGAACCTAAATAAATTCGCAAAACACAAAAAGGAAAACTAAATAAATATACACCTACAGAGCAGAAAATGCGCCTATTTAAAAGAACACAACGCCGGTGCCTAACACAAACACCGTGTAAGTCAACAGGTGGATAAATAGAAAAAGGGATGAGCCTCAATTAACAGTAGGGATTACACGCGAGGGAGACGGAATTTATTTCAATCAGAAGAAAAACTCGTCTCGAAAATCAGTTGAATTAGGAGTTCTGTTATAATTCCAGATTATCGATAAATTCTGAACAAGAAACGAGTTTGTTCTGTTCCCGCAAATCGATGGAAATTTTCTTTGAAAAATTATTCAAGCACTTGAAGAGACATCAAGCTATCCAGATTTCCAAAGGTAAATCGATTCGATTGCTAGGATATTGACTGCTAGAATCTTTTGTCAATATCAACCTGACAATGATATGCTTTGCTAGAAATATTTTTAGCCATGTAATCGAAGGAATAGTTGATTGCATATAAGTAAGACAGAAAATGCTCGAAGAATAAAAATCCCCTGAGAATTTTGCGCGGAGTATGTGCGTTGGGCCAAGTCCAAAAGCATTTCTCAAGTCAAAAATATTTTCCAAACGCTGACGCGCGGGCACACGGCCAAGGTGATCTTGAAAACATCGGACAGTAGCATCGGGAATGTGCATACATTATTATCGAATAATATGGCGTGTGCCTGAAATTTTTGCCAGTCCGTTTGGCTCATCCTTTCTCGGCTGATTAGACTGCTGGGTTTGACAAATGGATTTTCCGGTGCGTCGTAAAGCCGAATTAGAAGAAAAAAGTTCAGAAAATAATCAATAGTGAATTTAAATTGCCGTATCTGCTCATTCTCTGACTTCATTAGACAATCTTCTTCCAGCTCAGAAAGTTTGAAAAGACCTTCTTTTTTAAATCAATGAGGAAAACTGCAAGAAACAAGCGGAAGTCATTTTTTGTTTATATGATTTTATTATCAATTCTCCAATCAATAAATTAAGCATCGTTTTTTTTGTTTGTATGTTTGAAATTGGGCAAACTAGGATACTGTAATGTTTATCCTAAGCGACAGTTTGGGTTTCTGTACAGCAGTTTTGTTTGAAACTGGGTGTTTTGGCGTTTTTATATGTTTTTTCGCAGTGAGAAGATGATTTGAATTTTTGGTGATAATTTCCGGGCTATTTTTGGGCTTGAAACACAGTTTTGAAGCATAATAAAAGTCTGGAACTAGACTGGAGCAGTAAAAAATTGGTAAGACAAAGTTATTTTGAATGAAACAAAATAAGAAGGATCTGGCTCTCTACAAGTTTTTAAAGCGGAATTTATCGAATTTTAGCACTGTTCTTGTTTTGTAGGGATAAAGAAGGGTTGCCTCAGAAGTTTGACATTTGTTTTTATTTGGGCGTTCTATTTGTTTCGTTTGGGCTTTGCTGTTTACTTTGTTTTTGTTTAATGGGCTAAGGTGGTATTTGCTGGGCATCTGTTTTAAGCTGGTGGGGAAATGTTCATTGGGCGACTACGGCGTTGACGGAGAAATCGGAGGCGTCGGGTATCTTCGATTCGGACATTTGCGACGGGTGCTCCGGTGAAGGGGTTTTAGAGCAGTTGCCTTCGCTCGAGTTTCCAGAGCTGGTGCCAGAGGAGTTTGCGAGGGCTTTGTCGGGGAATGGGAGCTAAAAGGACGAGTTAGAAAAGGTTTCAACGGAATTTTGTTGCCCAGAGTTGGGGCCTATATGAGCCATCAAAAACATGCGACCTTTGGATCAATAAACGTCCGAAAATGTCAAATTATCAAGAGGAGGCTACATAAATCAATTGGAATGAAATGCTTACCCTCGACTCTTTCTCGTCAGAATCGGTGCAGCAATGAGTCTCCTCGTTGCCAAGCTCCATTCCGTTTTCTTTCTTGCCATCAAAGGAGTTGGACCGCGCGCGGCAAAAGGACTTCTCGTGTTCTTTCATCGTTGAGCGTCTTGGGAAGCGTTTTCCGCAATATTGGCAAGCTGAAAATTTTGAGTTTAAAATACAAATTCATTGATTAGAGCTAATTAGTCAAAGTCAGAAAAGATCAATGGAACTTACCGAATGGCTTTTCTCCCGTGTGAACTCGCTCGTGAGCCATGACGTCCGTTCGCTGGATGAAGGCTTTGTTGCAAAATCTTAAGATCCGTTTTAAGATTGATGGGGATCAAGGAGGAGTACAAACCTGCATCGGAAGGGTTTGTCACCGCGGTGGATCCTCTCGTGTCGAAGGAGGTTTCCGCGAAGACTGAATGTTCTTCCGCAAAGAGAGCAAGCAAAGGGCCCCTTGTAATTGACTTTATAATGAGTTTTATGAATGAAAGTTAAACCTTGTCTTTCGATCCTTTTCCATCAGAGGGAGCTCGATTTTGGTTGACATTCATTCCGGGAACAGGAGATCGCCCAACCGGGGAGATCATCGCAGATCGCTGGACGTTTTTGAGGGCATCCAGGGAGTTTGTTGTGAGAAACGGGTTCGGCTAAACGTTGAGTTAGATAAAATCATTGATTCATTGTATTCAAGCTATTTTGCAGCTTGAGAAATAGCTCTGGACTAATGAGCAGATAAGAATGTTGTGCGTTAATTTTCAGAATTCGCGAAGCGTGAAGAAAAAATTAAGTGGCACCGGTTTTTTTTAAGGATATAGCCTATGAAATTGAACTTTCATAGCGCCTAAATGCGACGTCGGATCATTTTATTTCAAAAGCAATCCTATCTAAAAATGTGCGCAGAACTCGATTCTGGTACTTTTTTAAAAATTCTAATTCGAATTTTTCTCTGTAGAGCGTTTTGAAATCTTACGATCGCGTTTTCTCGAAATTTTTACATTAAATCGGTGGAGTTTTTTTGATAGAAAGGTACTCTAGATCTTTATCTACAAAATTGTGGGTTCGGTTTTCTCTAATTCCGACAAAAACCGATTTTAGAGCCATTTCCGTGAGGCTTCCCCGGCGCGTGAGTAGTGTAAAAAGCGCTGCGCGTGGTGCTCAATCTCTCGACTCCTCTTTCCCGAGAGAAAGTGCGCGTTTTAAAGAGCGCTCTGATTGGTTGGACCCAAAAAAGCGCGCATGGAAGAAAAACAGGAGCAAGAAAGAGGAAAACACTAGAATGAAAATTTGGACGAGTTTGAAAATTTTTCAGCCACAATATTCTAGTTTAGCATTTTGCTAATGCAGTCATTGGTTTAGTTTTAGCGATTTAATGTAAAAATTTCGAGAAATCGCGATCGTAAGATTTAAAAACGCTCTACAGAGAAAAATTCAAATGAAAATTTTTAAAAAAGTACCAGAATCGAGTTCTGCGCACATTTTTAGATAGGATTGCTTTTGAAATAAAATGATCCAACGTCGCATTTAAGCGCTATGAAAGTTTAATTTCATAGGCTATATCCTTAATTTGGAATTTTTCCTCGGAAGGGATGGAATTTCAGCCGCCGGGCCGATTTCGTTTCCGAAGAAATTTTCCGCCTCAATGAGTTTGACAAGTGAGACCACTTCTTTCGTGATTCGAGTACCGCCGGTCATCTGCGGATCATCCAAGGGGCTCGGGAATCGATGGAACATGTAAAATTAAGTTCTGCACTTTGCTTTACTTTAATTTCCAGTTTATAATATTTTTTCTCAAAGGACTGATATAAATTCTCCATTATGAGCTTGTAAAATAGAGGCACTGACTCGTTAATACAGTAAGATTAACAATCATCTATACAGTGAGCCTACAGACCTAGAACGAACTACTGATCCAATAGCTCAGATAAGCCAGCAAAAAGAAGCGACCTTGGACACCCGTTGGCACCCTGCCAGCGTGTTGACGCAGTGGGGCTCATTATCCCTCGCAGTGGCTCATCCCCTTACCAGCGCGAGTACTAGCCCTACTAGACTCGAGTGAGCTTGTTTCTATTGAAATTCGTCCCGCTCGTTGGCTGAGTGCCGACGCCTGGCCACTTTGGGAGCTGAAATCGATTCGTCTCAGCCGGCTCAACTAACTTTCCCACTCTAGGCCTGATTACCCATTACTCAGCCAGACTTTTACTGCTTATTTAAATTGATCCTAGGCACCTTAGGGATTATGTTCTGCTTCAGAATTACCTTTGGGGAGGAGCTCATTACTCCATTGGCTGTGTTGGGGAGAAGAAGGGGTAATGTTTGGGGTGTGAGCCCACGGTTTTGAAGGACTTGGTTCCGCAAGTTTTGATGGAATAGTGGATTTCCATAAAGTCCCTGTAGTCCCATGGCTTGGAATGCAGGGGGAGTCTGGCCATTTTGACCGACAGCTGCTAAAAAAGAGTTAGACGGTTGTTTTTTAAGAAGTTTTGATTTACCTTGGGATCCCTGAGCTGACTGGATTTGCTGCGCCCGATGTTCCAAAAGCATTTCAATCGGGCTTTTTCTTCTTGGAGGCTCTTCTTGGTTGGCCCATTCGTTTCGATTGGGAGCATCGCCATCAGTAACATCAATGTCGCCTTCAGACTCGTCGATTTGGAGCTCGTCGTTGCCAGAAATGTCCGATGCTTCGGCGGATAAGTAGCGCTTGTTTCCAATGAGGCCGGCGGTATTCTAAATATTGAGATGAGGATTTATGATTCGGACGAGTCGATGAGCAGAGAGACAGGTACCGCCTATTATCTTTATTTTGTTGAAAGGGGAGAGAGATGAGAGGCTGCTCAAACAAAGGGCTACTCGGCGGAAGCGCAAGCGTAAATACACTGTGCAAAGCGGGTTTACGAGGGGATGTTTCAGCCCTCCAGAGCCTCTAACTCCGCAAAATTTACTAAGGAAATACAACCCTCATTTATTATGAAGGCTTGTTGGGAGATGATAATAGTTAACTCATAGGGGGACTGAGAAGAAAAGTCTTGAAGAAAGTTACCTTATCAACATCCATAGCTTCAGTTTTCATTTCGTTTGAGTGGTGTTCTAGTTCCTCGTCGGATTTCTCCCTTTGAGGTGGAGACTCAACCGAGTTCGCTTTTATGGGCTCGCCAGAATGATGCGCATCCTCTGCGCCATTTTCAACCGAGGATGATGTGATGACGGAACACCTTTGATCGTGCGAAGACGCCACTCTGTGGAACTAAAATAAGAGACATAAGAAAGGTATTTTTGTGTGTCTCAAACTTCTATCTGTTCTTACTTCAATGGTGATAATCGAAAAAAAAGTTGACTCAAGGTGACGTACCTGATCTGGGCGTAAAGATAGGATAGACTGCATCTGAGGAACTCGCTGTAAATATGGGACTGGGGAGGGTTCAGAAGTATTGAGAAGCTTGCCAACAGGAAAGTTGATTTTCTTGATCACGCTGGGTTTACTCAGCTCATCATCCTCCCGCGGCGTTACCTAATTAGCATTAGTTTTTCATTAATGAAAAGAAAATCATGAGCATCCAGAAGATATTTGAAAGTATGACTTACTATCTCGCTTTTGGGCACATCATCAGGCTGCTTCCAAGACATGTTCAGATTGACGCCGCCCTTGTTGAGCGTAATTTTCTATTTTTCGGATCATCACGTGATCGTTAAATTTTTGCGCTCGTAAATTTGTCGGTTTTTTGAAAATACGTGGATTCCGAAAAACACGCTGATAATCGTAAAAATGTAAAATTTATGGAAAAAGAGCTTGCTTCAAAAAAGGGATGATTCGAAGCCTGGACCCATTGTGGCACATCGTACTGGTCCAAGTTGACGGCGGAAAGCGCCCAAACCACATCATCTGGAATGCCTTTTACGCCGAGGTCATAAGTCACTGCTTTCTCAGCTGCAGAACCTTCGTGAATCTTTTCCCCATTTTCTTTTTGCTGGAAGAGTTGCTGGTAGATGAGCGAACTTGCAAGGTTCAGCATCTGAGGTGAGCCGCGGGCGGCGTGCCCTGAAATCAAAAGTGAAAACCATAATCAACTGGTCGAAATGCTCTTCTGTACAAAAATCCGATTCCTTCCTCACGAAAAATGTAACATAAGCATATCCAGTATATTAATCAATATCCATGAGAGTCGAAAATCGCAAACAAAAAACAATTTACCTTGGCTATGGTCAGAAACCAACTGCGTAATGTTGTAAGGAGGAATTTTCAAAAGAAGATCTTCAAGTTCCACTTCTTAGGGTTCGATTTCTTCTTGTCTGGTCTCTACTGTATCATTCTGAAAGTCAAAAAGTTACATAATTGTCTATGTCTGAAAAGTTGCGAGTGAACTGGTCTCTGAGACAAATCTCTCGCCTTGGCATTGACGTCAAAAAAGAGAAAAAGGGCCGTGTGGTGTGTACGTGAGTGAGTTCAGAGCCGCGCTGGCACTGAGCCAACCTCCAGACAAGCTAAGGGACGTGCTTCGGACTCGGGCCCGTGCGCGGACACTCTGCTCTCGGCCCCCGCGCGCCCTCCCCCGAGCAACAAGAGCCATTTGACCAACAATGGCCTCGATCCACCGAAGGATCATTGCTCATGTGATCCTCAATTCGAAGAAAGAGCGCGACTCCGAATATCCGCCATGTTATTCAATTATATCTTTTAACTCAAATATCCTAAATATAAGAAAATCATATTTTTCATATTAAAAATGTAACTATCAAAAATCAAATTCAAATTCATAAATCATTCAAATATTTTAAAATTGTTCAGCTTTCCGTACCCTCCTAAGGAAGTATCCTTAAGTCTCCTTATTAAATCTGGGTTGATTATTTTCGCTAATTTAACATGAAACTAACAACAAATAGTGCTGTGTATTCAACATGATAAGATTTTACGGGTGGCAGGTCATGAAACATGTGCTCTCCCCGATTCCGGGAAAACTGGAAGTGACCCAGAATATCGCGTGCGCGCTCAATTCAAATTTCACGCTTGGGATTTACAAGGATTTACGAGTGATATTTACTCGTAACAATTTGATTCCATTTGTTGACCAGACCCGATTATTTTTAGAAGTGGTAATCTTTCTGGAGACATGGAGGAGAGCCCTAGAAATATGGATTTTTCTAATCTGTGGGATGGGAAATCGAGTCTGAAAGGCCTCCACTTTGGCACCCCTTGGAGCCCCATGTCAGTGTCTATATTGACAGTCTCCTCTTTTTCGCGTTTTTAATTTGGGTCTAGTTCACATCTACCACACCGCGCGGGACAATGGGATCATCCGCGCGCTCATCTCAGGTTTTACCCCGTCCTCCCGTTGGATCAGAGTCAACCCAGGGCCCCTTATGGCAAAAAAGGATGGGAAACGCGAATTATTTGCAAATATCAAACAGTGTCGGAGTCCGATGTTGACTGAACGCCAACGCGCGGATATCTTGAGCCACTTGGCAAATATAATGCATCTGGATTTTCATGACAGGTGATTCTTTTTACATCCCGCTTTTTTTAAATTGAATATTTAAAAGCTTATATTAAATCGTATGCACTTACCAACTATAGAATGAAGAGGTTCTTCTGAGTCGTTTTGAAGCTGCGATCAGGATTCAAGCTCTCGATTGAATTCAGAATTCTACTGAAGCAGGTCAGTAGAAGTGTACGTATCGTCTTCGGAAAAAAAGCGTTCAAAAACTAGTCGATATTCTCCAGAAGTCCTGAGAGAGAAGTCTGGTGTGTCCTCAGTCTGGCTCGCTGCCAACGCGTAGCCTTGAACGCCTCTGGGCTCAGCGTGGGCTCAAGAGCGCCATCACGCGAATTTAACTAGCCACGAATTCAGCGAACTATATCTCTCTTACTCCACTTGACAAACTGAATTCTACCACACTCAGGCTGGTTGGGATGAGCTGAGATCTTGATCTTGTCTTTTCAAAAATTCAATTTTTATACGCGGTCGAAATTCTGGATCAAAATCCGATAAAGCCGTCAGGGAATCTTCTTTATGAATATCTCAACAGCCAGTATAAGTGCTTGAAAGAATAGCAGTAAATACGGTGCAACTGATACTGACTATGATTATACATAAAATGTCCTCCATTGGAAATGGTCAATTTCACGAAAAAATGCGAAACATAGAATTCAGAAAGACACATTTATTTTCGTTCAAAAATAAAGTGCCCAAGCTACGCATTCGAGATCGTTCAACTAGACTCAAGGGCTGGCGCAGTGAAGTGTGGTACCAAAAGGCGGATGAGCTGAATACTTTTGAGCTGAAATTTTCGATTTTTTCAAGCTTCGGAAAACTCCGGGAACCATCAGATAATTTCAGGGTTAAATTAAAATCTGAAGCTTTGGGATTTTCTTCGACTTTTAATGCAGTTTGAAATCAATGATTGTTGATTATGAGTTCATGAGTTTTTATTCTGTTGAGGAAACGAGCAGGAAAAGGTCAATCTTTGAATCTGGAATTGTCAAGGTTTGACCTTAGCAGTTGTCAGGTCGTTAGGTGATTTAGATTTTGCTCCGTGTCAGGCTGGCTCATCCCTTTATTAGGTTTTGTGGTGATTAAAACTGATTTTTACGATTTCGCGTGAACCGCTTGTCTGACATGAGAGGCTCTTTGAACCTTTTTTTTACGAATTGGCCTCGTCATCCGAAACTCGTCTTTCTTCTTTCAACGAAGAAAGCTCCGTGCAGAGGATGTCCTTGGAAAAATTATGACTTACAAAGACATCAATCAAGATTCATGATTTTTAGATAAAGGAAGAAGGGTTTATGCAGAAGGTGACCTTGACAATCATTCTGGCTGAAGTATTTATGACGGAATCTTGCAAGAAAAGAGAGCTTCAATCATTCAAAAACCGACCGTTTTGGGGAGCAGGGGGGTCAAACGGAGGCTGGTATATTATCCGGAGAAATTCGGTGGAAAAGTTCCGGCTCGCTGGTTCTGCGCGGATCAGCCGCGGCGCGAAGAAAAAAATCCACCTCACTCGAAAAGAAAATAGACATACGCGCATACGAGGTGCATATTATATTCGCCTTCCTGCGCGTTTTGAAAACATAATTCAACCACAAAAGGGAAGAAATAAATAAGACAAATTTAACTTCCGGGGGACGCGTTGTAGTTCAGCGCGAAAGGGTACAGAGCTCTAAAGTGCGAAGCCGCAGCGACTTTGATCTGATCTTGGCCGGACGACCTTGGAAATCTCAGAAAAATAAATTTTAAAAATTCACACCTTGTCTCCATCTGAAATTTCTACCTTCCCAGCGCTCTAATATTCAAATTTCAATAACTAAATCATCCCTTGATTGGCTCGTTTTAAAAAATAAGATTTTCAAAAATCGAAATTCTAATTATCTGGATGAAATTAATTGCTTGAGTTATTTCTTTTGAAAATTCAGTACGGAAGATAATATATGTAACCAGCAACATTTTTGATAAGTTATATTTTGCTGCTAATTTTTCAAGGATGATTAAAAAATGTCGAAATGTCACGTGAGAGTGTGTAATTGTCCGTGGCGGTAATCAGAGGTTCAATCAATCGCCCAATGAAGTGGCATCTGCTCGGACAAGTTCCGTCGAACAGGTTCCGCCTCGCTGGCTCGACGCCGGATCAGCCCGTCGGAGGGGCTCAAGCCCGTAGCTCAAGGCCATCAATTTGTGTTGTCAAAAAGAAAAATATAAATAAACCAAAGTCGGTGATTTTCGATCAAAAATATCTGGATGTTTTCTTGATTTTCTTAGTTCATCCTTTTTTGATATTTTTGCATAGAAAGTTTGTTTATAAATGTCAGTTTTGAAAGACTCAAGACCTTGAGTATCATCATATGGGTCTGGCCTTAGTTTTTTGTCCTTCAGCTGTAGATAAGGGCACTTGAGTTGCCATTGTCCGTATGTATCCCCGCGTATAGCCGTTTTTTATTCGGACAAAAGCTGCAGAGCCGAAATTCAACTGACCGTTGTTCAGTTTTCTTCTTGAAGACTAAACCTGTTGGATGCGTACTTAGTATTTTTCTTGCGCGTTGTGGCAATATTCAGCTTATGGGTATTTTGCATTTTGTGTCAAAGGTTGCGCCGGGCGAAATCCGGCGTGACGGGTCACTTGAAAAAATTTCGGAACGCTCCAAAATTTCGCGGAATTCTGCGCGCCAAATGCACCCAATCGGAAAATTAGATCAAGCAACACCAGAAACCCGGTGCTGTTCAAATAAATACTCCACCGCCAACCAGGCGGAAAAGAGTTTCTCAGAAGCCGGCTCTTTTCTGGGAATTCGATATGAAGATTATGGCGGCACAGGAATAAGATAACGAAACATCCTTTATATACCGGTTTCTGGAAATAGGATACCGGGAATTTCGATAGCGGTTTTGAGGGGTGGCGGGCGGCCTCGTTCGCAAAGGCTATTTGCGTAAATTGCGAACGCCGTTCGCAAAATCGAAAAGATCTCGGTCGAAAATCGAGTTCTTTTATTTTCAAAATGTGTCCCTGCGGTAGAGAAAGACTGCCCCTGCCAACCCAATGAGTTCTCTACCAAAAAATGCGCGAAGCGCATCTTCACGACACAAATATATTTCATTGCGAACAGCGTTCGCAAAATTACGAACGGCGTTCGCAAATTGCGAACGAGGCCGCCCTACACCCGTTTTGAGCGTTGGTTTATCGTTAGAACTCGGTAGAAAAAATCTCAGAAAATGGACCAATTTTGAAATTTTGAAGGTGATTCGCTTAGCAATGAAGACTATAGTTGCCATAATTTTTGTAAAATGATTTCTTGTTGTCAGTAAGATATCTAACTGAGCATCTCCTAGAAGGACTTCTACTAACAGGTCCTTCAGTTAAAAGCGGCTAGAATCATCAATGCGTAAAATGATTTCTGAGAAGCAGAAGAAGCGGATTTGCGGGTATCGCTGTTTTGTAAAATTTGCAAAAAGGGTTGACGCAAGAAATCTAGATAATCCGCGAAATGCGCGCCGAACGCGGATTAGCGCCAATTCAAGAAGCTAAAACAGATGGGGGAAGCGGAGCAAGCTAAAATTATCTTGAAAGAATTTCCAGGCGAAAAACTTAGCAGCCTGGAAATAATTAAAATCAATGGCGGGCTTTGGAATCTATTTCATTTCAAGGGAATTACTTTCTTCCTCAAAGAGTGTTTTTCAAGCGACAGACTTGAGTATCGTTTATAAAATCTGCATCCTTTCAAGAAGAGCATCATTGAGTTGAACTCGAGCGAACTGGGAATATAAACTCCTTTGAGAAAAAAAGTACTCAACCCTTGTGCGCGGGCATTGTGTCGGAGCTGCTCGTCCGTGGAAAAAAGGGATGAACACAAAGAAAACATCGATTGTGTTTTATCTTTTTCTCCTTTGTCTGAGAGTCAGCCGCAGAAGCCACCGGAAACTTCTTCTTTGTCCGAAACGGACAATTCCGGATTCGGTTCTTTTCCGAAAAACTGGAGCTTGCAGGAAGTGGATAATCCTTTTTGTATGAATATGGAAAAATGAACTCACGTGAATAAAATCTAACCCGACGGAGCTCAGGAGCTCATCCGACCCATACACCACATGCTACAGAAATAGACGAACTTTACGAACTCGCCCCGGGCAGCGTAGATCAAAGGCAGAAAATGGATTTGCCCGCAGGCACGTGTTGGCAGAAATCCAATACCTGCACTTGGAATTTGGGAAAAATCGATCCTGCTCGAGCTCAGAGTCAACTTGAACTCGGATTTAGCCATTTGAATAGAGTTAGATTCAATTCGATTGAAAACTAAAATGATGAATAATTCTTTTCTTGTTTTATAAATAAAAACTGAAATTTCTCAAGCCCGGATTTTTAGCGACAGTTTTGACCTTTGCATTTATCGAGTGACCTTCGGCCGACTCTGCTGACCGATAAAAGCTCTCAAAAAGCCCCTTCGTTTTCATGATGCTGCCGGAAACTCGGCAAAAGAGCAGCTGTAATTGTCCGCAAATAGAGAGTGAGAGGTGCTCCCTGTCAGCGCGCTCTCATCCTCTTCGTTTTTCAGTTGCTCAAGGCAAACAGTCGGAAATTCGTCAAATTTGCAACCGCGAAAAATTGCATTTCAAATATTTAACACATGCTCATATTTGCCTATCATGCGACATTTCTCATCCTTTACTGACTTTTTCGCATATTGAGATGGGTTGGTCGTCGTTGTTTTCAGTCAAGAACTAAAGCAGCTAAAATCAAAGCGATTCTGCAGGATATGTTTGTTTTAGTTATGAAGCGGGGATCGGCTCAAAACTTGTTTTTGTATCAAGGCCAGGTGCCCCTGTGAAGCTTTTATTTTGATTTTACTTTGACAAATTGTCGATTTTCCATTTTTTTATGAAAAATGACCGGTGAAAGAGTTGTATTTATTTCTGCATTTGAGGGAAGAGAAGATATTCTTTTCGTTAAAAATGACAAAAAGAATATTCATACGACTACCATCTTTAGGCAACCAACCTGTGCCTGTAACAGGTAAAGAAATATGATGATATAGCTCAATTTAGTCGATAAGAAAGCTAAAAGGTTTCTAGGCACACAGAAAAAATCATTGAGAGAAAATATCCCGGTAGCGACCAGTCGAATTGCTATTATACTTGTGAGATTTGCTTCCATGGTCAAATTGATGCAACTGCAGTGAAAAAAGAAAATACGACAATGTTCAAATGTCCTGCAGGAGTCTGTGATGGTTCTCAGAACTTCAAATCTTTTATCGAAGGAATTTGCTGCGAATCTGCTCAAAGAAAAGTGGAGTATGGTAAGGAATATTAATATAAAATCATATTTTTAAAGTCATTTTTAATTGAATAACCAATTTAAAAAAAAATAAATTTTTCAGATCGACGGGTTGACATTGGAACCTTCCAGCGCGACTTTGAAAAAGCCGTGGATACAGAGAATAATATCATACAAGACATAAAGGATGCAAAAGAAGCCAAAAAGAGAACGAAAGAAGAAGCCGATAGAGCCATTGAAGCGGACAAAGCTGCTGAGGAACGAATAAGATCTTTAGAAGAATCCCTTCCAAAAATTCAGCAAGAGGTTGATGCAAAGCGAAAAAAATTGGATGGGGTCATTGCTTCTACCTTCAGGGTCATCAATACATGTGAGTCAAGATTTTTATGAACACGACAGCAAAATAATTAAGTTATTATGAGTCGTTTTAAAAGCATAATTCGATAATATTTTTATAAAGGTAAGACTGAACAGCTGAAGATCGAAATGAAAAAGAAGGAACTCTTCAGATTCGAGAAAAATCGGAATTACCCCCATTAAAATTATCCCCATTGAAATTACCATTAAAATTTACCTAATAATTTAGATAATTGTTATAAAATGTCACATTCTGTATAAATCACTTCTAGAACTCTTAGTTTTCAAAAATGCTTTACAACTTCTCTTTCTTTCTTTCTGTCACTTGTCAAAAAAAAACATTGAAAATGGGCACCTTCTCTTGGAAGTTGAGCGACATTCCACTCGGAACAGAAGACGACAGCGTATACATTAGCTCTACTACGATCAAAAATGAAAATAAATTTGCCTGGTATCGATTCATTCAGGTAAGAACTGGAAAATTATTATTCTGCAAAAAATTTCATAGAGCGGCTATTTTTTGGGCTGGTTCATGATGATTTTAATCACGACAAACCATGTTAACCACTGGGTTTATCTGACCAACTGGGGTGAAGCTCTACTCACAACTTATTTTCTACTCGCAGCAATCACCAATGCTTGCTTAAAATCAGGAGGTAAGAGCTTGTCAGATGGGTAATCAACTAGCGAGCTTTTAGTTGGCGAAGAAAAAACAAACGTCCTCAAGAAAATCACCTCGCTCTTTCAACACTGCTCTTTCTCCGTCAGCGTCACTCTTACAGTTGCCTACTGGGTTTTGCTAAGAACTGAGTTGGAGAAACCACGCAACTGGCATACGCATGGCATCAATATGCTCTTGGTTTTTGTCGACGTCATCGTTACTGAGGTTCCAGGTAAGAATTTAAGTGAGAACAGCTGGTAAAACCGTGTTTTTAGTGAAGATGGCTCATTTAATGTACACTTTTGCTGTCTGCTGGGCTTATTTTTCCATGACTCTCATCGTCTACTACAACAGCACAAACCCGAAGCACTTGGAAATCTACGCTGACACATTAGGAACGGATCATTTCTACAACCTTCTGGGTAGCATAAGTTTGAATCTATCAAGATCCATGCCTAAGATTGGGGAAATCTTCCCGTAAAATCATGCATTCTTGGTTTTGGTCTCATTCTCCTTGTCATCCCGCTGTTTCACACTCTTCTCGTCGCACTGACCAAACTTCGAAAGAAAAACAACAAGGAGTAACTCTCGCTATTATTTTTTTTCTTCTGCTTTAATAGACATGTATACAGTATACTCGCCCGATATGATTTTTACATTGACATTTATTTGTAACGAGGGATGCATTGCAGTTTATTCATTAATTTGGTCAGAGGAGTATTTTATATATTTGAACAGAATAAATTTTAAGCTGTTTGTCCAGATTTAACTCGAAGATGAGCTCATTCTGATTTCGCGAAGTTCAGCTTCACGCTCCTAGAAATAGTTGAGAGCAATTCAATTCTAAGAGGAGGTCGTTCGGAGATTCTTGATTGCTCAAAAGGCGAGCACTCAAGAGGAAGTTCGGTAATTCTGAGATTTCGAATTGAATAAAGGAGAATTTGGTGTTTGATTTAGATTTATGTGGAAGGTTTGATACGTACTCTGCATTTCATTTTCTGCAGCAGGAGATGAAGCTAAAGCGTTTCTTTTGCTTAGGAGGAGGCTGCTAGAGGAAGAAATTGTAGAAGGAAGAAGAAAGTTATAAGAAAAACAACAGCAATCGTGTTATTTTTCAAACTGAACTCAAATGGAACACATGGGTTGAGTGTTTTAAGTAAGAAATGGAGGATGAAGAATAGAAAAAAGCAAAAGCGGAAAATAGGAAAGAGCTTGTTAGTCTGGTGACTCGTGAACTGCAATTTTATTCCGTTACCTTGAAGCTTTCAATCTCAGTATCGATTATAGTCTGAGCGGTTTGGCGTGCGGAGCTGATGCTGTGACAAATCAGTATTAACTTTTTTATGTTAGAATTTTTCTTGGGCAAACCTGAAGCGCGGTCTAGGAGCGCGAGCGTAAGGAATCGGGGCTTTTTCGCTTTCTCTGCGAAGTGGAAGGGATGAAATGTCAGTTGTGCCGACTTCTTTGACCGGGCTCGGGAGAGAGTCGAGATTGGAGTATTGTGAACTGTTGAAAACGTCGTCGGTCTGATCGGTACTTGATCTTCTTGAGCTCGTCGAGCTAGTAATACTGTATTACTAATACAGTCATTTGCGGCGCCGATTGATCTTTAAGGTTTTATTGCTCCCGGAATTTAATACTCCAAGGTGCTAAACAAGAAAAAACTTATTGTATAGGAAATATCACCTGTATGACGATTTCCATCCGCGTGGGGCGATCGACTTGAGCCACTTGGTAGTATTTGTCTCTCGGTTGTTATTCTGTTCTTCATCCACTTTGTTCTCGTCGCCGTCTGCTGATTGATGATCCGGATGATCTGGGTGATCCGAAGATGCAGAGGGCAGCGGTGAAGAGACCGAGTCCCGTGGTGGGTTGAACTCAATAGAAGTCGTCATCGAGTTTTGACTTTCATCTTTATGGTCGATTCCACTGTCTATGCAAATCATCTAAGAATTGCTTTTGTAAGAATCTTACCTGAAATAGAACCAGCATTTGATGTAAGTTCAGCTGCAGATTTATCGACAAGATTGGCGAGCTCCTCAAACTTATCGATATCGTCCTGAACCTCCGCAGGTACTTCTGGGAGCTCAACTTCCTCTTCCTCTTCATTGTCATCTTGTGTGGTATTACTCTCTGGAATGTCTTGCGAAGTGTCTAACTGGGCATTTTCGTCTTGATCGATTTTTGAGTTCTGTTCGGCTGTTTTCTCCACTTTGTCTTCAATTTCTGGCTCGTCGGGACTTATTATTGGTAACGCTTTTGATTCTATTTCCTTCTCTGCTTCTGTGTCTTCTTCTGGCTCAGCTTGACCCTCCTCTGCTCCCTCTACATCGTTTGACTCAACATCCTCCGGTTCTGGTTCCACTTGCTCTGAGATCGGCTCCGCTTCTGGTTCGATCGCAGGCTTTGGTTCTTCCATTTCCGGTTCGATGTGATCACTTTCGTCAAGCGTGGTATTTGGTGATGGCTCAGCATCCAGGATCAACTGATAATCAGGATCTTCTACAACTTCTCTAGCTGGTTCTTCCTGATGTCCGTTTATCTGTTCAGAGTTTGAGCTAGAATTTGCCCGTGACATCGTCTCCCGCTCAATTCTAGCAAGTTCTTCTTCGATTCGATTGAGCTGCTCTAGCTTTCTCGTCGCGTCTTCAAGATCACTCTTGCTTTCTCGCTCGGGAGCTTTTCTGAATACAGGCTTACCGCGAGTTTTTACAGGTTGAACTTACGGAGCGTTGAGAAGTCCCTTTTCTTTTCTGTAAAGAGCCTCTTTCTCAGCAGCCTGGCGGATCTCGTCGTTGATTCTGTCCTCTATTCTATTCGGGCGCTTATAAGACGGCTCTCTGTGGGGTATTTGGCTAACCTTCCATTGACTGAATACGGTTAGACAAGTAGGCATTATATATTTTTACCTCATTATGTTTTTGATGTTTGGTGTGCTCGTGTCAATGTCGGGGTTTGAATTTTGAGAGGTTCCGTTTTCTGTTCCGTTCTCTGTGTTTCTCTGGAATGAATTTGAGACTCCCGACCAGTCCTAAAGCTTGATAAACAGCCATCTTTCTATCAGAATTTTTACCTTGATTCGACTGCGGCGCCTCTCCTGATATTTCTTGTGCGAATCGAGCTCTTTCCCTGACAGCTTATCCTCTGTAGATCTAAAAGGGATTACACTTCTTTGAAAAAAATACTGCTGCGCCCTCGAGGAAGAGCCGATTTTTGTGGTGTGTGCCCAGGGTGAGACAGAGAGGGAATCCAAAATTTTTTTTCCTTCGCGAATATCAAAGAAGTGTGAAGCGAATAGTCCTCCGAGGTAATTAATTTTATTATGGCTCCTTGATCAGGCTGACAAGTTTTTGATGAACCCCTTTTTGGGAAAGAAAGACACCGTCAATGGCAGGACGGAGATTGGAATTTTAAATACTTGACTTACGGTTCAGGCTTTGGCGCTTCCCATCGTTTTAAAACACTTTTGCTTTGCGATCCTCGGGCCATCGTTTTGATGATTTCTTTTCTCTGCTTTGCTGCTTTTTGAGACTCGCTCTTGACTGAAAATTTTACTTGAAAAAAGTCGATACTCGGCGGCTTTCGATATTTTGCGGCCCTAATGCCCTTACGGTGGAGAAAAAAAAAATGGATCGAGCCCGTATTTTTAGTTAAATTATTGATGAATTGCGCACAGAGAGAGAAACAACAACAAATTTCACCCTCGAGAGTCCTCTAGTGGCCACATGGCTTATTGAGTTATTCAAGTGAAAATTACGGTAGCTTGAGAAAGTCTTTGAATTTTTTTTCTTAAATTGAAAACTTAATTATCCTTAGCTTTGAAACTTACCGAGCGCATCTGGCGAGTACCATTTCAAAGTTGAAAGATTGGCAACCTTGGCGTCCTGAAAGAAGAGTAAGAAAGTAAAACTACACCGGCAGTATAAATCTTTGATAACATTTGATTTTTTATTGCTGTCTAATCTGACACATTTTCATATCTGCTGAATTTGTATAATAAAGTTGAGACTAATCGCCAAAAGCTATTAAATTGGAAATCAAAACTCTCATGTAAAAAATCATTATGTTCCTCATTGTTATCAAATCGGAGAGATCAAACAAGTTTCCAACGGGTTGGGAATAATGGAAGCTAATTGAGGCTGTGAAGCGGGAAAAATGCTTCCGCCCCGCTCTCATCCCTCCCTAACCTCTTTTGCCTCCGGTGAGAAAAATCTGCCTCTTACCATAACTTTCTCTTCTGAGGTCGTTTCTTGCTCTCTTTGAATTCGCTTCTGCGCTCTGTCGGTAAGATCTGTTGAAACTGAAAAACGGAAAAAGTGTTATTCAAGCGCGGACAAAAGGTTTTGGAGATTTTGAGGAAAAAATCTTTGGGAAATGGGAGAAACAATTGGAGAAAGAAAATTGCCACTTGGCAGGGCCGTCACACAATCTTACGTTGCCTAATGACCCGACCAGTATAAGAAAAAGTCAAGACCTCAAGGTCACCTTAGAGTTATTTTTGGAGATTCAAGAGTTCTGTTAAATTTCTAAAATTAAAGATGAATTACGTTTATGATTGTTTCTCGGAGAAATATTTGGTGGAGATCGATTCATTTTGGTTTCAGTATTTTTTGAACCGGAATCATCTTCATCCTCAGTTGAGTAAATTTTTGAGCGCATAATTTTCTCTTTTGTACTTTTTCTAGCAATTTGGGCTCGAAAAAATGGGTTGTTTCAAGAGTTTTATGATATTAAACAATCAATGAAGTCTCTTAGATTTATGTGTTAGGTAAAAACTTTACGATTATCGATAGTTCTTTTATATTAAAAAATGAATTGATCTAATTTCTTTTCAGGAAATGTTCACTTCCTCTTTTCTCTAAATACCACAGATAAGCTTCTAAAGGCGTAACAAAAGGACCTTCTTTTTATACCTCAATTTCTGTTTCTTTCTGGTTTCTCCTCTCTCTCTGTTTTCTCAAGAGCTCGATAAAAAACCGCTAGGTTTGGATTTCGGTGGGAATGCAGCTACAAGCTTGATGAGGGTGAGTTATTAGATGAGAAACTGCGAAAAAGAGATGAAATCAACTGGCACGCAGGGAAATGCCATTTCGTCTCTTGCGGATTTTACTCTTATCCGCGTCAACTGATTAAATTCTCGACTACATTGTTCAAAAAAGGAGTTAGCACCTGTGGATTTACGAGTACACAAAAATTTACCTGGTAATGATCTCTGGGTTTGAAAAATTTTATAGAAACTGTTGAATTCTAGTTCAGAGCGTGAAATTAAAATATCGATGTCCCACGATTTTCCGACGCGTCATGGAAATCAAGTGTCCTTTACGTGACTCTCGTAAACGATCGTATTAGCTCTCAAACCTACTTTTGCCTTCAAGAGTGGTTTATAGTTCAATAAATTTAAAAGAAGGACTTCAGAGGACGATTCTCAAAATCTCCAAAACAATTTTATTTCTTTCTTTTTCGTCAAAAAAGTCGAAGGTGAAAAATTTTTTTTCAAAAAAAGTCGGACTTACTTAACGAGTTCATATCTTCTTCGTCTTCTTCTTCGTTCTCTCCAAATTCAGCCTTTAATCTCTCTTCAATAAGTCGCTGTAGCTTGAATTCCTCCCCCTCGAGCTGAAAAAAGACTCGTCTTTACTTTCTCTCTCAGTCTGATTATCGACCGGTAATAGGAAAAATTTGAGCAAATTTCTCGTCCGCCTTTATCTGCTGCGCACGTGTTGACCTTGAAGCCAATATGCTGCCCTGAAGGGTCCTTTCTTCTGAAACCCAAAACGAACACCTGGTAAGGGCACAAAGCAACAAAATGTAATTCTGTTGATTAATCGCTTATTCTAGTTTTGGTTTAGTTGGATACGCATAATAATAATAATCAGAGGGATACTTGGCCTCCGGGCGGGCGTGTTATCTGCATTTGGATGATGCTCAGATAAGCTTGGGCCTATTAGGGACATGAGAACGTTGATGAAATTCCGACGAAATTTAATTCGAGTTATTATGCTCCGAGTGCCGGCAGGTTAATTGAAGATATCGCCTCGCATCTTTATGAAATTTGCTTTTCAAGTTGAAACAACGTCGATTAAAATTCATTAAGATACCTGATCGATCGATTTCCATGTGCCAAAGAACACTTCCTCTTTCGCTTGATGAATTAAACTCTCCTCTGAATAGTGCGCTTGCATGATCAGATTTGTAACTTGTACCAGCTTTTGTCTGATCCATATTATGCGGATAGAGCGTCCATTGACCTTGGGCTTAGCGCCATGACCTCACTCTGGCTCGAGTCCCGAAAATTTTAGGGGATGGTTTTGAGTGGCTTTTTAGTGTTTATGACAGGAAATAACTAGACATGAAATTGAGGAAAAAGGGAGAACTTGACTTTGAAGGGATGAGCCATTCAAAACACAAGCTCTTTGACATGACAAAATAGTTTCTAGAGCAGTTAGAAAAGTGGATGCAAATTTTGCTTAAAATTGATAATTTTTCTCTAGACGAATTCTTGTTGTTCTTCCCAGCTAGCAGTATATAAGCGCTTGTTTTCGTCATTTTAGTTCACAATTCATTTTTTGTCAAAAAGAAGAAAATGGCCAAGACTGTTACCAAAGCCGCCAAGCCCACTGCTGCTGCCCGAAAATACCGAAAGGCCCGAAAGGAGTCTTTCGGTATCTACATCTACAAGGTGCTCAAGCAGGTGCATCCCGATCAGGGAATCTCCTCCAGAGCCATGTCAATCATGAACTCTTTCGTGAACGACATCTTCGAACGACTCGGAACCGAAGCTTCTCGTTTGGCTAAAATGAGCAAGAAGTCGACCATCTCCTCCCGAGATATTCAGTCTGCTGTCCGACTTCTCCTCCCTGGTGAGCTTTCCAAGCACGCCGTTTCCGAGGGAACCAAGGCTGTCAGCAAATACACTTCCTCTAAGTAAATTTTTAATTTACAACGAGCTAAAACAGGCCCTTTTAAGGGCCACAAATTCCAGAGAGATCAGAAGTCTGCTTCGAGTTCTTTTATCAATCTCGTTAGTTTGCAGAATGAGACACTATCGCTCTTGCTGAATGCCAAATAATAAACTTTCAAAATTTTTATTGATCAAGTTTTCAAAAAGAGGTTTTTACTTTCGATTTGTTATTCTCTTCCTCAGCTTTGGCAGCCATCATCTGTCCAACGAACTCTTGAAATCGCCCATGAATGCCTGCGAACTCTGGTAGAGCGGCAACTTTTCCGAACCAAGCTTTCACATTTTCGTAGTCATCCAGGAACTTAGGGTTAACAAGGCAGGGCATTGTTAGTCCGCAAGCGATGCTTATATCCGCGATTGTGATGTTCTTTCCGGTGAGAAAGTTGCCGGCTTGAATGGATCCATCAAGGAATCGAATCTGCTCAGCCAGCTTGGCCTCCTTCGCAGGCAAATCATCTGGCATCGGGAAGAACCCCAGTTTTGGATAAACAGCGGCGAAAATGGCGGAGTACATCGAACCCATGTCCCAGTTGAGCCAAAAGTCAACTTTTGCCCTCGCTTTTGGTTCAGCAGGATAGAGCGTAGATTTTGGCGCATATTGATTGACGATGAATTGAAGGATAGCTCGCGATTCCCAAAGCGTAAAACCATTGTCGACGATTGTTGGAATGCAATGTCGAGGATTGATCGCAAGGAAGTCCTTGTTCATGTGCTCGCCCTTCATCAAATTTAGACTACTGAACTCGTAATCGACCCCTGCGAGCTTGCAAGCTAAAATATTAAGTTACAAGAAAAGCCAAATAGTCTCACAGTACTTATTTCAACAGCTCGGGATGGTGGGGAGAAGAGAAAACCGTAGACCTTCATTTTCTAATTTCTGATAAAAAAATGACTTCGAAGATTGATTTCATCGGCTCTTTATATACCTACTGGTGGAATGTTTCTGGAAGATTCTTCACACGCCTCGATGATCAAGCAAACAAAGTTTTATGAATTATTTGATTTGTTGGCACAAATTCTATAATTTCCCGAAAAAAATTCCAGCTAATCTTCAGAAGGAAAAACCTTCATAAGGGGAAAGAGTCTTTCCGAAAGACTAAAATATAAACAACTTCAAGAATAATTAGTACCTCCCTCTAATCAATCAGTTTTATCATCCCTTAAAATCGGGCGCTGGTACCTTATCATTATGTTTACGATCCGTACACCTCATGTTTCCGCGTAATTGACCTTCTTTTCATAAAACTCATAAAATGTAAATCTCCAGCTGTCCAGAAGAGCGATGCGCCCCTCAGTCCCGGATAAAAACCGGCGAGTCATGGAGGGATCATATCATTCTCTTCCGACAACAGAAATCGACAACATGGCCCCGAATACTTTCAGAGATGCAACGAGAATTCAAATTGAAGATGAGCGCCAGCGCAAACGAAATACTCCCTACCAGGAGAAGCCTCTTGTTGATGTCTCTTCAAGAACCAAGCTTCAGACAGGAGCCTTGGCCAAGATGATCCAGGCAACAACTGGCGTGATGGGAATAGACTTCCACGATCAGTACAAAGACCTCGAATGGACTGATGAAAGCGGAAGTTTCAACCGTCACAATGGTCTTCCAAAGCTCGACAGTATGCCGCTCGCTTTTCAGCTCAAATACGAGAGCATTTTTAAATATGCCCAGGTAAATTAAGCATGAGTGAATTTTTATTCAAGGTTTTTTAGTTCTTTCAACAATGGATAAAGCCAATTCTCGCTGAGCTCATCGCTACTTTTATGCTTGTTTTCTGGGCATGTATGCTTCAACCAGGGAGCTCAAATCCTGAAGGAGCTCAGTCCCCATTGGTGTTTGCGCTTGCCGCTGGAATCAACCTGACAATCATCATTACAATGTTCTGGGACATTTGCATCATTCAATTCAACCCATGCATGACAGTTGCGTTCGTTCTTGCGGGAGTCGTTCCTTTCCGACTTCTCATTCCAAATATTGGAGCTCAATTACTCGGTGGATACTTGGCCGCTCTTTTTGCCTCATTGATACGTGGAGAACCACTTGGTAAGAAATGACTAGAAAATGACCTCACCTTATTTTTTAGGCGCAATCCCTCTGACAGAAGCCTCAGATCTTAATGCAGTCTTTTGGAGTGAGTTTTTCTTTACGTTCATGATGGCATTTGTTGCTCTTGCCGCGGTTCTCGATCCGAAATACCAACATTCTCTAACTCCTCTCGTCATCGGTCTTACAGTTACTCAAGGTAATAAAGATGAATGAAACAATCAAATGAATTTCTTTTAGGCGTCTTTGGCGGATGGTACATTGGCGCTGGCTGCATGAATCCAGCACGAGTTTTCGGACCTGCTGCTATTTACAATGATTGGGACCTTCACTGGATCTGGTGGATCTCGGAAATAGCCGGAGCGGTTTTTGCTGTCTTTGTGGAAATGATGATTTTTGCGCCAATTATGATCGAGAAAGGCAGCACCAAATCAAACCTCCTGTGGTGGCGATTTGCGATGTGGTACATGTCAGATGGACATATTACTGGAAAGATCAACAAACATCTATCTACTTGGCGAGCGGCTGTCTCACGACATGAGCATGATGATTAAAATTTTATCGGCTGTAAATTTCAAATGAACTTTTGAAATAAACTTTACAAAAAGCAAAAAATGGTCTTCTTCCGAAAGATTGCAATTCAAACGCCCTTGATATCTCGGCAGGAGCTTAGTCTTACACCCCAGTTTCTCTAATCCGGCGCCCTTGCCGAATGACCTTACACCCTTGAGCAGCTGATATCCGGCATAAAAACTCTTGCTGCTCTTATTTTTCTTAGCAGTTTCAAGAAAGCTAGAGACCTCACGTTCTTTGGTAAAACTTGAAATAAACTAGAAAATGTCGCTTTGGGACGCAGACGCAGCAGGAAACGCTGCACAATGGCTTCGACTTCCGCAAGAGACCATGCTAGAGATTCAAAACCGCCCTTACTCGGGACGAAATGCCGTTTGGGTTCCAAACTCTGCTACTCAATACTGCAAGGGTGAAGTTATCGGCGACGGTAAAAAACCTGGACACAAGCTGGTCAAACGTGAAGATGGAAAAGAGAAGGAATACCACGAGGACCATATCGAGTTCCAGAATCCTCCCAAATACGAGCTTCTTGAAGATCTCGCCAACTTGACCTACCTTTCAGAAGCATCAGTCGTTTACAACTTATCAGAGCGATACACGCGATTCATGATCTACACCTATTCCGGTCTTTTCTGCATCACCGTGAACCCTTACAAATGGCTGACTGTCTACGACAACCACGTCGTTGGAATTTACAAAGGAAAGAGGAAGTCGGAAATGCCCCCACATATCTTCGCCATTTCCGATAATGCTTACAACGACATGTTGCGAGAACGACACAACCAGTCTATGTTGATCACTGGTGAGTCAGGCGCTGGTAAAACTGTCAACACCAAGCGAGTCATCCAATACTTCGCCGTCGTCGCCGCCCTCGGCCAATCTGCTAAAGGAAACGAAGATGGTGCACCAGCTCTCAAAGGAGGCGGAACCTTGGAAGATCAGATCGTCGCTGCTAACCCTGCTATGGAAGCATTTGGTAACGCCAAAACAACACGAAACGATAACTCCTCCCGATTCGGTAAATTCATCCGAATCCACTTCGGTATGACTGGCAAGCTCGCTTCTGGAGACATCGACACGTATCTTCTCGAAAAATCTCGTGTCGTTTTCCAGCTCCCATCTGAGCGAGGCTTCCACGTCTTTTACCAGATCTGTTCTGGTGGCCGACCTGAGCTCAATGACATGACACTCACGACAACGAATCCATACGATTACCATTTCTGTTCTATGGGAGAAATCAAAGTGAAGTCCATCAATGATGTTGAGGAACTCGAAGCAACTGATGGATCTTTCGATATTCTCGGATTCGAGCCCGCAGAAAAATCTGGCATCTGGCAAGTCACAGCTGGTCTCATGCACTCTGGAAACATGAAATTCAAAAACAAGCAGCGAGAAGAGCAAGCTGAGGCTGACGGAACCGAAGCGTCTGAAAAGGCTGGCTTCATGTTCGGAATTTCTGGAGCCGAGTTTGTCAAGGCTCTTTGCTACCCGCGTGTGAAGGTCGGAGCTGACTTTGTCACCAAGGGCCAGACTGTTCCTCAAGTCGAGTATGGCCTTGGCGCCATCTGTAAAGCCGTCTTCGAGCGACTTTTCAACTGGATTGTGGCCACTGTCAACCGAGCCCTCTCCAATGAGTCACCACGAAACTTCTTCATCGGTATTTTGGATATTGCTGGATTTGAGATCTTCGACTTTAACACCTTTGAGCAGCTCTGCATCAACTACACCAACGAAAAATTGCAACAATTTTTCAACCACCACATGTTTGTCTTGGAACAAGAAGAATACCGAAAGGAAGGTATTGAGTGGAGCATGATGGACTTTGGCATGGACTTGGCTGCAACCTTGGAACTCATTGAGCGACCATTGGGTATCATGTCCATTCTTGAAGAAGAATGCATGTTCCCGAAGGCAACCGATATGACATTCAAGGAGAAGCTATACCAAACTCACATGGGCAAGAACGATAAGTTTGGCAAGGTCGTCAAGACAAAGCCAAAGGACAAGTCTGTTGAAGAGCCCCACTTTGAGATCCACCACTACGCCGGCACTGTCGGATACAACGTTACTGACTGGCTCCAGAAGAACAAGGATCCGTTGAACAATACCGTCGTCGAGCTTTTCAAGAAATCTTCGTCGAAGATCATGCAAGCTCTTTGGGCAGATTACGCAAGCCCCGATGAAGCTGCTAAGAAATCTGCCGGAAAGGGAGGTAAACGTCAAAAGGGTGGTTCTTTCCAAACTGTGTCCGCTCTTCACCGAGAGTCGCTCAACCGACTTATGACCAACTTGAGGTCAACACAACCTCATTTTGTCCGCTGCATTGTGCCAAACGAGTGCAAGAAACCTGGAGAAATGGACTGGAATTTGGTCCTCCATCAGCTTCGATGCAATGGTGTCTTGGAAGGTATTCGTATCTGCCGAAAGGGTTTCCCCAGCAGAATTCAATACGACGAGTTTACTCAGCGTTATCTCATTCTTGCTCCATCTGTTGAGAAAGGAAACGGAGAATTCGCTGACCCTAAGAAAGCCGCTCAAAACGTTTTGGCCAGTCTTGCTGAATCGGGCAGTATGGATCAAGATAAATACCGACTTGGTCATACGAAGCTCTTCTTCCGAGCAGGAGCAATCGGTGACTTGGAAGATCTTAGAGACGAAAAGATCTCTTCAATCCTTACATCACTTCAGTGCTTCTTCCGATACAAGCTTGCTGCTATCAAATACAACGAGCTCGTTCGACGTCGAAATGCTATTGATCTGATTCAGACCAATATTCGATGCTTCCAGTACCTCAAAGATTGGGAATGGATGAAGATCATGTTCAAGATCAAGCCTCTTATCTCTCAGGCCGAAGAAGGCAAGAAGCTCCAAGAACTCGAGAAGAACTATGCTGAATGCAAAGCCGCGCTCGAGAAGGAGACCAAACGACGAAAAGAACTTGAAGAAGCCCAAGTCTCCCTAGTTCAGGAGAAAAATGAGCTCGAGCAAAAAATGAATGGCCAGCTTGCGCTTCTTGAAGATGCAGAAACAAGGTGCGAGGAACTCATTGAGCAAAAAATTGAGCTCGACGCAAAATGTCGCGATATGCAAGAAAAACTCGAAGAGGAGGAAGAACTCAACAACGACCTTGTCGCTAAAAAGCGAAAACTTGAAGACGAATGCTCTGAGCTCAAGAAGGACATTGATGATCTAGAATTGACTCTTGCAAAGATCGAGAAAGAAAAACATGCCACCGAGAACAAGGTCAAGAACGTCACCGAGGAACTTACCTCCGTCGAAGAAACTATTTTGAAGCTTCAAAAAGAGAAAAAGGCTCTCCAAGAAGCTCAAAAGCAAACTCTTGCCGATCTGCAATCAGAAGAAGAAAAAGTTGGATCTCTTTCAAAAGCAAAAGGAAAGTTGGAAACTCAAGTTGACGATCTCGAAATCACACTCGAGGCCGAGAAGAAGAACCGAATGGATCTTGAGCGAGCCAAGCGAAAGTTGGAAGGCGACATCCGTCTCACGCAGGAAAATGTGATGGATCTGGAGAACGACAAAGCAGGCGAAGAGGAAAAACTCAAAAAGTCTGAGTTTGATTTCTCGCAAATGAATGCAAAACTCGAAGACGAGCAGGCACTCTCTGGCCAGCTACACAAAAAAATCAAAGAGCTCCAGTCTCGTACTGAAGAAGTTGAAGAGGAGCTCGAGTCTGAGAGAGGTTCTCGCGCTAGATCCGAGAAAACTCGAACCGACCTTTCTCGAGAGCTCGAAGAACTCGCTGAGCGTCTTGAAGAAGCGGCAAGCAATACCCAGACTGAAATTGAGGCCTCAAAGCGGCGTGAAGCTGAGATGGCCAAGATTCGAAGAGAGCTTGAAGAAGCTACACTCAACCATGAGGCAACTCTGAGCAACACCCGCAAAAAGCAGAGTGATCAAATCGGATCCCTCAATAACTCTATCGAACAGTTCTCCCGGCAGAAGCAGAAACTCGAAAAAGAAAAGTCTGAGATGAAGATGGAAGTTGATGATCTTCAGCAAAACGTTGAGCAGCTCACTAAATCCAAGCTCAATTATGAGAAACAAAACCGCAATACTGAGGATCAAATAATGGAGTACAAGCAAAAACTCGAAGAAGCTGACTCGACTCTCAACACATTGAACTCAAATAGAGCTAAAAACGCGAATGAGATCAATGAGCTCCGACGATTGATCGAGGAAAAAGAAGCCTCGTTCAACCAGATCCAACGCCAGAAAAACTCGTTGACCCAAACCAATGAAGAAATCAAGAGACAGCTTGATGAAGAAACGAAGTCTAAGAATGCCTTCTCTCATCAATTGCAACAGACAAAGCACGACATCGACATGCTTCGTGAACACTACGAAGAAGAACAAGAAGGCAAACAGGAAGTCCAGCGTAATCTTACCAAGAGCCAAGGTGAAGTCGTTTTCTGGCGCAACAAGTACGAAACTGATGCCATCCAGCGCACTGAGGAACTCGAAGAAGCGAAAAGAAGCTCGTCAACCGACTCCAGGAAGCTGAAGAGCAAATGGAAGCGGCTCAAGGACGATGTGGATCCTTGGACAAGACCAAGACCCGTCTCCAAGGCGAAGTTGAGGACTTGGGCTCTGATCTCGAGCGATCAAACGCTGCTGCTGTCCAGTTGGACAAGAAACAGCGAAACTTTGACAAACTCCTGGCTGAAACTAAACAAAAGCAAGAGGAACTTCAAGTTGAGCTCGAAGTTTCGCAGAAAGAAGCCCGAAATCAGCAATCTGAGCTTTTCACTCTCAAAAACTCTGTTGAAGAGTCCTGCGATCAGCTTGAAGCCATCCGAAGAGAAAACAAAAACCTTGCTGAAGAAGTCGCCGAATGCCAAGAATCGCTTGCTGAAAGCGCCAAGACGATTCATGACTTGGAAAAATCAAAGCGAGAACTTGACTCTGTTCGATCAGAAATCCAGGCAACTCTTGAAGAATCCGAAAGCATCGTTGAAGCTGAGGAAGCAAAATGCCTCCGAGTTCAAGTTGAGCTCCAGCAGATCAAGCAGGAAATGGACCGAAAGCTCGCTGAAAAAGATGAAGAGATCGACAATAACCGACGAAACCACACTCGCGCTTTGGAACAGATTCAGGCCAGTCTTGACAATGAGATGCGAGCTAGAGGTGAAGCCGTTCGAAGCCGAAAGAAAATGGAATCAGATTTGAACGATCTTGAAGTTCAATGCCGCCATGTGCGAAAGCAAGCTGATGATGCCATCAAGCATGGCAAAGAACTTCTCAACAGCCAAAAAGAGCTCACCATTACCCTCGATGACCACCAGAGAGGATCTGAGGACATCAAAGAGCAGAGTCAAGTTGCCGAACGTCGCGTCAATTTGATGACTGGCGAAATTGAAGAGCTTCGAGGAGGGCTTGATCAAGCAGAGAGACAGCGAAAGCAAGCCGAAAATGACCTCATGGAAGCGAACGAGCGTGCAAACATGCTTCATACGCAAAACACAGCATTTATCAACCAAAAGCGAAAAATCGAGAACGAACTTGGAACCGTCCGAAATGAAGTCGAAGAAGCAATCACAGAAGCTCGATCTGCTGAAGAAGCGGCCAAGAAAGCACTCACCACTGCTGCTCTTCTGGCTGAAGACCTCAAGAAAGAACAAGATACATCTCATCACATGGAGCGCATGAAGAAGAACCATGAAAACTCTGTCAAGGACCTCCAGCTCCGACTGGATGAAGCTGAGCAAGTTGCCCTGAAGGGCGGAAAGAAACAAGTCCAGAAACTTGAAGCGAAAATTCGCGAAGTTGAAGGCGAACTCGAATCTGAGCATCGCCGAAACGCTGAGCACACCAAGGTAAAAATTTTCTTCCTTGATTTCATCTAACCTAATTTTCAGGTTGTCCGAAAACTCGAGCGCAAATTGAAGGAATCTACCTACACCAACACTGAGAGCAAGAAGAATCTGACTCGAGTCACCGACCAAGCTGAGAAGCTCCAGGCAAAGGTTCGCAACTTCAAGAAGCAGTCTGAAGAGGCCACCGAAGCCGCGCAAATGTCAGCTTCTCGATATCGAAAGCTTCAACACGAGCTTGACGAAGCCGAGGAACGAGCTGAGCTCGCAGAAGCTGCTGTTGCCAAGGCTCGAAACCGACAGCGCGAACAGATCTAATGATTCTGCATACGATTTCTACTTTTTCTACAAGTACATGTTTCGGAACACTCTACCACCTCACTTCTTCAAACCAAACTAACCGTTTTTATCCTTACTACCACCTCAATTCTTCAATAAATCAACTGATTATCAACAAAAAACTGAAGCACGATTAAATTAAATACAAAAGTTTATTATAAAAATACAATTGGTTATTAATTGAAGGAGCCTCGAAGTCGCTCAAGCTCAAGAGTCTTGTCTTTCTCAGATTGTTTCAATTTTCTGACGGCGCCGTCGAGTGAGTTCATTCCTGATTGGTGGTGTTCCTGGAGTTGGCGCAAAGCAGTCAGAGCGGACAATGATTTCTTTGGTGCCACGTGGATGGGCTCTGACATTGCGTGCATCTGGCACTGCTGGTTCATATAACTAAAGATCTGTTTAGAAAATAGAGGCATTGCAAGGGCTTACCTTCGTTCATTGATTGACTGTACCATGTCTTCGATCATCTCGAGCTCAAGTTTTGTTTCTTTCGTGTCTCGCTCGGCGGTTTCCAATCGCTGTCGAAGAACAGTGTTCGTTTTACGCAACTCGCTGTTTTCGATCGACAGATGATCGCGTTCCTCTTTAGTTGCTTGAAGCAACGTTTCAGCCTCCTTCAACTGGACTTGGAGATCATTGAGCATTGCCTTATGCTCTGAAAGATTTGTAAACCGAAGGTAGCAGTAGAAAGCTTACCAAAAAGCTGGTCAGCAAGACGATCAGCGCGCTGTCGCTCCTTGATTTCGCGCTGCTTCACATCATGAAGCTTGTTTATTCGCTCCTCGCACTGTCGCACAAGTGTCACTAATTTTTCATTTTCCTCCCGGAGAGTCTTTATTTCAGCATTTCGTTTGTTGACTCGATCTGTGGCAACTCTGAAAGTATGAATATTTATCCATTTTCCTCGTTGATTTCTTACCTTTGCTGAGATTTGTACATTTCGAGCTCCTGTTCAAGCTGTTCGTTTTGCCTTTTCCACCCTTGGATGACTTCCGAGAATCTCTAAAGTACATTATAATGATCCTGGTGTTAGCAAAAAAGGTACCTTTTCAGTCATAGTTCTTAGATCCTTGGCTCGATTGGCAAGACGAGTCTCGTCCGTGGTAAGCGCGCTAGGCACGGAAGAGCGTCGGTTGCAGCATTGCGAACTTGACGGAGCTGACGAGTCTGACTGACCGGCAGCTGAAGCCCGCGTTTTCAATTTCTTGATGGACTTTTCCAGCGCCTCGCAGTCGGCGGCAAAGGTCGAGTTGACCTCGTTGAACTGAGTTGACGTGGAGGGACGTACACTACGATTCATCGTTCAACCAGGACTTTACCGCTTTGCTCCTTACCTCATGCTTGCGAATTAGAACTAACGAGTTTATCAACAAATTGTCAAATAAATACAGATGTTCTAGAAACTCTCGAAAATGTGAAAACCAAAAATAGTTTTTTCGCTCAAGCGTTGATTTCAAACAATGCGCCATTTTCTGATTGTTTCTTATCTATTTTTAACGAGCTCGCCCCAATCTCAGGCCAACTCGTCTGTTATTTTGAGGAGTGGTTTTTGCTTGGGTTGAATATTGCAGATGATGCATGCAGACAAACAATGCACAGCTTGAGATGCGAAATGCGCTCGATGCTCCATGTGAATCTATTATTCCTTTGTTTCGAAATAGACCAGCTACCAGCAAAGGGTTGAATCAAAACCAACTCTTATTCTGTGTAGCAAACAAATAAGGAAGAAAAATGAATGTTTGGAGAAAGAGATACTCGGAAGATTATCGGAATGTTTATTACGAATCGCTTCTGAAAAGTAAGTTTATCAAGTAGAGACTTTACTGTAGAGTTGCGGTGCTATGATTACTGCCCATGACTTGAGAGTCTCAACTTCTCGAACTCAGATCCTGGCCAGATGAGATCTGGATTCTGCGGTCGGCCTCGCCCGGCCACCCAGTGGGAATTTGGCAATAAAGTTGTAGTGTCGATCGTAAGGAAGGAAATCTTGGATTTTATATAAAATGATTGCGCGAATCCTTTCCCAGCTCATTCAGACGTTATTCATTGACACATGGGCATTTAATGAATTCGCAGAGAATTTGGGATCCAGATTTTGGAATTCAAATGAGTTTTTTTTCGGAGAGAAATATTCCAGAGATTAAAATTTTGATTTTCATACATTACATGTATGATACATAACAATCAGACAACGGAGTTCTTATGAAATAAATTACCGCGAAACTCCTTCTGAAAGAGGTTAATTCCACGTCTGTCCAAATTCTTGGCGCAGGGGAAATTCATATCTCCCGCCAGATGGGGAACGGGGACGTTTAATTGGGCGACTTTCCTCGCCTCTGGCCAATGGGCGCGTACTGCAAATCTCACCGTTTTTCCTTTTCCCTCGCGCTCCTCCTTCGCCAAAAGAAAGAAAAACTCAACCGATCATTTTTCGCGCTTCGGGAAGAAAATAAAAAATGAAGAGAATTTGCAGCTGCGTCGAATTATTATTTTGCTAAAGGAAAATAGTCGAGAAGAAACTTGGAAAATAGCAAAAACGAAACGCGAAAAACGAAAAAGAGAATTGTTTAGAAATGAACGAAGATGGAATCACAAGAACGCAGTTTATCCCGCATTCAGCACCGATTTCTGCACTCAAATTTGGAAATGACGCTAGGTACGAGTCTTTACCATTCGTTTATACAGTATGTTCTTACAGTAAATGTCTGCTGGCGACATGTGGCGAGGACAGGAAGTTGAAGATCTGGGATGTCTCAAGGGCGGGCCAAACAGCGGCACATTCCTTTGATCTGGTCTCGACTGGCTCCGGGCTCAATTTCAACTCAGAAGACTCGAAGGTGACCACCGGACTGCAAAACGGCACCATCAAACTTTGGGACTTAGAGAGCTGCAAGGACTTTCGCGTTTTAGCCGGACACAGAGCAGAGGTGAGCTTTTTTCTCCTTAGATTTTGGAAAGAGAACTGATTGATTAGGTGACTTATGTTGAGCATTATGAATATCACAAGTCAAACTATCTGGCTTCTGCTTCGATGGCAACCAGTGTTGGAAAAAACCCGCCCGCGAACCCCGCGGGGGCGGCGGGCGGGGGCTGCGGGCGCCCGCGCCCCCCGAACCCGCAAAAAATTTCGGATTTGGCCCCCGCGCCCGCCCGCGACCGCAAACAATTTCTGATTTGGCCCCGCGCCCGCCCGCGCCCGTACAAAATTTTTCAACCGCCCGGGGCCCCGGGCGTTGTTATAATTCTCTTCCCTCGCCTTGAATTGAGCTTGACGGCCCAAATGGCCAATTCCCCCTTTTCTCCCTCCTTGGTTTTTGAATTTAAGGGATCCCCCTGTTTTTCAACTCTTTATCACAGGTCTCATAGCATGTAAACCTTACGACGAAAAACCAAAATTTCACCCGCCGACGACAATTGTGCCATATATGGCACATGGACTTTAATGCCATCGTTTGACCAATAGAATTCCGAAAACCAAACCTTAACCCAAACCGAAACACAGCCCGAAACCTAAACTCGAACATGAACCTAGTGTCAATCCCAGACTAGTGACCAAAAATGAATGAAATAGAGTAACCGAAGTGATCGAAGAGAGAAAAATGGGCGTTTAAAAGTTTTTGTGCCATATATGGCACACTTGTCGTCGTAAGGTAAAGATTCCCTGTTTTATGAGAATCATTTTGATGTATCACACTATCCCTTAACAAACATCTTAACCCGAAATTTTGGCAAACGTAAAAATGCATATAAATAGTACTAAGCGTGAAAATCGCATTTTTTCCGCTTTTCAATGTAAATGAAAAAAAACAAAGATCTTTCGATAGCTTTGAATCAAAGGAAAAAGAATATGCACTAGAATTTCGTCTTAGCCCTGTTCCATGATTTTTGAATTTAAGGGGCTTGACGGCCCTTCGGGCCGTCTCAGCCCTGTTCCATGATTTTTGAATTTAAGGGGCTTGACGGCCCTTCGGGCCGTCTCAGCCCTGTTCCATGATTTTGAATTTAAGGGGCTTGACGGCCCTTCGGGCCGTCTCAGCCCTGTTCCATGATTTTTGAATTTAAGGGGCTTGACGGCCCTTCGGGCCGTCTCAGCCCTGTTCCATGATTTTTGAATTTAAGGGGCTTGACGGCCCTTCGGGCCGTCTCAGCCCTGTTCCATGATTTTTGAATTTTAGGGCTTGACGGCCCTTCGGGCCGTCTCAGCCCTGTTCCATGATTTTTGAATTTAAGGGGCTTGACGGCCCTTCGGGCCGTCTCAGCCCTGTTCCATGATTTTTGAATTTAAGGGGCTTGGCTGGGAACTCTAAGTTGATCAATCTCAGTTTTGTCCCCAACCCCACCCACACCCATCGTTTGAAAAATTCAAATTATCTTAGTTTATCACTCTATTATGGTTTTTATCAAAAATTATTTTTTTTATTTGCTGATTTCTGAACCCGCGGGGCTTGCGGGCGCGAGGGTTACGGGCGCCCTCAACCCCCCGGGCGCCCGCGGGCGCGAAAATCTGCGGGGCCCCCGCCCGCGCCCGCCCGGCCCCGCACGAAATTTTTGAGTTGGCCCCCGCGCCCGCCCGGACCCGCAGGAAATTTAGGAATCGGCCCCCGCGCCCGCCCGCAACCGCGGAAAATTTTGAAATCGGCCCCCGCGCCCGCCCGCGCCCGCGGGAAATGTTGCGGGTTTTCCAACACTGATGGCAACTGATATCAAAATGTGGGATATAAGAAAGAGAGGCGTTTTACTGACGTATGGGGAGCACCAAGCTGCGGTTTCCTGTATAAGATTCAGGTACAAGTCGACTTTAATTCATAAATACTCTTGCTAGTGATTTGTCAGTGGCCTAATTTTGTCCTTTTTAGTCCAGATGGCCGAAGCATGGTTTCAAGCGACCGAGATGGAATCCTAAAGGTCTGGGATCTGCGAAGCGGGAAATCGGTGGTGACCAAGTCTGACGCAGCGGGGGAGATAACGGATCTCCAATTCCACCCCTCGGAAATGCTCTTCGCCGCGTCCAGCCAGGTAGAAACAATTTCATTCTTTTTCGCTGAGTTTCGTTTCACGCTCAAGTGGGGATCCTCCTAAATACGCTCCTAATTGATAATTTGCTCTCACGTTGTTTTTATAAACCGTCCGTTATCAGATCTTTGGCCACCTGTTGCTTGAAATTCAATTAATTGAAAGCCGGATGGATATTTTCTTTATCAATTTGGATTTCGCTCTTATCCCTTTTCATTGATTTTTAAAATTCAGGATGGCCGTTGTTATTTCTACGACTTCGAAAGTTATCAGCTAGTGTCCGTTACTGAGAAAAGCACGAATATTCCGAGCGCAATTCGATTTTCCTTCGCTGGAGATGTCCTGACCGCGCTGATGGGGGATATTCTTGCAGAGTTTGCCTGGGAACCTGAAGCCAAAAGAACAAAAGCGATTCACATAAATAATGGAAAGAAGGGCGATCTCATATTGTCGCAGAATAAAGCAATAGCTACTGGCATAAAGGTCTGTCTCCCTGCTTTCCGTTCAGTTTAACCCGATTTTGCAGGAGAAAAATCAGCTGATAGTAAGTGTGGTCGACTCCTCTAAAATCTCGACGAAGCCACGAGCGCGAAAACAACCATCTTCCACGCCGAAGCAAGTGAAAGCAAACGTCTCCCTTCCAGATCCGAACATAAGCTTGATTTCCGACAGGCCCCGAAACGGCATCCGAGCAAATGCGAACCAGAACAACTCAACTAAGGAAACGAACGTTTCCCTTCCGGCCAATGCGTACAGCGATGCCTTTTCCTCGGTTCATAAAATTCCTCGCTCGCCGAGAGGTGTAAAAGGTGCCTAAAATCGATCCGTAAAATCTTCATCGAGCAAAAATTTGTAGCGCCATCAAAACCGAGAGCCCGGGAAGTCAAAGCGGATTTCATGAGCAAAATGAAGCAAAAGAATGAAAACGACATTCCAGTAGAGATCCACGTAACCCCGGCTCCTGTTGTAAAATCAAAGAGACCACTAGCGATGGTGAAGCCGAATAACTCGATGGAAATTGACCCGGGCATGCTGGCAAGCCCAGTTTCTCCACAAGTTCAAAAGAATCTGCCCAAGCCTAATAGCATCTTGAGCCTTTTACAACAATCAGTAGAGGTGAAGAAAGTATTGAAAAATCGACAAGTGGTTCTTGAAGATTGCACAAGGCAACATACGATGGGTAAATTTTGAATCCAAAATTAGAATTTTATAATTTTCAGTCGGAGCGCTACGAAAAAGCTACCGAGATCGAGGGGTTATGTACGATTTACTGAGCAATCTTCTATCGATGCCAGATGCGTGGACGCTTGAGTTGGCAGTGGAAGCAGCGCAAGTAGCATCGCTCCTCGCTCAGTCTTCAGAGGTTCATCATCAAAAGCTCTCTTCCACGGCGCTCAAGCATATCCTCACGCACTTCAGACAGACAATAGAACACAGTATCAGTGGCCCCGTAAGTCAAACATAATTTGTTCCTCATTTACCCTTCATAAATGTCATAGATAGTCTTTCATGATATCATGATCAAGTGGGAGTAACAAATTTTTATAGCACGGGATCGGGGTCGACCTTTCAGCAGAGCAACGTCAGCAACGCTCGAAGGAAATTCTCCGCCTGGTAGACGAGACTCGCAATACATTCCAATCCTCTTCACAGAACGCTACCACATTGAAGGAGATCGATTTCCTCATGCGAAACTTCCAGATTTCCTGATTCCACTTCTTCAAACATTCTATCAAGTCACCAACGTCACTTTTGCTTCACTACCCTAGATTTTGACAGCTTTATATTTTCACCAATTCAACAAGTTCATTTTCAACCAGTTTCAATCCTTTCAAAAAGTAAAAAATGCTATCCTTCTGTAAATTCTGTTTTTTTCGCAAACATTAGCCTGTCGGATAAATCCCATATAGTCTGACATTTCTTTCAACCTTCTATCTTTTTAGATGCTCGTAGATCCAGATACTCAAGACGATGATATAAAAGCCTTCGAAGCGCGGCTACAAAAGTCAATCGACAATCTCAGACCATACGCTGCAAGATGGAGGTAAGGCTAAAAGGTAGTTTATCAAATAAAGTTTTCTTAGATTATTTCTAATGCTGGTATCGATTCTTACCGTACTATGCGCATATTTATGGCTCACTGATCCTGATACCGTAAATACCTCGTTATACACTTCCCTCCGAGCGCATCCAGTGTTCTTCTTCAGGTAAGCTCAAGTATGCGATCAACTGATTTTACCCTTCATATTTTTAGCTCGCTGACCCTTATCGTGTTATTTACCATCGGAGTCCACAAAAGAGTTGTGGCGCCTTCGATTCTAGTCCAACGCCTAAGAATATGCCTGGCGGACTTTGGATTCTCAATAACAGAAAACGGGACTTTAATAAACAAGGGAAACTAACGATATGTCACTAGTCTAAGATATTACCTGCCGACTCTGCTCTATTATTTTTCTTAAATTTTCATTGTCTACATGTTCAAACAGATACTTTATCTTGTTACTGCGGTTTCTGATTTGGAGATTCAAAGAGAACAAGATCTTATTCGAATTTACAAATCAGATGGAATCGAAATTAACTAAATTTGGCTGATTCAGATCTATAATTGAAAACCTATCATTTCGATTACGACCTATCTGAATCGCTCATCATAAAAATGGAACCAATGCCGATGTGGGACGGCAGCATGGCGACACCTAACGGAGGAATGCACGCTTCAGGAAACCAGCAGAATCCAGCCGCACAGCAACATCATCAGCTTCACAATCAACACCAGCTCCCGCCACATTCACAGCACCAGAACGGAAATCCCAATCACTTCAACCAGAACATGAGTAACAATCAGATGCCCCCTAGTGATAAGCATAATCCCGTCGGCGCGTGGCAGAGAGGTGGCTGGGACTCCGGCATTCATTCAGGTGACACACATTCTTCCTTGATTTCGATTTCAAATTTAGCCGACCAAAAGTCACCTTGCATTCTTTTCTATAGTTGAAAGATCATCAAATGTAACGAAACCTTAAGGAGCTACCTCTCAGACGCCTTCAATCGTTTCCGGCCAGCACTCAGAACTGTCGGCAATCGTCAGCGAATTCTCAGAGCACATTCCCAACTTCGAGCAACAGGCCCAACAAGGTGCGCACAATCCAAATGGCCAAACAAACACATCCGCTGTGGAAGCAGCTCAAGAAATGCAACAAATGTTTGACTACCAAGACGAGGAGGGCATGGCCACAGGAAAAGTTTAAGCTCTTTCAGTTAACTTTAAGATAATTGAAGAGAAAAATTTAAAATGACAAAGTTTGAACTCATAAAAGCGATTCCAAAGCTCGTCGATTATTTGAAAAACTCTGACACTACAATTGTACAATCAGCTTCGCAAACACTTCATCAGTTTTCAAAACGAGATGCTGCCAAGAGTCAACTAATTACCCAGCGAAACGTTATTCCTACCCTAATCATCGTCCTCCAGCAGACAAACGACCCCGACACCGCCAGAGCTGTTACTGGTACTTTGCACAATGTTTCTCAGGTAAATTTAATTTTTCATTGACCAAAGAAATACGAAAAATTCTAGTCCGATCCTGGGCGAAAAATGATCTACCAATCGTCCGGAATACCTGCCTTGGTTAAAGTTCTCCAGTGCTCGGTAGATGCCGTCGTTTTCTACGCTATCACTACTATCCACAATCTTCTTCTCCACATCAAAGAGTCCAAGCAAAACCTACGCCAGACAAACGGTCAGTTTCTTATTACATACTGTCTAGTCAACGATCCTTTTAGCGACCCATCTGATGGTAGATCTCTTGCAGAAAAAGGGGAATGTTAAATTCCTGGCGATTTGTACCGATTGTCTGCACCTCCTTTCCTACCAACACAACGACACAAAAATGCAAATGTTCCAAGCCGGCGCCGCGCATCACCTAATCAACATAATGAACCAGAATACTTACGAAAAGCTTCTTTGGACAACCTCGAGAGTTTTGAAAGTCCTCTCCGTCTGTAACCAGAATAAAAGGGCAATCGTTGAGGCTGGCGGAGTTCAGGTAGATATTTCCTTTCGGTGAAAAGTTAATTAATCTAATCAGGCGCTTGGGCTTCATCTTCAAAACGGCTCGTCGCGATTAATTTCAAACTGTCTTTGGACGTTGAGGAATTTATCAGACTGTGCGACTCATATTGGCGGTCTGAGTCCTCTTCTCCAGGTAATTATCAACCCGTCTGTCTGAAATGTAACTGATCTTTTTCTAAGGCGCTGTTGCAAAGGCTTAATTCGCAAGATCATCAGAACATTGTGATAGCATGTGGAACCATTGCGAATTTGAGTTGCAATAATATACAAAATAAAGTTGACATCGTTCGCCATGGCGGAATTGAAAGCCTTCTCCGCGTCATCCAGCAGGTTGGAGATCGAGCGGAAATCGTCGAACCGGCTCTATGCGCACTCAAGCATATTACTTCTCGGTAAGATATAGAATATTTTTGTATCGCCATTTATCTTGTCTGAGCAAAATAGAAACATCAATTTTAGGCACCCAGAAGCTGATAGAGCTCAAGCAATGGTCCGTGAAGCGATGAATGGAACGGGTCTTCAGCTTTTGCATCGCTTGATTCAGCCGGGTAGCGCGAAGCCTTCGATAAGAAAGGTAACGAGTACTTCTTGAAATCAAAGAAGACAATTTTGGATTCAGGGAGCGCTGCTGGTGATGAAACAATTGGCTCTTGAAGCCGGATGTCGTCGAGCACTCGGCCAGGCGGATATTGTTGGAGAGTTGACTGCGATGGCGATGACTTCTGGATCATCCCTTCAACAAAACCCTGGTGATAGAGATGCGATAGTAAGAGATGAACCGTGAAGTCAGTTGATTTATTCTTTGTTTTTAGTCGACTCTCGACTCAATTTTCAACATATTTATTGGGCTGATAAAAGAGCCAGATTTGAAGATGCGGATAAAGAGTCAACAAAACCTACCCTTTTTCATACAGGTACTTTTGAACTTTTCGCGTCACTTTTCTAACATGAATACTAGCTCTTCCATCATCAACACCTCCAAATGACAGTCGGTGCGCTTCTCGGAAACCTCTGCGTGACAGAAACCGATGTTCTTCAAGAAGTCGAGCGTAGTCAAATTCGCGAGCAGGTCGAGCGAGTCTTTCAACACAGTGAAGCCAAGCGAGTTGAAGTTGAGCGGCGGTCAAGGGGAGGTCAAATGGGAGGCCCCCCTCCTGGACAACAAGGAGGACCACCAGGGCATCCGGGTGGCTTCCAAGGGATGCCTCCAAACTCACAGCATCCTGGAATGGGCCACATGCCTCCCAACGGTCCGATGGGACATCCTGGTTTCGATCCAGCCATGGGATCTCCTCATGGACACCCTGGTCATCCAAATCATCCTGCTTATCACCAAATGCCTCCTGGAACTCCAGGACACTACGACCCCAATCAAGGATTTCCGCAGCATCATAATCCCACGATGACTCCTCCAATGACACCTGGTAACAAAAGCCTCCAAATAATGAAGTTATTTACTTAAATTTTCAGAAACACAAATGGTTCACCCTGGTTTCCATCCAGGTCAGCCTCATCCCGGACACGGGCCTCCTCAAGGCCATCACATGCCTCCCCACCAACAGCAACAACAAGCTGCTCCCCCGCAAGCGCAGATGAGTAACTGGTTTGAGCCAATTTAACAATCGCGGAATCACAAAAAAAACTGACAAAAAATCGTATTTCTTCCCACCCACTGCGTCTCAAGAATAATTCTTTTCTGTAAACTATTCACTGCATTCTCATTCATCTTTCTTTTTTGTTACGGCCAAAAGAGCAAACCGGGTTTGTTTTCGTTGCCTCCTGAATTCTGTAACTTACCTTCGACCAATATTCCTGCGCTGTTTTGTTTTTGATTCCCGAAAAAGTATGCAACTGCCCTGTTTCGAACCGAAATTCAACCCCGTCAAAAAGCCAATATTCGAGCTACTTCGTTCCTCGAAATCTTCCCACGAAAAAAGCCTTCCCTCATGTACAATTTCCAAAAAGAAAAAAAAACGAAAAATGACACACTCGCTCAGACTCCTGGAAATGCAGATGCGTTAAAATCCACTTGCCATGTTTCTTTATTACACGTTTATAATTTCTATCATTAGTAAAAAGAAAACTCTGCAGTACACTCCCACATCCAAACTCGTTACAGTTTAGTACAGCAAATAAATCAAGTTCAACGATCAATCTGTTGTCTCGTTAATTTTTAAAGAGTGTATGTTCAACAGGCAGTTGGCCTAGATAGCATCAACCTAGAGGGAGGAATCTAGACGTCTGAAATTGCGGTTTTATGATCCCCTGTAATCCCAATAACCTTTTCCAACAGATTGGTCTTCAGCTTGTGGAAAAGTCATTGTTCACAGAGAGACTTTTTTCAGAATGATAAACCCAGAGCAGCAGCAACCACAACAGAGCGATATGCAACAGGCCCTGGCTGATTTTTGGCAGCATCGTATTGCCGAGGTTTGTTTCAGCTGCCTGTATCAGGAGCGTACAAGTTAATTCAGATGCGATCCTTGAGACCTGATCATTTCAAGCAGCAGGAGTTGCCGCTTGCGCGAATAAAAAAAATCATGAAAGTAAGTTTTTGTCCTTTTTAAATAGTCTTTGTTGCCCTCTAATTTTTATTGGCAAATTACAGTCACAGTTACAGGCTAATTTTAATCTCGTAAAGCACAGTGACAAGGGATACAACACTACATGCATATTGATGTGCATAAATATAAATCTGAGAAGAGAGGAGGAGAGAGTGTGCGGCGGTATACTGGGGCTCTTAGATAGATTTGTGGGGTCATCTTTTGAAGAGTAGGCATTCATTGATTTTCTGTGACAGATCTCAATAACAGTAATCCGCTCATAGATCCTTTTTCTTTCTGTTTTTTTACTCTCCGTCTTTTTTACTTGCAAAGAGAATAATTTTTGGAAAGTTGCATAAAAGGTGATTAATATTTTGCACAAAAGTACGTAGATAAGCCGCGTAGAATCCAATATAAGAAGCACATTATGTATTCCGTTTCGAACTCAGTGTGGAACATGTTTGCGTTAAAAATAGATTCACAGGATTGAAGTTAAATCCAATTAGGACGATAGAAATAATTATCTGTCGCGTTCTTGTCTCATGTTGAATTCAGATCGATGAAGATGTCCGAATGATTAGCTCGGAAGCGCCGCTTCTTTTCGCTAAAGCCGCTCAAGTTTTCATCAATGAGGTAAGATGCAACCTAAGAGCTGCGCTAGAGAAAAATACCACTCTTAATTTCTTTCTAATGCCAATTTCTTCGTGGTGCCTCTCTAAGTTTTCTTTGTAAGCGTGATTTTCGCTTAAGAGTATCATTGAAAATCGCTAGGAGTTATTTTAGTCTTTATCGCAACGATGGCATCGTAAGTTTTTATTTAATTTTATCTCTCTCGTGAAAGCTTGGCGAGTTTAACTAAAGTAAATGCTAAATTATGAGAAATTATAATCATATCCATCCTATCATTCCTATCATGGAACAAGATCGAAATTCGTTTCATCAAGGCCGTTTTGTAAAAAGAGAGCTTGTCCTTATTTGATTTTCTTAGAGAAAAGAAACCATTCCATTTTCCGATAAGCATGTCACCTTAAAAGCTAACCTTGTCTGAATCTTTTCAAATCGCGACCGCAAATTGAAATAGGGGAGTAATTTTATCGATTGGGCGCTATCGATTCTGTAATGTTTTTTGTTGAATTTTTAAAAATTTAATATACCTCGTTCTCTGCCTCGTTCGACAATGAGTGGCTCCATTACAATGTTAAACAATTTCATTACATTTTTGGCTAGCTGACTCTCCGCGCCTGGATTCATACTGAGGACTCGAAGCGACGTACTCTTCAGAGAAACGACATCGCCATGGCTGTCCACAAGTTCGACCAGGTAAAACGGAATAAACCCCACTCAAGCAGAGCCCCTTGCTATTTTATTTATTCAGTGTCGTTGACTCAGTATCCTTTCACTTAACGTCATTAACAGTGACTTTAGTTTGACTTTCTAATTGACATTGTTCCACGCGACGAAATTCACAAACAATCCTCACAAAGGAAAGGGCTTATATTCAATATTCAAGAGCAATTGATTCTCAAGTCAGGGATGCGCAAAGAAAAAAACGAAAGCAAATATTTTCTTGCAGGTTGTTTAAAAGTATATAAATAAGTCCTTAAAGAAGCACCGCATCAGTTGTTCACACGACATCTTCACAGCCGATGGTCGCCACTTCTGGCGCGGGAGGACAGACGGTAAGTCAATAACTCAGAGAGAGGGGGAGTGGGAGAGAAAATAGATTTACTGGCCTTTCTGTGCTCATCATTTATTTTTCAGTATTACGTGACACTAACAGCTTCCGAGCTAAACGGCAACCAACAAGTCGTCATTCAAAATCCGCAATAAGCAGCAGCCCAGCTGGATTGGCCAATTGCTCGCCAATTTGAACAACGTTGAATCTCCAACAATTCCAAACAAATTCTTTTCCGATGCTTTTCAAAAAATGATCGGAATTATCTCTACTGCCCGATTTCCTTTTTATAAAGGTCTTACTTCTTCGACCTTGAATTTACTAGACAAAATACTTGTGCTTTTACTGAATTGAAATCAACGACGAGTACCACTTTTAGACTGAAGTAAAAACGGATGTCTTTAAATGGAGGGTTTTGAAATCAACGAACAGATCGGAAAAGTAAGTTTTTATTATAACCAGTGATAAGTTTAACCGTAGGGATTTTTCTCAACCGTTTACGCGGCGCGAATATGTAATGAAGACAGAAAAATCGCAATGAAAGTGATTGACTTGACAAGCGCATCAAAGGGAGGGCGACTCAGACTGAGAGGAATCGGCGTTCAATAATTAACGCTAATTTTCTGAGAACCCTTCAACTTCATCTCAAGGATAAATCAATTTTGACACCGAGGAAAAGAAAGATCGTTACAACGCGAGATTGAAATATCGAAGAAAGTAAAGAGGTATTCTTTAGAAAACAATACGAGATTCTAAGAGGATTTTAGTGAAAATTGCGTTGAGCTAGTGGCACATTTCCAGCATCAAAACTTGTGAGTAGCCGTGTTTTCGTGTGCGCGTGTGAGAAAAGGAAAGCCAAGTGTTCTGAGGTACATATTTTATGAAGAGAGTACCAAAAATAACAGCTCGTTTCAGGCATTACCTTGCTTATGAGTTCATGCCCTCTGGTGACCTCCAAAATTTGATTTTCAAAACGGGAAAAATGAACTCAACGAAAAGTCATAGGCAGGGCTCCGAATGAATCCAAGGAGACTTCAAATTAAAGTAATTTCTTCGGCGAATTTAAAAATTTATCAAATCTGAATTCGAAAGGTGCCCGCGATTAGCGTGATCAGCCAAATCCTCTCCGGCCTCGTCCATATTCACACGCTGCAAATTATTCATCGAGGTACAATTGAGCTTTTGTCTTTGGCTTTTTCACTTTTCGAGCGATTTAGATTTAAAGCCTGCAAATATTTTACTTGACGCAGAACGTGGCAGCTTCAAAATCGCCGACTTTGGCCTCGCCATAGAGAGTAAAGGAACACGAGCGTGGTTCGGCCACGCTGGAACCGCGGGCTTCATTGCGCCTGAAGTCTATCTTCGACAAAGCTACGATGAGCAAGTCGATTGTTGGTGCTTGGGTGCCATTTACGCTTTTATAGCGACGGGAAGGCCGATTTTCTGGAGCGAAGATAAAGGTGCTATTATCTTTCTATTGTTGATTTAACCCCTTAGCGGCTAAGCCGAAGGTCAACTAAAATAGATATCTATTTTCTCTTTACTGATGTAAACACAAGATTACGCCAGTACTGAAGATGACCTGAAATAATATCGAAAATGTTCTACTAACAAACTAGTGAATAATATAAACTTTACATGGTAGACTAAAGAACCTCTCTTACATTTTATGAATTCGGCATTTAAAAATGACCTTTGGGACTTGTTCATCTTGGTCAATTCATGAGTAAATCATCAGATATGACTGCTTTAGAGAATCTTAAAAACGCGTTCAGATGTCATCCGTTCTCTCGTTCTTGACACAAGCAAGAGGGACGCGTGTATAAATGAATTTCTTTCTGAAATGGACGAACTTGGTCAGGTGCTGATTCAAAACACATTGTGTGATGTGGACTCCCGTGCAAGATCAACTTCTATTTTGAAACTTTTTATAAGATGAAAAGAAAAATAGCGAGAATACTTTAAGAATGTTTACAGATCTATACGAGATTCGCGAGGAGGTCGGGAAGGGCGCATTTTCAGTCGTGAAAAAATGCGTTTCGCGGAAAACGAAGCAAGAATTCGCCGTCAAAATCATCACAACGAGCAAGCTGACGAAACGCGACTTTGAAAAACTCGAAAGAGAGGCGCGCGTCTGCCAAAAATTACGCCATAAGAACATTGTCCGTCTCCATGAAACCTTTGATCAAGGAGGATAGTGAGTAACATATCAAACGTATTGGTTTTTAACGATTATTTTAGTCACTACATGCTCTTTGATTTGATTACCGGTGGCGAGTTGTTTGAAGATATCGTGACGAGAGAGTACTACTCCGAACGCGAAGCTTCGAGATGTATTCAACAGATTCTCGAAGCCGTCTCTTTCTGCCACAAAAATGATGTTGTTCACAGAGGTACTGCTTGATAAAAGACGCCCTATCTTACACAAGCGTAGATTTGAAACCTGAAAACCTCCTTCTTGATTCAAAGCGGCCAAACGCAGCAATCAAACTCGCAGATTTCGGCCTCGCCATCGAGTGCCAAGGAAACAAACCTGATCATTTCGGTTTTGCTGGAACACCCGGTTATCTCTCCCCAGAAGTCATTAAAAAGGAAAAATACAACAAACCCGTGGATATGTGGGCCGTCGGCGTCATTCTTTATATCTTGCTCGTTGGTTATCCTCCCTTCTGGTAGTTTTTCGTGCTCTTTCTATAGAATCATTCTCTTTTTAGGGAAGAAGATGCGAAAGCTATGTATGAAATTATCAGGGAAGGCAAATACAGCTATCCATCACCCGAATGGGACACAGGTTTGAAATCCCTGTATTCCTCCTTCGAATCTATCGTGTCTTTCTAGTATCAAGAGATGCGAAACAGTTGATTGATAGCATGCTCCGAGTAGACCCAAACAAACGAATCACTGCTGTTGAAGCACTTAGGCACCCGTGGATTTGCAATCGCGAAAAAGTTGCTAACGCTGTTCATCGTCAGGTAATCAAGTCGATCAAATTCAAGCTCTACATCTTTTCAAGGAAACCGTCGACTGCATCAGAAAGTTCAACGCTCGGCGAAAGATGAGAGCTGCCGTTACCGCAGTGAAATTGACGAACATCTTCGGCAGAGATTCTGAATCGACGAAAAAGTCGAACGACTCCAACTCGCAAAATCAAGAATCAAGCTCTGAAGAAGTCAAGCTGGAGATCAAATCGGACGCGAAATCTGAAGGCGAGAGCGACGCTGAGGATGAAAAGCTTCTGAAACGCGAAGTTCAACGGGTAGATTTTGAAATATTGACTTGATTCTTCACGTATATTTAGGCGTTTGACTCGCTTCAAGAAGCAATCCAGTCGCGCAACTTCGAAAACTTCAAAAAATATGTTTCGAAGTCGGTGACTTCGTATGACCCGGCGGTTTCTGTCCTGGTCAAAGGCCTCGAATACCACAAGTTCAACTTATCAGAAGGATCTAGTAAATCTCGCACAACAATAACGAACCAACAAGTCAAGATGCTGTCGAAAACAAGCGCTATCACTACTTGTGTCGTTCTCCAGCAGCGGCTTCGCGATGGAAATCCGGTAAGAGACCCGAAGCTGAAACTAACAAGGACTAAAATGTAATTACGTTTTCAGGAGACTCAACAATTCTGCGAGACACGCACCTGGACAAAAACCGGCAGTGCTTGGAAGAATTGCCACATTCATCGAAGCTAGAATGGTGCTACTTATTTATAGACATGCTCAAGCAACTTTCCCGCGAAGCATGTCCAGACAAACTCATCAGAATAATGAGAATATTTTTGCCGAACTGCCATTTGATTATTTTTATATTTTATCATTCAACGCGAACGTTTTCGCCTCGTCTAACAAAGTACTATCAAAATATGCTTGATGAAATGAGTTTTGATAACGCCATCTTGTATAAAAAGAAAAAAATAGTTGCAAAAAACTTGTGTTTTACTGTTCTTGTAAGCCTGTTGTCTCCCCACTCGCGAAATTTCGAAGTACAGATTCTTCCATATCATTTAAAAATAACTTTTATTTCAACCAACTTTTCCTGTACAAAAAGAAAACAAAAACTAAATCTTCAATGCAAAAAATATCTTCATTCCAAAAACAATTAAACTTGTTCGAATTGAATTTTATTAAACTACAGTACTCGCTCATTTTTTCTCGAAATTCTGTCTAATTTTCAAGCATCCGAAAGAAACAAAATCCAGTTAGAGAGCCTGTCATTTAGTCAAATGTCGCCGGTAATAGTTTAAGTCATTTTATTGCCAAGTTTTCTGTAGAGCCGGTAGTATTTCAGGCCCAAAAGAAATCTAGATGAATTACCATAAGAATTTTTCGGGCAAAAATTTTTTTGAGATATTGGTATATTCTGAAAGCCCGTGAAAAATTATACAGAATCACCAAATTCTAGGGTCAGATGACGTCATTATGACGTCATCGGGCTGATTTGAAAATGTTGTCTTTGGAACGCTTTTTCGAGCCGAAAACGTTTTTTAATTTTATTTTTCTCGACGGATTCGAATTTTCCATAAAAAACTACGTAGGGACCCGGGATCAAACCATTGAATATCACCCATTACCGACCGGTTCAATTTTTGAAACCGGTCGGTTCGAAAAATAAACCTCGGGTCCCTACGTAGTTTTTGATGGCGAACAACATGCCATCAATAAAAAAATCTATTTCCAGCAAAAACCGCCTCAAAAAGTGTTCCAAAGTTTCATCAATTTGGAGCCTTTTCGGACATTTATTAATCATAAATGACGTCATAATGACGTCATTGAGCGCTAGAAATTTGGAAATCGACTAATTTTGACTTGGGCTTTCAGAATATGTTCTTATCTGAAAAAAATTTTTTTTGGCCAAAAAATTCTTATGGTAATTCATCTCTAAAGCATTTGCTTGAATTCGTAGAGAAAATATATTTGTCAAGTTAGTCACTTACGTACGAATCCTTTTAACGGTCTTTTTATGACCCTGAGGGGTTGATAAAAAGCCTTTCTTTTTGTAAATGAATCTTTCAGGATCGTAAAAGGGCCAGAAAGTCCAAATTATAGAGCTACTCACTTACCTACTTGTATAATTCCTCCAGTCAAAGTTTTGACAAAAATAAAAGTTCATTTTCCCACTATGTTTCATCTCGCTCTCAATTCTCTCAAAAATAAAATCATCAAAATAGAAACAAGCTCTTCTTTCGTTATTTTTCAGGCGAAAGATCCGTTTTCGAATGAAAGACTTGCAAAGAAAGAACTATTTACTGAACCTGAAGCTCGAACTTCTGAAAATTCAACTGCGAACTTCTTCCTAAACAAAGTGGAGAATGGATTATTTTAGACGAGAAAGAGCGTCGAATGGGCCGGTCAAGATCACCTTCCAGAGAAAGACGAAGGTTTTTAGCTTTAATTTTTAAACATTTCAAGTGATTTTTAAACTAGTCGATCGAAGAGCGGAGGTCGACGATCACGCTCGCTGGAAAGAAATCATCGAGGGCGATCATCACGCTCATCCTCTCCGAAGACTAATACTGTCGCCGTTTTCAACTTAAGTTACAGATCAGATGAGCGAGAAATTGAGAGGATTTTCGAACGATACGGGCCAATCAAGGTAACTTTATTTTCTTAGATCTTAATTTTAATTTAGCTTTTAGAAATGTAATGTCGTTGGCGGGCGAAACTCGCACCGAAGTAGCTCGAGCACGGGATTTGCTTTCATAACGTTTGAAAGAATGGACGACTGCAAAGAAGCGAAAGAAGATGCTCATGGAATGGAGATTGATGGGAACATGTAGGGATTATTTGATTGAACTGAAGATTAATGATGATTAGAATTCGAACTGATTACTGTATTTCGGACGGACAGAGAAGGAAAAGACGGGATTTCTACGTTTCTCCTGACAGAGCTTATCGAAGGCGCAGGAGGTAAGACCAATTCGAGCAGTGAAATATGTAAATTTGAATTCCCAGTCGAAGCTACGAGCGAAGCTATCGAAGAAGCCATCGATCACGAAGCAGAGAAGATCGCCGCCGCCGCTCGCCTTCTCCCTATAGCCGCCGCCGACGATCGCGATCCTAGAACTTAGAAATTATTCGAAGAAAATCTCCTCCACGCCATTAGAGAAAAAAAACAGTTTTTGTAGATAAGCGCATTTACTTCATTTATTACTTGGCTTAATTTAGAAAAAAGAGCTTCGAAATATATTTAGGCCAGAACTTCTGCTAGTTTTTGACTGAAATTGAGCTGAAAGCTGCCTCTTGATCTTGCAGTAAAAATAAAAGAAAATATGAAATCAGATCTGCGATGTTTAGGCGTCCCTGACTCCAAGGGGCGCTTGAATGAGAATATTGTTGTCATAGAGCAGGAGTTGTAGTCTTCAATTATGAAGATCTAATCAAATACTTGACTATAATTTGTAATAGTTGTGAGCGTAATTTGAAAGCTATTTGTATTCATTTATTAATCTATAATCAGATAGAATATTATTTGAGATAATTGATCCGGCTGATCTGGATCGGCTGAACTTCCATCGGAAAGCGCAGATTTCTTTGATTTCTATTAGAATTTCAAGTTTAGATACTTCTGAAGTAGAAGACAAGCCTAGAAAAGCTGCCGAACCCGAGAAAATCAAAAAGGAAAAAGGCCCTAAATCCGACGAGCCCGAAAAGGCCGCCAAAAAATGAGAAAAAAGAAAAGCAAAAAAGGAGACAAAAGCGTATAATTTTGTCTGACAATCTATGGGTCTAATGTCATTCGAAAAATGAAACAAGTTTCTGGACTTCAAATAAAATGCGTACAGCTCATATAAAACATGATCTTTCTTAATCATTATTTGATGCGTAGCATGATCACCTCCATTATAGAAACATAGAAATGAATCGTTAAAATTCACATATGAAAAAAGGCGCCACATTAATTAGTCGCAGAGGATGTGAAGCACCCTCTTACGGGGGGTAAGAACATAAATACGAACCTTTCGTCTACCAAAATCATTACAAGCTAACAATCGACTGAAACAAGAACATCAAAAATGCTCATGGAAGCCCAAAACATCCAGCTCTTTCAGCTCAAATCCGAAGAAGACTGCCTCGACATGCTCAAAATCATGCTCAGACGTACTCGTGCTGAATTTGACAGCAATGACGAAGCAGACATTGTAACTGCTGCATGCCAGTACATCAGAAAACTTGAAGTCGCTATTGCTTCTTTAGGAATGCAGTCCTTCTGAAAATTTTTCCAGCTTTACTTTCTCTTATGATAAAAAAGGAGATTACTCCTCTTGATCCTTTTAAAAACAAATGAATTTCATTTACTCTGTTCAACTATCAGTTATTTACTAAATAAAAAATATTGTTTCGAAAGCAAGATCAAAAAATTATATTCTTTTAATTGAACTTTCCCCACTTGGAACCGGCCATTCGTCTGTGTTTTCATTCATTAACATTTGAACAAAGGAAAACAGGGCATTGTAAATCTGTATCAGAAGTCATTAAGCAATTGAAGGAGTTTGATTTGCGATTGCTGAGCAACGTCGCGCCTGTATTTGACTTAGCTGCCATTTACGCTTTTATCAGAACTCTCAAATGAGCTCCGAGGGTTTCAAGTTGTTTCTCAAGAGTATTCCAAACAATGTTCCGGTGAGAGAAATACTTCTAACAAGTTGATAAGAAAGCATTTTGTTTCGTAGAAATCAAATCACAGTGAACGCGTTTATGCGATGAGAAAGTACACCTCCCTGTTTAATCTTCACTGGAGAGACTTTCGTCGAGGCAGAAAACAGTTCCGTGCTAGAATGATGGAAAGATTCGGCGAAAAATGGACGGAAGAATACATGGAGCTAACTAAAGAGTCCAGCCCGCCGAAGATCACTTCTTTTTCGAAAGCGATGGACGAGGAATTAGAAGCTGAAGAAGAATTGGAGAGACAAAAAGAAAACTCGATTTAAAAGTCTTATTCCCGCTGTAATAAAAGAAAATACTGGCACTCCACTCAAGCTATTAAAGAAGTGAAGTCTTTTCAAGCGAACTCGATTTTTATAACTTTTAATTCATTATCAAAGGAGAATCCTTCCTTTTTTGAGGTTATATAAGTTCAAAGATAGATTTCTAGAGCTTTATATTTGCTAGGAACTCGATGCATGGCTTTTACAGTTCAATGGCGCGAATTTACAAGTCGAAATGGGTTTGTTGAAGAAATTAAAGTATTGCTGCTTTGGGCATGGTTTCAGTCGTCAAAATTCGTTCATTATTATCTGACGATTTGAAAGCATAAAAGACCAACGAAGAACTTTAAAATGAGAAGCGATGAAATCAACGACAAGTTTCGAATTGAAGATCAGCTTGAAGAAAAGACACAAGAAAGCGTTTTTTGCAGCAAATGTAGACTTTAGCGGGAGACAACTTTGAACGTTATAAAGAGGATGATCTTGGGATGCAAGGATTTTTCTTTGATGAAGAAGATACAATTCAAGAAGATATAATGGAAGATTCAGCTTTTGAGCGTCAAATGGCTTTGAGGGAATTTTCGAAAGAGATCGAAAAAACGGACGAGTTTCTTAAAAGATCATCAGGTAAAAATAATAAAATGATTTATAATTGACGGTTCATTTAAGTTCATACAATTATTTCAAGTACTTCGCGATCCATAAAATCATCTCCAAATGGGAGTCTATTCGAGCTTTCTCGCCCCAGGAAGGTTGAACTTTGATTGTAATTTGGAAACAACAAAATCAGCAAGAACAGTCATTGCAATTCTCGAAAAAGCATGCTGATAAATGATGTGCTAGCAGACATCGTAAAAACACGAAGAAACGATGAGAATAAAAGACGAAAAACGACAAAGCGAATGTCAGTCATGTCTCAAAGCCGGTAAGTTGTAACAATTCTAAATGTGTGTAAATCATATTTTAGTCTATCGACAAACTTCAAAGGTTCGATGGCCGAATTTAACTTGCAGCTGGACTAGTCAAACCAACTTGTAAAAACTAACTTGCTTTTATTATTTAGTGTACGTGTTTCTCAATGTACATAAGTTGGGTTTGGAAATGTAGTTTATTGTTATCGCGAGCAGGATAAAAATAGTGAACGTTGTTTTGTAAAAAGTGAGCAATTTTACATTGTGAGCTGATTTTCAAATGAGTGTCGAGTTGCGAAGCAGAGCGACTTATATACTATTTCTGTGCGTACGGACAGAGCTTGGTCCGCGCGGAAGTGTAACAGTTGCGTAAGAAAGAAAGAGAGTTCCGTATGGAGGATGAATAATCACGTGCGTAAAGAAGTTTGTGCACAGGGAGAAAGGGGTTTTACGTAGGGAGCAAGCGTTCTTTGTTACGGGCGTAGATAGTTTTGTCCGCGCGCAGAGAAGTCTCTCCGTGCGCAGGGAAGTCTGTCCGCGCGGAGGGGTTTGTTTGCGCAGGAGTTACTATGAACTCCGTGCGCAGCGCGTATTGCACATTGAGATCCACTATATATTCTTCCCCCTTTTAAAAAAGAGCCTTGTTCATCCAGTTTTCTTCCAAAGTGCAACGGTTTCTCATTTGTCTGATCGTTTTTGCTTGTCTTCATGTTTCTTCTAGCAATATGTTCCTGTATCTCTTGCACTTTTGCTTTTTGCCAATCATCTCGTGAGCAGTGCCACAAACAACTTCCAAGTGAGCGAGCAGTTATCACTTCTATTTTCATTTTTCCTGTGTTGAGATACCTTATTGTCCATTGTGAGCGAGCAGTTATCACGAGGTATCTTCATTATTATTCCATATCATTAGCATGTAGATCGCAAATTTATAGTGATCGAGCAGTTTCACTTCTTTTTTTTTTGTCCATCATTTTTCAACTTTGCGAGCAGAAAATTGAAAATCTCCAGTGGTCGAGCAGTTTCACTTTTTCCGTACTTGTTCAATTTTGTGAGCATAAAAATTGAAATTCCTTAGTGATCGAGCAGTTTCACTCTTCTCTTCCCCTTTAAAAAAAAAAGGCTTTGCATCGTGCCATTGAGCTGGGATGATGCCATTGTAGATCCCTTTACGAATATTGTGTGATTTGGCAACTGCACACATTGCCAACATCTGGAGAAGTCCGGCGCAAGGTTAAGACAAGAGGTCCAAGTCGAGGGCGCCATTTACTTGAACATTATCAATGTTATGCGAGCGAAAATCCACAGCGGCCTGCATTGAACTTTCATGGCGATGGAACGGAGCTTGACTTTTCTTCAAGTGTGCATCATATCGCTAAAGTTGTGAGCATTTGTTTGAACACGGATTAATCCTTTGAGCAGGGCTTTTATACGTCATAATATTCGACTCTTGAGCATTTTATGAATAGAGCATCTCATGTTACCAAAGTCGTCTAAAGCGAAGACATCTTCTTCATTTTTAAATTAATTTCCCACTTCCATCGATCAGTTGCCTTCATTGACAACAGGAAGTTAATCCTCAGAGCAGGGATTGTGAGCATCAGCTGAATATTTCATCGGTCGGAACAGATCGATGCTTTTGAGCTTCTTCATTTTCAAGATACAGCAAGTTAGAGCATAGTTGCTGCAGAAGTTCTCATTTTTCTTATCAGTATTTTTGTTTAAGCGGGCGGATCTAACTGATATGACGCCGTGATACTTGATATTGACTTCAATCATTAAGAAAATGATTCCAAATGACCTTTGAGCGAGTCAAATCATCCATAGTTAACGAAGATCTTGAACATCTGAGCGAAATGTTCTTTCTCGTCACTTTTGAGGAGGTGGAAAAATTTGTCCGTTGAGCATAATCTTAACACAGTTTGTCCAGGCCGGTCCGAAATGAGTCGATTCGCACGCAAAGATGAATTTTTGGAGTTATTCGTCTTCTTCATAAAAGGAATTGATCATTTCTTTAAGTTCGGAGCAGATTCGTGCCATTTCAGATTGTTTTGCGCTTTCATAGGATTGAGCTGTGAAAACATTTTCTCTCTTGTTGAAACTTCTCTCTAGTTCCGTAGCACGTTGAGCAATATTTCGAAGGTTGAGCAGGGACTTCTCTCGTCGGAGCAGTTCAGAGAGTCTTGGTTCTTGGCATTCAATGAATCGATCACAGATAATTGATTCATCTGCAGCATCAAGTCTCAATTTTCCGTATCCCTTTTTGAAAAAGGCTTGAAGTTTTGTAACTGCCATTTGCTGTGTCTCTTGACCTCGCGTAAAGGACGTATACAGGTATTTGTAGTACTCATTGTCCTTACCAAGAACCTGAGAAAGCTTCGTCTTGAATCTATTCCAGTCTCGTTTTTCTTCCTCGGTAATGGCTTCAAAGATAGCAAGTCCATTCTCTTCAATCAGGAATTGGGATAAAGCAATACTGATCAGGTCTTCATCACAAATCTTTGAGCATTCGCCAAAAAGTTCCAAATTTGAAATAAAGTTTTCAATTGGAAGTCGAGCATCAAATTTCGGGATTTTCATCTTCACTTGTCCAAGGGATTTCGAGCGTTCATTGGTTTGTTCCATCTCTAATTTGTTTCTCTGACTGTATATGTTTGGAGGCGTTCCGTTTTATTCAGTCACCAAAATATGTACGTGTTTCTCAATGTACATAAGTTGGGTTTGGAAATGTAGTTTATTGTTATCGCGAGCAGGATAAAAATAGTGAACGTTGTTTTGTAAAAAGTGAGCAATTTTACATTGTGAGCTGATTTTCAAATGAGTGTCGAGTTGCGAAGCAGAGCGACTTATATACTATTTCTGTGCGTACGGACAGAGCTTGGTCCGCGCGGAAGTGTAACAGTTGCGTAAGAAAGAAAGAGAGTTCCGTATGGAGGATGAATAATCACGTGCGTAAAGAAGTTTGTGCACAGGGAGAAAGGGGTTTTACGTAGGGAGCAAGCGTTCTTTGTTACGGGCGTAGATAGTTTTGTCCGCGCGCAGAGAAGTCTCTCCGTGCGCAGGGAAGTCTGTCCGCGCGGAGGGGTTTGTTTGCGCAGGAGTTACTATGAACTCCGTGCGCAGCGCGTATTGCACATTGAGATCCACTATATTAGTATTATATTCTTAATAAATTATCTAATAAAGTAAACAATTGTTTTACAGCTCAACTCATTCTTTGATATCTCTTTACAAGCGACACAGATGTAGTTTTTCATCTTTAGAATCGTATTATTAGACTCAAAGGTGTGTTTTGACTAATCTTCTAAATTCTAGTCATAGATTATGATATGGAAAAATAGACAATACGTTTGAGTTTATTGAGTTCGTTTCTACTAAGGTGTTACTTTCGACATGTCTGTCTGGTGAAACTCAAAGGATTTATAAATTATTCGTTTCTCAAAGGATAAAAAGGAGGTCGTTCTGTTCTAGGTCGATAAATCAGACGATTGCACCTGATATAATCAGAGCGTAAAATAAACCACCGTATCTGCCCGTCGCAAGGTGGCCGTGGCGGTATAAATCTGTGAGCGATTTCTGGATAGTCATCAAACAATCAGCTTCTCCTCTTTTCTTATAACAAAAAATATTCAAAAGAGAAAGAAAGTACAACAAAAATCAAGAAAATGAAAGTCCTCAGTCTCTTCTTTACCTTCTCCTACGCTCTCGACGAGATGTTGCTCATGATGATGATGCAACAGCAACAGCAAGTCGCTCCTGGCCAAACTTCTCAGATGAACAACCTTCTTCCTCTCCTTCTGATGGACTCCGACAGCGGTTCTTCTGACAACTCTCTCGCTCTCATGATGATGATGATGCAAGGCGGCAGCACTTCCGACATGAACTCCATCCTCCCACTTCTTCTTCTCTCCGACGATGACTCATCTGACGACGGAATCGACTTTACAAGTTTCTTCCTTTTCTCCTCGATGCTTCAAACAGACTGTGCTACTTCTACCGACGACCAATTCGGAATGATGCTCCCACTCCTTCTCATGGGCGACAACAGCACCTCTTCCGATTTGATGCTCATGATGATGATGCAGACAATGGGCGATTCCCCTGTCGGAATGGAAAACATTATGCCCCTCCTCTTCCTCCTCGATGATGATTCCAGCGACTCTAGCGACAGCATCTTGCTCATGGTCCTCCTCAACTCCATGACCGGTGGCCTTAACTCCCAGCAAGGATTCGACAACAACTTTAACATGATGCTTCCTCTTCTCCTCATGGACGATGACAGCGCCTCTAACAGCACTACCGACATGCTTGTTCTCATGATGGCCATGCAATCTCAAGCCCCCAACTCTGCTTTTGGAACCGACATGATGCTCCCTCTTCTTCTCATGGACGACAGCGGTGACAACGAAACTCTTCTTTTCTTCATGATGATGAACCAAGGACAGACTAAGTGCGAGCCCGAAGCTGTCTACGTTCAGCCTGAGCCCGAAGTCGTCTACGTCCAGCCTGAACCAGAAGTGCAGACTGTTTTCCGAACCTGGAGAGTCAACGCTGATGGCACTCGAGAACTCATCGAAGAAACCACCGAATAATAGCTTTAGAAACGTATCCTCAAGCCGATCGTCTGGCTTATTTATTCCTTCGATATTCAACATTACTATTCATTCTTCCTTAAATTATTGCTCTTTTCTTTGCCATAATCAAATAAACATGAATTAAAAATTATAATCTTGTTGCTTTATTTTCAAAGTTTGATACAATTTAAATATACATTCATTTAATTAAAGCTCTTTGTTCATTTTCGCTAAATAATTTGAAGTTGCAGAGGTTTTTTCTTCCAATTGTTTTTCTTCCTTTTGAATTTGTTCAACAATCCACTCGTTGACCACGTGATCATTGTATATTTTCAAAAGCTCAACTACTAAAGTGTCTTTGATGTTTTTCAGCTCGCTTGTAAGTGATTTCAACTCTTTGACAATTGTTTCCAGGCGAAAGTAAGAAACCCGTCCAGTTTTGACCAGATGCTTGTTAAAAAAGCTGTTGTAATTTGGCCCCTCAAGGAAAGAGTGGATCTTTCCCTTGACATTTTCAAGCAATTGAGTTGATCGCCATATTTCCGATCCAGGAAAATTACCCGGCACAACTGCTTGGGGACGAGGACGATTTACGGTTGGAATTTGACCTTGAAATCCAAGCTCTCTTGAGGATTCCCATAATACTGATGTCGTGAAGGCTCGACGGATGGTTGTTTTGAAGGATGTCACGAGACTTGGCAGCGAAATTGGTAGTAAAGAACACATTGCAGCAAAATGAGTATATCTCGATTTTCCGGTCAAAACAAATCCTGAAAAAGCGTTTTGAAAAATGTTTCGCATCATATTCCTTACCAATGATGTTTGCATATTCAGGTGCATTTTTCGCAGCCTGAAAGAGTTCCTCTGCCTGTGCTGCGTTTCGCTTTACATCCGGTAAAGGGTCAAGAACATCTTGTCCACACTTGAAACTGGTCGCTATCCAAATTCCTTCAAAGATTTTTCCGTGAAAGTTCAAAAGTTTCAGGGTTGCTCGAGCATCCAAATATCCACCAAATCGTTCATTTCTAGTAAAAAAATAAATTTTGCTTTTCAAAACTCACTTACTTGATGACAACATCAAAATAATCTGGAGCTTTGTGACCGATTAAAACTTCATTATTAACATTTCTCAAGGTATCGTCCCAAACAAGAGCTCGAACATTCGGCGCAAGAACTTTTATCGTTTTACCAACGTCCTCGATATAATCAAGGTAGACTCCAGTTGTGGTTGTATTTCTAGCGTGAATCTCCTTCGCCAAAATGTTGCGAGAAATAGACTTGAATAGGCCACACCCGATATGAATCCAGGATGATAAGGGATGAGCCTGGAGAATTTCTTTTCAGAGCTTATACATTTTACAAATGAATTAACATATAAGAAAAATATCATATGCACGTTACATATGCTTGTATAAGCTGTGAAGAAATATAAACTCCGTTCCGGATAATAATGTTCTTACAAATTTATTAGTGTCTTCACTCAAAGGATGAAAGTCCATGAAACAAGTAGGAGAAATCTTCAACTCTGATTTATGCTTCGTCGCAAATTCTGCATTTGTGCACACATCAATCAGCGGAATAACTTCGAGCTTGTTTTCCTGAGCTGATTTGAGAATTTCATCGAGCTCTGATCGAGAGTATGAGCGTTCAGGGCTTGAGAGAAAAGAGATTTCTCCACCATAAGGAAATGTCTGCTCCCATTCGAGGAAGATTCCTGAGGCTCCAATGTCTTTCAAAACTTTAAAAAACTCCTTCAAGTATTCAACACTTGGTCTTCCAGCTGCCAGATCAACATGCACGAATCGTTTAATATCAGGAAGCTGGTCTACAAGTTGATCTTGATTCTCCATGTCTAATTCGTCAGAATCCGTGTTGAACAAGTCATGAACAGGTTGATGCGAGCCGGGGAGGGGTGCGACAAGGCCTTCCCATGAAAGTTGCGATCCGATAGCTTGGTTGGATTCTTTCTCTGCTTTTCTTGCTGCGGCGATTCGCTTGGCAAGTTCTACCCTGTCAAATGTTTTTTCTTTTTCCAATATCTAGACATGTAATAAAACTTAATTCATAACATCAATTTGCCAATTCAATTCAAGCTCGTATTGAATTCGGTAATTGCCGCATTTAATATTCATGATGAGAATAACTTCAAAGCTTTAATCAACTCACCTCTTTTGGAATATTAATCTTCACATTTGGCTCCACCCATGATGTGGCTGAAATTATCTCGATGAGTAGAAAAAGTCTCTTATTATCATGTCGAAATAAATTAAAATTTTTATCAGTGTGTTTTTGCGATTTCTTGAGCTTTGAGGCGCCCCGCGGGTGGGTCGCTCTTCCAGCGGCGGGGATCCTCCGGGCGACGCTCGACCCACGCGCGCGCACTTCGAAGTCGCCCGAGAAAGAGGAGGACGATCAGAATCGACGGGAAAAAAGGGGACAATTGAAGAAAAAACGAAGGGAACAGTCCTCAAGCAAAATGTACTGGCCCTTGGGATGGCCCAAGGAGCTCTTTGTCGGCCACCAGGATGAGAACAAGTCAAAGCCTAGGTAAAAACTGCAGTATCTTGTCGGGATCTTGGCTTTAAAATTATTTAAAAAATATATGAACAAATATGAATCTGTTTTGTACATCTAGAGCAGTAGAAAAGGCCCTTCAACTTATTTAGGGTGGCAATAATGACCGCTGAAGAAATGAAATGCATCGTTCCGAACCGATATCACATGCTTTTTGCTCTACTCGGCTCATCCTCCGTCTCCATTTGGCACTCAAAGCCCTGTGTGGAAATTCTCTGCTACAAAAGACCAGCTGAACAGGTTCAGCGACAAGGAGAATTCGTCCGCGCAGAATGGAGGGCTGATTCTTCAATGCTCGCCTGCAACACGACGAAAGGCTTTCTCCTGTTGTATCTGCTCGAGCAAGATATCAAGGGCGAAACTGGACTGACGCTTTATGAGCATCGCGGGCCAAGACCGACGAATGATTCGCAAGAATCAGTGCCAGCGCTGCGATTGAGCTTGAAACATGTCGTACCAATGCCGGAAGGAATGCTCTCCTTGTGCTGCGTGCGAGATGAACTTTTGGTGACTTCGAAGGATGGATTGCTTCATTTCTTTTCCTGGGAGAACTCTGAAACGGAACGAATCTTATCAATAATGGACATTCCTTTTGCAATGGATCTTCAACAGAGCCGTGGCAGCTCACTGGACGAAGTAAGAAGCATAAAAGAAGCCCTCTTCTCCCCATATTTAGACGGCTTCGTCGTGCTGTTATCAGACGGCAGAGCTGCTTTGGTGGCTCCAAGCATGCACGGAGAAAAATTTAACTATTCTCAAAACTATCAGGGTATTTGGGCTCCCGGACTCTCGAATTCCACCACAGCTGCGATCAACAACAAATACAGACTTCTTGCTTTCGGTACTGCTGATGGCGATTGCTCCGTTTTTGGAGTCGATGATGTTACTGGAGCGCTCGTTCTGTCACATAAAATGATTTTGGAGAAGAAATTCTACCCGGGAGTCAAAGTTGGGCCGGTGAATAATCTAGTCTGGACGCCAGACGGGTGTGCTTTGGCAGTCACCTGGGAAACGGGAGGACTAGCGGTGTTCTCTGTTTTTGGCTCGTGTCTTATGTGTACGCTTGGTGGAGACTTTGGAGTCACAGCGGAAGGGTTGAGACGAGAAGCGTCGATTTTTACCTCGCTATGCTGGGGAACGGAAGGTTATCAATTGTGGATGATCATGCGAAACAAAAAAGAAAGCGAAAAAGGTTTATACCAGCTCAGCTTCATCAAGTCCGCTCTCACCTCGAACCCGAACTCAAGCAACCATTCGCACGTGATTCTTCAAGCTGAGGACCGAATTTTCTTCACGCCGCATTCGGAAGAGCGTCGGGGCACAAGAAACCAGATCAACTCTGTTGGCTCGAAGCAGTGGACAGTGATTCAAATGCCTTGTAACTATTTGTCAGGAAACTGGCCGATTCGTTTTTCTGCTGTAGATTCAAAAGGTGCTTATGTCGCGATTGCCGGAAACTTTGGATTCGCTCATTACTCAGTTGCCACAAAAAAGTGGAAACTCTTCGGCAACATCATGCATGAGAGAGACATGGTTGTTACCGGAGGACTCACTTGGTGGGAAGATTTCATTTGCGTAGCCTGCTACAATTTACAAGAGTCGAGAGACGAGATGAGAATCTACCCAAGAAGCACGAACTTGGACAACTCTTTCGCGCATTTCAGACGGCTTCGTTCGCAGATTCTTCTTGTGAACACTTACCAGGACAATCTCATCCTTTTCTGCGCCGATTACAAAATCGAGCTGTTCAAAATTGAAGCGGAAAAGAAGGATGGAACTCCGACGGCAAAACTGACACCTCTCCAGGTAATATAACTTTGTTCTAATTTCAAAAATGCTATTTCTAGGACATTTATCTTGCTAGATACGTCGCCTATCCCTCCCTCGTCGTATCCATCACAATGACTACTCTGCACATGGATTGGTCTGGCCGCCGCCAAGCAAGTCACAAAGAATCCGAAACGTTGATCATCAATGTTGCTGGTCGCCTCCTAATTCTCCATCGAACTCCAGAGGAAGAATTCTCAGTTCCACCAGTGGTCCTTGCGTCAAGTGTAGAGACACTTTGGGCACCTCCAAGCCCGAGAGATAGAAGAAAACTACATCTCCTTGATACATTGTGGCTCAATTGTGGAGCCGCGGGAATGCGAGTCTGGCTGCCGCTTTTCCCCAGAAATAATGAGAAATTGTTGTCTAGGAGAATTATGCTTCCATTTCTATCCGATATTTATCCACTTGGTAAGATTTCTTCCGGATAAACCCACCTCAAAATATTTTTAGCTGTGCTTTTCGAAGAAGCAATCGTCCTCGGCGCTGCAAATGACACGATGCAATATCCGGGCGGACAAGAAACTGCTGGCTTCCCCTTTAGCACGCTCAAACGAACATGCGACATTTACCTTCATCAAATTCTGCGTCAACTGCTACGCAGGAACTTGGGTCAACATGCGCTGGCGCTCGCCCAAACCTGTACCTCGCTTCCTTATTTTCCTCACGTGCTAGAACTGATGCTGCACGAAGTTCTAGAAGAAGAGGCCACTGCCTCTGAGCCCATACCAGATCCACTTCTTGTAAGAAAACCGATAAGTCATATCCCAATTAACCCTTTTTTAGCCTACTATTGTAAAGTTCATCACAGAATTCCCGCAATACCTACAGACAATCGTTCATTGTGCAAGAAAAACTGAAATTGCTCTCTGGCAATATCTCTTCCAGGTAAGCATACGGTTTAAATCCGTGATATTGAGTATATTTCTTAGTCGGTTGGAAAGCCACGAGATTTATTTGAAGAGTGCCTTGAAAATGGAAAGCTCGAAACTGCCGCCACTTACCTAATTATTTTACAAAACTTAGAAAAATTATCGGTTGCGCGAGAAGACGCAACGAAACTTTTAAATCTAGCATTGCAAAAATGTAGATGGAAGCTAGCTGCTGATCTTACACGATTTTTAAAAGGTTCGAAAAAGCGATGCGCCGTTATTTCAGTGTTTTCTTTAGCGATTGGCGATGGAGATCAGTGTAGTCCAAGTTTCCGTCATCCGACGCTTCTGAATGCAAATATCTACCCCGTCGTTCCGAATGTCAAGCCAGCCGCTACCAAAGCCGTCAACGGCGTCAACTATGCAAGAGACAAATACGGCCGCGAAAAAGATGAAAATCAAGCGAGGATCTCAGATAACATACTCCCACGAGTTCCCAGTGAGGCGAAACTAACGCCAAAACATAATGTCGGAATGGGGAGGACAATTTCGTCGCCTGTTAATCTTCTTACGCCTGAAAAACCGTCTGGAAAGAATGGAGAAGACGCAGAAGAAGAAAAGGCTTTCTTCCCGGATGAAAAGTCTGGCTCAGGTCCCTGCTCGGGTAGATCTCCTGACTCGAGGCCCAGCTCACCTGATAATGCTGAAATTCCAGCGGAGCATTATTATATCGAAACAATCTTAACCCGGCAGGCGAGAAAAATGCTTGAAGGTTTGTTCCCTAACCAATTCGAAGGTATTATCTCTTGTTTAAGACATGAGGCTGCGTGATTTGGGCCAATTTGCGGCGCACATGCAATTTCAACTGGTTCCATTTCTAAAGCGCGAGCAAGGCCGAGCTGCTACCGTTCTACATCCTGTGAAAGCGCTGAAAAAGCTACACGACGATTTCGAGTGGCCACATCCGACAAGTTCATCATCCGTAAGCAAACGGTTGATTAAAGAATTTCCTCGTTCGTTGTCTATGCAAGAGCAAGGCTCCGCGGCCGTTGACCCCATTGATCAATTGAATAGGCATGAGTTTCTGATTTTTAAATTTATTTCACACTTGATTTTTAATTCTCCGTACTTGATTGATTGTTTGCATGATTTTCGTTGATTTAAACTCGTTGAAGGCGCTTTGAGATGCTCTCCACACAACAGGAGTCGTTCCAATCTCAACAGCGAAAGATTCAATTCGAGGAGCTCTCAATCGCCTCTCTCCAGGAAGCGCATTTGATGCCTCTTGGTAATCCCGAACTTCAGTCCCTCGCCGGCTTCTCAGAACTATCTGAAGGCGATTCAATAGAAGATCTCTCTATGGACCACAATGAGACGCAAGGCCAACTATCTCATTTAGTCTTAGACGCTGCTAGGGGACCTGTCAGGACTGAGATGCAATTGAGGTACGAAAAAATTTTATTCTTACAATATAATAGAGGTTTTTAGGTATCTTCTGGAGCTAACACTAGAATCGAGTTGTCACGAGTGGTCGCTGCTGATTTCATTAGTTCTCCGCGATGCGGAGACAATCCAACGTCTGATAACGCGCTCAAATGATCAAGTACTCGAAACTTTAGCGGCTGTTCTCAAAGCGATTGAGAAATGGGCCGGCCTGGAATCACAAGGCTACAGGGTCTTTGTCCTCTGTATAAGACAACAGAACCCGAATACCATCAACAAAATGATGAACAGTGATTCTTTACCGGATCTTTACCAACCGCCCAGTCCAGATTCGCATGATTTAGGAAAGGATTCAAAATAACAAGGATAATTTGCTCTTCGAAACGTTTACGATCCAAAAATAGCATCAGCTTCACCGACTCTAACAAGAGCTCAAGTGGGCTCCTCTCTGCGAAAGAACTCCGACCCTTTTGCCGAAACTCGCAGCCAGATGAAACGAAGTGAAACCGCCCCGGAGCTCGACGAACAAGCGGGCTACACTGATCAGTGTTCGATACAGTAGCAAGCACGCATTTTAGATACTATCACAGTCTTGCCTTGTTGCCTTTCAAATGTCTATACAACTTTAAAGTAGTATCTATATCTAAATAATGGTTCTCTTGAGTCATTACTTCTTTTTTAGTTCCACCTTTCAATACTTCGGTGCAATATTGTTCAAAAACTCTTATTTCTAATATAATGCAATCTTTCAAACAAAAATTTCTTCAAATAAAGAATCTTCCATTTAGAATGGTTTTCTTCTCATGCGGATTGTGTGGTGAGCAAATTAAGAAACCTAAAGTCGAAAAGCATTTGGGACGATGCCGCTCAAATGAATTGACTTGCATTGGTAATTTTCTATCATGAAACTATATGAATGTTAAAATATCATTATATAGTCGTCTCCTTAATTTAACTGTTTTATTTTTAGACTGCAACGTCACGTTTAACAGAATGTCTTACGATGGGCATAAATCGTGTGTTACTGAAAATGAAAGATATGGAGGCAAAGACTACGTTGAAAAAGGAAATAAGGTGAGTCTCCTTCATTTTATTCCGTATTTTAACGATTTTAAGGGCGACGAAAAGCAGCGAATTTGGCTTGAGAAGATAACCACGGCGATGAAAAAGGCGAAATTAAGCCCAGCTGGAATGAAGGTTTGGAAAATGCTCGAAAATGGAGGTTTCGAAAATATTCCAAGGTCAACTTCTAACCTTTATTTATTTATTTTACCGTCTTTTAGAAAGGAAAAGAAGTTTGTCAACTTTGTTAAAAACTCGCTGAACATGCGGGATACAGGCGGCATTGACGAAGTTTGGAAGATCTTCGACGCTGCTTTTGAGAAGCAAACCCCAACAACGCCGGCTAAGAAAGCCAAAAGTACAGCAGTAGAAGTGAAAGCGACAGGAGATAAGCCATGGTGGGAACAATTTACTCCTACCAAAAAGAAGAGTGGCAAAGGTAAACATTTTAGTTCATGAAAAGATATTTATCTAAATATGATTTTAATCATATTTTAGAATCTTCAAGCTCCGATGCTGATTCTGAGTCCGAAGAGGAAAAACTTGCGAAAAAGACGCCACAGAAAAAGAAGACTGTAACGAAGCGAAAGAAAGAGAGTAGCTCTTCAAGCTCAGACTCTGAAGAAGAGCCAGCTCCTAAAAAGGTAAGCTGTCAAATTCATCCCTCGTTTCTATTTTCCTTTAGGAAGTCAAGAAAGTCAAAAATGAAGCCAAGAAAGCGCCGAAGAAAGTGAAATCCTCATCGTCGAGCTCTGACAGTTCCGATGAGGAAACGCCGAAAGCACCAGCAAAGAAGAAGTCAAAAGTTGAATCCAAGAAAGCTCCTAAGAAGGAATCATCGTCTGAATCTTCTTCGAGCGACGAGGAAGATGCGCCTAAGCAGACTTCGAGCCCGCTGAAAAAGATCGTCAAAAAAGTGCCGAAAAAAGCCGAGTCAAGCCCTGATACGAGCTCTTCCGAAGAAGATGCTCCAATTAAAAAGAAAAAGACTCTCCCACCTAAAAAGACCTCTCCTGTAGCCAAACCTGTGCCAAAGAAAGTGGCCGAAAATAGCTCTTCTGAATCATCATCATCGTCGGAGGGAGAGCGAAAGGCGCCAAAGAAGGCTCCTGTGAAAAAGCAACAAAACAAAAAGGCGAAAGAATCCAGTTCTTCGTCTTCAAGCTCATCCGAGGAAGAACCCGCGCCCAAAAAGAAAGTCGAAGCTATAAAAGCCCCTGTTAAAAAGACTCCGGCGAAGAAGGAGTCTAGCTCGTCTTCTAGTAGCTCCTCTGAAGATGAACCTGTGCCAAAGAAAAAAGCTCCTGTGAAAAAACTGCCAGCGAAAAAAGCCGAAAGCTCTTCAAGTTCGAGCTCATCTGAAGATGAAGCTCCCGCTCCGAAGAAAGTAGTTGCTGCGGCTCAAAAGAAGAAGGCAACAGCGAAGGAGTCCAGCTCTTCTTCTAGCTCTGAGGACGAAAAGCCCGCTCCTAAGAAAGTTGCACCCTTGAAAAAAGCTGCCCCAGTGAAAAAGCCTCAAGAATCCTCTTCGAGCAGCTCTTCATCGTCGGAAGATGAAAAACCAGCTCCCAAAAAGTCTGCGACTCCGGCAAAGAAAAAGGTCCTGACAAAGAAAGTGCAAGCTTCATCTTCAAGTAGTTCCTCCTCATGCTCCGAGGACGAGGCCCCCGCCAAAAAGAAAACGCCAGTTGTAAAGAAATCTCAGCCTGCTAAAAAGGCCAAAGAATCATCATCGAGTAGTTCTTCTTCATCGTCATCAGAGGAGGAGAAGCCAGTTGCTAAGAAAAAGGCCAAAGTAACAAAAGATGCAACATCTGATTCTGAAGACGACTCAGCATCAAGTGGTATTGGATCAGGTGACGATTAACCATTCCATTCTTTCAAGTCAGCTTATTTGATACGTTACATGATTAATTGTTGTCTTTTTCGAAGTGCTAGACTCGTAATTGTGGCCATAAAACGTGCTCCTTATTGGAGTGTTTATTGTAAAATTGGCAAATTATCTGCTCATTTTATTTTTTTTATTTTTTCTTTGTAGATCTTCACAGTGAGCGTTCTAAAATAGATTCCCTTATGATATCAACATCAATAAAAAAATAAAGTATGATGACTAGTGTTAAAAAAACATGTAGATGAAGACGCAAGCCCTGTCAAAAAGGTTTCTCTCGAAAAACTCCTGAAGAAGCCAGAAGAAAAGCTTCCGACCCCAAAAATCAAAGCTGAAAAGCCTCAAACACCAAACAAAAAAAGTCCACTCGAACAAGGATGACTACAACAAGGAGCGTGACTCAAGAACGATCTTCATCAAGAATCTGCCATTTGACACGACTGTCGATGACTTGTGGCATGTTTTTGGAAAAGACGAAGAAATGACGATTGATTGCCGCTTTATCATGAACCGTGAAACTGGAACGCATAAGGTACTTATCTCGAGGGATTCTCCTTGTTTATTTCAAACTTCAAATAGGGACTCGCATTTGTCGAATACGCGTCAAGAGAAAAGTGCGTTGAGATGTTGGAGAAAAAGTGGAAAATGAACGGACGCCCGGCGATCGTCATGCAAGCTGGAACAAAGAAGCCGGCTACGAATGGCACGCCTGGGCCAAACTCCGGTCTCAGCCAAGATGAACGCGACTTACGAACGCTTTTTGTCAAGGGACTTCCCTTTTCGTCTACTCCTGATGATTTGGTCGAGCTGTTTGGTTGTCTACAAGCCCGATTGCTCAAAGATCACGCTGGACAATCCAAAGTAATTTCGTCTTCATTTTCTTTCTAGTAAATTTGAAATAAGGGAATGGCTTTCTGCGAGTTTGAAACCCCCAGCGCAGCGGATGAGGTGTACAACTACGCAGACGGGTACGAACTTGGCGGAAGATGGTTGCAGTTGGACAAACTCCGCCCAAAAAGTCAAATGAATGGCGGATCAAGTGGGTCGGCACAAAAAAGACATGCTCCGGTCAGTGCTGCACAGCGAAATCGCGGTGGAGCGGCCGGCTTCGAAGGCAAAAAGATGAAATTTGACGATGACGACGAGTACTAGAATGTTATTGACTGTAAATTTGAAAAGTTTCCGGAAGTTGAACGAGAATAAACTAAAAAACTTTAAAAAAACTCTTCTATAAAAGATCTCAAGAACAGCAGTTCTCCCGTGGGTAAAATGTTTGTTTATCTCCTCTTATTGACATATTCTCCCGGATGATCACAACAAACTTTTCTCCCGCGCCAAGATTTTCAAAATGAAATTTCTTCAGCTTTTCTTCAGTTTTTCTTTAGCTCTAAAATTTGAATTGCAAATCGGAGATGATCCGAGATGTTTGAGCATTGAGGCAGCGGCGGAGAGCAAGGTTGACTGGACTTATGTTTTTGAAGAGAGGGATCAGAAGACCAGAGAATGGGTCTTGACAAAGGAAAAGCAGGGAGTTCATATTGAAGTCACGCCAAAAGGTGATGAGTACCCACTTCTCAGCAAGTCTTATTCTGGTAAAGGAAAGGTGAGTATCTAATTTAACCGATTACGAATGAACTTGCAGAGAATATATTCAATCGTATCGTAGTTTGTGTACACCACGCAAAAACATGGAATGCATACAATCTGTTTTTCACCGGCAAAACTGCAGGAAGAGAATATTCGACTTACCCTGTCCCGAAAAATTGGCGCTTTTGAAAACGAGGAGATTATCGCAGAAATCGACGATTTCTTCCATTTTTCCGAGGCCGAAAAAGTGACGAATCTACAGTTTGAATTTGGAAAGACGAAAAACCGAGTGGATCAGATTTTAAAGGAGCTCAATTATCAGCGATCGAGAGAAGGCGATTTCCGAGAAATCAGTCAAGAAGTGAATGATGCTGTCTTGAAATTTGCTTTTATACAGGTACTCTCTTTGGGAAAGGGGTTTTCTTACATTATTATAGGTTCTTGTTTTGGTTATTCTGGGCGGATGGCAAATTTACAACCTCAAATCATTCTTTCTCTCGAAGAAACTAGTCTAGATTATCAATAAAGAACACAATGACGATGCCTGTTTTTATCAATTTATTGGTTCCAATAACCATGAGCATTTCTTTTCCATTTCGATTCTTTCTTCGACGCATCATCAGCTGGAACATTCGATTTCTTAAATTTCTCATCCATGACGAGCGATAACTTTTTCCCGACGTCATCTTCAGTAACTTTTCTCATTACAAGCCAGTGAATCCAGTTTTCTTCGTCTGTTCCGAACTCGAAAATCTCATCTTGCTGCAACTGTTTCCCCTCTATTAGACGGTAAATCTGGCTGGGGGTAGATAAAAAAAACTAACCTAAAAACCAGAGAGCAACAGTATCTTCTGGTGCAGCAAATTTAAATCTCGCTTCATTACCAACACTTTCAGAAATTATTTTCCAGAGAGGACCCATTTCTCTCAGAGAGTGAGTGCTAATTCTCCTTGGATTTTTTTCATGCGCGCTTTTGGCAAGACAATTTTTGGCATCTTTTATTATGTACCCTTGATAAGTTAAAAAGACAGTAAAGGTTTTACAGTGAATTTTGTAGCAACTTCTTTATGCTGATCGATCTTGGTAAATATCTTGAAGACGATGTTCTTTATATGCGGCGAATTTCTTCATCAATCCTAAGAAATGTAGAGGATAAATTCAATGTTAATTTACCTTCGTATTGAATGCCTGGAAAATGGAGGCACATGGTCTCTTTTGAACTCTTTTCCTTCCAGTGCGCTTCTTCCAAGGATTTTGGCCGGGCGAGTCCCGCTTTCTTTCGAATAATTCCTGTATAAAAGAGGTCTTCAACTCTAAAGTCGTGGCGGCGCGTTGTTGAAGCAGTTTTGTAGATTTCTTTGGCAGTGTATCCAGTGCAAGCTTGGCACTGTCCGTTGCAGTAGCTTGGGATATTATAAATTGAAGGCCACTGATCGCGCCAGATGAAGTATTTTCCGGAGTATGGTGGTTTTCGCAAGGAAATCGGGCGCCCTCGGAGGCAGAACATTTCGTCCTGAGATCCGGTAAACAAATTATACAGTCTTTCATGTGGTTTTACTTTGCTCTCAGCGGATAAATTCGGAGTCTTTAAAATCCTTCCCTGTCAAATCTAACGAGCGTATCATCGTCAACAAAGGCCACAGGCAGGTCTGAGTTGGGACAAAAATCATTGTAAAATTGATACCCAAGAAACGTTTTTATCGGCAAGTTGTCATACGTATCTTCAAAATCTCCCACTATCAAGTCGCCGTTTTCGTCAGCTTCTTTCTGGATCTCTTCTTTGTTGTCTCCGTCTCCGAGGAGGAAGTAAAGATTCATATTTGGCTGAAGAAGTTTTGCATGTTCGCGAAAAGCCTGACGATTTGATGGGCCACGAGAAAGTTTTACTCGACTTTAATTGAGTTTTATTTGAGTTTTGAGCAAAACTTTTGAGATTTTATTAAGTCTTTTTTATTCGATAATTAAACTCTTTCTTGTTTTAACAAAGACGGTTATTTCTGCCTCACATTTCTGAGTCGGTTTCATCAAATAGTTTATGTGTTGTGTTGGAGAATCTTCTCGATAAATGACTGGAAGCTCGTCAGATTTGATATAGTTGTCCATCTGAAAGAGTCCCTGAAGCTTCATATTTTGTACAATGGGTGGTCCAACAAAGGAATCTTTCATGTAAACGCCATCTTTATCCATGAGTTTTGCCATGGCGAGATGGTACTGGAAAAAGCAGTGACCAGGCTGTAGATTGTAGTTTGACGCAGTATGCTTTTTGTGTCTTTTCGTTAGTTTTGAAATTGATATCTGATTGAAAGGATTAATTTAAAAGAGAATCTAATTCAAAACTCAAATATAAATGCAACAAGAACTGGGTCCAAAAGCATGCGTTGATTCTTGCTTGAAACAATACAGTCCCTTCCTTTGCTATTGTAGTATTCTATGTATTCAACCACTTCAGGGTCGAAAGAACACTCGTAAGAGCAATGATGATTTTGAGGACTTATGTACTGAAATTGCTTCTCATTCTTCAATAGTGGCTTCAGATCTTTGATATTTTGTAGAACATCTGTTTTATCGCTCAAAATAAGGATTTTATCGAAGAGCTCCAGTTTAGAAATTAATCCAGCGGGCCAAGGATTCACCCAAAAGTCGAATTCCAAGAATTCCTCGTACTCGATGTTTTCGGGGTTTTTGACGACAAAAATCGGTTCGATGTACACTTCAGGATAGAGTAGCTTCAGATATCTGTAATTTTGGCGTTGTGCTTGAATTATGCTCTCTTGGCTTTCCGTATCGTCGTCGTAAAGGTGGATTACAGCGAGTTTGTACTCAGTTCTAATATCTTCTTGCAGAAAGAGACCTGATGCGTTTTAATTTATGCGAAATTCTAAACCTGTACCTGGGTCATTCATATGCACATTCTGTGACGCTTCAGTAAGCACCGCTCGTACAGGAGCTATCCCGATCTCTGCTTGATCAACTTCATAAAATAAAAGAAACACGCTCGAAACAATAAGTATCGAAATAAAAAGTGAAATATTTCTCCTCATAATCCTCAAATGTCCATCTTCGAATAAAGTTTTCTCTGGCCGCTTTTTGTTTACTGCAGATGTGATGACCTTTATATTGAATAAGGATAATAGACCCCGAAGGAGAGGTGCTTCCAAATGAATTCTGACGTGAAAGAATTTATCTCATTTTCTTATATAATTTCATAATTGAGATTCTTTGCCGCAGAAAATTTCCGGGGAAAAATGTTCTGTTTTCGTATCTTTACAAAAGGCGGAAAAGCTTTCTGGCGTAAAACGTAAATGCTAAATCATATCCTGACAATTAAAAGGGCTTTTCGACAACGGACGAAAGAATCTCTTGAAAACAAAGAATTGACTGCTTCATAAAAAAGTTGTATTTTTTTTGAGTTTTTTTTTGCTTTTTTTTTTATTATTGGAAATTTGAATAGTAAATAACTACAGATTAACAGCTAAGAAATGAAAGGAATTGGAAGGCATAAATATTTGGAGAAATCTCCGGAAAAGAAGTTACAGGTTTTCAGATTCGGAGGACGAGTTCAAGCTTTTTAATGTACTCGCATGCGGCAGTGACGATTTCAGCCTCGTCGTCGCTTTCGAATCCGGCTTGTGAATGATTGAGGATCATTTTGAGCATGTCGAGGCAGTCCTCCTCGGAGTTGAGCTGGGAGAGGTTGATGTTTTGTCCTTCAGTGATCATTTTGGATTTTTGCTTTTGAGGCTTTGCTTCTTGCAGGAGAATGTGTTGTGATAATTTCCTGAGACTCGAGCGACGTATTTATAACGGAACCAGCCGTAAGATGGTGCTGCGCGGAAGGGGTTCTTAAAGAGGGCGCGGCGCATCTCGCAGGTGTTGATCATATCGTTTGATAATTTTATCGCTCAGCTTGTGCTTTTAGTACCTCAATTATACAGGGTAGGATGTGTTTGAAGTTCTGATGCTTCCGTCATTCTCAGCAGATGCAAATGTCTGCAGCTTGGCAGTTATTCTTCTTTGCCTCTCTGAAGTTGGCCCGGCTTAGTTATTTTATATAACAAAATTTGCAATTATTCATGACGCATAATACTGATGCTACATTAGGCTTGAGACTCGGTTCTTCAGCTACGATTCTTTGATAATACTTGAACATTTGCGCCAAGTTAGATGTCTGCACTAGTTGTTCGTAATTATTTTGAATACAAGGCATACGATTTTCATCAGTTTAACTAAAACCAATAATTGTCCAATTGAAATTATCAAGCAATCATATTCTTATTCTCTTTTTGTTAATTAGAATAAGGTTTCAGATCTTTCATACTTTGTAAAACATTTGTTTCCTCGCTCAAAACAGGGTTTTTATTCTAAATAATCGTTACTGTTAATTAAAACATGAAGATACACTAGTTTATAATCTTCATCTGTCTTCAAACCATCAATAGAAATTAAAGATATTAGTTTTCTCAAGTATACGGTATACCTCGGAAACATCCAATTATCAGTCCTTGCAAATTGCAATGAAAACTATGAGCATTTGAATATTCCAACTTCCGGTTGATGCGTGAAATCAAAATCTTTCTGGGAGAGGCTGTTTCTGTCTCAAAAGCACCTGGGGATTACAATTGATGTCCTCATTCCCAGTACCTCCCGTATTTGCTCGTTCTAATTGAGCAATTTGTCCGATTACCATCGCCAAAAAGGGATCTGTTTATTTGTCCGATAGACAGGGGCAGGTCACCGCGGCAATAAAACTTTGAAAATGATCCTCAATCCACATCTGGGGGAAAAACTAGGCTGTTTGTGAGCATCAAGTGTCTGGAAAGCAACGCGTTCGGTTTTTTAGGGACATGACTAGCAGAATTACTGCCGCAATAAATCCATATTCCGAATATCATATTCGACTAAGAAATATCGTATTTCGATTAGTGTGAGCGCACAAGATTTACTACGGAGAACAAAGATCTTTTGAAAACGGTTTTGTCAAAAGTAAAGGTGTTCTCTAAGAAGTTTATGATATCTGCGCCAGTCTACCAGTAGTTTTATCTTTGTTATCAACTAATTCTCTAAATGATCAAACGAATCGTCGATTTTCTTTTAGATTTTCTTGTTCTCGACTTTTCTACAAGAAAATCGACGATTAGTTCGATCATTTAGAAAATTAGTTGATAACAAAGATTAAACTCCTAATTTATGTTATATATATATTGTTTACGAAGCTAACATCTGCTGAAATTATTCGGTTTCGCTTCGCTGTTCACTAATTCTTTGTTTCAGAGAGAATTCATATGCCTGATCTCGAGTTATACTCAATTGATACTACCTCATGGTAAATCATTCGATATCAGATTGCTTCGTTTTTCTTTCAACGAAAAGCAACCAGTCTATCAGACCCGTTGTCTATTTGCAAAAAGAAAAGAACGCCACCCATCTTCGACGAGACATCGCAGAATGCGCTTTCGGTGCGTTTTCAGCCTTTAGCGTTCGCGGATTGGCTGAGCCCGTTGAGCTCGCTCTTCGAAATTGGCCCAGAGAAACGATCGAAATTCCTGTCGTGTTTGATAAACTACGTGTCCAACCCGAAAATAAACAAAAATTGCAGAAAACCGGGTTCAGAGGCCACTGCTCAAATTAATATTTAACCCCAACTTTCAATCGCTGGCATGCATCCTGTCATTAATTCCCGCTGATTTTTATGTGCAGAGTTCTTGCTTACAGACGTCTCGGGAAAATATTGTGTTATTTTTGAAAAAATTGATTCAGAGTGCAAACGATGGATAGGGAATACTGCGGCTTTCTCCAGAAAGTTTAGATTTTCTCCGTTTTTTTTTTTTCTTCGTCGAGCAGTGGAAATCGTCAGCTACAGTCAGGAGAAAGCTACAGAGATGAGCGCGGAGAGAGAAAGAAGATTCTTCCTAGCCTCGTGCTGCTTTTGGTTTCTTTTGTCAGGCATAGAATATAGTATAGGAATGTTGTTACATAGAATTGAATACGGATCGTTGGTATGAATAAAGACATAACAATTTATTCAAAACTTGTGGATAATCGTTTTCACATGAATGGTCATTTCCGGCAGGATAACAATTCCTCAATCTTAAGCCTTTCATACTTTCATCCTTTCTTTTTGATTCCCATGATTTTTATCATGGAGAGGGATTTTTACGCATTAATTGTCAATAATTATTTGTGTTATTGTTATTATTTAAAAATTAAAAAATGATAAACCATTAGTTTTATGTCTCGTTAAAACTGGCCATGAGACTTGCAAATATTTGCCCTTTCTCTCTTTATTATGTGCAAAATTGCGTCAAAAAAACGACCTCGTCGTGAAAAAGTGCCCTTTGTAACAACCGAAAGTGCTTCCAACGATTCTGTACTACTTTCAAAGTGTCGGCGCGGGAATGAGCTACCACGGATATGGAATTGCTGCTCTGGCGTTTAGTGCGATGCTCAGTGCTCCAATCTACGCTAGAATCGGCGATAAGCTAATGTCGTGCAAGATGGTCTTGCAAGTGGGAATCGTGTTTTCGATCGTTGGAAACTTTGTATATTTCGCGTTTCCAAAGGCGAATTTGATCGTCCTGGCGAGAATGATTTCGGGACTTGGATGGGGACTAGAAGGTTTGCTCAATTATCTTTTCCTCCGTAAACTTTCGTTCAGGTGCTCTAATGGGTCAAATCGGCAGAACATACAACCAAGAAAATAAGACCAAATCGTTGGCTCTTGCTCTTATCACTCGCCAAGCTGGAATCATTGCTGGCCCGCTTTCCGTGCAGTTCTTTGAAAATATCAAATTTTCCTTCACTGTTTTCGGGCTTTATATTGATGTAAATCAACACAACTTTCCCGGCTTTCTTCTTTGTAAGTCAGAATAGACCTGAATAGCGAAGAATTGTTTTCTTACAAAAATTTCAAGGTATCGGATGGGCAATCGTCTGGATCTACATGCTACTGTTCTACCGCGATGCGGAGGCGCAGCCCGACGAAAACTGCAACTATCTGGTGATCGAAGAAAACGAATCATCCGAATCGCCTATGAAGAAAAATTCAAAGCTAACGAAAAGCTCGGAATCGTTCAAGAACCAATCGTCGTCGCCGCTGTTTGCTCCTTCGCGACGTACTTGTTGCAGAGTGGGATGGAGTCCCTTATTACGCCATTTACGAGCCACTTCTTTGGCTGGGAACCAAAGGAGAACGCGTTTATGTACACTGTTGTTGGCCTGATCTCGTTTCTAGGTTATTTAAGGTGCGAAACATCAATGAGAATGAGCATTTTTCTTTAATTTTTGAAATGGCCGAAATCAATGACATTTTAGTATTCAATTTCTCACAAAATGCACTGACGATCGTCACACTCTACTCGCCGGAATTTCCGCCTGTGCACTAGTCTTGGTAAAAACCCCTTTTGACCACAAAGTTTCTTATACTTTCCCTATTTTCAGTTGATGATCATCGCAATCATCCCCATCGCGACGTTCCGCGCCGAGTGGGTCTATCCACTGTTCTACATCGGAATCTTTCTCTTCTGCTGGTTCCTCCCTTACGTCGTCTCTTCATCCGCTTCCATTCTTTCCAAAGCAGCTTCAAAGGAACAGCAATCGCAGGCCCAAACGATCCGCACTTGCGGCGAAGTTGGCGCCCAAATCTTCGGCCCTTTTTGGGTCCCTTCCATCTTCGAAATCTCCCAATCGCCCGGAATGGGCATTTTTGAATCTTCAATTCTAATGTGGCAACTTATCTTTATGACGCTGTGTATGGCATTGACGATAATCAGCTGGGATTATATGAAGCCAGAAGGTATATTTTATTTACCGGCTTAGATAAGAAACACGTGCAGGGTTAAATTGGAATGGTCAGCGTACCGTGTGTCATGATAATTTTTAAATCAATCAAATATAATTTTCCCAAAATATCGTATTAGATGATTATCATAATTGGCGATTATCTTATTCATATTTTGATCAACACGTGCTCTCGATTAGAATAGAGTACTATTGGATTGACGAACTTAAGTATTCAAAATATCTTCTCAAAACTAGTAGAAATAACTACAGTTGTTTGCAATTGCATCCTTTGATTAAATTTTCCTTCAGACGTGGAGCCGTATTTGGACCCAATCCTTCCGAGCGACGGGCTGGACCCAGTTGCCGGGCTGGCCAAGTACGACGATGATTTGCTCGCCTCTCAAGCGTCGCTCCCGACTTCTATGATTTCGTCCCTTGCCGAATTGAATAAAAGGTCAAAACTGGACCATCGGATCCGCACAAGAACGATCAGCAAGTCCGAAACGCAATCAAAACTCGTCGACTCGGTGATGCTCACCGAGCCCCGTCAAAGTTAACTCGCTCTGTTTCAATAATGCTTTTATTTCTCCTGAAAGTTGCCCTTCTATCGTTATTCTTCAATTCCCAATTTTGTACATAGCTGAATATAAAAGATCTTAATTTAAAGCTGTTGCATCTTCCTGTGCTTGTTGTCATTTGCGTTCCAATATGAAAATCGTATAAAAGAATCATCATCCAGTAAGGGTACTTATAAACGATTCAATAGCGATACGCGCTAGTTGAACTAACTGGAAATCTTTCGCTCGAAATATTAAAAAAAAAATAATACTGACCGTTTAGAAAATAGCACTAAAATGACCCCTTATTTTCGTCTTTTTCAAATTTTCCTTCGTTTCAAAAATGCAGACGGCGATCTTCGCCTGAGGCAGTCCAACTGGCCGCATTTATTTCCCAAAATCCGCATCTTTCACCAATTAAATCCTTATCCAGAGAAAACATAAAGCACAGAAATGCTTGTGTAGTGACATGTATGCTTATTTTATATATTTCTAGATATTTTCCACTTTCCATACATTTTTTCTTTTGCCTGAGCTCCGTATACCTCCAGTCTCATTTTTGATTATCCTCATTCTTACTCGATTCGTAAAAAAACCTTTTTCACAGATACTTTTTTCTTCAAAAACTTACATTCTCGTTCATGAAACAAGTCATTTCTTGATCATTTTTCTTCAGATGCGCTTTTGAGAAAAAGGAAGGGATGATCATCGTTTGCAGCAAATTAGAGAATGACCCGCGCGTTGCTGCCTCCGTCGCCTGGTTGATCCAGAGCGGCAAACGCACGAAATTCATGAGTGAAGATGGTATCATGAACTGGCTAGAGCACAGGGAGGATGAAACGCTAACTACCGTCGTTCTCGGCGAGTTCTGGGGACATTCGGTTTATCCTGCCTTGGAAAATACGTCGAATATCAATGTGTTAGGAAGGACGATCTTTTTAGGTAAGAAAATCGAAAACAAAGACGTCTTATAAGAGGAAAATATGAGTTTCCAACTTGGAAATTCAGAGAGCTCAAAAGCTAAAGTTCTCCCCTTTTCCTCGTTCTCAACTAATCGTCTTTCCGTACAACTTCTTCCCAGAAACTTCCCTTCTTTCTAAAAACTTCTTTTGCTAGAGCGTTGCGAGCACCGCAAATCCCTCCCAACGCGTCTTCGCCATCCTCTCTACTGTTCTGCCTTTGAGGGCCTCAATGTCGTGCTTAACACTTGCGGTAGGCCGAATATGGAGAACAGAATCCAACGAATTCGCTGGATGGGCGGCAAAGTCTACGAGAAAATAGATTCAAACAATAACAACAACATAAACAGGCTGATTGCGACACGAGTTCATGGCCCGAATTTCAGAAAAGCGGTTGGACTTGACATTCCTTGCGTTTCGCCTAAATATGTTCTGTAAGTAGACTTCTATTGAAAAGATTCTTAATTAACTTTTGACTAGTGATTGTTGGGATGAGAAACGGCATCTTCCGTCATTCCGCGCTTCTGATCCTGAATACACAAAGATGTACAAACGAAAGGCATTCGAAGAGTGCAAAATCTACTTTCACTGTTTCTCCCAAAAAGACGAAGAGGAACTAGAGAAATATACTGTCAAGCTTGGCGGAGAACGAGCCCAAGAAGCGCTCAAAGCGACGCATATTCTTTGCGCGGTGGATTCGCCGCCATTGACAGCTAAACTAGATGAAAGAGTTTTTCCTGTAACGGCAAGGGATGAAGCTTTATTTCTATACCGTCACTTTGAATGAGTCTCGAATGCAAATCTTTCATCGCTTTAAAAAGTACGAGTGGTTTTGGCACTCGATTCAAATCGAAGCCCGAGCTGGTGAGCGAGCCTATCGCCCAGAAAATTGGGAACCAGAAGATTTAACCAGCTTGAGTGAGAATACATCCGCGTCTGATCTTCAAAAGAGTCGCAGCTTTGACAGAACTCTTTCACCAACAAGTATTCTTGATGAAGTTGTAAATACGAGCGTGGTTACAGGCACATGTCCTCTAATATTCATATATTTAGTGGAGTGGAAAAGGTTTTAGTCAAAAACCACCTGTCAAGAATAATTTCAGGACCTGTTTTAAGCCCAAAGGAAACGTACTAACGAGCAATTATCCGACACGTCACCAGATAGACTATCACAACAAGAGTGTAAGACACAAATTCTCTTTGTAGTAGCCATAAAATCATAAAATGTTGATCTTACTCGTGTATGTCATCAATTTCTCTCGATTTAAGATTAATTACACACCAATCGACATTCTAAAGTGATTGAACATATGTCTAAGCTGCTAAGCGTACATATGTGTATAACGACCTTATTGCTTCCCTAGCCAGCAAAGAATCGTCAGTTATCAGCGAGATTCTGGCAAGAACTGCCAGCTTGTCCACTCGTCCGACGCGTTCGGATTTTTATGACTCGCCGACGCGCGTAAAAAGTCGAGAGCGTTTTGGTAATTCTCACTTCTTTTTCAATCCCTTTATCACTCCTTTACGGAAATGTCTTGTTCCTCACGTATTTTTGAAAACGCATGGTTATTTTCTAAGACTACGGTAAAGCTCTTGCTTTATGAAAACAACCCCCAAGGGAGGAAGCTTTTTATTTATAGGCTATAAATTATAGCCCGTCTTTCTTCCGGATACTCATCCCTCTTTTATCAACTTCGAAATAATCCAAAATAATCATAAACAATGATTCTCATCCGAGAGAGACTGGAATTAGAGCTATTTGAATATAAAATCGGCTGTAAGTAATGCAAATATGCCTGAATCATAAAATTTATTATTCGCGCTGGCAAAAACTAAAATCCCATTCATCATTTTTCGAAATAAATGAAGAGAATCGCCAGAAAATCGTTTCGAGTTCTCAAAGCTATCCGGGAAGATTTTAATCGTATGTCTAACTCAACTTACTAAAAATTTTTTTGCATGCTTGAAATTCTGCTCTTCTCGATAGAAGGCACGTTTCACTTTTTCACAACTCTCATTTATCCCTTTGAAAATAATTGTTTCCTAACTCCATGTTTCGAATAGTCGGAGAGCCACAGAAAAAACTTTCAAAAGCAATCGCCCGTGAACTACTCGAAACCGAAGAAAATTACCTAAACTTATTGCGTTTTACCGTCAACGACCTGAAAGAAGCACTCGTCGCACAACCCTCAAAAAGTACGTCTTCCACCTTTGTTTTGATTCTTGAGTTACTATTTTAGGCTCTGGTCCGATATTGGATAGTCTTACTGCGAAGACTATTTTTGGCAATCTTCCGGGCATTTTAGAGCTTCATGAATCGATCTTCAAGGATTTGCAAAAAACAGTGGATGAAATTGCCCTTGGGAAACAGGTAGCAGTTACTGAAACAATTCAGTTGGATGATAAAAACTATTCAGGGGCATATTGGCGAATGCTTCGTAAATCATAGCAAAAACATGCAGACAGCATACCGTCAATACGTCGGTTACATGGACGCATCCAAACAAGAGCGCACCTATCAACGAGAAGAGAACGACCGGTTTACGGCTTTCCTGAAACTGAAGGAGCGATCTGCGCCTGGACGACAGGGTCTCGATGGGCTGCTGATGGCTCCCGTTCAGCGATTACCGAGAATCAGCCTGCTTCTCAAGCAATACAAAAAAGAAGTCGAAGCAGAAGACAACGCGTCAAAAGAGCTCGATGAAGCGATCGAACAAGTACACAAAATCACACTAGAAGTAGACGAATTCACAGCAGTTCAAAACTCCTACCGGGAAATGTTCGCGATCGCAAACGAGATCGAAAACTGTCCAACAACGCTGTATTCTGGAAATCGCCAATATATCGACAAAGTAGAGGCGATTTGCGTACGCGAGAATCCATACGCAAGAGTTGGTGATCAAATGATCCTGTTGATATTCAATGACTGTGTTGAAATTACAAAGGTAGATTCATCAAAAACCAATTCCTCTAACAGTTCTGTAGAAAAAGAGATCCAGAGGCGGCTCCTTCAGACTCGGTAAATCTGATACGAGGTCAGGTTGTCCGGCGAAAAAGGTAAATGAATGATAAATGGAAGCCGATTTTACGATTCTTAGATCAACTACTCACACCGTGAATTGGTAAATTTCTCCAACCCAGCTCCGGGAGGGAAACAACAAAGTAGCACGATCTGTCAAGTGATGGATATCCTCGATTCAGAGCGCAATTTCGTGATCACACATCGACACCCAAGTGATAGTGAACCTACAGAGTTGTGTCTTCAGATCGTAATTCCGATCGATAAGCAGACAATGATTCAGGATTTCGATGAGACAGTCATGAAACACAGGAAAGCGGTTTTATATCTTTTTTTTTTTTTTTTAAATCAACGAAGAGAACTTCCACTTGGAAATAGACACTCATAAACTATCAGTAGCAGTTTTTACGTCAATTATAAAACCTCAATGCGAAGAGCAAGTAAAGATATGGTGACGGACTCAATAATCTTACCAGTTTACGCTGAGCAAATCGGAAAATTGGCAGACCCATCGCGTCATCGCGGTTTGATGAAGTAGAGCAAATTTTTCCAGACAGGACTAATCTTTTATGACTAGGGGTTTGGGACGAAAAATGAGTTTCCGTGGAGACGACGATACCTATTCGCTAAAGCGATACGATTCACAGGCGTCTTTGGCATCTTACACTTCCATGATAAGTAACTACAGCGTACAGTCTGAATTTACATCTCCAAATCAGTTTGAATCGAGGGTAAGATAGGACTGAAAAGATAAATTCAACTAATCTAAAATGAAGTCCCGAGCAAGCTCTATGTTCGACCAGCGCCTAAAGCCGTCCACTTCCATGTTCAATCTCCCGGATATTCCAAAGAAGATGGGCCGAACGTTCAAAAACCCGCTCAAAAAGATGGTCAACGCGTTCGTCCGGCCGCACAGTCCGAAGTCCCTTCTGAGTTCAAAGAAGTCACAACCCGCCCAGCCCTCACCACTCACCGATATGAACAAGAATTCTTAAGGCAGACTCCTTGAGACCCCATGTAAATTATTTTCAAGTGCCTTCGCTATCACAATTTTTGCTATCGAGTAGCAAACGTCTCTTCACTATTTTTTTCACATTCCATGGCAAGAAAAATGGTTTTCAGTTGAACTGAAGATCATTAATACTATATCACGGTAATGCCTTTATAAGTATTTTTCTATATATGTATTCACTCACTGTACCCACACATACGCACTTAACTGCCTTTAACTCTCACCTTTCTTTCTTCCTGTTTGGACCTCGAGCACCTCCAGTACTTCTACTATTCCATCACTGAATAAAAGAATATCCAACCACTGTCCTAACAGAAAACGAACAGAAATAAAAGTGAAATGAAAATGGTGTTATTTAGCAGGGGAGTACTTGAATTGGAGAGATGTCGATTCTCCAGAAAATCTCGGATATCGAGGCCGAAATGGCCAGAACGCAGAAGAATAAGGCTACGGCTGGCCATTTGGGTTTATTGAAGGCTAAGTTGGCGAAGTTGAGAAGAGAGTTGATTGAGCCCAAGTCCGGAGGAGGCGGAGGAAAGGGAGAAGGGTTTGATGTCGCAAGAACAGGTTTGTAATTGGGAAAAATAATCCATGAATAATGGAATAAAGGTGATGCCCGAGTCGGATTCGTTGGGTTTCCGTCAGTGGGAAAGTCAACGCTCTTGTCGAATCTGGCGGGTGTTTACTCAGAAGTGGCGGCGTACGAATTCACAACTCTGACGACAGTTCCGGGTGTGATTCGATACAAAGGAGCGAAGATTCAGCTACTCGATCTTCCTGGTATCATTGAAGGTGCCAAGGATGGTAAAGGTCGAGGTAAACAGGTCAGAAAATGAATTTTTAAGTACCATTCGGAAATGGCAGTTTTTCTGATAAATGAACCTAGGTCATTGCTGTTGCCAGAACATGCCACTTGATCTTCCTGTGTCTTGATGTTCTGAAGCCTTTGGGACACAAAGCAATCATCGAACACGAGTTGGAAGGATTTGGAATTCGATTGAATAAGAAACCACCGCAGATTACATTCCGAGTGAAGGAAAAGGGAGGATTGAATTATAATGCGCAAGTCGAGCAATCGGAATTGGACAAGGAACTAGTCCAGGTAAATTTACTTCGCGCAAACTTCAGCGCGATGCCGACCAGTTTTATGAAAACATGAATTAACCTTCTTTATTGTTTATTTTAGTCAATTTTGAAAGAATACAAAATCCACAACGCGGATGTGACATTGAACGAAGACGCAACCACAGACATGCTGATCGACGTTATTGAAGGAAACAGAATTTACATTCCTGCGATCTACGTCCTCAACAAAATCGACCAGATCTCCATCGAAGAGCTCGATCTCATTTACAAAATCCCCCACACTGTTCCCATCAGCGCGCATCACAAGGTAAATCAAAGATGAAAAAGAAGATCATTCTAATATTAAAATTCCAGTGGAACTTTGATGATCTTCTGGAAACCATGTGGGACTATTTGAAACTCACGCGTATCTACACGAAACCAAAGGAAAGTAGATAATATCCCCTATCTTTTGTAAAAATATCACGAGCTAAAATCAGCTCATTCCTGCTATTTCGTTCGCTAAATTCGCTAAACTTGACACGTAACTCACAGCGATTATCTATCTGAAAGGGTCAACTTCCCGACTATACAGAACCTGTTATTTTGAGAAAGGACATCAATACAGTCGAAGGTTTTGTGAACAAAATTCATAGGACGCTGATGGACTCATTCAAACACGCGCTTGTTTGGGTAATTATCTGTATTTTACAGATTTTATTTAACAAAATTCGCAGGGATCTTCCGTGAAGCACTGTCCCCAGCGAGTCGGAAAGGATCATATTCTGATGGACGAAGACGTCGTGCAAGTCATCAAGAAACACTGAAAGACCAGCAATTTGGCCAATCCTTGATGATTTAACTTATTACTTTCTGTAGGATAAAGATTATTCTTTCGCTAGTATCTCCCCCATTTAGACCAATTTTTCAATTGATGGAATCGCAGGAACCGCCAAAAATTTTACAGCACATTTGAGTTCAAAATGCAATTTTAGAATGGTCAAAAAACTCGGAACAATCACAGACATCGACACGAAGAGCTACTATCTCGTTGTGGACAGGCAGAGCTTCGTTGTGAAGGATAAAGCTCTCAAGTATGAATTTTTCTAGTGACGCAATTATGAAGATGTTATCTTTCTGCCTAGGAAAGCAAAAGTTGCGAAGCATGAAAACGAGCCTACCTTGAACATTACGACTAAGAAATTGAATTTGATGACGAAAGCGAGTGAATTCGACGAGTATCTTGTGATTAAAACACCTGGGGTAAGTAGTCCGAGCGAACAAAATTCGTTCATGTAATGGGTGAAAAAGTGGCTTCTGACGATATTGACTCTGAGACGAGACGGAAATTATTAATAACTTTTGTTTTAGTCGAAGAAACTTTCCGTAAAACGAGCATATGTGCACAGCCTTCGTCCCCGCCCCACAGATAGCCAAGATGATGGTCAAACAACGACCATCAGACGCGACAACTATAGAGAGGCGAAATTCCGCGTGCAAGAAGAGCTTGGAGGAGCTAGGCAAAAACGAATTCTGGCCGAGAGAAAGAAAGAAAAACAGATTTTCGATCATGGGCAAGCACTGGAAGCGTCAAAGGAAGCGATCAATGCTCCACTGCCGAAGCTTGTGAAACGATTGGGCAGCAAGAGGCACTAGAATGAAGAAGGACTTTTTGATTGTAACTAATAAAGATGTCAAATTTGAAGTGATCTTTTCGCCATTTGAAAGGACTCTGGGTGAAGGGCTTAGATTTAGTAAACTTATCGATATTCAGAATGTAAAATGGTTAGATGATCGGATGTGTAACTGCCACAGATGATTTTGAAGGGCAGGAAGCGGTCGACTTGGCTTTTGTGAAAGGAGAGACAATCTTTTTGCAAAAGCTAGTCGATGAGAACTGGGGCGAGGGACAAATTGGAAATGATCGTCAGGGTAAGATAATCCATTGATAAAACAGCCGTGTAAGATAATCTTCTAGGTATCTTTCCTTTGACTTTTACGAATTACGCGGAGCTGCGTGACATTCCAGTTGAGCAGCGGCCGCCCTCGCCAAACAAGCAGCGCGATTTCTCCGTCGGGGCGCAAGGAACAATCGTCAAAAATGTCAAGCACGGCAATCTCGGTAACAACACTTTCTTTTTCATCCCCCGCCATTGCCACTTGTAAAATATAATGCCCGAATTTGAATCCAAATTTCAGAAATTGGAGATCTTGTCAATGTCCTGTCACGTGATGACGATGTGTTCTGGGTCGAGGATAGGAAGAAGAATATCATTCCAGGAAATTGGTTTGAAACCGAGGTTTCTTTTCTAGAACTAAAAGGAGAAAACATGAGTCATTTGCTTCTCCCGTGTTTCGTCTTCGAGTCGAAGTAAAATTTCTCAAGGCTACAAAATATATATACAAAAAAACTTTTTCGTAATTTAGTAAGAGAGAGATATTCAATGGGAAAATATGAAAGATTGATGGAACGAAATGTTCCTCGGCTCTCAAGTATCTTTCGTCTTCGTAAAAATCGACACTCCGTGGTAAGATAAAAAATCATTTTCAAACCAAGTCTACCAGTTCCATACAACATGATTGAGCTCAAAACAGGGCGCAAATCGACAGAGCCTCCGAATCTACGCAATGGAAATCAACAAAGACAATCTCCAACGACAAGAGGATTTCTCGACAAGACAAAGAGCACCTTAGAAAAGAAGCTTAAAAGAGCCTCGTGGTCGCCCGATAAATCACCGATCCTTGATTTAGGACTCGAAATCGCAAATTTTGGGATCAGAATGTTTCTGAAAATATTTTCAGAAATTCCTCTTCGCAAAAAGTGTGAAAGTCGTTGGCCTTGATTTTAGAACTGAAATTCGGTCAATGATATTTTTGATGCTCATAAATGCGTTTACGATGCGTTATAAGATGAAACTCGTTCTGATTCCACCAACAGATATCATTTGATGATTCCTCTCCATGCAAAGATCGCCGTGAAAGGCCAAAGTCAGTTGCAGATGTCCTTGGTATGTATTTTGTTGCTAATGCCTTTTCCGTAAAATATCAATCATTTTTTGAGTGTTGCTTCTTATTTTTCCAGGTGACATTGAGTGAAATCTTCCTCTGAAACATCAAGTTTAGATCTAGCAGACGAAAGTCACATGCCACTTTTTGTAGGGGTCACACATTATGCCAATTTTATGATTCAAAGATTTTATTCTTCTTCTCCCTTTATGCTCGATCATTTCGGCGAAAACCAATGCATAAGTCAGACATAAATATGGCACACTTCCTATTTCCTCAATTGATTGCATCTAGATCGGATTTCCGAAATCATCGCTTCCTAGTAATTGACACGAACTCCTAATCCTCGCTTGCCTTAGTTAGCGTTGGCTGCGCATCTGCTGCGCCACCAGCTGCCTTATTCTTACTTCGCGCCGCGGGTGGCCGTCGCCAAACAACGCACGCGCCACCAGGGAGTCCCAATCGTAATTTCAATCATTGCTCAATCGCAAAATCAAATCTCACCTTTTTTGAATTTGAAAAGTTAATTTTTATGACAAACATCAAGTACCCACTTCTCGCGAGAATACGAAGAGTGCGTAAACGAAAAATGGTTATAAGAGGTTAGACAGAGCTAGAAGCTTTCAGGAACTTCGGTCAAAGTTTGACTCAAACGAATGTAGTAAATTTTCGCGTGCTCTGCAATTAAAATTCTGACTTTGGGCAGTGTTTTTTAATCAGTAAAATATTCACATGTCTTATATATAACAGCCATGATTCCTAGCCTAGAGTCGTAAAAGGCCTCACAGACCTTAAAGTAATATCGTATAATTTGTATTTCCGATAGGAAGTCCTCTATGTCTCCCAAAACCCCAATAAGTGGCGGATACTACCCGCAGCGAATAAACACACTCGAAGGGTAGAAAAACTAACAAAGTCGTTTTCAGATTCAAACAGCAAGCGACGATCCTACCAAGAAGCAACAGAGCCGGTTTGGGAGAAGACTGCTGAGAAGGAAATACGAAGAGATCAACCTGGCAGAAAGAGCCTGAAGGACCTTTTCAAAGGCAAATTTTCCAACGCGGACTCGAAGAAAGAATCAGAAAAGCACATTCAGAAGCTAAAGGAGCAAATTGAGCGACAAGAAAAAGAGAGAAAACGTCTTGAAGACAGGTAACAGATCTCGTAGATAGTTAAAGATTTCAAACGGGGAACTTCACTCTTCGAAATACTTCGGTATCAAAGTCTAACTGTATGAATAGATTTGGAAGCGCGAGCTCGGAAAGCGAGCGGACGACGATCCGGAATCAGCTAAAGATGGCAGACTCTAACCTTCGACGTCTGAACGTTGAGCTTTCCAAGGAGTGTCCGGTGCCTATCTATAACCATCAGCGGACGCCGTCTGCCCCTGTATCTATGGCGTCCTCCGACGAGTCCTCCCAGTCACGCGGCGAGATACAGCTGCAAAAATCCATAGAAGAGTTAAGGGAAACTGAGGTGGACTATGTCAACGATTTGTGGTTCATACTAGGAAGGCTGGCTCCGGAAATTCAACAGGACAGAGATCTTCTCTTTGGCGGAATTGATGAGATTCATGAGTTCGCTTCAGGTAAAATATTTACAACGTTTATTGAGGGGCTCGAGATACAAATTGATAGTTCCGGAAAATCCCTTATTTATTCACCTATCTTAGATGGGATATCTTATAAACAAAATCTGAAACTGTTTTTATAGCGATCGCGTCTAAATTCGCCGACTTGGACAGATTAGAAACGCTTGAGGAACAATGTGCCGAACTTGCAAAGCTGTTTCTGGACGAAATCGTCGAGATGCGAAATGTTTACGGTCCCTACTGCTCGCGCCAGGGCGAGGCTTCTGTTAAAGCCGCCCAGTTGAATACACAAGAGATCGACCAGATGATTTCTGAAGCAAGGCGACGAGGAGAGACCAAGGCGTTCAACATGAACTCGTTGCTGATCAAGCCTGTTCAACGAATCACCAAATACCCACTGCTCATCGGACAGATCATGAAGTACGCACCAACTGAATCTTCCAAGCTTCTTCTCAGCGACGCGATGAATGAAATGAAGAAAACACTTGATGACATCAACAATCAGAAGCTCAATTTCGACATTGTTGACAGGTAATATTTACAAAGAATTAGTCTTGTTTTTGTTTTCGCCTGTTAGTCTTAGTTTGCTGTTAAACATAAAAAGCTGTGAATAATCGTTTGCAGCTAAACGTGATAAAGTATGATCTCACAATATTTATCCAATTAGGGAAGAAGTGTTTTAAAAATCATTTCTCTGAAGATCTTCATTACTAACAAGGAATAATTAGCAACTGTTTCAGGTACACTCGACCTGCTCAACATCGACAGCCAAACATCATCAACGGCTTGAAAAAAGGCCTGAAACAAATGGAACGCATCAAGCCACCACTCACAAGTCCGGCTAACCCAAGCATCGAAGACCCGAATGACAAAATATTCAACAAGGAATACCAAATCGCCACGAACGTCAAGTCTAGATAAGGGTGTCGCCTTATCATTTTAAATATTTATTTCTGTATCTATCTGTAGAAAATGTTATGCTCTTTATTTAAATATACTGCGATAAAAACGCGCCACCCACGTGATGAGAATTGAACGATTTCTTGAAGAGCTCAAAAAGTTATTACCAACGGTTCGGGCCATGTGTCCCGAATCGGTTTTAGGAGCAGAGTTTGAGCAGACACTAAGGGGAACAATTTTTTTCCCTCTCCAAGCCAGGTTATAAATGTTCTTCGTTTACTGGAGCGCAAGTTAATAATAACATTACTTCATAAATCATATTATTATACGTTGTTTTGGTAAACTTGGGAAGCCGTAATCATTACGGCCGCAACTATTTATTGTTAATAAATCCGATGTGGTTTTATCTGGATCCCATTAGATCAGTTGTGGAAATTTAAATTTCCTCAAGACTGGTTTCCACGTCATGCTAGTTTTATTTGAGTTTAAAAAACAAGAGTGTCTATTTTTTGGATTTTACATGGGGAAATTTAAGTCGTCCCGGGACGAAAATTTCCCTGGGTATATCTACTACTGAAAGGGTGTTTGAGTTCGGAAAATCCATCGAAACATCATTGCTCATCAGTGATCCGTTTCATTTTCTCGAACGTTCTTTGAAGGTTGACGTAACAACCTTCAACCAATTAAAGCCCCATATCAACAATTTTGAATTTGAATTCCTTTAGAGCAATTTTTCAAAAGACGCTCACTTCACTCTTCGAAGAACCAGAGTTCAGATTAGCAATGAGGTTCTGATGGGATTTTTTCCGAACTCAAACACCCCGTCAGTAGAAAGGATGTCTAGTTTTTGCCAATCTTTACACCCTCCGGTCTAGTTTTTGAACATAATTATATAACCCTCTCGTAAGAAGTTCTGAAATGCTTTCAAATGCCAGATACGCTCGTCCGGAAGAGGTCGGCTAAGCTGCAAGATTACGAAAGAATGTCCAAAAGCGATCCACGTGGTGCTAGTGACGGTATTTAGCAAATAGATTTCTCCTTCTTTACGCTGTCTTTTAGCCAAGCAAGTGTTCTCCGCGCTGAATGCCCAACTGATGGCCGAGCTACCAAAATTATCCGCCTTGGCGGAATCACTATTCCTCTCAAGGAAGTGGATCATAATCATCAAATATGAGACATATAACTTGACATTTAGCGTCGTCGAATTCTGTTAATCTTACGGAGCATTACGTCGCATTTAGCATCTGCGATCCATCGAAAAGCGTAGCCTCGTTAACTTATCTCGTCGGACAGCTTCTTGCTAAGCTGAATTCCCAGCACCCGCGTCCGTCCTCTGAAAATAATCATGCTGCCCGTGCAAAGTTTAAGAAGAGTAACGACGATCTCTGGCTTGCCATTCAAAAGCTCGATCTTATATCCACCAATTTCAATCGCCCAAAACCAGAGCCTGTTCTTACATCGAGCACTCAAACTCCTCATGGTAAGATCTTTGCCATTTTTGAAAAAATTTTTATCAATAATTAAGATAGAAGTATTATTGCAAATCAAAGAGGTTATGTCTTCCAAGCCAAAGATAGATGGATATCTGGCGATAGAAGGGATCTGAAAGTTTCTAAAGGAGACCTGCTTCACAAAATACACGATCAAGTCGTCCAAGGAAAGATCCTTGTGGACAATGGTTCCAAAAAAGGATATGTTCCGATGCGGATTCTCTCTCGTACGTTAAAATTTAAATTTTAAAACAGGACACACTGATTCACCTACCTGATTCTTACGGGATTTTCAGCAATTTCAAGGCGACAGTTAGGCTCATTCGTCAACGGAAATTCTGATTCTTCTGAGCAGCTGCAGACGGTTTTGCCGGAGAAATCCGGTAAAGACAAGAGTTCCTCGGCCTTGATAGATTTCGAAACTGAGGCTGACTCTCCTGTTTCTAACAAGACGAACACAAGCGAGTTCTTCATAAACGCAAAATACGACTTCACTAGAAGAAGTGATGCCGAGTAAGTTTGTTATTGAGCGTCAAATTTGATTTGAGTCTATTTGATACCGCTCCCTGTATATCTGTTTTACGAGCTATTAAAATAATTGATTTGATTAATCGCAGCGTTGTTTATATCAGTCAGTATTTTATATGCTGTCGATAAGACCAAATTTTGACGTAAATATTTAACAATAACGGCAGGGATGATAATAAGAAATCCTAATTATGTAAAAAAAACGCTAACGCGATTAATTTCTCGCTGTTAGTTTATAGCTAATCTAAGCAAGACTTGTTCTTGTGATGATTTCAGACAGCATTTCACCGTTCATATTTATATTACTATAGTGTGGGACTTGACTGGAACAAAAAGGACTCAAAATGGCTCGATGATGAGGAGGAGTTTTATTGTGGTGAATGTGATGTTGAGTGATTGAAATTGCAGAGAGAGAAGTCGGCTTGATTATATGCCGAGAGGAAAGGTGTGAAACAGGAAATATGAAGGAGAATCGGTAGGGGAAAGATTGTGTGCCAAAGAAAGCTAGGGGATAGTTCGGTAGTCTTACACTATATATAGCCCTCCCTACTTTATAGTGAGCGAAGCTCAGGTAGAATTAAAAGAAATAGTGACTGTATCAAAGAAATTAATAAATCTTTTTTGGCGAAATTTAAAGAATAAGTTTTGGCGAGCACGTTTAACTGATTTATGGATTCTTGAGAAGGTGTGTCGCGTTCAGTAGTTGCCATAGCTTTATTGACTAACTTGATAAGTGTTTTTGGAGTTAAATTTGTTTGCTAATGCTAAGAGCCATCATATCGCGAAAAATATTAATTGATAAGAATAATAAAATGATGAGTGTCAGGTAACAAGGACCATCTCACGGTTACTGGCGAACGTCGAATCTAGCTTCTTTAGGGATACCCCGACCTATTTTTTCTGTGTATTTATTTATTCTGTGGCGAACTAGTAAAGAAATTCACCAGTAATTCGCAAGTGCTACGCGATAATTATCATTTAACCAAGCGTCCCCAGTAGAATTCTTAGCATTAAATTTTTACGTTCTGAGAATACTCTTAAAATCCCGAAAAATTTTTCTTTTACTCAAGTATACAGAAATAAGGCGGAACTCTCGGTATGGGCGCTCTTCAAAACATTGGCATTTTAAAATCAAGATTTAAGTTTTTATAGTTATTTTAGAATTATCATAAATTTAAAAACTACTAGAATTTTAAATAATGAAATAGATTAATAAGTCAAATATAAGATGGAATTTAAAAGGAGATACTTTTGGGAGAATTTTTTTAGCTGTTTCAAGGTGATGATGGTGGATGAGTTGAAGTTGAAATTGTCATCATTGTTTGTTTTGTTGTTGTCGTTGTGTTGGTTGTGGGTTGCACCCAAGTAACAAGTTTGGCTTGACGTCTAGTTGTAGATGTAGTTGTTAATGTAGTTGCGATATGGTCATTGAAAATGTTGATGGGAATGAAGTGGGTGAGGTGGAGGAAATTGTTGGAGTAGTTGTCGTCGTTGTTGAGGTGGTGATAAACTTGAAGATGGATTTTTCTTCTCCTCCTCTTCTTCTTTTTCAGCCATTTGAGTTATTGGAGCGGCTCTTCGGGGAATCTCTTAGTTCGATCTGTTGATCAGTCACCAAACTATATAGTGTGGGACTTGACTGGAACAAAAAGGACTCAAAATGGCTCGATGATGAGGAGGAGTTTTATTGTGGTGAATGTGATGTTGAGTGATTGAAATTGCAGAGAGAGAAGTCGGCTTGATTATATGCCGAGAGGAAAGGTGTGAAACAGGAAATATGAAGGAGAATCGGTAGGGGAAAGATTGTGTGCCAAAGAAAGCTAGGGGATAGTTCGGTAGTCTTACACTATATAATTACTAATAATGCGGATTATCACCAAGAAAGCTTAGTTTTCATTTTTTACCATTAGAAGATAATTCAAAAAATTCTTTTAATAATTAAATTTATTACCGACAAGAATAGTTTACCTTTTTGAATAATGTGGCGGAAGTGAAAGATCTATTGTCCGAAATAACGAAATTTTAGGCTGACTGTGGAAGAAGGGGAGCGTGTTTTGGTTGTTACGCAAGCAGATGCCGATGGAAATACAGACTGGTGGTTTGTCAGGAACAGCGTCGGAAAATCAGGATACGTCCCACGCTCCTATCTCGTCAACGAAGCCGATATCTAACGCCAATAACGAAAAGTACAATTTTAACATCTAAAAGTAACAATTCAATTTACCATCTGCTATTTAGCAGTACTGATCATTGTGATACTCCTTTTCAAAGTAATAACGGTTATTTTCTTCTATAGCCTTTTATCTTGTCTCCTGAAAGTACTTTTTATTTGAACAACTTCAAAAATGAATCTAAACGAAACTTTAAAAAACTGCTCGCTCGTTTACTTACCTCTGCCTCTATTCATCTACACAAAAGTTCTAAAATCCTTCCAGCCCTTTCAATAAATAAATAAATATAATGCACTAATTCGTATAATCATTCGAGTTCATAACCCCCTCTTTCTTTTTCTGTCAACAATGCAACTTCTGGCCCAGCCGTATTTTCTCGTGATTTTGTTGCAAGCTTTTTATTCTGTATTATTTTCTTTTAAAAATAAACTCATTCCATAAACACGCTCCTTATCAGACTCAAATGCATTGAACTTGACAAGATTTTTACATTTTCTTTTTATTAGAAATAGATTTTTTTCAGAAATGACGTTCATATCTGACAGAGCATTTTCTTCGTTAGCAGGATTATAATACAGCAGAAACATACTACGGCATCGAAACTAGTTTTACAAGTTACAAATACGAGTGGGAGACAGTTTTCTAATTCACGATTCAAGACACTTTTTTCTTGCATGTTTCTTTCTCAACAAGAGAAGGTGAATTTAAATCGTTTCCTGAAATTCACTCGTGGATTTCGCATCTTTGCACACGGGGTAATCCACTGATGCTCCGAGCTTCACGTGGTCAGCAATTTTAATCTAATAGACCGACTCTATACAAAAACAGCCCATTCATCAATTTCGACCACTTTCCTGTGGGACCCAGCCAACACCATTAGGCACAAACCACATTTCTCTCCACTCTCCCTCGAAGCATCCTATGCGAATGCTGTTTGCAGTGGAAATATTTCTCTGCTTGTGACATCGAATTTTAGAGCACTTGTTTTGTGTTTTGAATTAATTCCTAGTTTGGTAACTTGTTGCGGGTGATAATATAAAAATAAATTCGGTTGAACAAATCGGAACCAAACCTAATTCGTTCAAATTTACTTTCTTTCGATTAATAGATAATAAGAAAGTTGATGGAAAATATTATAGATTGGTTGCTTCGTTAAAAAAATGGTTGTAATGACGCACATTTTTCGCGAAGCAGTCCAAAAGTATTAGACATTCCTTAATTTTAGCGGAAAAAGTCGTGTCATTGAATCATTTTTCGATTAGATATAGACCTAATATAATATTCGATCTCCTTTCTCGTGATACAATTCAAAAGAAAACAAGTTTATATTTACTGAAGCTACATCAGATGTAGTTCATCTAGGTAGCTGATATTTTTAACTCCAAACCTCTTGATAAAGATGCATTCAAAACACTTGACAAAGTCCCTTCCGGAAGCGACTCATTTGTTGTAAAACCGAGAGAATTTCTAAACGACAATTTCTTGGATTCACCGGGAGCTTTGCAACCAGAATAATCCCATAGAAGCTCTCCGTCTGGCTGCATTCCTTCTAATTTGCAACCTTTTTTCTCAGATTTTTCGCTGACTGCCAGGGCTAAAATATTCATTTACCAAAAACCAACGAATAATCTATAGAATCTTTAAAATTATCAAGAATTACGATAATGTATCGTACTAACAGAAGAACTGGATTCTGATATTTCGAAAAGAACTGTACTGGCACCCCCTAATATTTATGTTTAAGGTTTAAATGGGCATTATCCGTCTAATGTCCTGCCTATACGGTACCACACGGACCCACTGTAAGAAATATAGAAATAAACAAACAAACAAACAAGCCCTCAAGAGATCGATTTAGCGTAATATTTTTTTGGGAATTCATGACCATCAAAATCCGATTTTGTGTAATTTTTGCGGTGGATTGAATTTTGAGTTGTCAGAATCCATCTCTCGATATTTTCCTGAAATTTGTTTGACAATTTTACCGATTGATTGTACTACAAATGAGTTTAAAACTCATCTCTATTGAAAAGAGAACACTATTAGTAATTAATATTAGCTTTAAAATCTTGGATCTGAGATAATCAACATTTTCGAATCCCCCCTTTCTGTATAATTACCTGGCAAAATTGTTAAGACTTTCATATTATTTCTTCTTTTGCACTCTCTTTCTGCGAATTATTTTAACGACGGTTATTTTTAGCAATTGTAGTCGATTCGAGCTGTCAGAAATTTTTATTTTACGAAATGGTGCTCGCACCAAGGTGGTGCGCAGTACATGATTAAACCGCCGCAGGGGCTTGAATACGAAGGAAAGGGATGTTATTTTATTTTTTCTTGCAATAATTCATTTCAGCAATTTGAGCAAATGCAGGTCATAATAGGACCATAAATAAACAGAGAAAGAGGGAAAATATAAGAGGGATTTCTGACGACATTGCTTCTCGAGCTTTTATTGCGCGGCAATGATCTTCAAGCAATTCTTAAAAGATACTCTCAGATACTGTTAGAGCGAAATCGTTAAAGATAATTGCGTCTAGGCGAACCTTTAGTTTTTCCATTTTCAATGTTTTCGATAGTCGTCAAATTTGCTGAGCCATTTTCGATTCCCTTGCAGACTCCTTCCAAGACAACCATCTAAAAAGGAACAATCAGAGTCAGTTGCTATTCTATGCGTCTGACGTCTTTTTCATCAGTAAACCAATCCTGGAGGTATGAATTCCACTGATCATTGTTCCACTCTTTGGCATTGTCGAAAAACTCCTTAGTTGCTTTCTTTTCGCAGGAATTCAAAAACATTCATTCTTTCTAATAAGATCAGGCATCAGATCAAGCCGACGGTCCTTTTAGTTTATGTAAATCCCGTTCCTGTGCGTCACTTAATCCCTGTTCAGTTTTATCCTTTATTTCTCCAAACGCATCCGTCACTGTGTCCGAGAGCCAACTCCAGATGCTCTTTTATAAGTTTCTCATCATATTTTTGATTCTCCCCAAGAGTTACCTCTTTCTATCTTATTACTGCGGAAAAGTTTATCAGAAATAATTGATAAAACTTAATGCAAGGGTTTAATAGACAAACATCTAGAAAGGGATACATTGTTGCTCTATAAATACGACTTGAGTGGTACAAATGAAGAAATTTTGTAGAGTAGAAACATTTTTTATTTGTTTTTACAAAGCATTATTATTAATGAGTTCTCTAAATTTAAGAGTCTAAAAATCAATACTTCATTGCAAAAGATATCAGAAAAAAACTATTTATAGAAACGGTCCTGGACTTCTTCGCCGATTCCGTCAGTTATTTCGGTGAGCTGATTTGCCTCGGAACGTTGTTCTGTTCCAGTATCTAATTCTTTATACTTTATTTGTAAAAAACGAGTATGAATAATTTTTATGCACAAAAACTTAAGGTTAAGGTTGTTAAAAAAACTTCGACCCTCGCAAGTCAAATTATGCGTACCGGGAGGTTTATATCTCGAATCTCCCCTCTCCGGCGTATCATTGCCGAAAACTGTGTAAATTGCGTCAATGTCAAAATCATCATCGCCTGAGCTTTCGAGGCCATAATTATCAAAGCGCTCGTCGAAAACTAAACGTTATGCTAGCGTTTCGGGCAACCTCGGAAACTCACTGGAATTCGTCTCTGAAAATGTGGCTGTAATCAAGGAAAGAAGAAGCAGTTTCATTTCAAATCTTCTCTTTTTGGACTCAAGTTTGAGGGATCGAGCGCACAAGTTAAACGGCTCAATAATGCAGGGCTAGAAATTATTTAACGGACTAGCGTTTCAGAATAGTGAGCTAAAAACCTCATCTTGAGCGTGTCAAAGCAAGCAGATTTAGAATTATTTGACCATGCCGCTAGTTTGACTATTATTGTAGAAACAATCATTTTGTCCTTCTTTATTAAATAAAAACGTTTCAGAAATGCATTCACAATAACAAGTTGACAGTTGGAAATAAGCACTTTTTTTAAAGAAGTAATTCTACGGTTGCCAGTTTTCTAAATGGATATTAGTCAGCGAACTTGAACAAGGTACTTGCGGAAGTCAGGGATGTCGCTTGCGAAGTGTCCTATTTGATCGGGGACGTTGTAGAAAGGATCGTTTGGGTTTGCTTGTTCCGGAAAATTCGACATCGGCTGAGCTGATCCGATCGCGTGATTCGACACGTGTCCTCCATTCCCCATTTGACCTAATGGAAATTCATTCGCTGTCTGGTTTCGTCCAACTGCTAGACAGAACCGAAAGCCAAATATAGTCATCCCTTCTCATACCACTATTAGATAATGTTAACTTACCCATCGAGCCATGAGTGGGATAAGAAAAGGCTCCTCCTTGAGGGCAGAAGCTGGCAGACTCGTTAGCCATCACGTGTGGTCCATTTTGAGGATATTGACCATCACCAGGATATGGAATGTTATGACCGTGCTAGGAGGAAAGTGTTTTTCAAGTTGACGCAAAAAGAGAGAGAGAGCAGTTAGGACGATTTCCAAAAAATAAAAACCTGAGGATAGCCATTCCAATTTTGGGAGGATTCCGTGCTGCGATAAGCGTTGTACTCATTCATTTTCGACTGAACGGCCACTTTTGCTTGGTAAACTTCATGCTAGAAAGTCAAGTCATAAAATATTCTTGTGATCTAATTGACGGTGCCTTGACCATTTGCCAGAATCTCGGCTCAAGTTGACTGCTGGAATTAGTATTCATCGTGTCCACTTGAAGAGTCAATAGAAGCTCAGCAGTCGCGTGCCATTGGAGCCGCTCTTTCGGGCAAGTCTAAATAAGTGATTTCATGAAGCGACAAATCAATTTACCTGGACATCGTTTATGTATGCAGCCAAAAGACCCTTGCTTTCAAGCTGCTTGAGGATATAGTCGCGATATTTTTGCTCTTCGGCAACTTTTTTCGTCAAAATGGCTATTTGTGTTAGCATTCTTTCCTGACTCGGCGGACTTTTTTGACGAGCAATTTGGGTTAGATAAAAGGTTCGGTTCATGATTGCTTCGAGCTTACATAACCGGTTAAACATGGAATTGAGCTGTTTAGCAACTTGAGTGTCGTTCAACCGAGCCTTGGGTAAGATATTTTGATCATTGAAGAAGCCTCCTTCGAATAAATTAGTGAGGAGCACGAGGATATCGTTGATGATTTTTCGTTGTCGAAATACGGAGTTTTCTCGCAAAATAAATAGTATATAACATGGAAGCGCTCCTTTGAAGATCGAATTTGAGCCTAAACGATTACTTGTTCACGATTTCCATCATTTACAAAATTACCTGAGCCCGTTTCGCAGGATCTTGCGGAGTCTTCGTCATGTCATTCGTTAGAATTTTCAAAGTAGAGGTGGCTAACTCGAGCAAATCTGTACTTTTCCCTCGTGTATCCTTCGCCGACCCAATTATATGGAGCAACAGGTCTATCGAATTCGTATTGTTGACGAGATAAGCTAAATAGTGAAGTATTTATCCGTTGAACTGCGAATTTCGGGAGAAAATTGGTATTTTGTTTTTGCTTTCCACATTAGTTTTATTATAGTTAACGTGTTCTGACTACTCTCGGGCAGTCTAAAAAAAAAGACAAAAAAAAAGTAAAAAAAAATATGTTTTCAAAATAATCATGTTAACACGTTTAATGAACGCCTGTCTAAATTTTAGACTCTAAAACACTGACACTGTTTTTTTTATGTGTCACTGTACTCTTACATTTTAACCAATATTTCTACCTTTATTGACACAATTGTTGCAAACGAGATTATACAAGATCCCTACGGCCATTGTTTTGATTCCCTCATCTACGTTCGATGCAATAATTTTCGTCATCGCGTCAAGAATACTGTTATTATCGGCTTGCTTCGGCTGGCGGTTTGCCTCGTCGGAGAGATTGCGCAGCGTCAGAAGTGCATGAAGCAGCACTTTTTTCATGACAGCCGGGTCGCCCATGCAATTTGTTATGACAAAACCGATCGCCGTTATTCCGCCGCATTCGACGATTTTCGGCTTGTTTAGTTTACAAACAGACAGGACCTTTTTAGGGCTCTTAACCCTTTAACTGGGCGCCTGGACCTACCCGTTAACGCGGGCGTGCAGGTCTCGCATGCACGAGAAATATTAAATTTCTAGCTGCCTGAATCATCAAAATCAAAAAAATTTTCCTAATTTATATTCATGAGCGTTTCCTCTTTCTCCTAAATGTTTTTGTTTGCATTTGCGAATTTCGGAAAGGGCTGAAAAGTCATTTCAAAGTGAGGGTAAATTTCCCGCTCATTGGTCAAAAAGGGAAAAAGAGAAAGGGAAAGCGCGCGCCAATGCGTTTTTTCGCTGAGTTGAAATTTTCTTTTGTCCTTTTGGCGATAAGCGTTCAACTAAAATCAAAAACCGAGGAGTTGACTAGACGTAAAAATGTCTGAATTTTCCGAAAATGTAAGAATTTTTTGATATTTCATTGATAATTGAGGATTTATGGGGGGTCAAAGTCGGTGTGCAGGTGAAACCTGCACGCCCTTGTTAACGGGTTAACTAAGGAAGGAGGAATTTTATACCTTTCTCATTAAAAATATGCTAAATACTCGTCACGAATCACATGCTCTTTCGATCCCCACGGATAAATCGTAAGGTAATTTATTCGATTTAATAGTTTTCGATGCTCAGAAAATGATTTTTAGCCCTTCCTTGAGAAGCCTCGTGATGTAAAGACCCAACTTTCCGTTGGAAGGTAAGGCCACAGGACGATAAAGCAGTTCCACCAGCATCTCGGGCACGTGTTCGTGGAGTAAAGCTTTCTTTGTAGCGTCATTTCGAAAAGAAACACAACGCAAAATGTCAACACATATAATGACGAACTTCGCCATCGATTGAATCATTTTTTGATCAATTTGGGAACGGTTTTCGTTCTGAGCTCTCGTAAATGCTAAATATCATTTCTATATAATAACCATGTCAGATCTTTGAGAAGAAATTCTAAAGCATCCTTTCCTGGTTTGAAGAATCTTTTCCGAAACTTTCCTTGCAACAACAGCTGGTCCTTGTATATCGCGGAATTTCGAAAAGATCGGAGCGTTAGAAGTTGGATTGCCTTCTTCATCTTTGATTTCGAGTTTAACGAGGATATTGTGAATGGAAGTGATGCTACAGAAGACCACGTGGTCGACCGTGGCGTTCAGCATTTTGATGAGCACTCGGAGCCCGTCAGTCTGCACGCCAAACATCCTACACCATGTTTTGCCTTCCTTATTTTTGGATATCGTCACATGACTCGGGAAAATATAAATTAGGACATTTGTCTAATAAGACCATATCCTGGCCGTCTTTTGAAGTCAAATTGTAAATCGTTCTTGCCATCTCCTTCGCCACACGATCGTTTAGACATTTGTCCAGAGCTTCGACTACTTTGTGCCAGAAAGAAGGCTCTCCGGAGAGGATAGCCATTGCACCAGGACACTGACGGGTTAAATCATGGATAACTCGAGCAGCCAGGAATGTACATCGCATATCTTCATCTGCAAGGTACTGCTCGATTTTAGGCGCGAATTGAGCCGTTGTTTGGGGCTGTTTCAAGATTTGTTCTTTGACGTTTTTGAGAACTCCTTCAATTTGCATGATTTCTTCCTCTGATTTCCAACTGGTTCGCATTTCTTGGTGTCTAAACCATTCACTGTTCTGAAAGTCGTTGGAATATCCCGTGTTATTCGACAGCTGCGAATCATTGAATGACGATAGTGAGTGAGTTTCTGAAGTTGTGAGAGATCCAATGCCAGAATCCTGGAGCTGTCCCCATCCATGATTCCAGTTTCCATCGATTCGACCCTGCTGGGGGCAGGGTTTGAAATCTGACGAGGTCACGAGCACGTGAGCACGTGAGTGAGCTCGATGAGCATGCTCACGCGTGCTCATGCTCACGAAAATTTGAGCATCCCGTGCTCACGCGTGCTCATGCTCACTGAAATTTGAGCAGCCTCGTGCTCACGCGTGCTCGTGCTCACGCAAAATTTTCAGATTTCAAACCCTGGCTGGGGGTGCTGATGCTGTTGGCCGTAGTTATGATCATATGGGGCAACACTTGCTGGAGGAAACGGCTGGGCAGGATGTCCGGCAACAGTCGGCTGATAGATGCCTCTATTCTGCATTGCCTGGGACGGATTAAAAAAGTTTTACATCCGATGAACTATGGAATTATAAAGTTGAAGTAGAGAAAAGAGAGAGGTGGATTCTTCCATGTCTTCTACTAAATAAGGGTATTTCTGAAATAATATTCCACGTGAGAAACAAATTTCTTCGAATAAAAGAAGATTCTTAATGATATGAAATTTATCATGATATTATTGATGTAATCCGTGTCTGCATATGTTGATGCTGCTGACCAGCCATCTGAGGCCCTCGTCGAGAATTCCCAATCGTTACATTAGGAGGAATGTTATGCTTTTACAGATGAGCGAACGTAAACGAACCCGGATTTTTTTGTGGAAATGACGTTGTTTATCATGCATAATTATTCCTATTGATATGCTCCTGGGCATTGGTACAATGAGGATTTACAAAGGCGAGCTCTTAAAATCTAAGGAAGATTAATAACCCATAAGCTCACGATCAAGAGCTTCTCACGTTCCTGATTCATTTTTGACAGAGTTTAAGATCACCAGGTACTGTTTCGTTGCGTATTTTCAATTCTTCTCATTTGCTCGATATCTCTTAAAGTCCTTGAGCGGATTGCTGAGCCGCTATTTATCACCTCAATGCTGGGCCCGTGAATCATTCATTTTAAACAAAAAAAAATAAAGAAAAATTTGACCACTGCGCAAATAAAAAAAAACGGTGAGATCAGCCAGCGCGCATCAAACGTAGTAGAGCTCAGATCTAAAAATGATCAAACATCCGCGATTCAATTATTTGAATAAAGCGAATTCCTCCACCGATTAGCTTTTCTTTCAAAAACTGATTTTCTCAGTACACCGCTCAGTAATAATACGACGCGTAGTAAGAATGTCAAGTGCAAGTGAAAAGGCAAGGTCCTACTGTAATTTCTGCTGACAGGGATGAGCGAGGTGTTTAGATGCCAGTTGTTCGTGTCCACCTGCCAGCCTTTGCTACAGGCGTTCATCATGGAAGCTGTCTTCACAATGAAGAATTAAGAATATCAACCAATAAATACGTAATTATGAAGATTAAACTAAAATATTATATAATGCTGACTAATACTGCGACATTACCATATTTAGGTAAATTATTTACCGCAAATACTAGATCATATTTATACTTAACGGCCTCAGAATACTGCCAGATTCATGCTACACCGACGTAGATTTTACGGAAATTATCCTGTTTGATATATTCGGTATCTATTATTCCTGACAAACCGGCATAAGAGCGACGTCTGTCTCACTGTACATAGTACTGGTTATACAGTAGTATACTAAAATACCATAAATCAGTATTTATATGCACTCTTCAGCATGATTGAAAATCATGAAAAACCGTAGAAAGAAAAACTTTTTCTTATAATAAATTTCATTCAAACGATCGTTTTTCTGTATTCTTCCTTGTTTTCGGATGAAAATTTTTCTAAATTTTGAATCAATCTTAGCATCAGAAATCAAAGTTTCGTCTTGAGAATTAACAGAGTTTTACCTACATGGAACATAAATTTCGCGTCGTAGTGTGAAACAAATGTATGCTGAGCTTGGGCAGGTGAAGGAGGCAACTGCAAGGGGGATCAAGCCGCTTGTCACTCAAACCAGCTGCTTCTGAATGATCCATTTCCGTCTCCAGATCGCGCTGTTATCGCCACATTCGATGAAAACCTGTTTTGCATTTGTAATTTTTCTGTACTCTGCAGTCAAGAAATATTGGAAAATCGGATGCCTTCCACTACGAGATGATCTTAGGCGGCGTTCTGGACAGGGTCTGGCCTTTGTACCTGGCTAGCAGTCGCCAGCGGGGGGTGATGGAATGACCTCGTGACCTGCTGAGTGTTTCAATATATCACGCACCAGTCGACCCAGTCGGCGACTTCTAACAAAATTCAGATAATCGCCGATTGATGCATTTGCATACGGTCTAACGGACGCTACAGGGGGCGCTTCAGTAATTTGACGAGCCTGATTTAACTGAAAATCGTTGAAATTTGTAATTATCTTCCATTGATGTATTATCTTTTAAAATTTGAGGAGAAGGAATGGTCTTCATCAAGACTCTTAGATCCAAAATCATCATGACTTCTGAAAATCAAGCTTCATCCATGATCTCAAAGAGTAAAAAAGAGGGAGCTGAATTTTAAAGCCACAGGGTTGGACAATCTTGGCACTGTCTTTCGTACCCCACAGCGTGGAAAGTGCCCAGCTCGGTTATTGTATATTGTCTGTAGAGGTGCTCTGGGGGTGCGATGTGCCAGGTCACCAATCTAGGTGGGTCGATTGTTCTCAACCGCGGGGCGCAACTCAGATAAACTCCTTTCCCCTTTTCTTTTGGCCAGTGTGCCCATGCGGGGTTCATTGGGCACGCCAGGGGTGCATTTGACTTATTAGAAAGCCATCCGCTTGTAATCCGGAGATGAATCCTTTTGTAAAAAGAAAAATTGAGTGTTTGATGTTTTTGTTTTTAATTTATTGGGATTTCAGTATTTTATACATTTTGATGGACTTGAACTTAAAATGAAATAATAAGAATGTAAAAGGTAGTAATGAACAGGTCCTAATGAAATAGGATGATAAAATGATATTTACAGATGGTTGATAATACCCAATATTTATTTACAATTTAGCTGGAACTTTCGCTACGGGTGTTGTGTCGAATCATTGGATCCGAGGAATCTCGTTCTGTGGAATCGCGTTTCTTTTATCTAAGCATTTACGTTCAGGAAATGAAAATTAAAGGGCAACATACCTGTCGACTCAATTTTCCACGGAGATCGTAGCCACAGGGGATTCGTTGGGGGAAGACTGATCTGACGAGCCAAATTCAAGCGATGGAATTTTGCCTACAGTTGGGGGAATCTGCTCAACACGTGATAGCCGGGATCGATTTCGTTGGCACACGCGCTGTTTCTTGTGTTTCTCAAGAACAGCGTTTCGACTGAAGCTCTTGTGGCAGATATCACATTCGTGTCGGCGAGTAGGATCTAAAATTTGAAATTGAAATTCTTTTTATATAAATGTGTTTCAATAGAATTTGAATAATTTCGAATTTCTAATCACAAAAATTTGTCTATATATTTGTGAATTACCATGAGTAGCTCGGTGAGATCGCATGTTACTCCTGTCCGCGAAAGCTCGGTTGCAGATGTCGCAAACGTAGGGCTAGAATCAAAAGTTAGGAAAACTACTATAAGGTATACAGTAGTTGAAGACGCAGCTGAGTAGGCTTTGGCTACTGCAGGTGCACTAAGGTGTCAGGGCGACCTTGGGAAGGCGTCCATCATTCACCTTTTCCTCACATGCGATCAAAAACGATCACTTACCTTTTCACCGGTGTGAGTTCGGATGTGGCCTTCAAGAAGCCACTGCCTGGCGAATCGCTTGTGGCAATAGGGGCAAACACAGTTGAGCGAAATCTGCGAGCAAGTGCGAATGTGGTTCTTGTGCTCGGTGAGGCTCGTTCCGACGAACTTGCAGTGGACACAAGGAAAGGTCTTTCCAGAGCTGGGCGAGTTGGTCGATGAAGAAGGAGAGTTAGATGTGCTGGATGGAATATCTCCTTCGGAACCAGGAGTGCGCTCAGACTGGTACGCTGGTCGGCGTTTGGGTGTAACAGACCAACTGAAAATTGTAATTTATAATTATTCAGGCTGCTTTCAAGCTTACTCTTTCTGCTGCGATGAGAGTAGGGATTCGACTTTAGCCGCTGCATCGGTGACGTTTGTCTGCGGAAAGAGAGGGCTCGGCCCTAAAGGCCAAAGATTCAATCCAGGCATGAGGGGCGTTGGTGGCGAGAGGCTGCTATCAAGCTGGAAAAGAAGACATTAGTTATAGAAATAAGTATTTTGTAGGATTATGTCGACGGAACTTACTCGAATTCGTTTGGTCTGTTGCTCAGGAGCGTCTGATTCCCCGCAAATTGTTGAGAGAAGTCCAGGCTGTCTCGAAGCGCGCAGGATGTTCATGAAAGAATAAACCGATGGGGAGATGTGCGGCGACAGCGGAAGCTGAGGTAGACCAAGACCTGCTCCTATGAGAGAAGGATGCGATGGGAGGTAAGTTCCGCCTAATCCGAATGGTAGGAAACCAGGTACGGAAACAGGCGGTGTTGAAATGTGAGCAGGGAGGGTTGGTGTTGACTTGAGCGGAGTCTCGGGCTTTTTCTCTGGCGATAGGTAGCCGGAATCCTCCCTAGAAAACGGTAAGGAACTGTTACAATAAGTGAAAGACTTACCAAGTTTGCTGCTCGTCAGAATCTCCAACGACATCGACTTCTTCGACTTCTGTTTTCTGAAGCATAAGAATGAGCTCTGTGCTTGAAAAACATGAGATAACAAGAAGAAGGGATTTAGAACTTCTCTTGATGGCATGCGCGAGTTGTTACTGTACTTACAACTTCTCCCGTGAATGGGTACTGTCGCTTCAGGCTTCTTTGTGTGGTAGAGCTCTGCATCTCTGGTGATCTAGCTAGCATTTTCTTTTTTGAAAAGTTGAGCAACTAGAAATTAAATTTGAGTCTTCCGAAGGTAGATGAGATAAAGGATATTATTTGAATTCGTTTGAATTGTGCAAAATTGCAATCAACAGGTTGCTGAAGTGAGTATTTATACCCTCTTTGTGCTAAGGAATCGCGTGCTCTCTCGCGCGCCGTTCACAGCGCCGCCGCAGCGCCACTACCATGACTTGGGGCACGCGCCCTGCTGCGCGTGCACCGCGGGCTACGCCTAACGTATTCGGACACGCCAAATCCCGGAAGCAGAATAGGAAAAGAAGAACCTGTTAAGACCTGTGCTTGCAGTCCCAACTGACCGCACCCCGGGTGTCTTCGAAGACGGAAACAAATATGTCCGTTAGCTGTAAAGGGGAAGCATCTTTCCGTTCCACCAGTGGAAACCGTCTGATATTTAATCTTTAGGAATCAAAATTGGAATCTGTCTGCCGAATTTCCGAAAAGGACAATTATTATATTTGATAGCCGGGGAAAACTTTCAATTTATAATTGAATTTGAAAAGAAATTTAAAAAGACAAGCTCTTTCTTATAGTTAGGCTTTTACGATATTGTCACTTACTGTAGCAGATAAGAAATCCCAGAATATTCGTTCGTGGCTGTCTCTATCACACACAATCCCGTTTTGAAAAACGAAAAGTGCGATCTTCTAAATTCGAGTCGACCGTGATTTTTGAGAGATTGCGGAAACTTGGTGAACAAATAAAAGTAAAATGACCAGGAAAGCCTTTTTTGCAAATTTCATGACACAAAAGTCTCACTTTTCTATATGGACAGAAGCTTGATTTTGAAGGTATAAGCTGAGTATTGTATTCTGTAGCAAAATATCTTTATTGTTAATCTTATATTTGTAAAACATCATCTTACTCAAGGATAAGCATCTCACATTTTTCCTTTGTTTGTCCTCTAGAAGAAAAATCAGGTCAGAAGGTGCAATTTGAAAGGGCGGCACCGCCGGAAATATCAATAGCTAGCGCGGCGAAAGTGTTGGAAGAGAGCGCATGACAATTGGGCACACGCCTGGAGCTTTATTACTCGGCAGGGGCTTATTCAGGCACACTGGGTTATCCTATTCAAGAAAAAGGCGGTCGGTATTACTCGATTCAAATGCCGGAAATAGCGGCAAGAGGTCGATTTGACTCTTTCACAGCTTCATAATTCCGGGGTTTATGGGCGATCACGGTCGATCGAAATTGGAGGCTCTGCATGGAATTCTTAAATTTGACGAAGAAAAATACGGAAGAACGGTCGACACTAAATTACCCTCATATTGTCTTCAGAAGAAACCACCAACAATTCCATTTATCATGGAAACACAAACTACCCCCAGACCATCCTTCCGAGAGTCCCCAATGCTCCTAGCAACTGGGTACAGAATGACGTTATAGGAGTTAAAAGGAAGAAAACACAATCGATACAGGTGAGTACTGCGATAAGGATGGTTCACTTGATCCATTGGGCGTGATAGATCCTTTGAGTTCGCTTATCACCGCCCATGATGGGTTGAAAAAGGGGACCAGATGCATCGCGGGATCATCCCAAGTACTGATACCCTTGCAAACAACGAGGAAAACTTAACGGAAAACTCCGCTTCCAAGCTGGAAACAAGCTTATTCATTCATCAGAAAAAGGGACCTCTACGGATGTACCTTATTACACATGCAAGTAGTAATAACTTTCTGAATAGTCAATGACGCGCTAGTTTCACACCTTCTGCCGCTTCCTATCACCAATTCAACCGGCGATAATCTACTTAGAACATGCACAAGTCGCAGTAATGATGGGATTATACAACTGCTCTTTGCCAAAATCAGTTTCTGCAACGCAACAGTTCGAAAAAAAAACTAGAGCAGGGACCGGAAGGGCAGTGGCCCTCCCGCAGGTTCACCTTCGATAAAAATTCAATTAGCTCCTGTTGCGCGCGTTTTCACGGTTCTAGCAGGTGCTTTTTTGCAAGTTCCGTTTGGTCGATAATCCTCCGAGTCTTTTGCTTCTGAGCAGGGATCAAAATTTTTTCGCGAAAATCGCAATTTGCGAATAATTTGCGATTGCGATGCGAAATTTCGCAGAAAATTCGCAATCGCAAATTATTTTTTGATCGAATCGCAATCGCATCGCAATCGCAACTCAGTTTTCGTCAATAATTTGCAAATTGCGATTTTTTGCGAACTTCGGTCTTGTCAAAATGCTCCTTCGTTATTCTAACATGGGTTTTACTTTGACTCAGAGCCTATTTTCTGTGTTCTAAAGGCTTAATTGAAAGCCTGACCTCAAAAAATAGTCTTAAATCCTTTGAAAAATTACTTTTTACGCTAAAATTTCGCAAATGGCGACAAAATCGCAATTCGCGAAAAATTCGCAATTTGCGAAAAAAATCGCAATCGCATCGCAATTTCCGGACTATTTTGCGTCGCAATCGCATCGCAATCGCAATTGATTTTCGGCAAAAATTTAGATCCCTGCTTCTGAGATATTCCTTGCTAGAATTCTGTGTCCGAATTCTCGTAGTAGGTTTTCAATAAAATGACTTAAGGGATCCCCTCCCGATTTGAAAAATATCATCGAGGGCTTTTATGTGATATATTTTCGGAATCTCCGTTGTCTGGCGATCATTTTCATATATTATGTCAAAGGGAGTCCGTCACGTGGTAACCCGTGACACAGCTTTGAAAATGGCTTATTTTATCGAAAAATTTTACTTTGTAAAAATTCGCAATTTTTTCGACTTTTCAAAGTCGACATAATCAGATGAATAAGGGCTCTTTAGAAAGCTTAGAAAAAACTGAATTAGAAAAAAATAGATTAAATGAAACATCTAACCACTCAAAGGCGCTAGAGAGCAAAGAAAGTCGAAAAAATGGCAAAAATCAGTTAAAAAACATCTTGTTAAGAAAAATTCTACAATCCTTGACGGAATCACATGCCTGTACTAGAGATTGTAGATCAGGGATCAATGAAGACAGTTGTTATTGATTTAGGGCTCTATCTAAGAGCAGAAAAAACAAGTTCGATTTTGAAAATGGCCCAAAATGGGGTTTTTCGCGAGTATCAATGTTTTCAGCCCGTCTTTTCTAGGTGTTTCCCCTTATGAAAATTAATTTCTGTACTAGAGTTTGTTCATTAAGAAACGGGCTTCAAAATGAGCCCTCATACTTGTAAAAAGCTCAGCCCTAAAAAAAGTAGTTCGAAGTCAAAGTTGACGAAATCGGGGGGGGATCCCTTAAAATAATCTTACTAATACTAAACTAAGACCATGATTCTTTGTAAATTAATAATGAAATATACAATTTTTATTATTGTACCACTTATGATGGTACTTCTTATTCTATTACAAAGAGTATTCTGCTTTTCAATAGACCAGAAAAAATTTCAGTATTAGCGACAACGGAAAAAGTATAAGCCTGATCGGCGGCAAGCTGTAGCACTGTAGGGGGTACTAGTTGCGGGGAGCACCTAGACTCGCCCATTTCGGAACACGGGGCACAGGTGGCAAGGGTGCAATGATCCGGATTAATGTCATCGTTCTGCTCATTACAAGCTCATGAAGCCAACCTGTACCAGCGTGGATCATCCTCGAAGATGGACGAGGAGACTGATATTTCCGTTGCGGTCATGAAGATACCATTATCCATCTGGGTTGAAAAAACGGGATCTCATAAGGATGATGGTCGTATTGAGTAATATTTTATAAAAAAAAAAGAATAGAAACGCTCAAGAAAATGAAAGAAAGAAGATCAATGATGATACTCTTGAATAATAATTCTGCAAGATAGGATCCTGGAACATTCTTACTGCGATCAGTGATCAGAATATCGAATCAGTATAAGCCCTTTCATTCACCCACGACATCTGCTTTCCCCTCATTTTGCTTATGTGATGATTGTCGAAGTAAAAAAAGATTCGAAGAAGAAGTTCTTACAGAAGATTATTCTCTTTTTCGATGAAGCGCTAGACGTTTTTATTGATATTTGTACAAAAAATGGCGATTTCAAGACTTGTTTCACTGGATGGGCGAATTGGCGGCTCGATTCTTCCGATTCTCAAGAACTCGTCTCAAGATTTTCCATATTCAACCTAGAATACTGATATCCTTAGAATACTGTACCTGAAGAACGAATATGAACATCTTTGTTGAGTTTTTACTTTGTTATCTTTAGAATTGGAAAAACTTTTTTTTCTGCCGATTTGGTTTTGGTTTAATTATTTACATTTTGTGGAACATTGATTGAAAATATTTGAATTGTACTTTTGGTTTTTAGTTTTTCCCAATTTCGGCCAATGAATGGGAAAATCATATTTGTGCGATTCTTGATCAGAAACGCAGAAAATAAGCTCAGGTACTGCGAATGATTTTGGTAGAAAAATTAATACAAAAAAATTTAAGCGCGAAATAAATTATGGTCCTAAAGAGAATCGTCATTGCATGGGTTCGATCCGTCGGGATGCCAGCTTTTGAGGGTTCCATCTTTGCAGCAAGCTTTGAATCTGAAAGAAAAACTTTGAAATCATAGAAGATAGCTAAATTTGAGGAAGGATGTTCAATTACGCGGAGAGGAAGATCAGAGTGATCATTTATGCCTTGGTCAATGTACAAAATCAAAACGATTAAGCGGTCATTAAGGTGATTTACTCTTTCGATTGATTTACCTCGAGTCGTAGGCCTTGGATGCGATTTCATGCCCACAGCAGGAGTCGATTGACGTTTTACTTCGAGCAGCCAAGCTCGGTGAAGGACCCGAGCTATGATTCCATGGGCGATTTCCGAGGCGACATTGTAGCCTAAATAGGTGGATAGATGTGAGGAATTAATTTGAATCACATCAAGAGCTCAGACGAGTCTTTTTATGGGTTTTCAGAGTGAAGAATCTTGCCGATTGTTTCGGAAGATAGAAGCCGGCTCTTGAGAAATCATCGAAAATATATACCTTTCGTCGACAAGACACATCATATTCTTGATGCTCGCGCGCAGATGCTCAGCTTTTCCGGAAGATAACTCCTTGAAGCTCTTTACTAAGTAGCGCTGGGCATATTCATTGTCACGCAGACCGTGAGTCCATGCTTTCGGGATAATCCTAAAGAGAAATAAAGTGTGATGTCGTTTTCCATTCGTTTTCAGCTCAGGGGAAACTGTTTACCTATAAGGAACCGTGCGCAAGAGCGTTTGAGAAAGCGGATGGATGAAAACAACGATGACAAAAGCGTTTTTGTTGAGTTTCTCGATCTCAGAATTGATGTATTCCTTGAAGTAGAGGTTATTATTTTGATCAACAGGGCTCTGTTTAGAGCAATCAAAAATTTTTCTAAGCTAACTAAACTACATGCGTAGTACTACACCTCTTGCGAGGTTGCAGTCAGCTGATCCCACAGGATCACACTGACTACCCGAGAGTCGGAAAGGCACAGGTTAAAAACCACTCGGTGCGACAAAATAAAACGTTCACTTATGGTGTTCAGTTACCTCGTTGACTTGGTGCAGATCATCAGGAATGTTCGTTATAAAAAGGACGACAATGTTGGTGTGGCCCGACATGAGAGTAGTTTGCTCTCCCTTTTCCAAATCCTTATTGATGCGTTCAATGAGTGGCTTGATCTTCGGCCGAGCGGTGGTGGATTTAGCACGAGTGGATTTCTGAATCTGGCGGAGCTGCTTTGCTTGCTTCTTTTTCGTGTTTGTCAAGGATGATCTGAAATATAATTTTTGAATGAAATATTTCACAGTGATCTTCATATGCCCCATGTAGGATCGCTCAGACTCTTCGTAGCGAAATGGTGTAACTTTTTCCGGAAGTTTAAAATGTCACATTTGGCTTCATTTTATGAGCTAACAAAATCTCCATATAGTCTATATGATATAGACGTCTAGACGGGGATTACCCATGACTAAAGTACTGTACCTATAGACCGCTCCAGGATCATTGGCATCGTTGTAATCATAGACTCGGACGCGATTGGACTTGATATCTATGCCCCTGACGAGCTCCGAAATAAAGGTCATCATTTCAGAAACGGCGGTTCGTTTTGACGTCGCGTGCAGCGGCAATGTCGACTGGACGGCAAAGTAGATGTTCAGCGGGCGCTCCTCGCCGCGCCATCTTCCGCAGTTGCCGACTAAAGATACAGGTTGAGGTTGGGGTTCAATATAACAAGTGAAAAGTGAGCTCCTGAGGCTTTTATTTCTTCCCAAATAAATCATAAGAAGATTGAAGAATAAACGATTAGTTCACAAGATTAACAGTAGACAATTCAATGTCTAAATCTACGTAAGAAAATGCTTGATGACGTTTGTAAATGGACAAAAAGGACTCTTTCCATTCTTTCAGAATATAATCTTCCCTTGCCAATATTGACAGACAATATCACATGAACGGAAAATGCTTTCCTTTTTTACTGTCGAAGGAGAAAATTAAAATAATTCAAAATCACGAGGGAATCGCAATTTCTGCTTTTTCTAGCATTGAAGAGACATTTTCTTCTGTCTCTGCGTCACCCCTGCACATATGTTTCAAATGGAAACAAAAATCACGGGCAAAAGAATGAACATTCTCTTCTCGATCTTATGTTAATTTTAATAGAATAGGTACAAATAATTATTACCTTAAATTTATTCTTCAAATAAAACTCATGACAAAAATTAACTGTTTCTTCGAAACGCTTAGAATCTAAGCCTTAGATACTAAAAGCAAAAAGTGGTATATAAAACTCCCAAAACGTGAAAAAACAAACTCTTCCGGTCAACATAAACCGGATGTATCAAAACTTATAGAGTCAAACAACCAAGAATCGTGACAAATTCTTTGAGGTTTTTTATGAGATTGAGGATAAACAAGTGACTCTGCAGGTAAACAATCTACGTTGATTCGAAATTCCAATGCATCTTTTTTCTCAGTATTTTTCTTTCGTCGATGTCATTTAATTTCAATTTACTACTGTAATTTGAAAATCAACTCAAGTGAAAAGGCACATGAGCCATGTGAGATGGCATGATCCTACACTTGCTTAGGCAAGAAATACAGTAACTAGTGGAAAGAATCTGGACCTGAACCCGGATAACTAAAGCCTCTTGGCCTTCCATCAATGGAAAAAGTCAACTTACGATCGAGAAGGGACGAAACAGCTGGAGCCAGATCCTCGTGACCCTCATGGCCAACAAACTGATCCGGAAGTTTCGACAGTTCCTCCACAAAGCTCTTCAAGAGTGGAATTTTATGACATTTGTCGGAAAAATACACGCTTACTCTTTGCTGGAATCTTTCAAATTCCCACGTTCGACGGTCGGCCTTCTCCCAATCTGATGCCTGCGACTTCCACATTTCCGTCAATGTAGCGTTCATTTTCTTCAGTTTCCTTTTGCTCAACTTCATGCCGAGCAGCTTCGACTGTTTGTAGGATTTCCTTCTTTCCTGTCTTTCGCGTCGGAAAGCTATTCTCGCATCTTTCTCTGGCTTTTCTTTCTTTCCTCCTGCTTTCTTCAAGCTTACTTGCCCCTCGAATTCGTATAAAAGGTCCGCCCATAGTCCAGACCCCTAGAAGTATCTCAAAGACGTAAGAAGTTTGGCTCCTACCTCTTGGTTATCTTGGTAGTAATCTTCTATCCATGAATTTCCTGAGCCTTCTATCAGAAAACTCGCCTCTGGTTCCTTTTCTATCTCTCTGGCTGACCTCCTTTTAAAAATCTAAAGAAAATGATGAAAGAAATATCAAATTATTTTATCCACCATAATTTGCGTCTCATATCAGTACTACTGCCTACCAAATAATTAAAAAGAGAAAATCGTGTCCTAAAGTATCAAACCTCTGCAGACTTTGCCAGCGAAAAAATCACTAGAACGCCTATTCCAGCGCTAATTATTGAAGCCTTGCTAAGGCGAAACATCTTCTTTCTTCGTTCTTCTTTTTTTTTCTTTTAACCTCTTTGTGTTTTGTTCTTTTTTTATCAAAAATGGTATGTTACAAGAAATATTTTTTGTTTAAAAAAGTGTTGTTTGTAATTTTTAGTGATTTCAAATTTTAACGGTTGTAGATCTTCGCCCGTTGCTAAGAACGAGGGCGCGCGAGAGTCGAAACCTCGGACAAATTACCGGACACTGGGTGAGATAAACGACTGGTTCGGATGACTTCTCGGCAAACTTGAGCGCGGTATCATGCTTTTAACCTAAGCCAGACCAAGTCCAAGAGTATTTTTGTGGAAACAACTTCTCCCAAAGATATCATTTACTGAAGAATTTCTACTTCTTTTATTACCCAATGAAAATGTCGTTTTAAATTGTGAACTCAAAGTTTGTGAAATGTAGGGCCACAGCTCAGCGGAATAATAAGCAGGTCAAAAGATCCGAAAAATTCATTTTTCATCTGATTGCGAAAATATTCAACTTTTCGATTAAAGTAAAAACGAGCTTATAACAGGACTAAATCAAATAAGCAATAAATAAAACCTTTTTAATGAATTTGAAGCTTGTCAAGTCTAAAAAATTATTGTTGTTGACCTTGATTTTTCGGTGCGCAAATGCCCTGGAATCCGCTGTTTGGGTTGAATTTCGCTGTTAGAGCTTGGTGCCTACTTCAGAACTTGGTTCATGGTAATCCTTGCTCGCGCCGACTCCCTGAAATTCGACGAATACTTCTAATCAACCCAGTTTTGCTACCCGTCAATTTTCTTTCTCGCCACTCGTAACTTTCAAGTGCATCAATCTGAACATTGACCCCAACTCAGACGTGCCAATAAAAGGGATTGGCTCCTTCTCAAGAAATTGTTAACGCGAATAAACGCGCGAATAAAACACTTTTCTTCGAAGAGAATTATTACCAGAAAAAAATCCGGAAGTCGAGAAAATAGTGCAATACTATGGGTGTGAAGAGGGGCATCAGGCCTACAGCCTTCAATTTCTTAGATGTTCTTGACACAAATCTACCGCCAGAAGGTGGGAAGCTAGAATCATCGTCTCGGAGAAAAAAATCATATCTTTTAGATAGAAGATTTCTGATAATCAATAGCCACATGATGGTGATACATATTTCCGCCGAGTTCCAAGAGTGGTGCGGTTACAATCTTGCTGAATTCAAGGAGCGGAGAGTTGACACTGTCTAAAATCCAGGACAGCCATTTTTTGTTATAAAAAGGTTTAAATAGGGTGTTGAACATTGTTGAGTCACGTTGGCAACAATATTGACATTTTCGGGGAGAATTTTTTGGGAATCATGGGATAGCTATTATCTCTAATATATTTAATATATTCGGAATTTATTACAAATGATTACGGTTATTCAAATGAAATCTCCTGACCCAGGAAGATGGTGTTGATATGTAAGAGGCTTATATAATTTTTCCTGACGCTTTTCACCGTATAAATTACCTTACGTAGGGTTAAAAACAACATTAGATAACAATTTCAATAAAAATATATCCTATATATTTCTTATAAAAGAAGCATCCTTCAAGTTGAAGATCTCAGCCTCTAAAAGACTCTTGGTCGATGATCCTCACTCAACACGAAAGTAAGAACACGTGACTCTCGCTAAACGCTCAGAATGTTGTTTCGACATCAGATTTGCTCCGGCTCAGGCTACGTTTTCACTTTCAGGGGAAAGCATTATTGTAGCTCAATAATTTTGAAAGGGAGCGGCGTTATTTACAAATAATCCGCAACAACAACGTTTGCTTGAACCAGAAAATAAATGACATCATATTTGTTTCAAATTTAAAATTTTCTTATTTAGCAGGAAAAATTTTATTTATGAAGCGATGAAAGAAGAAGGCGACGTGGAAATCTCTAATCTTCATGTAAGGTAGGCTTTTCAAAATCGTGCGTAAACTTTTGTCTATTAAGCTTCATTTCCGTCAAATTTCCTTTAAAATAAACGTCAATTTAAAAGATTTTCTAAGAAGGCTTTTCCAAAATTTACCCGGAAATTTTAGATTGAAAAGTGGCTGTTTGAAAAAAACCAAGTGTAAAATCCGGCCACTGAAGGACTCGGACAGTTCAGATGTAAGTCCCTGCACTTACCTTTATCACGACAAGCGTTTGACTGTTATTAGGATACTGTAACAATGTTCTCATTGACGTTCCACGAGAAGAAGGACAAGAAAGAGCAAGAGTCGTTTATTGAACTGGTACCAGATCTCGTTGATCGGATCAGGCGCGGATCATCTTCGAGACACATTTTAAGATGCATTTACTTGCATAAAATTACAGAACCAAACTCTCATAAGCCCTTTGCAACACGTGCACTTGATCAATCAACATGTAGCTTTTGTTAACTTAGTTTTCAAAGTAAAAATGTGTTGATATTGATTTGCTGGGCCACAAAGACTTCTTGAGCCAAATATTATCAGTTGATATTTTGGTGATAGGATGAGTTCCAAACTTGTGGCGAGCACTGTGGGACATGGCCATCAGTTCTGCTGATCATGTAATTTGCAGTGATCTTTCTTGCTCGGAATAATTTTTCTGTTCAATTCAGCTGTAGTCACATGAAATTCGCATTCTTGCAAAATATTTTCTATTTCGATGATCCTCTGAAAAGAAGTTCCATGGGACAAAGAAGCGGACATACAGAGATCCAGCGAGAAAGCAGGAGGGGTAAAGAGGGAATGAAATAGCAGCTCACGTTGACTTAAAATTGAGTCGTCCACCTTGGATTGAGCCGGGCAGCTCAAGCTCCTTCCGTCCAGCGATCCCGCGCTGGATCATTTGATGCTACTCATTTACAGTAGAAAAAAAGCAAAGCGCTTCGTCAGCAAAGAGTTGTTCCAAGTGTTAGATTCTTGTAGAAAGTAGAGTATTGTGAAATTCAAAGATAAAGTGAGACGAAACCCGATACCCTTGCAACGTTTCCATGATGCGCCCTATATCCCTCCAAAAAGTCAGAAACGGAAACGCTATACTATAAGTAACGAGGTGTTGGGAATACCGCGTTCCGACAGAGACGAGTTTAGCTCGTCTGGGAATTTGCTCAAGGGACGGAGACCTTCGCTGGCTGAGGAAAGTGAAGAGATTCTGAATTACTTGGAGGAGGATCCAGAATTCGATGGCTTGGAGATTAAAGTGCCTACATTTCGGCCACCTGCTGCACCTAGAATGCCACCGAAAGCGCCTTCCCGAGTATCCTTGGTCGGCTCCCGAAGAGGCTCTCTCCCAATCAACGATATAGAACTGTTCAACCAGGAGCGCCGCTCCAGCGGTAATCAAGCCACTTTTTGAACCCCTTTGAGGTTTGTTTAGAACACCCAAGACTCTTCAAGTCCTCCAGCGTAACGGAATTCAGTGGTTCCGGTAACCTTAAGCTGTCCACATCACCTATGTGAGTTTGTTCAAAACATCGCCGCTGACATTTAAAATTATAAACTCTCTCCCTCAAAAATAGACCTGTTCTTTAGTAAGCGATCTACTGTAATGTTGGACAGTAATGGAACTCAGATATTCGCTCAACACGCTGAAGATCGACCAAGAAGAGGAATGGGAATTCCAGGAAGATACACAGAAGTAAGTCCCTCTCTTGCGAGTAAATACAGTACGTGGCAGTAAATCAGGCGCTAAGAAATCGACAGGATAATATATCAGACAAATGTGCTCAGAACTCCCAATTAAACTAGAATAGCAACAGAAAGCTGAGTTCGAGAGGAACTCCCTTTGATGAATTTTTAAAATATGAATTATGGCGGAAAAGAATGAAAGAGATAAAAAAGAAAGAAGAAGGGTCCGGCGTAGTGCAGTGAGTAAAACAATTTGACTATGAGAGAGTCTGAAGCAAGTTTTCGAAGATTTTCCCCAATTGCTAAGCTTTCCTATCTGCGGGATCAGAAAAGTAATTTAAAATACAAGTCATGTTTCTTCATGTTTCATTGTTGCGCGTTTTCGGTTGTGTTGAACATGAAAAAAGGGAGGAATTAAAAGAAAACTTAAAAACCGCCAGACAATCGCGGCTAAAGAGCGGTTGTTCGCGAACCGAAACGAAATAACCAGCCCCAGAGCATCGATCATACATGAGGTGATTCAACAATTGAATGTGAATCTATAAGTCTAAATAATAAATCTTAAAAAAATAAGTTCCGACAACTCATCCAATTGTCCGTCGATTAAAGTTCCGCTTTCTCTACTTTTAACTTTTTAACCATGAGAGATAAGCAATTTTATATAGAGGATAAGAGACGAAGGCTGGAAGCCAAGGCTAAAGAAGAAAAGCATAAAACAATGTCGATTGTCTACTCGACACTTTTTTCTCCCATTTCTATCGCTAAGGAGTTCAAATAGCATTTTTTCGATGACTAGTTTTTTGACATGAATTTTTGTCTTATCATTTGTCGTTCCCCTGAATTTTCCTCGACAAGTCCCATTTTAGCTTGAATTGAACTTCAAAGAAAGCGCTAAACAAGGACACTTTCGGAGTAAGTACTTAGCGGAGTAAAAATCATTTTACTCGAAGGGTTTAATCGCCTTCTGCGTACTAATTGAGCGTTGGAATCAATTTCCGGAATTGCGCCAAGTTGACTTCCCCTTGACATTTATTTCAGGTCCTGTCTCTTGGGGACGATCCACCCTTTCTGGACTCCGGCCTCAAGAAGATAGACAAAGAGCCCTGGATCATTTTGCATTACTCGCCCTTCAAGGCTTGCTGGGACTGGATAGTTTTGATTCTCGTCATTTACACTGCAGTTGTCACGCCCTTTTCTGCCGCGTTTGTCTTTGACGGCAACTTGCAGGAGAAAAATCAACAACTCGGGTACTGCCTGAGCAATCGAGAGGATACCTGGTTCAATTAAGGGTTATCAAGTTCAAGTTTTTCGTTCGATGAAGATATCGCTTAATAACCAAGAGTACAGTTGTCTGAAACTAAATGGTCTCATCGTGGTGGAAACAATCGTCGACATCATGTTCATCATCGATATTTTCATCAACTTTATGACTACCTATGTCAGTACAAACGATGAAGTCATAACGGACAAGAAACGAATCGCCATCCACTACTTCAAGGTAGAACGTTTTCTGTATATTTCATATTTATTCTAATATTTTAGGGGTGGTTCATCATTGATCTCCTGGCAGCGATTCCGTTTGATATCCTTGTTCCGATGGAAGCTTTAAATTCAATGGTGAGTTGTTACTTAATCGCGCGCTTATCTTCTGTTTATTTTCCCCGCCTAAACAACACAAGGGCATTTCTCAGGAAATGAGAAGTCTGGATCTCTAGAATATAATGTCCGATAACCGGCAGTCCTCCAAGCTACGATGGCCGAGTGGTTAAGGCGTTGGACTTGAAATCCAATGGGGTCTCCCCGCGTAGGTTCAAATCCTGCTCGTAGCGCCATTTTTGCCCCCGGCGAGTGTCCTCTAATTTTATTTCTAGATCGGTAGTGGCGATTCTACGGAAGTGGCGGAAATGAAACAGGTAATTATTAACGATTTTTGCCCCTTTTATCTAAAAAATATCAGATTTTTAAGTAAAAAAAGCTTCAACAGTAAATTTTCGATTACTCAAGTTCAAGTAGCAAATCAAAAGCTCAAGGCAAAATTTTCTAATGATCTGATTTCTTGCGAATGAAAAATTCCAACATGAACCTAAAAATGCAATTACATAGATTTAGAAATTAGAAACCCCTTCGCTCCTTTCAATTTGTTAACATAAACGACATTCCGGTTTCTTCTGGTCGAGTTCAGCCGGGTTTTTCTACGAAACAGACCCGGCTGACACTACCTTACCTAATCTTTTCCTAATAATCTTCCACTAAATTGAACGTAATTGAAAGACAGCACTGGTCGGATTGATGAAAACGGCTCGGCTACTCCGTCTCGTTCGGGTCGCAAGAAAAATCGATCGATATTCTGAATATGGTGCTGCTGTTCTTGTCCTGTTGATGGCGTTTTTCGTTCTTCTGGCGCACTGGCTGGCTTGCATCTGGTACGCGATTGGAATGGCTGAGCATAGCGAGTTTGGATGGGTTACCGTGGGTTCTCTTTATTGTAGAAAAAATGATCATTTGATTATTCTAGTATCTTGGCGAGTCGATAAACGTTCCTCTGATCATCGAAAACAACGTTGTAAAAGACGGCCCCACTGTAAAGCAAAAGTACATCACAGCAATGTACTTCACCTTCAGGTACCTTAAACTTTTTAAGCCTCGGAGAGCGTTTTTCTAGCGCTCCGCGAATCAAATTAAAAACGAGTACGGCCCGTTTTCAACCTTTTTAGAAATCGGCTTCCGTTCTAATTGAATTGTTTACAAAGAAAAGAGATCAATTTTTCACTGATTTTGTAAAGCAAGGCGAAAAATGAGAATTGACCTTATGCAATTTTTTCCAGCCGACTCCTGCAGAAAGAGTTATTGGCATTTTCGAGCGATAATGATTTTTTCAATGCTTCGAACATTTTAAAGAGAACAGCTCCAACTGGGACCGAAATGAGAAGGTCGCGCTGGGGCGAGATCAAAAGCTCTGACGAGCGGTTTGAAGTGTGAAGAAAGGCTTTAGAGGAATTCTGGGCGAAAATTTAATCCAAGTTTAGCTCCCTCACATCGGTTGGTTTTGGAAATGTCTCGCCGAATACCAATATTGAGAAGATGTTCTCCTGCTGCGTTATGGTCATTGGATGTGAGTTTGATAAAAGACCTAATTAGTTATTTCGCGTGTTATTCTGTCTTTAGCTCTTTTCTACGCAACAATCTTTGGTAACGTTTCTGCCATCATCCAACGTCTCTACTCCGGTACCTCCAAATACCATGCTCAAATCGCCAAAGTGAAGGAGTTCTCTCGCTTCCATCAGATTCCGAATCCACTCAGAAGCAGGCTTGAGGAATTCTGCCAGGTATCGGCTGTGTTGTCACGTGACACGCGTACTCGCTTGGTAGAATGAACACGTTTAGTATACTGGTAGAATTTTCGAGATCAGCATTTACAAGTAAAAAGTCAGTCTTATATAACCTAAAGCGCTGGAAACACCTTGAGTGTCGCTCTTTTTATTCACTGGAACGCATCTGCCTCAACATTAGTTTGAAGCTTTATGATTCGACATGACGGTGAACAAAATTCGAATTGTATGTATAAGTTCCGGTTCCCTTACCGTACTTTTAATACTGCAGAAAATGCTGTCAAAGAACGATAGGCTGGAAAATATCAATCTATAGCTCATTTTCTCTACAAAAATTAGACTCAACACTAAACAGCATCAATCTCAGCGCGCTTGGAGCTTGACCAACGGAATCGACATGACTCAAGTCCTTCGAAGTTTTCCGGAATGTCTTCAGGCTGACATCTGCTATGGGATTTATATTATCTCATCTTTTCTTCCATAATATGGCAGTCAAATGGTCCATTTGAGATGGTAGTGGTTAAAATTTCCGGCACACCTTTTGCCCTTTCCATTTTATCAATTTATTACTCGGAGGAATTTTGCATTTCCAATGAAAAATTTTCGATTATAAATCCCATATTTCCGTCTTCATTTAAATCGAAACTTGCTTGAGACGTGTCCCGCTTTTAAAGACGCCGATCCCGGCTGTCTTCGAACACTTTCGATGCGTTTCAAAACGACGCATGCCCCGGCTGGTGACACGCTTGTTCACAGAGGCGATCTCCTTTTGGCACTGTATTTTGTCTCCAAGGGCAGCTTGGAGGTGCTCATTGATGAGAGGACAGTAGTGGCAATTCTGAGCAAGGGAGATGTTTTTGGTGAGACCGTTAGGAGGCCGGGCGCGGTTGGGAAAGCATCGGCGACGGTTAGATCTTTGACTCCTTGTGACATGCACAAAATAACCAGATCTGATCTAATGGAGGTATGAGCGGACTAAGTTGCTAAGATTTCAATAGATAGGTGCTTGCCATGTACCCGGAATACGCCGAGAAGTTTTGGAAGAATTTGAAGATCACTTACGACCTCCACGACGAGTCAACATCGCCAATTTATGTTGATGAAGCGGTGATTCGAAGCTCAAGTCGGCCTCACGGAGCCCCTGGACCGGGTCTGTGGGGGGCTCAGACATCAATTGACGAAGGAAGTTTGCATCATCAAAGTCCAAAGCCAGTGATAAGCCCCAGACTCGGAACCTATAATTCTAAAAGAAGAGACAGGTATCAATTCTACTCAATTTCCATAGGCTTCATATTTTACTAGTCTTCCCGACATTATCAAGCTACGAGATGAAAGTCTTCAAAAATTTGAAAGAAGACTTGACAATATGGACTCACGACTTGATAGGTAGCTAAGCGTTGTTCTTTATTGACAAAACAATGCGAATTAGAATCGAGTCCGCCATCGTGAATTTGTCTAATGCGCTGACAAGGCCTGCAACTCGAGACTCTATCAGTCGAGAAAACGAATTAAACGAACAGGTAACACAGCTTCGGCTTGCCTAAGAGTCTAACCGGCCCTTAATCCCGCTTCTGCTTTGATACCTAATACTCTCAAATAGAATCATCTAGTATTTTAAAAACTTCAAGTTCATTGAATTTTAAGAATGCTCTTCATGAAACTCCCTAAAAACCTCTTCAAGAAATGACTGTTACTGCTTTCTGAATTAACCTGCAATAAAAACAAACAATCCATTGAATTTTATGCATCTTTTATTTATTTTTCATTTTTATGATCTTTTCAATAGTCTAACGTCAGATAGGAGGCAAAATTTAAATGAATTTCTAAAGTTTTTTTTTGTATTTTTTTGTTTCTTCGCACTGAACGTTACTGAGGTGGAATTTGGAAAGTTCGCGGAAATGTCGATAGATACCCAGTGAGAGCTCCTAATCACATGTAAAGTTTTCATAGTAGGAGTCGCAGAAGTGAGAAGGACGAGCCAAAGGATACAGAAAATGGTTTCGTTGTCGCGGGATGCTGTTTTCGCTGTTGCAGGTGTGGTTGGTTTGTTCGCGAGATGCATACTTGAGGGCAGTGCTCCTGCACCTCTGTAAAATATATACTGAAATAAGTTGATTAGCTTATTCGATCTCCAAGACATTTGTCTTACCAATAAAGGGCAGAGAATTCTTCCAAGGCACGGTGTGTTAATCAATAATACTTCTAAACAGCTGTATTAGGAGTGTTCTTTATATTTGGTAAAAGAAACCTGATTTATGTTTGGGGAGTGTTGATTCCCATTGCTGACAGTTCTTCCATAAAGATTTTATTAACAAGCCATTTAAGAGTTTTCTGGTCGAGTCCTCCCTGTGGACCAGGTTCTCCAGCTTGTCCTGGATCACCAGGCTCGCCAATGACACCAGGGGCACCAGGGGCTCCAGGAGCACCAGTCTCGCCCTTTTCTCCTTTTTGTCCGGCTTTACCGGGAACACCGGGTGGACCTGTGAAGATTTTTTTGGCAATGCTTGATGATAATTATTCTTACCTCGCTCTCCCTGTCGTCCGCGAACGCCGTTGATTCCAGAGGTTCCATCTTCACCGGGATAACCCTTTTCGCCGGCATGGCCAGGCATACCACATCCACCTGGCTCACCCTGCTCACCAACGTCGCCCATTGGACCGTCTTCACCAGGAACACCTTGTTCACCAGATGGACCCTTCTTACCAGGCTTTCCAGTTCGACCATCGTTACCAGGCTGACCTTGGGGACCGTGGCAACCCATTGGAACGTCACAAGTGCACTTGCATTCTCGTTCGAGTTTCATTGGTGGTGGTGCTGGGCAGGAGATGTCGTTAACAATCTGTTGTGGGGCGAGGAAGGATCCGAGAGATTCTCGTTGATCGAAATACTTGGCAACATCTTCGTTAGTGTGGGTGTTTTGGTCACCAGCAATCGAACTGTCTCCTCTAGCGACAAATACAGTCCTCAAGTTAGGAACGCCTTGAAGTCCCTGAAGCTCAGCTTCGACATCCCGTTGTCTAAAGAGTTGATGTCATCAACTTGATGAGGAATAGAGATCGGGAATTTCGGAAAGACTTACGAAACAAGATCTTCATCGGAATAACCATTTGTGATCATGACGAAGATTTGTCGTGGCTCTGCATTGACTCTCTCGGAGGTCTAAAACGATTGATCATATTGAAAAGTTCAGTGCTGCCTAGTTTTTATTTTGATTAAAGCCAAATCGCACGGATGCAATAAATCAGGCAATGAGCCGCCTAAGTAACAACATCATCACAAAAGAATTAAATTTTACTACTTGAGTAATGCTTTTTATTTGACATAAAACGGCGTCCCGTCGTCAACCTGTGGAATGTGCACCTGTTACGGATATTTACCTGGAGGATCTTGGCACCATATTGGACGGCTTTGCGGACATTAGTTGCTTTTCCGTGGTACTGATGGTAGTCCATTCGGAGGACATCGGAGATGAGCTCTCCCTTGGTGAAGGTGTTGAAAGTGGTGACGTCGTGGGTGTCTTCCATGAACTGGAAAATATGGAGTCGAGCGGAGTTCTCACTGTCGCTGATTCCGAATTCTGTGTTGAGAGAGTTGATGAGTTCCATTCCAAATCTTAAAGAAAAATGTTTTTCAAAATCATCTATTTTGTATTAACCTTTTGTAGGCGGACATAGTTGTATTCGTGCAAAGACACATGTCGATAGCAACAACGACGTCAACGGGACATCCACCGAGCATCTTCTCGGACTCCGCGCCATTGCAGCATTCTTTGTTGCATTCGCACATGCCTGGGTGTGTTACTTCTTGCTTGTCAAGGGAGCAGGTTCCCTAAAAGAGTTTTACTCAATACAGATGCTTTCAATTGAAATCAACAACGATTTTTTCATGTAAAACAATTTTCTTATGAACAGTATGTTAGAATGCAAGAAAAACTGAATTTACCTCTCCAATGACATCTTGAGCAAGTTCGTAGCTCAAGGCTACTCCAGCCAGTAGCAGACTTCTTAGTATCATAGTCTGTCACTCTCCCGATCACTTTTCGATCCTGTCTTAACAAAAATCTCGAGCAAGGCTCAGAGGTAAAAATTCTCGCAAAATTCTCAAGTTCACAGCTGGTACTAGTAAAATCAACAAGAAAGGGGCAGTTTTCTTCTTTTGATGTGAGTCCTGGTCTACCATACGAGGATGGTTCCACCGCCGTCCGGCGCTCTTGAGAACATCAAACGCACGATCAAACAAGTACCAATAGTGGATTAGCCAATCGTGGAGGATGAGCTCGAACTTTAGCTACCGATTTACGAGTGAGCATAGCCAACTTTACAACCCGGCTCGAGCGCATTATGATGATCAATCGCCCAATTAGCCCATTGCCTAAAATTCCAGATTCCATATTTGCTGCCAGCTTCTACCAGTTTTTTCTTGTAGGTGGTCCAGAATCTTGACTGCAGACAGCGCTTATTAATTTGATTGCCAATTAAAATTATAACAACTTCGATCCATTACGATTGTTTCATTTAAATCGAGAAAATATTTGCAGCGTCACTTGAAAATTTGGATAATATCCATATATTTATATTATAAATATTCTACAAAACTTTCAAGCAGGGCTAGGAATCTATACATGAACGATTGTACAATTGTCCATGCATTTGAAAGACTGTCCTGATCTTTTTCCTTTGGTGAGCTTGAAAGAACCTCGGAAGCTGGTGAGGCTTCTTTGGTTTTTAGTGCACAATTCGCCTTTTCTTCTTCCTCTTTTTCTTCGTCTTCTTCTTTTTCGATTCGATTTTTGGACATACACGACTTTGACAGGCCTAGAATCAATGCCGTGCTGATGGTTAGATTCAAACACACTGATCAGATGTATCCGAAACAATCATCTTCTTGCCTCGCCTTGGACCACCACGCCAAGGCGTCACCGAGATCGATCGGTAAAAATCAGTTTATAAACAGATATTTTAATTTCTTAATTTGAATTGAAGTATTATTTTGAAAAAACTTGCTTCAAATTTCAAGTCAAAAAACGATCAATCAAATACTGGATTCAAGAATACTTCCGGAGGTTCTTTTGAGTCTTTGCCAAATCGCGACTATTTCAGGAAAGTGATGGGTATCCGGTCCGAAATAGAACTAAACCGGTCGTAAAAGACCTCAATTTCGGTGGGAAGATTGAGCTGCCTCGTGAATCAAAAAAATAAAGGACCCCAATAAAACGCCATAACATGCGAGAGGGTGAGAGCGTTATCAGTCACGTCCTAGTTCGCGACCTTTAATTCTGTCAAACAACTATTTTCTACTTTTTATATATGGCAAACTACTTTGTTTTATATGATTGCCCTGAAGAATAATTGCTGGGGTGGCATAAACTCCCATTCCTTGAAAAAAAACTATCATATTTTGGGTGTATACCGGAACAGTGAAATAGAAGACCCTAATTAGATAAATAAACCTGCGAAATTATTCTGACGATCTTGATGATATCTTATTTTCAGCGCAAGTCGTATTGAATAACGGTCGTTGGAGACCCGATTGATGTAGCGAAGTTCGTGTTTTTCAAATTATATAACAGTAAAAACTCCTCACTAAGAAAAATTTATGAATGTTATTAACGAGAGGCTTTCCTTTTTTTTAATAAAAATATTCGCAAGAATGAAATCTTTTGCAAGAACAGGTTTTTGTTATCAGAGAGTCAATTCTGACGAGAGTTCCTCTTGGACTTAGAAGAACAAGGTCTTCGGTAGAAGAGGACGAACAGCCGACGATGGTTTGCCGCTTTTGAATCTTTGACTCGTGCACACTAAAATTTGACATCAAGGAAGACAATTCATAAAAATAAAGTTGAGCTTACACGTGGTCATACGGTGACCGATGCGTTGTCGGGCAGAAACCAGAGCAAAAACCAACGTCAAGAAAAACTGCTGACTCTCCTGTTATTTCGTCTTTCACTTCTTCTATCGGTAGCAGGCTTTTTCCTCGATGCATAGGCAAAACTACACGAAAGCCAGTATAGCTTTCAATGTCCTGAAGAGAAATTTAAATCAATTAAGCTGTCAAAAGTAACTTACGGAAATACTGATCAACATAGGTTGCCTAGAACACTTCTCATGCTGACAAATGTCAAGTTCATTCTTTGGAAGATTTTCTTCAAGATCGGAGAAAAACGCTCCGTTTGCGTCGACTTTGACTCAGTTCTCCTTCAAAATTTCCAGTTGATTTTCGTGGGAGACATTTTTCATTTATAATTTTACTTCCCTGTTTAAAAATGTTATTTTAAATCCAATTGCAAGTATTTTCAAACCCTTTGAAAGGAACATGAGATCGCGTTTTCGAAAAAATCTTTGACTTGCATTTCGTCCATGCTGTTGCTAGTAGAACCTGGAAAAAAAAGAAACAATATAAAAAAGTTGAATATCATTGTAACTTTATTTATATTTTCAGGGTATTTATCTGAAGTTGCTCCTGGCGCTAGCGTTCATTCAGCTAAAAATAAGGTATAACTTATACCGTATAAGTTAATTCGAGACACCTGATGATCGCGAGTTGACGGTGACACACTTTCAAACTGTACTCCTCCTTTTCTAATGACTTTCAACTGTAAGAAAAAGGGTGGAGTGGGCAATTTGTTTTGTAGCGAGAAGATGTCACATTTTTCACCTTTTTGGGGTCAGCATAAACCGGGCGGCCGGGCGATTAGGTTCAATTTGAATCAATTACTTCCACTCAGATTGCTTTTTTTTGAACATTCTTCGCCTTCTGACTCGGCTAATAATCAACTTTGTTTTTAAATTAAGCCAAGAGAGATATAGATTTTGCGATGAAGAAAGAGCCGCTAAGAACTTATGTGGTCACGCAGTACAAATCTAGGAGCGGAATCTGGAACAGAAAGCAGAACACTTTGATTATTCACCTCAAATAAAAGTTTTTGTATCGGAAGAGCTTAACTTGTCAAATCCTTTGAAAATGCTGCCGCCGCACTACAGTGCTTTACACACAGCTGTAAAAATTAACAGACTGTTACTGACAGCTTTGAATCATCTAGTGAGCAATATTGAACTCTTAAACTCTTCAGGACCTAGAAACGGTTAGGGGTTAATATAAGCGTAACCAATCACAAATCTGCCTAAATATCAAAGAAAGCTCATGCTTTTTTTATTATCTTTGTTGATTCCTGAGGTTAGCAGCGCGTACTCCTTCGACAAAGACTTGATGAGAACTAACGGTAAGATTCTGATGCTGGGAAAACAAAGCGGTTTCCATTTTCCTGCTGAGTTACTATTGTGCCCGGCCACACTCGCCTGGGGCCCTTGTCGATTATGTTTCAATTTTTTTCAAACTGAGCGTGAAAAACACTTGAGATTACTTTTTTTCTTCGTAAAACGGGGGATCCTCTTTTGTGTCCGAGATGAAAACGCGGCCCGGAAGGACACGTGCGCCCGTGTGCCCAAATACAAGAACGACCACAAGTGAATCAGGCACGCATGTGCCGCAGGAGAGTAAAAAAGAACTCAGAGAGATGGAAAGGAATGACAAGAAGAGACAAAGTTATAGGAAAAATTTCAAAAAGAATCAAGGTAGATTCAGTTTTATCGTTTTGTATGACAGTTTTCTTTTGTATCAGAGTTTGCTCTCTGCCAAAGTACACATAATAATCGCTTTTTCGGAAGCTATGTATAGAACTTTTTCTTCAAACTGAAGATCATCCGTAAATTTTCGTAAAAAATCTTTGAAACGAAAGGCTAAAAGGCTGCATAGATAAACATTCCCACGAACCTCCATTTTTAACAAATCAAACATTAATTTTCCCACCTCCAGCCTGATAATTATGATGCCGTGATAGAATTTAATAACCAATATAATATTGCCGATAATATTTTCGTCAATAATTGTGTCTGCGTCAGAATAAGAAAAAAGTTAACGTTGCGTAAATTTGCCGAAGAGGCTTTAAAGTAAGATTGATTTCGTTACTTGGGTCAAGGTCTGACGGTTAAGAAAATGGTTGGTCTCAGATGTGCTTTGCGGATGACTTGAGATAAAATTTAGTGGAGAGAGGTTTTTCTACAATTTTTAGGAAGCAAAATGCGTAGGGCGAATGAGTTTTATCAGAAATATAATTCAGGTATCAATTAACAATTATTTTAAATTTTATATTTCTTGCATTTTTCATATTTTTCAAAAAATGTCTTCCGAAACAACCGGCGCCGCTCAGACGGTATGCACAGAATAGTGAAAAACCGTGATTGAGCGGTGTGAAAATTTTGCTACTCTTTGTTGAAACGCAAATTTCAAAGTAGAAGTATTCATTCATTTTGTGCGGATTGATTTAAAATGAGTCGAAATGGTTTATTACTCGAGCATTTTGACTTTTTACGAAACTTTGATCTTGATCGACGTTGAAATCGAAGTTTTCCGAGTATGTCAAGTAGTCTTGCCAGAGCAAGATTATAGAGATCGGCTGAATGGTGTCTAAGAAAGAAGGTAATTATTTTTTGACATTGGGTTAGGGTTAGGGCTAGGGTTGGGGTTAGGGTTAGGGTTGACCCTAACAGAGATTTTCTTCTAGACATCGGGCCAAACAGTCGTAGATTATCGCCAATAATTTATCGGACAACTTTTCGAAAAGAAGTCCAAGATTCTTGATGTCTATTCTCAAATCTTGTAGGGGTCTTCTGATACTGGCTGTATTGAGATGATTCCAGTACTTTCAATGATGAGTAGATTCTTAAAGGGTTAGGTAGTGCGTACCATCACCTGGTACGTCATGATCAAAAGGGATTAAGTATGTGACTGTTCTTATAAAAGTGTTGCTAAGTCGAGAGATAGCAAGAGAGACTGTAGCGCCGCAGGGGTCGTGTCCAAATCACCAAAGGCAATTGTTACTGAGTCACTTGTTGCGATAAAGCGGCGGCCTGCGTACGCGATAAGGCACAAACCCTACCCGAAAGAAAAAAGGGAACACTAAGGGTACTTATTTTTAAGTTTTCATTTTTTTGTTTGGTTGAGAGAGAGAGGAGGAAAGAAATCTGCGAAAATGATAAATGGAATGCCAGTAGAAGATAGTAAGTCTTCCTTCTAATTATTCAGTGTTCAAATTCTCTATAGAGCCAAATCAGGGTTAGTGTTAACTTTTCAGTTCAATAAAAAAAGGCTCTTTCCCCTGGGGCTTGTGTAGCGACATCTTTGCTCCACTTTTTTTTCGTTTGCCCAGATTCGTCTCATCATCGTTTTTTCATTTATCATCTTCCGAAATTGAAATCGACAGATATGATACATAGATAGTTTTTGGCCGCAGATATATATTTTTTTCTTAATTGGCCATCGAGCGGTACATGGACTTAGATTTATCGAATCAATTGATTTTTGCGTCAGGGAAGATAAAATGCCTAGCAGAGTTTCGCTCAGAGAGAAATAAGAAAAAAAATGTTCAAGTCAGAGAAAATGACTGTATATTGAAAAGGAGAAGAATGTGATTTTGAATGCAGCGATCCGAGAACAAATCTCACTCGACTTTTGTTGCCGAACTTGGGAGCAAAGCGGCCCACGCGGCGAGACATGTTCAGGAACGTTAGCATATTCGGTCTTCTTCCTTGATTTCAAAATGAGCCAATTACAGATCTAATTAGCCTCGCGATTGGCGAGCTAATACTTTAAGTCGAATCAAAATGCGATTAGCTAACTCCCAGCGGGCAAATTCATGCACACGCCTCAGGGCATCTAAGCATTTCATCGGAGTGAGCGTAAATCGGACTGACCAAGGATGCTTCGTGCAAATTCGACGATCAGCTTCGGTCAGCTCGCCAAGACGAGTCCGTTCGGAATCGCAGAAAAAACGAATGGTTTGATTCTTCGTTGTATTTTTTCAATGTCTTCGTTGTCTTCGTTGATTCTAGTTATAGATTCTAGATCTCTTGAAAACCCAAGATCTTTTCTATCCGCTCCTGATAGACGCTTATTAAAATTCAGGGGCATCAAGTGGCAACCAGGGATATAAAAGCAAATTGACCTGTCAAGAATTCATCTGCTCGCTTTTTTATTAATTCTAACTGCCTGTAAATTATCCAAGCACGGTTGAACAGCCCGAAAGCCAGTTCATTTTTTATTTCAAAGATGACCTTATTCACAGTTTCTTGATGATTCTGAAAGTTGCAAAATGCACAAGTTAGTGCAAGTCGCTCATTGACGGATGTGAGGGGTGCAATAATATGCATAAACCTTGCGTCTCGCAAGAATGTTTATTGCGCGTCGTAAATCATTGCAAAATGCGGCACAGGCGTCAGTCTTCGTGAATCAGGTGCATGTGCCTAGCTTTTTTTTTTGCTGACCTAGACAGTTCTTGCGAAAAGGTGCAAATTGTCGCACCTTTTGTAACTTTCTAAAGGACTCTCACTGCCATATTTGCCCTTCAGAATCTCTAGCTTCTAGCTACATTTGAATATTGAAAATTGCTGTTTTGGAAAAATTATAGTCCGCATCATAAAACTTAATGCTGGTAGCACTTCTATTAGATTTACCTTACATGGACATTTTCCAATCGATGCAATAAAAACTGGTAGACTAAACAATCACGGCAAATGATCAAAAGATTTCGAGTTTTCCATGTCTGATTGTGTGTATAATTTAATGGGCCATATATTCAGCCCTGGGTTTACGACCCCTACTTCGCTGCGAAGTGAGGCGCGCACTTCCCTTATTCTGATTTTAAATCTCCGAAAACAAAGAATAGACTTTCCTTTTCGATTTTGCGGCTTGAGAACTGATAGTTAGAGTAAAATAGCTTGCCACCCAGCGACTTGATATTGAACCGACCGGCAAATTCTTCACTCAGAGACTTTTTATCCAGCAGAAATAAGCAAACAATAAAAAATCGCTTTTCGGAGAAAATGGCCGAAAATCAACCGGCAGCAAACGTTTTTGCCGATAAACAAGAGCTAGGCAGAGAGTCCAACAAAAAGGCCTACCGTGATCTTACCAGCCAAAACAAGAGTAAAAAGAACATCAAAAAAGGTTTCTTAGAATTCCATCTATCTGACCCATTCTTTGATCTTAGTTTAATTAATCCAGTGATTTATAGGGTGAATAAACGTTGAATAAGTCACGTTTTTAATCTTTTACGAGCCTTGACGAGGTTGCACTAGAACTTGGCCTATCCGCTATTTTCGCGTGAATCACCGTCGTTGAAAAAGAAACTATCTAACCGAATGAAAGCAAAATTCCAGACTCTGGATAATTGACTGTCACGTAAAACTAAAACTGGACCAAGCGTGAAACCTGATTTTTAATTACAGCAGCACGATCCTTGAATCCAACAATTATTTCAATTACCAAGAAATTAAACTTTGAGGGGACGGGCAGACAAGTCGTAGTTGACAACTTTTCTGGGTCACAAGTTTTCAGCAATTTAGTAATCGGAATCATCATCTATCCGAATGAAATTTTTATGGTCTTCTTTTCAGGTTACGAGTACGAATCACAGCAGTGGGACAGTGATGAAATTCCAGCGACCGAGCGCGACTTGGCCGACGACGCGCCCTGGAAGCAAATCCAGAAGAACACCTTCACCAGATGGTGCAACGAGCATCTCAAAGTCGCCAACATGAGACTCAACGATCTGGGCACAGACCTGTCCGACGGTTTGCGGCTCATTGCGCTCATCGAGGTCCTCTCGCAAAAACACGTCGGAAAATTCAACAAACGGCCAACTTTTAGGTAAATTGAACTTTTATCAATCTTCTTGACTAAGTTTTTAGACAAATGAAGATGGAAAACGTAGCCCTCGCTTTGGAGTTTTTAGAAAGCGAGCGAATCAGATTAGTGTCGATCGACGCCCAAGCTATAGTCGACGGCAACCTCAAGTTAATATTGGGTCTGATATGGACCCTTATTCTTCACTATTCCATATCGATGCCGATGTGGGAGGGAGAAGAAGAAGGTGCCCAGGACCTTACACCGAAGCAACGTCTCCTTGGCTGGATCCAAAACAAAATCCCTCAAATTCCTATTACAAATTTCTCCAGAGATTGGCAAGATGGTCGAGCTCTTGGTGCTCTTGTTGACAACTGCGCTCCAGGTAAAAACACATTCTCTCTACTATCTTCATCAGCACTTTCCTTCTTTCTTTCTTCACAATTTCTAATAACTCTAAGGCCTGTGCCCTGAATGGGTCGAATGGGACCCTCAGAATCGCGTTGAAAACGCAACCACAGCCATGGGCCTTGCCGAAGAGCATTTAGGCGTGGCTCAGGTAATATTTTTTCCGACCTTTCTTTCATTTCTTTCACCCTCTTGGTGACTCTCATTCTTTCTTCCGTTTGACCGTGTGATAACCATTTGAAACATTGTGTGATTTACAGGTTTGTGTCCTGACTGGGAAGACTGGGGCCCTGATGGCCAAAGAAACGCTGATGAAGCAATGGCTTTGGCGGAGAAATATCTTGGAGTGGCGAAGGTGAGCCTACTTTTAGGCACACTCGGAGAAATCGTTTTGCACATTTATGCTTTTATTTCATCGTGTGTTTGTTTTAGCGTGATTTTTATTACCCGTTGTACCTTTTTTAAATATCTGTCTATTAGGTCATCGCGCCGGAAGAAATTACCAACCCTCATGTTGATGACCAGTCGGTTATGACCTATTTGTCGCAGTTCCCCAATGCGAAGCTCGTCAAAAACGCTCCTCTTCGCAACAAAACCGATCCCAAAAAAGCTCGAGCGTACGGCAAAGGTGTCACTGCAACCGGCAACAAGGTGAGTTTAGAGAAAAGTGCTTGATAAACATGTTCCGGAAGTAAAGGTTATAAGTTCTCCACCCTCTGCAGAGGAAGGCTGGCTCTGCCGCAGGCCGTGTTCAGCGGGGCTTTGACGATAAACAAGCATTCCATGTCTCTTTTTTGGATAAGCTCTAATTTAGTATTTTTATTTACTCCAAAGAGAAAGTACTTCTTTTACCTGCGATTTTCAGGTCGGTGAACCAGCTCCTTTCACCGTTGATACTGCCTCCGCTGGCACCGGCGACGTCCTTGTTTACGTTCAGGACCCTGCTGGTCATACAGAGGAAGTAGCTGCAGTTGCCAATAACGATAAGAATAAGACCTACTCTGTCGTTTATCATCCCCAGCTCCCTGGCCAACATCAAGTCACAGTCCTTTTCTCTGGAAAGGACATCAACAAGAGCCCATTTGTCGTCGACGTAGCAGACTCCCCTCCCTGCCCAGACCAAGTCATCGCGAAGGGTCCTGGTCTTGAAGCTACAGGAAACATCGTCAGCAGAGAAACCCATTTTGAAGTCTTCACTGCTGGTTGTGGAATTGGCGAGCTCGAGGTTGTCATTCTTGATCCAAATGGTGCACCTAGTGTTATTCCTGATGTCTTCCCGACTGGCCCCGGAAGTTTCTCAGTAAAATACATTCCCCAACAACAAGGACCTCATAACGTGCAAATCCTCTTCGGTGGCGGCCACATCCGACACTCCCCGTTCAACGTCCAAATTGACCTCCCCTTTAACCCTCAAGCTGCCTGGGCGGAAGGACCTGGCCTTGCTCCAGAAGGACTTATTGTTCGCGATCAAGCAGCCTTCGTTGTTCACACAGAAGAAGCTGGAAGCGGCCAACTTGATATTCGAATCATTGGTCCACGGGGTATCTCTGAACCAGTAAACATTGTTGACAACGGTGACGGAACTTACTCCTGCGATTACGTTCCGCTCAAAGCTGGCCAATACAACGTAGCGATTTCATACAGTGGTAAGCCTATCAACGGAAGTCCTTACGTCGTCATCGTGGATCCTGCTCCAGATGCGGGCGCGGTCCGGCTTTCCGGACCGGGTCTTCAGCCTGGAAACATTGCTGGAAATGAAGCTTGGTTCGAACTCGACTTTGCTAATGCTGGAAAAGGCGAGCCATATGTCGAAGTCATCGGCCCGAATGGCCAGGAAGTGCCCATTCAGGTGGAAGAGCTCGGTAATGGAAAGATTCGCGTTACTTACCAGCCCAAGGAAAAGGGAACATATCAAGTGAACGCGACTTTCGCCGATGTTCTTTGCCCTGGTTGCCCCCTTGCCGTCGATATTCTTCCAGCATTCGATGCAAGTAGTTGCCGAGCATATGGTCGAGGTCTTCAGCCCCGTGGCGTTCGAATCAACGAAAAAGCTGACTTTTATATCAACACCACTGGTGCGGGAGAGGCAGACCTGAAAGTTAACATCATCGGTCCCCGAGGCAACCCAGAGCCTGTTGAGATGCACCAAGACCCGAACGGAAGCGAATATTCTTGTGCTTACTATCCAAGACGAGAAGGAAAGTACCAAATTTCCATCACATTTGGTGGGCAAGATATCGCTAAATCACCGTTTGTCGTTTTCGTTGGAGGAGAAGCTGGCCCACAACAAGTACGAGCTTTTGGACCTGGTCTTCATGGCGGCATGGTTGGTCACTCTGCTGACTTTGTTGTGGAGTCGATCGGTGATACCGTCGGCCAGCTCAGCTTTTCTATTGAGGGCCCATCTCATGCTCAAATCGAGTGCGAAGATAAGCAAGATGGAAGTTGTGACGTCAGATACTTCCCAACGGAGGCTGGAGAATACGCCGTACACGTCATCTGCGATGACGAGGATATCAAAGACTCACCATTCATGGCGCTTATTCAACAGAACGATCCCAGACTAAAAGCTGCTCAGTGCTCTGCTTATGGACCCGGCTTGGAAACTGGTGTTCCTGTTGTGGGACAACCAGCGGAATTCACTGTTGACGCAAGAGGTGCTGGAATGGAAGCTCCGATCAAAATCTACGCGAAGGATTCTGATGGAAATGACGTCCCAGTCCAAGTTGTCGATAACAATGATGGAACCTACACCTGCATCTACATCCCCGAAAAATCAGCGAAACATACCATCATTGTCGCCATTGGAGGAATCAACATCCCAAAGTCGCCATGGAGAGTACTTGTGCAAGAAGACAGTCGCCCAGAAAATGTTCGCGTTTATGGGCCCGGTGTCGAGCCAAATGGTCTCAAGGCAGATGAACCAACCTATTTCACTGTTGACTGTACTGACGCTGGTCTTGGCGATGTCAGCATCGGGATCAAGTCTGCTCCAGGTGTCACTGGAGTGACCGATGAGGATATGGACTTCGATATCATCAAGAACGATAATGACACTTTCACCGTTCGTTGGCATCCGCCAAGTGCTGGGCTTTACACAATCCAAGTACTTTTCGCTGACCAAGAAATTCCTGGCGCACCGATTGATGTGACTGTCAGTCCCAATCATGACGCATCCAAAGTCGTCGCTGATGGACCTGGTCTTCTTCCGAAGGGTGTTGAAGCTGAAAAACCAACGAACTTTACCATCTACGCTCGAGGAGCTGGAAAAGGAAATCCGGAAGTTGCTGTTGTTGATGCTCACGGTCGTCCAATTGCAGAAGCTGTTGTCACTCCAAATGGTGATGGCAGTTACAATGTTCAGTACTGTCCAACTGCTGATGGTCCTGCCCAAGTTCATGTATCCTACGGAGGCGATCCAGTCCCCAATTCCCCCTTTAACATCAGCGTCGCACCTGCTTTGAACATCTCGATGGTCCAGGTTCACTCGATGCTTGAATCTTGTTTCGTTCGCGAAGAACAGACTTTCGAAGTTTATACTACTGGAGCTGGAGGACAAGGACAGCTTACATGCAAGATTACTTCGCCATCCCGAAAGCAGATCTACTGTCAAATGCACGAGACTGAAAATGGCTACGAAATCTCCTTCACTCCAAGTGAAGAAGGAACTTATCGAATTGACATCGAGTACGATAGAATTCCTATCAATGGCTCACCATTCCATATTGAAGCTCAACTTCCTCCAGATCCATCAAAGGTCAAAGCTCAGGGAGCTGGCCTTTCTAGAGGTGAAGTTGGCGAGCCTGCTGCATTCTCCATCAACACTCAGGGTGCTGGCAACGGATCTTTGGGACTCACTGTTGAAGGACCTTGCGAGGCCAAAATCGACTGCATCGATAATGGCGATGGAAGCTGTTCTGTCACTTACTTACCCACGGAGCCCGGAACTTACCAAATCAACATCTTATTCGCCGAAGAACACATTCCCGGAAGTCCATTCTCCGCCTATGTTAAGCCCGCTTTTGACCCTTCAAAGGTCGTTGCATCCGGTGATGGTCTCGAGGAAGCCAAAGTTAGCGAAGTCAGTACTTTCCAGATTAACACCACGAAAGCTGGCAAAGGCGAGATCTTCGTCGAGGTCATCCAATCTGATGGTTCCCAGCTCAAGGTCGATTTGACCTCGCACGGCGGCATCTACACTGCATCCTACGTGCCCACCAAGCCTGGCCAGGCTGTCGTCAACTTGTCAATGGGCGGTCAAATGGTTGACAACTTCCCAAGGGCTGTCAACGTCAAACCCAAAATTGACACGTCTTCTATCAGAGTCTTTGGACCAGGTGTTGACGGAGTAAGCCCTGTTTTCGTCGATGTTGAGGCCGAGTTTACAATTGACTGTCGCCGAGTCGCTCCTCAAGGTGGCGATTTTATTGATGCGTCAATTACTGGCCCAAGTGGCATTCCTAGCGCCGTTAGACTGACTGACAACCATGACGGCACGTACAGCGCGCGATACATCGCTTACGAGCGTGGAGAACATAACTTGTCCGTTTTATTCCAAGAAGTGCCTGTTCCACGTCAACCATTCAGTGTCAATGTTACTGATGGATGCGACGCACGACGAGTCAAGGCTTATGGCCCTGGATTAGAACGTGGTACCACTCGACAAGCCGCTTTGTTTACTGTCGATACACGAGGCGCCGGTACTGGAGGCATGGGTCTTGCAATTGAAGGCCCTTCTGATGCGAAAATTCGATGTGTTGATAACAAAGATGGAACCTGTACTGTTGAGTACTTCCCAGAACAACCTGGTGAGTATGAAATCTTCATCACTTATGGTGGCGAAGCAATTCCAGGCAGTCCTTACTCCGTGCTTGTTTCTGACAAGGTCGATCCCTCGAAGGTGCGCCTCAGTGGTGATGGTATTGACGATGTTGTTCGAGCAAACGTAAAGTCTGCATTTACGATCGACTGCACCCAAGCTGGCGTTGCTCCACTTGAGACCACTGTCCGAGGACCATCAGGACATACCCGAGTCGAAATAATTGAGAAGAGCAGCCAAATCTATCAGGCTTGCTACACCGCTCAGGAAATCGGTATTCACGAGGTGACTGTCAAGTACGCCGGTGAAACCGTACCAGAAACTCCCCGACGAGTAAATGTCCTGCCTCAATATGAAGCCAATAAGGTCAAAGCATCCGGTGCTGGTCTCAATAATCAGGTAATCAGTAAATTTCTTAAACTTGTTACCTATTACTATTAAAATAGGGCGTTCCAGCCTCCATTCCCGTCGAATTCACGATTGACGCCACTGACGCTGGCGAAGGTCATCTGTCTGTCAGAATTACCGACCCAGAAGGCAACGACAAGAAGGCGTCGATCAATGACAACCAAGATGGCACTTTTACCGTGAAGTACGTAAATTTATTTCCTCTCGGGAACACAAATAACTTTTTATTATAGATACGTGCCAGACATGGTCGGCAGGTACACGATCGACATCTGCTACGGTGGCGATGGAATTCCAAACAATCCTTTCCCCGTTCGCGCTGTGCAATTCGGCGATGCCAACAGATGTACTGTCTCCGGATCTGGAATTCAAGAACGAATCCAGGTCAACAAGGAAGTTTCTTGCAGTGTTAACACCGCTCAAGCTGGTACCGCCAAAGTCACTGGTTCCGTCATTGCTCCTTCCGGTCAGTTTGTCGAGTGCGATGTTTTCGAAAATGGTGACAGTACCTTTGATGTTTTCTACACGGCAACTGAAGTTGGAGAACATCAAGTTAACCTCCGATACGGCGGTCAGCATATTCGAGGATCTCCTTTCTACGTTTCTGCTGAACAACTTGGAGTAACTGGATCTCTCTACCCAGCTAATGACTTCCGTCAATTTGACATGTGTCTTCCCGTTCACTACGAGTCTCAAGTTACTGGTCTCGTCACCATGCCTTCTGGAGCCACCTGCCCGCCTCAGATTATCGATAACGGTGATGGAACTTGTACCGTCAAGTACCAGCCCACTGAAGCCGGTCTTCATGAGATGGCAATTTACCAGAATGGAGTCCACATCAATGGCTCTCCACTGAACTTCTACGTAGATGCCTATGAATCTGGTCACGTCACCGCTTACGGACCTGGTCTTAGCTACGGTCGATGCAACGAGCCTTGTCCCTTTACCATCGTTACTGAGCGCGCTGGAGCTGGAAACCTTGCTCTCTCATGCGAAGGACCTTCAAAGGCTGAATTCTCTTGCGTGGATAACAAGGATGGAACCTGCTCCGTTGAATATCTTCCAACTGCACCAGGCGAATATAAAATCCACGTCAAGTTCGCTGACGAGCATATTCCTGGCTCACCCTTCATGGCGCATGTTACTGCTGGTGCAAATGCTCAAGCTAGCTACGGAAGCCTCTCTGAGATTCCTCTTCTTTTGAATGAAAGCGATTTGACTCAGCTTGACTGCACTCTTCGAGCACCGTCCGGGAAAGAAGAACCAGTCAAGCTGCGACATCTTTCAAACGGCGGTGTTGGAATTTGTTTCACTCCAAAACAAGTCGGCGAGCACCTTATCTTCGTCAAAAAGCGAGGCAAAGATGTTCAAAACTCTCCTTTCCGAGTTTTCGTCAGCCAATCTGAAGTCGGAGACGCTGGCAAGGTTCGTGTTTACGGACCTGGCGTTGCAAAATCTGTCGCTACTATGGAGCTGGCTGAGTTTTTCGTAGATACAAAGAATGCTGGTTATGGTGGTCTCGCTCTCTCGGTTGAAGGCCCTTCAAAGGTTGATATCAACTGTGAAGACCGTGAGGACAATGAGTGCCGAGTCACTTACATGCCACAAGAACCGGGCGTCTACCAGATCAATGTCAAATTTGCAGATCGCCACGTGACCGGCAGTCCATTCACTGTTCGCGCTGACGGCCAGGGAAAACTCAAAGAATCAATCGTCCGACATAGAAAGGCCGCTCAAGCTGCTCAAGTCGGCAACACTTGCGATTTGAATTTGAAAATTCCAAGTAAGAGAGCCGATTGAACTTGCAGGAAATAATGATTTCTTTCAGACATGAGTGTTGCAGATTTGACTGCATCGGTAATTTCGCCATCAAATAAGACCGAAGAAGCGCAGATCATCGAAACTGAAGAGTCTAATTACTCCATTCGCTTTGTCCCAAGAGTAAGTTAAATAATCAAAGAAAATCTCCGAGCAAATATTTAAGGAAACCGGTATTCATACCGTGAATGTTCTCTACCGGGGCAATCATGTACCTGGCTCCCCCTTCAACTTCACCGTCGGTGAAATGACATCTGGAGGTGCTAACAAAGTCACCGCTACCGGCCCTGGACTAGAACATGCTCTTATCAACATCCCAGCCGAGTTTTCGATCTGGACACACGAAGCTGGAGCTGGTGGGCTTTCCATTGCCGTGGAAGGACCTTCCAAGGCTGAGATCAACTTTGAGGACCGAAAAGATGGCTCATGTGGTGTTCACTACCTCGTCTCTCAGCCAGGTAAAATTCAAATTGAGTTACAAAGAGGTCAAATTTATTTTTAGGCGATTACGAAGTCTGCGTGAAATTCAACGAAGATCACATTTCCGGCTCTCCTTTCCCGGTTACTGTAACTGATGGTGCACCACCAAAATCAGACGCTTCAAAAGTTCGAGCTTCTGGAAAGGGTCTTGTCGCCCCGAAAATGGGCCCTGACAACGAGTTCCATGTCAACGCTGACAAAGCTGGTAAGTTCGAGCGAATATATAAGAAGCAGTCCATGTTTTCAAAATATTTACGAAATTCTTTCAGGTAAAAACGTGCTTATGGTCGGCATCATCGGTCCTAACAGTCCCTGCGAAGAAGTGATGATCAAACATCTTGGCCAGCGCGAATACAATGTCACTTACACCGTATTAGAGCCAGGAGACTACGTTCTCGTCGTCAAATGGGGCGATGAGCACATTCCTGGCTCGCCTTTCCATGTGAATGTTCCGTAAATTGAAAACTACGGAAATCGTCGCTATTTTATCCCAATGCTAGCCTTCTTACCTACACTTGTATCTCGAATTTAAAAAACCCACCTCCACCCAATCTTCTTCTTTCTCCACCACCACCAATCCGAGTTACAGACAAAAACAGCATCTTTATTATTAAACTCGCCACCTTGAGTGGTACAATGCTTTCTGCCAAAGAACCAAGCAAACTTCAACAATCCCTTTTAGTACGAAATTATTTTATTATATTTCCGAAGAATTCGCACCAAATGGCACTACTGTACATAATCTACTATCTCGTGGCCAACAATTAATAATACTGGCAAATGTATCTTTCAATGAAAATAAAAACAATGCATGGCTGCGTTTTTAGCAATAAAACAAAGTTTCTTTTCAAAGAAATATGTATTTAACATTTCAGGATTTTGAACTTTGATCGTAGCAGGAAGAGGGGTTGGAACTTTGAAAGAGCTTTCAGTTATTTACAAAAGCGAGGAAGAAAAGAGAGTGGCGCTAGAAATTACGCTTGAAAGGAAAAAAAAATAACGACCCGCGCTGAAATTTGAAACAAGGGCAGCTCGTGGGCATAAAGCAAGTTTATCTAATAATGAACTTGGAAGACGCTGATTCAAAAAAAAAAACGAGGGAGTGGCAGATTCAACTTTGTACAGGAGGCAGGTGATCTAAGATTGACCACGAATTGGAAGAATTCAAAGTGTCTTCGCGAATGAATTGAGCTCTTTCAGCGAGTGCTCCTGAATATGATCAGCCATTTCTAGCTCGGTTTCCGTCGCGTGGCTGCATATCTAAAGACGTGGCTAGAATTATGCTTGAATCGCACTCCGATGTACCTTGCATTGATGATTTAGAGCCAAAACTTGGACTTTGATGAATGTATTGAAGTACTGTCCCAGGTTGTCCATTTTGTATGCACCATTTTCGAAAGACATACCGTTCGACGAGTTCGCTTTTGGCTTCTCAAGCCGCATTTTGAAGGTTTGTTGCTCGCTAATTTTTCCTTTGTTGTCGCACACTTTGAAGGTTGGAGAATCTTCTTCTTCTGTCAGAATCGAGTTTCCGTGGAGTGCTTGCTGCGGCTCTGAAGATACGCCTTTGAAGATAAAGCAATAATGATATAAAATATTAATAGAATAATTAAGTAAAGATGTATTTACCTCTTCGAGAGTCATTTTCCGCCGTCTTAGGGCTTTCACTTGGATCCAAACTTGAAACCTGTTCATTTGAAGTGTATTCCGTTGACTGGCTCTCTTCTGGAGACATCTCACTGAAAGAACAAGCAGTCAAGATATTTTCGCGATTTGCGTAACAAACCTTGGAGATTTTGAAAGAACAGAGGAGCCCCAGCTTTTGTAAAGATTCGTGTTCGCTGTGTCAATTTCATTCTTCTTGTTAATATAAAACGTTTTCGCAGCATACTTGCTCTTTGAAGCCTACAAAGCTGTGTTAATTTTTAAAGTTATTGGTATTGTTTTCTATGCCGCTGCTTATTTAGACCTGCAGAAAAAATCAAACCTGGCTATAAAAGTCGCTGTAAAATGGATTTGCGGGTGGGATGCCAAACTAAAAGTTAACGCATAAAAATAAATATCTGTGAATCATTAATAAGGTCTCAAGGACAAGAAATAGTAATTGAAGCAATCAACATAGAAGTATAAGTGCGAAAGATTTTGATTCCGACATTAATCGTATATAAATAGTAAAAAGCGTGCTATCTCCCTTCTTGCATCTCCCACCACCGACATCAAGGTATTTAATCAACGAAAAAGCTCATGCAAATAGACTTACTGGGGGGATTTTGAGGGCCGAACCAGGATCAAGGGCTCCGTAGAGGCCGGAGCGCGGGGGAGCTGTAGTTGTCGCAGAAACTGTACGAAGAACTTTCTGCTTCTCGAGGGCAGAGGGCGACGGACTTGTTGTCGAGGAGCTTTCGTTGGCAAGTCGCACTATTCGACTTTTCCCGTCTTCGAAGCTGACGCTGACTGAATTGGACATTAAAATTCCGGAAAGGATATTAAGTCGTTCTACCGGAGCATCCGCCTCTTCTTTCAATCGCGACAACCTTCTTGTTCAATTTCGAGGAAAGTATTCCTTTCAAGTAGATTATATTTTCGTTTGTCAGCAATTTGGTGTTTTCTAAGGCTTCAGGTGAGGGAATATCTATCGTTGCCGAGCGGCGAACAGCATTTGAAAGCTATGGAAAACATGAGCAATAAAATATTGAAAAATTCGATATGAAGATGAAAGAAAACAATTCTTTTGTAAAGAGTCTTTATGTTTATCGCTGTATGATAAGTTTAAACACGATCGATAACTGTGCAATTATATTAGATAGAATCTTGAGAGGAACATAATTACTACTCAATGAAAAGTATTCGACTGCAATTATGTTCTTCTTTAGATCCTATCATATTAAAAACATGCGCTTGCAGATGCACGGCCATAGTTATTCTTTTATTAAATTTTTATGTTTGCAAGACTATCGAAGTTTACCTGGGGTATGTACTGAGGGAGAGAGCTGGGAATGGTTTGGGCCACTGAAACTGGCAGCATACTCGGAACTGAGGGCATCAAAGGGAATGTTCGTTGAGCGAGGGACCAAGGCATCTGGACGGGAGCGACCATTGGCGGAATCGAAGGAGCAGTAGGTGGAGAGTTTTGGAATACTCCTTTCGGATCCTGGACTAAAATCCTGAACAATTCAGTTAATACTGCTCTGTAATGACGAAAGTAAATGTCATTTGCTGGTAGACGTACTTGACATTATGACGGTGGTTTGCTTTCAGGTGGCGAATGGCCTGGAGGATCGTCGTAAAAGTCGTCTTTCCTTTACAGAAAGTGCAGCTATAAGCTTGATGTCGCCGCTGATTTTTCGTAATAACAAAGTACGGAGTCTCAATACTTTGTCCATGGAGACGGCGATTGCTCAAGATTGGACTTTCCAGGCAGCCTTTCTCTGCGTCAACGTACCAATAGAGTCGGAAGGATTTGATAAATGCATCATCGCTATCAAACTGCACCTGAAATACGCGAATAAACGGGGAAATAGTTATTTATGCTCATTACATTTCTTCTAATGACGCAAAGTGGGCCGATGGGATGCTCGTTCGTGACGCCAATCAGTTGAGAGTCCTTGTCCTGTTGCTGAACGGAAGTGGCTGCGTTGTGGAAGATTCCGTCCGAGTACGATTTACAAAGGGTTCGTTTAAGCAAGGGCTTCTTCGGATGCTCTGGCTTGGAGAGGAAAGAGGCGGAAAAGTTAGTTTTTCCTTCAGGAGTAAAATTGTTGACTGGAGATTTCTGAAACAGGAGATAGAAAAGTTCGAAGCAAAGCGGTTCTACCTGAGGTATTCTTGTAGATGTTGAATTGGGAAGTGGCGGAAGGGGAGGTATTGAATTTGTGGAAGAGATTGAATTCATAGATTCGACGGATTTTGGGCGTTCAGGGCGGTTCTAGGGCAATTATGAAATAATCTGATTGCATCAAAGTATCTTACTTTTTTGGCATCTTCATCTCTAAGGACTTCTTGCTGCGCCTTCAGTGCATCAGCAGCATTGGCGACTGAAGAGCACTCTACGTCTATGTCATCCCCTTCGTCCAAAACGCTCGTCTGCGTTTGCAAACGCGGCTGTTCGACAATGACGCTCGTCCCATTTTCTACCTTTTTAGGAGTTTCGGCCGCGTCGGCCGGATCGCTTGGCTGATCGAAACTTGCCGACGACTGTTGCTGATCTTCGGAGTCACTCATTCCGACCGTGTCTTTAGTGAAAAACTAAAGCAGATAAATTAATCCTTGTACCGTTTATCTGGAAAGGGTAAGTGAAAAGTAAAGGAGGGGAACTCCTTCCAGAACTTTTTCTACTTTCAGTTAATGCTTGAGCGCCCAAGCACTTCTACCCTCGCTCAATTATAATTATACTTTCTTACTTCTGAGATGAATTTTAGATAGGGAAGATTTGGAAACAGGAACCACTTTTTCCTTCAATAAATTCTAGCAAAAAATCTCAGTAGAAAATTTTTTTTTGCGAAAAATAAAATATTATCTGCCGTGGCTCGTGAATCACTTGAGTGACGAGGAAAACGATTTGCGTTTTTTCTTTTAAAAATTCCGTATGTGATAATTTATTCTCCCCTGAGAGGTTACCACATGGAAAAAAATTCAAACGTCACTTGGGCAAATGGAAATGTTTGCCCCTTAACCAACTTTAGTTCATCACTTCTTGCTTGCCAAAAAATTCGTAAGAAAATGCATTTACTGATTCCGAAAGCTTTTCAAATTCATCATCTTGAGCAAATAACTACTTCAAAACGGAGTTCAACATAAATTTGATACTCAAGCTACTTTTCTCAAATTTCTTCATCGCCGAGGGAACTTCTATGGAAAGTTGCCAGAAAAGATCAATGTCTACAGATAGTAGGAACCGATTTTAGTTGGGCACTTGTTGAGATGATATATATCAAATGATAATTAAGACCGCTTTTTGTAAATAAAAGTGGCATATATACTCTCAGTACCTCGCGCTATAAAATCGTTAATAATTGCGTTTTCTCCTCGTTAAATTTAAAAATCAGAACTAGGAATAGCTAAAGCCGCGATGTTAAAATTCGAGTCCGTCTTGGGATAATAAAACCGGATGTGTTGAAGAGCGCAAGTCACAAATTTGATAGATGTGCATTTTCTCATGTTAATTATTCAAAATTGAGAGATAAAATTTAGCTAAAGTCTGGTTGACGAACAGCTTTATTAATAAATTATTAATGCAACGCGCTGGGAAGGATTTTTATGCTGAGTTTTAGAAGACGCTTTATGAAATTCTACCACGGTAATTGCCTCATTTATCAATTTTATGATGATCAGAATCGGAATCGTTAGTTTTATCGAGTAACTACGGAGCTCTTGAGCGAATATGTCGAACACTCATTTCTGGCGCCGCCTTTTGTGTAAAAAGTTTGCTCAGAGTAAATATAGCCTCTTATGGAAGCACTCGAGTACAGACTGCTGAAAGTCAAACAAAACTGAAAATCATGGGGGTATTGACGCAAATTTCAAATGAAAAACGCTACCCTCATAAAAGCCCATTACACCGCATTTTCGTCATGTATATCATGTATCAGTATCTGTCTGTATCATACAGTTGATATGTCATTGCTCAAATACAAGGTGATACTGTTAGACTATTCAATTACAGTCTTGTTAGATAGCGATTCGTAAAACGAATCATCAAAAATCGACTCGAATTTCGTGCGTTTAGGACCCATTTTTGCCTGAGCAAACCTTTTTTCATAATCGTAAATTCTGCTTCTATTCACAAATCTCTCTACAAACGCGTTACGAGGCAAGTAAGTACCATAAACCATTTCCATCAGCGATAGGCGACCTTACCCAACCGACAACGCATAGAGGCAATAAAACTTGAGCATACTAAAACTTCAACGTTGATTAGCGGATACTTCTACCTCCTTTATGATTCTACTCTCCATGAATCACTAATCAACAACACCTGTTACAGTTATATGTGACTACGTTAATTCAAAATTTTATTTGAAAGAAGTCAACGGGGCATAAATTAACGATGAGCTCAGAGGAGCAAGTTTGTTCTAATCTCCAATTGACGTCATTCACTATTTTCAACGAAGAAAAAAGTTATCGTCTAGCATTTTTCCTCATCGTTTCCCTGTAATAAAGATTATGTGAACCGGTGAATATTCGAAAAATGCTCAAAAACAGACTTTCCTGATCGGAAAATATTAAGTTACAGACCGTTTTCAATCATTGTATCATTCAAAGAAACTAATGCTCAGAAATCACACCAAAAACACTGCTCCCCGAAGCTTACATTCTGCATAAAGCCAAGTCTATCCTTAGAAATAACGCCTCGTTTCATTTATTATTTACGATTCATAAATAAATCTTCATAAAATCCCTCGACTGCGTCTAGCCATAAATAAATGCCGACTTTTTTCACACAAATTCATTGAATGCAGGCAATCCAGTAATTATGACTGTTACATAATCATTACCTCATTTCGAAGAAAGCCAAGAGGCGATGGTTTTCTTTTCTTACTTCTTTTTTCTTTATCTCTTTATTTTATTTCTAGAATCGGCTATTCTAGAAATTCCAAAAATATAATTTTTTACGGAGATCAATAAGTCTTGGAAGATGAGTTGGGTGGGTGTGATGTGTGAGTCGTTAGGAAGAAGGGGGTCGGTTCGCTTGTTGTATCATTTATTGAATGACATCAGAAGAAGACGCGGAGCCAGGAGCGCTCGTTTCGGCGCCGCTCATTGGCCAAAAATCCAATTTTCGCGGCGTTGATTGGCGAAAACGCGCGAGACCGCGCTCCGCGTCAGAGACCGAAAATCAAACGTCACAAAGAACAGCGCCTTCTTTCGATAAGGAGCTTCTTTGATCATCTGGTACTGGTCAGGGGACTGTTGATTCTTATCTATCAAGGGGAGATGAGTTGGTTGAAAAGGGCGACGACGGTTGAGGAAGAAATTGATCAGGCTCGGTTGTAAAGAACAACTTTTGACGGTGGACTTGACCATTCTATATCGAACCTTCGGGCAGATTCTTTTTCACTAAAAATGACCCGATCAGTAATCGGCGATCACAACCCTTTGAAAAGTTGGAAGCATCGAAAGCCTGGCCCAACTCAATAACTTTCCCAAGCCAGCCTCTTTCGTCGATCGCCTGGTCATGCGAAAATTTCATAGCCGTCGCTGCGGAAAACGGTTTAGAAGTGATCCACCTCGACAGTCATGTGATCAAGAAAAAGGCATCAGTTCACAAGGCGGAAGTGCCTCCTCGTCCGGAGGTGATCCCATTCGAGTTAGAAAATTTCAGCGAATTGCTTCACAAATTTCATCGCAAAGCTCTCTACAAGGCGGCCCATTTTCCCAACGAGTTTTCATGGCACTCAAAGGAAAGAATCAATTTTATATCCGTCAAAAATACTTCATTCAAGTGTTCTCCTTGTTGATTTCAATCTTAAGGCAATCTACGATCCGTCATTCTTCTTTCATCAAATCAAGCTTGAGCGGTTGAAGACAATGGCGAAAACAAAGGAGCTCCAGGCAAATCCGACATTGCAGATCGACTCGATTAACTTTCCTCAAACAGTAAAATTCTGGCCGGATCATCCATCTTCTTCCCCACCGATTGGAGGCTCTATCATGTTTGTCCAGACAAAAGATCATCGTCTCCTCTGCTATAGATTTTGTGAAGCAAATCCTCCATATTGGGATGTCATGGCGGAATTGACAGAAGTTGTTCGCAAGAAGAAAATTGCCGAGTACGAAATGTACAATCCAAACATTCATACCCAAGCTGACAGCTACGATTTCAAGGATCCCGACATCGACAATGCTGGGATGCAATTTTATGCCTTGATCAGCTCCCTCAACTTGATTGACTTCTGGTGAGACACGGAATTAGAACTTTAAACATATTTTTATTTAGCTTTTTAAATGCTTGTAACGATGGTGAATTGAGTGTAATTATGCTCTTTCAAGATGGCTCGGTCTTTGAAGTAGGGGTTAATATAACTACATATCATGTTACTGTGAAGAATTGCCTGCTTTTGATCACTGGGAAAGATGGAGTTATTCCAAAGGACAGGGTTTTTGTTCAATCATTCTGAACGTTTTGATCATTTGAAACTTATATTAGCAAATTATAAAAACCCGATCGCAAGGGAATTGCTCGAGTAAAAGCCATGAGCTCGATTCCACTTTATTTGGTCTGGTCATCTGATGGCGAGGTCTATCTCCTGGAATCTTCTGGAAACGGACTGAAACTGTGCTCGAGTGCGAAATTCTCCGATTATGAGACACACTGTGTATCGTCAGTGCTTGATAGGAATGAAAAACTAAGGATTTTCGCTGGACGAATAAACTTGATTGAAAGCTTCATGGTCGACATAAATGGGGACGATATTCTCATCAATAAGAACTCTTATTCTAAAATTAGTTCAACGAATACATTGGGATTCATGAGAATAGATGCAAAGCTAATTAGCGGGACAGGTAAATCTTAGATCCTTTGTCCTGTGGAAAAGCTATCCAATATTAGCGAGAGAAATCCTACCCCGTTCAAGGCCGGTTAGCTCAGTTGGTTAGAGCGTCGTGCTAATAACGCGAATGTCGCGGGTTCGATCCCCGTACTGGCCATTCTTTTTGAATCTATTGGTTGATCGTAAAGGAAACTTTTTAGTGAGATGCACTGCGGTCTCCCAGGACGGACTTATTACTACAGTGGAACTGACTGGTCAAGGTTATCTTCAAAATTTTGGCGCGCTAAAGCAAGTTGAAAAGCCGGTGGACTCGAGGATTGTTTCCACTGCCTTTTCGCCGCATTCCACCACACTTTGCGTTGGATTCAAAAAGTCTACGATCGTCCATAAGGTTTGTGACAAAGGGGTCGCCGTCATCAACTGGTTTCCAATCATGGACGACTCAGAGTTTGAACCAGAGCTGGCGAAGGTCATCACCAGCGTTTCTTTCAAAGAAGAAATGCTTCCTTCAATCGTTGACTTTGTTCTTCCAATGAAGAGGATCAATTCGACATTTTACGAAATCCAAAGATGCCTTCAAAATTCCAACATGGATACCTTGTGCTACTTCTTGAATAAAACCTTATTATCGGTGAGTTTTTCTCAATATTTCTCCATTAAGGATATAGCCGTTCTCAAGGCACTTTCGTAGCGCCGAAATGGAGCGATAAATTTTTTTCATTTCAAGACAGGTCCTACCTAAAATTATGTCTAGAATTCGATTCTGATGTTTTTAAAAATTTTTTTCAAAGAAAATTTCTCTCTGGAGCGATTTGAAATCTTACGATCATTTTTTCTCGAAATTTTTCAATTAAATCGCTAAAACTAAACCGTGTTTTATTATAAATAACTGCTAATCTATCTTCCTAGGGCCTCAAAATTTCAAAACCCGAGCAAATTTTCATTCTAGCGTCTTCTTCTTTTTGGCTTTTCTTTTTCATAAATGCTGCGTTCAGGGCGATTGACCAATCAGCGCGCTCTTTCACATGCCCGCCTCACCGCGCGATGGAGGAGGGCGCCCAGCGCAGCAAACCAGAGCGCTGTCTGACGCTTCGGCTTACTCAAGTAAGCCTCATAAAAATGGCTCTAGAACCATAAATAATTTGAATCTATTAAAATTTAAGCCCTAGGAATGTAGAGAAAGGTCCAAATTTTTAATTTATCAAAAAAACTCGACCGATTTAATGGAAAATTCTCGAGAAAAAGTGATCGTAAGATTTAAAATTGCTCTAGAGAGAAATTTTTCCATTAAAAAATTAAAAAGAACACTAGAATCGGGTTTCTTAGGCAATTTTAGGTAGGGTTCCTTTTGAAATGAAAAAATTTTATCGTCCCCTTTTGGCGCTACGAAAGTGCCTTGAGAACGGCTATATCCTTAAAACGATGCCAAGAATGAAACCGGAGAAATGGAGTTTGGAAATGGGTCCATTCTAAGCGCCAATTGCTCTTTTTGCGATCTCGAGTACGAAATAGTAACTTTGCCTGATCAACAAAGAGAGGAAGAAAGGATACCTTGTCTCCGATGTAAAATGCCCAAACCGTTTGTGAGGAGCTTCAACGAAACTCCGACACTTGCAGTTATGAGCTAACGATGAGTAGATCTGAATGTTACTGTAGATTTTAACCTGCCAAAATAAAAGAAAGAAAAAGCCGAAGAGAACATATGAAAATTTATTTCAAAAGCTCTTCTTTATAATGACTATTTAACATGAGTTAACTAGACGTTTATTTCAATTAATACCGTATGAGAAAATAAAATAATCTCAAGAATCAAGTAAGAACTTTATCGGCGACGCTGGGGCATCAAAGGCATCCTATCGGATGCCTTCTCGGCTGCTTTTTCGCCATAATCACGGCTGCCTGCAGTACTGAGAGGTGGCGAACGCCAGCCACTCTCAACACCTCTGGCATCATAAGAAGACGACCGCGGAGGGCTTCTAGATGGGGGCAAGCCCCATCTATCCGCGCCGGGCGATTTCGGTCGAGAATCGTAATCGTAAACTTGTGCCCTAGAATATACTTGAGAAAAAGTAAATCTGGCTGCTGTTCATCAGAATCTGATGTCACGGGAAACTACTTCACATCGTAACGTGTTGAGAATGAGATTTGATAAGCGCGTATCGCTCAGTACATACATGGGAGGCCAGATACGCGCTCTAACTTAGAGTCTAAGTGGCGCCGGTGACGCGCGGAAGAAACCGCTCCTGGTCAGCCCTGACTAGTAATCTTATCAAATTTGTGAAGATTCTCAATCAATTCTGACGTATCTATGTCCTTCTTGGGGATCAAAGTCAAAAGCTTGAAATAGAGCTTACAAAAAGGGTGATAAAATTTAACCAAACTTATAAACTCTATCTCAACCTGTCGTATAACTTCAAATTTCACTCCATATACCCATCCACAAAAATAAGACACATAAAGGCCACTGTACTAAATGATCTCGAGGGATACTTACTTTGGTCAGACAATGTACCAGGCCAGAGTTCCGAATTCACCCAAAATTTTTGAAAATCGGCTTTCGCCTAAGTTCACCCAGAGGAGAGACCTGGGCGAAAATTTTTCACCTCACCCTTGGAGGAAGGCGAAAGGGTGAATTTGGAACTCCGCACCGGGCACAGAGCCCGATTAATATCTATTTAACATATGATTGCACTTGAAATACCACTTTCGGGCAACCTCATTAGATGTTTCAAGAGACGCAAGTGGTATTTCTACGCTCAGGTCAAGTCATGTTCATTTATCAACATAATTGTCACTTGACAGCCCGTTTTTCGAGCATCAAAAACCTTAATTTTTTTAATTACCGTTGATTAAATGCGTATTCATCGTCTGATTTCTTTCTTGAGTATCTATAAGGGTCTTCACTAGGTGGGTTCCAATCGTCATCATTTCTTGGAGGTGGATTCCATGATTCCTGAGTTGTGGGTTCGTACGGATCGTATCGGGAGCTTCGTTCGGACGAATAGTCATAAACGCGTGACGAGGAAGCGCCTGATGATCCGTAAGGCTCCATCGAAGGGTCTTCATCTCGATAACGGTTTCGAGAGTCCCACTCGTCCTCCCTTGAATCGAACATATCGTAACCAGGTTTTTGGTCGTAGGAATAGCGAGAAGGCGGTTTCGGTAAGTCGTCAACAATTTCCAAATCATCAGTCGGCATTCCAGTAAAAGACGGCACTTCTGGAGGTGGTGGAGAAGGAGCTGGAGTGTATCGCTTTGGCTCCGGAGTTGGACTGACTGGACGCTGGAAAATATCGCTATCGAAGAAATCGGGCTTCTTGGGGGCGTTGCGAAACTCGATCTCCGTCGCCAAGATGTTCATTTGAGCGCGCATTTTCGATTCTACTTGGTTGAACTTTTGAGCCATTCCACGCCACTCTTTCTTCGTTTCTTCGATCTTCTGGATTTGAGCTTGAGAAACGAAGGACTTTCCACGCATTTGGGTCTCCCACTGTCGACATTGATTTTGCCACGCTGTGAATTGTTCTTTATTTCTAAAGCAAAAATTTATTGTCAAATAAATATATTATCTTTCGGTATTTGACATCCATGAATATGATTTGGTCTTCGTTTATTTCAGTAAAGCTTTCGGATGCTTAGATCTATCCTCAGTATATACCGGCCCGTTATGACCGGGCTTAACTTCAGTGAGCACCTGTCAAAATTACTGAAAACGGGTGAAGACAAATGAACAAGCATAAGAAAAGCTTAATAACTGTAATAAAAGAATGCCAAATAATAAAAACATTAAATTTGATTTGTGAAACCATTAGTACTTTTCGATATCTTCCTCCAATTCTTCATGCTTGCATGAAAGCTCCTCTTCTGTGTAGCAAGACAAGTCTTTCCAGTTGAAATTCTTGATTCTAGCTTTCACGGTATCGGAGTAGCCAGTCTTTTCTTTGGTCTTTTTGATAACATTGATCAGGCTCTTTGTCTGTTCTAACATTCTGCGATCTGCTTCTTCTTTCGCTTCCTGAAGTTGATCTGCGTACTTCATTTCCATCTCTGATCGCTATAATTTATATTTGATCCCAAGAACGCTTTAAATATCAATACCTTTGCGTACCAGGCAGATCGTTGCGCATCGCCTGTCATTTCAAGAAACCATGGTTGGTCAAAGAGCGCTGTCATTTCAATTTTCATCGGCAGAATCATCGTTTTAACTTCTTCTTTGCACCAGTTCGGTGGCGGGTAAAGAATCGGCTTTGACTGAGACTGCCAGGAAGTGACGCCTGGGGCTCCTGCCCATTGATACTCAGGCATTTGATAGACTTTGGACTTAGGCAAGGGAGCGTTGCTATTTCCACTCGGTAATTCGAAGACTTTGGATGGTGGGGGTTCTGGCGCCCAGCCAGACACTTGCGATGGAGGTCTGTATCCACCGTTTCCGCTTGGTAGTCCTCTTGTCACACCAGTAACTGTCCCTCCGTACGTAACATTACCTCTGCTTGCGTGGTAGGAAGAAGGTGTGGTGAGAGCAGACTGATTGCCGCGACCCCAGCTATCAGTGCGATCAGCTGGCCACCCTTTACCTAAACGAACACTCTATGTGTATCACCAGTATATTTGTTGATAGTGCTTATATTTATCGATTACCACTACTTATCACTACGAAATCGTTTACCTCTGTCTCGTCGTTTGTCTTCTTGTTCCCTGCGTTTTGTTTCTTCGCGATGACGTTTTCTTTCTTCTTCCGATCTTCCTTTTCCACCTCTGTTTCCCCGCTTCCGAGCTTCTTTCTTTGGCTGCTCAGACTCTTTCTGCTCAGCTTCCATCACAATATCGTAGGAATCGCGAAACTCGTAATAGGACTCTTCTTCGAGTGGCTCCATTTTACCGAGCTACAATCGGATAAATCATTTTATCTAGAACCGAATTCATTAAATTTCATGTCTCGTAGACTGAAGTTAATATCCGTTTCTTGACAATATGATCCAAGCAATCTTTGCCGGCAAAGTTCTCCGCTGCCCATCGAAGGGAATGCACATAAGATTTATCGTAATTGTCCAATGTTGGCAGTGTCAGTCGACAACGGTATTGTCTATTTTGAGGGCTTGGGTCAATTAGGGTCGTTTGAAATTTCGCTGGTTTGGGATGTGTTTCTATTCTTCGACTTTGCCACATTGAGAGAACGCATTTGAAATTGCGGTTGCCTAAATAATTTTTACAAAAAAGTTGGTCGAAGTAAGATTCTAACAGTCTTTACCACCGGTGATGTTGAATCTCCGATTCTTGTCCTGTGGCCCTCTCTGTCGGGATTCTAGGCTCTTCGACGTTATTTTTGACGTTTTACTTGAATCAAAGGATACTGGCAATCCAAGCGAAGCTGGATCTGGTTCATCATCTGGAATCAGAATTGGATCGTCGTTCTCCTCGAAGCCGGTCAGAATCTGGTCGGCTCTTGGGTCCGATTTCTTGGTCGATTCTTGGAATTTGATTTCAAGCGACATCCGAAAACCAAGAATCTTAACGAGTAATCAGAAGTCAATGATTCGTTAAGTTGAGTTTTAAAGATTGAGTATGAACAAATTTCACAGGTCCAATGCAGTTATCCACTGTGGAAACTCGGATTAACAGTGCTGCACCAAAGTTCAGTGCCCACCCATCGTTGTGACAAGACCTTATATATCACAATGAAGCACCGGGACGTTCAAGAACTTCACTTATTGCGGTTCACAAAATGCACCGAATCGGCGAGGTCGTATATTTCAGGAAACAAAAAGTTGCGTCACCAGAGATGATGGCGATAAAGATGACCTCCAGTATAAAGCCTGCGCTCCAGTGCCTCTCAAACCAGAACTTAAACCAATTTGCCCACTAAAACAGAAAAATAATGTCTGACCACGATCCCGAATATCCTTCAGAATCCCAAGATCAAACGGATGACAGCAACGAGACCATTTCCCATCGGCCTTTGACAACCGAGGAAGTTGCTGAAGAGTTAGAACAGGGAAATGCAGAGTATATCATGCACAGAGACATGATGTTCGACGACGAAAAAGCTCCGATCTCCTGAGAGAAATTCCCCGAATACGATCTTCCTCGAAATTTTCGAAACAACCTTTCTCTTGCTCACTTCCTGCACCGCAATCATTACTTTTCTGTAACATTCATGGCTCCACCTAGTTCTTCCTCTCACTTCCACTTACAAATTTTTCCTGGTGAAAAATCGCACATCAAACATCCTACAAGTTAAACGCTATAACATAAATTTCCTGGTGAAAAAAAAACAAGACCGATAAACAATTTTTAGCTGTGTTCTTCGATAAATACAGTAATTGGCAGAGCTAGCATATTCTAGCTAGATTGTCCAGTTTGTCGAAGGTTTTTGTTTGTTTTTTATTTTCATATTTTTTCATGTCGGCGTCTCAGTTGTTTTTCTGCAAGGATTGACGGAGATGCTCCCTGAAAAATTACACTTAATACAACAAGTGTACAACAAGATAGTATCTGCCATAAAATTTATCTCTTTGCATCAAGAATTTCGATCAAAGGCGGCTAATGAAGCATTTACAAAGAAAATAGCCATTTTCCGCCTTTGGCATTAATAAATGATGACAAATCTAAACAGTTCGAATCTTACTTGTGGAGCGCAGATCCGTAGTAAGATTCAGCTCCCTCGAATTCATCTTCTTCATGTCGTCGAATTCCTCGGCTTGGTGTTCCGATCAAAACTGGAGCTGACGAGGCAAAGTTGTCGTTTTTGTCGTATGGGTTGCTGGTGTTGGCTTTTCCAGCCTTGAATTGTTCATTGAAATGCAAGATAGAGAATGGATGCTCTTACCAATTGTCTGGGCTTGGATACTTCTTCATCGAACTCGTCTTCGTTCTCGTCAATGTCGAGCCCGTCTATGTCGAGAGCATCGACGGGATCATCATCGGACAAAGGCTCATCTTAATTGGGTCATCTGACATCGACAAAACAAATTAAAATAGAAACATCGACGAAAATGCTCTGATAATAATACTAACATCATTCAAACCCTAACAAAGTCAATGTCCGCTTCCTTCGATTTCGTCGAAATCAAATGATTCTCGGGAATGTTTTCAGTGCCCCAAGTTGGCACTGACTGCGCACCGATTTCTAGCCCGTGCATGTTGCCACTAAAATTGTTCTGAATAGACAATATGTATCTTGACTACTTACCGGCGCATTTGCTGTCCTTTGACCATTGCTTCCAGAGAAGGAGTGCTGTAGGAGAACTGCTTGATTCCGTTCATCGTGGCCTGCATGTCGACCGACATTCCGGTATCAAGTTCAAATCGTGCTACGGCACGTTTGAGCATGCTCCACGACTCTCTCGACATTCTTTAAGATAAATCATTGTTGTCATTTTTTATTGCCGGTAGTAAAGTTACCAGAAAGTTGAAGCTGTAACAAAGGTAACAAAAAGATGTACTTAATTTTTACTGTCTTATGTCTGGTCTTTCTCGTTGCGATTTCTCCGGTAATCTTTTGAGAAACGCTGTGCTCGCATAAAACTGACAAATGGAGGAATGGTGATTTATAGCAAAAATGCTACAGCATGTTTTTGAAAATAAAAATATTTTCCAATTGGATTTTTATAAGTGCCGCGGTCCACTGGACAGAAAATGTGGTTCGATCTTTATTTTGCATATTATTTCTCTATATTTACCCCCATCCCTCAAATATGAAAAATTTTCATTGGCCAAAGGGGAAAAGAAAAATACATCTATATTTATAAATTACTGTTGTGGTGAAATATGTCGACACTTATCAATCGCTGGCGAGCGAAATTAGCCGCCGCTACGAAATCAATACGCCGGTAGGCAACACTGAGTCCACCAATTTCCAGCATAAATCGTGGAAATGCCGCCTCAGCGCAATTTATAAATATCTCCCTGAAATCCTTTTGTGAAGAAAGAAATCGCTAAAGCAGCGCTTTTTTAACCCTTTTGTTCATTTAATTTTTCCTCTGGCAGTATCTCCAAGGAAGATTCAGTCTTTCAAAGTTGTTGGAGGAAAAATTTGAGTTGTTTTTTGGGATTTCTTTTTGAAGATTTTTTTTCTGTTCTTTCAGTTGTCGAAGTCGGAGTTGGAGCATCAGTACATAGGCGCGTGGTTTGAAGATCGAGGTTTCTTTATCTTTTCGATATTTTTGTTGATCAGGTCAGCTAGGGTACTGAGGAAGAGGGTTGAAAAATGCTTTATAAACAACTCGAATTCGTATTATTCATCGTCAAATTGTGATTTTCAACCCCAAAACAATGATGATTTCTAATTTCGGACAGCATAAATCGCAGCGAAACGAACTGCTTCGTGTCCAACTCCTGGATGCATCTTTTGTAATCGGCGATTTGCGGATACTTGACGCACTTTGACAACATCTTCCCTCTGGTACAAGTATTTAGCATCTCTATTCTCTCTGGGTCCTACCTCGTCAAGTAGTATCGACTGATCTGGTCGAGATACTGCGCGCACTCAGCTTCGACCTGTCTTAATTCAGCGAGAGTGTCTTCTTGAACAGAGACGCCGAAGTTGTTTCCATCCTCGATTTTGGGAACGAGGAGAGTAATCCAGATTCGAATATTCGCCGAGTGCTCTGAATAAAGCCGATTGAAAGCGATCCTGAAAGGATGAATGTAGATTTACCCATTAAACTGGAGACTTCGGGCTTCAACTCGTCAATCAACTCCAACAAGATTTCATTCGACTTTAACTCAACTAAAATAATGCTAAAAAAAGAATTTTTAAATAATCAACCTGATGGTCCATTCTCCGTTCTTGTTCTCTTCGTTGGTGGCTCATCTCCAGCCTCTCCGATTCTATTAGCAACTACTGCAGTGTTTCCAGCACTGTGGACTTGATTGAGCCGATCTAGCGACCATTTCTCTGAGTTGCAGATTTCGTCCAATTGCGCGACCTTCGACGGGAATTCCTAAAAACCAAATCTGTTTACAAAATCGAAAACTTTCATCATAATAACTTTCACGGCTTTGTTACGTAATCAGTCTAGAAGGGATGAAAGAGAAAAAAACAAACCTTTGAGATAAGTGCTTCCGATTTCTCCGAAATTCGTTTGTGAAACTCCTTTATCTCTGGAATCGAGCTGTAAGCCATTCTAAACTCGTCTGTGAAGGAGGATAATCGAATGAATTTAATTTATTAGAATGAATATACTGTACTACAAAGGCTCATTTACAAGTCTACAGAAAATCTCTAATGCAAGAAAAAGGGACTGAAAACGGAAAATATGAAATATTCTCTTCGTTGATTTCACAAATAAAAATAAAACAAAGGGAGTAATTTAGAACTTTTGAAAAGTTTTAAACTGAAAAAGTAAAAAGCAGGGGTTGGTTCTAAAAGCAGAATGCCCGGGGAAAGATAAAGATGAATCGAGAATAATCGAAAGTTATGCAAAAAAGCTAGAAAAAATATGGAGATGCTGGGAATTGAACCCAGGACATCTCGCATGCGAAGCGAGCGCTCTACCCCTGAGCTACATCCCCCTGTGGAAGCGGCGCTCCAGGAGTACTAATTATTTCATGTGGAAGCATTCAGGGTAACTATACTTTTCTTCACGCATTCGATAAGCAAGAAACAGCCAATTGAATTGACGTGGAATTTGGTGACCAAATTTTGGCCAGTAAATTAGTTATTTCTTATTTGAAAAATATCAATTTTCAACTAATTTTGTAATCCTAATTTTGAAGAACTTACAAATAGTCGTGAAGAATACTGAATATTGAGCGGTTCTTGAAGAAAAACGAATCAACAATTATTATAATTTTATTTGAAAATAATTATTTCTGAATTTCATCTCGCTATTTATGCTCTTATCTCGCGGCATTCCAGACATCAAGCTCTCATCATTTCTTATCAAGCTTGGGAATAAACCCGATTCATTCTCATGAAGAAACTTCAAAACAGATCATTACATAACTTTCCGAAGAACCAGGGTTCTTTCTACTTTTTGACTCATAAATATTGCACTACTGTAATTGTTACTGTAACTGATAAATAGTAACAATGGGTGTAACGATTTTAAATTGAACTCAAACTTGGAAATTTACGTTTTTTTATATATTTTTTTAATTGGACGTATTTTTGAATTGCACACAGTTGCCCAGAACGGCCGTCAGAAGAAGATAGTAAGGTATAAGATAAATAAAGAATAATGTGGTAGAACAGAAGAATAAGGCATTTCTCCGGTGAAGGCGGGATAGTCTTTGAGTCTGGAGTCACAATCACCCCAGAATGAATAGTTGTTGGAGGTCGCGATAATTTGCATTTACATGATGATGCCGGGCTCGGGAACCGACTCTTTGATCGACTTGTGCGGCAGGACACGGACGCCGTTGAGGTACATTTCGTCGCGCACTTTCACGTCCTTGCCGAGGACGGTGACGTTCTCCAGTCTGGTCCAGGAGCCGACTGTTGATTCCCAGCCGACGATTGTCGATTCCATCCACGCGTGTGCCTTCACTTTACTGTTGTCCATCACAGTAGATCGCTACAAACAAAATTGGAGATTTTCTTTGTCCCTAATGCATACCTTGATTCTGACTCCATCTTCAACAACGACACCAGGTCCGAGAACAACATTGGGGCCGATTCTGCAACCGGTTCCGATTTTGACAGAAGGGTGGGCCAGGACGTTGCCTTCAATTCCATCCCCGCTGGCGAGAAGATCAGGGGACTAGAAAAACACTGTTGGAAAAGAAAAAAAGACTGTTTCTTACGTTTTGTCTGAGGGAATTGAGCTTCAAGCACATTCCAGTAAGATAGTCCTTCGGCTGTCCAACGTCCATCCAGAAGCCCTCCAATTCGAGGCAGTGAAGTTGCTTCTCAGAAGTGAGCTGCGGGAAGATGTACTGCTCCATAGAAGTGGGCTGAAGAATGTTAAAATTGGGAATCTTAACGGGGCTCGAACCTTGTTTGGAATTCGATCGAGCATCTTTTCGGAGAAGATGTACATTCCAGCGTTGATCCTGTTCGAAACAAACACTTGCGGCTTCTCCACGAAGCGGTCAATAAGTCCCGATTCCCGGTCGTAGACGACGACACCGTATTTCGATGGCTCCTCCACCTTTGTTACGACGATGGTACCTTCTTTACCGTGTTTCTATTTTGTTGATCAGACGAGATTAAACGCAAAGTGTACCTGATGGAACTCGAGCATGCTCTTGAAAGGAAAGTCAGCAGTGACATCAGCGTTCATGACGAAAAAGGGCTTGCCATCGTTTCCTTCTTTGATGAGGTCTCGGGCGAGGGCGAGAGGACCTGCAGTGTCCATCGGAACTGTTTCATGCGAGAAGGAAATTTTGATTCCAAGACGGTCAGCGTGATGGCCAAGCTTTTCCTGCAACATGTCGGACATGTAGCTATAAGAGCAGAATACCAAACTGATGTTAAAAACGAATATCAAACCTGACAGCGAGGATGATGTGGTTGACTCCAGCGGCGACAAGAGCTTCGATCTGATGAAGCATCATCGGCTTGTTGCAAAAATCAACAAGTGGTTTTGGGCAGTCCAAAGTGAGTGGCCGAAGCCGAGTACCAAAACCTCCAACAAGAATAACTGCCTTCATCTAAAAACTAACATGAAAACATCTGATAATTTGATAATTTCAAAATTATACTTTTGTAGCTTAAAATTTTTAAGAAGGCAGTGAGAAACCACTAGAATTAATGAAAGCAATGTCGAAAGAAAAGATTGGAAAAGAAACGAAGGGAAAAATAGGATTTTACATATGTTTGCTCAAGCAGTTACTGTAATCGAAATATTAAAAAATACATAAAAGAATCTTCTGGCAAATAATGAGCCAAGAAGTTTTTAGGTCAGGGTTATAGCAGTGTTTGTTTTAGCATTCAAATGCAAAGAAGGCTAATTATCCGATTTCCAAATTTTTACTAATTTATCTCCTTCGAGGCCGCCAGAAGCGATCATATTTTGATTGGGATGCACTGCGGTGCAGATCACTACATCCTCGTGCCCTTCAAGTTTTTGGACGATCTCCTTTGTTTGCAAGTTCCACAAATAGACCTTTGTATGGCTAGTAAATTATCCTAGTGTCGGGCAACAACGCTCAACTGTTTTGGGAGACAACAATGAGTACCGAAGCTCAGTTTTACTAGGAACAACGGAAGAGTTCGTGACTAAGTATTGGTGCAAAGAACAATAAAATGAGTAAAACTTTAAGATCGTTTAAACATCCGGATCGTGAATCGATAAGAACAATCGTTAAAAATATCTTTAGACTTAATTCTTTTGATCTTTTTGATCTCAAGTAATAACGACTCCTTTTTTATAGTGAACATAAAATTGGTGACTGCTTTATGTACTTACATTTGATTGTTTTAAAACTCAAACGATCTCGTTCCAAATTGGCGGAAAAAAGTTCAAAAAGTATGAGTCGTTGGTTGAACGCTCGTTATTTTCAGACTAGCCGGCTAGTGCGAAAGGGTTGGAGAATGAATACTGCCGCGGGCAAGCGCAGTACTTCTGAGCGCTTTTCCGGCGGATTTTTATTGAACGACCGCGGGCTTATTGGAGCGTTTCGTAATTATTGTCTTCTGCCTAGGCTCATTAAAGCCGGCGCAAAGCTCAAACAGGGTTATTAAGTCGGCCATAAAAACCGATGAGCTTTTGAAGGTAATGCCCCATGATAACAAAGTGCCTAAATGGGCGTTGCCAGATCGAAATTTTAAAAATTAATTACATTTCGAAGCCATTCCTTATTATCTTCTGATCCAGAAACAATCCATTTTCCTCCCGTGACGGAAAAATTAGCGAAAATGCAATACTTTTTATTCTGATGACCCGAGTACTGTTTCAAACAGCGGCCTTTACTGTAGTCCCAGAGTTTCAGGGTGTTGTCGAGTGTTGCCGCAAGAATGTACTTTCCGTTTGGTGAGAATTTTACGTAGCTAGAATTCGATTTATCAAAATAAATATGGATGAATTTATTATTGATTACCTAACAGGTGGATTTGTTGGATCATTGTCAATTAATGTTTTCAAACACTGGCCGGTCGAAGTGCACCAAATACGGCAGAGTCCGTCGTAACTTAAAAAACGATGTGATTAGTTACGAAATGTTGTTCATCAAAATTAGCAATTCCTTGGCGGAGAGCCAAGACTACTGGGGAGAACACGACGTTACCTGGAAGAAACGATGAGCGAGCCATCCCGGTTAAAGTGTACCGCTGAAACCGGGTCCGAGTGAGCTGGAAGACACTTCAGTGCCATGCCAGTCTTTACGTCCCAAATTCGCACGGACTCGTCAAAGGAGCCAGAGACGATGAGCGAGCTTTGTGGGTTGAAGCCACAGCATAACACGTAGTTTGTATGACCCTAAATTTAGCACTCACAAATGAGTATTTCTTTCCAAACTCGCCTTGAGAGTTTTGAGACATTTCCTTGTACCGACGTCCCAGATCTTGACTGTTTTGTCGTCTGAAGCAGAACACAAAAGGGTCGAATCGTTTGACCAGGCGATTTCGCTAATTCCCAGCTTGTGCCCAGCTATCACCGCTTCTATATTTCCATCATACTAAACGACGCTAGAATGTTGATAGAGAGGGGCTTCTCTTACCGCATTCCAAATTCTAATGGTTCGATCAGCACTTGCCGAGGCCAACCAAAGGCCATCTTCTGAGAATTTAACGCTTGTAAGTGTTTTATAAAAAAAATTCTATAGAAATTTTTATCGATACTAATTTATAAACACCTTCCAAGAAATCGCTTTCGTATGGCCTTTCAAACTCAATACGCATTTGTAATTTGGCGGTGCAACTTGTTTCGAGGCGGGTTTTGCTGGAGCTGTTGACATTTTTTACTTCTAACCAGACACAATCTCAATAATCTAAGTTGTTGTTAATAATACTTTTCAATCTTGAAGAGATACTGAAGTGAAGAATACTACCAAATTCTCAACAGAAGGTATTTTTTCTTTGACAGTTTAGCTTGGGTTTGCGCCGCTTTTTTGCTTGAGAGGAGTTTCAATTGTAATTAAAAGAAAGATTGTAGTTGAATGAATTTCAGTGGTGTGAGTTGGCTTGTAATTCAATTTGAAAAATAGAATAGAAGAATACGAACATAATTTTGAAATTCGTCATGAATCATGATTTGTGAACTCGTGTTTTGGGCAATGGACTATTCGGCAAGGTCAATTATGGATATGGAAGCTTTCTTTTCATCGGATGTTTTTTCAGATAAAGATGGATTTATGATCATATGATCAATAATAAAGAATGAAGATCTTGACTCGTCGGAACAAAAAAAATGAGACATGTTTTGGGCTGCAAATTTATTGTTTTAAAAAGTGCTGCCTTTGAAACAATGATTTATTACAGATGTTGTTCTTTTTTCTTTTTTATTTAACCTTGGAATAATGAAGAGTGTTTACATGTATGTAGGGAGAATGTAGTGAAAAGGAAATTTGACTATGGTGACGGTTCTCGTATTCAAAAAGGCTAGAAGAAGAAAAGGGAACGGCGGAGGGATGGCAGTTGGTGTACGAAGCATGCATAAAATTGTACCTAATTTACACAACTTTTTCTAGTAGTTGGGTACAAATTACGCCGTGTCCATTGCTTCAGCCCCTAAAAATTCTATAAGAAAAACTAACGGGTGGGGTTTACTCACCGTTCGATTTGTAATCTTCTTTATTACGTCTTCCACCTTCGCCTTCGTCTTCTGAATCGGAGAATTCATCGTCGCGATCGATTCTAGCGTCTCGCTCTCCAGGTTGAATTCTATACGAAAAATATCGTAACAACAAAAATAGCCCTTGCTTTACCTTATATCTGGGTCGCCTTCGGATCGACCTTTAGTGGACTCGTTGACAGTAACACCATCAGGAAGTCGATCATGCATCTGAAACATATTTCTACGGAGGAAGAAAAGTTAATGGTGTACCTGGACACTAGGGGCATGTGGCAGTGCTTGGACGCGCTTTTTTTAAGGTTGGGCAAGTTATTTCACCCACATTTTGATTTTAAACCGTGGAACACCATACATATTTGGAATCAGCAGGAAATTTTAAGAACTTTGACGGTTTTAGTTTCCAAAATTTCCACTTCCGGTCCGATTCTAGAGCCGGAAGTTGACGAAATTTTTGAGTTTGGCCAACTTGTGACCTATCAAATTGATTCTCAGACAATTTCCTATCATCTGAGAGAAGAATCAATGCCGACCGCGATCAAATCAACCGCTAAAAACTGAAAGAAAAATCAGAAATTTATGCCTTTTTTCCTAGTTTTGCCGGTCGGTTTGACTGCGGTTGGGACGGTGTTTTTTTAATGATTTTAAGATGAGTTTACTCAAAATTTTCTGAGCATCAATTTGATAGGTCACAAGTTGGCCAAACTCAAAAATTTCGTCAACTTCCGGCTCTAGAATCGGACCGGAAGTGGAAATTTTGGAAACTAAAACCGTCAAAGTTCTTAAAATTTCCTGCTGATTCCAAATATGTATGGCGTTCCAGGGTCTAAAATAAAGAAATGGGTGAAATAACTTGCCCAACCTTAAAAAAAGCGCGTCTTGGAGATTTTGGAATAGTCTCTCTTTGTTCTTGTCGAGGTACTCGTACGAGTTCTTGTTCTCGGAGTTGCTAGAAAGAATTATCGTTATTTGGGATCAAGTGAGGTTGGTGTTACTTAGGCTGAATGTGAAGCTTGAAGTCAGGCCCGAAGTACTCGAAGTAATCGTTGTATGGAAGGTCATTTGCTTAATAAAATGTATAAATATTCGGAAGAGAAAATTATTATTCTACCTATTTCCTCCCCAAGAGCGGTAGCGGTTTCGTACGTCCAACATCGTGCCACATTCCTATAAACGTTCATAAGGACTTTTTGTTTCTAACAAAAACTGGAGTTCAATGATGAAATTATCATGTGAGCATAAGCTATCTAAGTAAGGATACTAAAATCAGAACCACGAGACTTATGTTCGTCTTTTTGTCCCTCAGTTTGAACGGCCTAACGAGAATTGATCTTCTCGGTCGGTGGTAAGCTGAGGTAGAGTATAAAGGAGTGATAAGTGAGCCATGTGATAGGGTTTCCTGGATGATTATGGTTATGTCTGTACCTGATTGTGTATCCACCTCCACCGAGTAAAAGAAGGGGCTTGTTGAATTTGAGCATGAACTCGACGCATTTTGCGTGGCCTTTGAGAGTCAAATTGAAGCAGCCAAGTCGATCCTGGGTGAGAGAATCAGCACCGCACTGGAGAACGATTGCTGAGGGTTGATATCGCTCCATAACTTTTCCCAGAGTAGCCTAAACAAACGATGAAAGTTAACCAAGCGTCTAATAAACTAAAATTCCCGATTAAAAATTGGCCAGGTGCTCAAGCGGGTGGCCAATCTAGCCGTGGTCTTTTTGTAGTGACCTAGTTATCTCTATCTGATCTCCAATTAACCCATGCTGGGCGCGCCATCTGAAATCGCGGCGTGTGCACACCTGCCTATAGCACCACCACGCGCGAAAATATATAATCGGACATGGAATCGTCACATTTAGAAAATTTAGAAAATACAAAATTCATAAAAATGCCACGTGATCGATTAAATTCCGCTCCAGATCGACTAGAGGTTTCAAAAGAAGAAATGATCCAGCGCCGTCTCATGAAAACTCGTCATATCGAGACTCAAATGCGTTCTTCAGCTAACATGGAAGATCTTGCAGAAGTGCCAGGGCTAGAAGAGCCGGGAAAATATGTTTGCAAAATTTGTGATAAGAGATTTTTCCACAAAAGTGCCCTGGAGACGCACAAACTTGTTCATTCAGAGCACGATCTTAGCTCATCTTCCGAGGGATCGATTCCTTCGACGCCTCAAAAATGCAAGATTTGTAAGAAGAAATTCTCCTCTTCCGTGAAAAGAAGACTCCACGATATGAAATATCACGGAGAAGATATGGAAAGAGAAGTTTTAGCTGTATTTTAGAAACATGCATTATCTGTATATATTTTAATTTCCATCAAGTTCATAATCCCATTTTGTGAATAAAAACATTCAAAGAAACCCTTTTGCCTCTTGTTTTTACCTGGAAAAGGTTGATGAAAGAGTCGTCATCCATGCCATCTCTTAGAGGAAAGTTGAGGGAGTAGTATTTGCCCTTGGCTGCTCCAATATCCTTGAGATCTCCTGTGCCAGGGAAGTACTCGCCGTACTTGTGGAAAGAGACGGTCATTACGCGGTCGGTCGTGTAGAACGCTTCTTCAACTCCATCACCGTGGTGGATGTCAATATCGATGTAGAGCACTCGTTGATGATGTTTCAGTAGCTCTAGAATCGCGAGAACGATGTCATTGACGTAGCAGAACCCGGAAGCTTCAGACTTCTTTGCGTGGTGAAGCCCACCAGCCCAATTGACAGCCACATCTTTTAGGCAATGAATGAAAAAAGCAAGGTCTGAAGAGAACTTACCTGTGTGATTTCTGTTGAGCTTGACTGCTCCGGCAATGGATCCACCGGCGGAGATCTGACAGAATTCGAAGAGACCGTCAAACACTGGGCAATCTTCTCCTACGTTGAATCGCTGCATACTTTTTGTATAATCGTTCATATTATCCGGTCGAATGTTCCTACAGATGGTTAAGATGAGGGTCAAACTGTGGGTTTCGAAAGAAAATGTGCTGATTACTTGAGGAACTTGATGTAATCATCGGAATGGAACTTGGTCATGTCCTCTGCGGAGGTCTTGGAAGGCCGGAAGATCTCCATCTTTCTGTAGAGACCGTAGTTGACGAGCAAATTGTGGGTCATGCGAATTCGGTGGGGCTTCATGGGGTGCCCCTGCCCGTAGTAGTAGTTACCGACGTCAGAGTCATAGTAATAACAGACCTTCCGTCTATGACTGAGCTCGTCTGTCATAGTCTAAAATACACAAATGGTCTCTCTTGCTTTGTAAAATATTTGTTTATTTTGTATAAAACTAAAGCGGAATCCTCAAACGCGGGTATTCAGTGAAAAAATATAAAAAAATAATTCCAGATAAAGATAAAAAAGTAACCACAATCGAAAAGTTAAAACTCAAGGCTCATTTTGTTTGAATCATTTGAATTTTTGAATTGCATAGAAAGTGTTACTGCAACTACCAGTAATCATAACATAAACAGTATTAATATTATACACACATGATACAAGTTAGTACAATTATAATTGTGAAGCACGCGTCGGGTAGGTCTGGAATGCTTATGAAACAGAAATTGACAAGATTTGATAACATTTTTGGAAAACTTGAACTAGTTGTGTAGTAGGGAAGACGGTTATTTCCAGGGCTTGATATTCGAATTTGAAGTGGTCGTCATCAATGAGGCACGACTGCGCGATCTCGTGTCTAAAATTATTGATTTTTAGAAGATGAAATAGACGGAGAAAAACTTAGAAATCGTCATTTTCGGAGTGCTGATTTTTAATTTCAATGTGCAAAACAATACTGTAGGTATACCGTACATCTATACGATGAGAGAGTACTCCCGCCATCTAAAAATTGTTGTTTTAACGGAGGCGACTTTTCGGAGCTTCCCCTTTTTCTTACCGATTTTCGATTTTGAAAGGCGACTGCCGGCGTCAGAAGGGGCCATCAGTAGCTCGTCCAGGGCCTCAGACAGGGCTCCAAGATGCTCGTGTGTGAATCGTTTTAGCGCCATATCGGCGGGTACCTGTTTTGCTTTGTTGATCATTAGCTCTGAAGTCTACGTACCTTGTTTTTGGGATTGTATTTTGTTTTACCGCTTCTCAATTTTGTTTTTCCATCGAGCGACATAAACGCTTCCGCGGGAAGACTGCCCGTCACAAGTCCGTTGGGCAACTTTTGGGCGAGCACGCGTAACCCTCCCGAAAGCTGAAAAGAGCGATCTTGATAAAGAAGAAAGAAAGGGAATGATGTTATTCGTTATTGTACTTACAACAAAAACGTTTTCGAAGCCGCGCTGGGCCATCGTTGTTGCACATTCGGTGGCGATTAGCTCGTCTGTGTCGTAGAGGACGATGATGTGCCCTTCCAGGTTTTTGAATTGAAGCATCTACGCAAAGGTTAAAATGGGAGACTTTTTGGGTCTTACCTGATTGCTAAATGGATTCATCGTCCTGGAGAAGTTGGTATGCGGATAGGACTCGGCAGTGATAATGTGGCATTGTTGAAAAGCGTCAGAATCTCTGACATCGACGAGTAAATATGGACTGAAACAAAAGAAGTCAGAACGGCCCTTTCATAGTGCGGTTAAGTTTACGTTGAGGAGTAGGGAGTGTGTTCTTTTGGCAACTTTGGTTTCGGTGGAAGTTTCAAATTCTCATTTTGTTCTTTCAAATTCAACTCGCCGGTTCCTCGGATAACATCGAGGAAATTTGGCTGGCGAGGAGTTGTTTCGACTCGTTCGACGATGTCGTCCTGCACTGGAGCTTCGTTTTCTTCCGACTCGTTCATCATGTTCACTTTATCAACTAAAGAAAAGCATTGAGAGCGGGATAATTAAAGTATGAGCATACCCTCAAGAACAAGCGCCGCAAAAGTCGACAATTTGAGTCTTTTGAAGAGCTCTCCCCTCTGAATTCGAAAATTGGCTTGAATGTCCTCCACCTTCGCCAAGTGCTTCGACATTGACGCGCCTGAAATAAACTAAAGTAAAACAAGAGATTTACAGTGCTTCTGTACCTGTATCGACCCGTCCTCTCACATTCGACCATTTCGCCGAGCGAGGAATCCTTTTCTCAAGCAGTTTTGAGTCACCGATCGCCTTACTCATTTCTAAAAAAACGAAAAAAATAAATGCTGAAAATCTCAATGAAATAGTGAATGTGAATTCCATTCCTGGGAAAAATATCAGTCTTAGATTAAAGACACACATGTCAAGATAAATGCCCCTCTCGGCAAATATCTCCATCACAATTTTTTTCCATGGTCTTTTTTCTTTGTGAAAATTTACGATCTTTGCGGATAATCCTATGTGGGAATTTACGAAACTTCCTTAGAGTAAAAAATGTGAAGAAAAGTGCCAGGAAATGTGGTTTAGCGTAATTTTTTTCGATTTTTCGCCCCACTAGACTATCAAAAATGATAATTTCTTGAGGGATGTTCTTCTGGAGAGATTTTTATTCGGTATTTTTACTCAAAAAGTTAGCCTCAGATATTTTCGAGGGGATTTTTCGATGAAATTAGAATACGTTTTTTATGAAAATTTATTTGAGTGATTTTTAAGTTTCTATATATTTATCGTTCTTGTTTCTCTGGTTCGCGAATGTCAAGTCTGTATTTCTGCAGTTTTCAATTTTGGCTAAGTTTGGAGGAGGAGCGGGCCGCGAGTCCGGAGGAGTTAGAGCGCGCGTTGAGTTTCCGCGTTGATTGGTTGCTAGGCAAAAAAAAGCAGAAAAGAATTTAGCGCGGCCGTCGCAAGAAAATCTCTCGCTCCAGCTCAAGCCACTGGCTCAAGCTCAGCTCAGTGGCCGAGTCGGCTCTAGAATCGAAAAAGAGGAGTAAATCTATAACATTGTCGTAGAGAAGCGCTCTAAGGAAAGGATCTTACTTTTGAAAAAGGAAAAACTATAAGAAGAAATTCTTGAAATTGAAATGCCGTGAAAGAAAGAATATCAAATCTAGAAAAGAGTTAATTAGCAGTCTTGAGAGCCCTCAAGAATTAAAAACTCCGGTTTCAGTTTTTCAGACGATTTTTATTGAAAGGATCCTCTCTAGTAAACCGACAAAATGTTCATTTCAACGACTCTTACATTTCTGAGTCTGCTGGTCTTCAGTGGATTTCTGGAAACGCTAGTGAGAAGAAAAAAGCGTGCTGAAAATCAAAATCCGCAATTTTTGTCGTTTCAAAAAACCTATCTTGCTACTCAGTTTGTCATTCTTCTTGCAGATTGGCTGCAAGCACCTTACAACTACAAGGTAATTCTTGATCGGTTTATTGAAAGAGGAAATAAAAACAATTCTAGCTTTATTCTTCGTATCGTTATACAGAGCAGCAGATTGTAATTATCTTCGTTCTTGGCCATGCAATCAGCATCATTCTCACTCCTTTTGCGAATTACGCGGCTGATATGTACGGGAGAAGGCTGATTGTTTGCCTCGCCCTGGCGCTTTATTCTCTTTCTTCCCTTCTCAAGGTTGTCAACGATTACTCAACGCTTCTCATTTCTTCAATTATGGCATCTTGTGCTTCTTTATTGGTAAGAATATATCATAGTTTAGGTTTTATAGGATAGAATTCTAGGCATGGATATATTGTCTGACAGGCAAATCGCTTCATTTTATACTTTTAGAAGTAATAAAACGTATCCAGTTGACGCTTGAGTATGAATAAAACAAAGTGTAGCTCTATTTTAATAGTACAGTTTTTTCTCTGAGATGTCTTTTATATCAAAAAACCGATCTATTATTGAGTTCATGCAAACAGTAAAATAGTTCAATTGCACCCTACTAATAGTAGGCAACTATTGCAAACAGGGGCGCGCAGGACCGATCCATCTGGGAAGTTACCAAAAACCGTTTCATGACTGTAATTTTAGATATTTTCTTCATCGCAAGGATGGTACACACACGAGCATATCGAAAGCCACGATTTCCCTATGGAATGGATTTCGGACACGCTTGAAAAAGTCTCTTTCTGGTCGGGCTCTCTCTCCGTCATTGCCGGTGTCCTCGCCTACTTCCTCGCCGATTTGTTTTCCTTCAACCCAGTTGCGCCCTTTTTAGCATCCATTCCTCTCATGGGTAATTTTATCTAGTTTCGAACTTTCATTAACGAACGGTTTTAGTTCTTGCCCTATGCATGTGCTGGTCGAATTGGTGCGAAAACAAAAGTCTCAACCGCAGCGTCAAGTTCTCCAAATCATGCGTCAATGGAATTCGGGAAATCGTCAGCAATCGAGCTGTCCTTCTCTGCGGAACTCTCCAGGCACTCTTTGAAGCCGTCATTTCCATCTTTGTCTTTTTATGGGTAAGCTTTCTTTCTTCGATTCCGATTTGAACTGCTTACTTTAGACACCAGTTCTAGACAAGCACGGACCACCACTTGGTTTGGTCTTTGCTACTTTCATGGCAGCAAATTTAGCTGGATCCCGAGTCAATAGCTTGATGATCTTGAAGTACAAAAATATCTCTATTAGAGACACTCTTTTCGGTAATATCGGAAATTTTTATCATTCAATTATTCTTCTCTCAGTCGCCTCCTGTATTGGCTTCGGTTCGACAGTCGTACTGGAGTACACTTCGCATCCGGAGAAAAACTTCCCTGTTACGTCGTTTTTCTGCTTGACAGCGTTTCAATTCGCAGTAGGAATTTATGTAGGAGGTACCGAACCTATCAAATAAGCAACTTTACTTATCATTTTTCTTCAACAGCAATGGGTCCTCTTCAAAACGAATTGATCAAGCACAACGTTCGCACTGCTGTTTCCTCTTGGTTCCGAATTCCACTCAAGCTCATCGCATGCATCGGGTTAATTTCCCTCCATTCTGATGATAACTTCCACGGAACGAGGAAGCTCTTCCTTGGCTGTGCGATTCTGATGGCAATGGCGATCATTACGTCGATAATTCTAAAGAAGACGAAGCCACCAGCAGAAAAGGAGCCAACAGCTGAAACAGAAAGGCTCATCGAAAGCACTCAAATTTAGTATTCATCGATGCTTCATCATATTTAGTACATATTATTAACTACAAACAAACAAAAAACAATCATACTACTCGCCGGCTGACAGCAATATCACATGCACTTCTTTCTGTAACCCGTTTTATTTCCGATCTTATTTTTCCTAGACCCGCCTTCAAATCCTGCAGTTCTTGTCGGTGTTCAATTATATTTCTGTATTATTTAAATTACAAGCTTTAATTTTTATCCGCTTTCAGAAATAGGGAGCGATGGAGGTACAATATGTCTACACGAAAAAGAGGTCTGAGTTCGGAAGACATGCGAACTTCTCTGATAGACCAGCTGAATCTCATGTTGATATTGCTCCAGATCCGGAGGTCCGAAAGAATTTCCTTCACAGGTACGATTTGTTGAGTCTCTTGCCTCCCCAATTATTCAATAAAGAGACCCTTGCCATGCGGAAGTACAGGCATCGTACCCAATGTCCGAACATTACATCAACACAGAAGTAACTCAGACAGTTTCAACCGCGTCAAATCACGTTGAAGGCGGCTGGCCAAAAGACGTCAATCCAAACGAAATGGAACAAGTCGCCAGATATCGAAAGAAAGTCGAAAAGGATGAGGCGTATATCCAGACGATTTTGAAGCTCGCCGCCATAGCTGAAGACGTGATTAGGTCAAATAATGCGATTGATATTTATGAGGACTACTCGTTTGAAGAAGAGGATGACACGGATTATGATGCGACCCCGCGTGCTAGGTTGAGTTCGAAAAGAACTGGCTAAATATTAATCTGGCATAAATTTTATTCGCTCGCTAATAGAAAAACGCAATTACAGACAACATGCCTTAGATGTGTAATTTTGCGTAATTTCGAATCCTGAAAAGAACGGTCAACGTATTTCGCGATCCTTGCGAAAAGAAGCGATCTGCTGTTCACATGTCCTGGCACCCCGACGGGGCAGAACGGCTCGTCGCTGCGTATTCCGACATTAGCTTTCAACAAGGCGACAGTGGCTTTTCATATGATTCGTATGTTTGGAACTCTATCAATCCTAACAAGCCCGAGATGATTCTCCGGCCACCGGCTCCTTCTGTTTGCGTTGAGTACAATCCGAAAGATGCGCACGAGATTCTCTCTGGTTTGAAATCGGGACAAGTCTGCATCTGGGACACGCGAAGAGGAGGTGTTCCAGTGATGGCTTCTAATAGAGATGTCTCGCATCGAGATCCCGTCCATTCCGCTCTTTGGATGCAATCTAAGACTGGGAAGGACTTTTTCTCTGGCTCAACTGATGGTTTGATCAAATGGTGGGACGCTAGAAAGCTCGATCAGCCGCTTGAGGAGCTCATTTTGGATGTGACGAAGAATATGGACATTTCTAAGGTAGGTCTTCGTCCTTGTTTTCAATCGCTCTATCAGTGACATTTTAGGCGCTTGGTTGCGTTAGCCTTGAGTTCGAGAACACGATGCCAACAAAATTCATGGTCGGAACTGAGCACGGTCGAATTATCTCCTGTAACCGAAAGGCGAAAACTCAACAAGACAAGATCGCTGCGGTATTCTCAGGCCACATCGGCCCCGTTTATTCCCTCCAACGAAATCCCGTGTTCCCGAAGATGTTCCTGTCAGTCGGCGACTGGTCAGCAAAGATCTTCAGCGAAGACATTCGAGACGCTGCTATTTACAGTACTCCAGTAAGTATTGAAAAGATATTTTTACAGTGTCGTTGTGCTGCTCATGTTGATTGAGCTCTCATGCAGCCGAATAACGAATATTTTCGTTGTTACTTCGAATTCTGCCTGACAGTAGGGAACAGTAATTGGGGCTAATTGCACGGCGTAGACGTTATCAGACAATTTAAAATCGTGCTAAAGAAGTTAGTTGTGAGCTTCTTCGCTTTTTACCTTGAATATTTTTGTCGAGAGAATGACTCTGTCCGCAGAAGATAATGTCATTTTCCACACTGCGTGAGCTGTCTGCGTCGATTCCGCGCAGATGATCTCCATCGCGACAAATTTATGCTCAATGCCCTTCTCGTCAATATTCACCATCGCCATTAGACTGAATTTACTCGGGGTCACAGCAGAAAGCGTACCGCGTCACTTACCGTAATTTCCCGCCTTCAAAATTGAACCAACTTGAAAAGTTTGAAATGTTGACTGATTTTTCAGTGCTGTTAATGACTTCGTGGTTCGATTCGGTCGGCCAATTCATCAGAATTTTCAGTTTGGCAGGTCGTTTGTATCGCACGCAGTCATTTATCTTGTTTCAAGATTAATTTTTACAGATGATTTTGTTAATGAATGCTTTTGAAAAATGCGATGAACAATTTATCCCTTGGTTTACCTTTGTTTCGATCCATTTTTCGTATCCACAAGCTTGAGAATTGGCAAGTTTGATTCTCAATGCTGCGATCGACTCTGTCAACTCATCGTTTTTCATAGAAAGATTGTCGATGATCGTTTTCAAGTACTTAGGACAGTCCTCCAAGTGCTGCGGAATGTCTTTCTTCGGAAGAACCTCCTCGCAAAAGTCGCACTGTTCCTTTCTACATTCGCAGACGTTCTATAATTAGATTTAACCTATCGCCCCTTTGCTTATTGATCGACTTACTTGGTGTTTCTTAAAGTTATCGTAATTCGTCACTATCGTACAGAGCGCATTCGGGCACGCGAGTTGCAAATCGCAAAGAATTTTGCGAAAAATCCTCGGCGGACGTTGACGATCCGAGAATTTATAGGCAGTCCGGCATTCAGGGCAAACCTTGTTCGCTGTTTTCTGAGTCTTATCCCATTGAAAAATGCAGCTGTGACAAAAGTAGTGCTGACACGATTTCAGTTCGACCGCATCGTCAAGTATGTCACTAGAAAAAGGCTCTTTCTTCCTTGATTTCAAGAGAAGGGGATATTTTACCCGCAGATAGAACAAAGACAGTTTTCTCTGATGAAAGTCATCGTCAAATTTGAATCATTTAGTCGAAACAGATTGAAGTCGATCCCCATGCTAATTATTTGTCAAATATCTTCATTTACTTCAACTAAAAGGAACCGTCTCTCATCGTCTCCTCCTCGATTCAACTTGCCATGAGGGAGGAGATTGCAATGAACGGCGCTCGAGTGCCAAATGTCACCATTAATTATATAAGCTTTTAGTGATGTAAAGTATCATTGTCAGAACATGAATTTTTTAGTAAGTAAGCATAAACATTACCTTTCCATTTCAGCGTACTTTTTGGTTAATTACCTTTTCTCTAAAAGAAACAATATCTTCTCCTCGATCATGAATATTTAAAAGTAAAGCTCTTTTTACAGACAAGTTCTTCCGAGTTCAGTCAGCAAAAGCTCTTTTCAGTCGCAGCAGTACAACTTCACATCCTCCTGCTGGTCCCCAACTCGTCCAGCCGTTTTCTACACATCTGATCTTTATGGACACGTGGATGTTTGGGATCTCATGTCTGGACACTTCAGCCCCTCTCTCCGAGTCAAAGTCAGCAATACAGCCATCAGAAATATCTCCGCGCATTCTAGCGGATCCCTCCTCGCATGTGGCGCCGATAATGGCGATCTGATTGTGCTGCGTGTTTCTGAAGGTCTCTCAACGGTAAGATTTATCGCTTTTTTCTAATAACTAAATGGCGAGCTCAGAAACAAAAACTAGAGAGAGAGACTTGCTCGGCTCTCTTTGAGCGAGAAAACAAACGAGAGAAGATCTTGGACTCCAGACAGCGAGAACTGCGACTGAAAGAGAGGCAACGATCCGGCCAAGTTCGCGACGAAGGAGAGACTAAAGAAGGTATGTGTGAAGACAGATAATATACAAGTTGTTAAACTAAAATCTGTTCTACACTTGCCCTTCTTTCGTTGTACAAATGCTCATTTTTTATTAAGAGGATGAAGATGGGGATATCAACGCAAACGTTATGGAGGACTTTGAGCGTCATCTGAACCAAGAAAAGAAGAAGCTCTCGCCCCTCGAGCAATCGCTAATGCTTAATCAAACAGAGTCTGCTAGTCACGAAGCCGCCGCACAAGAGATTGAGACAGATGAAAATGACGCGAACGCTGCAGCTCCTACTGAAGCTTGAAAACCCCTCCCAAATTAATATTATACTTACTTATAATTCCGGAATTGTACAAACTTTTCACTGCTCTACTACTTGAACCCTACTGCTCTATTTTTCTATTCTGCATATATATTCAATATATTTTCCTAATAATAAATTGACCACTGGCTTAATTATTTTTGATAGAACGATGTCAACGATATCGTACGCGGCGTCCGCGTCGGTTATCGGTTCCTCGATTCAGGGATATCGAAAATCGGACAAGAGCTCTCCAGTTTTGAGCAGCGCTGCCAGGCTTCACAAGGTAAAGACCAATTTCAGAGGTCATGGAAAATCAAATTGAATACTTTAGTATCTCCGACGTATTTTTCGAAAGAATCAAATGGACTTTGAATTTGCCATGTGGCAGGCCGTCTATTTACTCGTCAACCCTCAGCAAGTTTACCGCAACTTTGCTTACCGGAAGCAAACGAAGAATCAATACGCTCGGGATGATCCGGCCTTTCTCGTCCTCATTTCAATTATTTTGACTTTTACAGCAGGTGAGCTTGAAGCGAGAAGGTCAGAAGAAGACTGTGGTTTTCATTTTAGTGTGCTTTGGAATCGTGATGGGATTGGGGATGAAGGACATTCTGGAATTGATCCTTTGGGTGATCATTGTTGATTTCATTATCTCTGGCGTGCTAATTGCATCGGCCATGTTCTATTTTTGTAATAAGGTTAGACAGATCTAATAAACCAATTTGGCTAACTTAACTTTTCTTCAGTATCTGCGATTGCAGCCAAAAAGCCACGGAAACGAACTTGAGTGGGCTTATTGCTTCGACGTTCATCTCAATGCTACCTTTTCAGTGTTCACTATTCTCCATCTCGCTCAGGAAGGGACTCAAGAACTTTTCAACACTTCAGTTGGATTCTGAACATTTGATTTTCGCGCTCTTTTCGAAGCGCCTCTGATTCGTCAATATTTCCTCGAGCACAGTTCAGAATCAGAGCTTGTTAGAATTTCGTCTGGGATCGATGTTTTCCGCATTCCGTCGATTCATACTTTTGACAGAAGATGGAGAGATGGTCTGAGAGACTGCAGGACGTCAGGTGTCATCAAACCAGCGCGTGTATTTGATTGGACAATGAGCGAATTGAGAATCATAGAACCGCGCGTGTATTACATAACCACGGGAAACATAACCATTTCCAATTTATATTGATCGTTTTCCTAGTTTCCAGAGATTTTGATATTCAGAAGACGAGGAGAGATTTTACTACTTTTTTTTGTGTTTTCATCGTTTTCAAGCCAAAGAGCATACGTTTTTGAGTCCATTTTTTAAGCTTTTTGTCATCAAGATCGTCTTGCAACCCTTGCACTTTTCAACCCTTTTGGGAAACGCGTTCTGGGTGCTGAGCAGTGGCTACTACTGCTACATAACTTTTCTCGGGTATTCGACTCAGCCAATGCTGCAAAAGTCGACAGTTTTCTTGTATCCGATGGTGCCCGTTTTCGCTCTTTACGTTTTCAGTGTAATGTTCAACTGGAACTGGACCTCCAATCTCGTTTACTTTTACAAAACAAGACTTTAAAACAGATGAAACTGTGAATCACAGTCTCTAGAACAGCCCTCTTTTTCAACAAAAAACTCCTTCTTTTTTCTGTATTCAGCAGCTCCTAAGCATCTTTCCAACAATTATTTATTCTGTAAACTTCTTTTGATCAATGAATATTTATACATTTACCCCATGATGAGATTTTTATTTAGAGAAGTAGCCAGAACGCAGATATGATCATCTACAAGGATATCTTCTCCAACGATGAGATGGCCTCTGACACCTACCCTCATCGAGTAAGTTCAAAGTTCTTTTGACTTCCGCTTATTTCCTCGTTTAGATCATCGATGACGTCATCCTCGAAATCGACTGCAAGGTCATCACCTGCAAGCCCGGTGCCATCGACGAGGCCCTCCTCGGCGCCAACGCCTCCGCTGAAGGTGGCGATGATGGTGCTGATGATGCCGAGACCATCTCCGCCCCAGACGTCGTTCTTGCCAACCGACTCCAGGCCACTGGTTTCGACAAGAAGAGCTGGACCGTCTACATCAAGGACTTCATGAAGGTAAAAAAACAACAGCCTAGAAAACCGGACGATGATGATCTCGGAAGCGATTTGAGCACTAGAGTCATACTACTACTACAACTACTCTTTTGCCGTGAGCATTTTCCGGGTGTAACTAGCACCACTCTGAGTCTCTTCTAAGTAACCACTTCTTCGAATTACTTGACTCTTTAGTTCCGGCTATTAATTTTTTTATTGTAGCGAACCCTCAAGAAGCTCGAAGAAAACGGCGACCAGGCCAAGATCGATGCCTTCAAGAAGGGTGCCCAGACCGCTGTCAAGAAGATCCTCGGCTCCTTCAAGGACTGGGAAATGTACACCGGTGAGAACATGGACCCCGAAGGTTCCATCGCCTACCTTAACTACCGAGAGGACGGTATCACCCCATACATCTGGATGTTCTACCATGGTCTTGACGAGGAGAAGGTCTAAGGAGATTCTCTCAACTCTACCTTAGGTAAGACATCTTCAATTTTTCTAAATAATCATTTTTCTAGGACATCTTTTAATTTCGCCTTGGGCTCTCGTTCTGTGCAATTTCCACCTCCCGCAGCTCCACCACCGCTTTGGTGGACGCCCGGATGCTTCCTGTGACTCGACAATTAGAATCAAATAATCCCTGTATGCTCCGAAAACTTTATTCTTCTAAACTCAAAGCAAAACTGTCGCCATCTGGATCCGCAAAACCAAGACCTGGCTGTAGCCGAAATTTCGGCAAAAATCTATGTAGACTTATACACATTATCTTGCGTCTGTGACTCACAAACCTGAATTACAGTTCATGAAAAACAACCATCAAACAATATAACTCGCCAAGTCGGAATAAAACACAGGTCGATTAGGGCTCAAAGTTATTTCAAAGTATGTTTTTATTTGTTCGCAGAATTCTCGCAAAAATGGTTCTCGCAGGTTTTTTGTTTGATAAGAGACGTTACAAATTTACCGGGGCAAATGCGTCAAATACAGTGCTGTGATTGGCTGAATTAGGGACACGTAGCCCTTTGAAAAATGAAAAATCGCCATAAATCCGAAAATTTTTGAGATCTCGAAAATCTGAGATGATACAGGCATAGAGCTTGAGATTCTCTACCGATTCGTTTAAAGATGTCTGGGGCTACGACGTAACCCCTAGGCGCTAGAGCAATAGTAAGTTTGCCCCGGTAATTTTGTAACGGTTCTAAGTTTTTTTGATAGAACTCTAGTTGGCTTTTGGAAGTCGTGAATCAGTAAAACCCAACTTGGGATTCCCAAGAAAACGTCTGTAACGAGTGTGTATAGAATGGGGAAGGCAGGACACAGACCGGGACAATGGAAGCAGCAAAACAAGAAGCACAACACTGGAGCTCACAGAAGCAAAGGTGCCATTCGAAAATCGGTTTCTGGCCAAGTCTCCAGCAGCGGATCGATTCATTCGGGCAAGAGCAGTAAGGCCTCGAGTAAAATGGCTCGTAAAGCGTCGGCGCTCTCCTTCAGACACAAAAAGGTGCAAATTTACGCTTGTTAGAACACCCGATTGTAAAAACAAAAATTCAAAATAAACAGGAGTTGCAAATGAAAATAACGATGAAATTAGGAAGAAACAGCTCGAGTTGCTTACCGCCCAATTCATTTGATCTTCTTCCCTCTTGGAAATGATACAAGCGCGATGGAACTCGCGCATGCGAATCTTCAGTGCGCTGGAGCTTGTGAACCTACTGTAGGTGGAAGCTACCAGATTGCCCTTGATCGGAAGAAATTCAACATCACCAGGCCAAACGATATCAGCTCACTTTTGACCCAATCTCAGGTGTGGCTAATCCTCTTCGATTGTTCAATAAGAATGAATTAGGTTTGCGATGGAATAATTCTAACGATTCGTTACACAGATGATTTCCTTTGCGAAAACATTAAACTCCTTGAAATGCTTGCTCATGGTGTTGGGCTACCTCAAGTTTTTCTTGCGATTCAAGGTAAAAACTGAAGTTTTTGAATATTTTTTTATTATGAAACGTAAATTTACAATAAATAGCACAAAAAAAAAGAAATTAGATGAAAACATAGAAACAGTTAGAATCGTTGGAATCGTAAGAAGATCCAGAATAATAGCCAGAAAGTCGGCTATTTTTTGGAGATGATCTTCTAAGTTTTTCGCCGGAGTCAGATTGGTACCCGATCGCTTGACTTCTGTAAGTGTTTCGTTTGCTACGCTGGTTTCTGTATCGCTGGGATTTTCGCTGAGAAGCTCCTCGAATCATCAGGCCTCGCTGGAGTTGTTCTTTTTGTCGCTGGAGCTCGGCGATTTCAGACTTCATCTTTGACAACTCTTCTCGGTAGACGGAACCTTTGGATCGGATCGAAGCGAAGGTTTGGTCGTGTCGACTTTTGAGGGAATAAGTCGTAGCGTTCATTTGGTCGAAATCGTGACAGGTTTTCGCTAAGTTCTTTCGCCACTTTTCTACGTCGAAGTCGTTGTGCTTTCGCTGGGTCGGGACTGAAGCAGTCGCTTGTTTTACTTCAACGTTTTCGGGACTTGAAGAGGCGGTCTTTTCGTGAAGGTCTTTTTGATGAATTTAGAGAACTTGCTCTTAATCGACTTTGGCTTCTTATTCTTGTCGGAGATATCGATCATGGTGCTCGTTCTCTGCATATTTTCGCTTTGAATTGAATTTATTTATTTTCGTTCGATTTCGGTTTTGCGATTTCTCGGTTTGTGATGCTCTTCAACAATCGACGCTCATTTTATGATTGCAAGAGGAGCGCTCTTTGGCGCGAGGGAGCGGCCGGACATTTTCATCCCCAGCTGCGCAGATGTACATCTAGTCGCCCAGCTTGTCGATCGCAACTGGCGATTGTCTTTCTCAGAATGCCTAAATTGCCTCCGAGTTGCCATAATTAGGCAATAAATGATCGCTTATCTGATCCAATCTCGACGCTGGTAGGTTTCAGTGTTCTCCAACTTCAAAGTCGGCGTTTAGGAGCTGGGAAAAGTTTTTAGAAAAGGCTTCAAATACTGGGAAAAAGTAACTCTTTGTCGGTAAAAGTGACGGTTATTCCAATTGATGTTTTTCATGCTTTGTTTTGGCCAGTAATTTTAGCTAATGTTTCTACGTTTTCATCTTTTCTAGTCAAAGAATTATCAATTCAAAAGTATACTGATATCTTTATTAGGATTATCGGAAATTCCTGCCGCGAAAGTAATGGCTGCCCGTAATGATGTCTTGAAACGATTCAAAGATCTAAACGTCATCCCTTGTGATAAAATGAAGACATTCCCAATTGATAACATTGATCAGACGAGAGCACTATTGCGTCAGGTAGCTACCGTTCGTCAGACCGCCCGTGGACACATCAATCGCCCATTTATGCTCGCGGAGAAAATTGCAGTCGACGGCGATGATCTGAGGATTTCCGGATTCTTGAGCAGAGGCCTCTCTGTCAATCTACCCATTCATGTTCCCGGAGTGGGCGATTTCCTAATTAAACAAGTTGAAGACAAACTCGGAGAAGTTATCAAAAAGTCGAGAGAAGACAAGCTTCCAAATCTGAATCCAGAAGCCGAAGTGGACATGCTCGACGCCGAACAGACCTTTCCGACGGAAGACGAGCTCAGAGATGCTGAAACGCTACAGAAGCAGACTGTCAAGAGAAAGGTTCCTAAAGGATATTCGGCATACCAGGCTGCTTGGATTCCTGATGATGATATAGAAAGTGAAGACGAAGATGATGATATTATAGGTTTTTTAAAAGTAAAGGACTTTTATTATTAAAATTGTAGAAGAGGAGGACGAGGACATGGAAGATGATATCCCTGACTTGGAAGGCGACGATGACCGAGAGTACTTCGAAGACGAATCTAAGGTCCAGGCAGAAATGGACGCTGCAATGGGGCTAGATAACAAAGAAGAGGAAAATGAGGAAGAAGACAAAGACGGCGTAAAATACGATAAAAATTACGACTACGAGGAGGAAGAGCAGCTCCTCTCGCTCCACAGAAAAGCAAAAGAAGATCGGGCGTTTCCCGACGAAATCGACACACCCCAAGATGCGCGAACCCGTTTGCAAAAGTACAGAGGACTGGCGAGTTTCAGAACTTCCCCATGGGACAAGAACGAAAACCTCCCAGCTGATTATGCGCGTATCTTCAAATTCAAGCGCTGGGCGCATGCCAAGATCAGAGCGAAAAAGTGGGTGCCAGAAATCGCTGAAACCGTCGCCGCTGGACAAATGGTCACTCTTGTTTTAAAAATCCGAGAAGAGAATAAAGAACCACTCCGTGCAATCGGAGATATGGACAGTCTAGTTGTCTTCGGTCTTCTAGCCAATGAGCACAAAATGTCGGTGATGCATTTTGTCATGAAGCGAGCAAACGGCTTCGAAGCTGAAATCAAGAACAAGTCTGAATTGTACTTTACGTGTGGATTCAGGCGATTCAAAGCTCGCCCTGTGTTTTCCCAGCACACGAACGGGGAGAAGCATAAAATGGAAAGATTCTTGCCGATTGATAAGACAAGAATCGTCATGTCTTGTTACGCTCCCGTGAGTCGAGTAGTAATTACAACAGATTGATAACGAATGATTCAGATCATGTTCCCTCCCCAGGGAGTGCTCGCCTTTTCGAAGGATAGTTCTGGAAATTTCAAGCTCGCGGCTACGGGCTCAATTTTGAGCTCCAACCCAGGTGAATCGAGTTTTCCGAATTTAGGGTTGAGTTTGGCCTTTAGACCGAATTAATTTGAAGAGGATCGTCCTTTCTGGCGCGCCATTCAAGATCAACAAAAAGTCCTGCGTGATTAGATTCATGTTCTTCAACAGAATGGACATTCACTGGTTCAAACCGCTCGAGCTCAGGACGAAGTATGGAAGAAGAGGGCATATCAAAGAACCTGTCGGAACGCATGGCCATTTCAAGGCCACTTTTGGTAAGAAATTTGTTAAACTATATTTTTGAATTGAATTCAATTTTTAGATCAACATTTGACATCGATGGATACAGTATTAATGACGCTGTACAAACGTGTGTATCCAAAATGGACGTATGAGTCGATCCCGAAGTTGGACGGAGAGCTAATAGTTTGAAAAACTGCGCAAAATGTTCTAGAGTGGCCCATTGGATTGTTTTTTATTGAAGGATACCCGAATGAAAACACGATTTATACTTTCAAATCGACAATTAAAAACTGTAATTCTGACGACTCTCAAGTTTTAGAATGTCAGAGTTAGATGATGACTCGATCAAGTCGCTGCTGAAATGGATCGATGCTGTTCCACTTTCAAGGTAAACTTAACCTAGTTGCAATTATGCACGATTTCATGCAAAATTTCATTCTTCAAAGGCAAAAGAAGAGCTTGGCGCGCGATTTCTCAGATGGTGTTTTAGCAGCTGAAATAATCAAGGTACGCACATTTTAATTTTTCTTCACTGTAGCTTCTATAGTTTTACTTCCCTCGAATGGTCGAGCTGCACAACTACCAAAACGCGAGCTCGCGGCAGCAGAAACTGACGAACTGGCAAACTCTGAATCGAAAAGTACTCGCAAAATTCGGCTTCGTCATTCCCCAAGATGTAATCGAAAACATCATCAAAGCAGAAACCAAAGATGTCCAGTTGTTTCTTTTTGGACTGCGACGCGTCATCGAGGATAAACTCAAGGGTAGATCTGTGTCCGATGAGGGCACACAGGTACGGAGTGCACAAAATTTACTAATCACATCAATCACAAGCTAATCAAGAGTAGAGAAAACCATGATTATAATTATTTTTTAAACGGTAGTTATCGAAACTCACAAATCATCGATTAGAAAAACAACTTCTATTGCATCGAATCGCCAAATTCATTTTTAGTAAGAAAAAATGAATTTGATAATGACTTACACATAAAATTTCTTCAACTCTTTTTTTTTACGAAAATTTTGACGCTAGAATTACTACGAAGTGGGCGATTACGCGCCGCAATACGACCTAAACAAAGCGTCTGGTGTTCCAGCTCTGCAGCACCACTCCCATCGCTCAGGAAAATTAAAAATGCATTCCAAAAAAAAGTCTGGAGGGAGCAGCTCAGGGGCGGATAGAGACAGCCTCTCGCTCACGCTACGCGCCGGCGTGCCTCTCAGTGAGTTGAATTTGCAACTATTGGACACCGACACCAAACTTGTGCTCGCAGAGAAGGAACAAGCGCTTTTAGGCATCAGGGCTTCAGATTATTGGTTATTCGGTTTCAACCTCGATCGATTTTATATTTGCCAAATTTTTACTTAGAATTTTTTTTTCAAAGATGGGGGTGGTTATTTTTCTGTCATTTTTAGGGAGCACCCTGTGAGCATTTTTGGTGACTTCCGGGGGAAATTGCTGATCTATGTATTTTTCGCAAGTTTGTTCTAATCGCTACTGGTTCGCTCCTTTGGAAGGGACAATTGACACTCGAAATTGGCCCCCGTCGGGAGAGCGTCATCTGATAACTCTAGTTGTATAAAACGAAAACTCCCCTTTCGAAGAAACATGTTTGAAAAAGAAAGCGCCAATTAGGGAAAAATCGGAAATCGAAATTATTGAAGCCCTTTTTAGCCAGTCACGAGACCATCAAAGTTCTGCAATTGAAAATTTCGCGACTAGAGCAACTGCTCGCGCTGAAGGACAAGAGAATCACAGAACTCAAGAAACAAGTCGAGCTTCCACAGAATCTTTAAATTATGATTGAAGCAAATTCACGATGTTCCGCCATTATTTCAGAAACTACGTTCTTTTTCTATTCTATAAATATCTATTTTCATAATTTGCTTCTTCTCTCATTTTTCATCTTTCAGAAGGAAAGAAAGAATGACTTCGGATTCAGAACTCGAAGAAATAATTGCTCCTGCAAAAGAATTCGCCAATAAGAAGAAGCAAAAGTAAGTCAATGAAGTTATATTTTTCGAATATATTCCGTTACGTTCATTTGGATTGAAGCCAAAAAGTGTTACGAAAGATCGTAAAGTAAGATATTTCTAGGATCCCAGAAGAGCTCAGAGAATGGATTGAACCAGTTCTGTGGAATTACAACAAAAATTGCATGAAATCACAGCATAGAGAGGACAGGAAAGTGTTTGAACAATATGAAAATTAGAGACTTTTTGAGCATTGGGTGTTTTCCATTTATTTTTTGTTCTAAATTTATTCAAGGCTCGTCCATTTTGTTCCAAACCCGCTAAAGAAAGCCGCTTCTTCTCCGAAATTACCGAGATCTGGAAGATGGCTTCATCGTTGCTGTGATGATCAGGGTAAACATTTGGCGCATCATTTGAAAATGCGTTGCGCGCCGCCGCTGACTCTTGAATTTTTCAGGATTATTGTCCGAAGGTCGTCCAGACGCACAATCTGACGCGCACGCTCAAACGCGCAAGCAAGGTCGATAATTGGGCATTCGTGTCTCAGAGACTCTGGAGTAAAACGGGATTCAATTTGTCTCAACTTACAATCGAAAAGATTCTCGACCACAACTCCTCCGTGCTTTTTGACTTTTTGTTTGAGCTCAAAGAGTTTTTGGACGCCAGATTTCCAAAGGTAACAAAATCGAAGAAAAATAGAAATTGAGAAGAGAAATCGGTCTAGCAAAAGTGCGGCAAATAGAGCGCCAGAAGTTTCTTAAAATCTTTTGAGGGTCTAATTTAAGCTTTCAGGATCAAGAGGGATCCGATAAATCGTCGGAAATCGCTTACGTAGACGTCGAAAAATACATACCATCTGTTCTTGACTCGCCAAAGGCAAAGAAGCCCCTTTCAAAGATAAATAATGTTAAAGTGTTGGACAAGAAAGCGAAATCAGGTGAGAAGCTGTCACATTTTCCTCTCAAAGCGCAACTCCCTTTTCAGCTCTGCAGAGAAACGACACGATTTTCAAAAACAACCGAAAGTGTGTTCAAGAGTTGAAAGCCCGATTTAATAGTCTTCAATGTAGGACTTCGATGATTTTTTATTATAAAAATGTCTGTAGCCGATGTTCAAGAGCGTAATAACGAGATCATCATGCTCGAGACGAGCGCTCGTTCAGTTCCTTCTCCTCATCCTTCACAAAGTTCCAAGAAGAAAGGTTGTTGCTGCGTGATTTCCTAATAAGGAAAAACGGCGCTCTTTTTTCTTTCAATGGCGGATGCTCCACTATTTTATTATTGACACTATTTTTTATTTTTACGCACTGCCCGTTATCAGTTCCGTACGTGCCTCAGTTATCCATCACGCTGCCCATTTACTTCACATCATCACCGCCCACTTACAGTTTTTTCTCACTGTTTACCCTTTCCATCAGGATCGGAGAGTAGCAGAAGTGGTTATGTAATCTCTTGAGTGTTTAGCGATTTGTGTGTATCGAAGCGCAGTTGAACTCGAATTGAAACAATTTGAAGAGCTCGAGACAATTCAAGAAATACGGAATTAGAGATGGACCGTGAGTTTGCCACCCCGACGACGCCAAAGAAGCCGCCAAAGACTCCGGAGAAGAGAATCAGGGCATCGCCTATGTTATGGCTTCAGAATAATTTATCATTTCTTTAGAAATTTTCTTTAACATTTTTGATTGAATTTTTTACTGAAGCCTGATTACAGAAGTCCCCAGTACATCATTCTCTACGATCGCCACATTCCACTCCGTCGAAGTCGCCCGCCCGAGAAGTTTACGGAGACCGATTTATGCCAATGCGTGCAAAAAGAGGGCTCAACTTCTCGGACGTGGAATCCCCCCAACACATCAAGCTGTCCAACGACAATGTGCACGACCAGGCAGCAAATAGAGAGAACATTCTTTACCAATCCCTACTGCGCAACGAAGTAGGCAATGGCAATATTGAGCGTTTGCCCTCGACGCTAACGCAAGAAACTGTTTTAAAATCGCCGCCGCTCATGAACTTCAAGCGAAAACATTTTAACCCCGAAGACTTGCCCAATACGTAAGAAAACGGTCCCCGTTTAATCGCAACGTTCTTTAGTTTTTCCTTATCTCCGATTTCCGCCAACTCCGAAAAACTGCTCAAAAGCCCACGAAAAGCCGTCCGTAAAATTCCAAAAAGCCCATTCAAAGTTCTCGACGCACCCGACCTGCAAGACGACTTCTACCTCAACCTTGTCGACTGGTCTTCCACAAATGTCCTTTCCGTCGGCTTGTCGACGTGTGTCTACCTCTGGTCCGCCCATACAAGTCAAGTTACTAGATTATGTGATCTAGCGCCTGATGCGGACAATGTTAATTCTGTTGCATGGAACGACAAGGGAAATTATGTTGCAGTGGGAACGGCGAAGGGACATGTTCAGATTTGGGACGCGATCGGTTAGGATTTCCCCTCTATCGTCAATCTAATATATTCTAGCGACGAAAAAGATCCAGACAATCGAAGGTCACCAGATGCGCGTGGGAGCCCTCGCCTGGAACGGAGAGCAGTTGAGCTCTGGAAGCAGAGATCGAACTATCCTCCAGCGAGATATCCGTTGCCCCTCGACGAGCGAGCGAAAGTTACAAGGCCATCGACAAGAAATATGTGGCCTAAAATGGTCGCCCGATGGGCAATATCTCGCTAGTGGCGGAAACGACAACAAGCTGCTTGTGTGGAATAAACACGGCGCTACCAGTCCCATGCAGACGTATTCCGATCACATTGCGGCGGTGAAAGCGATCGCATGGTCTCCTCATCAACATGGTTTGTTAGCATCTGGAGGTGGAACTGCAGATCGGTGCATAAAATTTTGGAATACTCTTACTCAAGCTCCTTTACAAAGGTATTTGAGATCAAGGAAGAGAAAAAATGTAACATTAAATCTTCAGCGTCGATACTGGATCGCAAGTTTGCAATCTCGCCTGGTCAAAGCACACGAATGAGCTAGTTTCGACACACGGATACTCGCAAAACCAAATCCTCATCTGGCGATATCCCTCCCTCACCCAAGTTGCCAAGCTTACCGGACACACTTACAGAGTTCTCTACCTCGCGACAAGCCCGGACGGCGAATGCATTGTCACGGGCGCCGGCGACGAAACACTCCGATTTTGGAACGTCTTCTCGAAAATGCGATCCACGCGTGAACCATCAAGCGTGTTAAATTTATTTAACAACATTCGCTAGCCAATATTGAGCTACCTGTACTTTTATAAGAAAATTTACTGGCCTTCTTTGCGACTCTGAACTGCACTTATTCATTTAACTAAATGTCATAAAACAAAAACAAATAATAATCAAGTTTCATTTACTTTCAACGCATTAGCCTCGCATTTATTCCAACAGAAGCAACTTTACCTTAGCATGAGAGGCACCCCTTTTCGAGTAGTAATCGGATAGAATTCAATGCAAAGCTCGCTGGTTTTCGAGTTACTCAAGCGTTTCAGTGCACATATTCACATTCTGGTTGTTGGTGTTCTTGAGTATCCTTCCATCTTTATCTGTAATTATCATTTATTTTGTCTTTTATCGTAAAAAAATAATAAATGATTTCAAAAACACTATTCATGATCAAATTTTTGAAGAAAGGGAGGATGGTCGCGATAACGGGCAACGAAGGTGAAAAATATGATCAGCCAACAGTTGGGCTGATCGTGCCGCCGCCAGAAATTAGGTCAATTGTCGAGAAAACTGCCTCGTTCGTGGCTAGAAATGGCGAACAGTTTGAACAGAAAATTAAACAGAATGAAGCTGCAAATCCTAAGGATCGTTTTAATCAGTTCTTCGGCTAAGTAAACTAAAAAAAGTAGAGGAACGCACTCAAAAACGTACTAAAAGTTTGACTTTCTCAAGGAAGAAAACCCGTACAACTTGTACTACCGAAAGAAAGTCGGCGATTTCATGGTAGGAACAGCAACTCTATCTAAACAGGATGAAAATACGACCACTGTTGAAGCTGTGCCCGAAGTGAAACAAAAGCTGCCCATGATTCCGACTACGCCGCCCCAAGAATTTGAATTTTGCCACGACCCGCCAACGATGAATGCGCTCGATTTGGACATCGTCAAGTTAACAGCCATCTTTGTCGCTAGAAATGGACGTAGCTTTCTTACCCAATTGATGCAGAAAGAAGCGAAAAACTATCAGTTCGATTTTCTTCGGCCACAGCATACACTTTTCCAGTACTTTTCGAAACTCGTCGAACAATACAACAAGGTCTTGATCCCTTCGAAAAATATGAGAGCAAAATTGAGAAGCGACTTGAAAAACCAACAAGACATTCTCGACGACGTCAATTATAGAGCAGAGTGGGGTAGATACCAAGAGCGAATCCGAAAGCAAGAACAGGAGAAGCAAGAAAAGGTAAAAATCCAAAGAAAGTCTATTCGATCTAGATTTCATTTCAGGAAAGAGTGGCTTATGCTGAAATCGACTGGCACGATTTTGTTATCGTCGAGTCTGTCGACTTCCCACTTCATGAGCGAAGCGATCTTCCAGCGCCAGTGACGCGAGAAGAACTCGGTGTTCGAATGGCTCGAATGGTCCGAATCGAGCAAACTGGCTATGATTCAGAACAAGTTGAGCGATCCCAGCCTGAACCCGAGCCAGAGCCAACACCGCAACAGCCACAGCAACCGCAGATCATTGAGCGTGACCTTGGAGACGAGGCAAGACTTGAATCACGCATGTTATCATTTAAAATTAATATCTACTTAGGTTCAAGAGCAAGTTGCTCCTGCTCCTCCCAAATTGCCAATGGCGCCAGTTGAATCCGCACCTCCTGTTCTCAACGATAACATTGTCGTCCGCTCCAACTACAATCCCAAAGCCAAGACATTCGAACGACCGCAAGCTGGTGATGTCGAGTTCCTTATCTCACCTCTCACAGGAGAGCGTATTCCGGCTTCCAAAATGTCGGAACATATGAGAATCGGTCTTCTCGATCCCGCCTGGGTTGAGCAGCGGAAGAAAGAAATCGCCAAAGTAAGAATAAAACCATCTTTCAAATTAAACATTCATCGTAGAAAAAAGAAGAGGAGGATTATTATGCCCAAGACGCAGCTGTTGCCAGCTCCTTGTCGAAAATCGCAAAGAAGCGAACGGATATCTTCGGTGTGGAAGAAACTGGCATCGGCCAAGAAGTCGGCGAAGAAAAGAAACGAGTGGACGAGATCGGTTGGGATGGACACAAACGAAATGCGAACCAAGCTATTGCAGCTCAGCACCAATCCGATGCTGAGCGGGCGCAACAGCGTCGAGATGAACTCAACCGTGGCATTCTTCCTGAAGATCTTCAAGGTCCTTTTTGAAAGGTTTCCACGTAGCTAACGAATTGTTTTAGATAATCAATTCGAAGCTCCTGGTCCTCGAACACAGCCATCTTTACCCCAGCCTGGAGCACCAACTGCACCTCGAGTCATTCCCCTCGTTCGTCATGTGGTTCCTCAACCTGTTGTTCACATCCAGCAACGAGCTCCAATGGGTGCCATTCCTCGCATGGGCATGGCTGGTATTGGAGTTCCTGGTGGAGCGGCTGGCATGCAGATGGGCATGCGCCCGCCAGTCATGGGCATGCAAACGTAACTATACATTTTTCTCTAACTGAATTTATCCGTTTACTAGTGGTATGCAAATGGGAATGCGCCCGATGGCACCAGGTGGAGCAAGCGTTACTATGGGCATGCGGCCACAAGGAATGGCGCGACCAACAATGGGCATTGACATGGGCGGACCACCAACGAAGAAAGCTCGACCAGAAGATAATCTTATTCCTGAAGCGGAGTTCCTCAAGATGCAGCCTCCCCAAGTTGTCTTCCAAATTTCGGTTCCAAAGGTTGAAAAGGACGACTGGAAGTGTCGTGGGCAGCTGATCTCTGTTGGCATGCCTCTGACCAGTACATTCAACGAAGTCAAAGCAAAGATCGAGTCCGAAACTGGAATGCCTCCGCAAAAACAAAAACTGCAAGTTGAAGGCGCTTTTGTCAAAGGTATTAACTGACTTCAATAGGACACGTTTCTCATTTTTAATTCAGATCAAAACTCCCTGGCATTCTACAATGTTCGTCCATCAACACTTGTCCTCCTCACACTGAAAGAAAGAGGAGGCAGAAAGAAATAATTTGACAGCTGTGAAATTATTCATAACTGCTCGAAACTCTAGCCTGAACTTGAAAATCCTGCCCTATGTAACCGTTCATTCTTGTCTTCGAAAATATTGAATAAATCAAGTGTTCTGGTTCTCGATCTTTTCTGGTGCTGTTTTTGAAATACGCTGTCAGTTAAACGGCTTGCTTATTTAACTAATTGGAGCCTCGCATTTTAAAGGCAACTTTGAAGACAAAATGTATGCATATATTTTTGGCAATTAGGCAATAAGATACCAGACGCTTCTCTCGCACTCATTAACCACATAGATCTCGTGTCACACGGTACCAAACAATGAGAGTTGGCTTTCGCATGCAAAATTAATCCACTCGCAATATGGTATGCCAGTGCTTCTTTACACATTTCGAAGCACATCTTTACCTAGAGAAATGATGCGATCTATAAATCGTCTTTAAATCTGGTCGAAATTGATCGCGGTAGTGCTTCGGTGCAGCTTTCAAAGAGGCTAATAAGAGAGCAACCTAGGACAAGACTTGGAATAACAGGAACGTCGTCCATTAAAACTTCATCTTGGAAAACGCATGAGTTGTCGGCTTTTTCAACGCAAAAATGGCAATTGGCTCAGTAAAGCGGCTTGACATTGATTGCTCATATTTAAATGGTTTTTGAAGAGTAATTGTCAAAGCCTTTTATAGATATTTTTCATGATGAGAATGTTATCGAGGAAGAAGCTTGGCTTTGGTACAACGACAAAATCTTTCTTGTGAATATTTGTGTCTTTATTTTGTGCTGCTTTGGATTACTTTGGGTAAATTTTATACGATAAATAATTTATAAATTATTTTTAGCTGATAAAAGTGTGCACATGTGAGGCGAAGAAAATGATTTACAGGCAAAGTTTTGGTCGTAGTCAAAACACATCCCTTAAATCTCACAATGATCGTGTCTGAGTTCGCACCGATTAATACTATTTCACTTCACTACTAACGATTACCTCTGTTTCTAACCTTCTGTTTTTTGTTATTTTACTCATTCGATGCTGTTACTAGAAACACTGGAGTGAGTCTCATGGACGCTGTGAACATCATGAGGAAAGTGTTCGTATTTGAGTTGGTTGCTCAATTCGAAATTGCTCCCGAAACACTGTTATCAGAATAACCATGCGAGGAGTGGCAGAGATAAACCCATCATTACAACAGAACTCTATGGAAAATATGCTCTAGCATTTTTACACTGTACATTGATCAATAAATTCAATTCTCTTGAGAATAAACATGAATATTATTTGATTTTTTTTAATAAAAAAAAAATCATTGGAGTCAAGTGATGTCTTCCTTGATTTCCTTGAATTTTTTTGTTTTGAATTTTTCGTTGCAAAATTTAAACCTTGATGATACAGTTGTGCCTTAGAATTGAGATAAGCTTCTTATTTTTGCGCAAGTATACATGCCTTTTTTAAGAACTCGCTTATGATTATGTTTGTTGGAAAGTTTATTTTGGGGACTGGTGAACTGCAAATTTACGGGTTCCTCTCGACAGAGACCGTGGTATTTTGCGTTTCATAAAATCCATGATCTGGTGTTTAGCGCTGACCCATGTTCAACTCTTGTAACCACGATAACAGGTGGACGACTTACCACAGGCTACGTTGCAATCGTGCTCCTAACTCCCTTCTCAGATAGAATTAGCATAATCTGAAGCGCAATTTCGAGGCTCCACTTATCACATGCTAACGCGCTTACATTTGAAATGGCTCTGCTCAAATGAATGCCGAAGAACTGCCGTTAGCAAGCGTTAAAGCGTTCTGTATAATTCTTTCTTCCCGCAAGGTACCTAATTCGCTTTGCGGCGGGATAATTAACTCGAACTTTTGGATAATTTTCGAGGAATAGCGTGAAGAATTCCTCAAAATTTTTATGAACAAAAGTTATCCGAAAAGATAAATTTACTTCAAAAATAAGAAATTTTGCGCGCAAATAAGAAATAAGAAATAATTCTGACAGTATTTTTCAAATGAACGGAATGTGCGTTGATTTTAGGCTCCTTCCTATTTACTCAGAGCCACGTGCAACTTCCCGTGATAAAGGTTGAAAATGTTTGTGCAGATTTGTTCGCTGGAGAAGTTTGGCGCGTCTCGCTGCAGAATCTGCAGACTAGGAATTGAATTTGTATTACCGCAAAAGGTGAAACTGCAGATTTATAATTTCGTTAAGGTAGAAAATCATTTCGAGTGAAAGAAAATATGCTCAAGAGACAAGTACTCGAGATAGTAAGGTCGGAGGCAATAGATCGTGTTCTTCTTTTAGATCTTTGCATTTTGGAAAGTCAAGATTCGTGGAAGCGAGCAGGGTTTGTTGACGACCAATTTAGAAATCTTATCAAACTGCAAAATTAAACAATGCAATCAAATCAACGAGCCATAATCAGATTCCGCTTGAGCTAAACATTTAGCCGCTCACGCCAAATTCGCAAAATCCAGCGCGCAAGGACGAGTTTTGGAAATATTGAATGCAATCATATCTTAGGCCATTTGTTTGCAAGTTGCGCACCGAAGTCGGTTTTGAACGGACGTCGATAAAGTTTGAGCTATATTTTTGTATAAATGCCGCTGCAATAGTCAAATAAAACTGTAGGATCTCTATTATTGTGGCTTCCTGAAATTCCTCCTGGAACTCGTCAATTCTTGCGGTTTCTCAGAGTGGCAATCAAAACCCAAGAATCAGCAATATATTCATCTTCCTCTGTACATTCCCTTGGCTAACAGCTGATTTGGATTTTCAAAGGTTTCCATATATGGAAACCTTTGATTTTCTCGGGGCAAACGCTTGAAATACTCGGTAGAAAAAATCGCCATAATCATGCGTTTTCCTACTCTTTTTCGGCCGCCCTAGAATCCGTAAAACGTGTTACAATAACTGGCCGATGCATGTTGGCATTTTGGACGAAACTTATTTTAACTAAAAAGAACTTGACCCACAAAATTTTTCCCCAAAGTGATGAGCCTGCGGAGTCGTCTTTATCAGAATGCTTCCACTTTTGCCGATTGTGATAGTCGCTGGGCCGGCCAAGTGCGCAACTCCAAAACCTTTTTAGCAGGTGTTTCATAAATCTCTCTCAGGCCGGGCCGCTCAAGTGGACTCTCTCCACTCGAAGGCAGCTTCAAATATTCGAAAAAGGAGTTAATTTCACGCTAGCAAAGGGCGGAATGCTCGAGTTAGAAAACGCACCCCACGCGTAAATTATTTAAAATTTCAGAGGGTAAACATTCAATGCGATTTTCTTTCAAATGGGTACTCTAATTTATAAACCAAAAACTCTTTACTCTCAACTCCGAGCCATTTTTTGCGACCAAATCTTAACTCTTAAACCTTCTTTATCCAGCCTCTGCGCATTTGGCTCTGGAAATATCCGGATTTACGCGACAATTCCGAGTGAATGTCGTTGAAGGACCTGGAGTATATTATTCCACCGTTTCGTCGGAAATTGACTGGCACGGAATTGTTTTGATTGATGATGAAAATCCTTGCGCTAACGTGGAAACTCTCTGATGCAATGATAAAAGTGCCAATGATCAATGATGATCAAATGATCGCCCGGTCGATGGGATGATTAAAATAACTTGCTTCGTGCATCAAATTTTATTTCACGTTGCAATGGCCCACGTGAGCAAATCATTAGAATTCTCGAGTTCTGGCCGAGTGGTCCCTAATCATTGAGACTAAGCCGTCTTAGCTACCTCTAATGACTGCTAACGATAAGCTCCTGTTGTCAATTCGCACTATTTTCTTTTGGCAAGAAACAAGATAAAGGTTCTGTTAAGTTTAAAAACGAAAATTAAATTGTATCCAAAGCAAACTTTATACGCAGCAACGCAAGAATCGACCTGAAACATCATAAATTGAATTAAACAATTTGATCACTATTCAATTTTCATGCAAAGCCGCAAGATGACCACACGATCCCAAAAAAGGTAATTGCCGAATGATGTTTTGGAGAAGAGTTCAAACTTTCACGTGTAATGACTCCATGGCTTAATTGTGAAACACGTGCTAGTTGAAGATAAAAATCAGGATAATCCGGTTCATACTTTTCTGCTGCTTGAACGATTTTAGGCTCATCGTAGATAGTGCTTGTTTAGCATCCTTTTCGGAAGTGAGTGGGGAAGGATTAACGAGTGGACTCTGTATTATGTCATTACTATCTCGTCGGGCATTATAAAGGGTAATCCCCACGCCCTTGTTGGAATGCTCCGGACAAAACGAATCTCGCCGGGGTGGGCCGTCTTTATTCCGTAAAGAATAGAAGGTCCATTGAAGCAATGTTGCAAAACGCTGGAATTCGTTCTTGTTTCCAATACAACCATTTCTTTCGAATGAACTTGTCAAATGTCCTGGTTTATTTTGCAGTATACTTCTTTGTATCTGAAAGCTTCTTAGTTTCAAAAAGGCGCCAGCTCAACTTTTCTTCGACCGGATCAAAGATGGAACTCTGTTTGATTCTTTTGCTACTTTGAACGGGCTCTAGAAGGGAGATAACTCGACATGCCACTTTTGTAGAGTGTCAACTGTCCGAGAGGATAATTCTATGATTCTATGATCCCGCTTGGTGGAAGCTCGCGGGGTGGGAGTTTGTCAACTAACCGTTGATTAAAAACCGCGGAGACGTTGTTCGTGGAGAATGATTAAGTTCGTCACTTACAACCTTTTGTACCGAAAGGACAGGAATATCTGATTGAAGAAGGTCAAAATTTTTGAACCCCAGTAAGAAACGCATGTTCATTAAGATCAATTACGATCAAATTATAGATCAAATCAAGCTCCCCAAAATGTGTCCGTTTTCAGGCTTTATCGTCTTGTAGCAGAAATGGCTTGCAAAAACCTCTTTCGATTTTTCCCTCTAAGATCGTTGCCATACTGTATTAGAAAGTTCTCCCGCTTGAACGCAGAATTCTAACAGAGGGACCCGATTTGCGGCTGAGCTAGCTCACGAATTTCTCGAAAAAATGGAAATTTTCTACATTTGAATAATGAGTTTTTCATCAATGTCTCAAGCTTCTGCTGGGTGGGGGCGGATCTTCAACCGCACGTGAAGGTTTAGAGAGCTCATCCTGACGATTATGGAAAACATTTCAAAGTTGCTAATACAAGCGCTACCTGGAATGCGTCAGAACTTCCGCTTGATTGCAAGACTTAAATTCAACCATAGTTCTATGCATTAATTAGAAACCGCGAGTTTAAGATAAAAATAAGGCCTCAACTATTTTGTTCGAAAAATTAGAAATTCAAGCTCCAATCAAACTCGAATTCAAGAAGAAAAACGGTCCACGTCAGTTCCCAGGCGGGTCCTTAAAACTCCTTGAAACTCAGTTTCTTACATCAGGTGATAAAAGCTCATTATCGAATTAATTTTAGAAGCGATTTACTCTGTTTTCTAAGACCGCAATAGAAGATCTGCCACAGTTCCACAAACAGATGGACTCGCATCATCGATGTAAGCTTATAACTTCGCGAAATCCGCGCTGTGAATCAAATTGCAAAAAAATCAAAATCTGCCGTTTACACCTCTTGGGTGGCAATTTCGGTTTCATGTCTACCGCCGGTGTTGGACACGCTGTCCGACAGCGAGAGTGTACGCCATGTCAGACGGGATTCCCGTAATGAAAATCGCCCCAAAAATCATCAAACGGTATGCTTCATGAATACATCAATATTTCTTTCACGAGGCATGATCTGCAAGGCACGTGCTTTTTAAGTAAAAATTTCGAATATCGGTAATTGTCACGAGCAGTTTTAATTTCTGCCGCCGTGTTTAATCTAATAACAAGGTGGTTATAATTTACACTCATTTTTCTAATGTCGTGTCAAATGTTATTGCAAGACTTTTAAGAAAATATTACAGATGGTGCTTTTCATAACACCAACCTGTAATCGCATGTATTCAATATTAGAAAGCATGAAACATTTTTTTCAATACAGTAAAGGTTTATTATTTGTACAGGTGGCTTTTGGAATATTTTACAGAAGAGGAAGCGGTTTTCTTCATTTGGAAAAAATAAAGATCATTTTGTGTTCAGGTCGAAAATTTCGCAGAATAAAAATTAAATTTCAAAATGGCCAGTTGTGCTCGCACCCTGGCAATCGTCAAGTTGAGTTTTCAGCGGGTTTTGAATGTTGAGTAAGCAAGGTCAATTTTCATGTCGATCAGGGCTAGGCTGATGTCGCGGTGGCACTTGTCGAAAATGTTTTCAACTCGGCGGACGGTGCTTTTCTGGTTTCTGTCGAACTCGCGCAGGAGGTTGCCGTAACGGTTCGAGAGGTGGATGTGCGCTGAAATGATGTTTTGAAAATAGACCAATTTATAGGCTTTAATAGATATTGTGGCAACTAAAATTGTGGATAAAGAAAGTCCTTTCAAGATTACGACACGGAGATTGAAGGAGGTAAAACTATAATTTCTTTGATGAATTTGATTGAACCCGGAGACCGACCGGTTGTGCTTTTTCTTCCAATTGACGACGATAAGATTACTCGAAATAACATAGTTTGACAAATTCAATACACTTACTCTGTTTTCGTTTTGATGGAGCCGTCCTGGGGCCGACTTTGAGGTCGCCTCTGTAGCCGAGAAGATCGGACTTGACGCTGATTTTTTCGTCAGATGATGTTTGAGAGCGGTTGTCACAGAATTTGTCGGGACAGAAGGTGCTCATTGAGTTTTTGGTTAATCTGAACATGTTGATTTTATTCATCGTTTTGTGGAAAAGTACGTGGTGAAAAATAAGGGAGGAGGGTCATTTCCCAAAGAGGAACACGCCCGCCTTTACGGAAGAATTGCTCCCTTCTCGAAAAGTGCTCTTAGATACGAGTGCTTTCTGAGCACCCCGTGGGGCACGGGCCGTGCCTCAATTTTAAGAGAGACTGATTCATAAATTTAGATTAAAACTTACCGATCTCTGTCTAAGCTGAAAGACCTGAACTTTCTGGACATGGATTCAACAGAATGCGTCGCAGTTCTGTTTCTTCCATTTTTAGATCGTCCTCTTCGATCATTTTCTTCTTCGCTTGATGAACCCTCAGAAACGCCTGAGAATAGGGGCTTAAGATTTGAGATTGAGGTTGAGCTTATCGGCGGATTTTCCAATTCAAAGTAGGCAGTGAAATCCTTCTGGGATTGTTATCACATCTAACCAAATCCAGTTCTTTCGAGGGAAATTTAAGTAATTACGAGACTCAGAACTGATTGTAGCTGCTCAGTAAAAAATCTGTACAAGAAAAGTTTTAATTTCAGCCTTCAATTTGCAAAAAAAAAGAATGTAAATTCCCCGTCGCCACAAAAATGCTTCCAAAAACCGTCGAACTATTCCCATATGTTAGTTCGTTAACAGAAAATGTACAGAAGAAACTAAGCCCATTCCTGAATCTTTTGGCGACGGTGCGTTGAGAATATTTTTCACGAAACTGTCGATATTTCTTCGTGGTCGTTCGAAGGAGTGGAGGAGCGAGCGTTTGTGCATCTTTGTACACTTTTTACCTGTTTTAAGAATACCTTAAAATAAGTTACGAAAGGTAAGAAATTGAGCAATTTCGCTTGACACATATTTTTTCGGCAGATATGCATGTAAAATGCCTGCCCAGAAAGCGAAGTTACCTCTAACGTGTGGAGAATTATCGTCGGAAGATACCGAAGAGGCGCAGCTTTTTTGAAATGTGCATTTTGAACCCCTTCTTTCATGTCAGACAACAAGACTGAAGCAACAAACAACTCTAAAGGGAGAGATAAAGAGGGCCGAAATGACCGATCGGCGTAATCCCTTTTCAAACAAACGCGCCGTAAAGTGCGCTTATGAATCTGTCCAACATCAGCGAAACGTCATAATAAGCGAAACTAGACGTGGATGAGCGACATTTTAAATATTTTATGTTTGAATTCGAATATGCATATTTATGGCTTTAGAATTGGAATATCATGTTTGAAGCGTAAATACTGTTAATTTTATGTGCGAAATATTTAAGAAATAAGGCTGGAAGCATGGTGAAACATGAAGAAAATCTGTCTGTAAGACCTCGCATTATGATATACACTCCCTTAAAATTTGATATTGTAAAATTGAATGGATCACACGGGCGAAAATCAAGCTTGATTGCTGATGACCTACTCCTGCTCTGGGAAAATGCGTGGCCGAAAGATTACAAATTCAATTTTCTCCGTTGAAAATGCTAAGGCTATCGGTAGGCTTCCCGCACCATTTTTCTATTTTAAAGGTTCTCTGGCCGAATCTAACCAAACTTGCTGGACATATGCATCAAGACAAGCTATGAAAAACTGCACTAGCCGATTTTTCGAAATGAGTCTCTTTGACACCTTTTTTGGGTGTTTTTTGACGAGAAAAAAAGCACTAAAGTGATTAGAAGCTGATTAGAAGTGCCTTCCCACCAGGTCAGACGATCGAGAATAGCCTTGGAAGAAAGCCAAGGGTCCATTCTATCGACACACCAAAAATTGGTTTTGCACCTTGATGTTATCAGTAGTATCAGATGCCTCAAAGTTGACTGAAATCGTCAGATACGAAAATTCAAGATTTTCAACTTTTGATAAACGCGAGCTATGATGACGTTCTATAGCTCAAATTGAAGCTTAGGAATCACTGAACTCACTGAACCGGTTTCTACCGAACCAGCCGGTCATTCTAGCGGTTCACCGCGGTTAATCGCTTTTTATTGAATATTTTCACTCAAAAACGAAATAGAACCATGAAACGAGTCAATTCAGAGCCTTCTGGTGTTTCAACTCGAGCTAACCGGAGTTAACCGGACGGTTGATAAGGCGGTTCAAAGCGGTTCAGGCAGAAAAATGATCGGAAATACAGCAATATGCACATGAAATTGCTCCTTATTACACGACGAGCATTTTTAACATAATTTTGAACCGGAACAACAAACCATGTGGTCGATAAAGCGGTCCCGGGCGGTTCATCGCGGTTCATGCTAAAAATAGTCAGAAATATGGCAAGATGTATATAAAATTGCTTCTTATCTGAGCACGAACATTTTTAAAATATTTTCGAATCGATCGAGCTGACCAGGTGGTCGATAAGGCGGTCGAGGGCGGTTTGTCGCGGTACATGCTTAAAAATAGTCAGAAATATGGCAATATGTATATCAAATTGCTTCTTTTCTGAAAACAATCATTTTTAAAAAATTTTCAAATCGATTGAGCTAACCAAATAGTCGATAAGGCTGTTCAGGGCGTTTGATCGCGGATCAAGGTCAAAAATTAAAAATTGAAAAACAAGAAAATGATACTTTTTCTATTGATTGCGCCTGTAGGCGCGTTTATACAATTCAGTCTGCGACGGGGCCAAGCCGACCCGAAGGAGAGGCCAGGCCCGTATATACAATTCAGTCTGCGACGGGGCCAAGCCGACCCGAAGGGGATGCCAGGCCCGTTAATACAATTCAGTCTGCGACTGGGCCAAGCCGACCCGAAGGGGAGGCCAGGCCCGTTTATACAATTCAGTCTGCGACTGGGCCAAGCCGACCCGAAGGGGAGGCCAGGCCCGTTTATACAACTCAGTCTGCGACGGGGCCAAGCCGACCCGAAGGGGAGGCCAGGCCCGTTAATACAATTCAGTCTGCGACGATGCCAAGCCGACCCGAAGGAGAGGCCAGGCCCGTTTATACAATTCAGTCTGTGACGGAGCCAAGCCGACCCGAAGGGGAGGCCAGGCCCGTTTAAACAATTCAGTCTGCGACTGGGCCAAGCCGACCCGAAGGGGAGGCCAGGCCCGTTTATACAATTCAGTCTGCGACTGGGCCAAGCCGACCCGAAGGGGAGGCCAGGCCCATTTATACAATTCAGTCTGCGACGGGGCCAAGCCGACCCGAAGGGGAGGCCAGGCCCGTTAATACAATTCAGTCTGCGACGGGGCCAAGCCGACCCGAAGGAGAGGCCAGGCCCGTTTAAACAATTCAGTCTGAGACGGGGCCAAGCCGACCCGAAGGGGAGGCCAGGCCCGTTTATACAACTCAGTCTGCGACGGGGCCAAGCCGACCCGAAGGGGAGGCCAGGCCCGTTAATACAATTCAGTCTGCGACGATGCCAAGCCGACCCGAAGGGGAGGCCAGGCCCGTTTATACAATTCAGTCTGTGACGGGGCCAAGCCGACCCGAAGGGGAGGCCAGGCCCGTTTATACAATTCAGTCTGCGACTGGGCCAAGCCGACCCGAAGGGGAGGCCAGGCCCGTTTATACAATTCAGTCTCCGACAGATCCAAGCCGACCCGAAGGGGAGGCCAGGCCCGTTTAAGGAACTCAGTCTAAGACGGGGCAAAGCCGACCCGAAGGGTAGGCCAGGCCCGTCTAAACATTTCAGTCTAAGACGGGGCAAAGCCGACCCGAAGGGAGGCCAGGCCCGTCTAAACATTTCAGTCTGAGACGGGGCCAAGCCGACCCGAAGGGGAGGCCAGGCATGTATATACAATTCAGTCTGCGACGGGGCCAAGCCGACCAGAAGGGGCTGCCAGGCCCGTTATTACAATTCAGTCTGCGACGGGGCCAAGCCGACCAGAAGGGGCGGCCAGGCCCGTTATTACAACTCAGTCTGCGACGGGGCCAAGCCGACCCGAAGGGGAGGCCAGGCCCATTTATACAATTCAGTCTGCGACGGGGCCAAGCCGACCCGAAGGGAGGCCAGGCCCGTTTATACAATTCAGTCTGCGACTGGGCCAAGCCGACCCGAAGGGAGGCCAGGCCCGTTTATACAATTCAGTCTGCGACGGGGCCAAGTTGACCCGAAGGGAGGCCAGGCCCGTTTATACATTTCAGTCTGCGACGGGGCCAAGCCGACCCGTAAAGGAATTGTATAAACGGGCCTGGCCTCCCCTTCGGGTCGGCTTGGCCCTGTCTCAGACTGAGTTGTTTAAACAGGCCTTGCCTCCCCTTTGGGTCTCCGTCTCAGACTGAATTGTTTAAACGAGCCTGGCCCTATTAAACTAATAGGATTTAATAATAATAGAATTATCACCCTATAAAACTGGAACTGTTCTCAACTAAACACGCACACTCACGGTCATTTTTTCGTCATTTTTTCAGTCTTTTTTTACGCAGGCAGCGTTGGCCAATCCCGGAACCTCAAATCGGCTTGGCGCCGTCGCAGACTGAATTGTATAAACGGGGCTGGCCTCCCCTTCGGGTCGGCTTTGCCCCGTCGCAGACTGAATTGTTTAACCAGGCCTGGCCTCCCCTTCGGGTCGGCTTGGCCCCGTCGCAGACTGAATTGTAATAATGGGCCTGGCCGCCCCTTCTGGTCGGCTTGGCCCCGTCGCAGACTGAATTGTATAAACGGGCCTGGCCTCCCCTTCGGGTCGGCTTGGCCCCGTCTCAGACTGAATTGTTTAACCAGGCCTGGCCTCCCCTTCGGGTCGGCTTGGCCCCGTCGCAGACTGAATTGTTTAAACGGGCCTGGCCTCCCCTTCGGGTCGGCTTGGCCCCGTCGCAGACTGAATTGTATAAACGGGCCTGGCCGCCCCTTCTGGTCGGCTTGGCCCCGTCGCAGACTGAATTGCTTAAACGGGCCTGGCCTCCCCTTCGGGTCAGCTTGGCCCCGTCTCAGACTGAGTTGCTTAAACGGGCCTGGCCTCCCCTTCGGGTCGGTTTGGCCCCGTCTCAGACTGAATTGAATAAACGGGCCTGGCCTCCCTTCGGGTCGGCTTGGCCCCGTCGCAGACTGAATTGTATAACGGACCTGGCCTCATCTTCGGATCGGCTTGGATCTGTCGGAGACTGAATTGTATAAACGGGCCTGGCCCCCCTTCGGGTCGGCTTGGCCCCGTCGCAGACTGAATTGTTTAAACGGGCCTGGCCGCCCCTTCGGGTCGGCTTGGCCCCGTCGCAGACTGAATTGTATAAACGGGGCTGGCCTCCCCTTCGGGTCGGCTTTGCCCCGTCGCAGACTGAATTGTTTAACCAGGCCTGGCCTCCCCTTCGGGTCGGCTTGGCCCCGTCGCAGACTGAATTGTAATAATGGGCCTGGCCGCCCCTTCTGGTCGGCTTGGCCCCGTCGCAGACTGAATTGTATAAACGGGCCTGGCCTTCCCTTCGGGTCGGCTTGGCCCCGTCGCAGACTGAATTGTTTAAACGGGCCTGGCCTCCCCTTCGGGTCGGCTTGGCCCCGTCGCAGACTGAATTGTATAAACGGGCCTGGCCGCCCCTTCTGGTCGGCTTGGCCCCGTCGCAGACTGAGTTGCTTAAACGGGCCTGGCCTCCCCTTCGGGTCAGCTTGGCCCCGTCTCAGACTGAGTTGCTTAAACGGGCCTGGCCTCCCCTTCGGGTCGGTTTGGCCCCGTCTCAGACTGAATTGAATAAACGGGCCTGGCCTCCCCTTCGGGTCGGCTTGGCCCCGTCGCAGACTGAATTGTATAAACGGACCTGGCCTCATCTTCGGATCGGCTTGGATCTGTCGGAGACTGAATTGTATAAACGGGCCTGGCCCCCCTTCGGGTCGGCTTGGCCCCGTCGCAGACTGAATTGTTTAAACGGGCCTGGCCTCCCCTTCGGGTCGGCTTGGCCCTGTCGCAGTCTGAATTGTATAAACGCGCCTGGCCTCCCCTTCGGGTCGGCTTGGCCCCGTCGCAGACTGAATTATAATAACGGGCCTGGCCGCCCCTTCGGGTCGGCTTGGCCCCGTCGCAGACTGAATTGTATAAACGGGCCTGGCCTTCCCTTCGGGTCGGCTTGGCCCCGTCGCAGACTGAGTTGTATAAACGGGCCTGGCCTCCCCTTCGGGTCGGCTTGGCCCAGTCGCAGACTGAATTGTATAAACGGGCCTGGCCTCCCCTTCGGGTCGGCTTGGCCCAGTCGCAGACTGAATTGTATTAACGGGCCTGGCATCCCCTTCGGGTCGGCTTGGCCCCGTCGCAGACTGAATTGTATATACGGGCCTTGCCTCTCCTTCGGGTCGGCTTGGCCCCGTCGCAGACTGAATTGTATAAACGCGCCTACAGGCGCAATCAATAGAAAAAGTATCATTTTCTTGTTTTTCAATTTTTAATTTTTGACCTTGATCCGCGATCAAACGCCCTGAACAGCCTTATCGACTATTTGGTTAGCTCAATCGATTTGAAAATTTTTTAAAAATGATTGTTTTCAGAAAAGAAGCAATTTGATATACATATTGCCATATTTCTGACTATTTTTAAGCATGTACCGCGACAAACCGCCCTCGACCGCCTTATCGACCACCTGGTCAGCTCGATCGATTCGAAAATATTTTAAAAATGTTCGTGCTCAGATAAGAAGCAATTTTATATACATCTTGCCATATTTCTGACTATTTTTAGCATGAACCGCGATGAACCGCCCGGGACCGCTTTATTGACCACATGGTTTGTTGTTCCGGTTCAAAATTATGTTAAAAATGCTCGTCGTGTAATAAGGAGCAATTTCATGTGCATATTGCTGTATTTCCGATCATTTTTCTGCCTGAACCGCTTTGAACCGCCTTATCAACCGTCCGGTTAACTCCGGTTAGCTCGAGTTGAAACACCAGAAGGCTCTGAATTGACTCGTTTCATGGTTCTATTTCGTTTTTGAGTGAAAATATTCAATAAAAAGCGATTAACCGCGGTGAACCGCTAGAATGACCGGCTGGTTCGGTAGAAACCGGTTCAGTGAGTTCAGTGATTCCTAAGCTTCAATTTGAGCTATAGAACGTCATCATAGCTCGCGTTTATCAAAAGTTGAAAATCTTGAATTTTCGTATCTGACGATTTCAGTCAACTTTGAGGCATCTGATACTACTGATAACATCAAGGTGCAAAACCAATTTTTGGTGTGTCGATAGAATGGACCCTTGGCTTTCTTCCAAGGCTATTCTCGATCGTCTGACCTGGTGGGAAGGCACTTCTAATCAGCTTCTAATCACTTTAGTGCTTTTTTCTCGTCAAAAAACACCCAAAAAAGGTGTCAAAGAGACTCATTTCGAAAAATCGGCTAGTGCAGTTTTTCATAGCTTGTCTTGATGCATATGTCCAGCAAGTTTGGTTAGATTCGGCCAGAGAACCTAGAAAATAGAAAAAGGTGCGGGAAGCCTAGCTATCGGCCTTGATTCCCGCAATCAATCTAATCAGGGGTACTATAATGCCCATTCTCGTCAGTTTCTTTGAAAAGTGGACGTTTTTTATTCTTAGATTGCCGTCAATTACCCTAGGATGTTTGGCAGAAAACAAGAGTGATTACTTCCCCAAGACCGGGATTTACAAACTTCCTGCTTATTATTTTTCTAAAAAGTGAGCTACGATACTTGTAATCAGCAGTAAGAGGTGCGAGTCTTGTTGTTATCTCGACGTTTAATTCAGCGACCTTTCAAGCCTGCCAGACTTCATTTTTCAGGCGTAATTTTGGTTATGCTAATACCCGATAATCAGAAATAAATTTGCCTCTAATGGGTCCTAAATACTTCGTCCGTAAATACAGACCATAAATATTAGTTCATTGAAGGTAAAACCTGCCGGAATGCGGCGAGCAGATGCTTTTGGGGTGCAACGTGGTTAGCAATTGTGGGTTCACCAGATCATCCCCTCTTTCATCCACTTTGTTAGCCACTTTTAGTCATTTTACTCAATTATTAACGGTCTCTTTTGAGTTCATTTTAGAAAATCATCAATAAAAGACCCCTTTCCAAAAATAAAAGAAAATTTCGTAAATTTAAGGCTTTTATCTTAGAATATTTCCAAAAAATTATTCTTGTTCACGATAAATGAGCGCTGAAATTTTCACTCTATAATTTTCCCCCAAATCAGATTTTGCGGTCATTATTTCAGGTTTTTGCATATTTCATTCCTTTCCTGTCGATAGATGGGAAGCTCGTCACAGAAAACGTTCCTAAAAACAAATGTTAAATCCATGTTGGACAAGTTGGATATGCATTTGATATTCAAATTGCTCTATCATACGAGGAAACAGCCTGTTTGATTTTCTAATAGCTTATCTCAACCGTCAAGGTGCGTAAGACTCTAAAGCTATCGTTTCTTTTTATTGAGAAGTTGAGTTTTCACATGTGGAAGCTATTTTTATCTAATCCGTAGCTGGTCGCAGCTGGCGCTAGAAGTTATTCAGCAAAAAGCCGCATGAATAGTCGCTCTGAGCGCTTATCATTTTATTCCCGATTCTAACGCTGCTGTTTTTGGTATGTTTTTATTGATAGCCGTCTATTATTGATCCGCGTTTTAAAAATAAATCCACTTGGTCAAAAGTCGCTGACAGGATTTTATTTATTATTGGAAATTAACATGTTCGTTGAAAGATAATATTGAGGAGTATTCGTGAAAATAGTCTGCTAGAAGGGTAAATAATGTGTAACCGCGGGTGTCTCAAAAAACCAATTTGATTGGAACTCATTTTCAAGACTGCCCATTGAGTTTAGAGTTAACTGCTCCACTCATAATTACGATTGAAATCAGTTCTTATCGTCTTCTAAGCCGCTGCGCTAAGGAGCGGGTGCTCATAATCAGAAGAAAACCGACGTGTCCGAGGATTGATCCTCAATCAAAATTATTCAACGAACTCTCAAGGGCTTTGAAAACCGATGATCTAGCTGAGGTTTTTGAATTATCGATAATTTTCCACGATTTTTACGTTGATTTTATGAAGCAACGAAGCTTGTGAAAATTGTATATTTTGGAGCCATTTCTATGTTCACGCCGCACTGGTTTCAGGAATATTTATTATCAGTCCTTTTTAAGCGGGTTATATAACACCTCTTTGAAACCACTAAAACATCACTTTCTAAATCTCACTTCACCAGAACTGCAAAAAGTCAATTACTGGTCAATCAGCTTCCGTGCCGCATACGGACTCGGAACAAGATGAAGATCATCAGTACTGAACGCTTGCGATTTTTTGATACGCGCGACCGCAGCAGTAATTTTTTAAAGCCGAGCTTGATTTCATCCTTGAGAACATTTTCTGAGGTTGTACGAGCATATTTCTCGAAATCTGTATAGAATTTCTATCAGTATTACTGGTATGCGCTTACTTGAGTTTCAACATTACTGATACTTTACTGTAGAAAGCTTTTGGCACGAAATTTTTGATGAGTTACGGTTAGGGTTAAAATTAGGGTTAGAATTAGGGTTAGGGTTATCGTTAGGGTTAGGGTTAGATTCTAGAGCAGACTTGCTCTCTAAACTGCTTTTCAGTCTATTGAGCAGACAAGTGGTAAATTCAGATTTTCTCACGAAAAGGATTCCGTAAACTCGTTGGCTGATAAACCGGTAAAGGTTAGATTTTGGTGAGTATGTTTTGAAAGTGATATAACAACGTGACCCGAGGAATGCTGATTTTTTCTAAGAACTTGTTATCTTCTTGTAGATCTGAGCGTAAGCAGATACAGGTGAAATTTCGGCCTTAGTCATTGTATAAGAAAAATTAGAAATAGAATAAGGCGATTTGGGGCTTGACGAGAATGTAAAGTTTACAAAGTATGTTAACAAGTATTCCGCTGAACAAGTTTGATAGTTGCGACTATTGGTAGCTTCTGTCACTTCTGCGAAAGCTGGAGAAAGAGCAATTATGGGGTTTATTCCGGTGTTTACCTTCGCTGGAAGAGATTCTTGATAGGCTGCCCTCCTGGGGAATTGAATAGGAAGTGGTGAATGTCGTGCTCTTCTTGATTTCTGGTATTGCCGAGGATATCCGGGATGTGTACGGTTTCTGAATAGAACTTTAGCCTTTGATCTCAAGTTCTGATTGAGAAGGACCGGGAAAACGAGTTGATTGCTATTTTGAGTTGATTTGATTTTTGAGTTGATCGTTAAAATGAGTTAAAATCTCCGATGTGTCAATTTTCAGCGAAGACGCTTGTGAGAAAAAACGGGTTTGAAGCATTATTTGCAGCGAGAAAATCGTATTTTTCTACAAACCGCAACTCTGTTTCCGCCCAGTTCTTGGTCACAACACACTGCCTTGCAATTGAAAAGCCAATTTATCATGCCATCATAAATCATCATCGCAAAAGAGTTGGCGTGTCTTACGCCCTTTTTAAAATTCAAATTCAATTCCGGGTCAATTTGCATCGACCTCGTCAGACGTTTAGAGTCGCCAATTTCGCGAAAAACAGAAGAAAGAGATTCTTCATAACATTCTTGTCTAGCTCGAGGTGTCAGCTTCCTGTTTTGCGAGAATTCAAATATGCAGGAGGCTTGAGTGGCAAATCCGCATGCTTATATAATGAGTTGATGATCATTCTGAGCAGCTAATTTTAAATTAGATAATTGCAGCTCGAAATTGTCCAAAGAAGCGCCAATTATTGATTTCGATAATTGCACCGGGCCGGCTCTCCAGGGCCGTTAAAAATAGAAGCTTCAGACAAAAAAAACGGCAAGCAAAGAATTATAATTTCGAGCACGTTGTTTCTCCCCGCATAAGTTCCAGCAGATGTCAGCTTGGGTCAGATTTCGAGGATCTTCATGGCATATAAAAAGCCAAGCCGGAGGGCCCGTTCTAACGTGCATGAAAATATTCTTGCTACAGTCAGATTAACATGGACAAATTAAATCCAATTTTGATAGAAGTGTAATTTTTTTCAGATCAAGTTTATTTTGCTTTTTTTAGATTCAGCATGTCCGAAAACCCCGGAAAAATTTGTATTTCTGACTTCCGGTACTAAAAACCGATAAGCGCGGCGCGTCAAAGTCCCGAAATCGGTAATTTTTTACCACAGAATTAAACAGGAAGTTGACAAGGTATCAAAAATCTAATTTAACAGAGTTTTAGATAATCGTTCGAACTACTCTGGAAACTTTTAAAATTTATAAAAAGTCAACATTTAGCCCTCTATTCTAGCGTTCAAAGTTGACCTCATTTTTGTGAGCGCGCGCAACGCCTCTTTTCTCCGACTGACTCGCTCAAAATACTCGGATAATCATGAAATTTATTACACATACTAAATTTTTTGCCCTCTTCTCAGAAAGTGTGGAATAATTGTCCTAACTTCTTTCAGAAGAGACATACTGAGAGAAATAGATGCTCAAGTTCATGCATACTTAAGTACCCGAATTTTTAGTCATTTCACTGTAAAACTTAGCTCACTAAAAAGCCCGTTTCATTCTCTACAAAAATGATAAATTACTTTCATTTAAAAGAAATGGTTACTGTTTAAATAATGAAGAGATGAATTCTGATTACCCGTTGCGCCTGGCCTCATTCAAGTGAGGAAGATTCCCGCTGAGCTCTGGAGCCCATCTAGACACCTGTAAATAAACAACTCCATTATCATCAAAGAAACTGTTTGTATGAAACCAAATTATGTTTTTTTTATGTAAAAAGAAACGGGCTTTTGAGTGAGCTTAGTCTAAAAAAAGCAAAATAAATTTGATCTGAATAAAATTACACTTCTATCAAAATTGGATTAAATTTGTCCCATGCATTCCAAACGGTGGTATGCGGTCATGTGGGTATTATACCCGCGTTCACTGTTCCCCCCGAACGTGGGTATTTATACCCACGTTCACTCTTTCTTCCGAACATGGGTATTCGATACCCACGTTCACACTAACTGGCGAACGTGGGTATTTTCCAGGCGTTTTGAGAACAGTTCTGTTCTAGAGCCTCATCTGTTTCGATGAAGGCGGGAAACACACCGATTACCGGATGTACAAAAAGGTTCATTTTACAGCTCTAACTTGAAAAATTTTGGAGAATCCTTCAAGACAGGCGCGGAGCGCATACTGTCTCCGACTTGAGAACCAGCTTCGGCCGCTGACCGGGCTGTCCTGCACCCTTAACGCTGGACTTGTCTTTTTGAGGTTAAACGTTATGTTTCTAGAGCAAGTTATTTTATATACCACCGTTCAAACAAAATTTCATTTATTGAACGTGGGTATTTATACCCGCATTCGGACATTTGAGCGAACGTGGGTATTTATACCCTCGTTCGAGAAATCACTGAACGTTGGTATAAATACCCACATGACCGCTTACAACCTTCCAAACCGTTGTTTTTCCACTTAGTATCGTCGATTTATTGAGAAGCTAGAACGTATGGTCCTTGTTGATTTTGAATTCAAGGAGCTTTCAAATTTTTTGTCTACAAAGTTGTTTTTAAGATTTGACTTGTCATTTTAATCGACTTGTTTTTTTGTCAAATTTCTGTCAATTCAAGCCAAATTCGTGTCCTCAAATTAGACGACCTTAAATTCGATTTGCCGTGTTTTTGCAACTTAAAAACCGGCTTGCTAAAATGCACTTAAAGCTTATTAAGCCTTACTCTGAGGAATTTTCACAAATCGATGCCAAAAACGTGCTGCAATGCTCAGGCGCACCCTTAAAACAATTTGGAGCTGTTGGTAGTTAAAATTCCCGGGCAGCGGAGGAATTTCATTTTTTTTCTTGAAGTAAGATTATCTAATCACCCTTACCGACTTCGGACGTCTTTAAAGCCTTGTGAAGCGAGGTTTAAGCAAGTATAATAATTTTGTAGAGCAGCGGATTACTCTAGCAAGTCACGTCGGTAAGTTGAACAAACGTCGAATCACCGAAGCTAGAGTTGTTACAGAATAACCACCACTTGAATATTCAGAGAAAAGGCTTACGCATTCTCGTTGGCTTTTATACGTTTCGGCTGACCAGGGGTCTGGATTTTGGCAAAAAATGAAAAGCGAAAGCGAAGCGAAAGCGAAAATTTTTCAAAAATTTAAAGCGAAAGCGAAGCGAAGCGAATCAAAATTTCGTGAGCGAAAGCGAAGCGAAGCGAAAAATTTTTCTAAAAAGCGAAGCGAAGCGAATCAAAATTTCGTGAGCGAAAGCGAAGCGAAGCGAAAAATTTTTCTAAAAAGCGAAAAAAGCGAAAATTTTCCGGAAATATTTAACATTTGAAAAAGTGTCCATTTTATGTATGGTTTCATTTTCGTTCGGACGATGGTCTCAGTTGCCCAAGTCGCCGTCTCCCAAAATCTTCGTTTACCTTACTTTGGGAAACGGAGATCTTGGGCACACGGCGATGTGAATAAATTTATATAGATTGATAATTAAACATTGTTTGGCTTTTCCAACGTCAATCCTGGCTTCATCAATGCCAATCCTGGCTTCATCGATATTTTATCAATGATGGCTTATCCATCGTCAAGTCTGGTATCAACATCTTCAATTCTGTTCTTACCGACTTCAATCATGCCTTTTCCAATCTCAATCCCGGGTTTATCGACGTCAATTACAACTTTTCCAATGTCAATCCAAATTGGACAAACAGAGATCTTGGGCAAACGGCGACTCAGGAAAATGGAGACCACTCCATTCGGACTCCCTCTCCGATTTTTCAAATTGCAAATTTTCTGAGATTAGTGAGCTGAAGAGGCTGTGTGGCTCAGCTCAGGTCAATCATTGACTCAATTCACTCAATGATTTTTGTGAAGGACAGCTCAGCTCAGCGCAGCTCAGAATATTGGCTACTTTAAAAACAGTAAAACTTCTCTGAGCTCAGCTTTTACAAGTGCTAACTTAGCTCATTCAGCAAAATTTCCACTTGAGTTTAAACTAAAGCTAAGCAAAAAAGGCGAAGTTTTCAATTCCTGGAAAGATTTCTTTTGAGCGAAATTTTCGCGAAAATTTTTGGTAAAAAGCGAAAGCGAAGCGAAGCGAATTGAAATAACAAAAAGCGAAAGCGAAGCGAAGCGAATTTGTTTCGCTTCGCTTCGCTTCGCTCATGAGCGAATTCGCAAAGCGAATCCAGACCCCTGGGCTGACCTCAAACGCTATCGACAAGTGTCGTGGTTTCGGCATCACCTTGCATTCTTACTGTAACTACAATAGCAAAAACTATCTACAAAGGAGCATAAGGAGATAATATTACGCAGGGCCGAGATTATTCTCTCCATGAGAAATCTCAATTTCAAACATGCTAAAACCGTGTTTTCAAAACTCGTTTTAATCTTTGCTCTCAATAGGAATATTTCAAGTACTGTTCGAAAACCTCAAAACTTCCTGAAAACACTTGAAGCAAATGGAAACTGAAAACTTGCTTGATCCACCACATCGCCGCGCATTTCCGGCAATAATCAATCGAGGTCAGCTCGACCTTTCAATTCGATAACAAAAAACGTCAGAAAAGAACCTCGAAGGTTAAATTTAATCCAATTGCTAGACGCGTAACGTTCGCCGAAATTCAAGCGTATTTGGGGTTTTGAGTTTCACTTGAGCTTTATTCTTGCGTCCCGTTTTGGACTCACTGTTGCGGTTAGTAGTGGGTGGAGTGCGAAAACCGCGGAAGTAGCCACCCTCAGGGTTTTTTGTAAATAACACTCGTGAACAACCTCCGAAAATGGCACTCAAAATCCTCCAAAAATCACCACTTTCTTCATCATAAAATCTCATTCCGCTGATATTTCATACCGACTTAGAAATGGAAATTACAAATACTGAAGCTCGGAAAAAATTCGATGAAATTCTACCAACCACCAGGAGGTGTCAAGATGTTTATATTGAAAAATTCAAGACGCTTGAGAGCACGAGTGATTGAGCAATTTCTAGTGACGCGGCTGAAGTGAGTGGATATCAAATTGGCGCGTTCCGAGAGGACCAACTCTTTCCACCACTTGCTGGTTTTGTGTCAAACAAAGATTAATACCAAGGAAAGAAAACATGCGTCAATTGCGTTGCAACAAGTGTATGCATATCAATCTGGAATCTTTGTTCATGTATTTGGATACAAGCAATGTTTCGAGTTTCTCCAGTATCAAGTACTGCCAGACGCGAAATTAGATAATTTCTACTGAATCACGAATTCCATACGTGGGAAGATTGGACAAGATTGCGCTTCTGAAAAATTTCTTGACAAAACGGAAAGTTGAAAAACCAAAAGTTATGCATGGATTCTAGTGAGCGCGGCACACATGGCTTCGATCGTACATCATGATTAGTGGCTTAGGGGCGCTTATCTAGTTCCCCGCAAAGGGAAGAAGCCAGAAACTCGATCGTGGAACAACTTCTACACTCCTTGTTTTTATAAGGTTCATTACACTGGACAATGAAATTTGCAGAAGACGATGTAGGTAGTTGAAGCGGTGGTTTCGGCGATTTCGAGCGTAAAATTGAAATTCACTCTTCACGTTCTGCTCATTAACACGGTATTATAGACTGGCGGCCTTCCCTATCGCTAGATTATTCAGCGGAAAGGGGACTAAACGGGCAGAGCCGGAAGGCAACGAGTGCACGTCAGAAGTCCGCTATGTCCAAGAAGGATAAGCTGGCGACTTGTTAGACAACATGCGTCAAGAGTTTGTGCCTTGAGTACTTTGATCAAGGGCCCAAGTTAGGCTCTTGACAAGAAGGAACAGTATTTCAAGAGTTTCTTGGACCTTCTAGTGCAACTTTCGCGGGTCAAGCGTTAGAAAAAGCTTATTGCCAAAAAATCACCTCGTTTGAAGTCGCGACTCGCTGACTTCATAACGAGACCATGATTTTCCCTCGCCGCGTAAGAAAATTGCAATAGACAACAAAGGAAATTGCAGCAGGAAGATTTTCGGATGCGTGAATTTCCTAACAAGGTTCGTTGAAAAAAGGTCAGCAGTTAACTTACTTTACCGTAAGAAAAATAAGTGGAAAAGTCTGATTTGGTACTCGTGTAAGCTAAAGCGATTCCGCCTAAGCGGCAAATTAGCTCCTCGGTGATACCTGGCAAATCTCTTTTTGACCTGCCTGAAACGTTTAGGATGCGCTTTCCGAACGATTTCCGAAAGCGCGGGTATGTAGTTATCCGCATTAGGCAGGCACGTGAATTTTTTCCTTCAGTTATTTGAATTTATACGGTAATCTGTAGATTCGAACAGTGATCCCTAGACAAGTTATCTTTGAAAATATTATATTTTTCTTGCTCCAGCTCATCGCGCAACTGAACTAGCAACGTTACAGGAGTTCAACCTTTTTGGTGTTGCTTCTCAAAACACCGATCGTCGACCACACGGGAAGTGGTCGAAGATACCAAACAGAGGCTGTCAAGGTGACCCAGCTCGAAATGCAGATGACGTTCTTGATGACGCTAATTCACCTTCTTTGCGGTGTGTCACCTGTGAATTGAAAAAGCTGAAGCACAAATTTGCTGCCTTGTTGCTGATCTGTTTTTCTGCGCGCCAAGGTGCTACTTAGTAACTCAATTTTTAGCTTCTCAGCTCATAGAAAAATACGATAAGAACTTGCGTACTATCTTTATCGAAAATGTTCGACAACCCTTGAAGCATCGAGTCGACCAGTATCAGCTCTGCAACATGAGCTGCTGTATTGAAAATCCAGCTACTTAGAAATCAAGCACTATCGGTCAGATTTTTGGGTGGAATTCAGCATCGCGGTTGAACATAAAGACTCGAACTAGGAGTGCTCAAAAACGACACGTTTCTTCCGCTGTGAATGGAGCTTGATTGAGTCCGTTTTCTCCGTAAATCATTCTCAATGTTTACAGCGCAATAAAACAAGCAAAATTGTTTACCTTTCTAACCTCGAAAACATATTTTCAATCTCATTTCTTTCAACCTTGCGCAATAGATGGATTGGTTCAACCTCAGTCGGTTAGAATGACGAGAAGCATTGGTTCAAAAACGCAGCACCACGTCGGAAGGATGAGTGGAAAAATATTTTTTTCCGTCGAGTCGGAAATCCGGAAATTAGGTTTCGACCGTTCCCAGGATTTTCAGAGACTCTTTTTTTACTTGCCTTTGAAGTTCCTGGGCATGTTTGGACCGTGTTTTATACGGTAACAGCTATGTCAATTTTTTCTCACGGTGAAAGCCCTATTTTCACGTGTCTTACTTTCAGGAGGTAATTTATCGCTTGCGATCAACAAAAATACCACTTTCGGCCTTTTTTTGTCCAAACAACACTCATTTTGGACGGTCTTTTTTCAAACGTTCGTTTTGGAAAATCGTTGGCATCCGGAATTCACGAGAAAATTCCCTCGCTCTGGATGCGCCTTCGCAAATTTGTAAAATCAACGCTCGGAAGCTCAATCTGCCACTTACTTGGACTAATAATTCGATCCGATAGAAGGGCAGAAATTCGTTCGATCAAAGTTCAAAGCGTACTTTTTGATACAGGGGTTTATTAGAAACGCATTTTGTCAAAATCTTCGTTCCGTTTATTGACGGGTTAATTTGACATTGAAGCTTACTTTTCAAAGGTTATTTTCCAGCCTCTAAAAAGAATGATTCGATCAAAGTTTGAACTGGTTATATTTTTTGATCGGGGAAGAGCTTTTGGAAACATTCAGGAACATGATCGATTCGCTTGTTTTTCAAATAGAAGAATACTAAGCAGACACGTTGCGAGTTTGCGGATTATAAGAACGCGAACTTTAGAGACAGTAATTCAGCGTTCCAATTACATTTCGTGAAAAATAATTAGAATTCATTTGCCTCACCGCGACACTCCACGCGAGTGTCGCCTATTTGATGAGAAAACAAAGTGAAGAAAGAGTACTTTCATTGAAAACGTAATTTTGGACTTTGGCTGATGTTGAGAGCGCTGTCGCTGCGGTCAGTGCAAAACACCAAACAGATTGGCCAGTTTCACTACGTTCTACTACACGTCTCAGAAAGCTAAAATCATCCCTTCTTTCGGTTGACCAAACAACCTTCTCGGAAATTATAAGTCTCGAAAACATGAACGAACCACTTATTATTGAAGTTCATCGCAACTGAAATTTGAAATTTTGATTAGCATCTATGAAATGTTTTCACGATTTGAAAAATCAAAAACATCTCTTCAGTTTCGAAAAACCAATTCGAATACTCGAAGAAAAGAGAATGTTTTCTGGTCATGGCTTGTTTGAGTCCAAAAAAGACCCAACACCTGATAAGACTATGATTGAAGTCTACAAAAAAGCTGATAAGTTTCTTGAGAAATATCCGGTCGAAAAAGTAATGCGAGACCAGATAAAACAGGCCATTATTGACATCGAACTCGAATTAACCACGGGCTTAGCAGATTTTTTATCATTATATTATTATAATCATTTATTATAAAATAAGAACTAAAACTAAAGCCTTTAAAAGATGGCAAACTAGCCGAGATCATCAAGCTCAAGAAAGAAATCGACCCACTTGTTGAAGATTTCAAGAAAACTTCTCAGCAGTCTGTGGAAAAGACCATGGAAATCTCGACTAAGGTCGATCGATTGAAAAAGGCTGGAAGAGATCGCCGTCAACTTCTATTCAAGCATAAAATCGAGAAAGAAAAACTTCGATTTTTCTGTGACAAGGAATACCCCCAGGGTCGGTTCGATGACTTCTTTAAGGAACATAAAATTTCTGAGCGATTTCTAGCTTTTCGAACATAATTAAGTTCAAAGTACACGAAGTGAGTGAGAGATTCTTCAATATTTTCTCTTATCCCGGCGACAAAGAGTTTCAAAATACTCTCTACACTCCTGAACTCAACCCAATGAATACGACATTTGATGCAGAAAGAGCGAAACGTGGAGAAATTATCGACATGATCGCTAGGGAGACAAAAACTAAGGTAAGAAGTTCTATTTGTTAAAATGTATACCATATTCAAAATTTAAGGAAGAGCAGTTAGTTTGCGTTCGGGAGATGCTCTTTGCTCATGCTTTTGCTGACCTTAGCGACGATTCTGATGAAGGAAAATCTTCCGATTAAATTTTTAGTCCGACTTTTCTATTCTAATAAATATCATTTCAAACAAGTTTTATGAGTCCTTGTTTCTAATGAAACTCGAGTACCAGCACAAATGCAGGGGATTGACATTCACTTTTGGACTTGTGTTGGTAAACTTTACCGTAAAGCGTATCATTGCAAAACACGTGTTCTATTCAAATCGCGCGTCAAGCTATTTTCACGGTAGACACATTTTTGGAACATTTTTACTCGTTATTCTAAACATGCAAATTTCTATCCTTCTCTTTATTCTAACACCATCTTTATCAGAATTTGTTTTAATGAAATTAATGAAGACCAAATAAATTAAAACTTTGAATCTAAATGTCTTTTTCTGCGAGGTTTTGTCACTTACCAATCCAGTTTCAGCCATCATAATCTTCCTGAAGTCGACGTACTTTTCAGTCTTCGCCATCTTGCGGCCAAATCTCTTTTCAACTCGTCTCTATTTTGATTTTTTAATTTCGTGAGCCAACCAAGCGTTGTATATTTAGCGCGAGCGTTGCAAGAGTCGGAGGCACCTCGCTCAGCAGAATTCTGAGCGATCGCGATCCGCCGCCCTCTACCGCCACGCGATGCGCAAAAAATCAAGAAAGTTACCCTCAATATGCGGCCGGCGCTTCATCAAATTCAGGGAGCGCGATGCCACGCTGCTGTACTTAGCTGAATTTTCAAATTTCGAATGAGCGAAAGAATTTCTACAAAAATTTGCATCTCTAATTTTGGATTAGAAAACACACGATCTTGTTTTAAAAATTGACGAGAAACCCTTTACCAAAGAATCTGAATTAACACAAGTCTGAACTGATACCCGAAAATAATTTTTAATACAGTGAAGATTCATCCACTTGAATAAAAATTTTGTGCAGCATTTTTCCATCAGTCTGTAACTCGACTCCCAAATCGAAAATGCAACTATTGAAACTCGACCTTCCTGGTCCCCCAGGATGCATAATCGTAGACTTTACCCCATTCATCCGACTTCCTGTTAATTCTACAAGCTTTTCAACTAACTTGACCCCTAATGCAGCAAAAGCTTCCCCTTTAAAATTGCATAGACAAGCATTTCTAGTGCTAGAGGACGCGTAGTATTGTTTGTTGCCCACACAAGGCGCCTTTGCTTATTTGTGGCTTGAGCGTCTCTCATCCCTTTTCACTATTATGTAAGCTCAGCCAAGCCCGGAAGGACACTTGTTATCGCTGAACCGTACATCGCTGTTGGCGTTGTCGGCCTCAATCCGAACAGGATCAGATTTGCGGAAGCGATTTCTCTACTTTATTTCTCTAAAAAACACTCGCACATCCGTGCAGGGACATCAGATGCTTCCTCTATCATTCAATAGAATCTCTTGTTCAACAAAATTCCAGTACAAGGGTCGCACATCCCACGATGATAATAGTTCATCCTGTTTCTGGAGCAGCTTTGATTGTTTTCTTCCAGATAATCAAAGTACCAAAAACTTATCTCAATTCGAACAATCCTGAGACACCTCTCACAAACTGATTATATTGAACCGTCTTTGAGGAGTCAATTTAATGTTTCAATAACTCAAATATACATTTCGCCCGAACGTCAGGTCAATTTTCGCGTTATTAGCGTCAATAACCGGTCCAGTTTTTATCAACTTACATTTTCTACTGAGGGGAGTGTCGAGTTATGAAATGTTTATTCGAATACGATCTGTAACGACCTCGTTTATGCTTATCGCTTAAAGCCGTCTTTACGGGCGAGCATTTTTCGTTAAATTCTACGTACCACGACGAAGCGCTGCGTTGAATTTGGTCAACAATCTTGGACTCGCGTTTTTGTTTTTTTGCAACGGATGCGTTTTAAATCTCGGCTAGCCACTTGTTGTATTTTGATAGCAGACTCTTCGAAAAACGCCTTGTTAGAAAGTTATGAAGACGTATATTTTCCTTTGCTCAAAATTCAGCTCGCAGAAAGAAAAATTGTTTGCGAAACATGCTTTTTACAGTATCTCATTTCTGGGCAAGTTTATTCTGGGGCGGTGCTTAACGAAATCAACCAGCTTCTAAAGAAAATTAAGCAGCTAATTATCAGCTGAGAAAATTCTACGATGGTTTCAAAAAGTAGCTTGGAAAATTCTCCCACGATCAGGAATTCGACAAGGTACATTCCAACTGCAGCTGATCTGACATCATCGCAACATCGCAGCTCGTTCGCATGAAACTTGACCGGCGAAATCGTTCCGAGAAATCGGACAAGGAGCGGAATCAACCTCACGTGGTGCCAAACCGAAGCCTGTTTTTTGATTTCATGCCGTTCGCGTCAAGCCGGATCAACTGGACAACCCTTTTAAAATTTCTGTCAAGTGCAATTGAATTTCGGAATCTATTCGGTGAAGAATCAAGTTAAATATTTAAAATAGATAACAACACAAGCATATTTTTCGTTTGCCGGCAGTCAACCCTGAGAACAATTTCTATGAGAAACCTTGAACCTTGAAGCGCAAAAGAGCTTCGATAAGATTCACCAAAGCCGGTTGTCTCTCATCATTGAAGACGATCAGTTCGACCTTTTCACAGAGAAAACTTAATATGTTTGCTCAAATTCTGCTTCTTCTTTTTCATTTTTGCTCTGGTAACACCACGAACAATAACGAGGTTAGTAAAGACGCACACCAAAAGAATTTTCAACAAATAAACCATAGACGAATTTGGATGACATCATCCTCACCCAGTCCCGAGCACTAGAAGCCGCAACCTTCCTTCTAGCTAACCAGAACCGAATGGAAACCCAGCTTCGCATCCTCGAAGAAAAACTAGATCAAATGGAGGGAAAGGAAACAGCTGCCAAAGAAGAAGGAACCAGTTCTGTTAAAACCACTGAGCCAGTAGCTGAATTCGCTAAAATGCAGAAAACTCTTGAAGAAATCAATGCGCCTTGAATTCTGGTTGTTCGTCCGAAACTGACAAGCCATTCAAAGAAGCGGATGCAATGAAAGTATTGTATTTTCTCTCCACGGGTATTCGAAAAGTTAACTTCAGGGTAAAACATCACTTCTATTTTATTGTTGGGAGAGAGGCGATTTTCTGGCAGTTAGATTTTCTGGCAGTTAGACTTTCTGGCAAAGGCGATTTTCTGGCAGTGCCAGAAAATCTAACTTCCAGAAAATCGCCTTTGCCAGAAAGTCTAACTGCCAGAAAATCGCCTCTTTTGATTTTGAATCTACAGTTAATGATCCTGGAAGGTAAAAAACGGAGAGGGTTTTCGACAGTACCACCAATTTTTTCTTACACGTTATTTTTAAAAATTCATTGACAAAAGCCACTTTTGACCCATTTATTTAAGATAATTGGCTGTAGCAAACATAAATCAGCTCCTCCGGGAATTTCTGTGTTAATCACCCAGTGTTATTTGCATCTGATTTCGAATACTTGGTCACAGTGGGCACCCACTGAGATAATGGCGCACGCTAATGCTTTTTGAAACTGAACTTGTTTTAAGGCTATAACCTCTCTTTTGGCCTCTTCGGAAAACCGACTACCCTTGGTCGATTTCAAAAATTAAAAAGACTCATATACTCAAAATCTATCGTAGATTTCAGAAATGCGATCAAAAATTAATTTTTCTTTTGAAATTTTGACTTTACAATAGGGTCGGCCCTTTTCACGTGATGACCGCGGACAACTCTCATATTTTGTGGATATGTTCCTAAGGTGGAGTGTGTTAACCTGTCACATTTTGAGCCGTGTACGCCAAGATCACTAATGGTACGTCAGCGGGTTAAAAATCAAAAATTTTTTTTCGAATTTTCCTTCACTAAGAAGACCAAAAAATACACAGACACAATTTTTCGAGCCAAAAAAAAGGAAATTATAAAAAGTGAATGTTTTTTTTTAATTTTGATTTTCGTAATTTGAAAATAAAAAGTAAAAAAGTAAATTATAAGATAAAAACCATAACAAAGCAAGAAATAGGAAAAACTTAAATTTTAATGAATACGGGTGTGGGTGGGGTTGGGGACAAAATTGAGATTGATCACCTCAGAGTTTTAACCCTCTGTCGAGCCCCTTTCGAAGGGCCGTCAAGCCCCTTAAAATTAAAAATCAAGTAACGGGGCTGAGACGGCCCGAAGGGCCGTCAAGCCCCTTAAAATTAAAAATCAAGTAACGGGGCTGAGACGGCCCGAAGGGCCGTCAAGCCCTTAAAATTAAAAATCAAGTAACGGGGCTGAGACGGCCCGAAGGGCCGTCAAGCCCCTTAAAATTAAAAATCAAGTAACGGGGCTGAGACGGCCCGAAGGGCCGTCAAGCCCCTTAAAATTAAAAATCAAGTAACGGGGCTGAGACGGCCCGAAGGGCCGTCAAGCCCCTTAAAATTAAAAATCAAGTAACGGGGCTGAGACGGCCCGAAGGGCCGTCAAGCCCCTTAAAATTAAAAATCAAGTAACGGGGCTGAGACGGCCCGAAGGGCCGTCAAGCCCCTTAAAATTAAAAATCAAGTAACGGGGCTGAGACGGCCCGAAGGGCCGTCAAGCCCCTTAAAATTAAAAATCAAGTAACGGGGCTGAGACGGCCCGAAGGGCCGTCAAGCCCCTTAAAATTAAAAATCAAGTAACGGGGCTGAGACGGCCCGAAGGGCCGTCAAGCCCCTTAAAATTAAAAATCAAGTAACGGGGCTGAGACGGCCCGAAGGGCCGTCAAGCCCCTTAAAATTAAAAATCAAGTAACGGGGCTGAGACGGCCCGAAGGGCCGTCAAGCCCCTTAAAATTAAAAATCAAGTAACGGGGCTGAGACGGCCCGAAGGGCCGTCAAGCCCCTTAAAATTAAAAATCAAGTAACGGGGCTGAGACGGCCCGAAGGGCCGTCAAGCCCCTTAAAATTAAAAATCAAGTAACGGGGCTGAGACGGCCCGAAGGGCCGTCAAGCCCCTTAAAATTAAAAATCAAGTAACGGGGCTGAGACGGCCCGAAGGGCCGTCAAGCCCCTTAAAATTAAAATCGAGTAACGGGGCTGAGACGGCCCGAAGGGCCGTCAAGCCCCTTAAAATTAAAAATCAAGTAACGGGGCTGAGACGGCCCGAAGGGCCGTCAAGCCCTTAAAATTAAAAATCAAGTAACGGGGCTGAGACGGCCCGAAGGGCCGTCAAGCCCCTTAAAATTAAAAATCAAGTAACGGGGCTGAGACGGCCCGAAGGGCCGTCAAGCCCTTAAAATTAAAAATCAAGTAACGGGGCTGAGACGGCCCGAAGGGCCGTCAAGCCCCTTAAAATCAAAAATCAAGTAACGGGGCTGAGACGGCCCTTCCTATTTTAAAAATTTTAGTTGAAAATACAGTCGATTTTATTTTTTTTATTATTTTCGACACAAAAAATGTATTATTTATTCCCCTGTTAAAGGAAAATTGAAAAAAGTAATTTTGATTTTTAACCCTCTGGCGTACCATTGTTGATCTTTGCGGACGCGGCTCAAATTTTGCCAGGTTAACACTCTACCATTAGGCATCATATCCACAAAATATGAGAGTTGTCCGCGGTCATCACTTGAAAAGGGCCGACCCTACTTTACAATCATTTAAAAAACGCCGATCGGTTTTCCGAAGAATTTTACCATTACAGAGGTAGATATTTTTTGATCAATTAATAGATAAAAGCCTTCTCTACAATCCTTATGGAAAAAATCTTCGAAATCTCTTCAATTTTTCATTCTAGGGCCATGTTAGTGCTGGCACCTGAGGATAAAAATGCGCGTGGACGCGCTGCGCGGAGTGCTATCCTCCAGGCCAAAAAGAGAGCGCTGTTGGCGAGCGTGTGAGTCAAGCGATTCATCGCGCTCTGATTGGCCGCGTGGATCTCAAGCGTCAGTCTATTAACAAAAGAGTTTGAAAAGAAGAGAGAACTATAATCGTAATTTAGACAATTTCTTGACATTTTTTCCATAGGGATCATAGAATATGCTTTACTTAATAATATTGTCGGATTTTTTTTGCCTCAGAGCTTCCAGTTTTCTCGGAAAACCGATCGCCGATTTTTGAATTATTCTAGAGCAAATAATTACTAGAGAAAAGTATTTTTTGATGGCATTCTTGAATTCTTTAGGAGAAAACAAGTATGTTTGCCCTTTAAATTTTTGAAATCGACCAAGGGAAGTCCGTTTTCCAGTGAGGCCAAAAGAGAGGTTATAGCCTTAAAGCTCTCCAGAAGATTTTTCCTCAGGTGGTGAAATCGCCTTTATAGGATGGATATTATTTGAAATTCTGCAAGAAACTCTTTTAATAATAATCATTTTATAAATTCGAAAAACTTGTTTTTATCACACAAATTTCATTTCGGAGCAGTTTCAGCAGGAGTTTGCACCTTTCGACGGGAGCGTTTGATCTAAAAGTCGACTATTCAGGGCGCTAAAAAAGACTACGAATTGGGAATTGAAATTTTTGCGCTAAAAATAGAATGAGGGTAGCATCCGCAGTTCGTTCTAGCTGTTTTCAGAGTGACAAACAGGTTCACAGGCAGCTGAAAAGTTAGATTTTGATTTTTTTGAGAAAATGGAGAATGATAAGGAAGAAAAGTCGCATAGAAAAATATTGAAAATGACACCGATTCCAGCACCTTCTGTGTTTGCTACAGCCAATAATCTTGAATAAATGGGTCAAAAGTGGCTTTTGTCTATGAATTTTTATAAAACATGTAAGAAAAATTGGTGGTACTGTCGAAAACCCTCTCCGTTTTTTTACCTTCCAGGATCACTAACTGTAGATTCAAAATCAAAAGAGGCGATTTTCTGGAAATTAGATTTTCTGGCATATTAGATTTTCTGGCAGTGCCAGAAAATCGCCTTTGCCAGAAAGTCTAACTGCCAGAAAGTCTAACTGCCAGAAAATCGCCTCTCTCTATTGTTGGAGCTTTTTTTATTAGTTTACCAACGAGGATCTTCAAGTAGAAGGCTTTGGTTGGAACTTGAAATATTCAGATAAAGTGCTGAAACTAAAGAACTCAGGTAAATTGGGAAAGTCTATCATTTATCGAGATTTATAGATGGCAATGTTCGAATAATAGCAGTTTGCGATCATCATTACATGCCATCGATACATTATAACTTCCGTAAATGTACTGAATCGAATGCTTATTGCGAGGAAACGGCCACCGATGAAAATGGATATCAAGTGCTTCGTCTCAACTCGAATTTTGACAAGTCTAAATATAAATATGGTGCCAGACATTACTACACCTTCAATGTGGAAATTTTGTAAACCTTTATTCTTTCTATCTCAATACATTCGTCTGCAATTTATTTATTCATTTATGACAGGTTGTGTGCAAGAACTGTTTCATTTTGCAGCGCCACCAAAGGGCACAGTCCCGAAAACAACAAAGATTTTTCTCATAAGGTCACCAACAAATTCGATAAGTCTGAGAATTCGTGCCGGAAGCAATTATTGTGGGTAGAATGTCAAAGTTTCCTGGGTATCAGATTGAAAAGGTAAGCATTTTTGGAAAGAATTGTCCTGCAACGAGTGATAAGGTAGCAATTACCAAGCCACTGATGGAGAAAAGAAGACGGGAACGGATGAATAAAGCGTTGAATGAAATGAAGAATATTTTACTAGAGACGATGGGACGCGAGGTAAAAACTTGTCTAAGAACTTTGAGGAAAAAACTGTCTAGATAACGTGCCATTCAAAGCTAGAAAAAGCGGATATCCTTGAAAACGCAGTTGATTATCTCAAACTTTTACGCGACGTGTACGGCATCCTTCCTGGTGCTCCTCTAGCGCAGTGCATACGTGAGCGACAACAAGGTCATCTTTCGATAAACCCCAGGCTCATCCCAGTCGTGCACCCAGTACCTCTCTCAACTCAATTGCCACTCATCAGGCCTTCAAATTTTCCCTTGGTGAATTCTAGCCACGTAACAACTCGCCGCACTCAAGAAAAAATCATCTGCGAATCTTCAGATTCTTCTGAATCAATAAGTACAAGTAGCTCTTCTAGTTGCGAACCATTCCGACCATGGCTTTTGAACAAGTAGAGACATTATTTTTATTCGCACATCTTTATATATATTTTTCAATAAAACACGAAAAGAGATACTCTTTCATGATTTCCATGCAGAAAGTTTGATGAATACCGTAGCTGCCCGAGATACAGGTGTAAGTTTGCTTTTCTATTGAAAGTGCATTAGCAGGGGCCCTTTGAAGTCGATAAACAGAGGCACCAGAAGCGAGTCAAAGCAGGAAACAGTTCGGACAAACATGCTCAACAGGCACGCAGATTTAGGGAGACAGAGTTTGACTTTTCAACTGAACAAACCCCGTTTGATCATTTCATTGCCGCATAAGTAGCCGTGATACCATGTTTGCTTAGGCTGGATAGACACAATCTGCGGAGAACTGCCTGTTACGTTTGGAACGTGCCGTAAAACTCAGAGTTCTTTCACTCCAAATTACTGTATTATTACCGTGAAACTGTTTCTTTCAAAGGTGGAAGCAGTTCTTTCCAAGTTTTCGGGACTATATGAAAAATTTTAATAGATCGCTCAACTTCTTTAAACTATTAGCAGATTATTTCGAAGCCTAAGGGTACGTTATTTGATTTAAAGATAACATAAATAACCCATGATGTTTTCAAGTCATTTCTCCCCATCAATATTATTTTACATATAAAAGGAAGAAAACACATTAATTTCATCCTTCCCCCCTAGAGACACTTGTATCGACAGCTGTCTCCCAAAAAGTCTGAATTTTAAATCGATTCCCAATGAAATATCGTTAAATTTCCCTTTCTGTAGACGCCTACAGCGATATGTGATATGTATTGATCCTTGTCAGGGAGCCAAGGGGAGGCTGTGAATCCAAGTTGCGAAGAACGGTTAACGCTGCTCGGTTCCAAATTGTTTTTCTATCGCTTTTATATTTTCATTGAAGATGGCGCTTTGTTAGTGAGAAGAATTTTTATCAAAGAGATCTTGAAGGAAACGCAAGAGGTTATTTTGAAGAAAAAATGGACGAAAAGTACTTTGGTAACTTACAATGATAACTTACGATGAGCAATCAAGGGATAAGCCATAATGAGTGAACATTCACGGATAAGCCGTCAGGGATAAGCTTTAAATGATGAGCCATCCGCTTATTGCTTTTATACGATGACCATCTAGCCGGAGGCAATTTGAGGTTGTCTCCCCACTGCAGACTCATTGTGCTCATTACCGCCCTCTTTCTCAACGTGGTCGAAAATAGTAACTTGTTCGATTTTAAGAATGGTTCGGTTTATAATGGTTTGGTCTACCTCAAGAGTTCTGATTGGTCAGGATTGAAAATTTGGAGTGTTTTCATTGGCTAAAGTGAACATTGCGTAGGTGTTTGAACCTATATAAGTCGACGTTTTTGAAGTTTTCATCATTTTTACAAGAGAGCACCTAAGAGAAAGACGAAAACGACGAAAAATGGTTTTGTGCAAGCCCACCACGAACGATCTCTCCGCTTCTTATTTTCCAGGAGAGCCAATTACGTCTGATGAATTTTTCAAGGTGCTTGGGAAGACGAAAGATCAGGTAGATCAAGAACTCGATGCAGAAGCCCTTTCTCGACAGCTCAAGAAAGGGTTAGCCGCGTGCAAGAATGTTGTTGAAGCAACGCTCCAGGGCTATGTCAAGACCTTTTTGACTCGCTACGGACAATCGCGTATGGAAAACGGTGGTTGGCCGCTCCCTCCATCCAAGAAGTCAAAGGAACACAAGCGCAACGTCGCTCTCGTCACCAAGTTCCTGAAGAACTCGTCTGAGTACACTGGTTTTTGTCTCATCGTCTATGCAGAGGAGATTCCGGAAGAGAAAAAACCTCGTCTTGAGCTGTAAGTGGTCCTTTCTTAGATTTTTTCTCTTTGCGTCCCTCCATAATACTCATGATTTCTTTAGAGAGCCTGCTTCTTCAATCATCGATGTTGAAATGGCGACCGATTATCAGCAGGAGGCGATCAATTTCATTCGATCATTTGATGCTTTTGGCAAGGAAGATTACGAAAAGCTTGTCGAAGCGCTCAGACATCGCCGGCAGAATACAACCGAAGCAGTCACCACCTCCTTGTCTCAACTTTCGACGTCTGAAACGCCCGCGTCTCAAGCACCTTCGTCTCAAGCAGCCCCATCTCAAGCGTCAACAAGCTCAGAATATCTTCCTGCAGTAGGTGGACGCAACTACGAACGTGTCGAAGATGATGTGATCGCGAAAGCACGACTTGTACGAGGCTGTGTCGAATTGAACGTCTCGAGCCGCTCGATGATCGCTATCGCAGAAATGTACGGCTTTCCTTCCGTCACCGATCGAACGGCTCGCATTTGGATTGGCGCAACTGAACGACTCCATAGCGAACACCTCCTTGAAGTCATTCGCCTTGACAAGCCGTTTGGACTTGGCTTTGACGGGTCCAAGCTGGCCATGCAGAAGTATGAAGTTGTAACTGTTCTCGTCCCAGGTGAGCAGAACTTCTGCATGGCGATGCTTCCGGTGGCAACGGAGAATGTCGACATTGTGATGAACGCCTTCACCAAGCTGTTCGACTCTCTTCCGGCCGATCTTCAGACGACATTTGCGAAGAATTGCAAATTTCTGATCAACGATAACGCCGCTGTGGCAAAATCGATTGCAAAGAAGGTGGATGCGTTTTTATCGACGAAGTATAGTCTCACGCGAGAGCATCTAACTTGCTCGATGCATTCTGCCATGCACCTTGAACGCACGTTGGAGGCATCTCTTGTCGACGAAGCATCCCGCTGCTATGTCTTGATGAAGGGTCTTCTCACCACTAGCCGCACACATGGATACCAAGGTAGCCTGGGAAACAAATTTCAGTTGTTTCTTGAAGGTGTTAAAATTAAAAGACGCCTCGACATCCCAATCACGCCGTTTCAACTGGAGCAGAACATCCGATTTGGTGTTTTCTACCGTAATGCCGCTGTCGGATGCGTTACTTACGATTTGATCGTTGAGTTTTTGGCTCTCGAAGGCAAGGAAAAAGAGGCCGAAATCGTGAAGAATGCCAAGCCAGTCTACATTCCTGAGCTTGTGAGTGTGCACCTCCTTTGGAATCATCTTTGCCTCTTCTTTTGGACAGAGACGGCGAAGGAAGCGACGCTCGATGAATACAAGAAGCTCATCAAAACGTTTCAAGAGACTGTCGAGCTTGTACGAGACGCTGCATGCCCAGCACTGTTTCTAACTTCTGAGGGCAATCCGATGAAGCGCACCGGAGATAATGGGATTCCCGGCTTTTCTCAGCTTCTCAACTCGATTCTTGACGATGAAAGTGGGGCTGCTGATTTGAATGAGCGAATTCGACGAAAGCTCGACCCTCTCCTTGCCACTTTCAGCCGTTTCGAGCAGCTTCCGAAGGAAGATATTCAGGTAAGCGATACTTTTCATCTTTCTCTTACACAGAGTCAGCAGTACCTTATACATCTTTTTAGGGCCTTGTTGCGTTGACAAATGTTCATGCTGAACGCTGCTTCAGCATTGCCAAGGACACCTTTGTCTCGAAGTTCAACTCAACAAAGCTCGCCTCCGTCTTCTGCTGCCGAATTAATTCAACTCTGAGCCACTTCATGGACGATGAGGAGACTCTACGTCGCTGCTTCCGAGGACTCTATGCAGATGAAAAGCGGCGCTCCGATGTAAGGAAGTCTGCCCACGCTGCTGCGGTGAGCGAAATGATGGAGACCATCGACAAAGAGGCAAGTCTTAAGGCTCGTCTCCAAGGGCTTACAGAACTTGCGGTTGCACTTGATGCACTACCAAAGGATGCTTCGAAGGTAAAAGAGGACTTTTTGGTTTCATGAAACTAACCTCCTTCATTAGTTCGATGCTGCTTTCCAGGCATTCACGAAGGCGAACGCAGTTGTTGCCGATTTCGGAGTCGTCACACGCGATGAAGCTTACGATTCATTCACCTCTGCGATTCGACTTAAAATGACCGATGAGCAGAAAGAGACTGCGGCGAACAAAGTCAAAGAGGCAAACAAGAAGCGCAAGCAGCATAAGAAAAGTATCTTTCTTGCTTACCATTCTGTGCTTTTCTCTGAATAAATCATAGATCGCTCATATACCTTGTCTTTCGAGATTATTGTTCTTGTTTGTTGCTTGTAGAAAGTCGCTAAGGCCAGCTAAGGCGCTGCCTCTCCCTGTGTTGCCAAGGCTTGCGCTGAATCACACTGCAATGCGAAGCCCAGCACTGCCTCTCACTGCGTTGCCGAGCCCAGAATTGCCTCTCACTGCGTTGCCCAGCCTTGCGCTGCCTTTCACTGCGTTGCCTAGGCTTGCGCTGCTTCTCACTGCGTTGCCCAGCCTTTCGCTGCTTCTCACTGCAATGCCTAGCCGTGCGATGCCACTCGCTGCATTGATGAGCTTTACAATGCCTCGCGCTGCCTTGCCCTTCCCTGCCCTACCTTGCCCTGCTCTTCCCTGACTTGCCCTTCCATGCCTTGCCCTTCCCAGCTTTGCCCTTCTCTGCCCTGCCTTGCCCTTCACTTCTCTTCCTTACCCTTCCCTGCTTTACCCTTCTCTGCCCTGCCTTGCCCTTCCCCGCCATGCCCTGCCCTTCACTTCCCTGCCTTGCCCTTCCCTGCCTTGCCCTTCTCTGCCCTGCATTGCCTTTCCCCGCCCTGCCATGCATTGCCCTGCCTTGCCCTGGTCACGATATCAGTCGGCCGTCCCACTGATACCGGGCCAAAGCGCCTAGGACAGGGATCCCTGCTGGCGAGTTAGGCCCACCAGCAGACTTTCCTGTCAACTCACGATGCGCGTCGAAACCGATAATACGTGCGATAAAGATGTACGGACGTACGCACGTATGCGGCTTTGACCATTGTCAATGGTCCGGGCTGGTCTAGAGAGGCCAAAATTATTTTTGTCAAAAATAATTTTTCAAGGCCCTCAGAGCTTCCCCCATGTCCCCACCATGCCCGTCTCAGGCTCTTTGCGTCGCGATCCCTCGTTAGTCATTGGGATCGCGGCGCGGGAGGCATCCTCCTCTGCGCATCGCGAGTTACGCAAGGCCCCAGCGCACATGGCCAGTGTGGCCAAGGCCCGCGCAGATCCACAAGATTCCCTCAATGCCCATATTTCTTGGCGAGGAACACCTTTATGGTGTTTCGAATTTCCTTTGAAAAAGGAATTTTTAATTTTTGACGATTTTTAAATATAAATATACAAATAAGGGAATCTTTTTGCAGAAATAAGGGTATCACTATGTTTATTAAGGGGGTGACTAAGTTTTTGAGTCAAAAATAAGAAAAACGAAAAAATACTTATTTTTGGCGTTAAAGCTATAATTTTTCTATTATTTTCATCCTTAAGGTGCGGCTTTTTGCGGCTTAAGCGCGGCTAAAAATAAAAGAAAAAAGGATCAAATAATAGCTCTAGGGCATTTTTTGAAAATAAGCCATATTTCAAGATTTAAAAAACAAAATTTCAATCGGCTCTAGAATTTTTCCGACAAAAAATTTTTCTCAAAATTTTTTCTGGACTTCTTAGGGCCCTAGAATTCACCCCAAAAATATCTAGCCTCGGGACCAACATCCGGAAAAAATATTCCCACCCTATTGGTAAGCTAATTAATTATCCAAAGAAGAGGGAGTGAGTAGAAGTTGATTTAGATTTGAAATTGACCTTTGAACAGGGCAAGATAAGTTGACTCTGGGTTATGATCCGTCTGGAGTCCAGTTCCGCCCAAAACACCGTCTAATCGAACGACTATTAGCTCTAATATTTGCTTAGAATTCCATGAATTTTTCAGAAAGCATCATCTTCACTTTCATATTTCACTTCCATTAAATATGGCAGAGGGTCAGAGAGCTCTTGAATTTTTGAAATTTATTGAAATTTCGTTTAGGGTTTGATTGGGTCTTTCATTTTCTACCTGCGATCACAAAATATCATTTATTACTCGTGACGTTAATTGGTTATGTTGCAACAATAGGAGGATACACTGCCGTTTTTCCCGTTTTTGCTCAATACAAACCTCCTGCCAGGTAAGCAAAAACAACTTTTTCGTTCATCCAAGGTCATTTAAGATGCCCCACTTCACTCGACACAGAACCAAGCCTCTCATCTTTCAATTTTACATTCGATGAGATCAACGATCTTACAAAAATTCCCCAAGAACCCTTCAAAGAATGCGAATACTACCAACTTGACTTTTCATCATGTGAAAACGACGAAAAAGATGAGTTTCTTCAGTGCGCCAAAAACTTGACAAATGATGAAACTTCTTCATGCAGCGCAGAAGAAGCAATCTTCGATACTTCTCAATTCACTTCTACAGTTCCTACTGAATTTCATATAGCTTGTGGATCACAGGTATGGCTCTGGAAAGAAGGGAAACGTCAACTCTATTAAGCTAAATGGACTGGCGACTTCTCTTTCCTTCATCGGTCTCTTCATTGGTGCCGGAACTGGTGGGTACATGTCTGATAAGTACGGAAGAAAAGTAACGATTATGGCGGGGATCTTCTTGAATGGTCTCTTCTTTTTATGCCAGGCGCTTGTTCCGGGGTATTGGGCGTTTGTCATCTTCCGCATCTTGGTACAAGGATCAAATCAAGCTGCATACCTGACATTTACTGTTTACTGTAAGTGCGCGAAAGACTTCAATGGAGTGACTTTCTTTCAGGCTGCGAAATTGTCGGTCCAGAAGGTCGTGCTTACACGGGAATGATCCCCAACTTCACTTTTGCGATTGGATACATGATCATGTCTTGGTTCTCGATGCTCTTCCCAGATTGGCGAGAGCTTACTCTATTCATCACAGCGCTGACATTCCCTTTTCTTCTGACATGGTGGTTGTGGCCGGAATCCCCTCGATATCTCTACCAATCTGGAAAATATGAAGAAGCAGAGAAAGTAATGAAGCACTTCTTTAGAAAATGTGGTATAACCTGGGACTCTGAAGAAGCCGCATTACTGGTCAATACAGAAGAAGCCGTTTTAGGTAAGATTTGAGCGAGAAGAACGATTACTATTTTTCAAAGAAAAACTCAAGGAAAAATGTCAGGAGAATAAGACCTCCGAAATTACCGACACGAGCTCAGCAAAAACCTACTCGGCAATCGACCTTTTCACTTCCGGCGTTCCAATGGCCAGAACATCGCTAATCGTCTGCTACCAATTTATCGCGATCACTTGTGCTTACTATGGACTCTCTTTCGGCGCTGGATCTTTGCCTGGAAGCGTCTTTCGTGAGAACTTGTAAAAATGACCTGATAATTATATTTATGTAAACAGTGAACAACGTTATCAATGGTGCCGTGGAAGTGATTGCCTACGTGGTTGCCTTTTTCTTGCTGAATGTCCTAGGAAAGCTTCAAAACTGGAGAAAACTTACGCTTCGAAATAAACTTTTGAAGCTTGAAAAGGACGAAAAGCGTTGCTGACTGGCCCGCTGGTATTTTCCGGTAGCGCAATGATAATTGGAATGCTTCTCACAAAGTTTGTCGTGGGAGCGTGGGTGTCTGAAGTTTACAGATGGTTAATGTTTGCTGGTAAGCTGGGTGTATCCTGCGCGTTTGCAGTCATTTGGATTTATGCTTCTGAATTGTTTCCAACTGTCGTCAGGTAACACTTCTATTTGCTTCAAAACGACTAGCACTAACTAGGACGAATGCAGTTGGTCTCGGATCGATGGCTGGAAGAATAGGGGGAATCGTTTCTCCCTTTATCCTCGAAATCGGTGGCTCTATCCCCTGGCTTCCGCCCCTTATTTTCGGGACTGTCTGCATAACGGCCGGCATTTCTCTGTTACTGCTGCCAGAGACGTTGGGAATGTCAATGCTGAATACGATACCTGATGCAAATGAGTTTTACCTAAAGAAGACGAAGAAACAATCAACAATTTGAGAACGAATTTCTGTGAAATCGCTAAGAATCTTCTTGAATAAAATTTTCTTAGATAAAGTTTCTGAGATATTCTAAATATCAATGATATGCTTCGGTCTAGACTCTAGAGTCTAGACCAAAAATCGAAGTGCATTTTTGAATTACCAATAAGATTGCTGTATTTGGCCTACCCGCCAATCAGAACCCTGATTGAGAAATTCACTTCCTTTTTTTGGTTCTTCCCTATTATTCAAGAAAGCTGTTATCTATTGTAACATCAAACGTGATTACTTCCGCTAGTACCGGTAGAATCTGTAATCTCAAAAGCGACTAATCTTGATTTTATCATTCGGAAGTCTGCAGATTCATCTGCACCAGGTGTTCGTAAGCTTATAAGTCTCATTTTTTTCTAAAATTCATAAAAATGAGTCCAACACCAAGAAAGAACACAACTCGACGAATGCTGAAAAATAGGTATACCGGTCAAAAAGACTTCTTCGACCTCTTCAAGTTTTTTGGTCACTATGTCTACGATAAACCCCATTTCTGGATGACGTACAAGAGCCTTTCTAGCAAAGAGCACAGACGTTTGAAAAAAGAGAAGAAAATTCCAAAGATAAAGAAAGAGCCGGAAAAGAACATGTGGGATGCCTTCGTCTTCCCGGAAATCAATCATCCTCCACCTCCATCGTACGACCCTGAAGACAATTTGATTCGAATAGACTCCAGCATGAAACCCGAATACATGGCAGCAAAGTACGAAATTTATGCAGATGGATACTTCATGAACCTCCTCAATGCTGATGACCGTAAAAGCAGGGAATACATGCAAATTGACTTCCTTGTCAATTTCGATGTAACCGAAGAAGAAATCAAATGGATCAACTGAAAAATGAGTTTACCCTCACCACTTAGTAAAGTTTACTGCACCCTCTGTCTGATCACCATTTTTACTGTTTTAAACTGAATAAATGTTCTCACAATAAATTTGTTCTTAGATTTGAGTCAGCTTTATTCAAAGAGTCGCATAAATACCTTTTGAATCCAACTTACTCAAAGTATCGCCAAATCGGACTTGAAAAAGATAAACGAAGCGCCACAAACTACTCGCGTCGAATTGCGATGACAGCCGCGCCCGTGCAAGTGTCTCCAGAAGGTTGAGTCTAAATCTTTAAGCACGGATGAAATCATTAACTCGTGTATTCCGCATTAACCTGCTAACATGAGTCGGTAAAACAGAGAGAAATAGAGAACGACAGTTCGATAACTTAGAAGCAACTTTCTGATGGGCGTCATGATAGGTACTCGTTGAATCTATTTTGATCACTGACTGACATTTCAAAGAGAAAGCGCTGCAATACTTATTCCGTGGAATATTCGGATACAGTCGAAGTAGAAGGAACGCTCGCAAAATTGCTCTGTAACAGAGGTGTTACCATTTTTGGGATGAGCACTTTAGAAGCATTAGAAAGATCGTCGTCAGTTTTTCGTAGATGGAGCTCCAAACGAAAATTTGAACAAGTCGGCGTCTCAAGAAAAATGTTGATAATTTTTAACCTTCCCTTGATGAAAATCATCATCATTTCATTAGGCAGAATACAGAAAAGCAAATTTACAAACAGACTATAAGACGGAAGTTGGATGAAATCGACGACGATGATGACGATGATGATGACGGGGACGATGGGTAAGTCGCTTTTTCTTAATATTTTACTTCTAAAATTAGCAACTCAACAATTTTCAGCTCCGATGGTGGGTCAGATGCTGCCGTAGATTGTCAGCAGCTAGGTACCAAAACGACTTATGATTTTTTTTCAAATTTCCTCAAGAAAATGAACAGAATGAACAAGAGCTGGAAGCAGAAATAGCCGATGAAGACGACGGAGAAGGCGATGACAACAATGAAGAAGGACACAACGAGCCTGAGTCGGAAGATGATGATGGTCGCCTCCGAACGGATCTTGGTGGAAACGACGACGATAGTGAATTCGGTTTTTAATTTTCGCGTTTGAGGAATTTCAAAGTTTTATTTTCAAATTCTGCATTTTAAATCATTATACTTGGCATTATGATGATTTTGAACCGTCGTAAGATTGCCAGACGTAAAAGTGACAACAGTAGAAGGTAAAGCGTCTTTTTTAAGATGTTCCAGAGCGCCCTAAGCGCGGTTTTATAGATGAAGAAATTGATGCGCAAGAAGATGATGATGAGATGATTATTTATGCGCGGAGTTTTCGGTTTGAGCAGCTTTTTAAATAAGCTCAATTTTAATTTCTAGTTTTGGATACTCGCCAAGTGTGAATTCTTCTCAAGGAAATGTTGTGAACAATGCTCAAGGTTTAATTAAAATTTTTGTTTATATTTACTTTTTTCTAGGCATTGAAGGATCAAGTGATGAGGAAGACTGTTTTTCAATATTTTCTCTGGGCCGTGAATAACATGATTTTTGATATTTTCTTCTAATAAAATTCGATTCTATGAATTTTCCACTTCCGTGAAATTTCAATCAAGATTTGTCATTTTTCCGCAAAGCCGTGGGTGCAATAATGATAATTCAGCGAAGTGCTCTGAGATCATCCTTCCCCGGGGTCAGATGACCGCGCTCCGGGTAAAATTCGGCGGGTGGCGGCGGTGCAGCACGGTAGCACGCAGCTCAAAGCGCCTCATCTCTTGAATTTGCGTTAAACCCATCTTCTGGAGTCTTCCCAGGTCAAGAAGATAGACCTAGAGAGCATCGAGAGAGGATAAAATCGAACAAGAACGAGTTGAATGAGCCCAAGTAAAGCTGAAGATCAGCTCAAAGGAGGAAATGGAAATATTTTCAACAACAAAGAGAAAATCTCGTCGGTCCTCAAGACTGCTGTTAAAGATAAGCTAGCAGAGCTTGACTGTCTTATCGGTGAGTCTAAATATTCAAACCCCCTCGAACTTTGTTTTAGACGATGATTTACCAAACTACATCATGATCATGATGGCAAACCGCAAGACCAAGAAAGAAATGACCGAAGCCTTGCAGTTGTTCCTCAATGATCGCACAACAGAATTCACCTCCTGGCTCTATCAAATGCTCGACAATATTCGGAAGCGACGAGAGAGTCAGAAAAAAGAAGAGCCATCAGAATCCAATAACAACAAAAAAGAAAACGAACCGAATAAAGACGCAGAAGACGTTGATCAACTCGAGATCGGGATCGGCGAGGAAGACGATCTCGACCGCGAACTGATTGGCGACGAAAAGTCGGAAGCAAAATCAAAAAGCAATTCAAAACCAGCAACCCAGAGTAGTAATACTAACCAAAATCAAGCCACCAGCAGCTCGCATAACCAAAGACAGCCAGAATCAAGTTCGAGCAAGCCCAAATCTTCGACGAGCAGATCAAGAACTCATTCGGAGTCCAAGTCACGTGATAATGACAGAAGCAAGAAGTCAGAGTCCAAGTCAAAGCCGGAGTCTAAATCTGTTTCTAAAACCCGCTCAGGAAGTCGGAGAGAACCCAGTCCCAAAGTCGTTGAAGTTATCAAGAAAACCGTCGAGCGGAAGTCAACTCCGGACCGAACAAAGTCTTCTTCCTCCAAAAAAGACTCTTCGAAAGACTCAGATTCCAAAAAAGATCGAAAGGAAAAGACAGATGAGAAGATCAAGGCAAAGAAAGAAAAACTTAAATCCGTGGAAGAAAAGAAAAAGAAAGAAAAACAAGCTGATCTTCGAAAAATGATCGAAAGGAAGCCGGAGAAAAATCGGACAAAGTGACAGTCCCGAGCAAAACAAAATCAAAACGTGCCAAATCCAAGTCTTCAAGTTCTTCTTCAAGCTCGTCAAGCTCCTCCAGCTCAAGCTCTTCCGACTCTTCAGATGAGGAGCCGAAAAAGAAGCGCAAGAAAAAGGTGGAGAAGAAAAAACTAGCCAAGAAAAAGGCATCTTCCGGTAAACCTAAGAAGAAAAAGGCGAAAAAGGATGATTCTTCTGATGACGAAAAGACGGACAAGAAATTGAAGGATCTTGTGATCATGGTCAAAAACAATGATCAAGCGAAAAATGTCAAGAAGAAGAGGAGAAAGACAAGAGATGCAAGGAACAGTTTATAGAATAGAATTCTTTATTGATTTGTTCAAATTTGCCAAAATACGGGTACGCAAATGTTATTGTTGATGAACTGAATTAGGGACAAAGCTTCAAAACTCGCTCAAATGAACGAAACCGAATCTGGCGACTCTCAAACCGAGCAATCCGATAAATCCAAAAAGGCCAAGAAGCAACGTCGTTTAGAGCGGAAAGAACGCTCCTTGCTAAAGCAAAAGAAGCGACTCAGCATAAAACTCAGCGAACAGGCGAAAAAGGTTTGTAGAATTTGTGAAAAATTGTTGAAATTTTTCCCGAACTAGGAGGTCGCTGGTAACAGCCGTTTGATGGGAAAGGTTTGATTAATTTAACAGTTTTTATTATCATGTAATTATTTTTACAAAGTGGTAAAAGCCTCCAATTTTTGTTTTCAGCCAAGGTATAAACTTATCATAATTTATGTTGTTAAAATGAAAGCATTTAGTATGCAGCATATTGCATACTGCATTCTTCTATTTTTTTAAATTCGACAAAGTTTATACCTTCAAAAGCTTCTATCGTCAGTATTCTTCTTCTGACTTGTTCGTTGTTGGAAAATGACGAAATCAAACTGAAAATACGGTTTTATTAATTTCACTCGATAAAAATTTTCAATTGATTTATATTTTTTACCTTATCTTGACCCGAAATCGACTTATTAATTTATTTGTTAACATTGGTTTAGGCTGAAGATGCAGTTGTTCAACAAGCTCAGGCACAACAAGGTTCTGGAAACATACTGTACATGCAGATCGATGGAAAATTTCAAGCTAGGGTTCGAAAATGTCAGATAAATTATTAACCAGATGAAACACATCTGTTGTTTTCAACATAAACTTCGTTAGGGCCTGACTTTTTGAGAACTATTTTCAACCCTGAAAAGCCGTACAAATCGTTCAACATCAAGGAATGACTGTAAGTGACTATCTAACTAATGGCTCGTGAAAGTGGCATGCTCGGGTTTGTAAACTTTAGCCAATTTTCTAGCTCCTCCACGTTTTTTATCGATCACTTTTTAATTAAACTCAATCAAACGCAGTTGTTAATTTGATATTCCAGATGTTAGCTCCAGTTATGAACCAAATGAATAGCGGTGGTGGAAGCGCCATTGCAAACGCCGCAGCAGCAGCGGGCGGATCACTCGGCGCCCCGATCTTCGGCCAGTCGGCCAAGCTACCAGTGACTGGGAGCGCAATGACCGGAGGCGCTCAGAGCGTCTTCCGCAGCGCCAATTCCTTGGTAACTGGACAGACACCCCAAAGTGTGGGTGGAGTGCTCGGCAGCGCGTTGAGTACGCCACGACTAGGCGTCGGGGCCGGCCAGAGCGTGTCCGGGCTCGCAAGCACCAGCTTCGCCAGTTTGGCCAACTCCAACACTTTAGTGCCCAGCAGTTTAGTTCCAAACGACCAGAAGGACCAGAAGGTCAAGACCGACACCAAGATCATCAACAACACTGCCAAACCAGCTGATAAGTCGTCGGACATCAACTCGCTCAAGAAGAAACTGGCGATGATGGAGCGTGAAACGTCCAGATTGAGGTGAGTCCTGAAATCGAGAAAAGAGCCTAACTGAAAACTTCAGAGAAATGCACAAATTACGCTTGAAAAAGTTGGAAACGAAGCAACGCGCGCAAGAGGAGCGCTCAAAACGGGACGCCGAGATCCAGCGGGTAAGAAATCCAAACAGCACACTGCCAAAAACGCCCTTTAATAACTACCGCAATCATATTGCCGATATGTTGTATCGTAATATCGTAAGTTTTCGTCAACCAGCGGTGTGAACACGTCCAGATCACGTAGCTTCCAGAGATCGCTATTAATACTAATCAACTAAAACTGGCCAGAAAGATGCCACGTGATCTGCATGGATTCAAGCTCATTATCCATATTCAGAGACAAGATGAAGAGGACGCACGGACTATTTACGTGCGAAACCTGAATCCAAAGACGACCGAGCAACAGCTGAGAGATCATTTCTCCGTCTTTGGGGCGATCAAACGAATTGTTCTACCGCAAGATGCCCATGCAATTGGAAGCAATCGGGGATTTACGTTCATCACATTCGCCGGAAAAGAGCCTGTTGAAGTTGCTTGCTCCTTAGGTAGCCAATTCATTAAAATAACCTTACCAACAAGCGCCTTTAGATGGAACTCTACTTCACGAGCGATCAATTAAAGTCGTTCCGAAAACGAATATGATGGGCAAAATCCGACCGCAGCACATTGCCAGTTAAAAATTAAATTGAGAACTGTTTTACTGCTCACCGCCAATATCTTTATCAATTCGTATAAGAAGAAAAAAGAAACAGAACTATTAAGAAAAGAGAAAAAAAATATAAATTAAAAAAGTTCAACATAAATTTTAATCAAAAGAAAACTTCGAAAAAAATATTCTTCTGAAATTTAAAAAATACCAATAAAAGAAGACTCAAGAGTCGAAAAAGTATCAAAATGTTATCAGTGTTTTTATTGCAGAAAAAAATAATGGATCACATTCGCATGAGTCCTTCAGATGGGACGTAGCAGCCCTTACAGTCGACTTGGCCATTGACATCGCACTCTCCGCAGCGGAGTTTGCCAAATCGATTGCGTTTCTTGACTTTTTTGCCCTTGCAAGCTGAACATGTCAGTTTTCCAGTTCCCTGGCAGTCAGTACACTAGAATAACGATCGTTATTTTTGCCTAATCTTTATTCTCACTTTGTGGCGCTCGTAGAGTTTGTCAAACTCAGCTAGTCGCACTCTCAAATCGCCACAATCCGCCAAGGCTTGAAGTTCATCAAGTCCGCCAATATACTGCCCATCAATGTAAACAGCTGGTAAATGACCGGAAAGAGAAGCTCCCGGCTTGAGTCCTTTTCGAACGAGGAACTCATTTTTATGCTCCTCGAAGTTGAAAATATCGCGCTCTTCCCAGCGAACTTTCATGTTGCGAATGATGGTCGTTGCTCGGTCGCAGTCGGCGACGAGTTTTTTGTCCACTCCAAGAGTCGTTGTGTAGATAACTACTTTGTTTCGGTCTTCTTCGGCGGCGTACATCGCGTAAAGATCATATTCGTAATGCTGGATTCCAGCTTTCACTCGATTTCGGATTCCAGTAACTTCGTTTCCCTTTCGGTAGCCACCCTCCCATCGATCTTCGACAATTACGTTATCACCAGCAAAACAACCAGGAATACAAGCTTTTCTTCCAACAAAGCTCCCTTCAAACTGATCATCAAGTCCCTTGTTCGCTTTAATTTCTTCATCATAATCTCGCTGGTCCGCAGTGCTGATGAAAAATTTCTCCTCGTGCTCGGCTTTTATCAATTTCCGAGTTTTATCTTCTTCCAGAAGTTCGGCGAGAGAGCGCTTGGAGTTGAGTGACTTCATTTTTTGTTCGATCGCTTCCATCTTCGCCTTTTCTTCTTCCTCGTCAACTTGAAAGTCGGGATTGAAGTCTTCGTCCTGTTCGTTTTCTGATTGCTCAGTTTCTTCTGGTGTTTCGTCGCCTTATTGAAGGTTTTTGATGAATTTTTCAATAATTTCTTTGCGGAATAAATTAATCATAAAAACCCTTGCCTTCCCACCAATTCGACTTCACCGACGATTTCGATTTGTACATTGACGCCTTCGTTTTTTGGGACATCAACTCCACTTCTGATTCAGACTCGGACTCCGTCATAAACTCTTCTTTTGGCAAAAGCTTGAGTCGCAAAACATTACCCGAGTTTTTCACCAGATCAATGACTTCCCTGTGCCGGGAGTTACAGACGTTGACTCCGTTGATGGCAATAACGATGTCTCCTTCTTGAACTCCTGCCGAGTCCGCTGGTGTTCTCTCACGAACAGTTTTAATCTTTCAACATCAGTAAGACCCGTTTATGAATCAAGTTGATACCTTGACAGGAGCATCTCCAGCAATCTCGATTCCCCAGGGCTCGTTTTTATTTCTGTGTAGCTAAATTATCCTCTTTAGACTTTTAATCTCAGAGTGTTAGAGCTTATTAACCTGTAAGGTGACGGTATCGCTCATTTTTTGTGCTATTTTTTCGAAAATGGTATGTAAAAAGGGATGATTCTACCGGATATCCTCTGGGCAAAATATTTGAAAATCAAAAAGCTTGCAACGTCCGGGAATCGAACCCGGGCCTCCCGCGTGGCAGGCGAGAATTCTACCACTGAACCAACGTTGCTTATACGCCGGGTCAAATATATTCAATCAGTATCCAAGAAAATATAAGGATTAACTACAAATAGGCTTGGAGTCAACCAATTTGATCATCAAAGATTGATTATTTCCGGCATACCAGTCAAACTTTAATTTTCAAAAACTCAGCAATTCCTGCATGCTTGTCTGATTAAACTTCTAAGTTCTGTAAATACCTTATCATAACAGAACTTTTGTATTATTTTCAATCACTCATTTATTTCAAAGTTATAATAAATATTTCCGAGCTCCATTGCAAAATCATTGTTTGACAAGAGAACAGTTAATTTTTCTTCGAATAAGTCGATGTCTTCAAAATCTTCATCGTCGATTTCGATCGGAGAGGCAGCAAGATAAGTGAGCTCAGAATTTAGGACGGAGATTTTTGGTTGATTCTGGAGTTCGGCTAGTAGATTGGAAGTTTCTAAAAGCATGTTTGAATCGTTCTTTTATCACGCGCTACCTCTTGCAGGGACAATAAACTCAAACCCTCCGTCTACTTCTTTCACATCCGAAACGTCAAGCTCCAGGGCAACTTCCATCAAATCATCTTCCTCAAGTTCCGATGAGACCGTAACTCTTCCAACGTAGTCGAGGTAAACATCGCGTTTTTGATTTGGGTTCAAAGACCATTTGTCGGCTAGCCCGATTCTTTTGGATTCAAAGACTGGCTTTAAAATGCTGATGGCCTTGCCCAAATCGTATTTACTAATAAACAGTTTTATAAGATTGATTTGTCTTTGCAAACCTGTCGACGATTTCTGCCATCGCAAAGATTTCCCCAGGGCCATCAAAATAAACCAAAAGCGACTTAGCATCCGCTCCAAGCCAGAGTTTCAATTTATCTTTCGGAACATTCAACGATTTCGCCTCCTTCGTCAGTTCATTCAAAAGAGAACTTTTGTCGGGATGGTTGGGAGTGACGACCATTCTGATTCTCTGCCGCAGTTGTTCTCGCTGACGAGCTTGAATTTTGCCCATGCTATTTCTATGCTCATTTAGCTTTTTTAGAACCTTTGCTCCGGCTTTGGCCGCCAAAGCAGTCTCGGTCATTCTACGGGAGCCGGCTTTTTTGTCCAGAGCTGCATCGAGACTCTTTATTGGATCATTTATTTTCCGTAAACTAGTGCGATTTCGATAGATTGAATGACCCGAACCTTAATTCCTGTTTTCCCCACTTCCGCAGCAACCTTATTTCTAGCAAAAGAGGTGCTCAAAAGTCTACCTGCTGTGCTTGCACCTAGCCTCAACATCTGAATAAAACACGCTTGAAGTTCGAGTAGTTTTTTTTTAATTTGAAAAGTCTAGTCATACAGGCGGGAAGAAGAGGGAGAGAGCAATGAAAAGAGTTAATATCTATTAAGGCAGTGTTAAATAGTTTTTTATTGAACTAAAATTAAATTTTTCAATAAGTAGTTTTTAAAAACAAATAATATCAATTTTCAATAAATAATAAACAAGTAAAATTTAAGTTTATACAATCAACTTTAGGCGAAGAGGAATTTACAGCAATGTGGTAGTAACAGTCTGGGTTCCATTAATCTGAATAATCCGTAACCCAGGGACCCCCCGAGGTGGAGACGGCGGCCGTGGGGCTATCTTGGCTGGAGCAGTTGCTGGGGGAACTACAGGGGTCATCACAGATGGTTTCTCAACAGTAGACGCTGGTTTCTTCTCAACTGGCTTGCTTATACTTCTTTTTGTCTGTTCTTTCGCTTTGGCTTTTGCTTGAGCTTTCGTCTCTAACATCTTTTTCTTTAAATCTTTTCGTCGACGGACAATCGGATCAAATACAGGAACGCTCATGAACTTGTGCGGGAATAGATCCGGGAACTGGTAGCCCTGTTTCTCCAGATTGCCCAATTTTGCATCCTTGAATTGCGTCCGCTTCTCTCTCCACGATTCCTACAAAGCAAAACATAATATTGTTTCTTTAAAATTTTGGCTCTTACGGATAACTTTCGCTGGACAACCCTTTTCTTTTTGAATGCTAGCTCTCTCTCTTTCTGGTGCTCGAATCTCGTTCTTTTCCTCTCGCCAAGGCTTAAATATAGGATGAAATGCCTTGACATAGAAATAGTTTGAGGAAACGCAGATGTAAACTGCCTGAGATTCACTTACTTTGACATGTCTACGTACTGGCCCTCACTCTCAGGGCGATAATCATCGTCTGATAGAGAGGCTCTACGATCGTAAGATTCGGCCCGACAACTTTTTGCAGGTGAAGGTGGTTTTCTAGTTAGTGTTGGCATTTGCTTCCGTGGTTGAGCGCTCGGCTTTGCTGGCGGTGGCTGTGCAGGTCTATTGCTTGGAATGGGAACTCGAACTGGCGTGTTGATGGGTACTTGGTGAATTTGAACTACGCGAATTCCCGGTTGAAGTGTAATTATGCTAGAAGACTGATAGTTAAGTAAAGATGCTTTTCGAGATGGAGCTTACTTGGGCTGCCCGGAGGCGCGTGAACGAAGAAAATTTGTGAAGGGTTGTGATCTGAACTTGTTGCTATTTTGCATCGTGAAGATGAACTGTTCTAGGGCGCCTTTAAAGACATCATCGCCCTGGATGTTCATGATTCCTTGAGAGAATGCCGTATTGAGTGCAGGGTACATTGGCTGGTGGATGAGCGTTATCAGCTAAAACTTTTTGAAAATTATCGCTTTGTTAGAAAATTACCTTTCCGAGGATGTTGTATTTATGACAAGTATCGTTGAAGAGATTTTTCTGGTTGTTATTATTCGACAACTTATTGTAGTCGATCTGCGCGAGAGGATTGAAGAACGCCCAGAATTTAGCCATGAAACTCTTAATCATCGCGCGCGAGGTCTCGAAGGAATGAAAGTGGGGACCAGAGCCCTTGTGGTGACGGATTTTGATGAGACGATTCAGTAACTTCCCGAAGGCGTCGATTCCAACCCGATCCCTAAAATTTTCTATGAGCTTGATAAGAATCTTATTGAGTACCTTTCATCAAAGGTTTTAGTATTGTTGATCGAGCACTTCGGGCAATTCAGCCAATAAAAGCAGCAGTTACCCAAGATTTCCGACAGATACTCCAGGCACGTGACATGCAGTTGCTCGATACAGTCATCCTCGGACATTAAAACTGAAAGTCGTTAGAAAAAAAAGAGGGGAGCTAAAACGTACTTGTTTGGAGAATCAGGGCGACATTCATGTTTGCATCGATGCTGGTGTCACAAACATGGCCAAAGTGTTGTTTCATGAATACTTTGTGATCGATGGTGTGTCGGTTGCGCTTGACAAAACGGGTTTTTGTACAAGACTAGAATCCCTATTAATTTGGATCTAGAGGAAAGAGAACTTGCCTGTATCATTCGGAGAGCCTTCAAGAAGTTAACATCTTCCCGAGTGTTATCTCTCTAAAAGATCTTTCAACTAAGGCATTTCAATATGAGACTTACGATTAAGTACGTCAAGTACGGATCAACTTTATCCTGCATGCTCTCAACTGAGCTGGAAATGAAAGCGCCGAGGAGACGAGACTGGAACTTGTATTTGATCGGGAAGTTGTTCTTGTACTTCTGGTCACCAAAAAGATCGAAGGAAACATGGACTGGTTTGGCGTTAGGATAGTATCTGGCCATTGTTGTCTTTCGGTAGAGACAGAGTCGCAAGAGCTGCGCACGTCGATCCGCCATCAAATCGATCATCCCGTAGCTCAGTCCTTCCAAGTAATCGAGCTTCAACAACCAGTCTGGTGTCACGCTTGGAATTTTCAACCCGGGGAATACATCGGCCGGCGCAACCTGGATCGCTTTCTCGTCGATCTCTTTCTCAACTCGATCCAAGAACTTAGCGCTGATATCGACGTATTTATCGTAGTATTTGCGTTTCGCTTCCATGTTAAGCTTGCCTTTGATTTGAAAGTCAGAGATCGTGTTGAAAAGAACATCAAGGAATTTGATCGAAAACTCGATGCGACTTTTCAGAACGATTGTACGGAAGACTTGGATATTCAAGAAGTTGGAAATGACGTTGTAGCGACTGCCACCTTCTGGACAAGCAAGGAATGACTGAAACCAGTTGAGGAGGCCATAGTTGTCAAGTACGATCATTCTTTCAGCAACTTCATTTTGGTTGCAGAGTGCGAAGAGAGCAAAGTTCCAAATCGGAAGAATTGTAGCGGACTCGAGTTCGTGATATCGGGTTCGTGGATAAGCCAGGAGGTTGATGATCTCTTGTGGGTGACGTGCTTCCCACTTGGACACATACTTTGCCAGAAGGAATGTGATGCAAAAGACGCGCGTGGTACTAGAATCCACTTTTTCCCGGATCTTAGCGCTCTTCAACGCCGCGTCGAAATTGAGAGTGATGGTTTTCGACGCCTCCAATTCTTTGTTTATCTCTTTCGTCTGATTGTAAAACTTCAGCATGTCTGCCAAGCTGTTTCCATCACTGTGTGACCACATGGGACAGAAGATGCGCATGGCGAACATGAGTAAGTCTACCGACCCATTGCAGTAATGATTTGTGGGGGATCGAATCAGAGATATCATGACGATGAAAACGCCTCGCATCAGATCATTGAGTTTCTTGTAAGGTCGGGTAGCGATCGGCCCCATGATCGGCCAATCCGGAGGGCAGTGGAACTTTTTCGTTAGCACCACCTTCTTGATTGATGGAACATCTTGGATGACGATCATCAGGATTCGAGCAATATCATCAGCGTCCAGTCTCCATGGCGGCTGTCGAGGGCCAAACTGCTGCTTGATGTGCTTCTCCATGTTCCAGAGTTCTTTCAGCGTGCCCATTGGATCTGTATGCGCTAGACAAACTAGGTAGACCCGGTAGACACCTTTGCCGATGAACCAAAGACGTCGATAGCGATAGTTTTCGACTATCTTCTTCACTTCCATGGCCGTGGAGTTGAACTGTCCGACTTTGATGCGATTTTCGCAGCGTTCTTCCAAGTCGCGTTCTTGCTGCTCGTTCAGTATGTTCAGCTCCTCAAGCTGTTCATTACTGTGTGTCAGCTTCTTCGTCGTAATGATCGTTCCATTAGTCAACTTGTTCACTTGCGTTGGAGCAATCGCGCTCTTCGAAATCGTCGCCGGAGTCGCGCTTGTCACAGTCATGTTGGCCGGGATTCTTATCTGAACTGTCCCGGATTTCCCTGATGTGGCCATTGAGAAAAGCCCTGCTGGTGGTTGACCTGGTGCCCGGGTACTTGAGGTTGTAGTCCCTGCGCCGCTAGTTGAGACTGTAGCAACTGCCAGTGTTGTGCCTCGATGCCGAATTGCCTGGCCATTTGAGGCTGTGATAAGCGTTGCGGCTGGTGCATTTGCTCGGACCTCCCGGATACCGCTCCCCTTGGAGGCCCCCCGTTGAAAGGGCTGGATACTGCCGCCAGGCGGGCGAGCTATCATCGGAATCAACAACCGAATAAATCATGTTCATCTCAATCTAAGTTGTAAGAGAACAAATTTTGCAGCTTTCTACAAGTCAATGAATTGTCTTAACCAGTGGCGCAGTGGTTTTTTGGAAATCTTGGTCGGGTAAAGCACAGAAGGAAGGTTATTGTTGAATAAATCTTTTAACGGTAATAGGGATTATGATGAGGATGGTGGAAATTATGGGGATGGTTTGGATAAAATTGATTCCGGCCTTGGTTTTGAATCATCATCCCATTCTGGTTGATAATATGGCCGCGCTGGCCATACGGGATATTGTTAAACTGAATTTGGTGCGCGTTCTGGTGGACATTGCGCACTTGTTGATGATGCTGGTGTGGATTCACTTGCGTTACTTGTGTGATGCGCTGGGTGGCGTTTGAGCGAGCGCGTCCAAGATGAGACTGATGGAGGATTTTTCAATAGAGATAATAACAATGTTTTTTTGTGAAAAGGACTCTTATTTGCATGCGAGGATATATACAATTAATAATTTACAAAATGGAATGATGGGCATGCGTTCACATGTACATAGAGACTAGTTGAAGTGGCATAGAAAAAGAAGAGTCAAAAGGCAGGTTAGAAAGATAGCTTCGTGAAATCCTCGCCTGAAGAGCCTCAAAGAAGGTTTTGATAAAGTGGTCCTGCAGCGCTTGTTGTCTGAAGGCGAGGCGCAGGGTTTCGTTGAGGTCCTTCCATAGACCAGTGTTGTTGGCGAGTGTTTGTGATAGAGGCTGAAGAAGGTATGATTCCTTGAGGACTTGGAAGTTGTTGCACTGGGCCTCCTTGTCGGGATTGCCAGATTGCTGGGTGATTTGGTTGATATCAGCGCCTGTTATGAGGTTTTTAAGAGTTCTTTCAGTATAAATTTGAATACTTTGAATACCCGCTTTTAAAAACCCCTTCCTTTGTGCATTGTCAGCTCATTAATAATGGTTTCGTACAAAAAGCACTGTTCCTGAGGCGTAGAAGTCCACGCTTGAATCTTCTTAATCAGCTCCTTTACTTTCGCCCTAACTGCTCTGTAGTCGAATTTTTTCTTCAAATCGTGTACGCTTCTGCATTTTCCACACCAGTTACTCGGCCTGCCCGGGTTTCTGTGGCAAGCACAATCGCAGGGACACTCCTTCGCGTCGCATTTCTTTCCCATTCGATACAGCTGGTATGATTCTCTCATTTCGACGCACACGATCGTTGCTTCTGCGCGCAGGGCAGCGTGACGACCGGCTTGGATGTGTTTGTTGATGAACCGGTTTAGGAAGTTAAATTTGACCTGAATGATGAATTAATTCAACTTAAAATATTATTGATCAGTACCTGATTTTGAACCATTCTTCTCGCCTTCCAGCAAGCTTCTTTTGAGTTGGCATTACAGTGCGGCTCCCTATCTTTTGCCCAGTTCTCACACTCCTTCGCGGGCTTGTCGCAGATGTAGCAGAAACACTTTTCGCAATACTCCGCGTTTTTCATGAACGGGCCGATTTTTACATTGTCCGTGGGCTTGTAAGGCTTAGAAGCGCAGTCGGCGCGAATGTGTGGCAGTGGATCAGCGCGCGTAACGGAGACGACCTCCAGCTCATCGTCGGAGAGCTCGACCGTTTCCACCTTCGCTTTTTTCTCCTCGACCTTAACTTCTGTCTTCGCTTCGGCGGGCCTCTTATCTCCGGGTTCCGGCTTCGGTTCAGACTAAAAAAAATCAAATATTCAGATTCGATAAGAGAAAATACCTTTGATTTGGAACTCTTGGAGTCTCCTTTGTTCATCTCCGCCTTGGCGACCTCGACAACGACGGATCTGAGTGTTTCAGACTGAGTACCAGTCATCTGCTGATCTTTGTTAAATTCAGCTTTGTAGCGGTCGCGCACGATTCTCTGCGTCAAGCTTGACAGTGGCATCGTCTGAAATATCATTTAATAAAAAAGAAGAACTAACATGTTCATGAATAATGGTGATAAAACAGCTCAACCGTGAGTTAATCCTAAATTGCGAAAATTCGCAATTCAAAGTTCTTTCTCTTTTCTAGAATGAAAATTCGATAAAAATTTATCATGGGTTTAGAATCTTTCATTCTAGAAAATATAATTGAACCTCGGATCGTTCAATTTTTTTTAGAAAACTCGTTCTCACCTTGAGCAGATTGCGGACAAACTGCTCCATTTGTCCGCGCTCATCTTTTTCTCCTTCCGTTTTCTCGGCCGTCATTTACTCTTTATTCTAGGATGCATCCGAAATTTCTAAAAAACAAGGAAAATTAGTCAAAGGTTTCTAAAAAACAGACTCATATGCAGATAATTTCAAATAGATAAATAGGGTTCGAGAAAGTTGAATCAATGCAAGATGCCGTTGTCAAAAAAAGAACACTTGGTCGTCGCAAACGCGTACTACGCCCAAATGCACGTCGTCGAGCTTGAACTCCTGAAACGCGACTAGTTGGGGTTAGGGTTTTCTCTCTGCGTTTGCCTCTAGATTCTAGAGTCTAGAATGAAGACTGTAGTTTTGCTGTAAATTATTTCATAGCCATAAGAAACCCTTGCGGTTTTTCAGATAAACTTCTGTACTGGTATCAGATCTTTTTCTCTAGATTTCAGTGGAATAGAATTTTCTAGTCCGAAACGGCGCGGGAATCGAAAAGTGCGCAATTTCCGCGGGAGCGGGTTGGTTCGCTGCTACGCGCGAGCTTTCCTCTTTCGGGGACGTTTTTTCTTTTTCCAACATTTTTTAGAATTTATAAATTTGGAGAAATTACCAAAGAAAAAAGGGAATTTTAAATTATATTTAATAGTGTGATTTTGTTAACCAAAAGAATCGATTAATATTTATTTTTAATTAATAACAATGCATAGATGTTCTGTCCTTGAGCCTGTGTACAAGCTCTGTTTTCTATTGTCATAGGTACCTCAATTCCATGAAGAATGACCGGTTATTGGCTGTCCTTTATGTTCAGGCGCTCTCTAGATTCTAATTTTCGAAAAATTCGGTTCTGGGGGTCGCTTTCTTGGCATCAGGTGACTCGGCGCGGCTTATCCGCTAGGTGGGACTCGCCGGACTCATATATCAGGGCGCTTATTGGTGGCGAAGGCCAACTTATGGGCGGTGACGTAAATTGAGTCATAAGTGGCGCTCCGGAGCGCTCTAAGAAGCGTGGGCTTTTTTTAAGTCTCGTTCTTGATTGGCTCCCGCGCTTCTAACGGCTTAAATCGGCCAATTATGGCGCTGTGCGCTTGTCTAGTAAGTCTAGTAAGTATCGCTCAAGTCAGGTTACCAGACTGGTGGCGCCCCAGCAGCGGCCGATGATTGACAGGCGCTGAGCCCGAATCCGGGGTCACCCTAAGTGCCGCGCTCTGCCCCAGGGGCTTTTGCTAGGGCCAAAAATGACGATTTCGCCCGTTTCCTGACTTGATGATTGCATCGATGTCCCAAATGATCATCTTCTTCAGATAATGATTCACCTAAAATGCAGCCCAGAAGATTCCATTGCTAAATATTCATTTTGCCTTCTTTATTTCTATTTCAAAGCTCGTAAACAGCGGTATTTTTCAGGGGCACACCTTATTTTCGGATAGAAACCTGCTGAGTAAAACTGAACTGAACTCGACATAAGATTTCTATGTTCATTGTAGTTGGAAAACAGCATCTGCAATAACTTCGTTATGACGAATTTCAATAAGGATTTATGAGTGAAATCCTAACCCCCTTATTGGCTCATTGGAAAGAGCGTAAAAATTTATCCTAGGTTCGCCCAAAAAAGGATGAAATTTCCCTCGAAATGACGTCATGGCACGTTACCAAATTTCTAAAATCACCAAAAGTTTGGACGCTCCGCATTTTCGATACACTTTAGCTATCAGGGCGTGCGGTAGTGGAAAATGAAATTCATCCCGTCAAAAGATTTTTTCAACCCTATTTTTTCTAGAATAACATTTTAAGCTCTTTCCATTGAGCCAATAAATAAGGGGGTAAGGATTTCACTCAGAAATCCTTATTGAAAAGTTTGTCCAACTTGGGGAAACGGAGATCTTGGGCAAACGGCGACTTTGGCAAACGGCGACTTAGGCAAACGGAGACCACTCTATGAGCTCTGCTTTGGGCCAAATCGACCACCCTAGCCTTAAATTCAGCTTGAAAGACGAATAATTATCTTGTCACGTCTCTCTCCAGACTAATCAATACTAAATAGACCAAAGAATGACCAAACTTGACTCAAAAAATTGCCCGAAAAACTCAACTTTACTAAACTCAAATCAACTTCGACTTTTGAGAATGAGGACGCAACTCAACTCAACTTGAGAATTCGGTGTTGGATGCCGACCCCAGATACACAGGACTTCTGAAACAATTTTTAATGTTTTCTATTCATCAAACATGTGTATTTAGATGGGTATTTATATAATATTTGATTGTAAAAATCATAAAAATAATAATTTTATGTGTAGTTTTTTCGACTCGACCGCATAATTTAGCAAACAATTAACCCCTTGACGCGAAAAATGTCGCACGTTGGTAGCTGGTGCGCAGGTTCCGTTGTATTTTCGCAGCCAGCCGCCAAAAACGTCGGCTTCGGTGGGTTCGAGCAAAGGGGCTGATTGTGGCTGACGTGTGCGTTTATCATTTTGGTGGCGGCGCCTACGAGTCGAGGCGACCAATGAGCATTGGTTTCAGCTCCGATTGCGCTGGGCCTCCGTCGTGGCGTGGAGTGAAAGACCAGACTCAGAGAAACTCGCCCTTTTTCGCTCTCTCTTTGGCTCAAATCCCCTCAAGTTTCATTTTTGGACCGAGAGTTTGACTGACCGGACCGAAAATGGGACTCTCCATTTCATCCCTCTTCAATCGGCTTTTCGCCAAGAAACAAATGCGTATCCTTATGGTCGGTTTGGATGCCGCTGGTAAAACCACTATTCTGTACAAACTCAAACTCGGAGAAATCGTTACCACCATCCCTACAATTGGTAAGTCCTCGCGGTATATTATTTTTCAGATAAAATTTTCCAATTAATTATAATTTTAATTGAACATCATTAAATGTTATTTTATATATATAGAAATCGTAGAAATGAAACGTAAGAGCATGGTAGACCCTTAATAGTCATAAAAAGTTCTGTTTTATGACTGTAACAAAATTAGACATTGACTACTGATTCAGTATTTACCCTTTCCTAATAGGAAGCTTTTCTTTGGCAAATAAGAATTTCAGTGACTTTTAGTCACAAAGTAAATTTGCACTGCGGAGTGTAGACTTTTCGATGAATTTGAACAGACAGAAGTCGATGTTAGTGCAGCTTGCCGGGTTGTTTTCGACAATTATTGCGCCCCGTGGGCATAACGGGGAGCAAGGACGCCTGAATACGGGATTACCGTTTTCGCAATTTCCGGGAAAGGATCAAGTCGTTTAGCCAGCATTTGAGAGCTAATTATTCATCGAAAAACGCCCTGACTAAACAGTAATCCATCGAGCACGTCATTATCTGAGCAATAATCATCCTCTTTATCAATGAAAGTGTTTTATTACAACTGATTAGGCGGCTCACGAATTTTGCTAACCAAAAGTTTACCAATGAATTTAAATCAAGCTGAAAAACAAGGAAGAGAAACTCATGGTTGATATTTAGGTTTCAACGTCGAAACCGTCGAATACAAAAACATTTCCTTCACCGTCTGGGATGTCGGTGGACAGGACAAGATCCGACCTCTCTGGAGACACTACTACCAGAACACACAGGGACTCATTTTCGTCGTCGACTCCTCCGATCGAGAGCGTATTCAAGAATCACACGATGAGCTCCACAAAATGGTAAGAGCGAAACAAACTCCCTTCTATTCTTAATCCTTCTCTAGCTTAACGAGGATGAGCTCCGAGACGCGATCGTCCTGGTCTTTGCCAACAAACAGGATCTTCCGAACGCTCTTTCAGTCACTGAATTGACGGAAAAATTAGGTCTTAATACTCTTAGGCGAAAGGTAAGCTCCACTCCCTTTGAACAGGGCATTTATTGAGTGTTTTCAGTGGTATGTACAGGCAGCCTGCGCCACTCAGGGAACTGGTCTCTACGAAGGTCTCGACTGGCTCTCAAGTGAGCTCTCGAAGTAAAAAGAATCATCATATATACACACACCGACAAAAACAGCAACAGAAAACATCTATAAAAACATGAAGACGTTTGCCTATTCCAAGTCCCCCACCAAACAAAACTCACACTTTTTCTACATGAACTACCGTATTTATTCTCCATTTCCTCTTATTCACAACTACCCATAACAAAAAACATAACAGTGTCAACTTGACAGTGTAATGTCTTCTAGATGAAAAAACTACTGGATTATGTGCAATCATTCGTTTCCTTTTGGTTAGATCAATTCTTCTTATTCCTCTCTTTTTCTTATCAACTCTAGAATTGGAGAAAAAAGGCGCGGGGGCTTGCCACCATCCAATTTTCATTCTCGGATAACCCCACGCTGCTGCTTTTTTCGTTATTTTTTCACTAGCCAAAAGCAAACTATCCGACCTTACCCATTTCTCCCATTACAAGTGTGCTCCCCTTTCCTATAATACATGATTTTATATATCACTATACGCGTATAACTTATATAAGATTGTATTTAACGTAACCAAGATAAAAAAGACAGATGGAAACCGATATTCCGATTTAAATAAAAATAACCGGTTAACCGAGCTTATCCCCTTTCTGGTTGCTCAAATTAGATCAATGAATTTATATTTCCTTCTAGCGATGCAACAAAATTGTAACAATATTAAACAATAAAAAGTTCTAAAAAATAAGACATGAGTTGAAGTCCGACCCGGTCCGAATTCCCACGGGTTGGTCTTCGTTGATTTCAGTTTCATTATTTTTATTCATTGAATGCAGGACAGTGAAGCTTTATTGATTAGCAGGGAGCTTCAAGGAGTTGTTGTTTGCCCAGGCGATTTCGTTTTCTCGCTAATTTCGGATTTCGGGACTTGGTTGATCAAAATTCTATTGATAAAAAATATTCTGTTGCAACAAATGGCAAGTAAAGCAGGTAGGAGTGAGTTTTAACGAGACCTGACGCTCATAAATGAAATTCTTACGGTAAAGGTACCAAAGAAAGTAAATGATAAGAAATTGCAAAGAGAACTGAAATCCACGCCTGAGCATCCTCGCAGAACTTGATTCGTTCGGTCTTTGATTTTAGATTTTGTTCAAGGCGTCTTTCTTCGCCCATCTGCTGCTCGATGAGTCGGAGGCTAGTCACGAGGCTCTTCGTACTTTTACATCATACTGACATATTCTATTCAATCAATAAATTAGACCTTGTACTTGGGTCATTCTTATTCGCCTCGCTCGCAAGAGCAGGAATCAGGTCTATCTATCGGCTGCTCCGCTTTTGAACATAGCGACTTCAGCTTGCCTTATCATAATCTTAGGTAAAATCTTAAAGATTGCCAGCATAAAAACTGTTCTCCATCGATTGAATCATCCCATTTATGAAATGCAAGTCAAGAATAAAGTGATTACGACTAATTAAAAATTCGTTTTGATTTTGTCATGCTAAAATCCAAGAAACTCAAAAAAATTATTCTCAGAAATTAAGTAATAAAACCTTGTCTGTGATATTTCTGATGGAGCCTTCCCTGAAGTTGCCATCAATCTTACCAAAAGTTGGGATCTCTTTTTCCGCTTCTGTTTGCGTCTAAATCAACCAAACTTTCACTGCGAAATAAAGTTGTATTCTTACACTTTGCTCCATTTTTTCAAAACTAATTTTCGCTTGAAAAACAGATGCATTTGCTTTTCTCTGTTCTAGAAACTTTCAAGATGTATTTGACAAGAAGTTTTTACTTTATTCTTGCTCGACAATAATCAAGGTGGGAAAGAAGAGTGAGGGCAGTAGTTCAAGCTTGAGATGGTTGAATTTCTCCTAAGTAAATTGCCTTGTCGGATGCCACAGAAGCAACTGAAAGGGTTTGGGCTAGCAAGAATAAAATCTTTATATTTCTTACTAATTGGTTCTTTGGTGTTAGGGTAGAATTGAGCATCGTTCACAGATCCCATATGACCAGGAAGTTTGTACTGGAGCGAGCGGGAGTTAACGTCCCAAACGTAGACGTACCTGATTGATAAAGTTTCTATACTGAAAGTCTAGGATGAATCTACCTATCCGCAGAACCGCAAGTAATCTTCGAATCATCAGGACTCCATGCGCATTTGAGCAGGTTCATTTCAAAGTTGTGCTTGTGGCCCATGAACATTTTAACCATTCGCTCTGATAACAAGAATTTGTAACAGTCCAACAAATAGAAGTTCGAATACCTTTGGCGACAAATGGTCTCACGTCCCAAACTCTCAAAGTATTATCCATCGAATTCGACAAAACGTACGAGCCGCAATTCGAAAGTGCAAGTGATGTTACTGTGTCGTTGTGGCCTTTCATATTCGTGCAAACCTACAAGACAATTATCAAAAGACTCACATGAGTTAATCTCTAACCCGCTTGGTTCTTCTATCATAAATCTTGACAACGTTATCGATTCCTGCGCAAATGACTTGATCAGAAGTGTCGTTGAACGTCACAGAAGTCATTTGATATCGACACTTCAAGTCGTCAATGAATCCCTTTCTTCTCGTGTCCCAAATTTTAATCGAACAGTCATCAGATGCTGATACAACAAGCGGATCTCCTCGTCTTGCAGCATGAACAGCATTGACGATTCCTTGGTGTCCTGAGAAGAATATATTAGTAAATTGTTTATTAATCCTGATCTAGATTTATATCAATCGTAAGAAATCCGGGTAAAATTACTATTTCAGTGATTCAAATCATAGTTTCCAAGTATGGGAATGTAACAAAATGTTGCTCAATACTGAAGTAAGTCGTTCTAAGATAAAATAAGAAATGAAATTTAGTCAGTCAGAAATGAGAATCCTGGTATTTAGATTCTTATTACGGTTCGCGAATATTGATCGATTAAATATTTTCAAATGAAAAGTGCCGCCTAGCGATTAAACTTGAATACCTTTCATTCGCTTGACTCTCTGGCCAGCTTTAAAGTCAAACATTCCAACTGTATTGTCACTCGACGCGGTGAAGAAGTGCTCCCCTTCCTGGCCAAATTGCAGATCCAAAATCGAACCCTAAATATTCTTTGAGCGCATTTTCAATGTTTTTGACTGACCTTGTGTGCATTTGGAATCTGATGATAATTCAAGCACTCGCCGAAAACATCCCAGTACATAATGTGACGATCGTGCCCGGCAGAGACGAAAGATTTCCCGTCTTTAGAGAATTTTCCGCAGTAGATTTCTCCTTCATGTCCTGAATAAACGCTTGTAAAGAGTTTTGAGCATTTTACAATATTGTACCTTCGAGCAACATGATGGGAGCAAGCAAAGAGGAAGTTCTATCGACGCCTTGTTCAACCAGAGCTCTGTTGATCGGACCAGTATATCGGAGCATATGACGCGGTCCATCAATCTTCTTTTCTTCCTGTTGCTTTAATTGACAAAATTAAGACGAGGTTGGAATGAGAGATACTTACCACAACAAGCTGTCCTCCTTCTGGCTTCAATTTCTTCGCCGGAACGAGCCCCAACTGATTGTGGGGCCGCTTATTGCCCGAGAACGCACTCGGCCTTTCGACTGGCATCTCTTGAAAAAATGTTTTGTGATTGAGTCTTTCGGCGATTGTCAGTTTAATATCTTATTGAACAGAAATAAGCGTTGAAGTCAGTATATGGAAAAAGACTAGTAAGATAGAATATCCGCTAAAGAATCCCTCTGATCCTCAGTCAGCGCGTCTATCGTCGCACACGAGGGAAGTTTAATATTTGGTCGGATTATCAGATCGCCTCTAGTTCCGGGTGCTTTGCTGATTGGCATTCCTTCTCCAGGTACAACAAAATCGTCCACCATCAGCTGATTTTAAGTTTATATTCTTTGAAGAAAGGGGTAAATTACCGTCGGATCAGTATCAGCACGGAAGCTATGAACTCTTTCTCCATCGAAGAGTGGTACATCTTGCTCGATCCCCTTGAAAATTTTTATTTTATCGATTGACATAAACGAGTAAAATATCAATTTTCCGTAGGTTTGAACTTATTGCTGCTGACGCGTCCTTCGATAAATACATACATGAAGAAGCACTTCTTTGAGGGGAATATCAAAAGAATAAACGAGATTGTTGCCTTCGCGAGTGTAACGCGGGTGCTCCTTTTCTTTCACAACAAAGATGATATCTGAAGTAATTATTGAATAATCGTAAGTAAGCGCCCTTGGAATCTAGGTTATGTGAGATTTACGTAACCTGAAGCCAGTTTCATTCCCTCTTCATCTCCTTCTCCGGCAAACTCCGCCAGGAATCATTATAATAATCACATTTCTTTAGCCTTACTCAAGAGTAAAATTATTTAGACTGATTCCGTTATTTTAGTTCCAGCTTTCCATCCAGCTTTGACAGGGACCTCAAGAACTTTTTCATTGTCGTAAAAATCACCATCCATTTGACGACGTTTTCGAACGATTTTAATCTGAAAAGTGGATGAAAAACAGCACTGCTTGATTCAAGTCGTACCTTTTTCGTCAAACCAACGAATAGCTCTTCTAGGCTACAAACAAGATCATGCTCAACTGGGTCGCCTTTTACAGGGGTTCCATGTTTCTTGCATTTCTCCGCCAGCTGATCAGGGTCCATTCCGCCAACGTAATCAATCTGATTAGTGCCTTCGAGGAAGACGAAAGACGGAACTGATCTGATTCCATATTTATCTGCTCCGACGGGACACTAGAGTTTAAATATACCCCCAAAAACCCCTTGAAATCTAACCTTATCGATGTCAACTTTTAAGAAAGTAAGATAAGGATATTGAACTGAAAGCTCATCGAATTTCGGAGCCATCTGGCGGCACGGAGCGCACCAGCTCGCTGTAAAGTCGACGACAAATTTGCGACTGGCATCTAAGGTCCGGCCGAAGAAAGAGTCCTCATCGCAGTCTATCACTCGGCTCATTCTTCAAATTTAAGTATTCAAATTTGAAGGCTTGAATGTTCATTATGATCATGATTTTGCGAGACAAGAAAAACAAGAAGCATGTCAGAATATTAAATATATTTGATAACAGTTATCGAAAATTGACATTTTTGAAAAACAATCTGTATTGAAAAATTTCCAGTAGTAGGAATAAAATGAAAGCAAAAACGAGTTAACAGGCAGTGCGTTAAAATACAATATGTACATTTTCTAAGATGCGTTAGTTCTTGAGTACTAGAAATATTGAATTTAACCGTATTACGAAGTGAACAAAAAAGGGCAAAATGATAGTTTTCAATGGAAAAAAATAAGGAGATGAGTTATCGAAACAGTCTTTGAAAGTTTAAAGAGAGTCTCTGTCGGAGTCAGAATCGGGTCGTAGTTGTTGATTGAGGGCTTTGATTTTGTTCAAATTCTGGATTCTGGTAGTCGCCGCGTTCAACATCGGCTCTGGATAATCGACTCCGATGATGGTTCGTGCTTGTTGTTGGACGTCGTTTGGCGCTTTCCACGGACAATAAATGTATTGCGTCGGAAGATTTTTCAACTCGGGGCAGTAGCGGCGAATGAAGCTACCGTCCGTGTCCCATTTTCGAGCAATTTTGACTGGATCCATCGCGCGCAGAGGCACTTGATTCGAGAATGCGCTTCCCGTCACCCAGAGAAAGTTCCCAGCATTGAGAGCATAGTCTGCGTCCAGGAGGAATTCTTCGAAAAGCTGAATGAATTTTTAATCGTACTCACAATCGAGCTCATTTTTACCTGTTGCCCGATTTCCCAGCTGCACCACATTTGCCCAACGGTCAAAAAAGAAGCCAGGGAGAATCTGGAAATGTGTGTGATCCATCCTTCGCTCTTCATCTGTCGAACGGCAGCATCTATCCACGGGTAACCAGTCATCCCTTCTTTGAATTTTTCAATCCACTCGGCTACTCGCTCGTTTTTCGGATCGCTCCACTTGATGTCTCGGCAGATTCGATTGCCTTCGATCTTCGTGAAGTTATTGACAGTGTAGGCTACGGTATAGAAGAATTCACGGTAAATCATTTGACCCTGGACAGTCGTTCGCATCTTTTCCGGCGCGCCCTGTGCTCCGTGCCAGAATGTTCGAGGGGACATCGAGCCGAGGTTTATGTAAGGGCTAGAAGTACAAATGTGAATCATGAGATATCTCGATACTTAGGAGAGATGATCAATAATTTAAATTCCTACCTCAGGCCCGTTGTCTCCGGCTGTGTCTCGAACCACGGCTCGGTAGTCCCGGGGATTTCGTATTCGTGATCACCAGCTTTGGAAGTACTCGGTCCTTGGTCGAATTCGAAGAGATTTTTCCTCTCAAGTTTGAATCGCATTCTTTCTAACGCCACGGTCTCTCCCCCTGGCCAGCGAGTCAACGATCTGGGGCATTCGAGTCCAAGACTGGCCAAAGTAGGGACGCCGTAAATCGCCTGGTGGTTGTCCTCGATTGTAACTGCGCATGATTTGTACATTTCTCCCGTGATTGTCGGAGCCGGAGGAGCTGGAACGTCCATGTTTCCGACGACAGAGTAGAACTCGTCGAGAGAGAGGGGCACTTGACCATCGTTAGCGTCGATGACTTCTTGAGGATCGTAAAGTGTGTGTCCGTGGAAGGAGCGAGTGACAATTTCCCGTCGATTGACCTCTTCGAGGATTTCAGCTTCGAGTTGACGGTAAAAGACCTCGGCGTCACGCATGTAGGTCATTTGGGTGATTTCGTATTCTAGAGTTTTTGGGGTTAGGGCTGATCGTAAGAGACAGTTGCTTACCTCTGCAGAAAGTCTTGATAGCGGCTCTAGCATTGCCCTTGAGCACGAACAATCTCGTCCCAATTTTCCTCAAACTATCATCCAAATCTTTGAGACTCTCCAAAAGAAATCTAATTCTGTTGTTGCCGATCCGTTCATTCGCGCGCATCCATTCAAGATCCAAGCAGAAAACACAGTAGACTGCTTCCGAGCTCCGGATCGCTTCCAAGAGAGGTCGGTTGTCATGAAGCCTAAAATAGACAGGTAAATAAGTCTCGTTTGAAAGTTCAGATGAGGTCGGTAACGCCCTAAAGCTTACAAGAATAAAAGATGAAAATAAGGGGATCTAGTGTCTTAACGTAATCAAAAAAAGTAAGTGGTCCTCAAATTTCAAACTTAATTCTTTCTAAAAGCACTGAATGTTTTCTGATGCATTGTTTTCGCTATAAGTTATAGCCTATAACAGACAAAGAAGAATCGATCGTAGATTGTATAATAATGACATGGGTTCGAAAGAAAAGAGTAAAATAAGTTCATGATACTCGATTATATAATGTATTTTTTCCACGAGCTAAAATCGATTTTTTTCGCGCTAAACTTCAATTAGCTGACGGTAAAACAAGTTTCGATATGTAATAAAATAATATAAGTTTCATATTTAAGGTGTTATGATTTAAAACAATTTATTCCTCTAAAAGATCACTTCTATTGATAACATTTCGGTATTTTCATCTTCAAAAACAGCCTTGAAATAAGCTTGCAACTCACCTCAATCCTTTTCGGAACCAGTGAAGAGTCCTATGTCTTGTAATGTTTCTCTCCATTTTTCTTATTTTCTTTCTGTTTTACCGTTTTCAGCTTTTGTCACTTCTGAGCACTTTTTTCGCTCTAGCGCGGCCCACTTTTACGCGCTGGATTTTTTATTTGGTTTTTTGCTCACTTTTTTGATTGCTTAATTTTCTTAAAAATTTCGGCTTCGAACAGTTCTCGCGAATGGACATTTCAGGCCTGGTTTTATATTGCTCGTTTTTGAAAAATATTGGGTAAAGATTACATAAGTTCAGCGCAACCTCGGAGCCAATGAAAACGACGGTAGCGCTATATTGGTGATGTTGCGGCGTTAGGGGGGTTGCGAAAATTTCGCGAAAGCTGTCAGTCGGCTGGAGGTCCGCCAATTGACTCCTTGTCCGGCATTTTGACACCTTGTTACGTAATTCTTATCACTTGATTTTTACTTATACGAAAGTTTCCATCCTTCGATATCGACTAGGATATTGATTCCATAGTCTGTGAACCATAGTCTATGGTTCATAGATCACTGTATCGAAAATTGAATGCTCATCTCGTCAAGGATAAACTTGTCCGCTGGAAAGTGGAAAAGTCTAAAATGTGAGGAAGTACTGTAGTAAGAGACGTCAATTCTTAAATTTACGTATTTCTTGGATAATCTTATATCAGATTAATGTAAGCGGCTTAGCACTAATAATATGTAAGAGAATATCAAACCACTAGGGAATCGGGAATATACAAATTCTCGGTAATTCTACTGATGTTCAACAGTCAGTGTTCCAGATAGGCATCGTCAAGTTCGCAGTAAGCATTTCTGGCGCACGAGGCATCCTTTTTGTTACCCCGTTTTAGCGTAAGAGTTACGCTACGATTGAGCCAAAAATAACGCTTGTTCAAGTTGGAAAAGGCTGGCTCCGGAAGTAAGAAACATTGTTCAACTCCACCATCATTTCTACCATCAAAAACCTTCATTGCGGATTCGTAAGGATGCTCTTTTTCTTGTTTTTGCCCGGTAAACTGCTTGAAATAATTATCAAAAGAATATTTACAGTAATGATTCTCATATTCAATTGAAAGAAAAAGTTGAAATTTTCTGGCCAGACTTTCTATTCACAAGCGAGTGGCAGACCCTAGAAAAGTGATGTCCTTAGTGGACGAAACATGAGGTCGAATTTAGGTCAGAATTTTTTGTCAATCTTCGAGAGTGTCTATTTTCGCGTTTAGTTATGTAAGAACAGGTACTCCGATTATGCAACCGGCATATACTCGTATGATCCTATTTTCTGTCGACATCGTCGAATTTGAAAAATAGAAGATTCGAGGAAGAATGTTCTCAGTTGACCATCATTTTCGACTTTTTCGAGTTTATTGCGCTAGGTTTGGATAAGAGGTGAAGTAAGAAGAGCAGAAGCTGCAGAGAATGTCTATTTGAGTCTGTCGAAGGGTTGAAAATAAAGCTGCCCATCTTTTAATAATATAAGACTATTCTAGTAATGCCGTTTCGACCCATATCCTGGTTGGAACATGCGTGATGATCGGTTTCGGCCGGGTTTTGAAAATGATCTTCTCCCGAATGATTGCCTCGACGTAATAGTCGCCCTTCTCATTTCTCTCTGATCCAAGAACTCCATAAGGAGGCGAGACCTTGGTGATCTTTCCCGTCATCGTGTGATGCCCCAGCACTAGAATCGGCGTTCCAGATTCGTCGAAATGAATGTCTCCGAATTTCTTTCCACCGAATCCTTCCTGATCAAAAATTTTTAGAGATACTTTTCTAGTGAGCCTACGTTTGGTTTATTTTCGTCTTTTTTCGCTTCTTTATCTTCCCTTAGATTCAATTCTCCTTGAATTTCAATCACCTTCCACTCTGGAATCGTTTCGAACGGTTTCGAGCATTTTACGTAGAACTTTTATGAGGATAATAAACAGTCGCTATTTAGAATATTTTTAATTGAATAAATTTACTGAATTGCCTTTTCCTGAACCATTTTTCAAAACAAAATTTCTCTAAAAACAAAATTTTCCTTCTCGGAATTCTTTCCGAATCTTCCCTCGCGCTCTGATTGGTCGATTTCCCACGAGAATCGAGGAGCATAGCGCGCACCATAAATGCTTGCCGCGACGGTCAAAATGGAGTTTTCGGCGGGCGCCGTGCAACTCATACTTACCTGGGCGGAGGGTAACCTCGATCACGTAGGGGGTTCCCTTATGGCGAGGCCGTACCATTGCACACCGGCGCGGCTGACCTGTATCTCTTTGCCAAATCGGTGGAGTGTCCGTCACAATTTCTGATAGTGGGGTTCTGCGTTCGCGCGAACCCCTTCCAAACTTAAACCTTTCCTCTGGAGCACGACCGAAGCGAGTCCCTTAGCTGGCTACTTCGCCAAGGACCATGGTTACGTGAAAGTTGTGGTCGGTTTCATGCGTTTCGACTCCATGTATTTGTTTTTCATACTGCAAAAATGGCAAAAAGAAGGCTCCAGTTAACGATTTTACAAGCTGCTTTTCGTCGTGAACTTCGTAAAACCTTTCGTCCCAAGTGTAGTGTAGTCAGAACGAAGTTGCATCGAGCGGAAAAATCTGACAACCTCCAAAGGTGAACAATGTCGGTGAACTTAACAAAGAGCTTTGGACGAAAAAAATATATTTTGGGCAGAAATACAAAAAATTTTTTTTTGTCTATATCTTATACTAGACTTATTAAGTAGCTTCTGGGGAGCATTTTGGTGTAGTTAAGGCCGCGCTTCACCAGGTGATTTCGAAGAAATCTGAGAAAGAAAGTCAAATCTTCTGGCAATGATTTTGGCTAGTTTTTGTTGATGAAATTTCGATCTGAAACGCTCAAATGAAAGCCCAGAAGCAGTTCTAGGGGGATCCGAGAGATTTTTGAAATTTATCAAGAAATTTTTTTGAAAAAATTTTTTCGAAAATTTTTAAAATTTTTTTTTTCATGATTAAAAATACTGAATGCTGATTGGCTTCGTTCTAAAATCTGTCTCATTATCTGATGATTGGTCGATCATCAAACATAAGTATTTAAAATTATAAAATGGAGGCTCCTGATTGGTCGAAATCATTATTTGGCGGAAATTAACGAAAGCAGAGGGGTAAGGGTAGTTTTTTGCGAGGATTTTTTTAAAAGCATTCAAAATCACGAAATGGAGGCTCCTGATTGGTCGAAATCATTATTTGGCGGAAAAAATGAAAGCAGAGGGGTAAGGGTAGTTTTTAGCGAGGATTCTTTAAAAGCATTCAAAATCAAAAAATGGAGGCTCCTGATTGGTCGAAATCATTATTTGGCGGAAATAAGTCAAAGCATTGGGGTAAGGTTAGTTTTTAACGAGGATTTTTTATTAATATAATAGAGGCTCCTTGTTTTAAGTTTTCGTATTTCTCAGAAAAATACAAGCATGTACTTTTTCTGTGGGAATTTTTATGATTTGATCAAGACGTTTGTAAAAATATAAAATTACATACTCTCGAGCTTTGGCGCGCGTTCAAAAGCGGGTGTTGTCACGCAGCCAAGTTGATTCTTAACGACTTGGGTCATTGCCAAGGTCAAGTTGTGTGGTTGCTGGCATAAATTGCTCTCATTCTCCAAAATGACGCGCCTCGAAATGGTGAAGCGAGCTTTTCTTTTCCTTTTTCTCTTCATTTTGTATCTTAATTGCAAAAATACAGTGAAGTATAAATATCGAGAGCTATGCACATTTTCCCCGGACATGTGCAAAAATCGACGAATACTCGAAAATAAAGAGAAAAACAGATAACGAGAGACAACTTGAATTATTATCAAAGGATGATTTGAACAAAGAAGAAAGTGTTGTGCTCCAACTTGATAAGGCATATGATGCTAAGGTTTGTATTTTTAATTATTTAATTAATTTTTGAGGCTGATTTTTTTCATTTATTTTTCAGATTTATCTTGACACTGATATGTTTGTCTTCAAGAAAAAATTTCGACTCTCAGAGATTTATCTTGAATTCATGGCACCTGAGAACTTGGATCTTGGAAACCATGACAATTCTAACATCAACTTTTGTTTTGTTTTGGGTCTTAATTTCATCTAATAGAACTGCTTAGAATTTTAAAAAAATTATCTTATAAATGACCCTTAATCAGATCTTTATCGTGAACTTTTTATGGAGTCTTCAAGCTGGCCTCTCATCGCTACGTTCTTTTACATCACAGACAACTTAACCGTCGAAAAATGGAAGTTTGGAAATCCAAAGGTAAGTTGTTTATATTTTATTAATTATGATCAACCCATTTCCCTTACTGCCCCAAAATGGTGAAGATACAAAAAATACATATAAAAATCCAAATTCCACGAACCTAGTCACACGAACCTAGTCACACGAACCTAGTCTTCACGAACCTAGTCTTCACGAACCTAGTCACACGAACTTAGTCATCAACCCATTTCCCTTACTGCCCCAAAATTTTTACTCTTTAAAACTGACGAACCTAGTCACACGAACCTAGTCATCAACCCATTTCCCTTACTGCCCCAAAATTTTTACTCTTTAAAAACTGACGAACCTAGTCACACGAACCTAGTCATCAACCCATTTCCTTTACTGCCCCAAAATTTTTACTATTTAAAATTTCACGAACCTAGTCACACGAACCTAGTCATCAACCCATTTCTTTGAATGACCGAAAATGGTGAAGATACAAAAAAAACACATATAAAAATCCAAATTTCACGAACCTTCTCTCACGAACCTAGTCTCACGAACCAAGTCTACACGAACCTAGTCCCACGACGCATTTTTCCCGACATGGCACCCAAGAACCTAGTCCCACGAACCTAGTCCTCACGAACCTGGTCATCGGTCTCGATTTTTTGTCGGAAATTTCCGGACTTGTGCGATTCGAGCTTTTTTCGCTCAGCCCAAAATCTCCGGAATTGTGCATTCCGGAATCGTGCGTAAGGACTGTTATTGATAAAATCAAAATAATAGTCCTTTGAATTTGTCGTTAATTAAAGTTTTATTTTAGTTTGCCTATCTCTACAAAAAACTGACGTCAGACCTTGAAGATTGCATGGATAATTACACAAACACCCTTCAAAAATTTCAATCTTATGACGAAGGTAAATAATTTAAAGCAACTTTTATTGGCTGCTTGGCAGGTGTTAGATTAAGGATCAGATTATGTTATAAGTAAGGGGATCACTCCATCTATTGTGACCCGCTCGGGTTAAATTTACCGTAACACAGTGTTTTCGGAGTGATGCTGTCTGCTTGCACCGAAATTCACTGACGTGATCTTATGTCTGACCAATTTAATTTGTTTTTAATAGATGACGGTGAATGCAACAACAAGTTGATGTCAGCATTTTTGGTGCTTTTTAACGGCGCCGAGCGTCATCATGTTAAATTTGGGCTTAATTTCCATGAAATAAGCTCCAAAATGCCGATGACAAATTCCGATTCTGGATTGTATGAAGTATGGGTTGAATTTTTCAAAGAATTGCTGCACAAAACAAACGAAGAAAATGTTTTCCTCGACGCAATTGACGAAAAACACGCTCTCAACTCCGCGGATCAAAAATTCTGCAAGTCTGACGTCTATATTAACACAAGTCTCAACCTGATGTATATATCTTGGATAAAACAGGAGAGTTATCGAATCCGCAAAGACGAGTCTTCTCCAAATGCAAAGTGGACCAAAATGGATTCATTACGACTAAGCCGGCGGAATATTGTGGTCGAAGGTAATTTTGATTATATTGAATGATCAAAAAAAAAAATGAAAAATTGTTTTCGAAGAAGACCATGGCTTTAGATTTCGAGCCCTTCAAATTTCTCGCAATTTTTATCCGGTTAACCCGCAGATTTTTCAGCGTGTTACTCGAGCGGAGAGTCTTTACAGGGGCTTCTCGCGGTACTAGTTCTCTTCTTGCCGCCGAGTTGCTCGTGATTACCCGTAACCCTTTCTCTGAAGCCAATCAAACGAGCGAAATATATTCTTTCGGGGCGGAATTTCAGCGCGAAGCTCGCGATTATCTTTTCCCTTTACTCGATCTACCCGCACGGATGTCCGCGCGAGTCATCCGTCGAAAAATCTGTGGGTTATCCGGAAAAAAATGCGAGTTATTTCAAAGAATTTGAAATCGACAATTATGAAGAAAACCCTGAATTATGTATATTTAAAATAAATAATCTAGGATTCGTTAATTCTTTTTATTAGAGAGACTGTTGTTAACCGAAATTTATAGCCCTTGAAGAGCTTCAAATCTTGAATCTTGAGAAAAATATGGGCGACTTAATAACGAATATAAAGGCAACTGATAACGTTTTGTTTAAAAAACTAAATGTGACCACAATGGCGATTACCGAAATGAAAAAGGTTTATCTAAATTCGATGAATGATCATTTGTTAAATGTTTTTCAGAAAATTGATTTTCAAGCTGCTAATGATCACGTCACTTTTTTGATGAGGGCGAAAACTAAATACGCAAGGTCAGAGTTCGATATCAAGCTGAATTTAACGGATCTTTAATAAAACTAACGCTTCAGGGGGTAGAACTAGGTTTTTTGAAAAAAAATCAATTGACAGAGATACAGGTATAAAAATTGGCAAAGAAAAAGCAATAAAAACGGGCTAACGAACTCTACAAAGACTGTATTCGACTATTTCAACGTTTTTACATTGTATCGAGCAATTTCCTTCGTGCCGTAATCCACTTTCAGACTTGCGTAAGCAAATGGCGTAAGAGTTTAGCAGTAACGCATTCTTTATTAAATCATACTTAAAAATGCTTCTTGGCGAAGCCAGTAATTATTTTCTAAACTCTTGAAAGTTGTTATATGCAAAACGATATCAAAACACCAAGGGAGCGATGACACTCTTTGTGCGGATGTTGTTGATCATGGGTACATTAAAAACATATTATTTCTCTATTTTTTGTTTTATTAAGCTTGTTGTCGATCAGATCAACTGACTCGTTTATAGAAGGTCCGAGTTTAAATTAAACTTTCTGCTCTTAGCAGCATATGGCTAATTTGATGTCATTTCCTAAAGACAATTTATTTTAAAACTTGCTCAAGGACAAAACACACCGAAATTGAGAGTTCGGCTCGAAGTATCTATTCCTCTAGAAATGATTACACAAATATTCTATTTAATTATTTAAAAAAATAAATACGTCAAAAATATTTGTGAATAATCTATGTGCAGAAATGAAAAAAGTAAAGAAGGTGAAACTGACAACTCTTCCAAGAATCGAAGAAATTGGGAACACAATGATCATAAAGGTAATAATGAATCTGCGAGCGAGCAGAACTATGTTGTGTGATTCTTGTGTATTTTCGTCTTTTTTTTCTCAAATAACTCCATTTACAAGCGTATCTGCAATGAGCCAAGAACGGTTTTCATCGACGATGAACTCAATCTTTACAACGTTGACTAGGGGTCTAAATAATAGCCGACATCAAAGTGCTAAAGCGAACTTAATTTCGATCCCTTTTGTTTCGCAATAATGCAAATTTAGACCCTTGCATCGACTCAAAAGACTGCATTAATTCCTTGAGATCGACGCATTTTTGCCAATCAAGGGAAATTTCTACTGGTCTCTTCAAAGCTCAGCACCCGCTTGTCTGTTCATCAAGCTACGATGGAGAAATTGAATACTTCTATAGAGAAGGAACGGTTAAAGTATACTATTTTTACAATAAAATTCTGAATCGGTTTTTCGGCTTTGACGGGCTAGGATTTAAGGTGTTTAAACCCGAGTCAGGGTCTTGAGGGCTTGAATAAACTGCCGCTAAACGGTTTTTTAGAGGTGTAAAAACCTGAGTCAGGGTGTGGAATGCTTAAACTTAATGCCGTTAAGCAGTATTTTTTTAAGGGTTGAAAACCTGAGTCTCTATAACGAAATATACAAATTAACCTTCGAAGATGAAATTTGCACGGCGACAACATTGGATTCTTACCGCGCCACTGGTGCAAGAGCGTTGTTAATTCCAAATCATTTTGGTCAAACATGTTTCAAAAGAGAAACAACACCTTATACTGTGGTAGTCGGAAAAGAAGAAAAATTCATCGAGGCACTGGAACGTGAGCAAGTGTTCATTCATCGGGACAACGTCATCGTAACAGAGCTTGGGGAGTATAACGACACGGTCTTGGAAACTTTGATTAGTTCTCTTGATCTCGACGAAAAGGAAAACGACCAAATCGAACAGTTGAAAAATTTCGAATTTCGAAATTTTGAAATTGTGAAGGGAGGGTTTTTATTGCGTGCTAGGCTTTAAAAGATCGATTTTGAGAGATTCGTCACCTCTATTCACAGCATATAAAACCTTTAAGGATTCAATCAAATTTGGAAAATTGTTCTTCCGATCCGCGACGATTATTCTTAAAAAAACAATATTTTACATGATTTTAATTGTTTTGGCTGTAGCATTTTTATATCTCTCTCTGAAAGTGATACTTAAAAAATTGTTCTTATAAAATTTTTTGACAAATTGAAATTTAAGATGTTCTTAATCGACCTTTATTACCACGAAATTGCCACCATGATAGTCGTCGCTGTAATGTTCCTTTTGTGGTTTGAATTCAAGGTGCTATACAGAAGTAGGAGTGGGGGTGGTGGTGGCAGTCACACATTTCCCGTCGATATTATTGAAAAACCCTCATCAAATTATAAACCGTGTCTTCGATGTGGAAGATACTTTGCAAAAAATCAATTAAAACGACATAAAGGTAAAATTTTTCGTCTGCAAGATTACAAATTTTTCATCAGAAACGAATTGCTCGAGATCCTGCGAAATTTGTTCAATGAATTTCATTGATATAACCGAGTTCAATAATCATCAGGTAAAATTTTTTTTTAAGGTTTAAAAATTTAATTTTTTCGTAGTGCGTTAAACGAAAAACAGGAAGAATCTTCGAATTTTTCGATGCAGATTTGGTTATGCATAACGCAAAATTAAATTTCTCCAGGAAAGGCGCCATTAAACAAAATTAAATTTGGATTTCTCTATTCATGATTCGAAATAAATTTTTGCGTCACATAAATAGACAGAAAAAACTGAGTCGTAAATGTGGATATTGCAGCATTGTTCTCCGAAAATCGGAAATGGAAATTCACAGTAAGACTTGCTGGTAGGATTTATCCTTTAAAAAGCATCTCTATTTCTTTTGTAGGGGAATTCCCTGCGGAAATTGCGGTCACAACTATCCAATCGAATTGATGACTGATCATCAGGAGCTGGGCTCGACATGATAAATCAAGTTTAAAAATTGTAATCTTGTGATAATCTAGTTCTCAATTGCATGTTTTTGCGATTTTAAAAGTTCTCATGGACAAACTCGCTAGCCCAGATGAGAATAACTGTAAAGTAAATATTCAATTCGAAGAAGATGTAGCAGTTTCCCAACAAACGAATCTCGATGATTCAGATGACGATTGTGTATTCCATGAAAAATCATCGTCTAGTAACGATTTGTCTGATGACGCTGATGATATTTCTCCTTTTTATGAAAATTTGACAAAAAAACAAGATAATCGTAAGTTCTCCAATAATCGAAAAATGTTTTTTTGAAATCTTTCATTTTTTTCTGAAATAGGACGCAAATCGTATGACAATGAGCTCTTCAAACGGTTAATCGATAAAACAACAGAAGAACTTATTCAGCATGTACAACAAAAAACTGGGGAGTTTAGCAGTGAAGGCGGGGCTCCCATAAATTCAAACTATTTTGCCATAAAATTAAATTTATAAAAATACGTTTATCGGATTAAGGACCTCCCCGTCAACATTTTTTCTCAAAATCGAAAATTTCAAAACCGCCATATTTTCTTAGAAATTTTTCACGAACCTAGTCCCACGAACCTAGTCATCAAATCCTTTCCGAGTTGATCTTAACTAACCGAAAATGTTGAAGATACAAAAAAAATACTTCTAAAAATCCGAATTCAACGAACCTAGTCCAACGAACCTAGTTCTTTGGTCAAAATTATGAAAAGCCGATTTTTGATTTTTCGAAGACTGATGACGGGGGCGTCCTTAAGAAGTGACTTTATAATCAAAATCAAAAAGCCCTATAAAAAGATAAAAAACAAATATTAAACAGGTAATGCTTTTTTTTAAAGAATAAGCGAAAATTTCCATAATTCAGTCTTGCACAAAAAATTCTGACATTGACAACGACCGGATCCTTTTTCGCGAAAATAAATGGAGTGCCTGTCCAGTTTATTGAAGAAATCTTTGGTTCGATAAGATTTACATATGGTCAAGACAAGAATCGAAAATTTCACCATGATTTTTAAGGATGACGTCATTTTAGACGCTGGAATATTTTAAGCATTCTACGTGAAGGCTCCTTATTTCACCGTCAAAAAAACGACCGCTTATTCTATTTCGCAATCTCTATTTCATGGTTATATTTATTGATTCTTATGAAGAAATCATAAGAGTCGCTCTTTCTTCTTATGTCAGCAATGAAATGATTGAAGAAAAGGATTATAAAAATTCTTAAAAAATTATTTAGAATAATTTTATTATTATTTTTATAAACCGATAAAAAGACAGACATCTTTACAATAAAATGCTGAGAGAGAGTCTAAAAATGCACGCTGAATCCATCGAGTCAGCTTACAGAAACAGAAATCGACTTTTGGAAAACTTACCGCTAGATAGGAAGAAAAGAACACTAAAGCTTTCAGAAAATGCAGCTTGCCGTATCGCAAGAATCTTTTTGGAAAAGTCGATCCCTATAGGTAATCATAATTTTCTTCGATAGCATTTTTGCTTCGTAAAATTTACGATTAACTGTCAGGTCAATCGTGCTCGCTTAAAAAAATTGGTCAACTAAACGGTAATTTAGTAAACTCAAAAATCACCGTCGATGTTCACATGATAAACAAGCAGCTCGAAACATTCTATCAAACTTGCGGGCTGGAGATTGAATACAAAAAACTCAACGATTATTACAAACCAATATACGTTAGCCCGAAGCATATCTTAGGTTTGATAATGTTGATGATCAAATAGTAATTATTTTAAATATTTTTAGCTGAACCGGAACAATGGCCACGGTTGCTACGAAAAATAATTAATATAAATTCCTTAAATAATTGAGTTTCTTTCTTTTAGAATTAAAAAATTTTTTCTTCTAACGATAAATTGAAGCGTAACGACCTTGATTACAGATTTTTGATTTAATAAGAGAAGAAATGAGCAATGAAAACGATGATGAATTAAGCGACTACCTCATACAAAGTGCTCGGCCTTTTTTTATTAAAACTGTCTCAGGAGAGATCTTAACAAACGAGTTAATTTTGATTAAAAGAAAATTTAAAATTTTTGTTTAAATCTCTACAGGAAAAGATCATTGGGCTCGTCAATGTCTTTGGCAGGATTTAAAAAAAATAAGAAAAAAGCTTGGTTATTAATTTCTTATAATATTTTTTTTAAATCCGTCAAAGTGACACATGTTACAATTCAAATACCGCACTCGAAATTCTAAGCAAAGAAAACGGTTCAACCATCGACCCGATGCTGTTCTATGACAAGCTCACTTGTGGAAAAAGTATGTATTTAAAAGGGTAAAGTCATCGAATTAGGTCTTTAGAACCCCTTAACAATTTGCAACAAAATCTTTTTCGGAAATTGGAAAATTTGACTACGGAAATGGATTATACGGATCATTCAACGATTTTGAGGCTTTCGGTCTATGTCTTTTCCGAAACCCTCAAAATCTCGTTTGAGAAGTGGACTTTTTGACGAAAAGCCGGAGGGTCCTTAAATATTTATCTAAGCGAAAAACTCGTAGGAATAGAATCGCTTTCAAGCCCATCTTGCCAAAAATTGCGATTTAAAGCCTCAAATTTCAAAAATTTAGAAATCAGAATAATTTTTAGCTTTGTTTGAAAGATATCATTGTTCTGAAGAAAAAAAATATAAGAAAAAATTCGAAAACTCTGCAACTGTAAATCATCAATGCATGGCGCTATCAGTCGAGGATGCTGTTTCTCAAATCCCTTTAAAAAACGAATATTACAGGTAGACTCAGCGTTTATTTTCCAAAATTTGCAAAATTTAAGATTTTCGCATTTTACAAAAAATGAAGACAAAGAAAACGAGGATCAAAAAATAGGACCGGTTCTCAACAATAAGATTCAATAATGATCAAAATAGCGAACTGAAAGTAAATGAGTAAAAAACCGATTCAAAGATAAAAGGGGAAAAGCAATTTTTATCCCAAAAGGGAGCATCGATGGAAAAAAAACAAAAGTTGAAACTTACGATTTTATAATAAAGTCGATTTCCGAGGCCCTATTCCATCATTACGGTAAAATTGTAAGATAATATAAATAATAATAAATTATTTATTTAGACAAAAGAGTCTTCAAACAATCTGGATTATCAATAACTGCGAAATCTCCAAACTTACCTCCGGGACATATTGTCATGGAGATTGATTTTGCTAGGTCCCAGAGAATTTTTATTTTATGAAATTTTAAATTATTTAATATAGATCAATTGGATTGCCACATTTCCGCAGCACTCACAGCTCCTTCCTACAGAATCGTTCAATCGGGTCGCTGACAATTAATGCCTATTTTTTCGACTTTGCGTCGATGGCTTGGAATCGAATGGTCGTTCATCACAGGATTGGAAATGGCGGGGGGAAGCGGAATATCACTCGCGTAAGCCAGAAAAATTGAGATCGCCACTTCACGTGATGGCGCCACAGAGATCCTGATAAACAAAATTTTCTGTGTCGCGCAAATGTGAAAAAATCCACAAAGTCTACCGCCATTTCTAACCCTGATTTATCTTTTTATGACGAAAAAAAATCGTCATTCAATTATCGAGGTAAAAAAAGCTGAAGGCATTAAGTCATAATGCAATTAAAAATCACCAAAAAAAATCAAATTATTCGCATAATTACACATTATATGCGTTAATTGATCAAGAAGAAGATTAATCTCAATAAGATAATATTTTAAAGGCAGCTGAGACTGTGCTCGAGATTCTTGAATTGAAGAAGATCCTGCTTACTAATCGTTTGTTGACGATGGTTCTTGATAACTCAATTTCCGTGCTAGGGTTAGCACCGTCCACCTTTTTCCGAGGTTAGCTTATTTAAATATCCAGAGTTAAAATCTTTTGAACTCTCTCGAGCGAAAAGACCCGTAAAGATATTATCTTAAAACGGAAAAATCGACCGAAATGAATTAAAAATATGGCTGATGGAAGTGTTTTGTAAAGAAGCGTCCCCTCCTTTTTCCCCCAAAAAATTAATATTTCAAAAGACACCATATTTTTGGTTCTTAATGCGATAGGTTTAATCTGCTTCAAGAACTTGATAAAAATGAAATTTGACCAAGAAAAAATAATTTTTTTGCCAAAATTACGCGAATTTGTATTGGCAAAAGTCCAGCTTTAAAATACGACTATTTGAGTCAGAAAGTCGAGAAAGACCCCCGAAAAATAAAGCATAAAAACAATTTTTTGGCCCGTTTTATCGACTCCCGAGGCTAAAATTATTAATCCGAAAATTCGATTTTTCGAAAAAAGCTGACAGGGGGTCTTAAAGACGGACTTAACGCCGGACCCGGTCTGAATAATCGGTGGTTGGTGCCGACCCTAGTTTCGAAAACAAAAACCGGTATGTTATTGGGTCGACCGCGGATTTTCGTCTGCCAGTTAATCTTATATTCAAAACTCCGAAGTTTGGGTCGACAAATAAGTAAATGAAAAAAAAAGTAACTTTAATGCAGCTATAGAACAGACGCCATTATTGAAATGAATAGTAAAATTGAATTTTTTTCTTCTATACATGTAGTATTTTTTGTCGACTCAAATTCACAGCATTCAAAATCCCTAGGAATTGTTCATGAATCTTTCTATGTTGATTTATTTCGAATTTTTAATCATGAAAAAACAGTTGACGGACTACATCGAATGCCGTCTTTTGTGGCTCAACTTCTGAGGGAGCATGAAGAATCGGCAATCGAGGTAGATTTTTAAATTTAATTATCAATACTAAGCATTTTGAAGTCTATCGATGATTTCGTAACGAGACTACAAGAATACGAAGAGGAACATCAAAGTTCCACAGGTTGGGTCGGCATCGATCATCGTTTTTCGATTTTCGAGCAATCGAGTAAATATTTTTTATGAGAGACAACAAATTATCGATTTTCTGAAAAAGCTGTCTTTTGCTTGTTAGTGCCGACCCTTGTTTTAAGGTTTTAGAAGGTTAAAATAAGAAATAAGAATAGTTTTTAATTGTTTTCTCGTAGGATTTTTATTAATCTCGACCGAAAGCCGCGACGCCAAAGATCAACTGCAATCGGAAATCTTGAATCCAATCGCATGAGGTCGGGATACATATATATACTTAAGGGGGTGGTGGTCGAGACAAAGACTTTTTCAACCTAAAAACTCCAATTTTTTCAAAAATTTTTTTCTCGAATTGAAAATAAGTTAAAAAAGGTCCAATTTATGTGGGCGGCTATGTTTGAAAAAATATTTTTCGAAAAAATGGTGAAAAATTGCTTCAAACTATACCCATCTCTTGACCTAAAAACTCGATCCCCTTATTATTTTTTCGAAATAAAACTTACCGAGAGGAAAGTTTAGACCCTTTAGCGTGTGGGCGGCTTAGTTTTAGAAAGTTCACCTTGTTAGAAAATAAAATAGTAATTGAATGAAAACATGGAGTTTACTGAAAAATCGTCATTTTTTTACGTTGCTCCTCTGTCTTCCCTTTTTCTTTCTCCTCTTTTTACTACCGCAAAATCACTGAAGGAGATTTTATCCCGGGTCGAAAGAAAATTTAGAATTCTGCTACTGATACCATTAGTTTTAAATAAACTGTCTTTCCATAACAGCAATTTGAGGCGAAGCATATAATTATTCATTCGAATTGAATTTTTTCAAAATTATTATTATTTTATCTATACCTCACGTAAGACAAGTGCATGCTGATGGAAAAGCTATTGTCGCAGCTACAACTGTTTGTTTATGCATTTATTGGTAAGCTTTTTTCTAGGGACATACAGATTAATTTTAAGCTTGGACGGAAAATTTGAATCTTGCGTCGAAGAAGAAAACAAAAATCAAGGTCAATTTCCCATGACAATTTGGGCGATCCATCGAATTCAACTCAAAGTCATAATAACTTCGAAACGACGAGCGAAACATCATTTTCAAGACAAAATATCTTAAAAGAGCGGAATAGAGTGGAAGAGCCGAAATCAAAGAGAGCAAGAGTCTCTTCAGAAGAAACAACCATCAACGAAGACACACAATTTGATTACGATCAATTTAATTTTCAATTCGAGCCACAAGAATATCAAGGTATGTGATTTCTTTCTAATTTATTAAAATAATGGATATTTCAAATTATTTAAAAAATAAGGGCCGTATTTCGAAGAATTTGAGGAAGAGCCGCAGAGAGAAGAAAACGCAAGAAGAGTCTGCTTACTCGAAAATGTGAATATTCCGACACGTGAATCAGCGGTTGACGCAGAATTGGAATATTCGAGACGTTATGGTTACGACTTGTTTCAAGAATTAAGCAATAGTTTTGATCCTGGGAATTACTATAAGTGAGTTTAATGTCTTTTTTATTTTAATCTCCTATTTAAAAATTAAGGCGCGACGTGCTAGACTCATTATTTAACAAACTCTACATGTGTCAAAAGCAAAAGAATCCATCAACAATACTTTTAAATTGTAATTTCGGCCGACAAAATCTTCCTCGAGTGCAAAATGGGGAGAAGAACTTTTGAGAAGAGAAATTCTCGCTTTCAGAGATCTTGAAGAGCTGACGCAAACGAGGATAATTCAGCCGATTTTCCTCACAGAGGGAAATTATTTGGCACGCAATTTCCATGATATTCCTTTCAGTTTTGTTACAGAAAATAAGAAATTTTTCTTAGTTATAACTTTTAATATTCTCATAATTGATGTTAAAATAAAAAAAAAATTAATCAATAAATTGTCTGTAAACAAAAAATAGTCATCGGGGCCATTTTTTCATTTTGGTATTGGATCGGGAGCTGCAATCAGCTATTGTCATTGACCATTTACGTCCGACTGATTACCTGTAAGTCGCTTATAAAATTTCTCATTTTGCATAATGCAACTTGTAGTTGTAAAATTGGTTGATTAGTAGTTTTGGATGCACATTTTCTAAATATTGAATTTAAGGCACTATGCCAGCGAGTGCTTCTTAAATTTCTACAGGAATATATGGCCAAACTCGAATCCCACACTTCGTCTCGCGAAAGTCCAAGCTCAAGGGACAAATAATTGTGCATGGGGTCGGCAACAAGCTCAGAACTTTGGAAAAGACTATTATTTTCTAGTCCGTTTTTTTAATAACTTGAGTTCTTTTTGCCTACCCCAATTCAAGTGGTCCTCTTGCTTTAAGGTAATGAAGTTCACTCTTATTTATGAATTTTAATCTTATGATATAAGAAACGCAGAGCTGCTGATGGGAGGATTTAGCTCGCTGTATTTTTTACAGTCGCTGAATCATTCAACATTCGAGACAAACCTTATAAGAAGAATCCATTATCACATTGCAGTTCATGATCATCTCGACTTCCCAAATACTGTCACGATCGAGGAATAAATTTTAAGGTTGTCAAATGCTTTATCATTCATATGCCAAATTATGATTTCGACCAATCAGGAACCTCTTTTTTATAATATTGAATGCTCTTATAAAAATCCTCGTAAAAAACTACCCTTACCCCTATGCTTTTGTTTGTTTCTGCCAAATAATGATTTCGACCAATCAGGAGCCTCCATTTTATGATTTTGAATGCTTTCAAAAGAATCCTCGCAAAAAAACTACTCTTACCCCTCTGCTTTCGTTTATTTCCGCCAAATAATGATTTCGACCAATGAGGACCCTCCATTTTATGATTTTGAATGCTTTTAAAAGAATCCTCGCAAAAAACTACCCTTACCCCTCTGTAAGAAGCCTATCAGCATTCAGTATTCTGAATTATGAAAAAAAAATTTTTCAAAAACTTTCGAAAAAATTTTTTCAAAAAAATTTCTTGACAAATTTCAAAAATCTCTCGGATCCCCCTAGAACTGCTTCTGAGCTTTCATTTGAGCGTTTCAGATCGAAATTTCATCAACAAAAACTGCCCAAAATCATTGCCAGAAGATTTCACTTTCTTTTTCAGATTTCTTCGAAATCACCTGGTGAAGCGCGGCCTTAACTACACCAAAATGCTCCCCAGAAGCTACTTTATAAGTCTAGTATAAAATTTAGACAAAAAAAAAATTTTTGTATTTCCGCCCAAAATATATTTTTTTCGTCCTTTCTGTTCAAGTTAGACTTCCACGACACAGTCGGTTCTAGCTAGATGAGAAAACAGGTGAAAATAATATTGGAAGAGATAGAAGATGCGAATGTTAACAAGCTGTATGAAAGACGAATTCAGGTTTGGGAATCGTCAGATAAGCATAATTTTCCCTCTAATAAGTGTTTGGATTGCGAATGCATGGGCGTCTTGAGACAGTCGAAGGGAAAGGTTTATTTATTTCCCGAAGAAATTCTCTCTTCCCGCAGCATCCACACTCAAAAACATCATTTGAAAGAACGAACTTACAAGTCAAAAATCGCTGAAAAACTGACCCCATCTATTCATGGCTTTTCCAAATTCAAACAGAAGGTTTGGTACGTTGTGACTGGCTCTCTTTTTTGGATAACAGTTATGCTTCTAAGTAGGTTCTGTAATTTATGTACTGACCCTTTATTCATTTTTAGCGAATGTAATTTCGCTCGAGAAATCTCGCGGCAAAACGACATATTTAACTTCGACCTGTCACCGAAATTATAAGAAATGCGTGCAGATGGACACAATGGACTACTGCAGCAGTCTGATGAGGCGATGCCGAGAGACCAAGAAATTTATAATTCCAGTTCGTGTTTCAGAAATCGTCGAAATAAAAAAGAGTCCCGCCGAATATACAAAAGAAGATAACGAGCTGAATCTACGCCGTTGCCGAAAGAAAAAGTTCTACGATACAAAAATCTGCCGTCATCTTTGTTCGAGTACACTTGTTTTGAAGACAGCAAAGACTAAATTGTTTTCACCCTGCGAGTCGATTTGCTTCGAGCTCACACGATCATTCGATTCCGCTGGTGAAGTCTGCCCCACTGAAAAATACTGTAAAAAGGGATGTCCTTGTCCTTTCTACAAGTGCGAGAAGTTAATTAAAGCCCATCAGAAGTTGGTTCCAGTCTTTGATCTCCAAAAATCAGAAACCCTCGAATTGGATGAAAAGAAAAATAATCAAACATCTGAAAATCTATCCGTGGACTTGATAACAAGACGTTGGGAAGGCCGTAATCGTAAAATAAAGAAGTTTGCAATTATACTTTCTGATCTCACGGGGAGAGGCATGGAAAGTTCACTTAATGCTTCAGATTCATTTTCATCCTATGAACGGTTTGATTTACAGGTTTTTATGAAAATATGAATAAAAAAAAAACCTGATCAGTCAACAGGAGCAACCTTTCTGAATGGCGAGCACTATCTGGTCGATGCGTTTGGAAATCTTATGAAGGTCAAAGAATCGGGCGATTCTCCTGTTTTTATTCCGAATCGAGAATATTTCAACAGAGGCTTTTTCCTTTTCCATTTTGGTTCTTCTATAAGCACTCATCAAATTGAGATTAGACGTAAAGACAATAACACGAAGGTTTTTCCCGTCGTTGTCATTTGAAAAAGGTCAAAATATTATTTGTGAAATTTTTTTTCTACCAACTTTTGATCTGTGAAAGCTCTCCTACTGGCAGATCAGACAAATGCTACTACTATGCTCTAGAGTACAACTTGAACCGTTTTGAAGAATCCCAGGGCTTCATCGCCAGCAACCATTTTAATGCTAAGACATCTTCTATAAGCTTCCGGGGAGTCTTTTATCTTATGAGTGTTAGACTCGGCGAACGCTGGATCAAACTCTCAACAACGGTGGCTCTGAATAGAATACGCAAGAGTGAAGAAATGGAGAAGGGATGGCGGAAAAGTGAGATCAAGTTGCCCCCGGAATTTAGAGATCTTGATCCTGTTCACGTGTTTCCAATGAGCAGGCTAAAATCTTCTTTCTTATTGATTTCTTAATCTTTTTCAACCTGCTAAAGATTGATGTGGGAAAGCTCTTGCTTGTTTTGGTGACAAGAAGCATTGTGCTTTCCAATACTCTTTACTCCCTGCTATTAGAGGCTGAAGGAAAGTTCTTGACTCTCGAGAGTGAGTGGATAGGCTCTCTAATTAGATACGAACAAACGTCTGTGTGCTACTCGAGGTTGTTTTCTCAAGACGACCAATTCTATACAGACCAATTTGGAAACAACAACGATGAATGCGAGTACTTCGTTAATGGAATTATCTACGACGAGAATATCAGTATTCAGAGCGTTGTCTTCGACGCTACCTTCAAGGTTGAATTCGATTTCGGAAATGATTAAAACTAAAAGCTTTCTACATGATATCATATGTGTTGGAATTATAAATGTTTTATTCAAAATAAAAGAACGAATCGAGCTCGATTTCGTCCAACAAAATGCCGAAAGACAAATGCACGTGACTAGCAACCCATTTTTTGCGTTTCATGACGATGTATTCCCAGCATTTTCTAAAAATTCAGTTTCACAGCCGCGATTTTTCGAAACGGCAAAATCGATCTTCCCGCCTTACCCAAAAACAATAATTCCAAATAATCCCTTTTCTTCGCTACAAGAGTTTAAGCATATTTCGACTTTTGCTTTCAAATTCGACAGCGAACAAAGCTTTGAGTTCGAAATACGCCTGCAGGTAAGAAGAATTTATCAACGAATTCTTTCAAAATTTTGATAAGGATGCAAGAGCAATGAAAATTTTCGAGTTCAACTTTTTCGATGGAAGTTCGTTTTTCAGCCTTGGAACTTTTGCAAATGGCTCGATTTGGATTGATTCTGATTATTTTAATAAAAGATCCGTTTCGGATTCGTATGCGAAAGACTTCAGAAAGTTTGATTTGAAGCTGAATTTAAATCGTTCTCATCAGACAACGTCAATCGAATTCATAGAGGAACAGTTTTCATCTTCATAAATTATGAATCATAATGTTATGCTTTTTGAATACGCGGAATATATAATAAACTGATAAGAAACCTGAGAACATAACTGTTGCGAAAAATTCTACAAAAGTACAGTTGCTTGGATTTAAAAATCAAAGTTACAAAAGAATACGACTTTTCAAGTTTGACAGAGTCGCTCAAATCAAAAACTTTATTCTTTCTTCAAAAACAGATTCGTCTCAGATCACTGTTTTAACTGGAAGACAATATTCATCGGACTGGAGTTCATGGATAAATTTTTACGCATTACAAAATGATGGCTCGATCAACACCAATTTGTTGTTTCAACATTCGACTGACGATATCAATATCTCGAGATATCTATATGCAACGAGACACGCGATTGTTTTTAACCAGCTTCATATTTTCGGAGGATATCATGATCCTCAACGAGTATGAAAACAAGTGTTTTATTAGTATTATTTTTATTTCCGATAGATATCAAGACTAAATGGGTGCAAATTGATTGATCTTTCAATCAAGCTTATTGACGAGTTTCCTTATGCACATGCAGCTTTAACTCTTCAGGGAGGAAGTAAAGGTAGAATCACAATAGAGTAACCTATAAACAGGGGTCTAAATTTGGCTGATATTTAGACCCCTGCTCTAAATATACGTACAATTTCTAGTGATCATTTGTTTCGATCATTATTCGTCGATTTTTATCATCATTTGCTCGACAGAAACTGCAACGAGTTCAATGGTTTGGTTGTTAGACGGATTAAGAGAACTAGTATTAAACATCACTACGGCGAGCTTGGTCTGTACAACGGTATGCCAACCGCTGTAGGCGGAATGGATGTTGAAGGAGCGACAGAGACATTGACTGAAGCTGGTTGGATCTCAATTACTTCGACGCGCTTTTTTAAGGTTGGGCAAGTTATTTCACCCACTTCTTGATTTTAAACCCTGGAACACCATACATATTTGGAATCAGCAGGAAATTTTAAGAACTTTGACCGTTTTAGTTTCCGAAATTTCCACTTCCGGTCCGATTCTAGAGCCGGAAGTTGACGAAATTTTGAGTTTGGCCAACTTGTGACCTATCAAATTGATGCTCAGAAAATTTTGAGTAAACTCATCTTAAAATCATCCAAAAAACCGTCCCAACCGCAGTCAAACCGACCGGCAAAACTAGGAAAAAGGCACAAATTTCTGATTTTTCTTTCAGTTTTTAGCGGTTGATTTGACCGCGGTCGGCATTGATTCTTCTCTCAGATGATAGGAAATTTTCTGAGAATCAATTTGATAGGTCACAAGTTGGCCAAACTCAAAATTTCGTCAACTTCCGGCTCTAGAATCGGACCGGAAGTGGAAATTTTGGAAACTAAAACGGTCAAAGTTCTTAAAATTTCCTACTGATTCCAAATATGTATGGTGTTCCAGGGTCTAAAATAAAGAAGTGGGTGAAATAACTTGCCCAACCTTAAAAAAAGCGCGTCTTCGCATCCAAGGTAGCTCGTAAATATTTCAAATTTTTAGATAAAATCAAAATTCTAGAGCCATAAGAAGATTTTCTATCGTTGGGCTTTCATCAGGAGCTTTGTTGACTATCGGGGGATACGATCAGACATATGCTAGTGTGAAAGAACTGGATGAGATTTGGCGACTTTCGAACAACAAGTGGTCATTGATCGGATTTCTTAAGAATGTTGACTTCTGTTTAAAAGAAGTTTGCAAGTAAAACCGTTTTTCAGGCCCTTGAACTGACCTCAGCAGTTATGATAGATGATATTATCTTCGTTTTTCCTGGGTTTTCGATTGAAGGGATATCTCCAATTCAACGCATAAATTTAGGGCCGGTCTTCAAAATTCAAATAACAGTGCAATGTGCACAGTTTTCTCTATGTTTTTGAAAACATGAATGAGATGTCGACGATAATGTTGTCTCGACTGATGTTGTTACTGATCAAAGTATTGAAGTATTTAGTCCAATTTCTTTCGTCACCCCTGTTAATTTCTGTACTCAATAAAAACATCTACATGATATTGAATTTTTCTTGTAGTTTCAGCAAGTATCTTACTCTTTGAGAACATAAATTATTTTCAATCCGCTTTCAAGAAGACCTCAAAATTGGACTTATTCTTGACTTGTTATAAACGTCAAGTTACTGTCTTTATAAAACAGGCACCAGGTGGCCAGTGAAAGCGAATAACCCTTAATTTAATCTGGCAAATCTTTGCTAGATTCAGGGCGAAGTAAAAATATTCCTAAATGTCAAGTGCCCGGGCACAATGCCCGCCCTGAGCTTTTAAACCTTGAAGGCGTTTTTTTTTCTAAGTATGCGATTAATCTTAACTCGTGAAATTCGGTCTGTGACACTTTTAGAGTCCATTTTTTGTTCAATCAAGTGCAGAAGCAATTTTTGATGGGCGGATGGAAGCTGCCAGAGAACACTTCCTGAACCAAATTTGATTTTCTTACGATTAAAATGAAATCGGAAGAAAATGATCTTTCTCGATTTCATAAGAGAGAGACAAAGTAAGAAAATGCAGTAAGAAATCAAGGAGGACCAGTGCAAACATAAAGGACCTTTTCAAGAAATTCAGAATTTAACAGACTCGAGATAAAGCAAACTCGTAGAGGTCTTTTATTGGCGATAGGCTTCCAGATAAACTTTCAAGGTCTGCATAAAAATGACACGATATTTTCAGAAGAGCAAACTCGCCGCTTTTTATTGAAATTTTGAGAACTCCAACTTTTTAGAGGGTCGTAGAATTTCAAAATGCTTGCTTCTATTCTACAGATTCATGGTTCTGAGTGATTTACTGCTGCCCGAGAGAAATGTATGTTTACATTCGCCGCTCATAAAGCATAAATGCCCGCTAAATGTAACTTGGACCCAATTTTCTGAGCCCTCGACTATTTTTTCAGCAGAGAAAATTGGCTAATCTTCAAGATAGTTCACGTCTTACCGTTTTTTTTATTAATCGATTAGGGTTTGAAAAGAGCGGTAAAACCGGATAAGCCAGCAGAGCAAAAAAACCACCTCTTCAGCAGAAATAGCAAAAATTATTCAAGAGAGACATTGCATAATTTCCTCCTATGTACTTTGGCTGTGAAAATTTACCAGGTGAAACGTCTCCAAATCATGCCACTTCACATCCGCTTATTCGCGTCTTTGTATATTTATCACTTCTAGCCGATCACGAGTACCGAAATTTTAAAGCCCAAATTAGAGATAGAAAACGATGTGGAATAGAGACGTTTGATCTTTAGAAGATTATCCGGCTCGTTAGAGCATTCTCACGGCGATATTTTTTGGTACGTCAACGAGTCAAAGAGATAAGTAGCTGATTTGAACTTTATTTGTTAGATGAGAGAAAGAAGGTGATTTATTATTGACACTTGTTATAGCATTACTGAAACATACAGTCAGTAACTTGGGAGTGTTCTTTCAGAAGAATTTTTCCCATTACAGTGCTTTAGAAGCTTTTAAACTTGGCGTTAAACTATATCGAACCCATAATACCAATTTACGTCCATTTTAATAAACCATAAACACCCTTGACGGCGCCAAAAACAATCATTCATTGAAAGCGCTATTGAAAGTTTGTGACCCGATACAAAAATATGCATTTCTGTCAATTCCCCTTTTCTGAAAATATTCGTTAAATTTGTGAAAAGGCCTTTATTGTCTAACAACTTGTTCTATTCAGAGATCCTTACTATAGTCGATTATAAGGAGGTGAAAGTGGTGCTCGGCCACGCTCGAGAGAGAATAACGAAGGAACACCTAAAAGCTGCGAGAAAATTAAGAGAATAAGGCGATTATCGGAAGATGGCAACGAGGGTTCAATACCCAAGCGTTGGAAGGTATTCAATCGTAATTTTCCAAGGGTTAGGTTAACCTTGCGATTTTAGGCTCGTGAGACAAAGATCAGAAGGTGGTTTTGACCGTCGATGGTCAAGCAGAAACAAGGCCAGTTTTTATAGTTAGTGTAATCGTTGTTTTTCTAATGCCTCACTCTGAATACTCGATATTCATTCAACATAAAGATAATGTTCTAAAATGGAAAAAACGCTCTCCAGGTTGTAAATCGAGGTTCGGCAAGTTGTTTGAAGTTCCGGCCTCTTGGGCTGTCAAAATTGTAGTGATCTATAACTGCAAAAGGGCACTGTCGACGTAAACTTTGAAGATCTTTCTCAACACTTTTAAACGATATATATTTTGACGCGGCAGCGTGTTATTAGACGCACAAAAACATGATAATTATTATTTGAAAAACTGCATGAAGATTTCCGAATTTCCCAGAGGCCGAATTCGATCCGAAGATGACGACGTTTTTGTTGGTAAGTTCCTGACCTTTAGCCTCCATTCTCAGCGCTAAATCGGGCATTAACTCCCCCTGGAGGTCAGGGTCAAATCGGGCGGGGCTAAGCTCCGAGCCTCACGGACCAGGTGGCGAGTAGAGCCTTCCTGGTTTTCCGGGGGTTAACAAACCATAATTGCCTTTTTCATAGCCACTTGCGCCGTAAAATTTCTCATAAATCGGACAAAAGCTGCCCGCTTGCTGATCCAACGCCATATATTTTCATCTTTTTTCCCACTTGAGAACATAAATAACCATAAAAACAGCTACAATATAGAGATAAAAATCTAAGAAGACCGGAAAACATGACTAGAGTACTCAGACCGAAAACTATTTCTTTCAAATTAACAGGTGACAAATACATCCCAGGGAAAGGGAGAGAGAGAGAGAGAGACATTCAATTAAACAATCAAAGATAGAAAATATAGTGGGAGGGAAATGTAATAAGATCAAAGCGCTTATCAGGCCTGTTTTTCTTTCATCCTCTCAGAAGACATAGAAAACTTATTTTTAACAGAGAAACAGAGAGATAAAAGCTTCTCCAATGCCAGAGAGACAGAGAAAATTGCCATTTTGGTTCTCCAAATTATAGTTTAAAATAAATCCAGTAACTTATCTATTTGGAACGTCACGCCAGAGTTAATCTGCTGAATGGAATCTTTTCACTTCCATTCAAGCCTGCCGTTTTAATAAAAGAATTACGTGCGTATCACTAAATACGGACGAAATCTTTACGAAATTTTGATACCCAGCCAAAATCAAGGCTTGGCAACCTTATTTATCGGAAACTCATGATTGGGTTGAAATTTTATTACTTTATTTTGGAGAACCAAATCAGTCAAAGTATAAAATCTTCAATGTCATAAATAATGAAATGAATGGTGATAGAGTGGTTCCTAGAAGGAAACGTAATTTTGAGGCCAACTTGAAAATGTTTGAAAATTTAAATCGCCAAAAAGGTAATCAAATTATGAAATTAAGTAAGAAAAAAAATTCTATCGCTTCTGATAGTCGCAAAAATGGTCATAAATTTGAAAAATTAATTTTTATTATTGAGAACTTCTTCTTATTATAAAACAGTTTACTGAGTAAGGTTGTATTTCATGAACAAGTAAAGATAGTCTATTTTTACGATTGTTGATGTATTCGCGATCTGCCCCGATGCAATTATCTAATCGGCCTCAATGCTAATTGAAGTGGGTGACTTTATGTTTTATGGGAATGCATTAGGTGTCTTCTTTTCCTTCCGCGCTTCGCACAAACATCAAAGAAATATCGTTACGTTGAGTTGTCGTTAAACTTTTCGCGTTTAATGAATCCTCCGTTACAGACCTTCTCAGACTCAAAACGGCCTAAAATCAAGGGCAATCTGCTCAAACGCAGCCTTTTCTTTATATTTTTCGTAAAACAATCAGACACCTGATACGACGGACAATTTCAGTCAAACCTCGAGAAAAGAAATTTGAGCGTTACGTCTTCATTTAAAAAAGAAATCGAGGACGTTTTTTAAGAAAAGAGAACTGAGAAAAAATATGATAAAAAGCTTGGCAAGAAGAAGGTTGAGCGTTCCGGTTGTTTCTATCGCGGAAGAACCGGGGATCGGAAAGAGAGATTCTTATTTGAGACGGGGGTCTATTCCGAATCCAGAGCCAATTCCAGAACGTAAGTTTCAAACTCGATAAATATCATAAATACCCCTATGATATCATAGTCCCTGAGTTAGGCTTAGAGTTAGCCATAGCCCGACCGATGGTCCCCTCAAAAAAGACTCCCCAGAAAAGAATTGACTTTAGCGTTAACGGTTTGTGAACTGTTACTGGAGCAGTAACTGTGTGGTCGCGTGAAAATTAACCTGAGAGAAAGAATAACGTATAAATTTAAGGGTCATATAAATGTCTCTATTTCTATATTTGCCATTCTGAGTTCTTCTTTTTGTTTTCTGACATATTTTCGCACATAAAAGGCGATTAAAAGGCTTAGTGACTTCCGCCATAAATTCGTTGTTGATTCCTTCAACTTTGGAAACGTTCAAAAGTTCTGGAGGAAGATTTGATGTTCTGATTTTTTACGAATGGTGACGTAAGGGTGGTCCTGCGGCGTGTTCGTTTACTGAGTTAAATATTAAAAATGATGGACGCAAAAGCATTTACCCGCTGCAGCGCAATCCGCACTGAATTGCGGATGTTTGATCGATCACCGACCATCCCAAAATTCTGATTTTTCTTTTCATAATTCAAGAGAGAGAAACATAAGAAGAAAATATTGCTAGAAACTGTTCGTTGATGAAAATATGACGGCTTTGGGGGTGAAACGAGCTTCGTTTAGACTCAATAAGCCGGATAGTAAGTTATTTCTTTTGTTGAAACTCTTTCTTTTCTTGAGCTGGAATTCGTGAGTCTTTCAAGGAATTTTCATTGTGCTCTGCTTTTTTGACGTAAACGCGGTAGATATTTATTATTTATAAAAATATGGTCGCGAATTCCGTATTTTATTGACACCCTTAAGAAAATCGCTAAATAAAGCCGCTCCCTGATTGAGGAATTCGTTCTCCACTTGCACAATACTTAAAAACTTGCCAAATTGGAATCGTGAATAGTTGAATGTCAAATAGCACAAGTTAGTTTGCTCAAATAGAATTTATTCTCATCCATGGATGATTCGCGGATTCGTGACTTCAAACAAGGTCAACGAACACTTTCCTCGCCTCGTGCGTAAATTCGTCTGTCAAAAAACTTGTCACACTATTTTTTACATTGTCAATATTGTTTTTCATATTTCAAAATATCCATCTGACTTCGTTCAGTCTGAAAATCTGATTTTCCTCCTTGATTTCGAAAAAAATCTTAGATGACAGATTTTGAGGCTGATTCAAAATTTTGCTTCTGGGAAAATGTTACAAGTTTTATCGCTGCATGGTCTCAAGAAACGCATTAACTCGACAAACAGATAGCGCTTTTTCGGATTCGCCCAGCTTGCTCAGCAGTTTCTACACAGCTTAATGGGCTGCTCTATGAAAAAGGCCAAATGAGTTTCGATTTTTGACTCTTCTGTCCCTTAAAATACTGAAGATACCCTTAATTTTCTATTTGAACTTGAAGCTCTGGAATTTATCTTTCAAATGAAGCGAATTTCCTTTGAATTTGAACATTTTTAAGGGTGTGAGGAGCCTATGATTTTGAAAACGTCGAAATGTGGACTAGGGACTCTCGTGGGTTAAAATTTTTAAGTAGCCAGACGTTGTTTTTGAGCATTTCCGCAGATAGCGTATTTATCAAACACAACTGTATTGGCGACGGTGCTACCGGGAGACAGTAATTGCGTCTGTATCAGCGAATTAGTGACGCCCGTAAAATAAAGTCCCCCCAGAATCGAAAGAGGCGAGTTTCCCACATTCGGGAAAAAATCGCGATTCTTTCAAAGAACCACGCGGATCTTATCGATCTCCGTTCTGTTAAATTAAATACAGTCAAATACAGTTGTATTTGGCGGGAAAAGAATCTAACTGACGTTGCATAAAAATTCTCTTACAATCTGAAGGAGTTAAAATGTTCCTAGATAACCCGATTATCGCCAAATATTCTCATTGCCCAAAAGAGCAAATTTCAAAAGTACAAGTTAAAGTGGTTGGTGGAGAGCTTGCGCGTCACAGATTCCGCAAATTCTTACCGTAAAGACTTATTGACATTTTTGGGGGCGACATTAGGACCTACAGATTCTGTCGTACAGAAGTATCTGTTCTTAAGGAAAAGAACGGAAACGAACCAAACTGAATATTCGAAAAATTCAAAAGCTTCAAGTTCAAAATTCTCACGAACGTCAAATCTGTCCTCAAATGACTCAGGAGGCGTTCTATCAGAAATATCTTCCGTGTTGCATAAATCCCCCCGTCTCAGGAGGATCACGCCAGGGCGGTGCTTTACCACTTGCACAACACATCCCTTTCTAACTGCTAAAATTTCCTGTTTTGGAGAAGTGGGATTTCTTCAGAGAAAGAAAAGTAATCACTGACTGTTATTTTAAATTCGTAACAGGAAGTTTGTTTTGCAAACAGAAGGAAAAAGGTTAGATGAGGTTCTTAGGCACTTACTTTAGTGACTGAAGTTCAGTCAAACTGTAAAGTCGCAGTTACGAAAGAAAAATTGACTAACAAAGCCGCTCGCGGCTTTCGCATATCAAAAAAAGGAGAAAAAGCCGCGCGCGGCTCTTATCATATTTTTCGACTACAGGTAAAGCCACTAGTGGCTTCCAAGAAGAAATAACTTAAAGGAAAGCCAACATAATTTTGCGAAAAGCGAAGTGAATAATTTGCTCTTGGTAAAAATTCAGGAGGTGGCAAATTCACTGGGTGGTCGAGTAGTAACAGTGCTGAGTGTGAGAGTGGCCCTGCCTTGGGTGGGGGCTCAGCTGCTCGCTGCGTTCTGAGCGATTACTACGGCGCGGTGGTGGTGGAGCAGGGCGCTGGGCGGCGATTGGCGGAGGAGCGCGCGCAGCGCCGCCGATTGGCTGGCCGCAGCGGCCCACGCGATTGGCCGAGCGCTGGCGACCACCGCGCCGCCGCCAGATTCAGTCGGCCTTACTTTCTCTTTCTCCTCTGAACATTTTCAACCAAAACAAAAAATAGCTCTTTTTTGAAAAAGAAGGGCGACCCGCGTTTTTTTGGAGAAAAAGTACTTAGAGAGAACACGAAGAAGAAATATTTACCGATTTGAAGCGAAACAATTTAGAGAAAGAAAAATGCGAATTTAGAAAAAAAAAAGAAGGAAAAAATATTTTCGGTAGGAAATTCAGTTTTTTTATTCAGCGTCAAAAGAGGTTGTCCCGAGAATTTTTCTTCGATAGAAAAAGAGATTTCTTGATTCAAAAGCCAGTCGGGATAGAAAAAGGCCTAATCTCTTTCTCAGCTGGTTGTCGAACAATTTTACTTGTTGAAATCGGATCGATTTTTGCGTTATTTCGCGACGCGGACTTCTTTTATCATTATTAAACGGATTTCGCGTTTTATCGTGTTTTCTCCGTCGCTTATCCGGTATTTACAGTAATTCCTATGCTTCTTATTTTTAAACTGTAAGAGAGGAATTTTCTTTTGAAGCAAAAGCCGCGAAATACTGCAGTTTTTAGGGGAAAATATTGAAAGCCGCAAGCGGCTTTTGCAAATTCACAGCTTACTCTAGTGGACTCTACTGACAATCAACAGATTTATCGATGCTTTCTATGGGGAATGGCTTTATTGATGTAAAAATATTACTGTAATAACGTCTCGTGGAATTTATTCATTCGAGGATTACAGTAGCGTGAGTTGACAAAATTTTAGCCGGTTCACATTTGTCCAGTAGTTTTTACGCCTTCCTTTCTGCTGAGCACATACTTTTTTGAGTCTGCAGCTTGGGAAAGCAGGCGCCTGTATTAAATTTGTCGCAGTTTCCGGACGCTGAAAGTATTAAAAAACTGCTCAATAAAGCGCGAGAAAGAAATTGAGAAAGCTCCTGTTGATCCCAGTTGACGTGGAGCGTGACGTGAAAAAGCGCGAAATCAGTGATCTTGACTCGCGAAAAGTAGACCCGCAAAGTCTGGGAAGAGAATCGAGAAATCGAGCGCTAGAATTTTCGTCAGAGATTTACGCGAAAGAGAATCTGGGGAGAATTGTGAGTACTTTTGAGAATCAAGTTTATTTCATACAGAAGACATTCATTACAAGAACACCTTGAAAACGAAGCTTTTCCATGTAGGATATTTAAAAACCATCGATTCCTACCGAGACGCCAGTCTGAGTCGGATTTCAATAACATTACGATTATTTCCTCCCGTCTTCTTGTTCTTCTTTTTCGAGTCTCTAGAACGGAGAATCCAAACCTCGTTTCATTACAAACTTGACAAATCCGCCTTTCATTAGCATCGTAATATTCGGATCGTGTATCATGGCCGCTCTCTCAGGTGACGGGTTTATATCAAAAATACAACTGCGTTGACATGATTTCGATGGCCTGTTGAATATCCGCCAGAAAAACGCTCAAGCTTTTAGGTTTTTCGTTTATTTTATTTATTAGTGTCTTGGCCATTAGGGAAGAGCGTTTTTGGACTGAACAAAGAAAAATTTAAAGAGATTTTATTTTAAAAAGCTATTTTTAAAGCATTTTTTTCGAGATGATAAAAATAATTCTGCGTCAAACCGTAAGCCGCAAAGCTACCCAGCTTATACTATTTTATATTCTTGAATAGGCAGATCGCTCAATAACTATTTTCTTTTTTCTTCCTTTCAAAGAGTCAAAAACTCTGATCCGATTTTGTCCACCACGGGGGTAGCCAAATGCCTTTTTCGTTTTCCTCGGTCAAACTCACTACTCGCCAACGCGACAGAAAAAGAGATCATTCAGCCCTAATTGTCGCCAAATTGAAGTTTCCCCCTTCCTTTTTTTCTTCACGCCGAGGCTTTTTTTCTACATTCCGAGACTTTATTTTTATGACAGCTCATTATTCAGACATTGTTTTCGAATAATTTTCAGCGACATTTCTAATGTCGAAAAGAGGAATTATAATTGGAGAAAAAATTAACCGTTCTTGCAAAAGAAACCTAAGCTCGGGAACCTGAGTAGAAAACCTGAGTCAGGGCCGGAAACCCGCTTCGCCAGAATTTAAAAATAGATTGGAATGTAAAATTTGCGAATCCGCTTCGCGGCTTCGGGGACTTTTAAAGATTCTATATTTTGAATATGATATTCAAAACTGTCTGTAGTTTTCATTTTATTTAGCTTGTTTATCATGTTATTTAGCGCTGAAAAAGACGTTCAGCGTAACTTGCCTTTCTGTTTCTGCATTTTTTCTTTGCACTTTGCGTCAACTGGGCAAATAACTTTGTACAGCAGAAAGCAAAATACGGCGCCACGACAAATTGAAGGGGTGAAGCGCGAGAGATAACTCTAATCCTCTGACGTGATTCCGGACAAAGGCTGCTCGGATTTCGCCAAAGCTCACGCCCCCGGGCTCTTTTCAATAATTCCTTTTAACTTTCTCGTGGAAGAGAAAATACAGAATAGGAGATTTGACTTTCAAAATAATTCGTGGCCAATAAAGCTAAAGAAAAGGTTGATTGATCTGTTATATCTTTCTTTCCACTTTTCGCGCTATTTGGCGCCTAAAAGCGGGCTCTTATCCGTACTTATAGAGATGTTCAAGTGTTTACATTGAATACTCATCCAAGAGGAGACCTGATATATTATCGTCTGAGCGACCTGGCGTATTCGGGCCAAACAGAAAAATACTCTTAATTTCGCGTTGCCCGTTTTTCTTTCTAAAATCGTTGACCTTTGTAAACATCCATCTTGGCCTCATCCTTAATTTGCCATTTCAGCCCCTGGTTTATTTTTACTAAAATTGAAATTTCAAATTTGTGATTCGAATGAGTAACTCTCTCCAAACACTTTCCCCGCGCGAATTTACATTGATCTTGACGGGGTAATCTTTGTCGAGCACTTTTGTCAATAAAGAGCGATTTTGTTGTTCCAGGTTGAATTTTGGGATTAATTTTGTGAAGTGTGCGCCAAACACGCACACCGCGTTATATATTATAATGTTTGATTTCAGATGACATGACGCACTCGGCATGCCTCCCGTCCTTCGGCACGTCCAATTGTCGCCAGTTTGCCGAGAACATCTTCGACAAGTCGAAATGCAAGAACTGCATGAAGCCACGCGAAGATCACGTCGGCCTGGGTAAGAATTACTGTCATTCGATGAAAAAATAGTTTTGTATCTATCAGGCACAACGAAATTTTCTATGACAAGTTGTCATGACAGCTTTTATAAAAAAATGATATCATGGAAGAGAAATTTCTTTTATTTTGTTACTGAGGGGGCATGCTATTAAACCATCGAACCATTTAAGCTACTATCATTAGAGACGTCAACGAGCTTCAAATTTTTGAACGTTCAATCTTGTGGGAAATCTACCCGCCCTTATCTCTACATACAGGGCTGAGCTATTGTGAGAAACAATCATTAGGATAGGACCTAATTTATATGCAAAGCTTCTGCGCCCCTCCTTATGATGCTAATTTGAGCACTACCATCCCTAATTTTAAATTCCTCGCGTCCGTTAAATTTAGGCCTTGGTTTCGGCCTTAATTTGGGGGTAGTTGAAGGAAAAGTATCAGTATAAATAACATCAAGACTGCTTCCGGTGGTTATATGATAGTTTCCCACAACATGTGCATTCAATATTTTCCCTTCGACGTCAATTTGGCTACGGACCAGAGCCTCAGCTTTTGGACTTTCATGACTGTCCAGAAGCTCGCGCCAATATTTGCGAAATAATAGCCACCCCATTTGTGATGCAAATTATATTTTCTAAAGTGTCCCGCTTTCCCAGGTGTCTCAATGTGTTACTGACGTATAAAGACATCAAATGATATCGTATCGATGTCGATTAGCCATCATTGTTTCTTTTAGCGTCTGCTGTCGTAAGGGCTAAGCCGGTACATTATGGATGGTTAGGACTTGCTCCACCAGGGTGGAGTGTCGGCGCTGGTCGCCGATGGCAACGCAGGTTTTTCATCCTCTTCGATTTGGGCACACTTTCCTGGGCACTTGACGACAACGCGGGCACCGAACCAGCTGGATCCATTGACTTGAACAAGCCGTTTTCAGTTGAGAAAGCGGAGAATCTCACGCAGCTTCCAAATACCATCTGTATGTTCAATTCTTGATCTACATATTTATCATTCGATAGGTATAACGTCCAAAGATGATGGCAGCCAGATCTTGGTCCGATCGGATAACAGTGAAGAGTTCATTTTCTGGTTCAAGAGCATGCAAAAAATGATTGCAGATTGCGAGGAAAAGGCAAAGGAAGACAAGCGGAAGAAGAAGATGCTGGTAAGTGCGCTAATTAGTTGCTAAGAAAGATGAGTAAACAGTTTATTAACATCTTCTATCCATAGCAAAACGCCGAGGTAAGGCAGTTTTCGAGCTGAAATAAAACTGTGATTATTTCCGCAAATTGACGGGTCGCGCGCAGCTTCAAAATCTTCCCAGAGATTTTCAAGATGCGCTGCCTCTTTAGAAATTTGGATTTGTCAGAGATTTGTAATTTGAAAATTCCATTCTTGATTGCAACTGATTTTCATTATTATCGAAGGATATTTTTGTAAGAAAAGAGCTTATCGGTTGTTTGGTACAATCGCCGATAAGGGCTTTTGATCTTGTTTCGTCTTTATAAGTACATTTTCGGGACTATGTCTGACTAGCGTGTATCCTTAGGCAAACAGACGACGACATCACACAGTTTCGGTGACTGCGACGAACAGTGCACTCGCTGAGGCCCGGACGAGTTTCAACCGCGAGCGGCGCCATCAAACCATGACAAACAGCTCCGTGAGTAGTGTTTGGACACAGGTAAATTTCATCTGGTGCACTTTCTTTGGTGATCCGGGTGATATTTACTGCTTTAACTTTTTCTCTCGACTGCCTTACTTTTTGATAAACTTGACCGCCTCGCGCTCGAGTTTGAAGGTCAATCAAATGCTTATTTGGACAATTTATCAAAAGAAGGGCAGTTCTATTTTATTTTACGAACACTTGAAAGAATTTCAAATCTGTACTCTTTGTTGATTTCAATCGTAAAATAAAATAAATTCATTCTGGTGAGTTGAAGAATATTGAAATTGGATGAACTTTGGCTCGCTTTTAACTGTTTTGAACGTTAACAATTTCATTTTTTCTTCCGCCCTAGAATTTTCCTTCGATAAATCGTTATTTCATTTTCCTAGGGCGGCCTCACAAAACGCGAAAGACCAACTTCCCTCGCCACTACCATTCCTGTTCAATCATCCGCTCCTCCTACTCCTACAGGTAAGCCAACATGTGACCTACATGTTTCATGTAGTTACAGTTGTAGTTTACAGTCAATCCAGTAAATCAACGAAAGTTTTTCTGACAAATACACCTTCCTCCCGGCATTTTAAAGATAATAACCGGAAACTATTGCGGCTAATTTGGCCAGCTGTAGAATGTGATCCTTGTTGAAATTTCATTTCAGCGACGCTCAATCTAATTTGACTCCCTCGGATTTAAACTTTACTGTTTGGCTCGATTAGATACGCTCAGAGCAAACTCGTTCAAGGTCAAATGGTTGCACCTTGCAATTCTTGCACGATTTCGCATTTAAACAGTTATCACTTGTGATAGCCTAATTAGGCCACCTAGTAAATAATTATCACCATTTCTCGAGGAATTTGATGTTTGTCAGAAAGTGAAGTTGATTTCTTTATCACTCGTACTCTGTTTGTATTTGAGCGAGTACGGTGGCAACGGTGATTAACCCAAAAACGCACAATCGCAATGTCTGTAATCTCAATGTCACTACGCGTCGAGTTATCCTGACAGTATCTGTGGGATAACTCGACGCTGTCGAATCGATACCTTCTTCAAGCTAACAATATGCCAATTGAAATTTTGATACCTTCAACGATTCGCATTCATTTCTCGTGAACTTACGCAGCTACAGTTGACCTTCAAGCAAACTTTCGATATCGTGAAAAATGCGGAAGTCGAAATGATTCCCATTTCGCATTTCAGCACATTTTCTTTTCCTTGGCCTTTGTGGCTTCGAGATGGTTTCGATTCAATCAACAGTTTTGTGATTTTTACCCACGCCCTGACACTGATTGTCTAGGGAGCGGACTAACACCAGCTTTATGTCGTCTTGTCTCTCCACAAGCTCTACCGATTCTAGAAAATGACAAGCCAACGAGCCCGGATCACAAATCGACCAGTCCCACTGGTCTCACGCCTTCTGCGTCTTCAAGAGCTGAAGTCGACCGACTCGGGCGCAAAGATCGACGAATTCAAAGCTCGCGCATCGCAGAATCTTACAATCGTCCTTATACCTCTAGCACCTCCACATCTTCGTATTCTGGGCGTAGCGCGTCTGGTGAGTGAACTTCCTGTTCTTCGAATTCAGTAGCTCTTGAACGCGTTATTGATTCACCTTTTAGTTGATCGACGTGTGAACTACGGCGCAGAAGCTCGTGCCAGGACGGCATCTTCAGACGCCGCCAGCCCCTTGAAGGCATCCTGGCTGTCCCTCGTCAACGCAAGTGGCTTCGCCGAGGCGGCGTCGCAAGTCGATACCTCCTCCTCGAATCGTATGTGGTTTACCTTGTTGCCCAGTCGCCTCATTGCCTACGCCAGCCCATCGAGTTCGTCTGTTCTCTTTGAACTCGAGCTGCGCAAGGCTACAGTGAAATCTTACGATGGAGAGAAGAACAAATACGCCTGTTTCATCGTTTCTTCGGCCGAGAAAGCGCTCACGATCGGCGCACTGACCGAAAAGATCCGACGAAATTGGATTGAAACACTCGAAGACGCAATCAACGCAAAGGGATCGAGATCGAGCTCGATTTCTAGCTCCAGTGATCAACCCGGAGCAGATATTACCAATCTGCCTCCAAAATCCGCCACCACCGAGTTCTTCTCGCGGCAGTTCCTCATCCATGACATCTTCCTCTTCAGTGGCGACCAGCGTGCTGAGCTCGTCCGCCTTTTCCGACCAAAACCGAGTGCCTCCAGTCTTTTCCGAAATTACACCGACCGCAGTAGTACGACCCCAAGAAGTCGTCAAGCCAACGAGTACGACGGAACCCGAAGTTACCGATCCGCTAGCGCTAAAAGTGACCTCCCGAGATTCTCCACCGCTCAGAAGAAGACGCAATCGAGATCGACGAGATCGTGGAGATCGGTCAAAGACTCTCGATCCTTCTGAGATCTCTCGGATCATCCAACGCAGGAATGTTTGCTCAATTGCATTTCATAATCTTTTTTACCAAGATGGCTTGGTAATTAAAATCACTAGTTATTACTTGTTGATAAGATAAGGAAGCACGCGTTGGGACTTTTCTAGTGACATAAAAAAGAGAATGACGTTTCTTCTCTTCCGAAAGTAATAAATTTGAGAGAGTCTCGTTTACAGGACCAGCTAAAAATGATTGATGCAGTAATAAACAAGTTTTCTGTCCATATTCATCAAATATAAAATTTCTTGATCTTTTGAATCAGCGATATAACTTTCTTTAGCTGCGTAAAATCGATCATAATCGACGCTTTGTGGCTCATAAGAAAAGTTTAAGTTACAGTAATTTAATCGATAACAAGGTCAATTTTACCGTGGACCTTCATAAATTCGCTAATAAAGAGACGCTGAGTTACAGCGTGTGAAATCAGAACACGCAACTTTTGCATGTGTTGATTTGTAGCCTTTTTCGAAATAGAAAATCCTGTTCGATCATGTCTGTCCGGGCTGGTACGCTCTGGTAAAAGACGTTTCTAGTGTTCCTAATTTCATTAACAACTCAACGCTTGTTTGACGTAGCGAAGGTGCCAAAAAGTAATTTTCTTTAGTCAATTTTGCCATTTGATGCTATAGTGTTGAGATATTTTCGAGAAGTTGACTAAATCATCCTCAATCATACTCTTGTGGAAACCACCTGCTAACCACATGGCAAGAGGAAAAGCCCCAAGAACCCCTCTTGCCTCCCCTTGCGACGCATTCTTCCACCACAACTCGTAAATTTTAGTCCTTTAAACACCTCGTCAGAGGCGCGCTCCTCGGGTATATAACATTCATTGAGGCTCGTTAGGGTTTCAAATTGATAAAAATGGACTTGAAAAATTCGCGTTTGAAATCGTGCTGGAGACGGCAAGTTCTCCGGCGGCGTTTTGCCGAGGATGTTGACTTAGAGAAGCCCGTTTCCTCACGATTACTTGATCTGCGAGCTGCCAGAAAGGCTCGGTAAGAAAGCCCCTTCAAAACTTATTCGTAAACTTCCCTTTTTAAAGAGAAAACAACTCTTCCAACGTTTCTACGCCCGACAGCGGGTTTGGAGATGAGGACTACCAAAGACCTACCATAGAACAATCATTGAGCAAACCTGAAAGTGATTTTGAAAAGACTACAACGGAAAACAAGAGCTCTTCTCCAGTAACTGCGCCGGCTGTCGACATCTGGAAAATGATTCAGGAACGAAAGCCGGAGCATAAAACAGCGAAAATTGAGGTAAATGATTCCTCCTAGAGTTTCTTATCTAATCCAATAATTCAGAACGGAAAGGACAACTCGGAACAACTCAAAGGCTTGGAACAGGAAAATCACCGATTGAGGTACTTTCATTTAGATTTTTCTCAAACTAATTACTCTTCTAGGGACGAACTAGCTAACACATGTCCGAAAAGCGAACTCAACGAGCTGAGGCGAAAACTGGAAGCAGCTGAAAGCGAGATTACTGATCTAAAAGCGCACGCCTCTCGCCGCCCCGCGCTGAAAGGTTTGTTTTATACTTTCTAAGCTTATTCTTTGCATGCTGCATGATATCTCGATCGAGAATAGCCATATTTTTCACATAGTCCTTGTTGTATTCCCAAGCGCTCATTATGATGATGCTATTGCGAATCATCTGAGCTCTTTCTAGCGACAATAGAAAAAGTTAGAACAATGCATGAATAATCTAAACCGCCGCATGTTTTCCTCTTTCATTCGCAAGACTCCTTTACAATGCTCCACGGCCATCCCTTTCCCCTGAAAAGTAACCACCGCACACATTCATCACCGGGCGTTCGTTCTGCGCAACCCAATCGCTTCATTAGTCATATTTTTCTCTCATCATTCATATTTTCTCTCACTCACACGCTCCAGTAGTAGATAGAAGCTTCTTTTCCATCCTCTTTCGCGCTGCAATTCATAAATCATCAGCTAACGAGTAATAACGGCGTAAATTATGTTTTTATTCCGCAGGAGCTCGGAGATCAGAGATCAGGAAATGTCGCTACAGTCCCAGTTGCGCGAGATTGAGAGAGAAATCGGCCAAAACCACACTCGCCTCGGGGCATTGCTTCAGCGACGACACTCGAACTCACATTCCTGCAGGTGCACCCTTTATTAAAAGACATAGAACAGACCCCAGTTGGTTCAAACTTGTAGAAATTCTTTATGAAAACAAATCAGTGTTCATGCTACTTGTCAGAGAGTTGCATCAACAACTAACATAAATAACTGTAAATGACTGTATCTTTGGTAAACTTGACTCTCAGAGACGAATCGTCTGGAGACGGGGAAATCTTCTCGACGCCGCCGAGCAGTCCCCAACCAGTAACTAACTTGCCAGTTCAATCACAAGCGAGGTACAGTAGCTCATCACAATAACAACTTCACGTATTTCAATGTCTAACAACAGGACCCAATAATAAGCTACCAAAACAGTATTTAAAGCGTTGAAACGAGCATAATTTTATGCCGGAAAGTGGCATTTAGTCGGAAGGCAGCGTAAAATTTCGCGACCTTTGGCGGGGCCTCCTTCCTCGACGGGTATTTATGTATGCACGGGAGATTGGCACACGGTGTGGCTCGTTGGTCTAGGGGTATGATTCGCGCTTCGGGTGCGCGAGGTCCCGGGTTCAATTCCCGGACGAGCCCTGTCTTTTGCCTCTTTTATACTGTACTCTTACAGTACTGCAAGTACTAAGATCAAAGTCCCGAAAGTAGTTTCAGAGGATCATTTCCCATATTGAAACTTAGGTCCGTAAATTTTCAACTTTCTCATCCTCTTTTTGGCTATTCTCGACTATTTATCTTTTCAAAACTGTGTCATTGCAAGTTTAACACTCTTGTTTCAGTATTGACAGGAGCCGCTTGAAAGGGCTTGAATCTGACGTTGCGCGTCTTCAACTGGCCCTTGACGATTCCGTCGCTGCTTCAAAAGAATCCGCCAAACAGTTCAAAGCCGACTTATCTGCTGGTAATTTGAAAACAAACTCCTCCTCTTCTTCAGCCCTTCCTCTGAAGCCGCGCTGGCGTCGATTGAGAAAACCTATTCCAATCCGCTACTCGTGCCACTAAGAGAATATTTATAAATAACACACTTCAAACACTCTTTCTATCACACTCAACTAACACTAAATAAACCCGTCTTTTGGGTACTAGTAAATCTTTCTTCTATTCTTTCTTCTTTCATTTTCAACTTTTCGATTCAGATATAAATAGGTGATAAGTTTCGAAAAATGTTTTCAGGCCAAAAAATCACTTTTTAACTGTTAGTGCCATCTTCACCGCCGTTTCAAACCGAGTCGAACGGTATATGTATCTCTTGAAAATTCTAGAGTTTCGGGTACTTCCGGTCAAATTTACGAAATTCTAGTTTTCCACTGCCGTTTTTGATACAGAAATGGTACTATGGCATATAGCATGTCAAAATGACCGCTAAGAGGTGAGGAGTGCAGGGTCTCAAAAAATAAGTACTTTTGCAAAGAAAAGTACCTAAAAATAATTATTTTGAGATTTTTAGCACTAAAAATATCAATTATTAATTTTTCGGGCAGAAAGCAGATGGATAATCAAATTTTATCTCTTATAAATAAATCTACAAAGAAAACTACATTTAAATCGAAAATTTCTTGAAATTTGATATTTTTAGTGCTAAAAATCACAAAATAATTATTTTTAGGTACTCTTCTTTGCAAAAGTACTTGTTTTTTGAGACCCCTGCACTCCTCACGTCTTAGCGGTCATTTTGACATGCTATATGCCATAGTACCATTTCTGTATCAAAAACGGCAGTGGAAAACTAGAATTTCGCAACTTGACCGGAAGTACCCGAAACTCTAGAATTTTCAAGAGATACATATACCGTTCGACTCGGTTTGAGACGGCGGTGAAGATGGCACTAACAGTTAAAAAGTGATTTTTGGCATGAAAACATTTTCGAAACATATCAGGTTGATCAATGATTATTCAAAGAAATATGCAAATAACTAGCATTTTTGTTTATTCCAAAAACAATCAATCGCGAAATAATTTGTTATTTTTCCAGATTCACGAAAATTGCTTCGCTCTGGTAAAATCACTCAATTGATCATTTTTCTGACATCTGTCAGATCTATCCGCGTGACGGTTTCATTATATTTTTTCTCTTATTTTTCGTTTATTCATTTGCCAAAGAATCAGAAATGATATTTTCGATAGTATTTTCACTTCTTTTTGGCACAGTTACGCTTCGGCATGGAAAACAGGGTTGAACTTTTGTTTTCTTTGATTTTAAATTTTCCTTCAGAAAAATCTCGTCGACGAGAAGCAGAGGCAGAAAATGACGATTTGAAAAGACGGCTTCAAGCGTCCGAGGCGGAGCGAAAAGCACTTGAATCAGAGTTCAAATCAAAATCCGAGAGAAAAGACGATGAGCTTCAGAGGCTCAGGGCAGAACTTGACGGGCTCAAGAAACTTATGTCGGATGATCTTCAAGTCGCGGTCGACTCAATCGCCACCAGAGGACCTTATATAAATATAGACGTAAGTTGGAGCACCGATTTCCAATGGGCTAAAAAGCTGCTTCAGAGTCCACTTACCGATGTTGAAAGCCAAATTCTTCAAGCAATAAAGGTTCAATCGCGGCTGCACACCTAAGAAGACTAGTGAGACCAACAATTCCAAAAACTTAAATTAAAATATTTCCTTTTTCCCACTCAAGAAAAACAACATGAACCCATCGCTCAAAATCCAAAAGAAAAAAACAAAACCGAGCACCACGATGGTGTGCCTTCTCTTCTGTATCTATCTATTTTTGGTCCTCCTAAAGACTCTTCTAACGTACTCAAAATCACCTCAAAAGCGACTCGAAGTCGACTTCTGTTCAAGTTAACATAATGCATTCTGGCTGTTCCTCTCCGCAGTATCCTCTATATAATGTAATTAAAATCCGCTAAAGTATTATAAATACAATTTCAAAAGGATAAATCTCTCGAAACAGAGGCATATCTTTCAATTTTCCTTTGTTTAATTAGGTCTGTTACAGGGCAGGGAATGCAATAATAGCTTTCAAAGACGATCTCATTATGATCCTCCTCTCCATGCTCCTTTCTTTGGGCAGCGACCCGAATAAGATTAATAATCCTGCGCACATTCCTCATGCTTGTCGATTATTAAATTTTGAACAGGGCGTGGTGACTGGCATGCAAGGCGCCCCTTTCACAGAGAAAGTGCCTCCAGAATTCCAGCAGCTTGTCCAATAGTACTGTTACACTGTCTAAGTGAGCTTTACGAGAGGGCTGAAAAGAGCGTAACGCCCCGGGCGAAATAAACTCACGACTGATGGACTTGTAGTAAACGCTATCGACCGGTGAGGACCACAACGGAGGGGCTTGGGATGGCCTTAGGCCACGCCGATTACCGTCAGACCCTTCTGGTTTGTTAGCCGAGCGGGTGGTAACGAAAACGACCAAACAGTCTGCGCTAATAAATACGAACAAAGTAGGAAGGAAAAGGGTAGTCATGAGAGTCTTACATCGCAGGCGAGAGAATTTGAGAGCGTGAAATCAAGGAAGAAATGAAGGACTATGGTAAGTTTAATTCTCAAATAAACGATTGATCATTCAATCCCCCTAATTATCATAGAGGTTCTATGATAGAACAAGCGTAGATTAAAATAAAGGATCAATACGAAAAGAATTTGAGTTGAATAATTTGAACGTGTAGAATATAATGTAGAAACAAGAAAATCTCATGTTCGACTACGGAATACATCAAGGATAGAATGCGCGCATATTTTTCGAAACCGAGAGTTTCTTACTTTTACAAGAAACCATGAAATAATATATGATAACGAAAATTTATTATGAAAGAATTCTCCTTGCCGGTAGATAAAGATAAATGCGCCCCCAATTAACAAACAAAGGAGATAAGCCTCAGAAGCCCCTTAATAAGTAAACATTTCAGAGCAATCGTGACAATGAACTCCTCTATAATTACATTCCGAACCGGAAGTACGGTCTTCCAAAGCGCTCTCAAGCAGATTCCGAAGAAAAACAATGGTCAGCAGTCGATATTTTCGTAAACGAGGACACTCCTCAAGAGTCGTACTCGCAAGGTTATCTGAATGACAATCCGTCCGAGCATTACGAAGACGAGAATTTCGACGAGTTCGATCATGAATACGTCTATTTCAACAAGTAAGGAATCATTTTAGGGCCTTTTCTGACTTCAAAGGAGTCCGCTGGAGCATATAAAACATGTACCGCTAATCTCCACAAGCATAAAGCGTTTTATATACACACCAGCGATGGGCTCCCAAGTAACACAGTAACAGTGAGATCATCCTTCTTTTGCAGATCGAACACACCATCTGGCGGGGACATCTATATTCGGCGGCAGAGTCGCGAGTGCGAGACGATCATGGAAGAGGACGAGCACGAAATGGTCGAGTTCCTCTCGACAAGAACCTCCAACGTCGCCTCCTCCCTCGGCCATAATCGATCGCCGGAGATCAGCCCTGCCAACACAGCCGCCCGCTTCTTCTCAAGAAAACAACAGCACCAAAACAATCAACAAAACCAGAGCCCCTTCAGAGTTGTAGAAATGCATCCTGCGCAGAAGCTACCGGATGATATGAGCATAGGTAAAATAGAACATCTAGTTTGTAAATTATAATTACAGATTATCTGTTTATGCTTCATAAATTCGCGATTATTGGTTTCCGCCATTATTTTTCGATCAATCAACGAAATATTTTCAAATGATTTATTTACTAATGACTCTTCTTGTTCTTTTCTCTGTCGAATGCGCTGATAAGATGCGGGAGGTCCTGCCGAGAGGACGGGGCGGCGCGGCGTAAATGTTGTTATCTTTCAAACTCTTAGACCCCTTTGCATCATTTTCTTTGATCAACCTTGTTTTCGCCGCGCTTGTCCGTTGGCAGCGGGCTCCGTTGCGTATAATATTAAATATTTTGATTGGCAATTAAAGAATATTGGCACAGGTAGAATATTTACAGGGGATAAATCAACGCACGTGAGGAAATGTAATCTGATTCTTACTTCTTGAATTAAGTGGATTCGCAAACTGAGAAAACTCTTCGCGACTATCCCTTCTACAACCAAATCAAATCGCAGGTGATGCACCTGCCCATCGAGCTCACCAACTCGGACTGGTCCGACGAGGCGAAGTTCTGCGACGAGCTGCGCAATCACGGTGCTCAGGAACGGGAGAAAACTGATTTTCAAAAATGAATATTTTTCTGAAAAATATTCTATGTTTTTTTATTTGTTGTGTTGAGGATATGACCGTCATATCTTCTCGTGGATTTTTGTTGGTTGAGTTTTAACCCGTTGAAGGACACCGGCCGGTTAACGTATCACGAAATGCTACTCGCGTTTCGCCGGAGTCAGGGGAGCCGAGGATCGCGCTCCTCGAGTCGGGCTGGCAGTCGCGGAATCCCTACCTCCAATTCCTCCCACTCCGCCACCTCCAACAGCCAATCCACCAAGCAAACACCAAACCACACTGATGACGAGTCATTCCATTTTGATTACCTCCCCAATCAGGCCGCCACAAATCAGAGCCCGCCCGAGCAAAGTCGCCGGAACGACTTTCAAAAACACAAAATCCAGCCCGCGGATATTTCTTACGAGCCTGAACCATCGGAAGATGATTTCGCCTTCCCGCCACCGCCAGAAAAAGATGAGCCTGTCTACATTCGTCCGAGCTTCCCGGAAAAGAGGAATTCTCGGACGAGAAGGGCTAGAAGGGACAAATACACGCCACAAATAGCTAAATTCAAAAATGAGTCGGGCAAAATTCAATACGAGAATAACCAGACACCTCTTGCGACGAAACGGGCTTACGATCAATCTGCGTATGGGTAAGTCTTTTTACTTTTCTTGCGTCGTTTTCCTGATTTCTCGTAAAATAACGTGGGTTTCAGGCAATTTACACGTTCCTCGCGGTACCAAAGCTTCCCCAACTATCCACGGTATCGGCAGCCGGCCCGTCGCTCCGCCAAAAGTCAACCACCTCTCGCGACCTACTGGCTCCTCGCCTTCCTCCTGTTCATGCTTATGTTCATATCCCTCTTTCCACTGATGTTCATGTGACCAGTCGCTTTAATCGGATCACATGACAAGTTTTCGACAACTTCTGTAACACTCGCTTTCTAACACTAATTTATTAACTCGGGTATCTTAATATTTGTAAAAGTGTATCTCCCGCGCTTGTAAAAATTTATGTCTCGCTTCGTTATTATTTTTTTCTAAAAATGTTTGTTCCTGAACGATATTCAATAGTGTTTAAAACAGTTCAAATCTAATCTAAACATATTCAAGCCTGGATAGATAAAACCCTTGTCCGGCTTCTTAGGAATTTCTTATTTATGCAGTGAAATGCACAAACCCTTTTTAACATAATTTCTTAACAGCATCTTATTTTGCCAATTTCAAATTACTCGTGAAAATTGGCCATCTTTCGCCACTGCTGCAGGTTGAAGATTGGCATTTCGCGAATAACAACAAATAAATAAACTTGAAAAATCATCTTATTGAGTTCTCTCTTGCAGGATTAACCGGTAAACAATTATTTTTTGGGGGATTTCGAAAATTGAGAGCATCATTCAATGACATTCGGGCGGAGAAAGAGAGACGTTTTTTGGAAAGCTGGTATTTTAGGGTGGGGCTTTTCTTCGGAAGTCGTTACTGAAAATTAATTCTGAAAGACCCTTTGAAGTAATTTTTCTTTACAAACTTTGCACAGCTTTTTTTGCCAAGAAGATAATAAAAGTCACAGTCCTTGTGTGCGTTCCAGCTCTTGAGTCCGAATTAGAAAACGACCACAAAATATCCCTGTCGAAATTCGAAGAAGAACACGTTATACTCGAGCCTCAGTACTTTTCAGTTGCGAAGGAAGCACTTTGTCAGGGAACGGAAGCGAGAAAACTCATTCAAAATGCTAAGCACAGCTCTGGAACGAGTTTTCACTGGTTTGACTGGTTTGTTTGATAAATCAAAATTATAAACTCGAAATTACAGACATCATTATTTTGCAAAAAGTGACGGAATTTCTCGAATATGAAGTTTTGTTGCGAGAAGATTTCGACTTTAGCTGTCTTGGAGGATCTTTACTCAGATCTTTTCATGAAGGAAATAGCGGTCAGTTATTTCAATATTTGTAAAAAATAAAAAAAAACAACCAATATTTAGAAATTAAATTCTGCCCGTCATCCTTTGCCGCGCGTGGTGAATTAATCCCGGAAAGCTTTGAAGGGCTGGATTTGCATCAGCCTGTTGGAAAGCTACTTACTGGCATTCTGCGAGTCCGGGGCGATTCTACGATTGAGTTTTCAGCTGCTGACTTTGTCCGGGTTACTGTCAATGATGATTTCAAGGATCAGATCTAAAACAAGACATTTTTAAAGACGAAAAAACATTTTTTGATCCGTTTTAGGCCGCATTGTCGGAAATGGTCCCAAAGAAATTCTTACGTCCGTGGAGAGAAAGTGGCGTACAGCCAAGAAAGCTGCAGAAAAAAGATGATACGGAAGAAATGAAGCAAGATACCTTGGACTACATGTTTTTAATAACAACGGCGAGGGAGAACTTTGAACTTCGAGCATTCCAACGAAAAGTTCATTTTGAACTTGGCCTGGATAATTCCAGAATTCTTTTTCTGATCGGAAAAGGGCTTTATCGAGAAGATGAGCAAATAACTCGACGAATCGACGAAGAAAAACTGCTTTTTCAGGATATTGAAGAGTGGAACTTCATTGATTCTTACGAAACTCTCCCGACTAAGACCTTGTTTCGCTACCATAAAGCGAGTCAGAAACAAGCCAAATGGACAATCTTTCAAGACGATGATGTTTTTATCAACAGAGACAGCTTAGAAAGTGCTTTACTGAACAGAAACCCTAATTCAGAGGAAATCTTCTGCCTGGATAAGTTGATCAAAAATGGAAGAGCTCATCGCGTTGGAAAAAATTCGCTGAGTCGAGATCAGTGGCCGGTTGGCTTTCTCTTTCCTCCTTTTTGCAGCGGTCCAGCATATGTTCTCCCTAGAAAAGCGAGACAGAAGATACTAGATGCAGCAGAGTTGAATAAAAATATGATCGATCACTTTCCTCTTGAAGATGTTCTTTTCACTGGATTGTTGAGGGAAGCTGCCCGAATAGAGGGAAAAGAGTTGAAACTTATTGAAGACGTAGCTTTTCATTTTGAGATGGAGAAGCAAATGAAGCTTTCCCAAAAACTTTTTCTCGCGCTTAGAAGGTATGAATATCATGACTAATATGTTTAGAGAACAACAATTTTTAAGAAAAGATAAGTCGACGACATTGAAAGAAGCGAGCGATCTCACTGGCTACATTGGATAATCATCTATAAAATCAGTACTGAATTCGAAGAAAATATATTGTTTCTAGATAAAATTTTGTTCATTGCTTATTTTGTTTCGGTGAAAATAGTTTCTTTCTCAAAAAAATATTCATTTATCTTCATTTGTCGCGATGGAAAGCAAGCGCTTTCGTGAGAGAGCTCAGCATAATGGCTGTAGAAATAGAGACGTGTTCTTCAAAAGGTCTTGGTTAAAAATATTATGGAAAGACGTTAATTGCTTCTATCAGACAACAAGAATATTTATCCAAAGTAGAGTAACAAAAGAAGATGCTGTTAGACTATCCGATGGATACACAACTGGTGGAGGTTTTACAAGCGTTGATGAAGAATATGCGCAAATCAGAAGGTTATTTGAAATAACTTATTTCGAAGCTTCGATTCTAAAAGAAAGACTTGATCGTACCGTTATTTCAGGCCGCGGCGAGCACATTCCCATTCCCCTCGAAAAAGTCGGCGCGTAGCCCCTTCTCCAAGCTCTCGGCAAAAATACGAGCAGCGACCAATGTCACCACTCGCACGACCTACTCGTTCACCTCCAAAACGAAGGCTTTACGAAAGCCAATGGCCGACGGACTTTGCAAGAGTCGTTCTTACTAGGTAAACTGTTAGCCACCTGCAACTCCTTGAAATCAAGGAAGAATAGCATTTTTCTAAATTAATTTTAGGCTTTTTTTACTCATTGACATTGTCGAAAATCTCAATCGTCGTATTCGCATTCTTTCAGAGCATCCAAGTAAAATCACAGGTACATAAAACTCTTTCATCAAACTTTCAGATTAAATTCTAGCGAGGTTGTCAATCATGCGTCGGTTTTGCGGAGACAATGACGATCTCGATCCCATGGAAAGACATCGTTACCAATTTTACGAATGGAGTCGGCTCCATCTATTTTCTGTGCTTGATAACTTTCTTTTTCGCTTTCTTTAACCTTTCATAACTTCAATTCCTCGTAAATAAATGTCCCTGCTTATTTCCTATAGTTTTCCCAGATCTTTGTTAGGCCTTTTTAACGGCAGGTGTTTTTACGACGATTGGTGAGAGATTCCTTTTCTCTAGACTTGACTTTCAGTTTATTTCTTCCTCAAGGCAAATATTGGCGAAGCAATCCAAATAGTGAGTCGCCTTTTCGCATCATTTGAAACTCTTCATAATTATGGGACTCGACGCAGAGATTGATATTTCTCCGGAAAATGCATCAGAGATATTGAAGAATCTAAAAGATGAGATCTTCTGCTCTATTTGCCATTCGATATTAGAAAAACCTGTAAAACTTGACTGCTGTGAGGGTCATTTCTGCGAAAAATGCTTTTTGGAAGTTAAAGAAAAGCAGCTGTCGACGTGTCCTCTCTGCAGAGCAACAAATTTTAGCGGAAAACCATCTAGGAAGGTGTTTTACAAGATCAATCATTATCCGTTAGTCTTTAACAAGTTAATTCAATCAATAAGTCCCAGATGTAAACCCTATAACAAGACTCATGACAACCCTTTTGGACTCGATTCATTTAAAATGTCCGGCCCCTGAGTGTTCAGAAAGAATAGTTCATTCTGAGTTCGATTCCCACAAATCAATCTGTCCATTTCTCAACAAGAAGAAATGTCCTTCATGTTCTATAGAAATGAAAGCAGACGAGCATGAACGACATGTAGGCTGCAATGATCATCTTTACGCACAAGTTCAAAAATTGAAGACAAGAGTCCAAGAGTTGGAGAAGACAACGAAGACACAGACGACTAAGATAGAAAACCAAAGAGAAAGTGTTGCTATTTTCCAAAGAAAATATAACGAGGCCACAGAAAAATCGAAGAAAAAAGACGCTGATATAAAACGACTGAATAAAAAGATTGAATCCATCAGTATCGCAAAGGCAAAAGAAATAAATTTATTGAAGGAGAAATTGGGCATTCGAGAAGATGGTATTCAAAGTCTGACGAAAGAATTAGCCGATAAAGAAAGCAGTCCTCGCGATCAACGACTTATCAGAAATCTTCAAGCTGAAATTCAAGAGCTGAAGAAAACGAACGACAATCAGGAAACTTGTGCAAAAGTTCAATTGAAAGAATATGAAAACTCCAACGCAAAATTAAGAGAAGAAATCAAAAGACTCAAAGAGCAATTGGAAGAATGCTCAAGGGCAGCTAAATATAAAGAAACAAACGCAAAACAGAAACAATCTGCTGTTGAAGATAAATTGAGAAAAGAAATTAAGGACTTGAAGCAATCGTATTCATTATTGAAAGCTAGTCAAAATCAAATCAGCGCGCTCTGCTCATCTAAAACGAAGAAGATTGAAAATTTGGAGAAGTTTGCCAAAAGTATGCAGGAGGTACATGGAGATGAAACTAAAAAGTTGCAGTCGAAATTCGAGGCAAAGCAACAGGAAAAGATCGAGTTAGAAAACAATCATTCAGCAGCAAAAGCTCAGATGAGCGCAGATATCTCAATAAAAACTCATCAACTCAACAAACTCAACAGTGAATTCGACAAGCAAGCATTGGAAATTCAGGAATTAAGGAAAAGGCTTCAAGAACAGAAGAAGGAGAATGAAACTCTTGCTGGTCTTTACGAGAGTGAGAGAAAGGTATGATAAATTAAAAGAAAGTATTCATCAATATTAAGGCCCGCGAAAAGAGGGAAACGTCTGGCTTTCTACTTGACTTCATTTGGGAATAAATTGATAAAACTGTGAATAAATAAAAACGAAATAAAATCTCTCGTAAATTTTTAATCATTATTATAACATTATATATAACATTTTCTAGCTTCGGATGAAGAAAAAATGAATGCGCCTTTATCTTAGGATGACTGTCTATTGAAGATTATTTCAGTATTGAAAATTAGGATAAATAAACAATTCAAAAGCTTATTTCCTTGACTCGTCTTATTTTAAAAATCTTGTTCAATTGTACTCTAGCCCATTTTCCGTCGACTTTTTACATATCCGATATCGACGCATTCTAAAGCGATTTGCCGGAGGCATGTGCATTAAATGTGAGGGCGTGTAGATCGATCGGGCCTTGAACTCTAGCGTAGGTCGGCGCGCGGACCCAATGTCTTTGTCGTAAACGGTCGCACGTAGGTCAACATTGATTACTATCTTAATTCTTTACTCATCAAAGAAGACTCAAAACCAATGACGAGTCACTAGCCCAGGGCTGCTCTTTTTTTTCCTACATCAACAGAGATTACCACACAAATGTCAAGACTCACGATATTGGCGATTATAATCGCACTCATTCACACTTCCGATGCTTCAGGTGATCCCCCTTTTCACGAAAAAAAGATCCCTCATAAAATAGAAACTCACAACAAAAAACTAAGAAAGAGAGTAACAATAAAAGATCCGTCCAACGTGGATTTTTGTAAAAGCAAATTTATTGAGCTTTTTGTTTCTTTGAATTAAAATTCTAAGGGTAATCATATTCTTGGGCAAGTATTCTCATAAGATGAAATTGATAAATATTGAATTTTAGAATCCTGACTGGTAAAACTAACCCTTTCTAGGAATTCTAACAATCATTTCAGCAGGAAGAAACCGATTCCAAATCTACAAGTCAAAATCTTCGCTCAACTTCTACGATGCCCAGAAACGCTGCCGTGTTAAAAACATGGAGCTAGCAAACAAGAATGATTTATACGCGGAAGAAGACCACGTACGCCAGAACTTGAAGAAGGGAATCCACTACTGGTTCGACGATTGCTTCAAATTGTCGACAACGGGGTCGTTTCGAAAGGCCATCTGCGGAGAATCCGACGAGGCGACAAATGGCTACGTCTGTGAAATGCGCGCTATCGAGGTTGAAAAATTCGTCTCCGACAGTGGCTGGCCCATTTTTCTAGACTGGAAGTCAGTGCTACAGGTAAAAACAAAAAAGCATTAGATAAATGATGAGGGTTGAAAGCGAACGTTTCATAAAAACGCGCATTTTATTAAAGCGACTGCTGGTCGCCAACATTTTTCTCTGGTCGACCGGCGAGTGTTTATTTTCATACCAAGAGGTTCAAATACGCTTGGAATTATAAAATAAGGCAAATGATTTTTTCAGCTAACGAGGGGCGAATCGTCTTGGCAAGGATGGTTGTCCGCGGTTACGATTATTATTTATATAACTTGGGGCATCGCTGGTTGCCTTGCAATCATCATTTTGGGATACCTCATTTTCGATCGTATCGATAATTCAGGAACCGGGTTTTATTTGATCATTTCCAATTGCCAATTCGAATTTGAAAGTGCTTGAATATGAAATGAAACCCGAGAAAAAGAAGAGCCCGTGCAGAGTGCGGTCGAAGACGTTCTGCTAAATGATAACTCGTTTTACAACGATTTGGAACAGTTGCGCCTCGATATTGACGCGTATGTCGATCACACGTCGAAACGGATTAACTCAAAAAGGTTTGGAAGGCGCAGCAATAAGATTTCGATATTTAATTAGATCCTGCTTTCGGAAGTTTCAGTACGCACCGATAACAGATACAACGTATGATTTGCGGCTGATAAAAGCGATGACTCTCCAATTATCAAGAATAAACACACTGGTTGGGAACAAACAGGACGATTTCATTCAAGCAGTGATGGATAGAATCGCAGATATGGAACTGACGGAGCTCGCTGGTAGTCAAGAGATTGATGTCTGCGAGCTCGTTACTAAACTGAGTCAGTACTTGAAGGTATGCTTTCTGATAATCACGGGCTTACTGAATATTAAGTGAAACCATTAACTGCTTTTTTAAACGCCTTGTTTATATTTTCATAAGATTGAGCCATCGATTCTGATACAATAACTTGTTCAACAATTGTAATAAGAATAGCTTCAATCTCATAAAACTCCCCATAAAAATAAGCTGTACTTTAGCGACTGAACATGCAAAAGCGCCTGAAAGAAGAGTAACTTATCGAAGAGTCGAAATAATCGTCCTCTCTTCAGCCTGACACGACCGCTGACTGGTGCTACAGTTACTGTACCTTTTACTAGTAATCTCATCTATTTATGGTCCCATTTGCAAAACATTAAACACAACAACGGTTTCCCTGCATAATAAAAACCGTCTCGCCATTCATAAAAATGCTCTGGATTATTTATTCAGGAAGAACTGTAGCAGCTGTGATTTGTACTAAAGTAGAAAAGTATCGAACTTTTTTGCGGAACATGCATTTGCTTGAACATGATTTTACTGATTAGTATTTTGCGTTCATGACTGTTGAGCTTGTTTGGCTTTGTATTCGTCTGTTGTTTGATAGTGGAGAATTCGGCCGACCTGCATCGCTCCAGTTAGCCCGAGTGCGAGATTGACGGAAAATAAAACGTAGTTTTTCGGAATGATCACCATTGAGTAACGGCTCCAAATGAAGCCAGTGGCGGTGAGGGAAGCGGATTGATTCAGTGACAGTTTTTCAGCCGGTCTAAAAGGGTGTTATGAATAGTTCTTAAATTAAGAATTATATTAAAATTAAGAATTATATTAAATATAAAGCTTCAGCCACAGGTCGGTGAACTGTCTGGAAACCTGAGTCAGGGTCTGAAATATCTTTTATGAAAAATTCTGGCGAAGATCTTTCAGACCCTGACTCAGGTATTCTACTCAGCTTGCCGAACCCAGATCCAAGAATCACCTGAAATAATCACCAATTCCGGCAAAAACAAGGGCCCATTTCCACGCAGGCGCCCAGAAAAAGACTGTCTTTGGCCCAGCAGGATGATCTGAAACATCGACATAAAATCAACAACGAATCAGACACGCATGCTGCATACACACTCGTTGTATGTCTAGTTACTCAAATGATGAAAACGAGAAATTGTTGTTTAATGACTTTTCCAGTCTGACTTACCCAGCCATGCTTTTTGAGAGGCAGACAGAAACCTTCTCGTGGCGAAATTTGTGAACCGATTCCACATTCTTTTCTGAAAGAGAAAATCCTAACTTGAGAAAATTTTGATTTCATATTTTTTAAAAAAATAATGCTCTTAGATTTTCAGTAAGATCAATTGTAAGTGCAACATTTAAGATTTTAGAAAGAAGAATTTTTAAATACGATCAATCTATGTCAATAAAAGTACAATTTTGAATGTCAATAACATTTTAAAGTAAGAAGAAGACAGAAATCTTCAGTAAATAAAGTTGATATCTTCTATGATGATTATTCTCTTATTAAACTTGATCCGTTTCTTCCATCATTATCACGTAAAAATGATTTTTAGCAATTCCTAAATTAGCAATTTTGTAGAGTCTAGGGTGGTTGATTGGGCGCGCAGCAGTGAACCTACGCATTCCTCTGAAAATGGTCGAAAAAGAGAAATGAAAGAATGAAAAAGAAAACGAAAAACAACGAAAATGGTCTTTTCCGCTTTGACGGTTTATTTTCGCGGCGCCCGAATCAACAATTTTCATCGGCGAAAATCGTCCAAAAACCGCTCATTTTGTTCGAAGTCGCGCTTTCAAATTCCCTTTTTTCCAAGAGGAGAAAATTAAGATCAACGCAGTATTCAAGTATTGATCCGGTTATCTGCCAAGGCCGAGGGGATGAGGATTCAACCCAGCTATGAAAAAAATAAACAGTAGACAGAGATAGAGAGACAGAGAAATTTTATAGTTCCGTTTTTATCAGACTTTTACGACCGTTTTCATAAACCGCAAAACACAAAGCACTGAACAAATGACTTTTCAAGTGTGGCTTATTTTTGGCATTTTTGACAAATCGAAATCATTACTCAAAGTGAAATTTTCCAGAAAATCTTGTAACTTTCAACTCATGTATTTTGTGATTTCTTTATTGCTCAGAATTTCAATATTGACTTTTCCGAAGACTTTCAATATTTACGGTTATCGTAATTATTCGCTGTTCATATTCGATTCTTGTAGGAATGAAATTCTGTTCAGAAAAAGTAAAACTTCTGTCTGTTTAGATGAACAGTCTGTGACGAGTGATATTGTTGAGCTGTTGTAGTCGAAATTGGAGAAAGAGAAAACAGAACTTCGATTAGATTGATTGGAAAGCGTCAGAGTCAGAGTCAATCAGAGGCACAAAACAACAATGCAGGCGTCTGGGTTGCTCAGAAACGTCAGAAATGTCGTCCACAACTACACAGAAGTGGAGATCAAGGTCCGAGAGGCCACTAGTAATGATCCATGGGGACCAAGGTACAGAGCTTTTATAATGGCAAATTTTCATTTATCCCAGTTCGTCGATCATGGCCGAAATCGCGGATTTAACGTACAATATGACCGCTTTTCCGGAAATAATGGGAATCATCTGGAAGCGGCTGTCGGACACGGGTAAAAACTGGAGACATGTTTACAAATCGTTAGTGCTGCTCGACTATCTCGTCAAAACCGGCGCCGAGCGAGTTCAAAATCAGTGCAAAGAAAATATTTATTCCATTCAAACTCTCAAAGATTTTCAATACGTCGACAAGTAAGGAAAGGTTTTATTCATTTTCTTATAACATTCTTTCAGTCGGGATTACAAAGATCACGGAAAAAACGTCCGTGAACGAGCGACACAACTCGTCAGTTTGCTGAAAGACGAGGAAAGACTGCGAAACGAGCGGGACAAGTCGCTCAAGAACAAGGAGCGTTTCTCGAAGCAAACAACTGCCATGGGCTCCCACACGGGTCACGTGACTGGCATGGGTTCTTCAGGGAGAATGCCTGATTCTAGCTACAGACCTGGAAACTCCGGCGAAGAAGAACTACAGCTTCAACTTGCTTTGGCTATGTCTAAAGAGGAAGCAGAAGCAAAGGTAGTAATTTCTTTTGGCGTGTCTTTTATATATTCTTGGTGTTTCCCGTATTTATTCGTATACTTGGTGTTTACTGTAAAAGCAAATGTGTTCATAGGAGAAACAGGATCGCGAAGATCAGGTCCGAATAGAACTGGCAATCAAAGAGTCGCTCAAGAACGAGCAAGCAGCGGCTGGTCCTTCTCAATCTCATCCGCCCCCGCAGCAGGTTCAAGCCCAAGCCCCGCAGTCAGCTGTCGATGACTTACTGAACCTCGATTTTGGAAACGAGCCGGCGCTGCCAGTGCAACAGAACCCTTGGGGCCAAGGAGCGAGCGGCACTCCCTCTCCAAGGGATCCTTTTGGCGCTCCCGCAGCTGCCGATCCCTTTGGGGCCCCTCAATCAAACGTGAGATTCATCCTCCCAACAAACCTAGAACAAAATCATTTTCAGGCACAAAGCACGCCCTTTGGAAACCCCGCTCTTCCCGCTTCCTCTGATCCTTTTGGAGCATCAGATCCTTGGGGTTCTAAAGCTCCAGCAACGAGTCAGCCAGAGCCTCCAAAAGCAGCTGATCCGTTTGGTGATGCTTTTGGATCTAGTGCTGCTCCAGTTGCGGCTCCTGTTTCTTCCGCAGCGGATCCATTTGGTGCTCCTTCTTCATCCGATCCGTTTGGATCCGCAGCTCCGGCCGCTCAGCCCCCAGCAACGGCGACTGGATCTGATCCATTCGGCGCTTCAGATCCGTTTGGCTCACCGAGTAAGACGAAAAAGCGACTGTTATACGTTAAAACTTTAGTCGTTTATGATTTTCCTAGCGCGTACTTTGATATTTGTCCTCTTTGTGGTAAAACATTTATTCATTTACATCTTCAGTTATACTTCGGACTAAGTACCGTATTTCTAGCGCTAACAAGATTTTCTAAGGCAATAACAACACACAGCCAAGTTCTGATCTTTTCTCCTTGCCATCCGCTGATACGAATGCAAATGCTTTCGACATGGGAGGCATGCAATCGTCCCTGGTAACAAACCATACCTATCACAGTTCGAAGGTTTTGTTTAGCCAAGCGAACAGGCCCCAAAGAAAACAGCTCAATCCTTCCTCGGTTCAGCTTCTGGCCTTGTCAACTTAGACGCCCTCGTCAGCCGACCAAAACAAGTGAACACGAATCCGTTCGGTAACACACCTTCAGGAAACGAGCTTCAAATTAAGTCTCAATGTTGTATTTTTCTTGTCGTAATTGAAATTTCTCAACCGTGATTTGTCATTTTAATTTTCGTCGGGTAAGGTGAAATTGATGTCATCGAATAATTGTACATGTAATTTGAACTGTGTAAAAGGCAGTAATCCATTCCAAATCAATACTCCAGGTCCTTCAATGAATGAAATGCAGCGAAATGCCCAGCAACAGTCCATGGGTCTTCAACAGGTTAATCAGGTTAACATAACAAGGAGTTATTTCTTCTTCCTAGCCAATGGCACCCTCTCCTGTTGGAGGAATGAACCCGATGATGAGCCAGCCGCAAGCAGCCCCCGTTCAAAATATTTTTGGAGCTCCTGCCATGGCCAATCCCTGGGGACAGAGGTAATCAAAGCCAATATACTTGTTATTCACTAATTTCCCTAATTCAGTATTGGTGGAAACGATCAGAAGCAATCAAACAACCCTTTCTTATAAAAAACAAAAACTGAAAACAACGAACCGTATAAACTACTGTTTGTCCTGTAGCCTGATGTTCATGCATTCTATTCCCCCTATTCCTATTTCCGACTATCGGCAACTGAATTTCATTCAAGCTCGATAAAAATCTCGTTCCGGCGCTTTTTTCTAAAATTCAACTTCGCGCCACTATTTTTATTTTCCTTCCCAGTTTCACTTTTTTTTTGAACACATGAAAAGATAAAAATACATAAACGAATTTCTTCTTGTGCAATATAGCAACAGACTCAACATCTAAAAAGATCCTACTTTTTTTTTCTTTCTCCCTAAAAATGATATTCACCAATCAAAGTAACATGTGTTTATTATTTTGTTCTGTAAATAATAAAAGTTCAAAACATGTTTTCTTCAACTGGTAAATTTTGTCTTTTGGACATTTTTCGCTGCGAACAAATCGCGCTTTTGAATAGCAGCATGCGAAACCGGTCAGTTTGGCTATTTCGCCATGAGAGCAGAGACATTATTTTTATTCTTTTTTTGGGGGACTGTTGGAGTTCCAATTAATTATGACAAAACTACAGAGTGCTACAAGACTTGCGCCTTCTATTTCCCCACTGAATGGATTCCCTACTGTTTGACGGTAATGGTTGCTTTCACCGAAGATCTTTTAATTTATTTTTGAAGCACTTTTGCGAGGAAGAGTTGAATGATCATTTTGCTGACGAGAGTAGCTATCAGTATTCCTCTTATGATTCCAGTTATGAAGGCTATTATCCGGAAACAACTACCAGCACATTCACGTCGACAACTACTTCCACGACTTCCACTTCCACGACCTCTACTTCTACGACCTCTACATCTACGACAACAACCTCTGAGGACCTCTCCTACTACGATGGTTACAATTATCCATCTTACAACTTCGAAAATCGCGTTGAAAATAGCAACAGCTTCACCACTACTTCGACTTCTTCAACTACAACCTCCACAACTGAAAATTATGACGACATAATTTATGATATTTATGAGTACTACAACGATCCGAATTACGAATCCTATTATCGAAACGCTGATAACGACTGGGATTGGTATTTTGATGGGTATTCTGACTCTTATTCGGACTGGTATTCGGACTGGTATTCTAACAGTCATTCGGACTGGTATGACGATTGGGAATCGAATTGGGAATACCCTACTTCTACGACCATATCAACAACTACCGGTGAACTAGAGGGATATGACGATTGCGATTCGATAATAGGAACTGAAGAATGGTATGATTGCATCCGACCATCTGAAGCATCGACAACTACGGAAAGTCCCTTCGTAGCTTCTTTCGAATCTAATTTCAACTTTCATCAATGTGGCATTTCTACATCCCTTTTGGAACAAGCAGCAGGAGAGTCTGGAGGAGCACTGGTGAGCATTCACGACCCACCAAGTGGAATTGAAGTGATCGAAATCGGGAACGTCATCATCAACGGAAAGGACGTTGAAGATCCAACGATGTTTCCTTGGATGGCAGCTTTGAGAACCAACAGCGGTTTTCACTTCTGTGGCGGGGCAATTATCGGCGCGCGTTGGATTCTAACTGCGGCGCACTGCCAGTTCGACAAGGATACGTCTGTTGTGGTAACAGGCACGCTGGAACGATCGAACGATGGGTTAAAGACTGTTTCTGAAGCTGATGCTGTGTTTGATCATCCACAGGCAGATGTAAGATACATATGATTTCGAATAAAAGATCACTCAAATTTAGACGACTCCGTATGGAACCTGGAAGCACGACATCACTCTTATCTACTTGAAGACGGAACTTGTCTTTTCTGACTTTGAGCAACCAGTCTGTCTTCCGAATCCTTACGAGAGCTTTGCCGGGCAAGCCTGTCATTTAGCCGGCTGGGCAGGGGTGGATAATTTGAAATCATTTCATTATTCCATTTTTTCCAGAGCAAAACTGGCTTGATGAATCAGTCTGAAATATTCAGGACTGATTCGAATATATAAAAGATGATAACATGCGAAATTTCAAGCCGATTCATCAAGCCAATTTTGCTCTAGAATAAAATGGAATAATGGTTGATTTCAAAATATCCACCCCTGCGGCTGGGGCCGAACTGACAACACGCCTCCTGAATACACTGACCAGCTCCAGTACGCAACGATGCGAGGTGATAAGCTCTTCTCTCGTGTTCTTCCAATTTACATTTTTAAGTTGATAGTTACTGTGGCGCTTATCAATCTCTTCTGACTTACGATGAATCTTTCTGTGCTGGCTATCACCAGGATAATTCAGGCTGCAACGGCGACTCCGGAAGTGCGCTAGTGTGCCGTTCCGATGAGTCAAGTGAAAGCTTCGTCGTCGTTGGAGTGACAAGCTGGGCTTCGGGTGCGTGCCATGGTGAAGAACCGACAGGCTTCGCAAATGTTGCCTTTCACATGGACTGGATTCGACAAGTCATCAGCGAAAAGTGAAATCACCTTATTAGACCAGAACTCCTCTAGAATAATGTTTTCTATCTGTCAATGTCTGTTGTTTATTTTCGCCTGTTTCTGCAGTTGAAATATATAAATTATCATCAAATCATCGTCGTTTTACGTTCAGAAAGCAAAGTTGCGAAAACAGACAAAATGAGTAGATTCAGAAGCGTCCCAACGATGCTCAATCAAGTCAGATCTTTGAACATGGTAAAAGTTACCATATCTTCTCTACTATACCGTCGTTTTCCATCTTAAGAGCGTTTTTCAGATGACAAGGGTAGACCTAAACGCTCTTAAATTGGAAAATTTACGATCAAACTAGGATGACAGTGGGAAAAAAATGATGAATGAAAATGCATAAAATGAACTTTTTCCAAAACTCTAAAAATGCATCTGAGGTCATTTTTACCTATTTATTATAAAAAAATTACGATCTTTGAATCAGAGGCTATGATTTCACCTGAAAAGAAGCGTAGAAAACAATTTTTTTCAATGATTTTTCAGGTTGAAATAAACGTTATTCTTATTATTAATTAAAAATTCCTAAAAACGCTCTAAAGTTGGGATTTTTTCAGATAACAAAATTTGGAAAATATTGGCAAAAACGCTCTTAAGTTGGGCGCTCTTAAGATGGAAAACCACGGTAAATAAAATAATCTAGACCACTACGCGCACAATCGTCCAAGACAAGAACAGTAGAAGTGCCTACGCTGGACTCGTCAAAATGTATGAAAATAGTCCTCGCCCGGTAATGAACATCCAAAGGAGCATGAAACTAGCGTTTTTTAGGCAAACAACCCTGCTTCGAAGAGCAAGGCGGTTGAACTGATGATTTCTTCGAGAAAACAAATGATCCTCCAAGCTCACTGCTCGAAAAAGACAGACTTTGCGCCCGCTCCTCTCACCTCGGACAAAATGTCCTTGATGAGCAATTCCGTAAAAATGGATAAAATTTTCGCTTCCTTCGATTTAGAATCCGTCCAAGTAAGAGTCAACTTTGGTGCCACTGTCTGATTCCGCTCTTTTTAGGTTAGTTTTGTTGGCTTTATGGGAGACTTCGCGGTTTGGGCAGTTTTGGACCTTTCCACTGGCGATATTCAATTTGTCGTCGATGATAGTTAGGGCTCTGTTTCGTTTGAAAGGAAATTTATTCAAAGCAACGCTGAGCTGAGCTCAAGTGCGATTGTTGGGAGTCAAACTCTCTCTCTTTTATTCTTTCTCGAGCGAGACCCTCTTTTTTATTTTTTTGGACGCATTCAGAGCCTCCTCTAGTATGTGAGATTCAGAGCCTGAAAGATAATGAATAGTGTGCAGAGCCCCATCAAAGCTGGTGAAAAAACTCTCCACATTTCTTCAACAGTTATTAAATTATATCTTAAACTTTCATTACGAGTTTCGGAAGATTTCAATCACTCATTTCTGTCCTTCAGAATGTTAGGACAAATCCTGGTGTACTCGATGCCCGGCTGTCCGCACTGCACGGCGGCGAAAATGAGCTTGAACAAGCTGAATCTGCCATTTATTGAGATACAGCTCGATTTATACGACAAAAGTGTGAGAGAGGAATTGAAGAGCAAAACGAATAGATCCACTGGTATGAAAGTCAGCAACTGAAAAAGTACTGTAGAACAGAGAGGCTTCTCCCGGTAGCTACTAGCGGCGATCAAGATCATATATGGTAAACTTTCGATTTATCATCAGTCACCAGAACCGTGTTAAACCTCACTAGAACTTACTAACACTTCACTTGCATGACATAACATCATTACGTAACCCGGAACGAACATTAATTATCTCACTTATCTGATCTTCAAAAATATTAAAAATGCGCCGCGTATCCACCAATATTCCAAAATTTTTAAATTCATCAAAAAAGCATCTTGAAAGAGTGCAGCCGAAAATTGAAATTTCTTCTTCAGTTCCTCAAATTTTCTTCAACGAGAAACACATCGGCGGAAGAGACGACTTTCATAAACTAGATAAAAAAGAGCTCGAAGAATTGATCAAGTACGTGCAGGAAAATGAACCACCAGAAGGATCGCCGTCGATTCCCGGATCCACCCTCCTCATTGGCATTGGAGAAGATGATGGGCAGTCGCTCCGGTGCGAGTACGACACAGATGCAGACATTGCAAAGGCTCTCAAAGACTCGAACTTGCCAAAGAAGCGTTGGAACTGGCTCCAGCGGCATCACGGAGCATTTACTGGCAAACAGTTGAAAGAATGGCTCGATGGAACTGGTGAAGATGGCGAAGCAGCCGCAACTCGCCTACTCGCTGGAAATTTCATCGCTCCGATTGAGAAGAAAGTCGATGCTTTTCACCCGGATGGAACTCTCTACCAACTTGTCGAGCAAAAATCTATCGCTTCGCTCAACTCGGGCGTTACCGCTGAATGCAAGGTTCTTCATCCCTCTGAGCTCGGCGAGCAGATGAGGATACAAATTAAGAAGCTCTATGGCAAGTACTTGAATGATGATGGAACTTCTGTTGATTACGAAGGCATGCGTGACTCTGAAGAGTTTGGTGAATATGTCAAACTCACAGCTGTAAGTTCTATATTCACCGATAGTTTCTCGAAATTTTTCTTAGCAATTACAGCGGGTAGATCTGTCCCAACTTTCAATCGATGGCCGCCTTGCTTTCTTCATCAACATCTACAACGCCCTGATCATTCACGGTCAAGTGGTTCGCGGTATTCCGCAGACATTTCTCACTAGGTTGCGATTTTTCTGGACGACCTCTTATATTATTGGTGGCCACGTGTTCACGCTCGACGATATAGAGAATGGCGTCCTGAGAGGCAATCGCAAGGGACCTGCTCATCTTTGCCGACAATTTTCACGGTAAAACGTTCCAAGGTGATTCTTTTAACATTTTTTCCAGTTCTGATCCTCGTTTGAAATTTGCCTTGCCCACTGCAGAGCCGAAAATTCACTTTGCTCTCGTTTGTGGTGCGAAATCTTGCCCTCCCATTAAATGTTTCTCCGAGAAAGGCGTCCAAGAAGAACTCAAAATGGCGACTGAAGGATTCATTGAGGATGACAGTAATGTACTCGTAAATTTGGAGAAGAAAAAGGTCAAATTATCGATGATCTTCAAATGGTATCAAGTCGATTTTGGAGGCAAGGATCGAGCGATGCTCATTTGGATCTTTGAAAATATGAACACAGTAAGAAATGCTCAGCTTCTAGTGGGTAATTTTATTCTAGGGCACTAAATCCGATAATCTGAAATCTCTCATCGAAGGCGATAACTTCTCCGTATCTTACTTCGAATACGACTGGACCTCCAATTCAAAAAATGAATCATAAAAGCAACAAGTTCTCCTCCTCTCTTTCTTCACAATTCTTACTTCTTCTGTTACGCAAAAGCAGCAATCCCAAAAACTCCTCTTTCATTTTCTCATTTTGCACCACAGCAGACAATCAACTTTTCCTCTTATCTTCTTTTATTTCCTTCATTAGTGAATAAATAAAAAGTTCAACAATATCACCAGACTTTCTTATAGAAATGCGTCAGACTCTCGCTCGGTTCAACCAGACCGGTATCAAGCACACCACTGCTAACCGTGACCGCTTCGGCCACTCGCAGACCTATGGTGTGTTTGGTAACATCGGTATGGGACGTCACTACAACCCTACCACCCACTTCACTCTCGAGGACATGCGACGCAGATCCGTCGTCTACTCCGATGTCTACCTTGACGGGTAAGGAGCTAGAGATTATCGCCAAGCGCGCAGGGTTAAAAATATTTTTCAGTTTCGAAAACTCTTACTGGGCCGATCGAAAAGCATTCCGAATCCTCTCCCCCGAGCACGCCAAGAAGGCTCGATTCTTCAGACAGCGATTTTTCACCCGAAGACTTTTCAACTACTGCTTCTTCCTTGTGTAAGGGCTTATCGATTTCTTTGTCTCTATTATTTCTTCCTTAGCTGTGGAGCTTACTTCCTGTTCGCAATCCTGTTCACCCAGCGATACCTCGGTATTGGTCAGAGAATCAACAACTTTGCCCTTGAACGAAGCATGGAAAACCGAGCTGCCAGAGAAGAAGCTGCTCTCACTGTAGTCACCTGTTTCATTTCCTCAATAATTAATGAATTTATAGGAATCTGCCGAGTACGTGCCCGCCCTCGTCCAAGGCTACAAAAAGCTGATGGCACCAGAGAACCTTTCCAGCTGGGCAAACTACGAACCCAAGAACGAATGGAAACCAATCGCATAAAACTTGTCGACTATAATAATTTATTAAACAAATATGAGTTCAACAAAAGAGAAAAAACGCATTTCATAGAAGAACTTACTATTCACTGTATTCAGAGACTCTGACTTCGGCTCCTAAAAAGTTGGCTTCGTAGTGTGTAATCGTCACTGGAATCCAACTAGTTAGCTTGGAGACTGTCGCATAGACACCAGGAAGATCTCCAGCGCATTCCATGCCCCAACTTACGATTCCAGCTTGTTCGAGAGTTTGATTGAAGAGTAAAGGGCCGCCAGAATCGCCCTATATCCACGGTTAGTCAAAAAAACAAGCTTATCTATATGAAAGTACATAGCAAGAATCTTTTCCTTCATCAGCAGCGCAAAACATATTATCAGACATATATTCATTCTCGTATCCATTGCAGGTTTTCCAGGAGACATCGACTTCGTACATTACAGGTTGCATTCCAGGATCATCTTCGCTTAGAGATCCTTGGCCAATAACGATGAACTGGCTACTTTCTGTGACCGGAATGCTGTTCAAACAGACAGGCGTTACATTGTCAATAATTTTCGTGTGTCTCATAATAGCTTTTAGGGTTTCAAAAGCTTTTCATGTTTTAAAAATACAGTAAAGGATTATTTTTTGTTTGAGACCCTTTCCCATATCGCCATCGTAAATTGGCTCTACGTCAGTCGACCAAGCAGGGTGCAAGATAATGTCGGAAACAGATGAATTCTGAGTGTTTGAGAACGCTAATGTAAAATCGCTCGGCTCCGCGAAATAGACACAATGAGCGGCAGTCAGTGTCCACAGAGGATGTATCAGAGATCCACCGCATACGTGAGATTGGTCCCAATGTAGCTGGACGTAAAATGGATAAGTGCTGTTGTCGGCAATGGTGCCACCGACGATTTTTGCACTCTTATCGTCGGTCTAAATTTATTTTTGGCTAAAATTAAACTGATTTGATTAGGCGTTACCCTCTTTTTCGGGTTAGATGACATTCTTTTGGAGCTGACTGAGTTCAAGTAAATGTAGCGGGACTCAGAATAATCGTAGACCGAATAAGTGTAGTTGTGACTACTTGTGTCCGTGGCGGTAAAGTTGATACAGTTTGATTCATCGGTAATGATATCCGCAGTCTTGGTAGCATTTGGCGGAATGGCATCATTTTCCCGGTAAAAAAGCAGAACCAAAATTGGTGAAACTATTTTTGGTTAGATTTTGCCTTAGTTTTGTTTAAATTTCTAGCGCGCATCGTTCAAAATTGTAACCATTCATATCAGCAAAAAAGGTATAATCAGCCACGAGTTTTTGATACACTTAGAAGTCATCGTGCCGTAACCAGACAGTTTTGTTGAGCATCACTAGTAACTGAGATCGATTCTAGAGACACTCCATTGAGGATTTTTTTAGTTTGGAAGATGGACTCATCGGATGATGAATGGATCGCTGCTGTTACAAAATCGGCAAAAATTCTTCGGAGAAAAAAGCAAACAGAGCCAAGGTGTGATACCATTATTCATGCAACGTGTGTAAATTGATTTCATTCTCTCAGGCGGCGATCACTCGGCGACCTCGATAAAGACAAAATTGACAAAAAGAAGAGGACTCCCGAACCAAAGCAGAAACTCAATTTCGACGTGGAGTTGAGCTCTGACGAGGAAATTGAGATCAATGTTCCAACAAGATTCAGAACCCCAGCGAAGAAACAAGTTGAAGAGAAAGTCTCCGATGATGAAAAAAATTTTGAGCTTCCGAAGCCAAAAAATACATCTGAAACTAAGAAGACGTCAGATACCGACAGTGAAGTAGATGAGCTAGAAGCATTCTTTACGAAAATGAAAACGCCGTCACGGTCTCTTCGTCCTGTATCGCCAGAAGACGAGTTGGAAGACTTCATCGTATCAGATAGCGAGGACGTAGGGGGAGAGGAAATATCCCATCGAGCAACGATAAACTTCAATGAAACGACGATCTTGAACCCTGAGCCAGTTTACACTGATGATGAAGACAACAAAGAGAACTTTGAAGACTCGATCATGGAAGTCCCAACTCCTTCCGATCCATTTTCTGACTCTTCCGACAAATTTATGAAAAATATCAGAGAATCAGCCAAAAAGAGTCGCAAGAAAAAAGAACATAAATTACCGAAATTCACAGCGGGCGTAACTCCAGACAGTATACGGAAAATAATGAAGACCAATGTCCGTAACGAGCGATTAAACTCGCCCAAAACACCAAAGTCAAAAGCAGACAGATTGATGGACAAACAGCTATACCGGGATTTCTCTCCTAGAAAAACTCCGAGTAAAGTGTACACGACGCCCGTGAAGACGCCAACGATTAAAAAATCAGAAACGACCCCCTGCGGCTTCGATCAATGCATCCTTTATGATGTCGACCAGTGGTCGTCCAAGCGCTTGAAAGACAATTTGACTGAACTAATAGAAGAGATTTACGAAACTATCAATCGCACGATTTTCGGACTAAAGCTTCCAGGCAAGGTCAGAACGTTTCGCTGAGAAAATTTGATAGCATAAATCAAAGGTTTTATAAGCGCTATAAAACGTACGTAAATACCTTCTGACCCATACAAAGTAAACGTAAAGCATCAGGGCGAGAATGTTTTTACGAGCAAGGACGGTCTCATGACAATCGTCTGGAACAAGCATTTGAGGTCCACCGCGGGGCGATGCCGTTCCGGAGTCGACAAATCGTCCGCAAAAAAGAAGTGCTCAGTTGAGCTAGCTCCCCATATTCTCGACACAGCACCTAGAATCAGAGATACACTTTTGCACGAGCTTATACATGCAGCAAACTGGATAATTGATGAAGATCCTCTTGCTGGGCACGGGCCAAAGTTCCGCGCTTGGGGTTTCAAATCGCTCAAAACGCATCCAGAGATTCCACCTGTGAAAACGACTCATTCCTATCAGATCAATTACAAGTATTGGTGGGAGTGCGAAAACATGGAAAGAGGCACTTGCACCGTCAAAATCGGCCGAAAGACGAATTCACTCAAGCTTGACCGCGTCCGCTGCGCCAAATGCGGGGGCAACTTTGTTTACGTTAGGTTCAAGTACCATCAAAAAGAGAAAAGACTCAAAGTTTAATATTTAACTGCCTTATACTTATTCACATTCCCTTTTTACTAAAAACGCCTCTTGTTATCAGAGCTCTTCCTTGATTGCAAAACCAATATTTTTCTAGAACCCGTCTCCCATTTTAATTTTTATGACTGTAACAAGCGTGTAGCTTTGACTACAAATTGCTTACTTTAACGCGTTCTGTGTGTGCACGACCGTTTCCTGATACAATCTACCGGTAAATCGCTGCCCGCCGAGTCAGAAAACGCGACTTTCTGAAGCGCACAGAAACAATTTCAATTTGTTTTCAAAGTTTTAATTTTCAGAGAATATGAGCGCAAGTGAGTTTTCGTCAGTCGATGAGGAGCTCGCTCACTTCAAAAGTAGATACCTCGAGCTCAAGGAGGAATTCGACGAAATGTTGTCGATGAACAAAGATTACGAGGCCGAAATGGAGCAGCAAGTCGAAGAGCTGGAGCAAAAAGAGAAAACACTCCGGGCTGATAATCTGAGAATAACGCAAGAGCTGGAGCAGTACAGATCTAAACACAGAGAGAAGGAACAAACTCAAGACTCTGAGATCTCGAGGCTGAAAAGCTCACTTGAACAAGAGACTCAATCTAAGGTGAAAACATCCTCTATTCAACTGTTCAAACTGATTTTAGAGAGAACACGCAGCGAAGTGCCGCGCGTTGGAGCAAGAGCTAGACGACTATGACCGCAAGTATCGTCATTTAGCAACGTCCTTCGAAGAGATGCAGAAAAACTACGAAGCGGAAGTGGAGCGAAATGCGTTGCTGGAGACAGAAGTGTCTGAAGGCGTCAAATTAAAGGAGCTTCTGCAGCGAGAAAAGGACGAGAAACGCGACCTCAAATCCGAGCTAAAAATCCGATCAAGAATACCAGAGCCAAAACTAGAGACCATCACAAGTAGCGATAGTGACAAACAACCAATCTTGCCCAAACCGGATCTTGGCGGCGACAGAACGACAGGATCTCCAATAGCCGTCGTTAAACCAAGGTACCTTTTGCTATTCTGGTGGCTAGATCGTAGTACTCACGTGGTGTAGGAATCCCATTCAAGCAATCATTTTTTTCTTTTTAACCGGCTCATTATTTGGCTTCCAAATTTGAGTGTAATAAACAGTTTCTCATCCCACCCCATTTGCGTGAAAAATTCCACCAAGTGGCAGTATAATTACTCACACCCTCTTTTTCTCATACAACCCTACTAGTGCCATAGAAGGCGTAAGAAGTCCTGCCTACGTCTCGGGTGTTGCTTCAAGGCGTAGCCAAACGATATCCAATCTTTCCTCACACGCTTCGAATTTGAACCAGACGCCGAGTTCTCCTGCTGCCTCAAACAGGGAGTCTCCTGGCTCTGCGCAACGACTTTCCGCTCTCACAATTGTTGGTGATCTGCTCAGAAAAGTTGGAGCGCTGGAAACAAAGCTTGCTTCATGCCGAACTTTCGTTCGACAAAGGTTAGTTTTCGTTCTGAAAATCTCAAAATGGACATTTTCTTAGTTCGGACGCGGTTAACACGCAAATTTCGACGACCCCCCGTCGGGGCGATTCCGCTTCCCGCACCTCACTCTCCGTTAACAACTCCCTTTCGTCAACTTACAGCACGCGAAGCCGTGGAACGCCGGACTCTGCGCGCATCGGAGAACGACTAGACCCGGGGGTCAGCCGGAACCGCTCGCCAATTCCGTTCAATAAGCTCACCGCTCTCAACATCGCTCCTTGATGCTCTCTGACGGCACCTGGTGACCCCCGTGTGTAGCACATCCAATGTCCCGGACTCACATCAGTCATTAGCGACGTAACCGTCTTGCAATCTCACATGTTTCGTTTATAAAAACAATACACTATCTCACTTTTTCTAACCATTTTACTGCAGTTTGTTGTTGATAAATTTTTTTGATTGCACTCTCTGTACAGTTCACAGTTACAGTAGCACGCTTTGTCACTACGGATTTGAATATAAAAATGCACAAATTGTATCTTAGAATCCTTGTAAAATAAACAAAAATGCTCAAAATCCAAGTTGTTGTTTTTCGTTATTAATAATTTGAAGCAGGATCGTGAACATTTTCTTGAGCATTTCTTAAAAAGATGGTTTAAATCTTGGCTAGATTAAGCGTGCTAGAACTGTGTCAGCTGTTTGTGCGCATCGGATGCATTTCTAAAAAATACAGCCCGTTCTATAACTAACAAATTCTTTGATTCAGAATAAAATATGGGTTTGCTGGAAGTATTCCGTTCCAAAGTCGCGTACATCATCTCAGTCGGTGCATTCGTGCCAGCCTACTACTACCTGTCTTCTGACCGATTCAAGCTCAAGAATGATTACCAACAAGAATTCGTCACGCAACAATTCGGCACTCAGAATTTGTCGTTTGCCGAATCCGCAATGGTTAAAAACGTTAATATTGCTCACTCGATGGCGCATCAAGAAGTAGAAGAACTGAAAAAAGCGAGACACAATACTTATCGTTTCTCGCATTTGTATGGCCGCTCTTACGAAACTGTAGAAAGTAACGAAGATAGGAAGGATATTCCTCTGTCAGTGCCGATGCAAGAAAAGGTTGATGGTCGTATCATGAGATCGAGGCAACGCGCGATGGAACGTCTTCGAGCAGGAGAAGATCAAAAAGCTTAATGATGATTCTTCTATGATTTCAAATAAATTTCCGTTTCAAAACTTTTTTGGTTCTTTTCAATTCCCTTGTTTAGAATGTCCGCGCCACACAAGCAACACGATCATTTGTTCAAGCTCTTGATTATTGGAAACGCGGGTGTTGGCAAAAGCTCGATTCTAGTGCGATTTGCCGACAACATTTTCACCCAGAGTTACATAACCACTATTGGAGTGGATTTCAAAATCAGAACGATTGAGGTGGAGGGCAAAAAGATCAAGCTTCAGGTGAGCTTTTAAAGAAACAAGTTAGCTTCAACTGTTTAGATTTGGGATACAGCGGGCCAGGAGCGATTCAGAACAATCACAGCGACGTATTACCGTGGCGCGCATGGAGTGGTGGTGGTGTACGATCTCACTGATGCAGAGTCATTTACTGGCGTTCAAAAGTGGATTAACGAGATTCAAAATCATTGCGAAGACGTGCCAAGAGTGCTAGTCGGGAATAAAGTCGACTCGCCAAACAGAGTCGTCGAGAAAAACGGTAAAGAGGCGAATCATCTAAGAAATGCTATTTTTGAATTAGATGCGGACATGTATGCGCAGCAACAAAACATCAAATATTTCGAGACGTCTGCCAAAAGCAACATTGGCGTGGAGGAAATGTTCACCGAAATCACTCGCCAGGCGCTGCATCAAAAAGTTCAGTCCTCGGCGCCGAGCAACGAGCCAATAAAGCTAAATAACCAGCAACAGAAGCAAAAGAAACCCTGCTGCAAATAATAACTTGTACACTCTTGATCATAACTTACAAATTTTTCATTTTAACAAAAAAAGCTCGTGCGGTGACTTTTTAAAAACGCTTTATAAACGCGTCGTACTAGAATTTCAAAACCATAGTCAAATCAGTCATACTAATCATTCCAGTGAATAAACAAAAAATAATGAATCGAAAGAGTAACTGTGATTAGATTTCAAAAAGGCTGAAAATGCGATTAATTACTCAGGCTTAAAATTACCGGTGAAACTTGGTCTTCGTCAAGAAAAAAAGTAGCTTCATTTTAAAATTTAACTTTTTATACCTTTTTGCGCGTTTTTGATTTTTCAATCAATGTCATTTTAAACAAAAATCTGTACCTAACTCTTTCGCTTCTCTTGCAAAACTGGGGCGAATCTTTCTGTGGGATTATGTGTATATTACTATTATAGATAAGTATATTCTCTCCCTCCTCCTCTTCAGCTGTTCATTTTCGCTCCTTCTGTTTATATTACTACATCAACTCATTAACACTATTTTTCGTTTTGGCGCTGAAAAGAGGGCCTTCTCAATTTCAACGATTAGGATTTTTAAATTTGCCAGCAACAGATTCCAATTTAAACTCATCCTCTGTTCTTTTTTTATCTCCTCGTTCAACAAAATACCATGATGGTACATCCATCATTCAATCCTTTATTTCTTCTCCACTGGACGTTCTCTACATTTACCCAATTCAACCATTCATTCAATCTTTTCTTTTTATTCATCCAAATGCAATTTGTCCAGGACTCTATATCAGTGCCTTCCATAACATATTAAAAATATGAAAAACAAGAGTGTTTGATTCCTATAAAACATATGTTTCTTGCAGAATGTCAGAGTCAGCGAATGCGTCTTTGTTTGTTTGCGGGATTTCTGGGGAAACGCCAGAACAGCCGGTAGTTTCGCCTGTTTCAGGAAGGTTTCATGTAGAAGCATGCAGGTCTTTACAAATTCTTGCCAGACGTTCTTGAGCAAAATTCGATGCTCAAATCATGTTGAAACTAAGAAAGGTGCAATTTTCGAAAAGAGACTCATCACAAAATGGATTCAAGAAAACGGAACCGACCCAGGTACTTTCTTGATCCTCGAGAAGCTCTCACAGCAATTTCTAGTGAACGACGCGCAGCTCGACACTGATCAGCTGATCGAAGTTCGACCAGAGTCAATCGTCCGCCCTAAAGCGCCAAATCATACATCGATTCCCGCCATCCTCAAAGCTCTTCAAGATGAAACGGATGCGATCATGCTCAACAAGTAAGACCACTACGCAAGCTCATTCATTATCCACCAATTCTAGCTATTCACAAAGAACACAGCTCCAAACAACGAGACAAGAACTCTCCCATGCTCTCTATCAGCATGACGCGGCATGTCGAGTTATTGCTCGACTTCAGAAAGAAACCAACGCGACGAGAGAAGCTCTTGCGACACTCAAGCCTTCTCAGGGTACCATGAATCTTCTTATACTTTGTCAAAATTTTTTTTCCTTTCAGCTCAAGTTCCGCACGAAGCAGATCCGGTCGAAGCCGACGGCGACATGGTCGAAGGTCTCTCAGAAGAAGTCATCGCGAAAATCGATCAAGAAAACGCTGCTCTCACCAAGGGCAGAAAAGAACTCGTCTCCAAGCGAAAGGCTGCTCTTTCTGGCGTCGAAAAGCTGCACAATTACACGACGCAAAATACACTCAAGGATTTGCACGCTCCTGGCAAGCACATTCTCTGCATGGACATGAGCAAGGCCGACAACACGAGAGTTGTCACCGGCGGTGCGGATAATACCGTCGTTGTGTATGATACGAAGGCAGGAGCTGTTCTATCGAAATTCGATGGACACAAAGGCGAAGTGTCAAAAGTTGCGTATCACTCGACAAAGGATGTTGTTGCGTCGGCTTCGGATGATTCTACTGTCCGTGTTTGGTCATTGGAAGGTTAAAACGAGTTCTCTTATACCTGATAGTAAATATTTCCATTTCAGGTGGCTCCGGAGCTACAATTAAAGCTCACAAAGCTGCAGTTACTGGCATCTCCTACCATCCACTTGGACAATACGTCCTTTCCAGCTCAAAAGATCAGACCTGGGCCTTTTCAGATATCGAATTAGGCAAGTTTACTCACTAGAGAACCCTGTCTAATCAATAATTCAGGAAGTGTTCTGACGAAAGCAACAGAAAACGAGGCAAAGCTAGAATCTTGCGATTTCCATCCGGATGGTCTCTTCTTTGGCGTTGGAACTTCCACCGGCGGTGTGAAAATTTGGGATATCAAAAATCGCGTTGAAGTTGCCCCTTTCGCTGGCCATAAAGGACCAGTTAATGCAGTCGCATTTAGGTACAATTTTTGATACCGCTTTATTTTATCATGTCCAATTCAGTGAGAATGGATATTATGTTGCTTCTGCAGCTGGTGGAAACGAGATTAAGATTTGGGACTTGAGAAAGTTGAAGGAAATCAAGTCGATCGTCATGAGAGAGGATGATTATGTTGTGAATGCTTTGAAGTAAGTTCACGAGCCTCAATTTAACCCAACTGAACTTAAGGTTCGATCCTTCCGGACAGTATTTGGGCGCTGCTGGACAGGATCTCCGTTTGTACATGGCAAAAACATGGGCTGAAATTACTTGCTACTCATCTCACGAGGTAAAACACGGATCAATCACATTTGTTTATTTTTTAATTTCTTTAGGATGAGATTACTGGCTTGAGCTTCGGCGAAAACTGTGCTACTCTTGCATCGTGCTCTCGGGACTCAACTGTTAGGTTGTATGGCGACGCCGAAGCTGCCCCGATGGAATCGTAGAGCAATTGTACTGCCCCGGGAAAACAGAAGAAACATACGACCCAACTAGGAAAATTACATAAAAATTAACGTGCAACTTTTGTCACTCCATCATTTTCAATTGTCCTTGTCCCCTACAAAACTGCCGCCTGGAAACGTTAACTTTTCCTTTGCTATTTGCGTTAACCATAGTTTCAGAATGAATGTCAACAGTCTGAGTGCTCGCTATGTTGATGTTAAGGACGAGTACACGGCTCCACGAATCGGATCTTTGAATATAAACGACCAAAAGGAGCTCACGCTAAAACAGAAGATCGCACAGACAGAGATCGTTATTACATCCACGACGCAGTTTCCAGCTACATGTGTGAATCTAGAAGGAGAGTTGGAAAAGGTCGAATTCGACATCAGAGGCATTGACCCTGCAATGTCAAATACATTGCGGCGGATCATGATTGCCGAAGTACCGCAGATGGCCTTTGACAGAATTCTGATCTACAACAATACTACTTTAATTCAAGATGAAGTTCTCGCCCATCGATTAGGTAAAAATGTTTCTTAACTCTTGGTATGATCGAGATTAGGTCTGATTCCAATAAAAGCAGACTTCCGACAATTCAAAAATCGAGCACAAAAGGATATGACTTCCATTGACTGTACGAAGGCAGCTAATGTTAAAGGAGCAAAAGAAGAGGACTCGCTTTTGGTAGAAAATAATTGGTGTAAAACATATGTAACGCATTTCAGTTCCACCTAAAAGTCATTGGCAAGCATCAAAAGAATTCGACAAACCATGTACAAATTGTGGAATCTAGTGAGTTGAAGTGGTCGCCAGTTGGAAATCAGAAAGAAACGATGAATGTAATGCCCTGCTTTCACGATATCACCATTGCCAAAATTAAGTATGATGTGAATAAAGAATGATGGCTCATAAAGATTCCTAGGCCAAAGCAAATTATCGATATTGAGCTTCATGCATTCCGAGGGATTGGCCGGGACCACGCGAAATTTAGCCCAGGTAGAACTAATTTGATAATCAAATGAAATCTGATTAATTTTAGTCTGCACAGCTTTCTATCGACTTCTACCGACGATAGAATTCACAGAGCCGATCCGCGGAGACGATGCGGTCGAAATCCAGAAAATGTTTTCGCCTGGCACGGTTGAGATTATCGATGACGAAGCGAAAGTGGTCAACGTCAGGGTTGACGCCAACTCGCGAGAAGTCTTCCGTCACAAAAAATATAGGGTGAGTAAATAGCCAAAAGCCGCAAAGCAGTAAATCTCACGAAAATGACCATGAGCACTCGTTCTCATCCATTTTTGGTATTTAGGACATTGTGAAATTGGGAAGAGATCGCGAGGTCGCGCTGTTTTCAGTGGAAACCGTTGGTGCTCTCAGTCCGTGTGTGATCTTCAAGGAAAGCTGCAAGGTGTTGATGAATAAGTGCGATGTTTTCTTGGAGGAGCTGACGAGAACGCAGAATGATGTGAAAGATGAAATGAAAAATGAGTGACACACATGTGATGTGCGAATTCCATCCACTGAATGAGTCCTCCTTGATATCAATCCACTTTTAGAATGCATATTTTGATCGGCGGGGGATCGGGTCACATAGGAAAATTACTAACAAGCTACCTCAAGCAACGCGGTCACCGGGTCACGTGGATATCTCGCTACCCCGGTCAAGACCGCATCACTTGGCAGCAGTTGAGATGGGATGAAGCGCCAAAAGATGTTGAAGGAACTGATATATACTTTTTCATAAGTTTGCCGTTAGTAGCTAGGATCGACAAGTCCCACCCGACACCCGATCGAAACCCGACGTTTTTGTCGGGTTTTTGTTGGATTCTGCCTACCCTACAAAAACCCGACGCGGAAATTGTGACGACCCTATAAAATCGGGTTTTTGTAGGGTCATTTTTCGGATTTTTGTAGGTTTTTTTCGTCGGGTTTCTCTTCGGATCTACTCATCAGTTTCTTCACAGACAGCTCCCGAAATTCTGTATGCCAAAACTTATGTCCATATTCGGATCTATTTTTTCATAATTCGCCTACTTGGATTCATTATATTTGATTCTACTATAGTGTCGTGAAAACCCAACGAGAACCCGACGAAAACCCGATTAAAGCCTGATAAAAACCCGAAAAATACCCGACAAAAACCCGAAAAAAATCCTAAGAAAACCCGATAAAAAAACCCGACAAAAACCCGACGAAAACCCGACAAAACCCGATCGGAGAATTCCGACTTCAAGAAAACCCGACGAAAACCCGATCCGGATTTCGGGGGCATTTGTCGATCCTAGGTTAGTAGGATAAAATTGAATATCTGGTCAAGAGCGATTATAAATCTGGCGGGCAACAGATGGATGGAGCGGCCAAGCATGATGGTCTCGACAAATTTTCAAGCGACAGATGTCATCGAGCGGTTTCAGACTTCCCGTTGGTTCACGGCTAAAACTTGTGCGATGTACTGCAAGGTGAGGAACAGGAGTTATTTTTTTTTTCTTGCGTTTAGGAAAGAGCGGAACAAGGAAATCCTCTGAAAGTATACGTACAGGCGTCATCTACGCTGTACTATCATATAAATCAAGAGACAGAAGATTTGATGGACGTTGTGTTCAATACTATTGATCTTCAAAAGACGATCAGTTTAGTCGTTGTTACTTTATCTTTCCATTCATTTTATTGAACCCATTTTCGGATAATGACAGAAGAAGACGAAGGCGGATTCAACGATAAGATCAACAGAATGGTTCGACAGTGGGAGACTGAATCCGCTCTGCCTGAAGATATCAACACGAGACATGTGATAATTCGAAACGGCTTCGTACTTGACCCAGAGGATGGTTTGCTGATGAAGTATCTACACAAATTCGGATGCTTTATCGGTGGTCCTATTTCGCGTCATGGGCAAAATCCTTTGAACTGGGTTCATAAAGACGATTTGGTGTCGCTTTACGCCTTCGCTGCCGAAAACAGTCATGTTAATGGCATTCTGAATGGTGTGGCCCCAAGCCTGAATAATCACTACGATTTATGTGCAGCTATGAAAGAAGTGACGAAGAAGCCAAACTGGTTTTCTCTTCCGAGAATGGCACATGAGTAGGTTGAGATCTGGGCTCGGCAAACTGTGTCAGGAACAGACACAGGAACAGGAAAAAAAATTTCTGTCCCATATTTTACACAGGTACACAGGTCAGGAAGCAAAAATATCCTGATTTTAGACAGGTACTCAGACAGGTTTTTTTACACAGCTTATCAAACAGGTTACACAGGTCAGGGCCTGCGTGAACAGGTCTGAGCAGGTCAGAAAACTGGAAACAGGCCCTGTGACAGGACAAAAAACAGGATATTTCTGAGAAAAAATATTACTAAGAAACAAAAAAACGCGAATTTATCGGTTATTTTGATTGTTGAACTCTTTTTTACGTCTTTCGCGATTGATTTCTTTTAATATTTTCCCTGACTTATGCAGTTCCTGACCTGGTTACACAGGAACCTGTCTATGGTCAGGACCTGAGCGGGAAACACAGGCCTGTTTAAGACAGAAACAGGAACAGGGACAGCTAAAGAAATTTTTTCCCCTTAATTTTACACAGGTACTCAGGACAGGCCCAAATTATTACCCGATTTTACACAGGTACTCAGACAGATTCCCCAAAAACAGGAAACAGGACCTGTGACAGGTTTTTACACAGCTCAGTTTGCCGAGCCCAGGTTGAGATCCTCTCTACGGATTTTTTACTGTATTTTAGAATGTGGTACAATCCGGATGTTGCAAAAGTTATGCACGAAAGTAGTTGGGTTGAACCAAAAAGGACCCTCTCCTCTGGCTTCCACTACCGTTTCGGAGATTTGGACGGGGCTATCCGCGATTTAGTGCAAAAGCCCGTTTCATTATCTCAAGTTGCGCGCTATAGAATGGTCCAAAGATACAGGAGACATCTGCAATCAAGTTCAGATTCGTATTTTTACCTCGAGTTCGTCGAGAAAAGAGGCTGGAATCCATTGTTTGTTCCATTCATTGCCTTCTTTTCTTACTTCAGTTGGTTCTTCGTAGTTCTTACTATTGTTTTCAGTGGCGTGTACATGCACCAGTTTGTTAGTTTGTTCACTGATCCCATCTAAATAATCGAAAATCTTGATATTCTTCTATGATTTCATTTTTTCAGAAAATATGGATGATCGAATGGAGGAACCAAAGTCCATTCAAATTGATCAGTTTCTTTCTTATCCGCTGAGAAACTTCGAAAATGCAGCTTCGTTCGCGATTGATATCGGTGGCAGTCTTACAAAGCTCGCGTATTACTCGACAGTCAAGGTTTCTTCCTCGTAGAAACTTCCATAAATAGCTGTTGACTTGCAGTTTAGGATAAACAAAGTTAAGAAGGACGAAAAAGAGCTGTATGATGTCTCAGGTATATTTTCATTGTGTATCATTATTAAAATATGATGACAGAAACTGACAAAATCCTCCCACGTCTACATTTCATCGTGCTCGAAAATCAATACCTGATGGAAGCCTTAGATTTCATTCGAGACAGAGTCAAAGCCAGAACGCAGGATGCTGGCCCTGTTGAGTTTTTCGCTACAGGCGGAGGTAGCATTAAATATGCTCAGTTGCTAAAAGAAAAGATTGGTGTAGAACCTATCAAGCTCGACGAAATCGGCTGTGTCGTAAGAGGTTGCAATTTTTTGATAAGGGTTACTAATATAGACCTTCTATGAATTAGAATCCTAATTACCATTTGGTATTTACCATTCAACAAATCTTATAAGTTATAACCCTTCTTTTGGCTGAGAAACATTCCTCATGAAGCGTTCTCCTTTTCAAAGGACAAAGACGAAATGGAGCCCAAATACGACCATGAAGATTATACAGGCTCCGGAAAAATGACGATAGCCTGTTTCCGTATTTACTTGTCAATATTGGATCGGGTGTTTCAATCTGTTGCATCAGAAGCGCAGACGATTGGGAACGCGTCGGCGGAACATCAATGGGCGGCGGCACTTTCTGGGGCCTCGGTCGTCTTCTCACGGGCAAGGAATCTTTCGACGATATTCTTGAGCTTGCCGAAAAGGGCTCTAGAAGCGGCGTGGACACACTTGTTCGCGACATTTACGGGTTGTGGGTCTCTTGAAATTAAAATTACCCTTCTGACGTCATTCAATAATTTTGCTAATTTGACACAGAGGGACCCCGATTGGCGGCGGCGATTACGGAAACATGGGACTTTCTGGCGACATCACGGCTTCATCGTTCTGCAAGGCGGCCACCCAAAAGTCGTCAAAAATTGAAGAATTCAAACCAGAAGACCGAGCCAAGTCACTTTTGCATATGATCTCCAACGATATCGGGCAGCTAGCTTACCTCTATGCCAAACTCAACAACTGCAAGAAAGTCATATTTGGCGGCTTCTTCATACGAGGACATATGGAGACAATGAGGACTGTCAGCTTTGGAATCAACTACTGGTCTAAAGGCACGATTCAGCCCCTCTTTCTCCGCCATGAAGGATTTCTCGGAGCCATTGGCGCATTTATGCAGTCAAGCCGCGTTGATAAAACGAAACTTTGGGGTGAGAACTTTGCCTCGAGCACGGGCTATCGAGAACGCTCAACGAGCAATTCGAAGGATGATGATTCGATATCAACTTTGGAGTTGGATCAAATGGACATCGCGTGTGAGCCCTTTCCATATTTGATTGACTCGTACAAAGCGGATCAGTGGGATCTGACAGATGACAACGAGTCCAGAGAATATTGGTTAGGTAAGTGAAGTTATCGAAGAATAAAGGAAAGACCCTTTTTCAGCAACCTTAAAATCGTCGACGGGAAAAACAGCCTCCATCGCGAAACAATCTCAAGTCAGTTCAAGCGATGTCGATAACCGTATTTCCGAGTTCAAAGAAAAATACCTCAAGCGGTTAGACAATCTGCGACGTAAACCGGGGTGAGTGTCGAGTCAGTCAGTCCAGAATCGGAATCAGTTCATAAGTGATCTGATTTATAGTTCGGAAGTAACCCTTTCCTATCCGTCCTTTTTGATTATTTCTCATGTGACGTTACGACTCCAAATTATTTATTAATTGGCGATTGGTCTCATTTGTTTTCTTTTTCAAAAATAGCTTGTCACTCTACCGTAAGTAACAGTAATTCATTAAGTTCCTATGGACGACTGTCAGTACGAAAACTGCTAAACATGAGGGAAGACCTTCTCAACGAACTGCTCTTCCCTGACCCGTATATTCACATCAAAAAGAAGGAGAACGAGTTTTTCTTGCCCCTTCTCGCAAAAAGAATTCAAGAAATCGACTCTTTCACCGACCACAAAAAGCAATGGGAGGAGTGTTTCCGCGGCATCCTGGGCGGGAACATGTTCGATTGGGGTGCAAAAGCAGTAACGGACATTTTTGACGGCGCTGCCAACGGCCTCCTGCAATTTTCATCAGCTTTAGGTTTTTAAATCACGCATTTCTTGCTCCTGATTTTTTCTTAGAGAAAATTCAACCACGCCCCTGGTTAGTTGACCATTTCGATGCAATTTACGAGAAGTTAGGAAGATACAAAAGTGTTTGCATTTTCTGCGATAATTCTGGCGCCGATGTGATTCTAGGAGTGCTTCCTTTCGTCCGTCAATTGTTGAGAGACAATCTTCAGGTACTTGAGGCTCTTTATAGTGGGATAAGCGATTTTATTTTACTGTTATTTTATGCCAGTGTTTTTTCGACGATTTTTTCAATTGACGTCATGTGGGTCTTCTTGTGATAAATTTTGACAAGGCAAGCTCGAAAGTCGCCACTTATCCGTGTGTTCGACACGATATAAGTGTCACTAACTCCGATAAATAACGATTTAGAATTATGATTTTTTGTTCTGAGCTCACATGGCAACAATATTTCTGGCGTCATGTCGGCGACGCGAAATTGTGAATTAACTTTACTGCTACTGCTTCGGAGTGGCGCTGGGCCGAGTCAAGTAGTAAATATAAATACTTTACTAAGTCAAGTGCGTCATGTCGCCCTTATTCTCGTCGTCAAAGGGTTAATTAACACCCGCAGTGGCGGATATTAGGTGATATTTAGTCGCATTCCCCGCCCTCGGCCTTTCCACTAAATCTCACTAAAACAGCGTCAAAATAGCGTAAGTGACGTAAAATTCCCCTTTCTTGCTATAAAAACTATCCTATTCTTTCCCCCACTTTGCATTTTTTTTCTAAATTCTTCCTGTGAAAAAATTAACCGTGACGCGTGGAGTTTTGAAAGTGGAGCTTTTGTAAAAACCACTTGCCAGTTGGAACAACCCCTTAAATGGATCCACGTCACTCGAGTGATCGTTGTTCACACGTCATAAGGATATTTGAGAATTTTCCTCCTTGATTTCAAGATTTCTCATTTTCAGGTCGTCCTCGTCGCAAATTCGAAACCTGCGTTGAACGACGTCACCTATTCTGAGCTCGTAGCACTGATGCCAAAAGTCTACCATCTCTGCCCAGAGTTTGAGAGCTTCGTCAACAACGAATCCCTCATCGTCACGGACATCGAGTCGAGCTCACCATGTTTGAACTTGAAGACAGTTCCAACGCGACTTGTTGAAATTCTGAGCGCGAAGAAATGCGACTTGCTGATTTTTGAGGGCATGGGTCGCGCTATTCATACCAACTATCACTCTCAGTTCAAAATAGGACCGTGGTTTTGAAATATAAGTTTTTATGATCAATTGTGGAATTTTCAATTCTTAGATTTTTTCAAACCAAAAACTCAGATTCGATGAAACTTGCTGTGCTGAAAAACGAGTGGATCGCGAAAAAACTCAACGGAAAACTGTTTGATGTTGTTTGCAGACTCGATAAGAAAGTTGAAAACTGAAGACAGACTAAAATTAGTCTTTTTTATTTATTATTAGTTAGAATTACTTCTACTTCACTACTAACAAGATGCATGTAAATAAGTATTTATTTATTTATGTTCCCGTGCCTTCCTACTATTTAATCCTGAAAGCTGATCTATCCAATCGCGCTATAAATGAAATTATCAAAGTCTTTCCTATCCCACTTTTACTCCTGTCATTTTCAAAAGTCAGCTGAGAAGCAACCCCGCTCAATTTTGTCACGTTATTGAAATTGGCCATTTTTTTCTTCAAATTTGATTTTGATAACGCTATCGATCAGGTCCATAAAAAGGCGAACCTTTGGTGAACCTTGATCGTGAATCCTATCAAAAATCGCGGTCGTTTCAATTGTGATCGAGCGGCGCGGGTGTAATCCTCGACAAAGCATTTTTGTTGAGGGGTTGCCGGCGAACCCGAGTTGAACAAAAACAGTCTATTTATATTAATAACCGAATACTCTGGCTGCTTCTTTATCTTTTCTGTTACATAACCGAGATTTTACGGAAGAGGAATTTCCGTGCTTACGTAATCGTCAATTAAGAAACGCATAAAAAAACTATGGCAGATCAGGAGAACAACCATGACGAACTCAAGGCACAGGAGAACCAACTCCGGTGAGTGAAAGAAGTCTAGCTCCCATTTCCTAAATGTAGATTGAGCGTTCAACAGTTGATCGGTATAAAGACGTCCTCGATCATTCTATTTGTATAATTTCGAGAATGTAGTCCGCCAAAGGAAATAAAGGGAAGCAGCTCAAGAAGATTATTTTCTTTGGCGCGAATTTCTTTAATTGAGAATTTAAATTCCCGCTAAAGTTTTCCCTCAGATCCAAATATGGAAACATCGACAAACGTAAAGGGAACGCGATGCTGATGAAGAAACTGCAGGGAAAAAACAAACAGTATTTCGACTCTGGCGATTATAACATGAAGTCGGGAAAGAAGGCAGCTAATCCCATGGCTAATCCACTGGCGGCGAAGACAGTTCCAAGTGAGTAAAGTCGATATTATTTCATACAGATATAAAGTCAAGTTGTCCCTCAAATGGGCCAAGTTTAATGACCAATAATTTTGGGAAGGCTTAACTTTGATTTCCACGACCTAAAAACGCCAATTCTCATGTCTAAATTTTCAGACATGCCGGGCGGAGAACTACCACCCGTTATTCGCCGAGAATCCCTTACAACCGCCAATCAGCCCACAGCAGAACAGATGGCTGCTCTTCAGCAACGACGCGGCTCCCAAGTTGTAAGTTCATTTACTGGTGACTAGCTAGGAAAAAGTTGATTATTCACATCCTAAACAACACGGTCCAAATTGATTGGGAATGAGTCCGCTCAGGAATTCAACTGTTTTAATTTACTGTTCTTTTTTAGTCCGCCCTTGCTCTTTCCAACTCCAACTGAAGACACAACAACACAACAAAGACACGTTCACTAATATATTTTTTCTTCGCAAAGTTACGAAGCGCGTTCTTGGCGCTTCGAAAAAGTTATTTCTTTCTTTTCTCAACATCGAACTACCAATTCTACTGTTTGTCGATTTTTTGATCCGTGTGTTGCATATGATCGGGTGTCCAAATTAACAATTTTCCATTGAGCAGAAGCAGCTCCAATTTTCGTACTACTTTCTCGGCCAAAAAACTAACCAACCGCAAAATATCTTTTAAAAACCGCCTGATTCATACACTTCGATGATTATTTTTTTCTTTCCAACGCCCTCATAAAAATGGTGTTCACGCATTTTTCTCCTGTATATAATAAAATATTGACGAAAATAAAGACTCTTTATTTTTCGAGATGTTTCTTTGAAAGTGTTTCGATGAACATTTATTTAGTAGAACATTGAAAGCGCAGTTGTTTTATGCAAAATTGCAGGGCTTTAATTTTAATTTATTGAACTGAGGGGAAATCGAACAGTTTTGGAGCTGTTTTTGAATACAGTAGCATTGGTGTATTTATATAAATAGTTGTTTCAAAAGTTGGATGAACTTTTATCTCGTTTCGATGAGATAATTTTTGACTTATAATAAAGCACTTCGGTTTTGTTTTAAATAGTTGCAAACTCGAACCATCTGGTTTTGCTTGAAAATTTCAGGAACAAGAAAAAAGAAAAGAGGTAGTTTTGATAGTGGTTCACTAACCAAAAAGGAAGGGTTTAAAATTCGGTTCCCGAATAGAATTCAATTCAGATAGATATTCAGCTGTACAGTCATAATTTATACACTCATGGTAGGAGGAGAGATACAGATAGAAGTTTGCTCGCTTTTCTCGTGTAGGCAGTGATGAGAAGGAACTAAAATGAAGGCTTTGTTATTTGATCACATTTAGCCTCGATTAGGCGTGTCAAACACTGGCTTTACTCATCTGCTTCATCAGAGAGGCGATGAGTTCCTGTCAAGCTGGGGGTTTTTCTAATTTTAGAAATGGAGCACGGTCCCAGCCTCTCAATACTTTAATAGTGCGCGGTAGACTTACAGTGACAGGTTTGATGTGGCAGGGCGATCCCTGTTGTTTTTGAATACGCGCGTTCTTTCTTCGTAAGAGCAGATCACACAGTCGGGCAGGGTGGCCAATCTTGTATCGCGTTTCCGACTCCGAGAAGAATGAGGTCAAGGCCAGAGTAGAAAGTACACGAGTCGATTATTCTGCTGTGGCATTTGCGAGTTTCTGACCATTGACTGGAAAAATAGTTGATCAAGAATCTTTACAAAGATACGAGGAATTACAAGAGTTGTGTATCCTATCTTCTACTTACGTTGATCACAATAGAAGCGGGGGAAACTCAAAATTTATTTCCGCGGGCTTGGGCCAATATTAGCCTGGAAGTGAAAGAGTTCCTCAGAGTTCCTGGCCGTTCGTGAAAATTTGTAAACGATCTACTATTGAATGCTTCCCGATGGAATGTTCGTTAAATAAAGAGTTCAAAATCATCAGGGGCGTATTGTGATTCCGTTTGGAGTCCAAACACACGGATGCCGATGTCGAACGAACTCGAAACCAAACTTGAATGGTCCCAACTCAATGGGATCGAGTGCCGACCCGACGGCGGGCCTGTTTGTGCAATTATTACTGTAATTCATACTGAAAAAGCAGAGGGGATTCTAGCTCGAGGAATTTCTGAGGTATTTCTGGCCCAAAGCCACGCGCTTTTGTCAAAATTAACTTAAAATAAGATAGACAATGGCGCCTTTGAAAACTCTTGAACTCTTAAAAAAAGTTCACCACGGTTTGTCTCGAGTTTCAGCTCTCAGCCCTTGGGAAGAGTCTTACCTGCAATTTAGTTCTCCGTCAGGAGTGAGCGGGTTAGGTTCGAATGCAATGGCTGTGCATCGTTCTTGTTCGTATTTTTGGGACTTTGGGCAGTCGGGCTCGTACATGTGCGAGTTGATCACCAGCCTGGTCGATTCATTCGTACAGAGACGCTGAAATACTGTTAGAAAACGAGTCGACCCTTTTCAGTTGAGCGATGTAATCCGACTTCCGGGTTTTTATATTGCTCTGAATTCCATTACACCAAACTGACCCCTGCCTTGGATCATTTCGTTTCAATGAGTTTTAATCTTAGATTAAGAGCAATCTGACGCCAAATAGGCGCACTCGCTCATTTTCCGGTAATCTTGCGTCGACCGCTCGATCCCTTCGTTTCCTTTGACTTTTCAGCTCGTTACGATGTTGTTATTGAAAGAGCTGCAGTCGGGTACATTCCTTTATTTACGGTTATGCTGATTCAGACGCGATTTCTGTTTACTAAAAGGCGGGGGATAGATTTCGAAATACCGCGGGCTATCTTTCCACAACCACCGAAGAAAGGCCGTTAATTTTACAAGAACACTACTTAAGCTCGGCAGATTAACTGGTTGTAAAATCCTTGACGTATATAGCGGATGCAATTCGCCAGCTCAGCGCTTTCGCCCGGTTTATGTCTGATGCTTACCTCGAATAGCCTCATTGTCTTGAAGTAGTCGAAGATCTCGTTCTTCAGGAAATCGTCTGCGAGAAGGTCTTCTCCGTCAAATTTCTCGCCACAGCTTTCTGCCACGGTTTTCATACATCGCTCCAGCTGGACGTAACGATCGCTTTAATGATTTTTTAAGAGTGGTTTCATGATCAAAATTTGATTTTCAAATGTTTTTTTTCCGACTGCCGTACTCTCGCACATTCGTGGAAAATAGCAAAATAACATGTTAGAGATGAAGTTTTACTGGAGTGAATTTAATGTGCTAACACTCGTCTGAGTCAGTTTATAAGGTCTAGTCATAATTTGAAAAGGATGTGTCACTAGTGCAACGTTTATCCCCGTGCAAAATCACCAAATTGTTTATTACCTGCAGCGGATCTGCTCGGATACTGCAAATGCTTTTAGACAGAAGTTGAAGTCTTCTGTCAGTTCACTGTACTTGCATTTGGGCCATTCCTTGAAAAGAGAATAGGTCTAATTACGAATAAACGAAGCTACTTACGAGTGATGGAGACATCTCATTATCGTAAAAAACGCCTCTTGGTGAGAAATTTTCGATGATCATTTCCGGTAAATAAGCGGCTTTTCTTCGCGCCTGCTCTCTCATTGGGCCGAGTTCGACGGGCTCGATCATGATGCAGTTCATGCTCTTGCATTTCTTCCCGCTGCAAGTCGGATCTTGGATTAAAATTTCTTCGCAGGGGGTAAGAGCTGAAAAGAGTTTTTGATAGAAATTGAATCGCTCCTTGGACGTCTTACTTGGACGAGGAGATGCAGGTTTTCTGTTGCAATAATCAATTTTGATGTCATCAATGGCGACGATGGAATTTCTAGCAGACCCGCGTTGTGCTTCGATTGAAACGCGGATTTTTGAATTCTTCTTGATCTGCGACTAGAATGCGACTCATATAACCTTTTTGCAAATTCTCTCTACCTGGGGCTTTTTCTTTCGAGTTTGACCGGGTCGATAGATGCCGTAATTTTCGTCTTCAAAATATTTCGGGTCCATGATGTTAATTGGATCTGTCGTGGTCCAAACACCTGGTTCGCCTTCTGCATCGATCCGTTCCCAAATTGTTCTTTCTGCTTTGGAGTTGTCTTTGCGAATGTACATGACTTTGACGAACAAACCCATCGGAGCGTTCTTCTCGTCTCCGTGAAATCCACAGGCCTACAAGAGCAAACGTTATGGAATGTTTTTTAGTTTTGTCCTCAAGCTCAACTAAATCCAAGATCAATCACTTTGGCGAAGGATTTGGGTCACTTAAGGGCTACTTGGCGAGTTTGCTCATTCTCAGAGTAAATAAATTCCTTTCACTTTTGCTTAAGCTCTTCTGTTCTTAAAAATTTCGCCTAAGAGCGCTATTTTAGCTGCTCAAAAATAAGACGGGCCCACCCAGGGCGGCGAAATCTCGCAATATTTATTATTTGACTAAAGCTGTAAATTTCCGAAAACTCACATTTAGTGCCCGTTCTGATGCCTCAAATTTACCTTTTTGTCTTTATTCGATTCGCAGAAAATCGCCTGCTTGAAGGTAAGGCAGAGGGCTCTCTTCTTCCTTCGATCGTAGCGGATTCCTTTGCTCATAAATCGAGCTGGATTCATTTGATCCTTCGAGTATTTCGCATTCGCGACCAGATAGTGGCCAGGTCCTGAAAAATTACAAATTCAGTGAGCAAATTTTCAGCCTAGACGTCTGAATCACTCGCACTCATCAATCAGCTATAGATTGTCCTAAATTAGCCCGGCATTGGTGTTTCAGAAACAAGAATCTGAAAACTAGCGCTAAAAACTTACTTGGCTTGAGTTCCGGTTGATTTTCGACGATTTTCCATTCGAGCGGCCGGCAACTTTTCCGCTGACTCGCACCAGTACTGTTTACGGTTTTACGACATCGTTTCGTTGCTTTCTAAAATCGGATGGTAACAAGTACAGTTGACCTAGTTGACAACATTCCTCGAGGAATTCTGTCTGTCATCAATCTTGGAAGATGAAAGCGGAGAATCTTACCTCGACTTTCCAAAATTTACACTCAACGCGGTCCTTGCTGGCTTTCCTGCGCGACGGGCGCTTCCGCCTGAACGGGTCCATCGAGCAGTTTTTACTGATCAAGGGTCAAAATGCGACGTGGATCGCACCAGCTGGGTGGCTCAATCGCTCACCCCCTGCTCCTGTAAACAGCAGAAAAACACGTTAGGTGCTAAGGTTCGGTGAAACGCGCGCCTATCTGGATATCGTAAATTATTTCATTCCGAACTGTAGCACGAGAATTAAGGGATTAGTCACTGTGAGTGCAGCGAGAGTAGATGTGGATCAAAATGGTACACGGAGGGAATTAACATTGACCGCCAGGCTCGCTCGAGGAATTCAAGGTACACACATTCCTCAAACCACAACTGGGATGGGCAAATAAGCTCATTAATGAAATTCACCTTTCATCGAAAATAACGAGTTCTACAAGGGTCAGAAACACACTTGTAAATACTCTTATTTACGAGGCGATTATTAAGCTGCTCTTTACGCGGGTAAAAACGGCACTTCTGACAAAAACAATAAAGCAACAAAAACAAAAGCAAATGGGTGGCATTCCAGCTTTTTATGGTGGCGTCATTGGCAACGTAAAAAACGAAACCGAAAAGAAAATGATGCCGGTTAGTCGGAGGCGGAGTAAGTAAAAGTAACTGCCGGAAGCAGCAGTTGCGTGAGCGCTTATTAACTTCACACCAAACGGTGGCAATTTTCGCTGCGGAAAGTGTATTCACGACTTCACGAGACTGCGCAGCTTTACAAAGACCCTGCCTGGGTCAAGGCCATTGTGTGGGGCTCTAGGCCAAACAAAAAACGCCTTTTAAAATCACGGCCACTTTCAAATCCTCAACAGACGATCAGAAAATAAGGCAATCTGCTAAATCACTTTACAGGGAAGAATTTTCATCGAAGTTCTTGCGAAAAAATATTTTTTTTTATAAATTATGAAAGTTTATTGCCAAAAAAAGTTTGAGTTTGCCCGAAATAGCAAGTTTTACTATTTTTAGCTTACTTCCGATATCGGAACTCCCGGTTTAAAAAATAGACAACCTCGTAAAACAAATGTAAAATGAAAGTCAAAAACTCTGGCGCGGATTTTGGCCCTTTCCTGGATTGTCCTTTGTTCTTCGATCGTCTTGATGAACTGACCAGAGTTCTATCTTGGTCCAAAAGAGCGCATAGAATCGCGACTATATTTGGTCATGAAAAATGAAAATGAAAAATTGATAATTTTCAAAATTATATTTATCTAATTCTGATTAATAAAAATAGATAAAAATTACCTAGAAAAAGAAATCTCATTGTTGATTTCGTCTCTCTTCCTTGATCGATAAAGTTTTCTTCTTTTTACGGAATTGCTGTTCTGGACTGATCTCTAGTAGCTGCTTCGTGAGACTTCTTCTATGGCTGAAATTTCGAAATTGAAAATGTTGAAAAGTAGGTTGAGTGATAGATTTAGAGAATTGGTATTTGGATCGCGTTAAAAAGTTGGTAACGTTCTATCAACTCATCTGCCATTATCGCTAGCGCCCGGGCCTCTAGCGACTTCGTGCTAGGCCCTGACCCCGGGGCGCCATCTTTACAGAGAGTCAGATCTTCTGCCCAAGCGGGGGTCCTCTCCTTCACGATAATCCTGAGGAATTCTCTTTACTCGTCAGGCCTCACGCTGGAATTCACACTTCTGGGATGAGCTGCCCACAGACAGTTACAGTTAACGCTTGCACAAAGGCAGACTACTGTTTCAGCTCATAAAATATTTTTTTCAACAAAGAAATTTCCGCTTTCAATTTTGTTTTATGGTGAGAACGGGTCAGTTCTGATGCACTTTTCATGATAGAAAACACGAGTTCAAGTATCAAAAATACAATTTTGCCAGAGTTGCGTGAGAGATTGAAATAGAAGAATCCGTTTTGCCGGTGATTGCAGCGAATTTCGGCATTGGCAGCAAAACAAAAAGAAGATTCGCTGAAAAATTCATGAGGGTATTCTTGGAGAATCATTGAAAGACTTTCAGTCTGGAAATTTCAAAACATTTTTGCAGAAATTCATGCCCTCTGAAAATGGGAGACGAGAGAATCGCTGCTATCGACGAACTTCTAGCGCACTGTCGAGCAAGAGAATATGTAGTAGTACTAAGAAGAGCAGCTAATCGAAGTTTTTTTTCTAGGATGGGTTCAGTGATGAAGAGGAAGAAACGAAGAAAAAAGAAGGCGGAGAAAGTATCGGAGGATGTTGCGCGATCGGCTGCGGGAGTTTCATTTTCGTGTGTGGCTCGATAGGCTTGTTTTATGAAAAGGTCGCACGTCCTCTTCCGTATTTCGATTGATAGAGCGCATAAATACTAAACGCAAGCTTTCCCACCGATTGCGTTGAACTTTTTTCTGCGTGCGCAGGAAATTGTTTCATTTCAATCATCATCGAACCTCTGCGACCTCCGCCCAGTTCTTTTTTCAGCGTCATGAGAAACTACGAAAGCAGACAACCCGAGAGGATCGACATATGGATGGCCTTGGGAAGCAAAGCCAAGGTTCTCAAAATTAATAACTCTAGAGCTCAATGAGCTATTGAACTATCGACTGTCAAAAGGCTGGCCCCATATAAATCCTAATTTCGTAAACATCATTCGTATACTAACCGAAAAGAACCCTTCAAAAAGTCTGTATGTTATGAGCATTGGAATTCTACTCATGAAAGTATTAAAAAACTCTAATGAAACAAGATAACTTGCGTAATAATCTGCCACTCCTCTCACGAGGAGAGGCTTCCAGCTATTTCTTTGAACTCTTCCACCACGAAGTCACTATTGAACTCAATGGCATTCGAAGCCCTTAGGGCGGATGTCCATTGTACTGAAGATCACTGTAAAATTTAGCGCTAGCAAGTTTTTAATACTGGAAAAAGACTCAGTAGCTGTTTGAAGAAGTGTCTTCCTCGAAGAACGAAAAAGACAGCGCCCAAAGGATCTTTTGATCTTGCGTAAATTACGGTTCTATTGTAACAATTGTATGCAAAGAAAAAGGAATAGAAAATATTTGATAGAATTAGCTTTTTTGTTAAAAGTTCTAACAAAAATTCTACTCAAAATGAAAATATATTATAAGAAAGAAAAAAACAAAATCAGAAAATCGTGCTTTTTACTGAAGAGTCTTCAGTCTAATGATCTCGTCGATTCTATTTAATAGGAGAATGTTGAAAGCATTATTGATGCCGTACCTGAAAAGTAGTGGATCGGGCTTTACCTAGAGGTCAACCCTTTCTCTCTTTTCTCTCTGAGATCTGTGGCAGCCGCAGATTCCCAAATGACAGGGACCGTGCTTTAGGAAAGAAATTCGCTGCTCCGGGCGGGTACAAAAGTGAAGAATCCCTGCTCTAGTAGTCTAATGCCACATTCCACCGGGAAATCTCTTCCTGCCTAGTCTCCTTGGTTCAAGTTCGGTTCGTCTCGGTGCAGCAGACAAAGGCCTATTCAGTGAATTATATGCTAAGTCCACGGGGTCATCTGGGTTTTCGCGTATTCAGCAAGGCTCTTGTCCTATTTATGCTCAAAATACGCCTGTTATAAGTATTGACAAGTCTGCCAGGGACATGAAGGAATCAAGATAGAAGGTCAAGGTAGCTGCTAGAGTAACCGGTCCGGTTCCACGGATGCCAGCGTCTCATGCAGATTATGGCTGCCGCGGGCCGAAAGCTGCGTGGTCACAGCTTTTCAATCAGTTCTAAAAATTCGAAAATTTCTACTTGGAGACTGGAATTCCGCACAACCGTGACATTAGCTTGGATAAAAATCAAACGCGCCAAATATCATAGAACCTGTCTAGTGCTTGAATTACCCACCGGCACCTTAATTCTTAAATCATAGGCTCGGCGAACACTGCCTAGCTTGACGAGTTCGCCTCTTTGCTAAAATCAAGGTCAAATCGAAAAATGTCAAACTAAGCGATTCAAAGATCATCAACTCAAGTATCGGACCAAGTGCATATAGAAAAATGATCATTTGTCTTGCTTTTATCAAACAAATAGCTCTCACGAACTTTGCAAGTTATGTTAACAAGTAAGCATTGATAATAACAGTTGTCCTCGAAACAAGAAAGTAGACACGATAATTCGTCCAACTTGACTGACCCTCCCTTCTTTTGTTGCATACCTTTGAATTCTGTTTCTTAGAAAATTCGTTTGCCTTTCTCTTTTTCTCGTTTTGTTTTGTCTTGATCTTATTAATTCGCGAGTTTATTTAATGATCTTCAGCGTCGTATATTTAACACGAGCTGAATTGGGGAATGAAGGACGGAAAGTGTGAAGATCTTCGGATGTGTTGACGTCATGTCAATGCAATTCAGAGCCGGAGGGAAGATTCTAAGTCCAGACATTTTCACTTTCGCTAGCCTGGAATCCGCTGACTCCACACCCGGCACCTCTCAAGTGCTACTTATTCACTTATCGTATTCTGTGAACTTAGAGATAACATGCACTCGAATTTACGCCAAACGTAAAAGTTCAAATCGTCCATTTCAAGTTCGAATACCTCGGCAGCAGATAATCACGCGGTTGAGAAAGACACGGTAATTGGGGACCACGTTACGTGGTGCACCTTTTAAAAAAGAGATCACATGACTGCTCTACATATTTTTGAACCTCAATGAAGCCATGTGATTGATCGTTAATTGGAGGTGGAAAATATTTTGAAAATTTTCATGACATGACTGTTTCTTGCACCAAAATATTGTTGAAGCAATGCGACTCAGAAGTACTCTGATTAATTTTCATTTAGATAATAAAAATATTTTCGTCGTCGACACAGCTGCTGTTCTATTTTTAACCTCTCAGCATATTTTTGGATAGAATCTGCTTTTTATCGTTTGGCTGATTTTCCGCTTTCATAAAAATCAACAAGAATGACGAGCATCGGAAATCCGCGCGCTCAAATGTGATTATCTTTATTGTTGTGTTTCTCTCGCTCAATTCAAGTTTTTTTTACTTTATTAAAACACATTATCTTCGTCTTCTAATAAACGCGTCGACTGGCTAAAAATAGAATTATAGGTTATTTTTAAATCGTCATTTTTTATTTAGCTTACGTTACTACTTGAAGGTTTGAATTCTTTTCGAGAGTGTTGACTTTGAAGACATTGTCAGTACTTTTGCCGATTTTCTGCATCATTTCGATGTCTTCCTTTAGCTTCTTTTCCTTTTTCTTCTTCTGGCGCTCTTCCCAGTAAACGGTGTAACAGCTCCGGAAGACGAGAATGACTATGCTCATCAGCACTAGAAAACGACGGGTTTACTCCTGGACTAAGCTGATTGAGTCCCAATTAATTTTCGCCGAATAAGCTGACTATTCAGATGCCCACAATTTTGATTAATTGGGCGATTTGAGAGGCCTGTCCTGTCACTGTACGATTTTATGGGGCGATTAAACGGGAAAAGTGCTTTTAGAGAGATTTCTCGAATGTTTTCCTCGAAGAAAGAAAATTGTTTGTTTATTGATATTTTCTAGAGCTGCTGTTTGTTTCTCAGGGATGTCTATATAAGGAGGGGTTTGACGAGAGTCAGCCATTCTTGACGGTTTCGTCTTGACAAAGGCACCCTTTCCAGGACTGTGAATACTGGGAACTTTCCCAGTGGGAAGGGTGACTGTAATCGATAGTGGACAAGAATACGACACTCTTAACGAGGAGGAAGCGTAATCCATGCCAGTAAACCTCGAGTACATGTTCAGCGAGCCCTTTTTAGGGCTCAAAATATTATCAATCTTCCTTGATTCCAAAAAAGTTCGAAAACTCCCAGTACCGAGTTATGAAAAATGGTAGAATGAAGTGATCAATAGCGTTCAAAATTGACATATTAAATGAGATGTGGATGGCTTTAGTGCCTCATAAACCCGGTAAGCGGTCATCACATTTTTAGAAAACTGCTCCCAATAAAGTAAAATAAAGTTTTCTCCAAACGAGGAAACTACCTTTTTCCAGCGCTAAATGCGGACTTACCGAAGCCTACTTCAAATCTCATCCGCAAGATCGAAGGTCCATTTTTTTCTCCAAGATTTTCTGTAGAATTTGACAGGATCTTTGAAAACTCTTTAATTTGCTCCTCTGAAGTTGTTTCTTCTGTCAAGCTCTTTCTGAATGCTCTGTCTCTCGAAAACGCGGAGCTATTGTCCGGGACGTAAATAGTAAAATTATTCATTCATTGGCTCTTTTACAAAAGACTAAACTTTACGGCTTGCGATAATTTTCAATGTAAATACGTTTGAAATGAGCAGGATTGCAGGCTCCCAAATAAACGTTCCTATTCATGTTTGTTCAGACAGTCATCATTCTGCTTGAATTATAAATCAAAAGAGAGGTGCGAATCTTTCCAACGTAACAAAGGCCCAAGGTCAAAAATATATCCAACTGCTGAGAAGCAAGAAAAAGTGTTTCTATCGGCAAATATCCCTAATTAGACCTCAAGTCACTTAGGTTTAGCTCAATAAGATTTGATTTACCTTTTATTTGGACTGAAGTAGGGCACGTGTTGTCTTCAAGCCTCGAGCTGTCAGTGTGGAATGTGTGCGTGTTTTGATTCATTCTTTCGAAATTTAAAGTCTAAAACCTATCATATATCTTCTCGTTTTATGACTGATCATGTGAATCAGAATAGCTACCGATAAAAAGTACTTTGGAGACGCTATCAGGCAATATTTATCGTCTCCAAAGAGACATTTCTGTTTGCTTTTCCATAACGTTCCTTGCATGCATAATTTCAATAGTTAACTACCCAAGAGAGGAAAAAATGAACAAAATCGAGGACGACCTGATGACGGAGCTTACCGATCTGACGTTGAAGGATATCTCGACGCTTGAAAAAGGCATGCAATCGTTGGTGAGGGAGGAGGTCCGAAGATATAAACTGGAAACAGGTAGATTTTTCTCGAATTCGTTTCTGATACATCTCTGAAGAGCTGAAGAATCAGATGAGAGAAGAAGCAGCAACAAAGACAATTCGAGCTCTGCAGGCTAGAATCGCTGAACTTGAGGCTACTGTTGCTCGACTTACTCCGACTAACGCACCTTATATTGCAAAAAACTCGGTTCCAGCTGGTGAAATACACGATAACTCGCTTGCAGAGATATTAAAGCTGCAGTATGAAAATGCCTCAAACTCGCAAAAGTACCCTGATATTCAAACACTGCAAACTCCTGGGTACGCAAGTGTTCGACTTGATGCAAATCTGGATGCGATTGAGCGCCGAAATCAGAAGATAAAGCAGGCTTTGAACATGCAAGGTATAAAATTCACGCGATAGATTACAAATTATTTAGGATCTAATCTTGGAATGACTTCAAATGGAGAATATTATGTTCATATTTGACTAGCAATGTGACGATACTTTATTTGATTGACAAAAACCGAATAAAACTCAAAATTGAACTTTCCTGCATGTCAAATAAGTTTTGAATTAAAATATATTGATGAATAGAGAATAGAATGTGAGAACAGACATCAAGGCAGCTGAGTGGCCGGGCTCTTCTGATAAAGTCGTTGTTGTCTTCTTCGCGGTTGTCGTTTTTGCAACTGTGCTTACAATTTCACAAAGTCCAGTTTCTTCCAGATCATCAATGATTATTTCGATTTTATCGCTTATTCCGCTTTTGATATTTTTTAAAACTAAATCGCGTACAAAAACCGAGTTTATTAAAAAACATTTCCTCTCATAATTGCCCTCTAAAGCTTCACATCTTTTATGAAGTTCTTTCAAATCGTCTTCAAGATTCTCATTCATAATGTTTTCTTCAAGAAGTAACTCTTAAAGAACAATGTTATTAAAAAACATCTATAGTTATTTGAAATAACTTATTTCATACCTCCATAATCTTCTGTCACTGCACTCCCGTGTAAAAATGACGTCTCATTGATCAAAGTTGATGATGTTAAATCATCACTGAGATAAAAATCCATTGCATAGCAAAAGTCCTCATTCAGTTCGATGGTATCCACATCGATGCAGTTCTCTTCTGCCGCTACTTTTGCAATGCGACTAGCAGACGAAATAAATAATGAAAGAAAATAAAAACGAAAACTCATATCGTCGAAAAATTTCATCTGTAGATAACGGTACACAACGTCGTTAAAATGGTAATTCTGAAGGTGAGCGCTGTCAAAAAACAGCAAAGATTGTATAAATGGCAGAGACTCTTGATAGTTGGAATGTTAACAATTGGTTCCAGTTCATTTTCTCGAATTGCAATAAAAATAGAATGTTTTGATAAGACTCTTTATGATAGAGACTTTATCAGATGTTAAATCTGCCGGATAAATAAGCGGGTTCACCGGTTGAAATTCTATAAAAGTTAAATAGATGATGCGAGAGCCTGTTCGTTTTGTCAATTTTTGCATTGCTACATTTATTTTTGTTAGACTGTTCCTCCAGTACCAACATATTTTTAACAGTAGAAGAGAAACAAACCGTTTTCCTCATGCCTTTAATTTCAAACCAGTTGAAATCGCAGAAAAAGAAATAGAAGAAGACAAAACAAGTGTGTTAAAGTACGAGATATTTTCTAACAAAAACCCAAGGAAAGAGTTGAGTCTTATTAACATAAACATTGCTAGTAAGCAGATTTAACTCATCAAGAATATTTGAGAAGACTGAGGAAGAAAAATCAGTGGAACTGTTTCTAGCCAAAAGAGAAATGATGCTCGAAAAAGCTTGCAAATATCAAAAATTTATCGATTCACTCGCAAAATCAAATCAAAATGTTGAAGAATTTTTGAAGGTTAGCAAGATTTTCTGAGCAAAATGACTATTTTGAAAAAATCATTTATAGTTTCACGAGTTCCTCGAATCAAACTCTACGGAAATTTCCTTATCTCACATGTTTCAAAATGAACGATGCTCACCAACAGTCACCAGCTCAAAAATTTACGTCTTACCAGAACCGTTTAATGTCTGGCAATGCATCCCAGACAAGCGCGCCCAGCTGGGCTGGATTCAGCACCTTTCCCAACTGTATGTTCGACTTGGTGGCGCAGATTTTCCACTTTCAAAGTTCACTGACGATTCAAATCTTGGTCAAATTGCCGCAGAAGTTTTGAATAAAGCGATTGAGAAGAACAAAGTAAAATCAATCAGGGAGAAGCTTCTGAAGATAGCTGCCGTTCAGTCGCCATTTTTGAGACTTCTTCAAATCGCTGAGAATTTATCTGACATCGAGATAATGGGTCAAGTAAAAGAGCTTTCGCAAGATCCTGAGGACAAATTATCAGCGATTTTTTGGATCTTAGCAAAAAAAGCTCACTCACAGGACATGAAAGAAAAATGGAAAGAGCAGCATCAAAAGGTAAAGAAACATCGAAACCGGTGAATAGTTTTTCCAAGTGCGTCCCGTGCGAAATGAGATACAAATACATTGTTCACCAAACCGACGAGCAGAACATCATCAACACTGTCTACGGAGAAATCGCCGCTACAGGGACAACGGAAGGCCCAGAAAGAACACTAACAGACGAAAACGAAGAACTTCTAGCAACAGTGGACAGATCAGCACTAGAATTGGTTTACAAACGATTTTTTGGTGATTTTGTTTACTTTGGTTTCTCGTCGTCATATGTTCGAAAAATATTAACAGCTTCAAAATACAGAAAGAATGATGAAATTTGGGCTGAGGTTTATTTTATCGATCAGATAGAAGATGAATTATTTTTTTAGAAACTGAATCAGAAAACAGACAGTGAAGCAGACTACCTTTCTTGTTTATAAAACTTGTTTTATCACAGAGATGTTTGTAAATAAAATAGAAATTGATTTATTAAACCATTATTTCTGTATATTTTGTTCTATGAATACGAGTGTCAAAAGTATATCTGTGATAATCGAGCAGATCCTCGTCATAATCGATTAGAATTTCGAGAGATTCGAATGCTTTTTTCGAGAACGCTTTTTCGACGCCGGAAATAATTAATTTTCCACTTGTTTCAAATGCTTTGAGCTTCGTTGGAGTCGTAAAAATTGATAAAACTTCATAATTTCGTCTCATTGATCTTTCAATCACCTTCGTTCCAATATGAACAAATATTCCATATTTTAATCTTATTCCGTTTGCTCAAAAACTTTCTACAACTTTCTTAAGGCTATAACCTCTCTTTTGGCCTCTCCGGAAAACGGACTTCTCTTGGTCGATTTCAAAAATTTAAAGGGCAAACATACTTGTTTTCTCCTGAAAAATTCAAAAATTCCATTAACAAATACTGTTCTCTGGTAATTGTTTGCTCTAGAATCATTCAAAAATTGCCATTCGGTTTCCCAAGAAAACTGGAAGTTCTGAGGTAGAATTTATCCAATAATAATACTAAATAGAGCATATTCTATGATCCTCACGGAGAAAATTTCAAGATATTGTCCAAATTATGATTATAATTCTCTCTTCTTTTAAAACTCTTTTGTTTATAGACTGACGCTTCAGATCCGCGCAGCCAATCAGAGCGCGATGAATTGCTTGACTCACACGCTCGCCAACAGCGCTCTCTTTTTGGCCTGGAGGATAGCACTCCGCGCAGCGCGTCCACGCGCATTTTTATCCTCAGGTGCCAGCACTAACATGGCCCTAGAATGAAAATTTGAACAGTTATCGGAAATTTTATCCGTGGGGATTGTAGAGAAGGCTTAAATCTATTAATTGATCAAAAAAAATCTACCTCTGTAATGGTAAAATTCTTCGGAAAACCGAATGGCGTTTTTTAAATGATTGTAAAGTCGAAATTTCGAAAGAAAAATAATTTTTGATCGCATTTATGAAATCTACGATAGATTTTGAGTATACGAGTCTTTTTAATTTTTGAAATCGACCAAGGAAAGTCCGTTTTCCAGAGAGGCCAAAAGAGACGTTATAGCCTTAAGAGAACAGAAACGTAACAATTCCTGTAGAGATGTATCGATAATTCTGCGTAAACATGGGTTAGCTGCTCAGCTGCGAAAATCACAAATATCATACTGTCAATATCTGTAACGGATATAAATATCGAGCTTTCCTGCTATCTTAGAGTTTTCAGAGGGAACAATTGAGTGGAAGAATTATTAAATTGGTGTATTCATATCATTACTTTAATGGCAGCCACTTGCGCCACCAATTCTTTGCCGTAAATTTCACTAGGCTCCACATTTTTGTGGCTCCAATCTCTATTGTTTTCGCTCAAAGTTGAAATTTGTATGGCTCTTGATGTATAGGTATCGTCTCTCACTCCATAAATATGCAGGTGTTCATCCCATGAGCCCATGTAGCTTATTTCATTGTGGCAAATAGGAATCAGATTTTTCACTCGGAAAAGCCTTTCATTCTGCTCAGGAATGACATAGAAACACCTTCTCGAATCAAACTCAGGTCGACAAATATAAATGTAATCTCTGAATGAAGCTGCTAGTCCATAGTACGCGAACTGTATATAAATTCCGAAAGATGCACGGTAATAGCCTGAGGTTTGAATATCAAGAGATTTAAGCCGCCTTTGTTCATCAATTTTGTAAATTTGCATATCATCGTGAATGAAGAAGAACTTATCTTTGAACAAGACACTTGTATAAAAATCAAAGACGTCAATCTCTAGTAATCTAAACTCTTGCTGTGTCTCCCAGTTGTACAACATCATTGTTAGGCTTACCGGACTGAATTTCGACTCATTTTTCTAGCCTGATTCACTGGTCATATGACACAAATAAAGAAAGCCTATAACCAGGGCTTTCATTTTAGCACCATATCAAAATGGGCACTAGAATTGTTTAGAAGAATTTTTCGATGCCGGGCCGGCCTTCTCAGAAGTCGAGAATCAGTTATTTAAAAAGCCCAGGATCTGAGCTTTCAGTAGAGCCCAAGAAATCTTAGTGCAATGCAATTTTTGGCCGTCAGCGATCAGTTTAATTGTCAATTTACTGCCTATTTTGGCTATTTTTTGGGAGAAAGTCATCAATTTCAGTGAAATTTGACCGCCAAAACAAGACTTCAAGCGCTCGCTGAAGGCCACAAACCGCACTGCACTAAGATTTCTTGGGCTCTACTGAAAGCTCAGAGCCTTCGCTTTCTAAATAACTGACTCTCGACTTCTGAGAAGGCCGGCGCGGCATCGAAAATTCTTCTAAACAATTCTAGTGCCCATTTTGGAACTTCAGGTCCCATAAATTGCCTTGCGGGCATGACCCAGACCCCTCGATATGGTGCTCAAATGAAAGCCCTGGTTATAGGCTTTCTTTATTTGTGTCATATGACCACTGAATCAAGCTAGAAAAATGGTTCAAAATTCAGTCCGGTAAGCCTAATCATTGTTCCGTATCTACCTTGGATTGAGTTTGAAATTTACTCTACTCGACGCAGAAAATATAATCTCAAAACTCTTTACTTGAATACCGAGATCGAGCATATGTCCTGGAGCATACGTCCGTGCTGCTTGAAGCTGATGAAGTTTCGTTATGGTGCAGTGGTAATACTCACATGGACAGCCCTTCGGACATAGTTCCTCAAAGGGACAAATGCCGTCGAGAAAACCGAATTCACTAAGAAGTTCAACACATAATAGCTTGCACTCGTTTTCTAAACCAGGTTCAGCAATTGAACAAAGATTCTTGCAGATCGCGCGATCTTTAGCGGGCTAAACACCTTGACTATTTCTAATTTATTTTTATAAAGATGAGCCCCGACAAAATACCGGAATCTCTTGCAGTTTTTCAGGTTGATTTCTTGCTGCTTATCATCATATTCAACTAAGTCTACCTTGTCTGTTTCAGAACTAGCAGTATTAGATGTTGAATTTTCTACAGACCAAGTCGCATTCGGATAGATGAATTGTTGATAGCCAATACAGTGGTCCAGAGACTTCGTACAATCTACAAATTACTTTTGGGGAGAAGCAGGGTTGAAAGCCTCTTACCATCAAATCGATTTGTTCTAACGCAGGATTTGTATTCCCGATTGCAGTAGGAGCTTTTGTATGTGATATGAGCAGTGAGTTTCTTCAGCCCAATATAGTTCGTCGTCACAACAACAAGATTCCAAAAGATTGTACCAATAATCATATAATTAACAAATTGGCGTTTGGTTGAAAACCCATGTTTGGCAAAAATTTTAGTCGCCGAAAAATCAGCTTTAGGTCTTTCTCTTACTACCAGGATGACTTTACCCTTGCACTTCCGGAGAATGCCCGCACATTTGCAATTTGAACACTAAAAGTATATTTTTTCTCTTTATAAGTGATGTTAAACCTCGCCAAAAATATTCATGAGCTCTTTTTCGTTGTTCGCTGTTGAACTAAAAAAGAAACATTGACTCTATGGGAGAGAAGAATGAAGTTCGAAAGTCATTGTGTCAAAAATACTATACTTTCCCACACCTCGGTTTTTAATTTATTAGAGTCAGCTAGGTACACAAAAAATCAGCAGCGTCGGCGGTCTGGGAATTCCTAGAAGTAAGGTGGCTTCAAGCCGGTCAAATTGAAAGTTACCATATCTGACTCCACCTCAAAGAATAAAACTGATCGCTCGCTCTTCGCCTTAATGCCAGGACTGTCAAAAATTGCGCCGTCGGATTCTGACGGTCGAGCATCCAAGCGCTCATTTAGGCTCAAGGTGAGATTTCCTCCAAATCACCTTTATCCGACCTTGCCTGAAAAGTAACGTCTCGTCAAATAAGCAGCCAAAAATAATTGCTTTTCTCGGCGAGATATATAAAAGCAGCTTTGATGCGACACTCGCTCAGGACTCAGATGGTTCGCAAAACGGTACAGCGAGGTGAGAAACAGAGAGAAAGGGTATTCAGCCGGCTAACGCTAAGTGATACTGGCGTAAGACGACAGCTTTTATGTCAGAAAAGGAATCACGTGATTAATATTCAAAAGCATGGCTTTCAGGAGGTGTATCAGCATCCAGTTTTGTACTTGAGCTCAGTCAACTCGCACTAGATGCAGATAAGCAAACAAAGGGCCAGGAGAATAAGGCTTTAGAGATTTAAAAATATATTTTCACCGGCGTTCTCATTTTTCTTTCTTATCAAGGAGATAGTTCAAGCTGCCTTAAAATTAATAAAAATTTTTAACGAAGGGGATAGGTTCTTTGCCAGATCGACTTTAGAGACAGATTGTCAAAGGCGTCATTTAATTTTAGTAGGATAATTATTTAATTTATTTAACTGCTAGATAAATTATCTTTTATCTTTACGATAGGAATTATTAACGCGCCGCTCATTATAAATTTCGAGAAAGCAATGAGTTTCGAAAAGATAACCAAGTTGGAAATTAACTTATCTCAACTCTTGTTGTAAGCGAGAACTTATTTGGTCAGTTACTGCTCATAAAATTACCTCGGAGAGCTTATTGAATTGATTTTGGAAAAGAAATGAAGAGACGATTCTCTAAGATGCCATTCGGTAAGTTTTACTTACTCAGAGAAGACCGATTCTAAGGCGTTAATAAAATGCCGAGGGCCGAGAAAAATAATATAGCAGGTATCAAGCCAAATACAAATATCAAAGTGGGCATTTATTTGGAGCATGCTTGGCACGTTTGAGAGAAAAGAGGATGTTTTCAGGCGGTTTTCTGTCAGACGCAAAACAGGTACCGTGATGAAGGACTGTCTGAAGGATAGTTGATTGAAAGATATGAGATCATTGATATCTGCTCTTCTGTCAATACATGTCCAGTCGTTTAGATATAAATTGACCTGAGCGCACTGCTCTCAGAACAGAGGATAGCAGTATTCGAGCAAGATTTTTCAGAGCAGTAATTAAAATTACAGTTTGAGAAATGTTTAGGCGCCAATCAACGCATAATCTTCATTGTCACTCCGGTAAGCACTTCGGGTTATGTCTAGTGTAAGGGACTGACTCCCTGAGATTCTGAATAAGGACAAAATAAAAATGGGTTTTGTGAGTGCTTACGGTCAAAAGATTAAAGCAATTATGCTCTAGATTAACTGCGGATTGCCTCCAGATTCACACCGCTCGTCATAATTGAATTTAAAACGAGCGCACCTTCAAGTCTCCTCATCTTTTCTTCCTTGTCCTTTCATTTTTCATAAAAAAAGAACAGCCACTTTTTGAAAGAGTTTATTTTCTTTCATTCATTCAATGAGCAAAAGACGCAAGAGTTTTGCCTTGCAGAGAAAAGCCTCAATTTACAACAAAACCGAAGGTCAGAAGATTGTCTATTTTGAAACTTCAGAGCAAGATGCTGAAATGAGACTTTTTGATTATTTTTGTTTTTTAAGAGCCGCAGCTCAAAGCTGTCAAAACTCGCCTGGAGAGTCGATGCGGCTTATTTCTTTGTATGCGCCAGTCGAATGATGATCCTTCCACCAGTAAGTCCCTCTATTTAGGCCCAAAAATCACCTAAATCCAAAGTCGTCGTTGGAGGAAACAAAGACAAAACCGACCCAAGTTGCATGTTCTATTTGATCCCCGTCGGCCTGCGAGTCGTATCAATCCAGCATGCTGAAACCGGAAACTTCGTCGCAATGAATTCAAATGGAAAAATCTATGCAAGTGAAATTTTCGGACTCGAGTGCAAATTCAAAGAAAACGTCTTCGAAAACTACTGGTGTATTTACTCCTCTCTTCAGTACAAGCATCCCGAGACGCAGGTAGAAGGTCATCAAGAAATCGATTGATTTAATTTCTTATTTCTAGCGACCATGGCATTTGGGACTGAATGAAAACGGAAAGTGCATAAGAGGATCGAAGGCGAAAAAGGACAGAAATGTTTCACACTTTCTCCCTCGCCCTGTGGAAGGTAAATTTGGTTGAAAATCTCTCATGGGACTAATTAGATTGTCTCATTAAAGACAATAATTAAAACTAATGTTTACACCAAAACAAGGTGTTTTACTCCTCGGGTGCTTAGCATCAAGAGAAAATCAATTTATCGTGATTATTTTATGATCATGAAAGGCAAGCAAAAATTTTTAGTGATGATGATGCGCGAACCTTCGCACCAAGAAATCGTCGGTCAATCACGAAGCAGCCAGGCGTCCGGAATCAACGAAGTAACGGGCGAACAAACTGTTTGAATCCTTGATATACTCGTCAAGCAGACAGCTAAATAAATGTTCCGATCCAAGCAACAGTTGAATCAAGTCTTTTGGCATTATTTGAAATTTCATCTCCGTGAAACCTTATCGGTACTTATCCCGGTGCTAGAACGCGAGGTGTTATTGAATTAATCCAGGCTTGAGGAAGGCTCCTTGAGTGCGCGCATACGATATCCAATTGGCGCAAGTATATTCGCTAAGAGAGTTTTTGTCGAATTTCTGTACCGCTAGGTTAAATCTTCTTTTTCGACGAAAATTTTTAGGAACTTTTGAGCTCGTTGATTCTGAATTTGTGGTTTTGAATTAGAAATTTGAACTAGAATTCCTCTTTTTGAAGGTTTAATACATTCAGTTCTTTGGGGTGTAGTAAAAGCGCTGGGCGGCGGCGGAGGTGCTGGTGCGGTGCGCTGCTGAAAAAAGTGCTGGTGTAGTGGCGTTGATCTTGACGAATTTGTGCTGCAGGCCGCTCCGTCAGCTCGAGACAAAAACCCATTTCCCACAGAGACCATTATTGTGCCCATACAATATTTTTAAAATTCACCCTTCCGAAAATGCAGAGAACAAAATTATAGAAAAAGATGAAAGAAATTTTATAACGAGAGAATGCTCCCGGCTGGGTTTTTTCGGCGCCTGGCGCAGGTCATAGGGCTGTACTTGTAAGTTCAAAGTTTTAATAACACGTGATTTGTGATGATATCATGAAGTGTATTTTCGGAGATGCTCTAACTTTGATTACCAAAATTTAGAGCTGGCTTTCTTATCTTGTTTTTGAATTAACTTATCTTCCAATATTTTATGAAGGAGTCTTTATCAGTATTTCAGTGTGTACAAATTGATCCGCGGTGAGATATTCGTGTCGAAACCGCGAATTATCCTCACTCCCTCTCATTTGCCCTTGCCTGTTGCCGAAAACGAGTGCTCTCCCCCTCCATTTCTTCATTATGACATGAACAGTACTCTGGCACAAATCCAAAATGGAACCTTCAACGATCATTTTTCCTATTCATCGCCTTGTTGGAAGCCGGAATCATGTGATCGCTGGCAGCGAACTCTAGTTGTTATTCCTTACAGGTACTTGACACCATCAGTTTTCATGACACCTCTCTGGCCTAGAATACAACTCTTTTTAGAAATCGAGAAGCAGCATTAAATGTCTCCGTTCCTCTTCTGCACTATTTTCTTCAGAACCAACAGCGCGACTATTGTATTCTCCTTGTAGAACAGGTAAATCCTTCATTCGGTTGTATAAGAAAGGATAATCAAGATAATAAACAAGCGCTTCATTTTAGGTCGACCGCAATTTCTTCAACAAAGCGCGTCTGATGAACGCGGCGTATCGCGAGTCCCAGACCTTGGGACATGGAACCTTCAACTGTTTTATTTATCACGATGTAGGAAAAGGACATGAAAGTACAGTAAGAGGTCAAATTTACATCTTTAGAGCTCACTCGAGATTACAACTCAAGCTTCCTAAGCTGCTTTAGTTCTATAGCTTGTTGAGTAAATTTATGCAATGTTGATTATGTAAATCCTTAGCCTCTGTTTTTCCTAAATCCCTTGAAAAGATATGATTCCCGAAAACGGAGAGCTAGAATATGCCTGCGCCGAACAACCTATTCATCTTTCTCCAGCAGGTATGATATTTACTGAGTGCTAGTTCGAGTGCGCGACATTATTTTAACCTATTTTCCAGTGAATACATTTGGATACCGCGACCATTATGGGACCTTGTTTGGCGGCGTTGTTGCTATCACTGGAGATCAGCTGAGAACTGCCAATGGTTTTTCGAATAGATTCTGGGGCTGGGGAGGAGAGGATAATGAAATCGAAAAGGTAAAGCGTTTGCCTAAAAGAAGTTTTTAACCAACAATAAATAGTATTTAAAAACTAAGTTGACATATTATTCGAAAAATAATAAAAGTCTTTATCTGCTTTTCAGAGAATTTTCATGTCTGGTCTCGGCCGAAAAGCGCCCCCACAATCCATCGGTCGATACTTTATGCTTCCCCACGAGCACAGCTGGGATTTCAAGCCGCACTCGTCGCTTGGAATTTCAACCAGCGATCCGGTCTTCCGCGAGATTCGAATCAAGTACAACTACTCAAGATTAGACGAGCTCGGGGCAAAACCAACCGACTGGTCGCGCGATGGCTTGAACAATCTCAGATACACTCGAACTGGATTTTCGAAAAACGAAGATAAGCAATTCATGAAGCTGGATATAGATGTTTCTACCGTGAGGCTTTCTGAAATTGCCATAGAAATTGACGGAGAAGAAAAGTACCAAATTGGCTGGGATTTTGAAAAAGACCGTTTGAAACCGCAAGAGCCCTGTTTTATTGAAAATTCTCCTTTGGAAGGAGCAATGCCAGAAGAACATCGATCCTCGAACGAAACTGATTTTTCAAAAGCAATAGAAAAATGCTCAAAAGAAGCGGGTTGCAGCTCAATTCTTTTCTCAGAGAAAGAAAACCTCTACTTTTTAAACGAAGAGTCCGTTCTTCTCGGAAGCAGGCGGCTTCACGAGTCCTTTGGAAGTCTTGTTCAGGAATGGCACCTTCGAATGGATGGTTATCTCGTGAATATTTCCAATGAAATGACATTTGACGTAGTCAAAGTTTTTGTGCTCGATTCACGGGTTAGATAGATGGTAAATGTCAGCGCGTACGTACGTTTTTATGAAATGATTTGATTTTCATTGAAAAATGACTGTAAATATCGATTCACGCTCCCAATAATGTGCCTAATTAGAAAAACTATCAACAGAACAAGATCTGGCTGAAGAAATGTCCCGGTCATCTGGAGCGTCAGAACCAAATTACGAAGCCGATTTTGCTCAAAACATCGAATTTCACGATGGTTTCGATGAATTTCAATTTAACTTCTGATTTGACAGTTGAAAACGATATTTACGTGTATACAACGATTCTCCCGTACACCGAAAACGATCCGAATATTGACAGAGGTTAGTTTATAATGTATATTTTACGATCCCCCCACATCCGTGTTAGTATAGTGGTGAGTATTCCCGCCTGTCACGCGGGCGACCGGGGTTCGATTCCCCGACACGGAGAATTTTTTCATCACGAAAAACTGTTTTCCCACATAATTTTCATCTTCCCGGTAACTAAGAAAAATAAGTTTTCTTGATAAAAAAACATTGTTGATTCTTAATCAATTATTCTGTCCATAAAATTGAGTAGGACTTATAGTTTTTTGAAAGTCATTTCAAATTTCCTTGAATTTACACGTTCTTAGAAATTCCATTAGTGTTTTATTGTAGTACAGTTACTCTGTTTCTATTTGTCCGGTACCTTATCCAAGACCGTTATCCTTGTTTGTACGGAACGGCTTCTATTCAATTTGACAGTTTAGTAAATATTTATCGCTGCGTAAAATCGCTTCCTTGCCAATTTTAAACTATTCATCATTTGCATTATTCATTTTCAAATTTCAGCGAAACATCGTCTCCTCCGGAATAGTATTTGGTCGCGTATTGAGCGAGTGACGCCTTCTGATTTCGTCGACGGAAGAGCGGGAATCTCGCTGAGCTTTCCTCTTCCGCCGCTGATAGGCAGTTACCAAGCAAAAACTGTTGCCACAACAAAAGATGCGATGCCTGTAGGACTTTATAGGTAAAGTACTTTCCCACCATCTCGTTTCTGAGACGCTTTTTCAGATGGTCTTGGTTCCAAGACGTCAAAGATACCGACTTGAGCGCAGAACTCGAAGTCACAAATAGAATTCTCAATCGGCGACCTCCGTTTTCCCAGAACGAGAACTTTGCCAACTTCAACTTGCCAACCAAATAGTTCATAACCACTTTGCCAAAATGCCCAAAAAAGTGTTCTAATCTTTCTTTCGTTCTGCTACAATTTACCACTACCAATTCTGCTAGTTCTATTCAATACAAAGCAATATCAACAAAAACTGATTTTTTCGTCTGTGTTTTTATTTATCGCAAATTTATAATATAAAACAGCTACAAGAGAATCTACCCCTAGTGAGAAAGCAGCTTATCCTCGTCGGACGGATTTGGTCTCTTGGACGATAGCGGCGCATGGGCAGCAACTGACAACCATAGCGTCCTTGAAGCAGCCACCAGTAGCTCCAGAGATTTCTCGTCGAAGTCTGAAAGGAAAATGATCGATTGTCTTTCAAATAAAGCCTATTACTTGTAGTGGCAGATGCAATTGAGTGGTGGGAGCATGAAGAAGATAGCCCATTTGAAGCAGCTTTCGCCACCTAAAAATACCTCTCAAGCATAAATCTTTGGAACATCACTTACGAAGAGCGGCAAGGTTGCCAAGAGCAACACATGGGCAGCACCAGGCGGTCAAGGCGACTCCTGGGGGCATACAGCAGCCTAAAAATTAAAATCTCTCTCTTGGCTACTGAAATCAACGAGGAATCATCCTATTCCCATCGATAGGAGAATCACATACCAGCAAGAAGAGCTCCATGGAGTCCTGGTGCTTCGGTGACAGTCATCGCTAATTAATCTTTATTGAAATCTCGTACGGACGTATTATAGGAATTACGCTCGATCCAGCTTCGGAATGAAACACGGAGCTGATATTTGCACATGCTTAAGGACGTGCACGAGGTGGTGTACGGAGCAATGTTTGGAGTACACTGCTAGGCAACAATTTGTTCTGCAATTAAAAGCGAATACAAGTAGTGATTGATAGCTTTATTTTCGAATGTTAAAATAAAATTGATGTTTATAAATTGTTTATATCATTTTATTCGAAGGGCTTTTGTTGAGATGGACGACTTTGGCCAGTGTAAGATTTTTCGACATCCGTTTTTTGTATTTCTTTTTCAGGACAGATAATGAACTTACTTGTTCTCAATAACGTAGTTGATAATCTTATGCATAGCAGCGTCGATTTCTTCGCAGGTTAGCTGAATCTGTTCGGCTGGGAGAAGGAAGCCGAATCGACCTTCGTCTCGGAGTTCGAAAGTGTAGGCAAGAGGGCCGGAGTTGCCAGCGCTGAGCATTGCATCGTAAGCCCAATCTGAGGAAACACCGCTGCAGACGTAGAGAATGTCCTGGCCGGGTAGGTAGCTCTGTTGGTGCACTTCTCGGATAGCAGCGGCCATCTCATCACCAACTTCCTGAAGCTCGGCTTTATTGGGCGCCTGAGAAGCGTAATCGTAGGAATAGGGGAAGATGAGGTACTGGCCATAACTGTGGACAGTTAAGAAGGCTTTGAGGTTGCCATCATCGATGTATGGCTGCATGGCGATCTGCTGGGCCTTTGCCTCGGGTTCGGAGAAGGCAGATGGACCGTGGTAAGTGTTGGAGCATGGATTTGGAGAAGCACCTTCACCGGCGTGGTTGGCGTCGTAGTTTCGGTTGAGATCGACTCCAACACAGCCACCGTAGCCAGTAGCTCGGTTCTTTCGCCACATTCGGTCGCTATTCCAGGTGTAGGCGTAACCGTCGGGGTTGATAGAAGGCATAACGATAAAGGTAACATCGCTGAGGTATTGGTTGAACTGACCGTTCTTGGCTTCGTTCATGAACCACTGGCAGTAGGCGGGCGAGATCCATTCTCGGGCATGGATACCGCAATCGACGGAGATGACTTTTGACCCGGTACCGATCTTGACGCCGAAAAGATCTCGGCCTTCGAAAGAAGATCCGTAAGTAAAGTAACCGGCGAACGACTGAGAGTAAGACTTGATGGTATCATAATCATTGTATTGGAGAAGATCGTGGGCCTTCCCGTGGTTTCGGGAGAACATGGTCTCAATGTCAATTTGCTCTTGGAGGTTCTGGATGGTTAATTTATACTCAAAGTCAGCGGCTCGGAAGGCGTCTTCGAGCTCGTTAGCGTAGAATTGGGAGACGTGGATGTCAGCAGTGCCGCCCGGGACGAGCTCGTCGACGCTCTCGGGAGACCAGAAATCGAAGTTCATAACTCGATCGAAGGTCTTGAGAGTATGGATCTGGCTGACGGTGAGATTATCGAAGGAAACGACCTTAAAATCAATGAAGATTTGTAGAGAAAACCCATTCTTACCTTGTCATCATCGAATCGTCGTTTAGCAAGGGCAGATGCGATCAAGCAGGCAATCTTCATGACTTCTCTTTTTCAGAAGAAAATGAATGATCATATTTTTAACGGAGTTGTTAAAAATTTTTTTTCCAGATGAGAAATTTCCCAAATCTGAATATGTTGAAAATATTATGAAAATTCACGTTGCACGTGCTCAGAAAATGAGGTCAAGTTTCAGATCTACAAAATTGTTCTTTTTATGTAATTTTTAAATATTTCCAAATAGGATTAGCCAAAGTTTTTAAGTCTCTCAACTATAGTAACTCAGGGTAAGGTGCACTTCCTCCACCGCAGACTTCTCCGCGCCCAAGAACGCCAGCCACAACGTGACATGAATCGGACTGAACGAAACTCCCCAGCAATGCAAATCCAATTTGAACGGCATAATTACTTCTATTTCCTTAAATTTCTCTGGAATTTTCGCATTACACGATTATCCTGAACTTTTCTCTCTCTAAAGCCGATAAGAGTGTAAATTACGAGTCGCAAGAGTTGATATTTTTTGACCGAAGGTGGCAATTTTTCCTGTTTATAAAAATATTGGCGAAGATAGGCTTCTTATCATTTGGTTTTCGAAGACTGAAGAACGCATTTGAGTCCCCAAGGGTTGATTTTCTGCCTTACTTTCTAATTGGATTTAATATCAAGTTTTTGTCCCTTGACTTGAAGAATATCAGGCTTTCTTCTATGATTTCATGGTGAATTGAAGTCCTTAGTTCTCGAATTAGTAGACTGCCAGACAATATCTCCTTGTAAAAGAAAAACGTTACAAGAGTGTGAAGAATCAATTTTCGCATTTTCACGGTGTCTGAATTTAACATAAAGAGTTGAAAATTTAAATAATCCCCCTTGAAGATGTCGGACGTGTGCGGAGGGCGCTCGCACGCCCAAAACGCTATGCGGCGAAGAAGATGAGCGCCCGAATAATGAGTTTTCACGAACAGCCAAATATTCATACATTTTTACAAAATTAGCTATGTGATACTGGATTTCTAATGGAAACTAGTGAGAGAAACAGAGAATTTAACCGAACACTAAAGATTTTCAATCGACTAAATACTTATTATGAAAAAGAGGAGCCATGAACAGAAACTACTATCGAAGAAAAAGAGCTCGACGAAAAAGAAGTCAAGAAAATATTTGCTTTGGGTTCTAAAATATGTTAATTATTCGTTAGAGCCTTTAAAGTAAAGCATTTTATAAAAAAGTTCTTTTTTAAACGATCAATTATATTCATGATAGAACCAATTTAAAGAGCTCAACTCTTGTAGCATTTGTAATTGTGTTAATATGTCTGGCACTGCACTTCAAATATCATTCCTTTTTGATGATTTATCAGGTAACTCTTTACTCAGACAATGAATACTGAGAGCGTCCGAAATAATCGCTTGTTTCAGGAGAAATTGACGGAATTGTCTCCCTACGCGCGGAATTCGAGGCCGTTGAAATTACCCCCGGTCGCGTATGAACACGGCGCGGCGCGGGGCGAAGACCGACCGGTGCCAACGGTAAGCCATTCTCTGAAGCTGACCGAGCGCAAGCCCGGCCAGATAAATGCTGTGCATTCGATTACGTAGATTACACCCTTTAAGCCAGGGCGTTGCGAAATCAAAACCGAATGAAACGTATTACTTCAAAGCTGTTGAGCTCTGTGCAGCTCTTTAATCGTTATAGAAAGTCGACTTATTTTGCTCTTACGTAATCTAAAATCTGCCTTATCAGAGATATTTCCATTCATTTTCGTGCAAAATAACATTGCTTACTAATGATTCGTTATTTTTGAAGGAAATGAACTCGGCGCTAAACAACGTCGTTGAAAAATACGAGTCCATCATCAAAAACTCCACTAGGTGGGTCTACACATCCTTGGAGGCCTACAAGAACATGGAAAAAGTCGGCAGTAATTTCTTCGCTCAGAACAAAGACTTGACAATTTATCCGAATTGGCGCGGATGTTCGAAGGGATTTTTCAAAGTTGATGGGATGAGTTCCTGCTTCGCCTGGTTGACCTGCGAAGATCTCAAGGATATTAAAATCGAGAGAAGAATCAATCATGGACTTGGGAAAGAAGTATTCGAAGCTGACTGGAATGGAAATACCGTTGCGTATGTTCGGCTCAGGCCGGAAAGACTTCATCAAGGCAGAGTTCATAATTGAATTGCTTGAGTTAAAAATTAGCGAGTAAGCAAACTCCTCTTTTGAATTCTTATAAAGAACCCATTCGTTCACGCGTGAGAACAGGGATTGAGAACTTGATACGGCTGAATCCGTCCCCCTATGTCACCCAAGGACCGGGCTTCTGCCTCGAGGTAAACTGAGATAATCCAGCTGTTGATCCTCAGGATAGAAACTCGTGTGCAATCAAATTTCGCCGATCGTGCAAATAATAGTGCTCATATTATCTTTCGCAATGACCTTGGCACATTCACTAGTAACCCTATTGGCAATAGGCTATTGCATCATTAAAAAACAAAAAAGAGGATAAGCCCATTGAAAGTACTCGGATACTGCTTCGAGGGGCAGAACTCGATAATGATCTCTGAGCTGGCTCCACTTGGAGATTTACGGGATTTCGTCGGTTCTCAGGTACAGTTTTCTCCGGTTTGTAATTTATTAAACTCGCATCGTCGATATTTCTGTCATATTTAAAATATATCGCTAGAATTACGCCGAGCTTGACCGTCTGGGACGCCTTGGAGTTGTCATTCGTCTTGCACGAGTTTTCGCTTTTATGCATAACTCGCCCATCGGAAAACGAGTCAATTGCGATATGACTAAGGTATGAGTTTATATCTCAGCTGCGATTCATAACAATTTATAAATTCTAATCATTTGTTAGATAACTCGAGCGCTGAGTCAATTCCTGGTCACTTCGGACTTCCGAATCGTCGCTAATGATCTTGGTAAGCGATTTCTGCCTTTGATATTCTAGCAAAAGTTAAGATGACCTGCCACTGGTGAACCGAGAAGAGAACAAACTTGCCAACTGCACTTGGGGAAAAATAGAAGATCGTGACCCGATCTTTCAAGCGCCCGAGGAGCGACTCCATCATACGTCCATACCAAATCCTTTTGACGAAAAAGCAGATGTTTGGAAGCTCGCGAACATGACCTACACAATCATGTATCGGGTACGGTTCTTCATTTCAGTTGAAAATCTAATGGCTTTTCTAGTCGGTCTCACCATCCAAAAAGAAAGGAATCGACGAGCTAATGGCTCCGCTGGAAGATTTTCTCGGCCGCTGCCAGTCTCAAAATCCCGATGATCGACCAACTGCAAAAGAAGTTGTCATCGAATTAATCGAGCAATACAAAAAAGCAGCCAATTTCCTTTGACAAATGTCTTTTTTCCGATCTTTCTTTCGTCCTATATTCTTCAACATACATTTGTCCATCAAAAATTGCTACAGCACCTTATTTATAAAAGGATAAATAAATACAAGTCAAAGATGATATTGATACGTGTGTTTATTACTTTTAAATTGGGGAATGTGAAAGTAAACTTTGTTGTTTCTTGAAAAGTTTGGCAGTAAAATCCGCGCTGGTGAAAGATCTAAATTGAGAGAAAAAGAGAGTTCTTAGAAGATCCTGAACTTGGGGGAATTCTTCAGTTAGCTAGCCAGCGCATTTTGAGAAGCTCGACGAGCTCGATTCTGTCAGCTGGCTCGAGTTGAACCAGTCCATCGACTACTTCACGCGCTTCTTTGGAGACTTCAGTGGCGGAATCGAAGTCGATCGTGCCAGAAATGATGAGTTGTCTGGTAGTTTCGACGGTAGGGTTCCTCTTGTCGCCGACGAAAGGAGGGTAGCCGGTTAGGAGCTAGAAAAATATAGACCAGCCTTGATTGCACTCAAAAATACCTCAAAAGCGATGCATCCAAGGGCCCAGTGATCAATTTTCTTGTCGTGGGAGACACCATTTAGCATTTCTGGGCTAGAAAAACCTCTTATTTTTCAACGTTTTTCATGATTTTTTTACCTCAAGTAATCCATGGTGCCACAAAATGTCTGCCGCCTGCTCTGGGGCGTGAAAACACACCAACCAAAGTCGGCGAGTTTGACTTCGTTGTTGCGCCCGAGCAAGACGTTTTCCGGCTTGAGATCGCGGTGGATAACGTTGAGCTTATGAATGTAGTCCAATCCCTCTGCGATTTCACGGACGTAACGGGCCGCTTCTACTGACTCGAATTTTTTCTCTTCCTAAATAAGGGATTTACTAACTAATCCGACCAAAGATGTCCATCACTCCCTTTTAGAAATGATTGCAGAAAGAACTCCAACTGTTGGAGTCCAACAGCTCGAGAACTTTCAGCCAGAAAGTAGGGAAAGCCGCGTATCGCGCGGCTAAAATGTCGATCACATCGATTCAGATGAAAATAAAAACAACGAGATAGACATCCCCAATTCTTCCAGTTGAGTTTAATAGATTCTTCAGAAGAAATTGAAAAGTACCTTTAGCTTTGTGAAAAGATTGCCGTTTTTGCAGTACTCAAGAATTATGTAAACGCGTCGGTCGTCGTGAAAGTACCCGTACAGTCGGCAAATGTTCTTGTGTTTGATATGAGATTGGATTTCAACCTCTCGTCGCACTTGGTGCTGCAGGTTCGCTTCTTTGATCTGATTTTTGAACATAACTTTCAACGCTAGAATAATAATTTCAAAGAGGGTTTTTAGGATAGCTTTCTTACCGACAACATATCCAGACTTGGTCTCTTTGGCGCAGTAAACATGTCCGAATCTTCCTTTTCCAAGCGCCTTTCCCATGCTAAAATCGCCAATTTTCCACGATTTAGTAGCAGCTCCGCCTGTTGGCTTGTTCTCTTTGTTGTCTCCATCTTCGTTTTTTACAGAATTCTCCAGTGGCTTCGAATTTTCCGACACTGACATTATTCGTCAATATTTAGCTCTAAAAATAAAAAAATTGGTAGTTTTCTTCAGTTTGAAAGCGCGAAAATGGAGATTCGTGAACTGATTTTTCGGCCGTTGAAGAGTCAAATATGAAAAACAGATGGAGAAAAGCGATAAATCTCACAAATAACCCTTATTCTCTCAAAAGCGAAATATTCAAAGCGATTTGCCAAGAAAAAAGGGGTTTCAGTTGAAAATTGAAAAAGCATCTTTCAAAGTTGAACTTCTTTCTGAGTCAACAGGACCTCCTGAAAATATTCAAGAGCGACCTTTTTGGTCTATCACATGCAGTGTGTTTCTATTCTATCGCTGTGCATTATTGTTTCAGACGAATCATACACGAATGTGATTCGTAGAAATCCCCGAAATATACCCATAAAGAAATTCGGGTCCATATCCAAGTTAGCAACCACTGCAATCGCTATATTTCCGCATAGACTACTGCACTTTCAAAATTGATGTCAGTGTAAATAAATCCTTGAGAACCTTATAGACACTCTATTCTAGAATTTTCCTAGAAAATTAGCAAAATGTGATGCAACTTTCTTCGCAATTATTTCAAGAAGGAATGATCTAACAAAAACTATCGTCGACAGTATTCAGGATCAGTCTCTTCTCTTCGTTCGAGCCTCCAAAATGGCATGATATCTCTCGTGAAAGGAAAAATGTTGGTTCGGGTTTGGTGGTTCATTCTGCGCTGTGCGAAATGTGGTCGCTGATTGGCCGGTCCGTGGCTTCCACTCACCACTCTCAATTTCTCAAGCTCTCCCGTTTTTTCAACCGAGCTCAACGAAATAGGCGGCTCATCGGATAGGGCTCAACCCTTTTTCCGAAACGGCAGAAAATTCCAAATAGTGAATTTTCGGAATTTCGGAAAACTCAAAAATTCGTGCCGTGAAGAAACGAAAATCAAAGTAAATCTCCGTTCAACTTTCTTCGAAGAAAAGCGTCGATTACAGTCGAAAAAAGACTCAACAGCCAAAAGAAAAGCTAAAATTGAAAAGAAGCAAAGATTAGAGAATACAAATCAGAATCAAGAAATCTGCGATTCTAGAGCGTGCTGAAGAAAAAAAGAAAAGCAAAAACGCGAAGCAGAAATAGAAGCAGAACAATCAAATGGACCTGATTGATGACTCGGTTTTCGGAACTAGCGATACAGGAGGTACTGTATTTTTTTCTCGCTGTTACGGGTCTTGAATTTCGGAAGGGATTAAAAAGTTGTTATTACAAACATTAAGCAGTCTATTTTTCGTTCTTAGCGACTCCAGGTGCGTATTATCTATAAATATCTGCATATACGAAATAAGCATAAAATGGTGGCATTTTCTAACATCAAGGAATTACTGTATCCCCGTCCTTTTGTAAGAACCGCGGTTCAGAGACAGGAAATTAAAGAAAGGAATATTTTCAGATTCTATTGGATTAATTCTTTCTACATTCTTTTAATTATTCATTTACAACTTATGATTGTGCTAGAACCTGCGTTGAAATATTCTTAATTACCATCTGTGGCTAACACGTCGCTAATTACAGTGAACCAGTGGTTCGTTCCTGCTCCTTTTTAGAGGCGAAATTGCCCCCCAGTCGCGAATTCAAAAAACTTCTTTCAATTAATCCTTATTGATCCATGTCTAACAACGAAAATGCTAATTCCTACAACCAGGCCCACCAAGCTTTTTCAACCTGGTTCGGTTCTCCAGAGTGGTCGCTTTTTGGTTCGATCCTTTTTTGAAAGAAAAAAGGAACATGCAACCGGAAACACTAGCAGCGCTAATTGGGGACGGGGACCAAATCATTCTCGGTCATTTTTTTCGGAACGATCCACCAAAGAGTGGTCACCCTCGAGTTGAGCTTGAAAATATTTTTTTTCCTCGGACAGACGGGACTGTCTCTGTCTCGCTGAAAAATGAATGTCTTCAGTGATTTTTTTAGTTGTCTCAGATGTTTGTTACGATCAAGGTTACGGAAGCAACTTGGATTTCCTGACAGAGCCGAGTTATGGCATCGGAACCGAGCCAAGTTATGAAACAAAGAATGAAGATTCGCCGATTTCGTACGGAAATGGAAACAATTTCTTGAGTTATGGACAGCCACAAGAAGGTTAGACAAAATATCCTCAATTTCCTCATTTCCTTTTTTCAGTGAACATCTATGGAAACAATCTTCAATACAGCCAAAATCAGAATCAACAAACTAACCAGCACTTACACCATCAACAGAATCAGTTGTTTCCGGAGCAGAAGAATGAGCCCGAGCCTGAAGAAGTGAGGTTAGAGGATGATCCAGAATTTCAGGCACGGCTTCATTTTTCATTGAATTCTTGACTTTGATGATCAAGAATGAGCCAAAATGAGAACAGTAAACCTCAAGTGACAATTTCCAACGTCGTTACAAATTTCCGCTGTCGTTGCCACCTTAATCTACGAGTCATTGCCCAGAAAACAAAACATGTAATTTACAAACGGTACGATTGTTATCCTTCACCTTCATTTCAACCTCTTTCTTAGCGACCAGGGAAAGCTGATGATGAAAATGCGCACTCCTCCGATGATGGCGAATATTTGGTCGTCTGGGAAAGTGGTTTGCCAAGGGGCGAAATCGGAGCAAGACGCCAAAAAAGGATCAAGAACGTAAGCCCAATAAAGCCAGGCGAGATCAACTTTTAAAACTGAAAATTAGCTTCGCGCGGATGATCCAACAATCCGGCTTCCCAAACGTAAAAGTCTCAAACTACAAAGTTGTCAATGTCCTGGGCAATTGTCGAGTACCCTTTGCGCTGGATATTATGCAGTTTTCAGTGGTAAGAGAATCGAGAAAGAAGAATATGTCACCTTAAAAACAGAGAATCTTAATTACTAGGTTTTGTGATTTTTTAGGGGTGGTTTTATAAAAAGAACCCTCTCTAAGCAAGTGAAATTTAGGATAACTCTGGACCAAACCTTACTTACGAACCAGAGCTTCATCCCGCTGTAAATTTCAGACCTGGAAACGGAGCAACTCTCAAAATCTTCAGTACTGGAGCGTTAACGATCCTTGGAAAGGTAAGCCTTGACTTGGTTACTGTAAGAGTTGCTTGGAACAGTGAGCTAAACCTTCCATTCAGAACGTCGAAACAGTGGAGAAAGCTCTGGAAATGAGCTACCCTCTGCTGTACCCTTACCGACGTGATTCCCAGCAAGGTGACGTTGATGACATCAACTCGGACATCGAAGAGTTCTAGAGCTCTAGAATTACACCAGTTCAAGTTCGAAAAGACCCAGACGCGGAAAAAAACTAAACCCTTCAAGACCGGGATTTCCAAAAAAACAAAAACACCCAAATTTTTATTTTATTTTGTTTACTTTTCAAGCGAATATTCAAATTTTCTACAAAAATCCAAAACCCAAAAAAATGAAACTGATATTTTAAAATCGTCTCGTTTTCAATTTTAAGAATTATAAAAAGCAAAATTCTCGCATGAAATGATAAGATCATCGTTCTGTCAACAAAGACTTCCCCCAAAAAACAAACCGTTTAGCCTTATATTTTTTAATTTTTTTCGCTTTTCAAAAAAGGGTCAGATTATATAAAATTCTTGCCTACCTTAAAGTACCCTTTTGACCCTTCTAGTTTTTATTTTTTCTTTCTAAAGGCGATATCACTGTGCATGAGTTGCCTTGGAGAAATCTTTAGTTGCGCTTTTTAGACAATTTTCTTGAAGTTGATGGTTTGATATGCTTTTCATTGTGGCTATGTTTGAGTAGAAAAATAGAGGTTTGGCTCTGTGTTCCAATTAAAAACTGTTATTTTTGTTTTCAGCCAATCAGAGTGTTTAAATTTCCTTTAGGGACATCAAAATTGAAATTTGGTCGCCCTATTTTACCATCATATTTTCTATAAAAGGGATTTAGCCTCGATCTGAGAGCATATGGTATCAATTTCTTGAAACAGCTTGTTACAAGATTCACACTTTTCCTCAAGATATCCTGAAACGTTCAACCCTTCAATACTTATTTATGAACCACAAAGTTTGGAGCACGAAAAATGCACCTAAGGCCTCTAACCAGTGGTATCACAAAACTAATTTATCAACCCGCTTGTCGCTGTAAATTTAAAATTAAATCTTGTTTAAAAGACCTGGTTTTCTTTATTTGAGAAAGGTGGCAGTGCCGTGGCACCCTATTTCAATCTTTTTAGATTTTGAGTAAAACATAAAAATGCCAAAAATGTCTTAATTTAAAATGAAAAAACCTATCGTATATTATATTATATCTACCGAAAAAACAACAACTGTGCGTAGAAAAAACCATTCATGGACCAGAAATACTGTTATGTCATGTTAAAAAAACTTTCTTTTACGTTCAATCGTAGAATTAATATTCTTCCTGTGACATAAAAAAATATTTTTAATGATAATAATACTTTTGATTAAAGCTGTTTTTCAGATGAAAATGAAGTCGAGAAAGACCTCGTAAACGGACAAGAAGAATTCGATGGATTCATTGAGCGATGTAGAAGCGGACAGAGATTCCTGAAAAGAATTATGCTTGAAAAATAATATTGATAAAATGACTACTATCATCGATATTAATATATTACTAAAGATACGGCCTCCCCTTATTAAACTATCATTTTAAACCGATATTTTATCTGTCTGTTACTTATATTACCATTATTTAACTCCAAAAAGATTCAAAAATGTTAAATTACAGCTAAATCCAAATATAATCATCTTTGATTTTAAGAAAATGAAAACGGACTCGCCTCACTCTGGTCTTCGACTCTTGTCCGAAGCTATTTCGCCTCATATGCGCGTGAGTACATTATCTATCGACAGTTAAACAAGACACTTACAGTCTCATGACTCGAATTCATTTTTTCTTTGATTGAAAAACATTCCTAGGAGCTGGCGAAAAAGGAAGAGGAGCAACTCATCGCGGAATCGCTTTCGAGGGAGTCAGTTATCAAAGAAACGCCGAAAGAGCAAGTTGAGCAACGAAACGTTGGGAAGAGAAAACTTTTCGAAGCCGAATTGATGAGCGAAGGAAGCTCTCAGGGATCAAATCAGGATGAAAAAGAAGCAAGTCTCACGCGCAGCTTGGACAAAATCGTAGAGAGATTTCTTGAGCGCTTTAGCGATAAAGAAAACGAACAATTTACGTTGATGGACTTGGAATTCACCGCTGTGAAGAGACGCATTTATGACGTGATTAATGTTCTTGAAGGTAGGGATCAGTATTAAAGAGGCAGCTTTTGATACTAAATATTCAGGAGTCGGGTATATTCAAAAGTGGCAAAAGAAGAACTCGTACTTATGGACGTCCAAGGCAACGATGGAGGAAAAGATCTTGAAAATCCGCAGATCTGCCAATGTGGACTCTCAGAACCAAGATCTTGTCGCTACCATCGCTCACAGGTAAATTGTTCTTCCCTTTTTCTCTCCCTATTTGGTTTCTTTTCAGTATCGTCGCAAAAGATGAAACCTTCGACGATTTAACGAGCCATTCTGACAACTCTCACCTGGAGGCTTCGGATTCATCCCTCCTCAACATTTCTGAGCTTTCCAACTCATCTCTTGACTCATCAAGTTTCTCTTCCTCTTGCTCCAAATCGTCGAGTATGACGAAGAATTTGTCCAACCTAACTGTTCGCTTCATTTCCCTCTTCTTCCGAATCAGCCCTGTAAATTGGTAAGCAACAGATATATTAGGGTAGACATCAAAAAATTGCTTCAAGGACATTGACTCTTGACGAAGCAGCAGAGCGACTCGTTGCTGATAGCGGAGAATTGGACCTAACAGCCGCTTCCAAGTCTCGCATCGCCTCGATAAAGCGTCGTTTATACGACATTACGAATGTGTTTTTGGCACTTGGTCTTATTGAAAAAGTGCAAGTAACGTACGGCGCTGGAGTTCATTTACAACGCAAGTCAGCCTATCACTGGATCGGTGCGACTTCTGTCAGTTCCGCCGACAAGACGGGCTCGAACAGTACTTCGAAGACTGTACTCGAAGACGGTAAGGATTTAAATTAAATAAAGCATTGTTTATAATTGTGTTATTTTCAGTAACGCACTTACAGCAAAAGAACTCGATCGATCGTCAGTGTCAAACGAGTCCGAGCCTGTTGCGTTCGCTGATCGCCGACATCCACGCTGAACTCGACGAGGCGCGAGCTCATGACTCAATTAGCTTGTCTCTCAACTGCCCCACATGCCTCAACCAGCTACACAGACAGATGCCGGCTCTGTGTCCCCATTGCAGATCTCACTTGCCCGCAGCTACTAACGCTGCTTTATCAGAGTCTTCCAATTCCCTTCTTTCTACAAAGCAAAAACTCTGTAAGTAAAAAACCTACCCTTTCTCCTATCATTCGCTACCGCGTTTTACTCCCATTTCTAGTGTTTTCACCGCTGCCTTCTTCCCCAATTGCCTCGAGCGACGGCCCCTGCCGTCGTCAATTGACTTCGACACCGCTGGCTGGTGTCTCAAAAATAGCTTCAAACTTTTGCAAACTCTCCTCTGCTACACTTTCTTCCGGCACTTTCGCTGCTAATAGAAAACGAAAATCCTCGGCGCCCGTTTTTTCTACAAGAATGCCCCCCAATTTCAACAACCCCAACGCTGCGATTCCCCGAAGTTCTTTCATGTCTACTTTGGTAACTAATAAGGTAAGGGACTATCCTTTGCGAATATAAGTTGATCCTTCAAGAAACCGTTGGCATCAAAAACTCTTAATTTCGCCTCCCCCATTGCGCCAAATCACGAGATCAACCGACAACGAAAACCTTCACGAAACGGGGCGAATGTACACTTCCTCTTGCCAATGGAGGTGCATCTACCTTCATCGCCAAAACGTATCAAAGACGACTCCGGTCTTGGCCCCTCGCCCTCTCTCCTTCCACCTAATGCTCTTAACCCCGCTAAACCAACATAAACCTACCTCTTTCATTCCCAATAAAACTGACTAAACCCCGCCCAATTATTTTTGCTGAAATTACATTTACATTCCATTCTTCGCCAATTCAAAATCGGATGATTTTCTCACGCGTAGATTCGAAATTTTGAAATATTTGTTAATCAAACAGTTCTTCTCTAATCTGTACAAATCCTGCCTGAAGCTGCACCATAAAATCTCGCTGGTCGTAAATTCATGAAAAATGCTTGAAACGTTCCATACCAAATTCGATTTTTTCACTTTTCTGACATTCTGATTCAACTTGTACAAACCATTCAGAAATACAAATGTCAAATCGCGAAATGTTTCTCCACAGCCACTAGAATCGCTAGTGCCCACTTGTTGTAGCAAATGAATGCTTTTACTCTTTCAAGAGGACCTAGCAAGGAAGATAAGGTATTTACAACTTTCATAAGCAGCGCAGGCAAAATATAAGAGCATGAACAAAAAAGAACTGATGCATTGGGTTCAGAAATACTTCACGAGCGGAGATCCGGACACTCTTTTCTCGGACTTACAAGAAATCGGTCATGGTGCCTTCGGAGCTGTCTATTGCGCGCTTGACGAGCGGCCAAAGTCAGCCACGCGTGGCCAAAACGTCGCCATCAAGAAAATGTCCTATTCGGGCAAGAGCGAAAAGTTCACCGACATCGTCCATGAAATCAAGCTCCTGGAGAGATTGAAGCACAAGAATATTGTGCGTCTCGAGGAGTGTTTTTTGAAAGACAAAGATCACATGGTCTGGATTGTCATGGAATACTGCCTCGGCAGCGCGTCAGATCTTGTCGATGTTCAGCCGGGGCGATTGCTAGAAAGCGAGGTCGCTCAAATCATCAGAGACGTCCTCCACGGCCTTAGCTATCTCCACAGCAACGAGATTATCCACAGAGACATCAAAGCAGGCAACATTCTTTTGTCCGAAAACGGTCTGGCAAAGGTCGCAGATTTCGGATCCGCTAGTAATAAATCTTCGGCGAACTCGTTCGTCGGATCGCCTTATTGGATGGCGCCGGAAGTGATCTTGGCAATGGAAAGTGGAAGATATACTGGTGCAGTTGATCTTTGGTCCCTTGGAATAACATGTATAGAGATTGCTGATAGGAATGGGGCGTTATTTAATCGGACTTGTATATCTGACTGTATTTTCAAAGAAATAAATTCTAGCCCTAAAACAGAAAACCGCCAATGTTCACCCAAAATGCGATGGCTGCTTTGTACCAAATCGCCCAGTCTGATGCACCAACGCTAGACCAGAACGCCGACTGGTCCCATACATTTCATAGCTTTCTTTCCTGCCTGCTAAAAAAGAATCCTGAAGAGCGATTTACTGCCACAGAAGCCCTCCAACACAGCTGGTTCAAGGACAATAGAGAAAATCCACAGGAGCTTGTTGAGTTGATTGATAGAACTAAACGTCTGGTGCGCGAGCAGGATGAGAAACAAATCACGATGCAGTATAAGAAGATGCTTCGAATTTACAAGGGCGGAGATCCGCTTTCGAATATCCCGAGAGATGGCTCGATGCGTTCGAATTCTTCGAATCCAATTTCTGAAGACCGCTCTTCGGATGAAGAAGAAGAGGATGACGATCAAATGAGTTATCTTCAAAGTTCTACTTCTAGCGCCGCTTCTGATAAATCAGCCTTTCCGCTCAATCACAGTCTCTCCAGGCCACCAACGATCCGTCCGATTCGAAATACGCAGCCTCAGCAACAACAGCACGGAGGTGGTGTTGATCATTTTTCGGGAATGCCACCAATTTACAGCGTATCTTCTGGCTCAAGAGCATCAGGACCGCAAGACTTTTCCCAAGGACCACTTGGGAACGGTTTGAGCACGATCCGACCAGTGACTCTAATGAGGAAGCAAGAAGAAGAGAGGATAAAAGTCTCCGCATTTCGTGAACAAATGGGCAACTACAAGAAAATGCGACAAAGTCATCGTGCGATGATGCAAAATCTTGAGTCGACGCTTTCAAGTGAAATGGAAAACCACCAGCGAACGTTGCAAAATGAGCTTAACAACATGCGCAAGAAGCATCAAAAAGATCGCCAGAAACTTGCCAACCGTCGGCTACAATCCATCGAGCGACTTGAGAAAGAAGGCGAGCAAGAACTCCGAGCTTTTGACCGTCTTCTCTTTCAAAAGAAGAAGGCGAGAAAAAGTCGATGGAGGAAAAGCAGCGCGACGAAATGCGACGAGCAAATCAACGCTGGCGAGCGGGAGAGCTTCCAGCTGGCGTCACGAGAGATCAACAAAAACTCAGCTTTGGTCGAGCTCAAGCAGAGCATCTGAAGCACTTCGATCGGAAGCAAAAGCAAGAGCACGATATGGAACTGAGAAAATATAAAAGAAAACGACTGACCGCGAGGCATAATGAAGAGCAACAAATGCTCAATGATGAGCTCAATGAGAGACTAGAACGCATGAATGAAGAAAATTCATTGATGAAAACTCATCATGATGTTACTCAGAAAATGGAGTATAATCATATGAAGGTTTAGACAGATTTTCTAGCTCTTTATCTAGTTCCCTCTTTAGCAAGTTCACGAGTTGCGGCTGCAGCACCAAAAGATGCAACATGATATGGAAATCAAAGCTCAAAAAGTTCACATGCAGCAGTTAGAACAAGACATGAGGTAAGAGACGAGTTTTCCTTGATTTTAGGTCTATACCTTTTGTCTAGTCAGCGTCATCGGCAGGCCTTGAAGCAAGCACCAAAGAACATGAAAGAACAAGAAGCAAAGATAAAGAAGACCTATCACGAGAGTATTAACCTTATCGAGAAACAATATAAAGGTTCGTGCTATTCAAATTTCCCCTTTATTAATTTAAATCATTAGCGTTCAAAAATCACATCCTTGAGCGATTCAACAAAGCCGATGCCAAGAAACAGTTGAAAAAGATGAAATCAGAGAGGAAGCAACGTCTCGCGTTGATGTGGGAGCAGTATGAAAAAACTATTCATGATTTGAAAGAGGTAGAGAAGAAAAGCAAAACAAGAAACTTGCATTTTTAATTTCAGGATAACAAAGATCACATAACCGAAGCTCAAAATCATGAGTCTGAAAAGCTCAAACGCAGCCTTCAGAAAGATCTCATTCTGCTCCAAGACTATCAAGTAACAGTCCCTTTTCTGAATCAAGTCTACTTTATTTTCTCAGGCGAAGAGGCGGCAGCATTTCGAAGACATGAATCGAGACGAAGAAGCATCCCTAGCCGATAAAGTCTCCGTCAGACTGTCGTTGATCATGCAACGCGAGGAAAAAAGTCACGAGAGTCATCAAAACGAACGCGCGGCAAAAATAAGAGCTCTCTCCGAACGCCAAGTAAGGCATCATCGAATGGTCATCAATTAATTTTTCTATTCTAGGCGAGGGAAATTGAAGACTTCGACGCAGAATCGCTACGGTTGGGCTTCAATACAGTGATTATCGACTCCAGATCAGGGAATTACTATCTCGTGAACCCTCCAGACGTAAGTTTATGTAAAAGGCTTAATGATAGAACAAATCTACCTCGCTCGGAACTATCGAATAGATACTCATGGTGCGCAGTATCAATTAACTTTAATCGGGAAGTACTTCTGTGCATTATTTCTTTATATAAGAACCTTCGGAGAAAGCACGATTTTAATTTCGATTGTAGCGTCACTCTCCTGTTCCGGATCATTCGCGACGTTTGATGACCCCAGACGAGGTCAACCGGGCTTCACGCTCTTCGCATTCCTCCCGCTCTTCGAACGGCACAACCTTCCGTTGAAAAATAATGCACACTCACTATCACAAAAAAGAAAGCTCATCGACAAAGAAAATCAACCAATTTTACTTCGCTCACCAAAAAAGCTCCACGCCTAAACTTGTATTTTGTAAATTCCTCCCTTTCTCAACCGTCTTATGTTATTTTTGCGTTCGAAAAAACCTATGGCTGTGAAAAATTCTCATTTTGTAAAAAGAGATGCAAATTTGATTATAAATATACAAATCTCCGCCGACCCCTCATTTTTCATCGATTTCGTGGACTTCTTCAATTTTCAAACAGTTCATCGAATTCTCGATTAATTTTCTTAATCCACTTCTTTCCATACGTGTTCCATTCTATTCTTTATCAACTCCGGACTCCCCACGCCTTCCCAGTTTCTGATAAATTCCTGACCTATGTAATATTAATAATCTGGGTATGTATCGAGTTCAAAACACACTTTACTGCTCAACAAATCATTCTCCGATTTCTCAATTTTGTTCAAGAATTTCCGCTCAAACAGATGCAATAAAAACAACTTGAACTGCGAATAAATATAATATCAGTAATTCAAAATCAAACTTGCCCCGATGAGTAGTACTTTATCTGGGCAAAATACTTCATACTTCGGCAGGTGCAATTTGGAAGTACTTATGATAGGATCAATACCATAAAAATTGAACTAGCGCTAGAGCTTCACGCAGGTCGATTTTAACGCGATAAGGGTGATATAAAAATAGCCATCTTGCGGCCTAAACTTGCGATTTCAATCTTGTGCTCGCTCAGTCATAAATACGGAACTCTCATCCGTCAGCAATCAGAAGAAAAAAATAATAGAGAAAATGGCATTAAAGCGACTTATGAATTTGCGACTAGCAGCTCAATACACTGCACTTTTCCAGCTTTTCTTTATCATGGGCGTTTTGGTCTACTCCAGTGTGGAGACCTGGGACAAAAGTGCGGAGGATATTCAAAGCGGAAGATTGAGTTTCAACGTCGTCGGCTACTACACTGCTATTTTCGGCCTCGTCGGCTTGTTCACTGCCGTCGAGCTTTATGCTCATTGCTTCAACATGATGCGATTCTGGGTGATTGCCACTGTTATTGCGCTTTATGTTTTTGGTGGAATCATGTCTTGCTTTGGCTTTGCTGTATCTCTTGTCATCCTCCTCGACGATGACGATTCCCAGAGTCCACTAAATCCGCACGTAAGGCCCCTACAGTCTGCAGATTTTATGTCCCTCATCCCTCCACAGAAGCACAAACCACTTACAAAAGAAGAATCCGAATTCCTCCTTCTCTTCATGGTTTGCCTTGGCTCATTGGCGATCATTATCACCGGGCGAATTGCTCTAGCCTTCTACACGATCAAGGCGCACAAGGCTGAGACTTTGCGAACAATTCGAGCGATACGAAACGTGGGTATGACATTCGACATGAGTCAGTTCCCGCCCAACTCTGAAGTACTCTCCGTTGACCGGACATCACTTGCAGCCTCTACAAATCCACCGGCTTACAATGAATGTGTCAAAGAAGAAGGAAGCTTGCCAAGATACTGTGACATAAAAGATTTCTCCTAACTGTTTCTTTCGACAAAAAAAAATACTCAAAATAAACTTATACGATCAACTCCCAATTTTTAAATTGCTTGTTGCATGAAAAATACGATAAATATGCCCAATTTCTTTTACAAAAATATCATATTTCAGGTGCTACCAGTTTGTTCCTGTTTCCAAAACAGCTCCTTTGATCGCCATTTGAAATTTCCTTCTCGCCCTAGTGACCAAGTAGGTGCCCCCGGAGCAACCTGTTTTGTCAAAAAATCTCTCTCCTTCTTTTCAAAAGATAAACAATTCAGCCTATTTCCTTTCAATTGCCCTCGTTTTTCAATTTGGCGTAGCACCGTTGGGAAAAATAAGAGAAAGGGAAATCTGACTAGGCAGGAGACTTAGCCTAGAAACAGATCGACGATACTATCAGAGCCGCTCGAGTGTGACAGACCTGGTAGGATCAGAAGTCGCGAGAGAATAACGACATAAGAGAGCAAACGAGGAAGAAAGTAACTTAACTCGTAAAATCGACGAACGCCCATTCGAAACGTGTTACAAACTTGTAAATAAAAGAAGACGCAAGTCAGATAAAAAATAATAAACGAAATCAAGGAAGAAGTATTCGGAAGAGAAATAAAAAATGGAAAATCCTAATTTCAAAGCAGAAGAGTTAGAACATCAAGAAACGCAAATAGGAAAACATGTTATCAGCAGAAAATTACCAGGAGAGGTAAGTGATCGAATCCATCATCATTGCTTCTATAAACTAGCGTTATTTAGATCTTCTTGCCAATTATTATTCTCAGCATACCGATTACTTGCTTTTTTATTGCCAAATTTGCCATTTAGATTTTTATGGGTCTCGAAAACCTTAAGTCTTTCCACCTTTACCTAGACATTACGCTACCTGAGTAAAGACTTTACTTAGATCGGAATTTTCTCAAGCTTTCTCTGTCAATTTTGAGCCCTATTAGCGATGTAATTATCCTATCTTTTTACCCTCGCTCATCGTTCAAAATGTTCTTTCAAATATGATTTCAAATTTCAAGAAAAATGAGAAAGTGACTATTTCATAGTCGGTATGAAATTTTATTTCAGAAATATGATATGGAAAAAGAACGAAGAGAAGAATCTCCGACAGAGAAAAACGTCATGAACAGTGGAAATATCGAAGTCTCTCAAAGTAGATTTGAAGAGCTTCGGAACTGGCTACTAGACGGCCCGATGGTACGATCAGTAATTATGGCCGTTGAGTGGTTCCTTGTTGTTGCCATCGTTGTTGGTGCGGTTCTGGCTATTCCTCAGTGAACAATTACTGTTTTTTCTGCTGTATATTTTCTGTATGATAATGAAAATCGAACAAATAGAACAACTTCTTCAGATCTTTTTAGAATTTTTTTATTAGTGAAGACATAAACGAAGTGGCAGAGGATCAGTTGTGAGAGGAAAGAAACAAAGATGTTAACCGGGGATATTGTCGAAAAGGTGCTGGTTCTGGTTTCGGCCTGCATTTCCCTGGAAAAATTTAATGATTATATTAGCTATTATTATAAGCCAAACCTTTTTCTCGGTCGATTCGATAGTTTCGCGATCGTAACCGCTTGAGGAGCTAAGGTCTTGGATGGAACACCTCGAAAATTGGGCGTATCCGCTGTCAGACAACTCGTTCGCTGCGTACTCCGCTAGTTGGTATCTGCTACTCTTATCGAAGAGCTTGTCGTCTGAAAGTAGCGTTACTGTGTATGGGTCGACGAAGCGCAACTCATTGGTGCGCTCGACGATGTTGGACACGATGTATTCGTCGACAAGGTGGGGGCAGTTAGAGAAGACGAAGTATTTGACGTCTAGAAGGGTGATGTAACCGTTCTTGCTTTCTTCGATAGTGCTTGCGATTCGCGTCGCTAGAATTAATCAATTAAGCGTTCGATGTTTCTCTATCTTACCAATGACAGTGTAAACAGCTCGTCGAAACTCCTCAAGTGACTTTCCATCCCGTCGGTACATGAGGAATCGCATAAAGCAGCCGGCTTTGTAGACGATTTCTTTGCCCTTCTTAGAAGTCAGGAATCCCTTCTGTCTGCTCTCATCCCACCACCATCGGGCAATGTGATCGAATGTGTCGGGCGTGTTTCGGAGAAGAAATTCGCGGTTGGTAAAGTCGAACTCAATGGAAATGTGGAAATGGGGCACGAAGTGACGTCGTCGTCGTATTTCTCCCAGTCCCTAAAGCAGGCTGTATCTCTGGCGCTAGAAGAGAATGTACTTACAGTCATCCAATACAAGTAGAAGCGCTTGAGATTCCCTTTCATATTACGATTTTCAAGGGGAGAAGTTATCTTTTCATGCATTTAGGCTGCATCAAGCTGGCCACCGTTCGCCGAATATCTAACGGTCTCATTCGGAGCTCAGCTCCGATATTTTCTTCATTTTCACTATAATATGTCATGATACAGCTTTCCACTCTAAAAAGGAAGTTGAAAAAATGATAAAGAAAGCCCTGCTAACTTGGAAACGTTGAGTTTTTCGAAGCGATGTAAAAACTTGTTGATCGCGAGCTGAATGACATCGACCCGGAAGTCTTTAATCTAGGCTTGACAACCTGTGTAAAACTCCTGACTCAGGGTACTAAAAGATCTTGAAAAGCTGCGTTACCAGATTCTCATTCAAGGTTTTTCATTCAAGATCTTTAGGTACCCTGACTCAGGATTCCTACACAGGTTGTCGAGCCCAGTCTTCGAGTCCAGGGTTGAGTGGACCGAACTGAACTTCGGTCAGGTCCGGCATTTGCAAATCTTGTTCCCAGTCGAGAGTCATTCCCAATTCTATTTCTAAATGAATAACTCAAAAAATCAATTGAAAGTGAAAATGATCCGTCTCTCTGAAGAAAAAAATCGCTAATGTAAATCTCGGTGAAGCCGTTTTTCGAAATGAAAAAAATGAAAACTGGATTTTTTTCGATTCGGAGAAGAACGAGCCAGGGGGCAGCGCCAGATCGAGCCACTTTTTTCGATAGACGGTTTTTTCTGGAAAAAATTTCGGGACGATTCATGCTCGACACTGGCCAATCCGCTGACTAGCAGGTAGGTTTTGGGGCCACTCTAACATCTCGTGCCTTCCCGGACTCATTTCCGCATCAGAAATCGAAAAAAGCAGAAATGGAAGTCGAGCCACAGGTAAGTCTGACAGACCCCTTATTTTTAATGAGAGCCGAGTACCAAGAGATCGAAAACACTTATAAACTCACCTTATTAAGTACACGATTTTCAATTTTCGCTTAAAAATTAATTGGAACAGTATCAGTGAAACTGTATCATCTTTTTTCTCAATAAAAATCAGAGTGAGAGAAGAACGAAATTCACCGGATAATCTAGAGATCTTGAAAGTCACAGTACCCCTATTCGTTTCTGTTTTCGTCTAGAAATGTGAATTATGCTTGATTTAACTGAAGATATCAATTTGGCGCATTTCAAGTTGCCCTTTTTGGCGCATGTTCAATTCAGTTAGAATTTGCTCTGGCGCCAACTTTGGATTGATTTCAATCAACGAAATCTAAAAAAATGAGTCCAAGCGCGCAGGAGATTCAGTTGTGATTTGCGCACAACCGAAACAGTTGAAAGGCTACTTTTTTGCGTATTTTACTCTTGACAATGGTTCTCACCGGATCCGCCCCAGAGACTGACTCTCTTGAGATTGCCCAGGTCGCCCAGACGATCAAGACGATCGATCTTGCTGAAGATGATGCCGAAGACGTCGACTTTGTCGTCCCAGACGAGGATTTGGAGGTAAGGAAGCTTCAGAAACTGACATCCTTTCGTAACTTGTTTTAGCTTGCTGATGAATCATCCGCTGATGAATCTTCCGACGAAGAAGGGGAAAACGAGGGCGAGAAAGGATCCCTCGAAGTTGTTGAGGAAGACTTCTGCGTCGAAATCGTCAACGGCGAGTTCAAAAAACTGAAGTTCAACCAGGACCAGCACATGGAGGGCGATTCACAGGTATTTGAAACTCTACAGATCGATTTTTCATGCTTCGAATGTAGGAGGAAGCTGACTCCCAAGAAGAGGACAACGAAGGCATCACCCTGAAATCCCTCGAGGCCGATCTTCCCGACGAAGACGAAGAAGCCGATCCCAACTTTGATCCATGCGCGGTAGGTTTATTCTTTGATAGAAATCTTTGAAAGTTTTTGAGCAAAAAAATAACCGAGAAACTTCAGGAAACCCTCAGCGATGTCGAAATTGACGCTGAAGAAGTCACCCAAGACGACCCGATGGAGACTGAAAACGTCGAAGGAGTCCACAAAAAGACCGGCGAAATCCTCAGATGTGAGTTTATATTGAAAATTCAATCAAATAACATCAATCTTTAGGCATCAAAATCAACGAGGACGAGATGAAAGTGATGACGGGCGAAGACAACAAGGAGGAAAGCGAAGAAATGAAAGAGTAAAAACCAGCGCGCGAAGACTCACTGCCAGCTTTTTTATTCTGTTTTAATCAAAAACTCATTCCTCAAGAATAAAATTGTTAAACAGATAAACTAAGCGCTCTTTAATTTTTATTGACATGTATCAATTCGCTCCTTTGTCATGCATAATTTACAAAACGATCGCCGCGAAAGTAGCAGCCGCACTAGCAGCAGCAGTCCCAACAGCAGTCGCAGTAGTGCTAGCGGCAGCAGCAGTTCCAGCCGCGGCGGCTGAAGCAGCGGCGCCAGTTGCAGCAGCTCCGGAAGCAGTCGCAGCTGAAATGGCGGCTCCAGTCGATGCAAGAGCTCCGGCAACTCCGGTAGAAGTAGCAGCGGCAGAAATAGCAGCGCCAGTCGATGTTAGTGCTCCAGCAACACTTGTAGACGTTGCCGCGGCAGTGAGAGCAGCACCAGTTGCACTTGCGGCAGCGGTTGCTCCGGAGACCACTCCAGCAGTCGCTCCAGCGAGACCAGTGGCGGTGGCAACTGAGGAGATGGCTGCTCCAGCTGCTGTAGCGGCAGAGGTCAGTCCGGCAGCGGAAGCTCCTAAAATAAAAATCACTTGAGAAAGACTCGGCCTCCGTACCTGATGCGAGAGCTCCACCAACAGCACCAGTAGTAGCACCAATAGCACTTCCAACAGCGGCGCCTACTCCAGTTGCACCAGCAGATTGAAGAAAAGCAAATGTACTACCAGCGACGACATTGCCAATACCTGCTTGCCACCCTGCAGCAGCTGATCCAGCAGCGATTCCAGCGCCAGTGAATCCAGCCGCAGCAAGAGCTAAGCATCGATAAAAAATAAGAAACTACTCCGGTGGTACCTGAAAATCCAGCATACCCGCCGACCGCAGCAGCAGCAATGGGAATTAGTGGGAGTGGCATTTCTCTGAAAAAATATATTTCAAATGAGCTACCTCATAAAAGAAAAATTTGTTCTCAGCGCCACCCCTTTTCCCTTTTCAATATTATCACTATCGCGTCAAACGCCCCCGCTGGGCAGCATAGTCCGAGTTCAATTCAAGGAAGACTTTAGAAGTGCACAGGAAACATTTTAGTTTAGACCTCTTATCGAAAACGGCGTTTTCGCAAAGTATCTTGGAGATAAAAATAAAATTCGTGCTAGAAATTGAGAGGACTGCTTTTAGTTTGCTATTCTTCTGCATGCAAATACTGTTAGCTTACTTTTGTTAGTAATATTTGACCAGTGAATATGCTTACGTCCTAGAGTTATCGGAAAGCTTCAGTTGACATCAGTAGGGTAGAATGCCATCAAATAGTTGACATCTTATTAATCTAAAATTAATTATGATAATTATTTGATAAATTTAATTTTTGATAATAAAACGGTTTTGATATTTTTGCTTGCTATGTTGAAATCTATTTTTGGAGAAGCTCTCCTCCGCCTTCAGGGTTTATATGAGTAACGCGTTCCACCACTGTTGATTCTCAGTTCTTGATTTTTCTTATAACTTATGTTCTTTAGGATTATTGATGTTTATTTTAAAAATATATATTCAGAGTGAGCAGTGAGCGCAAGACAGGATGTATGAGTAAAAATTAAACTACGTGATCAAGCAAAAATTTCGGCGCGGGAAAGAACACGTGTTCAAAAATAGCTTGAAAGAGAATTCGAAGTCAGAGAATGAGGAAGAAAGACTACGTGGAGCTTTTGTCCAAGGAGTTGTATCACTGTCGAAGGTGCAAAAAGGCGCTGGAGTTGATTGAAAATGGAGCGACGAATCAGTATCAGGATGCGAACGGATTTACGGCTATGTACTGGTTCTGTACTAAAGCTGATTGCCTCCCGGTTGTCAAAGGTACCCTTTTCAGTGAAGGGTCGATCAAACTGTTCTTTCAGCTTTGCTATCAAGATTTCCCGCAGAAATCGATACAACTAATCGTTGGGACAAAACTCCACTTTTTGCTGCTTATAATACCAATAATCGTCTTTGTTGGCAGTTTTTAGTCCGCCAGAAAGCCAAGAGAAGGTTTTTCACATGGTTCATCGCCAAAAACGCAAAAATTGACATCATGGGCGCGTTTTCAATTCATTCTCCCGAATTTATTGTTTGAAGCAACTTGAAAACGCATGATAGAATTTCTTCTCAAGCATTTTCGTGAACCAAACAAGCCATTTCGAAGAGATCTTGCCCAACTTGCCAGCATCGATTTCGACAAAATATACAAAGCCACGATTCGTCGAAAGTTTATAGAGCTCGACAGATTTCTTCGAAAAAAGAAAATCACGACTCTTACTGACATGGAAAACCCAGTCCAGTTTTGGCTGCAGAATCATCGACTTCTTGGGTCAGATTATTTAGACACGATTTCAAAGTCATCCCCAGGTTTTAGTTCGAAATTAGTGGTTTAGAATTAGCGCTGCTTGATATTTATATTCGCATGGTAGTCGCCCAAATTGCTTGCTCGCTAGATTGAAACAGATTTTTAAATGGTTTACTAACAAGAAACGAACTATTTCGAGTTCTATTTAAAAAGTCGCTGCGAAATCTTGGTCGATTGAAGACCACTCAAAATCTAGATTTAGAAGCACTCAAAACGCTCGACAAGCATCTTAAATGTTCTGATACTTTGATCGACGGTTTGCAAAACCCTATTGTTTGGTGGATTAGGCAAGAAGGCTCTCTTGGCTTGGAAGTGCTTGAAAAGATCAGAAAACGGAAAAACTTTGATGAAATTCTCCAAAAAGACGTTGCAACAATAGTCTCTGAAGGATTGAATGATCTGTTTGTCGTAAACGGGCTGCTCGAATTGATCAAGTTCTTTGAAAATGAAGACAACGCTCCTCAGGAAAACCTTGATTCCGGAGTAATTGACCCGGATGGACATCTTCAAATAATCTTCTCAGAACTTCAACATCTTCAACGGCCACTTTTCGTCTGGTCGACTAAAGCGGCAATCATCGGTCCAGCAGGTCTTCAACTTCTTTCAAAATCATTCGACTTCGAGGATCTTCTTAAAAACGAACTATCGACGATTCTTGAAGAAATGTCTGAAGAACATATATTTGGCTTGAATTTGATTCAGCGGTATTGCTCTGACAATGATATCGAGCTGAAAGTGGCGTTGCCAAAAGATATTCTCGACAAATGGATGAATGTAAAGGACGAAGACAATTTTCTCCTGGAAATGATCATTGATTCCGCGGACTCAGTTGAAATCCTCCTACGATCATTGTTTGACATCATCTGCGATCATGAAGATTTCGAAGAGCTCTACCCGAAGTTAGATAAACTTGGAACTTATCTGCAGCTAAAAGAGTTCGAATTTGCAAATCCGATCCGTTGGTGGGTCCTCGAAGAAGGCAAAGCTGGAGGCGAGCTACTGACAGCTCTGATCAAAAAAGACTTTGAAGAAGTAATCGTTGAGGACTTCGCAATGATGGCTTATTTTAAAGAGTTCGCTCTTTATGATTCCGCAAAAGTTGGAGTTCTATCACTCGCTTCTTATGCTCTCAGTAAAAATTTGGCACAAAGCGCCAACAAGGGATTCGCTAAAATTCTACCAAGCCCGCTTCAGTGGTGGTCTGAGCTTCCATTTGGAGACTTCATCGGCTCCGTTCGGCTACTCAAATCGTCTGAGAAAGTGTCGATCGTGATGGAAGACATGGAAGACTACCAACTCGAGAAGAATCCAATTTTTACGAACGGAAATCAATTTCTCGATGTTCTTTTCTCAGACTTTTGCGGGTCTCCGATTACTAGTGTTCTTCTAGAGCTCAGTAAGATCGAGAAGAAGTATCAACGGCAAATCTGTGACTATATCAATCAGTCTGAAAGAAAATTCTCAAAATGCGATCATTCGCTTGTTTTCTGGCTTCTTCTATCGGATAAATTTTGTCCAGATGTTCTTGAGCTTTTTTATGGCGGAGTCGACCAGATCACTTCTGTTCTTCGAGAACTTCACGAATTAAAGCTTTTAGACAGCGAGCTTACAGATGGACTTTATCAACTGATGATAGCTAAAGAAGATGACTTCAAAACTGTATTTAGTAAAATAGGAAAGGTCAGAGAGAAACTTTTCTTTCTTGAAATAGGTTTCGTTTTCGACCTTCATCAGAAAACCCATTGCTTCTTTGGTTTACACATGGAAAATCATCCCCGGAGAAAAGCATGAAAATCTTCATGAACACCGTTGAAAACCCTGAAGAATCAATTTGCCAAGAAATCAAAGCTCTTCGTGATAGTTACGTCCTCAACAATTATTCAGAAGAAATCACTCTCTTCGTAAAAATATTGATGCTGTTCCCTGAGCACTCTCATTTAGCGAAAATTATAATCGACAATCTCGGGAATCCCCTCATTTGGTGGTACAAATTCTCCAATGACGAGGATTTTGTCGACACAATATCGAAAATGGACGATTTCGTCGATTACTTCAAAGACTTTCTTTTAGAAAACTTCCCAGAGCCTGAAAAAGCGTACTTAGCCATAAGCTCGGGGTTCTGATAACTCATCTCTTCCATATTTCAAGCACTTTTGAAAACCCTAGACAAGCTCAAGACGAGAAGCTGTAACTGAATTTCTTGAAAACTTTCCTGTAGTTTGGTGGATGCAAAATCATTCAAAGCTGAGTGACTCTGTATTGTTTTTTGTTGGAGAACTTGCTGTAAATATGGAAGAGCTATTGGAGGCTAATTTGATGGAGCTTGTAAAAACTGGTGATATTCATCACGAAGATATGAGGTATAAACTTACTCTAAGACATTAAACTGATATGTTTAGAGTGGCGTTCTTCCGATTGATCAGTTTACTGTCAGAATATGGCTCAATCTTTGAGCAGGTTCTTTCAGAAATTGAAAATCCGCTGACTTGGTGGCTCGCTTCAAAAGCTTCTTCTGAAGAAGCAATTATTTGTCTTCCTACTTTATCTAACTCTTGCGATCTTTTACATTCCATCGTGGCAGAGTTGGAATTCTTTGAATTTGACGAACTTTCGAAAGAGAAGTTGGATGTGATCATCGAAGTTTTGCAGAAGAAAGAAATTGTCAGTGTCCCTGAAGGCGCACTGGTTCTTTGGTCGAAGAGAGAAGAGGTTTTCGGAGATGAGTTCTTGAAGGTCATTTTTTCGACAGAAAACGCGGAAGGCTTGATATCAAGTGATCTTTGGAGAATCTTCGAGGAATCGAGAGAAAATGCATTTCTCCGCATTCTCGGGAAAATAGAAGAGTATTCTTCGGAGACTGTTCTCGCTGAAATCAAAAACACGATTGACTCGTGGGAGGATAATTTCACGATTTTTACTAACTGCGAAGAGGATCAGATTCGAACTTCTTTGGAACTTCTATTGGAGACAAATTCATTCGCTAGAAAAGCAGAAAATTATCTCATTGAAGCGGAAGACGACATTAGATTTGTCATGTTGCTCAAATTTTTAGAAGAACGTGGTGATTTAGACATCATTTCTAATCCGCTTTCACTGGCATTTCATCGTGCTGAATTAATTCAAAAAGCAGATGTAACGCTCAGCATAGATGAGAATGAAGAGGACGACTTCAAGTCTTTCTTTGACGAAATTTCTACCAGTGAAAATATAACAAGAGCATTTGAAGCCGCAGAAATATTGCGGGACCAAAAAATTGGCGGCTTTCTGAAGAGCGAACTACAAAAGCGAGTTCGACTTTCAGTAGCAGTAAAGGCCGAGCACGAGCCTGAAAAACTCGTCAAACTGATTCTTGAGCATTCAAACGAAGAAACTGAGGTTGCATATTTCTTCGATGATCACAAAGAGGCAAATACTATTCCTGACGTTGAAGATATTTTAGTTATCAGTACAAATGTTTCAAATCGGGATAATTTTATTAGCATGCTCTCTGCAAATATAGAAAACCCCTTTTCATGGGGAATATCAAGCGTTTCTGGTGATAACTCTTCATGCCTCGTCCCGCTCATTGCCGCCTCGTCAAAAAGCATCAAAGAAGAAATCACTGAGTTCTTTTCTGAGGAATCGATCGTTCTTTCTTTCGAAGAGAACTCAACCACAAAAGTAGATCCGGTGATGATAGAAGAGTGCATCGTTAATTTTTACAAAGAGATGCCTCAAAACATCAGGAGTTTCTTCGAAAAAACAATCTTCTCAAAAATCGTCGAGGACAAGAAAGTCGATTGGATGGAAACGCAGCTAGGAGAAATCGCACTTTCAATCTTTGACAAATCCACTCCTGCTCAAGAACTAAAAATTTCATTTACCGCGCTTCTGAATCGACATGGAGGAAGCTTTGAAACAATGAAGAGGATTTTCGATCAACTCAAAATGAAGCACCTGAACGAAGTAATCGGCGACATGGTTTTGGCAGAGAAGTTTTTGATGAAATACATCGAGATCGTGATTCTAAGCTCCTTCGTTGGAGACAACAAGGACTCATCAGTCATGGAGAATATTTTAGAAATACAGCCTGAGTTTTTCAGCCAAAAAGAAAGAAGTATCGCGTTTCAGTCATTGTCGAAAAAAGCAAAGTCCTCGAAGATATTTTCAAAGTTTAGTGATAGCGGTGGTAAACCTGGCGTCTTTCTTCGAACAAATGAAGACATTGAACTAAAAAAAGACGATCAACTTGCTCAATTTTTGAAACAAACGGTTGTCAGTCACTATCATCTCTCTGAAGAAAAGGAAGACATGAACGAGATCCCGAATGTCTCTCTTGATTCCATCCTTGGTGTTGGAAAGATGAGCTTTGTAACCATCGGCCGCGTGACTTGCGAAGAAGAGTTGGCTGAACTCAAAGTCAAAAATATCAAAGGCTCCGTTCTCAAAGTATTCATCAAGCCTTACTCCCGGTCTTCTTTGCTGAAACTCGAGGATTCTAGCGTTGAAAAATTCCTCGAGCCCCTCAGTGGGGTGAAATTCAGTGACATCGGCGGAACGACCCGTGGGTTTGTTCTTCAGACAAAGTTTGACATGAATCTTGGTCAATTTTTGGAGAAAAAAGGGTGGCTCTTCAAAGAAGACGCGCCAACCCTAGAATCACGAGTTTTCTTACTAAAGAAGATCTTGGAAGCAATTGGATATCTTCACGAGAATAATATCAATCATTTGAATTTGAAGCCCTCCAATGTTCTAATTACGCAAGATCTGGCGGGAAGAAAAACTGCTTTGGACGTCTGCGTCCGCGATTTACGGTAATCCCGTTACTCTTGTGTGGATATTTTAATTTTTCTAGTGACAACAATTTGAAAAAGAACGAAATGATGCTCTGCCCAGGTTTTACATCTCCTGAGCAATTTATCTCCTCAACCATTTCTGAAACTTCCGATTTGTATCCGATCGCACGATTAATCCTCTTCTGTCTCCTTGACAATCATCTATTCTGGTTCCTTTGCTCAAGGCCTAACACCCGCGAGGTCCTTCAAGATCATCTCGACGGACTTGAACAGCTTCCAGAACTCATGTTCTGCGTCAAGCAGAATTTAAGCATGTCCAGCGACTTTAGGCAAAATTCTGTTCAGCAATTAAAATCAAAATTGCCATCGATGCTTGGCGAGCTCAAGCATGCTTCGCCGAGATTGAAAGAACTTTTTAACTTCAGGAATGATTTTCAAAAAGCGAATAACTTATTCCGAATAAGGATTGCTTGTTTAAGAGCGTATTTTGAAAATCACCAAAGACCAATTCTAAAAGTGCCAAATTCTCTTTGGGCTGGAACGCTCACGGGTCCATCTCTTCCAGAGCGCATTTCAATCTTCCTCGAGAACCTAAACGATCCCAGTATATCGTCAGAGTGCAACGATACTTATCTCAAACTGTCCTACTTCGTGTGCTATTCCTTCAAAGCTGCGGTCGACAAAGAGCTTTCACCGAAAGGAAAACTCTGGACGATCGAGAATATAATGCTGCTTTTCACTGGCGCAATTTATGACGAAAAATGTTTCACATTCGTCACTTCTCAATACGCCAAAAAGGATCTCAATCTTTTCCGAATTCTGAGAAGAATGATGGAAATGCTTTGCTTCGGCTCATTAGTCCAGAACGCTCCCTGGGTGGATGTGATAGAAATGCTCAATAAGGATCGGCCAACGAGCACTAGAAAAGTTCTAGAGCTCAGGCAGACTATGGTCAAGGAAGGCAATGAATTGTGCTTCGAAGTTCCTGTTGTGACGATGACAGCTGAGAAAATAGCAATGATTTCTCTGCAAAAGAAAATGACGCTTGTTCAGAGGCAGAAGGAAATTTGCCTTGAGACAGAGAAAGAAATTGATATCATAAAGGTACTGATTCTTTTTGAATTGGGAAATCATCATTTCTAGTGCCTGAAAATCGACAGTTTGATAAGAGACCAGACCAAATGCGAAAACTTTTCCCTGAACGAAGAATGCTTATATCTTCAATTTTCATAACGCTGCTATAAATATACCGCTGCTATACGATATTTCTAGTAATAAATAAAATTCTGACGAGCTCAGCCTAAAAGTCCAATCAGCGTTGTTAACCGCGCGGTCGATCAACGCCGGTACACTCCACAACGTGTGATGCCTTTTTTAGATTATGTTTAATTTTCGGCCAAGTGCCCGTTCTCACATTCTAATTTCCACCCGTTTACAAACATAATCGCCCCAGTTGCACATTTATGAACCACGTGGACCGTGTGGCAATTTTCACAATTTTGCAAGATCGTAAAAAATTGTCATCGGAATGCGACAATTACAAGCAGTTCCTCGTTCACCGTATTCGATTGACGCACACGTGGCTGATGAAAAAGAATTCCAAAAGACGCAAAAAGGGATTATTGACGGTTTTGTGATGCAAAAGTCGGAAGTAAAAAAAGAGGCCCACAGGGATTTCCGACAGAAACATGTGTAAAAATACGTATTCTTCCAGGGGTTAAAGACTGTGGTTGATTTTAGATCCTTACTTACTGCTTCAAACTCTACTTTGAATAAGAAGAACTTTAAAAAGCCTCTTTGAAATAACGTTTTTTGGAGCACGCTCTCCAAAGAAATCGAATCATGAATTTTAAAGTGAGGATTTCGTGCGTTTTCGGTTTTCCGCTGAATACTATTTCGTCAAAATTCACACTTTTTTAAATCAATTGGTGGTCCACTTGCACCACGCAGCGCATTTCAAACGAACCCTTTCTTCGTTTCTATCACTTTCCGATTCGCTCGTTTGTTTTAAGCTGAGTTGGATAATCCTTTTTATGTATACCTTTTTGAGCCTCTTTTCTCGGGCGCTATTACAAAGGTTCAATTTTCCTGACTAAATATTTAATCGAGTCTACTTTCACGTTTCACGTTTCTGTAGAACTTCTTTCTTATTTCGATCTGACAGCAGCAGCAAAATATTTTCAGCGATAAAAGCGCCGCGCAGATCCAAGTTCAAAGGAAAAGAACTGCCGTAAAATTTGGGTACTTATCCGCGTGTATTTAGACTGTTGCCGATAAAGGACTGTCAAACAAAGTCGGGAAATGGGAGCTACTGATTGTGATTGAACGGTTAAGCACTTTGTCAAACGACAGTTTATCGGAAGCCGCAATTAGGGCCGAGAAAAAATAAACGCGTGGTCTTCCACACACACGTGTCCAGATTTTGAGGGACAAATACAGCTTGATTTACTCCTTGACCCCTTCTCAGAATATCTACTGAACCAAAAGAGATTCTAAAAGTTCCTTTTTCTACAATCTTTAATGCAGGGAGCACCTTACACGATCGAAATTAGACATCGTATAAGAATAAGTCGTGTAGGTCATCCGAAGCGTAGCCGCAGCTGAATCGTTTCCGTGATCGACATGACGTCCTTTTCCTCTCACTTTCCAACACCAGTTGCAATCAATTTTCGCTTTCCGAAATCGAAAGTTCAAACTTCAGCAAAAGGAAACAATGAGGCTGACCGCAAAGAGGATCAATCTTTCAGAAAAACGGGCGCACGTTTCTTACAGTCACCGAATCAAGAAATATTAAGAAGCCGCTATTCAACCGCCAGCTTTTTCTTAGTAAATAAAGCCTTCATTGTACTTATCATTGATACCGTGTCAACTAATGTTGACTTGTCATCTGAGGGGAGAATGATAAGGTTCAATTTTCATTCCCTAACTGTGAGCACCACGAAATCACCGAGTCGGATTTCTTTTGAATTATGATATCTCACGTTTGCAAAAGGATTTTTACGGATCGTCATTCTTCCTGAAATCGACCAAAAACCGCGTTTTTCTTTATTGAAATAAACAGCGAAGTTCAAGCGTTGAACTATTTATTTTCAAATTTTGAGAGTCTTCGTTTATCTTTCCTTTCGATTTTTCTTTCTATCTGAAAATCAGTTTGCACCCTTGTTTGATGATAAGGAACTCCCGCCGAGTTTGATCCAAAATTTGAGATCCCGTATCTCATGTTAGAGAATTAAAAAAGTGACACGTCTAGGATTATAATTACGAATCATAATTGGAGTGCAAAGTTTGTAACACACTCGTTTTCAATAAATTCAGTTGAAGCTAATGGCCGGCTGATGATAAACAAGGTCAAACTTGCAGACATTCTTTCAATCGAATGTTACCGGCGCTAATAAAGAATAGAAACAGCATCACAAGTTCCGACGAATTTCTAAAAAGAAAAGATGGAATTTTCTTTCGCTAAGCGAGAAACAGCCAGGGTCAAGTAAAAAGACGACAAAGGCCCCTCGCCCGTCCGATCATGCAGACTTATCCGTATTATTTACGTTCTTTCACGTTTTCATGCATCAGCCGGCTGTCAATTCGTGCACTTGAGAGCGAAACGTGTTTCAGGGCTTGACTTCCTTTTAACGACTCGATATGCCGTGTTCGACTACTTCCGTGTTTGTAATTGAATGAGTACACAACGTTGACACAAATCTTTGTACTGATGTTCTTCGAAAATGAAGAGATGGTTAAATTAGCTCTGGTTTTATTTGAAACGATTTTAGCCCTGAAATGCGTCGGGCCTTTGGAATTCAACTGCAAATACAACTGTAGATATGGTTAGGTTATTGGGACTATATTTATTTAAGGACTTAAAATGTTTTAGAATTCATGAAAAACATGAGGAACAAAATGTTGTGGATATGCATTTGCTGCGATGCGAAAAGATTGACTCTAGTTTTGCGAATTGTAAAAATTTAATATTAGCGGCATTTTTGTAGCAAGCGGTCTGGCAGAGTGAACAGAAAAGTGGCCGAGGCCAAGCGAAAGTTATTTTGAACAGGTGCGGCGAATCTCCTTTCCTTATTTGGAGATGAGCAAAGCGAATCCACAACATCCCCCAGATTCGGGTGCAGCATGTGATGAGTAGAATTTTCGCGCGAAGTTTGCAGATTTGATAAAGTCCACCAATGTTCAAATATTCTTTTCTGATCGCGGATTAATTTTATAAAGCTTATTTTTATTTGCGCGATTTGATCTTCTATGCGGGCACGGTAGTTTGCGGCGTACCAGAAGAAATAGCTGTAAATGCAGTGGGAATGAAACCCAATCGGTTGTGTGTTGCTGTAGCTGTGCTGTGGGAATGATACCCAATTAATTTTTGCAGATTTTTGAGCTGTGCAGAAGCGGAATGATACCCAGTTTTCCATGCGGGGTCCAGTCTGTATCATTTATGCGGTTGCAAGAGCAGAATTGAAGTCCGATTTCCAATGCGCTGACGGCGATTAACTTATTTTTTGACGAGAAGAGATAAATTTTATATAATTTTGCGATACTCCCTTCCCCCCAGTTAATCGTCGGGTAATCGGTTTTTTGTAGGCGGCTTGTAGCAATTTAAAATTTGTAGCGATTTCATTGGAAATTCGTTCAGCTGAAATTCGTCCAAATGCTTGCTTGGAATTTCGTTCGGCTGAAGATTCGTCCAACGGCAAAATTTATTGGAATTCGTCTAGCAAGAATTCGTCCAAAAGCTTTAATGGAAATTCGTCTCGCTAGAAATTCGTCCAAAGGCGTGCGATCCACAACGGTAAAATAAATAAAGGAAATCCACCAGTGAGCTAGTCCACCAGCGAATAAATCCAAAAAAGTTCCCAAAATAATGACGACAGTGCAGATTTATCTGTAGCCATTGCGGGGATTTACTTACAGGAGGTTTTTATTTTCGTTTTATCTGGAACCAATTTCTTGTTTGATCCACAGATAGCATCCTGAAACCAATTTCGTTGTTTGGTGCCAGTTTTCTCTTTTTGCAGCTTTCCTCCAGCGCGGGGTCGTTAATTCCTGGTACCAATTTCTTGTTTGGTGCCAGTTGATTCTCTTGGAGGTGTCCTCCGTCGCGGGTTCTTCGTGTCCTGGTACCAATTTGTTGTGGATATGCATTTGCTGCGATGCGAAAAGATTGACTCTAGTTTTGCGAATTGTAAAAATTTAATATTAGCGGCATTTTTGTAGCAAGCGGTCTGGCAGAGTGAACAGAAAAGTGGCCGAGGCCAAGCGAAAGTTATTTTGAACAGGTGCGGCGAATCTCCTTTCCTTATTTGGAGATGAGCAAAGCGAATCCACAACAAAAAGATGTTCTGTTCCTCAATGCAAGGCAATTCAAGACGGATGCATGAATAACTGTAGGATTCCGGAATGCCAGGTAGATTTGATATTGATTCTGCATTTAAAACTAGCTTTATTTTAGCCATTTAAAACTCCGCCTCCAACTACAACTACAGCTCTTGTTATTCAAACTACCCCAAGAATTTCAACAACTCCGAAGAGAAGATGTCAACTGGGATTTTACGAAATCACCCAAGAGGAAAGCTATAAACCTCTATTTGCCAGATTTGGCTGCGAAGATGGAATTCATCATGGTGAAAATGGATATGGAGGCACAAGTTATTGTAATTATAATTTCTTCGATTTTCTTCACGGGCCTTACAGTATCTCACGCGAAGGAGATTCGATTATTTGTTCATACAAATGTTACGGCTGTTTGCCTGATAAAAATTAATAAATATTTTCGCAAAGAAATCGGAAAGAACTCGTTGATTGATGGAATATTTTCAGCTCACAAATTCGTGAGTGACGTTTTGATCAAAAGTGCTGCTCAACGGGAGCTGGTAATTTTCTCCTTCAATTTGGATCGATAACTCTGGCCACTTTTCCAAACAATCCGTTTTTCGTAATCCTTGTGGTTCAATAATCTCAGCCTCCGTAACTGCTCGTTATTTGACTCAGCCAAAAACATATGTGGTGTCATAATCACATGATTTTTGTTGCAAGAAACGTGAGGGGATCTTCCCAGTTTCGGGAAATGAAATTGATGAAGTGATTCTTTGTTGGATAACCAAAAACCACCAGAATCGCCAAAAAGCCAGCTAGATAATAACTAGCCGCGTCAACTTGCATTCTAACGTCCTCTCATTTCGAGCCAGAACGCGAGATAGTTAGCAGCGAGCCGAGAAGACATTATGAACATATAATGACATTTGATTAAATCTCCAACGATGTGCAAATCGGATCGCACGAGTCACATTACCTTGACCGACAAATAGACAAACTTTGACAAAACAACTCGTTTTCACCCGCAAAAACCACTTCAATCGACATTTTTCCACGTTTTCAGTGAACAAGGCGTGCCTCAAAATAGCGGTCTAACAGGCTGACATCCCCTTGAAAACTGTGTCCAACTTCTAGTCTGGGATTATCCTCAAGAGAGCTCGAATCGGGACCACGCTTCCGCTCGGGATCGACTAACGTAAGAACCCGAAGTTTTTTGAAAAAATAAGAAACGTCGCTTCCGAAGGATTTTTATCCGATTGTTCTTTTCGAGGAACACCTACAGGAGAATTCGAACTTTTCTCTTCAAAATCTCGATCCAGTAAACTATCAGACAATTTGCCCGATTGAATATTGATTTACAGGCTTCATTGAAGATGACCTTGCATATTTACCAATAAAACTTATTACAGGATCAATAATTACTGTCGATCAGACACTTCAAGGTCATACTTTCGCCGGGCTCTCAATCAGCTGATCCATTCCATTTACAAATTAACCTAAAATGGAGAGCTACTCCGATCAGCTTATTCTCACTACCGTTTGCCACTCTTGCAGTCAGAGAGCAACATATTTCATCGGCAACGCTTCTTTTTCGAAACAGAGAAAAGACCGAAATTATTTTAGAAAAGTTCTCAATAAAATCAAAGCGTCTATCTATCTCAAGCACGAGTCGGTTTCTTACTCCACTAACAGGTACTTATCTAAGCTTAAATCAAAGATGGCAAAAATCTTAAGCACGCTGTCTGAAAATTACGAAAGGATGAACATTTCTGACATGGAAACTCAAAACGCGCCGGAAGGAGACTTGATCGCCGACCACCTCAGTGAAGAAACATCGCGAGAAGCTGAACTTGATTCGAGCATGATGCAGGTTAGCTCAGAAAAAACTGCCCTCTTATCGTTTTCAGATGGAAGCAGAAGGAGAATTAGATCCAGACAGTCTCAGCTCGGATTCCTGTTCTGATGGCTCTTGCGAAGAAGACCTGGAACACTTGGAGGCAGAAAATAATGACAATCAGATGAATCAAGCTTCTGCAGGCTCAGATATGTCCGCTTCTGGACTCGGCGAGGATATTATATACTCTGAGTCGGATGAAAATACCTCTGATATTGTCGATGAAATTGACGGCTACTGCAAAGTCCAGGACTGCTACGAATATGAAGAGACCTTGACAGTTTCTCAGGGAGGTTCAAAATTATTTTTTTTTTCATTCAAAAACAATTGCTTTTCGAACCCTAGAAAGCCTGAGTCGGACAACTACTGTGGCGAATTCGGCCAAATTTGCTCGGACACTTCACTTTCCATCTCCGACTGGTCTTTCGGTCCAGATCAGAGCATAGGTACCTATGTCGATTTTGCTCAATAAATTTCTTGATTTCTTGATCTTGGAAGACACTGTTTCTGAAACTACAAGCCTGCTTGACTCGGCGGAACTATCAGAAGAGCGACACAGAACATACGTGTAAAATTCTGTAGAAAATAAAATTTGATGAAGTTGTTAAATCCTAATTCGCAAATTTAGAATGCTCCGACAACTATTTTGTGAAAATCTGTCGTAGCACCATTAACGAAGTCATCATATCTAAATTTAGCCTGCAATCGAGGAAAAGTTAGCGTAAACACCTGCAAATCCATTTGGCCGCTGAAAGCCAATATTTGTGAGCTCGTTTTCGACGTCCTTGACCGGAAAACAGCGACATAATCGACTACGCATTAGCCAAATGATTTTTGACTAAATTTCAAAGAAAAAAACAATCGAGTTTTCTTTTCTCGATGCACCTTTTTATCGGATTAAAAGACCTTTATTTAATGAAAATTATCCGCTGCTGGATTATTCCACGTTTTGGGCGAGTGATGAAAATTTAATGTGAATTCTTCGGAACAAACCTCTTGCCGGCGTACGTTGCGTTTCGCTTTTGATGCTCTTTTCATTTGAAACAAATGCCGGAATAATATTTTCACGAGCTGACTGGAGCTGACAGCGTTTACAGAAATTCTTTAATTGAAATTGCCTATTAATACCTGCGTCTAAAGACGAGACCGTTGCAGTAAAAGTAGAGCTGTCAAATAAAGCACCCAACTAACGGATGAGCCCGTCAAGCGAAAGTTTACATGTGAGAAAATTTATTTTAATTCATGCGCTCATCCAAGGCGGGGTTGCCGATTCGGTCACAAAAAGTGATGTGAGGCCACGTTGACTGATAGGGGGATCATGTCTTCTGATATAATTATCCGGGTACTCAATCGATAGCCCGGTCACTACTCGCCGCTAAATACCGTTTTCGTAAAAGAAAAAATAGCTTTGAAACTGACATCATCATAAACACATATCTTGAGAACTGATAAGCTCGGCTTTCCAAGATTGGCAAAAACGAAATCTCCAAAAGCATCGAAAAAGGCAGAATCGAGCTAATGCTATCGTAACGAGCCGATTCTAGTGATTGGGAGAGATTCTGTTTCACTTCTATTTCACCCACTTTTTTCGATTGAAGATGACCGGAAATGAAGACACGTTGGAATTATACCTTCTGATCAAAAGGAATAAACACCATAAATTAACAATCGAGCTGATAAGGCAGTCATGATTTTGGAGTTTTATCATCGGGCGCGTAACACCTCTGTTTTACTGTACTTACAGTAGAACAAGGTGGGAGTCGAGTGAAAATCGCTTACTGCGATTTCTCAATTTTTAGCGCTACTCAAGGGTAGCTGCAACTGAATAATGAGGAACTGAACATCATAAAAAGGACTCTGATGGAATCGGTCTGCCGAATTTCGGACGATTCATTGATGGTGTGAGTCCCGTCTTTGTTTTACTGTACTTACAGTAGAACAAGATGGTGGCAGAGTGAGGGGAATCGCTTGCAGCGATTCCAATTTTTTGAGCTACCTACGGGTGGCAGCAAAATACAACTTATCATTGATATTCAAAGTTAGCTGTCCTCTCAAGGATTTCCACACGTCCTCTAAACTTGTGGAGAGATTTTGATGAGTATCCAAAAATTTGGCGACATTTTTGTGGAGTATAAGAAATGTGCTTGCACGTTTTCGCAAAGAGGAATTCTCACTCCATCTCAAGGGTTCCTTTGAGTCTCCTTGAATGAGCCCAAATACCAGCACAAAGTGCGCAGCCGCATCGTTTCTAGCAAAATTTCAGCACTCGGAAAATTTGTTGAACAACCCCTCAGCCACGAGTTCCGAAAAGGCTGAGAATCGCGGTCAGAATTATGAAAGAACGGGGCCGCGGTTGTTGACTCTAATCGACCGAGCAGGAATTTTTGAGTGTGAAGAGAACTGACAGCTGAAACGAGTTTTGGAAGGAAGATGCGCCGTTTTCATTAATTAATTGCCGAAAAACGAATCAGTGTTGATTAGCCGCCTGGATGAGAGATTTTGGCTTTTTTATCGAATAAAGCTGCCAGATTTTTTTTCGCTTGCAAATGTTGACTTAGAACTAATCTGGCTCAATTAATTTTATCACTTTAAATTTATTGGAACACGTATTGGCCTCTTTAGAGATGTCCATTACTGTCTAGCCTTTAGTGGAACGTACCGTAAGAACTGTAGATAATCCTCTAGTGGGTAGGTCACTTTTGCGTGTCATTACCCGAAACCGGTTTCTAAAAGTTACGGTAATTTCGGAAAGGAGCTCCTTTTTGGAGCTTTGCAAATATTGAGTAATTCTCTAGAACACGTTACGTATCCTTACGGATACCTCGTTGTTGTTGATAGTGTTACGGTTGAAAAATGAGGGCGCTCAATTACAGTAAGCCACTGATTTATGGTCTTTCTTTCGATCGGATTTTATTCAAAAATGCTCCTTTTGATCGTCGAAAATTCGATGATGATGATGGGGTGATCGAAATTTATGTGGAAGTTTAGGCAGCCGCGGTTGAACTTTAGCTTTTGAGCAAATTGACGATGTATTTTTGCAGCTTTTTCGGTTCGAATTATCAGACTCAACATCATCATTGAGGATCACCCCGATGGTTTCATAGTTGCTCAACGATCGAGCATTATACAAGTCCAGAGTTGATTCCGCTCTTGATTTGGACAGGGGATGTTTGCTAAGATCGAGTCCGACAACGACGGAAGCAGGAGATTCCGCAATTCTGCGACTAGAATTGATCGATCCTTCATTCTAAGTAAAATCAAAACCGCAGAGTTTAAACTCCGGCTCTTATCTTCTACCCATCTCTTTTCAAGATAACACGAAATGGTTCAAAATGGATACGGAAATATTTTGAATAAAGACCGCGTGTTCAATCAAAGCTTCTGGCAACTCGTAAAGATAAAGAAGAAGGAATTCCTTCTAAAAAATTAAGCATTTTTTAAACCTTATCTTTCAGGCTAGTTCAGCTGGTGCAGAAGAGTTACCCGTCGACGAACATGCAATTTGAATGTCAGAAACTCTTTTAGAGAAAAAATTGAGAGCTACCTTTTTAGAAAAAATTTTGGAAAAAAATTCTTGAAACATAAACTTCTTCGTCATTTTTACGAAACTTGCTCGTTTGAAAAACGAGCTGGACACCTCTCTTGTGATTCACTGAGCCTGCGTTCTAGCCTAATGGGCTCTAACGAGTTAAGAATGATTATTGCAACGTGTTTTAGAGTACTCCAAATTGCCACCTACTAATCAAGGGTTTACAAAATCGCCGACGCTTAAAATCTGAAATTTTCTAACGATCCAGACGCGTTCCGATGCCTATACTTACTTCTATTCGAGTTTCCTAATTTCCCACAGCTGATCGACAAAGTCATCACTTCGTATTCCCGCTGCGTGTACTCATTATTTTCTAGCGCGATTGCGATAATGCGCTTTCCTCCAGGTGGCGTTGCAGAAACAGCGCCGCGCTGCGCATATTTAAGCACTCGTCAGCGGCTTGAGGAATCATCCAGCCTTCCGATATTACAAAAAAACTAATAAGGGAAGCTCAAGTGAGCCTTTTTTGAAGTTGAAAATAAAAATGAAATTCTCTTCCATTTTCGCCACCTTCTCCGCTGTCGCAGCTCAAGTAAGTTCAAACAAAAAAGAAACGAGAGATAAAACAGGACCATTCTATAACTGTAATAAAAATAGGAATCCCGAGGAATCAAACCTCCAGGACGACTTGAAAAGACAACAGGAAACTTCAAAAAGTGGCTCTCACAAAACATCATCGACGCTGACGCCATCGACAGGTATAATTTCCATCACTCTTTCACCTTATTCATCCAAATCAGATGGTCGATTCGAGTGGACAAAATGACCGCCAACATGCTCAGTGCTTACGGCCGAGCAAACTGTGGCTTCTACGACTCATCTTTGACCAACGGTGGTCCAGACCCAAACCCAGATCTTCGACCCAACGGCAAGCCAAGAAAGGTCTTTGAGCGAAAACGAAGACAGGTCGAAGACGAGGAACTCCGATTGACGAGACCAATCCTCTCAAGGGACTGACCCAGATCACCAAGCAGTTCCGAGTCTGGTCCGAGCGACACATCAACGAATGCGGCGGTCAGCGACGATTCAACCACATTGCTAGAAGAATGGACAAATGGACAAGGTAACTTTCCGTCCCAAAAACGCCAAACAAACCCTCTTTAGCAAACTCGGAAACCGATGGGAGAACCAGTTCTAACTCCTCCTTACTCGACTCTTTCTTCATCAGAGCAGTACTCGACAATTCGATCTGAATCCAGCTCGAGCATCAAAATAACGAACAAAACGTCCATCCTTTTTATAGTAAAACTTACTCCTGTACAAATGCACAACTCTACTAACACAATTTACTGTCAAATGAGGCGACTGAGCCGACCACTTGACAAAGCAACTTTGCAAAGTTTGTCTTTATATATCCTTCTTTATAAAAACGAAAAATGACAATAAAAAGCTAAAAAATTAAAAAAAAAACTGAGTCTTTAATTACTCATGCAGTTATCATACAAAACGTGAAGTAGAATGGGTTTTCTTGCGAAAGCGGCGGTAGTATTGGAAAAGTGGCAACCGCAAATCGTGGGCAGTAATCGGATAAACGCTCCCATATTCGCTAATGGCCGACTCCTTATTCTATTCTTTTTGAGTGGACTCCAAAATAGGCCGCGCTTAGGCCCGGAACTTGGTCAAAGGATTTTCTAAAATAAATTTCTAGCTCTAGGTCATTTTTTCTCAATCGATCTCGTTCTCTTCAAAATATGATTATATTTGATTGACAGTGGTAAATGGGCAGTGAATAAATAATACTGAGATTTTCGTTCTTCTGGGGCTTCTTAAAGTGTATCCCGTCTTCGTTTTCTCGCCTGTTTTTCTTAATTTCTGTTTTAGTATTAGCTAAAATGGTTGTTTGAAGTTACCAAGATACTCGTTGATTCTCTTATCAAGTTGTATCAAAAGCTTCTTCACGCCCATGTTAGCTACGAATTGACGATGATCCATATTTGGATCTGGAAGTTCGTCCTCTTTTTAGAGAGTAAGCACACGTCCAAAATCGTGACAGCTTTCAAGTGCCAAGTGAAGCAATAGAACAGTAAGAAACTGTCAGTGGCTAACTCTTTCCTGAAACCAAACGGTTCAAAATGACTTCACCTTCGCGGAGGAATGGAAAGTTGTGATATTTGCTCATGCACCAGATATTGACAAGTTTCGTTCGTTCTTCAAAAGCTTACAAAAATGCATAGAATTTAAATTCCCAATTTATTAAAAACTTTCCTGGGTACGCTGGCCCGAAAACGACAGTGAATTCGACATAGCAGCTCGTGTAGAAAACGTTCCAGCTGAGTCTTGACTCCGGATACACCAAAAACGGAGGTGGAATAAACTTAAAGCTCAATAGATGAAATCATCGATTTTTAATTACCCTGTGAATGTATTCTTGCGTCTCGATAAGTGCTGCCGTGATTCCCGGATATGGATCCTGCTCTACTTCGTCTTCGGAAGATTCTAATTCGTCCATTGCTGGCGCTTCCTCGAAAATTTCATCTTCGCTGTCTGGTTCTCCGAGGCACAAGCAATCATAAATGGAGATATTGGTATTTCTTGGCGTCGGCGCCATTTTATAAAATGATCAAAAAGTAAAAAACATACTTGTTGGTGTTGGCGCGCTCTAGAGATAAAATCAAATAATTATGTTCGTTTCAATTTCTCATTTGCCGATTAGTAAGTCTCACAGCCGATTTTGCTTGATCGGCTAATGATAAGAAAGAGAGACGAGAAGAGATTTTTTTATATATTTTTATTACAAAAGATGAGTTAATGGTAACAAAAACTGAAACCAGTCGAGATAATTTTAAGAGGATTTTGTACAGAAAAGGGATTGTAAAACATCTTTTTCTTTCGGGAGGATCAGTAGAGTTTAGGCTTGATTTTCCCATCGAGTTCCGAGCTTGCTGACAAATTTGTCCATTCGTCGAGCGATGTGGTTGAATCGTCGCTGACCGCCGCATTCGTTGATGTGTCGCTCGGACCAGACTCGGAATTGCTTGGTGATCTGGGTCAGTCCCTTGAGAGGATTGGTCTCGTCGAATCGGAGATCCTCGTCCTCAACTTCTCGTCGTTTTCGCTCGAAGGTCTTTCTTGGCTTGCCGTTGGGTCGAAGATCTGGGTTTGGGTCTGGACCACCGTTGGTCAAAGAAGAGTCGTAGAAACCACAGTTTGCTCGGCCGTAAGCACTGAGCATGTTGGCGGCCATTTTGTCCACTCGATCAGACCATCTTTGGACGGCGGCTTGGTCGACGATGTTTTGGGATAGCCACAGCTTGAAGTTGTTCTGCGTCTTTTCAAGTCGTCCTGGCGGCTTGATTCCTCGCACATCCTGGGAAGCGGCGGCGGAGAAAGTAGCAAAAAGTGTAGAAAACTTCATTTTTATCAAGTTTAGTTTTTGAGTGTTTTGAATAACTATCTCAAGTTAAATCGATGACGATAAATCCCCTCGACGCGTTTAAATACTCGCGCGGAACATAGATCACGAGCGCCATCTGAGCGCCGCGTTATCACTAAAATTTTAATTTTGACAAGTGCGAGCATCGTTAGTCGCCCGGGTGAGCCAAGGTCAGGATAATTTTGGAACTCTGATGAGATACGTGTGCAAGTAAAGAAGGTACGTATTCAAATATTAACATTGGGACGGCGTTGTTTCCGAGAAAAATGGAATTCTAGCGCTAAATCTTCCTTTTTTCACTTTATCGATGAATACTTTCAAAATTAAATCTCTAGCCGTCTAGTCACTCATTTTCTCAAATCAAGTCTATCAACAACTGGGCGTGATTTTGCCCCGTCAACCACGGCGCGGAGTACGTTGGAAAATTTACTTGTGGCGAGCTTATTCACTGCCGACGAATATGTTTCTAATCTCCCCTCTTCTCGGACTTGGCGTCCACATTCGAGCATAAGCTTGATTTTATTAAAGTTTGAATACTGTAAGTAAGTGACTTTAGGAGCTGATTTTGGCCACAGAGTCGTCTTTTAAGCGTTTCAAAACGAAAATATACGACAATTTCTTCATGATCGAATTAAACTGTTTGATACAGTATCAAAGAAACTGTCAAATATCTGAGAAACGCTTTCCTCGATCTGAACTTATCAAGCCAACCGGTTCATTTCCTGATCGACTTATTCTCTTCTCTCCCAAGTGCGATAAAATCATAAATACCAACGAAGCAGCCAGAATGATTCCCAACGCGAGAACTAGGACCGTTAATTTGGCGAAAATTGAGATTGGAACTTACGAGATAGCTGCGGTTTTCGTGGAAGAATGATGATGAAACCGGTAATGAGTTGAACTGTGCAGAGAACGTAAACCGCCTTAGCAAGGGTGGTTCGCGTTACCAAAGTCGCGCAATAAGCGCCTAGACTCGCTCCAACTGGCACCACAGGTACTATGTTGTGGTCAAGCTGCTCTGTATGAGCTTGAATAAATTATTCATCAATTTGACCTTTTCCAGAAACAATCCAGTAGTCCCAAGCAATGGTTGCGAGAGTGCCGAGAAAGAATTTATAAGCGAATCCGAAAATGCTGACCATGGCCATGAGGACTACGGATGTTGGGGTTGCAATCTTTTCCGAAACGCGGAAGTACAGGGTTAGTACGCAGAAGCAGCAAATGTCGACGCCAGATCCAGCGACTCCTGTGAATAATCCGCCGAGGAAACCTAAACAGCATATATTTGTGGCTCTGTAATCTCTGTATTCAACTGTTGAATTTCAACATCATGTAGATCAATGTACGTTATTATTGCTAAATTTCAAAAATGTTTCAAGAAAAAGCTGACCATTCAATTGCCCCTTAAGGGTATCTAATGCCCAAATGCTTTATTTTTAAAAAATCTGATTTAAATTATTTAATTTTATAATTTGAATGTTTTAGCATTTGTCGTATTTTAGATTCGTCGTACTCCGCGGTCGATACGATGATGATAACTCAACGACATCTGACGTGAAAATCAGGATGTTCGATGTCAAAAACTCAAGTTCTCCATCTTCTACCTATAAATTAAAAAAAAAAGAATGAAGTGGAAGGCACGAAAGACAACTGCATAACGAATACCTCCGTAAGCGTGTCCCTTCCTAGAATTGCTGCTGCTTTAAAAACTAACATCACGATGATTGTTAGTCCCACTAAAATAGTTTAAAATTCGGGAAAGCTTTTTCAGGATGTCCCTTAATCGTTTTCATAGTCGACTAAAGACTGGAGCATAAGCTGTCTTCTAAAACAGCAAACGCAGAAGACAAACATACCCCGGCCGAACAAAAACAGATTTTGGAAAGGAAATCGGAAATTTCAAGCCTGGCTCATTTTTAATTGCCTCTCAAAATATTATCACTAACCAGTTATCACCAAAATCTCTGCGGAGAACTTTTCATCTTTGCTGATCTCGTCGAAAACTTGTCGATCCTTTTTCTTGTTCAAAATCCAGAGAGCAACGGCAAAGGCGAACCAGATCGAGACAAATGATATTTTTGCATGAGCAGGGCTGAATTGATGCTCTTTGAAAACTGACCAGGAAAGAGAAGATGGTCAAGATTCAAGACCACCAGCCTAAGTAAAGGGTCGATGAAGGTAAATTCAGCGATGAGGCCGAGGATTCCACCAAGAGGGACGAATAGAAGGCAACGTTTTTCTAGCGGAACTTTGCATAGAAATATCTGTCAAGGGAATTGAAGGTTTTGATTGGTTAACACTGACTTTTGGCTCTTTGCATTGGCTTTCGCAAAAATGATTCGAGAGTCTTCGAATTTTGAAACGTTGAACTTGCTCGAAAACCTGGAAACAGATCTGCATTTATTTTTTGATTGCTTCGAGTTGAGTCTTTTAAATCCCATTACGAGCAGCTCGCCGAGCTCATGCCGACAGACTGGATCATCAAGCTAAAGTCTCTGAAAACACAATCGTTAGGATTCAGTTTCGGGAAGGTTTGTTCTTATAGACACCTTGCAATTTTCGGATCGATTTTGCAGACCAGAGTCATTACAGGGTAAGCGACGGCTCCACCACCTTAAAACCGCGAAAATTGACGAGTTTCTCGAGTAAATGATAGAAATTGTCTTTCTAAAAATGATTTGCTAAGAGATAAGATAGAAAGGCTGCACCGCCAATTAACAAATCAAAAAGGTACTTGAGAAGCACTTTTAACTTTACGCTCGCAGAGGAAATTAGATATAGATGCGTAAAATATCACATTGCTAAAACTTAACACCGTACCTTCGGAAGTGGCACCAGCAACAAACGAGCCGAAAATCATCATTATGCTGATAAAATAATTGTCTCTGAACTTGAACCACAAATCGAGACGGCTCATTACGATAAGCCATATCGTTTGCACCACCAAATTTGGAGCTAGAACGGGAAACATTTTCTTCAAAAAATTCATGTTCAGTTTTGTAGAAGAAAGAAAAAGAAGAGGGGAAAGAGAGGAACAAGTGGGTTTTCAAAAACGCACTGGTTCGGAACAAGGTGGAACTGCTGACCTTCTGACTTTCTTCTAGCCATTTTGGAGTGAAAAATTAATAAATATGAGCTGCTTCAGCTCTTTTGGTCGTTTTATTTAGGATTTATAGATGAGCGTAAATACCCCGCTGTCGAATAATGCCAAAATGTTCATGTTAAATTTAGTTTAAAAACCAAAAGTGGGTCTTATTTTAATCTTACGTAGCTAAATTATAGCTCTGTTTGATTTTCCAAGTTTGTGATGTTTTGATTTGATGAGCAAGCTCTTAATTAATTGGCATTTTTCGAGGGCATAATCGGAAATATCATTTTTTATCTTCTCCAAGGTGGTTTTTTAACATGAACTTGCGTCTTTTTTTTACAGGGAACTCTTGAAGACAAGGCATTACTGAGATCTATTTAGAACAAAGACAAACATTCTATGTAGATTGAAACGTTTCTTTTGACTGCACCGGTTTTCCCAAGATGGCGGACTGAAACTTTATCTTGCGCAAGTGGCCACAGAGGGAAGCAGAACCCGGAGTTAAAAGAACGTTAGCAGAACTAATAACGCGGTTTATAAACAAAATCACGATAGGGTCCCGTTTCTCGATAGGTGGAGCGCGAGGTCTAAATTGACATTCGGCGGCTATAAAAGCCGAGCCGGAGCAGTGGTTGATCATCAACCGAGCTCAAATCGGAATAAAAAAAAAAGAATTTATTCGAAAAAGAATAAAAACTACTAAAACAACGAAGATGAAATTTTCCGCCATTTTCGCTACTTTTTCCGCCGTCGCTGCTCAGGTAAAAAGAGAATCAGAATAGAACTTTTACATTTTTATGAAAAATTCGTCTTAACAAAATCGCTTCAGGAGGAGCGAGGAATGCAACCGCCAAAACGATTGGCAAAGACATCGGACAATTTCAAGCTCTGGCTCGAGCAGAACATCCAAAAGGCTAGCGACCGAAGCCGATGGTCCGACAGAATCGACAAGATGACTGCCAACATGCTTTCTGCTTACGACCGAGAAAACTGCGGCTTCTACGACGAGTCCTTGACCAACGGCGGCCCAGACCCAAACCCAGAGCTCCGACCCAACGGCAAGCCACGAAAAACCTTCGAACGGCGACGACGACAAGTCGAAGAAGATGAGCTTCGATTTGATGAGACCAACCCCGTCAAGGGATTGAAGCAGATCACCGGCAAGCTCGGACTCTGGGCCGATCGACACATCAACGAGTGCGGCGGTCAGCGTCGATTCAACCATATCAACCGACGAATGGAAAAATGGGTTACGTAAGTAAACACACCAAATTTCTAAATCTCATAATTTTATTCAGCAAACTTACCGCCAAATGGGAAGACCAAGCCTAAGCAAATTCATGAACTTTTTTCTATACCAGAATAATCTTGTTCTTTAACTGTAAATCGTAATTATTTCTACTGACACAAAATATTTAATAAAACAGTACAAAAAAAATAATAACTCATCTTCTAAACCGCGGCGTTGGAAAATTATTCTTTGGCTCAAAATAAGCGCTCTCGATCGCAGTCTCTTGGCTTCCTCTTGCTTGAGAAAGCGATTTTCGTCTATTGTAGGGGGTTCCAATGGCAGAAGCGACACCTGAATCGGACTTCTGAGTTCTGTAAGATGGTTGGCGAGAGAGCGCACAATTTTGCGGAATCAGCTGAAGAAGTTGTCCATTTGTCTTGTTCGTCATCGGGGATCCGGTAGGGCTAATCTCTACAAGAATTAATATAACGAAATAAAGATTTATTGCCCGACCAGTTCTTGATACACATAGAGATCGATTGTAAGGACTCGGGAAAATGTAGAACGGTCTTTCAGAATCGACAACTAAGCAAGGAAACATTTCTGGGATCACTTGCTGGAGTTTTTTAACGATCATAGAAATCATTGTTCCAGAAAACGACAGCCCCGTTAGTTGCCAGAGATAAACGAGAAATCGGTAAACCCAGTAGCCCAGCCAGTAAATATTATCCCATCGAGTCGGTTGACAAAACGCCTTTGATGAGACATCGATCGGTGTTCGCTTTACATTGAAGGTTCTTGTCGATTCCTCAACTATAGCTTCAACGCACTCTCCAAGATCAAATTTGTCCGCGCGACGAGCCCATTCCTCAGGAGGATGAGCTCGGGGAACATAATCGCCGAAACCAATCTTCGCCAAAGAAGTCACTGCGAAATATAGAGCGGTTATGAAGGTCCAATCTTCTGTGTACATAAAAATACAGCTAGGAACAATGACGAAAATGATGATCCCAACAGAACAATAAATCAGCTTTGCTTTTCTAAAAAAAGATGAATTTATTAATTTAATTTTAACCAACCGTATTGTCATCCATGAGGAATTATTTCGCCTATTCCATGTCGTAGTAAAAATAACAAGAAGTTTTGCCACGATATCATTTATATGAGTTTTTGGGGATCATTCTTGATCTTTGTAAAGTTTACAAGTTTTAGAATGGAAACTAAAAAGTTGAAAAATTAAAGATCCCTTATCAAATGAGCGATGCAAATAAGGGTATCGCGAAGGCGCTGCTAACGATGCACATAGTTTTTCCAAGTCTAGTCTGAAATAAAATTCTGTCTGGGATCTTCAAAAAGCTCAATACATGTGGTACAATTTGGCCGTAGCCGATAGTAGATGCCAATGAGCCCATGAAAACAAAAGCATTTCCGTAAGTCCAATTTCCGATATGACAGATATTTGACCAGTCGTGAAAATGAATCGCGTAGTTGATCGTTTCGAAAGATAGTTCGATGATGTTCGAACCTTTGATGCTCAACGTGCGGTTCACGGGCTTGTGGAGCTAGAGACCATTAGTCTTCGTTGATTTCAAGATTTTTTGTTTACGTTTTCAAGAAGCTTTTTCCAGCCAGTAAGGTATTCTCCACGCTCTTGTCCTTGAAGAGTCGCTGTCAAACTATCGACGATTTGCTTTGTTCAATATAAATTTGTTGTATAAAATGAGCGTTACTTGTGAGCACTTATTTTCGAGCATTTGCGTCCATATATTCATCAGTTTTGGGGAAGGACTAAAATGATTCTTAGTGAGCCTTCTGAACTGGGATTCTTTGAATTGTTCCAATCGCTTTCAGGGCTTTTTCAGACAATGAATAAAAATTTTTTAGTAAAAAAACCCTTTCTCGCACACTTCAGCATTGTATCCAAATCGGTAAAAGTTACCAGAGAAGAGGTCATTTCTCTAAGAATTTTATTCCGTCGGTTCGTCTCAGAGATTCTCCTACCATATTCACAAAAAGCTCGTTTTCGATTTCTTGGCATCTCTGTTCTTTTGCTGGCTGCTCGATTTCCATAAAAATAAAGGAACCAAAAAATAAATAGCCGATATAAAACATGAGCTTGATCCAAATTGTCATTTGAAAGTTTCGTGGGCGCTCTTCTTTCTTTGGTTGCCCTAAAATTGTATAGAAGATACGATAAAAATTTAAAGGAAGACCTTTCATCAATTTTCGGGTTGAAAATCTCTCCTTTCTTTTTCGCCTCATGATCTGATCATTCCCAGCTTACTTGGAGCTTTTTGAGCAAATAGCTAATATGCCTGTCGATTTCGCTATTGAGAAGCGTTATTAACTTTATAATGACGATGTCAAAAATAAAAATCTGCAAGTTGCAAGCTTTTGCTCTGTAACGGCAGAAATATTACATTATCTGTTTTTTTTCACTAGAAATCGCCTACTCGTTATCAATTTTAAATCTTTTCCCGAAAGGCTAGTTCCGATCTCGGCGATAATCACCTGCGCCGCCGAAATCTCCTGGTCTCCCGCTGATTCGTTGTCCAAATTCCTTCGCACTTGGCGCCCTCTTTTGGGCACATGAGCCGAATAAATTGACGCTGTAATTCTCAAATCCATCACAACAAACGATCACTGCATTACAACAAAATGTCAATGTTTGTCAAATTCAACGGTGTCAAAGGACACTCAGACTTCCAGATGAAAATCAACCAACACGGCACCACCGATCACGATTTCGAGTTTTCCTGCGGATGTGGCTTCCGTGTTCCTTCCTTTCTCAAAGAGCAATGCGTTGATCTTTGGTGCTGGATGCAAGGCCTCTACGAAGGAGTCGAAGTCGAAAAAGAAAAATCTCACTGGAAAGATCGTGATTTCAAGCGAACTCCTCATGTCTTCTGCGACAAAGACGACGAACACATGAACCGCATTATCGAAATGGTCTTCACCCGAAGAGAGCGTCTCAACGCATCACCCGAATACCCTGCTGCTTTCAAATTGGAGGAGAAAACGATGGGCGAAGATTTGATGCTTCAAATCTGGTACAAGACACTCCTCACTGTCGACCAGCAGCTCTTCATCGAGGTTCCTGCCCGAAATGGCGAAGAGATCTGGACTGACGAGTTGAAGCGAAGGGTTGCGGCCGACGGTGAGTTCATCAGACTTGGTTCGTTTTCGGTTGAGCCAACAAAGAAAGCCTGCTTTCCGAAAAAGGAGAAGACCTCAAGCAAGAAAACAAATGCCCCCAGAAAGAAGCCCCTGATGAATGATGATGAGCTGATCAGACTCTTCAGTCAGCCTGCAACCAACCAGAAGAAAAACAAGAAGACCAAGAAGAACAATCAGCGTAAAACCAAGAAAACTGCCAAGAAGTAAATGATTTTTCTGTATATCTAACTGCAATGTGCTGTTACTTCTATTCTAAGCTACCGTAGCCAAGTTACTGTCCTCACCATTTTACTATCTTGTTTCCCAATTCAACAATAAACGGAGAATAAACTAGAAAATTGGCAAAAAATATTTCAAGTCTTGAATGTATCCAGGATTAGTACAAGATAAAGTGTCCTACTACCCCGTTAACGCACAGTAACGCACTAGTAAATTCTTCAATCAGCGTCTGTCTTCCACGAGGGAGGATTCGCTGAGAATCAATCGAAGATTGAGTGAAGCGCGTGCGCGGAGGACTCTCGCGCTTCGCAGCAGAAAATAAGAATCACGAGAATCCCCCTGGCACTTGCCCAGCATAACAAATGTGATGACAAATGAACTCATTTTTACTAAAGCATACTCCGTTAGAGAAGTCATGAAATAGCATTTTCAACTGAAAAATAAAGTGTGATCGTTAAAAATTGCATTTATGAATATTTTCTACAAAAATTGACTTTTCTTAATCTCTTTAGCAAAAATATTATCTAATAGAAAAAATGAATGTGCATTCTATCTGGGCTGAGGTTTTTTCTTCAAATAAATCTTCATTTTCTTCAAAAAAATCGTCAGAATTCTCTCTTATTCTAAATAAGACCCGCTGAATAGTTACGCGGCGTAATTCACGCCCGAAAATGATATACTTTCGTGGCTTCTTTCCTTTAAAAAATTGTATTTCTCAATATCTCATCATAACACCACCAATCGTGAGGGAAACTTGAAGTCGACATCTCTATTTTGACCTTGTCTGCGACGATTTTCTTGTGTCTACAAATGTTGTCCGCGTCCATTACTCATGATCTCGTCCTTCAGACTATCGAAATCGGCGCGAAATTGGGAGAAAATCTTTCCCCAAGAGAACCAAAAGAAAAAAATACTCTACTCATCTAGACAACTGCTAAAGAATGGGCACGTCAAAAGAAGGGATGCTGGTCCATCCGACGCCTTTTGAGGAGCAGTCTGTTCTTGACTCCGCCAAACATTTGCTTGTTCAGGTTTAATCTTTGTTTTGGTGTATTTTTAACATTGACCTTTTTCAATAGCTTGATCTTTTGGGATCTATAAAGAAGAGCATTTTAGCGGTATCAAAAAAATCTTAAATATTGAAAAGTTAATCCCCTAATTTGATTTTTCTCTTAATTTGGTCTTTTTGTAGGCTTTCGACTCGAATAAAACAGTTATAAATGTCCAAATTGGACATTTCGACATTTTATGGACAAAAAATCACCACAAAATAGGAAATATTCTTGAAATTTAAACTAGAAACGACAAAAAACCGTGTGCATACGTGAATTTTCAGGCGGTTAATCAATCAGAAGGGCGACCAGAGACGGAAGAAGTCTGCTGGGTACGCTTTTGCCAGTGCGATCTCAACGATGTTGTTCGCAATCCAATTTACAATTCAAAAACTCACTCGTCAGAAAACTCATCTGGTGCCGGTCTCGTTCTTCTTCTTGGATACGCGCATGGAATCGCAGTTTGGCATCTGATGGCAAACACGGAAGCGAGAGAACTGTATTCGTCGAGAAGCGTCGGAACTTGCAGAACAGCCGTGATTTTACCTACGCCAAGCGATCATCGGAAGATCAACAGGCCTTACTTGGCGATCGTAGTCGGATCAGAAGTCAAGCTCATCTCGCTAGCGATGTCCAAAGAGATTCATTCGATAAAAGCCGACGGAGAAGTTGAAAAAATCGACGCGACGGACAAATACATCGTCATTTCAAGCCCATCGACGATCTCCCTCTACTCGGCGGATAAGATCGAATGCTTGTATACGATCAAGGATTGTTTGGTCCCCGGAAGGTAAAAGTTTTAGCGCTTGTTTCCCTTCCTCAATCGTTATATTCAGAGATTGTAATCCCTTTGCCCTTGGAAAGAGATGGCTCGCCTACTCCCCAGAAAAACTAGACATGGGACAGCAAAGCCTTGGTGGCTATTTTTCAACTGGGAGTCAATCTTACACTGCTACGATGCTCTCTGCCGCGAAAACTCTTGGAAAGGGTATACATGAAGATTTTTCTTTTCAACTTATTTCGGTAAAGGGCTTTCGCTGTTGGGAGAAACAGTTGGAAGAATGGCCGGCTCGCAGCCGAGAAACTATCGCAACGCAAGAGACGACGAGCAAAAACTCAAGAATCATCGAGGAATCGTTTCTGTGGTCGACTTGGAGCTTCTCGCAGACAATATTAATCAGCCGATTCATAATAGGAAAGAGTTCTTTCTTGTTTTCCTTCGCAAAAATATCATCGATCACTATAAAACAGCTCAACAACTCTTTCAAAAGCATCGTCTCCCACTGGGTAGCTCATCCAAAGCCCGTTGCAGCGGCGAGCTTCAGCCCTTCGGGAAACATTCTCGTCACTGCAGATGTAGCTGGTCGACAATTCCATGTTTTCTCGATCCATGTGCATCCCCAGTCCTCGGCCGACTCCGCAGTTCACCATTTATACACGCTTCAGCGTGGTGAAACGACCGCGCAAGTATTTGACTTTTCATTTTCGAACGATTGTCGCTGGATTTCGGCGGTTACCAGAAGAGGAACTGCTCATATCTTCCCTATCAACGCTTACGGGTAAACTTTCTACTTTTGTTTCCCCCCTAAGCGCCTTTTAGCGGCGAGCCTACAGTAAGAACGCACTGTGTAACTCGTGTTTCCAACCAAAAGTCTCTCTTCCACATCTCCGCTGGGATCAACTATTCCGACCCGAAGTCAAAGGATAAAAACGGCCAAAAACCCAATCCATCAGTGCCTCCAATCAAGTCTTCCTCACCTAAACTACCGCCTTTTCCCACTCCTACAGTCATTCTTCCAGTCGTCCAGATCAAGCAGGTTTAACAGGCGCGCCTCGTTTCTTATGTAACTTACTTTGTTTGATCTAGGGGCTAGTCATGGGACTAATTCCTGCTGCATCGAGCTACGAAAGTGATCAAAGTGAAGCTGCAGAACAAATGTCTACTATCTTCGCCTTCAACAAAACTTGCGTTTCATTTTCTCGGGAAATTCTCCAACATACCTCCAGGGGGCCGCATCCGGAAGGACTTTATGTCATCAACGGACAGGGCGTTCTTTCTGAATTCACTCTCCAAGTACAAGGTGTAAAAATCAACGGGCGACTAAACGATCAATCGGTAAATAACGCTCCCTCTGCTCCTCAATTATGAGCGATTCTAGTCCATCGAGGTCGCGGCAAAACCATCGCGCCAGTGGAATCTTCAGCGCCAGCGCAGCTGGACCGAATCGTCAACTCCTCTTCCTCCAAACTCGCCACTGATCTTGGCTTCAGAAGTTATTGGAACTTCATCCGGTCATTTGCTCAGAGCAGAGTTGGAAACAAAGCGATCGAGAACGACTTCTATGTCGAGTAAACGAGCTAGAGATGAGCGATCCGACCGTTTGTTCGATAGTCTACCGAGATCTCGCCAATCAAGGTTTGGTACAGTTGACTCACGGTAGCTAAACGACTATTCTAGCACTGATAGCGATTCTGATACGAAAAACGAGTGGCTTGGACAGATCGAAATGAACACACATGATTCGCCTGCCCGTCGACTTTGGATGGGCCCACAGTTCAGATTCGTCCAAAACACCACCGGAAATCATGATTCTCCCTTCGAGCGAAGACTGTCTCCCGAAAGTGCCTTATTGAACAGCCAAGAAGACATACAAATTCAACTTGAACAAAGCAAACCTAAAGCGATGCCGAATAGAATTCCTGCACATATTTCAGGTAAAAATCAGCAGAAACGCTCTATCTAAATATTTCTATAGATCAATTCACAGTACCAGGAAATTCTTGCCCTACAATTGAAATTGGATCTGGCCATTTCGACGCGTTTCAGGGACCAGGATCCGGCGAAGATCGAGTGAAGCAGACCCTGGCAGAGGCAATGCTAGACGAGCAAAAAGAGACTACCCGTAGAATTTGTAAGTAAAGTCTTTTTACAAAAGAATTATCTCGTTTCTAGCGGATTCAAAATGGCCCTCCCCCTACTCCGACGACGAGACAGACCTAATCATGGCCGTGGGCGAGTTCGAGCTCTCAACCAGTTCCCCTCCTTCTTCAGTCAACTCGCTTCAAATGAACACTACATGATCTGAAAGCGAATGATGATTCAAACAGTGCTAACACAGAAAAGTAACAGTTACAAACCCGAACATTTACATCGCGCGATATAAAAATTACCACTTTTCCGATTTCGAGATCGTGTCTGTATAAAATTCAACCATTTTCATTCGACTTTTTATGTTCTAGCGGATTCTCTTTTCAGAATCAATCAAAGCGGCAAAAGCCGTCGTCAACAAGTTTATTCAATTCATAATAAATAATTCAAGAAAACTTCAACAACATCAAGTTTGGGAAATCACAAGGATGAGATCTCGAACTATTTTGGTTGATGATTATTTGACTATTGTATTTACAGAATACCGAGAAGTTAAATAAATATGCATGATGTATAAAATAGTTAATCAAGGACTTGGTGATCATCGCTTTGAAGTACCAGGGGACTCGGAGTTCATTGCCGGACGAGAAGATCTCCTGTAGAAAAGCTCAAAAATACGAAATTCTTTTCAATGACATAAGGTTGGAAAATTAATATTTCAGCTCTTTCCTCGAGGGCAACATTTCGTTGACCTGATCCAGTTGCTTGATCGACCCAAAGTTAGAAATTCCGGACTCGCTTGCGTTCAGGCCTTGGACTGTTGACTTCAGAGGGTTTATCCGTAATAATTTTAGAAGAAACTATAGCAAATAAGACCCTTTCCTTCAGTGCGCTTTGGTCGAGCTCGCTTCCAGTTGCATGGGTAATGTGGGCCAATGTAAGATCTGAAAAGTATCATGCGGTTAGTAAATCAAAAAATATTTCCAGCGAATATTTTTTGAGAGAAAATTGTTGTTTGAGACGCGCTAAATGTAAATTTCAAACTGACCGATTTCCTGTCTTTCTCTGATGGCGACAAACTGGTTCGCCATTTTGCCGATAGTTTTGATCTTCTGGCGGAGGACCTCTTTCTTCTTTTTCTTCTCAGTGGAAGGATCTTCGTCGTCATCTAACTCCTCTTTATTTTCGGTTGTAATTTTTGATTCTTCGTCAATGTTTTAAAACGAAATAAACCGATTCCTAATTCTTCTTTGGTGCAAATATTCAAGAGACTGACCAACATATGCGTGACCTTTTCACCCACAAATGGAAGGGACCAGGTAAATACGTCCATGAAGTTGGGAAGCCAGTAAGGATGCGGAGTTGAGTTGAACTGACGAATGTTCATCGATCCTTTATCCGTATTTTCGTACTGAAAGCAAGGATGACTTTGGAATCAGAACTTACTAATCACTGATTATTAATCAGAAGGTGAAAATTTACCTTGAGGATAGCTGCCTTGTTGCCATAAACATCGAGATAATTTGGCGCCGAAAACAACGTGATCAAAACTGGGAAACCGTTCTTTGGGTTACTCTTGTACATTTTATAACCTAGAATATTCATCATTCTTTGCTATTTTGGATAAAGCTTACCGTGATCTTGGGCTTCGTGGGCTCTAATCATGCACATGAAGCCGTTCTCGTTGAGAAACTTCAAAACTGCTGCGTAGGAGTAGAAGAAGGAGCATCCACGAGCGGCATTTGGTTCAAAACGATCCTTAAAATTTTCGATAAAGTTGGGTTGGTGGAGATTACCTGGCCTGAGGGCTCGTTCCCAAAAGTTTCTAGCGGATCAGCCCAAAGAAGATCGCACATTGGTCCATCCGCTTCTGGCTCCTGAAAATATATTCAGACATCGTTGACGAAGAGTAATCTACCTGGAATCGGTTAATTTTGCTGATTTCGTCTATTTTTTTGATGTGAGGGGAGATACCGCCATGCACGCAGAAGAACTTTTTGTTCATGATCGCGACCAACGGAAGAGCGTCAAAAGCGTTCATGCACTCGTTGTAAACTTCCTCGTTGTACTTGACGACGCATTCCTGGCGGAAGGTGAAATGCTCAGTCAGATGGCGACATTCGTGATTGCCTCGAAGGAGGAAGATCGAATCCGGGTAGCAGATCTTGAAGCACCAGAGATAAAGCACACACTCGATGGACGTATTTCCACGATCAACATAGTCGCCAAGAAACAAGTACTTGGTCCCCTTAGTCTTTGTCTTCGCATCCTCGATGGGCCCACCGACGGAGAAAAGTTTAAGGAGATCGTAAAATTGCCCGTGAATATCTCCGCACACCGTTACAGTTCCATCGACGTGGATGATATTTTTTTCTTTGGCCAAGATTTCCCGCCCCATTTTGAGAATTTTCAAGGCGCATGCGTTATCAAGTCGACCTTCGCGCTTTAGAAAATTGGCCACTAACTCGTAGTTCGGAACTTAGACGGGTGAAATTTTGAGTAAACGAAAAACTAGTAACTTTTTACTTGGTTTAAAAAAGACCACTGAACTAATACGCGTTGTATTTGCGTTGAAAATAGAATTCAACCGTTTCCTGAGCCTTTTCCAAAGACTTCTGCGATTGTTAGTCGGTTACTTGGTGGCTTTCAAGCGTTGAAAATAAGATATCACTAGCCTAGAAAAGCTACGAAAATAGACCACTAACTATTTTTTAAACGCTACCGGAGGATTATCCTGGCACACTCGATCTATCGTGCTCAGTGGTGGTGAAACTGGTGTCGCGCTCTCGGTGGCAGCCATTTTATTATCTGATCTTGCGCTTGAATAACTGTATGCAATCACACATGTTCTAGAAATAAGTCATTTTTTCCTGGAAAAAGCCTGTTTTTCTCTCCCCGCTAAAATTTTTGACTGAGTTTTCACCGATCAATTGAGAATAATTGCCTTTCATTAGAAATATGTCTGTAGATCACACCCGAGATTGATTCTTTATGGCTGTATTCTAAAATCTTGGTTACATAAGTCGTTCGGAGATAAAATTCTGAGAATAAGCATAAATAGAGCCGAACTTTAATGGAGATGCATTTGAAATGTCGCTGAATTTTTGAATTAGCCCATCTGCGGAGAACGCTAAGCAGCTACTATACAATAAAGAGAAATCAGTTATTATGAAGGTAAGCGAAATTGATAAAAAAGAGAATGAACTAGAAATTGTCCTAGCTCTCTACTGGTCTTCTTCTGGTCCTCGGTGGCGCTGATGCCCGACGATGGGTTCGACGAGGACGACAAGCCGATCCAACTACTGTGACCACGTCAACCTCTGCTACTACTACAACCGCTACCACAGAGACAACGACGACTACTGTTGCGCCTCCAACCGCTGCAGCAGGTACTTTCCTGGACCAAATCTCCGGCGCCGACATCAGCTTCAATGACGGGACCAACAACATCAACATCATGCCAATGGCAGATGGAACTGTCATGGTCGTTTTCACTAACAACGCAAATAATCTCGTCACTGCTACTTCCCTGGCAACTGTTGATGAAGCTGGTCAGATGCTTACTGGTTTGAGCGGTCTTCCAGATGGATCAACAACCGCTACTTGGGATCCAGCTCTTGGTCAATTCACAACCGATACCGGTGCTATCTGGTCTGGCGGTGCAGCTCAGACCACAACTTCTGGACCAGCTGTTGTTTCTACCACTGCTCCCGGCGGTGCTTCCACTACCGGTGCCGGTGGAAATCCATATGCTCCAGGAATGTCCACTACAGCCGCTCCTGGCGCTGGTGGATCAACTCCATACGGTGGTGGGTCTGCAGGATCAACTACTCCATACGGCGGAAGCTCTGGTGGCTCAACTGACTCTTACGCCCCAGCTGGAACTGGATACATTGCCAATGATCCCCACGTTCGAGTGACCAACGAAATCGGGCAAGCAATCTGCTACGATCTTCCCGGTGATGGACTTAGCTTCATCAGTCTTCTCAAGGACAACGAATCCGGCCTTGAAGTCAATGGTTTCATTTCCAACACTCACAAGCACCGACTCTCTGGAATCGGCATCAAGGTCAGTTTCTTCCAGTAAAACAATATTGAAAAATCTTTCAGACACCCGCTGGCGTTGAAATCGCCATTGACTCTCACCACGTTACCGTTGGTTTCGACGGTGATGTCGAGGGAGACTACAACTACGATTCTTACATGAAGGTCCAGACTGACGATGCTGTCGTCGAAATCACTTCCAAACTCGAAGCTAAGCATCAGGTAAAATAAAAAAATATTAAAATTTGCTAAAATATCTCTCTAGGGTGTTTTCGTCGAGCTTGATGATGGAACCTTCTTCCACATCGACGAGAAAGATATCAAGGATACCCTCAAGTTTGTCATTGCCAAGTCTAATGGTCTCTCTAACCATCTCTCCGGAATGCTCGGGCAAACCATCCAGCCACAAGGTAAGCATCAAAAGATCCAACTGAGAATAAAACCAACTAGACTTCCGAATCCACCCCGATGGATCTATCGAAGTTGAAGGCCGATGGATCATGCAAACTACTCTTGATGCCAAGCACTCTTGCTTCCGAATCCACGAATGGGACATTCAGTAAGTAACTTCTACAAAACAACCACTCAAGTTCAAATTAAGCAACTTCCTGGGACACAACCCCGCAGACTACGCCGTCGAAAACATGTTCGCTACACTCGACCACCCATGGGCCTCTATTACTGCTCAACTCGAGGAGGACTCGACCCCAAAATAAATAAATTGACACGGAGACTTAGTTTTTATAGAAATTGAAAATTTATTTCTTTCATGAGGAATATAGAGAAAGATTTGGGTGAAGACCCATGTTTGGAATTCACGCTGATGACTGATGACGAAGTCAAATTACTGAGTGTTGTGGGTCTTGTGGCTGAACCATCCGTTGTCGCTGACACCTTTGTAGGTGGGCTGAAAGAAAGAGAGGGTTAATTGAAAGTTTTGCGGAGATAAAAGGTTACCTTGCATGATTTAGCGGGAGCAGTGACAGCTCCGGAGAAGTGGGAGTGAGCAGTAGATTTGCCCTCCATTTTCTCATCGGTCAGCTTCGACCAGGGGCAAGTCGACATGAGAACATGATCGGGCTTGCAGTTCTGGACTGGAACGTGCGTCGCCTTATCGGGGGCGGAGAAGTTTTGCTGATAACCGGTGGAGTATCCGATGTCATCATCACCGAATGTTCTGCGGAGGCCGACTGGGGGCAGGAAGGGCTTCGCCTGCTGGTCAAGGGATTTTACCTTGAAGTCGCTCATCATGGTGGACAGCTGGTTGGGGCCACCAACGGGCTCGCTGCGAGTAACCACCCGCTCAGGTTTGATAAGAGGGTTGTTGTACGTACGATCGTGAGTCGTCGTCATTGAGCTCTGAAAAGAACAGTTGACATCAAGGAAGAGAACGATGAAAGGCTTACCTTGTTAGTCAAATCGTAGTGGATACCATTCTCAACAGGTCGAAGAGGATTAACGCGCTCGATTTGCTGGGGCTGCAAGTAGTTGCCAGCGTAGTTGGTCGTGAACGTGTCCGAGGGCACCTTGGTGGGCACGATCGAACCATACTCTGGCTCAATGCAGATGGGGGCTCGCTTGGAGTTCCTAAAATCGGTAACATGGTTTCTAGAACGGATTTTGTTTACTTACTTGACTTCCTCAGCGTTGTAAGCCCGGTAGGTCTCACAGTTGACGGACTGAGTGGCCATGTCGCTCTCGCCCATTTCCATGAACTTCTCGGGAGTGCCGGGTCGGCATGGCTGTGGTGGCCGGGTGTCGCTCTTCTCCCAGAAGCAGTGGGAGTAGGTCGAGCAGTGGTTCATCTGCTTACTCTTGTCGATGAAGGTCGAAGTGTGATCCTGTCGTCGACGGATGGCGACGGGCTGCTGCCGGGGGTGAGCCTGGAAGGTCTCCCGATTCGAGGTGGTGAGGTCGCTGCTGTCAGCGTTACCGTTGCCGGTGAGCCACTCGTTGGCGTCAGACTCGGGCTTGATTGGCTTGGTTCGGCAATCGCTCTGAAATTCCCACTTTTAGAGTTGATTAATCTAAAAAGTACTTACGCCAACTGGGAGAAAGACATCGTCGTACTCCGTGCACTTCTTGGCGTCCTTGCAGTGCTCCTCGAAAGTGGAACCACCCCATGGAGCGATTGGGACACCGCCTTCCTTCTTCATTCCCATGAAGTAGCGGACGGGCTTGTCTTGGTCTTGCGCGCTCATTTTCTGCTAGCTTGGGCCATTCACGTGCAAAATTTATAAATTTGACGAAAAGAACTTTGCGAAGCTGTAAATACAAAATCGCGATTTTGCCATTTTTACCCTTCCTTCGACCTGTAGAAAAGAAAACTGACGATTTTCCGGAAAAATGAAAAACATCGGATGACATTCTAGAAAATTTGTGCCTAAAACTTTTTTTGGCAAAATATAGAAGGACCAAATAAATTTAACGACGTTACGACGGCATGATTTTATAACTGAATTCACTAAAAATTTTTGAAATTCAATAAATTAAAATCGCCTTCGCACGCCACTTCGCCAAAATCAAAATTTGGTCTAAAACGCGATGCACCAAAATTGCAGCCAAAATTTCAGGTCACTCGAAAACTTTGAATTTCAAGGATTGGGCGCGCCCAACTTCTCCGCACCAATAAAGCGCCCGAGCGCCACGGCATAAGAAAGAGAAATGCACCTGTAGAAAGGAAAAAAATGAAAAAACCTTATATGCAGCTATCTAAAACATCTGTTGAAAGAGAAAAAGATAATCTCATGAAAAATTGATGGTTGTTTTCAAACAAGTGTAAAGAAATCAATTTTTCGGTTCAGAAGGTAAACTTGTACAAAAAAAAACCGTGAATTTTAATTATTAGAGAGTAATTTTCTTAAGGTAAGTTATTGATAAGACCGGCTACTGTAATTTCTATACATAGAGAAATTAATTTTCTAAAAAAATCTGTAGAAAACATAATTTATCGCACGATCGATAATGGAGCTGCAAATTTGCATTAGGAAAAATACAAATCCCTGTCTAATAATTCCACGCTCATTAATACCCATGAGCTGGTGATTTTATTGCTGTGCACAGGCGAGCTTCAGAATCTTTCAAATTCGGCTTCTTTAGAATCCCATGAGGAACCCCACTCCTTCCAAAACCAACTGAGAAAAACAAAAAGTAGAAGATACTTGAAATAAATCATGAAGGAAGAAAATAAATCGAGCCTGCCTAAAGAGCCAAGAATTTTTAAAATCATCGTTGTCGGAGATTCAAATGTCGGAAAGGTAAGAGCTTCATCAATAATTTTCTATTGTCAATAGACTATTGACAATAGTACTGATAGTAGAACTTCTATAAGAAATTTGTATCCGATTTTAAACATCATCAAAGGTGTTAGGATGGATTTTTTATAATTTGAAGTCAAGGAATATTGCCCGGAAACCAATGGTGATCTGAACCAAGATGATCTTTATTGATGTTTGAAAATAAATAAGAGTAACAGACTGTGCATTGCTGTAATTTACAATTTGTTGTTTCAGACATGTTTGACGTACAGATTCGTGGAAGAACGCTTTCCGAGCAACACAGAAGCGACAATCGGCGTAGATTTCCGCGAAAAACGAGTGCAAGTCGACACAGAAACGATCCGCCTCCAAATTTGGGATACTGCTGGGCAAGAACGATTCCGGAAGTCGATGGTTTCACACTATTATAGAAACGCGGCCGCTGTTATTTTTGTCTATGACGTGACTTGGTGAGCTCTATTCAAAGTACAGTCATCATTTTTTTTTCGTTTTCAGCGAGCAGAGCTTCCGGAATATTCCCAAATGGATTACAGAAGCAGATCAACACATTTTACACACAGATGTTCCTCGATTACTGGTCGGGACCAAGAACGACTTGGAAAGTCAAGAAGTGATCAGGCAGCGAGCTCAAAGATTCGCTGATGCTAACTTTTTGCCCTTATTCGAAGTTTCAGCAAAGGTAAGATTCTCTAGGGACCGTTTTCTTCCAACAAGCAATACTTCAATTCATACATGTTCTTAGAGCGAAGCCAGCCAGAGCCAAATAAATGCAATTTTCCTCACCGTGGCGCATAAACTCAAGCAACAACGGCCGTTAATTCCCAAGCCAGCAAACCAAGTATGAAAAAATCGACAGAGAGATCAAAAACTTTTCATTCTAGCCCGTGATGATCGAATGGGAAGAGGATTCCAGCTCAAGTTGTTGCTGAAAATTTCACTTTAAAACTATTTTCTTCATCCTCTTTTTTCTTCATCAGTTCCAGCTTGCAATAGACCTTCTTTCTTTCTTCATCATCGCACTACTGAAGCAACAAAATAAAAAGTTCTGTGACGTATTAAGCGAAAGCATGCGCTGATATTTAGTTATAGTCGGATAAATATTTGACTTGTAGCGGAGGCTGCTTCAGATTTTCTTAACAAAAGATACGAACTTTACTCAGAGAGAGGGAGAGAGACTTTACACACTGCATAGACATATCTCCTCTTTTATAGCGACTGTTCATACTTCAAATAGATAGCTCTAGAATGGTGAAAAATGGGAGCCACCCAGTTACGAGCATGGGTGGACTCGTTTCGTCCTATGTCGTTGGCCATCTGACCTCATACCCGGTCAATTTGTCGATTACGCCTGACATTGTCAAGGACGCGAATAATAGGCTCAAATGTAAGTTTCAGTAAACAAGTAACCTTTAAAAAATGCAGACTATGATGATGTGCTAAAGGTGCTGATTTATCAGAATTAATAAGGAGGAGGAACATGCGCAAGACTCTTCAGCCGTCAAATAATCATTAAAAATTGGCAGCGAAGAATCCGGCCAGTTTGTCACTTCTCATTAACCTAGGCAGATATTACAGTCATTACGGTTATTGATTATTTTTAAACCTCTTTTTCTTTCTCCTTCTCTTCATTATTTCAAATCAGAGAAAGAGGCAAATGTTGAGGCGATACAAAATTGACAGTAAAGATTCTTATAATTCAAGAAGATAGTCTTTTTGATAATATATTCTAGCACTTGAGAAGAAGAACCAGCTCTGGGCGCATGATTTTCTTCTGAAAGTCGACGAGTTTGGCGTAGAATTGGCAGCAGAAGCGGACAGAATCTCCGAGAAAATCCCGCTGAACCAGGTGAAATCTGTAAAGCAGGGATTTCCGCTGGAGAAATACAAGGAGATCCTTCTCATCCTCGTCAAAGAGGGATCCAATTACGAGCTACAGTGTCTCTCCTGTGTTGATTGTTATGCCCGAGGTAAGAAAAGCAAATCCGGAATGTAGAAAGTCCATTATGCGCTTGTATCATCGCTTTTACGATGATAGTTTTTCCTCAGACTATTTGCTGAAAGATTCCGGAGCATCACTTTTTGCTCCGTTCTTTTTTACAAAAAATAGTGAATGAGAAATTTTCTTGGTAAGTATTTTTTCTCTCCAAAGACATCTGCTGGTTGTAGCTCTTTTTATTTGATTTATTCATCGATCGACAGCTACAGTACTACTGTAAACTGTCTGGTAAACATAGTGCTATGCTTGTAGCAATTATTTGCTAGCGGATGCTCATGAGATGCCCGAGAGTGTCTCGATAATATCTTACTGTAACTAACGGCGATTTCTTAGACGTCGCAGAAGATATCGAAAGTGCAATTGCTGATTCTAAGCAAAAAAATTCCAACAACTACATTCGACCAGGCACGCTCTCACGACAGCGTCAAAGGTAAACACCAACTTAAAGCATCAACAACTCTATAAAAATCCATCATAAGACCCTTTTCACCGCTCAAAACTAGCTCTAGACCGGAAGAGAAACAAATCATGAACCAGCGATACATAAAATTTTTAAGGAGAGAGCTAGAAGGTGGCACTTTCGACATTATTCCACCGCCACCGGCTGTGCCTCCACCGGCACTCCCAGTTTCAGACTCAGTCAAGCAAAAGATCGACCGAATCAGGCAAACTGCAATTTATCATCATCCGGAGTTCGAGACAAATGGGAATGACTCCGCCGATTATAATGCTCTTTTTCAGTACAGAGTTGACAGGAATGCGTTTTTTTAACATCATATATCAGCTGAAAAATTGCTTTAAAAAATGGGTCAAACAGGCAACTTTGGATCCAGTTGAGACTTCAGTTTTTATTCTAAAACGCATTATAGAAACGTCCTCATTCTGAACCATTGTCTTGATGACATTGAAGCCTTCGCTGGACAGCTTCAGAAAGCTGCTGAAGCTCACAAGCAGCTTTCAGTCAAGTCGAAAAAGTCGAAAAGCTCCTCCACGGGGTCCCTTTCTCGCTCGATCTATTCGCAGCGAGCTCGACCGCCACCTAAAGAGGCCTATCTCGACATTTTTGCGAAGCAAAAGTTTTGTTTCAACCTTCTCGGCGAGCTCCAAGGTCACATTCAAAATCCATCTGCTGAAGAGCTCTGCCACTATCTTTTCAAGCCGCTGAAAATGATTATTGCTTCGTGCGGTGGGCCAACTCTTGCCCAGGGAGTTTTGACTCCTCTTCATACTGAGAAGGCTTTGCGACTTTTGAGAGAGAATATGAACTCTTCAGAAGCGGAATTGTTCTTTTCCCTCGGCGAAAAATGGACGAGAAGCCAGGAATCATGGGCAAATCAAAATGAGATCGAAGAATATCATCCCGAATTCAACTCTGGCTGGATGGCTCCTCCAGTAAAGCCCCCGCCACAAGAAATCCCCGAGATCGCGCCCGAAATGACCCAAACAGAAATCATCCTCTTCAACTGCCGCGTTACACGAGATTTTCAAGGGCGCAATGAGATGGAATTGTCTGTCCTTATCGACGATGTCGTTCATATTCTCGACGACAATCGACTCTGGTGGTACTGTAGGATGGAAAATGGACAGAAGGGTTATCTTCCTTCCAAGATCTTGAGTCGAATTAATCATCGGAAACCGAGCACTGTCACTTCCGAGCCTTCCGATATCGCCCCAGAGTCGCCCAACTTCACTGGGTCGGGATTCTTGATCCCTGGCTTCGCTGCATGTAAGTTTCACTCTTCGCCCTAATTTCTAACTTCTTCTCAAGCGTCCAGTTACGCTCCATCGTACGCACCACCGTCAGAAAGCGTGAATTCTCCAACTCCACCTCCGATGAGTCCGCCCCTCCCGCCCCAGTTCCTCCGCCTCCTGTAGCCGCTGCCCCAACTCCTCCCCCGCCCCCAGCACCAGCTCCAGTTCCAGTAGCATCCACCCCAAGAGCGACTCCAGTTCAAAAAACAGTCACAGCCGCGGCGATTTTGGCGAGAAAAGAGCAGCTTTCGAAGCCCGCTACGCCCCCTCCCAAGAAAGAGGTAACCTTTCAGCCTACTTTGAAAGGGACGTCGTTAAATTTTTAATTTTCAGGAAGAACGGCTCGTCGTTGACGACGAATTCAAAGACGAGCTCGACAATAGAGTCAAAAATTCCAACGTCAATCGCCAATTCAAACTTCCTTCCAGGACAAGTATGTTTTTCTAGAACTGACTCATCCAACTGTTTACCTAACAACTTTTTCTTTCAGAATCGATTCCCAGCGCGACAATTACGAAGAAATCCGCACCCAGAGAGGTCAAACGATGGCTCCAGGTGTGTAAATCGAAATTAAACAAAAGATCTAAGTCCAAAATCTGAACTTTTTCACTATTTATTCCCTTATTTTTAGTCTTGCTCCTTTTCACATATCACTGTCGAATCGCTAGGAGATTTGAATGGATCTCAAATCTTTAGCTTGACGAAAGATGAGCTCAGACAGGTACGATTCCGCCCATTTTCTGTCCCGCTTGAGCAAATTTTCTAGATCTGCGACCATGAAGGTAATGTTGTCTACAGCAAGCTCAAAATCCAAGAGAACCTGAACCAGCAAAAAGGCACCTTTTCGACGAAAGAACTGCAGGCAATCCTCTCCAAGCGTCGCCAAATGACGCACGATTCAGAAAATCAACTTAGCCGATCACCACCGGTGCGGCTTCTTCTCAGTTTTAAAAACGCTCCCTTTCTCGACTGAATTTCAGAGCTACGTGTACTTTTAAAAATTCCACCACCAACGACCAGTTTTCCCCACTGTAAATATGTTATTGATGATTCATTCTGCTTCAAGTCCCTTCAAGCTAAGCAAAAAAACGAACAAAACATACAGTGCCTCGCTCCTTCGTTTCTATTTTGTTATAGTAGGCTCCAGTTTGGACTTCCTTTCTTTACGGCAGTCCGTCTTGCGAAAAAAGTGGAATCAAGCATTTTCTTGGCAACAGCAGGAAAAGGGAGCGAGGCATTTGTACACCACCACCTTAAAACCTATTCTTCTATTCCAACTCCAATCGTTCCGAAACAAACCCTCATCACTTCAACTTCCTCCTGAAAGATACTTCTCTTTTTACTCGCTCTTTATACAACCGTTCCACTGTATAATTATTGATAATTACTTGCGTACTGTACCGATACCACCATTGATTGATTACTTCTTGATTTCTTATCTTCCTGAAATTCATTTGAGACTCAACTTTTCTTGTTTCAGAATGTCTCAAACGAGCGACGTCGTTATCAAAGAAATCGAGCTCCAAAGAGGAAATGAGGGGCTCGGGTTCAATATAAGGGGCGGTAACGACCAACCCTACATTGTCGGCGACAACGGGATCTTTGTATCTCGGGTTAGGGACACCGGCGCCGCTTTCAATGTAAGTGCAACTTGTTCTTTCTTTCACTATTTCGGGCTTTTAGTCCGGACTTCTTGCTGCTGGCGACAAAATCTTGGAAGTCAATGGGGTCGACTTAACCGACGTTGATCACCAACAAGCCGTGCAAATCTTCCTCAGCACCGTGGAAAACAGCGTCGTGCGATTAAAAATCGTTAAAAATGCCTATCAAGAGATCCAAAACAGAAAAGTACAAGAGGAGGTAGGACGATTTTAGCCGTGCGATTATCAACGATATTTTTAGGAAAGCGCCTCTTCGAAAAAGAAGTGGATCATTCTAGCGGGTCTGCTAGCCGCTGGAGTTGGAGGCTACTTCATCTTCAAGCGCTATCAGCGACGCTAGAAGCTTTTCTTCCGCCATAACCCTCTTGAGCCTCTCTTGAGTTTAGTAAGATCGCCCCTTCTTTGGAGAAAGGAAAAAGTATTTATTGCTAATTTTGTTCTTCGAAAAAACTGTTATTTTTTTCTGTTCTTTCAAGAGTATTTCGTTCTTTATTCGACTATTACATGTATACCACCGTTTCTATCCAAAATCCAGTTCTGGAAAAATTCCAGCTCTTGAAAGAAAAAAATCTCTATTTATTTACGAGAAGTGAGCTTCTCACTTCTCGCGCTGTTTATTAAGTTCAATAAAAGTTTTTAAAATAAAAATGTACTTTTTCAAATTTCAAAAGGGTTTTCTTTAGTCTGAAATGAGCGATAACGTCGCGAAAGAGCAGCCAGTGCAGAAGCAGGAGTATGATGTAACGTACATTTTTCTTCGCTGTGGAGCGGCTGCAAATAAACGCGGCTTTGTCGCCGAGCCGCGCGTTGATGAGAACGGCAAAGAAGGGATCTTCTTGCGTGAAGTTTGGAAGGGAACAACAGCACATAGGGTAAGGCATCTTCATTTCTTAGTTGTTCGATTTCATAAATAGAATATGTAGGGGCTTGTTGGCTTATGAGAAGCCAGCTTTTGTTTCTTTGCAAATAAGAAAGGCGGCTTTTATGTTTTTGCGAACAAGGGCCTAGTTCTTTCCTTGAGATAAGTCCTTTATTAGGCTGGCCTGGCCATTGACGACCGAATAATTCAAATCGGTGACGACGATATGCTCGGTAAATCAAACGAAGAAGCGCTCAAGCTTCTCAACGCCCCAGAGTACCAAAACACGCCCTGTCGGATGCTCATCATGCACGGCCCGCGCGAGAGAAGCGTTGCAGGCGACGATATCGACCCTTCCCTTGATGAGCAGTTTCCAAACAATCTTGGCCCCTTCAGATATTATCTCCCGGCTGCTATTCTCGTTGGAGTCTGCTCTTTAGTCGTCGGTCTTTTGGTCCGAGGAGCGATGAAGAAATGACTTGCCATAAAAGAATCGGGAGCAAGAATGGGATGTGTTGTTTTTCATGTATTCTTTTTGTTCAATCTGTTACCTGCCCATTTACTACCTCGAAATATATTCATCCGCGGAATTGCTCTTGTCAATAAATAAATTAAATGATTATAGAGAATCGATAGTTAAATAGCATCAAAATGCTCGTTGCCTACTCCCGTCACGTGATAATGCTAACACGTGCCTATTTCCTCGCTCTCCTGATCACCATTCTTTCAAAAATAAATTTGGGCCTTACCATGTTTTCTTATCACCCTCCAGCCATGGTCGCCGGTGCCTGGATTTTTTACGAAGCGGCGGTGTTCAAGAAGTCGAGATTGAGGATCGATTTGTACTTGAAGAATACTATCCATGGGTTTATAGCGCTCGTTGCTTTGGCCGCTGCGTGTTTTGGTTATTGGGTAAGTGTGTTGCTAGAAACCAAAATAATCACGTGTTGCTTCTCAATATTGATGTTGAAAACAGACCTTTCAGTTTCATTAAACATTCTTCTCTTGCCAGCGGCAGGAATTAGAATTTTTCTATAAACCTATCTTTCATATTTCTTCATTCTTTCACGAGTTCTAGTCACTCATCTTCGCTTCCTTTAAAAATTATTCTTTTAGGCGATTTACGAGAACAAAGAACTCATTGGAAAAGATCACTTCACTTCGTACCACGGTCAAGTCGGCATCGCCGCTCTTGCAATGATCTTCGCCAATCAACTTCTTGGAGCTGCGGCACACTATTTGAAAATTTCTGCCGCGCGCAAGGCGCATAGAATGTTTTCCTTCTTTATCCTTTCCTGTTTTTGTGGCGCGTTGAGTTTTGGTCTTTGGTCGGATTGGGCAGAGCACCAATTGCATTGGATCTTGAGATACAGTGGTGCTACTTTAGCTACAGTTCCCATTGCCATGTGGCTATAATTTTTTCCGCTTCATTCTTCCTTTTTGCTTCCAGTAGTATATTTAGTGACTAATTTCAACTGATCTGATGCCTCATTAACTTTGAATTAGAAAATATGTCTAATCAAATTAATTGAACTTTCTTTTAAAATCTTCAGACTAAAAATGACCGGACTTATCTACGAGGGTGCGAAGAAAGAAATCGACGTCGATGGAGCGAGGTTAAAATATTTCGATGTTTCATCCGTCATCCCTCAAGACAAATTCGAGCGTCTTCCGTTTTCCATCCGTGTCTTGCTCGAGTCTGCCGTCCGAAATTGTGACAACTTCCAGGTCTCGGAGGACGATGTCAAGAACATCGTCAACTGGGAGGAGAACCAGGGCAAAGGTACTCATGGATTTTGAAGGATTGAATAATAAGCGCCTTTTAGATGTTGAGATTCGATTCCGTCCCGCTCGAGTCATTCTCCAAGATTTCACAGGTGTCCCCGCCGTCGTCGATTTCGCAGCAATGAGAGACGCCGTCGCCCGACTTGGTGGTGATCCAAAGAAAATCAACCCAATTTGCCCGGTTGACCTCGTCATCGATCACTCTGTCCAGGTCGACGTTGCTGGATCAAAAGAAGCGCTGAAGAAGAACCAGGAGCTGGAATTTGAGAGAAATCGAGAACGATTCCAGTTTTTAAAATGGGGCTCCGACGCGTTCGAGGGGCTAGAGATTATCCCGCCTGGATCTGGCATTGTCCACCAAGTAAATCTCGAGTACCTCGCCCGAGTTGTCTTCAACAGAGATTCAACGCTCTTCCCTGACAGTCTCGTCGGAACAGATTCTCACACGACAATGATCAACGGACTCGGCGTCCTCGGCTGGGGAGTCGGTGGAATCGAAGCAGAAGCCGTCATGCTTGCTCAGCCTATTTCGATGGTTCTTCCCGAAGTCATTGGCTACAAGATCAGCGGTGAAATTCCAGATCTCGCTACATCCACCGACGTCGTTCTGACTATCACCAAGAATTTACGTGCAGTCGGTGTTGTCGGCAAATTCGTCGAGTTCTTCGGACCTGGAGTCGCCCAGCTCTCTATTGCTGATCGAGCCACGATCTCGAACATGTGCCCTGAATACGGAGCCACTGTCGGTTTCTTCCCAGTTGATGAGGTTTCCCTGGAATATCTCCGACAAACCGGCCGAACCCCCGAGAACGTGAAGCAAATCGAAGAGTATTTGAAGATCTCCAGTATGTTCCGAAATTACAGCGATGCCTCAACAGATCCAGTTTATTCAAAAGTCTACGAGCTTGACCTTTCGACTGTTGTTTCTTCCCTCTCTGGGCCAAAGCGCCCTCATGATCGAGTTTCCGTCACCGATATGAAAAACGACTTCTTGCAATGCCTCACGAATCCTGTTGGTTTCAAAGGATTCAACATTCCCTCGGACCAGTTGAGTAAAACCGTACCATTCTTGTACGAAGGACAAGAATACACGCTCAAGCAGGGCTCTGTCGTCATCTCTGCCATCACTTCCTGTACCAATACTTCCAATCCTACCGTCATGCTCGGCGCTGGTCTCCTCGCGAAGAATGCCATTGAAAAGGGATTGAAAGTGGCACCATACATTAAAACATCGCTCTCTCCTGGGTCGGGTGTCGTTTCTTATTACTTGGAGTCGTCTGGAGTAATTCCTTACCTTGAGCAGCTTGGCTACGGTATCGTTGGTTACGGGTGCATGACATGCATTGGTAACTCTGGACCATTGGCTGAAGAGGTCACAAAGGTCATTGAAGAAAACGATTTGGTTGTTGCTGGCGTTCTTTCAGGTAAGAAACAGGGAGGCGCAATAGATTAATCTTTATCTTTCTCCAAAGGAAACCGTAACTTCGAGGGTCGAATCCACCCACACACGCGCGCCAATTACCTGGCTTCACCTTTGCTCGTGATTGCATACGCTTTGGCAGGCCGCGTCGACATCGATTTCGAGACCGAGCCTTTGGCTCAGGACGGTGATGGAAACGATGTTTTCCTCCGTGACATTTGGCCCAAGCGAAGTGACATTCAGGCAGTTGAACGCGCCCATGTCATCCCAGAAATGTTCAGAAAGGTTTGATCTTTTGGCGGCAACACCTTATTACTTAAATTTAAGGCGTACAGCTCCGTCAAGACCGGAAACGAAGCTTGGAACCGGCTCGAGGTCGATGCCGGCGTGCAGTACAAATGGGACGCTGAATCGACATATATTCAATCGCCACCATTTTTCGAAACAATGACCCGTGACTTACCCCCAATCTCCAACATCACCAACGCTCGAGCTCTTCTCAATCTTGGCGACTCTGTGACGACCGATCATATCTCGCCCGCAGGCGCGATTTCGAGAACTTCGCCGGCGGCTAAGTACCTTGCTGAACGTGGGCTCAAGCCAAGAGACTACAACAGGTAAAAGATGTGCTGGAATCAAGGAAGATAACTCTTTTTTTAGCTATGGAAGTCGCCGAGGAAACGACAGAATCATGGCACGAGGAACTTTTGCCAACATTCGACTTGTCAACAAATTCGTCGAGAAAGCCGGTCCATTTACCGTTCATTTCCCGTCTGAGGAGAAACTGCCAATTTTCGACGCTGCGATGAGATACAAGCAGGAAAACGTTACTGCGATTATTCTTGCTGGTAAAGAATATGGATCTGGGTCGTCACGTGATTGGGCTGCCAAGGGTCCTTGGATGCAAGGAGTCCGGGCGGTCTTAGCAGAGAGTTATGAACGAATTCACAGGTAAAGAAAAACACAAGATGTGTTCTTTATATTTTAGATCAAATTTGGTCGGAATGGGAATCATCCCACTTCAATACATGCCCGGTGAAAACACCGACAAAGCTGGCTTCTCTGGAAAAGAAGTTTTTACCATCGAAATGCCGGACAAGGTGACCCCTGGCTGTACTGCTACTGTCCGCACCGAATGTGGCAAATCGATCCAAGTCTTGGTCAGATTCGACACTGAGGTCGAACTCACCTACTTCCGACATGGAGGCATCCTCAATTACATGATTCGAAGCATGCTCTAATAAGGTCTGGGTTCAACCTACCGTGACGATCGGTATCTTTAATGGCGCCGGCAAGCATCGCATAAATACCGGTATAATTGATCAGTCAAATAGTTTTGAATCCGAATAAAAGAGCTGATTCTTCGTGCGATCCACAGCATTTTCAATGTTACATTTCGATCCGCGAGACAGACTTGATCCGCGATTAGTCTGTCTGCCATCGTTAAAACATACACATTTAGCAAAATTTCTTTTCGCATATTTGAATTGACTTGAGTCGTCTTTCCCGTTTCGTATAATCCCCCTTCCAGAGGTGAGCTTTTCCCAACTTGTCTTGAATTAACTAAAACGCAATCACTTTTTTCTCTGCTTCTTTCTTTTTTTCTGCTTCCAGTTCAAGCCTTGTTTCAACTTGTCCAACAGTATATTCTTCCGTCATGTTATGTTCCTTCTCTGTCTTTATCTGAATGTTGATTCTCTATTTTCTGTATTCTTGTGCAATCGGTTAGCTCGTTAAGATGTCGACTACTGATGCTAGTATTAAATACAGTTTTCTCAAAGTTCGATACTTCTTTAAAACCCGCCCAATTTATGATTGTTACAGTATCTAATAATAAATAATTATAAATTCTTGGTCATTTCAATTTTCAAGACAATTGAAACAAATTTCTGCTCAATAGAATGTTTCTCCGGTCAATTCGAAAAGCAGGCTACAAGACCATGCCGCAAGCGGCCTCTTTTCCGGTTATGAAGAACACAATGCTTCCTCCTGGAACTTTCGACAATATTGGGATCTTAGATTCGTTAGACTCCCTCGTCCCCTAAGGTCACTTGCTTATCTAGATCGAGCTTTGCTCGGTCGCCGCCGTGTATTTCTCTCCATTCGGTAATTCACGCAGTTCGTGAATTAACCTCTATTTTACTCCAGCTCGAAATACAGACGTCAAAGATACTTTACTCGTTTTCTTCACTCGTCCAGATATAGAGAGCAGGCAAACTACGCTAGAAGTGGGAGATTCAGCAGAAGCTAGGATCCCTTCAGTGGTATCAGAGTAGTCCCGTTGGAGAAAAGGTAAATTTTCCGCCATCGACAACCGAAGTTTCGCAACTTGGACGCTGATTGGCCGTCAGCGGAGTCGAGGGGAACCGAATCACCAACCGCCACCGCGCCGCCGGAGAAACTCCACTCAGAGAATTTTCCGCGCCGCACCACACCAACACCACCCCGAGCGAGCGCCACCACACGAGCGCCACCACGACCCACGCGCCGAAAGTCGCGCCCACGCAACCACGCACGCACGCCGGGGAAAACCTAAAATACTCAGAAAAACAGAATTCTTTCGCCACTTTTCACCAAAAATCGAGAGAAGTTTACGAAGAATCGACCCTTGGACCAGACCTTGAAATTTCGACAATCGCTGGACAGAGAAATCGTCGGGCGTTTGCGCAAAAAGGCACCTCAGCTCATCATATTGCGACTTTTAGTCGCAGTATTTTCTGAGGGCCTGAAAGGTAATCCAAGGCCCATAAACCCTTACTGCCGATATATTTCGAGCTATGGCGGCGAACAAATCACTGCTAGAAACCGTCACCGAAATAAGAAGCATAAACGATCGAGTAAACTACCTCGAAGAACAAGTGCGAAATGACGAATCACTTAAGCCAAGCCTAGAGCCCTTGATCACAGAAAGCAGAGTAAAATTAGAACAGCTCAGTACAACGCTTCTTACCTGCGAGCTCGATCAAGGAAAAGAATCTACGAATGCTACAATGAGAGAAGAAGCATGGGTGGCCACTACCTGGTCTCGTCACGTCCAAGACTTGCCGAAGCTGGACGCCGCATGCAACACATCTTTCAACACCTTCTTGGGCAGAGCCGACATTTATCACCGCGCCTACGTCCGCGACAGACCTTCACGTGAACAGCCTTTCATCGCAGCAGTGTACAGCCACTTCGACTTGAACATCGAACGCTCACTTGGAACCGAATTTCTGAATTGTCAAGACTGGAAATCGGCCAAGGCGCTGCTAGAGAAATCATTCGCCGCGAAGAGTCACTACTTACTGAAGCTAAGCGAAGTTTTCGACGTCGAATACGACCATTCGAAGCCGTTTGCACACTACACCGCCAACGTCTTGCAAAAGATGAACGAGGCGAAGCAAGCGACTTTGAACTCTTACCGACAAGAGAAGTCAGCCGACGCCGGGGTCGATGAAATATTTGACATATTCTCGACGATGATGCTGTACTTGAATCTTAGGAAAGAAGAACCAGACGTTTTCAACGCAATCCTTCCAAGCCTATCAAAAGTTTACGATATCAACGAACTCTGCCGTCTCGCCCAATCCACAAGACAGAATCGAGTTGACAGCGCGACCGTCTCCCAGCACTTCAACAGAAATAAGAACAAAAAGAAGAAGAATGCTAAGCGCGCCAGCAACGATTCTAAGGATGGGAAAGACGATAAACAACCAGAATCCAAGAAGATAAATACGACTAAGAACGTTGAAGATTTCCAACCATTCGACGTTCACTTTTACACAGTGAAGAAGAAGCGACCAGGAAAGGCTTATTTCGCTTCGGCTACCATCATTACGGGCTCTAAAAGTTTTGACGTATCGATGGAAGTCGACAGCGGAGCCGAGTCCTCCTGTCTGTCCGCTGCTTACGTTCCCGACGAATTTCTCCAGATGCTGAAGCCCTGTCCCTTCAAGGTCACCGGTTTCAGCCCAAATATTCCCGCCGAGCAGCCGATGGGTATCCTTCCCTGCCGCTTATCATTCAATGGTGGCCCTGCATTCTCCCTGAATCTCACCATTATGCCAGGCAGTAAATACCCAAGTCTACTGGGCCGCGATATACTAGAGAATGCGATGACGGACAGCTTCACAGTCGACAATAAGAATCGTACTCTCTCATTTTGCTACAACGAAGCCTTCACACAAACTGAGACTCAAGTGGTGAAGCTGGACGGAGTGAAGCGGACCAAAATCAAGAAATACTTGACTACTAGATCAGCGGTCAAGGATAGCGATCGATCCCGCACTCAACCGCCACCAAAAGTCCCAAAGCTGGACGCACCTAACAAGAACGCAGCCAGGTGCCCCATTCAGCTAGCGAAGCAAAAACTCGGAATTACCCTACCAGCAAACGCCGACCCGGGGCAAAAGAAGGTGGTCGCCGAGCTGTGTTTGGAATTCGACGACAGATTCGGCTGCGACGGTCAAAAAATGGGTGAATTCCCGTTCGAGATCGAAATCCCGACTGATGGTACGAGTCGAAACATCAGTCAACACCCGATTCCGCAAGCTTTTCATGGTCAGGTCAGCGATCACATCTCCGAACTGCTCGAAACGAAAATAATAGAAGAGATCAAAGACCAGAAAGGGTTTAACAGCCCGGTATTGCCTATTCCTAAGAAATCTGGGGAAATGCGCTTCTGCATCAACTACAAAAACAGCCTGAACAAATGCCTCTCCGACAAATCCGACCCTTACCATCTCCCAAGCATGGAGGATACGATTGCGAACATTGGACCGGGCAATAAGTTTTTCGCCACAGTTGATCTACGAAGTGGATATTGGCAGTGCCCTGTAAAGAAAAGCGACAGGTACAAGACTTCCTTCCAGTGGGGTGGGAAATCTTACGCCTTCTGCAGACTACCATTCGGTTATCGATGCTCGGGGAATATATTCTCGCGCGTCGTAAACACAATTCTCGACTCAAGCCCCACCAGGAAAAAGATGCTTTCTTATATCGATGACATAGTGTGTTTTGGGAAGACTTTCAGCTGCTATTACAACACTCTCCGAAACCTATTCATCGCGCTCCGCAAGTTTAACGCTAAACTCAAGGGCGAAAAGTGCTCTTTCCTACAATCCGAAGCTCACTTTTTGGGCCGAATCATCAACGAAGATGGAATCAAACCGGACCCTGCGCAAGTCTCCGCTCTTCGTCAGATGAAACCCCCACGCTCCCAAAAGGAGTTAGCTTCATTAATCGGGTCATTGAATTGGATCCGAGGTTTTCTAGAAACGAAAATGGGCGAAGCTATTTCATCCGGTTGCTTCTCGAGCAGAATGAAGCCCATAAACGATGTTCGAAATTCGGCGAACGAAACAAATTGTTTCAAGTGGACCAAAGAAGCGGATTTGGCGCTCAAGGAAATTCAACGACGACTCTCCGAGACTCCAGTCATAAGTTTTCCTAACTTTGACGAGTCTTTTCATCTCTACACAGACGCGAGCCTGTACGCAGCGGGTGGCGTCCTGCTACAAGAGTATGGCGGGAGAGTGCACCTAGTAAGCGCGATTTCCCACACCTTCAACAAAGCTGAAAGAAAATGGAACACTTCAGAAAAGGAAATGTTTAGCATTGTCTGGTGCTGCGAGCGACTGGAAAAGCTCCTGAAAGGTAGATTCTTTCAGATTCACACAGACCACCGATCTTTGATCTTCCTACACAAAAAGAAGTTCAAGAATTCTAAAATAAGCCGATGGCAAAGCCGATTGGAAGAATTCGATTTTCACATTGTCTACATCAAGGGATCAGAAAATCAATTCGCCGACTTTATGAGCCGCAGACCTGGCGAGGACGACAAATCACTTGGATACGACTCTGAGTTTCCCGTTGGTCGCGAGTACGAAATCGACAAGAATTCACCAGTACGTGTCTTCGTCCCTTTCTGGAACGAAAATCAGTTTCCGGAGAAAATCACTTTATCAGAGGTGAAGATACATAAGGTAAACGTCAAGGCTATCGCGGCGCCAATGGAGATTCCGTTGGTGTCAGCGAATTATAATAACATTCTGGACTATCAAAGGGAGGACTCTGCTCTGAGTGCAATCATCACTTTTCTGGAATCTGGTAAGGAGCCACTGGACATAAAATCGCTGGTGAAGGACTCCGACCACCGACAATCGTCTCTACTCAAGATGGAAAAAGCTCTGTTCCTGGATAACACTACCGGGTGCTTGATGTGTCAATTCAAATCTGGCGCGCGGGCGGTGGTACCGGAAGCGGTAAAAAGTCACTTTCTCTTTCTAGCTCACGACTTGTCCGGTCATCTGGGCGAGCCGCGGACTTTAGAGCGATTAGAGGACGTTTGGTGGCCTTCATTTCAAGACGATGTTTCTAACTACGTCCACAGCTGCGTCCCTTGCCTACGCAGAAAAGGATCTGCTGGAACTCGTACCAAACCGCCACTTGGAACCCTTCGTCGTGGAAAAACAGCTGGCGAATCGATTCAGATCGATTTCGCTTGTATGCCTCCCGCTGGCGGATTCAAGTATTATTTGGTGGTGGCGGACACTTTCTCTCGCTACACTTGGTGCATTCCGACGCGGTCCGACACTGCTATCTGCGCTGCAAAAGCGCTCATCTACAAGGTCTTCCTTCCCATGGATTTCTTGCCGAAACATCTACACAGTGACAGAGGTACCCACTTCTGCGCAAGCGTGATTGACGAAATGTGTAAGCTTAACCAGATAAAACATACAATAAGTACCGCATTTCACCCTCAATCAAACGCTTTCGCAGAAAGAGCGAATCGGACTATCAAAAACAGTCTATTCTGCATGGTCAACTCATCTTCCGGTCGAAAAACTTGGGCCGACTGCGTTCCCCACGTGATGCGCGCGCTCAATAGTGTGAAAAACAAAAGCACGAAAATTTCACCGCGAGAAGTTTGGTTTGGCCGAAAAAGTACTTTCACCCACTCTACTGGCGCAGAAATGACAGCGGAAACACCTCAGGTGTTTGGTCTCAATGTTGGAGCTTTAGCGAAATCGGCGGAAGCCATTGTGAAAACTGCGATGGAAGCTGCTGACCGAGCCATGGAGCACAGGCTGAAAAACGAGCCTAAGCCGAGACCAATCCCCGCTGGCGCTGTCGTGTACATTAAGCGAGAAAACCTGACCGACGCTAAAAGCAAGAAGGAACGCTGGGTAGGTCCCCTGAAAGCCGTTTCGAGCAACGACTGGGTCGTCATGGTCGAAGATAAAAAAGGACAACGTGATTTCATCCATCGAGAACACGTGGTTCACGCCGCAGAACGAAATCACGACTTACGCTGGATTGATTACTACGAGGCCGAGTACGTATTCCCACATTTAACCGAAATCGTTAAGTCGAAAGTCCCACAAAAATCGCCTGTTCCTACTTCCAAACCGATGGAAAAGTCCGGGTCGAAGTCGCATGGGGGGAGGAAATCTTCTCAGGTCGCGTCGACTCCGATGGTTGCTATGGAAAAACCGCCAAGATCATCTCTATCACCTATTTTGGAAAGTAGACGCCGATTGGACATGGAAAATCTGGGAGATACAACCGCTACATCTATTTTGGACTCGTCGGTAGCTCCAGCCGAGCCGTCAGATCGCTGGTACTCTGGTGGTACTCTTTATGAAACTGCCGAGGACATGTCAGCTGATGCTACAGTGATTTCGGAGGTTGCTGCGCCCGACAATAGCCATATGTCAGTCGATAAACAAAATTCAACAGTAGTTGAGGGCTCAGCAACTGAAAACAGCAAGAAAAGAACCCGTCCAAAGTCTTCACCAGATCGTCAATACTCAGCCGGCGCCGATCCGAATGCGACTTTAACCGAAGTTGGAGCAGCTCATCTCCCGAAACATACAAAACGAGCACACCGTGAAACGAGGCCCGTCGAACCTCTAAACATCGGCACAAACTCGGGTCAGTCATACGACTAAGCGCAAGTACTGCCCCACTCAGGTCCCCTATTCATCGACCGGGGCCTGAAAAGGTACGGAAATTATCACAGTTTACCGTCGCCGACGTATTTTGAGTTCTTCTACATGTGCAGCTACTCCTTCATGTCATCACCGCTCGGACATCACGAAAACTTCGCATCTGATTCAAGCTTTTTCCCAAAAAAGGGTTTTTTAACGCGAATCAGACTGCCTCGACGTTTCGAACCTGCCATGTTACTCATCTTACGCTTATACTCCTGCAAAAATCACACACTTTGGCCTTAGAGGACGTTTCAGTCTCATGGGGGGTATTGGGATCTTAGATTCGTTAGACTCCCTCGTCCCCTAAGGTCACTTGCTTATCTAGATCGAGCTTTGCTCGGTCGCCGCCGTGTATTTCTCTCCATTCGGTAATTCACGCAGTTCGTGAATTAACCTCTATTTTACTCCAGCTCGAAATACAGACGTCAAAGATACTTTACTCGTTTTCTTCACTCGTCCAGATATAGAGAGCAGGCAAACTACGCTAGAAGTGGGAGATTCAGCAGAAGCTAGGATCCCTTCAACAACAAAGTTGCATTCATCACTGGCGGCGGAACCGGACTCGGGAAGGGTATGGCGACCCACCTCTCCTCCCTGGGAGCTACAGTCGCCATTACAGGACGTCGCGAAGCCGTTCTCAAGGCCACTGCCGAAGAGATCACCGAAAAGACAGGAAATCAAGTCGTCTTCGCCCCTTGCGACGTCCGCGATGCTGCTGCTGTCAAGGTTCCGTCCAATAATATTTTCATATTTACGAAGCTATTTTAAAGGGAGCAGTACAGTCAATCGTTGACCAATCGAGCGTCCCAGACATTGTGATCAACAACGCGGCGGGCAATTTTATTTCGCCCACCGAGCGACTTTCGACCAACGCTTTTTCTTCCGTTATCGATATCGTGCTCAAGGTAAATGACCGTTGCAGAATCAGAGAAGCACCACTTTTTCTTCAGGGCTCGATCAATGTCACTCTCGAAACCGGCAAGCGAGCGATCGCCGCTCAGAAACCCTGCGTCTTCCTTGCAATCACCACCCACTACACCAAAGCTGGTTCTGGCTTCGTTGTCCCCTCTGCTTGCGCAAAATCTGGTGTAGAGACGCTCCACCAGTCCCTGGCCGTCGAGTGGGGCCGCTACGGAATGCGATTCAACTGCATCGCGCCCGGTCCAATCTACACCGAAGGTGCCTTCTCTCGACTCGACCCCACCGGCGAGTTCATGAACCACGCAATTAAAAACCTGCCAACTGGGCGACTGGGTGAGCCAGAAGAAATCGCCAACCTTGCTACCTTCATGGTCTCCGATTACGCCTCCTGGCTCAATGGAGAAACTATCACTTTCGATGGAGGAGAGTTCAATGCTCTCGCCGGCGAATTTAATGCACTGAGAAAAGTCAAGGTAAATACGCAGCTAATCTGATGAAAACGCTCAAAACCGAATTAAGGATGAACAGTGGGACATGCTCGAGCAAATGATTAAGGGCAACCACTCAAAGCAAAAGAAGAAGAACTAGACAAAAGTCTAGTCAGACCTCTAGTCGCGTCCACGTGATTAACAGTGGACACTGACAGTAGTAATACAATTATTTATTCCTGATTCATTCGATTTCTCGTTGATTTATCCAACTTCCCGATTTGAAAATATTCTGTTCTTCAAAAAAGCTTTCAGCAAAAAAAGATGTTCCGATATTTTTCTAAGCAAAAAAAGTTGAGAGTTGAATCTTAGAATGACCGACAACGTGGACGACTTTTTTAACCGAAAGGAAAAAAAGAGAACGAAGAAGACGAAAAAGACGAAAGTCGTCACCGCAGAGGATATATTTAAGGGTGAAGAGTTGGGACGCGACGAGAAATCTAAAAACTCTAACGCGCATAATGTAAGTAACATTTGTCACTTCAGGAAACACTACTGAAGAAAATACAACATCTGGTCTTAAGGAAGAGAAAGAGGATGAGTGGATTGAGGCCGCCGGGGAGCAGGAGTTCGTCTTTGACTCTGTCGGTGGGATGAAACGACTCGAGCTGGAAGAAAGAGTAAGCATGCGCGTCATACGTAAAAGTTTATTTAATGCTTGAAGTTATTAAGATTCTTATTAATCTTTCAACCCCATTTACACCTTTTTTAGCAGCCTAGCGAGGAGGTAAGGCGTCGTAGTTACAGTCAATTATCTGTCAATTACGAGTCAACAAGACAAAATCAATTTGATTCCTCATTTATCAAGCTTTATTTAATTACATTTAGTGCATGCTCTCGATTTCTCATTTATCCATGAATTATTTTTTTCCACGGAGTTACTTATTCTATTTTATAAACTGTTACAGTATAATCCAATTCCGGGAGAATACATACTTCATTCCTTACAGATTTCTGTCGCAACACTTTCGATTCCATCAAAGTAATGCTTCAAAATCGATATCTGTTACGACGTTAATATAAAAACGAATAGTAAATGGGTAACTACGTGACACTATTTTACCCCGCCGTCGTGAATCCCAGCTTATTTTAAATCCATTCAGGGGCCACAGTCAGAAGGAGAAGGGGAGAGATCGGACGATGAAAACGCCGAGAGCGGCTGGAAAACTACTGGAAACGAAGTGCAGTCGAACAACGTTGGACTCCCCGGAGACAACAAGGACAACGCGGATGAAGAAGCAGACTCGAATGAGGAAAAAGCGAGTCCGGTATGAATCTTTATCGCTATTAGACACTCTAATTGTTTTTCTGCTCCTTATCGTGCGCGGCAGTCTTGCTTCTCACGCGTCGCGAATTCACTCGCTTTCTTTCAGGCTGAATCTAGCGCCAACCAGCCGAAGAAATACGTTCCTCCCTCGCAAAGACAAGCCGCTCCTGTCAGCCGTGGACCACCCGCGTAAGTTAAAAACAAACCTTTTTCTAATAACGACGCATACGTTCATCTGAAGAAATTGAGAGTTTTTCAATTTGAGTCAAGTCTACTCGCTTCCATCTTTAATTCATGGACCATGAACTTTATTTCTTCCTAATAGAGCTTCTAGCCAAAGCTCGATAAGTAACACTAACCTGATATTCAGCTCTGGCTTCCCCGGTCGGAGGAACAGAGATATCAACGTTGATTCCGTGGCTGAGTTCCCTACTCTTGGTGCTTCTGTAGAAACGGTCAGTCAGATTTTCCTTTGAAATCAAGGAAGAGAACGTTTAAAATTTCAGACGCCCGAAGGTTTCGAACAAGTGAACATGAGAAAAGGCGGCGCCGCCTGGTCGAGTGGCGGAGGATCTCAGAACTCCTCAACGGGAATCCAAAACCGTTTCCAACTTTTCCAAAACTAACAGCTGCCCCGTTCCAGAGTTTGTTTTTGGAAAGGTATTACTAGCGAAAAGTTATTCATAGAAAGTCTACCGTGTCTACCTACCATCAGTCTGATCAAAAGTCAAAAATCTCTCGCGGTCTATTCTTAAACAAACGTTGTCGTAAAAAACATATTATATATAATTTTTTTTCATTTCTCGTATTCTGACAAATGATGATCCGCACGTTTATTTATTACTATCTGCCAATATAAGATTATCGCAGTCCAATCGGGTTGGGATGATTCTTTCATTCATTGTAACCTGTTACTTCTCAAATTATAGTTCACTCGTCGCCTCGGGGGGAATCAAAACCTCCTCGAGGCGCTAATTACAAGTCAATTTGCCCCAATTAGCCCCATACTAACAACCATCAATCGTACCCTTAAATTCTACCAATTTGTGCTGCTTTCCCTTGTCGGCCAATAAGAAGTCGCCTTTCGCGCGAATCTTATTGGCTCTTTTTTTAAAGGCTTTCTTTCTCTTTGTAAATCAGTCTTTTGATACAGTTAGTGTTGTCCTTTTTTATATAATTAATTTTTAAAAGCTAATTATCCCGTCATACTATTATGTATTAACTGTGCCGAATTTTGTTAAAAAACAGCTAACCTTACTTTTTCAAAAACCCGGCGGCCCAAAAACGACCATCTAAGAATAAAAACGTTTCATCGCGAAATCGTTTGAACGGAACACAAAATGAAAAAGTCACAAGCGTTACTGTAGCTAACTGTTCAAAATTGACAGCATGTAATTTTAAGACAATTGACTTGCGGACGCTGCTTTTGAAGAGAAAATACAAAAAACAGATACACAAAAGAATTAAGGACGCATGTCAAGCTATGACCAGCGCAATGTAAGTTGGACTTAACCCAGTAGGCCCCCTTAATACTTTCCGCTGTTAGCAATACGAGGGACAATACCTGATTCAAAACTCGGCTCCTTCCGCCCGTTCCAAAGCGAAGCCGATCGCCGTCCCAATCGTCTCTGTCCGCAAAACTGACAATGTAAGTCAACACTGTAACTGAAAACTAGTGGATCCCCACGGAGGGGGTTACGCGACCCTTACGATCAGACTTCCCGAACTAGATTTCTATTTTTGATCGACCGACTAGTCGTACGAACTTGACCGAAAGTCGCAGAGACGAGTTCATAAGTTCAGACGGTTTAATCAGCAATTTTAGTAGATAATTTTCTTAGAATTTTAATAATTGATGTGGTCTCTAGAATACAATCGGGAATGGATTTTATTTATCGTTCCCAATAAAGCAATCATCATTGCTGAACACTGTCTTTTTCGCAATTCCATGTCCAGAAATGGATATGACGACTGCCAGTTAAATTTTGTCCAAGGCCTGCCCGTCAAGTACTGCCATGAATCGGGAGATTTACTGATCGGAGATCCTCTTCTTTCAGTTTTACCTGATTCGTTCGTGACTCGCCCGACGAGTCCGATCGGCTCATTTCGCAAGAAATCAATCAAGAAAGATCGGAGGCACAAAGATGATAAAAGATTTAAAAACTTTGTAAGTAAAAAGTAACTGGGGTGGTCTACTTTCCTAATTTTCTATAGAAGAGAAGAAGAAATCTATTCTTCCCCTGGGAAAGATCTTCCTCCAATTTTACGGTAGATATATTTATGGCCGCGAATCAGAAGAATTATCTGCCAATTAGTCTTCGGAATATCGTCATTTTTCCTTTCCTTTCTTTTTTCTTCCGAGCGTTGGCAGTGACCCAACATCAGCTTTTTCAGAAGCGCGGCGCTGGACGCACCCGTAAAAAATACACAAAATAGAGATAGGGAGGGAGAAAATTGACTACCTCGGCGATTTTTCGTACATCCGGTGCTCTGATAATTTGCTGGTAATTGTGTTTTGGGTCGGAGAATTCGGAGTCAGTAATACTGCAATGCTGTATTCGAATACAGAAAGGATCAATGGGAATATACAAAATGGAATCACAGCGCGCCATATTCTCTGATATCGATTTTACGCAATATTAGCTGGGGCTATTACTGTAGTTTTCCCGCCTTTGTATATTCCCATGGTTTCATACTCATTCAGTGGCTTTTTTGCTTGTCAAAAAGGGATTGCCCGCGATTATCCCATCTTTCAACCCAGCATGATAGAGCTTTATAACAATATATATACCACGTGTCTTCCCTGATTCCAAAAATCCAAAATTTTCGAAAAAAATATGACTGAATTCTGTTTTTATCCAGAGCTCAAGTTTTCGGCAAATTTCTACTATCAGGTACTGTCTACTATGGACACGTATTCATACAGATTTAAAGCCAATTAAAAGCTTTAATCTGTAGACATTGTGCTGTCTATCTAAATGTTCACGACATGAGTGTCGAGAGACATTACTGCAGACGGCTACTGCTATGTCCTATGACGAATTTTCATTGAATTTTTTGACCACCAGAGTCAAATAAAAGAGAAACAATTCGCGTCCATGAGCTTTTCCAATTTTCGCATACCCTTTGTCTTCAAGGTACACTTTCACAGTCAGATTGAAAATCGACTGTTTCTGACGTAATCTTTAGCCTAGATCATCGTGTCTTGAAGGAGTAGCGTGACACTTGTCCTACACAAGCCGAGAGCGGCGCTACCACACCACTCTTCAGTGAGCTACTAGCCCAACCACGAGGCGCCAACAAGCAACTCCGCTCTTTTTGAATTCACTTCTGAGGAACTAAACCTATCATGCCATGCAAATAATGAGGCGGAAGTCAGAATTTCGATTGAGTTTTTTATTTTCAATTTTCAATTTTCAATTTTTTTTTGTAAACAGATAAATAATGGGTAGTTTACAGGTCAGGAAGAATAAGAGGAGGAAAGAACAGATTGTGAAGTGGATCTCCCAGCTGCAAAGTCAACTTCAAAATATTTTTTTCAACGAAATCTTTTGGCGAATTGAAAATGATAGTTATTATTTGGAAAATTCGATCATACTTGATCTTGATTTCTTCTTTTCGAATATTAAACTCTTCATTCTCAACTGCCAAATTATTTCGAAATTTAAAATTGTAGAGATTATCAGTTGACTTCGCGATAGAATTCGCGCCATGATTAAATAGAGCTTTAAGCTTAGAATTGAGCGACTCTGAGACATTATTCGTAATATTAAATTCTTTTGAGCAGATATTTCCGTAATAGTTCCAACCACTGAAAGAATCTCTCTTTACGTAATAAGTCTCAAAGTATTTTATAAACTTATTGAATCCTGGTCGCAATTTTTTAGAGGAAATGGTTTTAACATGGTCTTTGATAGCAACAAGAAAAACTGGCAGAAATTCAGGGTTCAAGTAAGAAAGACCCTTAAATACAGTAAAAATTTCACGAACTTCTGGGTTGTCAGCAGGAGCAAACTTAGTGTATTCTTTAAATTTCTTTTTATAATTATTGAAAAGATGAAAGGCACATTGTGTGACAGTTGCATTGAAATAATCCTCAATAGAAGATTTAAGTGGAGGTTCAAAATCACTGAGAAAGAATGGAATCTCGAGCTCTCGATTGTATCGCATTTGAAACTTGTCTTTTATAATACAGAAAAGACGATCATAGCTTTCTTTTGTTCTTTTTTTCATGTATGCGAAAATAACCGGAAACGCTCGGAACTTGTCAGGATCATTTTTACAAGGCAAGAGAACACTCAGAACATAAAGCTGTAAATAATCGAGTTTTTTTGTTGGTTCCCAAGTTCCATCGCCAAATACAGGGCGAAACTCTGGAAATCCGTATTTCTCTCGAGAATTGTTATCTAATAAATCAAGCTCATGTTCCAAAAAAAGTAAAATCAAATCCTCATTTTCAATGTGACAAAACTGGACTTTCACATCCTTTTTGAGCTCATGATCGTAAATTGGCATTGTTTTTACTTTTTCTGGAACTCGATCTTTTGCGTTTTCTGGAGTTGAGCGATGTATAATCTGGCGCGCAACCTGGGCTTGCTTTTTCTCCGAAAAACCGACTTCATTTGCAAGTCTCCAACTGGAAATGCTCTTATTGAGATCATTTCCATCAAAAATTGATTTTGATTGATCACGGTGAGAATTCAGTGCCACTTGTTTATTCACTGATTTCATTTTTTGCTGGAGAATAGCAAGGGGCTTCGGATTTTCAGTGCAAGTATGATTATCTACAGCTTCAATAACCTCATAATAAGAAAGGTTGAATTTGTCAGAGAATGAAAAATTGAAATCATAAACTGTTCTTTTTACCATTTTTTTTCCAAGTTTATTTTCTCGCTCGTATTCGTATTTCTTTGATGTGATCAGATTCGGATTCAGGACTTTGATCTTCGCCTGGGCCTTGTATTTCGATTTTCGGCAGGAGAAGACTGTAGTTGTTGCTGTGTTTGCTCGTTTGTAGGTCATTTTGTATCTCTTTGATTCATCTCCGTACTGGAACCAGAGGGCGATTCCACTTTCTCGGTCACTTTTCGTCGCTTCTATAATCTCTCCTTTTTCTTGACTTCCTCTGAGTCTCGCAGAGTCAAGTTTTTCTAGTTCTTCCTCAAAATTCATTTTTTTGAAATGAGCAAAATGAAAATTTCAGTCCGCTTATATGGTGGTCAAACTGCCAAGCATTCTATTTTTAGACATGAATGTCCCTGTATCGAGCAACAAGAAAGTCGGCAAAAAAGGTGACAGATCTCACGGTCCATCCGGATGAGTTGTCAATTCGATTGAATTCGCGTCTCCATCTTCACTCGATTTGAAAGTTCAGCTTCGACAAAATCAATCGCTCCTTCATAATATCAGGGAAAAGTACAAAATCTAATTGCCCCTTACCACGGGGCTTCGCCCCTTAGGTCCTAAAATGCCGGGGTCTAGTCTAGGGTTACTTAGGGTTACCTTCGGTAACCCTAACTAACCCTAGCCTATCCCCCTCGGGTAAGTTTGTTCCGTCATTTTTGCAGGTGCCCCCTAACCCTAACCTCAAATTATAGAAAGTACTTGAAACTATAAGTTATTGTTTTTTGGAAATAAGTACATCAGAAAGTAAAGCCAAGAAGATTCGGCAAATTTGAGAGATTTGAAGCGGGCCCGCTTAGCCTCAGTGGCGCCCACTTCATAGGGCTAGTAGCTTGCTGAAGAGAAGTGTGGTAGCGCCGCTCTCGGCTTGTGTAGGACAAATGTCACAGCTCCCGTCTTGAAGCCAGTATATAATATCGTATTGACCGAAATTGAAAACTTCGGAAAAAACGTCTCTGTACCCGAACTCGATCTTTTAATTTCCAGCTCGACTGTTGATTCACAATAGGAAAAAACCTCGTTCATTTACTCGCGACAGCTTTATTTTTTCATGAAAGATTTTCTACAATGAATTATTTTCCACCTTTTTTCCAGGTTGAATTTCGATAACATTATTGAAGAGAACTAACGGAAGAAATTTAGGACTCACGATTGTCGGGCAGCCCGGGCAATCGCTTTGGATCGCAATTCAACAATACCTTCGGTGCTCACTCTGCGCCGCCTAATCGCGATATAAGCTCGCCTAGTCGAGCAGACTCTCAGGTAATCATAATTTATATCTATCAATCGACTACATTCTTCCGATAAAATCCCACTGTCTAAAAGTACAACAAGTTAACGACCCTCAGTAAACCCAGGATAAACCTTAAAAGGTCAGAAAGCCGCCAAAACAGGCGGAAATATCTCCCAGTAACAAGACATTACGTAACGAATCCCTTGTTATGTCCTTATGAGTGGATAGCGATCCACTGTTGTCATGTTTTTGAGCCTTCGCTACCTTACAAAATAGCTCGCATTCCAATTGACTTGAAATTTACTCATTAGTAAATATACTCCGATAGTCCTAGAAAATCAAGACGGGAGACAGACAAATCCGTAAATAATAGTTGTATATACGAAAACAGAAGAGTAGATAAGTATTTATGTGCGCATTCAGATGAAGGATATTTTCGAAGACATCGCCACTGTCGGCACTAACTTCGAGCAACAACTGCGTATAAAATTGGATCAGGATTCGAGAGACATCAACCAGAACTTCAACCAGAATCAACCACAGTCGAACGTCAGTCAGATGATACCAATGAATGTGAGTTTTAACAAGTCATTTATCAAAAAATTATCTAGTTTTTGGGTAAAAAAATCCGATATTCCTCGTTGATTTCTATTGGTTTAATTGAGATTCCATTTGAGTTTCTAGTGAACCCTGAGGTCTGCATAACTGAAATGAACTTGTATCTTACTCTCATTCCCCCTGACGTCAGCAAGAACAGTCAACCCCCGAACAGAGCAGACAAGACTTTGCCCTGGGTCATTTTTATTGATGTCTCTCCCTTTTTGTCCGTGTTTTCCTCTTTAATTTGGGTTAAAATTTACATTTGACCACTCTCTCTTTTGGAGCTTTTGGCTCATCATTTGGCGAGCTGATTATATAGCTCAATTGACGATCCGTCGAGGTGTATTGTGCGAACGTAAGGGGCTTTTTCGGTTTTGGTTAGTTTTCAGCTTTGAGATTTTGTTTTCAAGACGATGTGTATTTAATTCGCGACATTTCTCCGCGACAGAGACCGTCTCACTCTCTGCCAGATGCGAGTTCGCGTAAATAAAATAGCGAGCCACCATTCCTTACTAAAAGAACTTTTCGAAAAAACAGAGAAATGACGCGCGCGTCCGAGAGAAATCGGGTTCGGCGGTCGTCATTCGTAGCCATCAGCGAGAGTCAAAATGAAAATGTAAAAGTGGTCAAGGTCAGGTGACACAGGGCGAATGCGTAAAGTCTAGGGTATCTCTCACGTACTGGGCGGAGCTCAGCGGGGGAGCAATTAGTAAACTTAATTAGTAATTGAAGTTTGGTGAGAATTCTAACGCCTTGTTCTAGAATGCCAGACGCCCGCCTCAGGCGAGTTCGGTCGCTCAATCATTCTCGCCTTCGTCGTGCCCAACTCTTTACATGCCAGTCAAGCAGGAGATGACTGATGATGAGATCAGACAGATTCAAAAGGACCGACAGAAAAAAGACAATCATAATCTGAGTAAGAAAAGCTTTCATACTCATTTTTTCTATCTCTCAATTCTAGTTGAACGACGACGACGGTACAACATTAATGATCGAATCAAAGAACTCGGTCAGCTTATTCCTCGCTCTGGCGATCCGTAAGTCGATAACAATCAAGCGAATGTCCGAATCCAATTTAGAGAAATGCGATGGAACAAGGGCAATATCCTCAAAGCAGCAGTTGAGCACATCCGAAAGCTGCACACGCGCCAAGAGCGCCAGGTCCGCTCCGACGATCGAGCAAAGAAAATGGAAGCGATGAACAGACAACTGATGATTCGACTTCAAGAATGCGAAAACGCAATGAGATCAAATGGACTCGATGTTCCAGATATGCCAGAGCGAGATGAATTCATCGCGCAACTCGGCGGAAATGGTAAGGAGTTAGGATCAAAAAGAATCTATTCCTAACTCTATTCCTAGAAACTGGAAATATGCTCGATGATGACTTGGAGAGCGCACCTTCTCCCGGAGACATCATGAGCCTCAACGACGATCTACAGTCGACGCACAGTATGCAAAGCCAGAACTTTATGTCCTCGCCTCGTCGCATTGGTGGATCCGAGCCCAAGCCAATGCCCGGCCAGCCCTCAACGCTTCAACAACCGAGCTCGTTGAATCAGGTTCAAGTCCACAATATCCAACTTGTTTCTTCCTCCACCAGCACCGCCTCGATAATTCATTCTAACAACCTAAATCATAATCACAGCTCACAGCCTCATCTCAATATGAATTTGAATGAGCCAGATCCACTCTACGGCATGTTTTATTAACAACTTGCTTGTTTCGAAGTTTTACAGTGAGCTAACTCGAGAATGAAAAAACGACAGACAGTGAGAATAAAATAAATTGTTACTGCGTTATACTGTTTGTTTCCTACGTCTGGATCTTACTCATGTTTAACCCTCTGTCGCAGGGAAATCCAAGAAAACGGTAAACAATCAGTCTATCCGAAATAAAAGAACAATTATCGAAGGTGCCTCGTGTGTGACTTACTCAACTGTAATGTGTGTTACTGTATTTACCCCAACCTCCAACTATGTATTGCTTCAACGAAATTTTGTTAAATAAACTAAACGGCGATTCTAGTTTTCTCATCAAAACGCGTCTTCCTTTGCGAGCGGAGTCGGCACGCCCGAGTTCGGCTCCCTCTTCAGCCAGTTGCAAGAGCTCATCAACGACCCCAGCCTACAGGATGTCACTGACATGGGCGGTCAAATGGCAGCCAATCAAAATCGCCAGGCACAGCCCCAGAGCCAGGCGCGACAAGCCCCCGAGCAAGTTCAAAATTACCCGGATCCAGTTCATGATATGGACTTTGGTCGACAGGTGGCGTTGTTTTAGGAACTAACCGAAGTTGATCTCGTTGTTTAGGAAAACACAATCTTTCAAGAAGATTTCAACATGGGAGATGATATTCAGGAATGAGTCTAAAAGAGCTTTTTGATCCAACCTACTCCCAAGTCAAGACCGAGAATTGCCTTGAAGACTCCTGAAAAGTTCGATTAACTCTTCCTCCCAACGTTCTCTCCATCAAAATCTTTTCCCCTGGCGTATCGCTTCCAAGCTTTTTCCCCTTCAGCCCTTTTTATAAATCTTTTTTATAAAAACTCTTTATGTTCATTTATTATTATTGTGCTCGCGAAAAACTTTTTTCCTACTCCTTTTTCCCTCCTTAATGTTCCTCCCTTTCTCTGAAAAAAACTGAAAAACATCTTTATAAAAAAACAATGATCAAATTTCATTATTCTCGCGTTTTCTTCTTTTTGCTTTTTAAAATAACCAGTAGACATTTTTCAACAAAAATTCAGCATAATCTCCGGTTACGTTTTTTTCCTTAAGGGACCTTGTCGAGCTAGCTGAGGCGCTACTTCAAGCGCGCATCATGTAATTTGGACTTGAGATATTCTGAAAATTCTTTTTGCATTCATTATCTTCAGAATCTCCTCGTTCTTCTCCAGGTTTTACTTTTTCTCTATCATAAGTAGTTTTGTTAGAAGTTCAAAAAAGAGAAGTTCAACTTCAAAAGGAATCAGCACTTACAATTTTCAAGATATAAAATTATAACTTATCTCATTGGAAAGCCCAGACAATTCTCTACAAAAGTTACCTAATGGGGTTATGATGACAATACCCTGTCGAGATCAAGGTGAGCTTTTCCGGAGTGGATCGGTTCCACAGCGGGCGTTCGCGCTGCGCGAGGCATTATTTTGGCTTGTTTGCGCATGATTCCCGCAAAGCGCGCGCTAATAACTTCGGATTACTGATTCTTACCACTCTATCACTGATTTTCATAAAACCCCATAAGGTAACTTTTGTAGAGAATTGTCCGGGCTTTCCAATGAGATAAGTTATAATTTTATATCTTGAAAATTGTAAGTGCTGATTCCTTTTGAAGTTGAACTTCTCTTTTTTGAACTTCTAACAAAACTACTTATGATAGAGAAAAAGTAAAACCTGGAGAAGAAAGAGGAGATTCTGAAGATAATGAACGCAAAAAGAATTTTCAGAATATCTCAAGTCCAAATTACATGATGCGCGCTTGAAGTAGCGCCTCAGCTAGCTCGACAAGGTCCCTTAACTTTTTGGTTTGTTTGATGATTTTTATTTAAATCTTAACTGTGTCTGATTAAAAATAATATCGGGGCTAATTTTTTTACTAACCATTTTACCGAATTTCCGCGCTTTCTCCTTACGACTTGATTCTTCGGTTTGTATTCCTCAATTTTCAATTTTCAATTTCTACTTTTCATTTTTGTATATTCCTAAAAATAAGTGATCTTCCTCCTTATTATTCTCTTATCCAAACTTTTGAGCTTGCACCTTCTAAAATTGTACTTTTTGCCCTTTTCTGACCTTCCCCTACTACCGGTGCTACTCTTCAATAACCGCGATTCTACTCAATCTCAAAATTCACAATTATCTCCATTTTTTAAATATGTAGCTTTACTAATCCTGGTGATTAAAATATCAATAATCGACGCAGAAAAAAAGATGAATAGGCGAATGTCTGCCTACATTTTTTATTTCTGTTTTCTTTAAATTGATAGTTCAAAAATTCAAAAATTTCAACATATTTTTTTGCTCCAAAAGTTCATTTTCTTTGTGTATCAAATTTTATTCTGGAAGGATTCTCTCTTGTGTTTCCCCAAAGAAATGTTCAACTTGCAAAGTGAGAGATGATATTCTTTAATATTGTATTCCTGCTCTTTGATATCGGACAAAATAAATTCTTATAAAATATGACCAAGCCTTTCTTCACTCATTTCTTTATGATTTGGGTGATAAAATACGGGCAATCTTTATGCGGGATGGAAGGCAGGGCATTTACTTAGGGCACTCTTCCATGATTTCAAACCGTTCAACCTAAGGCGCACGATTTGCGCGCATGCAATCTTGATTTCCCGATCAACCGTTTGTATTTTTCAAAATTGGTTTGTTCTCGCCACCAAGTGGGCCGCTTCCCTGACTCGAAAGTGACTCGTTTATAAACGGCTGGCCAGGAAAAAAACGCTTCACTCCAGCCTTCGCCGAGATTTTAATATCTCGACAGAACCAGAGCCCTTGAGTTTTTATATTTTTACTAACTGATCATGCGGGAAGTGATCTCCATCCACGTCGGCCAGGTAATAGCGAGAAATACCAGAGATATCCTTAATAAACTCGTCCACACAATATCCTCAACTGTCTCTTCTAGGCCGGTTGCCAGATTGGCAATTCGTGCTGGGAGCTGTACTGCTTGGAGCACGGGATCAACCCCGACGGAACTGTTCCAGAAGGAATGAACAACGAGAATTTCTCGACGTTCTTTTCCGAGACCGGAACGGGCCAGTACGTTCCTCGATCCGTCTTCATGGATCTGGAGTCGTCCGTCATCGGCCAGATCCGTTCAGGAACCTACAAGCAGCTCTTCCACCCCGAGCAGCTCATTACCGGCAAGGTAAGTTTAAATCATGAGAACTGTCGTTAGAATTATTTTCAGGAAGATGCAGCGAACAACTACGCCCGTGGCCACTACACCATCGGCAAGGAGATCATCGACCGGGTCCTGGACCGAATCCGAAAGCTCTCGGATAACTGCACCGGTCTCCAGGGCTTCATGGTCTTCCACTCCTTTGGTGGCGGCACCGGAAGCGGTTTCACCTCGCTTTTAATGGAGCGACTTTCCGTTGACTACGGAAAGAAGGCGAAGTTCCAGTTCGCCGTTTACCCGGCGCCGCAAGTGTCAACTGCCGTGGTCGAGCCCTACAACTCGATCTTGACCACGCATACGACGCTGGAGCACACTGATTGTGCGTTCATGGTCGACAACGAGGCCATCTACGATCTCTGTACGAAGAGGTAACGTTTTCCATTTCGCATGCTAAATCTAACAGTCAATCTTCAGACTCGGCGTCGAGCGGCCATCGTATAGCAACCTGAACCGAATCATTGCTCAGGTTGTCTCCTCGATCACCGCCTCGCTGCGATTTGAAGGATCGCTCAACGTGGATCTTAATGAGTTCCAAACGAACTTGGTTCCGTATCCACGAATCCACTTCCCGTTGGCGACCTACGCGCCGATCATTTCCGCCGAAAAAGCGTTCCACGAGTCGCTTTCAGTCGCGGAATTGACCAACGCTTGCTTCGAACCAGGCGGACAGCTGGTCAAATGCGACCCAAGAACTGGTAAGAGTCTTTCAAATGAGAGTTGTTCGAAATTTTTTAAGGCAAGTACATGTCATGCTGCTTGCTCTACCGCGGCGACGTCGTGCCCAAAGACGCCAACGCCGCCATTGCAGGCATCAAGGCCCGACGATCCGTCCAATTTGTCGACTGGTGTCCAACTGGTTTCAAAGTTGGCATCAATAACGAGGCACCCGCAGTTGTGCCAAACTCGGACCTCGCCAAGGTTCGACGAGCACTCTGCATGCTCTCTAACACGACGGCGATCGCAGACGCCTGGTCGAGATTGAACCACAAGTTCGATCTCATGTACGCGAAGAGAGCCTTCGTCCACTGGTGAGGACTTTAATTTTCCGACCAAAAACTTATATTTTTGAAGGTATGTCGGCGAAGGCATGGAGGAAGGCGAATTCTCCGAAGCCCGAGAGGACCTCGCAGCCTTGGAAAAGGATTACGAGGAAGTTGGAATGGACACCAACGACGCTGAGGGCGAAGAAGAAGACGAAGAATATTAAATTTGTTCGATAAGTTCAACGAATAAACTTCGTATTTTATACACAAGGTCTTATTGATTACAAATGTTTGTTTCATGCAGGGAAATTAGAAGATAATTGAAAATAAATTGTATTGAATTAATCTGGCTGATCAGAGTTTCGCTGAAATTCATTGTTTTTTTAATAGAACACTTTTTAAAGTTGAAACTTTAAAGTTTTGAGAAAGTCTTTTGATTTCCTGAAACGCTGAGCCTAGCTCATTCGCCGCTGACAAATCTGACAAGACTCTCGGAAGTGGCCCATCTCGAGAGCCGCTTCCTTTCGTACTTGCGCGCATTATGCCTTCGTTTATCAACCTTTCCTAACAATTCTGAAATCTAAAAAACCCTAAATCTTCCTCAGCGCTAAACAATCTAAGGGAAACGCGCTCGCGGAAATCCTCGGCGTCTGGACTGCTTAGCTTGGCGCGATTAGAATTTTGAGGTTAGCCCAGTTGTCCGCAACGTTCCATCTAAGAGAGCTTGACCTGGCACGTTGGGGGACTCATTTTCGGGGAGAACAGAACAGTATTTTGTTCAAATAAGATCAACGCTGAAGTGAGCATTTCGAGTCCCAACGTCATCAGTCTCGCACTCAACTTTCAAAGTCTAGTCGACAAACTAGGGAAGAGTTCTGATATGAAAATGATAACTAAGTAAACTTACGTATAAACCCGTCATGTTCGCAAGAAATTTGCCGCAGAAGGCTAGTGGCACTTGGAACGAATTTCGGCTATCTCGAATTATCTTAGGTACTTCTTTTCATCATTTATCGAACTTGAGGTTGCCTCGAACACTGTCTATTGTACACTTTCAGTTGATTTCGTCGTAACTTATGAATCATAATTTATTGAGAAATGATCTTGACTCGTCTGTCTCCTTGTCTGATAAGCCGATTTCTTGTTAGCACTTGGCATTAACTCTCCGAAAAAGTACCTACCCTTTAGCTTTTTTTCAATAGATAATAATTCGTCCCTCAGCCGCAAATAACGGACAGAGCTTAAAAGGATAAAGTACTGTACTGACAGCCAGACGGTCTCAAGCTTCATGGTTCTAACCGACAAAAAGAAAAACTTCGGCGAAATTATCATCCAAGTGCCTCGAAATCGGTTGGTCGTAGTAGTGACGCGCGGCGCTGCAGAGCGATTTTCTCTTTCGCGCGGCAAGTTTTCATGAAAAATAGGTGTACGAATTAAGCACAGTAAGGAAATTTCTTGATCGTTGATACTTTTTTTACAAGAGAGCTTTACGACATTTTGTCATTGACGAAGAACGTGAGAGATGATTTGGCTGATTTTGTTGAGTTCTTCAGCAGGTAGATTTTTTTTGAAAAATAATCCTTTCTGAATAAGGACCTTTTGAAAAATTTTGGAAGATGCTTAATTTTTATGTTCAAAAAAATCATTCAAAACAGCGAGTACGAATGTTATTTATTAATCCCCTTCTGAGCGAAAAATTATTCAGCCATTATTTCTCATTCTAACCATTTTTCTTAGTCATTTAGTCAACGAATAAACCAGAAAATTTTTAGTTTTATATAATTAAGAAAATCATTAATTCCCAGAAAAATGATTTCAAACGTCATGCGCACTAAGTCTAGCAATCCAATATTCTCATAAATTCAATATTCTACGATTGAATAACACATCTGTTATTGAAAAATTCCGCTACGTCAGTAAATTAGACCAAAGTCCACCGCTCCAAGATTAGAACCCGCGGATAAGAATGCAAATTGCATCGCCAGAAAATGAAGAAATTTTCTTCTAAGCTCAGCAGTTACGCTTTAAAATGGCTAAAACATATTGCTAATTTCTGGGAAACATTTTTTGAACTTGTAGGAATTTGACGCTACTAAATCAGGGTTCGGTATTTTGAATTCGTCGAAAAATTCGCCAATACACGCAGCGAATATGCTCTTTTCTTAAGCGAATGAGCGATTGTTCGCGAATCGCCTATTCGGGCGAATATTCGCTCGAAATTGAGCGTACAGCCCTGGATTGGCTGAACTCCAGGGCCGCGGGCGAGAAAAGGGTGGCGCCCGCGAGCTATAAGGTTATTTGGGCGGTGAAAATAAAATTATAGGCTGCGCAACGTCAAAGCCCGACCAATCAGAGCGCGCGGCAAAGCGAATATTTGAGAAATTCGCTGAATTTCTGAAAAATTCTCCGAGAAAATTCGTTTTCATTCGTTTTGCATATTCGCTCATTAGAGAATATTCGTAAACGAATAAATAGAAATTCAAATGAAAAACGAATAATTTTGCGAATTCAAAATACCGAACCCTGTACTAAATACCGGTTTCGCTCGATAATTCTAGTGAGAGAGCGCGGTAGCGATGGTTTTCTGCGAAGATCTAAGAAAAACTTTAAAAATAAATGATAAAAGTGAGCTCTCCTCATTTTAGGTTAGGTTGCCGAGATCATGGGCCCCTTTTCTCCCATAGAAACTTGCGATTCTAAAAAGTGCAATCATCTAATAATAATTTCGGGAAGTCCGGATGAGCTCAATTTGTAAACTGGGTAGAGTTCAACCCTTCCGCAAAATTTTGATTTCGTTGAGCTGGTCGCCTCTATTATCCGTTGCAAATTTCCCAAAAGATGCTTCAACCGAGATTCACCAAAATGTGGTTTTCGAGGAAAACCAACGCTAACACTAAAAACGTCGAAAATGAACGTGGAGAAGTAATTAACGATTTTCAGTTATACATGCTAACCCGTGGAAAAGAATAGAGTGCTGGAGTTGCGACAAAGGAGGTCACGTGCGCGGCAACAATTTCGGCCCAGAAGAGTGCCAGAAATATGGCAAAATGGTGACTTGCAATCCGGGCGAGGTAAGACCAAGCGAAAACAAGCTTTATTACTTGAAATGCTAAAGTTATGAATAGCGCGTGCGATTTTCTCAAATCTCAAAATGCAAATTGCAAAAATTCAATCTCCGAGTTTCGAATTTAGAGCCACCCAAACTCGGAATAAATTCAATTTCGAAAAGGTGTCGCTCAGATAACTCCCCGACAAAAATGACTTGTCTACTTGTCAAAAAATGTTCTCCGAGAAAAACTCCTTTCAAAAAACGTTACGATCCTGATGATAACCATCATCAAAGCTTTTTTAAAAAAAGTGAAAACAGGTTCATTCCACAACAAAAGCTTTGAATTCCGAATGGATTCCACGTACCACTTTTTCGGTCGAGCCTTCCTAGAATATGAATTTGCGGCAATTTTTTTTTCAGTGAAAAATATAAATTGTACCACTTTTGGAAATGAAAATGTATACAAATTGCCCTCACGTTTTTAAATTCCCCGATGTACGGTATCTTCTCAGCCCTCAAGCACCAAACCCTTTAAACCAAAATAATGACCCAATCTTTATTTATCGCCGAACTGCGCACAAGCTTAGTCTGGTACCGCGAAAAGGAATTCGTTGCATCATCGTGCTCCGTTATCACTTGAAGCACCTCTCGGCGGCTGATCAAACTCGACCGCTTCTTGAGGATATAAAAATGCTCGTGCCAAATACTCTCTTTAGGCATTTCAAGGAAAAAACGTGGACGAAGGGGTTTTTGTCCGTTGATGAGCCATTTTACTGATCAAATAAAAACAAACTCCGCACATTTCAAAACCGCGAGTTTTAGAACTTACAAAACTTCTGGCTTTTGTAAATTTTCTCAGCTCGATCTGCGGGTCACATGATAAGGCGGCCAAGCTCCTTCTCGCTGTGCTAGAATTCGCTAATCCGATGGTTCACATTTCCTTGAATCGAACGTTGATATAACTGGGAGGAATTTTCCTCCCTTCCTTTACAAGCCGCAGCTAATTTTATTTTAGATTTGCGCCGCCGAGATCAGATTTGAGCAGCCAGACTTTGAAGGCAACTTTAAAAGCATACGGGAATGGAGAGGATGCAAACAAAGAAAAGGGATGATAAAAATGTTTTCAGAGAGCAAAATACCTATATTTGATTAAAGAATTTCAAAGTCGGGTAGACAGAATTTATCAATCTCTCGTGTAGACAAGCGTGTTTTGGACAGCTCAACCTCAACAGCGACCATTGTTACCAGCAAAATATCAGAAATCCTCTTCTGTGCGCCACTTGCTGCGATAAGAAAACGGGTTTCGGCAATCAGCGACTTAGGCACTACATATTAGCGTGCCTGTAAGTTCGAAAATCGAAACCCAATCATAGCCCGGCTGCAACTTTATCAAGCCGATTGAGCAGCAAATTGCAGAAGCGGAACAAAGAATCCTCGAGAATCCTGGATCGGCGGATACGGAAGAAGTCGAGTGCGTTTTCAAACTGAAATTTAATTTGAACATGTTTTTCTCGATTTTTGACGAAAATGACGACAACCAGGTCGACACGGCGGAAATTTTGCAGTTTGGGAAAAATCGAAACATGATTGGAATGTTAAATCTCGCTGGTATCTTACTTGGGAAGGGTGGAATCAAGGATTATTCTAGCGTACGTGGTAACGCTTTACAGGAAATGGTGTGAGAAATCAGAGATCGCGCGTTGTACTCCTTAACAAAAATGTAATTGAGATAAATTATATCTCAGCCATTGAAAAGGGAGCAAATCAAAAGAATTCGAAAAGGCCTCTACAACATATTTTTATTCGATGTTCCAAAGATTCGATACAAACGGAAATCTGGAACTCAGCAACCATGAATACTCAAATCTGCTGAAGACTTACGCCGATGATTTTCTAAAAACTTGGACGAAAGAGCATCGAGATGTGAAACAAATGGCTTGGCAGATGAAAGCAGCAAAGCCATTTTCGTACAAGTTCTGCGACTTTGTGAAAAATTACGTCGAGCAGTTTATGCTCCAAGGAGAGACAATTCAATGCTCGAGTTTTGAGGAGTCCTTGATGGAAAAGGGGTACTATTCGACGGTCGAAAAGTGGAAGTGTTCGGACGAAGAGCATCTGCTTGCCTCTGGAAAATACCAATTCCAGGCGATCTGCGCTATTGAAAAGTGTAAACCAGGTCTTGTCATCTCTGGAAAACCATCGAAATGCCTGGCAACCGGGCAATGGTCCGCTGGAGAAGCATGTGTTCTGCCAACCTGTTCAGAAATGGTGCCCGATGCTTCAAAAGGACAACTTGGTTACATTTGCCACGATTCAGAAGATAACCGCATTGATTTTAAAGGAGAAAAGGCCATTGGCGACACCTGCAAAGTTGTTTGCAAGATGGGATTCCAGAACAAGTTCGCGAAGGGGATGAAGTGTGGAGATGACGGTGGATGGAAAGGCATGGCGCAGAAATGCGAAGAAATGTCAGAAGAAATGATGAGGACGGACAAAAACAGAACAAATAAAGAGATGCTTGAATTGCTACTGATTGGTCCCACTAAGTCACCATACCGTCAACTGACAACGAAGAAGACCACAACCAAGAAAACAGCAACAAGTACTACCACAACAACTACGACAACATCTTCAACGACAACAACAACGACTACTACAACAACAACCACCACATCAACAACTTCGACAACGACAACTACAACAACGACAACAACTTCAACAACGACAACCACGACAGCTACGACTACTAGTACAACAACAACAACTACTACAACTACTTCGACAACAACTACGACAACACCGACGACAACAACGACGACAACAACTACTACTACAACAACTACGACATCAACAACAACTACGACATCAACAACAACAACAACAACAACTACAACATCGACCACAACTACCAGCACAACGACTACAACAACCACAACAACAACGAAGTCAACAACCCCAGCACCAAAAGAATGCTCTCCGATAAAACTCCCATTGAACGGGAAGGAGTTCTCGTGTGACTCAAGGTTTATTTTCAAAAATATTGCAATTTAATTTTAAGGATATAGCCTTGAATATTGAACTTTCGTAGCCCCGAATCCCTGTTACGAATTAATTCATTTTCAAATTACCCTACCTAAAATTCATCGTTGATTTCGAAAATGACATTATTTTCAGTACTTTCTAGGCTGTTAGTACCTAAAAATCGACTTTTAAATAATATAGACCGTCGTTCTCTGAAAAATTCCATTAAAAAGGTAAATCTGGATTGATGATATGAAAGACTGAAGCCTTATCTCCAATCTAGCGGTGGATTTTGTAAAAATATTGAAGATTACGGCTTCTAGTTACTGGTTTATGATTGTACTTGGTAATGGAGAGTGGCGCGCGCTGCCAATCAGAGCGAGGGGAGAATCTCAGTAAGATTTCGTTCAAGCTGTCGACAAAATTTCTCGTGTAAAATCGGATGAGCGATGGCTGAGTGAGATTTTCCCCTCGCTCTCATTGGCTGCGCGCGCCACTCTCCTTCTCGAAGTACAGTCAAAAACCAGTTCCTAGAAGCCGTGATCTTCAATATTTTTACAAAATCCACCGCTAGATTGGAGATAAGGCTTCAATCTTTCATATTATCAATCCAGATTTACCTTTTTAATGGAAATTTTCAGAGAACGACGGTCTGTTTTATTTTGAAGTCGATTTTTAGGTACAAACACCATAGAAAGTAATAAAAATAAGGGTTTCTTCGAATTCTACGCTGGATTTTAGGTAGGGTTTCTTTGAAAATGAATAAATTCGTAACAGGGATTCGGCGCTACGAAAGTTCAATATTCAAGGCTATATCCTTAAACAAGTTGACTTAATTTTTGTAGGTTTTCTCTGAATAGAAAATGCTCCTTAGTATGTAATGAAAAGTATGAGCCAGTCGGCGAGCCCCAATCGTGCTCACCAGACACGGGCGAATGGAGTGGCAACGCTCAGCTGTGCAAATTAACCGGCTGTGGTGATTTACCGAGAAAAATTGACGAAATGACCAACGGTTACACTTGCACCGACTCTAATCGTCTTATTTCTCAATGCCGGTTACGTTGCCGCGCAGGTTATCGTCACAATAATGGAAAGCTTGCACAATGCCGAAAAGACGGCACTTGGGATTTAGGCACTCAGGAGTGCGAAAAGATACCAGAGTGTCCTCTCAATATTGAAATACAGGGCGATGGAATTACTTTCTGCAATGGCAATAAGCCGGGTTCTACTTGCGATGTTGATTGCCCGTTCGGATTCGCTTTGGAAGGCGATTCGACCCTGACGTGCTCTTCCGAGGGAAACTGGATTGGGAATGCAACATGCATCGAACCATGGTGTGATCCTCTTGGTATATTTCAGCCCTTAAAATGGAGATAATTGGTTTTTATAGATGTTGAAAACGCGAAGATTAACTGTCTTGATGATTACGCCCAGCTTGGTACCCGCTGTCGAGCCACTTGCGATAGTGGATATCGCTTCCGAAACGACGTTAAAGCGAACCTTTATACAGTAACAAGATTGTAAACTTTCTTTTGAGATAAGCAAATTTTCTAGTGCGGTGAAGAGCGTACTTGGGAGCCGCGACCGAGACCCTGCCAGCCCATTTACTGTAATTCAAAGGACCTTTATTCTATTTTAGAAGGGGATTCAAACCTTCTGACTAATTGCACAAAGGAAGAAGAAGTCAATGATGGAGGTAAGTGCGAAATTTCTTGTTCAGGTGGGTCTCGACTCGAAGGACCTAAAGAGGTCACGTGTTCTGACGGAGCTTGGCTCGAGCTTGATTTCATGAAACCGAAGTGCTTGGCTCCAACTTGTCCAGATCTTACGTGAGTATTTTCACCTTCGGAATCAAGGAAGAGAATCGATTTTTCAGAGATCAAACAAAAATCTCCAAAACCACGTGCGGAGCGCTAGACAATGGGCGCGTCAAAATCGGCGAACAGTGCGAAACAACCTGTATTGACGGATTTGAAGTAATCGGCCCGTCATCCGTTACGTGTAACGAATTTGGTGATTATGATGGCGATTTGGGTCGTTGCCAGAAAGAATCGAACAAAAAGTGTAAGGAGGCTGAGTTCTCGCCGAACGCGGACTTCTTAAGCGATCCAACTTGTGTTGGAGAAAAGGTATTCTTTACAAACGGATAATATGAACTTTCAAATTTCTGGCAAAGAGTCAAGTCTAAAAATTGAGTTTTAGAACGGCGCCTGCGTCGCTTACCGTTTCCAATGTCAGGAAGACGGGAAAAAGCGCCAGCTCTCCTGTAAGAGGAGGCTGGACCATGAATCCAAAGAAGCTTTGCGTCAAATAATCAACTCTATGCATATACAAAACCAATATTTATATCAGCAGTGCCGCGTACAACCTCAAAAGGAAAAATAACATGCGCTTATTCTTCAACCCGCTTTAGGGAAAGCTGTACATAAACAGATGACATACTGTATCACCGATACATGATGATCTTATTTATCTGTAAATAAACATATTTATCACTGCATTGTCTAACTTTCGAGCAACAGGAAAACTGAAAAAAGTCCATTTCCGTCTTTTTCTTGGACGAAATGGAACGGGAAAGATGGAATTTCAGAATAATATCCATACAGTTATCGGCAGCAATCATTTAATTAAGTCTTTCGGGCCTTTAGTTTCGGGCTTAGGTCAATAAGTTCACGTTCAGAGACAACTAAACCACGTTGAGATTAAAATGCTGCTAAGTAAAAGTATTTTATCGAAACAGTAAGCGGGTAGGATCGGATAGGGAATGTCCAGACTGTCCATTGTTATAAAAGAAACAAAATTCTGTTTGACTTGTGACTCGCCAAGTGCAATGTTTAACGGAGATAAATAATCGACTAACGGTGGAGGATCTCTGCACCGTGCTCCATCCCTACCGTGTTATGCCACTGAGTAAATCAAGCAAAACGAAAAAAGAGAAGCAAGAGGTGAGAGTTTTATGGCGCGCTTTGTGATGGGAGTTTCTTAAAGATTGCGACTTCTTCGTGTAATAAAGCTGGATTCTTTACGTTTGATTCAAATTCATATATATTTGAATAGTCCAATTAAATGTTTAGATTTTAAATCAAGCCGAATAATTACGATAATATCGTATAAAGTGGCGATTATAATCGAATCTTATATAGAAAATCAAAAGATAAAGGAAGAAAAAGATCAAGGATAGCCGATTTATCAGTAGTTGATGTTCAAACATCGAAACCACAATTACTAACGATTGAATTTCAGTGGAATCTAGATTCTGTCTGGACAGCTGACAGTGACGACGAGCCAGATTATATGTCCCCTCCCTTGCGATCAAAAGCGCACAGTACTTTCTACGAAGAAGCCCTCGTCCGCAACTCAACAATGGACCTCCGAGAGGCCGATCCAACCCTCGCCAATTTGGAGCTGATTCAAGCGGTGAAAAATGGCGATCACAAAAGTGTAGCAAAAGCGTTGAGCAAAGACGCAGACCCAGATAGTACGTCAGAAGAAAGCTCGGATGTTTTCACCATGTGCCATATTGCGGCAAAAGATGGACACAGCATTTCATTGAGCACGTTGATCAGCAACGGTGCGAATTTTCGGGCGAAGACGTTACATGGATGGGAGCCCTTGCATTTGGCTGCTTATCATGGCAAACAAGGTATAGTCGGCAAAGGTCGATTTTGTTGGAATTGATATCATTTTGATTCAAAATTTATGAATACGTATTTTTCCTGTTGATAATAAGCGTCGACGCCCAAATTATTTCTCCCGCCCTTATCGATAAAATCGTGAATGAGGACATCAAATTTGAAAAAAATAAAGAGTGGACATATATGATTATCATGATACGGATATTTCCATCACATTCATATATCATATTTTTAGATTGTATCAGAATTCTACTCACCGCAAACGCAGATATAGACGCCCTTAACAAATATGGCCAGACGCCGTTGATGATGGCCGTCGGAGAGGACCATAAAGATTGCGCTAGAATATTGCTCGAGCATGGCGCCGACGAGACGATAAAAACGAAGAAAGGAAAGATTGCGCTCGATCTTTGCAAATCGAAGAAAATGAAGATGATTCTGGTAATTGGACAACTTATTATTAAAGAATATCTCTCTTAGAAATCCAAAGGTGACCCGGAGAGCCTCTCTGGAAAAGCGCATCTGTCGTTTATAAAGGATCAATTGGAGCAAATCGGTGTGCAGCTTGAAACTGAAGGAATGTGGTGAACTAATTAGAAGGCCATTTTCAATTTATTATCGCGTAAATAGGGATAAGAGGCTCATACTACGACGTATTAATATTGTACTACGACATCGAGTTCCACCATAAAATTGTTACATATGTTTTACAGAATAATCCCCGATGATTGTATCGTTTTATGATTCGGATCAATGTTAACTCTCCGTAAATATAAACGAGCATATACTATGAACATAAATAGCGACTTTGATCGCCGGTAAATCTTTTTTGATAATTACTGATCATATTTCTTAGGGTTAGCGTTGCGGTACTAGGGTCATAAATGTACTTGATAAACCACCAAAAACAAAAAAATCATCACAAAACAAAGGGAATCGATACAGTAAGCTCGAAGCAGAGAACAATTCGCTCCGTAAAGAATTGGAAATGACTCGGCTTGAGCGGGACGCTGTCAACAAAAGTTTGAACGTAATTGCCTCGAGGATCTTAATTGTCCTTCTTTACTAGGATTTCAATCTTTCAAATTGTTATCACATAGGCCATACTCGAGGAGCGTGATACAATTCAAAACGAAAATCAGCGGCTGACGAGCGAGTGGAATAAAGTAGCCAAGGAAGCGAAGGTGGAGAAGGAACATAGATCGGGATGAGAATCCTTAGCTAAAAATAGCAGCACGTTTCCATACACGTTTAAATTCACAAGGATTACATAAGCATCTGATCCCTTTATACGGAGCACTTGGAAGCAAGAAACCAAGAATTAGAAGCAGAAGTTTTGAAGCTCGAGGAGAACGTCAATACTCTCATTGAAGAACATACAGTCGAGCGAGAAGCAAGGTATCTTTATTTCAAAAGAATTTTCATTCTTTATTTAAATAAAAGATAACATTCTATCATTTTTAATAAAGACATCAATTTTAATTTCTTTATCTTTTTTCAGTGCTAAGAAGCTTGCGATGCTATCATCTAATTTCCAACAAATAATGACTGAAGCCAGGTGAGATAAAGGACAAATTAAATCCTGCATTTTATAGACCTATCGAAATATAAATTTAAGTACTGAGGGCGAGACGGACTCCGATAAGCTGCGCAAGATCCACGAAGACACTGAAAAACGAAAGCTGCGTCGATCAAATACTGTCAATTCTCTTCAAAGCTCTGGGTCAAAATCTTTTTCTTGACAAGTTAACTTCATGTCTGCACTAAAAATCTCGAATAAAAGCTTGCACTGAACTCGAAGCTACCATGACCAGAGGCCTTGAAGAGGCAGTTGATCCCTTCGGCCGTCACGGATAAACATAAACAGCGCGTTTTTGAAATTCCTCAAGTCAAACATTACGAACTTGTCGGGAGGTCCTCAGCGTGAAAGTTACGCCCCAACACCGCCCGGAGAGGATTTTTTTTTATTGGCATTGAACCAATTCTCTAACCCTTTGAAGAAATAATGACGTCTTAACAAGTCTTCAGAGATATCCAGAATCAGAGATTTTATATAAAAAAAGAAATAAAAGCAGAAAACTCAGAGCTAAACATCAAGTCAATTCGAGAAACTTCCCTCATACAGTCGTCCAAACAAAGAAAAATGACTAAGTCATTAAGCGAGCAGTTCAACGAAAAACTTGATGAGCTGGGCCACTTTGGACCTTTTCAGGTGCTCCCAACAATGGCGCTAGAAAATAAGTCGTATTCAGATCAAAACATTTCTTCTATTAGCGTTGTCCACCATTCCATGTGGCTGGCATGCTTACTCGCAGACGATTCTATCGTATGAACCAACGTATGTTTGTAATTCTGCTAAAAGATTTATTGCAGAAGATCTTGCGGAGAATATTTCGTACGATGAGTACTACGATTTATTTGCTCCTGCGAGGGAAGAGTTTATCCAATAAAAATTATCCCTGACGCGAATAATATATAAAATAAATCATTATTTCAATGTCAAAAGCGTAGAGTAAGCTCTAATAAAGTTATAACATTACAACAAATAACGCACAGGTATTTTAACTAGTTTTTACTTTGACTTGATGCTATTCGTAAATTACTCTTTTCACAACTAAACGCGAGTCTAGTGTAAACGATTCAATTATGGCGATGAGACATTCGAAAATAAAGATGACGTACACCAATTTCACCTCGGTAGAAATATCGAAATTAACCGTTTTCATTTGAATTTTTAGAAAATCTTCATAATCTAGTCGACTGTGAGCCTGACGATGATTTTTGGTTCAATACTTCTGATACCATCTCAGGTACTTTTTCTTAATCAAAAATAGATACAGAATCATATTCGTAAGATCTGATCTGGAGCTAAAAATCGGTTCTCTTTCATACTTCATGAATCAGCAGCATTCATGAATTTATATAAGGAATTGTGGCAATAGTAACTAACTTTTCAGCGACAACTGAGTGGCAAACAATTTGCTCAAAACAATGGCAGCAAGATTTCGATACCCAATCATTTATGCTTGGAAAACTCGCCGGTGCTTTCATCTTTGGAGCTATGTCCGATGCCGTGGGTCGATTCAAGACATACTTCATCTCTTTAGTTCTTCAGCTCGCCACTGGAATACTCATCGCCATTGCTCCGAATGTGCTTGTTTACTCAATCGCTCGTTTCGCAGAAGGTTAGGTGCTTTTACTCAGTAGTCATGAAACTTTCATGTTGTCGGAAACTATCATTTCCACTTGACATTGTTTCTTGAGTAAGGGACTTACCCGTAATCCTTCTTTGATAGGTGCGGCTTGCTCAGGAGTCTACCTATGCGCATATGTGCTGGCCTTGGAATTTATCGGTCCGGATAAAAGAACAACGCCTGGATTGATCTACCACATGTTCTATGCTATCGGATATTCTCTACTTGCTCCTATCGGCAATTATATCAAGGATTTTAGGACTGTTAGTTGGGTTCTAGCCATTCCAAGGTATTTATTTCTACATAGTTTTTCTTCAAATTTTCTAGTGCTTTCGCTCTTCCACTGTACTTTATAATCGACGAATCAGTCCAATGGCTTCTAGGAAAACGGAGGATTGATGATGCGGAAAAGATCGTTCTCAAAGCCGCTGATGGAAATAAAAAAGTCCTCGAGAAGCCAGTTTTTGTTGATGATAAAGAAGACAAAGAAGGGGATGAGAAGAATAAGGGTCAATGTGCTGCATTTGCGGATATGTTTGTTGATGTAGGGAAGGAACGAGTTTGAATATACAAGAAGTTGATTTTGAGGGACAATGTTACATAAGTTATGTAACATACGTAATTCAATAAAATTGGCCCTAATTTTTATGAAGTTGAAAATTGAGAACATTAACGATAAATTATCGGTGATTATTCAAAAATTAAACTCGATCAAAGGTGTTTTCTGGTCCTTATCCGAAATTACGCCGCCGAATTCTTTCCCTGTTTCTGATCTGGCCCATCAACTCCGGGAGCTATTATGGAATCACGCTCAATGCAAAGAATTTGAGTGGAAACTTCTACCTGAATCTTTTAATTTCTGGTCTTACCGAGATTCCGGCTATCTTGTTTGTCATTTTTTCGATTTCAAAATGGGATATTGGCCGCAAAAAGATCTTGATGTTTACGTACGCTCTTTGTGCTGGTCTTATGGGACTGATTGCAGTCATTCAGGTGAGTTGATCGATTACAGTAGATCGACGATTTGGAAAGGCTGGAAGGTCAATAAAGATTGTTTTTTTTATTCTCATTGTAATGGAAAATTCGCGTCATCAATGATGTGTTAACAAGATTTATTCAGTCTGTTGTACACTGTACACTGTACAGTGTACAGATTCTGTCATCCGTAGTTATCCTTATAATTAATTCAGGCCTTCCATCTCGACGGTGATGGAAATATGTGGTCGATTCTCGTCATCATACCTGCTATGGGCGGCAAATTTGCCATTTCAGGAGCGTATGCGGTCATCTATCTCTTCTCTACTGAACAAGTGCGTATTCTGAGCTTTACAAACTAAATTTTAATGCTTAGGTTCCAACGGTCGTTAAAAACTCATGCCTGGGAGTTTGTTCGATTTGCGCTCGATTTGGAGGACTTCTCTGTCCATACATCATCTCTCTGGCGAATTACTGGAAACCCTTGCCGCTCATCATTTTCGCTAGTGTTTGTGAGTAAACCAGAATTACACTGTTAACTCTAGGAACGCGTTGACGCTGACAGATTAACGAGACAGATACTGACACTTTTTAAAGCTGTTGTTGCGTTCGTGTTAATGATCCCGCTCCCAGAAACTCACAAGAAAGTTTTACCACAAACGCTTGAAGAAGCAGAAAGTTTTGGGTTTTCATAAATTATTAATTCGAAAGTAAATTAATAATTTTCAACCCTTTGACAGGTTCGGTGAAGAAGAAATCGCTGATGACGAGAATGTGCCTCTCAAATCATAAATTGATTAAGAACATGAACAATAAATTAGAGCGATTTTCTGTATTCCTTGTTACTTTCGATTTCCGATGGTGGTTTATTCGTTTTTGATGAATAAGGAGTTACACTCGAGCTCATCGTTCAATTTGTCTCGATACATTCACTTCCCTGAAGGAGAAGGTGTTTTCAACAAATTTTTGTATCAAATAACGCCGAATACTTGATATCGCCGTAAATCGTCGTCACAACAGGTGACCAGGCGGATGGAAAGGCTGGATTGAATGTCAAAAGTGCTGGTGATTTGGGTTGAAACTTGCTGATTTGCCTAAATCCCCGGAACGCTTATGAGTATGGTCACGTGGGAAATTTAGGATTTTTAAGGATGATCTTGGAAGACAAAAAGGATGATTTAACTAATTGATTAACTATTTTTAACTTTACAATTGCTGTCTAAATCCTATAAGTCGCCCGAAATCTTTTAACCTTTGAGTCATAATTTACAACTTTAAGTCCAACTTTAAGAGACAAGAAACATCCTAAAAGAAAATTCTCCTTCTGAATGCGCTCAATCTGCCAAGAAAGAAAAACATCCAAAATTGTATGCTGAATAATTATATATTTAAATAACAGTTAGACTGTGCGCAGTGTAGAAAAGAGAAGAATTATGAACAGTATTTGAATAGAAGGTAAAAGACAGAATAACAGGTCTAATGAAATTTTGAAGATCGAACTAAACCGGATTCGTTTCCTCGGAATCGTTTTCCATTTTCTTCGAGTTTTTTTTTCTCGGCGATAGGTTTTTTCAGCGAGCACACCAAAGCTTACAGTACGGACATCATCTTTTTTTTTACTGTAGCGCGGAATTTGGTCGACCAAGCGAGGTTTTCATTTAGCTTTTCGCGGAGAATTTATCTTCGGCATTTTGTGTTCGCTCTAACACAGGCGTTCACCCTTTCTCTTCGGTAAAAACCATATTTCTGCTCGCATTTTCGATAAATTCGGACGAGGGTGGGACGGTCGTAGTTGCACGTTCTCGCAAAGTACTTGAAAACATCAATTTCTGGAGTGATTATGCTTCGTCTCGCAACTCTTGCTTGTCTGTGGAGCACAGTTTCTTCGCTCTCTCTGTTCTCCATGTATTTTTCTAGGCTGTTTTCGTCCAACGAGACTGGACGTAGATATGGCTTCATAACAGACATCGACTGGGCCAACGTGGCGAGGAAAATGAGAGTAAATCTTGCTTGGAGCATTTTATATAGCTTTTTGTTTTTAATAATTTGAGTTATTCAAGTTTGTCTTGTTCCGAAGACTGTTGAGGTGTCGATTCGAAGAGGCGCTTTTATTCTCCGCTCAACTGGGGCCAGGCTCGCCGAGCGCCCTCTCGGAGAAAACGAAAAACCGAAAGATGAGATGAGGACAATCGGTAGTCAAAAATCTCAATTTCATTCATAAATCTTTATTCTTTTACTTATGTGGCTAGAACTATTAATGCTAGACAACATGCAGGTCTTTTTATATGAAATTATGGTCATATGACTGAGCAATTTTCGGAGAAAGCATCATATGAGAGTACTTATCTACGATGACGTAAAAACCTTTCTCTGAACTCAACCTCATTTTTCTTGAGAAATTTCACAATATTGTTGACTTCTTTCTTCGTTCACAAGATAGACAGCGACTGAAAAAAATATTATCTACCAATGTCGTTGTCTAGCAGACAGCCACTGCGGTAAATGAAAGTATTTGTCGTCCTTAAATATCCCAAAGATCAACAGATTATGATCAATTCCAGGAAACTGTTACTAAGAAATTTTTGAAGACCAAATAAATACGAAGATAAACAGCTAGCTTGACTTTTTGCTTGAGACTTACTGACCTTTTCCGGTTACATAAGAGCCTGGTCATAAAAATTTTCCGTATTTTTTCAACTGTTCTAAAGCTGGTCATTTAAAATTGGATTTTGCTTACAAAAGATTCTATTTGAAATCAAGGAGGAGATTTTTGAAGAAGAATTTCACGTCTGCCTCCATGGAAAGGACTAAATTGACTCAATTGATATCTTACAAAAGATGAGAAAATAGGTCAATACCATTGAGCCCTCTTCAGACGAGGAGATATCGAGCTATGCCTTTGCGATTTAATATTCACGCTTCCTCGAAAATATTTGGATATTACGTGATTTTGCGTGATGAGTGCGAAACATATTTATCCACGTTATTTGCACCTGTTCCTACAACAAACGGAGATTATACGAAACTTATAATTTTAGCCCATTTTTGTGGAGAATAACGCTATTTGATAACGAAGCGTGGATATGGAAATAACGGAGGGACGCTTTCAAAAGAAAATTTTCGCCTCAGGTTTCGGCGAACGTCTATCCTAGCGGAGGGGACGTTCAGCGTGAATGTGCGTAAAAGAAAATTGAAACGACACGTTGGTTAAGACGCACTAATGCCTGTTTCTCTCGTGCCTCTGGACATGAGTCTACATGATGTAACTTACTGTTTCGAAAGTTCATTATCTAACACTGTTGAAAATGTATTTTAGAGGTCCCTCTCGCCAGTTTTTTTATTAATTGTGCATATGTAGTTATGGTAATAATCGTTTATTCAATCTTAAATGCTCACCGAAGCATAAATGTACATTCTTATAAAAATCCAAATTATTTTCGGACTAGCATCGTGTAGCATATTTTATTACACCGGAAGTATACAATTAGCCCGGGTCTCAGACCCGGAATTAGTTTCAAAAGTGACGCCCGGGTCTCAGACCCGGAATACCCCCTCAGAAGTGACGCCCGGGTCCAATACCCAGGATTCCCCTAAAAAAGACCCTGACCCTACTTTTGTTGATTGATTCTTTTAAAATAAGCTCAAATCTAAGTGACCCTGACCACGGGGCTCCGCCCCTTAGGTCCTAAAATGCCGGGGTCTAGTCTAGGGTTACTTAGGGTTACCTTCAGTAACCCTAACTAACCCTAGCCTATCCCCCTCGGGTGAGTTGGTTCCGTCATTTTGCGAGGTGCCCCCTAACCCTAACCTTAAAAAATAGAAAGTACTTTCAGCTAGAATTAATTCTCATCAGCTAAAGTCTTTTTGAGAGCAGATAGAGGCTGCTTTCTGATTTTTGGACCCGGGCGTCACTTCTGAAGGGGTATTCCGGGTCTGATACCCGGGCGTCACTTTTGAAACGAATCCCGGGTCTGAGACCCGGACTAATTGCATCCTTCCATTACATCGTCACGCATAATCATTTGTAATAATGTGCTATAGTTTTTTTCTTTCCAATTCAATAAATTTCCAGCAATAAGCAAGTTTTTTCAAAGACGTTATTACATGTCTTTTTCGGAGACACAAAATGTCATAAACAACAGCAGCAGGGTCCGTAAAGACCCCCTATGCGTAAGTTGTCTAGTTTGACTTTTTAAAATCTGCCTTTCATTCAAAATAATCCTTGAGAAAACCGTGTCATCATCTTTCAAAAAATACCGTCTTTCCGACTTACTCGCTCTGACTCGATTTTAACTGGACATTCCAATATCGTTTATCGGTAATTTGAGGGCTAAATAATGTGTTTATCTATAATTTTTAAATAAATTTAGGCGAGAAACGCGATGACAAGATTCTCCGTCATTTTGCGATCTGCCCGGCTCTCCTGCGGTTAGTCCGACATGTACCGTGTCCTCTGCCACATGATGCCAAGCCTATATACGCTAGTCCTCTGAGTTGTAATCACATCACATCACAAGCTCAATCAATAATAATCCACTAATTGGCTAGGCAGTAATAATTGAGAATTAACGCCCGTGGCAATGGGAAAATGGTGCTTTTATCTCAAGCACCAAGGCTTGGAGTCATCACTGACCTCAGATCGTGCCCGAGGCAGTTGCGAACACCAGCGGGCCAATGGTGGTGGAGGAAAGTACTTGGGCGTCGCTGCGGAGGAGGCAGTCGGACCACCTTCTGCACCACCACCGCCACGCAGCAGCTCAGAACATAGCCCCCTGCGCATCTCATTTTTATAGAGACCCTTTTGTATATCAGAGAAACGGAAATGAAGCTCGCCCTTTCTACTTCTTTCTTCGCATCCGTCCTTGGACAGGCCCCTGGAGGAGCTGCCCAGTATCTTTACTGTATCAATGGTAAGATTTAGAAACATCACGTGGGAAAAATTCTCCCTGAGAAATTCCAAAAAATATTTTCTTTAATTTTTCTTAAAAATATTTTCAGCGAATAACCACGGTTCTAACCCTCGTATGCTTCCCAACAACATGTGCTGCCCATTCTATGAGCAAGCCGGTATCAAGGGCAAGCCATACCATTCTGCCGTCCACGGATGCTGTGGAACTGCTCTTTATGATCTGACTACTCAGGATTGCTGCCCAGAAGCTGAAGTTATCATGGAGAAGGTAAAATAGAGAAAGACCAAGGCGTGCTCTAAATTGTTATTTAGGGAACTCGACCATCTGCCCCAACAGGTTTCTTCGGCTCGGCTCAAGTTATCGGAGGCGAGAGCACCATTCTTCTCATGTGGGATGAAGCCGTCTCTGGAAGCTCATACTACCTGGATGTTCGATCTATGAAGCTCAACGGCGAAGAAGGTAATTTACCATCTGCTGAGCATTTTTGAATTTCGATACAAATTTTTAGTGAAATATTTCTAAATCATGATTTTAGTCGAAATCGAAAAGCCATTCGGAACTGGTACTCTTGACAGTCACTTTGCTTCCCTCAGCAATGTCGTCTCCGGAGTCGAGTACGAATTCGAAGTTTCCACCATCAACTGCCTCGGAGACATCTCCAGCAGCTCCAAGTTCTCCGTCACCGCCTAAGCAAATCGCCCTAACTGTATCTTTGTTACAATTTGCCCTTGAATTTCGCCGCTGAGGAGACTTTTCAAAGTTGCCTTGAGAGATTCTATTTTCGATTTTCCTAAGCCGCACCGTACAGTTTCCGGAGAACCTGAAAAGCAGTGGTTGTTTCAGTTTCTCCTCCTCACTTCTTTCTGCGCATGTATATTTATCTCCCATGAACAAATATTTATAAATAAAAAGATTGAAATCGAATGATTATGGTTGGACTCAGGGGCTCGTGGAAGCCGCAAGAGCTCTAAATATATTTTTGATAAGGAGAAACACGTTGTTTTCAGGTGGCAAAAGATGGAAAGTTTTATTAGCTTGGGCGAATAAGAGAATGATTGATTGATTTACTTGATGAAAATATAAAAATGTAATTTTCTGCCTGATGAATTCAGTGAAACTTTCACTTTGAAAGCTTTTCGAAATACTGACAAAACTGAATAGCTAATCTACTGTAGATTGAAATCATTCATCTTATTTTGATAATTTTGTGCTATTTTTCAAAGAAAATTTATTATGCAGAGTCATTTTAATGCAGGGTAGATTTTGTGGTGGCATCGAAAGTGTTATCTGAGCGCGCTCTATTCTTTTGAATGAGGAAGTTCTCGAATTTCTATTTTGCCAGGCGTCTGTCCACCTGGAAAAGCTGATGCAGATCATCAATAAAGCAGAAGAAGCAATTATGAAACCGCCGATATGAAATTTTTGCTTCCTATTCTTGCGTCTTGCCAGATTTTCTTCGGCTACGATCATAGAGACTATGGCGTGTCCAGTAGAAGATACAGAGATACTGAAGGATCTGGAGAAGAACCTGGTGACAGTACGATCGATTCTTGCTGCAGTAGTTTTTCAAATCGAGATCCGATTTATGTTTTTGAGGGAGAAGCGACGACAAAGCCGGAATTTCCAGTTATTGCTTCATTAGCCTGTTTATGCGAAGAATTCATTCTTTCAGGAAATCGAGCTTGATCGACTGCTCATAGTTAAGGTTAGGTTTAGGGCGCTAATCGTATACTCCCTTCCCAACGATTTTTTAGAAACTCGTAAAACCTCCCCACAATCCAAGATCTTTCCAAAAAGACAATCCTTAAAATGCCCCATTATTTCTATCAAATTCTACCAACTCAGCCCTTTAGCTCGCCGTAAACGACGCTCATCTCGAGCCACTCTACGTCCATGACGTTGAAATCGGATAACACTCACCGATATTATTTCTAAAAATACGCCTCCAAGGCTTGTTTCCACAATTTGAATTCATTGTAGAAAATAGGCGAGCGTGTTGCTATTTTAAGCTCGTTACAGTTAAATTTCTGGCAAAGAGCACTGGATTGATACTGTCACTGGAAAACGAAGACGAGAATTTGATCGAAATAGCTCAATCTGGGTCGAAAACGATCACTGTTTCGACTGGCTCTAGCTATGGAATATCTCAGACTTCTTCCTCCGTTACCTCCGGAGAAGAAATTTCCATCGAAATATTTCTCGAGACCAATATCAACAACGACCCAGAACTGTCTGTTTATCTCGGTGGAGCTAGAATTATAAAACTGGAGACGATAGAACTCCTTGCTTTTCAAAATATACGATTTGCCACTTCTGCTTCTTCTCCAGGCCCGGGGAAATGAAAATCATTAGTTCCAGCAATTGCGGCTAGGTAGGATTACTGGCGGTTTCTCGCAACATGAACAGCCCTTTCGAAAGTGACCTTTACCGAAATCAAACTTCAAAATGCCCACAACGATGAGGTCGCGGGGGACGAAGGGGCTGAGAACAGATTTTGCTCGGAGGATTATCCGCTCCGTGGCGAGTCATGTTCTAGTTGCGACGGCATTTGGGACGACGTTAACGCGCTTTGCGGGGTTATCGGTCAACACTGGCTTGGCTCGCGCCTCAATGGGTATTGTACAGATTGCTCGACAGAGGGTATTCAGTGTTACTGCGTATGTTCAGAAGGTAAGTGTTTTTGACTAACCCCACTATGACTATGTTCTCAATGCTCTTGGTTTACCTCGTAAAGATCGATATTTCTTGTCATTACTTTTTAGATTATATTCAAACATGGGTTAAAAGCGAGCAGCCTGAATGTACACTCAATGCTATTTATTGCCAGGAACATGATCAACTACTATAGATAATTTGGTTGTTGCATAATTTGAGAACAATCGACTTTCTTCTTTGAAAAAAAAAAGAAATAAAGCAATATCTTTGATCCTTTACAAAAGGAATGTTCCGTAACTTCAGTACAGCGAGGAACGTCTCCGCCGATTTGTGAAGATTCCGAAGATTGTCTCTCGCCGTCTGGAGTTTGTTTTGAATCCGTGTCTGCTTACGAAGTCAACCTCGATGGAGAGCGACGGAATGTGATTTCGCTCATCTACGGATGCGCTACTCAAGTAAGCGAGAAAGACGAATCTAATTAGTTTTCAACTTTCTGCAAGTTCATCGAAATCGAGAGAATCAACGCCTATTTAGGAGTCATCAGATCTCCAGGTCTATTTTCCGCGAGAAGAAAGTACAGTGATCACCCAGTCGACGGGGGTCATTCAGAGCTCTGTTTACTATACAGGAAAGTGTTCTCATAAGCTTTTTAAAACAGAATTCCTTTCTTTTTGAACACGTCACCGCAGATCCAAATACCCTGGACACTGAGGAGCACATTCTTTCGAGCCTCGAGAAAAATGGCGGGAAGGATACATTATCTTGCTTTGAATGCAAAGTCGAGTATTCTTTGGATATCAATGATCCATGCGCGACCCCCAAGGAGGAAGAAACGAAGGTCAGACGATGCGTTTTGGGAAGCTGCGAATCAAAAATTTTGGCGATTGAATCTAGTGGCAGGACCTTCTACTTCGCCGAAAGAGGGTGCACTAAAGACCCTGCTTCAAGGACCGAATCATAAATTTGTCAATCAAAAACCTACAGACGGTTTTAATTTTTGTATATCTCTTCCATCGAAACGACGAAACTACCAAGAGAAGCTTTTATTCTTTAGATGATTCGATTTTAAGCGTTCTGCCAGACACTCCTTCCCAATTATTTGCAGCATCGACATATTGGCCCGAGCTTCCCTTTGTAGGAATAAATGTTTACATATCTACTTCGATTCATCCTCTGGGAAACGACGACACGAATTATATTCTCCAATCGGCAGAACTATTCACATGTTACAAGTGCCAAGGTAGCATCATGAAATCAGAAGAGCCGAAATTCGATGGCAATTTCTTCAACAGCGAAATTGATAATTGCTGGAAACCTGGTTTGCTGACCGAATTGGATACATGCGCAACGGAGTGTTTTACTCAATTCTATGCCGTAACGGTAGACGGAAACTACCAAGTGGAAATCGGGCGAGGTTGCGCGAGGGTTGATCCTGAGCTTTCCGTGGCATATCATGGCGTCGATATCATTTCGAAAACATGTTCAAAAGATGACGGATCATTATGCAATTCTAAAAGCCCCATAGAAATCGGGCTTGTTTACCAAAATACTGAAATCCTCGAATGCTACACTTGCGATACTGGTTTAGTCTCCCGCGATCCTCTGAGCAGTTGTTTTACTGCTACAGATGTCCCAGTTCTTCCCTGCCCTGATTCTAGTTATACGAAGTGTCGCCAAGAAACATCAGTATTTCAAATCGAAGGGATAACTTACTACTATGGAAAAAGAGGCTGCGCATCATTATTTTCCATCGGATTTGCTGATGCCGATAATGATCAACTCGATCTCGGAGGCGTGGAATACGAATGTTACGAAAGAAGCTGTAACGATACACCTGGCGAATATTCGGTACCTGAGTCGGTTAATGTGACAATACCAGAAAGCGATGAAGTCTTGGAAATGAAGTACACCCGATTTAGTACAGTGATGGAGACGGTTCTGGAAAATGTCAAGCAAGCGACAGAGCGCTTTAATGAAAATTGCTACAGTCTCTTTACTGTTTACGCTGTTCAGAAGAAAAGCGAAATTATTTCGTGCGAGGTCTACAATGTGGTCGAAGTCGCAGATCTCAAGCAAATTCGACAGCCAGAATCACTGAAGCAGTATTACATTGATTTTGGCATTCGAACCCGCGGAGAATTTGTTGTTCAAGCGGAGAATGTGGTTGAACTGAAAGATAGTGAACTAGAAACTGTGGCCGTGGTGGCGAAAACGAGCTATGCTGGTCTAAGGAATGAGAGCAAGAAGCTATTCATAGGGTCTCTTCCGAGCTGATCTCGCTTTAAACTTATTCGTACCGGTCGGTTATCGCTCAAGCTCTCATTGAAGCATTCTATTTCCAATTTGGTGCGCGCTTCTTGGCTGTATATTCATAATATTGGCATGGCATTATCATCCACAAAAACCGGTTAAATTCGCCTTCCGCGTAATTCTACCGGTGCTTTCTTTTCAACCAAGTGCAGTGATTTGGTTTCAGTATCAAACAGGCTTCGGGAACGTCCTCAAAATCAGCCCTTCTTCGACTGTTACTTTTCTACTCGCATTTGTAATTACTCTCAGGCCGAGCGTGATAATAACTTTATTAAAGGCAATTTTAATGATAAATCTAAGCTAAAATGTATGTATAATGAAAGTAATTGAAAGCTCGCAAAAGACTCGTTTCAAATTATATGAGAATCGGTTGCTGGTTAAACAAGGCCTGCCAACAAGGCCAACAAGGCTTTGATAATTTCAAAAAAATTCTTTCGGGCCCGGAAATCATGAAAAAACCGCTAGTGTAGGATTGTAGAGCTCGTTGAGACGAGTCGATTGATACCTCTAACTCTTGAAAATTCCAAGATTTTCCGCCTACGCAACTGATAAGAAGGTTGCTCAAACAAAATCGTAATTCCACTGCCGTTTTGTTCTAGAGTAGCTACAAGGGAGTTCGACCCTAAAAATGATCCTTATAAAAGTTGTACTGACAGAGGAAATTTGGACCTCTTATCACGTGCCCTGCCGAGCTTATCAGTGAAAAATCGTTTTTCCATATATTCTCACAAAACATGTAAAATGACCAGTTTTTACGCTGAATTCAGTCAATTGTATTATGATTATTGAATTCAGCGTAAAAAACTAATAATTTTACATGATTTGTAAGAAAATATGGAAAAAAATGATTTTTTACTGATAAGCTCGGCAGGACACATGATAAGAGGTCCAAACTTCCTCTGTCTGTACAACTTTTTATAAGGATCATTTTTAGGGGTCGAACTCCCTTGTAGCTACTCTAGAACAAAAACGGCAGTGGAATTACGATTTTGTTTGAGTAACCTTCTTATCAGTTGCGTAGGCGGAAAATCTTGGAATTTTCAAGAGTTAGAGGTATCAATCGACTCGTCTCGACGAGCTCTACAATCCTACACTAGCAGTTTTTTCATGATTTCCGGGCCCGAAAGAATTTTTTTGAAATTATCTGGATACAATCTCATATCAAGGTTATCATTAAATCTAATAAATGTTATCGAAAACATAATTTTCAATTTCAAACACAAGTCTCTTACTAGTCACGTATCCACCTTGAAGGTTCCTCTTATTGTTCAAGATTGGTTCAAAGAATACGATACATGGATGAATTCACTTAGCATTCTTGAGGGTACAAGTTATAGAAATGTTTGACATGACAACCAGAGCTATTAAAACTATCGATACAAAGTGATATTCTTTCAGTTACGTTGGTCTATTTCTCCTGCAACAGATATATTCTCCCGGGGAATGGTGTCTTTATCTCAATTCTTCTGACCATCCTGATATTATTCACTCAAGCCTCTTATTTCATCGTCAATTATTTCATCAAACAATATTGGAAGAGGGACAACTCCAGACCTGGAACTGCATTTTCTCATTCAAGTGGAGCTTTTAGCCCCAAAATCAAAATTGTGCAAATCATTCGACATGTATTCTGGATTATCATGCTACTGCTTGTCCTTTGCCTAACACTAGGGTTTGCTTACTGTGCTCCTACATATTCGTCTTTTTACGACAACAAAAAGAGCTTCATCGACGACGAGTTGAATGTTATTCCCATTAGCGGCGCAATCGTGAGTGAATCCAGTGACGTTCCTCGGTCGTGCTCAATTTTCTCCGATTCAATCTTCCAGACAAATTCGTTATTCAGCGTGTGTATAAAAGGTATGAATGATTGAAGACGGATCTTTTAGATGGATATGTACTTTTTGATTATAATTTTTTTTAAAAAAGAAAAATCAATTTTCAAAGATAAATTTTTTCTTTTCCAGCCGACATTCTCTTCGTCGACGATGAAATTTCCGCCACGATGTTCGCTGATCCCTTGAGCATAAGTTGCATCAGCAACGCTGAAATCTTACTTCTTTGCCTCGCGGCCTTACTGATCGGTTTCAATGTTACAATTTCGATAATGGCAGCCAACTCCCGCAGCTATTTCTCCAAGTCCATCAGGGTTACTACGCCTTTCTGCGACGATGAAGACTTGAGGTAAAAAATAAATAGGGCTTCAAGTTCAAATATATTTTTAGCTACAATAATCGCTCGTGGTGGCTTTCTCGTCCTCAAACTGCTATTTCCAGATCTCTTAGGTGCGCCAAACTATTTTTAAGACAGAAAACAATATGAAACAATAACGGATCGTTATTGAATAACTGCTAATTGTGCTCGCTTGCAACTAAAAAAACTCGCTTTCGCCTTTGCTTTCTGTAGATTTGCCTTGATCATGTTTCACGAAATGAATTAAAGACCTTGGACGGCGCGGACAATCGGAACTATTCCTGAGCGGCCTTGGACTGCTGAATCAAGACTATGGGTTTTAAAAGCTTTCAGAAAAACTATTGCGACAGTAACAGTGATGAACCCTCAAAAGCACAATCCAAGACGAGCCAAACACTTTCGATCTCTCTCAGTTCAATCCACGGCCATTCACGGCTGTTCCTGGCAATACGCGGCCAAATATCTTCACGAGAATTTCTCACCGCCTGCAAAGTTTGTCCGCCCGTTCAAGAATTACTCCAGATCCGCCATAACTATTCTCTCTGCATATAAGAGTGCTAATAAATGTTCTATTCTTCATTGAAATCAAGGAAGAGAACGATTTCTTTTTTTTATTTCGCGGCGAAATTTTCGCCCGTAAAAAATCAAATTTAAATGTTATCATGTTGATTGAAATCAAGGAAGAGAACGTTTTTTTCTCTTTTCTGAATTTCGAATTTTGGTGAAACTTTCCCGTGAGAATCACATGAACACACCATCAAACTTTATCATATGAAGTTAATTAGAGAATAGCCAGAATTTCAAGGGTGACCTAAATGAATTTCGATGAATGTGATTTTTGCTCCAAAATTTTGATATCTTGATCGACTAGTTTGAGAACTATATCTGGGAAATGTCAATTTAATTAATTTGGTCGATGAAAGTTTAGTTATTTTCTGCCAACTCAGCAATATTTATAAAGAAAGAAGTAATCGCTTTGATCTGGCGCCGTAATTTCAAAAATTGTTTGCTTGAGTTTATAAAGAAGGAAGTTCGAAGTGGCTCTTCGAGTAATCTGTCAAGCTGAGCTGATCACTTTTGGGCAGTGGTGCTTCCGCGCGCTTGGAAAATCACTCCCGAGGTTTACTACTATTAGAAGTGGTCCCGACTATCTGACAGGTGCATACACAAACTGTTCTATCAACCGGTTCGCGCGTCTTAGCACTCTTCAAAGGGAGATAGAAGCTTTCTTCAGAAATAGCTTCGTTCAGCAGATTTGCTCATTTTCAAGTTGCAAAGGGATACCAATACTTAAAAATGTACAGAAAATAATTTGCAAATTCTTAAGCTCAAGAAGCGGCGATTTACTGAACTGGAAGGCTCAGGTGTGAGACGGCGACCTTTTGTCCACTTTTTGCTGGATCGAGGTCGCAAGTGACGCTCATTACGGTGCATCGGCGCTAGTATTTCTCAAGTGTTATCTCACTGAAGCCATCCGAAGTCTTTTGTTCCCCCTCTTGCTCGTGTTTTATCGACCACTTCTCAAGGGCAATTCGTAAATTAAAAAAAAGACGACGTTCATATTGGAAATTAACGCGAGGGAAGCGATAAGGGAGAGTGATAAGAGTACGCGCTTGTTTTCATGTCTCAAGAAAATTGTTTAAAATACAGAATTTCGCAAAACTAAAAATTTTTCTCTTTCAGCTTTTTTTGGAAATTAACAATCTTAGGCTCAGGATCTGAATTTTTATCGACAAGTTTCCCCGCTCTTAGCGTTTTTTTTTCTCCATCTAAAGAGCTGCTAAGTACATTATCTATTTGTTTAGCCCTTTCTTTAAAACAGTACAAAAAAGTCTCTTCCCTCGAGTGAAGCAGGTGTGACAAGGTAAACACTCTTATCTTCACTCCCCGCGGAGGAAACTGGCTACTTCTAGCAACAATTTTTGCGTCAACTTTATCGGCTTATTTCACTTTTCTTACCAAACAAATTTCGCGAAAGACAGAAAACCGGATTTATCTCGTTCACTGGAGATATTTGATAACAACCTCCCGTTTTTCAGATTTTAAGGATCCGCGCTAGAATCGGAGTTCTAAATGGAGTCTCCTTAATTAGAGCGCTCTGAAGTGGTCTCAGATGATCTCTAAGGTGATCTTCGATTTGATAACACTCGACCGCGGGAAACGTGTTTCTCGATCCGTGTTCGGCTATTTGCTCCTAAATGTGCGTGAACAGATTTTTTTCGAATATTTCTGGCGCTGGAATTTTGCTTTTAGGAAGTACACTCGACTGCGCGTTCGAAGGTTGGACAAGTTTACTGTATCCATTAAAACTTTCTCAAATTTTATCTGTTAATCTTTCATCAAAGGCGAAAACCCTCTTTTTCCGAAGAAATAGAAGCTATTCCAAAAAGAGTTTCTATCAGTGCGATTATGCCTGCGTCGGGTGTTGTTTTGAATTTGATCCTTCTAGGGATGGAAGCGATCACCTGATCACGTGTGGAAGAACTGGCGACGTGGGAAATGACTTCCTCCCTCTTATCTCTTGAGAGGTCTCACGCAGAGGTCGTTGTATAACTACCCACCGATAAGAATAAGGTCTTATCAGCGAATGCGCCTTCTTTCTTTAGAAAGTGGATCATCCGGTAGCGCCCTTAAAATAGAACCGATACCGGCAGCGAATTAGCACACCAATAACCGTTTTTATCTAACACACACTTTTCAGCTTCGTTCTAGCTCTAAGTTCAAAACAGGCAATTTGGCTAGGCCCGGTGCGTGTGAATTTAGCAGCATCAATTGGATCAAAGGCGTCGCTCAGGATAATCCTTGATTTTTACGTCAGGGCGTTTTACGGTACAGCAGGAGGCGTTTAGAAGCGATTGGAATGCGTGAAACTATTCTTCCTCATCAAGGGCAGTGTTAACTGGGCTTTCTCAAAAATGCACGCGCGAGAATTGGAAAGAAATCGCCGCCGCTTGTCACATTTCTTTCACGACAAAGCGCAAATGCGCCACGGACACGGGAGAAAACATGCAAAGAAGGAAGATATTGCTTTAGAACAACTCCCAAAAATAAATAACGTGTTGCTCTTATAATGACACTTGATTGCATTCTAGCCCAACGCAAAAAATGATGTTTTAGGTTTTGGATGGTAAAATAAGTATTCTGAAATTAATTTTTGCTTGAAATAGAATTTCCTGTTCTTCTGATGATTTTAAATCTTGGGATTGAATCTACACGTCGCTGGAAATTCCGAATCCGGGGCTTTATCAAAGCGTCCATTGATGAGAATTTCCGGCTTATGTAGAAGCTCTTGTGAGATCACGAGCATGAAATCGTATCAGGTGGGGAAGTCTAACGGCCCGCCGCAAAATAAAATTTCCGAAAAAATTGTTTACTCAAAAAATTTCAGTGACAAAGCAGCTGCGATTCTAAAAAAAAGACGAATGAATTAAAACAGGCGCTAAAAATTCTGACGAAAGAGATCAAACGGCGAGAAACGGTGTGTAATACTCCGTTTTGCAAATTGTAGCTCACAAGGGACTTCTGGCGCGGGCAGGTGCGCCTTGTTCGGGCGGCGAACGAGCCCTTGTGGCCATTGGCCAAAAAGGTCCCCTCCTTCCATGTTCAAAAAAGTGGAAATCGTGAAAAAAAGCGGCCGCCGATGTCTAACCACAGGAATTTGTCCGAGAGACCCTTATTTCAAATTTACTGTTGCTCTGACCGGAGAGGTCATCTCCATCTTCTGAGCATCAAAATTGACGCTGAAGTTATTGCTCAAATTCACTGCTGGAAATGCTCCTTACGTGTTTGGAGAGAGAAAATTCCGATGATTGCATTTTTCCTCGACCGCGAATCCCGGCTCCAGACCTCAAAGAACTTTCAAGCACGTCCCCTTTTTCTTCTCCTTAATTTGTACCCCTTGCATTCCCGAGAAATGGCAACGCAGTGGAGTAACGATTCCCGCAAGAAAGAAGTTTCGCAGAAGAAATGCCGCCTTGACGGCGATAGATTTAATTTACGCGGCGAAATAATTGACAGCTCACGATCTGATTTCGATTCCTTCAACTCTGACGCAAATTCCATAAAGAACTTTATCCGATAAAGCATGCTTCTAACGGTTAGACGTCTTAAAGAGCCACTTCTTTGAATTGTACAGTTGTGAATTTATTAACTTTGAACTTTTTGAAAACAGTAAAAAAAACGAGTGCTGATTTCTTCATTTTATACTTTTTGGAAATCGCATGTTATTTTTTTTACTTCTGGCGTACTTTGAGCTTCTTTTGAGATTCTTTTTTCCATCACGAAATGACATTTTTCGATTTCTTCGTTTTTGACTCATGTTTATGATGGGTTCGATGTGAATATTTTCAGATATTATGGTTATATATACAAACAGGCCGCTGAAAGAAGAAACGCTTGGGATCCGAAAAATACGTAAAACGCATACTAGTAATTTATGGTCACGTTGGAGCCCGCGCGCTCATCCGAAAATGGCCGAGATTTATGATTTTTTTACAAAAATAGATGATTTTTGGTTTTGTAGAAGTCGATTTTCCAAAGCAAAGGTTGACTACTTCTAGCGGTTGGTTTTTATGAAGAGCTGAGTTCTCGGCTGAAACATGGTTGAAAAGAACGATTAGGAGGAGTTGAGCATTGAAAGAAAATGATCATTTTACCATAGAAAGACCATTATAAAAATGTACAGTGAGCTTGAATTCCAAGCTTAGTAGAGATCCTGAGAAGAGAAGTTAGAGGATTCGGTGAGCGCCTTTGAGGGTTAAAATATTTAAAAGGAGTCGGAATGACCGAGCGACCCAGATTTACTCTCGCAAGGTCTAACGTAGATTTTAACCCTCTCCTTCATCATGTCCCGTTTTCTTCGTGCGATCAAGCACGTGATTGAAAAGACCACGGCGAGGATGGAGATCAGTGCGACGACGCATAGCATGACATTGAAGGAAACTGTTCCGGCTAAAAAGAAAGAAACGGTTAGTGACTTGAAATTTTATCGTGAGCTGTTTTCGAGAAATGAACGGAGTTATCAGAGATTAGGGGATTTCAAGGAGCATAAGCTCTTCCTGTGCGGCAGCTCGGAAAAAATGTTGCAACCGCGGTTGGGAGATATACTCGGCTGACGTAAAATATGACTGCCTGTCGGATTTGTGTTCTGTAGGAACCAGTTTTGGGACTTGAGTAATTGAGAGGGTGATGTCATCAGAGTGAAATTTGTGGATTTCTTTTTTTGATTTTTTTCTGTTAGATTTTTTTGACGACCAAAGTTTTTATTCAAGAAAAAGTGGAAAAAGAAGTTGCTCAAGAAAGTTGAATCCAGAATGATGTTAATGATTGTTAAAATTTATTCGACCCTGCGGATGCCAACGACAACACTTTCCCGCCAAAATGCAAACTGATTTTGCAAGAATTTGCTTTTTGGAACAAAAAAAAAAAGGTTTTAACGGCATGGCCACCCGCTGGGCCGCAAAAATGCTCCGATCGGGAATAATAAAACGAAATCAGAACATCAGAGGAGGAATAGTTTTGGTTATACGGGCGAATATTGAGATTCTTGAGACTGTGAATGAAATGAATGTACGGTTGTTTTTTTGAGCAAGGAGGGTCGTTGAGTATTTGGAAAGGGATTAAGGAAAGAGCGCGTTTTCAGTGTTCACGAGAGGCAACAACATCCTCAAGTCGGGATGAGCTGGGTTATCTACGGCTTCCCAAAAACTGAGCAGAATTTCGAACAGTCCCAGGCTTTGCTACAGTCGCTAGATCTCCGGGGTCGATCTCAAAATTCAAAAATTAATCTCAAATTTTGAATACAGCCTTAATTGTTTTGTCAGAACTTGAATGCCCTTTTTCAAATTGTGCCAAATTAACTTTAAATACACCAAAAGAGCGATTTCTTTTGAAGTTAGAGAATAAGAAGATCGACCCCAAATCTGTGTTTTTCGCACTCTTCGGTCTCCCACCAAGTGGATGAGCTCGAAGTGGCGCAAAACTCGTTAGATTTGCACACTGGATCCTCTGCCCACTTTTTGCACCAGATAAATCACTGATAAGCTCAAGAGCCCCGCAAAAAATACTAGAGCTGCTTACACTCGCGTCAATTCTAGTGGGTAAACATACACTCTCTTCTCTAAGTAAGAAGATACATTTTCCAGCTCACGTTTTTCATTTTGAAAATAGATCTGATCTTGCTTTTACAGTTATACCCCCTTAAAATTAGACGAGAGGTTTAGAAATAGAACTTTCTCGAAATATTCGTGCAGACGCTCAACCGAGAAAACCTCCGTTAGAATCTTTTTGTAGGTACACGCAAGCTTACAGCTGTCTGATCTCCTTACGCTGATAACCGCTACCTCCTAAGCTCGCAGTTGAAAAGTACATATTTGGAACAAGATGCGCTGGAAAACTAAATTTTCCGAAAAATCGAAAGATCAGCTCCGTAAAATTCGTAAAAGCGTTTTCAACCTGGAACAAGCAAGTTACGTAAACGTAAATCTCCCAGAAGCGCTTAATTTCATCCCTTTCTCCCCTACTAGCGTCACTTCTTTATCTCCTCCTCTCCAGTCGCAGCTGGATCTATTTATCGTGCTGATCCGCACTTTACCCATAATCCACGGCGCTCACTCCAAATTTCATATTTTATCGGCGAATTGGCCGCACGGCACTTTACACCGCGAAAAGTGGACATTGAGGGGCCGTGTTAATCCAGATGTAGAGCGCTACGTGGCTCAAATCATTTTTTCTAGCGTCTCAGCCCATTCAACCCCCGACTGGATTACGTAACTGTTTTAAGTGGAACTTATGACTGCATTCGTAAAAGTACAGTTTTTCTCTAGTTGATCGAGCTTGAGCCGAATGTTAGTACAAATAAGCCGGGCACAATCGACGAGGGATAAAGTTACGGCGGGGGGTTAAACTCGAAATGACATTCTGAGCTCCAAGGAGTTCAAAACGCAATCCGAACAACGTGATCATCGGTTAAAATTACGGTAGTAGACGTTGTAAAATCGAATTCATCGAAAGTATTTTTCCGATGTTTCGAGGTATTCTACTTGAAACCGCCATCGTGTTTAAAGAATTCAAAACTGTATCTTGAATAATCAGAAAATGGCAAAAGGTCGTTGGAACTCTTCTGTTCTCAATTTTCAAATGTTAGTGATAGGATAAATTCAGTCTAAGCGCGCCCCGGAATGGGTTGAGCGGGCGATAACGTGCTAAGGTGAGGGACTGGCGTGATAACCAACCGGTCGATAGCCTTAGAAGTGCTTCAGCTGCTCGAGGAAGTGAATCGAGCGCGGGAGATAGAGCCCTGGAATTCGAGCTTGGGTTTTCTTTTACAAAAAGACACAGTTGGAAGTGGTTTTTGACGCTTTTACGAATCTAATTACGCGGCGCATAAACGACACGAGTTTCTTAGCGAGCGGTGAATACTAATAAACTAATCGAATTCGAAGAGTTTTACAATGATTCACTTTCCAAAATGATTTTCTGAATGGAGCGTAAAAACTTCAGTGATTTATCCGTGCCTTATTCCAAAAGAACGCCCCGACGCAACCTTTCCAGCATTTTCCTTTTTGACACCCGCAACATTCGCCATCGCATTCATTTTCTTCACGGAGTTACTGAGACGCAGAACTTGTTTTTTTTCTTTGTAAAATGATGATAGAACACTGCTCTTTTCTTGAGAAAAGGAGCGTGAAAATGATAGATGGAATAGCAGATGCAATAAACGATTGAGTAAAAGAAGCAGTCACGTTTTTCTTCTTTTTTTCGCGTGAAAAAATGATTAAGGGTTTCACTCTGTTAATACCGGAAAACACCTTGGTTCGCTTTTTCGTTTCAACTTTGGTGAAACTTGAGTCAATTTGAAAAATGGACGGAAATACGTCTAAATAATCAGCTCTCGCTCTATGCTAATGCGCTATCATTTCGACCCCTACTCCCTTATTCCGTTCTTTCTCGAAAAGAAAACAGGAACCAGTGTACTTACGTGTGAGTACAGTAACGCTTCCTTTTGAGATGATGATTCTGTCGAGGATTTCGAATTCTTCGGTATGCTCCTGGAGTCGCTTAGAAATGGTTTGAAAGCAATGTTTTATTGTGGTTTCCCTGCTCCTTGGAAAATGTAAAACGTGGTAAATAACTCTACGGTCGGCCTTAATTCCTAATTCAACAGGAAGCTACAATTTGTAGACCTCCTTACCGCAAAAAATGCCAGGTTTCCTTTGAGCAGGGTTCATAAACGCGCTCCAAATATTTATATTTTTCGTCTGTGTCAGTGACTAGTAACTGGTAACTTTACGAAAAAGCCACAAACACACAATTTGGTGACCAGGGTTACCCATGTTCTAATGCTAAGGCGCGACCCCAAACAAGGGTGACGAAATAATCACGACCCATAGAGAGCTAAACACAAAACTGGAGGGGTCGACTTTCTCACTCAAGAAAACAGATATGTTCAAATAAACATAACTCAAAGCTACAAAATCATATCTAGCGCAGATACTAGCACCTTAGACGATCATTTTCGGCTTATATCCATCATGATTGCGAGTCTCCTCGGTATCAATCATTTTTCTAGAGACTAAATTAGATTGCGATTAAAAAACCTTGGCTGGTGAGAAGCTACTAGGCGGCAAAACTTAAAGCCAATTTTGTGAGGGCTTTCAGAAGCGCGGCTTCTTGGAGCCTTCCTCGCAAAATGAAATTAATATCGTTGCGTGGTTGAACGCTCTCTTCTAAAACCACGATCCTGGATAGGTAGATCGGCCAGCAGCACGGCTTCGAGTGACACGTAGTTAAGTCCTTTGGAATTGTTGCTTCCGGTGGATCGTCGTCTTCGGTTTCCATTTTGGCCGCATTGGGGAACACAATCTTCAGCGTTGGTAGCTTCGCAGGCACGGACGGAGCAATGGAGCCAGACGTCGTTGAGGTCGTCGCCGATGAATTTGAACATTTTCAAATCGAATCGGCCTTGGAGAGAAACGCCGTTGGAGTGCACTTTCAACGATGTATCGCCGGCGACGGGGCAGGCATCCTAGAAGAAGGGTTGTAGATTTATTACATGTAAACATCGCGCTGTCTTGACATTATACATTCAGCAACGGAATCTTACCTGAATCATGTAGTATCGCATCGTGTTGTCCCGATCGGCCACTGGAGTACCCCAGCACTTCTCCATAACAACCACCAGTTCGGACTAAAAATAAAATAAATTTCAGCCTGCCTTTTAAGTTACTGCAATATTAACTAATAACAATTGAGCTACAATACCCTTGCCCCTTGAAGTACTCGTTTTAGCACTTTCAAAAGGCTTAGCCTACAAAAATTTGAGCTACCGTAGAAAGGAGAAATGAGTTTTTATTCACGTGGTCAAGCGGTGGTCACTTGCGAACTCAAGAAGTTCCTAAGGGTTTCACTGTCGCTCCTTGTGATCTCGACTATCGTGAGAGCTAGAAGAAATCTGAAAGTGGTTCACATCAAGGGCTGCTAATATCAGTAAAGAGAGTGAATCTCAGTTTCTAAAATAGAAAAAAAGCTGATTGAACTTTTTTCAAACACCGAAAAAACGCGGATTGAACCACAAAACGGCAGAAGAACAAAATCTGTAACCTCATTAACCTTAGCCGGCCAGGGTGCACCATCTATGGAACAGGGGTCAAAGAATTGGGTCTCCCACCGAAGTGATTTTGAGTTTCGAAAAACGGAAGAAACTGTAGGGCTATTTATCGATAAGCTACCCTTAGGTTACCTTTTGACTACCCTTGGTTAGGGTTAGGGTTCGGAAATAGGCTTATTTTGAGAATGACTGCATGCACCATGTATGGTGCATTGCTACAATGGCGCCGACACCACTGATGGTGCTTTTGGCCGGTAGGCAGTATTTTTCGCCGAAAAATTCGCCGAATAGTCTCCCTTTTCGAATTGGAAGACTTAACCTGATGCTTAAACCCAAACCTTAATCCGCACCCAAACCCAAACCCAAACTAAGAACCAAACCCGAACACTAACCAAGAACCCAAAAACAAACCCAAAGACGTACGTAATAGAATTTGAGTTCAATTTTTCAAGAATATAAGCAGGTGATGCACCACTCATGGTGCATTTGGCCGGTAGGGTCAGAAATGACATTTTGGCCGGCTAAGGTTAAATAAAAACTATTTAACCTAATCCACTAATCCGTTCAAATACTCGCGGCACTCCCTTTTACTTTTTCTGCTAAAAAGTCACGTTTTCCCCAAAACTATACGAAATAACGAAAAGCGAAACCTTATCACTTCGAAACTTCCATAACGGTAGCTGGAGAAAGCATTGGGACGCGCCACGCAAATTTGCGAAAACTGGGAACTTCCGAAAGACGCGGAAATCCCCTTGTAACGAACGCTGCCGACGATCTTAGATAATAATCGCACAAGCAACGTCGGGGGATGAAACCTTGGCGTTTGTTCAATAAAAGTTATGTTCCTTTCTCGCTCTCCAATATTTTTTGGGAAGGGCAGCGGAATATGATAAGGCGAAGATGGCGAAGAAGGGACATGATTTAATCGTGTATCAAGTGTTGAGGAATAATTCCAAGGGTGTCTTATCGAATTTGTTTTCAAATCGAATGAAGATTTTTAAGCAATAATGTTTTTATCGCTTTCTCATTTCTCAAAACGAAAGACTTCCAAGCTTTTTGATGCACTATCTCATTTTAAATCTTTCATCAAAATAAAAAAAAAAATTCCCGCAACCGCCCCTTATAATGGTTTTTTTATGAAGATTAAGCCTTCTTATGGCAATTTACGGGAAATATAAATGGACCAGGATTACTAAGATTTGGGGTCAGAGCCCAGCCCGATAAGCTCTCTCCCGCGTCAGTCGAGTTTTTCCGATGTGCTTTTTTTAAACGACCACAAGATGGTTCTACGCGAGGTTTTCGGAGCATCCGGCATTAGAACCGGCTCACAACATCATCACACCGCTCATTTAAAACATCCACCTGTTCCGGGCCAAGACGATTTCTAAGGCCCTTCACGTGACATTTTCTGTATCTGGCCGAGGCATGTCCAAATTCCAAGCAGTTGTTCCGGGCTGGAACCGAAAACCGGCCGCCCATGAGAGAAGGAGAGGATCAATTCTTGATGCCAAAAATGCTCAAATCGAAATTCCGATGCCAAATTGCACGGTTTATCGAGCTTCCTACTTGCTACGTGCGCTACAATTTTAGAAAATATAAAGAAAAAAGTGGTCATTCTTTCTCTCACAAGGCAAAAGTTCTCTAATAAATAATCTTTTTTCGATAAAACTTCTTCTTTTAATATTTTGAAAAACAATTTTGTGTTCGAAAAAATCTTTATATTTTCCCTTCAAACACCTTTAAAATGTTCCGCCCTCCTCCCCACGACCCAGAAAAGGGTTAATTGAACATGAGCTGAGCCAGATAAGAATTACTTGGTTCATGTGTTCTACCGACGTGTCTGATGTAAAAGGCGCACCCGCAAGGCTCCGGAAAGTAATGGGATTACAGCTCCGCCGTTAAATTTCAAAAGTCCAAAATGATACCCAACTGCACATTTTCGATTCGGGAGACAAATCCTACCAAGCCATTATGTAATGGAATCTGTTCAAGTCGAATTCTAAGCTGCCTTATCCCATAAATAAGGGTGTCAGTCTATTAACTGGGGAATAAATGTTAAACGGAATAAGTTGAAGTTCTCTCCGTCTGACTGTAATTTATGCATTTATCCGTAAGTTAGAGTCCGCTACAAGAGCTGTAGGCAGCAAAAAGAGTGAGTAGAGAGCCTTAGCTTTAAGGACTTCCTCTTTCTTAGCGAATGTAGAAATACATTAAGCTCGAGTGCCCAAAATCCCCTCTCATTTCATCCCTCGCCTTCTATTATAGTTTGCGAATTGGCTACTTCAACGGACAAGTGCTTAGCTTAATGAAGACTTACATTCTTGGCAATATCGGTGATAAGTGGCCTTTCCAGGTTGACTTCGACGTAGAGCACATCATCGAGAGCGAGGACAGGAGGGGCAGTGTAGAAATCAGTGTAGTTTTCGTTCTTGAACAGTCGCATGTCTCCTTTCAAGTTTCGTACTTTTGTTCGCAGCGCTTGAGTTCTGAAAAAGAAAAATAAATAACGAAAGAAAGGGAAATCGGGGTCGTTGATTAAATTAGTTGATTTAAGGGAATTATTTGTCATAAGCCGTTTATTCTCGTGACAGGGGAGGCTGTGGCCGGTGCTTATCGGTTCAACCCTCGTGGATAATGCTTGTCAACTGTTTTGGCACTTAAAATGGATTTCCGAAATGGCAACGTGAGGTTAGACTAGATCTGGAGCGCTTTAGACGGCCAAAGATGATTTTTAAGTGGCTTCGAAATCATAAAGCCGAGATAGGAAAGTCTTGATTTTCTAGGGCCGTTTGCTAAATCGGCTAATTCCGACCCTCGCTCGTGATTACTGAATCCGCTTTGAGACTTGAAGTTTGTCTTATGTAATAATTTAGCCGTTTAGAAATTGCGCTTTGCATTTTGGTCTTTTAACCCGTTGACGTAAGTAATCTGTGTACGCGATTTCGGAAGCCAACTTTGCCCCGTCAAAAGGCTCCGCCAAAGTTTGTTTGTGTGCACCAACTTATAATTTAGCCAGTTTTAGAAGAAGCGGCCTTTATTAGCCAGTTCCCTTCTCGTGAAAATTGGGCTGGGCTTAGTTCCGCTTCAATTGAAAGAAAAATTTACAATGCGTCAAAAATTGCGTCGTTGAATTGAAAATTGCATGGTCTTCGTAACTCTGGCAAAGTAAATTGAATTGGTACTACTCTTACTGAACACAACAAAGAACCGGTAATAAGTGTATAATAAGTATTGCTACAAGTGGAGGCTTTGTTATCACATGTTTTCACTCGGTTGTACTCAGAGAAAACCGATGACCTTGAAGTCTTTCCTAACGGAAACACGTGACTTTGTCCTCTTTTTTTCACAAAGATAAAGGGTTTCAAACACACTGAAAAATGTAAAGCAAGCAAAAAAAAATCAAACACGTTCTTTCGCCGTTTCACTTTAGAACGAGAATATGAGTCCACCTCAAAAATGAAAATTCGCCATAGCAAATGGCTTCGTCGTTACATTTTTCCTGCCGATAATGCTTTTATCAGTATCAGTTAGAGACCGCCAGCGTTATCAAATTCGGCGCCAGTGCAAGTTATTATCAAATTAAGCAGGAGAGAGGATATCCAATTACATGATTTCTTCATATCTTGAGTATATAAAATAGAAAACTGTAATTAGAAAATGATACATATCTTCAAGTCAGCTGAAATGATGTAAAAAATATACTTCTATTTTTAGTTATTATTCGATTTTTTTACCGTAAAAATTCAAAACCATAAAAACTTTCTAAGGCTTGCCATCCAGTTTAGCCTCCCTCTTTCTGGAAGTGGCATCTGCAATTAAGGGCCCGCAGATAAAAAATCCCCTGTGATAAGGAATTGAATATCCTCTCCCCTGCTGGTATGCCGGATATGAAAAGGTAAGCTGGGCATTTCTAAACAGAGGCTGCGCTGGCAGTTACATAAGCTAGCCAAAACTTCCCAAGTGGTTTTGGCGGCGGGCGGCGGCCCATTTCCCATTTCCGCCAAGAACATCTCACGTGATCCCCTGTCTCGCGTCTGATAGAAAGGGTCATGTTCGCGCTAATCCGAAAATGGAAAGAAATTAAAAAAGACAAGAAGGAGAGCGACTAATCAGCGGCTTTTTAAACGGCGTGGAAGATCGTGTTCTTGATCAAGGATGGATGTAAGATTTGAGAAAATGGACAGGTTGAAGAATTCACTAAACGAACTTGACTTTCGCGTAAGGGAGATTAGAGGAACAAGATCTTTGAGAAGCTGCTAGGGTCATCTTGATACGCGCAAATCTGCAAATGTTGTTTTACACTGAAGATTGAACTCGTCAAAAGTTCAAGAAAACTTCCCAAAAATCAAAATAAAAAGAGATAAAATTCAAAGTTTTAGTGGCAGTTCAAAATTTTTTCGAATGCCTTAAAAATCTAAAATGACTCAATTTTGCGAAAATTATTTAAATTAAAAAATTATTTTAATTAAAATTTTTCTACAAGCTTCGACTCGAAGCCTTCGAGAGGTTCAATTTATTTTCCCTTCCCTTGCTTAATTTTAAAACTGGCAGCTGTATTGCATATTTATCTCCCGCTGACGTGCCTATTACAACTTTCATTCTCGATCGGAACATGTCACCTGACCAGGTGACGATTTTTGAGCACAAATTGTTGAGCTCAATTTTGTTGTTCACTAATAAGGGACGCTTAGCTAGAAGTAGATTGTTACGTTGCGTCGCAAACGGCCATTAATGTCAGAAACGCATTTTCGCGCAACAGCCCTTGTTTTTCTAACGAGACGTTTTTTGTTGGCCTAAGTGGCTTCCGTACAAATCCGTGGACAAAGATTCTTCCTCCTGAATTTTCGCTGAGAGGGCGATTTGTTTCTTCCTTTTGTTTTTTTTTTACTTATTTTTAGACACGGAGTAAGTCCGGTCTTTTTTCGTCGCGATCATCAAGACTGACACAGTGTTTGGCAACCTGTGCAGAAAACCTGAGTCAGGCTTTGAAGAGCTAGAATGAAAAGCCGCGTAGCGGCTTTTTTGAAAACGAAGCCGAGAAGCGGCTTCGCCAATATTTTAAAAAACATAAGAGTGATTTTGGTCGCCGGGCCCTGTGTAGAAAACCTGAGTCAGGGTCCTGCTAGAATAAACAATAGATTAAAGGTCTGATAAAAGGTGCTTCTGAGAGGAAGTAATGGCGAGAAAGACCTTTTCCCAAAAGCCTAAAATAAAAGGCTCTCTAGAAAAAGTCTGTTGAGGAATTACCGGTGATGGTAAAGAAACACGACCACGGTGCCCTTCTGCAGAAGCCGCTTCTGATGCGGCGCGCTCATTAGAAGCCCTCTCGAGGCCCTAAGGATTTGCTCTTCGCGAGGAGAGTTTAATTTTCCTTGAAACGGAGAAAATATCTCAAAAACCCAGTCATTAAAGTCGCTTCCGCCAGGAATTAGAATCGAGACTCGAATATTTAGAGCAAATGGCGCAATTGATTATCAAAAAATTTCATAAAAAATTAAAAGCAATAAGCAGAAAAACTAATTCTTCTCAGAGTGCTATAAGCAGAAATTTCTAAACTTGCTGTAGTGAGCAAAAAACTCGGGCTTATCCGTGGTTCACATAACGTATTTGACTTAATGTGAGCTGATTACACTAGTCCCTTTCAAACGACAAGCGAAATGCGTTGTTCTTGCGGGAACAAAAATAGTGACAGTTACCAGATTTAATTTTTTTTGCAAAAAAAAAAAAATTGGCGGCTAAAATCGGCAAAAGATGCGACTAATAATTCGAATTTTCCCAAATTTTTTTTTCTGAAATCTGATTGGCCCGACAACCGAATTCGGGCATCTGATTGGTCTAATATTCGACTAGCATTTTTGTCAAAATTATCACTTATTTTCGATAAAGGAACCTCTCCATAAGCGATTAATTTTTCATTTTCCGAATGAAAAGATTCTGTGAGCATAAAATCCTGCTAAACCCACTTCTAAAATGAAAATCGAAAAAGAAGAGCCGCGCCTTATTCGAATAATTCTTCGCCAAGTCTACTTCCTTTTCGATTTAGAAGCAGCACTGTTGTATAAAGCTGTTACGTGGTGCACCTGTTTCGAATACAATGACGAAATAGTTTTAATTTTTTCCAAATTCAATTTTTTCGCGAATTCCGGATTCGGCCGAGATGATGCGGCGTCGCACGTGACGAAAGGTAAAAAATTGAGGATAAATTAAATTTTGAGATTCCGCGCTCTCTATCTTTCATATTGAAATTTCAAGAGCTGCTACTTGAACTGTCACATCTCTATATACTCGCACGCGTAATATCAAGAGCACTGATAGAAAAAGGTTAGAATTACGAGGGTAGAACAATTCCATGAATTCCATGAAGTGATCTTCATTGGAGAGAAACCCCTCAAAAGAGAGTTTTCCACTTTCAACTTGAAAATGACAAGATCGTTATTTTGCCTTCACGCTCGTATTTTCAGAAGCTATATCTGCATTATGAAAGCAGGAGTACGTGTAAAGTTAGCCTAGGAGCAGGTGTGTGAGTCAATAAGAAAAGGTGGAGGGGACTGTTGAATGGAGCCGCTTCTAATCTCCGGTAAACTCATATCACGATCCTTATCACACTAGTTTACGTACTGCCCGGATTTGGCCAATTTGCAACGCCTCGTCAGTCGGGTCACGTGAGATAATCGCCAGGGTGAGAATTTGCATCTCGGAATATTTTTTCAAGTTTTACTCAACTAACTTTACTGATAAAAAATGAGTGATATGAAATATTAACTGTATTTATCAACTTTTGAAAATCAGTTAGAATTTTAGAAAATGTCCAAATTTTAGCTAGAAGTTGAGTAAAATTGCCGCGCCCAATTATCTTAGCCTAGCCTTTTGTTCACTCGTCTATCTTTGGTCTAATTAGCGTTGCCTGTCAGATGGCGTTTTCTGGACCGGTTCGAGCAAAATCAAAATCGCTCGCTCTTCAAAGACCCGGTTCACTTTTTTCAATTCAATTTTCACTCGCTACGTGGCTTTCAAATCTTTCGTCGGGGCGGAATATTTTTAAATATTTGCACCTTTCCGTTTCTTTTTCATGCGTTTTGGAATTTGATTTTGTCTCCAGGAGGGATTTTGGATTAAATCTGCCGTGCCCGTGTTTGATCTCGAAATAAACAGCCTTTTACGTGAGAAACTCTATAATTACGATAATGATATTTTTAGCCGAAAACCAAAGCAGGAAGTCGAAAAAATAGCCGTTTACTATGTAAAAAACCTTAGTGGGGGCCTTGAAAAAACTGTTAAAATTCGTTGAAAACGAGTTGTTCCAACAGAGCGGTCCAATTACAGTAACTCCAGCCGCTTAGAACGTTCCGGCTGGGCGCGGTTACATCAACTCTCACGCGGTAAGCGCTGTTGGAATTCCTGAGCTCAGGTGTCGGCTCAGATCAGCAGTGCCTACCCGAGTTGCCGAGCAATTTGCATTTTAGAAAAATCATCGCAATTTTCAAATTCGAAATCATTCCAAAATGCCAGAACCCACGCGCGCGGTGAGGGCGACGGTAATCGCGCCCCAAAATGTGTCACTGCCGAGGTTGAGGCTTTCGAGGAAAAGCGATGTAATTTGCAAATCATGAGGAATTTTATGAAAAAAGACGAAATATCCAACTCATCATTTTCTTTTTTAGAATGGAAGAAAAAATTGGTTTTAGAAATGAACTTCTTTGACGATCCGGATGAGGCTCAAAAGCTAAGTTCTTTTGAATCCTCTCTCCGGATACGGCTTTTCTGACGAGCTATGACCGGCTTATGACAATTTTCAAAATAAGAATTTTCATTTTTTTGCTTATTTTTTCTTCGTGGATTTGAAAAATCAACTTACTTGATCCATGGCTGCATGTAATTGGAAGTGATCTGCTCGGTTGGGTAGACACAGTTGAATTCGAGCAGATCCAGTTCTCGAGCAATCGCGGCGCTATAAAGTGTGTCAGTCACCTGTCACATGACCCGAGCCATGTCCGACAAGAGCGGAGAGCGACTCTTACCTTTCCGACGCGTCGTGCTTCAACACGTTGGTAAACTTGTAGTCGCTTACGTACGTCTCGTTTTTCCCGTTGATTCCTGAAGGAGAAGGGTTTAGAAATTTCATTAAAAGTTCTGACAGGTGAAAATCAGGGAAGAAGTGATAATTGAACCGCGACCTAAGCTGAGCAATCTATCAAAAAAAGCCTAACGTGGCTTTTCATTAAAAATGTTTTAGACCCTGACTCAGATTTTCTACACAGGCTGTCGAGGTTGACCCTGGCTCGCAAAATTTAGATAAAATTGAAATTGCGCGTGACTACGGTATCAGATGATGTTTGGCGGAGGTAATTTACCTGTAACTTCTTCCACCAACATGTTGCACTTTGTAAAGTCGTCCCTAATCTTGAGGACAACGTTGCCATCGTCGTCCTTTTCGCCGCCGCACTCGGGGTCATTCAAACTTCATTATGGTTCTAGATGGGCGTCACGTGCTGCGCAAAAATCGCTCCGAGAAAACACACTCACAAATTGGACAATTAGCTGATTTGGAAAAGGAAAGAAAATTACAGCTATCTCGTGTATTGAAAACGTGACAATAATAATAAGAACAAAAAATTAGCCTCTTGTGCTCGCCTCAAAATCACAGCTCCTCCAAAAATGAGCAGCACCGTATTCAAGCATTATAAATAGAATTTGTAGCGATTTCCGAAAAAAACAGCGAAAACTGATTTTCACGACGCTACATGTTTCGGCTAGTCAAGTTAGTCGAAAATTTTGGTGGCGGCGAAAACTCTTGACCGCATCTATCCGGAAAGAGGCTGGCTTCGGAGGAGTGCTATTAATTAGATGAAGAAAAATGAACGGACATTCCCAGGCTATGTATACCGCGCCGAATAGAACCTTTTCGGAGGAGGTGGAGGAATAGGGGAGCGGCCCTTGATAATCTCCTACCGCGGAAGATCTTACAAGGGGCGGTTTACTCATAACACGACTACGGGTTTATTGGGGGTAACTGTCCCAATCTATATAAGAAGCGTGTTTAGCATTTTTAGACATTTTGCATTTTGGCTTCTTCTGGAACCATTCCTTTATCTCGTTTAACAACTGGCAGGTGGCGCATCACTGAACAAACAAATTAAGCTTCAGTAAGGATGAATTGAATGTGGCCAGCCTGGCAAGTGTGTTTTTCCACCCAAGTCTGATGACGCTCGAAATGCGACAAATCTGAGAGATTGGAAGAGCAACACACTTGTGCCAGCTTTCGCCGCTGACTCGTGGCTCAATTAGGCAATCAACTGACGATCTCTCTTGCTCAAATCACCGGCAGCGCGAAAATTACAGGATTTTGAAAAAGACTAAATTCAAAGTTCAAAATCAGCGCTTTTCAAACTCGAGTTCGGCAATTTGAAGATTAAGTAAATCGATAAGGAAGTAGACTGGTTTAACTTTCGTGGAAAGCGACTCACTTTACAGAAAAGAGACGAAAATTTTAGAAAAGAAAAAAAGGACGTAAAAATGCGCGAAATTGTTTGAAACAATTAATGAATTGAGAGGCCACAGCTTGGTGAAAATGCGGGCTCAGACCCTTAGTATTAAATTTAATCTGAGTTGTTCCTTTCAATTTAGACTTTTATGCTAAAGAATTATGCCGAGAGGTCAACTAAATTTGCAATGGATTTTATTTAAGAACCCATAAAAATTTTAAAACAAAATAAAACAATTGAGAAGATCCCATAAAATCCAAATAGCAAACCCCTAACTGTAAAATTGAGGAGTCGACTTAGTTGGGTTAAACTAGCCAAAACGGTGGATAATTATAGATCGCTTCATTGTTAAGCACACGACCATTACAAAATCCCCAGACCACATGGGAGAAAGCCGATGCGGTCGGATGTCTGCGCTGTCACTCAGGAAGTCACTCCTCGTAATTGAAGGACTTTGACTCGCGTTATCCATGCGAGTGAGAATAATCCTTATCTTCATGTCTTGTTTCTATATCTTTTCTGTTCCCTGATAATAACTTTTCTACTGGTTGTAATTACTAATTATCCTACTCGGCCACGTGGGCAGAAAATATCGTCGTTGATTCCAAGTGAAAAAGATTTATTTTGTACTTACGTGAAATAAAAACCTAAAGTTGAGTTGAATCGAAAAGTTCCATCAGCTCGATAAGAAAAAAGCAAGAATTGTTAGAAGATATCAAACCTTGATGAAGCCACAACTGGTCACCGCAACCAGAGTTGCCCAAATAAACCGCTCCGGTTATTAACCCACGTGGTGCCGTCAGACGGCTGCGGGTTAAGAATTTTAAGATTCCGGCCCACTTCAACTTAGAGTGTTGGATGTTTTATTATTATGGTATTATTTCGAATTCCAGAAAAAGAAATTTGGGTCTTATTGCAAGTATTTCTGATTATCAAAAAAAAATGAAATAATATTTTTAGAAAAGAAGAAAAATGAACTTTCACGCGTCTAAGAACAAAACCAACTAACAACCCTAAAAAGTCATTTCAACCCTTCACCGAAAATTATATGCTAATGAGGCTCAAGCTAACGCCCTTAGAAGAGCTTCAAATCTACCCCTACCCTTTCCCACGCTTCCAGCGCTTTTGTTGTTCTCTCGTGACAGCAAATTAGGGAATTCGCGGTTCACAAATATGCGCCCGACCCGCGCTGGAAGAGTGACCCTTTCACGGAAATTGCATTTTTTGGAGGAGCTCTTAGGATTCTTGCTTTGAGAGTGTCTGTGTCAGAAAGAGAGTCCAGGTCAGAAAGAGGTCGTGGCGAGAGGCATGGAGATTTGTTGGTCTTTTTGAATTTTTAACCCATGCGCGTAACTTGACCATTTTTTTGGCAAAACTCGGTTTGTATTCATTTGTTATTTTTTAATTATATCTTGACTAAAATTCTACCTAAAAAGCGAGCTTTTTTGCTTGATTGCCAAAATATTGGTTGGTTAACGCGCATGGGTTAATGAAAGTATTCCAGTTTTGTTTGAGGTTTTCTCATATTGAGCTTTTATGTACTTTTGGTTTTTTTAATCATTTTCGGAGAATACTGGTTTTGTTAAACAAGTGCCTGAGAAAGGAGCCATCGCGGAGCCACATTGAATTCCTCTGGATGTACTGCGGCGAGACGGTGATTGCGATTTCTTTTCCGCCACACGTGACATTCACGTCAGTTCCAATTCGCGGCACTTCAATCGAGCGCTGTTCCACACTTTTACATAGATACGAAAATTGTTCAAAATTGATTCGTTTGCATTCTTTTAAACGGCCCTATCTCCTCAAAATTCTTAAGGGTATCGAGACGTTTTTCGAAAAATTTTAAGTTCAGATAATTTTACACCAAATGATAGTAATCCTCTATAATACAGTCAAATAGAAAGCAGATTAAGGGGATTTCAAAAGTAACTGTTCTTTTTGGTACGTTTTTGCTTTAAGGGGGTAGATATCAAGAATCGGATTTGCTGTCAGTGATTTCTCAAATTTTTAACATAGTGACCCCCTTATTTTTTCTGCTCAATATTTATTTCAGGCAGTTATCTGTTTCCTATGGAAGCCAAAAATTTAGATTTCTTGAGCTTTCGAGGTGCTATAATGCAAATCTGGCACCTCCGATTGTCGCCAAAATGACCATTTTAGGAAAGTTAGCGATCTTTGACGAAAAATTTTGTTAAAATTTTCTTTGAAATTCGAAATTTCGGCTTCCATAGGAAATAAAAAAAGGTCTAAAGTTTTTGTTTCCAAAATAAAATAAGGGTGTTACTATTTTAACTTTGGGAGAAAAGTCTGACAGAAAATGACGATTCTTGATATCTACCTCCTTAAAGGGTTAACTTTTAAAAAGCAAGTTTAGCCAAGTCAAAAGAGCTTTTATTTAATCTGCTCCTAACTCCCTAAACAGCGAAACTGTGAGCTCACGTGACTCTATAACCCGAGTGGAACGTGTTATCCACCGCGCGAATCTAACTTCAACAACGGATTAGCGCGGTTTATGGTCCCCATATCAGGTGCACCATGGTATCAGAACCGCACTATTTCGCGGATTAAACCGCCATCATCGCCTGGTAATAATGAGCAAGGCGATAAAAAATGTTATGAAAGCCTGTTTTTCTGTTCGCAAGATCTTTTAGAAACTTCTAACAAAGACAATTGCTCTAAAATGGAACATATGGCCAAAAATAAACGAAAAAATTGTTCGTCCAAAAATTTGGACAGACTTCTTTCCATTTTTGACCCAATTTCCATCTCACAAAATTGAAGATTGAAATCGAGCTTGTAATAACAAAAACGCACTTTGTCGCACCACGAGGGGGAGGATAAATATTTGAACCTCGTACTTAGTAGCCGAGACATCTCCATTAGCCCGGCTGATCCAATATTTCGAGGCATTATGCCACCTCACGTTTTTGGCACAAAAAAACGGCTTTCATAACAATTACTGTCCGATAAAATTGGCACGCAACGGTGTCTCTGTGACGTGAAACCCTTATTTTCGTTGCAGACATGCTTTTCTCAGCTTTTCTCCAGGAAGTTTCATAGAGACCCCCTTATTTAGTCAAAAGACAAAAGAAATAATGCGATTCTCTTTCCGAGAATACCAAAGCTGGTCTCGGCAACCTGTGTAGAAAACCTGAGTCAGGGCTTTTTTCAAATCCATTCGCTCATTATCAAGATCCGTCTATTATGGCAATTGTATAACTTGTTCTCCTAGGAATCAATTTCGGGAACAAATGCGCCACTTCTGCCTCAATTTGTCGCTCATTACTCCTCATTTGAGCATAATCATTATTTTTGCATTTCAAACGTGATGAGTTCAATTTCGTGAAAAGGCGGCCGTGAGAAGGGCTCGTTTGTCAAACAGGAAAACCGACGAAAGTTGCGTCACTCGACGCCCCAAACCTAAATTTGACGGAACGAGGCGACCGAAAGAAAAATAATAAAATGGTGTCGAATGAACCAAATTAAGGATAACTTGATTTAGGCATAACGTGCTAATGTTGGCAAAACAGGAAAAATTGGCGGAACATGGGTACTTCCGGGGGAAGAAAGCTTTTAAAAATATAACTGTATTATTAATTCAAAAATAGACACTTGTTCCAAGCTCCGAGGCAACTAGATGTTATTTTTTCTTTAAATTTTTATTGGTAAATTTTCGAAAATTCATATTTTTCTTTCTCAAAATTCGAAATATAAAGTGGTCGGAATTTTATGTCGAAGAAGGCAAAAAACAAGTTCACAAGATCCCTTCATTTCCCATCAAATTTGTGGAATTAGAAGCAAGAAAAAGCAAATTTCAAAGCTTTACATTCGCCGCAAGACTTTCCAAATTGAGATGTTAGACGAACCCACGAAGTTAGATCATCTTCGAGTTGTTGATAAACGAAGAGAATAAGGAAAAATAAATATTTTCAAAATAAATTTGGATTTTCAAATTTTCAAGTGCGATCTTGTCGCGAAAAGGGGTTGAAAAATAAATTATGAAAATTATTTTAATCAAATTTTATGTAATTTTATCTTCAAAGATTCGCCTCTAGGAAAAGAAAAGACAAAAGAAAACGAAATATAAAGTTCTAATTTTGAATCCGTGAAATTTCATTTTCTCTCGTAAATTTTAGAGACCTAATTAAATTATTTTGCAAGAATAAAAAACCATCGAAAAAGACGGTCTATATTTGAAGCGATGTCTAACTCGATGTCAGGACATTCGCTTTTTGAAGACTTCAACGTGATGAGTGACGAAAAAAACGAGTTTTCGCAAAAAAGTGACAGATGTTGTTTTCGTATTTTGGCTTGATTCTGACCGCTGTCAACATCTCGAATTCGCGTAATAGAAAAGGCGACAAATTGCCACTATCAGAGGCAAATAACGTCCTTCATCGTGTGATAAAGACTTTGCGGTTTGATTACGCGACGAATTGCTGAAAATGGCGCAATAATTGACCGATTGGACATTCAATTCTTTGATACTGTCAACTTTTAAACGTGATCGATGGAAGAAGAAGTTTTAACTATTCTAGCAAAGAAAAACTCTGCCCAAAATTCTGATGACATTTTTGACCAATCAGATGTCCGCATTTAGCCGATATTCCAATCAGATTTCAGAAAAAAATTCTTCTTTCTTTGTAGATTTCTGGTAGATGACTAAAACAAGAAACTTTTTCAGAAAAATCTGAATTTTTTCGGTTGTTTTTTTGGAACTTTATTCTTTGGAATCAAAAGTCAAGCAATGCCATTTTCAATTTCCATTGCGCAAGATAAAAAAGAGCGAAGTCGAGAAATGCACGAGGAATTAGCTCGCCAAGCGTCGCGATAAAACCGAATTTTCTCCGAAATCCTTGCTTTTACGCTCTAAATCTCAATCCCTTCTTTCCTAATTTTGATGGAACCTCTAGCAGCGTCCCTCTTTTGTCTTATCAGCGTCGCATGGACACAGAGAGAAACGTTTTTGGGAGTATTTTGACATTGTCAGAGGAGCATTATCAGGAGCCGCTGATAAAAACGCTGCGTAAAAATACAGAAAAATGTCTAATCCACTAACGTGGACCCAAAAGAAAATAACTTTGTTGGACAAGGGCTGAGGAGATTTCTAGCGCGGATAAGCGCCATTTTTTAGAATCCTATTCAACGAAGACAATTATTCAATCGAGTCTTTAATTTTTATTAGTCATAAATGAGCATCCTTAAATTTAAAGTACAGCGGAATTGACACCCTTAATTTTGAATCGAAAAACCCAACTAAAAGTTTTTTAGTTAATTAAAATATTTCGATTGCCGGAAAATTGAACTAAATAGCAAAGCATCTGATATAAAAAACCTAGAATAATTGATGAACAAAAAATTGTTCGAAAATCAGATTTTCGTATCCATTCCTGAAATCAAAAGCGGCCCCAACGGCAGCAAGGCCGAGCCCTACTAAACCCTTAAACATTACCATTTCAATATTCTTTATTTCCGCCTTCTTCTATTCTAGGCGTTCGAAATATCCCTTTTTCTTCGCGAAAAAACGCAAGTTCCTTTATCAAAAATCTTCTCGCCACGACACTCTTTCTGACTCTTCGTTGATTCAATCCAACTTCGAAATATTTTCTTTGGAGCTCTCTTTCTTGACAGTCTCTTTTTCGCAATATAAGCAAATTTCTCGTTACTTAGGCTTTTTTGGTAGGTTTGGATAGATTTCTCGCCATTTTCGCGCCGCCGCTCGCGAGAACTCATTTTTTCGACTCGCGAGCGCCCTCCCGTCACCGCTGCGTCAGGCCGCGCAAAGTTGCCAACAGCGCCAGAAGGAAAAATTGAGAGCGGACTCTTGTATGTTAGTACTGTCTATTGAATAAATAATCGAGGCTTGATAACCTCGGAAATTGAAAAAAAGCAGCGAGGATCTTCAAACTGCAAGACAGTCGCTTTTTTATCTCAAGAATACGTGGCCAGTGATGAAGGTCAAATAAAAGATGAAAATAACGAGCTGGTTCGAGAAGACGATTTTACTCAAAATTTGTGTACCGTGGTATGAGTTATCCAATAACAATTTTCCCTTGTGAATTTCAATTAAAAAAAAACAGTAAGATCATTTTTCAAGAGTAATATTCCATCGAACATGTAAATTCCCATATCGTTTAAATTCAACAACACCATTTTCCGATCGCAAGTTGTGCTCCGATTTGTCGACTTTTCCATTACTGTGGTTGATGTCATTCGCATGCGCTTTGAATCTAACTCCCTCCCCTAGAAATAAACATTTTCTTTCGTTTGATGTCTTTACCATTTTTAGTAATTTTCAGCTTCCAAGTCTTGTCCCATTTATCCCCTGTCCAGCTTTTGAAATGCGTGAGCGTCCATTCACCTTCTGTTACTTCAAAATTTTGACCAGCTCCGTGGACCTCGAATTTCATATTGAAGTGAATGAAGCCAGCTTCCATCGCATTCAGAATCCGGCGGATGGCTCTTTCGTTGTGGGATTCTCGCACTGATCTCGCGTCGTTTTCAAAATAGTGGCCGAAGCCGGTTTTCCAGTAGTGAGGCCCGAAAGATAGAAGAATCTCCATTTTATTCTTATTGATGAGATCGAGTTCATGTTGCTCATCTGGAAACGCCTCTCGATTCATTTTATTCTTTTACATTATTGAAGTGAATCTTCAGTTCGAATTTTTGCATCTCCCGGCCAGGGTTCGGTAATTTGAGCTCACGCTAAAACTCAAGGAAACAAAGCTTGAGACTCACGTTTTTTAATTTGAGTTTTGAGAACTCAGAGATGAGAGCTCACGTGAGAAATCAATTCTGGCGATCCATGAGCCAATCAAGGAAGCGCTCGCTTAATTTGAGTTTTGAAAACTCAAAACTCTCAAATCTCCCAAAAACTCAAAACTCTCGAAACTCTCAAATCTTCTCAAAATGATTTCTCAAGTCACTTTGAGTTCTCAATTTGAGGAAATTTGAGCGTCTAGCCAATATGAGTTTTAGCTTGAGCTCAAATTACCGAACCCTGCTCCCGGCGCATATTTGCCGAACAAATAGCATGATCTCGTCAAATTTACCAAAGCACGGGGGATTTACAGTACTTCGAAAAAAATATCTCGCTCGTAAAAATATTTTCTAATGAATCATTAGTAATGATGTTTTTAAATCAGATCTTAGATCTCGCGCCTTCAAATTTTTATTTCCTTAGTGTTACAACCGTTTCAAATCATATTTTTTATAATTGTAGATTATTCTTATCAAAATATAGAAATACTAAATATTAATGAGTAATCTAAGAAAGTTGATTGAGTAGCTTCCTGAAAAAAAACATTTTTGTCTTCCTGTTTTGAAAAAGAAAATGATGAATTGTTCAGAGAGAACGTGGTTGAACGAAGACGGCTTGGAAATAAGCTGCATTGAGTGGACTCCAGATGTGGTCGAATTTGAGTACAAATTCTTGTTCTATCTTTCGCATGCTTTCGGTGATAAGCAACAGATCGAAGAATTTTATCGGGATAAGATTGATTTGCTGACGGAACATAAAGACGGGTCTCTTTTTTAGTTCCAAGCAAAGTAGCTTTTTCGAGAAAAAATTTTCAGACCCTTTTTTCAGTGGCGTTGTTTTAACTCATTATGTTCAGCAAGTCTCTGCTACTCCCTCATGTCCGAAAATCGTGAGTTTCTCAAATCCTACATTTCCGAGCGCCCTGAATTTTTCAAATCGCAGAATCGGGGATCGGTCTAATTCTTATTGAACCTCAATCACAAGAAATCTATTTTTCTGACCTTCAGCCGTTTTTTCAGTCTCCAGAATCAAAAGACAAGCGGTTAATTAATCGCCCTCAATAATTTAGCTAATTCATTCTGCCGCGCTCCGAAAAAACTTATCAGCACCGAAAAAAGCTCCCGAAACCCAGCTCGACGCCAGCCGCTGCGCACGTGATCTAGGTCTGTTGGTCAAGCAAGCGAGGGAGAAATACCGTGGTTTGCCGGTTTTCTTGGAAGGTGTCAGTGAGTCAGCGTTGATTTCTACTTCCGCTCTTGTCGAGAAAATCGGAAAAGTGGACTTTTTGGTTTTGGATCGACCGATTTTTCCAAGTGAATCAGGTAGTAGTACCGTTTACTACCGTAAAAATTACGTAAACCACGGTTTAATTTAAGACAGCTGGATGGAAACAGGCTTATCGTCAATTTTGCCGGTTAGGTTCAAAAAATCTCGTAAATCGCGCGACGTTTTAATCTAAATTAAATCTAAACGCTCTTTGAAACAAAAATTTAATTTCTCAAAAATTCTCAAGAGCGTCCTGAAATCGGGCAAATTTGACGTTTGAACCAGTTGATTTAGGTGTGGAACTATTTATTCTCGCAAGAAACCGACTTTTGAAAATTAAGGAAGGCTTTTTGGTTTTTTAATCTTCCAAAAGAAACTTATAAAGCCTCAAAGGTAGGTAACAAAAACAGCGGCGGGATTGAAAAGAATCAGGAAATGCCAAAGTTTACAGGAATGTTGGAATTAATGGCTCATTTCCGACCGCTCAAGTAACTCAATTAACTTTCTTTCTTTTGATATCCACGTCAGAAACATAACCGACTTGAATTTACAATTTGAGGGGCCAGCTCAAAGACACTCCATCAATCGCCTTTTTATCGAAAGATGATCCAACTTCTCAAGAGTCAATGCGGTAAGCTGAACTTATTCGAGTAAATAAGGAGGGCAATTTTCAGTGTATTAGAGGGGAACATCGATGAAATTCGATTCGTTGATGACCACTCGACAGAAAAGAAAATTGATGGACTTGAAAATACACCCATGCGTAAGTCAAGAAAAAATCGTTAACTTGAAGTTTTCAAACCCTGTCTAGAGACTGAGCAGCTTCAAGAGCTGAAGAAATGGATGATCTTGAAATTGATTCAGAAGCCTGTCACAGTAGTCTTTAATTCTTGACAGATATTCAAGTACTGAACTTGAAGCAATACTATTGATAGTATCTTTGGCGTTGTCAAGTTTGAGGACTACTGTGGCCCTTTGTTTACAACTTCCAATTTTCAAGCGACGTTCTAAAAGGGAGTGACTCTTCCTTGATTTCAAGAAAAATTTTATTATCTTTATGACACATCTTTTCAACTATTAAATAATATATTATCTTTTAAAATCAATACAGCTTTGTTTAACAATATTTTTTACATATAAACATCATCAACATAATACGAGTTTTGAATGAAAAAGAACTTCTGCATTCGATCAACCAAGGACGGTTCAGGAAGATCCACCTCGTCAGGATAGTACATCGGCGGTGGCGGGACATTGATTGGCGCTGCATCGAGTGGCAATGCACGAGAAGTCGAGCCCGGCTTGTGACTTTCCCAGAAGGATCCAAACGGCGCTAGAATGATCTTCGATCTTGGAACTGTTACTCGAGTTATGTTGGGTTCGCCACGCTCGTTGATTTCCGTCATAAGTGGAGGTAGAACACGACGAATTCTTCTTCGCGGCAGAGTGACAATATTTTCTTCCATATTTTTACTAAAAATATTCATAAACCATCGTCGATAATTGAAAAATTAACCTTTTCTCAGTTTTGCTTTCAACTTTTGCTTGAGTTTGTATAATCGGCGGAGCAGACATCGGCGCTTTTTCCCTTTTCGTCTTCGATTCAACAAAAAGTCGCAGTCCATCGATCCAGGATCCTTTTCCATAGTCCGCGTTGATAGCTTTTGCGGACCAAGATTCGACGAAGCGTTTTATCGCTTGCGGATTCGCCAAAGCATCAACCTTTTTGATTATTAAATTTTCTTCATCTTCGATATCGACGCTTCTCAGAAGTTGGAATCTTTCTTCAGAAATGTCCAAATGTAGACGCAAAAGGAAGACATTTCCGTATCTTGTCGATTGGCGATCTACTGTATGCAACCAGCGCATGGAACTCGAAACTATTTCTTTCTCCACGTCCCAAAGTGTCCTGTCAAGGCGAGCGTAAATCAGCTGGTTTGATAAATCCACGTGGAAAGCAGCAATTGTCCGTTCAGACTGCGCGTTTAGTAAGAAATCAACGAGGTCGGAGAAGATTTCTTCGTTTGTTAATGTTCCAAGCAGCTGAATTTCGAATTTATCACGTAATCGAATTTGGAAGTTATGAATGGGAATCAAGGAAGACTACTCGTAAATTCTCCAAAGTACCTTGACAAGCTCTGTATAAAAATCGAATTCATTTGTGACAACAGTTCCATCTTCAAAAGACGCCAATAATGCTGGATACCACGAGTGATGCGCGAACTGACCCAATCCAGGCCACGTGACAAGTCTCGGTGTTCTAGCTGTAGTTGCTTTGCTCCTCGCAGAGTATTGTCTAAAGTCATTCTTTTATAAAGAAAGAGTGTTATTTGCTTCACCTGGTGGATGGCCTTGAGAGATCCTCAACAGTAAGTTCATCGGAATCGAGCACGAGCGCTTCAAGTGGGGGCAAGGGGCTGGGTCGTTGGAGAGATGGTGTTTTCGGTGTAACAAACTTGGAGGGTTTGTAACACGTCGGCGATTTTGAGATTTGTGTTTTGGGAAGAGCGACTTCCGCGGCAATCTCCGGCTCTGCGCTCACTTCCAAAGGTATTACGGAGGGTACTTGCTCCAAAGGACCACTTTCCGTTTTTGTCGAAAACGAAATTTGCGCAGAATTAACTGGTAACTGCTCAATAAGAGAGTTTCGCGGACTAGGCAAAGCAGGAGCAAGGGTAAATGGCACCCGTCGGGCATGTTCGCGAACTTTGAAATTTTTCGGCTTCAGATTTCGGGAAGCCTAGAATCGAATTTTTCTGACTCAGAATATAGCCTATCATTTGTTATGAAAACTGATAAGAATTTAAAGATAGGGTGCGTTTTCGAGCTACCCCTGAAGAAACATTGATTAGATAATTACTCTGCCTAGTTACAGTTAGTAACTACTGATTGTTAGTAAAAAAGATTACCGTTTCCTCCCTGCGAGCTTTTAGCTCAGCCTCTTTTCTCACACGCTCTGAATCGTTCTCTATTTCTAGCTCTTTTTTTCTCACGCAATACCTTGTTCCTCAATTTCTGCCTGTTTTTCTGCCTCCTGAGCTTCATCTTCTTTATTTTGCTCCGCGACAATTGCCGCTTCCATTTGCTGGAGCAGCAATGATTTTTGCACCAAAGGTGGGGTGGGCGCGGCTTCTTGTCGGAGCGGAATTGGCACGAATTCTTCTTCATCCTCTTCTTGCGGGAGAGCTGTGAGGGAGGAGAAGTTGTACTCTGGTCGTTTCCACTTGCCATCTTCGTCGAGGGATTCGAGGTCGGGGATGCTCGATCGGAAGGTCGAATTGGGGATGAGAGTGTTTGAAACAGTCGTGTTTGAAATTGCTTGAATTTAAAAATCTATTTATATTGCACTAATAATTATTTACCTGACAAGGCTCTTCCGATTCCAGCTGGCACTGGTGCACCTTCGATATTTGATCTTACAGAGGTTTTACTAGCAACTTCCGTGATGGCTTCATCAGGATTTGCATTGACGTCAACCGGAGAACTTGATTGTTGATCCTCTTGCTCTTCGATTTCATTGTCGACAGTGGGCTCTTGAGAAGGATCTGGCTCGGGCGGCGGAGTCACTGGCGGTTTCCAATTTACATAATCCTCCTCAGTCGGGATGTGAATATTCGCTCGTTCTCCGAAAGCAACCTAAAACAGGAAGTCAAGCCTTGTCCGCCAGTTCCACTTAATCGCCATCAACGTTCAAAAATTAGCTAAGAGCAATTTCCTACGAATGTACTGCGAATAGTTCCGAAATTCCTCCTGTCGACAGGGGCTCCGTGAGGGTTTATTCTTTTATTTCAATTTTACGAAATTGATATTTTAGCAAAATCAGATTCTTACCTTCATATACTTGTCGAATGCCACTCGTTCGATTTGTTCTCTTTCCGTTTTTGAAAAATCTGTTTTTTGAACTTCCCCTTTTGCCGCTTTGATTTTCGCGATGTCTCTATTCCGCCGCAGTAAATTTCGCGCTTCCTCGTTTTCTCCGTCATCGTCTTCGATCGCTTCTTCTTCTTCAGGTTCTTCTTCTTCATCGTCGCTAGAATCTCTTGCAGTCATTTTCGGCGCCTCCTCGACTTTCCCCAGTCTCCGGATCATCGTGTTCTTGAGATAATCTAAAGAAAACAAAGTTCGCTATTTGCGCAACTGACAACTTTCTGTCCTGCTATTATAAAACGTGTGCAAATTGTAATTGTTTTTACCTTCTGGTAAATAATCTTTGGCGTTGACGACCTGCAACTCGGTAGAATTTTGAAAAGCGACGATTAGATCACCACTCCCTCCCGCTGAAAAGAGAAAATTGAGAGAATGAAACAATTAAGATTTTTCAATGAAAGAATTTTTTCTATTTGGTTTTTGAACTCACCAAAGGACAAAGAGCCAATCGGTCGATTCAGGTCAGCTGTTTGCCTAGAGAATAAAATTTAGGGAGAAGACTGTAGTTCCTGGAGAAGAATATAGACAATATTATATAGTCTTACCTGAGATCGCCCCGTTCAGACCAGACTTTTATAATTCCGTCCAGACTTGCAGAGACGGCGAAATTTAGATCCGCCGTGGTGCATAAGCTTGTCACATGATCGGCGTGTTGTTCGAGAGGATCGACCAGAGTTCCAGGGCCGCTTTTTCTGATGGAGAATTCCATCGATTCAGGCGAGTTCACTGCAATCAAGGGGCATCCGTTGATTAACTCGACGAGATGGCTATCTTTGACGCTGTCACGTGATATTGGCTCCAAACACTCGTTTGTTGAAGCGTAGATTCGATAGAAAACTAGTTCGCCAGTGACACTTTCTCTCAGTTCAAATGAGTTTCTTGAATATCAACCTATAAATTTTAGTAATACTGAAGAGTGATAATATCAAATTGAAAAAAATGATCTGGATATTTTCATGGAAAAAAATATTTTTGAACTTTTCCCAAGAACGGCGAGGACGGAGCTGTTTCGGCCACTTCGTAAACGCGTGATGGAATGCGAGATCGCCTCTGTAGCGAATAACTCCTGGCCAGTTTTGGGATCGTAAGAGACTACTTCTCCACTGGATAAACCAGCGAAACAGACGCTAGAAGAACGTGCATTCCATCGAGTTAGACTTCGCTGCGAGGTGCAGAAGACATCCCAATCGGGGATCAGAAAATCGTTGTCTGGTGTGTAGATCTCGACGCTTTTGACTTCTCTTGATCGAGCCGTTGTGAAGTGGCTCAGAAGAGGAGCTGGTTTCTCGAACGATGCGACGCCGTAAACTTCAATCCCTCCAGCGACCAGAATGTGAAGGAGCTCGAGATGCTTTTGGTAGGCAAAGTCTTCGATTGGACCCATTACTTTCACCCTTTTCTTTGGCTTATGCTTATTGACTTCTACCGCGAAAAGCAAGACGTTCTGATAGAATGAAAGCCCGATCCTGTTGATGACTAATCCGAGGGTTGAAATAAGAATGATTTCGGAGTCGCCAACCTAAAATTAAAAACCGTTACAGCTCACTTGTCTAAATATTTAGCCAATTAGTGGTTGGCGAAGTCGCTGAAGTCTGGAAAGGGTAAATTAGCTTATTCAAAGGAGCATTACCTGAACCGCAAGAACATTTCCGCTTCCCGAGTACTCAGACAAAGTGGGAATACCAAGTTCAATTCGACGAACGGGCCCGTGAAATTGGTGTAATTTCGAGTAAAGCAGGTTGATGTGATAGTCGTAGAGACCGTATTCTCCGTAAGAAAGGAGGCTTTGATCAGAGCGAGCGAGCATTCCGGCAGAATAACCGACCTAGAATCAACATAAAAAACGTTCTCTTGCTTGAAATATTCTTGTTTATCATTTCTCTCGTTTGAAATTGTCTCTAACCTGCCGCCTCTCGAACTGGGGTGATTCTGGCAAGAATTCGTCCATAACAACTTCTGCGCCTTCTAGAGACCAGCAAATTATTCGCCCGTCGAGACTTTGGGAGAGAACGAGTTCAGTGCCGGATAAAATGGTCATCGCCGAAATTGCAATAACTTCATGTTGATGGGAAACCATCGTGTCGATCAGTTGCCAATCCAGATTCCAAATCTTTAAAGTTCCATCCAACGAACCAGTTATCCAGCGATCACCGGTCGTTTCGATTATTGTAATTTGATTGTTGTGAAGTTTGATGAGTTCTCTTTTCTGGTGGTTTATAAGATCGTGCAAAATTATGACCTCTTCATATAGTTGAAATATTTGTGGAAAATTATATTTTTTTATTAGAAAAAAAATTTCTTGAATAACTTTGAACTTTTCCTGATCCCAAAATTGCCAACTGACGGTAGTTATTTACTGATAGTCCGATCACTTCAAACTTGCTCGACTCTATAATTTTCGCGTTGAAATAATTGGCTCGAAAACGCCTCTTACCGATTTCAGCGCCCATGTTTATCGAATTTAGTCCGAAGCCAAAGTTCCAACTCGTTACAGTAAACCTTCCACTCGTCGAGTAAAGAATTTCGCCAGATGAATCCCAGACGCAGTGAAGTTTTCTTTGGAAGTTTTGATGGTTCGCTGTTGCTTTTCGCTTTCCTTGATCATTGAAGAGAATGAACTTCGATTGAGTTACAGCCAGAAGAACGAATTTTTGCTGCTTCTTGCTTCGAGTAGGAATCGCTACTAGCTTCTTTACATCTTCTGGAACAGGAATGATTCTTCCAGCAAGATCAATCTTCGGCAATTCTAATCAATATGAAACAATTGATAAAAAATTAGAAATATAGCCAGTTTACCAATTATTTTTCCCGAAACTTCATCTTCTCTGGCCGGAAATGCTATCGCCAGTTTGTTCCCAATATTCACTGCAGCAGAAATCGGATGCTCGAAACGATGTTCTTTATATTTTATTCGACTCTTCTTCAACTCCATTTTTAAGTCTCTTTTTTAAGTCTTTAATTCGCGGATTTGGAGCATAATTCTGGAGTATTGAAAGTGATTGAGAGCGAACACAATCAGGCGGTTGCGCAGTGCTATCTTTACAAAGGAGCGATTGAAATACAAAGCTGTTTACTCAAACTATGCTGCAAGCGCAAATAAAGCTCATAAATAGCCCCTCAAGTACATACTCCGAAGATATTTGGGAGAAGCCAGCTTTTTCTATATTTACTTTTCTTGGATCTTTTGCCACTTCCAATTCAAAATGACGAATTTCGAATGATTTAAAACGGAATGAAATTACATAACCCTGAAGAAGAATGCAACGTTCTTTTTTTTAAGAAAATTTCGCTTAAAATTAAAGATACGTTGACCCGCAAACAGAAAGATCCATTCAATATTTAGCCAAAAATAAGGATGATGTTTAGTCCAGGAAAAGGCCCCTTCGCTCGTAATTGGATTGATTACTCGCTTGGGGCCACTTACGAACAAGGAGCTTCGAACTTTCCCATCAATGTTTTACGGGATATTTTCCGAGAGCATTTAGCACGTGACAAGATGGTAAAAAGGGTGATGGCTTGAAACTAAAGTGGTTTAGTTGTTGCGTCTGGAGTCACGGAGTCGGTTATCAACTGGAATGGAACTGATTTGGCCCCGGGTGCTTCCACTTTCCCTATTTTCGACATTTCTAAAGGCAATTTTAAAGCTCTTTAATAATATCTCAAAGTGCAGAGTCCATTAATCTAGCGATGATGTCAGACTGGGAGTGGTGGCTTGAACTTTACGAAAGAATTGTTCGTTGCTGTGCGAATTTGGCCATTCCACTTTCAAAATTGGCGCTTGCGCGACACCTAGAATCCCTCTGCGTTTTCACGATCAATTCTGAGTTTTGTCTTTTGCACACAGTAACGGACGCAGGCTTTTGAATTTTCACGTTTTTCGATAAAGAGAAACTAAGAAGCAAAAATGAAGGTGAGAAATTCAAATGAGATTTTGCTAACAGAAGAAAACAATCAAAAATAGACTCTAATATATTTTTCTTTAATTCTCTCTCTATCAAAGATTCAATTTTAAATAAATCTAAAGCAAATCTAATCATATCAAAATGATATGGTTTATTTAATATTTAAACATAATACAATAATTTATGCTAAAAGAATAATTAATATATATAATTAGAGTGTTTTTTATTGATTATTTCGTAGAATCTTATTACTCTTGTGTCCGGAAGCATGGCCCAATTCAACCGGTTTGGCACAAAAGAAATCGTCCGACCTGGACTCGATTTTGGCCCCCAACGACTTCCAGGAGCACCAAGCTCAAGCTGGGACCAGACGCCAAGCCGAGATATTCCGGGCCGAGATATTCCCGGCCGAGGCAATACTCCGGAACAAACGAGCATTACTCAAACAACAAAAGAAGACTTCGTCAATCGGCCGGTTTCAAGAGACGACTTCATCGGCTCGATTTTGTCAACCGAGAGCTGCGGCGTCATTGACAAGTTCGCTGACGACTGTCGAATCGCCTCCTGCAAGGACGAAGACAGAAATAGGATCAACTTCAGCGACAGTGACGACATCGAAGTCGGAGCCATTTGTCGAATTAAATGTCGACAAGTCAAAGCAACCCGCTGTAGATGCTGCAAAGAAGGATTTATCGTACGGCGAACCACTTTAATTCAAATTAGAATGACCTTTTTAGATTGCGAAAAAATGCCCTGAAGACGGCGATGAAGATTCTTGCGAATTGACAGCGGACGTGGGTGCTCTTTACGAAGGTCCTGATGCTGTGATTTTGACAGACATCGAAGCTGAAGACTGTCAACAACGATGCCTGTAAGTAACGATCTCTGACGCTCTCCCTAGTATTTTTAGCGATTCCGGAATCGAAGAATGCATTGCTGCCTCGTACATCAAGTTGAGATTCAACTCTGTGTGCTGGCTTTTCCACGATGTCTCCGTAAGTTTCGCCTTCTTTTCTCCCATTTTAAACTTCCGCTAGACTCGATATGGAGATGAAATTAGAGACCGAGACATGCCCCAGAATAGAGTTCCAATTGGCAACTCCGGCCCAGGCTCGCGAGAAATCTTCGGCCCCGACTTCAGAAGTGGCAGAACTCAAAACAAGAAAAGAAACAAGAAAGCTTTGAAGCCAAAACCAGTTCAAAAGTAAGTCAACAACGATGATAGGCTAGCATCTTATTGTATCGAGTTCATATCAAAAATTTTTCGATATATTCTTTCTGCTAATAATTTTTTTACTTTTAGGAAAGGAGTTCTTGAGATTCCTTCATACATGATGCCTGGTGCATCCTCTGCTATGTCCAAACACGTTCGAGCAAACGGCTTCAGCAACAACAACGACGACAGTGTTATGATGAGCTGGTTCCGAAAGTGCCAACGTAAGTCCTCGAGATGGAACTAACACTCTCCGCTAGCGCGTGAAAAATTATACAATGCTTGCTCTGCTGATTGATGAAATTTCACGTTAAACTTCATTGTTCTTAGCAACGCTGCCATAATTCCTCGTTCCTAGCCTCACACCTTCTATACATGAAATGTTAATATGAATCCAGTCAATAGATATTGCACTAGAAAGCCAACAGTTTTCTACTGCAAGTCTACTACCTTGCATCCCATATTAAATTTGCTATGTATAAAACTAATGATGTCAAAATGTTTCTCTCATTTCTGGCGGTTAATTCACCTATAAGTCACCTAGAACACAACTGAAAAATAATATTTTTCATTTGTTTGAAAAAAAAATCATTTTCTTTCACTTTCGAGGCTTTCGCTAAATTTCTTGTTCCATTACTATAGTCACAACCGATTCAGCCGATGATGATGAATACGATTACTAAGACTAGCCTCAAGTTCTTAAAAAATAAAATTCTAAGGTAATTTTTCCGCCAAGAAAACTGAGAAAGAAACAAAAAAAAGAAACTCTTCAAAGTGTTGATTTTACTCTTTCTAGTTTGAACTCTACCCAATTCGGCGGATTCTGCTTATCTAGTCCTTCCAACGTCCGGAGTGACATTTCCGTCTTATCTCTTTCCCTCCAGACATCCGACAATCGTCCAGCTACTCTTTCTTTTCCTTTCCTAGTCTTGTACAAACTTTGCTCAACTTCTCAAAACATAAAAAATAGAATCTCAACACATTCAATTTCTTCTTTTTTTCGCATTATTTTTATGATAAATTAGCCGCTAAAAAGCCTGATGCAGTTTTTAACATTATCAAAAAATTGGAAATTTTTTATTTAGCGAAGAAGGAGAACTAAGAGTCCATCTTCTCCAGAATGCGTCGACACACTTGGCCATTATGGGTCGTATCATCGAGAAATTGTTTGATCTTTTTACAGGCTGTCCAGATATAAAACAAAAGTATTCAAAAACATGTCAATATTTTATAAAAAAATATCTAAAAATGACCTTTACTGAGTTTCGTCAATTTTCGATTCTCTCAATATTTCTTCAACGATGTTGGCATCTGCTTTGTTGGCACTGCCGAACACTTGGAAGGCCTGAATTCAATAGAAATCAACGAAAAAGTGGTTAAGAAAGACCTGGTGGAGGCAGTTTGATTTATCATCCAGATACGAGTCTTTCTAAAAAGCGACAAAAAAGCAAGAAACTAAGAGAAACGTTTGTTTACCAAGAAAATGTCCAAAAATCGCTCTGGATTGATGAAACCATCGTAGTGAAAGTTCGCAAAATTGACCATTTCGTGAATTTCCATGTCCGTCGGATTTTTGCCAGCAGATCTCAGCGCTTTACCGAGATTTCTAGCACGAAGGAAAGTTTCGCCATCTTCGATGAAAAGTTTGTAAACATCGAGGACTTGTTTTTTCAAATCCATCTCTTTCTGATTGATTGCGATGCGTTTTAGCTCTGTCTTTTTTAAAGAAGTACAATTAAGGCCTGCATTGCCGTCTGCATGATTTATTAGAGGCAATCAAATAAAGGCTGTTAATTGAACTTTATTGGGCATGGGTGTTTATGAGGAATTACTGTTTTATGAGATTTTTTTTGAAGATTTTTCATATTTCTTTGTTCAAAAGTGCTTGACTAAGTGTAAGTTTTATTCGTTCTCATTTGTCTTTAGCTACATATAACCCGGGTATAACTGTAGATGTGAACTTACAGCTTGCTAGCCCAGGCAAAGCGGATTGCAATTTCGCCATTTCGTTTTTGCTTTTTTCAATATGCTGAATTCTGACGAGAACACGACGAAAGTTATATACACAACTAAAGATACTTTTTTTTTCGGCATTTTTGTAGAAGAAATCTAAGAGAAAAGGGATGAAGGATTTTAAGAGATTTGTAGCAGAGCAAATCGTAGACTTTATGCAGTTGTATTATCCGCCAAATATTTTGCATGAATTTGTTGTTTACCTGGGCAGTGGGGGGAATAAAACGACTCAGCAGGAGATTGGTGCACACATTTGTAAAGGAAAATAATGATAGTATTTTTGATACACCATTTTTGAAGCCCCTTCCGGAAGAAAATCAAAGCCTTCGTGATTCAGCAAAATATGAGAATCTCGCCTTTGCAGCGCAAATTTACGAGCCCTGGTTCTACGTGATGAGTGGTATTCTCGTCTCCATCCTGCTATCCGTTTTTGGCTGGTTTTACATCATCATCAGGTAGAATAAAAAGAAGATTGTCTTCTATGTTTTCAGAAACATCCAAAATGGGGTCTACCTGACAGAAGAAGAATTTGAAAACGAGTTTGTTTTTCGAACTTCAACTAATCGAGGCACTTTCCTGCAAGATGAGCTGGGGGATCAGGAAAAGAGCTCGAAATTTGGACACTGAGCTTCGTAACCTGTGTAAAAAATCTGAGTCAGTGTCCTGAAATGATTTTACATGACCCCGGCTCAGGTTTTCAGACTCAGGTACACAGTTTGCCGAGCCAAAAAATGGTCTAAAATTTTGAGTTTTGAAAAGGACGAAACTTCAGACGACGTTTTCACCAACACATCTGTCACGTGTTCCACTTAATAAATAAATACTGTAAAGGTCAAAAGAAAATATGCTGCATTAACGTATGATACAAGCAATCGACCCAAAGCCAGTGTCTTAATTAATATGTATTGACAGCGTGAAACAAATATCGGCGGTTCATGAAAATAATTTTAACATTTGTACGATAGAAGAGAAATGAGAGGAGGTCAAGGATTTTGTGAAAGCGAAGATGAAGAGAGAAAAGAAAATGAGGAGATTTTTATGATGAAGAAAGTCGTGGCTCTTATTTGGATGATTATTCCTTTGAAAAAGGTTCTAAAAGATAAATTTAATAACTTGAATAATTGAAAATTGTAAAGAGAAGAACCTAGAAAAGATGATTGTAATGGTACTGATCGAAACGCAAAATCACCACAGTCGAAAAAACGCTAAAAGCTCCTCGAACTTGAAATGGGATTCATGAGTTATCCGCTATCTTCCGCTATTTATGTATAAAATACCTTAAAAATAATATTTGCATGGCAATTTAATGTCAATAGATTATTGAACCCTTTTGAAGAACGATCTGTATTTACAGCTTCTTATTTTGAAAAACAGAAATGCTGAGCCAGCTCATTCTGATTAAAAATTATTTTTATTGTAATAAATTTCTTATTAAATCTTTAAATTTTTCTGTCCAATGAATCATTTTAGGGAACCAACCAAAGGTTCTCTTTCTCACTTCTCGAAAGAAAAAAAGAAGTCCTTATTTTTCGAGATTTCAAAAGCCGGCCACGTAAAAAGATTCAAAGAAGAAAAACGGCAGAGAGAGAAAAAATCAGAGAAAATGGACTTATACAGTTGGGCTTCTGTCTTAGAAGGAATTGTTTGATTGATTTAACATTAAGCGGTAGATCCTTATTTTCAAAACAATAAAACAGACGTTGTCGGAAAATACTCAACTCCTGCTGCTACATTTTGGCTCATTTGCACATCCTTTCGTTTATTTACAGTCGTTCAAGGTGAATTACAAGCGTTTGACTCAGATACTCATTTTTCTAGTTGTAATTGATACATACGGAAACGAATACAGCTTCGATTGCGCTGCTGCTGTTAAAGACAACGTCGGATGCAAAAATCAGTGCTACATGCATTACGCGCCCATTTCTTTGGCTTCTTTTTGGACCCTCTCGGTAATGCCATTTCTCGGGAACAAGAGTTTATTTTCTTTTTAGATGTTCACTTTGATGGCTCCATTTTTGTTCTTCAACACTTTGCTCAAATGGATCAACCTTCGCAATGAGGTAAAATCCTTAACATTTTCCTTGTAGCGCTCGAATCCCGCTAATTACCGCCCACAAATGAAACTTTCAGATCAACGCCGAGAAAAACGTCGCTCCAAGTTTCATGACTCGGACAATGTCGATAACAAGAAAGAGAAAAGGCCGCCCAAAAGAGCAAATTTGGTGTCCCCTGATTGCTCTTGGTCTTGTCGTCAAGAAATCGCTTTCAAATATATTTTTTATTTTTTGAAGAAAAAGTTTGAATGCGATTGAAGCTGGCTCTCGTAGTTTTCGTCGAGTGGAAGATTTTGAGAACCTACATGAATTTGCAGTGCCGGAAGTTTGGAGAGGTCGAGGATAATCAACCATCGTAAGTTCCATTCGACTGCTTTAGTTTTTTTTCTTTATTTTCTAGTGCGAACTGCACGGTGAAACGCTTTTGGGATAAATGGCAGTTTTTGACGATCCCGGAAGTTTACGTCTGCAAACCTCATCAATTCAAGTACAGTCAATTTTAGAATTTTTATACTTTTATTTTAGCTTTAAAACTTTTTTCAACATCACCCGGGAAGAGTCACTCAGGGGCGGAGTTTGCCAAGGAATCGGCGATAATGTCAAGTGCTTCATTCCGAAAGCGATTCAGAAGACCTTTTTGAATCTTGTTCTCTTCGCACTGGTAACTTTTTTCGTCTTTGATTTCTGCTCACTTTTTAGACCTCTTTTGGTCTGGTCTTTGCTTCCCTCGAACTCGTTCTCACGATCTTCAAGCAGATCTACAGAGCTTACAAAGTGCTTTACAAGAAGGAACTACAGGATAAGTCCAGAAATCAACCCGGTAGAGGAATCTTTAAAAACAGATAATAAAAAAATATAGATTTAGAAATCACCCATCCAATGGAATTCCACGAGTTCAAGACTGGCCGACTCATGTCGACTGAAGAAGAACCGATCTTAGTCAGGAACGTGGCCGAGAGACGCGCTTCAGTAAAGTTCGAAGATGACCGAAAACCGAGTACGAGTAAAGATACCAAGCCATTAAACAGTTCTTCTTTGAAACGAAGAGACAACAACAACCGTCATTTATAAATAATAAAAAAACCATCACCGTTAGTAAAATCCACCTTTATTTGTGAATGTTTGTTGAAAAGATTATGAATTTCAAGTGAAATTTATTGCAGTATAAATTATAATTTATCCGTGTAAATGATTAAATTAAATCCCAGGATTTTTTTCTCTTCAAATGTATCGAAGTTTGAAATCATGTTCGTGTCTGAGAAGATATAGGCTTAAAACTTTTGTGCATTCGGCTTCCACGTCGTCAAAATCCAAATATTGAATGGCAAGCGAAGATCTACTTGAGATTCGCCCTAAAAATATGAAATTAGTCATATTTCTGTTAAAACACTATTCTCTGAATTATTTTCATACATCTCATGCAGCTATAAAAAAGGTTTGATAATGCTTCAATCGTAAACGAGTGTAATGAGGTGAAAAATATGAATAGCAATTTTTTGAAGTGCATTTGAAGCTGCATGCTCTTTTTTTCGAGATGACCCTTTTATAATGTTGAACTCTTGTTAGAACAAGTGCTCTGACAGGTAATATGGTATATGCATACCACATGTATACGACATGCAAAATATATGAATAACTACCTAATGAATTTTCAGTGTGCTTAAGATTTATTCAGCAGAAACGATAGCGTCGACCATCTCCATGGTTGACTCCATGCTCGAAGTTGGATAAGTTGGCTCGTCAAAGTCAGTGATGCCGTCAAAGTTCGCCTGGACACCTTCGACGGTAATTTCTTCACCCTTCTTGGCATAAACCGCTCCCTTTGCGCGTTCTCGTCGGAGCTCACCGGCCCAGCCGCCTCCGACTTCGAAAAGGCCGCCCGTTTTGGAAGTGTCTTGGTGGCAGAGATAGAGGACGAGTGGAGCGACGTATTCAGGTTTAAGCATGTCAAGAATATCTGGAGGGAGAATGTCTTCGGTCAATCGAGATGCAGCTAAAAAGACATTTCAAGGACAGCTTTTGAACCCAGGTCATCACGGATGATATGACTTACCGAGAGGAGCAATCGTGTTTGAAGTGATATTATATTTAGCTCCTTCAATCGCGATCGTGTTCGAAAATCCTTGAATGATTTATTAGAAACTTATCTCGGAGGATGTGCTACCATAAAGGCCAAGTTTGGCAGCGGAATAATTAGCCTGGCCGAAGTTTCCGTAGATCCCGGCCGCTGACGACGTAAAAATGAAGCGTCCGAACTTGTTTGCCTTCATATGTTCAAAAGCAGCTTGAGAGGTTTTAAAAGCGCCTGTCAGGTGGACATCGATAATAGCATTCCAGTCGTCCTCTTAGAGATTAATCAATGGTTTGAAATAAGAATAACAACTTGCTAAAAAGCTTCTGAAATTACAATTTTCTTACCAGAAATCCGAAGAAGAGATCTGTCACGCAAAATTCCAGCGTTGTTGACGACAATATCAACTTTGCCAAAGCTATCCACGGCGGTCTTGACGAGTTCGTCACCATCGGTGACGGAGTTGTAGTTCGCAACAGCCTTTCCACCCTTGGACTTGATCAGCTCGACAACAGCATCAGCAGCGGAGTTGGACGCACCATCACCATCACGGGCACCACCAAGATCATTGACGACCACGCTTGCACCTCGAGAAGCGAACTAGAGCTGAGTTATGGAAGCCGATTCTCATATCTCACCTGGAGAGCGTACTCTTTGCCGAGACCAGCACCAGCTCCAGTTATAATGGCCACTTGACCATCGTACCTCAACTGGCTAGAAGCCCGAACGGACGAAGTCGTCAAAGCTTTTCGAGCAAAAGTCTTCAGCATTCTCTAAGCAAAGTACTTGTACTGGTATGCAAACTGAAACGACTTTTTCCACTGCCAGGATTTGTTTACCCGCAACGGGCGGGGTAAGTTTATATTGATGACTCAATGCAAAAAATACTTCACCGAATATTCTAATTGAATTGTTCTTTCAAGGAACTTCTATGATAACTTTACCTTCTTGTTTCTTGAATTTGCAAAACATGTGGTTCTTTGTGAATAGTTTACAGACTCGGATGATATTCAATTTCTAATGCGTTGCTCTTGAGAATCGCGTTTCGAAGCTAGTCATACGACGAATATATAAATAGCCAGTCTTTCTTCACTCTGCTCAGATTTTTTCAATCTTATTTTCAGATTTCTAAATGATACTAAAAAAGCTAATTTTCTTATTTTCCACACTAACAATTGCTTTTCGAATTGAAGTTTTACATAAACTTTTTGACCGCTGCATATCATGTAAGTAAAATACAAATTGAATTGCACGAAAGACATTTTCTTGAAGGGAGAGTCAATCAGATAACTGAGACACTGGACGTTGAATTCTTGGATTTCCAGAAAATTGAAGAAGAATGCCTTCAAGTTTTGGAAACGTATCTGAAGAGAAGGAGAGCTGAGCTTAAACTTCGAGATACTGACAATAAATGAATTATTCTATAATTTATGACTATATTTCGAAGGCTATTGTATCCAATTACTGAAACTGTAAAATTTTCCTGTATTAAAAATCATGAGCGAAAATCTTGTTTTCAAAAAGGATCTTTTTTCTACGTAACTATTCAAGAGTTCAATGCAGATGGCTAACTAGTAAGAAATGATCGCGAAGATAGTCACCTGCCGTGTGAGATACAGTCGATCGCCCGCTGAGCGCGCACGTAGCACCCTCTTTTGGGCACTCTTCCGAAACTGGTATAAAGTCTCACACGGGCTACGATATCAGCAAAAAAAAATATGAAAGACGTTTCAATCTTGAAGCTTGAAAATCTTCGATCACATCCTGATGCCCAACTTCGAGTTATGGAGACAGATGATGCATATCACCTGCGTCTCTCATGCCATTGTGCTACAAAAATTGGTATTCCTGATCACCTCTTCAAAGAAGCCATCTTTTGGCTAACAGCGCTTTGTGGCGGAAAATTCATCAAGTTGGAAGAGTCTCATTGGAAAGATCCTCATTTCAAGGCGACTTCTCATCTCTTCTGCGAGAAAGACCCAAACCAGGTGTTGAACATTTTGGCCCTCGTCTCTCAACGAAAAAAAGCCATGATGATAAATTCCGATCCACGTGCCATCCCGTACAAACTTGGAAGCAATATGCTTTGGAAAGTGATGCTCAAAATGATTTTCAGCGGGCCAGACATTTGCCTCGTACATGCCTTCCAAGAATTCATTGTTTCTCCAGAAGATTGGGCGGAGATGAACGAAATTCAACATGGTAAATACCAAGATATTTTCTACGAAAAGAAGAAAGCCAAGAAAGCAGCAGGTCTTCCGACTTCAGTGAAAGAAGCCCTCCAGAAGGCAAACAACAAAAAAGCGCAGTCTGTCGATTCGCAAGAACCCAACGTTACCAACAAACCATCAAAGAATAAGAAGAACAAGAAAAACAAGAAGAAGCCGAATCGAGGAAAAGCTCCCAACAACATCCGCAAGACGAAGAAACCAACCAAACTTTGAACTCTGTACCATTCACTGTGCTCATCAAGCTGTTTTTAATCTGGTCCCAAAAATAGAAATAAATGCATAACAATATTATGAATATTATATTCAAAATTAATATCTCGACCTTTCTCGAGGAAAGGTTCTTCCTGGCTCTGGAATTGTGAATGATATTCCATCCTGTGCTGACCCTCGTCAATCTCTGCGAGTTTATCTCGGACGAATGAACTTATCAGAGAAGAAAGAAAAAGGTTATCAACCAAAACCACCAATTCAAATCCGAAAATTTCATGGAGTCCGACTTCAACCGATCAAGCCTATAAAACCATTTCAACCAATTTCCACCGAGAGAAAGATCGCTAAAAAGGAAGAAAAGCAAAAGAGACGATCGATTCTTGATTTTCCTGATCCAAAGTTACCTGATTTATAAGAAAAACGCTCAATAAAAACGATATACAAATTCATGTATTGAAAAATTAGCACAATGAGTATTTGAGGAGATTGAACAAGGAGAAGAAGCGAATGAAAAAACCTCAACCTATTTTGTATTCATGTAGCGCTTGGAAAGAGATGGCGTCTTTTCGTAATCACGTGATATCGCGTTAATTTTCGCCCAGCGGTTTTTGATGGTCTGCATTCTTAGATCTTCGTCTTTTTTAGCTTTAGAAATTAACAACAAATTGCAAGCGAGCTTCGATAAAAAGCTTTCCTTTGGTAGGTTTTCTTCGATCCGCATACAGCCTGTTCAAACTTCCCAACTGAGCAGGGTCCATTTGATATCTCGGCATGATGGAGCTTTGATATGACATCATTGACACTGGTCGATCTCCAGCGACAGATTGAATGCCATCTAGATCATTACGTCAAGAGCTGTTGAATTCTCGTAAATAAGATAATCTTGCCTAAGTTATACGAGTCTGACGTGAGAAGTGAGCAACTGTCATCGAAGGAATCAGAGTCATTGGCACCATCTTTGACGAAGGGCCCACCTGGCGCGTCTGAAATTATGTTTCTCCATTATATATAATATCACAAAGTAGAGCTTACCGTTTTGACAGTAAGGTCTTTCTCCAACAAAATGAAAGACTCCATCGTTGAAAGGCACTCCACAAACGCAGCAGCAAAAACATTTGAGGTGCCAAGTCTGATTCAGAGCATGCATTATGTCCTAAAAAGTAATTGTTTCCGTGTTTCTCCTAATTAATTGAAAGCTCACCCCAATTATTTTCAGACCGCATTTCGAGCAAGAATATGCCATTTCGTCTTCATAGCATTTTCGACAGTAGGGACTGCCATTTTCTTCTATGTATCCGTGTAGATCTAATCGCATAGAGCATCCTTGGACTAGAATTTATTGAAGAACCAAAAAATCGAAAAAGAATAGTTACTGGAGCATTTGAAGCATTCTGGATGCCAGTGTTGCCCCATCGCTGTGAAAAATTTTCCACTAAAATCTTCGTAAAACGATTAAAAACAATATTGCTCACTCAATAATTTGTTTGCACTGGAAGCAGATGACGACTTTACTGTCAGACGGCTCCGGGGTGGGATTGTGGTAAACTTGTGACATGCCAGCCATCTGAGAGGGGCTGCTATTTCCGTTCGATGCACCTTGCTGCTTACCACGGCCTAGCCACGTGCTAAGATTGTCGGCCTTTTGACTTGGCGGGGAGTTAACGGGCGGTGATAAAGGTTGATTGCCAAAACTACTCTCAGAGGGCGACCTTGTGGATACTGAGAAGGAAAATTGTCGTTCTGGAGTTCTTAACGGATTTTCAAGCGATATGAAATTGACACTAACTCACTGTTGTGGCCACTTTGGAGCCATTGAAACCTCTTTGACGAGAGGAGATGTCACCGTCTTTGGAACAGGTCTAGAAACGGTCTTTGTAACGGGCGAACTTGGTGCAGTTGGCTTTGGAATATGTGCACTGGCCGGTCGGACTGAAGGAGTGATGGAAGGTTTGAGGGGTGGAGGCTTTGATGGTTGGGTTATTTGTGCACTTGAAGGTCTGTTGATTGTTTGCATCTTTTTGGCGTGAATTGGCGACTGGGGGCGAGATCCAGTCTGATTATTGATTGTCTTAGTTTGACGAGAACGAATTAAAAGTACCATATTGAGGATATGAACATTTCTTGCTCCAGGAGTTCCAGGAGTACCTGGCGCTTTCGGATTTTCGTAATTTTGATAATTTCCCATCGATTTTTGCGTTGGCATGGCTTTGATTTGTTTCGTCAATGTGAAATTGAGATGCTGATTCTATTCAGTTAGTGGCATCAGTAAATAAAGATTGAAAACGAAACTAGAGGCTCAAGACTTGGGCGACGGGAAGCAGTTGTACTTGTTGACCCTGTACTTTTATCGAGCGTCAAATTTAGTGAGAAACCAGTACTTTTGATCAGCCGCTGAGCTTCAGTATGTGTCAATAATGAGGCGTCTTTTCCATTTATTTGTAGAATAACTTCGATAGTTCTTTACTATCGAGTAAATTTTTTTGAAAAAATTAGTTTTCGAGCTTTCCTTCATTTTGTTTGATTCCAGCTACATGAGCTTTACCGTTTTGTGTTACTCCGGAAATAGAAAGAGGAGCTTTGTATTCATAACCGCCTGTGATTCTTATTCCCCACGGGCTTCCACCTTAATATTTATAAAAAAACGAGCCTAGAAATTCTCATTACCTGTCAGTGTCAGCGCATAAGGATCAGAAACTGGCATTTCTTCGTATAAAAATCTCTAGAAAAAAAGCAAAGAAGGGAGTTGTCAGGTCACTGTAGGTGCTTCAGTTGGGACTTGCTTAGACTCAGTCACCAAAAATCGCGCACAGGGCCCTTTTGACACATTGCCTACTATCAATCACGAACGAAAACATGCATGAAATGGCTAAGGTCACGTTTAAATCTACTCTACTGCCCTATTTTTAGCTTTGACGAAAATTCTAAAAGGAAATATATAAACAAGCTGTTTATTCACAGAAACAATGCAGCAGAAAAATTGTAGTTTTTTCTCCTTTGTCAAGTTTGGTTGTAAACGCCTTAGCCAGTCCAGAGACTCTGTCCGTCAGTAGAAAGGGTTTGTTCACCGACACACTGCCCTTTCTCGTGGATAAGACCTTCAGCATCGCAGCATTTGGTCAACGAGTTGTAACGGGATGTAAGTCCAGTGAGTGGATTCACACAGCATTTTCCTATAAAACGGAGTTGGAAATTTTTTTTCTTTGCAAAAGTCATACCTTCGTAATTTTCCCCAGTTTCCTCCAAACACTGTTCTTCTGGCTCCCAGTTTGAATGAACCGCTGAATTCTTCGTATCCCAAGTTGAAGCTCGAAGACCCATGTACTGGGCAAATTGCAAATCACACTCGCACATTGCTCGTCGACAAGTTGAAATTGACTGGACGCATTGATACTGCCCTTCTTCGAGAACAACGCGATACTTGAGGTTTTGACTGGTGCATTCTTCGCCATAAATGTCTTTGGCGCACTTCAAAAGTTCTCACTTATTTTTTTCAAATTTATACTAAATTTTTTCTCGTGGAACGTTTCTTTAGACATTGTCGCCACTGACTACACCCTAAAAATACTTCAAGAAAGCTCATATTTTCAGCTCGCATACCCTTATCGAGTCCATCTTTAGCTCTTCCAAGGCCATCATGATATCGATCCAGATTTCCGCGACACTGACATCCGTAATCTGTCAAATACTCCGAAGAAACATTCCAGTTTTCATTGTAAAAATTCATCATCTCAACAAGGTCGTCATAATTCTTGTCATCGTTGACCATCTGCCTGTTTGTCTATTGAGAAATTGAAACTTTCAGCAAAGAAATATGCATTTTTACCTGTAAACCAGGTCTCGCTCTGGCTCTTCCGAATTCACTGAAATTAAAGCTCTGACTCTCAGAGTACGAATAGTCGTACTCAACGATAGTAGCGTGAGCGGGCGAGAAGGCGAGAAAAAAGGCTGAAAATCTGAATCTCTTTGGAATCATGTTCTAGGCGCTAAATGGCAAACGTGTTCTATCGACGCGCTTTTATGCTTCTTGGTCGATTCAGAGGCATGTTCCAATTACTCGGGAAATCTGCTCCTTGAAATTTTACGCGGTCATCTCTACAATTTGATTAATTACTTTCCACCGGAAAGAAGGTTTATAGCGGTATCTTAGAAGAAATGACTAGCGATGGCTAGAAATTAACTGCTTTGAACAAATAATATTTGTCCCTTTTATCGTACCTGTAGAACGGTATCAAGGAGTGCCCGCTTCTCCTTCCCGATTTCCGTGTGCAAACTGAGAGTGAAACAAAAGAAGCCGCTACAGTAAAATCAACACAGATGATTTGATAGATAGATTCATTCGAGAGCTAGAAAATGTTTGGTCACCATGTTTTCGATGAGCGCTGGATACGAGTTTTAGAGAGTGTGGAAGTACCGGCTGAAGATCGTTTTGACAATGGACAAGAACCCACCGAGCAAGGATAGTTTCATTCGTATTTGAAATCAGTTTGATTTCGAAAGAAAAAAACTTGGATAGAAAAAATGCGTATTCCTTCAATTTATGGTTTGTACGAAAGACTCAAGGTTCTCGTTGACATGCTCAAAATAAAAGTAACGTATACTGACCTACTCCAACTCGTCGAAGGAAGAGTTGCGTAAATGAAATTATTTCATACATCTTTACACATCGAGACTTGAACAAGATCATTTGAGCGTCTGCCACGGCGATCCGGATTTCTACGACTCCTCAATTTTGGCCGTTCTAAAGACAAGAATGCCCAAGATCATCCTCGAAAAACTCTGTCGCCTTCTTTTCGAAGAAATTTCATTGAACAAAGTGTACATCACCCCGCAAGATCTTGGTGCATTTCACCGCAAAAATAAGATCAAAATTTCCGCCAAAGAAATCCGGATGATCATTCACGAGATCGATCGAAGGTAATAATAGATAATTTAAAGGAAAATATCCATATCTTTAGTAAGGAAGCGAAGATTTCCTTCGAGGACTTCTCCGCTTTTTTGGCTCGTGACACAATGGAAGAATTCGAAGAGGCGAAGAAACGAATCGAATCTGTTTCAAGTGATAAAACCCAATAATTAGCAAAATATACTCAATTCTGAATAATCTTGTTTGTTTGTCAAGAAAATGTTTTAGGGAACAATTACTCAATTGTCAATTTGACAATTGATTGTAAGGAGTCTGCTAAACTGCCTTTTCCCACTGGAAGAATGCCTGCTAATCTCTAAGGACAACAAGGAAGAGTCGGTAGTAGAGTAATCGTTGCTGTATATTTTGTAAAGAAAAGTTGGAAATAAATAACGAGTTGCTCGGAGGAGGTAAAAGTTACGAATGCCACTTCTGATCGAGCTCGACCGGAGTTGCGCTCGATCAGATAATGATAACGTGGGCGAGAGTCTAGCAAACCCTATACTCCCCCTGAGACTTGAGCATATGATAAAAATAGTGGCAGGAATAGACTTTGACGCATCTAATGAACAGGATCTTGAGAAAGTGCTACATTCTGGATTCGATTCTGCGTTAAAAAACCACGTGGGAGAAAAAGCATGAATCTAGACCAAAATATGTAGAGTAGCTCTTCTAGCGATGGCGAGCGGGCGAATCGGCTGGATCAGGGATTGTGCTCAATAAATGGTCGGCGACGGTACTGTAGTGATAAAGTCTAACCTTTTCAGGCCCCGGTCGATGATACAGAGCGAGCTCTGTTGGACCTGAAGGGGCAGCATTTTTCGCATAGTTGTAGCTCTTGCTGCTGGAGCTGTTGAAGTTCATCGGTTGAACTGGGGTTTTCACTCGAGATGATGTCCGCGGCGCTTTCGAATGCAGTTCGACAACTGTACTGTTCGGAGAAGCTTCGGGTCGAGTACGCTTTTGACGTCGTTTTTGCACTGGAGTGGGTCTCTTTTGTGATTCGACATTTTCTGACGTATTATTTAAATCTGCCACATCACGCGACTTGACATCTAAGTTCTGGGTAGATAGAGCTTGAGAATGGGCTGAATCGAAAATGGTGCTTTCCCCGGTGGTTCCACCAGTAGTATCATCCGCGACATATTTCACAGGCGAGATATCTGGGTTGATAGTCTGAACCTGAGACCTTTTGACGGGCGTATAACTCCTCTCCCCCTGAGACGATGAACCCGATTGAGTTGATTTCTTTGGAGGTGGAATTCGCGGTTGAGCTATTTGATGAGCCTTCGACTTGATAGTCGAGGTGAGGTGAGGAAACTACGGTCCATTTCGAAATCGTCGATGAATCTCAAATTGTCGAGTCGTCGAGAAGCGTGACCACTGTGCTCGGTGATGCTGGCCAAAGCTAAATCCGGCATCTTACCGTTTTGTAGAAAGAGCAGATGGCGACGATCGGAATGCAGGTAGAAGTGGCGTCCATTTAGCATCATCTCCGGACACTCGCATCCCCATTCAATCGCAAAGTGTTCTTTGTGAGTGTTGGAATCCGCGGCTAACCAATATGCCCATTTTGGAGGGCGAGCCAATCGCATTTGTAGCTCCTGTAGCGCGAGATTCGCGTTTTGTGGCCATTTGGAAACGGCTGTGTCAGTCGCCGAGTTTCTGACTGAGTAAAGTGGCACAATGCGATGAGAAAAGCTGTCTGTTGCGTTCTTTTCTCCCACTGTCGTTTCAAAAAATGGTCGAACCCAAAGAGGCTCAATTACCGACGTGAGTTCCTTTAAGTTCCCTGGGGGTTCCATCATCCGCGGTTTCAACAGATTTTCTGGGCCTGGCCTAGCCTCAGACTGCGCGGTGTCTCGGCCAAGGAGTCTCGCCGGTGGGGGTCCTTTTGTTTCCGCCCCGAACGGAAAATTTCCCGGTTGACCATTCCGAAGCAGCGAAGCCTCATCTTCCTGTTGTGACTTGTCGCTATTGTCCGGAAATGTGATGTTTAGCACCTCTTTTACTCGCTTCGCTGGGCATCCTTGGTCACGGGAGTTTGGTGATGCAGCTAACGTAAACTTTTTGTTGTCCGCGGTAACGTTTGTAGCTTTAGATCGCTCATTGTGGGTGATTCGGAAACATTTGACTCGACTTTGAGCCACACCCTTGAGTTTTATCGTTTGGGACTTTGTCTTCGTAACAGAGTTGTCGAAATATAACGTAAGAGTTCTTAACTTGTTGTCGACGGCGAGTCCGTCAATCGCCGCGTTGTCGAGAACGTCTCTGCCCAGTAGATTCGGAAAACCGGCGGGCGTAACCACCAGTTCGACCTTGATTTGTGGTCCATCGTTGAAGGAGAACCGGCAATCCAGTAAACCAAGTGGCCTTTGCGGCGGTGACTTGGGGTCGAATCCAGAAATGTCGAATGGGCAGGGTTGAAGTTGTTTGAGGATTTGGTCGGGTACGCAATCGACTGAAACTGTAGAAGAAGCAGCTCCACTGTCCACCTCCATCATGGTGTCAAAACTGTTAGAGCCCACCATGATGGTTGTAGCTGCGAAGTTGGACTTGATTGAATTCTTCGACTTCAGTTGATAGTATTGGAAGGGTTCCAGTTGTTCTTCAATTGTCGTTTTCATCACTTTCCTTTCGGATTTGTCGTCGCAGTCGGTATCTTCGCTATTCGAGTTTCCGTCTTTCGGGCTCTTCTTTCGCCTGTTCCATCTACCGCCTTTCTTCTTTTGGAAGTTGACGGAGACAGAGGTATCAACTCTGTTTTGGATGGTTTGTTGTGCCAGACGAGCAAGTTCCTTTATTGAGAAGACGTTGCTCAGGGAAGGAGAAATCTGGTTGAAAACTTCAGGCTCGTTGGATCGTAACTGAAGATAGAGCAGCATGGCTTCTATGACTTCGAAGACATCATCGGCTTCTAGGTCTCGATTTTTGTGAGATTTGAAAGCGGCTTTAATCGCCCCTCTCGCCTCTCTCATCTTTTTCTGGACTTCCGCGGCGTAGTGCGCGGTTGGCTTCGTAGGGTCGAATTCGATGTCCCATACTTCGGATAAGGAGAGGAAGAAGTGGCTTCTATCGCCGAAATTTTTTCTAGAATTGTCTTTGCGTCTTCCCAGGTTGAGCACTGGAGGATTTCTTCACCGATCTGTCGTTCGATGGAGATATCGAGGTGTGAGTAAACGCAGTTCAAGAATGGTTGTAGTCTGCTTGCGTGACCTTCGACGTGTGCTTTGTAAAATATTGAAAGTCGGCCCAGGAAGTTCGTAAATTCTGCGTGTGAACTTCCATCGAGTTTGGAGGTGTCTGTCATGTATCGTGTAAATGTGGCTGTGATGTGAGCTTCTTCTCGATAATCCGCGGTTGTTTGGTGACCTTGGGCGAAAGACTGGGAACGGTTGAGTTCGTGTTTGCAGAGGGTTCCCATCATTTGGTTTATCCGGTCCCGTTCCAAGATGTTTTTGTTGATAATCGGACGCAAGACTGGCTCTTTCGCCGGGTCAGCTTGTATCTGACTCTCAAGGTCGCGGTTCATGTCCAGAAGTAGTGAGATTCGGACGCCCGCTTCGTATATTGATCCCGGATCGTTGTCGGTCATAGCTCAAAATGTGCGAAGTCACGAGATCTTGATCAAAAGTTTTACCTTTTGGGCCCTCAGAAATAGCCAGCAACTTTTTACGGTTACTGACAATGACGCTGAGGTGCCGATGTACGCGTTGTCGATCTCGGAGTTCTTGTCTTCTCTTGGCAAATTTTCTCTTGCTGGAAGTGTTTTCGTAAAATTCTCTGTCTTCTGTGTTTTTGTTTTAGTTTCCGCGGCTTTGTGTCTTCTGATTATTTTCAGAGTGAGTGGTGTTTCGTTTTCGCGTGTGTAGGTGGGCGTTGCGTCACTTGTCCGCGGCGGGGCCTAGGCGGCGGCGTGGTGGCGCGCGCGAGGTGTTGGAGGTGTGTGTGTGGTGAGCGAAGGAGTGGCGCGGGCGTGTTCCGTTGCTCGGTGCGTGGGTTTGTTGTTTTATTCTCGCGGCGATTTCGGATGGCGGTGATCAGGGCCAACGGAATTTTTGTGCGCGGCGAGAATTTCTGTTTTCGTAATTTTCGTAATTTTCTCTTGAAACGGCGTTTCTAGCGGTTCCAAGGAAAATTAGGAGTTGATTCGTAATCCGCGGTCTCTGATTGGTCGAAACGGCGAAATTTACTCGTCGGAGAAGTCGTCACTTTTCCAGAATCTGGGTCTTCTTGACACCACTGTAAGAAGTCTGCTAAACTGCCTTTTCCCACTGGAAGAATGCCTGCTAATCTCTAAGGACAACAAGGAAGAGTCGGTAGTAGAGTAATCGTTGCTGTATATTTTGTAAAGAAAAGTTGGAAATAAATAACGAGTTGCTCGGAGGAGGTAAAAGTTACGAATGCCACTTCTGATCGAGCTCGACCGGAGTTGCGCTCGATCAGATAATGATAACGTGGGCGAGAGTCTAGCAAACCCTATAGATTTTACTGCTGAACAACATGGTTTTGCTTGACTTGCTGTTCATGTTGAGCAAGAGCGCAGAAAGTACAGCACCATGCGGTCATCACATCACTAAAATATTCGCATCATTCAGAAAACCGCTCAAGAACTTACGAAAAAGCATCCTTTCGAATTCCATATTTGTCTTTTGTTTCTGAGCGTTGCTTGAAAGTGACAACAGTTACAATCTGAATGAATTTAAATTGTATAAAAATGAAGCATTTTCATACGATTCTTGAAACGGGAATCATGAACCAAGTGGGGATCCCAAAGATCTGCATCATTCCAGCAGCGAAGCTCAGAACTCCAGCGATTAAATAGCTGACTGTTCGAGGCATGGCTTTTCGACATTATCAAAAATAGTCTCTCGTCGACCACAAGAAATTTTTAGAACGCTTCCTTTAGTTTGATCAAGCACGACTTGCGTGTCATAAACTGACCAGCATGGGATGAAAAATGCTTTCAGACAGATTCCGAAATCGTTGAAGCAGCCAAACAATCCGTTTGAAAACCTTGGTTCTGACACAATTATCGTTTGCTGTTGCTGGACATAAATTGGTTGAGTTCCAGCCGGCGGAATGGCAGCTGAAAGTTTTTCATGGCAATTTTCTGCTGTTTCTACCTGATGGTTGCACTAAAACTGGTCTCTGAGCAACATTAGGTGCGATGCTTTGCGGTTGAATTGAGAAAATATCCTGATTGACCTGATTTTTATCCATGGTTTACCCTCTTTTGAGACTGTTTCGAACTTCATTTTAGATATATAATATTTAAGATTTGTATCCAGGTGAGATTTTTTTTCAAAGAGCAAATAAAACGATTTTTTTCAAAGATGCTATAGTGTTTATTTGCTGAGTCCACCATTTTTATGTCAGTACTATTCGTTTGATAAAAATTCCACTATCCGTACCCAGTGTACGATTTCCGGCAATGGATCGGTGGTGTCATAGCTTCGGGCAACAGCGCCAAAATCGAATCTAATAACACAAAAAATCACTTCTCTAGTATAATAAAAACGCATAATTATGCTAAAACTAACTTTTCTCGTCTACGCGCCACACTCCATGCCACTTGGGTTTTTACTCGACAGATGCAGTACTTAGTTAAGAAACTGTACTAAAAGAGAGAAAGTGAAAACCCCAAAAGAAAGCTTCTCGGCGATTTTAAAACACTGACGGATTGGATGACATCATTGATTGAAAGAGTCGAAGAGATTGTTCCGAAATGGCAGAGAGGTCAAATGTCAAAGCATCATCGAGTTTTGCCTGTTTTATACAATATGTAGGGCATGAAAAACGTCAAAACAGGCTTATGTATAATATTTATTCAATTCCAGGGCTGGTAAAAACACAAAAGTCGGAACACCAACACTTCCCGAAGCAATGAAAACAGCCGTTGCGAAGATGGCTCCAGATCGACACGTGGCGAATCGAGTTATTATCCTTGTTTCAGCGATGTATCGCTCGGCTGATATCCAGGAATGGTCCTCTTTTCATTTATACTATAAATTTTATAGCAGCTGCTACTTATTTGATTTTGACCGTTGAAAGGCTGTTAAAGAAATTGTCCAAGAAGAAGGCATCGGTCTTATTTCTGTCGGACTTGATGGATCAGTTGGTGCGATGAAGCCGCTCAAAGGATACGACGTTACTCAAATTCGAGAGCTGAACGGTATTCGCGAGCAGGTAAGTCTGACAAAAGCTCATGCAATTCCTCGTGCTTCTAAAGGTCGAACAATTGCTACAAGGACGAGGCCGCCTGATCCGTCGACAGGTCGACTTCTCGATGAACCGAGGCACTCTTCGTCGTTCAAGTTCTACCGAGCTTGAGAACATCGCTGACCTAACTCACTTACAAGAAGTGACAACAGAAGCAGAAGAATGATCGCTATGAAATCCATTTGCCAACCTCAAATTCAATAAAATTTATACAGTATAAATTATACTCATTCATTTTTGCTCTCCTGTTCAAATATTTATGAAAAAGGTCAATCAACTTGACTTATCCCGCTCTTGCTAGCACCAAAGTGTGACTTTTTGAAGAAAAAATGAAAAACAATAAGTGGGTCATTCGGTCATGATTTTCAATTTTTTGATATTGGCAGTTTCAGGACAGCTTTTCAAAATTTTTCAGGAACCTATTTATCTTTAACAGAAATTTGAATTAATTCATGATGAGAAAATTTTTGAAAGCGATACTGAGCCGCCGACAGGTATTTACCGCCATGGAAATATCACGGAACAGTCTGGCCTCAACCGCAGTCGATGAAAGTTTCAGAGAGCTTCAGTACCGTCGATCCAAATATTCAATTTATACTCTCTGCTGATTCTGAGCATTGTGATATTCTGAATGATCTGTTTGAGAGATATCAGAACCTGATCCGCAGCCATTTCAAATCGCTAGTTTATTCTTACAGCAAGAAATATGGTGACCCCAGTGGCCATGTTGATACAGTCGAAGTGACAGTCAAGAACTGTGAAGTTGTTCCTTCGCAAAGTATGAACGAGAGCTACTCCCTCGATATCGAGGAGGGAAGTAATTTCGTCAAACTAAATGCTGAAGCTGAATGGGCAAGGTTTTCGAATCTAATGAAATCAAGGAAGAGAACTCTTAATTCGAAAGCCTTCCGAAGGGAGTGATCAGAGGTCTTGAATCCTTTGCTCAAATGATTCACCCAATCAACTACGCACCTTCTGTGAATACAACGACGATCACGGATTTTCCCCGATTTCAATTCCGCGGTTTTCTCATCGACACTTCTCGGCATTATCTTCCGATTTCAGCGATTAAGGCTCACATCAGGTGAAAAAGAGTTTTTCAAAAATGTCAGAATTCGACTTTCTAGCGCTCTATCGTGGAATAAATTCAACGTCCTTCATTGGCACATTGTTGACTTAGAGAGCTTCCCTTACGAATCCGAAGTGCTTCCTGAACTGAGCTTCCTGGGCGCTTACACTCCCTCCATGTCTATACGATTAACGAGATCAAAGACATTATCGAGTATGCCCGTCAACGAGGTAACCTGAGTTTTCATGTAATAATAAAAATGCTAAACAACTTCCAGGGATCCGCGTTGTGCCGGAATTCGACACTCCCGGTCACACATCCTCCTGGGGACCCGGCGCTGGTCCAAATTTTTTGACGCGATGTTACGATCAAGATGGCAATCCTGACGGAACTCTTGGCCCGATCAATCCCATCTACGCGGAGAACTATCTCCTAATGAAACGGCTTCTCACTGAAGTAGCCCAGGTCTTCGAAGATGCTTACTTGCACCTTGGCGGAGATGAAGTTCCCTTCGGCTGCTGGAAAAGCAACCCAGATATTACTGAATACATGGCTGCAAATAATATGACAACGTATCCCCAGCTTGAGCAGCAGTGGGTCCAGGGAATGGTCGAAATCGCGGAGAGTTTGAAGAAGCATTATGTTGTCTGGGAAGAGGTGTTTGTCAATGGTGTGAAAATAAACAACAATACTGTCGTTGAGGTAACACTAATAACTGAACGGCACAAATGAAGCAAATGCTTGTAGATTTGGAAGAACCACGACAGTTGAATACAACGATGGAAGCAGTCACAAAATCTGGACACAAGGAATAGTTTCAAATAAACCCGAAGAACTATTCTTTTCAAAGAAAATTTAAATTTTTATCTATTCTTTTCTTGATTTTGAATTCTAACAGGCTCTTCTTGCGTCGCCTTGGTACTTGAACTACATCTCTTACGGCGTCGATTGGCAAAAATACTACGTAGAAGAGCCAACCGCTTTCAACGGAACTGAAGAGCAGAAAAAGCTCGTAATGGGTGGCTCAACTGCAATGTGGGGCGAGTACGTTGACGGAACAAACTTGCTCCAGCGAACGTGGCCTCGCGCGAGTGCTGTCGGTAAGAAGCACTTGAAATTTAGTATTCACACCGCTATCGCCATTTTCCCGTAAATCAAGTGCTTGATCTTCATTTTCTGAACTAGCTACTGTATTCTACAGGGCGTATTAGAATGAATCTGTATTTTTAGCCGAGCGACTGTGGAGCGCAAAAGAAGTAAGAAGCACTCAAACAGCTTTGCCCAGATTGAACGAGTGGCGATGTAGAATGCTAGTGCGTGGCCTCCCAGCTGAACCAGCCATTGCAAATATTAATCTCATGCCTGAATATGGATACTGTCCTACTCCTTATGATCACACCAACGATTACAGTGGTCATTTTTAATTCAAAATAAAGAGATCTTGAGTCAAGATTCTTGACCTATCGTTCTTCTTCGATTTTTATATGAAGAGCAAACTCTATTAATCAAATTTTCAGCTCATCCGGTTAACACCGCCTTTTTACGAGATTCAAGTGGTTTACACCCAAACACGGAAAAGTGATTTTTTGCTTTTAAAATTCGCGGCGCGGTGCTTTTTTCTCCGGAAGAGCTCTCGACGGGCGACTTTGATTTATAAAAGGCCATCGCTGCATAGAATTAGGAAAAGAGGGATTGAGATTCTTATCATCTGCGAGCACTCGTGAAAAGGTTAAAGAGCTCGGATTATGGTGTATCATCGGACTGGTCACTTAGCGCGTCCATCATCCCGTGAGAAGGTCGCACGAAAATATTAATACCGTTTTTACTCGATTTGCAAATAGCAAACTTCTATGTATTCTCTTTATTTTATAACCGGTCAGTTTGTTAGTAAGCGAAAATTAATAACGGAACGAGCCATAATTCTATGAAGACAGAAACGAACCATTATTTCTGTAATTTTATGGAAGGGAGCTATCACTCTTTATAATCTTGGATCGATCTATTTTTCAGCATAAATACGAAAGAAGGAAAATTCTTTTCACACAGTGATTTGTAAGAATAAAATGACTTTTTCTCAATTTTTTTACCCCTTCCAATAAAACGAATTTTTAAAAATGTTCAAACGCTACATAAAATACTATTTTTTCTGTTATTAAATGAACCCGATATTTTCGATTTATTAAATACGTTTGACTCGTGGAAATTATGAATAAAATTCTTATTATTTATTGTGCGATTATTATCGACACAATGTCGAAGATGCAAACTTCTTGGAGTATCTTGAGAGGTTTTAATTCTTGAAAAAAGTCTGCCAAAAACAGTAACCCTTGGCATTGAAATTTCATAAATTTTTTATGCTTTGGGTCAACTGGATTAACTGCGGGGCCGAGCATTCGGCGCAGGTACAAATGCCGGCGAAACAATGCGCATGTCGAGCCAAGGGATTAATGGAAGTGTGGCTATTTACGAAGCGCTAAAAATACGCTCCCCTCAAAAAATAGACCCGATATATTACCAAGGGGCGTAAATATACCCACGTCGGCTTGATTAACGAGCGGGGCTAGAATTAACGAGCCGCCGATTTCTTCTTCGGTACAGAAATAGAGGCACTTCCTTGAGTTTGAAACAGATTCAAATTTTGATCGAGCACCGGAAAATGAGCTTAGCGAGGGTGCTCAAAGAAGAGCTTATAACTTTTTTCAAGGCCTCAAAAGTTGAGTGAACGAGTTGATATCCCTTTTCCGCCGAAATCGCATTTTTGTAATTGCCGCCTTGAGAAACTTGATTTTGAGTGGTTGAAATCAATTTTCAATTTTTTTTTGTTGAGAAAAACATTTTCGAGTAAAAACAATCACTTGTCTATTTACAGAAAATGCCAGTAGATTAGGTTCGCCTGCTGGATCGACAGATTGTGGCTTTATTTTCTACCCGCATACAGATGAATGTCAAGTAGACAAGATTCTTCTGCAATCAAAATCTGGAGAAATAAATATTAAATTAATAATCAAATTCGAACCCTCTCTTCTTCCTTCTGTAAGACTTACACGGTGGAACTTGTAAAGGTCACTCTTAATTTTTTTACTTCATTCTTTCGGTTGAACATAAGTGGACTAAAATTTAATCCGGACTTGTTACGCGAAGCGCAATAAAAGAGCATCGAATTGAGCGACGTCCGCGTTTTGATCAAAGCGCATCAACGATCCATCACTGTAACACTGTTCATTCGCAATCCTTGCGAAAGGGAAGCCAGCAGAGTCTTGTGCCCACATTTTATCTTCAAAAATTGACCTACAAATTAGATTCCTACATTTTCTCAATTCAAAGTAAAAAATAAATTGGGAGTTTATTTGTTTAGATAATAATAAAAGTTCTGAACTCCTATTTGATTGAAGCCTCTGAATCAGTTAAATAAATTTGTGAGTTTTGATTTTACGCTTTTTGTTAGGGTTTTCACTCTTTATTTCTGATTCTTGGGCAAAATTTGCTATTTCCACTGTTTTCGTTAATTTCTAATTATAAAGAAAATTTGTTTACAAAAAATATAAATTACAACAATCTCTTCCTTGATATCACTAGCCACTTCCAATTTACAAAACTCTCACTTCCCAAAATATCAACAAGCCTTTTTTCTTTGAAATCGCCGCGCTAAATGCATGTCAAAAGGCAGTACCTAAAAATTCCAAATCACACATTTTACAATGTTGAAAAGTTTCGGCTCCGTGTCAGTATCATGAAGAAATGCGCGTCCTGTGATCGTGCCGCGCTAGTTCGTCTTAAATGAGCGCCTAGTGCGATGTACTGGCACTTGTCAGAGTCAGTTGCTTCCTGTAGCCGCGTTCTCGTGCATTTCTGAGGAGCGCTCTGCCAGGTGGCGTTGCAGCGCCAAGGAGCAGCGCTAAACTTGCGCCGCGAAAAACGCGCTGCGCTCAACGCACTAAACAACGATAGTAGCTACTGACGATTTTTTACAGAGATAAACCCTTTTACATCGACCTTATTAAATAAACAAATAAAGAAAAAAATCGACGCTCAAATAATTTACAAGAAAAAGAAGCAAGAGATCAAAGAAAAATGAAACTCGGCGGCCTTGGACTTTTGGTAAGCAAAAATATTCATTTGGCTTCTTAGGCCTTACTAGGATTAGGGTTAGAGGGAACCCTTTTTAGTCAAATGAGTTCAGTTTAAATTTGATTAAAACCGTTCCTTTGAAAGTTTAACTTTCCAGTCACTCCTTTCTATTAATATCAAATTAACTTGAACTAATCTTTGCGACCGAAAGGTGTCCCTTTGAATACGGAATATTTGAACTGCCATTGAATAGAAAACTGCCTAATGAGTCGAGCTCACTTTTTGGGGGAGCATTAATTCGCGCATCAATTATAGCCTTGACGTGCCCAAATCTACTCGCCGCACGTTTTATACTCCCAAGTGACCTTTATATCGCTCTGTTTGTATAATGGCAGTAATCCCTTCTTTGGACAGTTCGTTTCTAAAAAGCATCGATCGCTAAAGAGTATCAAAAACAAAATAGTCAATTCATGAAGATTATTCTGATCGGATAATATTAAATTTTCTAATATTTCAATATTAACCAATATGATGAAAAAGCCGCGTCATTATCGAAACTTGAAGTTATCAAAAATGTATCGACTGAAACCGAACCTGTCAAATATTTTTGTTTTGACAAATTGACTTCATTCTTTTTCAAATGAAAGACTCTTTAGACTCTTTAGATAAGACGAAAACTTAAATAAAATATCGATTTTTGAAATTAAAAAGCTACAGAAAAGTCTTAAAATAAGACTATCCTTCACTTAACTCAAATAACTACCCTAGGAAATCAAAAAAATTTTCGTAAATTGCAATTTTAATAGATAGTTTCGCGAAAATCACAAATTTCCCGCGAACTTTTTGCGATTTCTTGCTCATCGAATATCAAAAAGCAGCTTCATTACTTTCGCATCACCTTGTCGGCTTATCGGCTTCGTTTTTTTTTTCACGATGATGATCACCGGAAATGACCATTTTGTGCGTTCCGCGGTGGAAAATCGAAAAAAGAAGCGAGCCTTCGATCACAATTTAACCGTGACATGCGATCGAGGACCGACACTCTTTTTGAACTTCTTGGAGGCCGCAGTTTTTTTTTCCTTTTGATGAGGGGGAGCATTTTTAGTAGGAAGAAGAGAAATTGTCCGGAAGTGTTTGGCGAGGCACCCCTCGAGCTCGCGACACGACAAACAATAAATGAATAGATTGGATAGCACTTCTGATGTTTGGGATACATAGGCAGGCAAATTTGAGGGAAAGAAGAAAGAGTGGTTTTCTTCACACTGATTTATAAAAATCTTCAGACATTTTCTCCATCTTTTTATTTTCAAGATCGTTTTTGGTTATTATTCGAGGATTCGGTAAATTTTTTTTGGCTGCGTAAAACGATTCTCGTTTCTTATTGGCTAAAAGCCCCCATCTTCTATAGATAGTCAAGTTCATTTCAAGGCAAATCTATCTCCTTCTGACTTTCCAGAATCTGTAAGATGTCTGAATGATTCAAATTACCGCATCTTTCCCTGCTTGTACATATTTAAATACAGTGATTTGTGATCCTTCTGGCGTCATATGTTACATTACATACATTCTGACCCGCCAACTGTCGAAGAAATTAGCAGCGGTCGGGTGCGATTTATCAACCCAACTCAGCGTAAACTATTTGACCCTACAGGTGGACGGGGCTTGCGCTTCCATCGAATGATCCATAAATAATAACAGCTCTTGAAAAGTGGTTCAAAACGTGTGTCCTCCAGCTTTTACCGTTGCTGGAATGCTAATTGCTCACTTTTTGGACTAAATAATCAACGCTTCAGCATTTCTTCCTCCTCCTTATTTTTGTATTTTCAAGCCAGATATCCTAAACATTCGGTTTTCTCCCGGACATTTCGCAGCGTAAATCCCCGCGCTCGAGTACTGATCATCCTGCTCGAGCACTTTCTTAGCGCCGCCCTTCATCTTTTCAAGAAAAAAATTTCGATTTCCCTCGATACAACTCTTGGCCACAATTCAGTAAAAAGAGTGTTCGATGCACTTGAGTTTCTCTGTTGCTATTTGCGCCCATTGTTATTGCTCCGTTTTCGAAAATGGTAATTTCAAGGGCCCATGAAGAGGAGCAGCTTATTATTACTCGGGGTGAGAATTAGTTTTGCAAGAAAGGTGGCTTAGTTATGAAATGTTTGGGGCTAAGCGGAATATGGAGATCCACCGGATGATCCGGCCGACGCTTCGGCTCTTCGTAACAATGCCGAATATCTTTGCGCCCAAATAGATGATTCCAGACAGCCGTCACCAACACTTTCTCACGATATTTTGGAAATGAAAAGATTACGCCGAATTTGCGGCTTACCGAAACATAATTATTAAATACCTGCCTATTCATCATAAAAAAGAGCAAAAACGGAGCTCTGCTGTAATTAAGGGATTACCGGTCAATATTGCTCGTAGGAAAAAAGGTTGACCGAAAAGTTAACTCAATAAATTTTCGGCTAATTAGCCACCACGTGTGCGTTTATTTACCCATCTCCGGAGATCTACACCGTGGCTAGCCCAAGCCCATAACCGGTGATTGCCGAGATCGCCGATCCTGCCATTATCCGACATAATTATTATGACGTCGATAAAAAAAGCGCGCGAAATTTGAAACCCTCTCCTCCGCTCCCTTTTTACTTCTCCTCTTTTCTCCGTAAAATGAGTTTTACGGCTCTTGAGAGTTGAGAGTGGCGTTTGAACTTACGGAAAAAACGAGCTGTCATTATGGAAAATGAGGGAGTGAAAAGATCAAACGAGGAGGGTGGTTATTATTTCCTGCGAAAAAAGGCAGTTCAAAGGAAGAGAGTCAGTAAATAAGTCCTTAGACGGAGGAATACAATAGGAATGCTCTCTTCATCGGGAAATGAATGATTAAGGGTATCTGCCGATGGAACTCGTGCCTAAAACCGCGCACCGGACGAGGTTCACACCCAAAGCGATGCATATTTTAAACACATATTGAGAGCACGGCACTTGATCATCACTAAGTGCTGTATTTATCCATCGAAGACAAAGCCATCAGAATTTTCTTCATGAAAATCCGACGCTCGCTGTCGCCAAAAGCCGATTGCGCGGGGAGGGCTGAGCCGCTCTAATTCAAGCTGCTCTGACTTTGACGCATTTTTTGAAGCGAAAGAAAAATGCAAAAGCAAAAGTCTCTATTTTTCGCATAATTTGGCTGTCGTAAGGTGATGAATATAAGCTCACTGGTACAAAAAGAAGCCTCCGGAAGAGGAAGAATTAAAATTTTTGAAGGATTTTGAACATCTGTGCTTCTAAGGGCTTAAGAAAATGCCATAATCATTCCTCGCCAGGCGGATATAATAACACATTGAAAAAGGTCGTATGCACGTGACTATGCATGTTAAACACGGTGCGAAAATGTTTTCACTATATTTTGAAGTCGAAAAGTAGAACGCGGAATTTGTTGAATTCAAAATAACACGCTTTTTTGAAAGGCTAAGTATCAATAAATGCCTCAATTCATTACGGATTTTTCCTAAAAAGCCGCGCTCATCAATAATAAAAGCTTGATAAACTTGGCGCTCATACAAAATCACCATTAATTTTTCCCGAGAAAAAAAACTGCCCACCGAGCAGCTGCTAAATTACTAAGGTATTTATGCTCTACCGTAAATATGGACAGTAAGCGCGTGTGGAGCTGCTATCAATATTTGAGAAGGGGAAGAGCGGAAGTAGAATTTTCTATTTTGCAAATTTCGCATCTGAGCAAACACCAGCTGGCGCAAAGTGATAATCGGCTAATCGAACTGTCATTTATGCATTGTAAACTGTCATTTTCAACATCACCAGATGAAAAATTAGCTAAGAAACTTATCGAAAGCGAAAAGTCTTTGAACCCAAAAATATCTATTTCTCAACCACAAAGAAATAATTAGCTCCGAGCATACGGAAAATAGAAGCGCCCGAATTTCATCCTAATTATTCGCTCCTCAGTCCACTTTTGGCATTGACATTTGGCATGCTAAACATAAATTGCCCCAACACATAAGCCTCTCCAGCCAATATCGACAGTTGATTATAATACCGTATTCTCTCCAGAGACGCCGGCAATCAAAAATCAAAAGATTCTAATTTTCAACTCTCTTTTTCTCAGCTCCAACTAAGGGCGTGATGAAAAAGCTGGATATTTTCAAGAAAACATGCATAAAACTAAGTGTAACAGAGGCAACGCCACTATGATTTTTCCCGAGCCGCCGGAGCGTCGGGAAAATAGATCAGAAAATGCAAAATAGTATTGTCGAAAATAGAAATCAACTTGTTTCAAAAACAATCTGAATCCCTTTTCTTACAGTTTTTCTTTTAGTTTGCAGCACTTTCGCCCAGAAAACTCAATACACTTTGGAAAAGGGATCGACTGGTGATATCAGCTGTTCCTTCCCCGGCGATGTGACGCTGATCAACTTCAAACGCGACAAAGAAGTTCTATGGATCAAGTACGGCGATCAGAACCCTTTCTCAACGAGTAACAACCGCTTTCAATCAATCAGCTCCAGGCACGGGTCACGTGACCTCGCCGAAAAGGTCAATTTGAGGCAATGAGCTTACGCCATGTAATCAGAGAGATAATTAAAAAATATAAGCTCGCCAGGGTGAAAGATTAAGAAGCCGAGTATAGAAAATGAGATCGATACAGCTGGGCAACATCAGACATGCCCTGTGGCCGGAAAAAGGTCACGGGCAATTAAGGCACACTATCTTTGCCAAGGTCTTTTCACAGTTTCTTTACGGTAGTTTTCCTCCAAAAATGAACTTACGGCGACTTGCTTGAAGAATGAGGACTTTTTAATCAGGATGAAAAGTCCTCATTCTTCAATGATCTCGCTGAAAAACCGTAAAGGTTCATAGCTGTCCTAAAGACTTTTAATGTGGAGCAATGATCAAACAGTGTTCCTAATCAAAAATTCTGTTACCGTAAGCTACAGTAATCGATAGTCATTAGTTGATTAAAACGGCGGCTGCGCTCAAGGCAAGCACTCGGAAGAGAGGCATTAAGCTCATCGCCGCGTATCGAGCGGCTCATCCGAGCGGAGCCGTTTAATTTATAAAAAGATCTTCTTGTATTTATTCTAAATCTGAAATATAAAATAATCTGAATCTATTTTTTGATTCAAAGATGGGCGGATAAAATCGGCTGGGCAAAGTGCCCATCTTCCACTTTTAGAAGAAAAAATATAAATATAGAAAAATATGCCGAGCGTATGGGCTGTATATGTAGCATACGGGCGAGTGGATGATCCTTTTCTTAAGGATCTACACTTCGATTATAGCAGACTCTGCTCTCAGACGAGGTAGCACCTGGCTAAGGGTGCGCCTCCCCACCGTTCTCATGGAACATAATGTTCATATTACAGTAGCTCAGGAAAGCGAAAAACATATGTTCGTAAATTTCTCTTTCGGTTTTCTTTTCATCTGCGATTAAAGAAAAAAACTTGGGCACTTAGATGCTTGACAATAAAATCGTTTGTAATCCGGCGATAACCAAATATTGTGACCTCAAAACAAGCTCCAGTTCGAAACTCGACTTACGTATCAACTCGGTGCAGCTGGAGGATGAAAATGTTTATGCTTGTGAAAATCAGCGTGGAGAAGGATACGATATTCATTTAACTGTCACAGGTACTTCGAATTCTCGATCTTTAAAAAATCCTTCAAGGGACTGACTAGAGCTTGAATAGAATTCTAAGCTGCAGCTGGGTTTATCCTCCCTGTAGTAGAATATTCAGCTGTTGGGTAACAGAATTTTCTACCAAAATTCGATTCAACTTCTGGCCTAAGTTTATGTCAGGCGGCGAGTGAATTAAAATAATATTTGGCGAAAAGTGAAAACTAGCTTCTGGCGTTGAACACCGCATCAGCTGGCAGCTTTGCGTTAGTTCCAATCACGTGGAAAAAAAAGAAGGGACTGACCGGTTAGCAGCAGGTGCGGCGACGACCGGGAGGGACCTTTGACAACGTGTTTAGTGTCAACTTAGGCTGTAATGGGTTATCTTATGTAACTAATTTGTGAGAAAAAATATCATGCTTGATAAGAAGCTGCCCAGATTTTTAAAGCCCTTATCTTTGGTGCATTGAATTTTGGTTATAAACAGCATTTTGAGAAAAAGTCAGGGAAAGGGATGGATAAACAAACTGTGATATTTATACTATCCTTCCGCAAGAGTGGGATTGTGTTAACCGCTGCTCTAGAAGTTTTGCGGGTAAATAGACGCGTTCTAGCGCTGATAGAATTGCTTCAAAGATTGATGAAAATTTGGAATGCCACGAGAGTTTAATGGCTGAAAACTTTAATAAGGGGATCCACATCAATCACCAATTTTCTTGTGCACATTTCTTCTAGTGCTAAGATAGTGACGCCCTTATTTTTTGCTTTGTGAAGCCTTCTTCGCCATCATTATTCAATTTTCATAAGTCAGTTTTAAATCCCTTCCCTCTAAAATATCCTAAAGCGCAACGATCCTTGATTTACGATACGAAAGGATTTGCTATGATTATCTTGGTGATAAGCAAAGATGGTGACTTAAAATTTAAGTGAAACCGGAGGTGACAATAGAAGAGGCATCCTCACTCGTTGTGAATAGTGGAGAGGAGTTGCAAATCGGAACTTGTCGCGCTTCCGGAGCCAAACCGCGCCCGCAAATCCAGTGGATCGACGATACGGGAAGAGTTTACCCGGCAAATGAAGATGCTACGTAAGTTATTCAGAATAACTTATTCTGCGAAAAGGGGCTTGCTAGGGAGTGTTTCGAAGAAAAAGGGTTGAAAGAGCAACTTTGGAAAGGAAAAAAGTTTGCTGTAACCAGGATTCGAACCTGGGTTGTCACGGCCACAACGTGAAGTACTAACCACTATACGATTACAGCTCTGACAGGCGACCTCAAAAAATCATTTATCAAAAAATTTTACGAGGTCACTAATTTTTCTGTTTGAGTACTTTTTTGCGTCAACTTTACAGATTTTTTCTGATTGCCCAATTAAAAAATTCCAACCTCAATTAATCATGTTCCAACACAGTCGATCGCCGATATCTGTGACTCACGGGGTCAGTTTTTCAAGTATCGCTGGTTTTTCGGCTGTACCGCAGGTAGCAGATTCAGATAGGACACGCTGTGGTCGATGTTGGTTTAGTGAATCTCCAAATTGCTGGATTCGGAACACACTTTCCTTATCATTTCCTTATCAGCTCTGCTCATTACCTCAAATGTCCGAAATTCAACTATAATTTTAGCAAAAAAGGGAAGCTCATCGACGTTGAGAGCACCTTAATCATCCCCAATTCAAGCAAGGACCACCACGACCGTCGATTCTCCTGCAAGATTTCCCAATCAAACCAGGAAGTAGCCACTTTGGCTGTGGAAAAAAGCGTAAACGTCCGCTGGGCACCAGAAAATACCGACATTATCGGCGCTGAAGAGTTCCTGGAATTGAATGCAGCGGAAATTACCTGTCAAAGTAAGTGCTAATGTACTTAGTTACTGAAACAAACATTTTTGATTACAGGGCGGGTTAAATGTTTGCGTAGCTTTTTTATCAGTCAGATTTTTTCTTCTCAATTAAGATTTTCTAGTGATGGTTTTTTTTTGTTTATTTTTGGATGTTTTTTGATGCTGAATTTCGCTTTTTTCTGAGTAACGGGTTAAGATAAAATTTCTCTTCAAAAAACAATAATCCCGCTTCATAACCTGGATCAGACGTAAAAAACCTGGCATCATGATCCATAAATCCCCTTGAGAATAACGGTAGATATCGGTAAGATGTAACGCGTCCAGCCGGGCTCAGTCCCGAAATCCCACGCCGGCTAAGTACTTGTTTACGATGGCTTATCGCTATTTCTAGTCCGGCTCATTTTGATAAGTGGCCAGGTTCATCTCTAATTCCTCCTGTTTAGGCTCTTCAAATCCTGCTCCGACGTTTTCCTGGTCCGTTGTCGATGCAAATAAGACTCTTGAAACCGATTATGCTCACTGGACGATTTCAGGTAAAAGACTTTACCGGTTGTTTTCAAGTGTTATTCTTCTATGAGAGCTGTTTTACTCAACTATGCGACTTTTCATGTTTTTCCTTTCTTGATCCGCACTGCAAGATTAATCTAACCAGAGTAATGCCTTATGCAAATGAGTATTTTCAGAATAAACAAGAAAATTTTAATTTTAAGTCGGTAGAGCATCTGGTACTCGGGGAGACCTCGAGGGACCGGCTGGTCCTCGAATAGCCGCCTTTGGTGCCAACGGTTTTTGAAGAGCTCTTGAAAATTTTCTCGACGCTAATTGTTAAAATAAGCTTTATTAAAATATTCATTTTTCAATCGTATAAAAACAATTATAATTCCCTAACGCATAATTCGCCAATCCTGGCTTCTCCTGACATAGCCTTATTTTCCATCCTTTCTCCTTTGATCTGTATCAAGTACCGCGATAGTAGCTCTTCATCAATTTTTAAATTTTAGACGACGGCGCCACTCTCCGAACAAACAGCATTCTCGCATCCGACAACAGCGCTGGCTTCCGCTGCATCGCATCAAACGACTTGGCTGAAGAGGCCAAGGACTTTGTCCTCGCCGTCACCGGTAAGTTTGTGTGCCAGAGTGCAGTTTTTTTTCAACAGTTAGACTACCGTTTGGGTAGTAATGACTTACTGATAGTATTTTTTCAAGTGCCTCAGTTTTGTCTAATTTTTCGGTCCATAATAGCCGCTTGCGGCTTTTTCTAGCATCCTTTTTTCGTCTCTTGAACAAGTAAAGCTGAGCACAAGAAAAAATCTATCGTTGTCAATTTGTCGTGCGTAAACTAACATGTGTGTCCATAGAACGTCCTCCCGCGCCCTCTGAGTCCATTTCCGGTAAGTCCGCTTCATTCTCCAATCTTCGGCTTAGCCAGCCTCTATCTCGGCCCACCACGTCAGGAAGCATTGATCTGTACATAATTTCGGCGCCGTGAATTCGCGCGCCGGCGGGTTAAATTTAACCTTCGCGATAATTTCAAGCTTCGTTAGCTCGAACGCACTTGACGTTGACCCGCTTTTTGGTAAACAAAGGGCTTGTTGTGGCTTACACGCTAGAATTTAGTGTTATTATTATTTGGGGTACACTTCCGGCCGCAAGAAAATTCGCGGAATCGCTTCTTTGCGGTCCCGCACGGAGTTAACTTTATTAGCTCATCCCCTCGCGACACATTCTTGTTAACCAGTTGGTAAAAACAAATAACGATACAACAGGGGAATATTTTCAACTAAGGGCCTCGCATTTCTGTTTTCATTATCATTAAAAAATATTATCAAAGCCTTTTTGTAAGAAAACTCTTCTTTGGAGTTAAAGCAGTGATACCCTTATTGTCCAATTAAAAATATATTGGTCAATTAGCTCAGACGAGCTCTTAACGTGTAAGAGCTATAATCTGCTGTGAAGAAAAATTTTGGCAGAAGGAAAATGCTAATGTCGTGTAAATTTCTCGCCCCTATTGTTTTGGCGACAAACGATTTTCAGGGGGATGCAAATTGTAATCCCCGGATTATCCCGCACACTTTTTTGGGTCATCGTGTGAGAGACAGAAATTCAGCCAGAAACCTGCTGTTTCGAGGTCCCGTAAAGACCCTGCTAAGGCGCCAAAAGACCTTTGTCTCAGCCGGCGTGAAAGGAAGATTTTCTCACGCTTCTCTCAAGGGCGCTTTTGATAAGTCTTATCGGAAAAATTACGGAAATGTGATACCGAGACTCTTAAAAATGATCGAAAATGGCAATTTTCTATGCGGCCCTTTAGGAGGAGAAAATTCTACATTTCGGAAAAAATACGTGCTGGTGAATTCTGAGCCAAAAAAGCTAAAAACCAGAAAAAGGGATGAGCCACGGAAATGTCATCGAGCGTAATCTGCGCGAACATGGCGATGTCATGCTCAACGACTTCCGCCTCTAATTTGTACGAATTAGGGTGAAGCACTTTTGGTTGACCCGCAAAAAAACTGGGCAAGGGAAAAAATTTCACAAAATACCAAATTTTGCAATTGACTGGAGACGGGACGGGTTCCACGAGGATTGAGCGCCGTAAAATGTCAATTTTCTCGAGCCTAATTTCAAGGAACTTCCTATTTTGAATATCCAAGCTAAGGGTCTCCCTAAAATTTTTGGCTCCATGGGCTCTGAAATTGACCATCCAAGATAGAGTGTTGACGCCAGGCAAAACGTCTAGCAGACTTTTAAAAGCCCTTGGAATTCGATATTTACGCATACTTCTAGCCCAAACCCACAAGAAAAAGTATTCGCGGCGGATTGTTGTAAGATCAAAGTGGGCTATTGAAATTGTGGGAATGTAGCTGTCAGTTTTCGAATTAAATTGTCCAATTTTGTGCTTGTCGTTTGAGGCGCTGCCAATTTTCCCGGATGGTGCGCTCTCTTTATTTTTTCGTTTTCACTTTCAAGCACCTAATTTTCGCGCCACTGAAGAGCGCCGCACACGTTCCAATTAGTGCGCAATAATTACGTACATTTTGCGAAAATGAAAAGTCCACCGCCGGTAATTTTCGTCGTGCAGGCCCTTATTCTTATCTAGAGCGGCAATTATTGGTTTTAAAAGTTTTTAGACTAGTACTGATGAAAATTTAATCAGAGCCTAACAAACTGAATAGAACACACTAAAAGCATGTTTATTTAATATTTAGAAGTAGATATATTCATACAAATACTTTTCTATTTTTAAATAACCGATGAAATGTTCATTGAAAAAATCCGCGTTCTCCTCCATGATTTCAATAAAATTTTGGGGATTTTTCTGTAAACGATTTTTTTCGCGACAAGGCTTTATTTATGACGAGAAAAATATATGCGACCCTTTTGAATGTAACTGTATTTCCACCTGATCAGGACAGAATGAAGCGAAATAATTAAAAACAGTCTGACGCGCATTTTAATGATTGTTCTTTTTTCATCTGAAAAGCATCAAAACAGGCCCTGATTTATTAATTCATCGTTTTACCTCACTAATTTGTCAGAAGGAGAGACCTAAATGTTCTGTTTTAGATTCGATCAGCGGAGGAGCAGCTAAAAATGCGATGGTCTATTCTATTGCTGCTGTAATTTGCATTGTGCTGTTAATCGCCTTCTGTATTGTTTTGAAGAGGACATGCATAACCAAAAAAGGTAAGAGTCCCTCAATTAGATAATGGTTAATCTTTCAATATTCAAATTTTAACCTTTTGTTTCAGAAGTCTACAAAACTGAAGACAAGGAGGAGCGAGACTCCCTCGCCGACGCAGAACTCGAAGCTGGGAACAAGAAAGAATACTTTATGTAATTCCAAGATGACATTTTTAAAAAAAATACTGAACTACTTTTTTGTAAACTAACTGCCTCGACTGGTGCTTGGAGCAACCAGCGTTGATACAATTATTTTTTTTAAAAGGATAAAAATTATTGACCTGCAAAACGAAGTTGTTTTGTAAAGAGCTTTTCTTCAACGCTTTATTACTGTACATATTTGACACACTCGCTTACTTGCTATTTATTCGTTGTGTAGATAATTTAATAAACCGTGTATTTAGACCTGCTTATGTTGTTTATCTCTTGCGCAAGATGTAGTGGCTTTCAAAGTTTCACGCTTGAATTTTTATTGTCAGTTGAAAAAATTTGTACATATTTAGATTTCACTTCTTTGCCGCCATAGCTCTTCTTTGAGCAGGTGATGCTGAAGTCTGAGGATTTGCGACGGCTTTTCTTTGAAGAGCTGGAGAATTGTAAGGACTTGATTTCGGACTTGCTCGAGGGCTGGCATGGGGAGAGATTCGGCTCATCGCAGACTTGTTCCACTTCACGCCGAGGAAAGAATTGCTTGAAGTGGTTTTTGGTTTTGAAGAAGTAATTTGGATTCCTTTCATTGAAGTTCTGGTCTCGGTCATTTTTCGTTTTTTTTTTCTATTTAAAAGATTCTTGAAATTTCTTTTGGTGGAAAAACCGGGACGCGGGTTGCTTATATTCACTAGAACAAATGCGTCATGCACACGAGAATCTCGACATGATTTAATATTCATTATGGTCTTCCATGATTGCAAATATCAAACTCGCCCGCGTGAGCGTCAACAACGTAAACGACCTTGAAAACTATACCAGACCCACTCACTCTAACAAGTTTTGATTTTAAGTTTTTTTTTTGGAAATTTTCAGCCTGATCAGCTGACGTAAACATATAGTCATAAGAGCACCTATTTTAGGCGGATTCAGCTCTGTTGAAAAATATGGAACTGATTACATCTACTGCATAGACATCATTTCATTAAGTGTTTTGTCGAGCTTCTCGGAGATTGATCGGTAGTTCATCTTTTCGTTCATAAGAGCCTCGAGGAGACCATCGATGGAAGACTCAAGCTTGTCGACGGATCGTTCAGCAAACTCTGCTCGGGTATCCTGAGTTTTGAATTCTTCCTGTAGGCGGGCGATCTTGCTTTCGAACTTTTCTTCCTCCTCGCCGTTCTTGATTGTGATGGCTTCGGTTTCCTTGACCTTTGCTTCCATTTCTCGGATCTGAGTCTCGAGTTCCCTGGCTAGCAATAAAATGTCACTAGAAAAGCAGTGGATTCTCATGAAACTAAAGCACGCGTAAATCTTTATTGAGGCGACCTTCAGCGCGGTTAATTCAGAACGGGCTTACCTTTAGTTTCAAATTCTTCAGCTCGCTCGATGACTCGCTCCAAATCGCCCTCGACGACTTTGAGTTTTCGTGAGGCATCTTCGAACTTTTGGTTGGAAATTTTAGCCACTTCATTGGCTTCTTCGAGCTGAGTCTCCATCTGCTCGAGAGACTCTTCAGCGGCGAAAGATCGCGCTTCACCGGCTTTTCGCGCATCTTCGTTTTCCTGCCCAGAAGACTCGATAGTTTTGCACTTTTCGATGTTCTCCTGAAGTCGCTCCTTGTTTCGCATGGTTTCTTCCTCGAGGAGAGCAAGTCTTCGTTTCAGAGCGCCGGCCTGCAATTCGGCATCGACGGCTTCCTTAAATTTATTGGCAAGATTCACCTCTATGATTTCGAAATTCTAGATATCAAAGATGGAGGTCTTCTTATGTTGAATCTGAGATTTTATAACAAGTGCCTTTCGACAGTCTTTATCGACCCTTCCACGATTTGAATGTCAAATCGAAGCTGTTCAGATAAGCCCACTAGTCCAAAAATGACCCGAGATAAGAAAGACAAGTCAATGGAAAAGGCTTTTCCAACTAATAAAATTTACCTTATCAGCAAGCTCAAGCTTCTCGGCTGTGTCCTTGGTGACCGAGATGGTGATATCAAGGTCATCCTCCACTTTGGCGATCTTTCGCTGGATTTCGGAGACTTCTTTTTCGAACTTAGCGGCGGATTTCTCGAACTCTTGAGCTTCGCCTTCGAGAGAATTGGCCCGATTAGTGGCGGCTTCCTTCTCCTTGACCATGGTATCCATCTTGTGCTTGATCGACTCCATTTTGGGAAAGTGGTGATTTTATATTTGACAACAAAGAACCTAAAATAATTTGTTAAATACTATAATGTTACTTTTGTATAAATATTTTTTTTTTATTTTTTTGACGAAAATTTTCAAAACTTTTAGTTTATTTCTCCACATACACCTTCTTTCTTTTGGATTAATGACGATTAAAAATTGAATAAATAAATCTCTGACAAACCTCGGTTAGCAACGCTGTGGCTGAGTGAGAATTGATTTCAGTTCTTTTCGACGGTGGCTGGTTCCTACCTCCTCCTAAGTGTTACATTTATGGCGGAGGCTCGGCTCTGTAAAAGCACGCCCCATGCGTGCAGCAGTAAACGCAGGATTTAAATCTAATAAAGTTCACAGTCAATAAGCGACGAAACTAGTCTGTTCGAGTATGAACGGGTTAATATACAAGAGCAACTGAGAATTCCTTTCAATTTATTCATCGCAGTAACAAATGATCTTTTACAGATCTTTTGAGTTCGGCTTCGGAATTTTCGATAGATCCAATGGTGGAGGAGGAGGGCGTTTTTGGTGACTGATTCTTGGAAGAGGCTGCTTTTCGATGGTTACACGAGTACTGTGTCTAGATACTCGAGCAGGAGGTGGTGGACGATCGTACATAACATTGCTTCATGAGGATTATAGAACCATTAGCTCTTAGTGAAAATTCAAGCTCAACGAAATCTTTTTTAATCCCTTCACTTGATCTTTGGGAATAAGGACCAATATTAGGATGAAGCTGGCTCGCCCTGGACATTGCACTCGGCCTTGCACTCAAGCCAGTGGAGATTAAATTACTGATCCGTTGTCCAGCGCTTTCGGGAATTCGAAGGAGTTCCTCTTCTGAGGCTTTTTCTATCTCGCTCTAAAAATTTATTCTAAAATATAAAAATGATAAATAAATGCAGCATTACATCTTCAGTAAAGGAATACATCCAAAGATATCTTTGGAAAAGTCCGAGCATAAGCATTTCGATGATGACCAGCTTTTAAAGCTTAAAATTTTCAACAAATAAATCAAGCAACAAGAAATTTTGAGCTATCCTGATTATGAAGCAGAGTTCCACGGACAGATCCAGAAAGGGGGTAAACGCACTGAAGTGTGCACAGTCCAATGACAAGGGGTTGAACATTGATGATGATAAGACTGAGCCGAAAATTGAAGAATTTTTCTCTAATCATAAACATGCTTCCCACATCTTGCAAGTTCTCCGACAAAATTGCGAGGCAAAAAACACCCATGGCAGTGCTGAAAAGATTGATAAAAAGTGACATCAGTCCTATGATAGTCGAATCTGAGATCGGCTTACGAGTGACAGACTTTTGACTCTCCTAAGTAACGGAGCGAAATAATTACTGGATCATCACGTTTTGCAAGCCGCCGCCTAAGCCCTCGGCCAGCAGTAGAACAGAGACCAGAGTCAGTCCAGCGCGAATAAGAGGTGGCTAAATCCAGTTACATCCTCTAGTTTTGGCGACAATCGATCAGCCCACCTGGTAGGCGCCCCACCACAGATTTGAGAACCACGCCCGGTTGCTCCGCTGCAGAGGAAAGCAACAACAACAGAATCGGCAGATAAACACTTGGATTACGGTTCAACACAGTTTTTAGACACCGATAATCATTTTCTTGCGAACCTAACCTTGCATCGTCCATTTTTTCTTTTTCACCACTTTTAGAAAATTCTCGAATCCTTCGAAATAATCAAAAATCAGGTTGAAGAGTCCATTCATTGAAAAAGCAAACGTCATTACTCGGATAAAATCCAAGTAAAGCTAAAAGTTTTGAAAATTTTACGATGAAAACTTTACATTTAATCTTGGCGCAATGCAAATAATAAGTGCCAGGACAGATGAGACCGGAGGAACGAGCAGAATTGAATGAATGAAGCCCAGTCTCTTCGTATTTTTGAGGCTTAGTCCTTTACCAGGCTCAATTCTTTTTAGTATTTGTGATGTCTGACTGTTTTTCGAGTAAATAAGTGATAGATTGCATAGTCAATTGAGAAAGTTTCACAGAAAGAGCCAGAGAACAAAGCTTTTAGATAAGCCTTTTAGAATATAATCTCCATTGCTAGAGCGTTAAAAATGCATAAATTAAAATTTGTGTGTTCTATTTTTCCCTTTGATGTTGCTTTCACGCGAGCCTTTGGTTTCCGAAATGTAGTAGTAGATCGAGATAAAATTGAAAATCGTGAAAGACATGAGAACAACGCTGACCACTAAAAGCGCAAACTCTCCAGATTCATTGGAACGGACCATGATAACGGACGAAGGTGCTCCAATGGCACAGTATTGCACTAAAAGGAAATTTCGAGGGAAACTTTCACGTTTTCACTGTAATTATCACGACTTTTTCGACCGCACATCGTAACGGTCCTGAGAACGTGAGTCGACTTCTTTCTCTTCTTACCTCGATCGGGAGGTATCTGAGCACGAACTATTGGATCTCTAAGCGACATTTTCTCTACTAAAAATTTAAAAACGACTTCTGTATTTTTCATTTGATATGACAAGAGCTTAAATTCTCCGGGATTTTACAAGCGTAGGATTGAAAGGAATCGACAAACATGGAAATTGTAAAAACTTAATCATGCATTTTTTCTTCGATGATTCGTTTTTTCTTTGCAATTCTTTAGATGAGAAAAAAAACTGCAGGAACTTCGTAAGGTTGAGTGAGATACTTTGCGCTGAGTAAGAAAGTCAATGTTCCATCTCGGAATGCTCGGTACAGCATAGCAGAGATTCTTATTCCGAGAGAGGATGCGATCCGGAGCGAATTTGCGATAGCGCGGCAGCGGAAATACTTAACTTCTAGGGTCAAAATATGAATCCTCCTTCCCTCGAATTCAAGAATATCTGACACGCTATAGAGGAGCTGCCTGCTTCCCAAATTGATAAAACAGCGTCCACTTTTTGCGAAGCATTGATTGATCTCAAAAGTGCTTAGTTAGCTCACAAACCCAGACAAGCAGAATTAGAAGACATGCTTTGCGAGGCAGAGCAAGTCAGAGCAGGTGCTCGATCCACTGGGCACTCCCAACGCCGCGGTTTCCGCTGGATGTAATCTTTTCGCGCGGCCGGCACCACATGCCAAATACGAAATTTGCTTATTTCCACGTTTGCCAGACAACCCAGACTAGACCCATCATTTTGAACCTAGAATTCTCTCGAAAAACCAAAACATCGGCAATAACCTTGTCAAAACGAAGCTTATTAAGATGAAATTTTGACTAGATCGATAAAAAAAACTCGTTTCTTATTGGCTCTTTGCTAATTTTATGTTTTTTGATTCGCTTATCTGGGATAGCTTGCACCAGCTAATTAAGCAAATTGAACTTCAAAAAAGAACCCCTCAAAATTCAAGAACCAAAAAGCGCGAAAAATTACGTGTACTCTTCACCAAGACATTAGTAGTTAAAATTGGAAAGAAGCCGCAATACTAACGGGCGACGTAGTTCACTCACTCCGCACTTTAAGCTGCCGTTTGCTGCAGTTTTCCGCAAATCGCGACAGCGAGACGTTCCTGTGGGTGTCGAGATGTGTTAATCATTTGGATTTTTGATGAAGGTGGCAGGAAATTATTCAAATCGAGGAACACGCGCCGCTTTTCAAAGAATCTCTCCAGCTTCCAGCTCAAGTTCATTTCACCCACAATCGGCCGATTAAAATCTTTATTCTAAACCAATTTCAACAAATTGCTCGACAGCCTGTGTAAAAAACCTGAGGCAGGGTCTAAAAGATCTTCAATGAAAGCCCTTTTATAAACCCTTTATTCAGCCATCGCCATCTAAAAAAGTGCTTCAATAATCAACCAAAGAATCAACGTCATCATCCTTTAAAATTAATCTGTATCGAGTTTACCGGTAATCGGCATTAGAATCATCTCTTACTGGAGCCGTCTTTCTTTACTTTTTGAACTTCCGTTACGTAAGACTCGGAAGTCGCAGTTGAACGAAATTGTCAGTCTTCAGACTTGAAGTTGCATGTTTGTCCGGGAAAGAGTGCTGGCTGACTCATGGGCGAAGGAAAAACAAGTAACTTTGTAAATTACTTATTCAAAATGAATTGAAGCTGATTGAGCGGGCTAAAAAATCACCTGCGGTAATCAAATCGTGGTGAGAGCGAGATTCAAAATTAAAATTTTCCGTGATGAAATAAATCGACTTACACTTTGTCGATCCGTGCGTTTAGAAATCCACCGGGTTTTTATACATGTCCATACTTTTTCTAGGTTGATGACCTCTTACGGCCGAGGAAAACCAGAAGAATGAAGTTAGCGGGATGGTTGAACCGGAATATATTAATCCGACCACGCACCTTGTGATGGCGGCCAAGTCGCATGATTTCTAAACCGACCCCCCTGATCAACCAGAGATCCACGACATCTCATGCATTATTTTACATCTGGCTGTTAATTCATGCCCCAACCATTCAGACGGATTAACGTAGGCAGTCCCCCTAAGTCCCGTATCAAACCGGCCTCGTCATTACAGGTTTTACTGTTCATTTAACAAGTTTGCACACGACACTTTCATCAATCAACCGATCGGGGAAGTAATTATAAAACCCGACTTTTGTTGACTTATCATAGTGACACCCTTACTAAAACCCTACTTGAAACCTTCATTTTTTGAATAAGAAAATGTAAAATTTTCTCCTAAAAAGTTCCACGGTAAAATTCTTTCGTGGAGCAGTTATTTTTCGCTGCCAATCTACAAAGTACTTTCGCGCCTGGCATCTGAGCAAGAAAGAGGCATTCTCTTCAACCAAAATACGCCTTCTAAAGATGAAATCGTCGAATTCCAGCGAAATGAACGGCCGCTTTTGAATTATGATACGTTATGATTTTCAATTCGAAACTTTGAAAATATTTTCTCAAATACAATTTTTCCGCGAAAATCACGTGCGAAATGTTTTGATTCTCACAGCGTTCAGTCAAAACATAATTATCCGATTTACTTATCATCAAAGAACACTTCAAAAGCTTACGTCTTGAGGCGATTAATAGAACTTCAAGGTGAGCTCATCTTTTTGAAAAACAAAAACTTTTCGTCGAAAATCAAAAAGAATTCGCTGCGAACAGGATTCGAACCTGCGCGGGGAGACCCCAAGAGATTTCTAATCTCTCGCCTTAACCACTCGGCCATCGCAGCTGATAACAGGCCCGCAGGCGTGTTTCAACAGTTTTTTTGAATTTAGAAGAAGATAGTGTCAAAAATTATGACGAGAAGACTCTCAGAGTCATGACACATGAGTATTAAATTGATTGAAGTAAGAAAGTCTGCTTCATTGAACCGAATTAATAAAAGAACAAAATATGGTACTTTCAAGAGCAAAATTAGCATAGATGGCTTACAAGAAAGAGCTTATTTTACCCTGAAAAATTACTATTGATAAGAAGAAGTGCAATTTTATCACGAGAAAATATTCGACCTGTATATCAAGATACTCCTCTGATCGCCCTTTTTGTTAACCCGTAATTTTCACCCGCCTTTTTGGAAACTCGTCTTTTTCAGCGAAAGTTTTGACAAGACTGGAAACTACTGATAACAAATTTAGCGATAGCAATTTTTTCACGGTACAAAAACGAAAGTGAGTGGAGGAAATTTTAAACGAAAATTATCGAGTACCGGAAGAATGAACAGTTCACTCAGTTTTTTTCGGCCCCAAATTAGCTTTCGCTGGAACCTGTCATTTGTCGGTTGAGTTTTGATTGACAGAAATTGAGGCGGTAGTTTGCGTGGGGTTTTGTATTCATCTTCTTTTCACGTTTCTACGATTTCGTTTAGGGGCAAAAGGGAAAAGCCAGTATGAGAAAATCTGATGAAACACGCCTGGGGGCAGATCATCAGCTGCGATGGCCGAGTGGTTAAGGCGAGAGATTAGAAATCTCTTGGGGTCTCCCCGCGCAGGTTCGAATCCTGTTCGCAGCGAATTCTTTTGAACCATCCTTTTATGCGCTTTTCTCCAACTTCGACCCTTTCTGTTAACACGCAATTACCAGCTTTGAAAATGAATGGGCTACAGTTGTTTTTGGCGCTGTACTCAGCACATTGACTCGGCCAATTTGCATTTTTGGGCGCTAACGAAACTACGACATTAATTTTACACGACTCTTGGCAGACGACGCCTCTAAAGCTCTCATGAATTCGCTGCTTGAAGGAATTCCATTCCATTCATTCGTTCAACCTTTTTATGACTCAATCAGAAAAAGGCTTATCTAATATTCCTGAGCGCGGTAACATTTGTAGAAAACCTGAGTCAGGGTCTGAAAGCTCTTAAAAGAATAGCGGCTTAGATCATTCAGACCCTGACTCAGGTTTTCTACACAGGTTACCGAGCCTGGCCCTCTGTAACCTTGGCAAAACTCTCAATGATTCTATCACTCTGGATCGTCAAGAAAAAGAAGTATTTTCCACTTGGAAAAGTCACGACTGACACAACCCAAGTTTTCAAGTTTGTCATTTCGCGATTTTCGAAGTTTTTCTCAAGTTCCGTCAACACAGCACGTGTCCAGCACGTTCTCATAAGCCTTCTAAATATGAAAAAGCATCTAGCTTGCGGAAAAAATGCATTCTGGCGGCGCAGGGTTAAGTAGAAAGGATTTCCGAGCATTTGAAGAATTTATATGAGTACTCGAGCTTTTGCGAAATTCAATTAGCTTCTGACGCGATTTTGGAAAGTAGAACTCTTTCAACTGATTGTTACAGGTCCATGTAATGCCTTACCGTATATAATATACAGTATATAATATACTACTGTATATTCATCTCTATCTTTGAGAAACCAAGTCTAAGATGAACAAAAATGGCGTTTCTTGGCTAGAAATGCGTGAAATCAAAGAACATGTTTAAAAATTTTGAAAGTCTTCCAAACATTCGATGTTCTTTTGTCACCCTTTTTCTCTTAGAGAAAGAAGCTACAGAAGAGTGATGAAATGTCCACGCAGAGCACTCAGACTGGAAATGCGTAGTATTGTGGCTAACACACGATCTTTGAAAGTGGTTCACAGAAAAGTGGATGAAATTTTTGAAATCGGAGGGAGTGTGTCGGTTGCCCAAATTGAAGGTCACCCGATCCAAGCTCCAACTCTAGGGTACTTTAAATTATGACGCGCTGGGATTAGCTGACGTTCGCGAAAACGCGGATGACGGGTTCGGAAAGGCGCAACAGTAAGTAAGAGTTGACTTTGGCTGAGTGTGGATGTTTGCGCATTACTTCCACTCGGCTCGTTAGTAATCGCGATTGGCAGGTTCCAACCAAACGTGGCGGAGTAGGATGCACCTGTGCCCAAATGCGAGTATTATCTTCCGCCACAGTTACACGTTACTCCTCCTTCATTTGCATTGAAAAACGCCAGAACAAGGCCCTTTCCATGATAACCCCGCTCTTTCTAATGATCTTCATTTTTTCTCAACTTGCAAGTAGACTTGATCAAAAATGGGTTGAGAATGGCGACTCGATCGGTGATAACTTGGACTTTTTTACGGATTTTAGATTCTACCAAATCACCCAGCACTAGAAAAAGACAAAAAGGTTCGCTGCGAACAGGATTCGAACCTGCGCGGGGAGACCCCAAGAGATTTCTAATCTCTCGCCTTAACCACTCGGCCATCGCAGCTTATCAGCATGCTTGTCGGTGGTAGTTATATTCGCTCATTATTGGTCAACTGCTAGAACCAATCAGATCTTATACTGCCTACGCGGTCGCTTCTTTGTTGGTTTTTATTGGTCATTCCTTGAAAAGCGCTGATTTCCTCGTTAAACTAGACGGAAATCAATGTGATTTTCAAATGGTTGAAAAAACACTAAAATTTAAGATCAGTTTCTAAAATCGCCCTAAAGTTCTAAAAGCTGTGACGTTACATAAAACCTCCTTCAGAATTGATAAAGCGCGTTCAACAGCAATAAGCTATCATTTTCTACCGTGTTTTTAGCGTATCGAATAGCCTGAAAGTGTCATCATTTTCGTTGTAATGGAAAGATTAATCACTTTCTAAAAACATCTTCTTGCATCATGACGATCGGAATTCTCAGTTGTCAGGTCAACCGATCGCCGGCGCAACTTCTGCAGGCATCCTCAACATGAGCATGATCGATCGATCTACTCATTACCAAACTCGAAAGAAAGCAACAACGTGCCGCTAGCAAGGGCCAAACAGTCACTTCCGACCCAGCCTTGCTCGATTAATTCACTTAGACAGCGATTACGAGTCGTAATTTACGACAGCAGAAAATGATGGAAGGCTGTAATCAGTGACAAAGTGGACTTTGATAAATCGAATGAAATATTCGTCTGGACTCTCAGAATTTCAGGGATCACTTGAATCAGCATTGACTCATAAAGCTCTTTTTAAAAGTGGATCATTATTAATGGTCATGAGATAATTTTAAGAATAAAAAATTAAGGGGTCAATAGGTTAACTCCTAGAAGAAAAAAGTGTCGTGAAATAGGCTTAACAAAGTCACCCCCTTAAGTCTTTAGGCCAAGAATCCGTGTCTAAATTCTCGATTCGGATGTTCTGTTTTTGATCATCTTTGTTTCAGAAGCACATCCAATCGAAAAAATCTGAAAATTGAACTAACCCCTCTTCACCCCTCACGCAACTGCTTGACAAACTAGTGCGATAAAACAACAGTCATCAAAAAGAATAGGCTTGAGCCGAGTTTATCAGTGAGTTTAATAACACTCTTGCGTCAGTCCCTTACACAGACGGAGGAAGCCGCTCATCACTTTCTAGCTGCAGTGACATTTGTACACGACTCCGGACACCAGCTCCGACCGCAAATGGTACTTATATCAGTCATTGTTTTCTTCTAACAGCAGCGTTAGAATGTTTGAAGAAAATCCGCCATAACAACAAATTCTCCTTTGACGAGTACGAATTGATTCTATTTCCATGCTCAGCCTAGCATAGAAATAAGTCTTAGCTCGCTGGCAGACAAATTGAAGGACAATAACTAATTAATACTACTAAACGGAGCATTATCAATATTAACAGATGGCGAAAACAACTATAAAAACGCATCGCTTCCATCACTTTTCTACTAGATTTCTGTTTCTCAAATATGAACATTTTCAACTTCCTTCTGATTTGCTTCACTTATGCTTATGCCAAATCTATGTGGGAAATAACTGATACTCTTTGCAAAGAAAAAGGTAAAAACCCCGATTTCCAACCCTAGTCCTAGACCACAAGTTTGAAAGCCTTCTCCTATCCCTTGTACAATTTTCAGATATGAAAGAAAAATGCGCTGAAATCTTCGAAAAACGAAGAAAAAGAGCTTACTTTGGTTTTGGAGTGCTCAAAGATCTACTTGCTCCTACTCATGATCAGCCTGATTACTCGGAATAAAGTTCAAATATCGGTATAATTTCGCTTTGTTTAGAATTCTTTAATGTAATAATTATGGTTCTATCATATTCTCAAGAAAACTCTAAACGGCAAACGCATGGTCACGTATAACTACATGCTATTTATGTGAAAAGCGATTACTGTTGCGATTTCGAGCTCCTTCGATTGTTGCGGTAATGGGACTTTGATTTGGCGTTTTGGCGAACTTGTGGGAATTCGAGCGCAGCTCAACCAGCCCAATTGAGCCAAAGTTTGCAGAAATTAGCGCTTATTATGGAGTAACGTTCCGTTGGAATGCTTCAGTTACAAGATAATCGCAGCATAAAGGGCTAAGACACAGCTGCTGCCATCGTCGTCTTCGTGAGGAAAAACGTATTCAAGTTCAGTTTCAAGAACTGAAAAAAGACTTGAGATTCTTCGTATTAAAAGCTGCCATTCATTGATGTAAATTTCATGAGTGCAGAACAAGCAAGGAAAAAACGTGGATCCCCTAACGTTATCAGATCGTCATCTCTAATTTCACAAAGAAATCGAAGCCAGGACGGGCCCCAACGTGACTGGACCGCTCGCTCAATCAAAACGGATACTCTCCGTGCTCTAGTGTCTCTGAAGAGCTTCCTGGACGCGATATAATCAATGCACCAGTCCACATCATCGAGTTTAACTTATGATAAAAAGCACGCGCTAGAATTTGCCAAATTCGCTCACGTCTAAAACTGAACGGTGGGTTAAGTAGGGCTGTATTATACGTTGGATTCAAGTTCAAGCGCTTGCCTTGACCTTTTTCGTGGATTTCGCGGGGCTTCTGTATATTTTATCCGGAGCAGAGAAAATCGTACACCTGAACTGATCTAGTAAATTTGGCTGTTAGACTCGCAGAAATGGGAAAATGCTCTCCCGCGTCTTATTTTTCAAGCAACTGTACTTCGCGTGACTAATTTTCATTCGTAAGAATTGTGTATCGTTTCTTACAAAACTGGTCCTAGCTCGATATCCAACGGAAATGAGCGCCCCTCTATCATGTTGTGGGTTGTTTCTTTTTCTATAAGTGGCGCGAGAGGTTTTCATAAGGGGCAATTGGGCCCGTTTCTTTATATTTTCTAAGCGGTTCTTTTCTAGGCTTACTCTCTGAAGCGCTCTCTCTCTCTTCTCTTTCGCTACAGTAGATGCAGACTAAAAGGCTGTTCGGCTATTTCATAACGACAAATCGACAATTTAACGGCATCTATCTTGGGGCTGCTGGCTCAGAGGTTCAAGCAGGATCTTGTCAAACATGCTCATCCCTTCTTAATTACTCCACCCTGATTAAAATTTCAGACTCTAGAAAGATCTCATCACGTGAATGCAGATCTTATTCGTCGGTCTTCTACGACACTGTATAAAACAGTTCGAGCCGGATAAGAATTAACTCTCAGGCGGAAATCATTATTAAAGATGTCCTTAAAATAGTCTCTGAAAAGAGCCACGAAGTTTCAATCAAATACTTTTTTATTATGAACAGCAATAAATCGGTTCCGGGAGAGCACGTTGGCTTTTAGCTGATAAATCGGTGAGTAGTGTCTTGCTGGCACAATTGCTCGACGGATTTTGACAGGAGTGAGCGGTGATAAACTTGAGGCTGTTTTGAAAACATCGAAAATGCCCCGATGGGAGATAACGATAGCTAATTTGGAATATAAGCAAATTAATAACTTATTTGTGAATGAGAGTTTTGAATTGACACAGGGGGTCTGGATGATAAGAATCAATCAGTAGCTAGAATCGTTCAGTAAAGTTTCATGATATTTTTCTTCTCAAAGGAGACAGTACAGACCGGGCACTTCATGCTTGAAATTCAGACAAGAGCTTCCGAACTGGTGGCCGCAAGTATTCAAGCAAGCATGTCTATGACCAGAGGTATCGTAATCTTCCATACAAATAACGCATTCTTTTGAAGAATCTGGCTCTCTCTCTGTTTCTGATTGAGACTTTTGGCAGGCAAGTATTTTATCCATTTGCTCCTCCAAAAATTTCAAATCGGTCTGAGCTCTACCACACTGTATTGCCGCGGCATTTAAAATTTCTGTGATGCGCGCTTTCTCGTCTGTATAAAGTTTTATGAGAAGATTCTGTGCTCGGAATCCTCTCACAAGGTACTCTCTAGTAAATACTGTTTTTCCAAGAACCCGGTCGCTTCCATCCGGATTGAGTAGGACTTGTCGAAAATGCCTTCATTCAGCGAATAGAGCGATTATATTATCGTGCTTGACTATCATGTCTTGATGTTCTTTATGTAGATTTGACAGTATTCTATGATCATGTTTAAGAAGAGCGAAGTCCAATAACAAGGATTTAATCTCTTCTTTTTTCTTGCCGTCGTTAATTGTCTGTTCAATTCCTTTCAACAAGTTTATTTTTTGCTCGATATTATCGCTCATATTTATATAAAAAGAATAATGCATATATGGGAAAGAAATTTATTCCTTGTTTATATTTCGCAGGATCTTGTTTAAATTAAATGAAAACACGAAGAAGACGACAAACATTACATGCCAAGCCTTATAAAATCTACAGAAATCACAAGTCCACAGGAATCGAGCGGTGAATCAGCGGTGCGCGCTAAAATTCTTGGTGGCGCGGTCAGCGAGCGTTTTTTGGCGTCGTGGCGAAGGGGCGCTGCCGCGCTCGTCCGCCGATTTCACGATTTCGACAAGTCGGAGAATTACTTCTCTTCTGATCACCCTAGCCGATACTACTCACGCCGAGCAGGCTGTCCGAGTAAGGCCTTTACTTTTTTGTTTGTTTGTTACTTTTTTTGCGAAAACTGAAGAAAAGCCGACGAAAATTGAAATTTGTGAGATTTTTTAATTAGCCACAAAGAAATACAGTCTACTACAGTCTTTTCGACAAGTGCAAAAAAGAAGAACAGTCTTCTCCTGAGATAGAGAAACAAAACACCACCAAACAAAACAAAACAAAAGCCATGAAAACGTTTTTGTTGGCTGCGCTAGTTTCAGAAACTGGCGCTGGAAAACTTCCATGCTCTGGTTAGTAGGGAAAAATTAACTGTAGTTCAAAAAGGGGCCAATAGAAAGCGGCAAGTGATAAACTGTACGTCAAGTGACAGAACAGTTCCAGAACCCCTCCGGATATGATTGACGGAGCCCCGTCAAAACTTGAGAAGTGAAAACTTTCCCGAGGGTGTTGGGGAGCAGAAATGAAAATATAAATTGGGTAATTTTATAAATCAAAATGTATGATAATTTTTGAGCAACGATATGGTCGAACTTTTTAATTAAAAATATTTTTTCAGATAGCCTCGTGTAGTAAAAAAACTCGTTTTTCTGGAAACTTTAATGAATTGTTCAATTTCGTTTATTTCGGCAAATAGATATTGAGGGAATTCACGTTTCTTGAGTTGTCCGAAAGATGTCCGACATCTGCACCGGCGATAACAAACTTGCTGATTTTGAATACATTCCTCCCTTTTATCGCTATTGCTAATTAAATACTCATCAATCAACAGTATTAACACACTCGAAATCGACCACAAAGTCACTTTCAAATCCTGTTTTTTTCCAAAAAGGTCATGTTTGGCTCTAGACCTCTTGGCGATTAGGAACTTTAGCTCAAATTCAAACTCAAGCGCTGGATCAAAAAGCATTACAGAGAGAACTGTAAAAGGTATCTTCTTTCGCGCAGGATATTCCATTCTTGCTCAACCTAAGCTCGTGGCGGCTTATCCCTCCGGGTTCAATGTTACAGCTTTTAAAGCGTTTCCTTTGACCTGGATTTTGAAAGATAATTTTCGAAATAAAATGCTCGCAAAAGACATTTAAAATCCTGTTTATCATAAAATAAAGCTCAATTCGTGCATAATACGTGCACGTTGCGATGCTCACGCAAATCTGGGTGCGGATGGGACTTCCTGGCCGGATAGAAATTGCACGCGCTTTTGGATAAACTGACATAAATTCTCGGAGCCCAAATTCAACGTGCGGGATGATCTAGAGCTACCTTCGACCGTTGTATACTCGTTGTGGTCGTAATTTTGGATTTAGGGTTTAATTAAGTTCTTCTCAAAGTCAACCCTCAAGGTCATTTTTGACGAAGAAAATAAACCTTCAATATTTATTGACGGTTTGAAAAAGACCCATTACTTGAGTGAAATGTCAACTTGCATCCTGGTCAGCACATTTTTGCGTTATCACTTTTAGCCCGAAATGAGTCCATCTGCTCCATCAAAGCATATACATTTGTCACCATAATTTGCCTCAAATCACTTTTGTCTTGAATATCTTCGCCAGGAAGAAGGTATGCCAAAGCCATGCTCATCAAAGACCATTACCTGTCCGCATAATAACCTTCAGAACGTTCCTAATACGCGAAATTAGCAGAAAAATGCTCACGTCTATCTCTTTTTCATTCTTCAAAAGCATAAAAACTAGACAAAAATCATCGGCTTTTTGAAAAATCGAAAACGTGCAACAATTCAAAGGTCGTAAATTCTATCCGATTCTTACAGCTCAGGAGACATTTCCGAGACATTCCGCCCGAAATCTGCTGAAATTTTACTTTTCTAGGGAAAGAATGACATTTCAGAGGTCTATTGAAGTCAGATTTGCAAATTCTTTCGAAACGTAGTTTTACTAGAATCTCAGAAGGACACTTTTTCACTTGTATCGCGATCTAGTAGATCGCCGATCTACAGCCTGTTACCTTTTATAAGACAACGCAAAAACCAAGCTTTTTAGGCTAAAATTTTGTAATGATCAGAGCCCGTCTTTTAATTTTAAGGGCCTCTCTGCCTTATCGGCACGGAAGCTTGAAATTTCGTTAGCAAAATAGTAATGTCCGTTAGTACTAATTAAATCAAGAAAAATCTGTGTTCAAGCAAAAAGCGATTAAAAAATTTCGAAACTTTGAGGATTATGCAGCCTCGGTGTAGGTGATGATCAAATCCAGGGTGGTGTTTTAACGCGTATTTCTGTTGACATAGAGCGACTGAAGAAGAGTGTTGATCTGTTGATGTTGATGATCGAGCGAGTTCCTTCAAAACTGAGATTGATGGTTGAAATGAGGGGTTATCACACTCGAACTTGCACCGTTTCGAACGATACGTTACCACTCCCTTTAGCCATTCCAGCTCATCAGTGAAGCTCCGTTAGTATATCAACTATATTTGACGGCAAACATGAGAACGTCCGCATTATCACAGCTCTACAATTAAGGGTGTCTAGGATACATTTGATAAAGCTCATGTAAGGCTAAATCCACCACGCAAGCGGGGATCTTTCTGTGGTCAGCGCCTTAATTTCGCTGATCTTGGGCGGATAAATTTTGGAGGCAATGGAGGAAATTCAATTGCGACACCCTAAAGTTCGTCAAAAGTTGAAATTTTGGCTCTTTTCTTTCGTTTATTTAGGAGCTAGAATTCTTTTAGGGAGTTAATCGCAGCTGGGAGGGATTCTTTATCAGCAGGAACGGGAGTTGGATGAAGAAGATTTATGACTCAACTTTGTGGCCAAAATAGAGATTAGCGTAAAGATTGGCCGAGACAACTTGAACGGTGACCCCGGCCCTAACTTTAGCGAGATGGACCGGAACTTAGAGGATAATGCTTAATCTTAAGTCACACGTAATAAACTTTCCCCAGCGCCGGTCCAAGGATTAGGACGTAACAAAAAACCGTATTAGAAGATAGTACTGCTATACGTGAATTTTGCTCATGTTTTGTAAAGAACATTTTGGACTTAAATTGCAACCGGGCGGAACTAAATGACGGCGATGTTTTAAGCTGTCTCTGAACGATTTTACAGTTTCAAAGAATATCAAAACAAAATAAAAATTTTCTAAGAGATTGAACTTTATAAAATATACAGTTTCGCCGGTATATGCCCCTGGTTTGAGTTTCATTAACATTTTAATATCTGAAATTTTCTGTTTTGATTTGGCTGAGCTACTCGTTTCTGATCGATTCTAGCGCCATGAAAAGTAATCAGGTCATTTTCAAATCGAGTCAACGTCAGTCATTCCGAAAGCCAGCGAAGCTCTCAAAATTGATGATTCAAAATTTGATTTCAGTTCGAGCAGCCCATGTTAATATTAGCTTGTCGTTTTTCGAGGCGGAAAGAATTTCAAATTCCAGTTCGGAATGCACGAATCAACAGGTCGTACAGTGCCCCGGCCAGATGCGAAATGTGCCGAGCTGACGGGAAATCGTCAGACGGGGAATTCTTGGCGATATTACTTTTGCCCGAACTTTTGTCCGTTTGGGATATCCTTCGATTAATAATCGAAATAATAAACCTTATTTTAGGCGAACGAAAAACCGGTCGCGTCCTCAATCATATTACCCATCATCCAAATGCCTGTTGTGGCCCAGCGCCCTACGATAAGCTGACCAAAGGATGTTGCGCCGTCGCCAACCGAGATATCCCAGTCGTCTTCAACAAAGGAATCCAAGATTGTTGTGGAGAACACATCATCGATTTGGCTTCCCAGGGCTGCTGCAAAGGCGTAAGCCACGATTTGGAAAGTCACGATTGCTGCGAAGATGGTATCAGAGACGCTCGGGAGTTTCCTGGATGCAGATGCGAGTTTACCGAGTGGACTGAATGGTCTTCTTGTGATGCTACTCTCGGTGGAGGTTTCCAGGAGCGAGTTAGAGAATTTCGTGTCAAGTAAGTAAACTACACTTTCTTTTACCAATGTTTGTGTATCTTCAGAAGGTTAAGATAATACCTATTGACTTTGACTTCTGCTAAGTATTTTCTAAGTACACCTCAGTGACAGTAATCGCTTCCGGTTCAGGCAACTGTCTCACGTCAGCGTCAGTTCTTCCGGATATTTTTGTAGAAAAGGGCTTTGTTTTCTTAAACATATGCTTCCTGTTTGTTTAGGGAGGGAATGAAGGGGACCATTTGTCCGACGATCCCGAAGTCAGAACGCTTGGTTGAACGAAGAGACGGAACTCCTGATTGGTTCGAAGGCGGCCCTGGTCAAAGCTGTATTCAGGTATGAAAGAAAAGATAAAAAAGAAAAAAATATGAAATATTATTTTTTAGAATTCTGCCTTCAGCTTGAGCAACGGTCTGAAAAACGCAGGAATGTACAAAGATTTGATCGTTCTGCTCGACGAAAGTACTTCCATCAAGGTAAACGATAACGTCAAATTGTCCGTTTTGCAAGTTCCAAGGCAATCTTTTTCGCTTTTGGACCGCGCGGAAATTCCAGAGTGACAAGTAACATCATTATTTGATCTCGATGTCTTCAAATTTTCGGATGCCTGACTATTTTGCCCTTTTTTCGACTAATCAAAAAAGGACTCTTCATCAATTGCTTGCGTGATTTTGGAGGAGGAGCTCTAATTCTGGTTTGAACTCTCTTCCTTTTGTTTTATGCGCTCAGCAGAACGCGTCCCTTAATGGTTCGCATTAAGAAGTCGGAGGCACGTGTACTGCTAGGCTTGGCGCAATAGCTGATGATAAACATCAGCAAATGTCCCTAACCCGGAATTAATCAGCTCCCTCCTTCCAGAGTCAGAAATGCAAAAATAATTACTGAAAAAACGTCACCCATGCGCGCGATTACGCGTCAACCGCCTGATGAGCTTCCTCACCTATCTCCACTCTTTCATAATCGACACTCAACGAGATACTTTTTCTTGCAAGACAAACTTTTTTTTCAAGACAATTTTCAAAAGTTTGTTTTTTAGGAATCGAACTTCGAATACGCGAAAGACCTGGTCTCCAACATCGTCAAATCCCTCTGCGGCGGCATTGGCAAGTACTCCAATCGCGTCTCCGTCGTCCGATTTAGCGCTGACGTAAGTACCTCTACCTCTCTTCAAGAGCGAGTTACTCAAGCACTGGTTATTAAAAACACTTAGAACTTGTATCACTTCTACTAGTATTCCTCCATCCTCAAGAAAATATGTAACCACAACTCCAAAAGGGGTTTTAAAAGACCCTCCTAAGCGGACAAAAATCGTAAAACACGCGCAAATGTGCGATAACCAGCACCATAGAAGGTCATCGCGTTGAAAATTTTCGTAAAGCCACAATTGACTCATTTTTCCTTCTGCTGTAATTAACGTACACCAAATCTGATAAAAGTTGTAACAAGCGTATTTTTCAGGTGAAAATCGACATCAACTTTGACGAAGAAATGACTACAGAAGATGTTGTTTCCAAAGTCAAGAGTTTTGTTTACAAACCATTGGAAAATGATGAGTAAGTATAAAAAATAATGATAAGGGCAGTATCCATCAAGCTAAACTATTTTCTTTTCTCACCAAAACCCGAAAAATGAAGAATATATTTTCGCTGAAACGTCATCTGCCAAAGCGCTTCAATCATAAAGTGGAATATATTAGAATCCTAATTTGACAGGCAACCTCTATCACTACACGCTAAAAATTTCAGCTTCCATTCATTCAATCCTTTATTTCCCGGTAACCATGATTTCAAGGCGCCATTGGATTTTTTCGTCGAAAGACAAAAAAAAATCATAAGACAAGCGAAATATCGTTGATTTAACCCTTAGCCGCTGATGATGGGCAAAAATTGCATAAGCATTTTCGCTTGATCCTTTTTACCAATCCTCTAATATTTTAACACAATATATTTCTAGCAAATTAAGGGCATCCTCTCAAATAAGTCAAAAACGAGGCCTCCTCTTTTAACAAATACGAGTGCCCCCAACATAAATCTATATAAAAATATCCCGTTATCAATCTTCATATCCCGCTTGGCGAGAATTTCTCCCTTTATTTGATTATTAAGCCATTTCTCTTTCCTTAAATTGGCAACTCTAGTCATTGCGGCCTATTTTAATCAATCACGTTCGGTGGCCTTGTTCAGAATTTAAAATCTTGCGTAAAATGTAATTTTCCTCTATGACTCATAGACTATGAGTCTATTTCCGTCTTCCGAGGATCATTCCGGCTACGTGTGCATATGTTTCTTTTGTGAAGATATTTACGTGTGTGCTGAGAAGGAAATTCTTGCGGCGGAACAGGGTCAGGCCCCGGAACCTCTGGCATGTTTGATGTCGTAGGAATACTTTCCTTTTGGATCCACATAGTTTCGGGGGATCATCGTCGTTAACCTATTCGCGTGAGGGGCCACCTTTTTTGCTATTTCATTGATAAAAGCCTCTTTTTCCTGGCGGTAGTCTGAAATTCACAAGGAATAATTGCTAGACTTCGAGTTCGTCTGAGAAAATGAAGAAACGCAAATTTGTTTTTGCAAATTGTTTTTACTCAAAATCTTCATTTTTCGGCTCTTTTTCGTGAACATGTGGCAGCTCGCGGATGCAAATTGCTTTAGTCGGTTCTAACAGGTTCTGAATGGACTCTAATAACCGTGCGCACTTTGTCTCTTTCTCACATTAGGCTCGGGCACACAAAAGCCGCCGTGCATATTAATCTCGCCGAGTAATTTGCGTTCCAGGTGGCGGAACATGCTAGAATATCGCGCTCAATGAGGACATACTTTTTACCGTGTCTCGGGAGCTTCTAATTTCAATGACATGCTATTTACCGTTTCTTTTCTTATTGAAAAAATTTAGTTTCCGCGGTTCTACTTACACAGCCAGTGCGATGAAAGAAGTGTACGAAAAGATCATTTCCAAATCCAACGGATGGAGAGATGGCGTCGGTCCACCAGTCTGCTCAGGAGTGATCATCGATGGAACATGCTACTGGATCCCAAGTGAATACGCAACACCTGAACAGGAATGGTTTTACACTTCTAAACTATCGACCTGGCTTTCTTTCACACTTGACGAAAGCTGTTGTCGGAAAGTTCGAATCGCCCTTTCCTCGAAATTCCATCACTTCAACCAACTAGCCGTTTGCGTGGGGTATGTTTTCGTTGACATTTTACGTTGCGATACTGCCAGGCGCTCCATCATCTGACGTGTTGAGTTGGGTTTGATTTCTCAGTCTTTGGTCTAGATAAAGTGGCTTGATAAGTCAAGGTCGATTAGTTAGTGTCTTGCAAAACTGAAAATAAAGATGGAGGATGTCTGCGCTGCCTACCCTGGAGCCCGGCCGGCTGTTTTAGGGACGGTTTAAAGATTGCTTTTCATAATACATATAATGTAATATTGTAATGAAATATGTAATATTGCTAGAATATAGCGAATTTTCTTCATAATTTTGGTCAATTTGAACACGTTTCTTGCTCTTTTCAGACCAATAATTTGATGCAGAAATCTCTTATTTAAATTTTAAAGCTGTGATTTGTAAATTTTGGAAAGCATTTGACCTCATTCGTCGACGAGGTCGGCTAGTGGAATTTGACCGTCATTCTTGGCGCACCTGGCTGAGCGAAATTAAAATTCACTCAGTTCAATCTATAACGACGCCTACCGGATCATTTTTTTCTGAGTGCGGAATCTGAGGATGATTTCTTAGACAATCTTTCTAAACGTGGGAAAGTCAACAAAATTTATTTTTACGTAAGAGTTTTTTATTTAAACCGGCAAAGATACGAATGACAGTTACGAAATGGTCAGGAGACTTGTTGAGGCGGAATATGGATTCCCGGATAATGATAAGGAACGGGAGGGACCATGGGCAGGTATGACTGTCTCAGGAGGTAAGTGGTCCTACGACGCCAACAATGGCGATGTCATTGCTGCCCTTGCCGATGGAAGCCAGCCAGAAGGATGTGTTCAGTTTGCTTTTACTCAGGAAAATGGAATGGTGAGTTTTAACCGGAATATTACAGAAAGAAGTTATCTGATTGATATCCATGTTTTACCACGTTTATTTATTGGAAGAGAGCCTTGCTTCTTTGTCTGAGAGACTGTTTTTATCTCTGAAGCAAGGGAGCAGAATCTTACATGAATTTCAACAGTCAAACGGAAACCCGAAACAGATAAATCAGCTTGTTTTAAAGATAGCCTGTTACAGTCAACAGTTGACTTACTGTCCCTTTACTTTTAAAAAGAATCAAAACTGACAATTATTTTCGTCAACGCTCTTCTGATAGATAAGCAACTAGTATGTTCTACCAACATTTTCGTAGCTTCCTGGCACTTATCAAAGGGGCTTCTATAAACGTTGTTTGTTCAGGAATACAAACTGCGGTCTTCCGATTGCAGCCACACCAGACGCGTGGTGTGTGAACAGTACCCTCTCCAACACTTGAACGTCGAAACGGAGCTGCTGCTGATCACAGATGGCCGATCCAATGACCCCAAGCACTTCGCCTCTCTTGAACGCATGAAAGCCCTTTACTCGGCTACTGGGATTAACGTAAGTCCTGCTGATTACCATTTCGTAATAACCTTGAGCTCGTGGAGACCTTTCTTCACGTCTTTATCGCCGGGCACGATTTATTAGGCAGCGTCCCTATATCTCTTTTTTACACCTGTTTATGGGAAGATCCAACGAGGAAAATTCTTTTGACCTAGATGAAAAGGCTTTTAATCTTACAATTTCGAACCATTCAGGTTTCCGCAATCGGTGTCGGCAGAATCAACGAGGACGAAATCCGTGACCTTACCGACAACACCCACTCCAGCAGTGCCAAAGAAGGAAACATCTTCTATCTTATGTCCTGGGAGTCGGTTCAGAAGTTCAACAAAATCTTCGAAAAGATCCACAAGAAATTCGAAAACGAGTAAGTTCAAACATGTGTTTTTCCATTTGTAAGAGCAAATTAAAATACCGTAGCGGTATGAAGTGCGCTCACGTAGCTATTCTCCCGACTAAATCACTTTTCTAGCGCCTGCCTGCCACTCAACTACGACCACGACGATGTGGCATGGACCCTCTGGTCAAAGACGATGGCCAAACACGGCGTTTCAGTGAAGCAAGAGCCCGAAGAAGGCTTCGAATTCAATTATTAATTCACTCCTTTCATAAATATTTCAATTTTGCGTAAAAATTTAGCGGCGGCGCAGTCGACTTACCGCCGTAGCAGTATATTTGTACATAAATAATGATCGATTATTATTATTTCATTTTCCACTCTTCTTTGTAAATTTTGTAAATTTAATTTCGTTCAAAATTTCAAAAAACTCTAAAAATCAAAAATTTTCTGCACCGTGGCGCGACTGAGTTGCGCACCAGCCAATCAGATCGCTTCATCGGCCCTATATTCCTTTTTTTCTGTACATAAAAGTAAAGACACGATTTATGAACTCTTGAGCCCAAATACAAACATTGCCATTTTAAAACTTTAAGCGAAGATAGAGGTAGGAGTATTGTAATTTTTATTCGCCACTGCCACAATTGGAACCATCGCCTGAACCAATTTGGACCTGGCAGAATAAGCTCCAAGCGATGAGCAACAACGCCCTTCCATCTCAACCCGCGAAGCTGGGAAATCAAAGTGCAAAAACGATGATGAGATGAAAACTGGGCCGTTTTTCTCCGCTGAGAACTAAGGTAATTCTGCACGTAGCAATTATTCTTATCAGATATCTCTATCACTGATAGACTATCAGCTCTATTCTAGCTCATTTCCGTTATATAAAACTCCTATCTCAAGACTACAACAAGGACTTTTCTTTTCAAAAATGCTCATTTAAACCATTTAGACTGGGCAGATAATGTTTGATCAGCAGCTACTCCCGAAGAAGTCTGGAAACCTTCTCAAACCGAACCGTCGACTTCTATTTGCGAAAAAGTTCACTTTCACTTGATACTTTCAAAAATTCCATATCTATATATTTAAACAAAACTGCTCTTTTCTAATAAATCCTGCTCAAAATTATCAATCACGCGTGTCTATTTATATTGGCATTACAAAATGACATCAAAGAAAACCCTTCAAAAAGTGAAAAAATAAAGCATGGTGAACTCTTAAAGTTCAGTACGTACCCCCGTTTGAACTCTTCCGTATCTTCTTTGTTTTTCAATAAAATAATTCGTAAAAATCAACTTTGCGGCCGACGTTTTCAAGAATCTTCGTCTAATATTTGTTACGTATTTTTGTTGTCATTTTTACCTTTATGGTGATGTCAAGGACTAATAATTAACCACGAAGAGCCTTTTGACTTGTGATTATCTGGTTCAAACAAGTTGGTTCAAAAATTGGATCAGTAGATCAACAATCGAGAAATTTGTAAATACCGCAGGAATGGGAATAAGAGAGATTTCAGTTGGAGGATATTCTGCTCTTGCTTTATCAGGGCTAATCGCAGGTAGGGTTAAACCTGAATAACAATGTTTGACAGAAATAAGGTGGCGCTTTTGCATGGAAATACCTGGAAGACTACCGAGAAGGTTTAGTTTCAGAGGATCTTGCGAAGCCAGAATCTGAAAGTTACTTCAACCTTCATGTTCTTCTTATGTACTGGCTATATGTAAGTAGCATCGTTTTTCATCCAATCCAAATCGAATGCATTTCGGTTTTTCAAGAGGGTAAATATGGAATTCAGCTTCTGCCAAATGCACTCGGAGCGATCAGTTTCAGAGCGTTTACTTTTATTGAACGCGATACAGCAAAATTACTCCATGCTTTGTTCAACACTATCGGTTTTGCTGCCTGTAAGTCTTAATATTATCAAATCAGTGCTCAATAATTTCTAGCGATTGCTGGTTTTGTCATTATCTACAAGCATCAAGGGGCAGCATATGGGGAATATGGCCATTTCTATAGTCCGCATACATACATCGGAATGATAACTCTTGCCCTTTACTGGTTTCAATGGGTTGCTGCGGTCTTTCTTTACTTCATTTCTTGGGAAAAGTACCTGTCCTCGGAAGACCTGATGCGAATGGGGAAGATCAAAGGGGCTTTTATCCAGTCTCATCGGGCTATTGGTAAGCTTATTTTATAGATTGTTCTAGTATGCACTCTTTGGCCTTGAGTTCTGACATCATGTTTGAACGAATATTTCAGGTTATATTTGCTTTGTCCTCATTGCAGTTTCATGCTTTTTCGGATTTATGACCAACTACTACTATGGATTGTAAGTTAACTGCGAAGCGAACTGAAGACTAAGATTCTTTTTCAGCACAAAAGGCGATCCTAACCATGATATGAATTCGATCATGCCTTACATGAATCAATCAATGGTTCCGATGTTTGCTGGAATGATGCTCCTTCTAGCCGTTATTCTCAACACTAAATATGTCCGACCGAAGCCCAAAGAAGTTTACAAGCCACAAGAAACTGCTACCTTGAAATCCGTTTCTCCGACAAAAGATAACGCTTCTGCTCCGCCTACTTCTGAGTTCTGACTTTCGATAAAATTTCACTCCAAAGCACTGAATTCATAACAGCACTAATATTTCACAATAAATATAAGAAATCAACGAAGAGAAAAGAAAGAGTTTTACAAAGTGTTATCAATTTAATAAATAGTATTTATTTCGGTACGCTTTCTCACTCTCTAAAAACCGGATATACGACTGAACTTGAACACGAATCAAATGCCTTTCACGGGCGAAGTCACAATAATGGCTCTTTCTTGATTCGGGAGTCTCCCACCTTGATCGGGTGTCCATTCTCATTTCCTCCGTGAATTCGTTTTATATGGTGAGTAACATTGTCGATGCGGAAGTGTTTATGCTCGCAGAGGCTTGAATATGCAGCTGAAGACAGGTCAAACACTTGAATCATTACCTGCATTTCCACTCTCCGATATGATGTTTCAAATGAAATTTGTAATGGCGCGTTAGCGACTCTTTGTTGCTAATGGAAACAGATAATAATTACCGACGATAAGCTGAATAAATGCAAACCTGAGCCCGTGGCCACTGCTTTCCGGAAAAAGATGAGGGCAAATTTTGCACTTGAATCTGCCAGTTCCTTTTCCCCGTTTGGGGACAGTCTCTATTCGCTCGACACTTTCGACGAGATAGGCGACTTCTTGATCTGTGACTTGTTCGACCTTAGATGAATCTTAGGCTTGGTCAAGGAAAGAGATAGTTTACCGTATGACCATTTATCAAATTTTCGATGATTTTGCTAATTTTTCCATTGCGAAGTGGAGAGGAATCCACTGGCCTTCCGTAGAATTCCAAAAACTGTTCGAGCTGACCAAGGTCAACCTGTAAGAGTTGCCCAGTTCCCGGGCGCTGGACTGTCACTTTCTTGCCACTAAAAAGAAATGTTATAATGGAAAGCTCAATCTTAAAGTGGTAGTCACAAATACTTTGATTATGTGAAGCGGTTTGTCATGTGGACAAGATCACCGCGCATGGTTGATTGAGATTATGGTGAAGAAAAGTTCAAGGAAAAACTGACCGTAAACACGATCTGCTTCTTACTTTTGACTAAGGCCGATGATCACTCTGAAGGTTTCGTCAAGGTCAGAGAATTCTTCTTTCTCTGGCAGCCTGCGTTTAGAAGGGTTTCGATTCAGATCTGAAGTCGAGCCCATGTCCATCGGGGAAGAGCTCGGAACAATTGGGGTGAGCTGGACGAATTCATCTTCTTGGGACTCATCTGTTTTCTCGTCGAAATGATGCAATCCTAAAGCATTTGAGCTCATATGTTGTATGATATGAACTACGTGATGAGATGAAATGGTATAAAATGTGGACTGATTTTTATTATGTTAGTGCTAAACACAGTTTTATAACGAGAGGGAGACTAAGACCAACGGATGCTTAGACGGTTACGGTTCGAATTAATGTATTTTCCTCGTTTTATAACCCAGTTAGTCACAAAGTTTATCGTTGTAAAAAATGTGGCTGATGGTACTTTGGGGCTTTGTTTAATCGTACTTATGTCGTATAAAAACTCATATAACAAATCTACGTGATTTACCACTAATCTCATCCTCCAGCTTCCTCGGATCGTACTCTTCCATCTTCCTTTCTCTTGTCCTTTTGACAAAAAAAGCTGAAATCGTAATAATTTCAGAAGATAGACTTCCGTAGTTACACTCAGCGCGAGACAATGACCAGAGGCACGCTTGAATAGAATTAAAATGATGTGCTCATAAACCCGTAGGAAAAGCCGTAGGACGAATTCGTACTGCAGGAGTATGCAGCCCGGACAAACAGATGCAGAAGTAATTGCACAAATATTTGAGGCGTGATAATGTAAGAGAAAATTCAAGATTGATGGTTTTGGTCGTGTTTATTGGGGCTTCATTTTTTGTCTAACGAGTTCAGAAGTTTGACTTTTGTAGGGGCAGTAATTTACAGGGGAAAGAAGGTTCACAAACAGCGAAAAATGGCTGAAATTTATAAATTTAGTAAAAAAAGCATCGGATTATGTACAGGATGCTAGAGTTTCCTGCGAAAATTTTCCCTTCTAGAAGGAATTCTCCACGAAAGTCTTGCATTCACCGTCCATACTAGTAGCAGGAGAAGCTTGGATCATCGGCTGCTGACCCATGTAAAGACCAGGTGAATGAGAGTATCCATAAGGGGGGTGAATTGGCTGGTAGGTGGACACACTTGGATATGAATGCATCGAATTTCCAAAGTAGGGATACTGAAGTTGCATATATCCTGGCATCGGTGTCGGTTGGGAGTACCCTGGACAGTAGGGCGGCTTTGGAAAGCGATGAAAAATGATGAATAAAAATTATGGTAAATTTTTATTATAGAATTTCATGCTTTTCCTGATAAAAGATATCGGTCTTGCTGTCACCGACTTGCACTGGTATTGGCGAATTGGTGGACTGCATGTGGTTTGAGAAGGTATTTACAGATTTCATACCTGAGATCTGTCTCGTTTGATAAAATCTCAGACCATTCCTGAATTTCTTGCTTCGGCTCCTGCTTTTGGGCATGCTGAGAAGACTAAAAGTTCAAATAGAAATGAATTTCTTGCGAAAGCTACCTTTGGAAACTTGGCGATCTTGTATTTGTGATTTGTGCCAAGATGTTCATCGACATCTTTTGGGACAAAAAATATCTTTTGTTTGATGTCCTTCGCCTTTTTGTTTTTCAAGTTAAATTGCCTAGAAACTTAGTTATTTAAAAACGAGGGATGAGAATAACTTGAAGCCGTAGTTGTTGAGGTTTCGTTGAAAACTCGCCCATTTGATTGTATTAATTGGGTGCTTCTCTTCCTTTGATTTCACCTGTAACCATTCCTGGATAAGACGGTAAAATGGGTTCGAAATAATCGGGCTTTTACCTGCTCGAATCGATCTGGACTGAAGATGAAGCCGAGTCCTTCTTCAGTAAAGGTCACGGAAGGAACGTTGATGTCTCTCGCGAGCATTCGTAGTTTTTCGGGGAATTGGGTGTACCCTCGTCTGAACGCTTTTTTACCAGGCTTCTTTTTGTCAATTTGCTGCTCCCCCGCCGATTCCATTTGTTCAAGGTCAGGCAATGCTCGCGGAGTTGGAGTATTATCTGCTTGTTCTGGCTTTTTATTTTCCAGAAGAGCGAAGTGATCGTTTATATTTTCGACTAGTCGACACATCACCTCACTTGGAGTCGTTTCAAAAATTGAATTATTTTTTTAAACATTTTAGAGGAAAATGCTTACGAAACAACTTTCCTTTCAAGCTTCTTCACGGCATTTAATTGTCTGAGGTACTCTTCTTCATCATCTGCAGGCTCTATTAAATATGAAAATCGTGCTCCATGAAAATGAATCTTACCAGTTTTAACGTTATCGATTTGATCTTCTGGTGTCAATATCTGTTCGACCTGGCCCTGCTCCTCTGGAACCTCCGGAGAAGCGAGAGTCTGACCATCCTTCAGATCTTTAGGAGCGAGGAAAAGATCATCCTCGTCCATGACATCTGAGTTAGGTTCTTCCCTATCGCAGGTAGCCGGTGGCGATTCAAAACCAGAGTCCTTCGATCCTCTCCGTTGAAGGAAGATCGCTGGAGGAGTGTCCTCGTTGTCTTCTCCTTCGGACATTGGGTCATCCTCGCTGCTCTCTTCGATGATTTCAGTCACTTGAAATGCCATGTCATAATTATAGTGACCGTTGTTAGGCTAAAAAGTTTAAAGTCAGGATTACAAAACTGACTGTACCGTAGACACGCTCAAACCAGCTTCGGAGTCCACGACGTCGATCTCCATCGGAACATTGTCGCGATCTCCTTCAACTATTTCATCGACGCGAAAAACTTGGTCATTTGAAGCTTCGTAATTTGTGGGCTAGAATAAATAATGATGAATCGAACAAGAACTGACTCTACCTCAGAATTGGAAACGTCGACGGCGGAATGAGACTTCTTGACATCTGTCTCAATTCGGGCTTGATTGTAAGTGGCATTTTCGGCAGGCGCGATGAACTCTTGTTTGATGAGAGGAGCTTTTTTCGAGACCTAAAGCATGTTTATTCCTGCATCAGAATCGCAAAGAAGCAGAAAGAAGAATGCTCACCTTTCTTCTCTCAAGCTTCGTTAAATCGACGAAAGCATAACTTTCATACTCGGCCACGAATTCAACATCATTGTTGTCCTTCGCCAGCCGAAGACCGCTGCGTGTGAGAGGCATCTCGAGTCTCTTTTTCTTTTCTGGAAAAAAAACCTATCTCTAGATTCTGGCTTTGAAAATAAGTCAGACTGGAAGACTTTGAAAACAAGTGTTGCCAAAGTCGAGCCGGCGAATTTCGCGTCGCGAATCAGAGCTGCGAACTTCGTCACCAGTTCTCAGAATCGCTTCCGATTCGTGCGCCGTACTTTTCGCGTCTATTCATGAGTCATCCCCAAATCGCAAAGATTGCATCAAAAAATTTAATGAACTTTTTCAACCTATGCTAGAGATAATACCATGAAGTTTAACTCTTGTGGGAGAAAGCCTCTGGGCCCCCTTCCCCGTATCCCGCGCAAATCACTGTCGGGGAAGTCTAGAAAATTTCTTAAGCACTTGCTTGGCGGTTTAGAAGAATCTCGAGATTCTGAAGAACAGAATCTGGAAAGTAAACGGGTCTGAGCCAATGAGAGAGCCGACAAGGGTTAGCGCGGCTTCTCTCCAAGATTAGGCGCGCTCAGAAATGCCCATGTCCCGGGCCAATATCTCTCGCCACATGTCTTCAGACATGGGCAGATTCTCCTATCTCCCTTAACTGCTCAACTTCATGGTATGATGAAGAACATAAATTCATGGAAAATGAACGAAAAGAAGCTTCAAAAAACATTCTAGAATAGAGATCAAAGGATGGCATTTTGAAGTTTTTTCTCGATATTTTCCGAGATCGACTTAGAGACAAAAATTCGACGCTTTCGTCGAAATGGCGAATTTCCTCTTCTAAATTTTTCAGAACAGCGCCGTTCGAAATTGAGAAAAAGCGCCATCCTTCAGAGCGATTATCAAGTTTAACAAATTTTTGAGCGCTGTGTTTTTTCGAGGCTTCCTCATCAGATATTTTGATAGCGTAATTTGTTTCGTATTCTTTTGTACATTTGTAGAATGCAAAGATGGATCGACACTCATTTACAGAAACGCGGAAACCACTTCCTTTGCCGGGTCGATGAATGCTTCATGACGGACAGCTTCAATCTCACTGGACTCGCGGAATGCATCCCTAATTTCCTCAACGTTTATTATTATAAAAAGAATGCATCCTGACATTCTTTAGGTTCTACAGAGAATTTTGAATACAGAATCAACCTCTGACGACAGCGATTCCAATCCTTCAGCAAGCTCAAAAAGCGAGAAAGAAGAAGAGAAAGAATTGGCCGCTGAAACACTTTATGGCCTTATCCATGCTCGATTCATTATGACGAGACGAGGGTCGGACGAAATGAAGGACAAGTTTTATAATAATATCTTCGGAGTTTGCCCTCGGTAAATAAAATGCAGTTTTCTATCTCTTACTGGTGATTCTAGTGTCACTTGCGCGACAAGTCTCCTTCCAATCGGCCTTTCAGACGCCCCTTGTGAAGGTGAATATAAAAAACTGATTGTAAGTATTCAACCATCAATCCTTTTAAGAAAATGTAAAAACCTACTGTCCGATGTGCGACGAAATCTTTGAAGCGAAATCCTCCAAAGTTCGAGGTCTTGACGGCGCTTTCTTTGGAATCAGTTTCCCAGTTTGTCATCTTCGAAAACGCTCTAAATAGCTTCAATAATTCTCTTTAGCACATGTTCTTCATGATGAACCCAGAATGTCGTCCTGCAAAGAAAAAATCTCATGGCTGGGTACCGAAATTGTTTGGCTTTCGGATTCATCCGTCTGCTTACCAATCACAGGTTTTTTTGTTTCATCATTTTCTTTATAAGTGCGTCGACTCTAGGAACCTGAAGAGGAAACAAAAGACGAAAATGAAGACAAGGAAGAATAAGACAAAATAGTGTCAAAAATAAGAAGACTTTCACTGTATCCCAATCCTTTATCACTGCCTTTATGTTCATAAATGTTCACTTTCAGTAACAGTTCCAGGATGAATCGTATAGAAAAGGTGCTCAAAGACCCTTGTCTACCATATTTACAGTAGTTCAGAGATTGTTGAACAGCTTATCTTTCTTCTGAACAAACTGTCAAGAAACCGTTTTCATCTCGTTTTCAGACAGTGTAAACAACGAACCGAAATAAATAAAGTTTACACTTGATCATATAAACAATCGTTTTCTTTATTCAAAGTGTGAAATTTAGCATGTTTCGATCTTGCCGAACCGGCCACCTTCTCTTGATAGTCGGTCATTCCAAGACTCACGATGCTTGGATCAAGATTTCAGAGATTGCTTCTAATTCTTGGGGGCTTTGGCTCCGCACAGGTTAAGAAATTGAATTAACTTTTCGCATACTAGCCTTCTTTTAGGATCCGTATCCAGGATGTGACCCTGAAAAATGTCCTCAAATGGGAACAACCTTTTCCTGCGGTGTCGTTATAAAAGAGTACCCAAACTCCCAGGATGAAAACGGTGACAATTTGGTTAAGTGCGGGTACATGATCACTGGCTCAAGATCAAAGTATTCGGAGCTTCAGGAGCTCTGCAAAAATATGGCACCGATGGCCCGTGATAGCGAGTGGGAAGCTGGAGAGGGCACTGGGGATATGATCTCTCTGGAGAATCAGGTTCAACAGGATATTTTAACTTATCACGTGAAGAATATCACTGTGAATCCAAACAACCCGAACTCATTCTACTATCCGTACGTTTACATCGGCTTCCGGCGATTATGTGGGACATGTCCGTGGTTTTGGGAAGATGGAAGTCCAGTTTCATGGACCCACTGGCTCCCTCCCAGCTACCCAACAACCAGTACTTACGCAAACTGCGCGTGGAGCTACGCGTATGGTACATACGAGGGCGAATGGCGCAACTACGCTTGCTACTCGAGCTATCCCGGATACTGTGAATACTTTCCCAAGGGTCGTCCTTCACCTAAACTCATCCCGCTTCCGAATCCAGTTAAGAATGGCGGCTGTCTTGCCGGTTGGTGGAAGTTTGGCGGCTACTGTTACAAACAAATCGGCTTCAGCAACAATATCTGGGACGAGAGCCAATACAAGACCTACGACGACGCCAATGCTCAGTGCAACAATCTCTGGTCTGGCGCAACACTCGCAATGGTTCCTTCTCCTCAACACAACGCCATGGTTGCTGCTCTCCTTGGACCACATACAGCTGGAGGCAAGAGCCCGTGGATCGGAGTGAAGAGCTTCGCGCAAAATGAATATTATTTTGCGAATATAGATCAGACGCGCATTTATTACTCGAATTGGGTTGCCAGTAAACCAAATCATCTTCATCTCGGTTTGGAGAACTGCGTCGAAATGAAGTGGAAGCCTGAGTGGAGCTACAACGGCGGGGTAGAAGCTGGACAGTGGGAGAATCGAAACTGTAATGAAAACAGACCCTATGTCTGTTCCCGCGCAGAGGACTCTTCCATCGGTAACTATGTATTCCCAACTGATCAGACTTGGGCGAACCAAACCTGTCCCGAGGGATGGATCCCTAAGGGCGCCGCTTGCTACAAGTTCTCGACCGATAAAAAGACCTTTGATGATGCTTCAAAGTACTGTCAAGACACCGTGAAGCAAGAAGTCAGCGGCGCAATCAAGGGCGATTTGATGACCTTCTGGGATGATTACGAGCGCAATCATGCGTATTCCTTTTTCCGTGACGATTCCGTCGACAATCGAAACGATGTTACTCTTCCATTCTTTGGCGACTATGGCATTTGGGTTGGTCTGGATAAAAGACGGAACAATACTTGGAGATGGATTGATGACTGGCCGATGACAGGAACTCATTGGGCACCAGGTACAATAGTTAGCCCATTTGACGATCCCAAATTTTTTTTATCAATTTTGATGTCTAATTATATTCTTTTAAGGAAAACCTCAGCCAAACAGTAACGGAGGCAAAGATTGTGCTTTCATCAATAAAGATGGCTACATGACTGACGAATCGTGCTCTACTCCGATGCCATTCATCTGCAAGGCGGAATTCGTCGACTATACTCCAAGCGTAAGAATTATCAGTTCTTCCAGCTAAATCAATTTAGTGGCGGGACTCCATCTCCAATCTTGGTGAGGCTTTGGATTGCCCTGATGGCTGGACGGAATTTTACGATCATTGCATCAAGGGATTCAAGGAGCAGGTTACCTGGTTCACTGCCCGACAGACCTGCGAATCAAGCGGAGGCGACTTGGTTTCGATTCACTCTGAATGTAAGTCTATCTTACTTTTCCAAGTATACCGGTGGTTTAGTCAAAAACAACTTCGTCAAGCAGCTCTACAGCGATCTGAAAGTGCCTTATCCTGATGAGCCTGGACCATGGATCGGTCTTCGCGAAACTCCCACTCCAGAATGGTCTGATAAGTCCTCTGTTGCGTTCATCAACTGGGCGAATGGGCAGCCCGATGATTATGTAAGTTTGGATGAATTCAACACGATTGATGAAGTGCCTTTAGGAAGGAAATGAAGCGTGTGGACAGATGATCACATCCGGCGCGTGGAATGATGAGATGTGCGACAACCAACATCCCTTTATGTGCCAAAGAGTCAGGACGTATTCCTACTGTGCTGCTGCAGCAGAGGCTGGAAAGTTTGAACAGTGTGGATATGCAGGAGTCAGGTATGATTTTTTACATCATTCATCATCGAACTATTCTTCAGTGAGGAACAGTGCGTAAAAGAATTCCAATGCTGCTGGAACCCAATTCAGCCGGTGAAATGCTTCGCGCCGAAGAAACCTGGTCTCCATCCTGGCATAACAGCAGGTGCGGCAGTTGCTGCAACGCTTTTCACCGTCGGCATTGTTGGAGGAGCATATATTTACTACACAAAATATGGCTTTGGAACACCAGGGTAAAAATTCTTTCTCGGACTCTTTAATGATCTTTCTTAGCTCTGGCGGAATTTCGAATCCTGTGGCATAAATTATGCCGCATAATGGTCGAAGCGTTTTACATTTTGTACATTTTCTTTCCCTATATTTTCCTGCATACTTCAAATAAAGCTTATAATAAGTATTAATCTCGCATTCTGTTGATGCAACTTTTAGAAATCAAGGTCACTCTCCATTCAAGTGTCTTTCTCAATCAGTCGCTAAATAATCTAATCTTATTAATCTTAATCTTGGCTCTCGTCAGATTCAGTCGTCGTATTAGAGCATTTTCCTGATGAGAGCAAAAACGTGGCAAAACTTGCTAAACATGTGTCGATGAGCGTTTCCAATTGAGACATGATAGATGAAAGATTCATCTGAGACTGATTATTTCCACAAAAATCAAATCATCTTCACTCCACGTGAGAAGTTTTTACTCTTCGAATAATCACTACTCAAACAATCGGACTTTTTTGAAACACTGTCCTTTTGAGATGAAAAAGTTATAAGCCTCTATTTTCCTTCATCCGTGGGGAACACTTGGTCCTTTTGAAAATCGTCTTACATACAGTGTATTCAATTGGCTCATGATGATGTGTTTCCACCTGTCTTCATGAGCGGTTTTAGCTTATAAAAACTTCGAAGACTCCTTATTTATGGCTATAGTCTAAAATTGAACCAATGCTGAACAAACTGAGCGCATAAGGTTGCATCTGAAGTTACCTAAGAAAAGGTAAGTTGAATTGAAAGTCCTTATTTAGGCAACGTCATAAGGTGCCAGTGACTGGCAGCAAGTCGTAATTTTTGCTAAAAGGGTCGTGCATTAATCGAAAATAAATTCAACTGCTTCTCAGTAAATTATAACCTTTAGAATAACCTATTACTAATAGGCTATTACTAATAGCATATTACTCCATGGATACATCAGTAAGATTGCTATCAAATTCAGAGGATTATTTTCCGATAGGCCGACATTTGCACTCGTGCTTTAGGTACCCTATCCTTAGCTTGCCATTTTGCATTCACTTGTACAAACAGCGAAGGTCAGCTCAAGAAGGTGCAGCTACTTTTCTTGGCTTCATTATTCATTTGCAAGGGAGCAAGTTCTGAGCTGCGTTAATTTTTCAACAGAAAAACGAGAGCAATATAAGAGCCGCGGGAGCCGCTTAGACAACCACAGAGCTAGAATCAGATTGATATATTTCCAGAAAAAAATGGCAGATGACAAACGGCAGGTATGTGATACGGTACGTTCCAAAAGCTCGGGAATTAAAACGTATCCTTAGGCATTTAACGTTGCAATGCAAGATGCGCAAAATGCGTTTTACGATATTTTCGTCAAATTGGAAACGATGGAGTCAGACTCGCAAATGCACGCGGATCAGGTCAAGCAGCTAAGAGAGGACTTGCACAACTCAGAGAAAATTCGAATGGAACTCTGTGCCAAGTACAGTAACTTGAGGGTAAAGTTGATTTGCGATGCTGCCAAATCATAACAAAAATCAAAGGTCAAATACGAGCGGCTACGAACATCCATCAAAGAAGCCATGACTTTGAATTCACCTACTCCTGATCTAATGGCTCGACTCGGAAGCAAGGTTGAAGCTGATCTCAACTCAACTCGGGTTTCTTCAAGAGCCAGCAGCGGCTCCGTCTCTGATCAAGTCTCAAAAATTGAAGGACTTTCCGTTGATGAAAATGGAGAATGATCTTTGTCTATATTGTAAAATAGCCCCTTTCGCACTTTCTGTTTGAAATAAACGATAAAAAGCACGTTTCGTCACTTCTGTTTTTCTTGCCATCCTAACCTCCATCTTTCTTCCTTTTGATCTGGGCAGAAAAAAAGAACGGAAGAAACGATTGAAAAAGGACCAGTTTGAATTTGGCAGAGATGGAAGCGAAAATTAAAAAGTATTTGATTATTTTAGCTGTTTCTTGTTTCTTCAGCACGGCATTGAGCATTCTTGGGATATTTCTGAAAGATGGAACGAAGTTTGGAGAGCTAGAATTCTTGAATGAAACCTTGGTAAATCAAAGCATAAAAGACTGGTATCAATATAAACTGCAATCTCAACACTTATGAATGATACGATTAACAAATGTAATATCGCGTAGGTCTTATACCAGAAAAAGTTTGGACAACAATTACAAACGCGCTAGAAAATCATCATTGCTGGAATTACGTAAACAAAACAGATGCCATTCAGACGTGTGATCTATTTGAGACAGAACTTCCTATCCTGAACCCACAGGATACCAAAAAAACTATGAAAAAGTAATCAGCGCAATTTGAAGTCAGCTTCTCAAAAATAACAGATTAAATTCATCATTTTTTTATAGTTTCGCCCTTTTCGGCGAATTCACATTCTTGAGAAACGAAATTGAATACATCAATAGAACGCATTTTAAAATCGCAGCAGATGGCGGTGAACACATCACTAGGTAACTGGTTAAATAACTGCTTAAAATTTCTATTCAAGATATCATCTGAAAAAAGTCTTCAAAAGCTTAGGAAACTTTCAAGGAACGAATGAAGAATCTATTTTTCAGGAAAATGTTGAAAGGGCTAACAAAAATGGGTCTTATTAGGATTTATTTTTATATTCTCCAAAGCTATCACCTGGAATAGGAGTGCAATACTCCAGAAGCTTCTTAGTAGAAAACTACTGTCTTTCAAGAAGATTTGAAGATCCTCCCTCTTTCTATACTGATGTACGAAATATAAAATTGGTTGTAAAGAGAGACTTACTATTTCAGTTACCCTTCATATGCATCACAAACCGAGCAGGGAATGAAACTTTTCGGCCGATTTGGGCAAATAGGAAAGAATTTTCACTCACAGAGCAAACCTGGCTTTGGATTCCATACGATGAAAAGAGCAAGTTTATTTTTCAAAACTTCAGCATATATGATGACTGCCAAGAGGGGAGCTTGTTCATGGTGGAAACGACTGAAGATGTTGATAAGTTGAAACGAATGTTGAGGATTTCGATCCTGTTTTCTGGTAGGTATTAAAAGTAAAATTAACATTCGGAAATAATTTTAGATTGTCATCATCTCAATTCATCATTAAATCATAAAGGTACATCTAGTGTCAGAAAGAATCTTAAAAACGATTTGAGATTGCTCAAAAACAGATATTCCCGTATTTTTTCCACTCAACTTCGGCATCAATTTACCATGTGAGATGCTTTAGAATTGATTCTCAATTAAAACTCTAACAGTGCGCGCTCAAACATCGAAAACTTTGGAAACATGGGAGGGGAAAGCTATCAGCTCAAAGGTATTAAACCTGCTTGGACTATGTTATGAAGCGAGGACTTTACTTCCGACAATTCTTTTGATTGATTACAACGTCACTGGGACCTTTCTGCATCTTAGATGCAGCATCTAGATTTTGAAGAAGCATATGGAGCGAATTACTGTCTTAAGAAATCGCCGATAATAAGACGAAAAAAAGTATGCTCTGAAAATTAAGTTTTGCTGTTCGAACTCCGAAATACATGCATCAGAATACAGAAAAAAAAATATTTTATTTGTAATCTTTGTCGATTGCAGTCTGAAAGAATGAAGCTTGGAATCATTTCACGGGAATTCCGCATCTTTTCTTTTCGAATCATTTTCAATTACGGTTACTTTCTTCTTTCGATGGAAAACTGAGCAGAGGCTCCTAATGACCAGCAGAAATATCGCCAGAAAGACTAAAATCCTTGCGAAATAGAGTTGCAAAGCGACTTTGCTTACCTAACGATAATTCGATAATCCCGGCTATTGATAAATACATTCTCTATTATTTTCCTCTGTAAGGAGGCCTTGTCAGCTAACTTAGACAGTGGATATTTGCGCTGATATCAAATAAGTGCGAAAATTTCGGCCAAAACCTTTTTTAAAAAGAACGAAACAACGGCTATAAATTTCCCTGTGCGAGTGAAATTTATGGCAACTTTGCGAACATGGGAGGAATTTTATATTCTTAAGTTTGAGTTGTTGCAAATTTAGCGAACATCGAAGTGGATGATGCCGAATAAATAGGTTTTGAAACAGTCAAAAAACGGTTTCGATAATTCGTCTATTGAACTTTTTATTCGTGGAGAGCAGCACGGAGGGCGTCCTTCATCGAGGCAGTCAATGGCTGAGAGTCCTTGCCCAAGATCATGGCCTGAAAAAGAGAAAGTTATCGAATGGAAGAAGTGGTGAGATCAATGAGGATTCTGTTTGAAAAATGTTAAAATTCTGTTTGTTAGTTTTCAAACTCAACAATTATTCTACGATCTGCTTCGCCCAGGGCATAATTATAACTGGAATGAGCAAAAAATCTCAAAAGCGTCTAGAAAAGAGAGAATTTCAAGCTGTTGAAGGGTTTGATTACCTTGGTAGATTCGTCAAGAACGGCGGGAACAGCAATAGTGTCGGGCATGACAGCTCCGGGCTTGTCGAAGGAGTAGATTTCTCGGAGGAGCTCCTTAAGATCGTCCTTCCAGCCGAACTTGTTGCAGAAGAATCGGTACTCGATCGAGTGTGCTAAAAGCGATTAGAGAGGGAAATGAAAAGGGAGTGAACTCACGTGGCTGCCAGATTCGGAGAGCCTGGGGATCGTCAAGACCGAGGGGCTCCATGTACTGCTCGAAGAGGGATCGTCGATCGGGGTAGAGCTTCATTTCTGTCTTCTTTAGGAGACAGTTGTAGACACCCTGGTAGAAGAGGATACTAGTAATCAACAGTCAATCGACATTTCTGTGAATTTCAACGTACCCAAGAGTAAGAGCGCCGTACATGGCGAGAACGAGGACTTCATTACCGTGGGAAGCAGTCTCGAAGAAAAGCTCTTTGGTGGATCGGATTTTACCCTGAAAAATTGGTTGAGGAAGAAAAGAGAGGAAGTGGCTCTTACGTTGGTGACGAACTTGAAATACGAATTTCGGGCGGACTGGCCGACGACAGGTCGGAGAGCGAGAACTGGTCGAGACAATCGATTCATCTCGTACCTGAAACCAAAAGGATGATGATTTTGCTGTTTGTGAAATTTGAAAGAGCAGAGAAATACAGTCAAATTTGGTTGATTCCATCAATAATGAATAGTAGGTATACTAACGAAAACCCCTGAAAAGACTGTAAGACATTAGGACTGAAAATTTACATCCTCTTTTCTAAATTTACAATCTGATAACCTATTTTTTATCGAAAGCCAATAAGATACGCGTGTTTCCCTAGATCACTGTCAAAATTTGAACGCTTTTGTAATAGCCTTATGGTTTGAATTAAAACATTGAGAACTGAAAATAAATAAATTTTTCTGTCAGATCTTCGATTCTTCTAGAAAGTAAAATCTCTGCAAAAATGACTCAGAAGGGCTGAAATCTCCCTTTTTCGCTTCAAAAAATCGTCTCTTTTTTCATTCAAGCGGGAGTTTCGCGTTTTGCGTAGGTGCTTTAGCTTGCGGGGATTCGACGAGCGGCGAAAATATTGAACCAATTGAGCAAAAATTGTCGACGAAATTTTGAATTCCTCGTTACGGGAAGATTGCAGCGAAAAAAGGAAAGGAAGCAATAGTCGAGGAGGCTTCTAGAATTGCCCCAGAAGAAAAAAGAGAAGTAAAAGTTGTTGGATAGAAGCCGTTTTGAAGGAAGAGTCTTGAAGTTTGAAACTTGGGAAGATGAAAAATGAAGAAAAGAAAATGGAATATGGAGATATTTTGAATAATGAGGCAAAGATGAAAGAAAGTAGGGATAAAGCTTATGTAAGTACTTAATTTGATATAACTTATAATATAAGTTGAAAATTGATTTTCATCTTGAAAATTTATTTCTCCGGTCTATTTTCGTTACTTCTTGTAAATTTGTAAAATTGTAAATTGTCGGTAATTTCACCATGCATTTTTACTCATACTCTCATGCGTGTTTACAAATGAGGGTGAACGACAGCCTACAACTTAGTATTCATCTATAGGGAACTACTTAAAAACATAGACGTGAGGCTTTTATTTTTCTCTGATGATTTCTTGAGTAACTATCTTGAATCTTTCTTTTCAGGATTTCCAGCGCGACCCCTTCCGAACTCGAAATTCTCGTCCCGAAGCCAAGTTCGATTTGAGTGGCAATGAAACTCTCGTTTCTTATCGGAAGAATAAGAAGTCCCTCCTGCACAGATTTCTTGAGAAGCGAGGCTTGTTATCTCCCGACCCGTATCTTAGAATGGTAAGTCAGAACCATAATTTTATGATACATTCTGTAGTGTGGGTTTCTTGTTGCTTCGTTTAACTGTCCAATGATTACACAACCCTTTACTTTAGTCACGGCTATGATAAGTAAAAACTCTTGAATTACGATGAGGAAAGTTACGTATCAAGGAGCTATCGGACCCTTGCGGTGCCTCACTATACCTCTCAATCAAAACCCTCTTTAGCACCAGAAGATGCGCTACGAAAGATTCATGAAGATCGGCGCCTTCGTCGGAATCACCTCAATGTATCTCATCACTTCAGTCGTTCAACAACAACGCGAAGATGGATCGAAACCGCCACTGATGGAGCGTGTTCGTTGGATGATCAAAGATACTCTCGACGCTCCCGGATAATGATGTGAATTTGAACGGCTAATTTATTCTTTTTCTTTCTTCACTATTTCTGGCTGGATCTAATGTTCTTGATTATTGTAGAATGCTCAGCCGAATCGCCCGAGTCGCTCCCCGAGTTGCCGTCCGACAGGTCGCCGTAAGTATAATTTTCAGTCAATGAACTTTACTTTTGTCCTCTTCTACGCTATTTAAAATAGAATTGCGTGATTAAAATGATTTTTTAAAGACCTACAACCCTCACCACAACAAGATCGCCGCTGGTGTCTTCCTGTGGATCACCGCCACCATCTACTGGGGCACCGCTCGACCATACCTCCAGGATGAACTCTGGGAACAGAAGGCGCGTTTTCAACCTCGTTTACACTTTTTGTTCGGTTTTATTTTATTAAAGACTTTGTCTCTCTTAGAAGTGAAAAGAAACAAGTTTGAAAACGCCTGAAAAGTCCACCTTCTCCAAGGTCGAATCCGAAGAAGAAGATGACGAGTAAATCAATCTTTGAAAACGACCATGCATTCTGCTTTTCATATTCTTGAATTCGCGAACTATTTATTGCGGTTTACAACTGCATATTCCTCTCACATGCACTGAGTTGGGCATTCATTTTCCTAATTCAGAATAAGAAAAAATAAATAAAGTTATCCTACTAGTTCAATGTGTGTCTTTTTCTTTCTTCCTTGATCTCAACTACCATTTTCTCGATCTACAAAGGATCCGAAGGAAACTGTACGAAATTTGAGTACGAGCGTAGTGTAGGGATGAATCATCTTTCCTCGCATGATTAGGCCCATTTTTCTGAATTTGAAAATGGTTTTCCGAAAGTAGTTTTTCGTCTTTTCAGAGGTTGAGTGAAGGAAAGTAGAACAAGATGGCTCGTATGCCAACAGCAGTCGTGGATGTAGGAACTGGATATACGAAACTAGGTTTTGCTGGCAATTCTGAACCGCAGTTTATTTTTCCATCGCAGATTGCTGTTAGGTATGCAAGATGAGAGAGAGAGAGTGAGCTTTTAATTTCGATTTAGAGAACAAGCTGGTGTCACAAACACGCGAACGTATAAGGGCGTCGATGATTTAGGAAAGGGTTGAGCCGCTCTTTTTACTTTCTTTCGGAAGAGCATTTTGGACTCTTTGATAGACTTTTTCATCGGTGACGATGCAACAGACCGTCCAAACTACGCATCAAAATGGCCACTGAGGCATGGAATTATCGAAGATTGGGATCTGTACGAGCGTTTTATGGAACAAATCATCTTCAAATATCTCCGGGCTGAGCCTGAAGATCATTACTTTCTTCTAACCGAGCCGCCACTGAACCCGCCAGAAAATCGAGAGTATCTGGCAGAAATCATGTTTGAGAGTTTCAACGTCCCGGGAATGTATATTGCAGTCCAAGGTAGAAAAATCAATAACGAATGATTGCGCAATTAAAAACAAATTCGTAGCTGTTTTGGCTCTCGCCGCCTCTTGGACTGCCAGACAGAGTGGAGAACGATGCCTGACAGGCACTGTTGTTGACTCTGGAGATGGAGTCACTCACGTTATCCCAGTTGCCGAGGGTTACGTTATTGGATCGTGTATCAAACACATCCCAATCGCCGGCCGAGACATCACGCATTTTATCCAGAACTTGATAAAAGACAGAGAATTCGGAGTTCCACCAGAGCAGTCTTTTGAAGTCGCCAAGGTCTGTTCAATTTATCTTTTCTTAAAAAAACTCTTTTGGTAGGCAATCAAAGAGCGATTTTGCTACGTCTGTCCAGATATCGCCAAGGAGTTCAGAAAATACGAAACTGATGTCGTCAAGTGGGTCAAGAACTACACCGGATTCAACAATATCACAAAGAAAAAGTTTGAAATCGACGTTGGTCATGAGCGATTCATGGGGCCAGAAATCTTTTTCCATCCAGTGAGTTCTTCTTTTTCTCATACCGAGCTCGAAGTGGTCGATATTCTACGATGCTAACTTTTTCATAGGAATTTGCTAATCCTGACTTTACCACATCTATCAGTGATGTTGTGGACGATGTCATTGCAAACTGCCCAATCGACACAAGAAGACCTCTTTATGGAAATATTGGTACGTATTGTAAAGTAGCAGAATGGAAATTTACTCGCTACGCAAGTGAACTCAGCCGTGAATAAGAACTTAATTTAGTTCTCTCTGGCGGATCAACGATGTTTAAAGATTTCGGCAGGCGCCTTCAAAGAGATGTGAATAAACTCATCAACAACAGAATCAAGTTATCAGAAGAACTTTCCGGTGGCAAAATGAAGGCCAAAGAAATGAAAGTCGAGGTATTCTAATTATGCTAATATGCTCAAGAGTTAATTGTCAAATTTTAATTAGGTTATTTCTCATCCAATGCAGAGATATGCCGTTTGGTTTGGAGGATCTCTTCTTGGAGCCACTCCCGAATTTGGGACCTTTTGCAGGACAAAAGCTCGTAAGTACCGATTTCAGATGAAGGTTTCGTTTTGATCCACTCTTATCATCAATGAATTAAGAATACGAAGAGTACGGGCCGTCAATTTGCAGACATAATCCAGTCTTTGGCTCAATGTTTTAATAGGTTTCTCCAAGGCCTCCTATCGTGAGATTCGCTTAAAAATCCTTCTTTTATGAAACTTCCCTTCGATCAAAAATTCAACTTGTAATCAGATAACTGCTATTTTTTAAAAACTTACTGACCTTTTCCAAGTTTTCTAAGTTTTGAGCTTTTCATGAGAGAGTTGCTCGATTTCAAACAGTATTTTCTTTACATGTGCTTACTGAAAATCATTCCTTTTTCCGGCTTTTTGGTGAGTTAAACTTTTAAAAGCCTTATTTTGTTATTTTATGTAAATATTGATATCGCATGTTCCGTTCTTTCGTCAAACTTCTGACTTTATTCTTATCAAAAGAGGTCTTCAATAATCAACACAGTACAGTAAAAAATGTCCTTACAGCACTTTTACGTCTGAAAATTCTGTCACACTGCTGATCATCAAACAATGGCTTGTGCATTCGTTCAAATTTAACACTTTTCTGTGCCCAATGCCATAAACTCCCTTAATTTCTTTCTCCTTCTTCTTTTGCCCTAACCTTCAAACAAAAAAACTATCAAGTTCCTGACTTGTTTTTAATCCTTCTATCTTCAGTTCAAACCCTACAAAAACAAAACGCCAATGATAGAAATCGACGGTGAAAAACACGAAGGAGGCGGGCAAACCGTTCGTCTCGCCGTCGCACTCAGCGTCGTCCTCAAGAAATCCTGTCGTATCAAAAATATTAGAGCAAAACGATCGCGGCCTGGTCTAGGGAATCAACATGTAGCAGGAGTAAATTTGGTGGAAGAGCTTGCAGGTTGCGAGTTCATTGACAATGACGGTCTTCCCGTGGAAATTGGTGCTACATCGATCATCATCAACGCAGACGAAATAAACTACACGCATAATATTAAAAAGTTCACGGCTGATGCAAAAACAGCGGGTTCTTGCGCGCTCATGGCTCAAGTTGCTCTTCCGGTTAGTACCAAAGACCTCTTGACTGTTTTTATAACGGATGATAGATATTGTGTTTCTGGAAAAGCGAAGTCGAAATCGAGCTCAAAGGCGGCACTGATGCAGATATGGCTCCTCCTGTCGACGATCAAATAGAAGTCTTTGCATTTTACTTGCGAAAGTTTGGCGTAAAGCTCGAAATCGAGCAGAAACGCCGCGGATTCTTCCCCCGCGGTGGTGGCCTCTGCGTTTACAAAGTCAGACCAGTTGAGAAACTCAAGCCCGTCCAAATTTCCTGCCCAAAAGTGGTCGATATCTTCGCTGAAATCTGGCACTGCAATACGCGCAAGAATACACATACTCGTTTCTTCAATCAACTCGACCAAATGGCCCGAAAAGTAAAGACCCTCGAGAACCACGAAAAGGTGCGAAGGGTTGATGTCCGTCTGACGGAGCGTCCCGAGCCAGCCGATGGCTTCGCTGCGGGGATTTATCTTTACGGGCGGAATATCGACTTCAAGTGCGCTTACGATGCCAAAATTGCTAAGAACAACAGAGGCGGTCCAATTCCTGATGGGGTCTGCGAAGCTCTGATGGTCGCGACCGTTGAAGACCTTGACGGATGCGAAGATATCTCCCTTGATCGACACCACTCGGACCAGTTTTTGATTTACGCAGCCTTAGCCGATGGAGAGTCGAAAATTCCAATATGCAAGCCAAACGGAAACGTACCGGGGCACATTCTCTCCGCAATCTACGTGATAAATACATTCCTCCCAAATACCTGCACACTTCAAGGAAACATTTTGACCGTCAAGGGGATAGGCCACACGCGCCAAGTTCAGTAACATCCGATAGTTCTTTTTTCTTCTGCTCTTTATCTCTTGAATTTCATTTATCTCTGTGCAAGATTAAACATTAAAAGAAAAAAACAAAAATTATTATTGAAACCTATTTCTTTGCAGAAATGAAAAGAAGAAGATAGCGATGTCGCTCATAAATAGATTCACGAATATTTTACAAAATGCCGTCGAGGCTCTTGCTCCGCAGGCGTCTTCAATGGAGGAATTTACGTTTCACTGGAAAAGAATAACCAATTACTACATTGAAACTTCCGATGAAAAGGTTGAGATCATGAAAAAGTAGCTAACATTTATTCATGAATCGTAGGAACCCGTGAGTAGGACGAATATTCCCGCTCATCTTGAGCAAATGCTTGAAATTCTTATTGCCGAAGAGCTCGAGTTGATCGAGGAATTCGGCTCTGCTGAGAATCAAACTGGACCATGTCTTGAGCATCTCCTTCATCAAAATATCCTCGAAACCTTGACTACTTTTGGTCGAGGAGACACCCCTCCTGGAATGAAACAGCAGGTCCTGCACTTCGCTACAACGCTTTTGGGAAAGATCAAACAACCTCTTCTACCCCATGTTAATGTTCACAAGCCAGTAATCAAGCTTGTGGCCATCTGCGGAGAAGTTATGGCCGCACCGACAGAGAAAGAAGAAGTGCACTTTCTCTGCGTTGTCTGTTCGAAAATAAAACTCGATCCCTATCAGGTTAATTTCTTTGTCCAAGCGCCCACCATGCCAAATATAAAACGCAAATCGCCAAATCCTATCGAGCAGATTGCAGAAGAACTCGATGATATTTCGGTTAAAGAGTCAGAACTCGTCGAAGTTGATGTCCAATCGCTGGAGATAGATACGGAAGCCGGTACCGGATTGAAATACTACCACCAGAAACGTGATGAATTTCTTCTCGCAGAAGGCTTGCTAAATTTAACGAAATCGCCAGATCAGAAAATTGCCGTGAAAGCATGCGAAGGGTTGATGCTCCTTGTCGGTCTTCCAGAAGCAAAGGCTTCGAAAACTCTTGTGGAGTGCACGCAGCTCGCAAATTTCATCTGTTGTAAATTGTCGAAACTGATTGTAGAGCTACCACTGACCCTTGACCCTGCCGATGTTGAATCAACCGAGGCCAAGTGGGGTCTCGACTCGTATTCAGCTAAAGAAGACAAGCAAGCGTTCACTGGAAAACGACAGCTTAGATCGTTTCTCTCCTTTCTCGACTTCATCGATACATTGATAGAAGAAAGTCATCGGGTTATCGGAAGCACCTTAGCGAAGGCAATAAAAATCCATGTGTTCGACAAAGTTCTAAAAGACCTACTGCTCGCTACTAATGAAAATACCGCTCTCTCGATCACAGCTGTGCTGACGAAAATCATCCAAGACTGCAAAAGCCAATACATTATCCAACAATTAACACAGTTCATGCTTGGCGATAAAGCCGAAAAACCCGAGGAGAAACAAGAAGACAACCTTTGCAGTCAGAATGTTCGTCAAACGCTTATCGCAAGATGTGACCATATTTCCGACGAGCTTGCCATTACAACGCTCAGGTTATTCGAGGTACCTTGATTCACAGGAGACCCAATTTATGATTTTTCTAAGGTCCTTCTTCAAAAAACCGACAAACTGGCTATAGAAAATCTAATTTCTAGAAACCTAGTTTCTAGAGGCTATGTTGCCCCTGCGGAGAAAACAAATGAAGCTGACGAAGAACCGACATCTGAAGCAACAGACTCAGTAACTCAAGAACCCGAGTTCGAGTGGGACGACAGTGATGTTATTCCAAAAACGACTACTGTCGCCAAGTAAGTATTCACTTGAACCGTTTCGATTTTCAAAATACAATTTAGAAAAGAACCAGAGATAACCGCAGAACAACTCGCCGATCCTAAAAAGCGATTGGAACACATGGTCAATCTGTTCTTATCAGTTGTTCCAGAAAATTTAAGAAGTAGTTATGAACAAGAAGAGCTTGGTCACGAGCAGGTATTTATTTGTTCGTTTTTTTTTTCGCGTTTTTATTTGAGTTAAGTACCTTCGAGATGCTCACACAGCGTTCCGTGATGCAGCTAAAAAGACGAAGAGATTCAACTGGCCGGTCAAAGTGGATCAGTCAGTTGTTCCCACGTCAGACGAGTTCTTCCCTGGTTCTTTTACTTCCATGCTCATGAATAAGGTATCTTCACTTTCGTTCTACTTCTTAAAGTTGAATTTAGCTGTCTCGTGTTTTGGACCAGCCTTATGATATAAACCTGCAAGTCACTTCTGTCGTCTCTCGCTTTTGCTTAGTTCCGCATGTTTACCTAACAGAGTACGCCCTGGATCCTCTCATCAAGCCAAAATCTTCCTCCCAAACGCTCTACAGTACGCTTCAAAATGTCGTCAAGGTGCTAGAAACGCGCGCCGCTAGAATACCCAACTTCAGGGACAAACTTGTCTCCACGAGAAAACGCCTCATCGGCATGGAACAGGTAATGCTGTGAGATCCTCTTTAGTTTTATTCAATAAAATAAGGACTTCGACAATCCGGAACACAGGACGCTCCTCGAAGGTGTTATCGTGCTTGAAGAGTTCTGTAAAGAAGTAGCGGCCGTCGCTTTTGTCAAGCATCACGCAGCTTCCAGTGGCATCGATAACCTTTCCGTTTGAAAATAACATTAACAACAAGAAACTTTCATTAGTGAAACGAGAAGAATTTCTTCGCATGCGAAGCCCCACGCAAAAATCGTACATTGTAGAATTTTCCCTTTTTACAATTTTAAATAATGATAATAATTATTAACATCTCTCGATTCTTCTATCTGGGTTATCTTCAATCGAGTAACTCTTCAGAAAGTCCTTCCAAAAAGAGAGAACCGTTAAATCAGACTTTTCAATCGACTGTTTTTTCCTACTGACCTTCAATTTTCCTACTGTTTTCAGTTATCGGTTAACTTGTTTATTTTATTTAATACTATCACAATCTTTTTACTAGCTGGTGGAGAAGTAAATTCTCAAAAACGTGCAATAAGTATACATATTTAACTAAAACGACATCATCTTTATTTATTTCAGATGCAAGTCGGGTCGAGATGGGCGCTTGCCCTCGGCGACGAACCGATTTGGGACATTGCTCTAGAGCCCCAAACTCAGCGACGCGTGATTGTTGGCTGTGGTAGCACGATTTATGTAATAAACGCAGCGAATGGAGATGTCGAGGGAAAATATACAGAATATCATGAAGACACGATTCATTCCGTTGCCTGGGGAAAAGATTCAGAAGACAATGACATCATCGCTACAGGCGGCAAGGATAAAACCGTCATCATCTGGGAAATGCATAACGAGCTGCTTCAGCCTCGCGTCAAATTTACTCATGCTACCTCTGTTCAAAAAATCAAGTTCTCACCAACAAAGCCTGGCCGTCTTATATCTTGTGCTGTAGCTGACTTTGGATTCTGGTCACCAGAAGCAAAGGATGTCACGAAGACCTCCGTGAGCAATCGAATCACTGACGTGGTTTGGGAGCCAAGGGGTAACCACATCGCTTTCGCCACGGAAAAGGGGAAAATATCCATTTGTAACAGCACGAAAGGCCAAGAAGTCAAGAAAATTGAACACAAGGGAAAGTTTATCTGGACAATCAACTGGACGGAAGATGCATCGGGACAAGAAATTATAATCGTATATGACTGGCATCCGAGTATTACTACCTACAATGCAGCTACTGGCCAGTTGCTGAAATCAGTAAAGACGATCGACTTTAATCCCTGCTGTAGCTCACCGCTTCAAAAATTGTCTTACATAGCTGTTGGTGGATCTGACGGTGAGTTGACGCTTCTCACTCGAGAAGGAATCCGACTAACGAAGCTTGATTCTGGTAGAAACTCATTCATCTGGAGTGTGGCGTCCCGAGAGATCGCAGGAAAGCAGGAGGTTATCTCTGGAAACCAAGAAGGCCGGCTTGCTTCGCATACGATTGCTCTTGGAAAAGTCCACGGAATGTACAATAAATTCTACGCCACAAGAATGAAGCTCACCTCGATAGAGGTTACGGACTTAGAAGACCCATTCGGCGAGCGAGCTATCGTTCGATCACGTGAGATCATCGACAAAATCGCACTTTCTGAAGATCTTCTCGTCGCACAAAGCCGAGAGAAAATAAAAGTCTGGCAGCGTAAAGATGCGCTTGGGAATTCCTACGAGTACTTGACGATGTTTCAAGTACCGGAAATGACGAGTCTGATCATCTGTGCGGCTCAAAATGTACTCGTTTGTATTGGTGACCGTATTTCTTCTTACCATGTGAATGGAGCAATTTCGAGAGAGTGGGTGATGAGCTCCCCGGTAAGATACATGAAGATGCTCCCAGGGCCGATCGGTGGAGAACTATGTCTTGTTGGTACTGATTCCGGCACTGTCTTCAAAATCTTCATCAACCAGTCATTCCCCATCGAAGTCCAAAGTGTTCGCGATCCTGTGTATCTCTGCGACTTGTCTCAATACCGCGAAAAAGTTCTCATTGTAGACGACAAGAACCTGCTCTCCGTCTTTGATATTTACACCAACGAGCTGCTTTATCAAGAGCCAGGAGTCACCTCAGCAGCTTGGAATTTAGACGAAGACGATCTTCTATGCTTCACGACGATGGAATTGCTTGTTATTAAAGCAGGAGAGAAAACAGTATTCACTCAGAAACTCAAGAATCTACAGCGAGTCGTTGGTTTTTCAAAGGACACAGTTTATCTGATCGACGGTGAAGAGATAGATACAGTTCAAGTCAGGGCTCGAAAAAATAAGACTCGGAGTTGACACTTTTGCGCTGATTCATTCTTTTTGAGTCGCGCGCCTTGCCAACTCATCGCGACGGTGTCATCCGAGGCGACACCAGCTCGGTGTCAGCCCCTGACACAGTGTGACACTGAAAGTTTTTCGAACATAAAAGTGATAATGAAACAGGGAGAGCGACGCGAGCCGGGCTGGGTCGACTAAGTTCAAAATCAAACTAAGAAAGTATGTATGTATAATGGTATGTGAATCACAAAAATGGTGTCAGGGGCCCGACTCGGTCGAAGAGCGGTGTCGCCTCAGCCGACACCGCGAGGATGAATCACCGCGAAAAGTTTCAGCGCTGAGTCTTATTTATTCGAGCCCTGGTTCAAGTGCCTCAAACTGGCGCGATGTATCACTTTATCGAGAATGAAGATCTCGAAACAGCTTACAACATGGCATGCATCGGAGTTACTACTTCTGATTGGAATTATTTAGCATCTGTGGCCATGTCAAGTCTCGATCTGAAAATCGCAAAGCGGGCCTTTTCAAGAACAGGAAACTACAGGAAGCTCGTGTTGGTCGATGAACTCATGAAACTCCAAGGAACAGTGTCTCCAAACGAACTCAAAGCGATCATAGCGGCATATAACGGCGAATATGATCAGATGGAAAAGTTTTTCAAAGACGCTGGCTGCCCAGAAAAAGCGATGGATATTTTTACCGACTTGAGGATGTTCGATCGGGCACGAAACTGCCTAGAAGGACAATCAGATACCCACAGCATGCAGGTTGATCAAAATCTAAGGGAACAAGAGGCAGATTGGGCCGCTGAGGGTCTCAGAGATGCAAGATCAGCGGCAGAAATGTACCTAAAAGCTGGACAATCTCTCAAGGTAGGTGTAAATGCAAATTTTTAAGATCCTCAAGCAATGAATTCAGGCTATTGAAGCTCTCGGTACACTCAATTCAGCGGAACGACTGATAGATGCCGCCCGTCGGTTAGATAAAGGCGATCGGAAAGGGCTGCAACGCTGTGTCGAACTCCTCCGTGATATGGGTCAGTGGGCGCTGTGTGCGGAAGTTTACGGTAAAATGGGCGATTGGGAGTCGCTGATCGAGCTCTACGCCAAAACAGACCAGTGGGATGAAGTATTCAGCCTTGTTCAACGAAAGCCAGATCTTTCAAGCATCTGTTGGACATTGAGGGCGGACTGGCTCGCCGAAAAGGACCTCTTCGTCGAGGCACAAGATGCGTTCTACAAAGCAGGAAAGCCCGGTGAAGCATTGAAAGTGCTAACGAAACTTACTGAGTGTGCCGTCACTGAGAGCAGATTCAATGATGCTGCTCACTACTACCATCTTCTAAGGTTAACTCGATCGATTAAACTCAGCCCTAATGTTCTAAATTTAGTGTCCAATGTGAACAACTTCTCCAAGATCAGCCCGAAGAAAGTAATTTCTACCTCGAACAATACAATGAGTATCGAAATCTTTCCGAAATCTACTACGCTTACCATTTTATCCACAGATTCGTCGAAGAACCCTTTTTAGCTGTGCTACAGGTAAATTTGCTCTTTCCCGATTTAGATAAAAAATATTCCGTAGGAAACGATCATGTACGCGGCTCGATTCCTCTGGCACCGTGTCCAAAACATGCTATCACCTCCTGGCGTCTCTAAAGTCTATATTCTCTCCGCCCTGGCCAAGACAGCTCGCCAGTTCGGAAATTTCAAAGCGGCGCGCTACTGCTACGGCCAAATGAAAAACTTGCGCATTCCAAAAGGGCCCATGTGGGACGAGTTCCAACTCGGGGCGTTGTCTATTCGAGGCAAGCCTTATCGCGACTCCGAGGACTTTGAGATTTTGTGCCCAAGATGTGCGTGTTCTAATTCCCTGATTAACCCAGCAGGAGATTTTTGTTCGAATTGCCAGGTAATCTCTTCTTTGTGTTCCGCTCTTTTTGATCCTTTAATTTTAGGCACCTTTTGTTTACTCCTATTCAAACTTTGAGCCAGTTCCTCTCATCGAATTCTTCCTCGAGGACGGAATCGATCAAGAAGAAGCAGAGCAACTAATGGATACTGCAGCATTTGAAGTAGAAAAGAAGAAATCTAAGAAATCCGAAAGTAATCGGATGGACTTAACAGCGAGCATGGCTAAGTCCGACTTCGATACGTTATTGATGGACACGGACGGAGAAGACATAATTGCATCGAGGAGCGTTATGAAAACCCTCAGCCATAACAGTAAGATCAACAACATAAAAAAATCCTTAGGTGGACTTTCAATTTAATCTGCCAGATTTGCTTTTCGATTTCCGGAAAAAGTTTCCATTAGACCCCCCAAGTATCATACCTTTTTAGAATCGTCTTTAGCTGCTCTTTTCCCATATGGAAGCCGATTTTTGAATTTCGGACTTTTTATCGGATTTTTATCGGTTTTTGTGATTTCTAATGCATTTTTCAAGTCCCTATAAGTTCCAAACGATTCTAGTTTTTTTAATTTTTTGCTCGATAAATAAAAATATCTCGTCGAGAGGATTCTAAAAAGGTGTTAAAGTACTTAATTGGGACAATCAGGTGGAAATTAAGGTGCACCCTTGGCAGATTAAATTGAAAGTCCACCTTAGTGCAATTTTCAGATGTGTTGATTCAAAAATTCCCCGTCACTCGATGGCGCTTCTTCAAAAACGTCATGCCAAACGTTGAAATCGCCATTGATCCTGACTCGCAGCGATTCTTTATTTCCGAAGACTGGGAAATGCAACTTCTTCAGTCTGGCGAGTCGCCCTTTTCCCGACGAAAAATCAAGGACGAGCTCGATGAATCTGCCGAATTAGAAAATCTTCTTCAATAATCTGTATTTTCTTACACAAAATCGCAATATTTTTATACTTCCCTTTTTTAAAAATACGACGCAGATGCTTTATGTTTTCAATAAATTCATATTTTCATAAAAATACTAAAAACTGGGTAATTTTTTCAAGTTTTACCCATTTCCTCCCAAATCTTGACGGGTATCGATTTTCCGCTAGGCATTCATCATTTCACAAATTAGCAGGAACATATCCGGCGAGCAGTCAATAACCACCCCCGTGAAATCTCCACAAACCGGATAATTGCATCACCCGCCGTGCTCTGATCAAAATCACGTGCCGCGCTAAAATTAGAGAGAAGCATATATCGACTCCTCCCTTGCGGCTTACCCTTGAGCTGCGAAATCCACTGCGAGGAGCATGGGTGGCCAATGAGCACCGCCCTGCTATTTGCGCGTTATTCAAACGGCCTCATTTTTGCGCAGGACTCGAAAGACCTTCAAACTTAGATTTTGATCAGCAGCAGCCGCAAAAAGCCCAGAGTAGCGAAAACCAACGGCCACAAGTCGATTCCATCAAGTGGAAAACACAACCACGAGAATCAACTTTATTTATTGAGGAGAAAAAGACAAAACGAGAAAAAATGTCCACGAGATTTAGATATACCGAGATCTGGAGAGATATGATTCAACTTTTACATGAACAGGTTTGAATATTTTCGAAAGAAGGTCATAAAAATTTCGTGAAGGTATCAGTCAAAAACCGTCGACAGCTGCTGAAAACCTACAGCGACGTTTTCACCGGCGCAAACGCCGTTGATGTCCTCCTCGAAAACGTCAAGCAGCGACCAGACCTATTCGCGCACAACACTACCAGAGAACAAGTTACTCGCCTTTGCCAGCGCTTCATCGAGTCCAGGTAGTGATTTTTTGTATTTTTCGAATTACGAGTAAATATTTACCCAAAGAGTGTTCTTTCCTGCCAAGGGAGACAATAAGACTTCATCGCCGCATTTCGAAGACTCGCCAGCTGTGTTTTACCGCTTTAACAAAGGTAACCCATTAATCTGTGGCTTGAAGTGTGAAATCCTCTTTTGTTACTAAGGACCAAAGGTGTTCAAAGAGCTCAAAGTGACCCAAAAGCCTCGAAGTCATCATTCGTTTTGACATTGTTTTTTAGACCATGACTACCTCGGTTCTCAAGACCGCGTCCCCTTCAGCGAAGTCGGCAACGCTCACTTCGGCAACCGAGCAAGCAGCGAGCCAGATCTGACCCGCGTGAATCCGCCCCAATCGCCAAAACCACATTCCAACTTTAGCCCACGTTCATCAAACTTTGCATTCCTCCAGAAGAAGGCGCGCACGCGTCTTTTCGGCTCCGGAACGACCATTGAAAACATGCACACGGACGAGGAAGACTCAGATGAACTGTTCGAGTTGGACTACAGAATTGAGCGGGAGGCAGTTCGAGTGCGCCTACTTCAACTTTTAGGTAACACCTCTCAAGTTTTAAATACATTTATTGATATTTTAAAGACCTGCCATTTGTTGAAGATTTTGTCTGCTCACCCGGTGGAGTGCCAATCCAAGGCAACACCAGTAAAGATCAGGCATTCTCCGCTGATATGTCTGCATTTCACCGTCAGTACAAATCCTGTACTGATCCTTGGCTGAGGAATGGAATCGACGTTCTCGGGCACATTCAAACGGGGCAAGCCTTCTTACAAAAAATTGATATGTACAGTCCCAACCGAAGAGTAAGTATTCATTTTTGATGTCAAGTATCTAACTAATTCTTTCAGAAGCAGCTGATCTACGAGCACATTTCGGATCACTACAGAAAGGCCGGTTCTCCTTTGATTTCGAGTCAATGGGACGAAGTGATCCAAGCTCTCCAGAATCTAATGAGTAAGTAAACCGTAATCTGCGCGGGGACTAACTGTATTATACAAGCTCTCGATGAGGAGGCTTGTAAATCGGCCCCGGGAACACCAACGCGAGCGCGCACAATGAAGCGCTCCAAGTCTAGCGTTTCGAAGCTATCCAGAGTTGCGCCCAAAACTAAAAAGTGGGCGCTCATTGCGAAAAGCCTAAAAACCTTTCGCTCCGTCGCTGGCAGCTCCTTCAAAGATCTCGTTCGATTTCGAACAAATGGTAAATGTGGCGTTGTTTTTCGCAAAAACAGGGCACGAGTGACTTTCAAATCGGGCGGGCTTTGGCGCGGGCCTCTTTTTGAACAGATAAAAATCAAAACCGGTAAGCATAAGTCTTATCAGACTTCTTCGGTTGTGGATTTTTCTTGTGCTCAAGAGCCCCACCGAAGCTTTAAGAATTGCTCGTTTTTGATTTTGCCTTTGCTTGCGGTATTATTTACGAATCAATAAAAATTAAGTTTGCTGTGATTTTTGTAAGAATGCGCGAAACCCCCATTCTTGGTGCATGAATTCTTTTATTTTTGTTTTGACGTTTTTCATAGAAAAATTTTGATTTTTGTATTTCAGGAAATCGAAAAGAATCAAACGAAGCGCTGCAGCTTTTCTTCAGACTGCTAAGTCCGTCCAGCAGACAAGAATTGGAGCACCTCTTTCGCTTCCTCTACAGTGTGTCCAGTAAGTATTCCCTCTGACACGAGAGGTCAATTATCGAAAGCGTGTCGTTGAAACTCTCATTTCCAGACTCCGCTACTTATTATTAATATTACCAGCTTTGACAAGTAGACCGGTTAACTTTTGACGAAATCTAAATTCAATTTGAACTCTTTCTTTCAGTCTCCGATGATCATCGAGTGAGCGATAAACATCCAAGCAATGTGACAGCTGTTCAGCAGCACTTCGCCTCGCTCATATTCCCATGTCATGGCTCCTTCATGATTCGCTTCTGCCTTGAAAGGCTTGAAATCGCATTCGGGTAAGTCGACGTGGCTTTACTTTTTATCCTTCGCTAAGACTTTTCCTCGTTTATTTCTTTGAAGTAGGATAAATTAAAACGACATGGAGGACTTATTTCGAAGTCCGTTGTAATCCACTTTATGGGAATTCAAAATAGAACCGTATTTTTAGCTTACCGGACTCGATAAAAGCTCAAGTGCAGAAAAAAGTCGAAATGGTCAAATCTGGCTTCATTGACTCTCCTCACGCCATTCCAGACGCCTTATTTGCGAACCAGGTAATTTTTAAGAGATAATTCAGAAGAATCGCCCACTCCGCATTAATCATTCACCGGCTTATTACCTCATAAAAATCTGGTCATATCGTGCTAAGAATAGCCCAGATCTGTCTTATTCAGCTCCGGCCAAAGTAATAATTTCCACTCAGGGCTATTCAAGCCTCAAGTATGACCGGGTCTTTCTTCCTTCTCATAAAGCAATAATTAGCCCGCTGACATGGCAGTAAAATAAGTTTTCTCAGCAGGTTCTCAAACAACAACAATTCAATTTAGATCGACCAGAACGAGTTCCAGCGGCAAAAATTCGAGGGAACAAACATGGAGATCCTCAAGCTCATCAAATCGATCGAGAACGATCCCAACTTCACGAACGAGAGGCGAGCGCAACTTCTCCAGTCGCTGCAAAGCCAGCACCCTAATGCAGGTCAAACGCTGGTCTGAGGTTTCAAAAAAACTGCCAAGTACTCCAGCTGGGCCGGGGTACTTCTCTACTAGACCTACTCACCACCATTACCACTCATTTTTAACTGTAAATATTAAAAACCACTGTTTTCACCAAGACAAAAATAGACACTATTATTGACGATAATTTGGTTGATTAGGTATTTATTCAGCATTAAAATTTATTCAAGGCAGTACATACAGTCAAGAGCAGGAAACATGAGTACAATACTAGTTTTATATCAGGAAGTGATAGTATTTCTGTAAAAGTCGAAGCACCTGATGTTTTCTCGGGATGAAAGTTTTCAATTACGGACTTTACTCTTCCCTGCACAGGACCAGACCATGTGCCAGAAGTTTGAAAGTGAGAGGAAGAGTGTTTCGATGACCATCTTTTTCTGTGTTTTCTTTATCTCTTGATTTAAATCTTGATTTTCAAAAACTCTCGTTTCAACTTTTGAGAAAAAGCCTCTGTGTGTGTGTTTTCAAGCGATGCGTCTTTTGAATGTTGCTGCTCGAGGAGCTCGAGGTGGTGCTCAACCGTGGTCCAAACTGAATGGCGCCACACGCTGGTGCTGCCCTCGGGACTTTACTCAGCAAGACTCACACTAGGGTGCTCAAGGATCAATACTGCTTAGTCTTTTTTCAATCAACAAAGTTGAAAAATCAGAAATTTTCAGGCCGCTTCTTATCGATTTATTGATTAGGGGTTCTTGTGTTTTCTAAACAACATGAAATTTTCTGATTATTCGAGTTTGGAACGAAGCCAATCCAAGAAAAATGTCTCCAAACTGCATCGGTACCCGAAGAATCCTGCTTAGAGCAAGGGACTTATTTTTGGCGAAGAATTATCTTATTGTTAGACATCATTCGATTGGCTATTATTTATAAATGCAGCATTCTAACAATTATTTACCAACAAACCTCTATTCGCAATAGACTATTGCATATGAAACTCCAACAACAAAATTTCACGGCGGTTTCATCATCCAAACAACGCACGTGCTTTCCATGCGTTTCCACCCTAGCCCGCTAGTCATATGATGTTACTACGCGCTATTCTTCTGCAGCATCGCCCCATTTTCAGGGCGAGTGACGCGAACTTTTTCTTCGTGGCCTTCTGTTGCCACTGAGGTTCCTTTATTTTGGGTTTTAGAAGTGCCGTCTTGTCAGACTGTTTTTACCGACAATAAATGAAGGATTTTAATTGCATGAAAATGTTCAATTCGCTGAGTTTTTCATAAAGACAAGGAAAAGGCACATGTAAGACACGATGCGATAGTGCGGTAGTTTTCAGCCTTCAAAATATCTTGAGCATGAGTTTATGCAGCATGACGCAATGTTTTTGCATATCTGCTATTAGTAATAACTTATTACCATATCGACCGGTAGGTGACTGATAGAATGCGTAGATGACTGTCTTGGTGATCGAAAATATACAATTTCTATATTTCGAAAGATTCTTTTACTCAGGCGGAAAAGGTTGATGGATAGGTTCAAATGTGAGAGGTTTCCGTGGATATCTCCTCAGTTATTTATAATATCAATTCCGTCCAAACGTATCCTCAACTGAAGAAGAAGAAAATTCTTATGAAAAAGAAGATAAAGCGGATAAAAATCAGTCTATTTTTCAAAAGTTCAGTTGGAGACAACAACGCCGGGGTGATGCAAAAACGGCATTGGCGCGAAAAAATTTGGCGCTCAGCAGGTGAAGTTTCCCACTTTTCATTTAAGTTTTTGTTTTCGTTTCTGAAATCCGAAAAATACCAATTTTTACGTTTTCAATCTTGAGTTTCCAAAACCGCGAAATATGGAAGGTACAGTGAATTGACAAAGAGATAGGCTTGTAAAGAGTCCTGTTTAGAAATCTTGATCGAGGATGGGAATGGCGAGAACTACGACATCCTCGCGGGAGACAAGACCTGCGAGTTTGATGATGAGAATAAGGCGCTCCAAAAGGTGGAACTTCCGGAGATCCAGGAGGTTACAAACTTGAATAACACTCAATCCTCCCAGGAGCCGGAGAAGCAGGACTCGGGCATCGAAGGTACCCACATTCTAGCAAGACACTTTCTATATTCGCTTGTAGACAAGGACAGCATTCCAAACTCTCCAACCGCACCCGTTGCTCCGGTGAGCAAGTTGGAATTGCACGCCAAGTCCTGGAAGGTACTAAAAGCCTCAGAATATGCCTGAAACTAAAACTATTACTTTGTAGCCGAAGGTAAAAACCGCCCGTCAGATTCGCGCGGAGCGATTCCACGCCGAACAAAAGCGAAAAGCACTCGCTGAAGACAAAAAACTCGGGACGCAGAAAAATGTCGCCGCAGGTGCTTTTGAGCCGCAGCAAAAGAATGACCCTAAAAAAGAGTCACAGGTCCAGTCAAGAAAGCCTCGATTTCCGGGACAATTTCGAAAGCCCACGACTCGTTCGTTTCCGCCGAAACCAGCTGGTCCATCTGCTAATCGGTTAGTTCCTACAATTATATTTATTATTAAATGATCATTCTAGAACCTGGGACCCACAGCGACGTCGATCTGCTCCTCCCTCTCAGATCCCTGTTCAGAGACAAAATAACGGGCGAAAATCGCCACCAAAGCCGCCTGCTCAAAACCGACCGACTGTCCAAAAAGGCCAAGGTTCGAAGGGCCCAAGTCCGAAGAAAACTGGACCGGGAAAGAACAAAAAGAAATCGCTTTCCCCTCAGAAAAAGGTTCCCTTGCAGATGAGCAACGGCCAACGACAGGTAATCTTCATTCTTGAAACGCAACAATGAATCAAATCTCCCAGGCAATTGTAAAAAGCATTGCCCCAAAGAAGGCGAAGAAATCCAAGAGCCCGAGTAAAGACCTTATTGACGGCATGGAAAAGGCCAAGCTGGTTATTGACAATTTGCACGTAAGCCATCATTCCGTTTCTTAAGGCAGAACTTAATCTTAGATCACCGTGAACTACAAAAAAGGCCAGCGAACGATGAACGTCGACTCCCCCGTTTCAATTCGCAAGAAACAAGCCTCACAGGAGCTCTTGCAGATGATCAAGACCAAGTCTCCTCCAAAGGTTCTTTCTGATTCATATATTGTTTTGACGATTTCTTAAAGCCGCGCTCGACTGAAAAGGAGAAGGAACATGCGTCCAAACAAATCTTGGGCATGATCAACCCCTTCGGCTCTTCTAGCAACAACCAGCTCAAGAAAGATCCAAAGTCTCCAAAACCTCGGGCGCAGAAGACTGTTGGGCCCCCTTTTCAGAAGCAGTTCTCCAAAAAGCCTCACTTGAAGCCGCAGAACTCGCCTAACACGTCGCCTGGAAAGCTCCAGAAATTCCAGAAGACTCAAAAGCGAAAGCACAAGATTGAGGATACTCGAGGTAAAAATACAAGTAAATTTTTTCGTATAAAACATCTCAGTGGTAATTTCTGACCCAGAAATTCGTTCTGATGCTTCGTCAAGCCCGGAGAAAATCAACGAAGAGAACCTCTCGAAAACTCTCCCTGTTCAAGAGGAAGTCAAGCCCGTCCAGATTTTGGTTCAAGAAGAGGACGAAGAGGTTTCTTTGGAGGAGGACGAAGCAACTACTGTTGCGGTAAGCGGAACTTCATTTTTAAAATACCAAATGAATCGTTTCTAGACGGTGATCGAGAAGACACTCACCGACGGGATCGAAAACGTGACCCTGAAGGCCGAAGAATAAATTATTTTCATTTATAAAATTTTCCTTCCATCCTTCGATAATTTTCAAACTGCCATTTATACATCATCATCCTAAATATCTAATAAATATTCTTTCCATGCGATAAACAGCGTTTCTCTAGGCGGCGAGACGCTTGTTTTTGATTTTCAGCTAGAGCGAGAGTTGTTGTCAATTTGTCAAAATTGTCGGAAATTCTCTAGAAAATATGTTGTTGTGAGGGCTAAAGTTCTAAGATTAGTCAGTCTTCGGATTTTGAAGGTCCGGCAGAGTCAAAAAGAGGGTAAGTTCTTCTGATTTTTGCTAGAGTTTTGAAAATTACCGTGTTTAACGATTTATTTTTAGATTTCGGACGAGACATTTGCCAAGTGTCTCGTTGAAAATCAACTCGTTCCCTTGAAAGGGGAACAACAAGAAGAAGGAGAGCGGAAGAAGCTTGTCGCCTTCTTTTATCGTCAAAAACGATAAGCGACGATTCCAACTCGTGACTCAGAACGAGAGGATCGGGAAGAAAGAAGCTAAAAAAGCTTGTCGCCTACTTTTATGGAATAAAATCCAATCTCTAACTGAAACTTGTGTCGTGTCTTACTTTTTGCAGGAGATATTGAGCGGTTGTTATGTAGTTGTAGGAAGGCGTAGAAAAATGAGGACAATGACCTTTTACGGGGCATTAATACGTAGTTTGCGCATACACTCAATGAGCTGTGTAATCGCTGTAGGATTTTACATGCAGTTAGAGTTCATGACTTCATGTTTTACGAGAGCGTTTCCATTCAATTCCGGAATAATGCTCCTCAAACATGGTTTTCTATGGTATTCAAAACAAGGGGGCTCTAGAAGGGCTTCTCTGTATCAAGATGTATTAACAGTTGATTCGAAAGTTACATTCGGATTGAGGGGGACATTTGAACAGGCAATTAGCGAGTTTTATACAATTTTAAATACGGTTTTACTTTGAGGGAGGGTAGTCGGCATCATCGAGCTCGTTGTATTCATCTTGAAGCATGATATCAATGTCTGTTAGTCCATTGTTGATCTCGTAATCTGGTGGAGGAAGGCTGTCGTCGTCCTGACTGAATCCTTGGTTGGAAATGCCTCGGACAGTCCCAGTCGGTCGAGGGATGGAGATATTGGCTTGTTCTATGTCGTCAAACTAGAGCAAAAAGATGAGAGTCTAATTTGAATCTGAGTTTATGGCCTGCATAAAAATGCCTCTAAACGAAGACTGTATGTTTGCAGAGATTAGATGTGTTTGAATTATTTTAAATGTGCACACGTGCAATATCAATTTCCTCTTGTTAGCTGTCAGCATTACAGTCAAGAAATTATAGGAGTTATAGCAAAACCACTTGAAATAACTTGAAAACGAACGCTGCGGCTGGAAATTCTTACAGAAAAATCAACCAAAGCAAATTTGGGAGCGGTTTTTTCGATCTCTTTTATTGTTTAAAATATCAAGCTGCTCACCTTTGGTTTGAAATCATCGTTTCCACTCTCTAAGATAACTTGTGAGTTCCTCGGCGACAGGGTTCTATTATTCGCTAATGTCTCTTGAGATGTCGATTTCTCTACTGATTTCTTCTTACAGCAACAATAGCAAATTCCAATAAGGATTCCAAGCAACACTGCTCCTCCAACAGCGATAACGACGATGTGCCATATTTCAAGCTCCATTTTATTCTTGGCTTTCTCTGAAGCAAATCAATCAACGAGGAAAATACGATACGTTCGCGTGTAAATTGGCTGAAAGAAAACGATCGCGTTCCACTCCGTGCATCATGGTGAGCAAATATTAGTCCGCAAGTCCTCAGTGAATAGACGATTACGAGAAATTCTAAACTGTCACCTTCTCAAACAACATTCCCGAGTTAAGGCGCTTTGTTCTTGACTCAAGAATCTTGAGATTAAGTCTGTATGTAAGTGAGAATGTGACTTGTGTTTATTACGATGTCTCTTGAGACTCAGCTCGAAAAACAAGTTTTTTCTCTGGAAAACGCTTCGAGAATAAAGAAATTCTCATAGACCCACTCAACTACCCGAATTGAGATCGTATTCTCAGCATTCACCGATACTTATCGATCACTTACTGTTTCAGCCGTTTCTTTCGATTTTATGGCTCTCTGGTTAGATTGCTTTCGAGGTATTTCTGGTCAGTAAAAACGAAGAATAAACGAGACTTCCTTTCAATATGAATATATTCTAATCTTGGGATGGTCGCTTTTTGTGTCTTCCCACAGACGACTCGGAGCAAGTTATACTTGGGCACACGGACAATAAAAATCACTCCAGGGCAGGTGCCTGTGTGGTAGACACATGTCATTATGCAAACACTTACGTTGGGAAAAGTCTTTTGCTTTAAAGACAATGGCGTAGGATTTTACAAGCTTATAAATGGATAACCGTGGTTTTCCGATTGGATTTCCGTCCTACGATCGTTTTGTCATTTCCGAGTAAATTTCAAATTCAGCTTATGCCCGGCTAATTTTAGCAGTTTATTATTTTTAAAAGCAGTGAACAGTTTCGGGCAGCTTAGGATAATTTCAAAAAAATTTTTGCGGGTCCGGAAATCATAAAAAATCTGAAAGTGCAGTTTTCTTGAGCTCGTCGAGACGAGTCGAATGATGGGTCAAACTTTTGATGACTCCAATAATTAACCGGTTAGCCGGCAATTTCCCGGAAAATACATTTCCGGTCGCCGTTTTTGTTCTAGAAATGCTAGAATGACAAAAAAGCGGGAAACTGGTCCTTGAAGTTAGTTCTTCTGTGGGTGAAAAAATGAGAATCATATCTCTAACCATAAGATGCTTATCACCAAAATTCTATTTTCTTATGAAAATGGGACCGAAAATTAGGAAGGTGCAGCAACAACGAAGTACATACAAAATTTAGAATTTTTATCGTTAAAAAAAGTTTCGCTATATATTTGACCAATATCTTTTTGCCCACAGTAGAACTGGCCATAAGGATCAGTTTCCGGGTTCATTCATCATCCTAGCATTTCTAGAACAAAAACGGCGAGCGGAAACGTATTTTCCGGTAACAAGCCGGTTAACCGGTCAATCCTTGGAGTTATCAAGAGTTTGACCCACCATTCGACTCGTCTCAACAAGCTGAAGAAAACTGCACTTTCAGAATTTTTACGATTTTCAGACCCGCAAAAATTTTTTTGAAATTATCTTAGATCAGACTTTTTATCGCGCACTTAGATTGACAGTCGCTCTCCAATCTGCTGATACACTTCGAAAAGAGAGTGCTCTGGCAGTAATCTAAATAATGATCAATTTCGAGCCCCATTACGAAATGTTACCGAGGCAATCCGTCCAGGGCAAAATTGCACAATGCTTTTACAAGCCTTATATGGTGCTCTATCATTTCGGAAGAGGAGTCGTCCATGACCGGCTCGTCAGAAAATATCGACTTTGAGTAGGTTTCAACATGAATGCTTAAGAAATATTCTTATAAGAATAACTTAAAATATAAAATTAAGGCTAAATTGTAAACCGTAACTTTGGCTGATTCTGTCGTAAGAAATCAATGTCCACTGGAGAGTCATATGAAATATCCTTTATTGACTTGTGTATAACGATGAATAACATCAATTGCCTACAAACAGGGGATAGCTACGAAAGGCTTTATGAAAGATTGCGAAAATCACATCATAATGTACATCAAAAAACACATTTTAGAGCCTTTGTCTTAGTCTTTACGAAGTCTTCCACTTTATCCACCCAATCAAGCGTAATCATATTATGCAAGAAATTCTCCTGGATCTTGTTGATTTCCTCCTCTTGATCCTCCTCTTCAGTCAACAAGAGTTCCATGGCTCCAATCCAACAAACAAATTTTTGTGATTTGCTCAGCCTCTTAGCAACTTCTACAGTCTCTCCAAGAGTAATGAGAGCTTTACATCCGCTTATTCTGTTTCCAGTTGCAAACATTCGATCAGCCATCAGACGAAGGGACTCTTCAATTAACTTATGATCCGGGTCTAGTCGTAGTCGAGCAAGAACTAGTGCTTCTCGATGCTGATTTGCGTTATTCAAGGCCTGAAATAATATTAAGAAAAAGATATTGAAATAAAAACATACTCGAATAGCATCCTCTACTCTCCCAAGAGCAAGCAAAAACGTCGATGCTTTATAAAAAGAATTATTTCTTTGCAGTTGATCAACATATTTTTCAGTCACGTATCTCCAAGCTGCGTTCCCCATCGATGCAGCGAGAGCTACTGTGGTGTCTGTAATTTTGTCATTAGCGATGACGTCTTGAAAAGTTCCAAGCCAAACGGATGTTTCTGACAGAACATCTCCAGAGCAGTTCGATTCGATTTCTTCCTTGATTTCCTTTTTGACGATATCAATTATTTGTTCCTAAATAATATTAAGACTGATCACATATATTGATAAAAAACCTTCGTTCCATCATATACGGCCAAATAGCTTGGCAGCGGATCCTTTTTATCTTTCAACATGAATAAGTCTTCAATTCCCAGGTGTTGAAAAGCGTTGCTTCGGTCACTGTCGAGATTGAAAAGTGGCGCGAATTTCTTGTATTCTTTTACTCGTTTTTGCTTGTTGTTTCCTTCTTTCTTTTGTTCAACAGAATCAATGCTAGCAGTACTTTTTGATGGAGATGGTGGACAAGGTTTTTCTTCTGGCTTCTTTGTGACATCGGGCTTCCGTGATGGCCCTTTTCCGTTCGCGATATTTATCCTAGTTTGCATTTGTTTCTTTCTCCTTCTTTCTTTTTTCAGCCTCTTAGATTCCTCGGGAGGTGTTTTGAACTGACAATCAGCTTCTGTCCATGTATGCACGACACCATCTTCGCTGCCGCTGTAGATTGCGTTTTTCATCCAAACAATCGAATACAGAACTTGATCGTGCCCTCTAAAATTTGCTAGAGGCAGTCCATTCGATATCTTCCAAACTTGGCAGGTGTAATCAACCGATGCAGATACTACCTTTTCACCATCCGGAGAAAACGACAAGGCAGCGACTCGATCAGCATGTCCAGCAAGTTTTCGATGGCTTTCAAGGTTTGGAGTCAGTGAGATGAAAATATTTCCAGCGTTACAAGAAGAAGCAAGCATCTTTCCGTCTTCAGAAAATTTCACGGTCGTGACATATTTCTGATGCAGCTCTTTTGTGACTTTTTCTTTGAAATCATGGTCGAAGATTGATACCATCCCTTCATCAAATCCAAATGCGACCATGTCTCCGTAAGAACTAAGCGCTGTTGGTCGATTTTGAAGAGTAATGATTTCAGAACTGTCTTTGTCATGAACCTTCAGTACTTTTCCATCAATGGATGCGACTCTGTCACCGATGAAATCAATAGAATACACTCGTTTTTCATGGTACGAGTTGAAGTTGTTGACCTTGTCTTTTTCAGAGTCCCACACTCCAACCTTTCCATGCTCGGTTCCGTAAGCGATCTTCATCGATTCCTTGTGCCATGAAAGCGCAGTTATCTTTTCCGCAATACCTTGCCACGTGACATTGATCGTTCTCGGCGAGCAAGATGTATCAACTCTTCTCATCATTCCATCCCCAACTCCGATTGCTAGCAGATCGGGCTCAACAGGACTCTTGTCGAGCGCGTAAATCCAGCCTCCGTTTGTCATCAAGTTGAAAGTGGGCTTTCGCGTATTGAGATCCCAAACTTTCACCTTACGATCCATTGAAATCGAGACAAGTATTTGATCCGAAACAGCAAGGCCAAATACGGTTCTCTGGTGGCAAAGATCAGTTTGCCTGTCGCAGAATATCTTCGGTTGCGGGTCAAAGGGCTTGCTGTTAGAGTCTGCCTTCTCGGAGCGCCAGATCATGATATCTCCACTAATTCCACTTGAAATGAAGTCACCGGGAGATGTTGAAGTTGCAAGGGAAGTCCAGAGCTTCGCGTTCTTATGATCTTCACTCAATGTTTTTCTTATAACCACTTGGTTTTGGCAAATTTAAAGTCTGAATTAGCTCCGATGTCTCCAAGTCCCAAACTCTGATAAACTTCTCTTTCGCGGAAGAGATCAAGCCGTTTTCATGCCATAAAAAGTCTTGAATTGCCCCCTCGTGACCTCTGAGCCGATGAAGTCTTTTCCCATCTCCATCGTAAATGTAAATGATGCCTAAATCAAGGCCAGACGCAAGTTTATCGCCAGTAGAGTTGAATTTCAATGCTTGGATCGCGCAGTGCTGGTCGTTTTCACGGACTTTCTGGACATCGCCACCATCAAGCTAAATTTTAATCAATTTGATGTTGTTTTTTTATCTCAAGTTCATTAATTTGATGGATACCTGTGTAAAATGAAGATTTGCCCTTGCATCTCCTGAGACGATTTTTCCTTCGTGAGCATGTATTGCCGTTATTTGTAAATAAAGAGGCTGCCATTCGTGCACCTTCTCGATTTCTTCTGTCTTTTCATTTGGGATCTTCCAGACTCGAAGGAAACCATTATCATGCCCGACTACTACCTGCGTGTCACTTTTTTCTTTTATTAACTCAATCAACTCATCGTGCGAATTCGCTTGTTAATTATTAATTATTATTTTAATAATAATATTATAAACGAGGAAAAAATTACTGGAAACGTGAATGACAGTATTATAAAAGATTCCTAAGAGCGGCAATTGCCGTACATTTTTCGAACTCCCCGCTGACTTGTCTTCTTATATTCGTAAATCCGTCATCCTTATCAACATCGAACACGAATAGTGAGTTCTTCCCAAGATAGACAAATCTGTTTTCTTTCAACGTCACGATTACAGAAGAGCTTTAACGGGGTCGAGAAAGGTTTTCATCGACAAAGTTCATTTCTGCGGTTTAGATCAAATTTTTAACGACCAGTTTTTGAACCCCTAACAATACCAATTCGGACTCGACGGAATCAGTTCATCCATTTTCTCTGCAGAACTCTGAAAAACTAAATTGAAAGACTGTTTGGAAACGGACCAATCAGCTTTCAGAAAGAATCCTCTCTTCGGAATCAAGACTTCAAGAAATGAATATGTAACTTTGATGGTGGGTTTTGATTGTAATCATGAACCGAGTCGTAATTAAAATTGATGTTTTCTGTTCAATTCCTCTTGACGACAACTCAATAATTAAAAAACCTGCAATAACAGAGGTTCTCTTTCCAAAGGATAAACCTGGCTTTATCATCATATCCCAAACGATGCCAAAATAAGATTCTTCTTTTATCAAATTTGATAACCAGACGATTATTTGGTCAATTTACTTTCAAACTGCAGTACATTTATTCCACTTTTAAAAACCATATATTTTTCTCATAATATCCGATCTGCAATTATTTCAAGATCTGTAAACCAGCGTTGCTTTTGGTAGAACGACAAGGAATGAATGTATCCTTAGCCGTGGGCACATGCTTCGCGAAATAAAATTAGAATTTCCGTTTCGAGGAGACCAGGGGATTACGCCTGACTTCCGTCGGAGTTTTTACAATTTTCACCGCCAAACCAGAGTTCGACAAACGAAACCCCAAAAATGAGGGTTTGCTTGGATCATCCGGAAGGGCTGTATTTTATTTGAAGTCAGTATCGATCTATAGTTGTCAGAAGAAAGGCAAAAATCAAGAATCAGGTTTTTGAAATGTCAGAAGGGGGAATATTCTTATTTTGGCAGGAGTATCTATCCCAGGAGCACACCAAAATCAAGCAGCAAGTGCGATGAACGGAAATTGACACCATTTATAAAATATTCGTTCTTTAGTCTAGCTTTCCATGTCGCTTTCCTCTTCTTCCGAGCTATCTTCATCCTGAAAATAGTTTGAAAAGAAATGTTTATTGCTATAGAAGTGAAACCTCAGAATCAGAATCTTCCTCGACCCAATGATTATAAAACTTGTCAATTTTAGCGGCAGTCATCGGCAGTAAACAGCGGTCAAAGGGGAAGTAGAAATCGATGGGGTTGACAATTTCGTTGGTGCCCGTTGCCAGCAGCTGCCGCTCGTGAAACTGTAAGAAAAGGGACGTTATATTTATCGATAAAAATATGACGTTTTACCTGTTCTAGTATATGGTGGCAAAATGCCAGTTGTGTTTCTTTCATGATGTCGCAGAATTTCAACGCGATCGAGGGAACACACGCTGCCAGGGGATTCATCTTCGAATACACAATTTCTGAGAAGAAGAATCACGAACAAGTCGTTATTTAGGGAATACCTGGAATTCCCAAGGATCGTATACAGTCATTTCCAAGCTCTTTATGCCTGAAAATGACGAGGTAAAAGAGTGCCTGCGCCGTCGCGTAGTAAACTCCGAATTTCTCCGTTGAAAAATGCTGATCTTTCTCGGGAATAAGTCGCTGATGATCTTTGATGCAGAGAGTTGATAAAATCTTAACACAAGGTTTACTAGAAAGAAATTTACAGGGTATTTACCAAGGCTACATGGCGAAGAGTAGTATGAGAGACGAACTGAGCCCGAGCCAGAAAACTGGTAAGATAAGACAAGAGTGCAATCCTTCGTGATCGAGACTCGCTTTTATTCTTGATCCGCTGAACATTTGAATGAGAAGATGAATCTTTTACTGAGCTAAACCTTCAACATCCACTCGCAGAAAGAAGTCGAAAAGGTGCCCTTCAAGCTCAGGAGATAAAAGTAGACATATTGTACTGTAGTTGTGTTGGGTTGAGGAAGCAAGACCTTGCCAAATACAGTGACCATTTCACGAAGAAGGACCAGAACGTTGTTTTTCTGCCCAACTTCGTCATCTTTCATGGTGTTTTTTGAAAGTTCTAGATAAATAGAAAGGAATTTCTTCTAGAAGTTTAGTATTCTATTATTATAGACATTTATCTAAGACATTTTAAAACTGAAAAAATCAGTATTTTGAGAGAGAGCACGAGGTATCCGTGGCTGACCTGAGGTCGAGGCGAGCACGAGTCAATTTCTTCATTGATTGTTTAGTTTTGCTGACATTTCATTGGTCGCCTACTTGCGTCCAACAACTTTCAGGTGGCTTGCCAGAAACGTATTCAATCCTTAGAGAGAAGGAAAAACAAGGAGAGAGAAAATTAGGGCTCAGATTTTCAAAAGGGCGGCTTCCCGCGCAAAAAGAGATACTGTATATGCGCGGTATAATCAGCGGGTGAGCACAGTGACTGGAGCGCCACCGTGTGCGTGGGCAGAGCCCTCACTCTTCTCGTGAGTCAGAGAAAGAGAGAGGGTCTCGTTTTGGCTTCAAAAACATCAAAATAGCGCTGAGCAGCGGCGTAGTAGAGCAATTTCTTACTACTACCTCCGTAGCAGAGAGCCCATTTAGAGACTTGCCGCACATCAAAGGTGATGATATCGACGAAAATGGGCAGGGGATCACGTGGGAACAGGGGAAACACCTTTCCTGATGCCACAGAGGTCTCGATAAACTGGAAAAAGCGGATCATTATTCGGTCGAAGGTGTCACGTGCACTCAAGAATTCCAATTGATCCTCGGTTAGCTCCTCAGACTCTAGAATCCAGGTTATCAGAAAGTAATCGGCACAACAAGTTGGATTGGTGGTTAAAGTCTTTCTTTAAAATGTTAGTTGATGAATACTACTTTCGTTTTTAATTTCATTTATGGTTTCTTGTGAAAGAAATAGTGATACTCTTTTAATCATCAGAAGTTGATAGTAGATATTTTAGTTACTACAAACTTAACATAAAAATTTGCCTTGAGGGACTTTTGAATCTTCGGAAATAACCGAAAGTTTTTATTCTTGCCCTCGGCGACACAAGAAATTTCACCCGAATAGTGCTACACTTTTAAAGGATTTACCTTCTTGTGCGGCGAGATCGAGGTCGAAAAGGACATTCTTGGGCAGATGCTGATCGATTCGGCAAAAGTGCACCAAGATTGTCTCCAGGACAGGCGATCGGAGCGTTTTGTGACGTTCTGTTTCCGGTTCAAATTTAGTCCCCGTCGATTAGATAAAGAGAGGCGAAGAATAGACTACTCATGGGTTCGCTATTTCAAACAACAAGGGCCGGTAGACTCGCCCCTTGTGTTCTCTTAGACGCGCCATCTTAACTTCCCTCTGACCACGGGAAAACAGGGCAGACAGATGACTTTCTTACGTGTTTCCTGTTTCTCACAGAAGTGAGATGCCGTAATTCCTCCCTGAGGCGCGTGGGATCGTAAACACAGAATATTTGAATACGAATTAGCATACGAAGTTTCATCGACTTTCCCGGCCGGTATTTCATCCCCGCCTAGCTATAAATAGAAGATTTCGAAAGTAATTACTTTGAGAAAGGAAGTGAAGGTGTTTTAGATTAGAAACGGGTCCTATGAGTTTGAATAAATTATCGATGTATTTCTCGTGAGCTGGCTCGGAGCCAAAGCCATTGGGAAATCCTGAAGCAATCTGTGCCAGCAACTGGCCGCGCGCCAGTGGCACCTACCCGAGCGAGTTGAGCGACGAGTATTTTTGAAAAAAGAAAAGTAAGATGATTGACTAAGAGATGTATGCTCAACTCGGTTCCTTTTCGAGAATCTCGTCCAGAATTTGCTGCACAGTCGAGAATTGTGTTTCCATTGTTTTTTCGTTTTCATCTTCGGTTAGTTCATCCTTTGTTTCTGTAAATAGTTTAAAGAAAATGAATTTTAAAGAGTAATTCTCAATCGGATTAAAGTTTTTCGCGATAACCCGTTTGAGGCGGAGGGGGCAAGAAGGGGAAGAAATGGGGGACCAGCTTCTCACTCCTAAAGCTATTTTGTTGTTGGTTTTCGGCTCGCATCGGTAGAATTACTCTGCCCTAAAGCCTTAAGGGCACGCTTGCATCGAGTGAGATCGACCAGCTGGTCACCCCAGGGGCGTAGGCGGCGGATGTCGTTTGCTGGTGGTCTAATTACCTCGCAGTAATTTAGGGATCATTTCATTTTCAATAGATTTTTCCGACTCGATCATACATTTTTCATTTCTTGTTTTGCTGCTGTATTGGCTCCGTCCGCTTTTTTACGTGTCTGGTAGACAGTCTGAGAGACCGAGGGAATGGACGTGGGTCACATACCGTACACAAAGCTTTTCACGCAGTGCTCGAGAATACTCGACACATGAACGTTATTCGCCGAAACAAGCGACAAGATCGTCTTTTTCCAGTTGACCAAGACTGTGGGATGGGAAGTCGCCCATTTTGAGTAAAGCAAAGACTTGATCAGCTTTTTATGCGCCGCGGTGAAGAGAGGGGCACTATCGCCAATCTAAAGAAATTTCTATCTTTTTTCCTTGATTTCAGCATTTCAAAACGATGACTAGATACCCTCACCCCGTATCTGTTACTAAAGCCCTTTACGTAACTGCCTTTACGACTCTTTAGTCTAATTTATGGAATTTTTCCTTATTTGGATTCATAAATTCTCCGGCAAATGATGACGAAACAACAGAAGAATTTATCGAAAAAACATGAGTCGCTTCCGTCTCAAGTTTACTATGTGACCTACAGATCAAAGCTATTGAATGATTCTCTGGGCACAGGTAAACTTTGACGAGCGAACTCACGTTCGACGCTATAATCTGGAGGTTACTGCTTCCGCTTTCACATTAAAATCTCCGGAACTGTCTATAAAAGCTTGCTTTGCTTGTCCAGAGAATAAAATCATGTCTAAAAATGGCTCAGAGTCCAAAAATCGAAACATTTATAAACCCAGATTTAAACTGTTTTATATCTTGGAATACCTCGACGATAAACTTGTTGTATTTGATCATCGATGTCTCCTCGTCTTGAAGTTGTTCGATGATCGTGTCGAATGCGTCTGTCGAGCCATCTTCGAATTGTTTTATAACTTCCTGCATTGAGCCTCCAAAGCGAACAACCTTGTCCGATGGCATTTTATCTACCAGATATCTAAGAGAATTTTCTTTTAGCCGCTAGAACAGACCATGCATCTTTGGAAAAGTCTTTTGCAAATCACCCTCAGAACCTCAGTAATCTTGCTCTCAATTTAGCACCAAATCAACGAAAGTTTTTCATAATAACACATGTAATATTTCAAAAACAATATAAGAATCTTGAACTATCTAAGAGGTGGTGGACAGACACATGTTGTCAGACTTGGTAAGTTATCTTTTTGTTTCATTTCTTTGTGAAATTAACCTAAACAGATAGAGGTCACTTGCTGGTCTTGTTTCTGGTTGGTATTGGATGGTGAAATAAAGTGAAAATTCTAGTTGTGGCGATAGACAGGAAGATAGATACTGGAAAAATGACAGTGAATTAAATCTTTTCAATCTACATGCATCGGTCGGGAGCTCGTTGACGCGGCGCCGACTTTAAGATGTCGTCAACTCGCATGATCATTTCAGCGCCTTCGTGGCCAGAAAGGAGCACTTGTCGCTTCACTTTGAAGCTCTCTGTCACTTTAAGATCGTCCATTGACGCAACACAGCCTGATTAACAATTAAAAAGCGTTATTTTTGAAAGAGTTACCGTTGTAAAGATCCAATCCAGCATGTTTGTTGCCCTTGGCGTGCTCTGCTCGAAGTTTGGCGATCAAATCCGCGGAGTCTTAAGTGTACATTAATACTTATTATTTTGAAATGATCATACCTAAACCAGCGTTGTCAGCCATAATAGTAGGAAGTTGTCTGAGAGCATTAGCAAAGCTCTGAATAGCGTGCTGCTCTTTGCCTTCGGACTCCTCGACTAGGACCTGGACGGCCTGGGCCATCAAGGCCTCGGAGCATCCGCCGCCATAAACGGTTCTAGTCTCCTTTATAGTTGAATACAAAACGCAGAGTACGTCATGGATAGCTCGCTCGGCTTCGTCAAGAATCTATGTTAAAATATATATTTTACAGTTTTCTTTCTTTTATCGCACCTGTTCAGTAGCTCCACGGAGAACAAGTGAGCAAGCCTGTCCCTGGCTGACACCGGAGAATCTAAGAAGCTTGTCCTCGCCGATCATGACTTCTTCAATAAGGTCACACTTTCCGATTTTGACGTTTTCAGCATTATCAAAGGTGGAGACAATTTCACCGCCAAGGACGAGAGCGAGTCGTTCAATGCCTTCAAAGTCGGCGTGTTCAATCGCCATGACTTTGTTGTCCGCAAAGAGCTGCTCGGGGTAGTTGTAGATAAGCTGTCTGAAAGTTACTTTGAGCTTTGGAAACGGGATATTGGATTACCTGTTGATGAAAACATTCATGTCGTATTTACAGATTTTCTCGACCTTCTCTTTCATCTTTTCTTTTTCAGCAGCTTCGATCTCAGCAAGTGACTTGATATCATTAGTTCGAACACGGGAGCCAAAGACCTTGATCTTGTCAGTGTCCATAGCAGTGTTGGCGAGGAGGACTCGTGCGTTTTCAACCCGTCGGGGCTGATTCTGTCCAGGGGTCTTGTCCAAAAGGAAACCTTCGTCGAGGAAGGATGACTCGAGCGAAGCACCGAGCTTCTTGATGATTTGGATGGACTCAAGAGTAGACTTGGGATCGTCTAAAAGAATGATAAAAATCTAGACTTTTTTACGATAAGAAATTACCTCTAATCTTGAGAATGGCATCGACGCAAATTTTTGCGAAGAAGTCCTTGTGTTGAGTGAGCAACTTAGAGCTCAGCGTAGTTCGGGCGATGTTAAAGAGATCTTCCTTGAACTGTTCGGGATCGGCTTGATTGTCAACAGCGGATTCATTCAGAGCTTCACGGGCAACAGCTACGGCCTTTTTCCAGCCTCGGATGATTGTGTGAGGGTGGATCTTGAGTTCGACGAGTCTTTCAGCTTCTCGGAGGAGCTCGGAAGCGAACACAGTGACAGAAGTGGTTCCATCGCCGACTTCATCGTCCTGGACCTTGGACAGCTCGCAAAGAATCTTGGCGGCGGGGTTGTCGACTCCGCATGATCGGAGAATGGTGGCACCGTCATTGGTAACCTGGACACTAGAGGAGAAATTGGTTAGGTATGAATGAAATTCGTCTCTTACCTTGGCTCGCCATTTCCGTACTGGCCGGTTGGAGAATAGAGGATCTTATCCATTCCCCGGGGGCCGAGAGTAGACTTGACCAAGTCGCCGATAGCGATGGCACCTAAATTTTCCCATAAACCCTAGTTTTTTATTCGCAAATCTTACCGACGAAGGAGCTCAATCGGGCGGTTTCGGCCTTTTCTTCTTCAGCGCCGTTTTGAAGGACTTGAATGGGGTTCATTGCCATCGCCATTTTCGCAAAACTTTAATCTGACCTCCTTCTGAAAAAATCTGTTAAAAGCAAAATAGCTTCTAGAAAAAATGCACAAAAACAGCGAAGAATGGATCATTGACTCTCTTGTTGCTGAAAATTCTTATAAGCTGATTAGTTACATCAGAGGTCATCATTGAAAGAAAATGAGAATGAACACAATGAACTTAAAGGAAACAGATGTAATGAAGAAAATTCAAAAGCAGTGAAGAGAAACAGAATCTTTTGAATTCCGATAAAAGAAATTAGACACAGAAGCGGTCAATTTCTACATAATTTAGATTTTGCATGTACAGATTCTTGAAAAGCCCAATTTATCTGACTAGCTATTTAGTTTTCGATGAGTTATAGACTATAACTTATAGTTCTTAGATAGCGAGTCCAGTCAGATTGAAACGGCTTTGGTGATTAGAGATCGTGATTAGCGGAAGAAAAAGCGTTATTACAGGTAATGCTGAAGGAGATATTGAGTTGGACATAAATAAATGATTGGTTTGAATCATTTTAATCAGCCATATTCGGCATAAATGAATTAAGTGAAGCGTGCGAGTTTGTGTTGCCTGGGTCGAAATAAATGGACTTTTAGCCCATTTTAACTGAAAGTGATTAACTGAATACAAGTTTAGGTTTGAATGCTTAGAATTTTGAAAGTCAGAAGTTAGGAAAAAATGTTGGAAGATCAGTCAGAACGGAAAATAGAGGGAATACATAAGTATATGGTAGAATTAGAACATACAAAGTATTATAACAAAAAGAAAATTGACTATTAAAAAATCAAGGAAGAGACTCGAAGCTAATAAGTTTACTCCATCTGATCGCGCTGAGTTCTCAGCTGTCGTTCTCGTATAACCGCTGGCTGCGTGGCTTCGAAAATCATCTCCCGAAGTCGGTCACGATCTGGAAAAGAAAAATGCGGATTGGTTTCCATGGGAACTTCCTTGCTTACCGTAGTCGTCGAATTCCTCGTCAAATCTGAATGGCACTTCAGCGACCGGCTCATCCCCTGGGTCGTGATATTGAGCTTGATATGCGTGGGATAGGGCATCGCCAACACTTATGCGTCTGAATAGTCTTATGAAGCGTCCATAAGTTTTGAATGACTTACGTGTGAGGATTGAAGTCCAGGAGCCGTTTTAACAGGTCAATACAGTCTGGAGATGCGTTGCTGAACTCCTGAGAGAAGTCTTTGCCTGGCTGAGGAGGCAGACCGATAATGTAAGCGCGTGCACGCTCATTCCCGATCCAAGCGACGGCCTCTGCACTTGGAGTGCCAATCACTGCGAGAATGAGGTTCAACTGGTCAAGGTAGTGCTACAATTCTTAGGTTATTTCACGTTTTTATATATGTTTACTTACTCTTCCGGGGAAGAGTGGTCTGTTCTGGATCATTTCAGCAAGAATACACCCGACAGACCACATGTCCATGGAAATACTGTATGTCCTCGAGTTGAGCATAACCTCTGGAGCTCGGTACCACCTGAGTTTGATGAAACTTTTGGTAGAAAATATGAAGTAAACCTGGTAGCCACATATTCTGTGTGAGGGTTCAGAAATTCTCTGTCCGGATCAGTAACACGAGCGAGGCCAAAATCGCAGATTTTCAAGTCGCAATTTGTGTTCAAAAGCAGATTTGAAGGCTTCAAGTCTCGATGAATCACATTCGCACTAAATGGAAGGTTCGAGAAGGCACTAGAAGAAGGGGATTTTGCTAACCTGTGAATATATTTGAGGCCACGGAGGATTTGATAGAGGAAATAGCAGATGTGTTCATTTGAAATTGTCTGACTTCTGAGAAGCCTGTATAAATCCGTTTCCATGAATTCCTAAGTAGACATAGATGGGGATGTTTTGATAAGAGAATGGATACCTGGACAATGTACAAATGTCTCATCTCGTTGAGAACGGCGGATCGAATGACATCGTGTACGGAGATGATGTTTTCGTGATCGAGATGAAGCAAAATTTTGATTTCACGAAGTGTTCGCTGGCAGTATGTGTGGTGATCAAACGGGGAAATTTTCTTGATAGCGACTTAAAACATTCCTGAAACTTGAACTTGGGCGATCACTGAACGTACCAACTCGATTGCCATTGGCCCTATCGTTGGCTCGGACGACTATGCCGTAGGCTCCTTCGCCGACGAATTCCAAATCGGCGTAGTTTTCGCCTACATCGAACTCATGCCCTCGGATTTCCGGCATGTCTAAAAGTAATCGGGCTCTTGTCAGTGATAGTGGACATATTAAGAGTTTATAGAAGCACATGATAAGTTTTTAGCTTTCAGCAGATACAAACTCACACAAGTGTACAAAAACTGTGAAGGCTCGTTCATTTTAATAAAAATAGTATGAAAATGCAAGTCATTGCATTTCATTCCACCTATTCATCGTCATTTTCTGAATCTTTTTCTTGTAATCTTGTCCATAGCGAGGCATTCTAGTTGCAACTTCGGCAGCACCTAATCCAGCGTTCTTATTTTCTCGTACTTCCTCGGCAGAAATAGGGTTGACAATGCCCTGTTGATTCTTTCCAAGACCAGTTCCAGTTTGCCATCCCATCTTTTGCAGTAGCTTGGAGCCTTTATTATCTGCGCCGATGCCGTGAACAGTTGGTTGTTCTGTCGGTTGGTCTTCTTCATCCCTCCTTAGCTCATACCCAGATAGCTCTAAGTAAAATTAGATACAATTAAAATATGCTTTTTACGTTTGTTTCCGAATTTATTCCTCCTTTCACTGGCCCTATCTCTATAACTTCCAACAGAATGCCCCATCGCCATCACAGCTTTGTACGCCTCTGTTTCCTCTTCTTCTTCTTCCTCTTCGTCTTGTAGCGGCGCTAATTTCTCTAAGTTTTCTTTGTGCATTTTTGATTTTTTGATATGCTTCTCGAGCTGGTCGACTTTTGCAAAAGCTCTTCTACAGAGGAGACATTGATTTTCGGCCCAGTTGATATGCTCTTCTTGTCCTACAGTTCCTCTTTTCTCATGTTCTGTTGGCATTGCTGGTCCAGCTGTCGGACCAACTGGAGCTGGAGGTGGGGGCGCTGGAGCATCTTCAAACATGTCATCCATCTTCGGCTGCTTCGGCCTATCCTCTTCCTCCATATCAACAGCTTCATGCGACGTGCGCGATTTAGGTCCTCTATTAATCATTGGCGATGCATTGAAACTGACTCCGAAACCCGCTGCGCTGAATTTGTTCGCATGCGCCTCTTTTTTGTTGCGCCTGATGGCATCCGCTTCCGCCTGGCTCATTGGTTTCGCCTTCGATTTCTTTTGTTGGCGCATCCAGGATTCCATCTGCTTTTGAACATCAGTCGCCTGTGACAATTTTTTCTTCTCTTTTTTCGAAAACGTTCCCGTTGTTGCTGTTTCAAAGGCTATGAAAATAGTTTCGGTTTTCCGAAAATCAGAGTATTTAAGCTTTCGGTTGTATCAGGGGTCTGGATTCGCCTAGCGAATTCGCTCATGAGCGAAGCGAAGCAGAGCGAAGCGAATTGGCTTCGCTTCGCTTTCGCTTTTGGTAATTTCAGTTCGCTTCGCTTCGCTTTCGCTTTTTACCAAAAATTTTCGCGAAAAATTGCGCTCAACATAAATCGTTCTTAGAGTTGAATATTTTGTTTTTTTATTAGCTTTTGCGAAAGAAAAATTTTGCGAAAAATTTTGCTTATTGAACTAAGCTTGCACTTATAAGATTGCCAGAGATATCCGATTGCCAAACTCGGGGAAACGGCGACTTGGGCAGAGAGCGACGTAAATTAATTTATATTGATTAGTCATAAAAGTTTAATAATTGTCACACAGTCAATCCTGGCTTTACCAACTTTAATCCCGGCTTCAACAACCTCGATTCTGGCTTTTCAGACGTCATTTCTGGCCTCTCATACCGTCAGTCCCGGCTTCTCTGAAGTGTTCTAGTTTAGCTACAGTCCCTGAACTGTCAATCATAGAACCTATATTTAGCCCTCTCAAAGCCCCTTTACCCGGAGTCAGTTGTTATTCCCGCTGACTCCCACTAACACCGTCAGCTGTACACAATTACTCCTCTCCGTTTTCTATTCTCAATAAACCAGTCAATATCTCCACGAGCTAGCGGCCGTTCGTGTTTGACTCCACGAGATTTAGTCCCAGTTCTCAGAACAATTCATCTCAGTTGTCAATCATGGTTTCTCTAAAATTGGATTGACGTTGGAAAAGCCTAGGTTGAAATTGATGAAGCCGGGATGATTTCAAAAAACTTTTTGTTGGGCCGGAAATCGTAAAAAATCTGTAAGTGCAGTTTTCTTTAGCTCATCAAGACGAGTTGAATGATGGGTCTAACTGCTGATAACTCTAAGGATTTACCGGTTTACCGGCTGGTTACCGGAAATTACGTTGTCACCCGCCGTTTTTGTTCTAGAAAGGGTAAACAGATGATCGACACAGGAAATTGTTCCTTATAGTCAGTTCTACTCTAGGCTCAAAAATGAGGCTCGTATCAATACTCTGAAGAGAATTATCAGTAAAATACTAATTTTGGCAGAAATGGGACTTAAAATCAGGAACGTGCAGCAACAACAATATGTATGTAAAATTCACTGTTTTTACTGATAACTCTCTTCAGAGTATTGATACGAGCCTCATTTTTGAGCCTAGAGTATAACTGACTATAAGGAACAATTTCCTGTGTCGATCATCTGTTTACCCTTTCTAGAACAAAAACGGCGGGTGACAACGTAATTTCCGGTAACCAGCCGGTAAACCGGTAAATCCTTAGAGTTATCAGCAGTTAGACCCATCATTCAACTCGTCTTGATGAGCTAAAGAAAACTGCACTTACAGATTTTTTACGATTTCCGGCCCAACAAAAAGTTTTTTGAAATCATCCCGGGATGGACGTTCGAGAAGTCGGGATGAACGTCCAATAACCCGGGATCGGCATTGCCAATGCCGCACTGGTAAAGCCATGATTGAAGTCGGTGAAGCCAGGATTGACGATAAAGAAACCGGAATTGAGGAAAGATAAGCCAAGATTGACATAATATCAATGATATTGGAGAAGACTTGATTGAAGTTGGTGAAGCCAATGTTTAGTGATCAATGATCATTGATCAATCAATAAACGTTTATTCACATGGCAGTTTGCCCAAGATTTCGGTTTCCCAAGTTGGGTAAACGGCGATTTGGGCAAATGGAGATTACTCGAGCCTCACATCCTCTTTAGCTGAGTTAGATCAGAAAATTCACAATTTCGCTCTTTCCGGAGAGGGAGTCCGAAATTCGGACTCCGAATGCCCGAAAAACAAATAAAATTGAAACCGAACTTAAAATGGACACTTTTCAAAGGTCAAATATTTTCGGAAAATTTTCGCTTTTTTTCGCTTTTTAGAATAACTTTTCGCTTCGCTTCGCTTTCGCTTTCGAAATTTTGATTCGCTTCGCTTCGCTTTCGCTTTAAATTTTTGAAAAATTTTCGCTTTCGCTTCGCTTTCGCTTTTCATTTTTGGCCAAAATCCAGACCCCTGGTTGTATAAGAAAAACAGGTTTTTTTATTCTGCTGCAAAATGGTGGAGCACTTTTATTATAATTTTATTATTTATTATTAATTTTAATTATTGATGCGATCAAGCCGTTCCTGGTTGATCCAAGCTCGTATCAATACTGATATGATCTACTGGAACAAATGTATCTTGTGTCGGATCCCAATTGAGATACTGTTGAGTATATTGGTTGTAAAATTGCATCTTCTTGACGCACCACATAAGCCCCGTTCTAGGATCGTAGTACATCTGGTGATTAGCCATCCATTGAAACATCGAAAAATCTGGGTTTTGGTACTTTCTATATCGACCAGAAGGATCTCTTTGTGGCGGGATTTGATCTGGGGGGATCGGAGGGATCATGCCAAGGGGCGGAGCTTTGAGACCTATTTCAGCAGGGAGCTTCGGATATAAATGAGGGGTTTGATGAGGAGCGATTCCTTGCTGATTTGCTGTCTGTTTGAGCAGAGCCGCCGCACCTCCAACTAGCTAGAAATAATAGATTAATATCAAATGTATTCAGTTCCGCTCTACCTGATTCGGATCATTCCAAGAGGTCTTAATTGCCGTCGCCGCTGCGATAGCATCGTTCGCCGCTTGTTGCTTGAGATCTTGGGTCTTTCCGGGAAGGCCATTGGCATAGTCGAGGATGACTACTCTGTCGTCGATTTTGAATTTAGGCGTAGCATTTTGCAAATACTCTAGCACTTGTTTACAGTCATCAACTGAGCCCCAGGAAATAAATGAAAATCCTCGAGAGTTCCCCGTCTATAATAATTCATTTCATTGATCATGGATACGAAATCGATAAAATTTGCGCACACTTGCCCCGTAAATATTTTATCCGTGGAAAAGTACTCACGAATTTGTCCTTTGCCAGGCGAATATCGAGTATCGGCTTTTTGGTAATGTACTGAAAGGCGGCGCGAATCGATTCTTCTGTTGATTCCAAGTCCAGGTTTCGGACGATCATCGTATCGGTCGGTTCTGTTGGAAAGTTTTTGTTGTGGTTGTGATTTCCATAGCTGTGTCCAGAGTGGTAATTTGGTTCTTAAGATTATTTATATTTGATTGAATTATTGCCCAATGTTTAAACCTTGAGGAGCTTTGATATTAGACGTATCTGCATATTCGACGTAGACGGATTGGTCGCCAACCATAAGATGACCCTGAAAAGGTTATATTAGTGAGTCATGGAACTTGTGCGATTTCTCGCGCAACGATTGTGTATTGTTTATCTGATTCTCGGCTGATTTCACCTTGCACTCGTCGACGAGGTACGTGGCATCGCTCACACGTCCCAGTTCAATATAACCCAAGCCACTCCAGTCACCTGTAATCAAATAATACAGTGACTGTCAAACACATTTAAATTAAATTCTACGGACGAAAATCTTTCAGAGTTCACATTTAAAATGCGGTCTCAATATTTACCGTTTGAAGCTGCGCAGTTAGCTTACCTACTCGTTTTTTATAAAGCTCTCAGATATTCTATGATTCATTTAACGCTCGTACCTGACATTTGACAGCTTCGAACCCCTATGTCCATCGCTTCTATAGCACCTCGTATCTAGATTATTTATTAATTGCGAGTTTCTGCTCGAATTTATTTGGTCTTGCTTTGAGAATATCCAAGTAAATAAAGTTTTTTTCCGCTCGAGAATTTCTCGTCAAAACATCACTAAGTTTCGCGTGAAAAAGTAAAAGTAATGAAAACTTACTCTGTCTGCTGTAAGCCATTCTGGAACATTGGAAACTTTCAAAGTAGCAGAAGGCGCGTGATAGCCATACGAGTCGTCATATTGCTGCTCGGGCCATTTACTTTGCTGGCCCCCGTATGAAGTACCGTAGTTGGCTTCTTGGCCGCCTCGCTGGTAACTGCTGTACGCGCGGCTGTTGTAAGAGTCCTGCTCTTGGCTGTAGCTGTCGTGTCGGTTTCTGTGGCCGCCTCCTCGGTGAGTATCTCGTCGCGGGCTGCGGCTACGGTCGCGGCGCTAAAGGAACAATTAACTACACGCTGTCAGTATCAGAAAAGGTTACTGATAAAATCAATCACTTTTGTAGGGCGACTTGATTAAGATTTTTGATTTATAACTACTTATTATACGAGAGGTATATAAAATGCGGAATTGGAAAGCAAAAATGGAAGCTCGAGACATAGACACAGAATTTTGTTTTTATAAATTCCTAAGAGTTCTTTTATATGGCTCATTTCTCCCTAACAGGGGGACATTTAGATCTAGGGTGAGGGTGTCTTTAAAATAGCTTGATAATCAATAAAAAATTATTTTAGGCCACCGAATTCAGCTACACGCAGTTTTCATATACGCCAAAATAGCCTTAGATACGGCTCTAGGAGGAAACTACAGGTATCAATAATGTATTTAAACCACAAAAGGGTTCAAAATCGCTTTAGAGAAGCAAATCTGTCGATGAAGATAAAGCTCATCAGCGAAGAAAAGCGTTCAAAAAGGCTGTCACTTTACCAGAAGGACCACAGATATTTATAGGAAAAAGTCATCACGGCCAAAAGAGACCTTTGCATTGATGATTCAAGACTTTTTGCATAAATTGACTTGAAAGAGGAATCATCGAAAAAAGATCTACAAGAACTCAAAATTCAAACGTAAATCTCTCTTATCGTAACTAAAAAATAATCATGAAACGTAGCTCATTGATGAGTAAAGCTCAGGATACGAAGGTGATCTCGCAGAAGCTACGCACACACCCAAAACTACTGGCCTACGTCCATAATAAATTATGCTATAATTATTTTATACTCGAGTCGACAATATAGAATATCTTCATTCACTTTATCTGTTTTTTTATAATTCATGAGCTTTAATACTGCGAGATATTTCCAATAAAAACATATTTCTTACCTCGTTATGTTTATTCACATTTCCCCAGCTTCCACCCTGAATAACTCGTTGCTTCATCAGTTATTTTGGCAACAGTTTATTAAGTCTTCTATCAAAAACTGCTAGAAAGGATATTATTACCGATGGCCAGCGATCATCACGACCGGAGTGTCTTCCTTCGCGTGAATGACTGGAATCATCGTCATATCTGTCATGCTTCCACTTTCCTCCTCCTTTTAGAACTATTTATATTTTAACAGCCATGGTATATAAACCTCCTCGATCACCAGCCCGGTAATCGCGCTCGTCGCGTTGATATCGCCCGGAGTCGCCTCCTCTAGAGTTGTAATCCCTGCCGCCACGATGGTGATCGCCACGGTTGTAGTCATCCTCCTCATCGCCTCTACGGGGCCACTTGTCCTCTTGCTTGGAACTGCGATACTAAATCGATCCTTATTACACTTTTCCGTTTCGTTTTCCTCAGGTGCTGCTCCTGAGCTCCTGCCCATGTACCGAGTCATTCCTAGAATGGCCGCCTCGTCCACTGGATTCGCCAGCAGATTCCCAGTCACTCTTGCCGCCTCGCCAGGACATGGTTCGTTGCCGATTTCAATGATTCACTTTTTATAATTCTAATAAAAATCAAGATTTTAATTTATCAATTAATAATTTTTAATAAGGACAGAACTTTGAACGAAGAAAGGAGAGTTTTAGCTGTGAGTTGAAGCAAGAATTAGAAAAATATATATGAATAGAAGTGATAGCCGAAGGAATCGCAACTGTAACTGTTTAACTGTAGTGAAAGTGATAAGATATCAGGCAAATGAGGCTGAGGTCGGAAACGGGTACCTTGGGTACTTTGAATCGTTTGATAAGATTGGGAAAAGCGAAAATACAGATCGATTGTTAGAGGTAAATTAAGAAATCGTAGGCAAATAAAAGCTCACAGAGAAAGAAACTGATTGCGAATAGAAGTAAAATAAAGAAAAAACATAAATAACAAATTGCATTTAAAGCGACACTAGAGATCATCTAATTTATTTCTTGAAAAAAAACCGTTAATCTTTATTTGAGAAATTTATTCTACGTTGACCTCATTTTTCTTAATTTGCAGCTCCAAATGCTTGAATGAAAAACGTAAACAAAAAATATAAGTAAAACACCCGCTAATTTTCCATTTTCAATAACGCGTAGCAACTGTAAATATACTGTACTTGTTAAACGAGTAGAAGTATAAATAAAAATAATAAGCTGACTATAGAGAAGAAAAACGCCATTTTTATCAATTTTTGTTGAAGATGATTTACTTTGAAACTTGAACAGGCTAGGAAAGAGAGCTGGCACAGTTTATTATGAGTAGTTATTTTAAGTCAGAAGGGACTTGAATTTGGCAACATTGACTTTCAGAGTTACTCGACATCGGAGAAGATCGCTAGCTTCCACTTCTCCATACAGAAATACAAATGACATCTTTATTCTCTGCGTCTCGTGGGTTTTTGTGCCCTTGGCCGATTGAAAACAGAAGGGTTGCCTGGCTATGCAGATTTTTCTTGCTAGACGATGCTGTTGCGTGGTCAAGGCCAGAATCAGAGGAGCTCAAGATTGAGGGGACTATTGAGTGGAGAGCAGCAACACGTCCAAGGTGACCGATGGCGGAAGCATGGGCGGGACCGACAATTGAGGGATTTGAAACTGCGAGTTTTGGAAGAGGGAGGACAATCACGATACCACTCGTTGTCCCGGCAACAAGGAAGTTTGCCATGGTTGTCAGATGGGAGACGCCAAACGAATGGCTCGCTTTGACAGTAAATGCACTAAAATATTACGTTACCCGCTGTACTCTATCACTTAACTACCTGTGGGAGAGATCAAAAGTCTGTAGAAGCTGCTTCGTATGCGCGTGGTAAAGGTAAAGAATCGGAAGATCTCCACGAGCAACCCAAACTCCAGTGCCTTTGCTAATCGATGCTGAGAGAGGAACAGAGCCGAGTTCCCGGCATGCAAACTCGTCCACAATATGCCCGCTAAAACCAAGTTAAAAGGTTGTTTCTTAGTTCGATCTCACTTTTTGATAGCCTTGACTTTTCCCGATCTCCATGCCCAGGTTTCCTCTTTTGAAGCAATAGGAATCAGACGCACTGGTGAGCCTGCATCCAAAACAAGATTTTCTAGCACAAGTGTTAAATCTCTCTGCTCTTCGTGATTGATGACAGCGAATGCCACAACTCCAGATTTCGTTGTTATCAAGAAACCGTTTTCACCATGAATTGTTGCTTGAACAACCTGGTCATCAGTTAGCTCTTTTGTCAACCCGAATCGTCTGAATGGAGGACAATCTTGCAAGGCCATTACGTCACCGTCCATCAAAAAGACCCAAACAGCATTGTACGCGTGCATTATCGATGAGATTGATGTCTTCGCCTGTATTGAGTGTATAAATGGGTCGAATCCGCGACCACGGAGGCGGTTCTGCTCGCTGACAATATCGTCTTCTTTTTGGATGTGGGATATCTCGACAAAATCGTCATTAGCTTGCCAGACGTAAATACTTCCGTCGAATTCGGGAGAAGCGTAAGAACAAAATTGAGAATACTCGAGATCGCAGTTGGTCTGTTCGTTTCGAGGCCACACAGAACCAATGTAGACCGGCATAACTCGGTCAGCCCCTAAAATTTGATTGATTAGACCTTGAGGTTCTGGTAAAATTACATACCTGTCGTTGTTGAATCATCCTGCGGCGTCCTCCATGGAGTAAACGGCATTATCCTATCGTTAACGAGTCGTATTCTGACTGCCCTGATAGCATCCATCCACTCTCTCGCATTTATTCCACTGCTGAACCGGACGTATTTCTTCATCCAGGGATCGTTCCGTATTCCCTCATTCTTCTGAATTGTGATTGTCGTCTGCACAGAAGAACCCACCAAATTCATGGATCTGTTCACCTTTTCTTTGAGAGAATCAAGCTCCTGAGTAAGCGTCTTTGTTTCCAAATTAGAAGATAACTTCCCGACAAGTGACTCGATTTGAGATAAAGTCTCGAGATCAGATTGGATGCCGTCCCGGCTGCCGAGCTTTTTAGAAAGGTTTTCTTCGGAGAAGTCGCTGAGTCGAATGTCTTTCACATCACACCGCCATTTTAGTTTGCATCCTTCGATTTCAGAATCTTTTGATCCTTTATTGTTGGACTGCTTCTTTGGATTGAGGAGAAACAAAAGCTTTCCCTTGTCAGTAAGAATGAGAATTCCATCGCGCAAGTCAACAACATCGCCATCTTTGTTACTCAGCTCCAAGACTTCCGTTGCTGGGCCGCATTTAATTACCCGTCCATTGTCTCCTTCCTGCCATTCGGTTTTGGACAGCTTCGCTAGCTTGTAGAAAAGCTGCCGTTGCTCCTGAATTTCGCGTCGATAGTCAAGCTGCTCTGTAAGTTTATCCAGAGATGTGAGTGCTCCTTCTAGAGCGACTCTGTCAGGATGTTCAAAAGGAGTTGACTGGAGCAAATCTTGCAGGATGAGGAGAAATTGTGGAAAGCGTTGAACTGGCTTTAGCATCAGGCCAAAAAGGTTCAGATTGTCACCTACAGTGATTATTTGAAGGTAACGTTGACTTTAAAATACTACCTTGTGTTTCTTGTTGTTTGGTACAGAAATCAAAGAATGTTCTTCGCGCACAGAGCTTCTGCACAAGCTTCAATGTTTCAGGCAAGGCATTGATATAAGCGGAGTAGTGCTCAAGAACAGTTTGTTTGTCAAAAGTTCCAGTGAATATATCCCCAACACGCTGTGTCACATCCCAATCCATAATTGCCGAATCTAAAGGGTTAAAAATAATGAATATAATTTCAGACTTACCAAGAGCGATTTCAAAAAGTTTATGAAGGGAGTAGATAGGTGTTACTTTGCCGAAAATTCTATCCACATAACTTTTTTCGACTACTGGTTGCCGTAGTAACTGTTGGCGGTAATCGTGTTCCAGAATGCCCAAACTGTTAATATAGGCCTTTTCAGTTTGAACCAGACTTTGGAGTATGCGTCGGCGTTTGATATCATTATCTGTGGCTCCACTGGGTGGAGGCGGGAGGTGGCCCCATTCGACTTGAACCGACCGTCGGCGGTCGTGTTGTTGACCCTTAATAAATTCAGATTATTACTTCAACAAAAATTATAAACGGGTGAGTAGGATATGACCAAGAAGAAAAAATTTTGCTTGCTTAAATTGCATGAACTTTACCTGGAAATACGAGGATTCTCTGTACGCCCTTTTTTCTATTGCCGACCTTGGTCTTCTCTGAACATATCTGACCATTTCTTTCACCCTTGAAATCTTGGTGGCGTCTCTAAGCGTCGAACGAAAAGTATCTCTCAGCCTAATCAATCAATAAAGAAGGACATTAGCAAATTGACTGACCTGGAAGTGATTTGGTGTGAGCCAGGTGTGGCCGACCCAGTGCGAGAATTGTCAGCATCGCCTCCATCAACACTGCCGTCCTCATCAATGCCTTCCTCACTAAATAAATATCAAAGATAGATTGGTTTTATTTGACAAGTTATTACCTTGTTTCGAGATCCCAGCTTCCTTTGCTCGAGCCAATGCTTCTACCGCCTTCTGCGAAGGGACCAGAAGCGAGAGAGTCCGGGCGAGATCGGGAAGTTGAAGGTGTAGCATGATCAGCATCACGAAGGACTAGATCGATCGATGAAATTGAAGAGGACAAAGGGTAAGTTCAAAGAAATTTTATTCGGATTCGAGGAAATTCAATTATTTATTGATTTGCTGAGGCGATTTATAAAGGTGTTTTGAACCTAATCAGTGAGAGAAAAGAAGCAGTCCTGGATATGCTGCGATGATCCGATGCTAAATCTGATAGGCTTTGCAAGTCCGAGTGGCTAAAATCACGTGTTTTTAATGAGACGGTCTAGCTGACACGGAGATATAAACCTGGTGCTAAATGATCGTCGAAAAAGGTTTATTCCCTTTCCGCCTGTGAGGTCTTTTGACGACCTAGAAAACTTCCGACAAAGATTTGACAGACTTCCTCCACACTCACTTCTTGCTCGTTGCCTAATGTCAATCATTTTCAAAAGTAACACAGTACAGCTTGCTACTGAAAGTAGCTATGTAGGGGGTCAGGACGGGTTCAAAAAGGCTCGTTTATCAAAAGTGATCCCTTAGATAGGCTATCTAACTCATTTAAAATCATCACTTGGCTTTTTTCTTGCCTCTTAGCTGATAAAGGCCCAGTATTTTGAAGATTCACGGCTTACAAATATAATCGTCAAATTCATATAATTATTCTGGCTAAGATAAATAATTTGTGCTTTATTTCATGAGTTAAATCAATATAAACGAAGCTTTTTGGCCCTTCCTGACCAAATCTTTATTTAATCACTACCTCGCAGAGACTCTCGGCGTCTCCTCGACACCAATTCGGTGTGGCCCATCTTTGAATAAAATAGGACTTTTATGGTAAATCTTTCGGCCCGTATCTTTGTCGTAAAATTGTCTTTTTACAAGGTTCGCACGAGATCTTTAATATAACAATCATCATACGCGTAAAACCATTTTCTAAAGTCCACATCTGTATTGAAAGGCATTTCTCTCTGTATGTGAGGATGCTGGCTTAGCAACTCTCAGACTGCCTGCGTCATGAAATCTGCCTGCTCATGACCTTATAGTGTTGCTTCAGGCACACAGGCACTGCGCATCTGAGCTTATAAGCAACTGTCTAAGGCGTGTTTTTATGTAGCATAGGAAAAAAATTAAGAGAAAAAACGCTCCCTCGTGAAAAATAAGTAAGGGTTAGGGGCTTACCTCTTCTGTATGGACTTGACCCTTTTGAAAATTGATCTCTTTGTTCATCCTCAAAATCGTCCTCTATTTGGTATTCTTCTGCCGAATCATCGTCAAACGAATCAGCATTCTCAACATCGCCCCAAACTTCCGTTGAAGTTTCGAGCGTATTGTCAAGGTCCTGCTCCAGTTGATCTTCATAGTTGTGATTAATTGACCACTGCCGTCTCATGTCCATTGTATTGAACTGACATCGGTCTACTGTTTCGTAACCACTGGGCGCACTTGGCTGACTATCGTTGGGAATATGCGAGTTTCTGAAGCCTGATCGAGATTCAGAAATCGGTGGCGGTGGTGGAGGAGGCGCAGGACGGAAGGAAGATGATCTGGAGACAGGATTAGAAAGAGCTGAAGGAAGAAATTTATCGAGGACGATTGTGATATTTCTTACATGTATGAGATCGTCTCAAAGGCACTGGTGGAGGCGATGGTTTCCGATGAGGTGATGTTGGTGCGGATATGGGTAGAGGTGGAGCAGAGACTGGAGGAGGCGGGAAGAACGAGTCCTCGTTTTCGTGATCAGGAGAGAGTGGCGGTTGCGGACAAGGAGGAGCTGGAGGCCGGGAATTATTGTTGTCGAATGCTTGCGACCGAGCCGTATTGTACATTGTATCGGCATCGAACGCGCTCATTGAAGATCTCTCTGAGCCCGCTCGCGGTGATGACATGGGGCTGTCTTGCGGGCTATTCATACAAGGGATTACCACCGAAAGAAAAAAGTCGACTCACCCTGCGTACTCGACAAAGGCTCTAGCTACAGCCGCGGTATGCTCCACATTGGAAGCCAGTAGAGTGTGGGTTTTCTTTATTGAATTCGTCGGAGTAGTTAATTCAGGCTCAAGAATTTGTTCTCGTGAGCCCCAAGCACCTTGGAGAAAAACTTGGTCGTTGTTGTCATTCCAGTCGCGAGCGTCACGAGGGTTAAAGCTCGATGCATCTGATTGAAATCGCCTAAATGTCAGATGAGAAAGTGTAGTCTGGTAAAGAAGCTTACTGATTGCCGTGAAGATTGTCTATGCTTGTTCCGGAGCTGAGCGTTTTCAAAGGCAACTTTTGCTGAACTGTATCTAAGGCCTTTTGCGTTTCATTTTTCAATTGTTTCGAGAGCTTTTGAGTGGTCTTCTTCGACTTCTTTATTCCTAAAAACTTGTTAACAAAGGCATCGACCATTGATCGTATAATTATCTTGAAATTCGTTACCTGATCGGATTGAACTTCGCCATTTCGCTACGCGAGAAAATTTAGATTCGCCAGATTCCTCATGGTTATCAACCGAATTTTCACTAGCATTCGTACTCATCACCCATCCTACAATCGAACGAAGCGAGAGTCTGAAAAATACAAATATTAATCCGCTGCAATAGTGAACATTCAGCAAGTTTTGAAACCAAAGGTCATTTCTTGTTTTCACTATAAGTTAGATGTATCTCTCTCTTTTTCGTAATAATCAAGCCTCTCGGAAAAAGCGTAACACTACCCACGATCGATCAAAATTGGAAAAATGAACCTTTACTACTTTCAAATCTAATAAAAAAGAAAGACCGCCGCGATGTTTCTGAGAACCAAGAAAACCAAAAATGGATCATTCTCAAAAGTTGCAGTGCCAACATCAAATTATTATCTTGCAAATTTGGCGGTGTCTCTTGTTCTTGGTAAAATTCTTTTTGATACAACGGGAAAAAGATTTATTTTAGGAGATAAGAAAGCTTTACGATATGAGTTTAAGTTTCATTTATGAACCTGGCCTTTTGTTGATTTCCGTTTCTCTTTGAAATTTGCTCTGAATATGCGATTTAAAGCTAGGAGATTTTCGGAGCGCACTAATAAATGCTCGTTTTGTGCTCTGCTGATTTTGACCGATCTTTTTGACGCTCTCACAAGGAGAGCTTTACATCTTGACAGCTAAGTATTTTATTTTTCGGTTTCGCGCACCACTGGGCACTATCCTTAGGCGAGTAAATATGGCTGCTCGCCAAAAAAGAAGATTCAAGTTTCATCGTCATTTATAATCATAATGAAATCCGATCTCCTGAATATTCAAAAGAGATCCTCATAAAGTGAATCTTCATAAGAGACAAGTCTTCGTTGATTTCTCTGATCTCCCAAACGCGCCTCAAAGGGTACCAGAAAAAGCTATCGAGAATAAAATCTTTGGTACTCACCTCTTAGGCATTTATCAGCCCAATTTGAAAATGAAAAAGAAACTAGATCGATCGGAGAGGCCTTAGCCGGGATCATTTCAGCTGAACTCTAGTTCTAACACAAACACTATCCGAAGGGCGATGAAAAATTTATGAAAAGAGGTGAATTTTTGATAGATTGAATTGAATAGAGGGCGAGATGTGTGGCCTAGAATGCTTAAACTGAATTGATCCGCGGTTGACTCACATTTTGACTGCAAAATCACTAACGACTCACTTGGAAGGTCAAAAAGTTTCTCAAAAGCTCAAGTCACTCGTTTGATTCTGCATTCTCTAATTCGGAATATTCAAATAAAATTCTACCGGTATACGTCAATGTTATTCACGCTCACTTCAATGTGAATTTGGCACGAGTCTCTAAAGTTTCTTCTTCCTGTCTTTTTTTCAAGCGGCGACGGTTTTTCAGTAAAATCTACGTATAATAATACCGCCTTTGTGGTGTCGGTGTGGCAAAGGGGAAAAGTGTTGTTTGAATGGAGCTGGGTGACCTCTAAGCCTCTTGTGTCACTGTCAAGGGTTATTCGGCGGTTAAACGGCAGTAAAAAATGTAAGATTGAATCACAACGTGCTAGCTAACGTAGTATTATAGCAATTTTATTATCCGAACATATTAGGCATCAAAAGGGAGTGTCACACAAACAAGCATCAAGGGAAAAGGTAGTGTTTGAATGGTAAAACGAAGAAACTGACGATCGAAGAGGAGTATTTTCAATTATTTTCTTATCTTTATTCTTGTCTATGATAGCAGTTGAACATTGAATCTTATTGCAACAAGAATCGAAAAATTGCCTCTTTAATTACATGAATGTAGCTACTGAAAAAGTTTTTGAGAAGTCAGAAAGAATATTTGAATGAATAGTGTTTATGATTGAATTTTCAGAGGAAAGATAGCGGAATAAAATGAAACATAGCATAAGGAATTTTTTTATCACAACAAATTTTGTGCTTGAGTAGGTGGTGCTGCTTGATTAGATCCACCAGAAGGTGGTTCAATGCCAGCCTGGTAAGAGGGCATTGGTTGCTGCTGGTAGGCTCCCGCTGCTTGTTGCTGATGTTGTGGAACTTGTTGATGGTGCTGTAGGAGCGAAGCATCCGTTACTGGTGGTGTCGGTGGTGGAGCGGTGGGCTCATAGGGTCCGTTATAGGGAGATCCGGTACTGTACGCACTAGGCGGTGGAGTAAAATATTGCTGTTGTTGCGGATGGAAATTCGCTTGAGGCTGCGTGGCGAACATGTTTTGTGCGGATGCATTTGGCGGGAGATTTCCCATCGTATATCCTCGACTCTGGATCTGAGATTGATAGGCTTGCTGGTTTATGTGTTGGTTCATTTCCGCAGGCTGGGGGGTCTCTACTGGCTGGTAGCCTTGAGAGTATTGGTGAACTTGTTGAGGAGCGTATTGTTGGCCAGGTGCATACTTATTTTTTCATTATCGAAAGAAGAAATGGCAGAGTTTTACCTGCATAGACATTGAAGCCATAGAGTTGGTCAGCTGTGGTATGTAAGATGAATTCATCGTCGAGAGTTGATCCTGCATCAAGGAGTCGTAAAGCTGCAGACATTGTAAAATCTTTTCATTTAATTGTGTCAGTTCCAGCTGCTCAGTATCCATTTCAGACAATTTTGAATCAATAATAGCACCTGAAAAGTATTCCGCCATAAAAAAAGTTCAACCATCGCAGAGTTCATTTGCTTACCCATTTTAGAGCAGATCTCTTCGTTCTGTAGCATTTCAGCAGAGTCCTTTTCTTCTGACGGATCAGCAGACTCGACCTGTTCAAGAGTCTTATCGAGCAAGGCCTCGTCGACTTTGATAACGACTTTGTTCTCAGACTTCTTGGGCGGCTCTGTTTTCTGATCAAGCGTTTTGGTTACGAAATTCGCTGGGAATAAACCTAAATTGATTGTAAATTTTGACATGAATTCGTCAACTGAGCTCACCGGATTTTCCATTGAGCGATCCCTCCCACCAGTTTGGATCACACTCTTCAATCAGCGTGATAATGTCGTTTGCTTTGAAAGTCAGCTCATTGTCCTCCACCGCTTCGAAGTCGTACAGCGCCTTGACTTTGACGGCCTTTTCAGCGTTTGGCGAGGTTTGAAGAGTCGAGTAGTACAAGCTAGGCGTTTGTTGTTTCACCTTCGAATGCGTAAGTGTTTTCTTCCTTCATTAATAGTACCTTTGTTGTCTGTTTCTTTGCTTCTTCTTCTTGGAGACTCAGTTGAAGGGCGAGAGCTAAATCATCCGCTTCTTTTTGACTGTCGACTGCATCTGGATTTGTTGTCATTTGCCGCCGTTCGCTTTTCGGCTCCGGGAAATGCGTCCCGTTTGCGCGTAAGAAATGATAGAAGCTAGACAAAATCAGCATCAAAGATAGAAGGGTGGACTTACCTAACGATCATTGAAAGTTCGCTATCGTGCTCAAACTCTTTGGTCCATTTGAGAATCAGTTCTTTGCACTTTTCGCCGACAAGGTCGTTTCTGCCAACGATGGGCCTCAGTTCATTGATAAATTCTTGGCTGCATACGTTTCGCTGGAATTCTCGGCCTGAGTTTGAAGTTGCTGCATCCAGTACAACAAGAGCTTTAAGCCAAATGTTAAAACACGAAAAGGAAAACGGAGTAGACGAAACCTTGAAGAGCGACGCGAGGTATTTTATGCTGTATTTTCTTAGTTATTGAGGCCAAGCAGTCTTTAGCGTTCTTAGGAGACACTCGAGCTTTATCACAAATAGATAAAATTAAGCTCCAGTCCTCTGTAACCACGTTTTCGTTACAGGCCTTGTCTAACAGGGGATCGAACGGACTTGAATTTCCAAAAAGACCCATTTCTTATTCTAAAAATTTCGCATTTATTTCGATATTGCTAGAAAAATAAACTTTTGTCAGTAATAGAAAAATAAGTTCGAAGAAGAATAGAGCAGTTTAAAAAATAGAAAGGCCTAAGGAATGCAGCAAAGAAGGTAGAAAAGCAGCTCAATAAAAGTAATTTAGGTTCAAATCTGTGGATTCTGGAATCAATTCTTGTTTTGTAGGGCTGGTTTCTGCGCCAAGTAAATGCGCTACCTTGTCATTTTTCGTTTTGATAGCGACATCCAGCGCAGTTTCTTTCGCCCGGGATAGAATCGTCAAGTCAGCGCCATTTTCAAGCAGAATTTTCGCCGTATTAACGAGTCCATTCTTCGCGGTAAGGTGCAAGCACGTCTCTCCCTGAGCGTTTTTTTCGTTCACGCCAAATGTTGCGAGAAGATTCTTCAGTGCTTCATCGTTTCCGGAGGCGACAGCGGCATGAAGAGGAAATGCTTCGTTTTTCATTAATTTTTCGTAAGGCAGATTCCATCGTTCGATAAATTCGGCTGAAATTTAAAATATTCCTATCTGCTAACCACAGCTGGAGTCTACGAGCTCTCGAGACGCAATATCCCGATCACGTGACTAGACTTACCCATGTGCTTGTTTACTCGCAGGGCGATTTCTTTCACTTCTTCGAGTAGTTGGCTCCAGCCGGACTCGGTGAACTTTGTTTTCATGCTTTCAAGAAGCAACTTGACGGATGCAATATCACCAGACTCTACGGCCAGATGGAGGCCACTGAAATAATACAGTGAAAATCCAAAATTTGCCCACCCAAAATTTGGCCGCTTTTTGTCTAAATCCGCCTTTATTGGAACCTGGAATCAACCCAAAATTTGGCCGCTTTTTCAAAAATAAAAAAATTTTCATCAGAATCGGACCTAAATGATGCTATTTCCGATCATTTTAAGCTTTTTAGGGTGTTTTAGTCATTTAAAATGACGAAATTCTCATAAGAATGTCTTCAAACAAGCAAAAATTTGAATAAATTCGTCAAAAATCATGCCGATTTTCGAAAATTTCGAAACTTTGCTTTTTGAAGGGGAAACTTGGCTACCCGGCATAAAACCCAAAATTTGGCCGCTTTTTTCGGGAATTTACATCTGAAAACCGGCCAATTTTTGGGTTTTCACTGTACTCAAAATCGAAAAGTAGGTTATCGAGTGTACCTAAATCCGTCCTTATCAGTCGCCATCACATCAGCTTTGAATCGGAGCAGGGTCTCCACACAATCAGTCTCACCATGCCAGCATGCGTAGTGAAGCGGACTCCAACCCTGAAGGACAAAATTACTCTCTCGAACTTTATCCTTGCGTTTGTTTACGAGAAAACGCGGGAAAAACGCCACTTTGCTCAAAATTAACAAAAAGTCTCTAGAACGTAATCCCTTGCTGAGCTTGTTTTGAAAATATTTTCGAAAGTGCTTCAGTTTTGTTTTTTCGGTTTTCAGTACAACCACGTTTCGTTAAAAATATGATGCCATTTGTTCGTTTCGCCACGCCTATTCTCCGAAGAACTTTTGCATCAAGGCATGGGACTATTTAATTCCAATATACGATTCCGGTAAAACGGAAAGAAATAGCCCGTTTTAAGAACTCAAACTCATGCTGGTATGAATGCGATTCTTGGTGTCATTCTCTCTGGTGGCTTTTTGGCTGCGATGGAAAAACGGTGAGTAGCGAAAAATTGACTGAGAAATGAGTAGACTAATTGACATTTTGAAAATTATCGAAGGCCGCTGAGAACGGTTTCAGCAGGGTTCAAAATGTAGCAATATAATGCTGCTACATGCTACACGTGCTACATCCCTCAAAAAAATTCCCTGCTACATGCTACATGTGCTACATCCCCTCAGAAAAATCGCTGCTACATGCTACACTTGCTACATAAAATATAAAAAAAAATATTTTTTTCGCGAAATTTTTAAAGTCAAACTAGATTACTTTTTAGCTAATAAACACTGTAAGGTATCAAAAGAGACGTTGAAAATAGTATGAGGCTGAAAAATCGTCTCTTCCGACAAATTTCACTGTAAAATGTATTCTTGTCATGTTTTTGTTGAAATATTGCATTCTAGAACAAAATTGTTGCTTTCTCACGAAAATTTTCTGCAGAATTTCGGAGTCAATAATAACAATTCTGCTCTGGAATTTTCTTTAAGCGAACAAAAATCTTCACCCCCAAAAAAATATAGCAATGTAGCAAGCTACCCTTTGCTACACGTTTTTTGAACGCTGCTACATGCTACACCTGCTACATCAGCATGTAGCAAATATGTAGCAATTGCTACATTGCTACATTACTACACTGCTACATTTGGAACCCTGGGTTTCAGACCAAATGACCCGGTGTTAATTTGGTTCAAATTAATGGCGAACTTTCGAAACCAACTAACGATACATTTTCAGATATCCAGGCTCGACTGGTCTCGGACAAGCTTTACCTTCGACATCAGAGAAGAATTGACAGTGTCAACGTCCATCCCGCTCTCCAAAGCGCTTCTGATGAAGTTCTCTGCGCCATGACTGGCCGCGATATGAAGAGCCGTTCTTCCCTTTGCATCGACTGCGTCCAAGGGAAGCTTGTATTCTGAAGAAGGCATGAATAAATCGTTCGTTTTCTGTTCAAATTATGAATCAAAGAGTGACTCTCGTAATGCGATTCACTCTTTCATTTGTTTTTATGTCTTATTATAAGCAAGATTTGATTAAGGGAGTAGAATAATGGAGGGATTAAAAAACTGAAAAGCGCTTTGGCCCTGGCACTCACTTGTGTAAGCTTGGATTAAATTATGAGCATCCCGCTGGGCTGCGCAATGCAGAGGCGTCCATTCATTCTTTGGCAGCGTCGCAAAAGGGTCAGCGCCTCTATACAAGAGGACCAGGCTGCAGTTCAACTTGTTCAGCTGCGCGGCAAGGTGGAGAAGGGTTAAACTCTTTTAGGGAGATTTATAAAGATAAATATCTTATTGGCATTAGCATTCAGTTGCGTCCTTTTAGGCTGCTATCAACCATCAAGCAAGGCTAAAGCCAAGATAATGGTCAGCCATAAGAAAATCGAGAATACCGCATAAGGCGGCGTGAGAAACCCGCAAGATATCATACGCATCTCGCCGATGCACGCTAATTTTCTACATTACCAGTTCTGCATTAATAAAAAACCTGCCTGTTCATTTCGCAAACTGATCAACCTCGGATTCTCCTTTATCGCATTATCAAGCGCCCTGTCATTGTCTGTTTGCAACAACTGTATGATTGCCTGACTGATTAGCATTCTAAAACCACGAATTTCAAGACACAAGAAATAGCAATTGTTTTTTCGATATTTTATAATGTATTCGAATCGTTGTGAGAAAAGAAGGTGCAACAAGGTTCATTTCTTCGGGAATATTTTTTTCAGAATATTTTGTGAAGAACATGATTTTCGGGTTGTCTATTGAGTATAATGAGGGAATGAAATGGAGGTAAAGTATTCCGGAAGTATAGAAGAAGCGATCTCAGACCTATCAGAGCATTTTGTTCTATCGTTTTTTTTTTGCTTGACAAAGAGAAACCCTAAAGTTAACAAATAAAGCGACAAAACAAAAAGTCAAGGTCGTCAAGGATCAGAAATAAGTGACAAGGTTACAGTAAAAAATAAAAAGATAAAGAACGGGTTGAAATGGGCCTTTGGCGAGGTTGGTGAAAATTCATTTATGGCGAAATTGGATTTAGATTAAAATTTTCTTCTTCAGAAATGAATACCATCAATCTCCGCCCGTCTAAAATTCCCAGGTGAGTCAGAAGCCCGACGGTCTATTACTGGCAATTTGTCAGTAAATTGGACCGACATTTGTAACCGATCGATCTTGCTAAAGTTGAACTTGTGAACTTTGGCCTTGGATTTTTGAACGGGCGAAAAATGATCGAGCTTCAATTTTCCAACCAAATTTATATAAAAAGCTAAGCTGAAGAAAACAAAATGAAAAAAGGTCTCTTTCAATCGTGTCACGTGACTAATAATTCAGTCTTTTTGCGGTGAATTGTTTGAAATCATTAAAGTTATGGAAGAAAACTCAAAAAAGAAAGTTTTGTAAGTGTTTTAAAGTTTCGTTGAGTCTTAAAGTTTTGTTTGCTTTTTAGAAACACAGACAGCTACAGGTGTTTTTTTTTTCAAGTTTCGAGTTGGTGTTTTTGTTCGATTGTGCGAGTGTTGGCGCGTGGCCAGCGCAGGAAAAAGCAACTCGAGTTGCCACTAAACAACTCGACAGCTTTTAAATTTAGCCCGTTTCGGCAAGAAGCTCTGGTGTTCTATTTTGTTGGGCGAAGCAGTGAGCGATCACGTGATGTGGAAGTGTGGAACGATGTGGAGAAGTAAAAGGACTGGACTTGACGTTTTTAGGTGAACTCTTCTTCAAGGGACCACGATCGCACTGTCAGTACTAATGTGGCTTATTGCCTCGTCAGAAACGGAGCTGGTGGCGGGTTCGGAGTCCTTGCGCGCGCTTGGAGAGGCAGAACTCGTCGACAGGGCCTTGGGCGTGAGGCTGCGATCCATCCGGCCGTCGTGCGGAGCAGAGAGAATATTTCCCTGATGATCCGCGTAGAAGAGCCCCAACGATTTTCCACGGCTCTTGCGAGCTTCTGTTGCTGATTCGCGGCGAACTTTTATGGAATCAAGATTTGTTTTTGAATTATGCAACTTTAAAGTATAAACTTCGTTAGCCTACTTTTCATCTATAGAGTCACGATTATTTGTCATCTACTGTAGATGATCTACATGTAGCGCCTTATCACCCTCCTGTCCTAAGAAAGGTCAATTTTGATCAAGTTTGACTAGTGAATTAATTATTTGAATAAATGGTCGTTCTGAACTGATCTCAATCCATTCCTTTTCCATTCGTTTGGAAGACATACATGACCTCTTCTTCTATAGATCCGTCTTCGCTTAAAATTCTGATCTGCCCGGAGCCATAGTGAGAGCCGCCGTACTTCTTGTAGAAGCAAACGCCGACCGATATGATGATGATGGCGAGGAGAACGCAGGAGGAAGTAATCAGCATCAGTGTCAGCCTAAAAAAGAAAGTAATCATCGATTAGGCCCGTTAGCCTGCGCGTTATAGAACAAAAATAAATCAATAAAACGCTTCGAAAGAGCTTGAAGCTTTTAGGGCCAGAACTGTCAACTTACAGACAGCTACATTTACCATTTGAGGAAAAGAAATTAGCTTTAAAATTGAGCAAACAAAATTAACCTATCAAAACGAATCAGCACATTTTCCAGCTAAACTTGATAATTCAAATGAATTTCAGAAAATTGATTTTCATTAAACTACGTATCAAAAATATCTTAAAGTCTGAGACGTGCGTCAGCGATAAAAAAAACGATCTCCACCCATCAATAATCGCCCAGTAATTGATCTGCTGGTCCGTGAGAACAAATACGGGCGGGCAAAAATCATCCCCCGACACCTCCCCAGACAGTAGACTGGTATTTTCTCACAGTAACGTAAGCAGGCCTCGGAAACTATTTTTATTGCGTTACTTTTTCCTGTTATTTCAAAATAAAACGCTCTTTTTCGACGGACAAGGAGAATCTTGGAAGAAAACCTATGATGTCTTTTGCTGATCGATGATCAGTCACGAGGTCACGTGTGTTCTTTTGGGTATATATTTAAAAGAGCTTATGGCTACATGTAGCCTGCTGCTGTGTGCCATTATAAGACCAGTCAGAAAATGGCAGTAGATCTTGTCAAATCTTCGAATTTTTCGCGCGTCTTTTAGTGTGTCATCAGTAGATCCAAAAACTTGATAAAAGCTAAATTAGCTACCGCGATTATCATTCCTGAATGACGGACTCTCATCCGTCATTCAGTCGTTTGGACATTTTACAATGCAAAATTTGTCCGAACGAGCGAAAATTGCGTGGGCGGCCCTGATTGTCCCGTCACTCAGAAATGATAATCATGGTATAATATTATATTAGTGCTCGGGAAAAACAGTTTACGCCTGGCTGAATTCGACAACAACGATTTCAGGAGAGCCTATACTGGATAGGGAGCATATTGAGTTTCAACGAAAACTTCTTTCTCAAAATCGAGAAGCCGCTTGCGGCCTCGTTCAAACGAAAAATATAAACGCGGCTTTAGCGGCTCTTTTACTCGCAGCCGCAAGCGGTTTCTTGATTTTCAGTTAGATTCGGTTTCTATTTTTCCGTCCCTTGCTGCGTATCATGCATAATTAAGGATCTGCCACTTTTCGATGAGGAATCTCATTAGGAATTCAGCTTTCTCGCTGTGATATGGTCTCGTGAGCCAAAAATAATAAAATAGAATGGATAAAATAGAATTTTTTATTCTGTAGTTCAATAATTGAACCTTCGCCAGTAGGAGAAGCTCCTTAGAATTTATATCATAAGGTCAATGCATATTGATAGAGTTCCAGTTCGAATTCGATTTTCTAAAAGAATTGAGAATATTTGAGTGTGAAGTTTTTACGAGTTTACACTTTTCTTTCCAAGTTCTTCTGTTTAGTTTCATCGTAAAAATGGAAATTCTCATGGCTACGAAAATAGAGCGTCTACTTTTACTGTTGGAAATTTCCAGAGGGCTAAAGCAAGTAGGGTTAAAGTCGAAAAGTGGTAGTTTCAAGGCAAGACAGTATCAACGCCATCTCGAGATTGACGCAAATTTACTGTGTTTGGCAAGTTTCCCATTATAAGAAATTTAAGGGAGAAGAGCTCTGAGACGAGTTTTTTACGATTATTAGTTGTAATACGGGGGTTTTTGGCGGATGACGTGTGAATGTGTGTTTTGAAGTTTTATTACCGGAAAAGGGCTGGAGTGAAAAGGTTCCTTTTGATTCCAGATTTTGATTTAAAAAAACAACGAGAAATTATTTTACGATTGTTTACGAAAATCATGTTATTGAGAAGCCTCGTTTGAAAAGGGGGACCAGGGCTGGATATTTTGAAATCAACAAAAATCTCAAACCCCGAAAAAAACATGAATCATCATCTCATCCGTTTCAAAAATGCAATCTCAGAAAATTTTCTGTCTGAGATCTCAATTTTCGATTTTGCAAAAAAATGATATTTGAAATGCTGAGATCTCAATTATCTCAGAAAACTGCGTGAGTTGGATACGCGTGTTGCAATGAAATGAAATTTGAAATTCTGAGATCTCAAGCATTTCAGGTCCATCTGAACCAATCACAAGTCTTGCTCTAAGCCCGCGACGTTTGTCCGCGGCCCTCGCGCGGTTTGCAAAATTTTGAGATTTGAGATCTCGAGATCTCAGCAATCTCAAGAATGGAAAAAATTATGACGAGGGAGTTGCAATAATATTGAAATTTGAGATTTGTTGAGATGGTGCAAAATTTTGAGATAGAAATGAGATAAAAATTGATTTGAAATTTTTGCTGATTTCAAAATATCCAGCCCTGAGGGGGACTCTCTGGTGATTATTTTTCGAAAATTCTGGCGAAAATGATGAATCGATTCGCGGAAGAAGGGCCAAAGAATGAGAGAAAACCTCTGATTTTTAAAGACATCGGCCACAGCTTCGGTCATTTGCATTTCGCCTGTGGTTGCATTTTGCGCCGCAGCGAGCCACGGCAACGAAACGACGAGGATTCTTCGTAAAGTCTTCATCTCTTTCTTCAAATTGGTATTTTTGCAGAGATTTTTTCGTAACTTCTCATTTTTCTTCTTTCAGCTTCTCTTTTCGATTTTTCTTCGTTGTCAAATCTCTCTTTTTTCTTCTTTGATAAAAGGATTAGAAAGGGTGTAAAAACAGGCCTTTTCTTGACACTTGCTTTTGGCGATGAAAAAATTAAAGGAGAATAAAGAGGCGGGCTGCTGTTTTGTGTAGATTTCGCCCTATGGCCGCGGCGCAGCCCGAGCGCGCGAAGTCGGAACTCGCGAGCGCCCCACTCGATAACTTTAATTCCGACTCGAAAACCTCGATCGAGCCAGTTCGCCCAGCTGAAAATCGCTCTAATTCGAGCCGATAAAGGAGACCGAACTAACTGCTAACCGTGAAGTCGCCTGCGGCTTCGAGTGAAGGAATAAATTAGCCGCGTGTAGCGCGGCTTTTGCTTTTTCGTTCGAAGCCGCAAAAGACTTCTCGGACGATTTTTAATAAGGAATTCTGAGTGAAATTCTTACCCCCCTTTTTTATTAGCTCATTGGAAAGAGCGTAAAAAGTTATTCCAGAATCGCCCGGAAAAGGATGAAATTTCCAAAGAAATGACGTCATGGCACGATTCACAGCACGATTCACAGCTAGATCTATTCAAAAGTTTGTTAATAAATACGATTATCATTTGGGAAATCAAAATTTTAATTAAACATTATTCAGAATCGTTTTTCTTCTTGAAACCATGAAAATGCCTTGGTAGATCCTCCTCAGACAAAATCAGACGTCGATCCTCTTCATATCCTTGAGTTTGACGTCAGAAAACTCCTCTATTGGAAGCACTCTTCTGCATAATGCATACGAATACCGATGAGGAGGATTTTAGATTAACCTTTTTGGCTGGAAAAGAAATTAGTTTTCAAAAAATGATATAAAATTTTCAAATATCCAATTCGAAATGAATCTCCATTTTCTTTATTTCAAAATTTCGAACACTTGAATAGATTCTGATAATAAAAGAGAATAGATCTGTATATTTTATTCCCCAGGGTAATATGTAAGATTAGCCGGGCATGTTCACTTGCAATCCTTTCATCCTTTATTACAAGATCAACTGATGACGTCGAGTTTTCCGACACGCCAGACTTGAGGGGTCTTTTTTCGTTGATTTCCTCCCTCAGCACTTTTTCTGCAAAAGTCAATCGAGAACATTTTTCCTTGAAAGCGTCGTCTCTAAAAGGACAGGCAAGATGTTGGATCCAGTGAAGTGAGGAAGGAGTAAATATCAAACCCTCAAATTTGCACTCTTTATCTCGAGCTGTTTGTTTTTGGCCAGCGACTGGGGCCCACCTGACCAGCTGCTTGGTCTGCTCTTAATTAAATTGACATTTTACGATGCTCAAATTAGAATCAGAAAAAAATGTATGACGAGAATAACATCCGATGCCAAATGATCTTCACGTGATTCCTGATTCTTGAATGCGTGAATCTTAATGAATAGAAAACCTAATAATTTTACGATCTGCTTATTATTTTCTCACGCGTTTGAGAAAATCGAAAGCCTAACATGAAAAGTGGAGGTTCATTACTTCGAAAATAAGCGGTTATGATTTCAATTTGCATCACGGAGTTCCTCAATGAACTTGATGCAAGAAAAAAAAACGCAAATAATAGTAGTGCTATTTGCCTTGGTTAGGCATTTCAGCTGGAAAATATTTAGCTTGGCCTCAATTTTTAGCTCTATCCTGAGCAGATCTTGTTGATGTTTGAGGAAGATAACGAGCCTGAAATCGAAAAAAGAAAATCGCAGAAGTTAATCCGCCACGGAATCCTCGAAATGTTCAAATATTTGGAACCTGATTTGAATCACACCCCTTGCCCGAGCAATTACGCGCTTGAAACTTGCAGAAAACGTAATCTCATAAACTTTTCATATTCAAGGAATTTTCTAAAAAGATGCCTTTCAAAATTTTATGACTTCGCTGATTCCACCTGCTGAATTTTCAACAAAAGAAAGCCTCGAAAAGATTAATTATTAATTATAAAAATGGAAGATTCTGTTTCTCATTTTTATTTGAAGGAAGAGCAGAAATGCAGTCTTTTCTTTGTTGGTTCCAAAAATAGCGAGCTTTTATTGTGAAATGCCTCGTTGCCATGTAGACCGGGTTCGCTGGTACTCAGTTTCGCGCCAGTAGCCACGCTAAAGTTAGAATTAGTAATTAACGATTTCTGTAACGCACAAAGATGTTTTCATTATTTACTTGTCTTTGAGTGAACCACAGTCATCTGGCCGAGTCACTCATGAAATATTAAGAACCTACTATTGACGCAAAACTATTGAAATGTTTTTCAATTGACGACTTCTGATGAGTCAAAATATTAATTTCAGTAGTTATTTTAATTTAAATTGAAAGCTGGATGTCTCGCAAAAAAAAACAAAAACTGGCACTGACCTTTAGCGGAGCTGGTTTCTCGTTCTCATTTGTCAGATCGTTGGACCAGAGTCCATTTTCGTCAAAGCCGGCCTTGGATAGTTCGAGTTCATCGAGTTTTGTTTGGATCTCGTCACGTGGAAGTTGACCAAGCGAGCCCCATTCCCGTACCCAATCTACTTTGTTGACGGTAATTGTGATTTTGCCAGCGCCATTATAACCAGTTCGAGTTCTGAAGTTCTGCTTATTTTGGGCTGCCATTTAAAGGCTGGGTTACCTTATATCGAGATTTTCAGTTGATCCCGTATTTAATGGCACAGCAAACACACCAGCAAGAGCTGAAATAGTAAGATTAAAAGTCGCTAAAGAAAAGAGTTCCGGTCGAAAAGTATCCGATATTAGGTTACCTAAGAAGAAAGAGAACTTCATCGCCGGCCGTTTATCTCTTTCGACGTAAAGCCAAAATAAGTTTACAGTCAGATCTGTAAAGTCTCCTGCCGCACCATGTTTACGCTCTGGATCCAAGCACAAACATTGCAAACATTGCGTTCTGCATTTTTCTGAAACCCGGCCAAAAGCCACAAATGCAAAAGTTCATGGAGCCGGAGTTGATTGGCCTCGTCCAGGACATGTCGGATAAAGGGGTCCAAAACATCATTCTTGTTCTACTAGAATTAAAAAAAAAAATAAAATGTGGAGAAAGTGTCTTATTTATGGCGCAATTTTTCTTTTAGGAAAAGGTTTAATATCCAATGTTTTCAAGAGAAGAATTCAATTAAACCTAGCGAAAGGGGCACTGCAAATTGTTTCGACAAGAATTCAAAGATTCAGGTTATGGCCACTAGAATTGCTCAGGGAGACTGAAGCGATAACTCAAGAAGATGCAAGAGAAGTGATTCTTTACTCCGAGTCTGGTAAGAATATGTTATATCTTGTCAGCATTTTTGTATTTTCAGCATTCTACTATTCTTTCTTCAAAAAAGCTGCTCTTGGCGGGGATCTAACACGTGATTTACGTGCTCAACATCGCGAACGGATTAACCCGTTGAAAGAATATACAATTCTTCCGGAGAGAATTTTCGCGTGGATTTATCGGAGCACAGGTGCAAAGTCTCAGTCGATGGTCTTATGGTATCTGGGGAATGTTTCGTATTTCCAGGGACTCTTATCGGTCACACTCGGAATATTGATACTCAAGCTGACGAATGTGAAAAGTGCTCTGCTAGCTCAGGCACTTTTTATTGCCATGGGACTACGGACGTGGTTATGAATTGCTTTTATAAGTCTTGTTGATTTTTAAATAAAGGATGAGCTTAGAAGAAATAACCAAAAAATGAGAGGGTAGCCGAACAGCCCTGGCATTTTGTTTGCGCGAGAGCTTTGGAATTCCACTGTTCGTGATGAAAACTTATTTTGTCATTCGAGGAGCCACGACGGATAAGACTGGTCAATGTTCAAGGTTACTGCAAATCGTATTTGGCGTCTCGATGCTCTTGACCTGGCAGTTTTCGCAATTTCTTCTCCTGGCAGAACTTCTTGCTGTCGCGAGTTTGTTTATGTTCAACTTAGGCATGGGTTTATTATTACGATTTAAATTAACCTTACTTATTCAAAACAACATATTTTAACCGAATGAAACAGCAACGGAATCGCAATTATTGGACTTGGGACTTGTCAATTTGATCAGCTTACTCAAGGAATCGCTTGATAAAAGTTCAAGTGTGGACTTTGTCATTTTCTTCCATCGCTATTTATAATTCAATTTTCAATATCGAAAATTGACTCTTTTAATTGACACGCAGAATATAGTTAAATGAACTGACGGCTGACGCAGCAAATGTTGAGCGGTGAAAAAGGGGCACTACTTACGATATAACGACCCATTTATTATCCAGTCCTTTGCGTTATCGATTGCTTTGGGGACACAAGTTCTTAGACTGCCAGTAATTCGCCAGTATCGAAATTATATCAAACTTCCAATCGCACTGGCGACGGGGTTATTGGTGAAGTTTGTCTTAAGTTCACTAGGAACGGAGTCAGAATGGATCTTCCTTGATTTCATTGTGCATTTAATAGTGTCGTCATTGGAGAAAACCTAATCTGATCCCGTTAAAAGGACCATCAACTCGTAACGCGCATATAATCGAATATCTGAAAGAGCAATTAGGCCTCACTCGGACGACATTATTCTCCGCGCGGCTATATACATGCGACGATACATTTGGATACTTGCCCTTTGCGGATTGCTTAATGCTATCAAAGAATCTAATATTGCCGTTGACCGTTTTTGCGGCGTGTCTCCTGGCCTACAGAGCTTTTAGCAATGGCCTTAGCACTGGCGGCAGGACTGTTCTCAAACCGTATCTTCGCGCCGAAAACTACATCTTTGCTCTCTCATTAATTCTCCTCTGCCTTGCAGTGCTCACCAGACGCCTCAAATTTGTCTTCATACCGTTCGGAATCATTACTGCATCATTGATGTCAGCCAAACTGGAAAATAAGATAAAATTTGGGAAATGGCTCTTTTTAGTTGCGCAGATTGCAATCATCATCAATCATGGATTTCAAAGTTACAATTCTGTTAAACAGGTCGCATTCACACCGTCCACTTGGGAGCAAATTCAGGTATTGTAGGTGTTTACAGAGCTGCTTAAAGTATCTCTACAAGGTCCTGCAATTTATCAAGACAAATATCAAAAAACCTTCCGTTTTCACCGGAAACATGGCAACAATGGCGATGATCTACGTCGGAACAAATCATACGGTCACCAATAATCCACACTTTGAGTCGGTCAACAGCCAAGAGGCGAATACAAAAGCATATCAAGTCTACGGCCGACAGAGTAACCAAGAGTACTGGGAAGAATTACTCAGGCGCGGAATAACGCATGTTGTTGTAAATATGCATGAATGCGTAAGGACAGGGTTCATCTGCTCGGTTTTTCTATGAGAATTAGTCTGGATACTGTTAATTATCTCGCAAAATATATGAGCCCATCGAAAGATCTAATGATAAAAAATGCTCTGTAGCAGACTCGATAGATCTTCATAACGGCGATGCGTCTTTTGGTAAGTCGCTGGAGCAAACAATTGATATTTTGATGATTTATTTTAAGTTGACGGAAGATTTTCGAAGAAAGAAGATTTGAAGCCACGATGGTGTTCGTTTATCAACGATGAGTACGATGTCTACAGCTATTACATGAGTTTGCCGGACGATGCGAAGAAAGAATTCAAAATTGATGAAGAGACAGCACCTTACAGGATAGTGTTAAAAGTTAATTTCATAGATCAAAAGTAGAATTTTATTCTGACGTTTTTATAACACAGTTAAAGAGACGAAAGCTCTGGAACGACTGGGCGAGAACTTTTCAATCTCATATTTGACAATGGAAATACGAAAATTTACCATGTGACGGTAGCGGCCAAACAGAAAGAATCAGATGAAATAAAATGGCTCTAGTATTTTCTAGTTTATTCAAATACAGTTAACCTTACGACGACAAACGAAAATTTCCCCCTACGACGACAATGTGTCGTATATGACACATTGCCTTTACTGCCCTCTAGAGGCGACTATAGAGGCCAAAGCAGGGCCTTATGCCACATTGGAACCAAAATTATACTCTGGAACAAAATTCAAGCCTCCACTCTAACCCGAACTCGAACCAAAATCCCCGAAAAAATGTATAATTTTGCCGGCGGAATATATCCTACCGACGACAATGTGTCGTATATGACACATCGCCTCTACCGCCTTCTAGAGGCCATTTTATAGGCCGAACTCCGGTCTAAATAAAAGCTCGAGCCCAAATCAGAATCTGGGACAGTTCTTAGACCCAGACAGATACCCAAACCCGACCCAGAACCCAAAAATTCAATTTCTTCTTCGGCGGAAAAAAGTCCTACCGACGACAATGTGTCATATATGACACATTTTCAATGCATTCGTGTGTCATATACGACACACTAGTAGCGAAGCGAAATTCGCTATTCTCATGCATTTGTAGCGAAGCAGCGCCCATTAAGTTGATACCTCGTGAAAGCTTAGCGAAAAGTAGGGGCATAAAGGGGGGTCAGCGAAATTCTTAGACCATGTTACAAATGAGTAACGGGCGTTTGAAACTCTTGGTGTCATATATGACACACTTGGCGTCGTAAGGTTAAGACGATATATGAGCTTAGGCGTATTATGCAGTAAACATTTATAGCGTGTTCAAATCAGCAAGCATAATCAGACTAGAAAAGAAGAAATATAGAAAATATATTACAACATACGAAAATGATAAATAAACAGAAAAGAAATGAGCTTATAGCATTGGAAAGGTATTCAACGAAACAAATAACTTTTTGGAGGTAGGGGGCAACAAAGTTTCTGAGTCGTATACATCTCTGTTTGACATATTCAAAGACTAGTCCTGGCAAGAAAAGCAGAAAAAGAGCAATAAATATATCGCTCACTCCACAGAATGAAAGTATTTTAAAGAATAGATTCAACCACTTTCGTAGATAATCTTCAATCCGTAGAAACACACTTCCACTCATAAAAAATCCTGCTTAGTTAATTTTCTTAAAAGTAAATTACAACGTGGGGTAGCCCAGCAGATGCGCTCAAGAGTAAAATTTTAGTTTGCAGAGTGACACTCTTCGCGCAAATAGCTATTGAAATTTGAAGATATATTTAACTCGCCTCAATGAGCGGCCCAATTCTCTATCATTTTTTCGAGTTCCTGCCAAGCTGGATTGTAGAGATCATCAATGTTTTGCGTAGAAGCGGGCTTAACGACATCTGGATACTTCTTTTCCTGACATTCATTCCTGCTTACTTCCTTACTTCACTTGGAGGGCGAATCGCGAATCTAATCAGAAGAGTGCTTGATATTATTTCCTATTTTATAAATGGTTATTATAGAATTCTTTACATGATGAATCCAGGTTTCAGAACGGTAAAAGATAGAACATAGTATTTAACTTTTGAGTTTAAGGGCTTTATCTATCTTTCAATGATTTGTGGAACACTTCTTTGCTACAAATTTCTGAACACCGTAGCAATCATCAGTACAAATAACGCAAACGTCCGAATAGAAACTATACAGAAGGAACTACTCGAGAATGGATTCGCAAGAACAAATCAGATTGGCGCTGACCGTGGTTAGCTTCTTATCAATTTTCGAATAAACGAACATGATACGAAAATAAATTAATCATAAAAGCATCTTCGATCAAAATTTATTAAAGATTCTGAAGAGGAGACATATCTTTTTGTGGCTGGGTTCGGATCGAGCCTCCTATCGCCAAGCTAAAAGGGATTATAATCAGGAATATAAAGAAAAAATACGTCTGAATTGAGCGAGATCGTGGTCGATCAGGAGGTTTTCCAAAATAGCATTTGCAGAACTTTCTGAACTTCGCCCGAATTCGCCGGCTTATAACAGATACAATATCGTCCATAAATCGGATGATCGATAGAAAGCTAAACGATTAGAATTGAAGGGGCAATCGTTAAAACCTTATTCCAAGAACGAGTCCAGTAGAGCCACCCAGTTCAGAGAAGAATTGACTGAGGTTATACTCGTTTCGTTGGTGTCGTTTTGTGATAACAAGCTATCGAATAAATAGAGAAACTAACGGTTATCGACCGAAATGAACCTGAGGAAAGAAAATTTGAAAAGCAGCGATATCGATTCCGTGAGCTCCCTGTGAGACGCTGTACTTGGCCAGTGTTCGATAAATTGGCTCGTGGTATTTTCCATATTCGACGTTACGAGTAAAAACACTAGAATTAGTTTCGATGCAGATAAACGTTTGTACCTCTCGACGCATTCTCGGGGACATGAAGAACACTCTGTGAAGTTGTAAAGCATAAATTGGGGTGAAATGCACATTGCATGTGTTCGAAATTTGCACGGAGGAAAGTCCTTGTAATTCGGAAGATAAGGCGGAACGCATTTGCATGTTTTTACGATGTTCTTGTAGCGGCATTCTTCGAGACAGTTTTCTCTGGTATAGTAAGGGAAGAAGTCGAGTTCCTGACGTCCACAGTTTTCGTTGAGCTATAAAATATGATTCGTTGGGATATGATTTTCAAGAAGACTTACGTATGTGTTTTGATGAGGATAGAGCGCGATTTGTGTGAGACGATTCGGGAGGGCAAAAGTAGATCTAGCTTCGACCATTACATCTTCTTTGGCACTGTCGCCATAAAATACCGTCATCCCATCAACAAACTGCAATGTGCCAGTTGTGGTGTCTGTTTTGTTATAAGCCGCGTAAAATATGAAACTTGATTGAGGACCGGGGATGGATACGTTCCATTCTATCAGTGGGTTTACAAAGCTTAGTAATTCGGGAGAAAATAAAATTAGAAGTAATATGAGATCGAGGTTTATTTGATTTGTAAAGCCCTCTCCTGATCCATTAAATTTATAAAAAGAACACCACCCGTATCGAGTTAGAACTTGAGTAGGCTGAGGACATTTCTGCATGTTTATCTGACAGCGTAATATGACAACTTCAGGCCTCGTTGAAAGGAAGAACTCTCCAAGATCCAAATTATCAAACATTGTTAAATTAAATTCCTCAGGACTGTCGAAATAATTTCCGTAGAATGTCGATATGTACTGTTCTTCAATAAACATATTTATAAGAGCCGTTAGTAGGATAGGGGTTAGGTTTATAAACAACGCATTCTACCTAGCTGAGGATAGTCCTGAAAATACTTCTTTAGTTTCCACCGTGAGTGCTGAGAATTCAAGCAGGCCCAGATCTGAACCATCTGGAGCGAGGTTTGAAGCTCCGTTTCTGTGAGCATACTCGTTGGCTTTTCATAGTAACGCTAGTACACAATAATTAAATGCTAAAGGTTGATTTCACACCTCAAAATGATCCCAAATCGTAAACATAGAATACAATGTGGCTGTACAAATCAAAGCACCCCAGAAAAGTCGCCTACCGACGGAGCTTTCAGCGCTAGTAAGAAACTGAAAGAGGTTAGTGACCATCTATACTTGGATAGAGCAAGTGCTAACCTCGCAATTTTGAGGCATCAGCCTTCTTGAATCGGTATTTCTGCTATTCATTTGTTCAATATTGTCTCTGCTTATACTTTTTCAACAAAACAAGGATGATCTTGATCTCTTTTATGTGCCACTTTTGACATGAAAAACCAAGAGTGTGAAATAATTCACTGGAAATGGGATAATCCTAGTGGATTTTACCTGAATTCATTTAACGGCGCACGATACTTTTTGGTAACCGCAGACGTCAAAAGAGAAATCATGCGGCTTCCAACGAGCATCAGTTTTTTCTTGGATCCGAGGAGATCCGTCGCAAGGAACTGAGCTTCAATCTCATTATTGGGGAATGAAGACTAAGTTTGTGAGGACTAGGTTCGTGGGACTAGGTTCGTGGTGGGTTCTGCCAGAGTATTGAAATCGGGCTATATTTTAGGGCAGTAAGGGAAATGGGTTGATGACAAGGTTCGTGTGACTAGGTTGGTGACTTTTTAAATGGTAAAGATTTTTGGTCAGTAGAGGAAATGGGTTGATGACTAGGTTCGTGGGACTAGGTTCGTGGGTTTTTGAACAAGCAAAATGTAGGATTTTATATCCCAAATGAGTCCCACGAACCTAGTCACCAATCCATTTCCTTTACTGACCGAAAATCTATTCCATTTAAAAAGTCACGAACCTAGTCCCACGAACCTAGTCATCAACCCATTTCCTTCTCAACGAAAATGGTGAAGATACAAAAAATACAAATAAAAATCCAAATTCCACGAACGTAGTCTCACGAACCTAGTCCCACGAACCTAGTCATCAACTCATTTTCTTTACTGACCGAAAATCTATTCCATTTAAAAAGTCACGAACCTAGTCCCACGAACCTTGTTATCAACCCATTTCCTTTACTGACCGAAAATGGTGAAGATACAAAAAATACATATAAAAATCAAAATTCCACGAACCTAGTCACACGAACCTAGTCCTCACGAACCTGGTCATCGGTGTCCATTATTGGGCTAGGTTTGGGTTCATTATCTAATTGAGAGCTTGACCAAGGCGGCTAATTTGGGGTGGAATCGTGATTCTAGCCACGTGTTATTCGATGTATACAATAATCGAGCATTTTAATCGATATCGACGACGGCCAACAACAATGATGTCGACGACCGAACTGCAGAGCTCTTTGAAAATGATTCAAATTTGGACATGCCTAAACTCCCAGCATTCGCTTTGGAAAGTTCGCTCAAAGTTTACTGAGTATCCTGATTTGCCTCTATATATTTCATCATTTTACGGAAATTTCTTTGACTCGCCAAAGAATTACAATTTATCTCAGTTCAAAGATATCGACTTGAAAGATTTTTTTATTCAAGTAAGTTGTAATTTACAATTTATATTGATCAATTTTAACAAAGACACGACCAGAAGTTGTTGTGCTAAGATGTCAATTCAACATGAAGCCATGCCCAGTACCGAAAATCATTCTAACGTATGAGTCGGTCATAATTCTAGAGATAAAAACTTTTAGTCGATATGGCTGGTGCGAGCATTATGAGTTCTTGGATGATCAAGTAACCATTGCTGGTCCTCAGTCGAGTTTCGTTTATTACGCTGCTTACAATAGGTCGGATGTAACGACTGGAATGCTTCAGTTTGTCGACGGGATGACTCTTTTCTACTCGAACGGTGTGAACGATGATCTTATGCATCAAACACGGTCTACATTCGCTTTATCGAACAGACTCACGACGGTTGCTCTAGCACCAAGCATGAACCTTTATCTTCCGGAGAAATGTTCTAAAAAAGAATTGGATTTCTATCGAACATATACTCGTCAACAGTGTCAAGAAGAGTGCCGAGAGAAGAGCATTATGCAACTCTGCAAATGTTACCCGCCCTATCTTCCAGAGATGGATGGACTCAAGCCCTGCTCATTTGAAGATCACGCGTCATGTATTGCTCCTAATTTTTCCTTCTTCAATTTCACTCGATGCCACACGTAAAATGACAAGATAAGGCCTAATTTTATTATTATTTTTTAGGTGTCCCAGAGAGTGCGAAGAAAACGATTATGATAGAAATGTAGAATACGGAAAATATCATGAGCCGATTCACAGGTAAATACTCACGGGATACATCTCTACAACTTACTAGAACTCTGGAAAAGTATCATCTGGCAACAGGAAGCCCTTCCATCGACATTGCCGCCTTTCAAGTATTTTATCCGCAGCTCGCTATTACTAAGAGAATTCAAAGAAACGAGTATAATTTAAGTCAGTTTTTCTCTGAACTTGGCGGTTCGACCGGACTCGTTCTAGGCATAAGCTTATTGTCCATTGTCCAATTTCTTGACAGTTTGATAACATATGCAAAATACATCGTTCCGTATCTTTACAGGTAAAGAATTCTCGTTTTTATTTTTCAGACTCTTTTAGAAAATACAAAAAGCGTCGGATTATTTCTGAAGAAGAAAAATGCTGCCAAACATACAGCATCGAAACAGTGCATACTTTGATTGCTTATGAGAACAAAACAATTTCAACGATTTGATCATTATAGAGGAAGACTTTATTCACATGTTTCTTAATATACAGCTTTTTTCGTTCTTAATTTCGCTGAACATGATCCTTGATATTGCGTATCTGAAAAAGGTTTTGTTCTGAATTTTAATAAAATCTTACTGAGAGGTCCTTCTCATCATTAAAGTAATCGTAGTCTATTATTGGAGAGTAGTCAACTTCACTTGTTTTTACCACCGCGTCAAACTGTTCTAACGACTCCACAAGCCTCACGACTTTCTTGATAATCAGTTCTTCGTCAAAGTTATTCAAGTCAACTTGAAGAGATAGCTCTAATCCAAAAGTTTTTGCGTTTCCAGAGTCAAGTTCATTGATAACTTTTACGTTTGTCACTTCCGACATCGCTAAGAGAGCTTCTGATGAACCAAAAAGAAGATCATCTTTTGTTGTTTCTATAGAAGTGCCAACATGAACATTGATTCGAATAAGATAATCGGTTGGAAGGTCTTTCCCAAGCTCTTCAAATTCGATGTCAGTGTATAATCGACGAAGATTGTACTTTATCTCCCGCAAAAGATCTTCCGCAATCTCCCACATAAGAAGATGCATTACTCCTTCAGGTGATGTTAACTGGAGATCACATGAAGAGCAAATCGACTGAGTTATTCGCATTATCTCCATGACTTCAGATTCGAAGCGGTCGTCACTCCAATTGTCATCTTTTTCAAGTTTAATTTCGATCGGGCCCACTTTATCTTGACTTGTAGTCGAAGTTTCCTGTGTGGACGTTGTTGTCCCTGATGTTGATGTTTCAGTGTCGTACTTGAATGTAACATAATCATAGGCTTCCGAAGGCTCAGATTCGAAGTGACTGCTTTCGGAATCGAAATAATACTTTTTATCGAGCGAGGGGTATGTGATACTCGTTCTTGTTAATAGTGTAGTCGATGTTGTCTCATATTCAGTGGTTGTGCTCGCCGAAGAAGTAGTAGTTGTCGTGGTGGTGGTTGTACTTGTAGTCGTTGTCTTAGTTGTAGAGCTAAATGTGGTCGTAGTTGTGGTCGTAGTTGTTGTAGTAGTAGTGGTTGTCGTTGATGTTGTGGTAGTAGTCGTGGTAGTAGTCGTTGTTGTAGTCGTGGTAGTAGTCGTACTTGTCGTTGATGTTGTGGTAGTAGTCGTTGTTGTAGACGTGGTTGTAGTCGTGGTTGTAGTCGTGGTAGTAGTCGTGGTAGTAGTCGTGGTAGTAGTCGTTGTTGTAGTCTTTGTTGTAGTCGTGGTTGTAGTCGTGCTTGTAGTCGTGCTTGTCGTTGATGTTGTGGTCGTAGTCGTTGTTGTAGTCGTTGTTGTAGTCGTGGAAGTAGTCGTGGTGGTAGTTGTGCTTGTCGTTGATGTTGTGGTCGTAGTCGTTGTTGTAGTCGTTGTTGTAGACGTGGTTGTAGTCGTGGTTGTAGTCGTGGTAGTAGTCGTACTTGTCGTTGATGTTGTGGTAGTAGTCGTTGTTGTAGACGTGGTAGTAGTCGTGGTGGTAGTTGTGCTTGTCGTTGATGTTGTGGTCGTAGTCGTTGTTGTAGTCGTGGTAGTAGTCGTGGTAGTAGTCGTTGTTGTAGACGTGGTTGTAGTCGTGGTTGTAGTCGTGGTAGTAGTCGTGGTAGTAGTCGTTGTTGTAGTCGTTGTTGTAGTCGTGGTAGTAGTCGTACTTGTCGTTGATGTTGTGGTAGTAGTCGTTGTTGTAGACGTGGTTGTAGTCGTGGTTGTAGTCGTGGTAGTAGTCGTGGTAGTAGTCGTGGTAGTAGTCGTTGTTGTAGTCGTGGTAGTAGTCGTACTTGTCGTTGATGTTGTGGTAGTAGTGGTTGTTGTAGACGTGGTTATAGTCGTGGTTGTAGTCGTGGTAGCAGTCGTGGTAGTAGTCGTTGTTGTAGTCGTGGTAGTAGTCGTACTTGTCGTTGATGTTGTGGTAGTGGTCGTTGTTGTAGTCTTTGTTGTAGTCGTGGTTGTAGTCGTGCTTGTAGTCGTGCTTGTCGTTGATGTTGTGGTCGTAGTCGTTGTTGTAGTCGTGGTAGTAGTCGTGGTGGTAGTTGTGCTTGTCGTCGATGTTGTGGTCGTAGTCGTTGCTGTAGTCGTTGTTGTTGTCGTGGAAGTAGTCGTGGTAGTAGTCGTGGTAGTAGTCTTTGTTGTAGTCGTGGTAGTAGGCGTGTTTGTCGTTGATGTTGTGGTAGTAGTCATAGTAGAAGTCGTGGTAGAAGTCGCGGTGGTAGTTGTGGTTGTAGTCGTGCTTTTCGTTGATGTTGTGGTCGTAGTCGTTGATTTAGTCGTGGTAGTAGTTGTAGAAGTGGTCGGTGTTGTGTTTTTGATAGAAGTAGTAGTAGTTGTAGAAGTTGTCGTTCGGGTTGTTGATGTCATGTTCGTCGTCTTTGATGTCGTCTTAAATTACTAATAAGAGACGACCTTTGAATTTAATCATGGATAAGTCCAATTCAATAAAAAAATTCTCATCTTTTTGGGAAAATAATACCAGCAAGGTGTAAAAAATGATACCATAGTGCAACTATCGTAAATCATGAAGATGGAGCTCGAAGGAGCGAGAATAAAAGGTCTGATCTAATTCTATAACCGATGCCTATAAGTGGCTCTCTCGGTGAAGGTCTTTCCACACAGAATATTCTGTATGCATATACTGTATGCATATGTATACATATTGCAGTTAAGAAGAAAATCATCCTGAAGCTCAAGAAATCTAAAGTCGTTTTCATCGACTTATGGGTAAAAAATAAACGTATTTACCGTTGCTGATGTAATTGTCGTCCTTGTTTTCGTCGGTTTTGCCGTTGTTGTGATTGTTGCAGTCGTTGTAGTCATTGTTGTTGAAGTTGGGGCCGTGGTCGTTGTCGTTGTGACTGGCGTTGTATTTTTAGAAGCAATAAGAGTTTTTGTTGTAGTTTCCGCAGTCGTTGACGATGAAGCTAAACTTTGAGTTGCCATCGTAGAGCTAGTGGTGATGGACGTAGTCACGGTCGATTTTGTTGATTTGCTTGAAATTGTAGCCGTAGTTGTGTGCTTACTCGTAGTCGCTTTCGTTGTTGATGTACTCGCAGTCATTCTCAAAGTAGAAGTCGTTGTGGTAGGTGTAGTAGTAGTAGAAGTCGTAGATGCTGTTTTTGTTATCGTGGTACTGGTTGTTGTTGATGGATTTGAAGTAAAAGTAGAAGGTGAAGCCGACGTAATAGGAGACGACGATTCGGTTGATGTAGCTGTAGTTGTATTAGTAATTGGTGTAAATATTTTGTTGTCAGAGCTTGAAATTACATCATTTTCTTGTTCTTTGGTTATTGTGAGTGTTGCTTTGAAGGTCTGAAAGGAATCGTTATTATTTGATTCAAAATGAGTTAATTCAATATAAATTTCTTACCGGGTCGGCAGCTGATGAGATTGTTGGTTCCGTTACTTTAAAATTTGTCGTTTGTGAGGTAGATTCGATAGAAGTAACAACATCTTTAGTCGTGTCTACAAACTCCACGGCACCTTTATCGGGGCTGAAAAATGTCATTTCGTTGTCAGCAGATTCAAGCAAGCTATTTTGGATTAATGGAGCGAAAGTATATGATTGTATGCTTTGCACCGAGGTTTTCTTACTCTGTTGCCCTTCTTCTGGCACAGGCAATGCAAATAAAGGCGCAACAGCTGAAACTGTATTCTTATTCGAATCTTCCTTCTTATTTTCCAAGAACAGAGGAGCGATAACAGGGACATCATTATTTTTGTTTACTTGAACGATCGAAAGAGGCTTGAACCAATGGCCTTTTTTCGGAGTTGTTGATATGATTGGAGCAGGGGTCGTTGATGGATGCACAAATATATCGCTGATATTAAAAGTTCCACCGAGATCGCATTCACCAGTGTATTTATCCAAAACCTCAATTTTGAGTGATCTCGACCAATTTATAAGTGTTTTCATTATAGCTGAGAGTGCCCAATCATAGTCTATTTCTTGCGTCGCCTCAATGTCAACTCCAAGGAACGTGAACAACTTGAATCCTTGCTTCCCAGATTCATGTTCAAAGTTTATATTCTCATTGAAATCCACATCTTCATTGAGACTTAGTTGAATCTGGTTTTTAACTTTATCGATGTTTCGTGGGAAGTTCTTGCTGTGATTCGATATCTTCAAGCCAAAAAGAGCGAGATAGCAGCCGGGTTTAGTTGTAGTCGTTACTGGAGGCTTGGTTGAGGCATTGGTGGAAATTGATGAAGTTGATATAATTTTAGAATTTGAAGAAGCCTCTGAAACCGTTGTTGTTGATTCTGTCGGATCTATCGTATTTGATATTGTGAATTCCTTATCAGGTGATGAAGTTGCTGTGGTCAAAGAAGTCGAGGAGGACTCAGTTATTGAATCCAGTTTCGAATAAATTGTTGAGCTTTCAGGGGTTTGTGACTCTTCCATTGTTGTCAAGACGACAGTTGTTCCCATTTCGAGTTGTGGAATTTTAGTCTCTTTTACATATGGCTCAGTTACTTCGGTGGTCGGTTCCTGAGTTGTTGTTTCTCCTTGAAGCCGCCATACCGGCTCTTGTTTAAAAGTTTGCGGCTGCGTAAAGGTTGTAGTCTCCATAGAGAAAATGGTTGTTGTTGGCTCCGCTGTTGTCGATTTGTCTGATGGTTGAATAATTTCTTCTGATGGAGTTTCTAATTTTATTGAAGAATTATCTTGATTTGCTAGAGCTTCGGTTGATGTCGTTCCAGTCGATGTTGTTCCCGTTGAGGTCGTTTCTATCGTCCTTGTAGAAGTTATTAAACTTGTCATTGCTTGTGTTGAATCTTCTGAAATCGCGGATGCTGATGATACTGTGGTTGATGCTGATGTTGCGATCGACGATGTTGAAGCCGTTGACGGTGTGCTTGTGGTTTCTGACGATTGCGTTTGGGTAAACCACTCAATATCAGTTGTGTCTTTAGGTGTTCTCAATGTTGATACAGTTGTTGCCAAGGTAGTTGCTGATATGGTTGTCGTAGATATAGTGGTCGTAGATTTTGTTGTTGTTTCACGAATAGTCGTTGCTTCGACTTTTGTGGAAGATGCTATTGTTGCTGGGATGCTTTGAATTAAAGTGTCTGTATTTCCCTCTGAAGAAGTCGCGATCAAAGTTGTTGTGGTATCCGTCGTTGTATGAATATGCTCCGTAGTTGACGATAAAGTCGAACTTGTCGTTTCTCTTGTGTTATGAGAGAATACATTTTCGATGATATTGATTGCGGAAGAGGTTGCTACGGTTGATTCGGGATGATTTATCTCTTCTTTTTCAAGGTCTTTTGAGCCTGTTGGCAAAAATGAGGAGATGTTCTCGATTTGTTTAGTCTCTTCAGTGAATACGACAGTCTGAGTAGGAGAAAGAATATTTTCGGTGACTCGTTGAGACTCCAAGCAATCATCAGTTTCCTCCGCAAAAATGCAAATATCCTCATCACAGCTCATGACATCACAATTCTGTTCGAAAGCTTCATACGAGATTTTGAAACCTGCGCCCCTCAAGGTTCCAGCTTTTCCAATAACAAACCGTATTTTCACGATGGAAGTGTTTAATAATTTTAGTCTGAGGCCAACAAGACTATTTTCACTTGAAAATTTCGATGCTGAAAATGATGAGGAACATCCAGTGATGGTTGCGAGTGGAATTTCAATGCTGTCGATCATAGCAAATATTTCAAGCTTGTCAACACAGTTTGATATCGCATTTTCCAAGCTAAAAGAACAATTTAAAATATCCTCACAAGGACTGGCCAAACCTGAAATCATCAAAAGTAAGTCGAAAAGCTTTAGTAGATGGAGGACTTAGGAGCCATTCCGTAGCTTCGTTCCCATTTTTACCGTAACCGAATGGATACCCACTGTTTCTTATTATTTCCTTTTCTGTTTTCATCATGACGGTTGAATCAGATTGGTCCTTGAGAACGTCTAAGATAGCTGTGTTGACTTCCTTTGTCGTACAAGCGTTGAGTTCTTCATCATACTGTAATCCTTGCTCACATATGCATCGGTAATTTCCTACTGTGTTGACACAGCTGGCAAAGAGTGGACAGCGCATCTGGTCTGGCATTTTTTGGAGGTGTGACGCGGCGTAAACTTGAGGTTCTTCGTACTGTTCTACAATACTCTTCCATGATTCCAGCTTCGTGATTTTTCCATTATCAGCTGTACCTTCTTCAACAAGAAGACTTGGCCGTTTGATTGAAGATAATTTTGCGCGACGATACAAACAGGATAAAACGCAATCATCATCTGTTTTTTCGCACACACCTGAACTCATGCAACTCACAAGCTCTGGAAGAAGTTGAAGCGGATCAAGATCAATTCCAAGTGCGATACTCAAGCAATCTTGGCTATAGAAGAATTCTTCTTTACAAAGTGTAGCCTCTTCTGGCAAATCATACTTTTCAAAATACTTTTCTTGGCAATAATCTGGGCAAAGATCTCCTTCCTCTTTGCAAAGACAAGAGCAGTCCAGATTGAAAACAAAGAAATTCGTGAGTTCGGAGTTTGACGAAGCTTTGAACCGTTTTTCATTAACATAGCAGTGTCCATAACAATTGAGATCTTCAACAGAACACTCTTTTTGACAAAATTCATTTGCAAAGCTATTTCTACAATCCGTTTCATCGCAACTCAACAGATCAGAGTAGAATGATTCCTCAAGAACCTTGATTTCAGCCATTTTCTCCACGCACATCATGTGACAAACACCAGCATATAATGAATCGTTGCATTCGTCGGCACATCCAACTAGGACGCCGAGATGATCTTCGTTTGCACACATTATGATGCACTCCATGTCATCCAATTTGCAAGATTCGTAGCAAAAGATGAGAGTAGAAAGGAGGTTGCCCCGCTGAAGAGAGCGAATTTCATTTTCTTCAAAGAGACAGCCAAGAATGCATTTCAAGTCACTCATACATGTTCCAGTGCACCCCATCATCATCTGCGTGGAAGCCTCTGAGTTCACATGACCTGTTCTACTTTGGAAGCATACAGCAAAACACATTCCTCCAGTTGCATCCGAAGCGCACTCATCGATGCACTCAAAAATCCAATTGGTAAAGTGGTAAATTTCGATCGAGAGACGATCTTTAGCGAGACATCGAGTAGCGCAAAGAGCCGAGTTGTCCTGTCCTTCACATTTTGTCCAGCATTGAATAGATAGACTAACGTCATTAATATCTTTCTGTGCCTGCTCACGATCTGCTGACGTAAGAAGATCTCCAAGTTGTGCGCAAATGTCGAAGGTAAACGAATCCAAGCAAGAATTAATAAATTCAAACGGGCCATCAAGAATCTTGCTTGGAATATTACGTTTGACTTTGCATTCTTTCCATTCGTCTGTGTTGTTAGAGAGATAATTGCAGTCGGGAAAGCTTTCATCAAACAATGATCTGGAAAGATTTGGATCGAATCTCCCGACGATGCACTTTGCAAGGCACAAACCGAAGTTCATTGAGCTTTCGCAAAAGCTCCTGCAAGTTTCTAGTTTTAGAATCACTGAATCATGCGATATTACTGTGCTTTTCAGAGAAACTGTTCCAACAGACGCTTTCAACTCCTCTTTTGTCAAGCTGAAGATCTCGCCCGATAAAGCTAGAGGCAAGAGCTGCGGAAACGCGTAGAATGTGGCAAGGAAGGTTCGTTCTTTATCCAAATCGGTTTCGAAACATTCGTCTATGTCTATACATCTATTCTCATAGAGAGGATGCGTTATAAAACCATCGTGGCAGTCGCAGCGGTAACCAGACTCTTCGTCCGGAAAGCAGGTGCCTCCTGCTCCACAAGGTCTAAAATTGTGTCAAATGAATATTTAAATTATTCGCTGTTGTATTTCTTACCGATCAATTACGCATAAATTCGGTGCCGGGGTAGAAAAGCTTGCGTCAACATCAGAGAAAAGAGCTGTGTAATATACTTTGAATCCATTTCCACGCTTTGATCGCTGAGACTTTATGACCATTTCAACTTTTACTTTCTCAGCTGTGACAGCAAATGGAACTTTCGTTGCCGCCAATCTGCTCATTTTGGGGTCACAGTCTTTCATCGTAAAGAGATTTTCTGAGGTAGCGAAATCGGTGAAAACGACGTGATCTTCGCACTCTTGGTCCAAATTCATTTGAAGAATGGTGAACTCGAATCCCTTCGCTCCATCGACGTCGATTATCCATTCGCGTAAATCGTTTTCTGAGTATTTGGCTCCTTCATTGAATTTTTCATTGCTCAAGAATCGTCCAGGTTCTGTTACAGTTAATGGGAGTCGTTTTATAGAGACCATCGGTGGAAGTTTTGGGGTAACAGGCGCAATATCTGGCTTCTTTTTCTTATTTGAAATATTCACAGAATCACAAGTAGCTAGAGACGAAAGACAAAGTCCACTTTCGCATCCATAGTTCGTATGGCAACTTGAGCATGGTTTACCAAGCAGATATGGAATAGATTTACTAGCGAATCCTTCATCAAATACGCATATGAATCTATTTCCTTTCGAGGCGCATCCAACTTGAGTGTTCATTGAATTCAATAAATTTCGGTATCCACCGCATGGAAAAACACACTCTCCCTCTAAATTGGAGAAATATCTCTTTTCGTCTGCCCACGAGTAGATTATTTCGTTCCAGCTCGCTCCAAAGCCTACAGAAACGCGAGATACTGATCGCGAAATTGTTTCTCCGGCAATACTTTCAGCATATAGCGCCAAGTCCTCGTTCCAGTTCAGCATGAACATATTTGCTCCTGAGACTTCAGATCTGTAGCGATTCATAAGTGCGACGATCGTGTCATTTGCTGGAACAACTGCACATTCGGTCGTGAGTCCCGTGTCAAATTTGTCTTGTGATGCTGATTGTTGCCCGAAAATTTCAATAGAGCAAGCTGAAAGCGATGCAAATTGCCCAACAGCCTGTAGGAAAATATATTTCACGGGAACTTGCGCTCCACAATAAATAAGTAGGTTATCTTCTCCTTCTTCTGTTCCACAGAATACCGAATCTTCGAATTTCTCAGTGAGGCCCATCCGTGCACTTATTTTCACAGTGAAGTCTTTTGGAAGCTGCAATCTTATCAGATTAATCTCATTTGCGTCAGCAAGTTCGACTGTGATGGTCGGTTGGTTACCAGGCGATGTTAACGCGCAGCATGAACCCTCTGCTTCAGCAACTCTGCAAGATTTTTCTTCATCGGGATTCTGAACGAGTAACCAAGCTGGTGAGTAGTCATATGTTTTAGACATCTCAAGATTTGCTATTTCAAGTGGTTCATGATCAAAACATGGGCCGAGCGAGCAATGTCGCTGCTGAATCCATTCTGATCCACAGGATTCATCCTCACAGTCGCGTGTTCGTTCTCGCAGACCAAAATGGCACTTTCCGTTGCATGGAGTCCATTCCGTCCAGCTTGACCACTGGAAGTCACGCTTACCATATGCTTCAACTTCGCAGAGAATGAGGGAGTTTTTAGATTTATCCAACGAGGTTATTCGAATTTTTGATCCTGTAATAGGACCATTTGAGCAAAAAACTGCTTCTTTTATCGACGAAGAAACAAACGCGCAGTGTTCTTCGTCGATCGTAATTTCAAGAGGAGATGTAACAGTATCTTTGATTCTTAGTGCGAAAATTGAAAACGGTTTTCTTGCATCAATCTCGATATATGGGTTGGGTCCGACAGCAGAAGTCAAACAAGTGCCTCGTTTACCATCCGTCACGGCTCCAGAAGTGGTTCGACCAAGCCAGTCAGAAGACATCGTCCCACTGATAATATTTCTTTCGTCGTTACAGACGCTTTCTCCACAGGGTTGTTTTTCTTCGCTCGAACCCTCACAACTTTCGAATATTCTAGCGCTGACGCATGTTCGCGATCTTGAACGGATACCACTACCGCATTTACGAGAACATCCAGTCCATTCAGACCAAGAAGACCAGTTCATCTCTGGTATCGTTGAGTAGATTTTCGGACAGAGTGTTGTCGATTCCGTTATTGGTCCTCGTGACTGATCTAATAACATGGTGATGTGGTCACCAATTGCCATGGAACAGTGAAAGATTGTACCGGACTTCGAACATCTTTCGCCAGAATTAGGTTTGTCTCCAACATAAACATCATCTGCATCAACACTGACAATGTGAATAGAGGAAACGGATGAAAGCTTAAAGCTCGTCCAAAATCCATTGTTAACCTCTACACATGTATCGATGCTAGTACCCCCTGTTTCATTCGATGTTATCCTTTCAAAATCTCGAAAGTCAGTAGTCGAACCCAAACCGTCCTTCTGGAAGTCAGGCATGTTTATTACGAAAGTCTCTGGGGCTGTTTGAAACTCTTCTTCGCATACATCGCCAACAAAACAAAGCTTTGATTCTTCATAGCTTGCTTTAGCCCCAAGAGGCAAAGATCTAAATCGTGATTGCTTTCCATAGCCGCAAGTGGACGAGATCTTCCACGAGCACCCATCGAATTCCGACCAAGTTGATGACTCCCCGTTCTCAAAATCCTTTCCAATGAAAATTGAATCGTCGCTAGAGCATCTCACCCTATCGCAAGCTCTGAAATTGAGTTTGTAGTCGGACGTATCGAGGAATAGGTTATTTTCCCCAGGGGAGAGGAACAAAAACGACTTTAAATTATCTGTGAATTTCAATTCCTCGATATCAAGTTCAATATGCGTTTGAGAGCTTATAATTCCATCCTCATAGGAAACGTTTGGAGCAGATGGTGGAAGTGTTACAGTCTCGGAGCTTGAAGTTATTCTGGTTCCTAACGAAGCAGTTACAGTAACTTCAGTATACTGTAAAGTCGAGTTCGGATAGAACTTGTGCAATATTGACGAGTCAGGGTCCACAGATACCATTTCAAAGTCCGACTTTCCAGCCAACTGCAGTTGAATTGCATCATAATTTGAAATATCACTCGTGAATAGCACTTCAAGTTCTCCTTGATAATTTATGGCTGCATCGAATGTTATTTTTCTCAATGGTTGTTTTATGTTTTCCAATAATCCAACCTCGCTTGATGGAATAGAGACGTAAGAATCATCGTGAAGGGCGAAATTTACTTTGTTCCCGAAAATCTCTATCGAATACACCTCTTGTGAATCAAGATTCTCCAGAACAAGTGAACTCGAAGACAACTTCGTGGATTGGTATGAAACAGAACCGTCGGATTTAAATATTTGTACGTTCCAGGTATGATATTTATAAGTACTGTACCAGGATACAATTATTGCATCCTTTACGAACTCTATTTCATTGAAGATGACGATTGGTTTCTCAAAGCACCAAGCAACGGGATTTTTTCCAGATTTAGAGAAATCGTTAACAGAGACAGCGTAAGCGAAAATGTCATCGATGATAGCAGGAGACGAAAACTCATATCGTAATGAAGAGTCAATCTCTACTGATCGAATTTGCATCGGCTCGCGACTATCTTCCTTGATTCCCGAAATTTCAACTCGCACAGTTTTTTTGCTATTGATATCAGTATAAAACTGGCCATTTGAAGTTCGCTCGCAAATGATATCATCAGAAGTCAATGGTGCTGATTTCGTGACCGCTATTATCTCATCAGAATATTCCGTGTACTCTTGTCCCATAAAGCCAAAGTAGCCGACTATTGACACATTCATTGCAATATCCGAAGGTAGATTTTCAACAAATAATTTATCTGCTTCAGGATAAATATCAGATCCGAGGTCGCCAGAGAGATATTGCTCCGGTTTCATCACTTCGCCTGTCGAAGAGTCAATCCAATAAATATCAACTTCATAACCTCTAATCGATTTGTCTGCGTTTTGCAGGGTGAGCGAAATCGCAGAGTCCGTCGTCGAAGAGATTTTAAAGCTTGGCTTTACGAAAGGAATTCTTACAATGACATCTTTACTCCACTTAGACCAAAAGCCTTCAACTTTCGCGCGATGCTTGACGCAACATTGATCGCCTGAAATCATTGAAGAAAATGTGTGGCGTCGGAAAATTCCCTCGAATTCGAGAAGTTTTTGACCACTGTTGACACAGTCAATTTTAAGTTCGTAAAGTTCCACATCGACATTTTGGTCTCTGGCAATGTGATATGCGTACCACGAAACCTCGACTGACTCTGTGTCAATCGACGGTATATCCAGCTTTTCAGGCGATTCAAGTTGCGGAATCAGTTCCATTCCCAATACACCTCTGTGATACTCGTCGACGAGAATGGAAAAAGAAATATCGTAGAAAGCCACGTATTTGTACCCATCTTTGATCACAGAAATAATGTTAATTTCTTTAATGTGATCAGGATTGAAGTATCTGACAAGATCATTTTTGATGCTTCTTTTGATCAGAAATTCGTCATCATTTGATGAAGATTTTTCTCCATAAAACAGGGGTGCCTTAGTTTGTATTGTTTTTTCTTCGCTGTATTTGGTATCGACGAAGTAATTCATTAAAATATCTTGATAAGACATAACTTTGAGTGTGTATAAAATATCAGGATCGAGCCCTGTGATCGTTTCTGGCGACGAAGTGGATATCATGCTTCTGGAGTAAGATGGATTATCAGATCTTGTAATTTCGATTGCGATAGATTCGACATTACCATCAGCCTTCCATATGATGGCGATACTTTCTTCTGTCGACAAAAGGTTAAACTCTGGAGGTCCTGGTTCCGTCCTGAAGCGTTCAATCTTCGCTGAAGATTTTTCTCTTGATTCCGTATTCATTAAACTGCAGGACATCTCATAGGTAGTTCCTTGCTCAAGATCTGCTAGTGTTACAGACTTTTGCTTGAATACCATTTCTTTAGAATTTATCGAACACCAGACTTCATAAGCGCTTTTCCAACCATTTCCCACACTCTGGAATTCAACAGATGCATTGTTGGCGCCAACTTGGAGAATAGACACTCTAAGTTCTGGAAGCGTCGACAAACTTTCATAAGCGACGAAGGAATTTTTCGTAGAAAGCTGGAAATGATATTTTGTATCGGGGACAAGATCTTCTAGTGATACCAGTCCAGTTTCTGATTTGACGATTTTGCTCGATCCTGCGTTTTTTACCGATAACTCGTCAGCAACATGCTCAACAAGGAGTTTGATTCTGTCTGTTTCGATTTCCCTGTCTATGACAAGTGGCAATCTACTCTTCGTGGTCAAAGAATACGAGAATTCTTTGGACATCGTCTTCAAATCGGCTGAGTGAGCTTGAATTGTAATCTCGTAATTGACGTCAGGAAAGTACAAATCTTCTGGTATCTGAAGCATATTCATACTGTATTCTGGGCTAAGTTCTCCTTTCAGAGGTGGTTTGGTAGTAATTTTAAGGCCAGAGAAGACATTTTGAGATGCGTCCCAAACAACCATAATTCCAACCTCTTGGCTCTCTTCAATGATGAAATCCATCTCTTCCGGTGTTGTTGAAAGAACTTCCTCATAATCTGACGTGAGTTGATAGCTTGTTCCTTTTTCAAAAATCTCACGAATTTTGAAGGAATATTCATTGCCCGCCTTCAGTATATCTCTTCTCAAGAAATTTCTCTCGATAATAATCGGATCAGCAGACCCCAAGAGGACCTCAAACTTTCCACTTTTTCCATAGTGTCCATTCCAGTTGTAATCGATGTAATCACCATTAACGACAGCATTTATTTCACCAAGAGCTGGTGCCGTAGATATGATGAAGGGTTTTATTTGAAACTCTTCGCTTGAAATTGAGATTTTGTAAGTATTGTAAGGCTCGAGTCCATGAATTTCTAAATCTTCAACCAATATCTCACGAACAGTTTGATCAGATTCGACTTTTGAGGCTTCAACAAAAGCGGTTAGCGGCTGAGATGTATTGAAAGAATCTCCACAGTCGATTTTCAAGTAAGTCGAGTAAACAGTCGTAGGGATGCAATCCAAGAGTGGTCTGGTATCTCGAATAGGAGCAGTTGCGAATTCGAAGTATGCCCAAGGAGAGTTTCCTTGATCCTTTGGACTCGTGGCAATGATTTTTGCGGTGTATTCTGTACCCGCCTTCAAACCAAAAATTTCCTTCTTGTTTACTGCACGATCCAAATTGAAGGTTTTTATTCTGTACTGACCTTTGAAGATTTCAAGGCGATATCCGCGGGCTCGATCGATCTATCAAACGGACAATAAAAATGCGAAAATTAAACTCGAAATTTGAGATGCTCAATTTTCAGAAATTAACGCGAAAAGCAGATCATTGATTCAATGAAAAAGCGAGGAAAAAAGTTTCCTGGCTTGAAAGTAACCTTAGCTGAGCATACTCACGGAAGCATCTTCTTCGTCCATTTCCTGTTTCCAGTAAAGTTCCACTTTAGTGATTCCCACTTTTATTTTTTCGGCAATAAAGAGAGGAGCTGCATGCTTTATTCTTATTGTGACTTCCTTGATGTTAGTCAAGCCGAATTCAGTCTGGCCTTGAATCGCAAGAGTAACATCTCGTCCACTCGGAAATGCAATTTGGGGCACAACATTCATCTCTCCGGATCTACCTTCGAAAATGGGCGCACTGTATCTGTCTTTACCAATCCTCTTTTTGTATGTGCGCATTACTGTATATCTTTCTACAAGAGAGTCGTCACCAAATTTCATTTTGACAATATTTGAGAGTCGCTCAAGAATCTCAGGCTTCTGAAGTTCCGGAGCAGATCTAATGTTGTAAACCTCAGACTCAGCCATAATTCCGTTTTTGTAGATAACGTGAATTTTTAGTTCAACTTCGGTATCAGGAGCGATTGATTTCTTGAGCTGATTGGAATTAAAGTCGGAAATACTGTAGACATCGCTTCCGATGGACACTTTCAAACTTTCGATGACTGTATTGCTGCTTGAATCTTCGAAAATCGGCAGCCATTTGATGATGATTTCGTTGAAATTTGCCACGACGGTCAAAAATTCTGGTTTCGAAGGGAGGGCGAATCGCTGATGCTGGCATTTAGCTCCGTAAAACTCGATCGGGCAGCGACAGATCATCCCTTTTGCGAGAGTGAAACACGAACCGCCGTTTTCGCACTGTGGTTCCGCGTTTTCGAATCTCCGAAAAACGTGCAGAAATTGAGCGTAGACGTTGCAGAATCTACAGAAATTTCTCCAACTTTGAAGCCTTTTGCTTCTAAGCTTTCGCGGAGCTTGATATTGAATCCATTTTCGACCTCGGCTTGTCTCCATTTCAAGTCTTCTTCCGACGCTCTTATCAGCACTCGCGCCTTTTTACCGTTTCCTTCTTCATCTTTCGAGAAATTGATCAGAAGTGCAACATAATCTTCATCAACAGAAACACGGCCGAGTAACAAAGATTGAGCTTTTGTGAACTGGGCTGAGAGAGGGTTGAGAAGATGCTCACTCCATTGATTATCTTTTTCGGATAAGTTGATCTCAACAACGGCTGACAAATCAAAGTTGATATCGTTCGATAGTGTCTGGATCATCAAGAAGTCCATCCAATCGAAGGATCCAGACTTGAGAGCTCAAACGACTCGCTTCTAGGCTTGAGTCGTTCCAATAAGTCTGCTTTCTGTTTGATATGCGTAGCAGGACAAACTTTCACAGAGCATTTTCGGCTTTCTAATCCATTTCCTTGGCATTTTGAATATGTCTTGAGAAACAATTCCATCGCAAGATTTCCGGAAAATTCTCCACTCGCTACTCGAAATTGGGACTTTCGAGCTTGCATGATCTTAGACGAGCCTGCTGACCTCCAAACCCACAAGTCTTTGAGCAGGTAGACCAGGACTCCCACTGGCTCCATGCCAACCCACACGAGTGTACGTTGCAAGGTAGGTATTCGAGAGGCTGGCCAAAGCAGGTTGGTGTTCGCTTTACCAAAGGTCAAAAAACGTCATTTTCTAGTTCTTTTTTTATAATAGTTTGCACTTTTTAGAAAATATTGGTTTTGAGCGTTTTCTACTAAGATAATTGCTAGAGTGCGACCTGATCCTTTAGGTATTGATGAAAGGTAATTGCGCCAGTTAAATATTTTGAGAAAGCAGCTTTGAGGTTCGTCCGGCAAGTCCGATAACGCATGCGTCTCCCGCTGCCGCAACGCTTCGAGCATTGCGACCACTCGGTCCACTTGCTCCAGCCAGATAGTGTGTCCTCTTGAATAAATTCATCTAAGTTGAATTTCGGTGACGATTTCGATTGCGTATCATAAAGAAACTTGTGTTGTGTTAACGAAATATAAACGCACGATTGTCGTTGATTCTTATGTTCATTTTAGAAATCCTTTGGATAGTAATTTTTGTTATGGTGAAAATAATGTTAGCGTCTTTGCTAAGTGTGGCTATTTTTCTTCCGCTCTCCATTATGATTGAATATACTCACCTAATGCAATAAGTGGTAGAAATATTTACACAAAGCAGGGATAATTTAATTGTTACACCTAACGTATTTTGAAGATACACTAAAATATTAATTTCTTTAACATTCCTTGAGCAAGTATGGATTTGTGGTTTTCTCACAACATGCAATATTTATCAAGGTGACTAGAATATAGCCACATATAGAAAACTTCTTCATCTTCCCAAATTGGAATAGTTGATGTTCTCAGACGAGTTCTACTCTTTTAGAAACGGTAATTTACCATGGCCTCTCAGTTATTTCCAGTTTAGAAGGCTTCTTGATTCTCTAAGAGCTTCGAATTTTTTCTCTTGGGGTTTTAGGTCTTATTTAGGTGGATTTAGAGCTTGGCTTTATTGCTGTTAATTTTTCTCGGAAAAATTGATAATCCGGGCAAGGATTGAACGTCTTGTTCCATGCGATTTGGCTCCAACTCCACCTACTGGAGCGACTTCGCTCAGCACTAGAATCGTAATAGTACTGCACCGCTCCATACTACACCTTCGCTAGGTACAGTAGTATTTACGACGGTGCCAGCGCCAGCAGGTACAACTTACACCACCGAGAACCCGCAATTGGCTCCGGATTACATAAGCGCTTCTAAAAGGCGCTTCTCCACGCTGCTAGAAAATATAATTGGGGGCACCCGGACATACGGAAAACATACCAAGCAAAGAACAAACTATTAAAATGTGTTTCATGCAAGTAATTGTTATTTATGTTTATTGGACAGATCAGTAATCTAAAAATTAGGCGGGTCAGTGATTTTAGCTAAAACTAATTAATGATATTCGTGATGAAAGTAATAACTATTAGTCCGCAAAAGCACTTGCATATACAGAAAAGACACTGGCAACAGGAGCAATCTTCTTCATTGTTTCGAGCTGTTCTTGTTGAAACTGTGGATGAATAAGGAAAAGTTGAATAAGATAGCGGCTGGTTTGTGTAGACAGGCTCAGTATATCGGTCATGACGCATATTCGTTCTTCTGGTGGTTGTCGGATTTCCATGTGGTTGTGAACTCGTATGAAAATTGTTCCTTTGAGGCTGAGGAAGTGCGGGGACTGATGAAATAGCAAGTTGAGCATAAGCGCTTTCCCACCACCTCCCACATATGCATTTATAATATCCAAAAAGCCGCCCATCACCGTGATATTCACGTTCTTCTTCAATTTCAAACAATCTCTCCCCACAAGATCTACAATCAATTTCGTACTTCTGATAGTCAGTTGAAAATTGTTCATACTGGCAGCGGTAACAGTAAAATTTTCTTTTTATCCAGGCTCTAGCCATCTCTTTTTTCAATAAAAACACAAATCAGAACAAATAGCAAAGCGCAGAGTAAATATTAGGAGTTAGTAAGAAGAGTTTATTAAAGATGAATATTGTGCATATAACGAACTCGATGATTTCCATATTGATTTCTTCTCGCGGTGATTTCTTCCTCTCGAAGCTCATTCCTCGGTCTTCTTGGTTTAGGGATAGGGACGTGTTTTACAACTTCATTCGAATGAACATTTCTTTCAACGATATGTTTTTGTCTGATGCTTTCTTCAAACTCACGCTTTCGTGCTAATAATTGTCTATAAATAATCAAGTAGACCAAAAAAAACCTGTAACGACAGTCTGCGAAATCGAAAACAGGTATCGAAAGATGATGAAAACACTCGCATTGCTCATGAAGTTCCAGATAATAATGACTATTCGATAGATGGATAAAAGGTAATTATCATGCAGAAAGCTTGGGACTTACTAGGCGATGAATTTTGAAAATAAATATAGTGACAGATTGAATTCTCGCCCTTCCTGTATCTGTGCCTGCAGAGAAGAAGGATGATGACATTAGATAATACACAGAATCGCCAAAGGACCACCCTTCGATCTAATAATTTTCAATGTTACCTGATGAATTCGCTAAAAACTTCACCTGTGAAATAGCATTCGATGGTATAAGCACAAGAAAGCAAACCCAAAATGAAATAAGAAAAAGTACAAAACCAACGTGAATTCTATACTTTTTATCAGACGAATAATTCTTCCCAAGCTTGTCAGCGTAATTATTAACCTTCGCAAGAACAAATGAAGAAATTGAGAAATATAAAGCCAGGAAAGCGCAGATGCCAACAAGCGAATAAAAAACCTTGAAAACCTTTCCCGATGTTGTGAAGGGCTCCATGTCTTTGCTCCCCAAAACGGCGATAGTATTGAAAACGTAGAAAAGAGAGTTTTTGTAATTCCAGAAATTCGGACAAGTGAATGTTCCATTTTCAGTGCCATAAGAAGGAACGAAGTTTTGGAGCGAATCGTGTATTTTCTTTTCCGGCTGAAGATAGGAGTCTGTTCCGTAAATCGATCCGTTCATCATCCTCTTTGGAACCCGACAATCCAAATATTTTTCAAGAGTACTTTCAAGATTGGCCCCACAGGTGTCTATCTTCTCCGATTGATCTTCAACCAGCTTTTCTTTGTTGATAAGAATGAGTTCTACTTGCTTCAGTTCCTCCGCCATTCTCATTTCTGATTCTATAGCTGAAGTGAGATTTCTACTGAATTCAGTCGATAAGGCTCTCATAAAATATATCGATTGACTCTTTGCCTCTTCTAGCTCGTCGATTACTGAATTGACATCGTTAATAATATGCTTGATGCGCTTAGGTTCGTCAACAAGAAAGTCGACTACAAATCGTTCAAAAAGACTGTCCACCTCGCACGTTATGTTTCCTACATCATCTCGTGTTTTTTGAAGCTTGGCGATAGTATACAGCCGGTCTCCTTGCTTCACATCGATGAGTTCTATTGACTGATTAACTGTTAGATTTGCTCTCTCAACAAGCAACTCCACTTCGTCTCTTATAATCCCACTGACAGATGATAGAATTGATTCTGAAAGCCTTCTGGCCTCAAGATTCGCTCTTGTCAAACCGAATTCCCAAATTTGAGTCTCACCAATTGTTACATTTTCAAATACTGGGTCTGTCAAGTTGTAACTAAATAAAGTCAAGTTCTGGGTAACGACGGTTAGATTTCTCGATATTTCCATCAGCATGTCAGTCACGTTGCCATCAAGAGCATAGGGGATTCTGACATTGTCCAGAGTGAAGCTGAACTAATCAAATTCTATTAAATTTCAATTATCAAGCATTCTTACCGTCGCACTTTGATCGAATAAAAGATTACTTTTTCCATTTATATATGTCATGTTCTGCATGATTTCATAAACACATGGCGGCAGTCCCTGTCTTTTCAATGCTTCACATTCTTCGGACTCAACTTCTATAACTTTATCGACTTCTTTGATGATTTCTTTAACTTCAGGTTCTTCGCAAACGCACTCGCTAGCTTTCTCTGTCGCTGAAGAAACTGTAGTAGATACTGTTGACACTGTCATATTGTCTATGGTTACATTTTCAGGTGACACTGCAGTCGCACACTTTTCGTTTGTTTCACAAATTTCTGCTTCAAATTCTCCACCGAGGCACTCATCACCAGACACTTCACACTTTCTATTGCGATAAAGAACTCCAGTACCACAAGTCTCAGAACAATCAGACCAGTTCGACCATTCAGTGATAACCGGACAGGTTGAATTCAAACAAGGCTGGTTTTCGATGTAGTCCTCCTCAAGATTGGCGCAAAGTCGGACTTCATCAACGGGCAAAACGGTGAATCTTTCGCTTGGAATAGCTGCAAATTCATTATAATTCTGCTTCTTTTGGCCACAAGATCGACTTCGTTGCCTGGTGCCAAGTCCACATGAGCTTGAACAGCTTCCCCAGTCGGCCCAAGACGTCCACTCGTAATCAAAGAAGTAGTTTGAAGTTTGACGACAGTTCGTTGATATTTCAAACTCTTTCCTGTCGATAAAATCATCGCACTTAGTACTGAACCAAATATAATTTGCGTTTCTCTTCTCCTTTGCAATCAAATCGGCTTGCATCCCATTCGGAAGCTTGAGAATCAATCTTTCAAGACATATCGCAGTTGAGCCACTCCATTTCAGCGTTAATTGAGCGAAATCGTTTACAAATCGAAGTCCTGTTGTTATCGAAGAAGTCTTTAGTCCTCCAAACAAACTTAAATTTAAAATTGAATCGTAATCATTTGAACTTGCAAATTTACCTTTTATATTCATCAGCATTCTCGAATTCCTTGTTCTCCTCGTTGATCCCCGAAATAGAAACTGTGTGAGAGAAAAATCCTCGTGGGAGGATCGCAAGATCATCAGCATATCATCATCTGGAAGCTCCATGATGATTGCCCCGTTTCGTTGTGGGTACAGAAGCTGTACTCCAACAGAATGCTATCAATATTTACTTGCCGTCGAATTCTCGCTGGTGCCGGGGATATTGAATAAGTTTCAGTTGCTTCAGCGACAGTAAAGTTTTGGGTAGATAGGATCGTTTTTGGGGCTAGAGTCGAGACATCAAATATTGCTGTTGTAATGTTCAGTTCTGGTGGGAGGGTCGCATTTGGAAAAATAAGCTCTCTGGTCAAATACTCTTTCGTTTTCTCGTAATTTTCGATCCTTCAAGAACATTTGATAGTGAAAGGGACACTGATGCTTACTGAATTTCAATTTCTTCAATCGCTTCATTACAGAGTCTCTTTTCCAGGGGATGCTCAAGTAAGCTGAAAATGTATGCGCCGACAAGGATGTAGAAAAAATAAAAAGACGCCACTAGAATTCTTTTAACGTAACGTTGTTTCGTCGTTAATCTTATTTTTGCATATTTTGCTTTTTCGTCCTGCGGAATTTTCGGGTAATAAGCTCTCCTTGTCATATTTACAATTAGTTTGTGAAGGAAAAGATGCGGAAGCGCGCGGGGGTTTTGAATTTTTAAGGGTTCATGAATTTCAAGCGGGTTATTCTTGTATTTATAAGAGAATGCAGGCTGCTTTGTTTTCCATATGCTCTTGATTAGCCTGCTATTGAGAGTGATTTACTGGTGTTTTTATAATCAATGTTATTGTGGATAACCTGCATCAAATCAATTACAAACTAAAAGATAAGAAAAAGAGGTTTATTTCTTGAACTTATTATTTCAAAAATGAATTTAATATTCCTCTTCGTCTTCTTCGCCCTCAGCGTCGTTGGTGTCCATTCCAACTTCCTCGTAATCCTTTTCCAAGGCTGCGAGATCCTCTCGGGCTTCGGAGAATTCGCCTTCCTCCATGCCTTCACCGACATACCTGAAGGTAACTTTAGCTCTTGCATATTTGAGTATTCTTACCAGTGGACGAAGGCTCTCTTCGCGTACATGAGATCGAACTTGTGGTTCAATCTCGACCAGGCGTCTGCGATCGCCGTCGTGTTAGAGAGCATGCAGAGTGCTCGTCGAACCTTGGCGAGGTCCGAGTTCGGCACGACGGCGGGTGCCTCGTTGTTGATGCCAACCTTGAAGCCGGTTGGGCACCAGTCGACGAATTGGACGGATCGTCGAGCTTTGATGCCGGCGATCGCAGCGTTGGCATCCTTGGGTACAACGTCGCCGCGGTAGAGCAGGCAGCACGACATGTACTTGCCTAGACAAAATTTTAGGATTAGTTTTCTCTTTTAAAAATTTACCAGTTCTTGGGTCGCATTTGACCAGCTGTCCGCCCGGCTCGAAGCAAGCGTTGGTCAATTCCGCTACAGAAAGCGATTCGTGGAACGCTTTTTCGGCGGAAATGATCGGCGCGTAGGTCGCCAACGGGAAGTGGATTCGTGGATACGGCACCAAGTTCGTTTGGAACTCGTTAAGATCCACGTTGAGCGATCCTTCGAATCGCAGCGAAGCGGTGATCGAGGAGACAACCTGAGCGATAATTCGGTTAAGGTTGCTGTACGATGGTCGCTCTACGCCGAGTCTAAAGATTTTCGGTTGGATAATAAAATGGCGTTGACAATCTTACCTCTTCGTACAGAGATCGTAGATGGCCTCATTGTCGACCATAAACGCACAGTCGGTGTGCTCCAGAGTCGTATGTGTGGTCAAGATCGAGTTGTAGGGCTCAACCACGGCAGTCGACACCTGCGGAGCTGGGTAGACCGCGAACTGGAACTTCGCCTTCTTTCCGTAGTCGACGGAAAGTCGCTCCATCAGAAGCGAGGTGAAACCGCTTCCGGTGCCGCCACCAAAGGAGTGGAAGACCATGAAGCCCTGGAGACCGGTGCAGTTATCCGAGAGCTTTCGGATTCGGTCCAGGACCCGGTCGATGATCTCCTTGCCGATGGTGTAGTGGCCACGGGCGTAGTTGTTCGCTGCATCTTCCTGAAAATGATTTTAGTCCGGAATCATAAAAAAACTGCTACCTTGCCAGTGATCAGCTGCTCCGGGTGGAAGAGCTGCTTGTAGGTTCCAGTGCGGATCTGGCCGATGACGGACGACTCCAAGTCCATGAAGACGGAGCGAGGAACGAATTGGCCGGTTCCAGTCTCGGAAAAGAACGTCGAGAAGTTCTCGTTGTTCATTCCTGCTGGAACGGTTCCGTCGGGGTTGATCCCGTGCTCCAAGCAGTAGAGCTCCCAGCACGAGTTGCCGATTTGGCAACCGGCCTGAAAATAGGTCAGCGATTGAAAAATAATATTAATTCTATCTCTCTGTTTTCGCTTTACCTGGCCGACGTGGATGGAGATAACTTCCCGCATGATAAATTGGTTTCAAAAATCAAAAACTCAAGGGCTCTGGTTTTGGCGAGATTTTAAAATCTCGGCGAAGACTGGAGTGAGGCGTTTTCCGCTGCCGGGCTGTTTATATCCGAAGCACTTTCGAGCCAACGAAGTCGACCCGCTTGGTGGCAAGACCAAACCAATTTTCCCAAAACGCCATGACCCCCGCAACTTTTTGAAAAAGAGGTAGTTTATCGGGGAAATGCCATCTTTGGAGCATGCGTGAAAATCGTGCATCTTGGTTTTTCCGTTGCGCGCTGTCTCTAATTTAGCCTCATAGTTTGTTCCTCAATAAGATCCATCAGAAATCATAGAAGAGTCTTGTTTGCTTACCCGGAATGTCGCCATTTCTGAAGCAGGTTATGATAAGTTGACTGATTAACAGCAGTAGTTCTCTCGAAAGGCAGTTTTAGTAAGTCAGGATGAAATTAAAAATACTACAGAAATCTAAGAAAAGAATATGTCAAAAGAAAAGTCAAAGAGTCTTCGCCAAGGTCCTTTCCTTCTGAATCCATTTTGAATAAAAATTTTCTTCTGTGAGAAGGGGGACTTGACTGTGACGGTAAAACTGTTTGTCTCTTTTGATTTAACGGAAACAAGCGGGAAAGACGGGCTGATTCCTTCAAGCATAAGTTGGGAATTCTTATCCTCATCGCCAAGAAAATCGGAGATTCGACACTCTTGAACTTCATATTCCGCTATTTTGAAATCTGTCTCTTTTTCCAAGGCACTAGAAACAAGGGATAAAAAAGGTATTTTTCAGGGCTACTCACAAGCAGTAGACAATATCGTCGTCGAACAAAATTGATTCCACCTCGCAATTGTCGAGCATTTCTTTCTGGAAGAAAGCAATAAATTTGCAACTGGGAAAATATTGCATCTGGGTGTATTTCTTCGGTACAATGGGGATAACATCCGGTATCTTCGTCTTACGCCACTCGTTCTTCTCTTTCTGTTCTGTCCCTATTTTCATTATCTCATGATGAAAATATCGAAGCTTGACGAAATCCCGCGCTAATGACACTGGAAAGACTTCCAGGTCGCCACCAGCGTGAAACCACGAAGTCTCAATCTTCTCTTTCAGTTGACACAATTGTCCTGACGGATAACTAACTAGCTTTTGATCAATCTGCAAGAATAGAATAGCATCTCTAATGCTACCAGGAAACCCTTCGGAACCATCATTTATTCCGGCAAGATCTTGCAGAAATGCTTCGCCATTTTGACAAAACACATCGAAAACCGATCTCTTCATCGGGAGAGAATATTCGTTCTTACTGAAGAATTGAAATATAAAGCGGGATTGTAAAAAATTACCAAGCATCGCTCATTCCAGATTCAAATAGTGCCTTGAAGTAGGGAAAATTCTCACGCAGAAAGGCTTTGCTGTAGCATCCTATGTCATCAGAAAATTGCAGTCCGATCTTCGTCAAATGATCTTCCTGATCTTTATCATGAAAATTTTCTCTATTCATATTCTTAGATCAAGAGATCTAGCGATGTTTGTTAATTCAGCTGGTGGTAAGTTTGTCGGTGAAAAGCAGGTCTTCCAGTTTCCGGACTCCCCAAAAGAGCACTAATTTGACCGACCAATCAGGCGCGCGCGGGAGAAATTACAAATATCTAGAGAAGTCGAAGAATCCCAGTCGAAATCTTCCGATGGAAGCCGTGGCGATTTGCGATTATCAAGTGCAAGCACAAGGCGACGAATTCACCCTTACTGTTGGCCTAGAGATTAACATCCTCGATAATTCTGTATGTTCTTGAAAAATCCTCGCGTTCGAAGTTTCTTTTTAGGGGATTTTTCTTGGCTGACATAAAAGGAGAAGAACGATACGTTCCTGGAAACTACGTCAAGCTCAAACGAGATGTTCCGTGGTTTCTTGGTCATATAGAACGTGAAGAAGCAGAAGATATCCTCAGAAATGCGCCTCACGGAAGCTTTCTCATCAGAAATCGCCAAAAGACGAAGCCGAATGACACATTTCTGTTTGGCTTGTCAGTGAAAAACGAGAATTGTCCAGAGATTGTCCAGCACTATCGGATCGCCAAGGACGAAGAAGGGCTTTACTGGATGTATGAGAATAGAAGATTTTCGAGTCTGGATGAACTAGTCCTTTGGTACAGTGATCCTCAGAATGACCCCGAAGCACCACAAGGTGCACCACAGCTTCATCATGTTGATCTTGGCTTCAGAGGCGGCGAGAACGATATTGGAAAGCCTACACCAGGTAATTCCACTTTATCACCATTCTAGTCTCAGGCCATTTTGGATACACAAATATTTCTAGCAATCGCCCTTTTCTCCTTCAAAAAGAAGAAATAAACGAGCTCAGCTTTGGTGCCGGGAGTCACATAATCGTTCATAAGAAAATACCAGTTCCACAAGAAGGTCGAAAGAAACCCGCTTTTGAAACTTACGATGGTACTCTACAAAAATACGAATTCATTTTGTGAAAATATTTATTAGATTCCGAGTGGCTATATGGCAATCTTGAAGGAAAACCGTCAGAGAAGGGCTTTTTCCCTCGCGAGTTCGTGAAGATTTTGTGAGTTCACAATCTTGATTCGTTGAAGATTCTATTCTGAGAGAATACCCTGCTTATTATTCAAAATCACTGCTCCAGCTGTATGTATAGTTCTGTATAATTAAAATTGCGGATTGAAAAATGCATGCGCTTTTCCTTGAGTTGATCCAGTTAGACTGCGAATAACGACTGTACGAGTGTGTCGATGACTAGAGCACTCAATTAAATGATTGTGTGATCGTTCGCGAAAAACAGAAAGAAACAAAAGGAACCAGAAGAAAAAGGGATTTTTCTAGTGAAAACCGAGAAAGATAAATGGAAGCACGGGCGCTTTACGATTTCAACGGTCGATCGTCCGATGAGCTCAGTTTTCGTCAGGGAGATTTCCTGACTGTTATTGATATCGTAAGTCTTCTTAATCTTCTTGTTTAAATCTCCATAATATAATTAATCATTTCAAAATTAGCAAAATGAACACCACAGAGCCGAATTTCAAGGAAGAACTGGTTACGTTCCTGCGAATTATGTCGAACTTCTGGTAAATCTCAAATTTTCTTTTCTAAATTACAGTAATTAAAGCCTAATCCATGGTTCCACGGCGGCGTGCCCAGACAACATGCCGAACAGATTCTCTCCAGACAAGAGTACGCCCCTACTTCAACTGATTAAATACTAACAAATTTGTTTCAGTCTGCCTCGAGGGGCGTTTTTGATCCGCGCGTCTGAAAAGAGTGGCGGTCCGGGTGCTTTCTCGTTGTCGGTGAAGAATACCTCGCATAGAAATTTGGTCGAACACTATCGAATTTTGAAGAATCAACGTAAGAATAACAATTTTGACAGTCAAAACACTATCTCTAGCTGATCATTAAATTCAGAGGGTCAATATCATCTCTGGTCAGAAACGTTCTTCAGTCTCAACCAACTCGTTCATCATCACATGCAGCACTCGGTGAGCCGAGAAACAGATCTTCGACTCGTTGAAGTCAACTTAAATCAAACGCAACAAGTCGAAACATTCCAAGGTAAAGAACTTAAATCCACCACTTGCTCTGATCCCTTTTTTCAGCCGTCTCTGCTTATCGTTTCAAAAGTGAAGTCGGCGACGAATTGGGCTTCGAGCCTCACACGAGGATCCAAGTTCATGTTTCAGTTCCTGGACAAGAAAAGAGCAATCTAGGTAAAACACCGATATTCCTTCTTCTATTCAAATTTTCTTTCAGATAGCGACTGGTGGTTTGGGCATCTAGAATCGAACCCCGAAAAACGCGGCTTCTTTCCGAAAAATTACGTTAGTGTCGATGATCAAACGCGGCGAAAATATCGACTAAATCTTTAATTTTCTTAGTTTTCTCGAAGAAACAAGAGCATCAGTCTTTTCTCTTTTGTAAATTAGTTAATTTGAGCATATTACCACATTTTTGCGAATATACCGTAAAAGTCATGACTGTTACAATTCTTTTCCAAGTTTCCGTACTAAGCATGTAAAAAAATGCCTGGGTACTACTTATTGATCTTTACCTTTCAATGTTCTTTCTTTTGCTTATCTTCTGCTTCTGTAAAATTTAACTCATTCCATTTAATTATTCTTTGCCCCCTTGTTCAGCTCTCTTCCCTTCACTATTTGGTTGAATATGGTATTTATTAAAATAAATTCTACTTCGCATAGACAACTTTTTATTCATTATTCTAGGTCAAAGCACACAGTTGCCCAGTTGCAAGTTCACCAGCTGAGAGAGCTCTTTTTCGATAAACAAAAGAACTGAATAATCATTTCCTTCGGCAAATTTGCATATCAAATTTACAAATAATAAATCGGAACGTTTTCAAGCGCGGCCTTTTTCAATTTTCACTGACCGCGAAAGTCCAGTATCAAAAATAAGTCTGAATAATGAGCACTTTGCAAGACGAGAATGCGATTCTCGTAGATCATATTAGAGAGCTTCAAGGAAAAATTGAAAAGGATGAGAAAGAATTCAACGATTAAAGGTACCTTGAACCCTTATGTATGTTTAATCAAATCTCTGAAGGCGAATGTAAGCGACCAACAAAATGAGATTGCCCAGCTCAAGGGGCAATTAACGGAGTTCGAACGCGTCCTGATTCTTGAAAATGAAGCTCATGAATTGACGAAAAAGTAGGCGACTAAACATTCCTATCACATTCAAAACAATTAGGAAAATGACAATCTGAAGAAGAAGCTTGAGGAAAGTAACCAAGCTGAATCGCCAGAAAGCGAAAATGATGAGAAGAAGGTCGATGATAAGCTCGAGGACACGAAAATCGAGCTAGATGCAATTCACCAGCTGATAAAAGAATCTCAGAAGCGAATTTCTGAAGCAACAGCAAATGAATTCAAGCTTCTTGAGGAAAAAATCGCAAAGCTTCAGAGCACACCACCTTCAGAATAAATTGCCGAATGCATAAACATATTCTCAATCTTATTTTTGAGTCTTTGAGTCCCGGAATTTATCAATCTAGCTGTCTGTCCGTAAATGGCAATGGCGCGATCTACTGAGACTAAATTTTATCAAGCTCGCATCAAAATAAAGCCAGGTCACACAGAAAATAGCGCATAAGAGAAATTAGCTGCGGGAATCAAGTCTCGTCAGCAATCAAAGATAGGACTGATTGGCAGACGATCGAACTCAACAGGGGTTCATCTTGTTATCCTCTGTCTGCGACGATTATCTAGGCCACCGCCTTCCTAGAAATGCTTATGAAATCAACAAAGAGACGCGGCCATACGCGAGTCAATCCTGTTAGTTCGTCAATAATTTTTTTCTCTCATTATCGCTTGATTTTGCTGCGCTTACAGATTTAGTTCGACCAAAGATGAAGCTTTTTCATGATGTTTTACAAGTGTTGAATTTTGAATTCGGCGTAAAAAAATCGCAACGGCAGCCATTCCTTCCAAAAAAGGGATGCTGAATTGACGTCACAATGTTTATACGTTTTTGGGACCTCGCGCCAAGGATGGCAGTCCTAGGGTGTGACCTCTAACTTCTAGTGCTTACTCTTCGTAGAATATTGTTGTCCCTTCAGAAAAAAAAACAAGGATAAATCAATGTTATTTCAAGACATCAATTTTGATAGCTTCAAATATTTCTCAGGATTCTCAGAAATCTACTTTGAGGGCAGGTCTCGGAATAACCGGTATCATCCATACGTAGGGTAACTAAAGTTCCCACGCTATCGAAATTGTATTTGCGACAGTTTCCTTGCCTTATCACTCGTCTAGCATATATTGCCCTTCGAATTTCTTCTCACACCCGGCAACAAGTAATTATGTAACTGCAACTGGCACGATCATTTTCCATGATTTCTATTCTCAATACCATCATATTACCATTTGCACAGTAGAATTCTCAATCTATGAGAGTCATTGTGATATTCTCAGCCGGCTTCCAAGAAAATAGCTTATCGATTCATATTTTACGTCAGGTAACCCATAAACGACAAAAGACTGCCGCCGGTGGAATTTGAATGATCTTTGCCGAAGGTCAACAAAGCACACGACTTACAAGTAGGATCATTCCCGCTGAGACAAGGCCGCTCGTTTTCTCTAATGATGAATAACTGCGGATTTTCTTAAGATTCTCCATTGTTTTCTTATGCCAAAGAAAAGCATTCGTTCAGTTAAGCCCGGTATTCAATTGTAAAACATCATAGGTTTTGTCCATTCTACGTCAGAAATGGTTAATTATGATGACGAAAGTAACAACTTCGACCTTGTCAAGGGTGACAAGAAGCCATTTGATTTACTGATCGTGGGTGGACGCTTTAGGCACCATGTGACATTAAGAGACTTCTTAGGATATTCTCTAATTCACCAAAATTCTTGCCTATAGAAATAATTAATTAATGTTCTCTGACATCATCAGTACTAGAACCCATCTTCTACCCAAAGATGTTAATAAATTAAACCTAAAGAGTTCCTCCTGTAATATTCAAGTGGATTCAGCTGACGATTCTCATGTTTATCTGTTGTTTCTAAAATGTAAATAAATCACAGTGGGTTCACGAAATTCTGATTATCTCCATAAAAATCAGTGGATCAACAGAAATTCGTGGAAACGTATTCTGTTGATCTTGTTAATACGTTGTTGTTCATCAGAAAAGAATGGCTTTCAATGATTTTACTACAGTGGTAGTATAGAACGAAAAGTATTTCTTGAAGCACTTCCATATTTAGCTATATTTACTAAGAAAAAGGCAACTAAAGCATTCTATTTGGAATATTTGGCGACCCTAAGTGGCAGCTCGAGCGCAGCTTCAAGCCTGGGGCGCCAACGACTTGACTCACAAAGGGACGCTCTTTATTTCCTCGCGGCTCACTTTACTCCAGAAACAGAGCCTAGAGACAGCTTGAGAGAGAAAACCTTTTAAATTTTGTATCCAGGGCAAATACGAAAAAAGAACGACTTCTTCAGTCAATTTTCTTTTCTCCACGACTTCGCTGCGACTGCCCAGCAACACACACACAAGCTGGCAAAACTATTGATGAACTTGGCTCAACTTGATTCCCGATCAAGTGCTCCAACTGCAGGTCAGTATTTTCAAAGCTAGGAAGATTTCTAGTGATGGTTACTTTATGATTCTAGGCACCGAAAAACACCCTGTTGTCGCACCACGAGTAGCTCAGCCAAAGGACGACTTTGGTTGAAGGAAACGACCCTGTCTAACTGCACCAAACGGCGTTAACCCACTCTCGCCGACATGACCCATCAATTCGAAATCTCATCATCCCTCAAAACCACCATCCAGCGGCTCAAGGACCGACTCTATTTGCGCAAAGTAGCGGCAAAAGGTAAAAATTACGTATTTTGAGCATAAACACTCCCCTCGTTGAAAGTAATGTTTACATGAATATGTAAGACTTGTTAAAATAGCCGAACTCATGTTAGCTCTACCAATTCAGCGTATTTTTAATGATCTTTAATTAACGAGCAATTCGTAAAATTGGGTCACAAAATTATGAGACCAAATTTTGATCATCAAAATTGAAATTCCGCCAAGCCCGAAAGCGATATTCGTGTCTAAAATAAACCTTACAATTTCTTTCAGAACGGGCCATTGAAAAGCTGCAACAGGAAGTAAAAGGAGGAACTTCGCGAAGCGAAAAGACGCGCACGACTCGTTCAAATTGGCTCTAATGCACGGGCATTCTCCAACCGACGATCTTATTCCCCTTCCAATCACTCGCTTTAATCAGTATTCTAGTAAAATTTAGCTACCTAACTTACCCAATTAATAAAGCCCTTTCTTACCAACAACTAGACTTTCAAATTCAAATCTGGTGTTACCTGCTTCTTTATAAAAATCAACTTACCAAAGTATTTATCAGAACTCAATGACCCGTATTCATTTTCAGCCATCATTTACTCCTTGCTCCAAATGTCCAATTCGTCACTGTAAATTAATCACTTCAAATTCTGCATTTAGTTAGTTTTTCATCTTCAAGAATAAATTTTATAAAAAACATTTGTCTATCGATGAGTCATATTTATCGGGGAGAATTCGCTTTGCCCTGCGGCGTGACTCATTGAAAAGAGAGAAAACTCGGGATTAAAATCGGATATTTCAGAACAGAAAAAATAATAAATGACAAAACGGGCTATCGATAAAAATTGGAAGGCATTATTACAGTCAGGAGCAGTCACACATAACAAGAAAAAGAAAGAACAAGTGAACTATGAGAAGAAAACAAAAGATGGCAAAAAGACCATTTGGTTCGACGTCGACAAGTCGATTTTAGAGCAGCATGATGCTTTGATGCCTTCGAAAGGGAAGGCTTCAAGTTTGAAGAACAAAATTGTTGCGATTGATTGTGAAATGGTGGGGATCGGCTTTGGCGGGAAGAAATCGGTCTTGGCGAGAGCGAGTGTTGTTTCGGGCGACGGGGAAGTGCTTATAGGTAATTTCAATTAGGCTGATTTCGAAAGAGTCTGCCATCTTTAGACAATAATATTGTTTTGATAAATAGGCGTAATCATTAGTCTACTAGTATCAGATCCCATCAATCACATGTCGTGTTCAGACGAGTTTTGTCGGGCGCCGGAGAAAGTGACAGACTACAGAACACTTGTATCAGGAGTACGGCCCAAGGACCTCAAGGACGCGCAGCCATTTGAATCATTGAGAAAGAAAGTAAAAGAAGCTCTCGCTGGAAAGATTCTTGTTGGCCACGGTCTTTCAAACGACTTGAAGTGCTTAAAGATAAATCATCCTGCTGCAGATATAAGAGATACAGGAAATGATTTATAAGCTCTGGAAAAATTTCTATTGATGTTTTAATCGAGAAATTAGAAAATAATCATGAACAGCTAATTATTTCAAAAATGCGAAAGGATCGAAGCAAAGTCTCCAAACATTAGCTTCTGAAAGGCTTGGGATAAAAATCCAGACAGGGGAGCATTCTCCTATTGTTGATGCGCGAGCTGCATTGAGAATATACGTAAGTCTCGAAGAAGCCTCACCATATTTGAAGATAATTGAGTTGTTTTGTATCAAATTCCGTCAATATTTTCGTAGCTCCAAAGCAGAAGAGAATGGGAAGAAAAGCTAAAGAAAGAAAAACAACCAAAAAAGGGAAAAATAGACAAAGTTGAAGAGCACGAAAGCGGGGTGGTCGACGAACAAGAAACTGAAAAATCTGTATAAAAAGCGCCATAAAAGTCAGATATTGAGTTTAATCATGAAAATTGTTCAGAATTTCTGTGTAAAATGGCAAATTCGAATTCGGATAATGAGCTGGAAATGGAAGTCATCAAAGAAGCGCGCTTAGAAAAAGAATCGATTGTTGAGCCACAGAAATCAGTAGATTTGAAAGACTCGGACGAAGACTCAGATGAGCAAGATTCAGATGACGACGAAGATATTCTAACGACGGGAACAGTGGTGAAGGAAGCCGACATTCTCATTCACCCCCGTGGCGGTTGTCCGATTCATCCATTCAGAAAAACGTTCAAGGAGAAAAAAGTCATCGCGAAGAATGAAAAGTTCTGCGAAAAATGCTTCTGCTACATTTGCGACATTGAGTGAGAGAAAAAGCTGGTTTGTCATTCTACATTTCTTTCAGGGCATCAAAATGCGATTATTGGACCGATGCAAAAGTACGTCATTGTAATGCGTACCACACGAAAGACGGGCTATGGAGATTTATTCGCGAGAAATATAAAGAGCGAAAAGCGAAGAAAGAAAATCTGTTGGCAATTAAACGAGATCTCCATGAGGTAAATTGGTCTTACGTAAAAGATAAACCTGTTCTTTAGCAGCGGAAACGTAAGCGACCCGAAACATCAAAAGCTGCATCAGTCATTGATCTTGCAGACCTCGAAGAAAAAATGAAAAAATTAGAAGAAGTTAGGGTTCAAAAAGAGAAAGAACGACTCAAGCGAAAGGAAGAAGAACGACAACAAAAAATCCAAAACCAAGAAGCGTTTACTTACCAAACTCATGAAGCATTTGAAGCCTATGAATCTACTGCACCGCCAGCTGCTGGAGTTACCTTGAATGATACAGAAACACTTCCAGACTTTTCTAAAACTCAGCCTGCAAAGCCAAAGGTAAAAACACATTTTAACGTTTCAGTTTCAAATGTTACTATTTCAAGATTCAAATGAAGATAAATTTCTCCAAATCACTAGGCCAAAGCTCAGAACAGATTGATCAGGATGACAATGACGGTCTGACAGACCCATCTGCTCCAAAGAAAAAACGGCCTGAGGAGAAGAGCTCTGAAGAATCTCCAGAAAAGTCAATTGCCCTTGCAAGAGTTCGAAATGCGAGTGGAAAGTCAGGAGAGTACTCAGATCTACCGCATACGGCGGTGGCACTTCCAGAAGATCAACTCAAACCTGCTGGTTCTGGTCTTTCAAACTCAAGTCTGAGCCATTTGCAGCAATGGCTCGCATCAACAAAACACAACGCTAACCTTGAACTAAAGAAAGCCCAGGAAAATTTAAAGGCGATCGAAGCGCCTGGAAGATCAACTGCTCACTTCAAAAGCTCAGCGGTATTCGATTCCAGAGAGTTTATGATGAGAAGGAAGACGCAAGCAAAAAGAATGAGCCAAAAAGTTTCATACGTCGATTCCATTTAATTACAATCAACGAGGCGGAGGTCCACCATCAAGGGGATTCGTTGATCGAGGACGAGGAGCACCGCTGGGAAGGGGAGGTATTCGATTCGACATTCGTGGACGCGGTGGAGGATCCAATACAAGTGGAGGAACAAGTCAAGGTGGATTCACTTTCCGTGGAAATAATTCGCGAGGTTTTCCCAACCGCGGTGGGCCGCCTTTACGAGGAGTTCCGCCCGTCAATCATCGTGGAATGCCATTTTCTAATCGAGGAGGACTCCCTCAAAGAGGCCACCCAAATTTGAGAGGTGATTCTTTCAGAGGAGGAAGGCCGCCATCAAGAGGCGATTTTGGACGAGGAAGAGGGAATGGATTTTCTTCCCGCGGCGGCCCCGGATTTTCTCGTGATCCACCGCGGCGGGAATCATACGAAGAAGAAAATCGTCCTCGATATGGAAGTGCTCCAAATCCTCGTCGAGGGCCTTCCTCTTATACAAGCTCGAACACTGGTCAAAGAAGACGAGAAAACGACAGGACACAAGGCGATTACTCCCGTGGAGGTCAACGAGATCATCTGTCGTCGCGTGATAGTCGCCCAAATTCAACTCGGAACGTTCCGCGATTTGACGAAGGAAGAATCGACCGCCCCATGGGACGACGCAGCGGTCCTCACTCAAGCGCCTATGATCAGCTTCTGCAGGACGTCGATAAGCACCGTGAAATCTCAAAGAAAAAACAATGGGAAAATTCAAAACTCGATCGAGACATTCAAGCAGAACTGCGGCGAACGGAAAGAAAATCTGAGCCTATTTTACTTGGTGAAGTAAAGGTCGCTGAACCAGAGACGTTTGGAAAATGGTAAAAGAGCACTGCCGCGCGAGATATCGAAGGAATGGTGACACTTTTTCGCGAAATGTCCCAACCAGCGAACGAAAAATCGAGAGAGCTTGTTCAATCACTGGTCCAGATATTTCATTTATTGATTTAGTGAATAAGTTATTTATATCGTCACCAAGAGAAGCCAATTTAATCCATCTTTTTCCTTACCAAAAATTGTAATTAAAATTTTATAACATAATTCAGAGAAGTAGAAGTCTTTAATAAGATCGAGATAACTTTTTGTAGCTAAATTCAACCTAAAGTCTTTAGGCTAAAGACATGATGATATTTTACTCTGTATATATTTTGATATCCAACGTTATATAAAAATATTTCTTTCCATAGAATGGCAGACGCTGCTCGAAAGCGACTGGCAAAAGAGGTGAAGCAGTTGAAGAAAAAACCACTTGACTTGATCTGGACTGAACCAGATCCAGCGAACATCCAAGAGTGGCACTATTGCTTCGAGGGACCGAAAGATACTCCGTACGAAGGCGGCTTCTATCATGGTGTTTTGAAGTTCCCCAACGAGTACCCTTTCAAGCCGCCTGCAATCTATATGTACACGCCAAATGGACGATACAAGCAAAACACTCGAATTTGGTACAGACTTATTGAAGAGCGACTGATTTATTACTCAATTCTAGCACTTCGTTCTCCGACTTCCATCCCGAGTCCTGGCAATCGACGCAAACCATTTCAACAGTGCTAGTTGGACTCCTCTCTTTCATGACTGAGGAATGCCCCAACGCCATCGGGGGCATGCAAGAATCCAAAAGTGAACGAAAGAAGATGGCCAGGGAATCTGGTGCCTTCAACAAACGGAACGAAAAGTTCTGCAAGCTCTTCCCCTATCTTCTAGAACGAATGTAAACAATCCTGACAATCATCCAGCTCAATAATGTTCCCATTTCGCTTTTATACTGATCCCTTTCCACTTTATCTGGACGTGCGTGTGACTGTAACGAAATAACTCTAAAATTTAATCACTCTATTTAGTCACTCTAAATACGAACTACAATTCATTGAAAAAAAAAACGCTTAACTCTTCAGGAAAAACCTAATGCTCAAGCAGTATTATCACATCCGCGTTCAGACTCCTTTTAGTGCTTCATATTAAACTTCTTTTCTTCCCTCTATGATTGAAACCTCATCTCGTGTAATTGAAAACAACTGAAAAACAAATTGAAAACAAGTTGTTAATTCATTGTGATTGAAAACTCTGCCACCAGAAACGCTATTCACCTAATCGGACAATAAATTTGTGATTATTATCTATCTAAACAAACTGGACTACTTCGCTTTCAATGATCAATAGTTCTGTCTTGAAATTTAGCTAAAATGATTTTATACTTTGAAGATAAATGGCGGCCCAAAGACGCCAAGGACATGTGAGCGCGTTGAATCGCCTGAAGAACGATTATGCACGACTAAAGAAAGACCCAATTCCTTTGATTCATGCAGAGGTGAGTTGGCTTTTATACGCGCTAGGATCCACATCCTATTCTATGAGAAAGAGATAATAATGAAATAAAACTAAGCTTTTTTGTTTTTATGTCCTTCGCAGGAAGGAAATCTTGTCAGAGGCGTGTTTGCAATAATACCGTAAAATAAACGAAAGAGACCAAATGAGTACTTCAGCCCGACCCGGCAAATATGTTAGTATGGCATTACTGTGTAATCGGGCCGCCGCATACTGCCTACGAAGGAGGCTATTTTCACGGGAAACTTCAATTCCCGCCAGAATTTCCATTCAAACCTCCTTCAATCCTGATGATGACTCCCAACGGCCGTTTCAAAATAAATCAGAGACTATGGTAACTTTGTATTCTCTTCCTTGATTGCAACAAAAATTTGTAGCCTTTCCATATCAGATTTTCACCCAGATAGCTGGAATCCAGCCTGGTCAGTCGGAACAATTTTAAATGGGCTTCTTTCATTTATGGTCGAGGAAGCAACAACATATGGATCCATCGAAACCCCCAACGCAGTCCGCCAGCGATTAGCAAGAGATTCAGGCGCAGAAAACTTGCGTAACGAAAAGTTCTGCGAGTTGTTCCCCGAGCTTGTCGAAGAGATAAATTCAAAACTTGAAAAGAGAAGAGCGCAGACAAAGCCAATACCAAAGCCAGAGAAAGAGTCAGAAGAAACAACCAAGGAAGCAACAAATGCCACAGCGGATTTAAGGGCCGCTGTCAAGCAAGAACAGGGACTCTCAAACTTGGCAATTTTCGCGATGATCACCCTTTTAGCGTTATCGGCAGGCGTCGTAAGTAACGTATGTATCTTTTACGACGTGATTGTGGTCGTAAACATTTATCAGACTTAAAACTGACATGAACAATCGGACACTAACGCGGATTTTTTAGATTCTTTATGGAGAGAGCTAGTCTGTATTCTGTCATTATTCTCACTCTGTCTCGTCTCTTCAACATTTTCTATAAAAACAATCGAAAAAAAACTATCATAGTTTTCACAACTAAAGTGACTTCTTTTCACGTTCAGATGAAAAATGAGAGTGTGGACGTAGAACACAGACCTCTAGGTCGAGTTGGTGGTGCGCTCTTCTGCTTTCTGATCTTCATAACTTCATTTTATGGTGCAATATTTCTACTTGGCCCATGTTTTGCGTTAATTTATATTTGGCCCTGGTTGTACAGAAGAGTTGTTGATCGGATTGTTGCGTTTTGGCTAATTTTTCCCATTGGTGAGTTCGACTTTTCATCCTATAATAATCTTGTTATTAAGCCTTGCTCGAAAAGGTCTTTCGTGTCCAGTTTTTTGTCAAAGGCGATGGGTTCAACTACATGGAACGAACTGTCATCATTCTCAATCATCGAACTCGTGTGGATTGGATGCTCTTTTGGCCCTGTCTGTTTCACTGTGCCCGATTGCGAAAGTTGAAGATCGTTCTAAAGTCCGACTTGAAGTACATCCCTGGCCCAGGATGGTTAGTCTTTTATCACTTATTAACAATAATGACGCGTCTTTCCCCAGGGCGATGCAGGCGGCGGGTTTTATTTTCCTTGACCGAAAGTGGGAAAGAGATCGACCACATGTTGAAGATTTACTTCATTACTTCAATGATCCGGACATCAACGAGCCACTTATTTTGCTTATGTTTCCTGAAGGAACTGACTTGACAGAGAACACGAAGTCAAGGAGTGACAAGTTCGCTGATAAGCAAGGACTTCCAAAGTACGATTACGTTCTTCATCCAAGGTAATAAACTCGCCTTTTCGGTTAAATAACTATTGATAATAGAACTACTGGGTTCACGCACTTGGTAAAACAGCTGACGGAAGCTAATGCCATCGATTCTATTCATGATATCACTGTTGGATATCCAGCCGGGTTGATAAGAGATGAAAACGACCTTATCGACGGCAAAATGCCTAAAGAAGGTATTTAGTAAAACTTGGCTAAGATTTTGACTGATTTCAGTCCATTTCTCTATCACGCGTCATCCGGTCGACACTCTGCCAACATCGGACCAGGATCAAATGTCCACTTGGCTCAACGAAAAATGGCGATTGAAAGAAGAGAAACTAAAAAAATTTTACACAGTCGATCGAAAATTCAACGATACTCGCCAACCGTACTGGGATAAAAGGACGATTAGCATTTGGATCGCTCTTGTTTTCTGGCCCTCTTTCACGTAAGATCAAGCTTTGAATCATTTCAGTAGTGACACAATGTTTCAGTGTTGTTTGCTCTTATGGCCTCATTGTGAGCCATATGCTCAAGTGGTACGGACTCGGCTCCATTGTCTTCTATATATTCGCTCTCAGAGCAAACGGGGGTGTAGAAAAGCTAGAGATGGCCGTTTTCCAAGCTCTTCATCACAAAAAGTAAAGTTTACTACGGCAACAAAATTTTATATTTTTCTTTAGTCCGAAAGAAGATTAATCAACGAGTCCCGAACTGAAAAAATAACTGCTTCTTTGTAAATAGCGATTTCCTGTCTTCTTCAACTCAGTGCACAGTTCCATTTTTGTCCATAAACTATATTTTATCGCAAAGTCCACCTGTTTTTAAATAGTACTTGTACCTATATATTTTTATAAAGCATCTTGACAGATAATTTCTAAAGGAATCCTGAGAGCGCAATAATCAGCTGCTCGTCGCGTTTTTACCTATTTTCTTCCAAGCACCAATTTATGAAATTATAATCCTTTGTAGTTTCCTTTCTTTCACGAGCCTGTTTTCTAATCATGGCTATTTCCCGGTTTTATATTTTCCTTCAACGTGATTTTACCTTTCTTTTTACTATTTCCATTTATTCGTGTTCATGTTTTGTTTAGTGTCCAAAATTCTGATTTGTAGCACAAAACTTCAATCCTTGCCTTTCATAAACACCTCTTCAGTTTTGTATTTCAGAAAAAAGTAAAAAATGCATAAAATGGGTAAAAAAGACGAGGAGGCGGGAAACCCCTTTCAAAATGTTGACCGCTCAACCGCACTCCAGGAAGCTAAAAAGTTCCACGAAACCCCACTCCGACCAAGACTCTGCTCGGAAACTTGCACCAAGGTTATCTATCTTGCAAACCAAGGTGAAGAATTCACTACAACAGAAGCAACCGACTTTTTCTTTGCCATGACCAAACTCTTCCAAAATAACGATATCACTCTCCGTCGTATGTGCTATTTGACTATCAAAGAGCTCTCTAAAATGACCGAACACGCTTTTATCATGACCCAGTCGCTGACCAAAGATATGAACGGCAGTCAAGATCTTTTCCGACCAGGTGCTGTCCGAGCTCTTTGCTCGATTACAGATCCCACTACTCTTCAGTCGATCGAAAGATACATGAAGCAAGCTATTGTTGATAAGAACACAGCTGTTGCATCCGCCGCACTCATTTCTTCTTTCCATCTCTGTGACAGAGCCTACGATATCGTTAAACGATGGGCAAATGAAGCACAGCAAGCTAGCAGCTCCGACAACCAAATGGTGCAATACCACGCTTTGGGTCTCCTTCACCACTTGAGAAAACGAGATCCTCTTGCCATCGAGAAGCTCGTCGTCAAGCTCTCCCGAAGTGGCCTCAAGTCTCCCTTGGCCTACACTCTTTTGATCAGAATCGCCGCCAAGCTTCTCGCCGAGGATGACGATCGAACAGCTCTTTTCGATTTTATTGAGTCCTGCTTGAGAAACAAAAACGAAATGGTTGTTTATGAAGCCGCAAGTGCCATCGTCAACATGAAAAACATCACTCACAAAGAGATCGCTCCAGCTGTTTCAGTTCTCCAACAATTTTGTGGCTCTCCAAAGCCAGCCCTTCGATATGCTGGTGTACGATCGCTTAATAAGGTTGCGATGAAGCACCCATCTGCAGTTACTGCTTGCAATTTGGACTTGGAGAACCTTATCACCGACTCTAACCGATCCATCGCCACTCTTGCTATCACAACTCTTCTGAAGACTGGATCAGAGTCCTCTGTTGAGCGCCTCATGAAACAGATCTCCAATTTCATGTCGGAGATCTCAGACGAATTCAAGATCGTCGTTGTCGAAGCTGTTTCTGCGCTTTGTGCAAAATACCCACGAAAACACTCTGTTATGATGGAGTACCTTTCCAAGATGCTTCGAGACGATGGTGGATTCGACTACAAGAAAGCCATCGTTAACTGCCTCATTACTATCATTTCCGAGTCCCCTGAGTCCAAAGAACTCGGCCTCATGCAGCTTTGTGAATTCATCGAAGATTGCGAACACACCTCTCTCGCTACTCGAGTTATCACACTGTTGGGCGACCAGGGTCCACTATGTGCTAATCCTTCAAAGTTCATCAGGTTTATTTATAACCGAGTCATCTTGGAAAACGAAGTTGTTCGAGCTGCTGCGATCTCTGCTCTTGCTAAGTTTGGAGCTGTCCGAGAGCTTACAGGAATGTTTATGCGCTAGAATATTTATTTCTTTATTTTCGGCAGCTCAAAAACTCTATAAAGACTCCGTTCTCACTCTCCTCCACAGATCCATGGTCGACGAAGACGATGAAGTTCGAGACCGAGCAACTTTCTACTACCATATCCTGAAGCTCAAGGATGATAAGCTCAACTCTCAGATGATCATCAACGGTCTCGTTGTTTCTCTCCCAGCACTAGAGCGACAACTTGCTGGTTACCTCGAAGTCTGCCCAGAAGAACCATTTGATATGAAGACTGTTCCTGTCATGGCAGTCAAGGAAGAAGTCGAGAAGCAAGCTACTGCTACTAAAAAGAAGGAGCCAAGCCGTGATGAGATCTACGCCGAAGAACTTTCGCGCATCCCTCAATTCGCTGCTCTTGGCCCTCTGTTCAAGTCCTCCGCTGAGCAGAAGCTCACCGAAGCCGAGACAGAGTACCAAGTTTCCGTTGTCAAGCACACCTTCCTCAACCACATGGTTCTCCAGTTCAACTGCGCCAATACGCTCAACGACCAAGTTCTCAAAGATCTTACGATCGAGGTTGAAGGCGCTGATGGATACGAACCCACAAGCTACATTTCTACGGAAGAACTTGTCTACGGCACTCCTGGAAAAACCTACTGCATTATGGATCTACCAGAAGCCGATGAAGTTTGCGCTTCCAGCTTGAGCTGTCAGATGAAATTCATCGTCCACGACTGCGACCCCAACACTGGAGACGTCGATGAAACCGGTTATCCAGATGAATACGTTATTGATGATATCGAAATTTCCGTCGGAGATCATATTCAGGTAAATCATTTCTTATAAACTACGAGCTCACTTTTCGATCAGAGAGTGCTTAAACCTAACTTCCCCGCTTCCTGGGAAGAAGTCGGTGACGAGCATGAACTCGAAGAAACCTATCATCTTTCTGAAATCGGCACTCTTGAAGAAGCTGTCAAACAGATCATCACATTCCTCGGCATGCAGGTTTGCAAGATATTTTTTAAAAACAGTTTTCAATTATTTATAGCCATGTGAGAGGAGTGACAAAGTGCCAGAAGGAAAAGTTCACCATGTTCTTATTCTCAGCGGTGTTTACAGAGGTGGCCATGAGATCCTCGTCAGATCGAAGCTTGTTCTCAAGGTAAGAAATCAAGACTTGCTTCGAGAAACTATCATTATTCAGGACGGTGTTCAAATGCAATTGACCGTGCGTGGAACAGATCCAACTTCAGTCGCTGTTGTTGCATCGGCGATCGCCTAAATTAGTCAAAATTCTATCTATCTATTTTTATTTGTATCATTATTTTCCAGTGCAATACCATTCGTCCCTTCCTTTCAGTTCTTCGATATATCTGCTGTTTTCCCTGTAGCGTCTTCTTTACTTCAAGAGGCAATTAGATTACATTTGGGTTAAATTTTATGAAGTAAGATGATGTCTGATGTGGATAACAGGTCAAAATCCAAAGATACTCTACAAGTGCAAATATATCGAAATTTACCTTGACACAAATAAAATGTGATAAGTCGCAAGACTACTTATGTAAGAATCAGTTGTGATCATTGTGTAGAAAAATATTCGAGGGGCAAGGCAAAAAACGGATAGCTGTAAAGCTGCAACTTAGTCTTTCAATACTTTTTACGCAGTTTGCATACAGTCTACCAACTTGCTAGTGAAAGAGAGCAGGCAATCGTGATGAGCTTCAGCTTCGAATTAAGCCCGTTATCGTACGAAACTAGGGAAGGGTCCAGAAATGTAGACGTTGCATTAACATTAGACACAGTTCGATGAGAATATTACATGTGTGAAGCTACGTAAAATATCGCGTTTCTCCTGCGTCAGCTTTAGTTTATAATTTTTAATCATTTCTGGCTCCTTCTTTGACCTCCGACAAAAGGTATTTTTTGTGACCATTTAACGAACTTTTATTGGGCGTGACCTGATTTCGCCACTAATTGTTTTGGCTGTTAGAGAGAGTGATGATATTTAGCTTGAAGTTTTTGATATTTGACTAGAAGTCTTTTCGAGTGCTTTTGTGCATCTGTTTGACTTCTTTGTGCGCGAGAAAGATTGTATTTTGACGAGTTTTACTTTTCAGGAATTCATATGAGCGATCCGTTTTCGGGAGTTTATGATGCCTGTCATTCGGGAGGAGATACACCACAGACGCCGTTAAGACCTGTTCCAAGACTTGTTCTCCCGGATGGTGGTACCGGAGAAGGTATGAAGTTTTTTCTGAAATTATCTCAAGAACCCGATTTGAATTCGTGGGTTATCTACTCGAGTGCGAAATCGATTAATGCACTAAAGCATAAAAAACAGCATTCTTGTTGGAAGTGATCAGAATTCAAAAATATCGATTTGTTTTGAAAAATTATTCAGGCTCATCACCCGCCTGTTCGGACAGATCGGATATGTCCTCGAGAAGTGATACGAAATTGCCGAAATTGAATCCAAATTGGACCAATACGCCTACAATTGTTGCACTTGTGGGTAAGTCTCTTTGCTCTTCCAGGAATAGCAATAAGGGGATAAACTAAAGTTGATCCTTTCGATAAACTCTGAAAGTTAAGGCCTTCCGGCTCGCGGAAAAACGTACATCGGAAATCGTTTGTCGAGGTACTTGAACTGGGTCGGAACAAATTGCCGCGTGTTCAATGTCGGAAGTTACCGACGCAAGGATTCAACAGTTATGCACACCTCCAACTTCTTCGACAACAATAACAAAGCAGCGATGGAGTTGCGACTGAAGTGGCGAAAAGCAGCACTTAAAGATATCCAACGGTGGTTCCATGAAGACGATGGCCAAGTGGCTATTTACGACGCTACAAATGTGGAAAGATCAGCGAGACAGTTTCTTTGGGAGTTTGCGGAGAAACATGGATTCAAATTATTCTTCATCGAGAGCGAATGTAATGACCCGGAAGTCGTCAATAATACGGTACGAGAGGTGAAACTTCACGGCCCTGACTATATCAGTGTGGATAAAGACAAAGCCGAGAAAGATTTCAACGAACGAATCAGGAAATACACGGAGGTCTATCAGCCGATGAATAGAGACGATGATGGACATTGCTCTTTCATCAAGCTTATTGATGTTGGAAAAAGGTAATTTGTCGAAGTATATGCAGTTTTAACGCGTCGTTCTCTAGTTATATCGTCCATAATGTTTCTGGTCATATTCAAAGCAGAATGGTTTATTTCTTAATGAATTTACGAGTTCGTCAGAGATCGATTTACTTGTGTCGTCATGGAGAGTCGGAGATGAATGTTTCTGGTAGAATCGGTAAGCATTGAGTTTTGAGATCAAATACTCATCGTTTCAAATAGGTGGCGATTCAAACTTATCCTCAAGAGGTCGTCAATTCGCACAAAATCTTGGGGACTACATAGAAGGCATTCGAAAAGAAATTCCTGGGCGATTCCATGTGTGGACATCGGGACTTAAACGAACGCAAGAAACTGCGACGATTGCTGATCTTCACTTTGAACCCTGGAAAGGTATGCTTCAACGAGTACTCATTGCTTTCATCACGCTTCTAGCACTGAATGAGATAGATGCAGGAGTGTGCGAGGGACTGACATATACGGAGATCAAAGAAAAATATCCAAACGAATACAATATGCGACAGAACAACAAATACTACTACCGCTATCCGATGGGAGAATCATACTATGATCTTGTCGTTCGTCTTGAACCTGTGATAATGGAGCTTGAGGTTTTAACAAAAGGCTTTCTCTCGTTTTCACTAATGATTCTAGCGTTCCGACAGCACTTTCGTCGTGTGTCACCAAGCAGTTGTTCGCTGTCTCATGGCGTATTTTCAGAATCTTCCAGTCGATACGGTAAATAAAATTCAAAAAGCAGCAATCTAATCGTTTTGCTTTAGCTTCCTTTCCTGAAAGTACCACTGCATACTGTGATTAAAATGACTCAACACGCGCATTCATGCGACGTCGAACTTATCCCTCTTGGTCCAGAAGGTGTTGATACCCATCAGCCAATGACTCCTTGCAGCCACATATCTTCAATCGACAACAACGAAAAATGATAGAATCTTAACCTACCCATCTAGACTTTTCATTCTGTAGACCTCAAGAACCTGTATTTTACGAAAATCCGAAAGACTCCGCTTTCATGCCATAGTGTCCATGTAACCAATTTTACTTTCTGTATCAAGATTTCAACGCAAGTCCAAAACTATGATATTTTGTTTATAACTGTTTCCGTCATAGAGCCTATACTATACATAAATTTCTGTATCTATTCTTTGAATAAATCTATTCCAAAAATATCACATCAGTGTCTGATCAAGAATTGATCGCACACTTTTTGGTCTTTACCATAAACTTGGTATTGTAAGTTTCAGAATGTCTAAAAGGGCACGTCTGATAAAAGAGTTCGCAGAAGAGCTTGAATCAAAGTCAAAAGACACGTATATTTATGATCATCCTCCCCCAAAGGACGATGAATGTAGAATTGCAAGTCAGATATCGAATAATGGAATGAATTCGACAGTTTTTGATAGCAACAGTAACAAAGAAATGATGCATGATTTTTCCATTTTCCACGAGAAAACGCAAGATAATGTATTCGACCAAACACTGCATAGGGTTGATTCTATGGCTGAAAGCCCCGACTTCCGTTGTAGCTACTCTGCTGTTTGTATTGAGGTCTTCTCTGATGGCCGGCAAAATTTACCACAAGATCCCAAGGAAGATCCTCTAACAGCAGTTTGCATCGTGTACTATCACTCGGATGAAGACAGAGAAGACGAAACATGGTTGTTATATACTCGTGACAAGATATATTCCGAAGACGATAGATACGATCTGAACCCCCGTTTGATCTTCTGCAAAAATGAAATGACACTTTTCGATAAATTTGCTCGACTTTTCCAAAGTCTTAATCCTGACGTAGTTCTTGGCTGGGAAATGAGACGACGATCGCTCGGATTTCTGATCAAAAGAGCAGTTTTCGGCCTTGGATGGAAGAAATTCGGGTTGTGCCTCAGTCGACACTTTGGAGGGGATGAAAATAATTACTTCGAGAAAGCAACGGTTGGGGATGTGGCGATCCCTGGCCGAACTGTCTTAGAGTTCTGGCGCCTGGCTGCTGATGAGTTGAGTCTGAGATCAACGAGTTTTGAAGCGGCGGCGTATGAAGTTCTCGGCAAACGCACTCCAATGATGAAACGGATAAAGATGCGGATTATGTGGAACTCTACTGATTGGGAAAAAGTGTTAAATTTCCTCACGTGCAGAACAGAAAGACTTGCTTTGATGATAAAGAAGATCGGGTTGTTAGAAATCGGATACGAAGTCTCAGGAATCGCAAATGTATCCATGAAAGATTCGCTCACTAGAGGATGTCAAGTAAGACATGAAGGTATATTCGGAAACTGCTGTACCTATCTAGGAGAGTTTTCAATGGTAATTTATAAAAAAAAGAGTAACCTGTATTAAAACTAAGTGAAAGAAATGGTAATGGATTCACCAACTGAAGCTGATGTTCGGGAATCAAGAGCAGGAGAACAAATTGCTCTCAATCTTGAGCCCGAATCTGGCATGTATACTGGTGGAGTTGCTGTTCTTGATTTTACATCACTGTATCCCTCTGTTATTATCGCTCAAAACATGTGCTACACCACCATTCTCGGAAATTATCAAGATCATTTGAATGGAGAGCCTCAAAATGTTGGTACGAAATTTGCATGGGCGCTGCCTCGTGAGCAACTTCCTGATGAGACGGACGTTCATTATGCTTCAACAAACTGTTGTTTTGTTAATAAAGAAAAACGAATGGGGATTTTGCCGCAAATTCAGACGAAGGAAGGTTTTGAATACCAACTCATGGTTTTAGTTGAATTTATTTCGAAACTTAAATAGCTCCTGTCTAGCCGAGCAGCAATAAAGAAAATGATGAAATCCGGCACTCATTCTCACCGAGAATACAAAATGCTCGATTCTCGTCAACACGCACTAAAAATGATTGCAAACACGATGTACGGATACACCGATGCTGGATTCTCCGGAAGAATGCCAAACCGACATCTTGCAGAAGCAATTGTCGGTGATGCAAGATGTTTGACAGAAAGAGCAGCGATTGCTTGTAGAGATATGTTCGGCAAAACAGTCATTTATGGGGATACGGATTCTGTCTTTGTCGATATGGAAGAAACTGTAAATAGGATCGGTTCAATTAATTTTTAGAATCCAAACTCATCAAATTAATCAGTCCGGTAAAAGAGAGAATATTGGCGATCTGATAGATTATGTTAAAACTATGGCTGAAGAAATCACAGCAATGTTCCCGCCACCCATTGACTTAAAGTTCGAGAAAGTCTACTGGCCCTGTATTCTGGAGACAAAGAAGAGATACTGTGGATATCCATGGGAAAAGGCTGGTAAAAAGCCTGAGCTGGAATCAAAGGGAATCGAAAATATCCGAAGAGATGGAGTTCTTGCGGGTGGTAAACTGGTAACGAAGGCGGCGAAAACGCTCTTTGACATGGTTGTTGATGGCAAACTCAGTTTCAGGATCGCGCTCCATTATCATAGATCATATTTAGGTATCGAACTCCTTGTTGATTTCAAATGTAGAGTGCTTGCAAAGTAAACTAAAGGGAATACTGATAGACGAAATCGTAAAGATAAAGTCTAACCCAATAGCTTTTCTACCTGATTTGATATTTGAGAAATCATGGCGTGGATATGATGGCTATGCGCCAGGAGCTAAAATTCCTGCTTGGAAAATAGCAAGAATCAAATACAAACGAGGAGGACCCCTCAATGGCCCTCCTTCAGGAGAACGGATAAAATATTGCGTGGCGGTTCCTACCCCAGAATCCGGAGAGTCTGTTTTCTCAAGAACGTGGGAAGTTGAGGAATTCTTATTTGGTGATCTTCAGGAAAAGAGCTTCAAAACTCACTTTAGTGAATAAATATAAGATCTACTACAGATTATTTTGAAACTCATTTTCTAGCCTGATATAGACTGGATAATCAGAATTCATATTCTTCCTGGTTTAGAGCGGTTACTAGGCGCAGTTCACCCTCTACTTCGAGCGTCACGGTGGGAGGAAGACATTACAGGCCAAGAAGCATCGGTTACTGCCACGAATGGTTCATGGAAAACCTTTTCTGCCGCCGAACAGTGTATTGCTTGCGAAATGGATGATCCTGCACCCAACAATGTTTTCTGCGAAGGATGCAAAGAAAATAGCGCAGTGATGCGTGTCGTCGCGAACGAGAAAGAAAAAGTCGAAAACGATCTATCAAAATATCAGCGGAAATGCTTTAATTGCCACAAAGAAGGTAACGGTCCAATAAAAATTGATGACAACACTGTCGTAGCTTTCGGGACAGCGTCGATCGAAGATTTAGACGAAGAGTTTTGCACGAATCTTGACTGCTCGAACAACTACCGACTGATCTACACCGAGAGGAACATGCCAGCAGTACTCAGAAACCGCCTGTTTGAACATTTCTGTTCCTCTGCATGAATCAAAAGCCTTTTATATGTTACACTGCCTCAAAGACGGACAATAAAAGAGAAACACACTGATAGTAAAACAATAAGCGGAGGTCGATTGCCCACCGTTTATTTTCGCAATGATTTGTTTGTCTGGCTAAGCTTTCTTTATTGAAGATTTATCATACAGCTGGAAGATATTTTATTAACAAGATTAGCTTGTAAGTTGCAACGCTGCGAGTTTATTATTTCAATTTTCGAATTTTGCATTTAGTAATGATAGGATAATGATAGTTGGATTAACAAGGTCTGAAGAAAAAGGCATATTCGCGATGCAGTCGGTTTTAAGTTCGTTTTCTGTTTGAGCACAATGGTGAAGATAGAAAGCATGAATTGAATTTCGTGAGTTAAGAAATTGTTATTTGTCGTTTTTTTTAATAAATAAATACAATTTGTGAAATTTTCGGGTTTTAGGAACTGTCGGAGCCAATAGATAGTCTGATGGAAAAAAGGAACAAAGGGAGATAAATAATTACAACTGTTATCGCACGCAAATGAAAATCTGTACATTTGTAAATAAAATAATTAGTTGAACTGAGTGTAAATTGATAAGTTCTTCGAAGATTCTAAGCAATGAAAGATCATAGGCTCACAATGTCGGAAATAATAAGGAATCTGTATCGAATTTGGTACAATAGCGAGAATAAAGAATTGTGATTGAGTTAGTAGAGTTGAAGTTTTCTGAGGCACAGTGATAAGAAAAGTTCTCATGGGAGCCTTGAAATGTAGTGGGAATGTACGCTCAGCGAGGGTAAGTAGAATAAAAAAATTGAATTAGTTTTTAGAAAGGAGGAATTATCAGCTGCGAACGACGCGGTCGGGAAAAAGAGCCTTTTGTAAGATATCCTTTGGCAGGTCGGTTCCAAAAGTGCCAATGTCGAGTTCGATTTGGCTCAATGGATCATTGTCAGCGAAGCCAGAAGAGTTATTGTTCGAACTTTGCTCCATCCCTTGGAAGTGCTGACTTTGGAGGATATCGTGTTGATCGCCTGGGTTTTGATAGTGTCGTTGTTCGGCCATGGAGATATTTGAATGTGATCTGGGAACCGGCTGGTGGAGTCTAATGCACCTTGAGAACATGTCCAAGAAAGTACTCGTTTACCTGTCTGGGAGAAGATGGTGAGAATGGGATCGTTGATGAGGGTAGATCGGCCTCTGTGGGAACTGCTTCATCTGAATTCCTCTTCTAAAGATGGATTATTTTTCGGAAGCTCGACATGCTAGAATACCGGAGGCTTTGGGGCAATGATTGCGATGAATTAGACTGAAAATGAGAGTAACGATTTGGATCAAGTCCCATGTCCATCATGTAGTCTTGGACCTGCGAGTCGATGTGTTGCTGATTATGAGGGGAGTTAGAAAAGGTAGGATTCGAATTCTGATTGTGGTCGTATGAAGGCGCCTGCTGGGGAGAGGGGGACATTTGGTGCATTTGAAGGCGGCTCATCATGGAGGTGGTCGAATCGTAGTACATAGTGCCGTTTCCAGTACTTTGGCCATTGCTTCCGAATTGGCAATTGTTTTGGGACTGAACGGGCATATTCGTCATGTGTGAAGGGCGCTGAAAAGAATTTCAATTGACTCTCAATGAGCAACAAATCGAATGACAAATTGAGCCCTTTGATGTTTTCTTGTCTGATAGACAACGAAAATATAAGAGTTGTGAATGTGCCAAGAGTTGAGAACCATAAGCTGGTAAATAGAGTCTCGCGTTGATGATTTTTGTGCCTTTAGAGGTCAACAAAGAGATCTCTGAAGCCTACTTTTTCGGTCGGGTGATAACGAGTTAAATTGAATTTTGAAGCATTCTGGCCTTATCGATGCACTAGAATGCCGAATTCAACTCGTCACATCCGACTGAAACAATCATCGCTCTGGCAACAAACTCCTCTTTCTCGAGAGAGAAGCTTTCGGAATGAGAGGACGGAATCTTATTATCGACTTGAATAGATTCTGATCTCAGCGCCGAGGCTTCAACGCGAGATATTCGACTAACCTTGGGGCTCAATGAGGAGTCAAAACTTGAGTGCATATTGATGGAATCGTCGGTCATGGAACTGTCGGTTGTTATTTCGCTGATTTGATCGTTGAGAGGTCCCTAGAGAGGAGCTATTAATGATACGGTCGGTATAAAGACTTCTATCAATACATAAAGTGCGGAAAAATGATCCTTACGTTAAGGTGCATGCAATCGGGCCCAGGAAGGGAGTGTGGTTGTCCCACGAGTGAGTTTTCTGGTAGTAACTGTTGCTCGACGAGTGGGTGGATCCAGCTCGTTTGTTTAGTCTCATGATTAATGAAAAGACCTTCTGGTCACGTGTCACTTGTCGCTCACAATGCGACGGCAATTGTGAAGCCTAAAAATGAAAAATGGGTTAGGGCGAGAATGAGAAGCTATAGTGTTATAGTTGGCGCGAGCTCTGGGACTTACATCGTTGTATTCGCACAGTTCCATGTGTTTTCGCTTGAACTGCTCTAGAATCTGCACTCTGGGATCTTCCATCTGCGAGTTTTCTCGATCTGTCGACGAAGTAGCGTATGCCGTTTTGAAAACACATTTCCCAGTTTCCAGGCAATGGGATTCGCTCGATATCAACTGCGAGTGGCTGTATCCGGCCCCTGAAGAAAATTTCAGGGTAAAAATCAGATCGATTTCCTGGCATTGTGGTTTATAATTCTTTCTTGTTTTCTTACATTGCTTGGGTGGGCTGACGTTTTGGTATTATCGGCAGCGAACGCGATCTTGAGTGTTGCGAGTGGTTGATTGACGTTGCTTGGGCGTTCGGAGGCTTGCCGGCGTTGTGGACACCAACCGTGCAGTGAGAGCCTTGAAGTGAGTTACTTGCGTGTTGAGGCGAACCAAGGGATGACGAGTAAGCAGAGCCGGGAGATCCAACTCCTTTGAGGTGATTCTGTGCGCTGGGAGGTTCGCTTTTGATAAGAGACTTATCAAAACGCTCGAAAATGATGTCACGAAGAGGAGAACACATTCTTTTCAAAACGGTAAATCGTTAAAATACTTGGAAAGATCTTTGAGCGCTTTCCTGGAGTTGTTTATATTGTCGACCCTTCTTGTGCGAGTCTTTGTTTTCGATTTCTCTATTTCGGTTTCTTTTAGAGGAAGAGTGCGTTCGATGGACCCGCATTGGGCCAAGAGAGCCAGAGTCTGATGAATTTTGAAGAGAGTCTGTTGAAGAATGTTGTTTGAGCTTTTGCTCGAAAAATGAGGCTGGAAAAGATCCTATTGCTTGAAAGTTACCACTTTTCAAGATTAACCAACTTTACCTTTCATGGCACGAGGAAGACTTTTCGATTTTTGATGCTTTTGGTCGAGGAGGGACAAACTTTGCTCAAAGTGTTTTTCGATTTCATCGCAAACGGAGCCTAATTTTCTGTGTGAAAAAGAAAACAGAAAAAGATGTTTACCTGTGAAACTATAAGTTTGGCTCTTTGACCTGCAATGTCCCTTTGTTTTAGCCGAGTCTTCCATTTTTGTTTTCGCATTCTCGTTACTTTTCAAATTGGGACTTTTCGTTTTCCCCGAGTCCATTCACGAATACCTCTATTTTTTTCTAAAAAGAGAAAAAAGCTTTAAGAAATCTGCGCGCTCGTAAAGTGCTGGCTTCAGAACAACAATCATGAGTCAACAATGGACGAATATTGGTGATAGAGCACCTGCGATAAAAAACAAGAAAATTAAGGACGGATTGTGTAAGCGACGCTCCTACGTATCATCGCCGAACGGGACTCTAATAAGGCTCATTGTGACGATTGAACACTGCTCGAGTAAATATTGGTTCAACGGAACAGATCATAAAGATTTTACAGCGAGCTCGAAGTTGTAGTAAGCGTGAGATGATTCCCCATGGGAAAAATTCCTATAACTCGCTGCCTTACAATAATTACTTCATTTTTCCGTTCCTCTTTAATTTAAGGGGAGGTCGTCGAGAAATTTTTTCGCCTTTTCAAAATTTTGATTATATTTTTGGATTCCTCGATAAAAAGGAGTATTTTTGGTCCCTAGCTTTTTCTTAATTTGTTAACTTTTAATGTAAAATTTTCGATTTTAAGTCTCGAACTTGAAATTTCTTGAAAATTATTCGTTGGTGATTTCGTCCAAAAACTATCTGAAACTGATTATTATACTCTAGGCATTGTTTTAAAATGATTTCTGACTAATTATTTTTAAAAATCCGAGTCTTTGTGATTTTTGAATAATTTTCCATGAAAAATGGGTAAAAATGTCGATTTTGACGAAAATCAAATATTTTTAATCAATAAGAAAAATTTTTTATGAAAGTAACCCTTAATTTTTGATCGCCGGTTAATTTTTAAGGGTCTAAACTACTTATTAATTATATTTGATGAAGAAAAAACTCGGTTTTCGAGATTTTGGTCACGAGACACCCCACTTCAACCCTAATTTTTGAAAAATTTTTCAAAAAATTTTTTCTGCTTTTCGCCGGTTAATTTTTCAAACCCTTTTCTTTCAATCCGAAAAGTCAGAATTTTTCTATCTAATCGGGTTTCTCCGCATTTTTGGTCACGGAAATCCCAATTCTCGTCGACCTCCCCTTAAGGAAAATATAAATATGGCAAGTGTGTATTTGGGATGAAAGGTAAATGTAGTATTTATTACGGGCAGTACGCAGACTCTGATAACAGTAGAAATTAATAAGGTCCACGACGACCTCCTCGATGTCCTCCGCCGCCACGTCCACCACGGCCACGCGAGTCGGTAAAGCCGCCACGGCCGCCACCTCTGAAGTTTCCTCCTCCACGATACGCACCTCCACCTCGTTGGGGAGTATTGCCGCCGCGCTGTTCCTGACGTAATTCATTGATAGTTTGTTCGAATGTTTCGTCGTTCAATAAGTGATGAGGGGATTATTCAAAAATGCTTTAAGGAAGATAGCGAGTGTGAGATAGGGTCGGCATCCTCTGCAGAAATCTAAACTTGCCAGCGTGATTATGTGCTGTCTTTGATTCCCGCTCAAAACTGACCCCTTCTTATGTCAGCTGCTTGCTGTTTGCATATCTGTAGAGCGGCTCTACCAGAGCCTTTAATATACCTTCATAGTTCTCCGCTTGATAACAGGTAATCTTTCTGAGAGATTCGAAATGCTGAGGCCAGTTTTGATTCTGTGCATAAAACATTTGAAATGAAAATATATAATCCTGCCTTTTTTCGAGTTCTTGGATCTTTTCATCTATTGCAAGAGAACTTTCTGGGACCTAATCGAAAATTAGCTGTCATATCTTGCATCTATAAGCAAACAGTTTCGTGGAAGAACGATCTTAAGCGTTAAATTTATGCCTTTTCCTTCCAGATTTATAGAATAGAATGCCAACCCTAGCCGATCATTTTTAAAAAGTGCTAATATAAAATTAGTCCTCGGTGACAAATTGACGACGTGTAAAACGGCAACAAAGAGGGTAATAGCATGACGAAGTGTGTTTATGCTCGTAGGACAAAATGATTTTGTTACGAAAGGGTTATTGAACAAAATTTGTGAACTGTTTTACGCGATGACGTTGGGTACCTGGATAGGGTCAAAGTTTTGGCTACCAGAGAAGCCGCCTCGCGGTCCTCCTCCGCCACGAGGTCCTCCACCTCGACCGCCTCTTTGTACAGGAGATGGCCACTGATTGTTTTGGCCTCGGGAGTCATTATCGAAGCTTTGGTTCTGGGAGCCGAAGTCATTATCTCTCCAACCCCGTCCATTTCCATTTGCTCTAAGACATGTTATTTTTCCAAAGAACTCGAAATAATTTACCTGGCTTTCTGTAGGTTGGAGGAGGTCGGTAAGTCTCAGGCGCGCGCATTCCGGCACCTTCAACAAGATTCTTGAGTTGTTCGTGATTTTCATTGAGAGAGAGTCGTTGACGCTTCGACTGTTCAATTTCTTGCTCATGACGGGCACGGAGTTGCTCCTAAAAAGTGAGTGTTACTGTGACGTCCGGTTCCCAGATCTCGCATGAGAAATAATCTCAATTGCAATTATTACCTGGCGCTGACGTCGAGATTCTTCCATTTGTCGCAATCGAGCTTGTTGTTGTTCCATCTCTCGTCGAATTAGTCGTTCCTGATTTAGAAAGCTAGAGTTCTCTTCTATGATTTCAATGGCTTACCTGCTCCTCGCCGATTCCTACTCGCATCTCCTGCTCTAGGCGTTGCTTTCTTTCTGCAGATTCGAACTTCACTTGCTCGATTTGAGAACGCTCCAGTTCTTCTAGCGCTTTCCATCGATTTCCAAAGTCCATTTCGAAAGTCTCTGGCGCAGCGAATCGAGGAGGGTACGAGTATTCTTCTTCAAAGCCGTAAGTATTGTAGAGACACTCTTCTTGGAGACCGTCGGCGTCATCGACAGAGTCAACCGCGGAGCACACAACGGCTCGCGGAGACAGCGTTAAAAAGAAGCAACCTTGGTTGACTTGCTCGATCGCCTTCGTTGCCGAGTTTTTCGGTCGAATTCGACGATTCCCCTTTGAAAGACAATTTTTATAAGGTTCTCTCGATTAAGATTATTTTTAATGTATCTGAGTTTTCTGTAATTTGAATATATTCTGAATACGATTTAAGCGACGAATGTCGCTTTGCTTTTTCAATTCTGAAGATTTTTTCCGAAAACATATGATATCCTTCTGCGTTTCTACGTTCTTTATTCAGATCAAAGATCCATTTAAGTTTTTATGTAAATCAAATGACGAAAAGAAAGATACTTCTTAGATAGCAAGCAACAAGACAAAGAATTTTACTTCTTGGTGACAACGAAGCTGGCTCAAAATTCGTCGATCGAGATTCTGTGTCGATCAGAATCAACTTGATCTCTTATGAAAGATTTTTAGACAAGAAAGGGACAAACAAGTTGAAATTTCTCGGGTTATAGCCTAACCAAAATCTAACTAAAACTATCACCAATAAAAATTTATCTGTTACTAAACTAAATATTCGAAATGCATGTCACCGAGAAGTAAAAGAAGAATATGTGAGATAAATGAAGGAGATAAGTGAACATTCAAACAATTCTGTGACCTACTTTTCGAGGGATTTGCCTCGTTCATCGACCATAACAACGGCTCGTTCGATTTTACCGAAACGAGAAAATGCATCATAAAGACGCTCGTTGGAAATGAGAGGAGATAGGTTCTTGACTTCAATGCTCGTTCCCTGAGCAGCGAATTTTACTCGGATGGGGCGATTCTGTCCAACAATGGTTTTGCCGCTGAGGCCATATTTAGCCTGGTCGGCTTGCATGCGGTTGGTCATTTTGATAAAGGCGAATGTTTTTCCTATTGAATATAAATCAATATCTTTTTATAAATATAGAAAAAATAAATAATATCGTTTATAATTTTATGGATAGAAATATTTTTGCTCGGACGATAATTTCTAAATAAGGTTTCTTCAATGAGATTATGACATAAAGACCCGATACTTTTGATAGATTGATTCATCTGCTCATACGAAAAACATTTTCAAGAAGGGACTCTTTGAGAACGATTCGATGAAGATGCAACTCTCTGTCAGAGAGTTTCTCAAGAATTACGCTTGAATACTATTTGTGAACATTTTCTTTTCAAATAGAATTGATGAGATACCGCTATGAGATTCTTGGAATATGAAATGTACGTATATGGTTGCATTCTTGGGATAAAGATATACAGTCGGAGTCCAAAATAAGGGACTTTTGCTCCAAAATTTTCGAAAAAGTCCCTTAAATTGGGTCATCAAAGCAAAAATATGTCGCTGAGAAGTTTTTTCGAAGTATATTTTTACGGCAAAATAAGCTGAAGTTATTGTTTTTGTGACTTAGAAGACATTTTTGAAAGAGGAAAACATATTCTGAAAGGCAAATCACTTCAGTTTGGGGCAAAGCTGGTTGAAATTAAGGTAATTGATACCCTTTATCAGCTCTCAACTAACTGAAGAAGCTTACTGATCTCGGAAAGTCCCTTAAATTGGATTTTTTCTGCCGCTGATTTTCGGCATTTTGAGCAAAAGTCCCTTATCTTGGTGTCCCTTATTTTGGACTCCGACTGTAGTTCTAAATTCTGGAGTTTTCAAAAATTATCGTGAGGCGAAAAATAACTGAATTCTGACATTTAAATAAGCTGGTAAAATATTTACCCTGAGGGATAAAAACTTCCTTGACTTCGCCGAACTTTTGAAACATGGAGCGAACTTGTTCTTGAGTGATATTCTCTGGTAGACCGCCGACAAAAAGTCGGGATTGACCAGTAGATTCTGTAGATCCTTCCTCTACAAGAGAAAGATGAAGAGTTATGATAATAAAGATTTGGTTGTATACGTTCTGAATTCTAGTTTTGCGCTCTTTTCGTGGAACTGAAAATATAAGCTTTTTAACGAGTCAATAAAAGTAAAAAAAGACTAGCTGCTACCGATGCTAGTATGAGCCGATTATCGACCAAGAGTTCTTTTCGAATCAATAAGAAGTCCGGTCTATAGAAAAAAACAGAGAGCCCGGATATCAACTGAAAACATAGAGGAGTTCAAACAAAAAAGCTTTCTATGCAGATCCACGAGAAAAGAGGCCTTATACTTTTCTATTTGGTTATTTACCCTTCTCTGGATCTGGCTCAAACTCGATGGGCTTTCCATCGTTAAAATTTTTGGTGCTAGAACTTTGCTGGCCCCTGTTCTGATTGCCTTGGTGCCCTCTATTATGGCCGCCCTGGTTGCCTCGGTTCATATTATTTCGGGGAGTGTTTTGTTTTCGATCGTTGTTTCGATCGTTATTTCGGTTATTTGGTGTTTGGTTTTTGTCGTTTGGGGTTGCAGGTTGAGGATTGCCTCCTTGTTTCTGATTCGGAGTGGAGACACGGTTGGGCATTGTGCTGCCATTCTGTTATTTGGGTAGAGAAAAGTTTCACTTATCAGATCATCACTCTGATGAGCCATAAAACAACCAATTTAGACAATTTCAGACGAGTTTGAGGACGAAATTATGAGCCAACAGAGCTAAGACGACCTTCGATTAGAGAAAAAGTAAGCAGTGACAGCGTTTTTTAAATGGGAACACCGATTTTCGAACCCCTCTAGAAAACGCTGAGTGAATCACCTGGCTCTTTAAACCTTACTAATGCACAGAGTAGACCTAGAGCTTTATTTCTATAGCTTTAGAGATCCTGTATGATGACTGTACTCGGAGCTGTTTGACTCCCAAAATAGGTATAAATGAGCGAAATCGGAGAATTTGGAATTGATGACGTAATATCTTCCAGATCACGTGTTGTATACATTTTATAAACCCTACCAGTGCACAGAGTAGACCCTCAGCTACATTTCTAGCCGTTATCGGACTCTCTCCTATGATTGTACTCTGAGAAATTTCACTCCCCAGGTTGTTCCCATTTAAAAAAAACGCTGTCAGTGCTTTGAAACTACCCTTGTTATTGTTTTGAGGTTCAGTCATAGGTTGAACCATTTTTGATTTATAGGTACGGATTCGGGTTTCGAGTTATTCTGAATATGATATGAATTAATTTCTCAAAATTCTTTTCACAATTCGCAAATTATCAGTAGCTTGAAGAAAATAGGTCGATCACTCGGGTTTATCGTAAATTAGAGACAATGTCCCTGAAACATTAGTAATCTCTTGAAGTCAACACTGGAAGCGACAAAAAGGAAATTTTTCTTTTGAAATGAAATTCGAGTGAGTCATGAACACCCTGTCCGCGGAAAACCTTCGGCGGATCTTTATCCTGCTCAGTTCGTAGGCGACTGGGCTTTCTTGCTTGGGGGCTCATTCTGTCTGGATGCGAAGCAAAACCGATCAATTCTAAAATGGGGATTCCGCATTATTCGAAATTGTCAAGTTTTCTTTCTAAAGCCTGAACTTGCAAAGTAAGTCGTTTGATTCCAGCATCCTCAATAAGTTTATTGCGAGGGGGAAAATGGGCAGTCGTTCTAACAATTGTTCTAGTCGTGAAAATATTAATCTAAGAACGTCAGGGAGGCGTTTACAGGAGCAGAACAGATCACGGATGTACAGTTAGCGGGTTTAGGCCGGTTGTTTACTTGGCCTGCGCTTGCCACCACTTGAAAACGTCCGAGAACCATTCTTCTTTCTGGCACTTCATGGTGTTTCGGAGCCAGTTCTTGAACTTTTCTTCCTTCTTTGGCTTTCCTCCCGGATTAGCCTGGATAGCTTTCTTCAGCTCCTCGACGGTGCTGTATTCTTTGGGCGCTGCAAAGAAGGATTAAAGAGGACCATTGAAAGTAAACACTTACCCTTCTTTGCCTTCTTGTTGTCAGCCTCTTCTTCGACTTCAGAAGCTTTTCTCTTCGTAGCGGCCTTTGGCTCTACTGTTTTCGCCGCAGCTTTCTTTGGCGAAGCAGCTTTTACTGGCTCGGGCTTGACGGGCTCTTCTTCCTCTTCTTCACTTTCTACGTCTTCGGCGGTTCGGAGTTCCTAGTGATATATGTTTCAAAGCAAGACAAAAAAAAACTGTAACGTACCGCTTCCATCTCTTCTTCATCCATGTCCGACTCGTCGTCTTCATCATCCATTTCTTCATTGACCAAATGATTGGCGCCGATGTTCACTGGCCCCTTGCCCTCGGAGAGCTTCAACAAAAGTGGTGGCTCGACGGAAATATCGGGCAATCGAAGGTAGGGATTCTAAGAACGGTTGGAAGATAATTAAAATTACTCGACTTACAGCATCCGTGAGAATGCCAAGAATGACTGTGGCCTTCTCGGAATTGGCATCAACAGCGGAAAGCTCGATGACATGCTTTCCTTTGGCGCCGGGGCCAAGAGCGCAGGATTTGAAGATGACCTGTTCATCTTCGTTGTCTCCGCCCTCGAATTTGTATGGTGCAGGTCCTAGGCAAAAAGTGGAAAGTGGGATCGAAGATAAAAAGAAAACCCTCAAGATTTGTGGCCCAAAGATACTCCTTTCGTTCCGGGACGGGAGCTCCCATCATGGCAGAATCGTCCATATCGAACTCAGACTCGTCCATGTCAATTTCAGGCTCTTCGGCGGGAACTTTGGAAGGCATTTGAAGTCTGAATTTTAAGAACTTTAGAATCTCTTTCTTTCGAACAGTTGTTTCCACAATTCTTAAAGTCGAGGTATCTCTGTTTATCTCTTGAGGTAGAAATTCACAATAGTTACAGAGTAGTCTCTTATTTCGATAAAAGCTCTTTCTCGAATATTTCTTTGCGAATTACGCGTCTACGAAAGCTCAGAAAATGCCCAATCGGGGGTGGCGAAAGATTCGTCTGGCCAATCGTTTTACGGATTGGCGCTGGCTTGCCTTTCGGATCGAACCACTACCAAGTTCTATTCTCGAAAAAAAAAGAGATAAAAATCGTTACTGTTCTTGAAAAGCGAAGAAAGAAACTGATGGAAGAAAAGCGAGGTCAGATGAAATGAGTCGACCGGTGAAGAAAGTCGTTCTCGACGTTTCATCAAGCTTCCCAGAAAATATTTTTGCTCAGGAAGGGATAATCACTTAGAACGACAATGAAATGAAACCAATGAAATCGTTGGTAATCAAGTATAAATCCCTTTTCGAAGACAAGCTACAATCGCGGTGGCAGAGGAGGCGGCCGTGGTCGAGGACGCGGTGGTGGCAGAGGATCCGGAGTTGAACAACCGTTGAACGAACTGGTCCACTACTGCAGATCTCAAAAATACGGCGCCGTCACTGTTATTCAAACGGATCTTACTGGTCCACCGCACAAGCCCGTCTTCACCTTCGAATGCTCCGCGAAAGTAAAGGGAAACTGGTACGCAGCGAAGGGCAAGGACCACTCCAAGCAAAAAGCAAAACATGCTGCTGCCGCCGCCCTCAGAAAAATCATTCACGAGGTAGAGTTTTCCCGAAATCCGGAAACGATTCCAACGCGACAGAACAATGAGCAGCATCCTAATCCTGCGCCACTTGGTCCTGGAACTCGAGGAAAACTCCTGACTGGAGATGAAATGAGCAATTTGGCCGGGATCGGTGATCATGCTCATCTTCCCGAGCCCCCAAAGCCGCCTTCATTTTTGGAACCAGGGGAATGCAGAGATAGTGATGAAGAAGAAAGCGAAGAAGAAAATGACGACCCAAACACACCTGCCTGGATGGCTGCCGGTTTGAACGAGCCTCCTTCTAGCGCGTTGTCGAGGAAAAAGAGACAAGCGAAGAATCAGAAGGAGCGCAAAAGGGCTGGAAAAGAATGGGCTTCGAGACAATTTACGTACGAACCTGACCAGTACGATCCTAATAGTTTGGCGAAGATGGCAACTCCGTTTAATGAATCAGTGCCTGAAGAAGGTATTCGTGATCCAGTCGAGGAGGATCCCGCCCAGATTAGAAAGATAAACGAGTTAAAAGCTGAAAATAAATCAGCTCCATGGCCCGAGCTTATAGAAGAAGATGACAAAGAAAAGCCTTCGACATCAACTGCTCCAAATGCTGGAATGTCCAGTACTGGAGTTCTTCGGCCGCCAGTGCCACTTGCACAGGGAACAACGGGACGAGCAGGGAATTATCACCCACCGCAAGCGATGGGTAGTCAGCCACGCCCACCTCGTCCGTTGGGCTCATTCCCTCGACCTCCTGGCTCATCCGGATTGACTGCTCCTCGTCCACTTTCTCAACCAACTCGTCTCAGAGCACCGACACCAATGAGCCAAAACTTGCGCCCACCAAGGCCCCTCGGGCCTAAAAGTATGCAAGGCACAAATCAGTTCAACCTTTTGCCAGATCGAAATGGGACAGGATCGAGTCAAACCATGCCCTCCCGCAAATCCCCAAAGAAGAAGACTCATACAACTCCACTCCCTCCACCACCAGCTCCGCCAAAACTAAATGGTGAAAAGAAAAACGCCAAGAATACATGGTCCGGCTGGGATAAAAACGACAGCTGGGAACCATCATCAGAATTTTACGTGGATCCTCAGTTCTCAGATGATGCCTTCGTTGAAAACAAGGAATTGATGCCACCGCCGAAAACGGATAACAACATCATTCCTGCGTCTAAAATGAAAAAAGTCTCCTATAACAGCGCTAAAGGATTAGTCAAACCAAAGGGCTGGTCCAGTGTTTGGGGCTGCAAGAGTCACATCGAAGCTGGATACGAGGTGTATTACGATGTCGATGATATCAAATTCGGTTTTCCAACGTATGAGGAGAAGCAAAACTCGATTACTTCTGCAGAGGCGATTTGGAATGATGAGCTTTTTGATACTGAAAAGTATCAAGATTGGGAGGACGAATGGGCTGAGTATGATCTCAAAAAAGGTAGCTTATCCAAATTTGTTATTATTTTCTTCATCTTTCAGACAAAACAACATATTTTGATGAATCTTTTGCCGAAAAAGGCCTTATGCACCACCAACGAGATCCTCGCGAAAACCAAGGAGTGCCTTGGTTCGCCCCTCCTCGAATAGATGGCAACAACCTTCGCCCCGAGCTTCGTGATCAACTTGAAAAGCTAGATCGAGAAGCTCTTTGGAAAGCTGATGAAAAAGGTGGTAAAGGTGCAACGTATGATCTGCCAAACTTTGCTAGAATTCAGGTATATAAACAATTATATAGAACAAAAATATTACTATTGCTAAAAATTGTCGACTGAAGGGGAGATGGCAAAATATTACACAACATTTAGTCATGTGTAGACGACTGGATCAAACAGTCGTTTGGAGTTACCGGAACCCAATTTATTTACGAATTCTACTCCAGGTGAATGACAACTCAAGGCCACTCTCGTGCCTTTTTGATGTATGCTCCCGTCCGTAGTCGTTTAAAAGCCCAATTCTCAGTATTTTGGGCTATTAAATCGAACTAAAAATGATTGGAAGCATACTTCAAGATTCCCAGAAAAGCTTTTTTTGCTTTCAAATATTGAGTATTTCAAGTGTTTATTGCACAGTAAAGAAACTTATTTTCTACTAGGCAGTCGAACTACTTTAAAGAGCAGAGTGCATCTCAATTTTTGTTCTTTAAAATGGTACTTTATAATCTCTCTTACCAACAAAAATGACCCCCTAGTAGGAAAGAGTTGAATGCAAGAACATATGGAATACTTCAATATCGACAACCGCTTGAAATAACGAAATTATTATTACTCCTTTGAAGTTAATTTGTATCACCAAAATTACGTGTCGATTCTTACAGTTATAAATTTTAAGTTAATAATCATCGTTATATTATCGTTATATGTCGTTATAATATAGCTGTTCTATAACTTTGTTTTAGCAATGGATTGCTAAATGGATACTATTGTGCCCTTTGCTGCTATGATTGGCCACCTACAGTTCATCAAGACTGTATTCGAGATCATTTGACCTCGCATGGCCATAAATTAGGTTAGCAGTCGGGAACTGCAGAACTCTTTTTGATCTTGTTTTAGGATACCTACGAAGGCAGTACATGAAGGAATACATTGCTCTTACCAACTGGCCTCATTACGGGACAGGTAAATACAATCTATAGTTTATGAATAAGAAGTTATCAAGCTCATAAACATAAATATCGATTTACTTATTACTTTTGCAGACGCCTTGCGAGATTATGATCTGGAGGAAGCACTGGAGGAGAAAATAAGCATGATTGCAAATAAAGAAGCCGCCTCATTCAAGAAAGTCGCTGTCAATGTCCGCACCATGCATCACAGAGGCCTGATTACTTCACAAGCGGAGAAATTGAGAGATGGTTTCTTCAAAAAAACAAAGACGAATCGTACAGCAAAGAAGCTGACCGAATGGTCACTTGATGAGTGGCAATGCTCAAGGTATCCGTGTGATTCCGTGAATCAATCAACGCGACTTAACTGTTTGAACTGCGGCGAAGCAGCTCCAGCTGATCCGTACTTCTTTTATATCATCAAAGCTGAGGAAGATGATGCTCGCCAAAAAGAGCGCATGGAGCGAAGAAAGACAAAGTATGCCATTCGTGATCGCAGAAAAGAATTCCTTGAGCGAATCCGACAAGGCGAAGAGCTCGCGAGGGGTCCCACTTTGCCAAAATACATAAACGCGATGTCGCAGGTTCCTGTCATGACTGATGACGAAATGCAATTCTTCCAGGTGCAAGATTTCATGAAATCAATTGAGGAGTCTCACCCGGGCTTGGATCTCGATAAGGACCAACCGTTGCCAATGGAAGATGCTCTCGAAGAGAGAATCAAAGAGAATGCTTATAAAAATGCGGATACTGTTGCTTGCCAGGACGGTTACGAATCCGGGGAAATTCAAGAATCAAGTGATAGCAACGAGGAAAAAGAACCAGAAGAAGAAATTCCAGAAGAACCAAAATCTCCAAAGGGTGATGGAAGCAAAACGAGGAAGAGATATCGAAGAGCTGTACAGGCGGAAAGACGAAAAGCGCTGATGTACGAGCGTCCTGAAATCAGACAACAGCTTGAATCAGAAGCCTGGATTCCAAAGAAACTATCCTCGGGTTGGTGGCTCAAAGATGGTTGCTGGCTGTGCAAGGTGTGCTGTCACAAGAATCCCGGAAGTTACAAATTTTGTTTTGGTTGTGATATAGCTGCGCCAAAGAATATCGATGGAAATATGAATAAACAGCTTATTCATCCGTCTGTCTTTCACGAAAATGACTGGAGACATACTCAACAGTTAAAAAAGTGGATCGAAAGCAACCCGGAAGCTGAAGCCGAGAAACCGCAAGATGTTAAAGGTCTTCCCATTTACATGCAAAGAGAGCACGCAAAGGAACAAGGTTTATTCGGTGGTGATTTCTTCAAACACGGAGCCGTGCGACAAGATTTGGTGGAATACAGAGCTCTCCGAGTGAAAACTGCCGAACAGACGAGAAAAATCATGAGTCAACAGGGTTTTGCCGAGTCGCCAGACTATCTAAGTACTCTAGGTGCTAATAGCCTGGATACGAGCGTCGGCAAGGGATGCAAAGAACGTATAATCAGAGCAATGCAACGTCGTGCTGAAAAACAGCTTGCTGGTGAAAAAGTCACTGGTTACCTAAATCGCTTCCGAAAGAACTTTTCCCAGTGCGGATGGTGGTGCGAGTCCTGCGATTATTAC